AGTATATATATATATATATATATATATATATATATATAGATATATATGTATATGATGAAATCACGAAAGAAGCGAGATTCGAGTTGAGTAGTGGGTAGAGACAGCAGAAGCGCGAGAGTCGAGATGGCGGGCGGTGAGCTTGAGAGTGCGAGAAAAACAGCTGAATTTTGGGCTGTCGTAGAAGGGTGCTGTGTATTTGAACGAGTGTGATGAAGACGAAGTGTGTGAACAATCAAGTGCCACAGCACTAAAAAATGGGTGTGGGACTGGTTCAGTGCGAGCAATTACATGTCACTGCACTACGGCACCAATTGTAGTGGCTCCGAGTTTGTAGACGTTCATGTGTGCGAACAATTAAACTTTGCGTTATTACGACGTTGCAGTACTAAAGCTGACTTTGAGCAGTCTAGCAACGTTTTAACACAAGTGCGACACTACGATATCCATTTCGCATCGCCTGTAAACGCTCTGGGATCGTGTCAGGATTATCCATGTACTAAGAAGTATTATTTAGTATTATTATATATATATATATATATATTCACTTGAGTGAGAGTGGATTGATTCATTCACCCACGCTTCCCCTCCGCGTCGCATCGCATCGACTCCTGATCCTCCCCGAACTGGAAACAACTCATTCTGGAAACGAACCGGAAACAAACTGGAAACACACCAAATCTGTCATCACTACACACGAGAATCACGTTACCGGCGTAAAAAGAAAAGAAAAGAAAAGAAAAGAAAAAACCAAGAAAAAGCAACTCAAAAGCAGAAAAAAAAATACAAATTGCCTCGACGTCCTCCACCCAATAATCTGGGCAGTCCTCCAGTCGATAGAGCACCTAAAAACACCAGGCTCTCTTCATCACCAACCAGCCATCGCTAAACAATTACCAGCTACCTATCGTCTCAAATCCAACCGCACCATTATGTCCCCTTTCATTTCAGCTTCACTGGCCCTTTTTCCTTAACCGCCCCTCCTCCTGCCTTTTCCACGCATCGTCGTTGCCCGTTACACCACCGGCCAACTCGATCATCTCATATGACCACAGCGTCACTTTCAGTAATCGCTCCCAGCCCGGAACGCAAGCCTACTTGTTCCCCGGAACCCTCAACTGCACCTGATGATTGCTCGAAGTTTGCGTAGCCAGCATGTAAAATCAAATAGCTTTGCGCAGTGCTTGATGTCTGGTTCGTGCTCTGGCCCTTCCGTAGCGATCGATGTATGCGGCGCCAGGACAGAAAGAAGCACGGAATTTGTAAGTCTTGGGATGTGAATGGACGTAAAATCTGCAGCGTAGTAGTAGTAGCAAGAATAATACCGGGCGCGGGCAAAGTGGGCGTAGAGATTTGCCAATGAAGCGCGACCGGGATGCGTTATTTAAATGACAGTGCAGAGTGGGTGGGTATTTGGTGGAGGAAGGGAGGACCCGGACTTGTTAAAGAACTGCTAACCAGAATTGATAGCAGAACTGTAGCCAGAGCTAGCATCGGAGGTGAAAGCAGAATTCTCGCAGGAAAAGGCCAAGCTCGCACTTACATTAGTCAAGCTCGCACTTACATTAGTCAAGCTCGCACGACAACTCACATTATTCAAGCCCGCACGACACACTTCTAATGTACAAACCAGGAAACTACTTTTTCGTGCTGCCCTGGATAGCGTTCATTCCATGGTATGGAATGCTCATCGCAATGCTTGTGTGCTGGGCAGCACAGGGCCATCCGATCTATTGGTTCATGCACACATACCAGTTCCCGCTGTACATATCAGACATCGGAGCCACCAATCTGCGGCCATTGTTCATCTCGTGCGCAGGCTGGCAAGGTCTGGGCTACTGCATCTGCATCGCATGCGAGTATTTCCAACGCAGTGGGCGCTGGCCGTTTCAGCGGAGTGCGTTCTCCAAAAACGCCGTGGCCGACCACGGGTCGGTGTCGGCGTCCCAGGACACGGTCAAGTCCAACTACGGCGATATGCTGCGGTCAGCCAAGTTTCTGATGCCCCCATACTACACCCGCCACGAACGCAACTGCATCTGGGCCTGCTTCGCCCTGGGCGCGGCAGGCGAGATCTGTCTGCTTATGTGCTCGATTTTCTCCACTGCACACTACCATCGCGTCCACATCACCATGGTCGGCCTCTTCTGTGCGTTCATGTTCCTGTCCGTGTGCTGTAACATCGCTGAGTACTTCATGATGGGCAGGCATTACGCCCAGCTGCATCCACTGGCTAGTCCAGAGGATAGGCTGGTCGAGACCCGCTGGAATCACTGGGTTGGTTACCGTTTCAACAAGTACACTATCAGCGCCATCGCAAAGACTGTTTGGCTGGCCGCTGCTCTGGCATGGGCAATTGCCTTTGGTGCCATCAGTGACAATTCCAAGAGTTCCTGTTTTGAATGGCTTCTAGCATTCTGGTTCGGAATCATATTCATCATCATCTCCGTCGATTTCTACCTGGGCGGGCGCTACAAGCACTCCAAATACTTCCATCAAGTCACCTCCTTCGAAGGCTACTACAAGTACGACAAGCTGGTCCCAACTCCACGCCAAACTGACGGCATTATCGAAGCTTAGACAGCTCCCATATCAACATTGTTCCTTCACTTCTTATCTTCTAATACCTGTATATTCTCGGCCACACTACCGATCCTAATGCATTTGAATTCTTCAATGGTAATAGGAACTTGTCCTCTTGCCATTTATTAACCAATCGCTGAATCTAGGGCTAAGACGCATTCATGTTTTATTGTTACATATTAAGATATATTCGACTTAGTTACACTGCGGTTCTGAAAAGTAGGTTGGTCCATTCTTTTCAAAAAACTTCCTTGAAAAGACTCCCCTTCTTGTCACCATCAACAAGCTTTCCGTTTTCACCTGCTTCGCTAGAGTCTGGTATGTCTTCCAAGTCATCTTCTGAGTTTTCCAAAGTGTCCACATCCTTCGCAGAGGCCTCAGACTTCGCCGACTTTAAGTTAAGAGCGTCGTCTTTCTTGATGGATGGTTCCTGATTTTTGGAAACTGCCGTAGTGTTTGCGGTCGATGATTGTAGTTCGGTCGAGTTGGTCTCTGGCTTCAAAACAGCAGACTTTTCTTCGACCTTTCCTGCAGCAACACCTTCAGCTTTAGTGCTGTTGCTTTTCGGTTTGACATCTTCTTGTGGCTTCTTTTCGGAGACAGCAGCAGTCCCGGCTGGCTTACCCACAGGCTTCGCTACCGGCTTGGAGGTTTCGGTAGATGGCTTCGTGGCATCTTTATGGACAAGACCTAGAAGTTTTTGTTTCAAAGACCCGGACCTCTTCACACCACCATTTTTGGAGGCATCAGGTTGAACAGCAGACGCACTCTTCTTAGTGGGGCTGCTGACCGGCGTTTGCTTTTTAGGCTTTACTTCGGGCTTGAAGTCGGGAGGCAAAACTGCATCAACCATGCTTGGTCTAGCGTCTGGGGATGTGACAGTTTTCTTAGGCTTTGATTCATGCTCGCTCACAATGGGATCTTTGATAGTAGCTTCCGGCTCAGCGGTGTTTTCTTCCTTGACAGACACAGTTGTTGTCATTTCTTCACCGCCAACGGCTTTCTCAGACTCCTTCTGTTTGGCAATGAACTCTTCAGACGTGACTCCAAACAGAGCTTTCACCTTGTCCTCATCAAGCTTTTCTTCACCCTTCAGATGGGTGACACCTCTCATAGCATCGAGCAAAACTAGCTTTTCGTTCTTCAAAAGCAACTCTGTAGCATTGAGTTCACTTTGACGCTGATTGATCATGGCGTCAACCTCTAAACGTCTCAAGCGCGATTCTTCTGAGGATTGTTGAGCTTGCTCTTTGGCCTTTTCAGTGAGGAGCACATAATGAGTGTCGATTTGCGTGTTAAAGTCATTCTTTTCCGTGGATAGGTTTTGCAACTTTTCTTCATCTTCTTTATGAGTAGCGTCCGAATCAATCAATTGCTGATCAAGTTCTTGGATTCTAGTCTTATGGTTTTCAATCGAGGTACGCAACTCGGCAATAGCTTGCGTGAAAGAGTCATGTTCTGCGATCAAGCGCTCGTGCTCCGCTTCCGCAGCTTTAACATCGTCGATAAAAGGCTGAATTTCCTCGTCTTGCTCTCTACGGGCAAGGTCAATGCCTTCCTTCTGCTCTAGGGCCAAGTTGGCAAGTTCTGTTTCGCAACGGGTTTCTTCGTCCTTCAATGCTTGTTCCATCTCTCTTTGAAGGGCTGCAAAAGAGTTCTTGGCCTCTTGCAAAGCATTTTCCATCTCAGCAACTTCGGCGTCCTTAGTAGTGCACAATTGTTCGTACTTTCTTTCGGTTCTGGTCTTCAGCCCATCAGTTTCACGCTTGTGCCTTAAGCGAGTTTCTCTAGAGTACATTTTGTCGTTGGCAATCTTGTTGCGCTGCAACTCAATCCAAGCGGCATTTTGTTCTTTGAAATCGATCTTTCTTTGCTTAATGTCTTCATCAATCGCTCTTTGTTGCAGGGCTCTACTTCCAACCTCATCCAAAACAGGTGTGATAAGTCCCTGTGCGATGTTCTGGACGTCAGATGGGTTCAACCACAATCCACCACCCAAGTTAATCTTTCCGGTGAGTTCGGAACGCTGAGCATGACTTTTCTGGGCCAAAGCCACAGCCAGCTTGTTAAACTCCGCGTTTCTGAAGAGACTTCCGGGAGCCGACTTATCAATAGTGTCTAGTCTTAGTTGAGCGTTGCTTTTGGCAAGAGCCAAGACTTGAGGAGAAGTGAGTGTACCGAAATACGCTTGTTTCTTCTTCTCGCGTTCCAAAAACTCTTTTTCAGTGATCTCGCTGGGATTGTAGTCACGGACTGCATAGGCGGCATGGGAGGCGTAGTGTTGAGGGTCTGCTTCGCGCTCTGCTTCCGCTTCCAGCTGGTTCTTGGTTGAAATTTTCTGCATAATGTCGGGAGTGAGTGAGAAACTACGCTCTGCAGCTTTGGCAGACTCTTTGGAAGGCACATAAACCACTTTTTCCGGGTTCATGCGTACACCCATCCGCTTTCCAGCAGCAGCCTCGGCTCCTGATAGCACTCTGGACATATCCATTGCAGGTTTAGCCGGAGTGGCTTGAACTTCCACGGGCTTGGCCGAGTACGCTTTAGTAGCGGCACTGGCCGATCTTTTGTCAGAGACAACTGTGACCGCAGATGACACACTGGACGTTCTTGAGCGTCCCGAAACCGCACTGGCCGCCTTGGATGCGTCGGAATCGACCATTAGTCGTTTGTACGCCTCAATGGTGGTTCTGTTGTTGTTGGCAAGGTTGGCAGCCGCGTCAGACGCCGCTTTGGCGTCCGCCACGCCGGAACCGGTGCTTCTGGCAGGCGATTGGTACACCCCATACTTTTGCTTTGCCCTGTAGATGGCCTCTTTGGAGAGCGGTTTTCCGTCTTTCCGATAAAATTTAGATTCCTTCGTGGACCCAGCTGACGTGGTCGAGCTGGAATCGTTGAGCTCAGGAGCAGCAGAGATCAAAGACATCTCTGTTACTCAGATGTGGAGCTTTTTGGTCTGTTGAAAGATAACGTTTATGAAATTGGCCAACACTCAACAGTAAAATGAGCTACAGGCCTGTTTTTTTTGGTTTTTTCGGCCTTTTAAACGCGATTCAAAACTCTAGGTTATTAACGCCTTGTCAAGCTTTAACGAATGTTTTCCCAGCGTATTTTAGCGCTCAAGTCTTTAGTGAAAAATGTTCTGAACATTGACCTTTCAAGAAAACCAGCGCCCTTAATATAAAAATCGATAATGTGTGGAAGCAATGAACGGACTAGCAAAACGTGTCTTTTTCCTAATTAGGAATAAGAGGGGTTGATTTCCCGAAGTGGAAAGCTCTTACTCTATGGGGTAGTATTGCCCAATATGGTATGTCCGATGAGAACGTCATTTATTGACCGTTCGTAAGCCATCGTAAGAGAAGATAAACCTTAACGACTCCTCCATTGGGCGAGAACCAGCGATGGATGAGCTTCTTTCTAGCTTCAAGTGAGTGAAGAAAAGCGTTTGCTAAGCGTGAGCATGGTGATTATAGGGAATTTGTAGGTTGGCTTGTACTGAGGAAAAAGCGGGTCGTTTCGTGCGCCTTTTACGATTTATAGCATGTTTTTAGGATATGCGTTTGTATTGGATGCATCGGTGTGATTTGATGGTAGTTTGGCAGGTTGAACATGCGTAATGAAACTGACATTCTTTGTGGTTTTTGCTCCTCATAGCGTGTCGCAGCAGGCGACTCATCTTGATAATTGTGCTTTGGGAGGGGAATTTTCGCTCAGAAATGAAATATCACAACCTTAGGCACCTCTCATTACAATTGACATTTGAATCCTTTCGTAGGCAACTCGTTTTCTTGAAAGACGTACTGTGCGCAGCAAAATGCCCAGCGTAAGACCAATCGACTCAAATCGCACTCTACTTCTTAAATTGCAGTGTATGTGTCATAAGTCTCCCCATATTTCCCGAACGTGTGTGCAGAAGTCCCCTGCTGTCCCGACGTAGCCTTTCATGAGCCCCCTCACCCGCTTCGGCAGCTTTCTTGTCAAAAAGATGGATGCCCAGAAACTCGTGTGGCATCAAGTGTGTGTAGACTCTTCCAAAAGACGTGTCTTCTCATCTAACTTCACGTACCGCATCGGAATCTTACACTAGCAAATAATCATTTCCTGGAGTCACTTAACGGCGACGTTCTCTTCACTGACTCCTGTGTTGTCAATTCCATAGCTTTATATGGAGCTCTCTTAATTGATATTCCAATTATAAAAACCACTGTCATTTAGCTCAACATCAACACACAAGACATTCTACAAAATGAGTGAACTAAAAACAAACGCTCGTGTTTCCTATAAGAAGGGCATCGCAGGAGATGCTTCTTCTGCTACACTTTGTTCTAGTTGTACTGGTTCGCATTTTGAATGAATAGCGAGTGTATCATAGCATCGAGGATTGACGACCAAAACAAGGTGTCAGTATTGCTACATTTTCTCCAGCACAGCACAGCACGGCACACTAGCAAAACGAAGGACAGCGATGTCAAATCAATGGCTGTTATGCGCTCTTGACGCTACACAATGAGCTCGTCTTTTCGAGCAGAGCAACTCCGGAAACAAAATGTACAAGACAAGCCAGCTTTCTCAAAGTCCCACGTCAACGACATGCAAACGTATTTCTTGTCAGGAACAAAATATTCCGGAGACTATGTTGGTGCTCATCTTCAATTTGATTCGCACTGTTTAAACCGTATTTAGCCGCCCAGGTCAGCTGACTTTCCGTTTCGGGAGATATTTTTCTGTTTTGGGGCCAAATACCAGGAGAAGAAATTCACTTACCCCATTTAGAAAAAGGTAAACGGTCGACAGGTGCTATCCCATCTATAGCCAATTGAACAAATTGAACTCACTGTTCAAAACTCGATGTTTCTGAGGCTCTCTCTCGTCAAGCTCCGCAAAGCTCTGAACTTTCCCACTTTTGTTATTGGTGCCGAAACCGAACGCCAGGTACCCAACTGAAAGTTCCCATACAATGACTCAAAGCTATAACTACCAAACGAGCTTTTGGGATGAGCAAGACGCTGGCGCCAGGATCCTGTTAGACCATACAGCACACGGAATTGAGTCCTGCCACAATCTGGTGATTTTTTATGAAGAGCGAAGTAAACTTGAAAAGGACTACGCTAGAAGACTAAGCGCAGTCAGCGGACGATTACACGATGGGTTGCAAAACAGTCCCGAATACGGGAAGCTGGGCGAAAGTTTCAAAAGTTTGCATTCGACGCAAGAACGATTGAGCCAATTCCATTCCAAAGCGGCAGTGGCTATACACAAAGATGGGCATGCAGAGCTCAAACAGTTTGTTCAGCAAATCAAAGCCCGATACAAAACCATTGATATCAAAGTTCGGAATCTTTGCAACGACAAAATTACCAAACGTCAGCTCTGCGATGTACTGAAGGAAAAGCTGAACAAAGCCAACATCGAGCTCCGGGACTGTCAACTAAATAAGGACAATTATCTTGGCAAGCGCGATTCGGATCAAAATGATAGGCAGCTGCTCAAATGGAGAAGCATTGTGGATGAGCTGCAACTCAAGTTGGACGTCTTGAAGCAGGAGTATAAGGCCTCCAGCAAACACTGGCTGCACGAGTGGTCAAACCTCAGTCTTGAGCTACAAGAACTTGAGAGGACTCGAATAGAATTTATCAAGCTGAAATTGGAGCAGTTCGCGAAGCAATGCTCGGAAATGGCAATGCAAGAACAGGCTAACATGGAAAGCCTAACACAGCAGCTTGTGAAGTTCACCGCAGCCCAGGATATTACCAATTTTGCATACAACCATGGTACAGGACGAATAAGGGGCGCTTCGATGGACTCTTCTACAACTACAACCTGTAAGGAAAGACCCAATTATAACAGTTCCAAAATCTCAAGCAAACATGTACAAAACGTGCGACAGCTTTCTTCTCAATTGCAGCGAACGCGATTATCGGCTCACTATGATCATGAAAAACCAGAGGTTCCGCAGTCATCGTCTCGACCAATGTCATGCATAGAACCCGAGCCTACCCATCAGTGGCATTTTGACGTCAATCAATTGAAAGTACCCAGCGTGACCGAGACTTCACCTGAAAACTCGACGGTAGAGGCCGCCAAGGGCAATTACGCTGCTTACACAACCTCCGAGTCCTCTAACGATTCGTCAAATCCAACGGACTTTACCGCGCATACAGGACGCCGCGCAAGTATTGAGTCTATGAATACATCAATTTCGTCACTAGCTCATAGTATAGATGACTCCAGGAGATTTGCAAAGTCGTGGAACTCTCAAAACAGAAGAAAATCCAAGACACGCTCTCAGCTGTTCGATTCTTCGCAGGGCACAAGCCTAGATGGGAACTCAAGATCTAGCAGCATGGAAACAACTAGAATACATGTCAAACCGCAAAATGCCCAGGCTTATGTGCCAGCGCAAAGGCGGAAGTCGATGGTGAGGACAGATTCTGACTCGAATCCGTTTAAGCAGGCCCTGGATGCTATGAAGAAAGAATCGGAGGGAGTGACAGATAACGTTTCCGTAAGCAGTCGGAGTTCTTCAAAAAGCAAGCCTCTCATACCATTTCATCAATCGAGGCATCCTACAGCAGAGCATGACCCCAAGGCAGCCACAAAGCGCGTTATGGACGGAGACCAGTATGTTGAACTGCCTAGATATAGCAGTAACGGCGAGGAGGTCATTCAGTATGCCAAAGCGCTTTACACATTTATGGACGCCAATGAGCAGATGATTGTGAATTTCCGTGCTGGCGATTTTCTTCTATTAACTGAGAAGCTCGACAATGACTGGTTTATTGGTGAAGTTCTGGATACTGCACATATTGACCCCAAGTACAGACATGGCATCATTCCACACAATTACATTGAGCTATTAATATGACCCACGCTCTCGAATACTTTCATAGTACTGTGTACTTTTATCGTTAAATCTAGGGTAACGGTTGTTGTGCTTGCTTCAAATCTTCGCGTCCGTTCGCACCAGCGTTGATACAGTACCCTTAAACTTTCAAATATATTGGCCACGAATCCTGCGCGCCAGCTGCATATCTTTCCTCATGATAGTGATTCTCTTCGCGTGGAGAGCCAGTAAATTAGTGTGTTCGAGTAGTCCGACCAAATATGCCTCGCTGGCCTCTTGCAGGGCCATGATAGCCATGGTTTGCCAGCGAAGTTGCTGTTCCTCAGTGGTGAATTGATCGGTAACTTCTTTCACGAGACGTGCAAAAGGCATCTTCGAGATGAGCAAATCCGTGCTGCGCTGATATTTTCGGATTTCCTGCAATGCCACGTCGCTGGGACGGTATCTTTTGGTCTTGATTTTGCGTCTTCGTATTTGGGTCACTGCTGGAACGGGACTTTCGATCCTGGATGGCTCCTCTGATGGCTCGTATCGTCTACGGTCTTCATTTCGATTTAATAGCAGTCTCTGTTGACGATTCTTCTGTAGTAGCGAAAGGGCTCTTTCATTGATGTCTCGTGTCAGTCTGCTAGTATTGCTCAGAGTTCTGCCTCCATTGTGACTGACTATGCTGGAGTTCATTGGTCGAGGTACCTTGTTCGAAGTATATATATATGGAGTTTTGTTTATTCTCGTAATCAAGTGAATTGTCTAAAATTTGTAGTATAACTGACTTCAGCTAAGAAAGAATCCTTCAAGTTGGTATAAAAGCCAGCAAATATGGCACCTTTCAGACAGGACAGTTACTTTGTATGTACTGAGTAAGAAATTTAACCATATAACGATGGTCTTACTAACCTACAACACGTTTGCAGATCATTTATCCAAACTCTGAACATGCTTTGGTCCAATTTGGCGTGAGAGAGGAAACACTGTATCCTCCGCAGTATCAGATCCCGGTTTCTGTTTATAAGACCAAAAGTGGTAAATATACTGCTAAGGGAGAGGGAAACGAGCTAGTTCAACCTCTTCTAGATGGCCAGATTGTGGATTTAGATGCCTTTCTGTTTTTCATCGAACTGGTGTATAAATCGTATCTGGCGCAGAGATCACGATTCGGCTCGAGTCCTGAGGTTTTCGACATGGAACTCTCGAATATCCCAATGCTTATGGTGAGTCACCCGTCCTGGACGCACTTCCAGCTCGAAAGTATCACGCAACTGGTGTTTGAACAGCTGCAAATAAACAACTTCATGTTTTTGCCCTCGAACCTGGCCTGCTCGTACGCGTTGGGCTCTTTGCAAAACTGCGTTGTTATTGACGTACACGCTAACGGTACCGATGTGACGCCAATTATGGACTACATTCAATTGACGCACTTGTCCGCCAAAGTAAAAAATGGTGGTAACTCGATAAACCAAGAGCTGGCCAAACTGCTGCCGCAATGGAAGCCTGAGCAAATTGAAGACTTGAAAAGGTCTCCGATTTTCGAGGTTCTGAGCGAGGATGCGAAAAATACGTCGGCTCTCAATTTCCAGAGTGAGGAGGATGAAGGAGCGCTGGATGTGGCCGCACTTGTTACCAGCGACAGAGACACCAGAGAACTGCTCGAGGAAAACGAAAAGGGAAAAGAAGGTCAAAGTGTCTCTAACAGTGAATTGGAAACCAATGCGTTCGTGAGTCGCAATGGCGAGCAAATAGCAGTGGGCAAACAAAGATTTCGAGGATGTGAGAAGCTTATTTCAGAAATATCTGCAGCCGTGGGACGTGTGCTTGTGAAGATTGACGACTTCCACAAGCTCAGAGCCATTTGGGAGAACGTTGTCGTGGTCGGTGGCACCACAGCCATCATGGGTTTCAAAGAAGCTCTTCTTCACAAGCTTATGGAAGATCACATAATTGAAGAACCCATAACGGAAAAAACTACTAGAGAGCAGGACTACTACAACCAAGCAACCAACAAGAAAAAGGCCAAAGCTTTGTTCTCCAACAACGTGGAGTATGTTCAGATACCAACTGCCATTCGATTAGCCAAATATCCAGAATACTTTCCCGAGTGGAAAAAACATGGCTACAGCGAGCTGCCATTCTTAGGAGCACAAATTGTCGCTAAACAGGGCTTCGGGCATACTAACGAGAGTTTCTACATCACCCGAGAAAGATATGACAAAAAAGGTCCCTCGGCTGTTTGGGATGTGACTTTTTAGACCCTGGACCGAAATAAATTTTGGTGAACGTTAAATCATACTGAAAAGAACGAGGAAGATCACGAATTATTGTCCCACCAATCGGTGCGCAAATGGCGTCCCACAAGTCACAAATAAACTTTACAATTTGATATTTCAAGTTTACAGAGACGATAACGTAACATTTAAAGACAGGACAGTCAACAGTTCAAATTTTTGAAGCCTCTAGAAATTATCTATTTGCTCCGAAACGTAAGAGAGATAACACTATCCACTCGAAGGTGCTTTATATCTTATGTGTGGTCCTTCAGCAGTCCGTCGCACGTCGGTAGCGATCAAAATGGTGATAGCACTATAGACGAATTGGGAATTAGTTTTAGTAGTTAAATCTGTTCAGAATCGCTTACTATTTGGAACTTCAAAGCAGCACAGGAAGCAAATAATCCATGTTAACATAATACACATATATGATAAGCAACCTTGGAAAATTAGGGCTGAATCTACGGACGACGCTGATCGCCGTTTCCTGGATCCCCGTAGCGTTGACTTTCAACGAAAATGTATGCTACGTAGCGAAGATAGAGGGCAAGTCAATGAGGCCAACACTGAACCCCAGCGACAAGACACATACGGATTGGGTACTTATGTGGAAATGGGGTGCCAAAAATCCTGCAAATCTGCGACACAATGATGTAGTTTTGTTCAAATCCCCTTCAGATCCGCAGAGAGTGTACTGCAAACGCATCAAAGGTGTACAATACGACACCATACAGACGCGACATCCATATCCGAGGGCCATTGTGACTATTCCTCGAAGTCATATTTGGACAGAAGGTGATAATGCATTCCATTCGACAGATTCGAACGAGTTTGGGCCCGTGTCAACAGGTCTGGTGCTGGGGAAAGCCGTGGCCATCGTATGGCCGCCATCGCGTTGGAACTCGAGCTTAAATCAAAGCGTTGGGAGAGGAGATCTTAGCATCAAAGGTTCCGCAATATAGAAACTAGCGTTAAGATCACATCATTAAGTGCAGCGGGTCATGAAACAAATCTATAAGTGATATAATGCCGTTTCTCAGTGTAAATAACTTCTGTTATAGAGAGCTATAGAAGGAAAAAGGGTAAATATGCTAATTTTTTGGATAATGCAAAGAAGCACTGGTAGGGGTGACTTCCTCCCCATCTTGTTCCTTCAAAATGGAGCCAAACAAAGACCTTTTCGTGTTCTTTAATGCAAATGCAGAGTCCTCACTGTTTTGGTGCGAATGAGCAGCAAAGGGTTCTTCATAACTTATGTTGTCCAGATCTGTACTTCCGGTGTCATCGCAAAATTCGTCCACAGAGAGTAGTCCGCTGCTTGCATTGCTGCTACAAATACTGCTGGGACTCCCACTTTCCACGCTGGTACAGTAGTTCGAGAACGAGAGCTTTGGTGGAGCTTCATACTTAAATGAAATGCTGCTTTTTGTCGTGTAGCGAGACGGATATGGCAAATCTGGCCTAACTTCCGTGTCTGGAAGAATCGACTGACTCTGGGACCGGATACTATTATTTGGCCATGCTAGCCTAGGTCGCGAAAGTGTTCCTATTTTGTTAAGCGATTGATTTGAGCTGGCACGAGTTGCTATTCTTTTGTTGTCTTCACGAAATTTCTCCATTTCGCTCTCGCATAACTGGACGTGCTCTTGAGAATCCATGCCAATATAGCGGCGAGGGAAACATCTATCGCTATACTTGTCAAAAAAGGACTTGTAACCACCTTCAACGATGAGAATGTCGGGGTAGTGCAACTCAGGATAGCTGTCGTGATTTATCATTCGATCACAGTTTCTCAAGTGTGATGCCATGATAGGACCTCTGTATGAGCTGAACTCGCAGTGAAACACCATCAGAGGTGGTTGTTTGTGGTCATTAACCGCACTTCTGTCTCTGATAAATTGAGACTCCAAAGCACTGCGCGTGTTGATGTTGATGGCCTGCCCGATATGGCCACCCTGATATTCGTATTCAAACCTGCAATCGACTATGTGTATGCCTTCGTAGTGTCCATTGAAACGCCCATCCATAATCTCGACAAGAGTCTCTACGCTAATGCGAGGAAGATGGTCGTCCGTTTTGTCGTCGTAATAATGGCAAATGCCGCTTCTCTCGAGGTTAGATTTGAAAGTTGGGGACTTGACGGTACTTGAACTGTCTTTTTCGTTCAAAGAAGTTGGCTGCGGGTCATCGTATACCTGTGATGCCTCTTTTTGAGAAGCAAACATCGAATGAATCCTTCTTAGCTTGCCCTTCGAGGCATGGCTAGCTGTAAAAGTGTCCTTTTTGATTCCATGGTACTGGCCCCTGGATATCTTCATACGAGCAAACACAGCGTTGTTATTGTTGTCTTCTCTTTTCGAAGTTGCGAGAGAAGCTGAGGTCCCCAGGAAACTATACTGGCTCGATTTGGACACTGTTTTCCGAGATAACTCGGCACTGAATGAATTTCTGAATGGAGAGTGATTCTGCTGTTCCGAAAACTGTCCTACCACGGGTGAAATGCAGTCCCTGTCTTCCAAGTCGTCATCTGCAGATAGAACGGACTCTGCAGAGCTCATACTGAGCAATGGAGCTCCAAGCTCTAAACCTGGATTTGTCGAGGAAATAGCTTTTGCTGTTTTGGAAGACGATTCAATAGATTCACCAGCATTGGCGCTGCTGGGCTTTTCAGTCTTCTCGTGATTGTCGTGCTTGTCGTGCTTGTCGTGCTTGTCGTGCTTGTCGTGCTTGTCGTGCTTGTCGTGCTTGCGACTAATGCCCTTCAATAATTTGATATTTTTGAGAAAGCTACCACCTTCGTAGAAGCTGAGTACCAGGTCAGGCTTCTTGGCCTTGTTGGACAATCCTCTGAGACTGCTCATACCTCGAAGAAGCCTTGACCTTGAGACCTTCACTGACCTAAGTCTTCGAGTTGTATGTGTCAAACCTCTTTGTATACCTTTAGCTTATTTAGCCTGTTGAGCACTACAAACGGCAGATCCTCTAAGAAATGTCAGTTTTAGCTGAAGTTAGCACAACTCTTGAACGCTGGCGATTTCGAAGCATGATAGCATTGAGTTTTTATTTGTATAATTGCCGAATATAAACTGTGCGCTTGTACCCGATTTCTGGGATGCCATTGAGTGTAAAGTCGTGGCGACAGCATTAAAAATACAGTAAAACGACATTTCAATTAAAATTATGATTTGTCGCAAGAGTTCTCGACAGCCTGAATAAAGTTACACCTCTATTTCTCAGTAGCAGAGGTATGAATTCACCTTGGGAAACCACAGTTCATGTTTGAATTAAATTTGGGCAGGAAAATGATTACCGTTACCACTCCGATCCCGCGACCGAACGAGAAGAGTATTTAGAGGGTCTGTAATGCAGACCACATCACTATTTGACTAACTTCAAGTCCCAGACACAAAGTGCGTCAGCTCTGCCATATCGAATGGTGAGCTCTCGACGTCACTATAATATATAGTGATCTGCATCAGACTTATCGCATCACGTAATTTTGATACGGAGCCACAGATGCTAAAGATCGCCCATACAGGGTCTTATAGCTCATGAAGCTCGACGAAGTACAGCTTGTCTTCTATTGGGATGAGTTGGGTACGAACCTTAGGCATGTTTTGGATGATTTGATGATTTCAAAAATTTAACAACAACGCCGGCACATGTGGCGTGTGCGAGCTAGATTCCGAGCTGGCGTCAGTGGCTCAAAGCAGGCATCATCGCGTCAATTTGCTACCAGTTAGCTTTCGGCAAATTTGAGATATCTGCGGATATCTTCAGCTGAATAGGTATTTCGGTATGAAGTTCTCGAGTCCTTAGCTTCAACTCCGTCCATCTTCTTAGGCGACTGTAAATATTTCGTAATGTTCAAGGTGCCTTGCGAGGCAAGTATATTCGTGTTTGCCGGAACAGGCGAAAAACGTTCTGAATTAGAACTTCGAATTTTATCATGTGGGGAATCTTTCTCCGGTGTATTTTGTGTTCTGATTAAGTTCTTGAGCGGAGTGTCTATTTTGATCGGCGACAGGCTTGTGTCACTCATTGGGGGTTCAGGAGTTGACTGTAATTGTAGTTGGCTGGTTTGAAGAAAGCTTCCAGATGGACTGACCTCCTGAAATTGTGGGTGTTCCTTTTCACCTATCTCTGTAATGGACGCATTTGTCGTAGACTTGGCACCACTCACAAAGTCTGGAACAAGAATCGGTTCGTCGAAGGAGTCTTCTTTGGAAGAGAGGTCTGAATCAATTTCTTCAAACATAGTATTGGGCATAGACTCCCATTGATTATTTTGGTAGCCTTCATCGACTTTCTTATTAATTTTTCCCTTCAAGTTTAGCTTTCTGAACTTGGATACGAAGCGTTTCAACCCTTTCTCTTTCTTATGGTTATGCAGTATTCTGAAGAGGTCTTGAACAGTCAACCTCTTCACCGGATTTTTCTCCAAAAGCTTCGAGACAACCAAGTCATGTATCCAGTCGTTGGAATGTGGTATCGTATCCCTTACAATTTTTTGGAAAGTCTCGAACTCGTTTTCACCGCTAAATGGAAGCACATTTTCTAGTAAACAGTAAATGGTAACACCTAAAGACCAAATGTCCAGCTGGAACCCATTGATAACCAGGTCCTTTTCGTTAAAGTTGCACAACTCAGGAGCCGTGAAAGCTGGCGTTCCAGCGATCTTGCGAACTTCTTCTTGGTATGCTACTGTCATCTGATTCTCGCGGAAAGGAAGCTCAGTTGGTATCATTAAAGAGCTTCCAAAGTCCGCGATCATGATATTGGCCGTCGCGCCATCTACCAAAATGTTTGAGGGCTTGATATCCCTGTGCACGCAGCCTTTTTCGGATAAATACATTAAACCCTTGCACAAGCTGTTTAAGACGTATTCTGCGAGCTCTTCTGCATTTGTTTTGCGTCGTAAGAGGTAGTCCCATTGATCTATAGAATCTTGCTTAGAGCGCCGCTTCCATCTCAGTTCTCCCAATGTGGCCCACGGCGACACTACCCATATATCTGGACTTTGAGGAGAATCTAGACATGCCGCAACGCTCAAGATATTGCTATGTTTCAAACGACAGGTCACGAATACTTCCCATCGTATCTTATGAATATTCATCTCTAAAACTGCCTCGTCACTGCTATCAATTTTCCTGCCCAAAGATTGCTGACGCCGTATGTGTCGCATTACCTGGTTCATGGAATATTGCTGAGGGTTTTTAGGTCTTTTGGAGATGCATTTAACAGCTACGCTATCACCGTTGGACGCTTGTGCCATATAGGCATCTCCATACTGGCCTCTACCGATCCTTCTGACTAAAGTGTATTGGCCAAATGTCTTTCTGTCCTTGGATCTTTCGGTGTACGTAACCAGTGGTCGTAGCTCTCTCTCTATGTCTCTTTGATTAAGCTCGATGATGTGATGATAAGACTTGATCTTTGTTGCTTCGTTGCTAGCGTTCTTCTCATGTTGAGCTTTATGGCCATCGGTTAGTTGATTGAAGCTAACCAATGTGGGTAACGATGATTTGGTCAGATTTTTAGACAGCCATCGGCTCTCGTCCATGTTATCCTGGAATTATCGCTATCTTAGGGTCTCGGGCCAAAATAAAGTCGTAGTTTGTTCAAAAACAATGATAATTAGTGAATCGTGAATGTGATTCTAAAATTAAAGAAAAACGCCCGAACGAGATGGTGAAACGCTTAAGGCAACACGTCCATGATTGAATTTTGTAGGTGTGAATTGAATTAAGGTAGATACTTTTCTAATCTATATCTAGGGAATTACTGGGTGGGTCTAGAAATCGCCATGTTTCTTATGAGTCTTGAGGTGCTGTGACAAGTTGTCGCTTCTGCTGAACTTTTTGTCACAGTATGAGCAATGGAAGGGTCGTTCGGTAGAGTGAACAGATCGTATGTGCCTTTTTAGATGTTCGCTTCTACGGAAAGCCTTGGTGCATTCTTGACACTTAAACGGTTTTTCGTCTTCGTCAAACGGCGATGAGGACTTGCTGTTGCGCGTAACCTTGGAAAAAGACTGCCGTTTTCTAGGTTTTCCTGAATTTTGGTTGTTGTTGTAATGAATAGCGTTCTGGCCTGGGTAGGATGAGGATGGGGGAGAAGTGGTTGTAGGTTGATGAAATGAATTTGAGAGGCCCGACGTATTTGATTTGGTGGAGAGTCCAGAAATATCAAGCAATGGGCTTTGGTTATTCATAAGCAAGTTGGGATGTACAAACTTAGCATCATGGGATGTCAAAGTTGGCTTGAGATTGTGAGAAAGAAAGTCCGCCGACAAATCCAAATGAGCTGATTGCACTCGCGTCACATCGTCATCTTCTTCATCCAAAGCTTCCTCTCTCATCTCATTGTTTTCGTCGTTCGCAGATCTGAGCTGAATTTCGCCATCCGTATTTCGGGTCATGCTATTATCGCTTGCCGCTTGTGTATCTCTGTCTCCACTTTCGTCATCTTCATCGTCCGACATTATTGCGTTCTCCCACGATAGGCTCGTAAGTTTAGGTCTTGGTGCCTTAATATCACCATATAGCTTGGCTATCAGATCCAGGTTGTTGCCGTCCACCAGGGACATGGAAGCACGTTGTTTTTGAACACGGTGCTGAGATTCTGAAACTGACGGTCTCCGCGCATTGCTCATGCTATTCAAAGATCCAGTCCTTGTTTTGGTTGGCTTGGCCGCAGAGTAGTTGAGGTTGTAGTCATCCAGAAGCTTGGTGAGCTCGTTGTCTATCTTGAATGGTGACGTGGAAAGACTGCCAGGTCTTAAAGATTCTGATCTTTTTTCGGTACTTGCCGGCCGAACAGTGGTTGTTGAAGAAGGTAAAATACCACCAAAAGACCGATGCGACTTTTGGCTGGGCATCGTGGTCGACGTTGAGCTTGGTAAGTTCCAAGCATCTGTATTATAGGAAATGGAGTTTCTATGTTGTAGTTCCGGTCTTGAAACATGACGAGACGATGCAAGCTCGCTCATTCTTCGCTGGAAGGAAAATTCGTCGAAAAGTGAGGCAGAATCGTCATCCGGATAATTATCAGGCGGAGAATTGCGGTCCAAGGAATAACCAGAGTCGACATATTGAGAATTTGCGTTGCTGAGTAGGTTAGGATTGATGCAAGGCTGTGGTTGAGAATGTGAGTGTGTTGACGGAGATAATGGTGTATTGCGGGTGTAAGGGCTTTCGTAAGACTTCAAGTTGAAGGCTCCATTTTTGTCCAGTGAGCGGGAGAGAGTTTCGAGCGGGTCTTCTTCAGGCGCGAGCAGCGTAGAATCCTGTATAATTCCCTGTGGTGAGAGTCCTGAGGAATTTGAGACCGAATTCGAATTCGAGTTCGATGTTTGCGCGAGAAGCTGGGTATCCGTCGGCAGCCGAGCTTCGGAGGAGTCTGTAAGCTGCAAAACGCTGTGGAGCGCGGCATGGTCGTCGAGCATGGCTAGAAGATCCGTCACTGCTGTGGGACTGGCCTGCTTGTGGGTATGGGTTGGTTTAACGAAGGAGTTGGGAACCGATACCGGGGCTTCACCCGAAGCGGTTCCGTCCAGCTCCAATACGGAGCTGTTGGAGCCACCAACGGCATTTGAACTCGAGTTTTTCAAGCAGTCGCTGCTGATGCTGGTGTTGCTGCTGCTTTCCACGGTGTCGTGCAACCCTAGCCTGTGTCCGCTGCGAATGTCCAGTGAGTTATTCGAATACCTTCCCAGCCTATCGTGCAAGTCTTGCTGGGTCATGAATATGGTGGCTGGGGCTGAACAGAAGATATCTAGTAGCGGTGTGGGACGTGTGGGATGTTGTAGTGATTAGCAATGACAAACAAAAAAGTGCGCAACGTGTAAAAACGAAGCTAATAAACCGAGAATATTCCTGTTTAGAAGCTCTCTGGTACTTTTTATATCGCGTGTTGAGTGCAAGAGCTTTCCCTACGCTGAGAATGACTCTCAACGAACCTTTAGTCTATGTCTATGTCTAGTTTGGTTGTCCGGTCGTTAGGCTCGAAACCTTATAAATAAGATTATAATTTATATGTATTATCTGTCAAAATGACCGAGATAAATGTAAAAGCTTGGTTAACTCAACTCGATGGCCGGAGTATAAGTACAGCTGGCAGTTGGCCTTTCTGAGCTCTTTTGAATACTTAAGATTTCAAGATGTTAATGTTTGCAATGTAGATTATATGGCTAACTGACTCGAGTGTTGTCTTGATGAAGCCACGACGTTGTATGTTGTGTCAGGACACCTTTAACATGTGATTGGGCATTTGAGCCAGTGACTAACACAAGTAGCTTGTACGTTTTTAGGTGACATTTGAGACTAGAATGTGAAGAGTACATTGGAGTTTATTGGTGTCGCCACAACGAGGAAATGTGGGGACTGTTGGACAATCTGAACAGTTGTAAGAATACTAGAAATAATTACGAGTAGGTTGGTAAAACAGATACGATTTACGTTCTAGTGTTTTTCATAAATGGCAGGTGTAGAAGTGTGGCAAGTCAGCCTTTGACTTTGACTTTTCACAGAGATGGCTGGTGATTGTAGCGGTCTAAACGTTTAGGGCCGGCTGAGCAGAAGAGAGTAGAGAGAGCTGAAAGTCAAGCACCGACCATATCCACGTGACTCGGACTAGGATGTGGTCGAGATGGTTAGTGGATGGGTTGTTCGTCGTATCACAGTCTTGGTCGCTTTTCATCGCAGCTTTTCGCTTAAGGTGCCAGAAAGCCTCGATTTCGCGAGTTTGGCGAAGTCGGAAAAAACACTAATATGGCTAAGCGTGGGGAGGCTTTAAAGTTGTGTTTGGGTGTTAGAGGCTGCTCGTTAAGGCACCCAGTGGGCTGTGAGTTGGTGTGGAAGACCTTCAGAGTTTAGAGGTTGGCGAGTTTAGGCAAGTGTAGATCACTTTGTACTTTCCCGGCATGTGTCACGTGATCCCTCGGCGAAAAGAAGAACAGGCCTGTGGGGAGGCTATCCGAGGTTGAGGGAAGAATGCGTAGTAGTGGTCTGCTTGTGTTGAGCAGGAGGTGTAGCTGTAGCTGTATGATTCTGAAATCTCAACGTCAAAGCCGCACAGTTACGAACTCTGAAAGATGGATTGGCAGATTATGACATTAATTACGAGAATAAAAAAAATCCGATGAAATTGATTTCTGGACACCGGTTTTTTGTTCTTGAACCAGTATTGGAATTGCCGATTAGCGATCGTGGAGGTTCTGAATGTTGTGCGGAGATTACAACTTGAGAGTCCCAACTTGGTTTGATTTTCGTGGAAAAAAATGTCCCCACACGGAGCAGGACAGGCCTAACTCTGCCTTGCAAAGTGCACGGCAGCAGCGAAGAACTTTTTTCTTGCTAAATCGCGGCATATGTAGAAAACTGGTGCTTTAGCTCGCTTCAGAGACTCCAGCCGGAGTAATTTATCACTTTGTACTTATATGGCATCAGTGTCACGTGATAAACATTGGAACTAGTCCACTGATGGTGCCCCGATTGGCTTATAAGGGGCGTCCCATGGCACTGAATCCCGAGATACAGTCGAGTTTCTTCATCGTGTTTGCTTCGTTTCAGTTGAATTATCGTTAATTATATTTTGTTCGCCGTTATCAGAACTTTGCGAATTTCTGTAACACTGTTTCCCGCCTCTTGACGGTTGGGCATCCTAACTTTTAATTCAATATATCCAACCAAATATTGAGGATCACCAAACACAGCCCTTTTGCAAAGTGCGGTTGATTTTGACACAATTAGAATTAGTTTTCTCGCCCAATCGTGTCGAATAAACCCACATGCTCATAAAAACAGTTTTATTTACATCAAATAGCTATCTGATATGCTCCCACTCGAGAATACTCTCTAAAAGTGGTTCTTCTCGCTGTTCACCCCGTTGTACTGGTTTTTATCTCGTTTATCTGTCGTTCTTTGTCACATGACCTCTTTTCTGCCTACAATAATAATTAATAAATATCATGACATACGAGAACGTTGCTATCTTTTATATAATAAACATCGAGAACTCGCGAAGTTGGATATCCAATGGCACATCTCGCCTTCTCCAGCATCAACCCTGAAGCTTGTGCTCGCACCGAAAACACGTACTTTACGTCTAGATGCAAGGAGGAATCAGACGTAAAAATGATCTGCTGCCCAGATACCGGGCACAGAGCGGTGGAAATGGCAAGAACTCGTTCCTGACCACGCCTATGAAAAAGGCCATTATCTACTTGATCATGCTAGCAGCAGTGTTTTTCGCAGTACAAACACTTGTTGCGGAGAGCAAGGCGCCACAAGTGAGCTATGAACTGGAAGATTCGGGGAAAAACACCGACTTAGCCGGAAAAACAAACGAGAAGGGTGGTCTTCTGGACGCGGCACAAAAACTGGCGTCTTCAGAAGCTCAAAACGCTCAGAACAAGCCACAGTCAGGCGTAAAAGTGCCGAAAGAGAAGTTCAACAACGAAGTCGCCATGCAACAGGAGGTGAAAAATCTCGAAGAGCACGAACAGGAATACCAAAAGTCGAAAAACCCAGCTTCCAAGGACAGCAAGCAAGGCGTCGGCAGCGACGTCAAGGCCGATAAACAGCAACCAGGGTACCTGAATGAAGCTCCTGTGGACGAGCAGGCAAAGAAAATCAACGACAAGGCGCCTTACAAGAAGACTGACGCCTCCAAGCAAGTCGACAATTCGAAATCCGGCAAAAAAGTGGTCAACAAAGCAGCAGCCACCGCAGACGAAACCAAGTAGTGCGAGACACACCTGGTGCGATAGTCACATATTCGAGTTGGTCTTCATAAGCTGCCCGATGCTCGTTACATCACGGACGTCACCTACACTCAGAACACTAATTTTGTTATTATAGTATGTATGTGGATCATTTATAGGATTCCCCAGCAATTACAGCTAAAGCTATTAGTGTGGTTTTTTTATTTGAAGCTACAACCGTTATCACTTGGTAATATTACGCTTCAGGGCGTCTTGCCGCTCTTGCCACACGGTCTTCCCACTGCAGGCACAAACTTGCTTGTCGTTCTGCCACACACCTGCGCTGCGGGCAATGACACCACAGATTTCAGTGCTTGTTCCAGGTTCATGGTTCGAGTCGGTGGTGACCATAAAGCTGCGTCCTACTAGCTCCCAGATTTGAAATGGCGTGCTCAAAAAGGCCTGTCCGCTGTATAAGTTGTCCCCCAAGTCGCTCTTTGAGTTGCATTTTATGGGCACAGGAAACTCGTAAAAGCTGGCCCCAGCAGATTTGGCGCCGTTCGAGATATCCCCGCTCTTCCTGATGGACGCGTAGTAGTTTCCCGGCTGGTGAAGTCCGTTCAACGTAATGTCAAACCATGTCTTGGTTGACCCTATACTGACTATACGAGCCAATCCTCTAACTGGGGTGTCGTTTGCATCTATAGGCCCGAATGTCTCCAGAATTGACACCGCAGCGCTATCAGCTTTTCCAGTTCCTCTGATGATGGCGTCCCTTCCACACTCCTGCAGTCTGGAAATTATAACAGATGGTGCGACAGCACCAGACACTGCAACCAGTTTCTCTGGAACGTGAAAGTCAAGTTTGAGATTTGGAATTGACGAGAGACAAGATTCGATGTCTTTGACACAGCTGTCACAATGCATGTCAACGGCATAGGTAGCCTCAAAGTTCTCCTCTGGACTGGGCACTGTCATTGCTAAATAAGTAGCTCGAATAAGAAGATTTCAAACGTCTCGTAACAGACCAACCGGCTTGGCCTTAAAAGATGGTATGGTTTGAATTGTATGGTTTGGATTGTATGGTTTGGATTGTATGGTTTTGATGAATATTATTCTTATATCCAAGAGATGGCCGATGATCCAGGGAACAATGACTTACAAATACCCATAAACGTGACTGGAGAGCTAAAAGACAAAATACGTCCAACGAGCAAGCGGCACATCTCTTGAAAGCTACTTAAGAGGTCTATACGATTTTTGAGTTCATCAGAAGCCAAAACGCTTTTTGGTGTAAAAGTAGGCGATGTAGGCGAACACTAGCATCGACGTGGTGATGCAGGTAAACCAGGTGAGAGAGTGGTTTTCTTGACCAGGCACCAGAACATTCATACCCCAGAGCCCTGTAATGATATTCATGGGCAATACTACCGTACCCAATATCGTAATCTTGCCCAAAACGTCATTCATGTCATTGTTAACTTTAGTCATGTCAATGTTGATTTGAGCCAGGTAATTAGAATGTGAACGACTTAGCAGCTTTTCGTAGTGGTTCAGAGACGAAACCATGGTCACAATATGGTCCTGAATGTCACCCAGATACATTCCGATCTCTGACCGGGGTGCGACCTCCCACTGTTCGTTACACCGTTTTGAAAATCCTTTAATGACATCTGCTTTAGATCCCAGCAGGCGCACAATACTCATGACTCGCTTTCTGCATTCACCGATACGTCTCAACATGTCGCCTTTACGCTTCCATCCAATGATGTTGGTGTCGATGCTGGAGCTCGAACTGGACGAGCGTGTCGATCTGGTTCTTGTCGAGAACGTTGCGTTATCGCCCACGGCACTTCCTCTTCTAGGGTAGCGCTCGATGGCAGAGTAATGGCGGCCGTAGCTTTCGTCCTCTGAAGAATCTTCGTCGTCCTCTGAAGAATCGCCGGATTGGTGCATGTTTAGAATAGACTCCTCGATGTCGTGCACTTCGTCCTCGATTATTTCTATCATTGGTGCAAAAGCATCGGTGATATCGTCAATCAGCGCGTACGCAATCCAGTCAGCAGTCACATTCAAGTAGTCCTTCAACAATCTCGCCCTGCGCCTCACATTGATGGGGTGAGGTGTTGGCGCAAAATGGAATGTCAACACACCGGTGCGGAACACAATAATGTAAACGTTCAAAGGCTCCAGCTCACCACCCCGTGGTTTCCTCCTGTCCCCAGACTTACGTTTGTACTTCTCGTTCTCCTCTATCTCTCTCCTCGCTTTGCTTCTGTAGCTGGAACTCGAGCTCGACGTTGTTTTGTTGGTCGAGGACCGCCTGCGCGACCGGAACAGCTTTGACAACCACCCCTTAGAGCTTTCGGGGTGATCATTGTCTGGAGAGTTGTAGGTACTTGTCTCCTGTTGTTGCATTTTCTTGTTACGGGTATGGCGCTCAGCAACGATATCGAAGCTTCGAAAACAAACAAGATAATAGTCCTTGAATAGCTCGACTTTTTCGCGCACTTCACCAAGGAAGATATCCTCCGTCGTTAAAGGATGGATACCGAACGCCTTACTCAAAACCTTCATCTCTTCCTCAGTCGGATTGGAAACGTCTAGCCAAAAAGGTTCACAGTCATACATGTCCAAGCTTCCAGACTGCGTTGTAGTTAAGCGCTGCAAAGGCGTCTGTTGCTGCTGCGGAGTATTGTTTTTCGTCTCGCCAGGAGTATTGCTGGTATTGTTATTTTCGCTATTGCTGCCATTGCTGCTATTTCCTGAATAAGCTGAGGCGACGAAAAGCTCTTCGAACTTTTGCCCAGGCTGCAGTAAACCCGAAATGGTGGGCGAATGAATCGTAGAGTCCAGATCCTCCCTGAAATACGTAAACCGGAAATGTTCTGGGTTGTTGGAGACAATGTGAGGTGGGTACTGAACCCTATTTCCTACCAAATATTCCTCTTGATGTTTCTGTTCGTTTTTGGTCACCAAACTGACGTTTTTCGCATCTGTTTGCCCTGAAAACCCCGGTATGTTATTCCCCTTGCGGCGCAAATGCCACGGAGTAATCTTTTTTGGCCTCAAACGTCCTGCCTCCATGTGCTCTGCTTCATTAATTCTTGTGTTACCTAGTTCAGGAACGTCGATGTTGGTGACAATGGGCTTCGAAAACAGCACACCATCGTTATTTTGGCTGTCTTCGTACTCGTCGTCTTCGTCGTCATACTGGAAATGAAAGTTTTCGGCGTCCTGAACAGCCTGACTCCTGAGCCTGTCCGTTTCTGCTTTTGAATACTCTTCCAGAACAGCAACATCGGGCCATACCTTGGTGCCTGCGACATCTTCGTCATCGAGAGGCAAGCACACATCATTGATGGACGAGCTGGCGGAGCTGCGCCTGGACAAAGGCCTCGAATGATAGCCCTCCTCGGATGGGTTCACAGACGACGACTTTGTCGAAGAATGGCTGTTATTCGAGCGAATCACGTGATCCATGAGCGCATCCACATCGATCACAACGTCGTCGCCTCTTGAGTGTGCGTCTGGTTTTTCGTAATGTTTGGAAGCGTATTTCGCCCACCGTTCAGCATCCTGGGGCGAGAGCAGAGGCGTTTCTGACTTGCTGGACTTTTTCTTGCTTGACACGTTTGACACATTTTGAGCGCTGCTACTAACGGGTCCATGTTGGTTACCACGGGAAACGCTTGCTCTCCGGGGTTTCCGTACGCTGCTAGAAGAATTGATTGCCTCCATGACGGCGATAGATGGCCTGTGATCGAAATACGACTGCGGATGGTGAAGTGATGCGAGATTCACGTCCGAAGACCCCCTGGTGTTGGAAGTTTCTTCATCTGTGCCTTCGTGTAGAATGCCCCACGAGTCCGTCTTGTCAAAATCATTTGCCGACGACAGAGGACGTTCCTGAGGCTCATGTAGCGCCACATGCGATGAATCTGATGCGACTACGCTTCCGGGTCCCTTGAAAGCTGACTTTCTTTTGCGTCTTCTGGGGTTTTTTTTGGTTTTGGGCCTTGAATCTCCTGCATTGTTGCCCAACAGTGGAGCGCTTTCGAGCTCCTTAGGATCCACCATGACGGAGTAATCGAGTTGGATTTCAACAGAAGCTTTGGTATCCGGCTAGGATATTCAAGTAGCCAGTGTGTGTTGGGAGATGCAGAGCTTAAACAAGTTTGAGCTGGTGAGAGGAAAGCTGATAGAGAGACCTTTTGCTTGTTAAATTTAAGAAATTGCAGTCCTTCGTTAAAAACGACATCAACGGAAATTGAGGCAAATCAAATATGGCGATTTGAGGCAGTTCAAGATGCTCTGAAGGTCGTTAATCATGGTCTTGGAATGTTTTACTACGTGGTTTGCTTTTACTCTTCTATTGGCGAATTGGTTTTATATTGAAATATACATTTTGGCGATATTTTGAATGCGGCACAATTAAATATCACAGGTGTGAAATATTTACTGTCCATAGTACTTCTTAGAGCGTTAACCTCATTAGAAATCTGGCTTACAACGGAAATATGAGTGACGTGCATATCCTGGTAAATTCTCATTGAGACCTATGTCGTTATTTGGCCGCGTTTTTTTTTGACACTAGCGAAATTGATTAATCCGTAGTAATTCGTTGTCGCTCGCATTCTGGCATCCAGCTTCCAGCTATACACATAGCTACATTCGGGACGCTAGAGTGTTGATATAAACACCATTAAGCTCTCTTGAGTCCCAAGGACGTATTTAAAATTCTCACCTTTTGAGAAATGATACTCTGAAATCTTTTCGACCTTACATATTTGAGCAGAGGACTTCTTGGAAAATGTGTCATCAGTGATTTTGCAAGATGTAAGATCTTCATCGGGGACGGTTATTGCGTCACAATATGCTATGCGCATCTCACAAATGGTAACATAAGGATTGAAGGTTAAACGCCGTCGTTACGATATTTAATGGCGTAGATTGAGAATTTCAGTTCTCTCGGAGCGGACGCAAAAGCCTTTTCTCACTGACATTTGCACGCCAGTTTCAGCTGTTGCGATTGATTCAGGTATAAACACCAGGAATAGCTGGCATTTTCAACGCATGAGATAAGTACGATTGTATAATGCAGCGTAGTGCAGTATTCTATTTTCTGTACAGATGCAGTATCTATATGACGATTTGTGTGACGCTTATCCACAGTTATTAGAGTTCAAATGGAAACAAAGCATACTAAAAAAAGTCCAAACTCGGCATTGATGAAAGCGTCTAGCTTTTCAGCTGCAAAACTCATCTGTTCTCTCTTTTTTTCTGAGATGCCTGCCCTCACAGTATCCTCGACCTGATTCACACAGACCGCTCATGACTCCTCACTTATGTTTCCGTCCGTATGGTCCTGGACAGCCGCTCCTTCACCGTTATTGTCGTCGTCATCATCGTCATCATCATCTTTGTTGAATTCTGATTCCAACGCCAGGGCAAAGTCCTCGTCGCTCGAGTCCAGGCCGGAGTCGTTTTCGGGTTTCACCGGGGGAGTCAGTTTATGCAAATGATCGTCTAGTCTTGGATTACTAGCCTGTACAGGAATATGTACATCGTCCAGCCTAGGATTGTTAGTTACCTCGCGCTTTGTGGGTTTGCTTTTCGTGGCTGAGCTCTGTAGGGAAGCCAGTTGCGCTCCACCTGGAATCACCAGTTGAGCATTGGACTCCAGTTCGTCATTTCTGCGTCTTTTCTCGTCCGGCTGGGCCTGTGGTGGAGCTGGTTCCTTCCGCTTGCGTTCTTTTCTCACTTTTGGCTTTTCTGCTGTCCTCTCGGACTTCTTCGCCGATTTCGCGGCACGGGTCTCTTTCTCGTGAGGCTCTACATCTACACTTGTTTCCTCGCTGTCTGAAAGTACATTGACAGTTTTGGTTCTCGGCCTTTTCGAGCCGAATCTGCGCAAGGCATCGTCAATATTCTGTCGATGCTTTAAAAGTTCATCATAAACTTCTTCCGTTAGAGAAATACCCTTTTTCCCGGGTTTCATTTCGCCTGATGCTCCATCGGCGTAGTACTCACGGATATCGATCAGGTTTATGTTTCTGAACTGACGAACCGTTACTCTCTTATTTTTGCCCAATTCGAAGACTGCATCGGGCTCATCCATTCCTCCACCCAAATCGCTCTGAGACGTTGGGTTTCGTTGGCCTCTGTACCTGTTGTAGTACGACATAAACTTTGGGTATCGCAACTGAGCACAGTGCAAGTTTGAGAAGTCGGTTTTACGATGTGAAGAGTCTTTTCACAAGATGCTTAAAATCACCAAATAAGATAGTCTGATCCAGAATAGCTATAAACGTGGTGTTTGACACTTATAAAAGATAATCGTCTCGAGAAGGAACATCAGAATACAAGCAATACAAAGCGATACAAACGATGCTCAACGGTGCTGTCAATGAAGTCGTGAAGGGGACTTCCATTGTCAACTTGCCGGCCCTGATTCTAGGAGGTGCAACGCTCAACACACAGTATAATGACAACCCGAAATCGATTCCACTTATAGAGATGATACGATACGCTTTCCAAAACGGAATCAGAGCCATTGATACTTCTCCTTACTACGGAGAGAGCGAGATTCTATACGGGAAAGCCTTGGAGTACCTCAGGGCTGAGTATCCCAGAGAACACTACTTCATATGTTCCAAAGCAGGCAGAATAAAACTAGACGAGTTCGACTACTCGAGATCCAGTATTAGAAAGAGCGTGTTGAGATCTTGCGAAAGGCTTAAAACAGACTACATTGACGTGATGTTTCTGCACGATGTGGAGTTTATCGAAACAAAGCAGGTGCTGGAGGCCCTCAAAGAGCTACGGAAGCTCAAAGACGAAGGTGTTATCCACAACTTTGGGATCAGTGGCTATCCTGTCGATTTTTTGCTCACCGTTGCTTTGAAAAGCTGTGAAATGGTGGATATCGGTCCTCTTGACGTGGTGCTGTCGTATGCTAACCTGAACTTACAAAACATGACGTTGAACAATTACTACTCTCGGTTTAAGCACGATGCGGGGGTGAAAGTTGTGGAAAACGGATCCATCTTGAGTATGTCTTTGTTGCGGACTCAGGAAACGAAGTCGTTTCACCCGTGTTCTGCCAAGCTTCGCACACTCGCTTGCAAAGCAGCTGAATACACTGCTTCTCAGGGCGAGGATTTGGCTCTGCTGGCCACAAGATTTGCCATCAGTAAATGGGTGCACAAAGGCCCCACCGTTCTTGGCGTCAGCAGCGTTCAGGAGTTGCGGGCAGCGCTAGAGAGTTACTGGGACGTCATGAACATTAAGGACCAAGATCTAAGTGTGAGTGACGCAGGACTTGTGGCTCACATTCAACAGTCAATTTTCGGCAACTGCATGAACGAGACGTGGGTGTCTGGAATTGAACACTGATGCACACAAGTATTCACGTTGCGAAGTATTTCAAGTATATAATATAGTACTAGAGTATACGTAAAACCTAAAGGAATTTGTGCTGTGAAGAGCGGCCTGAATACCAGGCTCAGTTGCTCTTTTTTTCGTGGGATGATGCCTTCTTGTCCGATTTAGAAATAACGGTTTTGTCGAAATGAGCCTCGAGATTGGCCTTTTGCTTGCGCAAGGCCTTGATAGACGACGTTTTCTCTTTTAGTTCCTTTCTGAGTTTGGCGATCTCGTCGTCAGCAGCCAGCTTCTTGGAGTCGGCACCAGATTCGACTTTAGGGCCGGACTTTTCGCGGATCAGAGTCTCGTATTTGACCAATCTTCTCACCACGCTGATCACCGTGGGAATGCAGAAGGCGAAATAGAGTATGAAGCCTGAAATGTAGATATTTCTCTGGTTATAGGCCCTGGAGGCCAATGCTTGCACCGGGGTAACGTTCCCCACTGCGTTGGGGTCCGCACCAGACGTGAACTGGTGGTGGTGCAAAAATACCGACATCTGGGATCGTTTCCACGAGTCCACGAAAAGCAGTGCCACGAGCCCCGCCACGATCGCTATGACTGTCTTGACTTGCGTGTAGCTCATTATACGGTAATAGCTAGTTACCATCATCTTGCGGATCTTGTAATGGAGCGGCAGCACGAGCATGAACAGACATGCCATTTCAAAAGTGAGCAAAGCAAACAAAACGCTCAAATAGACACTCATTATGATGCGTGGAAAGGGAATTCAGTTGACTGGTAATAATCTCACAGACTCGAACTATGAAACTAAGATAATCTGGAAACGCTAGGTGTTCACTTTGAGCCCAACTTTTCGGGTAGGTTTGGTATCGAAACATATCCAAGGGAGAGTTTTTGGCATTTTTACTGTAGGTTAGCAAGAACCCGACAGAAGGTCGTGTAGAGTGCGAGCCCCAGCCAAAAAAAATTATGGTTGCTAAGAGATTCGAACTCTTGCATCTTACGATACCTGAGTATTCAACTGTGTAACAGCGTTAAGAAGCGAACTTCTTGAATCAGGCGCCTTAGACCGCTCGGCCAAACAACCAATTTGTGAAATATTAAAAAGATGAAGAAAGCTATACAATAAAGATAAAATCAGCTGATCTGAAAATAGGTTCTGAGTCATCTGATGGTCACGTGCACCATGAGTACTAATTTTTCCAGTCTCGTCTCGAGTACTTTTGGGCCACTCTACGATAATAGTTGAGATCATCGTCTCCGCTACTGATGTCAACTTTGACTCCAGGCATCGCGACCATAAAGAGGACTCGTTCTTATCTAGTAGCTTGTAATACAGGTATGGCGGCGCCTGCTAATTTGTATCCAGGACTCAATGAAGTCAGCGACGTTTTGGAAGAAATGCCCTTGGAGGTGTCTCGTTATATGACGCTACTGCGAGAAATAGATGCCAAGTGTATACACACGGTTCCTGAGCTCAACGGGACAATAGACCACTTTTTCCAGCAACAAGAGGGACTGGAACATTTGCAACAGATCAACGGGCTTTTCCAGGAGCTGATGCCGTCGCTGGAGGAGAAAATGCACGTATCTGCGCTCGCGTACGAGTCGCTCAGCAGGCTGACAGCACGTCTGGAGCTGGCGTACGAGGTGGCCATCAAAAACACGGAAATCCCGGTCAAGCTCAGACTCGGCAACGACGACCATCCCGCCATGCATCTGCACCACGAGCTCATGGCCAAGATCGACTCCAAGACCAACAGCAAGTCGTCGCAGGCGTTAAAAAGCGAGTCTCGACGCGAAGCGATGGCTGCGCGAAAAACCGGGGGCCAGGGGTCCCAGGGATTCAGTCCCAATGTCGAGGGCGCCGCTGCAGGGCCCGGAGGCGGCGTTCTCGATGGGAGTGCAACAGGCAGTCCCGACACCTACTACGAAACGCAGGTTCCAGCTGATGGACGCAAGAGACGGGCAATGGGCGCTACGGGAGCTGCTGCTGCTGCTGCCCATAGTCACCACCACCACCATCACCAAAACAACGGTCACAACCACACCCACAATCAAAATTCCAGTCATAATAACAATCACACCCACGCCCACTCACACACTCAGCATGCGTCCCAGCAAGGTTTAACTCGTAATGGCGGTGCCGCAGGTGTCTCGGAGCTCAAGAGACGCAAACGCAAACCTAACATCAAAGAGGACTACTCCCAGAGACCCAAGACCAACGAGTACGGCGAGGCTCTCTACTGCTACTGTAATCAAGTCGCTTACGGCGAAATGGTCGGCTGTGATGGCGACAATTGCATCTTGGAATGGTTCCATCTGCCCTGCATTGGGCTCGAGACTTTGCCAAAGGGAAAGTGGTATTGCAATGATTGCAAGCGAAACCAATGATCAAGTTCAACTACTCCCAACAATTCTCACGACAAGTACGGTATGGTACGCTACGCCATGGCATGGCACGCTGGATTTCATTGGATCTGCCTTGGCTCTGTCTGTGCGTACAAAGTGACTTGAAGTTGAAATCTTTTATGAAAGACAGTAAGCTGATAAATGATATCAAAACATCACTGCAACCAGCGTGTTCACCATAGTCTATCATCGCCTGGTAGGACTCATTGACGTTTGAAATGTCACTGAACAAAGTATGTTTGTGATTGGTACAAAAAAGCGCTTCAATTGACGACTTTCTGGGACTGTTTGCTGTGGTTTTTGAGTCAAAAATGATGAGTTATGAAAGTTGCAAATGCAACGTTACTTCGATGCGTTTTTGTCGCAACTGGACTATATTCCGTACTGAGCAGCTTTCAATGGGTGTTCTAGTCGGAAACGGTGTACTTGCATCGAAATTTTGGACAAGGAGCCATTTATTTCACTCCTTCTACAAAAACTAACGGACATTTGCAGAACAACATCAGGGAATATAAAGTCGTCGTTGTTGGTGGTGGTGGTGTCGGTAAATCCGCCCTCACCATTCAACTGATCCAGTCTCATTTCGTTGACGAATACGACCCGACGATTGAGGATTCGTACCGCAAGCAAGTAGTGATTGATGACAAAGTTTCGATTTTGGATATTCTGGACACGGCTGGTCAAGAAGAATACTCGGCCATGAGAGAGCAATATATGCGCACCGGGGAGGGATTTCTTTTGGTGTACTCCGTCACGTCTCGGACTTCATTCGATGAGCTCATGACCTACTATCAACAAATCCTAAGAGTCAAAGACGCGGATTACGTGCCGGTTTTTCTAGTTGGAAACAAAAGCGATTTGGAGGACGAGCGCCAGGTATCATACGAGGAAGGTATGAGTCTGGCCAAGCAGTTCAGCGCACCTTTTCTAGAAACTTCCGCAAAACAAGCTATCAACGTAGAGGACTCTTTCTACGGCTTGGTGCGGCTGGTTAGAGACAGCGGTGGAATGTACAATCCAATCACGAACCAAGAGCTGGAGAAGAGATTTCACCAGCAACAAGGCGGCGTCCCGGGCCAAGGCCTGACCGAAACCAGCTCCGGATCCCCCGAGACAGGCGAAATTGCGAATGTCGATCAATCGCCCGCCAATGGCACCACAGAAATAATTGGAGATGCTCCTATGCGTAATACAAAGGAAGCTTCAGTTGGTGCAAACCAGGCAGGCGGCGCGCAGGGACGCGTGCAAACAAGAAATGATAGGACCAAGGCAAAGGAAAAGTCTGGCGGATGTTGCATCATAGCCTAAAAATAATATGTTTAAACTTATGCAGCTATCTAGTCCAAAATGTACGATTAGAATGTATATGGAAGGGAATCAGCAAATTTGTTGAGCTGGTGCGAGCTGGTGCGAGCTGGTGCGAGCTGATAATGGGGCGTGAAATTTCAGTCAATATGCGACTTCGTGACATAATGCAGGCTACGGATGTACTGATTTTTCCAGTTACGAGCAGTGGTGTCCCAATGCCAATGAATAAATCTGCAAATACTCTTACAAGGTAACGGTGCCAGAATCTGAAGCATCTGTTCAAGAGATTAATCGTAGTCGCTCTTTCAACAAATTTTTATATTCGTATGTGAATGCTACTTACGGCCTGTGAGTGAACGAACTTCGATCAAAATATCAACAAGATTACCAAATCTCTTGAAAGCCATCAATCTCATTTATATCAGATAGAATATATGGGACACTGTAGCCGAAGAAGCGATGTGTAGAGACTTTGAAGTCAATTACACCGCCCGTGCGTGTGCTATCCTCTTCCAGACTTGCTGGAAGAAAACGGGGCAGTATATTGTTTTTGGGATTCTCGCCTGTCTATTCTCAGCAGGCGAATCACTGCCACCAGAACCTGTTCGATATATTTGCCCTCAATTGACGAAGTGCAAGCACAGGAAATGCAGCACAAGACTACCCCCAACAAATTCAAGAAAGGCACGATCGCGACTTACTTTAGGGAATGGTTCTACCCATTGCATCCGCAGACTGACCAAAAGCACAAATTGGCCTACACATGCACAGAAGCCTGCCAAAAAGGCATTCAGCGGAAAGCTGTCACCGACCACACAAGCAAACAGAAATTGGATCACACCTCCGACGACTAGAGCCACCAGGAAACTGTCAATCAGCTGCAGACGTTGGTCTGCGCTAACTTGCTTGTAGTAGGCGTTCCAGCTGGCGGAAATCGTTTCAGAAAATTTTGAAGCTGAGCTCGCAGCTTCAGCTTTCCGTTTAGCTACTTTGCTGACCATAACGAGCGATGATTGAGTCGATTGGTACAGATATAAGGTACAGAGTTTAACTGGCTTGTTTTGCAAGGTGATATTTTTCAGTATAGGCGTGTTAAGAACTGAATAATGGTCAAGATCACGTGATACGAGTTATGAAACTTGGCTATTCTAGTTCAAGCTCACAGTGTGCGAGCAGGTTCTGATTACATGGCGTGTGAAATAAGGTCTTTCCATACCCCCATTTCTTAGTTTGTTTACGTCTATTTCCTGTTTTAAATACCTTTATTTCTTTGTTTTAGTACTTCTGCTTTTTCGGTTTTAGTATATGTAACTCTTGGAACAATGGTTCTAGCACTAGAAAATAAACTTGACAGTGAGCTGCTGTACACTAAAGCTACTGCATATTTGTAAGGTTATTCTTCGATTCAAAAATCAGACATTTTACGAGATGTGATCCAGAATCCAGTGTCAGTTGAGGAAGTAGCGTGTCTTCTCCACGGACGCAGAATCATGACTTTGGATTCACTGCTCCCCGATTTTCCCTTGTAACTCAATCAAAACTGTCACCGCGAAATAGTATGTCTGTTATTGAAATATTGCAACACCGAATCACAACCGTGGACTTTCGTGGTTATCTACTATCATTCAGAAGCTCAGAAACTCGTCATTATCACGCGAGGTAGTAATCTCCAGCCAAGTCGTCCAGTTGCCAAGGCCAGCCGTGATCGATCTTCTTGATTCTATATAGTTGACAACGTAACCTGTCGTTAGGTCACATGATAGAATCGCTCAATAATTATTCAATATACGCTTGGTATACATCTCATCGATTTCCAACTTACATGGAATCGAGCTGATCATTATAGCTTACACGAGCGTATGTTCCCAAATTGGTGCCGTGTTAGCACTGTGTGTCAAATATTCTACATTATTTCGGTCAGAGGCGAACTAAGTTAAGACCATGAATATTTCAATAATGTAATATATTTTTAAACCAGAAAAGACACTGCCCAAGATGGATCTTCTCACAATTGGGACTCCCAAGTATCTTCATTGGCCGAGAGATACTCGTTTCAGTGGTAAAATTACGCGGATTCATACCCAAATACACCCAAACACCGCATAGAAATGGGCCTCTTTAGCACATGATACGGTGATAGCTCATATAGTGACGAAATGTCTTCTCAAGATGTACTAAACTCATACATCTCACAGGTTTAAATGTAGATCTCACTCCGTCAATCAAACGCACACGTTCCACTTACGCACCAGCGTTTCGCGTATTCTTTAACGCGCCCTCAGAAGTGTCGTTAAGTATGGACACGAACGACGACGACGATCACCCGTATATCAACGAAGAAACTGAGATCGGGCACAGCACGGTCCAAGTTCGCTGCGCGCCGGCTCAACGAATAGTTCCGCCACTCAATTTCTGCCCTGTCGAAAGATATTTGTACCGGTCAGGTCAACCGTCGCCGGTCAATTTTCCGTTTTTGCTCGACTTGCAGCTTAAGACCATAATATGGCTTGCCAACGAAGAACCACAGGACACGCTATTGGAGTTTTGCGACGCGCATTCGGTACAGTTGCAGTTCGTCACGATCAACCCAGATGGTGGGGAGGACGATAATCCGTGGGACGGACTCACGGAACACAGCATTGTGACCGCTCTGCAGCTTATCGTGCAAGCTCAGAACTACCCTCTGCTGGTGTGCTGTGGAATGGGCAGACATAGAACTGGGACCGTGATTGGGTGTTTACGCCGAATCATGGGGTGGAACTTGGCGTCCGTATCTGAAGAATACCGGAGATTCACGGGTAGCAGAGGCGGCCGAATCCTGGTAGAATTGCTGATCGAGGCATTTGACACGGGTTTGGTGAAGATCAATCGCGCAGACGCGCCTCGGTGGCTCCAAAGCGTTGGCGGGATGGAGACGAAGAGATGAAAAATGGCTATTTCATGCGAGTAAGCAGGAAAACGACAAAGCGAGTGGATAAACGCGAGTACGTGGAAGTTACCGTTTAAGAATGAAACACTGCAGTATCTTTGTTGCTTACCATAGGCCTACCAAAGCCCGCTGGCTCTACAAACCGATTCCCGAATAGCTTGGAATCTTCAGCGCACGTGACCATCAGAGGACGTTCATCTTCTGATTGTATGGTCTTGTCCTCCTAGAAAAGCCATATTATCGTGATGCGCTGGAGACGTGCCATTGAACTATTAACTAGAAAAAATAGTAACAGGCTATACACCAATTCATGATACAGGCCGTTTGCTGTGTCGGCGCAACACACAATCCTGAAATCACCGTGATACATCAAGTTCAGACGCAGTAGGCTTTACGTTAACAGGGCCGTAAAATTTCTGCAAAAAAACTGTAAAGTGTGAGTTACCATCGTGTTAAGGGTTAAACTTTTTGGGCATCGCGACAGTTGAAAGCTTACAATACCAATCGGGGAGAATGCATGCACCAATAATGACAACACCGCAGATGAACTCTAGAATCATGCCAGTGATTTGAAGCTCTGAGGCGAAAATTATTTTTGAGTTTGGTGGTCGAAACCGCGCCCCCACTCATTAATAGATGGAAGTATATAGCATGAAATGATAAAATTCATTATCAGAGTACTGCCCTACATGAATGTCAAGTGCTGCACGAAACAATGTATTCGCTCGCTGATGAGCTCATAATTGAGGACGTTCACAGAGGTTGGAGACTCAAGCTTAAACAAACTAAGAGGATTATGGATATATTGATCATTTTGCCTTCCATACCCGTCATATTTAGCTTAGATTCAATTTCTGATATTTATCATTGACAGACTGTGTTCTGAAGACGTTGATGATTAGTTCCATTGACTATTTCACTTTTTCACTGGCTACAATAATCAATGTGTGATTGATCAGGCCAGTCAAGATTTCCAAAAGCTGGATCGGGTGACAGGATTATTTCCTGACAAGAGAGTCAACTACGTCAACCTATAAAATTTTGAACGCCAAGCAAAAACCTTAGGCTTTGTTTGCGGGAGAAACAATACTATCTGAAGTTAATTTTATTGTCAACTGGCGTTCATATTGTCAATTTAACGTAGTGGGTGAGATAATTATTGTGTGCAGAACACACTGGAGTTATCACGGTGAAGTACAGTCAGTACTGTGACTTACAGGCTATGCTGAAACAACGCTGGGATGGGAGCATGGTATTGAACTGGGTGTCTCTTGCGTCAAAACCAGCATCTCTTGACCGTATTCGAGAATTCGTAGCTACAAATCATGTGATGAAACGACAGATGACAACTCAGTATAAAGTGACAACGGTGATGGTCGATCGAGTGAAACATACTGGTTGTCCTTACGAGATATAGAGTTCTCAAGGACAATCAGCTTCAAGGCCGCATCTTAATGTTTAAGGCTCGATACACGCATGAATCTTAAATCAGCAGCTCTTAGGAATCGATTTCAGAACACACGACACCAAAATATTATTACTGCCGTGTCTTTTAGAGAATCGAGAGGTGCAGGGCACAGGTAATTATGGTATGAAAAGAGAACTAATAAAGCTGATGTAAACATCATTAAATTTCGTAGTTTTGATTTGAATGTTTACTCGCTGGACAAATGCAGAGATACACATTCACTCCTCTCAATGTAGAAAATGCGTTCGTTCTCAATAACAGGAAAGTCTCAACAACGACGAAAAGAATGTATTTAATTCAGGAACAGTCTCGTTACAATAGATTTAGAGGATCAGATTTTTCGTCTTTCCCATTAAAAAAAATTGCGGGGACATGCGCATAAAGTCATCTTGACAATACCAAATAATGTGGAAAATATCAGCTAATGAGAAACCGATTGAAAACTCCAGCATTCTCCAGCGCTCGCATCATAAATGAAAATTGTATCGTGCCAAAATCGTCACTATTTTCTAACATTCATTAGAAGGGTACAGCTTTGCGAAGTGAAAGAATTAGAGACTGAGCATACCTGATTGTTCTGTTTCAACACATTGTCAATCTCAAATATTCCAACCAATGACATTCAAACGAAATATTATGTATCAGGGCTCTTAGCTTTTTACAATTAGCGTTATTTCTTAATTAATTTAAGAACCAGTAGCTTCAAAACTCAAGTCAGAGCACTGACTGACGATGATCTGCGAACTAAAAAGAAGATAAAATCACAAGTTCTTTTTGATCTTTCGACCATGTTACATTAACCCACTGCCAATGATACAAAATAAACCAATTCAATTGCAGTCCGCCGTCATAGCACAGGCTCCTCTAGAGCTAATAACACGGATTTCTCGGAGGTTGTCACTTACGTAGTAAATGGTATAGAGGCAACTCACGATTCGTACCACTTTTCAAGTCAAAAAATACAGTTCCGCCCTTGAACCAACTCTTCCTCTTTTATGTAGGGTGTACGTATGATTGGCCAGTCCCGAGCAGCTAAGCCCACGTATGCGATGATTCTAGTTGTGAAGTGTTAACACTAGCCTTGATCCACTGCCAATGGACCTCTTGAACGTCCTCTAGCGGGAGAAGGGATGCTTATAGGATCCCAGATACCCGGTGAGCTTATTAGTAGACAAGTCTCTTGGCTTCCCTCGATAAATAACAAAACATGGAGGATTCTAGCAATCGTGGGCATCGTTATTGCTTGTTTACTGGTGTTGTGGATTCTGGGCTCATTTCTTAGATGTTGTGTACATGGCGCAGCTGGCATCTGCGAATTCTGCTTTTGGTGCTGTCCTCGGTCAAGACCACATCGCTCTGTCCAGGGCCAACGACCTTTACGGCCGCCCCCACCATCTTACAGCGCTCCTATGGTCATTTACCAGCCTATCGTCGAGCCTGAAAGCTCATATTACCGCGAGGTTCATTATGATCTGGAGTCACAGAAACCGTACAATGCTGCTGCTGCTAACGAGCAGTACGAATTCCAAGGATATCCCGCACACAATTCAAGGATCAGATATTGAGCCCACATAGAATAGGCTTGACGATTTTGTCACCAATTGATGAAGCACATACGGTAGTTAGATCTCGAAAATCGCCGACTTTCGATGGTTCTTATATTACGGTATGCTTCAGCTTCAAGGATCAGGAGCCTGGTTTTGTTTTATCCGCGCGAGAATTAGTGTTGTACAGTCCTGCAGCGATGAGCTTAAATGAACGATCTACTTTTTATGCTAGCTGCTAAAAACAAACTTCTATCAATTGCAATCTCAGATTACCGGTACGGAAGTGTTTGATTGTCCTGAAGGCAAGACTGCAACACTAGAAAGTTGCCACCCCGGCGGTATTGCAATTTTGATGAGGGCTAGGACATTATTCAGACTGAGTGCTGATCTAGAGAATATGCAAGAGATACGTTTCTCCTTTTAAAAGTCTAAACATTTCGTTAGATTCCAAACTGAGTGTCTGGTCTACTTCGATTCTCAAACAAAGAAGCAGAATAGCTTTGATCATTTTAGGAGCAAGAAAAGCGCTGCTGAAGCAATTAAGGCCTTCTTTTTAACCTCAATTGTTAAGTGAAAGCTGCATTTATTGATCACTCGAAGTACGCTGGCGCTGTTAGCATTGACCTTTATCTCAAGAAAGAAAGCTGGTCAAACATAAGTCTTCAAAATGTCCTGAACCTCTAGGAGCTCAAAAAGGCCAGGAGAAAACATTTATGAAAATTCAGTATACGCAGCAAACCTTGCGACAAGCCTTGCAACAAAGAACTCACTTACTTCAAGAATGTCATTCATTAGGACGCTTGCTTTTGACTTTCTTTGCGGAACAAGATATTAGATGTACTCATCATCAGGAATCGCAGAGCTTGCTCGAGGAACAAGAACTACAGCTTCAGAAATCCATTTTACTGTTGGCTGACCATCGGGAAGTTCTACTGCAACATTCATACCTGTGTCGTTTTTGCGTGCCACTTTGATAAAATCCAAGCCAGCGAAGCTAGTAGGAAAGCCAATGGCTGAAAATCTCTACACCCTTTATACTTTTTAGTGAATAGCTTTCTTACTTTCCTTCATTTCGCGATGATGGCGTGTAAGACTCAAAGCAGGTATAGCCGATCTTCTTTCATCTTTATTAGGGACAGTACTTACATACCATCTGGGGTATGCAAAATACAGGTATAACTAAACTATGGCAATTGAGTGTTCAAGCCTTATTACAAAACAAGAAGATTAACAAATCATTTTGGTCCTGTCTGTCAAACAACGCTTCTTCACTACCGTCGATGCCTCGAAGAAGTAGATCTTCATTTCCGTACACTATCATTAAACGTCAGCCCTCGTCACCGGGGCGCACACTGTATATGATTAAGTTACCGCACGCATTGCCAAATGACCAAAAATGCTCTTATATCCTTCATCACGCCCTGTTTGATGTTATTTCTAGATAGTTCGAATATTCACAGTTTAATTTCTAGATCTAGTCTCTTCCAGCGTGATCTTGTAGAGACCGAACCCGTTTAATTCAGAGAGATGGTTCCAATTCGTTGATTTTACCTCTGGTTTCCAATGACATACTCCCGACAGGTGCGTATGCTTCTTTGAAGGGATTTTTCCAAAATTTCTGTCATTTTTGTCCACTTCTTACCGACGCCGTCGGTGTGCATAGATTCCCAAGTCTGATGATATGCTGAAACCCACTCATCTGGCACAAGATCACGCTCCACAACACGCACAGCTTGCGACCAAGTCACTGGAGTCACCTGAGAGAACACTACACCTGCTAGCGTGCAGGGCAGCAACATTCTGCTTGGAATACTTGTGAAGATTCGACCTGCTAATGAAGACGAGACCCCCCAGTTGCGACGGTTGCTAAGCACTCGACCACCGAAAAATGCACCGACGGCTAAAACACTAGCTGGAACCAGCAACTCTTGGTTTTCGTACGAGTCCGTCAATACGTTGTCAGAAACATGTTTTTTGAGACTTTGGTACTCGTTTGAAACCGCACTTTTCTGCGTTTCGAGTTCGGACTTGTAAATCTGATAATTGTGGACCACAGTGCCGCGCACTGCGCTAAACCACTCGTCTAATGTCTTGGAGTTGTAAATCTGGTTTCCATTTGAAAGAGTGGTAGTTGTGATATCCGTGAGAGTCACTAAATCTGGCACCAATGGTGTTTCAATAGATTTCGACTTATTCGCGTCGTCCTGGTAAAAGCTGCGAGACATCTACGGCAATGATGAGCTGAACTGCTTGATTTGTGTTTGTTCCTAAAGTCTCAAATTGGTGCTGTTATTGTAAGCATTTTTCATTTATTGAATAATCATGTTTGACGGCGTTGATCAAGTTCTACAATCGAGTTTCTGACAAGCGTTTTGACTGGCACAGGTTGAGTTATTTGAGTTTTCAATAGTGTAATGAGACTATTTAACGATCAAACCTGATTAAAATTTGTGTTTAAATACCTTGCTTCTGTAATGATGCGATTTTATAATCGTGAACAATAATTTTGACATGTCGATTGAAATTTCGAGGAATTATTTGATGACAGTCATTTTACCGCGTTTGGTCTTTTTGTAGAGCTGGTTGAGTTGTAAGATCTCGAATCAACGATTCTGTGTATTTCATGGAGCATTCTTGAGTTTTCTGTTATGCTTTAACGTTTATAGTCGGTGTCACTTTGGTTTTTTTGTCACTAATTCGAAAGACGTCAGTTTGATGCGCGATGACGGAACACTGAGGCTTACAATGACCAAACGCTTACCTTGAATATTGGAAAGGCTCTAAAACTGTAAGATAAATGTGACAATATATATTGTGTGCGAATCTTTTCCTTTCGCTGCTAAAGTCAAGCGCGACTTTTCCAAGAAAATCATCTCTACTCGCAAGTCAGTATATTGTTCAGGTATAAATTAGCGTTCTATCCATGCTATAAATGCAAAGGTATCAGTTGCACGTCATGCGCCGTAGTCGCAGGGAGATGCAAATTTGGACTAGAGCAGCAGGTCCAGAAAAAAGAACTGCTATGCGGCCATAGCTTGTACTGCTTAACTCATGAGACTTTGATAGGATGTGTATATCATGCTGACCATCCCAAAGACTATTAATGCGTAGTCGAGGTACACAGGCCATCTTTGCCAAAAATGCTTGGCCTCATGGCAGTCAGGTTTGCTGCAACTTCTTAAATGAAGCAGCGGTGGGTAAACGTAGACCAATGGAATACATGCAAATGAACCCACAATGGATACAAATTGATCGAGGTTGTCCGCACCAAAGTACGCCGCCATCACGGTGGCCGTTACTATGAGAGAGCGCACGGAGTTTTTGAGCCATTTGACACGCCAGTCGAGCTTTCCGGAATTAGGCTTGTATTGAACGTCTGTTTGATCGTTACGTTTGACGTAAATTTTGGTGAATTTTGGAAACACTTTACTCTCCACAATTGCGATGGCTGGGAATAGTTGTAACGGAGTGGACAGTAAAATAGCCAAGCAGTAGAAAAATTGAATCAAATTGACCAAAATGCTTTCTTGAGGTAAGTTCAGTAGGATAACAGTTTGAACATCTTTACCGTAACTTAGATAACCGAGTGTGGCAACGCTCACGAACAGCACTGTGGCAGTGGTAATCACCAGTCCCAAGACCAAAGGGAATTTTTCTGGATGCTTCATTGAGCTCTGTACTGGTATAATAAGTCCAATTCCTTCAAAAGCAAAAATTGCAGTGCCTACAAAAAGTGTCCAGCGGCTTGGGTCGAAGATCATCGTGATACCATCAGCGGGTTGGCAATTGAGATCAATCAATAAATGCTTACCAGTTAAAGCTATGACAATTAATATTCCGCCCATGACGAAGAAATTGGCCAGTAGTGATGGTAGCGACAGTTTGGATATGTTTCTAATAAATGACAGAGGAATGAATATTATTAGCTGTACCACCAATAAGTGAAAAATGTTGACTTCAGACCAGTGAAACACGTTATTGATGAATGCCAACAAATTCTTCGCTGTGAATATGACATAGGCACCCGAAAAGCCTAATTGAGTCAGCACCAAGGACAGTAGAATCACAAATTTCATCCAAGGCCCATAGAGAGCTTGTCCGATGTCCCCGAAGGACGAAACTTTAGTGGCTACTTTGGATTGAATCAGAATGTAGTAACACCAGTATGAATAGAGCCCAAAAAAAGTCAGCATCACGATAGAGAAGAAAAGGCCGCCATTGGAGAACGCCGCTGGAAGAAATAAGACTCCGGTGCCAATAAAGGACTTGATCATCAGGAGAAATGCCTTAATCGTAGAAGTCGTACCCTTGGCGGACTTGGGAACAAACACCTTCCCAGTGGTTTTGGCACCTTTCTTCGCCAAAAGAGGACTCCGTTCGTCTACTTCTTCTGATCCAGCCCTCTGCTCCGGATAGAAATCTTCTTCGAATGACTCACCTGCAAAGTGGCCATACACGTACAGAAACTCCAGAAAGTTTCTTGTCAGAAACGGTACTTTGTCTAGGTTATTCGGATCTGTTCTTTGCGACTCAGAATCGTCTGACCAACAAGTTCCAGACTCACTGCCTGCAGACGTGTTCAAATCTTTACCGTTTTTGTGTTTCTTGACTATGAATTCACGACGGAACCCACCTGGCACGTTCAAAGCACTTGCTGTAGACTCAGGCCGTGAAACCTGCTTCGTGACATCAAGATCATCGGCAGAGTGCGTTTTTTTCAAGCCATGACTTGCAGAGGTCAAACGGTACAGTTCTCTGGTAATATGACCACCTTGGCTTTCTAGATTGTGGTCCCGTTCCGGAATTCCAGGGCTATCTTGTATATCTAGGCCGTCAACAAGTGGAAAGTCGTCTGTCCGAGCTAGGGTTTCGGAGGGAGAAGAGTCCGCATCCGTTTTTCTAGACGACATATAGTCATTCAGGTAGTTAGCACGCAGACTATTGATGATTTCGTCGTGTTGACTGCGCTTGCGTGTTCTAAAATTGGGAGACCCCGCATCGATAAGGACTCGTGATTCGATGCTGCTCGCCTGTCTGGGACTTTGTACATCGACTCCTAGCTTCAAAGCATCTCTAGAAAACTTAGAGGACCGTCTGCTAGCTACAGACTCGGATAGCAGTAGTATCGACTGTCTTCTTCGGTGATCTTGTTGTTGTGGAATGCTTATGTTTGTTGATAAGGAATCAACCTGATTGTTTGATCTGGAACCTAATGCCATTTGAAAGGAAGATTTTTTGCGACTGGCTAATGAAGTTTTGGAGCTTAGGGTAGTTCAGCTCGTCCCAGTCCTGTGAGCTTGTTGAAGACTCTTTGAAGTCTCCTTGGTAAAGATCTCGGGGGAATTATGCAAGGAAGAGTTTCCAATTTCTTGACATCTTCATTATAAAAAATGATGATGTTAAGGTGTCAGGTATGGAACAAGTGATAAAAAGTTGGGCCTTGGAGTTTCATTTAGAGTTAAATGGTTGATGCGTAAACCGGGTGTTACATAATTGATGGTTTAAGCTGCATTCTAAGAGCTAGGTTTATACTTTTATTATTTATGACATTTCAATTGCAAACATTGCGATAGAGCCGAACTTTAGGGTTTGTAGTGGGCCCAGAAGCTTGCTTTGGAGTCATCAAAACAATTTCCCTACCTAATGCACACACTAAGAGCTGTACAGTGGATGGTCTAAACGTCGTTTGAAGCCGTGGCATTATATTTTCAATATTTAGTTATGATTTTTTTATTGCCAATTTCGTGACGTAGCCCGACTTCAGCTGGTGCTGGCATATCACAGGATATTGAATATTCGAAAGTAAGAATGAAGCTTTCGTTCTGTCTTAACTTGAGCTTTGAACGTCATAGGTTATTTGAAAGAATTGCAAATGTGTGGTGTTGTAGTCCGGGAAAATTTGAGGGAACGCAAAAGAGATTTTTGTATGTCAAGAAAGATTACAAGATTAGTCTTCAAAAAAACGAAGTTAATGAATACTAGATGACACACTGTGAAAAAAAAACACCAAGCAAAGCTTTTTGCGTTATTCCTACTGAATTACGTGTCGTGTGTGTCCGTGCCGGTTTCGTTGACGATATCAAAAAATTTGTCATTTTGTACTAATCTGTCGCGTAAATTTCAGGCATTACAGGACAGGACTACTTGACTGACATCTTCATTCAACAACAACAACGCTTGGAAAGGATGGCCAAACTGTAATTATTAGAGAGAGCCATGAAACATTGTATCCACCGTTTTTTTTTCTGAATAGGCTACTGAATCAAAAAGCAGCCATCAAGCTTTACAACTTTCAGTTAAACGTGTTGGGCCCCAAAAACTACTGGCGCCTCAGCTTCACTCCTCAAGAAAACCCCCGGAAGGTCCAAAAAGTTTAATTGCACTAAAAACTATGACCAAAAGCTTCGAAAGAGGTATTCTTGGTGCCAAACAGCGGGTTTCTCGAAATTTATCTTGACTTTACGATTAAGTAGTGCTCAAGTGTAACGCCATTTTAGACATTATACTAACTGGAGGCGTCCACTTCCGTGATCATTCTGGAATTACTGAATATCGCCAAACAGTCGTACTTTTAAAAATACCCAAACTCCGAGATTCTTGTGTCGTATGAAGACAATGGCAAAACCTGTCCCTGAAGACTACTACCTATATCCAAATTTCACATTAAAAATGAGCCAAGTGACCTTCATCAGATACTTCAAGTCCAGTTCATGAGAGAACGAAATCCCCAATGACTCAATATCTATAATATATATCTATTCGATCAAAGTAGCACAACGACATGCTAAAATGACGACGTCACGATAGACTGGAGTGATATCTCGATGCGTCATATATAAGTAAGAAAAACTAAACAATGCCAGTTCCAACTCTTCCACACAGGCTTCTGCAGTTGAATTCGGTAGTAAATAGCTGAACTGCAGTCGAGGCAAATATGGAAAAATGGGACGAGTTGGGAATGAAAGTGGCGTATGAAGAGGCCGTTAAAGGTCTCGAGGAAGGTGGTGTTCCAATTGGTGGGTGTTTAATCGATGAAGACGGTAAAATTCTTGGCTCCGGACACAACATGCGATTCCAGAAAAATAGTGCAACTTTGCATGGGGAAATCTCAACGTTGGAAAATTGCGGCCGCTTGAAGGGTTCTGTTTACAAGCGTTGCACCCTTTATACCACTCTTTCGCCTTGTGACATGTGCACAGGTGCGATCTTGTTGTATGGCATCGCTCGATGCGTAATAGGTGAAAATGTCAATTTCAAGGGCGATGGTGAACGGTATCTGGCAGAACGTGGCTGTAAAGTACGTGTCATGGACGATGTAAAATGCAAAGCGATCATGAAGCAGTTCATCGAGGAAAGACCTCAAGACTGGTTTGAAGACATTGGCGAGTAATGCTGTGTGTTTTCCGGTCATGATGTATGTAAAAAAGGTTGTTATCATTTAAGGTAATTAAACATCGCGGCATCATATTGCAACAGCAGTTTTTCATTCGGGGTTCATGAAGTCAAAAATTGATCCCATGTCAACAAAGCTGCGTGCACAATTTCCCAAGTATTTCTGAACAACCGATTCCATCGTTTGGAATAAGTCTCGATTTTGCTCTCCAAGAGCCAAGACTTGACAAGTCGGGATCTTCGTCTCTGCTGCGTCCGGATGGTCTGGTCGGTAGAGTGGTTTCAGCAGCTCTCTCTTGTTTTTCTTCACGTCGAATAGGGAACCAAAGTATTGGAGCTGATTGTATAGTTGCTTATCGGTGTAAGAATAACTCATTACTCCCATACAATCCTCGCTTAAGCACCTTTTACCAAAAACTGAAATTTGCCTCGTTACCACACCACAAGTACTGTCATCACATTTCAAGTATCCAGCGTAATATCTCGAAATGTGCGACCGAATATGACTCTCTAGTTGGCAACTCAATTGTAATGGTGAGAACTGATGATGACAATGCGCGCATTGCAATCCGTTAAAATTCATCTGGTAATACTTAGAAGCCACAATGCCACCAAATGGAAATCTCTGACTACAACCAGGACATTGTAAAGTCAATGATGCAACGCCTTTAAACCTTTCTTCATCGGAAATAGCGCTCTCTAAGGGCTGTAAATTGTCAGCACTTGAGCCGTTCAATTCCCCGTTTGCCCCCGCGCGGTTGATGTACTTTCTGCTATCAAGACCCAATGACTGACTTAGTCTGACAATATCAAAACTTTCAATACGCTCCAATAGCCTTTCCACTGGTGAAAATATCTGCTTTTCCAAATAGTATTGAGGATCAGGGTGCAGGTTGTTGCTTTTCACCATAACCTCGTTCAACACTCGCGCTCTCTCGGCAACAGATAATTGAGCGTCCCCATCATTCAGATCTTCCTGTTTTGTTATGACGAAAGTAATGACACTTCCCGCTTTAACCACGCGTCCAGCTTCTCTCATCCGGAGAGCCACTTGCACAGCAGGCATATTCTTACCGCCGGGGTAAGCTCTAGGATCCTTCGATAGCCTTGTGTTAATTTTGTATTTGTCGACCCGTATCGTATTGGCTTCTATCTGCTCTCTTATGTTTTCCAGATATTCATAAACATCCAGTAAAGCAGTCTCTGGATCTTTATCAGACAGAATTGTTTCGAGGACGTGGACGGATACCTCTTTTGACAATGGACAAAATTCACGACGCCGCATATCCAAACCCTTTACTTCCAAAGTGGTCTGTTCAACACCTTGTTTATCGAAAGAAACTGTCAGAGCAGCGTATTTTTTTTTAGCGTGTAATAGCAGTTTTCTGAAGACGTTGTCGATATCAATTTCCAAGAGTCGATAGCGCTCATTTACCAATTTCTTGAAGTTCTCTCCAATTTTAATAGCATCACCATAGACATCACAGCCTGTGTCAATCATTACCGAGTCTGTATCACCGTAAATAACTGCCAATGTCAGACTCTCTGCAAGTTGCCGCGTATTCATTAGAATTTCTCTGCCCTTATTGGTGACCAACATTGCTAACGGTTTGGCGTAAAATCTACTATTCACGTAACCGAGACACCCATACATGGAATTCGCTGTTAATTTAAGAGCCTGTTGTCTGATGTCACACTGTACTCTCTTGTGTGGATCAGTCTCTGCCTTCAAAAGCTTTTTGACTTCCCTTCTTCTGTCTACCAGGTTGGCCAACAATCTGGGCAGAACGCCTTGTTTGCTGTCACTACTTGGAACGTTCGGAAGTTCTTCTATATTATTTGGATCTCGATCCACAGTCGTGAAGCAAATATTAAACTCTTGAATAATGGAAGGATAAAGAGAGTTGAAATCCATTACTAAAACGTAGTTTTTATGCAAGCCCTTCTCTGGCTCGAAAACTAGACCACCTTGATACTTGGCTTTTTTTGAGCTTACCTGTAATTCTTCGCCACCATCTTCTCCAGCTTCTTCCCTCAATTTCTGTTGACGCTGATTCTTGGTTTGCCTAGTTTCCTTGTCCGGAACAATGTAATTGTTTCGTTCAAACTCGTGGAGCAGAATGTATTCGTTTCGCCCGGCTCTAGTACCACCAAGAGTTTGAGACCAGGCATTACCCGCTAACGTTGTAAGTTGTTTGGTAAGTGAAAGAATTTGAATTCGAAAGGCAATTTCAGCAGAAATGTTAGCGCCAGAAACGTTTTCCTGAAGAGCCAAAACCATCGAGTTAACATCATTTTGATATTGGGGACTTTGGTAGTTTACCTCCAATGACTTGTGTTCCTTTTGACACGTAACTTGATACATTTCGGACAAGTCCCAACTCTGGCATTTTGGTGTCAGCGATTGACCCATTTCGTTGGAGATATCGCAGAGTAGGCGGCCTGCAAAAATCTCACGGACGTAAAATTGGTTCATACTGGGATTTCTCCCAAATTTATCCGGCCACGATTTTCTGGCGCGACGCCCTAAGCTACTGAAAGTAGGAATCTTCAGCTCCATGCACCTATGCGTAATGATATCTAATGAAGTATTCTCCAAACGATGTCCGATAATTACGTCAGGATCAGAAGATCTTAACATTGCACAGAAGCAGCTCAAAAGTGCTTTCTCGTTGTTTAGTAGTCGCAGCTGACCCTGTAATGATTTGTTTCCAAGATGCATCAAACCAGTAGGAAAACTTGAGCCAGTTGGTGGCCTAACTAGAGTAGCGACCGAATTGGGAGCTAGGTCCTCGGGTATGGGAACATCTTGGGGAAAATTTTCGTAGTGCGACAATGTTATGCTAACAATTTCCTGCTTGTTCTCCTGTGCGTTCATAACGCTTTGCACTGCAATAGCCACACAATTTAGACTTGGTGCCATCTTCTCTGCCAATGGTGTTATAAGCGATGGACTAGGTACCTGAACATCCAGCGCACAATTGGATGCATTTGAAAGTGCTGTGAAATCGCCGTTTTTGATTTCGAGCCAACAAGGACCCATGACTTTTCTCTGGACCACAAAGCTCTCGAAAATATTGGTGTTACCGCCGAAAACATGATAAAATGTATCGCCCTCAAGATCGCTGGGTATAATGACGCCCTTGCTTTTAGGCGTTTGGTAGGGCAATAAAACTTTCAAATACTCAGATTTTTGTGGAATATTAGGCAATTCGAAGGCGTACTTTTTGGTTTCAGGCTTGGCTCGAATGTTATCAAGCCCGTATTTCTCAAGTAGCAGAGGTATGATCTCTTCATGAACATCAGTGGCTGTCTTTCCCTCTCTGGGCAAGAAGTAGAGCTCTCTGTAAAGGTTTTTGATTTGTACCATGGCAGAAATGGACTCGTTTTGACGTGAAAGCGTCTTCCCGAACAGTAACAGTGTGTTGTCCACCTCCGCATAATCCAGCCAAAACAATTTGAACGAGTTTGAAGTTTGATCTACGATATCTTCGCGGCTGTAGGTCTTGTTAAGCGACTGTGAGGAGGGTCTCGAATCATTTGCACGAGACTGACTTGATGTTGCGGGAGTTCCTGGAGCGGTTGTGAACGGAGAGGAAGGTGTAATGGAGCTCATGTTGAAATTGGCTCTTTTCGCGGCTGCAGCGGTGCGAATAGTGCGCCTTCCTAGTTGAATTTCATCGTCACTATCGTCGTCGTCATCACCATCAATATTAGGTTGAGTGTTCTTGCTGTCTGCAGCTATCTCTGCGGATTTTATACTCCTGGTTTTGAGGATTGTTGGTGAGCTTTGGACGTCATCTATCATGGCCTGCAAATCCGCATCGTCGACCAAATTCGGTTTGGTGCTCATGGATCTTAGCGGAGAAGAATTATATGGCGTATGAGAGGGCTCATCTGCGTGAATTTTTACCCTCTTTACTGTGGGAGCGGTCGATTGCTTCACAACTGCTCTTTTCGAGACAGGGCCCGGTAACCCGTTCAGAGCTGCTTTTTTATTAACTTGGTGATTCAAAACTGAAGTGTCTCTTTCGTTTTCGAACTCTAGTAAGATGTCGTCGAATTCGTCCGCACCGAACTTCTTCGCAGGTGCAGTTTGAGCTGCGACCTTTCTGGGGGTTTTTTTCTGTTGTGCAGCTATCAGCTCACCAATTGCGTTCTTGTCTTTCTCATTACCTCCCTTGCTTTGTTTCGCTTTGCTTCCGGTTTTCGAGTTTTCATCCTCCTCCTCCGATGTGTAGTAGCCCTTTTGGCGATATCTATCGTCCCACTCATCCACACCCCGATCCACGTATCCCAGCCCGTCGTCGTCCACCACAAAATCATCTTTAAGCAATTCTTGACGCTTCCGGTCCCGAAATTCCTGCTCATCTATAAGATCGTACACTTTTGAGTCCTCGCCATCATCGTCGCTTTCGTACAGTTCCTTTGACGACGATCTGTCCTGACGCGCTCTTTGAAGACGTTTCAATGTCTCTAGCTTGTTTCTGGAGCTCATTTGGCACTCTTTCAGTGGATTTAGACGCGTATGCTACGCTTGAGTGAGATCTCAGTGGCCAATTGAAGGTAGAACTCGAGTTATGCTTCAGGACGCGTAATCATTTTTTTTCTAAATATCCATTTAACGCGACTCATCGATTTTATAATTTGTGTGAGATGATGAGGTGATCAGGATAACTCAAGAATACTCAAGACATAGCTTTAACAAGACTTCGAGACCCTTTAAACAGTAAGAATAGCGGGCCTCGATCTAATAAAGATCCCTTTTTCAGAAATATTGGCAATTTTTTGCCTCTCATTTTAGAGAGAGTTTATCATGTCATTCCTCGACTCCATTTCAAAGCCAGCAACAGCAGGAAGCCTGCAAGATGGAGCTTCAAACCAGCTGTTTTCGAGCTTCGCACACAATATCAACCAACTGCAAAAGAAGGGTGAACTTATAGGCTCCAAGCGTGACTCGCAAGAACTCCGGTACTCTATAGAGACAGAAATAATTCCTCAGTGCGAAACACTAAGGGACGAGATTGAGGGCTTGCTGAAAAACACGGCATCTAACGGCAAGTTGGTATCCGATTTCGCAGGGCTAAAAGACGAGCTGTTGCTGAGCAAAAGACACTATTTAGAGAACAAATCACGGCATCCTTTGAAAACCAAGCCTGCAAGGGCAAACTCCTCATCTCAGAATTCAGGCTACGTGTCGATGCCCGTCGCAGAAAATACCGAGACCACACCATTGTTGCAGGACCAAGATCTCAGTCAACAGCAGCAGCAGCAGCAGCAGCAGCGACGAACTCGGTCACAGACTCAACTGCAAGGCGTTGCGGAGGATGAGCTTAATTTCCACTCCTTGATACAACAAGAAAGATCCGAGGAAATCGGACGAATACACTCGGCAGTCCAGGAGGTCAACGCAATATTTCATCAGCTTGGATCGCTGGTACGAGAGCAGGGAGATGAGATTGACACTATTGATAACAATATATCAGGCCTCTCTGGAAATCTTCAGCGCGCCAACGAGCAACTGGGCAAAGCAGAACGGTCTCAACGCCAAAGAAACAGATGCGGCCTGGTCGCACTAGTCATGATGGTTGTGGTTGTACTGATCGTAATTCTCGCAGTGATCGGATAAAAACGGTTTCGTAGTAAAACTTCATTTATCAACCTTTTTTTACTAATGTACATAAGAAAAATCAGCCGAATTTCGTGTCCTCTTTACCTGGTGGCTTATTGCTATCCTCCTTTATCTTGCGCAAAAGCTCTCGCCGAACGTTTTCGACCTCCTCAACTCCCTTCAACTCCCCTCTTTCCGTTACCAAGTTCTTAAGGAGTCTGTTCTCCATTTCCAACGTTTGTATGCGCTGCTGCAAACTCAAAGCTAATTCACTGAGCTCTTGAATTGAGCCCTCCATTTCCTGTTCCTTTAACTTGCGTTTTGGATGCGATTTGGCCCGCTTATCTATGAGACCAGAACCGCTGTCACTGCGGTCGCTACTCAGCTGCCTAGAATTACGCCGTTCTTGTCCCAAGGTCATGGGTTCCTTTTCTGTCGGCAAAGAACCGCTCGAAGGTCTCTGCGTATGGCTCGAAAAAGGTCTGCGGTTCACTTCACCTCCTAATGTATCTGTGTGGGGTTTTTCGCCATCAGCATTAAAGAAGCTGCGGAAAAGGTGGTCGGCCGCAATTTCGCGGTTATTTTGATTGAGAGACGATTGGGACTTCTCAAGCCTTGTATTCACGGCCTGACTAGGCTCATTCTGTCGCGCTGGTTTGTTATCATTGGTAAGAAACGGCAGTAGAAAGTTAGCGCCAGTTTCACTCGATAGTAGCTCTCTCACGTTGGAAAGTGAAAGGTCGCCAGATGAATCAGGCTTGTTGTGCAACTGATGATACGCCATAATAGCGGCTATCGAGTCAATTTCCTCAGCTTGCAATCCCGCAGCACTTAAAGCGTTTCGTGCTCCAGTCGGTACTCTTGCCTTCGGCAGCAATGTTAATAGCGTTCGTGTCGGTATTGACGAATAATCGGGCATGTGGATGTGCGAAGGCACTTGAGAAAGCGGAGCATCTCTGCGAGGCTCTGGTTGGAGCTGACTACTTTGACGATGAAGCTGTGATGAATAAGGTGTATTTGAGCCATTTGATAGCATCTCTATTGTCTGGGGGTTAGAATCTGTGACCAGGTTATTGAGAGGTGAGTTCACGTATGTGAAATTTGGCTGACCGATCGGTTGAGATGAGCCTTCGGTTATATCGACATTAGTGAAACTGCCGTGGTCATCGGAGGGAGATCGAGTAGTGTCGCGTTGATGGTTTTTAGACGAAAATCGTAGACGAGTGTCGTGCTGAGAAGCTAAAAAATTGTTGCGCCGCTGAGACAAAAATCTGGAGCTCCGGTTTTGAAAAGTGAGTAGATCCGACGCATCCACTCCTGGATGGCTCTCGCTGGCATTTGTTAATGATTGAAGGTTGTGACTTGAAGCCGACGCAGAAGCTGATGAAGAAGCTCCGGGGATTCGGTCTTGGTCGTGCAGCGGCTGATCAAACTGGTCGGCGCTGTCATCGTTATAATTCTCTCCGTCGTTGTCCCCTCTGTCCACCGGTTTGTCCTCGTCTGGGAATATGAAGGTTTCGTCTGCAAAGGCGCTGAGTTCTGCGGCCAGCCGTTCGTCCAGGCCTAGGCCAAGGTTTGGGACATCTGCATCGTGTGCTGGCCCACCAAGCGACGCCATGTCACTTTCGAAATCTGGCATAAAGTTGTCGACATATGCGAGCTGCTCCAGCAGAATGTTGGGGGTAACATTGGTATCGCCAGAATGGAAATTGAGCGGATTGTCCGAGCCTCTCAGTACGTTCTTTTCTTCACCAAAAAGGTTGTTGAACTCATCAGTTTTTTCGGAATTCATCGTTAAGGCACACTGTTCAGTAACCACTTAGGCACTGTGAGGGTACAAAGCTTGGTTTACTGCCGCTCAAGCAGCTATATGGTTGAGTTCCGCTGACCTTGTTGATTGTCGACAATAGCTGGACTCTAGTTCATCCTTTGAGTGATGACGACAATGAGCCGTGAAAAAAACCCGGGCCAAGAGAACAAAAAAAAAACAGAATCAGAATCACGTGATAAAGTATGGCGCTCTAATCATGTGATATTGTTTTGAGAAACACTCATGAGTTGGCACGTGATTATTGTCGTTTTGACCGTATATTCACGTGATTTCGGTTTCTGGGCGTGGAAGGGGCAATTAGCTGGATATCTCAAATTCCAGTAGTGCCTGAATCGCCGTTGGCAATAGCACACGGAGTGCTGACAGGCGCATCTAAGCTCATTAGGATGTATTCTTTGCTGTTGAGTTTGGAATTGATAGAACCCACTTTTACAACGACAAGAGATACCCTCAGTTTTTCGAGCTATCTCTCATGATACATGCCGATCCCAGAGTTGCAGCAGCACGCGTAGACGTAGAAAGCGCTCATCTTGACCTTATGACGCCCTTTTTGTTGCTCTTTTCTGATGCTTTTGCGTAAAGAAAGTGGTGAGAAAGAAGAAGAGTTTAGTTGAACTTGATTTAATTTAGCCGCCAGTTTGGTCTTGTCATATTGTACGATGGATTTTTTAACAGTGGGGCATATCAGGAATCTACACGGTGTAAAAGTTGGCTATAGGTTCATACTTAATTAATGCTTTTTTCTGTTTGCCAAGCGTTTTAGCGTTGTCTTTCAATTCTTGGCAAGGGTTGTTAACGGCCCCATACGTTTTGAGTATTGAAATGCGAGTGCTACTGGCGCCTGCGTCTATGCGATTTAGATTTTTGTTTCGAATAGTACTGGACAAGTAACGCTGGTTTTGAAAAAAAAAATAGTCGCTCTAGCTTTGTACCATCAGATGAATGCGGCTTGCCCTCGACGGGGGGCTCTACCTGAAGTGATCTCGAAAGCATTCGAGTTTGCTAGAGGTCCTTCAATTGTTCAGTCGTGCTGAGAAGTCGTGAGTACGAGTACGAGTACATCCTCGAGTACATCCTCGAGTACAAGGCGAGTACAGATATCTGGTATGTCTTTCTCACCGTGGTCACAGTGCTCGTAGTCATTCTGTCTTGACCTAGCGTTATCGCTGATGTGATACCAGGAGTTCTCGACTTGTTCAGTCGTTATCGTAGTACTTAGTATCAGTAACGTCATACTGCGAGTTGTCTGCTTCACAATTGCTCGATGACACACTCAGTTATTCAATGATGATTGAAGCCATTTTCGATTGTTCACAAGCGATCGCTATCGCCTCCTGTCGTTCAATGATGATGGAAGTCATCCCCCGTATTCACCCGCGACATCTGACGTTATCAATTTTGTGGTAGTAGTCGTAGCCGCACTTTATTGTGCTCTCGCTTGTCCGATTATACTGCAGTTCTCTATTCAATCACAACTGATTTCTAACCCTCTCAGCTGTTCAATAGTGCTATGGCCTGTTCACAATTGTGCGCTGACGCTCAATTGTTCATCGTATTACAAGTCCTCTGCTATTCACAATCAAGAGCGTTAGTGATTGTGAACGACGGGTCACCTACTGTTCACAAGTGAGAGCGTTAGTTATTCGATTGTACTCGTAGTTACCAAACCATGTCTCAATCGTTCAGTAATGCTACGAGGGTTCGCTGACGCTCTCGATTATTCAGTAGTGCTCCGGGTACGAAAATCCGTACTCGTACTCGTACTCGAGCAATCCCCACCCACACACCACGCCAAGCCGCTTGCCTCATCGCACGACTTCCTAGAAACCCTCGCGCAAAAGCCAAACCAGCGGGACCGGAAGCGCAAATTTTAGAACCTAATCCAAATTCATAAATAATTCATTCGACTACCAAATTACCGATGCGATTTTAGCTTTGACTTCGTAATTGATACTGTACTCGCGGTTTCCGCACAGTTTTCAAGATATCTACTATCTACGATTTCTACAGTATCTATGCATTCGAGGCTCTCTACACTATCTACTCTTCGATTCTGAATACCCGTCTTGGCTCTCTTTGCGGTCTCCGCGTCTTGTACGTTCTTATGCTCCCACTCCCATCCCAACGCACTACTGTGTCATAGACAGGCTTAAAATCTTTGTCACAAATCTTTCGTGGTTCGAAGTTCGCAATAAACGCTGGTGTGTGCGTGTGTGTGTGTTTACGTACTTAAAGAACCCAACGGTGATGGTGTTTTCGGTGTGTAGATGAGATTTATCGTTTTTTCCAATGTGGTGAAAAAGATAAAATGTCGTTATAATTGAATTGTTCACAGTTCATCGGATTCTGTCAAGAAGAAGACGAAAGTGAGAGCAACAAGTGCAGCGAAATTGAGAGCGAAAGCGAGAGCGATAGCGAGAGCGATAGCGAAAGCGATAGCGAGAGCGAAAGGCGAAAACACTTGTCAGTTTCGATCCACCGTCCACCAGACCAGTATCTCCACACTCACACACTCACACACACACTCACACACTCACTTACACATCTCTCATGGCGTCCACCGCCCAAAAACACACACACACGCCGCCGTTGCACGTTTTGCTGGACGCAGTACGGGCGTCACGAGACCACGACGCTCAGGACCAAGCCCACGACGACAACGACAACGACAACGACAACGACAACGACAACGACAACGACAACGACAACGACGACCACCACGCGTTTGAAGCGTTCCTCAAACGGTCCCATTGCGAGGAAAACCTCGACTTCTTGCTCGCCACCGACCCCTACGTCCATGGCGTCCCCACCGACGCCCTGGCCAGCTGGATCCACGACGTTTACCAGATCTACATTCAAACAGACTCCTCCCGCGAATGCAACCTGCCTCATGCCATCCGCCAGACTTTCGACGAGTGTGCACGCGGTGGCACCGTACCGCCGCGTGCCAGCATCGACGCGGCCCGCAATCACGTCTTTTGGCTCCTGCAAGACGCTCATTCCAAGTTTTCACATTCGCGGCGCCGCTGCTCGCGGCCTGCCGCGTGTAAACACACACATTGCTACACCCTAGCGACCCGATGCATGGCCGCGTCACACGCGCCAACGTGCCCGCAACATCATCAGTCCGTGAGCACCACGCCTCGCGTTGATCTGCGTCCATATCTCGACGACTTCGCCGTTGAAGAAGACGACGACGACGACGACGCTGACGACGACGATGATGATGACGACCATGACAACGAATGCGACGATCGCGACGATCAAAAATCCAAACACAAGCACGATCACGATCACGACCACGATCACGACCACGACCACGACACCCACAACGAAGATTACAGGACCCGACCCAGCCAGGCACTCGCCCTGGCCGAATTCCCGGCCACCTATCGCATCAACACCAACATTTTGGGCAATTTTTCCCGGTCTGCGTCTACGCCAACCTCCACGCCTACTTCGCCGTTTCCAGCACGAGGCTCGCCCTTGGCCTTCAGCCATCTTTCACATGCGACCACCTCCACCGCAACTGTGACCACGACCGACCGTGGCACCAACCCGATGACTGCACCTTCCACTGCTTCTTCGTCCTTTTCCACAACCACAGCGGCGAGCGCTGGCTTCAAACCGGCCAAACTCAAGAACACGGGCAAAAAACTCGTTCATAAGTTTAAATTTCGCAGGAGCAGTTCCGGCAGCTCGAACTCTTCCACAAATCCACTGTGAGAACGATCTCGGATAAGGTACGCTGTGACAGCATTTACAAAAAAGCCTGCTCAGCTCGTGCCTGGTGTAAAATTAATCTCAAAGCATCAGGGGCATCAGTCGGCCACATTACCTTTGCATTTAGCATCCGTTTGCATATTATAAAAGTACCATTTTACCTACCCAATCACTCTCGTCACCAACAAGTTTGCATCATATAATCTCACTATATTAAATATAATTGCTGAGGATTTAGTATATTGATATGCACAATACGTTAGCGCATGGCAAGGTCTGGTCTTGAGCGGCCGATACCGTTTTCAAACGCTGTTAAAATGAAATACTAGCTTCTCTCTACTTGAAGCAAGCCTACTATTTCCTGCTATACTAATTAAGAATACTGACATCTTTGAAGAGACCCAGCGTTTTGATATACAGGAAAAATAGAGTATCTATACGAAGCACGGTAGAATCTCACGTCAGAATCGTTAAGCTGCCACCGCCGTTTCCCGTTTTTTCTAACGCCTTACAATCAAAAACAGGCTTCTCTCAACGTGCTAACTTCATTGTACTAATTAGAAATACTGACGTTAAAACAGAGAACCACTGTTTTGAAGTATTCGTAAAATACACAGCCCCCCAAAATCTCACGTCTATTACGCTAAGTTGCCACCACGGTGTTCTATAAACGCCTTGGAATCAAATACGACCATCTCTCTACCTAGAGCAAGCCAAATATCCTTCAATATTAATACACTCGCTGACGTCTTCAGAGACTTCGTATGATATACACAGGAAATACATTAATACATATAGGACAAACTCCAAGACCTCACCTTGAGCTGCCAACACCTTTTCACTTCTCTCCATATGCTACAAGCATAATTTACTTTCCGGACTTTTTCAAACGCTCAAATCAAAGACACCTTCAAACAGGACAATCAATTCCAAAACCCAGCTCCAAAACTCAGTTCCGAAACCCAGTTCCGAAACCCAATTCCAGCCCTTCCAGCGACCTCGGGGGAACCTTGGCACACCCAACAATCGCATATTTTTACTCGCCCAATATGCCACTTAAAAGAACAAAAACCCCCTCTTTGGAAACCTTAAATCGCACAGTTTTTACCATCAACTCTCTCAGCAATTAAACTCATCTCAATGTCCTCTAATACCTGCATACCAGCTGCCATTTTGGCCTTACTCGCCGCTCGCTCTCGTCCGGTGTCAGCGAGATACAAAATGACTGAAAAATTTTAAGTACTGAAAAAAGAATAATTAAAGAAAAGCTAAAGGTGACACTCACTCAACGGTGACCTGATGACTCTTCCTTTCACAACTCGAAAGTATCTAAAAGTTGGCTGACAGTTTGTGATATTTTGTATTTAAGGCATTAGTTTTGTGCTGTTAAATTTTGCGGTGCCAGCTAATCGTTTCTCGCATCAACGAAACTCCGGTTGTTAATATTTATAAAGGCCAAGCAAGCTTACATCTTTTAACTGCTGCACTTGCCAGATAAAACTGTCACTGATGTTCAAAAAAACACTTGTGGCTCTCGCCAAAAGCGGCGCCAAGGCGATCCCGCCTGTCAAACTCGGCTACAAAAATATGCTCAAGGACCCTTCCCTCAAGTACAAGCCTTTTCCAGCGGTAAAACTGCCCAACAGACAATGGCCCGACCAGCGAATCACCAAAGCGCCTCGCTGGCTGTCCACTGACCTCAGAGACGGTAACCAGTCCCTCCCGGACCCCATGTCGGTAGAGCAGAAAAAGGAGTACTTCCACAAACTGGTAGAGATCGGGTTTAAGGAAATCGAGGTATCGTTCCCTTCTGCTTCGCAAACAGATTTCGACTTCACGCGGTACGCCGTGGAAAACGCTCCTGAAGACGTAAGCATCCAATGTCTCGTGCAGTCGCGCGAACACCTCATCAAGAGAACCGTGGAGTCGCTCTCCGGCGCCAAAAAGGCCACCATCCACGTTTATCTAGCCACCAGTGACATGTTCCGCGATATCGTGTTCAACATGTCCCGGGAAGAAGCCGTTGTCAAAGCCGTTGAAGCCACCAAGCTTGTGCGCAAGCTCACCAAAGACGACCCTGCCCAGCAGGCCACCGAGTGGACGTACCAGTTTTCCCCAGAGACCTTTAGCGACACCTCTCCAGAGTTCGCTGTGGAAATCTGCGAGGCTGTAAAGGCTGCTTGGGAACCTACTGCCGAAAACCCAATCATTTTCAACCTACCTGCAACTGTCGAAATGGCCACTCCTAACAACTACGCTGATCAAATCGAGTATTTCTCGACCCACATCTCGGAAAGGGAAAAAGTTTGCATCTCAACACATGCACACAATGACCGTGGCTGTGGTGTCGCGGCCTCGGAACTAGGTATAATGGCAGGCGCCGACCGTGTCGAAGGCTGTCTTTTCGGAAACGGTGAGCGTACTGGTAACGTCGACCTTGTCACTGTCGCTTTGAACATGTACACCCAAGGTGTCAACCCGGAACTGGACTTCTCGGATTTGAACTCGGTTGTTGAAGTTGTGGAACGTTGCAACAAGATTCCAATTTCTCAAAGAGCACCTTACGGTGGTGACTTGGTCGTTTGTGCCTTCTCTGGCTCTCATCAAGATGCCATCAAGAAGGGTTTCGCTCTTCAGGAAAAGAGACGCGCCGGCGGTGACCAAGAGTGGAAGATTCCATACTTGCCTTTGGATCCAAAGGATATTGGTAGAGACTACGAGGCTGTCATCAGAGTCAACTCTCAATCCGGAAAAGGTGGTGCTGCTTGGGTGATTCTAAGATCCCTCGGCCTTGACCTCCCAAGAAACCTACAAATCGAGTTCTCGACGGTGGTTCAGACTAAAGCCGACTCGCTTGGCAGAGAGCTAAAGAGCCAAGAGATCACGGACTTGTTCAAGGAAACATACAACCATAGCGGTTCGATCGGTAAGGTCACCCTTTTGGATTACGAAGTCACCAAGCTCGACAAGGAACGCAGAGCTCTTACTGGCCAGGTCCAGATTAACGGCAATATTTACGACATTCAAGGTACTGGTAACGGTCCGATTTCGTCTCTTGTCGACGCCATGTCCAACCTATTCAACCTCAGATTCAGCGTTGCCAACTACACCGAGCACGCCTTGGGATCTGGCTCGTCCACCCAGGCTGCGTCTTTTATCCACCTAATGTACAGACGTGAAGTCGACAACGAAAACGCCTACAAGTGGGGTGTCGGTGTGTCTGAAGATGTTGGTGAAGCTTCTACAAAGGCTATTCTCTCTGTTATCAACACTATTGTTCAGTCTGGAGACGTTTCTCTGCCAGAACCAGCATCAAAGGCTTCTGCCTCCGCATAATAAGGACCCAAACAGGTTCGTAATGTCCTTCAATGGCATGTAAAACTATGTATCTCCATAACCAAAAGTTTATTTTTATTTTATGAGAAAAATTGTGGCATTGACGTTCGTTAACGGCTGGTGACATGGGTGTGAGCGTGTTCGAAATTGATTGATTGGGTTGCACCGAATATTTATCAGGCATCGGCATAGCATTCATAACATAAAAGCTGTTAAACTTGCGAGCCTCGAATGTCATTTCCAACACACGATCAATTATTGAACACTATTGAAACAAAAAATGAGACCAATACAATCATTGATCACAAGTCAAATGAAACAACACTGTAGGCCTCGTCAAGTTTCCCGTCTAGTGAGCATTTCAACGGCCTCCTATCTAGATTTCAAGAAAAGGAAATAGATTTCGAGGCATTGCCGATTGGAGAGAATAAGTCTCAAGCAACCAGTTTGAAAAAGACTCGTATATTCTTATTGGGCTCTTTCGACTGCTAGATCTCCAACGATCGGGTCGATCATTGGTCGAGCAGACGTTCTTCAACGTAGTTATGTCAATTCTTAGCCGTCGTTCTGTCTTCGCTTTGTCGTCACTTTGTCAATGTGTGTCGTCTGCTCAGGTCAATCAAATCTGAAAAATTTCGTAAAGGGGACCTCAAGCTATACTGGCAACTTAGCGATTTAACAACTTAAAACAGATCTATACAATAGACAGGACGGCACCTGGCAAGTCATTGAGCCAGTTCATAGCAACGCCTGATATTCGGGCAATTGGTGCAGAATGCAAATTCTGGTTCAGAGAGGTGCTGAGAGAAAAATAGCTCTAACATCAGACGCGTATGCACTAATCTTCAACGCGGTTAAGAATGGAGATCACTCCAAGCCGCTATGTGCGATCGAGCTGTTGCCAAAATCCAGGGTGGGAGTATCGTTCCAGAAAATGACAAGCCACGAAGTCCACGGTTTTATTGGTTTGATCGAATTAGAGGGTCTGATCTTCATCTGCACTATTACAGGAAAAACCAAAGTCGCTCAACCGGTGCCTAAAGAGGCGGTCAACAAGATCTTCGCAGTTGACTTCTTTTGCTTAAACGATTCGCGGTGGGATTTCGTAGAGCTGGACTCAAATGGGTACCCGGTGACTAGCGAAGATGACTACAGAGGAAGTGGGGGTTCGACACCAGGCTCAATGGGAGATCAATCACCATCGGTTCCGGGCCATCCCTGTCACGAACTGCGTAAGCTTTTATCCAACGGGTCGTTTTACTATAGTTCTAACTTCGATTTAACGTCAATTCTTCAAAAAAGAGGAATGAGCGCGCATTCGCTCAGCTTCGACAACTACCAAGAAGAATACATGTGGAACTCATTTCTCATGCAGGAGACTATAACTTTTAGAAATCATTTGGACGACACAGCGAGACGGATTCTCGACGACGAAGGATTTCTCACGACCGTCATCCGAGGCTTCGCTGAAACCTTCGTCACTTACATTAAGCAGCTCAAAGTTTCTCTTACAGTGATTTCCAAACAGAGTTGGAAAAGAGCAGGTACCCGGTATAACGCGCGTGGTGTGGATGACGAGGCCAATGTCGCGAACTTTGTTGAAACAGAACTCATCATGTATTCTCGAGAATACTGTTATGCCTTCACTCAAATAAGAGGTAGTATTCCGATTTTTTGGGAACAGGATACGGCTTTGATAAACCCAAAGGTTCAAATTACTAGATCTCTGGAAGCGACGCAATCTGTGTTTGACGACCACTTCACGAGATTGGTCGACAAGTATGGTCCAGTCCATGTGGTAAATCTGCTATCGACAAAATCGAACGAGATAGAGCTGTCTAGGCGTTATAAGCAACATGTTGCGAAGTCCAAGGCTCATAAGCTCAATAAAGATATATTCTTTACAGAGTTTGACTTTCACAAGGAAACTTCACAAGAAGGTTTTGCAGCTGCTGCTCGAATCAAGCCCCTTGTAACCCAATTTTTGCTCGAAAGTGGCTATTTCTCATACGATGTTCGCGACCACAAAGTGTTGTCAGAGCAGCATGGGATCTTCAGAACAAACTGTCTCGATTGCTTGGATAGAACGAATTTAGTGCAGCAGTTTCTCTCTCGATATGCATTTGCGTTGTTTTTGAACGATTTTCATTTGATGTCAACCACTCAAGGAACTGCATTCACGGATAGCGACTTATTCATCAAGCATAACACGCTTTGGGCCGATCACGGTGACCAGGTTTCTCAAATCTACACTGGCACCAATGCTTTAAAATCATCCTTTTCTCGAAAAGGTAAAATGTCATTTGCCGGTGTTCTGTCGGACGCAACAAAGTCTGTGAGTCGCATGTACATCAACAATTTTATGGATAAAAACAAACAGATCAACATCGACACACTTTTAGGCAGACTATCAAATCAACGGGTGGTTGCCCTTTATGACCCCATCAACGAGTATGTTACCTCTGAGCTCAATAAGTCGAGCTCGCAATTCACAACTTCATCCACCATCAACATTTTTGTTGGTACGTATAACGTCAATGGTCTGACACGGAAAACGGACCTTTCCAAATGGCTCTTCCCTATTGGGGACAAGTTCAAGCCTGACGTTGTAGTCTTGGGAATGCAAGAGATCATCGAACTGAGCGCTGGATCCATTTTGAATGCGGATTACTCGAAAAGCTCATTTTGGCAGGGCATTGTCAATGACTGTCTCAATCAGTATAATGACAAGTATCTGCTTCTAAGAGCGGAGCAAATGTCTTCTTTGTTAATACTTTTCTTGGTGAAATCAGACAAGGTCAAAAACGTCAAAGAGGTAGAGGGCTCATCCAAAAAAACAGGACTAGGAGGTATGACTGGGAACAAAGGTGCGGTTTCTATTCGGTTTACTTACGGAAGCACCTCGTTTTGCTTTGTCAATGCGCATTTGGCTGCAGGCGTCAATAACGTAGATGAGAGGCGAAACGACTATGATAGCATCAACAAAGGCATAAGCTTCACTCGTTCAAGACAAATATCTCACCATGATGCTATATTTTGGCACGGTGATTTGAACTACAGATTAGCGCTGCCGAACGAGGAGGTTAGGCGAGAGCTGAATGCCGCGTCGGGTGACAGATTCCCAGAGAATTTGCTCCTTCACGATCAGCTAACTCAGGAAATAAACGCCGGCGTTGTTTTTAAAGGCTTTAAAGAGCCCACTGTTAAGTTTCCTCCCACTTACAAGTACGACCATGGGACCAACAATTATGACACCTCCGAAAAAGCTAGAACACCTTCTTGGACCGACCGGATTGTCTACAAGGGAGAAAATTTGAGGCCATTAGCCTACTCGGATGCCCAGCTCACTGCTAGCGATCACAAGCCAGTCTACGCTGCTTATCGGGCGCAAGTCAATTACGTGGATGAAGCCATTAAAGGTGATTTGACTAAAAAACTCTACTTAGAGTACAAAAAAGCGCATCCCGAAAGCTCCAACGAGGCCAGTCTTGCGCTGGTTGACGTTAATTACGAAGAGAACATCCGCAAACCAAGAACAACAGACCCGGGAGCGAACGAATGGTCTGCTGTTAATTTGTTGGATTATAATGAAAATCAGAGTCGTGTCAAGTCGCCATCTCCATCTCCATCATCTTCCTCATCCTCCGATCTCGCCTCTGTCCAATCGGTACCGCTGCAGCCCGTAAGAAAGGAAATGCCTGTCACATCGCTGTCGTCAGCTTCATTGGGCCGGACTCGTATTCCACCGTCGCCTCCGCCCGCACCTCGAACAACCTCTACACAGTCGTTGCAGGCCTCTTTTGCTGCGAATTCAAGCAGAGACGTCCGGACCACAGAAGCAACGAAAAACAGTTCCATCATTCCTCCGCCACCACCCTCGAGAAAAACAGTTTTCCCTCCGGGCTACAATTCTTCAATCCTCACGCCCAAAAGCTCGAGCGCGAACGGGTCGAGAATTACTTCTCCTGTACAATCGTTGCCCATAACCCCTTCTGCTTCCGAGTCTAACGGGAACAAGGAAACGAACAACAATGTGCCGCCAGTAGCATCAAAGGTCGATGAAGAACAGCCGGACGAAAAAACGGGAGCAAAAGTTCCGCCACCACGTCCGTCAAAAAAACCCGAATTGAACAATTTAACCATGGAGTCGTGGAAACCGCTGACACCCAGGTAAACAGCTTGCTACGCAATTACTTTTACCAGAAACAAACACGTAGTTTGTATAACATGTAACGACGAATTGATAAATCAGCAACTGAGCAGCACGCCAGCTCAGCTTTTAGTTAATACCGACAGCTTTTCTTTCAAGACCTCAATCTCTTCGTCGACCTTGCTTATTCCAATGTTGATGCGATCGATTTCTTCTCTCGCTAGCTGCTTGGAGAACACCGTCTTTTCCGTCTTGTTGGATGGTAGCACGTAGCCTGGCTGGGCCATCAGTACCTTGAAAAAGTCCTCGTTGGGTTCATTGAACACCACTTCATCATAAAATATGGATTCGACGTCCGTGTTGCCAGAATCGTTTTCAATCTTTATTCCGCTGGCATCAGCATTGTGATACTTGTGCAGTCTCAAGTGGTGGTAGAAACTTATTGGTTTTTCACTCGCAGACTCCACGAAATGGATCTTGACGTTAATCTCGAATTCACCCCATCCAGTTTCTGTCAACTCGAATGGTGGTGCATCCACAGTTCGCGTAGGGTTTGGATAAGTCTCGTGTAGCTTGTATACCACGCATTTAATAATGTCTGACAGGTCTTCCCCGTTAGGCCCCCTCACAAAGATGGTCCACATGTGTGTGTGTTCAACTGGAGCGTTTGGAGGCTTCACGTCGCCCATTTTCTTGGCAGAGTTCCCATAAATGATGGGACGTGCCACTGATAGAGTCTTGATCCTCTTAGCAGGTATTGGGCCCATTTGAAATGTATTTGAGGGCAGAATACTTGCTTAGGGCTTACTTCAGGCTCGCTTTTGAAGTAAAGACATCTTCTTATAATTCAACTATTTAGCTAGATCATTAAATGTTCTAAAGAGAAGCGAAATTCTACAGAACAGGAAAAGAGAAGCCCTGTCAGTGCTTTATGGCGATCAAAACCATATATATTGCAAGGGTATGGCCTTCACGCGGTGTTTTGCAGCTTCAACGGCGTTTTTTGGACGAATACTGACTTGCTAACTTTGTTCACAGCATGGATACAGATCTAACTGGCTGCCCCAGGGTCCGTATCCTCCTCCTCCTACAGGAGTAAACAGTGATGTTCCATTAGCTGAACATGGTGTTAAACAGGCGAAGGAGCTGGCGCATTATATAATGTCGATAGACAACCAGCCAGAACTGCTGTTCTCGTCGCCATTTTATCGTTGTTTGGAAACCTCACAGCCCATTGCGGACCTTTTGGAACTGCCAATCTATGTGGAACGCGGTATTGGAGAATGGTACAAGCCAGACAGAGATGTGATTCCCGAGCCTGCGTCATTTGCTGTCCTGAATAATTTCTTCCCGGGCAAACTGAGCCCTGACTGGGACGCAACAGTGATTCCTAGCGACAAAGGTGAGACTGAACAGGATATTTTCAACAGGTGTCGCGAGTTTTTGCCCAAGTTTGTCGCTAGGGTCGAGTCCGAATTTCCCGATGTCGAGACTATTCTCTTGGTGACACACGCCGCGACGAAAATCGCACTCGGAATGAATCTGCTAGGATTCGACAACTGCCGGGAACCTCTTGACGCAGATGGAACCATTTTACGTAGCGGAAGTTGTTCGCTGGATAAATTCGAACTAATCGCTGGCGGCGACAAAATCGAGGATTTGCAAAAAGTGCCCTTCGCAAGCAGGAAATGGCATCTTACGATGAACGGCAACACTGAGTTTTTGAGTAACGGTGAGGAAATGCACTGGGACTTCCAATACGGCTTTGAAGCAGGCTCGGACGCCGACATAAGGGCCAGAAAGTTGATGGCGGAGAAAGATGCGCAAAATATCACAGATGCAAACGCAGCTGCACTTCCAAATGCCACCCGGCCGGTAACAGATACCGATCGTTACGAGCATGTGTATTTCAGCGTCGATATTCCAGGTAAAAATGCCAAACGCAGCAGTGAAATAGAGCCCAATGCTACTCTGCAGTATTCTGGATTGGAGACAAACGCTCCCTTAGTCAAAATAGGCGAAAACTTCTACGAAGGAAGCTGGCAAAAGCTAGTTGGTACTGAACTGGTTTTTCCCGACGCGGCTGCTGTGAAGACTGAGTCGGAGACCAATGAAGATGACGAGAGCCTCCCGAATGAAAATGTTGACGAAGGTCAAGAAAGGGAAAGTTCAGCAGATGGCACCGAGCCCAAAGCAGAGAAAATATACCGTATTACTGATAAGCTCGTCCTGGAACAGATACGTCCTTTGTAATTCTGACCGTCATTATTGAGTCTTTGACGAGTTGGTGAAGGTACTATGAGTAGCACATCCATTGTGTGCTGAAGAAGGGTTTGGATACATTTGATCCAGTTTCCAAGCGTTTACGAGAGATTGTGACTGTGTGGAGAGCTTACCTGACATATAGAAGGGCTTGAATTTTTGAAGGCTATATCGAGCTAGAGACTATTATATAACGCATTTTAAAAGGTAGACTTTATAAGCTAACACATTCAAATAAATACCTTTAAACTAACAACTAAAAGAGAGTAAACATGTCAAAAGTGGTCCGTAATATTTGTGATAGATTTGAAATTGTCCTGGCATCGTCTTCTCCTAGGCGATACGAAATCGTTACGGAAGTTATGGGGTTCGTGGACGTCAAATTGATGAAGCCCTCTTTTGAAGAGAATCTTGATAAATCGCTGTACGTGGGGAATCCAGTGGGTTATGTTCACGATACTAGCAAAGCTAAGGCGTTGGGAATTGTGGAAGACCTGAAAAAACAGATTGAGGGCGAGGCCAAGAAGCCCAAGCTTGTTATTTGCGCAGATACGGTCGTGATAGATGGCGATAACAACATATACGAGAAACCCCAGGTGGCCCGAAAACAGATGAGTAACCTCCTCAACTTTCGCGATGGCGACGATCCTGTAAGAGTTGCGACTAGTGTGACTCTGATTAATTGGCGAGGTTCCGAGGATTATACGTTCGAGCAGTTCGAGGAGATATCGGAGGTCCACTTCGACCCTGAGTTTCCTTTGGCCGTGGTAGAGGACTATGTGGACTCAAGAGACGCACTGGATGTGGCCGGTGGCTTTAAGGTGCAAAGTTTTGGCGGGGCCATGATCAGCAAGATCAACGGCGACTTTTTCAATGTGGTTGGCCTCCCATTGAATAAGACTTTCAAAGCTATCTACGCAGCGGCTTTTCCTTCGGAATAGTCGAGCAAAGAGTGGAGCGTCACCAAACCAATGGGAGTTATAATATCCGTGGTGTCGCGAATTGCCAAAACAGTGGGGATTTGTTATTTTTTACGAGATCAAACCCGGCCAAAGAACCTTGGCTTCTCGATTCAACCAATAATACTTTTAAAACCAAGACAGCGTACTGTCTTGAAGCACACCCGGGAGCCATTTGGCAAGCCTATTCTGTCGCTCAGAGGGTCCGCCATCGATCTATCAGTCACGTGATTTAATTCTGGTACAACTTCCCACCGAAGTTGATCACGTGTCGCTGTTTATTCCAGTCAAAATCCAAAATCTGAAAAATTTTAAGCTCATCGCAGCTCATCGCATCCCATCGGCTACACCCAAACCATCAACCAAGACTCTATATAATGGTGAAATCCTCGAGAAGGCAAGTGGCCAAGACGTCCGTTCAAGCTGAAAAACCAGAGGAGCAACTGGAGCTCGAAAACACCAGCTCGTCAGAGAGCGAGTTGGAAGGATTATCGGAGGACGAAGAAGCGAGTTCAAGTGAAGAGGACGGCGATTTGGCGCCAGAAGAGAGCTCTAAACGTAGTGGAGACCACTCGGTGAAGAAGCTGGATGCAACGAAGCGCACGGACTCGAAAAAGAACCAGAAAAACGGACAGAAAAGCGACAATTTGTCGGGAATCATTTACGTGAGCAGACTGCCAAAGGGGTTCCACGAGCGGGAACTGGCCAGGTACTTTGCGCAATTCGGAGACTTGAGGGAGGTGCGGCTGGCACGCAACAAGAAGACCGGCAACAGCAGACACTACGGGTTCGTGGAGTTCGTCAACAAGGAAGACGCAGCTGTGGCCCAGGACACCATGCACAATTACCTGCTGATGGGCCATCTGCTGCAGGTAGTGGCTCTACCCAAGGGCAAGAAGATCGAAAAGCTGTACCGGTACAAGCAGCGGGCGTTCCAGCAGACGCCTGTGAAGAAAACGAGCGCTGAACTCAAGCAGCTTGCCATGGACAAACACGCCGAGAGAGAGCAGAAACTCAAGTCCAAGGGTATCCAGTTCCAGTGGTGAGTACAGCTGCGTACGAAACCCGGTGACGCATGTGTGTGCTAAACGACTAGATCTGCGAATGTCAGAGTCTCCCCCAGCCACCGACCAAAAAACACCTTCTCCCAGCACTAACGACAAATTACTACGTTTTTCTAGAAATTTTGCCATTAACTGCCGAACATGCGCTACAACACACCGTCTCCACGCTATTTTACCATCTCGCCCTCTCGCCCTCTCGCCCTATGTACATTAAATATATATTTCCTCAGGAAACAGAGCATTGACAGACAGACACGCTACGCGATAGTTCGACACATCTAATTTCGCTCGTTCAGCGACCAAAACCAAAGCCTCCTCTCGCTCCCAGCTCGTCCACTACCGGTGTTATCGGCTTGATCCTGGCAGTTTCCTCTACCGTTTTTCCATTATCTGTCGTGTGTCGCTGTCGCGCACCGTACCGGGGCCAACAAAAAAATTTCAATTGTCAACATAAGAAGAGTGAGCTTTACGAACCGCATCGCTTCGAGATATAAGTTGATAAAGAGCTAGATTCATACGCTATTGTGCTAGTTCAGGCTTCTCATAAGTGTTTAATTGACATATAAAATAGCTACAGGCTTTAGCTGCGATAAAAAATGGCCAAATTGCTCTCTTACAAGGAAATTGCTGAACACAACTCGCAGGACGACCTATGGATGATCATCGATGGTAAGGTGTACGATTGCACCAAATTCATGGATGAGCATCCTGGTGGAGAAGAAGTATTGTTGGATCTCGGTGGACAAGATGCCACTGGCCCATTTGCAGACATTGGCCATTCTGACGACGCTGTGAAAATGTTGGCCGATCTGTACGTAGGAGACCTCGACAAAGAAAGCGAGCCCGTGCACAAGAAGGAAGTAGAACCAGCGTCTGCCACGACTGGTGGCGAGGGCAGCGGTGTGTTTGTGATCGCTATTTTGGCCGTTTTGGCCGCGGTTTTGTTCTACTTCATGAACCAGGCCTAAGAGCTCCCAAGGGCAATTATTACTGATCTAACCCAACGCCCGCCAGCCTGCCGATGATAGAACCCCAGAAAGAGTGGTATTGTAGCATAGCAATTGGTAGCAGGCCTATTTATCTACACAGTCAATCGTATTATACACCAGCTCGCGAGGCTCGAGGCGCGAGGTTTATACATAGAATTGTTGTTAATTATTCAAGATTTGTTACAAAATTGTAGATTCAGTCAAAATCTTGCCTTCTCTGACTAAGGAGAGAAACCCCATTGCTGTGCGTGCTGGATGAACTTCCTCTTCAAATCGATTTCTGGGTTCCAGTTCCCGTACTCGCTGGCATCAGAACCCACTGTTCGCACATCTATCTGGGAGGCCTTTGATGGCCACAGAAAGTCTGATTCCCAACCTGTGACGGTATTCAGCTTTGAAAGACGTCCCGGTAACGCCGTCTTGGAGACCTTGATCACCAATGCTATTCGTCATTTCAAGATTTTGAAGCTTCCCGGACTTGTCAAAGTCTTGGACGTTCTCGAGACTAGTGCTACGACCAGCTATGTGGTCACCGAGAGAGTCACACCTCTGGAAACGCAAGGCCTAAGCTCGCAAGCACTCAGTCTCGGGATCTTCCAGCTCGCAGAAACTCTCACTTGTCTACACAGTCAGGCCCAGGTTGTTTTGGGCACTCTGTCCGCAGGAACAGTTTTCGTCAACGAACGAGGCGAATGGCGGGTTTTTGGCCTCGAACTGTGCTCCAAAATAGCAGAACTGCATCTTTTGAAGCAAAATGCTGGACCCTACGCATCATTGGTCGCTGATACAAGTCTGCACATCACGCCAATCAGCTCTGCAAACGCAGATGCCGTCTTACTGGCCAAATTCATTTCTAGCATCTGCAAACCGCTTCCAAGCGACTGGACCTCATTGCTACCGAGCATGGAACAGGGCAGGCTCACTCTCGCACAATTCATGACCCGCTTCATGAGCACGCGTCCTTTCCAGTCCACTTTGATTATCATTTACCAAGATCTCAAGGAATTCCACATCAAGGATCCACAGGGAAAGATCGTGGCCATGGCAGATTTGCAGCGCAAGATCATGGAAGACCCCGAGTCCCTCAGAGGTTGTACGCCTGGCTTTGTCGAGCACTATCTCATTCCGGAAATAGCACAGTGCATCGCGACAATTTTGGAGGCACAAAAGCTTCAAGCTGGTTCGATGGCTACCACGAGCACAGTTTCATTTGTCGCTTCCCTCCTCGAACTTACTTGCTCTAGTCAGCCGGTTACAGATTCCAAACCGGTGTTTGACAAGTACGTCAAGCCACTTATACTTGAGAATTTTAAACAGCCAGATAGACAGGTGAGATTTCTGTTGCTGGTGTACTTCTCCAGCTACCTTTCTAAAATGACCAACTCTGAGGTATCTGATCGCATCTTCCCTCACTTCGTGCAGGGTCTAGCTGACACAGATGTAACGATGAGAATCCAAACCTTGAAAAGAATTCCAGACATTGTTCCAATGATCACAGAGCGTCAACTCAACAATGATCTGCTAAGACATTTGGCAAAAACGCAGGTAGACGCGGACGTTGAAATTAGGACTTGGACCATATTAACAATATCTGGTCTATCCAAAAAACTGTCACCATCAAATAATAGGTCGGGCATATTGGCAACGGCTTTCACCAAGTCGCTCAAGGATCCGCAGGTAAAACCTCGGCTTGCAGCGCTTCATGGACTCGAAACATCTTTAGAGCTGTTCGACATAGACACAATAGCCAACAAGATTCTTACGGTTATCGCGCCGGGACTGCTAGACAAAAACAAGCAAGTTAGAAGCAAAGCTAAAGACCTTTTCCGCTTGTACCTCTCCAAATTGGAAGCGGAGGCGGACCGAATTCCTACTGCAGATAATGAGCACATCGACGTAGACTTTGAGTCGAATAATCGAGACGAGGCCACTGTTATACGCCAATTTATGGAGACGCTAAGGCTCTCTACGCCTACGGTAATGCCACAAGCTGAAGCCAACCCACTTTCAGGGCCTCTGGAGAGCTCTGATTGGGTAGCAAATGATGCTGGTTGGGAAGATACTGACGAATGGGATAATGAATCGCCTATGGAGCAGAGCTTTCCAAGAAATACAGATTTGAACGTTGCTCATGCTGTCCGTTTTTCTGATTCGGAAACAATCACGAAAGAACCGGCCGGAAAAGTCAAGATACAAAAAACCTGGAACGATGAACTAGAGGACGATGATTGGGACTCTTGGAACAAACCAGCCAAACTTCAAACAAGTTCCAAAATAAGCTCAACAGCTCGGATGACAGCGCCAAAGAAAGTTTCTAGCACCACAGTCAAGAAGATACAAGTTTCAAAAATAAAAGAGAGTTTTGATGTTGCTGAGCACGATGATCAAGAAGATGGCTGGGGTGACGAATGGTAAAAATGCTTGAGCTCTCTAGTTGCTGGCAAGCAAAACGAAGGCACTCATTCCTCTCAGAAGTAATGATTAATATATATCTAGATATATGTGATCTGAAAGTAGTATACAAGCTTTGGCTTTACGCCCGTCAATTATTAACCCTTCAGTAGCCCATGTTTCTGTTGCCACCTCTGTTTCCCCAGCCGCCGTCGGCGGATCTGAAACCACCACGGTTACCACCACGGCCGCCACGACCGCCGTAACCGCCACGACCACGGCCGCGACCGCCGAAGCCGCCGCGTCCGTATCTTGGGTGACCACCGTACTGTCTTCTGTCGAATCTGCTCAATTCTGGAGAAACCTCTTGCTTAGCTTCTCTCATAATGCTAATTAGTTGAGCACCCAAACTTTTGTTAGCGTCGGTGAAGAAAGAAACAGCAGTACCGCTGGCACCGGCTCTACCGGTTCTACCGATTCTGTGCACATAATCTTCGATGTTACCTGGCATGTCGAAGTTTACAACGAAGTTGATACCCTTGACATCTGGATTCTTAAGTTAGTAATGTAGTTCAAGAAGCACTCTACTACAGCTCTTTCAATGCGCAAACAGCGGTCACAGGAAGAATCACGTAAGCAAAAGACGTTCGATTAGAAATTTACGCAATCTCTCGAACCAGGTCCTGTCAGTCTATGCCAAGCGTGTGGTTTGACCGACGAGACATGAGAGGGATCAATACATATGACAAATACTACACACAGAAGTCAAAGATAATGCGAGCGCTTTCTCTAGAAAAGCGGCATCAGCAGCCAAACAAAAACAGAACACGGCGCGCAAAGTGACCGCACAGGTCTCTCAGCTTAGATTTCAACGAGGCTACAAGACAGAATCTTGTAGCGTCTCCATATATCGCGCCTCAGTCTCTATTCACAAACAAGTCCAACGTCAAGTGAACCTTTAGCTGCCCATCCGTTCCTGCTTATTACTCTTTTCCTATCCAGTGAAAGAGAAAGCAATATTAAGATCATCTTTAAACCATTGTGTAGCGGAAGTTATCATAATTCCAATCCCTGCTTGTAGTCGTTACGGCACAAAAGTTACCTTTACCATTTGAAAGGATATTTTTCATGCATCTTCTCCGTTCCTGTAAGTCATTCGTTAGATGTAGACGTTTGTCAAACAAAACAACAAGCTACCAGTCCAGCTGATACCCTATATGCTTGTTTGACAAAAATGCAATGAGTGTTGAAAGAAAAAAAAAAAATACACATACCAATACCTCTGGCGGCAACGTCGGTGGCCACCATAATAGGAGATCTACCGGTTCTGAATTCTTGCAAAACCCAGTCACGCTCGTTTTGAGCTTTATCACCATGGATAGCCAAAGCTGGCCATCCGTCTTCTCTCAAATATCTGGTGATTTCGTCACAAGTTCTCTTGGTAGAGGCAAAAACCAAAATCTTGGATTCTTTGTCTTCGGAAGCCATTTCCAAGTACTTCATCAAACGGTCACGCTTCTCCATTTCAGAGACGACCTCGACAATTTGTTTGATGGTGTGGGAAGCGGCCAATTCCAAAGAACCTACGTTGACCTGAATAGGATCATGCAAGTAGTCACTAGCCAATTGTTGGACCTCCTTAGGCCAGGTAGCAGACCACATAAGAGTTTGTCTGTCTGGTCTAATCTGGTCGACGATCTTTCTGATTTGAGGTTCGAAACCCATGTCCAACATTCTGTCGGCTTCATCGAGCACCAGGTAAGTGACTCTTTTTAGGTTAGTCTTGTTGATCTCCAACATGTCGATCAATCTACCTGGAGTGGCAATGACGATTTCAGCACCTCTAGTCAAGTCTCTGATCTGCTGACCCTTTGGAACACCACCATACACACAGGTGTTTCTAATTCTGGAAGTTTTACCGAATTTGGAGCACTCCTTCTGGATCTGAACGGCCAATTCTCTGGTTGGGGACAACACTAGAACGATTGGACCATCGCCGGGAGACAATAGAGGCTGGGCGTTGATGTGCACGATACCGGGCAGACAGTAAGACAAAGTCTTACCGGAACCAGTAGCGGCCACACCGATCATGTCTCTACCAGAGAGGGCCATGGGCCAACCTTGACACTGGATCCCGGTTGGCTTCTCGAAACCCTCGGCTTTGACCTCAGTCAAAACGTAGTCTGGGAAGCCAGCCTCGTCGAACGAGGTGATTGGCTTAGGAATGTCTTTTCCGTAGATGGTCATCTCGTTTTCCTTTCTGAAAGCAGCCACTTCCGCATCGGAACGGTCGCGAACAGATTCGTGTTCTACGTAAAAGTTTTTCTCGAACTTAGGCAAGTTTGGCAATTCTTCGTCCCAGTTAGGAGCCACAAGTTCTTGGGGTTCGGTGTAACCACCACCACGCTGGAATCCACCACGTCCACCGCCGTTCTGGTAACCTCCGTCTCTGTTGTAAGAGTTTCTGTCCGAAGATCTGCCACCACGGTAGTCGCCACCACGATAGTTGTAGTTGTCGGTGTTGTACTGCTGGTCTCTACCTCCGTAAGTCATATTATAGTGTAGTTGGATTTGTGAGTGTTTCGTTGTGTTTATAAAAACAGTGGGAAAAGGTTGAAGAGCTAAAGGTCCTCGATGCTCATCGATGATCTCTTTATATACACGGAAAATTTGACGCCCAGGGAAAAAAAGTCTGAAAAAGAAATTATGCGATGAGCGACCGGAAAAGACAAAGTGATAAGATTGGTGAACCGATGAGCAGCGAGAGTTTAGGCGTAGGATGGCCAGGAAGAGCTGGCATGGAGTGGGCTTTCCAGATGGCGCTACTTTAGGATATAAGAAGTAATTATGGCTGTCGTGCGTTGCACTGAAAGTGTTCTTTTGACGGTGTTTGACGTTGACATTTTCGAAATTTTAGCAGCGAGTGGAACGCTTCGTTGAATGAATATTCCTACCACTCGGGATAGTTGGTGTTGTAAAGGGCGTTTTGAATTTCATTCTTAGAGTTTTATATAAAATTTCGTTACAATGACCTTGGTTTTTTATGACAGCGTGGAAAGTCAGTGATAGTGGAAAGAAGACTGCAAATGACCAGCCGTTCAGAAACAATGTGCATCGAGCTGCTCAAGTCACCTCAGTTCACTTCATTTCAGTTGATCTCTTGACTCGACACTTGGTAGTCATCTGTCACCGCTGTCATGTGACCGTCCATACAAAACGCTGTCTCAGTGCAGTGCTCGCCACGAGTGTTTCGGTGTCACAGGTGCTCACTCAACGACAACATATCCAATGCGTCTTTTTTCTGAATTTCCTCCACTGCGACAGCCGTTGAAGCACTCTTCTTCCCAACTCGCCCGACAAGTACACTGTTACACACTACTTGCACGGTCCTGCAACTCTTTCGTGTTATTCAGCCGGCTTACTGATGCCAGCCCAATTATGCTCTTAAAACGCCCTCAATGGCGCTCGATATTATACAGTATAAACACTATCAGCGGACCTTACATTTCGCGGATGCGCTGTGTGAATTTGTCCTCTACAGCATCGCACAGATCCATCAGATCCTGCAAGCCTTTGTGGAGCACCTCCACGGCTGTTGAGTCACCGTACGTTTGAATTCGTAGATTCAAGAGGTTTTCACTGGGATGAGGAATCGAGTACCCGCAAAACTCAACGTCCGGGTTTTTCATGATGATGTAACGCAAGGCGTTGCCCAATGTGTGGTCTTCTTCTGAGATTTGGAAAGAAGCACATTTTCCGTCCTCGGATGTGGCACTGGATAGTAGTTTGATCTTTTCTTTATCAAGTTCTTCTTCGTCTTCGTCGTCGTCCATGTTCTGGTCATTTGCCATCATGTCAACGTCCTGAGCCTCATTTTCAGCGGAATTTTGAGCACCATTACTTTCTTGAGTAGCACCAGCACTCACCATATCTTTTACACCTTCGCTGGCCATCTTATACCTCAGTAAACGGGGTCACAAATGTGGTTTCTCAAGAGCGATGAGCTTAGCTTGAGATTTTAAACCAAAATTTTTCCAATAATAAAAACCATACTGGGACGTACTAAAAGATTAAGATCAAAGCGAAAGGGACAAGGACGAACAAACTACAGGCTCAAGGCCCTCTGTACTCACTCTACAACTTCTTGGCTATCGCGAGAGCTCTGTTGGACACTTTTTCGTTATACGCAAACCTTGTTTGTTTTTATAAACTCTTCAACGCGTCGCTGCGCGCGCTACTATTTCAATATTTACATTATGTTTAACGCTACAGCGTCATTCTTAATACGTTACACCGTTCTCAAATGGTTTTGCTAGATCTCTTGGAATATTCTCTTTTAAAGACTCACAATAGAGTTTCGCCAAGCGCACATCTGGCGATGGCGCAACCGGCAGAAATGGTGTCAATGACATGAAGATCGTGAATAGCAAGTGATGGGTTACACTCCATGACATCGAGGGCTACAAGTCTGCCGGTTTCAGCGATTCTCTCGCTCAAAAACAAACTCTCCCTCAAGGTCAAACCACCTCTGACAGGTGTACCAGTGGCAGGCACAAATAGAGGGTCCACAGCGTCTACGTCGTAAGACAAGTGGATTGGGCTAGTGCCGTCTGGGTTGATGGCCTGCAGAGCCATTTCGATAACGGCGTTGAGGCCGTAGCGGTCCACGTGGTACATGGAGTATGCCTTGATGTTGTTTTCCTTGAGGATCTTTTTTTCGGCGTCGTCCACGTCTCTGAGGCCGATGTAAGCGATCTTGTTGGGCTTGAGACATTTTGGTACCCATTTGAGCGCAGGAGGGGTATTCTCAGGGTCCAAGCCCATCACAAACGACACCGGACATCCGTGCAGGTTTCCAGAGGACGAGGTGGAGGTTGTGTTGATGTCAGCGTGGGCGTCGATCCAGAGCAGACACGCGTCAGGATGCTCGCTGAAAACACCTGCTACAGTGCCCATGGAGATGGAATGGTCGCCACCGAGAGTGACGGGCATCTCGCCGCGACGGAGCGCTCCCTGGACGGCGTCTTTGATTTTTTCAGTGGCCTCACCCACGAGTTGAGGTTTCTTCAGATTTTTGTAAACGTCTGAGGTGTCTTCCTCGGTGCGTCTTTGGTGGTCGACCCCAGCAAGCGGTTCTTGGATGTTCACGTTCCAGCCCAGTTCCTGGAGCTCGTGTGCCAGTCCGTGTCTGAGCATGTATTTAGGGCCATCTTCAGTTCCGGCTTTGCATTGACCGCCAGAAAATGGTGCCAAAACGAGACTCAGTTTCTTCTCGCTGTAGAAGTCGTAGTGTGGTCCTGGAAGCATTTTTGTGGAGAAAGTTGAGGTGTGTGTGCGTGTGTGAACTTTGTTCGAGTTGTTTCTTGCAATAATTTGGCGATGTTGGATACAACAGCGGAGAGTTATATATGTGCAGTTTTATGGTTTGCAGATAATATTGATGGGGAAGAGTTCGACAAAACCAAAAAACCCACAAAAGTCGTCTACTTATATACTTTTTTCAACATCTCCATCACTTGCACTTGCGGGAACTTAGGTCGGGGAGTCTTGTTTTTGGTTACGTGTATCACACTTATCGATATGTGCAACGGCGACGTTTTTAGACAGTGAAATTTGTTCTTCTAAGTGAAAGATATAGCGAATTGGTCATAGTAGAAGAGAGCCGTGAGCGATAGAAGGGATTTGAAGGTTAGAAGCGCTATTGAAGAGTTGAGAGAGTAGTGAAAGATAGCTAGAGATGCTATTCAAGAAATCAGAGCGTTGGTGATCGATTGGGAATAAGCAGAGGGATTTCTATAATTTGAAAGCTTGTGGTGCTATGGAGAATTTCTACAGTATTGTTAAACAAGAGTGTGGTGTGAATTCGCGATGAACAAGAGGGGTACTAGTAGGAGCGTTGGCGAGTTTGGTGTTGAATGGGTGAGTGAAGTGTAGGCTTAGGAACGTGTTAAAAGCGTTGTCGAGTGGTTTCGCGAGTACGAGTACGGGCTCGAGTACGGGCTCAAGTACAATTGAACAATCGAGAGTGTCAGCGATCAAGTGGGAACAACAATGTTGGCCACAAGCACCATTCAACAGTTGAGAGCGTTAGCGATTTCAAGAACAATCTATATATTTACACCATCATTAATCGATTTTGGTAAGTAGAGACCTGTAAGTATTAATGAACAATTGAGAGTGTCGGTGATTTAATCTGAAAAACAAGTCTTATATGAACAGGTACAGCTATGAGAACGACAACGTTCAAAGATTTTTAGTCTTATTGTGAACGGGAAAGAAGCCTCTCGACATTGTTCAACAACTGATAATGACAGCGCCCCATTTTGATAAACGATGACTTTGTACTCTGGAAACCGAAGCTTGAATACGTCGGCGATCGAATCTCAATAGTGGTAGCTATTGCAAACATTATAACCACGAGCACTTGCAAGCTGAAACTAGTCTCCGCCACCTGTAATAGAGAGACTCCTCTCAAATTCCGCTAAAGTGACATTCCTAGCCAATAAAGAACAAACATATAGCTTATGGCACATCTAAACAAGTCAAAATTAACAAATGTTGCGTAAAATGACAGTGATCTTTTACCAACGTGAGGATATACTCTTACGAGCATAGCTTGAGAGAACCAGGTTGGCTACTGTCAGTCCCGAGCCACCAAGCACATGTACTTACACCACTCATTACACCACTTCACTTTCACAGTTCTTCATCGTCTTTTGTATAGCGCCGTGGCGCAGTGGAAGCGCGCAGGGCTCATAACCCTGATGTCCTCGGATCGAAACCGAGCGGCGCTATTTTTTTTGAAAATCAACTATTCAAGAACCAAAGTGTATCATCTTTTTCCTTCGGGAAAGTTTAAGATGACCTGCTACGAGGATCGCATCACACCTCACTGGCGTCACTACAATATTTAAATCTTTGTCTTTACCACTTTCTTCTCACTACTATCCTCACTGGTCATGGACTCATCGCTGTACTCCGGGTTTTACACGTCCCAGAAGTTGGTCGACGAGTTCAACATGTTGCAGGATAATCTACCCATCACGCTCAAAGAAAAGGACTCCACCGAATACGACGACAACTACAACAACGACGAGATCAATGAATCCACAGCGTCTCAAACGTCTCTGATAAACGGCAAAGTCGTACCGCCGCCACAGCCTGCGGTAATCGCCAATGCAGTGGTCCGAAAGATCGACATACTGCAAGCGGTTTTCAACACTCTAGGTGGGAAAGATAAACTGGCAAAGATCCTCAAATACGTGCTGGACCTTTTAAAGCTGTTTGTGGGTCGCAGCCGAGCTTCAATCACCACATGGGACCCGCAGGTGCTACAGCACTACTCCAAAGTGCTTTCGCAGCTCAACATGCGCCTGATGCTCAAACACCCTGTCACCATTTTCAAGATCGTCACCGTGGCGTGTCTGCGAAACTTCGAGTCCCGCGCGTCGATCATAAGCACAAGTCTGAGTCTTTTTCGCCAAATCCTGAGGTTCGGTGGCACGCCCTTCCGCGTAGTGGCCATGTGCCAAAAAATCAGCTCGACCCTGCATCAGATTTCCGCATCCAAGCAGTCGAATCTGCTGCAGAAATCTGCACCTACCAGCAGCCATGCGTTGGCCGTCGTCAACAAAGTTTGGCTCAACGAAAGCTCGCTTGCCGATTTTATCGATCTGTACTACGGCATAATGGACGAACTGGCGCTGCTGCACAAATTCAAGCTCTGGAACCACGCTACATTGTTCCAGTGGGTGTCCAAACACGAGGCTCTATCGTGGTACTACGATATCATGCTTGGGCTGAAAAATAACTGGGTTGCTCTGCAGGATCTGAACCGTGCGCAGCTCGAGCTCGAGATCCAGATTCAAGTCAAGAAGCGGGCATTGGAGCTTTCCTCCAGGCTCCAAGACAGAGCTGCGTCGCCCATAAAACAGCAGCTGCTGCAAGACTTACAGGCCAGCAATAACGGCAACACAATCGTTCTCGAGCGCATTCACGAACTGGAACGTGAACGCAAGACCGTCATGCTTGATCTCGTAAGGCTGTCATTTGATTTTCTTGCTGACTCAACCGACGTTTTCAACTTGAAGACGCCGCCTGGTACCTATGCCTTATTATCGTTGGCATCGGGTCTAACAGGGTTTGTCAAACTATGGGGCAACGCCAAGAGGGAACTATCCAATAATGTTCCATCTACATAGTCTTATACAGGTATAAGCACCCATTCCCAACCATCCTTCTCGTAGACCGCGATTCATCTCTGACAGCTCTGACGTGTGTAACAATTCCATCTGCCACATAGTTTCTTAATGTTTTCGTGTGTATAATACACATTGAAATGACATCCTAGCAATTGGGACCTCTTCTCGAGACATCAACTTCTACAAGTCGACGCCATGTCTAAACCTAAAGTGTTGATACCTTTCAAGACACACGTAGACCTTGCAAAACACCTCGCCGATTGGAATTGCCTCAACGCTGATATCGACTTTATTGAATACAAAATCACCTCAAAGGACGACTTTAAAGCTTACTTGAAGACCTCCGACATTGTTTGTTTGTGGATTACTGATGAATTGTGTACCTTCTGGGACGAACCAACCTGTTTTTTTGATGATTTCCCTGCAAGCTTGAAACTGATCGCTGTGCCCTGGGTTGGAACGGACTTTTTGGACGTTTCGAAGCTGAGAAGCGAGAAAAACATCACCGTTTGCAACATTGGACCACACGCCGCTGGCAGCGTTGCCGAGATTGCCCTGCAACTCACACTGAGCTGCTTCAGAATGACTTCGTTTTTCGAACACTGTTTTCGTTTTGTTCACACTGGCCAGTGCTTGAAGTGCTTTGATTACGTGGGTGGCACGAAGCACGCGCCTCATCAGACTCCAGCTCTTCGCGGCGGGGCTTCATACCTGTTTCCCGAGCCATTGAGTATGGAGCAGTCTCAGGACTCCCAACAGAACTCAGCGTTCACAATCGCGGGGAAAAGTATCAACTCTACTGCTGGAAAGACTGCTTTGATCTTGGGATTCGGATACATCGGCCAAACCATTGGTAAGAAACTACACCACGGGCTCGACATGTCCATTAGGTACTACAAAAGATCTGGTCCCGTTTCCAGCGAAATTTTGGGCTATCCAGCAGAGTATTGTGACTCTCTCAAGGACCCAAAAACTTGGGCGGCTGCAGACCTCGTGGTGTTGGCACTTCCAGGTGACGCTTCTACCAGTAACATTGTAAACCACGAGACCTTGAGCTTTTGCAAAGATGGGGTGAGAATTGTCAATGTGGGTCGCGGATCGTGCATCGATGAAGAAGCCCTACTAGCAGCTTTGGAGTCTGGAAAAGTGTGCAGCGCCGGATTAGACGTTTACAAAAACGAGGGTACCAAGGTTGATCCCAGATTTTTTGACCGGTGGGACGTAACGCTACTGCCACATATCGGAAGTGCAATTTCTGAGATGATAAGCATGCAAACTTCAGTGACACTAAATAACATCGAGGATGTGCTTCTTAAAAATGGGAGCGGTCTGTACCCGGTGAACTAGCTCTTTCTGGCAGGTGCTTAACGAATGCCGGCGTTCATTGCTATTTTCAAGCATATTCAGAGAAGCTTGCAAGGGAGACGCAGTTAGACCCCTCGAAGATATGTATGATTCAAAAGTTAACTTTAATATCCATTTCATTACAAAATCTAGTTACAAACTCTCTGAAACGTGGAGACCCTCTTCAAAAAAAATGCTGCGCGGTGAGAGCAGTACATCTTTTGAGACTTGTAAAAGCTGTGAACGGGGAATACTGTTTTTTTCTATTGCCGTTCAGCACAGCGCAGCCCCACGAAATATGAGTTGGTACAGAAACTAGTGGTGAGGGACACTTTGATGGCTTCATTTTTCTATTATATTTACACTACTGTTTCTTTCCGTCACCACTCCGTTTCTCCCTGGGCTTTCTGAAATGCATAGTCCTTGAAATTGATGGTCGCCAGCCCATCTTTCAGGTTGCACTTCCACTTGTTCTTGACCCGCAGTACCTTTTCGTACAGACACAGCACGATGTTTTCGTCTTGGCCCTCGTCGTCGCCAGAAGAGTTGAGGTAGTCGTCTTCAGAGTCGTCGAGGTCTGAGTTGATCTCATCTGTCTCCAGCAGTGCACTTTTCTTGGCCTGTTTGGCCTGCAGCTTCAGCTGCTCTGCAATCTGTCCGTCTGAGTCGCCCATTGTCAGCTCAATCTCTTCTTTCGGCTGCTGGTCCTCCTGCTTGGTCTGTGTCATCAAGGAGTGAGCCTCGATTCCCTGCTGCTGCTGCTGTTGTTGTTGTTGTTGTTGCTGTTGTTGTTGCTGTTGTTGTTGCTGTTGTTGCATTTGTTGTTGTTGTTGCTGCTGCTGCTGTTGTTGTGAACTTGCACCCGCTGCTTTGTCTTCTCCAGGCGATGCGAATTCTGGCATTGCCAGGCTGTGAGGCTCCATCAAGCTGGGTGCTATGTGTGAATTGTGCAGCTGTGAGTTCAATCCGGCGTCCTCATCCTCCGGGTCCCACATGAACTTTGCTACACGGCTATCTGAAAGCTTATTCTGCCACACTAGTCTCAAGTCTTGCAGTGTTTGTTCGTCGATGCCCGCGCTTTCAAAGTCTTCTCTCACCTCATTGATCACACTCTCTACAATGGTCTCATATGCTCTGGCGCCTTCCAGGTTAGACATTGTGTTGAGATTACAGGTCGTGAGCCGATCGATTTCCAGCTGCTTTCCCTTCTTTCAAGAGCTAGACTATATAAATGGATAGAACTTGAGATGGTTTCCAAATTTTTCACCATTTAATGTTCACTTACAAGAATATGAACAGAGAGAGCTGAAAACGGAGGAAGACGAGAGTGTAAAAGGACGGAATAGAGGGGTCTGTGACTTTTGGAGGAGCTTCAAACTTTTGATATGAAGCTGGGAAGCGAATATCAAGTTATTTCGCCTCTTTCCGGACTTGTAGACAGGCTGTGAGTAGATATATCTAGCCTTGTATTGTAGTTGGCCCTAGAGGGTCTTAGGGCCTAGAGCTTCCGTGATGCTTGCGAAATGAACTCTGAGGTTGCTTGCGCGTCTCGATATTGCTTACTTGCCACTGTACTGTTGATCATACAATGCTGTCGTGTGTCGACAGAACACTTCTTAGAGAATGATAGCACTGGAGGGCGACGAACTTGGAAGTGGCAAAGGAAAATGCTTTGGTTGGGACATACTTATTTCTGTGGTTTGAAATTGCAGACTGGATTCAGGTCCACTTCAATCCAGCGTTCGAGCCTTTCTATAATGGATCTTGACAATGCCATAAACGACCGCACTTTCTATGAACATGCAAACGCATAGTGAGTAATACACGAGTCAATCAACAGATTCCAACGCAAGACAATGGCTCTGTTTGGACTCGATATTGCCTTATGAGAAATGACGATCTTTGCGAACTGACTAAAGCCTCAAAATTGATCGCCTCACAGACGTTTCTCAAACTCTTGGATCAAACGCCTCTAAAAAGAGAGCTGCTTCACCCGAGTGCACAATTCAAATGGTTAACCAAATCGAGGACGGCCATCTAGCTCTTGCCATACTCTTTGTCGTGTCTTTTTATAATTTCATTCGCGACGCCTAAATTATTAAACTCATCATACATCTTCTCGGCGTGTCTTATAAAAACACAGACGTTTATCCTACAAGACCGCATACTGGCGCCATGGAGAACGCTCAAAGCGGCAGCTTTAGCACTCCCTTGAAGAAACCTCAACCAGAGGTTCGACAATTTGGCTCTTTGTCCCACGCCAACTATAGTCAACCTCTTAAACATCACTCCATCGTTAACGATAACGATGAGGGCAGACACGATAACAGTCGAGACAAAGAGAACGACTTACTGGAGGCCGGGTCGTCTTGGAAAAGAGCACGGGTAGCTAAACAAGATGAATCACGCGAAAACCTCAATTCCTCGCCTGCTGTGATAGAAATGTTGGATCGAGACGCAAACGGACTGGTGGAATCGAAAGTGCCAGACGAGGCTCTTGAAGACGCCCAGGAAGACATTTCAGAGGCTATCACAAGTGCTGTACGAGAAATCTCTCACAGTGATATGTCCAATCACGAAAATGGCAACCAAACCTCGCTTTTCCGAAACCTTCTGTCACCCGCCAGGCGTGTTTCTCCAGAAAAGCATCCACTCACGCCGATTGATGCACACCATACAGGTCTCTCAAATCTCGACAGCCTAACCCCGCTGAAAAGCTACGTTCAAGGCTCAGAGGAGGGGATACTACAGGCGCTGCAGAGTCGCTTCCGCCAAGAGCTCACCAGATATGAACACCATCTACGCGCTAAAAACCAACAGACAGATGAGTATCGCAAGGAAACGATCTCCTCTCTTGAAAAGATCAAAAAACTAGATGAAAGCTTGGACGAGCAAAAACTGGCATTTTCCGTCCTCTGGGGTGAGCACGAAGTACTTAAGGCCTCACAAGCCGCTAAAGAAGCCAAATGGGAGGGACAGACTGAGGATTTAGAGAGAGTATCTGATGAAAAGAGTAGACTAGAGGAAAGGGTATCGAAGTTGAAGCTGAAGCTATCTGAGGTGCGTAATGAGATCAAGATGCTCCATCAAAACTCCCAGATATTGCAAGAAAAGTTTCAGCTGCAGATTCAGGACAACGATAGTTTGAAGAAGCAGCTCGAAGTATGCGAAGAGCGTGAGAGTAAGCTCCAGTATCGATTGGAAAAGCTACAAAGTGAAAGAGACGAGCTCAGAGTGCAGAAAGATCACCAAGACATCGAAATGATGACTTTGAAGACTGCCATGACCGAGCACGAATTGGAATCCCGCACCCTTCAACAGAGGATCGCACACCTCGAAAATCTGCTACGCGAAAGGGAGAACGCTTGCAGGGAACTTCAAAGCACTGTCGAGTCTTTTGAGGACACGAAGCGGCAATCTACTACAGAACTCGAGAACCGCGTCACCGATCTTCTAAGCGATATAAAAGGATTGAAAGCGGAGCTGGAGGCCGTAAATAAGCTTAAAGTGGACCTTGACGAAAGCAGGGAAAGGTTGCGTGCATCGGAAGGCGAGCTCGCATCTGCCAGCGAAAGCATGCGGACCCTACGCGAAAGCGAGATTGCACTCGAAAAGCGCTCGCTAGAGCTAGAGGAGCAATTGACGCAGCACAAGCAGCGGCTGGAAAGTGTGACCGACCAGATGGCAATTAAGTCTGCGGAACTTGAGGAACTACAGCACGACCTGGAGGAGTTGCGACAGACCAAAAGCCACTTGGAGGAGTTTGTCAAGATTCGCGACGCGGCTGTAGAAGACTGGAAGGCCAAATATGACAGTAAGTGTGCTGAGAACAACAAGCTCGCGGTGGAGATCGAGAGCTACCAGTTCCGAAACGGGAATCTGGAATCCGAGCACCTTGTGGAACTCGAACAGCTGCATCAACAAATGACATCTCTGCAAGATACGCTGCGAGCGAGATCCGAACAAATTGCGCAGCTAGAAAACGAAAAGAGCGAGTTGCAGAGCCAGTTGAGCGAGGATGCTGCGAAACACGCTCAAGCAAATGACGGTGCACTTTCAGAATCACCGGCTTTGAGCGAGCTGAAGGCACAGGTTGAAAGTTTACGGCAGCAACTGCAGGAAAAGGACGCCGATACCAGCAAGAGGCTACAGCTACTTGCAGAGGACCTGTACATCCAATACTCGTCCAAGCATGAACAGAAAGTCAAAATGCTCAAAAAAGGCTACGAGACGAACTATCAAGACAAAATCGAGAGGATGGCTCTGGAAAACACAGGTCTACGCGATGAGCTCCACCAGCTCAACAATATGCTCAAGACTGAAAGAGACGACAAACAACGTCTCGTTCAACTGCTGAATAAATAGTCGACGGATTTGAGTCCGCAATCTCATAACAGTCTAAGAGTCACATGACTCCTGTAATCATGGGCATTTCGCGTCATTCAAGGTATAATGTTAATTCACTGTAGATCCTACAAGAAACCAACACGAACAACACGGTTCATAACGCGTAAGGCGCATCTTCTCAGTGGGTCACGTCGCCTTTTCTTTGAACAAGGGAGTCCTTTACGTTTCATAAGCGGCCAGCAATCTTTCGGCTGGCTTCTTCTCTAGTTGGATTCGACGACAAGGCATCATTTCAACGGTATTGTGAAGGTGTTTCAACGACGAGAATAGGATCGAAAAACAGCATAAAGAAGCATAATGGCGTCTGGAGAAGACGCAGTTGGTGATTCGGTCACAATGCAGCTTTTATCGAAGTACAACGACCACATTTCTGAACGAGACGAGAGTCTGGCAGAGTTTGAGAGGAAAGAAGACGAATCAAGCCAGCCCAGCTATGACGAGCTCTTGAAAGAGAACGTTAAGCTTAGACTCCAGTTGCAAGAATCCGAAACAGAGCTCATTAGCCTGAGAAAATTTGTGGAGGTGCTCAAATCAGACCGTAGCGTGCAGTTCGAATCAGTTAGGCAACAGCTGGTGGTGGAGGAAGACGCACCCAAAGAACCAGTGCTTCCACCGCGATCTGCGGAAAGGAAGCGTAACGCCAAGAACCTGAGCCTAAATTCCGCCAGTGACTCAGCAATTTCCGAGCCCAAGTCGCGTAATCTTCTGTCTCCTGCAGATATAGGCCTCAGGAAAAACATTTCTAACAGCTACAATACACCCGTGCTCCAGCAGCCTGTTGCTCAAGAACACGTTCTCTCGCCGAAGGAGCTCGATCGCATCCGAAGATCTAGCTCTTCGTACTCGAATGTCGTAGCAGCCAGTCCTGCCACCTCGGTTGCCTACACGACGTCCAGAATATCGCCTTCGAAAAGTAACAAGCATGACGCGAAAGATGACGAATCGGCGAGTGCTGCCGTGGAAAAAGGTGCGGCTATGCGTCAGTATGTCAAGGGCATCTCGGGCTCAACAAGTGAAGGTTTCAACTCGCCACTGAGACAAGTTTCCAGCAGCAATAGTCATCAAAATCTGTCCGAACACTCATCGCGAAAAGCATACCCTAAGAGCCCAGTCCCTAATTTGCTCGCAACGGAAGAGAAAGCAGCCGATTTCTCTCCTTCTTCAAAGCGAAATTTCAACAACTTTGTCGAAATGTTAGACTCCTCTTTCGAAACTGAGGATCCCTCCTCTTCTCAAACTAGAAGGTTGGACCAGCAAAGTGGATCACGAGCATTAGGCTCGCCAGTCACCCTAAGAAAAGCTCCCAATTCACCCCAATTAGAGCAAAGCCCACGAAACTCCATCAGACCATCAAACGCTTCGATTGAGGGACGATCTTTCGCAACAACTGTTCCATCCTCAGTCGCATCGCAAAACATATCCTCACAAGATCAACAGTCTCCAAGATCTTTCAGTACCAAAAGCTTTCCTACTGTAAGTGGTGACACCAACTCTATTACAATTCAGTCAACAAATAACACATCGACGCCGTCGGTCACAGATACACAAAGCGTCGTATCCGATATTCCGCTCTTTTTGCAACCCAACGAGCTCAACACTATCAGGATTGAAATCATAAGTACCTTGCATCGTGATCAAGACAGGTTCTGTGACGACAACTTCATACTCTTCAGTGTCATCGACAAGCAGTCAGCAAAGGACATTTTCAGGTTCGCCAAAACCATCGATCGCGTGTACGAGTTGGATGTTTACCTAAAATGTCATATGGACACCATCATGCTCCCGCCGCTACCAGAAAAACAGCTATTTGAATCAAATTCTCCAGTCAAGATAGACTACAGAAGAGAGAAGCTCAACGATTATTTCAACTGTCTTTATGGTTCTTCGAATGTCCTTCCAATAGTTGCGCTGAAAATGGCTAAATTCATAAGTACGGGAACTGTTATGAATTCAATTATTGGAGAATACGCGAAGGAAGGTGTTCTGCTTATGCGTAAAAGCAAGGCCTTGGGCACTCCCAACAACTGGCGTCTCACATACGCGGTCCTGAATGGTGGTATCTTATCACTCTTGGACAGAGGACAAATCTCTGAGAGTATCAAAGTACATAATGCCGTCATCGAGCTCCAGGCTAATTTGCCGGACGATAGGTATGGTACTAAGAATGGTTTTATTGTAATCGTGCCCAAAAAAAGCGGTCTTTCCAGCGGCACCAAATACTATTTCTGTTGTGAAAGTCCGAAAGAAAGAGAGGCTTGGGTCTCGAATCTCACCGAGTTTGTGGAGGCACCAATTCTCTCCAATAGCTCTACTTACACAAAGTCTGAAAACTCAAGCATGTTAGAGCATTACAGTGCAAGTAACGACGTGCCCTCAGATTCAACTTCAAGTTACATTGGTCCTATGGCGAACCTTCAACCTCCAGCAAACGTTTTGCCTGCTTCTAACGCTGACGCGGTACCTACAGATGATGAAAGAGAAACTAAACGTAGTCGAATGAGAAGTTTCTTTCCATTCAAAAGAGTGAATGTCTCTCAGATTCCAACTGATAGTGACTTGAACACGGATGGAAGTGTGTCAGAAGAGCTTTCAATAGCGAAGACGTTACATTCCATGGACTTGGCTGACGAAGTTTCAACAAACAAGATTTTCGGTTCAGATTTGAACAAGTGTTTATCATTGAGTTCTCAGCTATACCAAGGCGAGTACAAAATACCCAGCGTGGTTTACCGATGCCTGGAATATCTGTATCGCAACCATGGCATCGAAGAGGAAGGAATTTTCCGGATAAGCGGCTCAACTGTACTGATCAAGTCGTTACAAGAGCAGTTTGATAGGGAACACGATGTGGACCTTTGTAACTTCAACAAAACAGTTGTCACAGAAGAAACTCAAAACTCCTACAGCACTGGGCTCGTTGATGTGAACACAGTCACTGGATTGTTAAAACTCTACTTGCGGCAGATGCCTCACTCAATCTTTGGTGAACGCATGTTTTCTGCTTTCAAAGATGTCATCGAATTCAAAGGGATAACACCCAGCCAGATAGCAGTAGAATTTCGTCGACTTGTCCATTCGGATGAAATGCCATTCGAAAATCTATCGCTAATGTTTGTTTTGTTCGAATTATTGGTAAAAATCAATCAAAAAAGCTCTTTCAACAAGATGAACCTACGAAACCTGTGCATCGTATTTTCGCCCACTTTGAACATACCGGTAAATGTGATTCAACCGTTCGTTGTTGATTTCAACTGCATATTTGAAAACAAAGATCCTATAAGCGATTCTTCGAGGGAACAACTGATAGTAAGTATACCCCAAATGTAATATTACGAAGTGATAAATAGATCTCCTGTCTACCTCTAATGCGTTATGAAGTTTACGATTCGTGAAAGTAAATATCAATGGAGCTCAAAAGCGTAATCAATATGCGAGCGTTTATCTAGTTGGGAACTCTTTTCCTCAAGATGTTCTCGATGAAAGCTTCACCAGCTTTGTAAGAGGATCTGACCAGGGGTCCCGAGGCACAGTATAAGAACCCCAGTTCAAGAGCCTTGTCTTTCCAGTAATCGAATTTCTCGGGGTTGACGTACTCTACAACCTTCATGTGTCTTTTAGTAGGCCTCATGTACTGACCAAATGTCACAATGTCACACCCAATGGCACGCAAATCCTTAAGCGTCTGCAGGACTTGCTCGTCAGTCTCTCCTAACCCAAGCATCAAAGAAGTCTTGGTGAGTATTGTGGGAACGCATTTTTTGGCATGGTTGAGGACGCTCAGGGATTGCGCGTAGGTGGCCCTTCTGTCTCTGACGTGCGGAGTCAATTCTCTTACGGTTTCCAAATTGTGTGCGTAGACGTCCAGTCCACTTTTAACCATGACTTCGACCATATTGAGATCTCCTCTGAAATCTCCCGAGAGGGTCTCGACCAGGGTCTTGGGTGCTTTCTGTTTAATTTTTTGAACGGTTTCTGCTAGATGGTAAGACCCACCATCCGGTAGGTCGTCTCTGTCGACCGTGGTCAACACTACGTAGCCAAGCCCCCACCTGGATACGGCCTCTGCTGTGTTTTCGGGTTCCATGGGATCTGGTTTCGCAGGCGCGCGGTTAGTCTTGACAGAGCAGAACCTACAACCACGCGTGCACGTGTCGCCCAGAAGCATGATGGTGGCCGTAGCTTTAGTTTTATCGGCACCTCCCCAACACTCACTTATATTGGGGCATTTGGCCTCCTCGCACACTGTACTGAGCTTCAACTCACGCACGTCTTTTTTCAGTTTGTGGAAGTTAGAACCTTTTGGAATTGGAACTTTGAGCCATTTGGGTAGTCGTTTGGCCTCTTCAGCGTTGTCTCTGGCTTGTTGCAGCGGGTCCAGCACCACCTGGGCGGCTTTACCGTTGACAAAATCCTCGAACGATGGGCCTTTGTTAAGAGCATCGGAAAAAGTGGTCGATCTGCGTCTTTTCGGCTGCGAGGGCGAGGCTGTGGCGGATTTGGTTCCGGAAATCGCTCTTTTCGACAGATGAATCCAGCATCTTCTCGTTGAAAGCATTATGCGAATGGGATCGGGCGCTCGGGCGAGATGGGTATATGCGATGGATATGAACTCTTGGGTTCTTAGAACACGGTTGAAAGGTTTAATTCAAGCCGGAGAAAAACAGACGAATGAAGAAGCTCTGATATAGGGTGTACAAGGGCGACAGTAGAGTGATAGAGCAGGAGATGGAGTCTTGGTGGATGGAAGAGATGTTTTGTTTGAAAACGATGAATATTTGAACTGATAGAGATATAAGAAGTTGATATTTTGAAAAATATGGCGTAAACAGGCAGCGATGGCCCGTCTAGGGTGATACATGCTGAATTTCAGACTCGGCGCCGGATGGTCTTTGGAGGAGTCAAAAAAGGTCGGGGCCCGGGAAACGGCGACGACGGAGTCAATTCGTGTAAAGGGATATGGGAAATATACGATTTTAAGGGTCATGTGAAAATAGCGTGATTGATCGGTAAAAAATTCATCACGTGAGAAGGAATGAAAAGGATCGGCATACGTCATACCCTATAAATACTCATTTCTCGCTTTCTTTTCTTTTTTGACACATTTGAATGTATTGGCCATACAAGATAGCCATCTCACCAAACAGCATTAATTCAAGACGCTTTCCGGTCCGTCCACTTTCAGATCAAAACTTGCATGCATTGTCTTAAAATATAACTATAAATTAGAAGTCATTAAACTATATCGTAAATTTAGGCTCTGCTTGCCCGCGTTTATTCGTCTCTGAGACCGACAAATTCACCGTTCTCCACTATAGCAACCTGGTGCAAGTAACGGTCGTTCAACGATACCTCGCCGTTCATGACACCGTTAAAGCTGCATTGTCCGCCAAACTTGTTTAATGGAGTCACCTCGATGACTTTGTGTTGCCAAGGGGAGACAATAATGGCCTTGTTACCGGCTTGGATAGCGTGAGAAGTGTTGCTAGATGCTTTGCCCATTGTGAAATGCGAGTGTTGTTGGTGAGTGTTGTTGGTGAGTGTTTTCTGTAGATAGATAATTAGACTGAAGACAAATAAAATCTCAATGTAGAACCTCTCTCGGCTCTGTTTATATACACGACATCTCTGGTGTGCTCCCTTTACCTTTCCCTTCTGCTTTGCGGTTCCTGTCTTTTGCGATAGCGTCAGAAACGCTTTTTTGCACTGGCTACAACGGCGTTGATGAAGTGAGATGGGCAGGACGAAAGAAGATCTGAGAGCAGGTAGAAAAGAGAAGAACACAAGAGAACGGGAGGCTAGAAGCAGAAGCACACATGAGATATATCGCGTTCAAGACGTCATATTGAAAGAAACGCTTGTGGGATGTGTTCAAGAAAACTCTGTTTGGTGCGAGTGAGTAGGCAGACTAGTCGTTACGTACGGCCTTGGCCAGCAGGCATACAGTGGACAGAGCAGAGCAGGGCAGAGCAGACTCGAGAAAGGTCTTGACGTGAGTAGATGGGGAGAGTTGTGGTGCGGTGTAGCGGTTAGATTGGTTTTCTCGGTATCTGCTGAAGGTTAGCATGCAATGGAGTCTTGTGAGGAAAAGCGATGAGTACAAGCACGAGAAAAACATCAATCTCGAGTACGAGTACGAGTACGAGTACAGGCACGAGTACAAATATAATGCTTAATTACTACAGTGCTGTGTGTTCACAAACTACAAGAGACATTCTCATAACTCCAACACATCCATTACTCTTAGTAGCTTCACATCCCTTGTTCTTGTAGCTAACTCTTGCAATGCTTCCACTTACGCTTCCACTTTCGTTTCCACTGGCCAAAGACTCCAGGCGTAAAATCTGCTCACAATGGTCCCTCAAACTGCTCACAACACTGCTCACATTGTTGCATCCCCCACCTTTAAGAACCCACCTGTGAGGTTACGACACCCTAAATCTAAAATATGAAATTAAAAAAACGAACTATTTAAACCGTAGACTAACGACATCCCATGCTTCTCTCTGGCCTCAACATTTAGAGCATTTGCACTCCTCTTTGGAACCGCACTTGCACTCGGCTCCGCATCCACAAGACGTGGAGCACGCCTTCTCCTTCTTGGCACAGCACGAACCACATTGGTCCTTGTCGGCACAGCAGCATTGTTTCTTGCTACATTCGCACTTGGCGTCACAGGCAAAGTTCACTAATTCTGAAAACATTATGTAGATCGTTGTATTATGATTGATCTGGGTTGATCTGGGGATGATCTGATGATGTCTGGGAGAGAGTAGACTGGGATAGGGTTCTTAACAATGGTCCAGGGACCCCTTATATACGTCGAAAATTTTCCTCAGTGTAACCAATCCCTGATGCAAGCACGTGATCATTAACCCGGCAACCGGGTTCAAGTGCGTTTTTAAAGCTGACAACTCGCTCGCTACGCATTGCGACACTTCCACGTAATGAACCGTCAAGGCGTCAAGACGGCAATGCGTTTTATTGCTGACCACCACACAGCCCGGTTTTTTTTTCATTTGCCGGTCGGTGTTTTTGTAGTCATCAAGATTCACGTCGTGCCAGCCAAATCAACGCAAGCGCATCCTCACATTTCTGCTGGAATCCATTGCCTGGTCTCTAAAATTTGTAGCACGGGCTTGGTAAAAACTCTTGAGATTGTTATGCATTTGCCTAAATCGGACCCTTGCAGACAAACAGGTGTCTTGAAAAAGTGAAGAAATCGTAAATAGCTCTTCTCGCTACCATTTGCTTTGTCCACTGCGAGTTGTGTGGCCCTTGGCCGTGGAAATATGCGACACCATCGAAATGTCGCTGTCGTCGAAATTCATCAATCGCGAGGTGCGACTGTTGCGCAAATGACGAGTCGTAGAGCCCGAGGGTATCTTGTAGCCGTTCGTGCTGGACGACGACAATGGCCGACGAGCATCGGTGGCCGATCCAGACGATCCAGACGTCGAAGATCTGGAAGACCGAGATGATGACCCAGACGATCCATTCGATCCAGACGATCCGGTAGACCCAGAAGACCCAGAAGATCGAGAAGGACCAGAAGATCTGGATGACGCTGATGATGAAGCTGCCGCTGCTGCTGCACTGCGAGCCGTGGCCCTCGTTTGCGGTCTAGAATCTCCCGGCGGTGGCCCTGGCGGCTCGATATCCAGACTCTCCAAGTGTCGCGAGATATCGTCGATTGTAATGTCCTCGACCGTACGGTTAAATGTCTTATTGAGCTCTTCATCGTACTCGTAGTCCTCGTCCTCGTTTTCATCCTCGTCGCTGCCTAACGTCTGGTTCACGAACGGTACTGCCTTGGGGTGTTCCATTTCGGGACTCAAGCTCTCCTGCTTCTTGATATAGCGTTTGTCGCTTGGCGTTGGCGTCTCGCTGCGGGGCAGCGATTCCGGCGTTTCTACCACGGTGGCAGGATCTGCCACCGCAATAGTGTTCTTCGTTGACCTAGTCACCCGTTTCCCTGTGTCGAACTTATGTTCTTCCATTTCTGGCTGGAAAAGAATATCCTCGAACTCAGGGATCATCGCGCGTCCCAATTTGATCACTTCTTCTGCCCATATGCGGATTACGTCGCGCGCGCGCTTGCTTTTGTAAGGTTTCCAATTTGGCTTACATCCACGTACAATCTCCTTGATTACCTGGGCGGACCCCCATTCGTTGATCCAGTTTTGGTTTTGGAGTCCAATCAAATGTGAGAAGACCCCAGAAGCAATCGCACCGTCCGAGTATCCACCTTCCATTACAGAAAGCACTTTACCATGCGAGTGCATTTGAGCGAGCTTTAGCGCATCTTTGGTGAACATATTGTAGAAGAATGTAGGAACGTTTACTCCGTGCCTTTGCATTGAGGCCTGTTCAAACTCTGAAGCATCAAACCCGGCGCTTACAACAACCAAAGCCTTGAAAGGCTTTCCCAAAGCCTTCATCGTTTGTTTGGCAGTTCGGAAATACTCGTCCGCCTTAGCAAAAATCGTTCTATACTTGGTTTGGTATAACTTGGTAAAGGCCTCATCCGTTTCATACCGCTGTAGATGAACATTCCAGATGTTCACATCGTGTGCATCCATAATACAGGTAGCAGCATTTCTGATGTTCTCTTTGGTTGCGTATCCCAGCTCTGACGGGAACGAATTGATATCGTGTAGCGAAAAATATCCAACTTTGGGATACTCTGCAAATTTCTTGCCAAACTCGTTGTACTCAGCTTCTGCTTCCGCACTTTCGTCGGGCTTGAATCCTGCTCTTTTCCAACAAATGTCCTGAGTGCCATCACCATGGTGGAGATCAAAGTCCAGTACCACGGCGTGTGTGACGCCATAAGTGTCTGCCGCGTACTCGATGGCAATGTGAGCGTTGTTCAGTAGACAGAATCCCGATGGTGTCGACGCATGCGAGTGATGACCTGGCGGGCGCAATGCTACAAAGGCCCGGTTGCTGGTCTCCTCCACGGTGGGTCCGTTAAAGATAGAGTCCACACCGATTTCGAGCGCTCCGATCGAGCCCTGCAGCGCTTGGATTGTCTGGCGCGACAGGTAGATGTCACCCACATTCCAGGCCGCTGGGACCTCCACCTCGCACCGGTCCAAGGCCTTTTGCGAGTTCTGGCATAGCCTCAAAAGCTCTGTGGGCCAGTCTTTGCCATGCACCTTCAGCACGTGATCCGCCAGCAGCGACGTTTGCCTTGTGTGCGACGACTTTAACGTGAAAAGCGCTGGGTACATGGTCACAGCAGCACCAATACCCATGGAGCATGCCAGAAGCCGCTCAGGCCGTTCCACGATAGTTTTCCTGTACGATTTCGACACCCAATGTCTGGGGAACTGGTGCTGCAACGATAGCGGCGACAACACCACCACCGCCTTGGCCGATTCCGGGATCTGCGACGCTCCATGCGCTGCAGACGCCACGTTCGGGTTGTTTTTCACAAAGGTCTGGAACTGGGCGTGAAATTTTCCCAGTGGATCTTCTGGTCCCGACATTTCCTTCAAATTTATGTTAAAATTGCGACCTTTGAAGACACCTGTCAAGCTGCGAGTTTTTTACTCACAAACACCGCAAGTGCTTAGCACAACGAAAAGTACCCAGCCGAATCTTAAAACCTTCTCTCGAGCACTGTTTGACGGCCACGACAGCTGTTCTGGTCTCGAAAGCTTCAAATCTCAGATTTGAAATGAAAGCCTTGGAAGATAGATGTTATTTCTTATTCTGGGATGGAAAACAACAACTCCAGTGCTCAAGAGGCACATCGTACATGGTGATTTGAGAACTCCGCAACCGAGCGATCCGGGCCAAAACTGTGCAGCACCCGCTATTGGGAGCTTCACAACATGGTCCAGGTGTTATGTTAAGCGTTGGTTCGTCAACTTTCTTTCTTTCTTTCTTCAAGAGAAAACTCGAGCCGAAAACTCCCATAATCACGCGACTATTTCTCACATCGCGCGTACACGGACCCTGGAAAGCAGTTTTCTATGCGAGAGAGTACTTGGTAATCCGCAGTCATGCTTTGTTTGTCTGGATATCTCTTGTTTCCCCTATGGTGTCATTTCATATCTCGAGCCGCCGAGATTGATCCCATTCATTGCAAGTGTTTGTTGCGAAAGCGGCTCCAAAATTCCGGGAAACCTGTCATAGTCATTTCCAGGCTAATGTTTCGGCTCACTGAAACATCCCTACTAGCTGTGAAAACGGTCACTTGTATTGTTATATATCTCTCTTTCTTTCGGAGTATGTTGTATGTAACAGATATGAACTTCAAAACCTACCGTTCATATATAAATACGGGACATAACAGCAGCGGCTATAGAAGCAGAAAACAACCAGAGCACAACCAGAAGCTTAAATATACCCAAAACTGGTCTCAAAATGATCGTATTGATGCGCAAAATCCAAATCCGAGATTAACATGGACTTAAACTTGGACTTTCTATGCTTCTAACTCACATTTGTGAATTTCTACCTTTAATGAGACATCACGTGATCTCGATCATCAATTTTACCATATATTTTAGAAAAATATAAAAGCATCAGATGCGAACAGGGTGTAAAGCCATGAATCGTCCTCCTAAGCCACCCATTTAGTTCGTTAAGGGCGTTAAGGGCGTGTCTTTAGAACTGCTCATTACAACCAGTCTCTAAAACATACCAGGTTTAAGCCATGTTCCCCGGTGCCGGAAAGTACTCTTACGCTAACCAAACCCAAAACCAAAACGGCCCCTCCAGGCCCAACGGGCCACCACCCAACTTCTACGGCCAACAACAACAGCAACAGCAGCAGCAGCAGCAGTATGCCAGACCCGGCGTTGCTCCTCCAAACATGCAGGGAAACGGCAATTTTGGAGGTCAGAGCTACCAGAGACCTTCTGAAGCTCCTCCCAGCCAACAGTACAGAAGCGATGTGCAGGCCAATCACGCCCAACCCGGGTTTGTGAACGGGCCCAGCCAGTACCAGCAGCCACAAAACTTGATGGCCCCTCCACAGCAGGCGCAAGTCGCCGGTAGCGGCTCCAACAACGAGTTTTCCTACCAGTACTCGCAGTGTACCGGGAATCGCAAAGCGCTGCTCATCGGGATCAACTATTTTGGGTCTCAAAACGAACTGCGTGGGTGTATTAACGATGTCCACAACATGCACAACTTCTTGACCACTCGCTACGGCTACCGTGCCGAGGATATCGTGGTCCTCACTGACGACCAGCAGGAAATGTCAAGAGTGCCCTTGAAGCAAAACATTCTGCGTGCTATGCAATGGCTTGTGAATGGAGCGCAGCCCAACGATGCGCTTTTCATCCACTACTCGGGCCACGGAGGCCAAACCAAAGATCTCGACGGCGACGAAGACGACGGCATGGACGATGTTATCTACCCTGTTGACTTCCAGTCGCAGGGCCACATAGTCGACGACGAAATGCACGACATCATGGTAAAACCGCTTCCACCAGGAGTTAGACTCACTGCCCTGTTTGACTCGTGTCACTCGGGTACTGTTCTCGACCTTCCTTACACGTACTCTACCAAGGGTGTGGTCAAGGAGCCAAATCTCTGGAAAGACGTGGGTCAGGACGGCCTGCAAGCAGCCATGGCGTACGCCACAGGTAACACCACCAACATGATGCGCTCGTTGGGGTCAATGTTCAAAAGTGCCACCAAGAAGGTCTCGGGTAACTCAAACCGAAACCAAGTTATTCAAACCAAGTTTTCGCCTGCTGATATTGTAATGATTAGCGGTTCTAAGGACAATCAAACGTCTGCTGACGCTGTAGAAAACGGACAGGCTACAGGTGCTATGTCCCACGCCTTTGTCAAAGTGTTGAGCATGCAACCGCAGCAAACTTACCTCTCATTACTGCAGAACATGAGAGCCGAATTGAGCGGTAAATACAGTCAGAAACCTCAGCTTTCAAGTTCTCACCCTATCAATGTTAACTTGCAACTGTTGCTTTGAAGGTATGTGACTCTATAGATGTAAACGGACTTTTAGGCTTTGCAAGAAGGTAATAAACAATCGGATGCTAGATATATACAAGGCACTAAGTGGAACATTGGCTCATGGATTTTTTAAAGATCTTTTTATTCGTCGTCCTCCTTGGATTCCTCTTGCTCTTTGGCTCTCTTCTGTTCGAGCTCGGCTTTGACGGCTGCTTCTTTCTTTTCATAGTCCAGATTTAGCTGCTCCAACTTGGCCTCGGCTTCGCTGATGTTTTTCTCAGTCTGAGCGTCTTGTCTGGAAGAAAAGTCCTCGTGCTTAACCTTGAGCTGCTCGATAGCCTTTGGAACTTCTTCCTTGGTCAATGGCACCGTGACATCCAATTCGGCCAAAGTCGCAATCATGGTTGGCTCCAAAGAGAATTTGCCGGAAGAAGAAGCGCCAGAAGAAGTCTGCTTCTTCTTGTTCTTCTTGGACTTACTGCCGCCACCGCTGAAAAAGTTATCCTCCTTTTCCTTGACAATTGGTTCCAGATCATCGGATTCGACTTTTCTGGCGGATTGTGGGGCTTGGGCAGAGGAATCTGCTGGAACTTCAAGAGCGTGCTTGACAGGCTTGACATAGGTAGGATCCAAGACGCACAAGACGTTTTCGATCGCACCGATCTCATAAGTAAAGGCTGGTTGACGGGCGTGCAATAGCTTTTCCTGCAGCTTGCCAGCGGCCGCGTCCTTTTCTTCTAGAAGCTTGGACAGCTTTTGGTCTTCTTCACGTTTCAAACGCTCTTTGTCCAGCTTTAGCTTGAAGGCCTTGAATTCGTTGTCAAAGTCCGAGCGAATCTGGGTGATCTGCGAGTAGACCTCGTCACGCTTTTTGTAAAGAGCAGAACGCTTGGTGAATAGGACTTGACGCTTGTCGTAGACAGTTTGGTTCTTGGACTGAATCTCGTTGAGTCTCTGCTGAGTGGCCTCAAACTTGTTGGAAACCTCCTTTGGATTCAACTCGTTCAATTCTTGCTTCAAAGTCGCAATCAAGGCTCTATCTTGGTCCATAGACTTACGAACGGGCTCAATGGCTTGCAAATCACGCTGCAGCTTGTTTAGAGACTGCAGTTCCTTGACCATGAGTTTTTCTTCGACCAAGGAGAGCTCTCCGGACGAGATCTCCGCGTCGATAGTGCGCTTACGGGCGGCAATATCCTCGGAAGACTGGTATTGCGTTTTGCTGCCAGTTCTGGCGGCGATCTGCGCCTTCTTGCGCTTCATTTCGTTGTCCAAGCTCTTGATCTGGTCGTGTATCGCCTGTCTGCGCGACTTGAGCTCGCTTTGCGTCTTGATGATGCTGCGCAGTTCGTCCTGAAGCCCCTGTCTCTCGTCCGTCCCGCTTACGCCGGCTTGTTGCTGGTCGATCTGTTTTCTGATCGCTTGAACTTCGGTGTCAATTTTCTTCAATTGAGCCTTCAAAACGTCCAGTTTTTTGTCTCTGGCACCAACATCTGGTCTCTTGATGTTGGTAGATCTCTTGACAGGCCCCGCACTCGACATTTCCGCTAGCTAGATACTGTATAACGCTGTTCTTTGTTGCACAATGGCTTGGAGCTCAAAATGAAGTGTCGAATTTTTGGGCTGAATCAGATGGTATTTTATGTATATATATACATATACAGATATCTTGTTGACGTGTTGAGAACCTGAAGAGTCTGCCGGGTAACTAACACGGGAAAGAGACAAATGTCAGTGAAGTTTTAAAGCTTGGTGAAAGCATACATATTTTAGTCAATTCTTGAATTATGTGGTGCTTTGAGATGAGTGTGTGAGATGGGAGGCTACTTTTCCTTTCCCGCTGCTTGTTTTGTTTGTATTTTTGTTTATTTTGAAACCCGGTTTTCTTTGTTGTCTCGAGTTTTGGCCGAAGCCGATGTGGAGAGATTCACAATTGACTGCGTACAGTTCGCCTTGTCTCGGGATTATGTATACGCTGCTTGTCGGTCAACCAGGAAGTTCGTGTTTCCGAAGCCAAAAGGTTATCACTATGTATGAAACTGTCACAACGTAGAAAACTGTCACTCCTGACAAAAATGACGACGACACTGGTAATTCCAGAGCTTACAACGAGACAAGGGAGTGGTCACAGAGTGTAATGAAACTCACACAGAGAGAATCAGGTCAACAAAAAAGCCTCTGGCGTTGAGTCGCCAGAACTTAGCACGTGATCAGCTCTACGACACATCCGTATAAACGGATGTGTGTGCCACTTACACCGGCCTCCGAAACCAAAGCTGACGGGAAGCAAGAGCTGGGTTTTGAGATCTCAAGCATCATGGAGCTACCATAAAATCGAATCAGTCCTCACCAGTTTGTTGTGTGCATCAATTGTCCGTTACGCTTTTCACTTCGCAAGTGAAAATCGGTTAACACCCAATTGCCAAAATCAGCTAACCTGAAGCTGACAAGAATTACTCAGATGTATCATCACGCCTTCTAAAAGTATACTCTCTCAAGCTTGGAGCTCACAATCCAATTAGACATCTCTATCACTCTGTACTATTCTGTCACCGAATACAATGAAGCCATGTGACGCAATTATCAGCGCACTGGATAATTTCCAAACTCACAGAGCTCATTCATTCATTCAACGTTTCTTTATAGGCCGATGAGAAGAACGACAGTGTAAAACTGCTGAAGACAAGCTAAAAATCATAGTCACAATGAGCGAATATGCTACTTTGGTTAAAGGTTTAGATGCACAAGGTATTCTAGCTGCTTTTCCAGAGGTTATACCGCTTCAAAAACGCCCAAACACGGCTTCTAGCGAAGGCAGTGGAAACGACAACGGCGACCTTGTGTTCGACGGTCATGACGAAGAGCAGATCCGTCTCATGAACGAAAACTGCATTGTTTTGGACTGGGATGACAACGCAGTGGGTGCCGGCACCAAGAAGCTCTGCCATCTCATGAGCAACATTGACCAGGGTCTTCTGCACCGTGCGTTTTCAGTATTCTTGTTCGACCCAGAGGGGAAACTTCTGCTGCAGCAAAGGGCCTCTGAAAAAATCACTTTCCCAGACCTGTGGACTAATACGTGTTGCTCTCATCCACTGTGTGTGGACGACGAGCTTGGCCTCGCAGGCTCGTTGGAGGCCAAGGTAGGTGGTGCAAGGACTGCCGCTGCCAGAAAACTTGACCATGAGCTGGGAATCCCCGTGGAACAAACTCAGAGCAAGTGCAAATTCCATTTTTTGAATAGAATACATTACAAGGCTCCCAGCAACGGCCCTTGGGGCGAACATGAAATAGACTACATTTTCTTTTGCAAGGTCCAGCCTGGTCAAACGCTCACTGTGAACCCAAGCCCAAATGAGGTCCGCGACGTCAAGTGGGTTACAGCTGCAGAGCTGAAAGCAATGTTCCAAGATCCTACTTGCCGGTTCACACCATGGTTCAAGCTCATCTGCGAAAGTTATCTGTTCGAATGGTGGAATCAATTGGCCGACTTATCAAGCGCTGAAAACGATACCAAAATTCATCGGATGTTGTAATAAATAAAAAGTCTGCCCGCACGTAGGGACTGCTTAGATTCGCGGTAGCCCATTTTGTGATGAACAAGAGAGTTTCCGCGATCAAGCCAGTTCGGAGATAAAATAATTATAGAATATTTATCTTATACTCAAACAAAAGTTGTGTCATCTTATGTTCCGCCAATTTACATCGCTTGATTAGTTGAGAAGATTGTTCAAGAGTATTGCTGTCGCAACACTCACGTTTAGAGAGTCTACGGACGACGTGCCAGACGTTTCGCGGCCTTGAGGAATCTCCACCAAAAAATCACTTCTCATTTCGAGATTAGTACGCACACCGGCACCCTCGTTGCCGACTACAAGCATCACTGGTAGTTCCTGCAACATACCGCGTAGGTCACTAGCCCCTAGCCTTTTTTTCTGGCTGAATTTGTCGTTCTTGGTCATACCGCTTGCTACAAACGTCCAGCCACCTTCTGTTTGTGATTTTGTGAAAAAATCCAATGGTTTATCGACTGTGAATATTGGCAAAAGCTCAGTAGCACCACTACTAGTTTTTGAGACCGCAGGTGTCAAGGGTGCACAGTTTCGGCGAGAGAGCACCATGAAATCTGCGCCTAGGAAATATGCACTTCTGATTATAGCGCCCAGATTGTGCGGGTCGACCACTTCATCCAGGAAGATGCCCAGCGGAAACTGTTTGCCCTCTTTGACGATGAACTCTTGGTTCCTTTCTTGAAGCTCGTCAAAGAACGACTCTTGATAGGAAAATGTTTGGTTTTCCAAGTTATACGGTCCTAGCGCTTTGATTTCGGGTAGTTGTAAAGACTTTGTTTCCAACACCACATTATTGTGAACTGCGTAGTTCGTCAAGAGGTTTAGACGGTGTTTATCGACCGACTCTAGAGATATTCCTGCGCTTTTCGCCAACTGCTGAATCTCTAAAGGTAGCCCACCATAATACAAAATTCTGGAGAAATATTCTCTTTTGTTGGCACGCAATGCCGAAACCACGCTGTTCGTGCCGTAGACGTACTCCATAAGAGGATTAGACCGAAGACTTGAAATCACATTACGCTTGCTGAATTTTGCGCGGTGATCTTGATGCTGAGATTGAGCGTTCACCATACGCTTTACGTGTGTTTGACGTGCAGCCTCTCTTTTGGATTCCCTTGCATGGACGTGTGCATATTTCCTTTTGAACCAAGAGTTCTTATCCTCACCAGCCTTCTCCCAAGCTTTGACTCGACGCTCTCTTGGAAGGTTCTTTTCAACATTTGATGCCTTGGTGCCCAGATGAATCTCGTTCGGTACTTTTACGCCCGGTTTTACCATTCGAGACGCAAAGCGTCTTGAGATGATGTGACTGACCGTTCCAAGCATTCTTGTGTGCTTGTCGAGTGCCGATCTCAGGTGTTCAATGGTATGTTCAATGGTTTCTTTACTTTTCCGATGCGATGAGATGAGAACAGATTCTTGGAAAATTTCAGCTATGACATTAACTCAGCTTTACAAGAAAACTAGCTGGACAAAGAGGGACCTCTTGGTATATTCTCCCAGCTAATATGAGCCAGATTGCAAGCCAAAACAAGCCAGAGCGCCGCAGCTTTGTTTCGAGAATAACCAACGAGACCAAAATCCAAATTGCATTGTCTTTGAACGGCGGTCATGTTGAGATTGAGAATTCTATCTTGGGTGCCAAAAAATCCGAGGACGTAGCGTCTCAGTCGACCAATGCACAGGTCATCGATGTTCAAACCGGAGTAGGGTTCTTGGACCATATGATTCATGCCCTGGCCAAACACTCGGGTTGGTCTCTAATCGTTGAATGTATAGGTGATTTACACATCGATGATCACCACACCACTGAGGACTGCGGTATTGCTCTTGGTCAAGCCTTCAAAGAGGCCGTCGGAGCCGTGCGTGGTGTTAAGAGGTTCGGATCTGGCTTCGCACCTTTGGACGAGGCGCTTTCTAGAGCCGTGGTGGATTTATCCAACAGACCTTATGCCGTGATTGATCTGGGGCTCAAAAGAGAAAAAATTGGTGATCTATCCACAGAGATGATTCCTCATTTCTTAGAGAGTTTTGCCGAGGCCGCCAGAATAACGTTGCATGTCGACTGTCTGAGAGGCTTCAATGACCACCATCGAAGCGAAAGTGCCTTCAAGGCGCTTGCGGTTGCAATCAGGGAAGCCTTGTCCAGCAACGGGACCAATGACGTGCCCTCAACGAAAGGTGTTTTGATGTAAGTCTTGAAAGCATGAAAACGGTATATGAGCTTAAACCTCAAGCGTGAGTCTCGAATTGTACATTCTTTAAAACATCTATTTACAGAACTTATTTATAAACTACATCGTTGTGTGTCATGCTGACGTCGGGGCAGTTCTGGACTGCACCTATCGCAACTTCTTGTTCTTGCCATTGTCGAAATTGGTCAAGATATTCAGCAGCTCCTCCGCATGTCTTGTAGATTCTTCGGCCGTTGCACTGCGGGATGAGGCTCTTCTTGGAGGCCTTTGTTGGTAGCCTCTACTGTTCATTTGTATTTTGGCCCTGGAGCTCATGCCACTAACGGCAGCTGCCCTCAGCACCACTTTACCATTGTCTTGCACCGCAGCATGGCTGACAGAGAACGGCACCTGTACTTGACGAACAAAATCACCCATTCTGTAGTCCATTTGGGAAGTTGACACAGAAGATGAGCCCGCGTTGGCAACAAACCCACCAATGGCGGCTAGTCTGTCATTCCCTTCGGCGTTCAAGAATCTACCAGGAACGATAGTCTTTTGTACGACACCGTTGGGGGAGTTTCTGAGCCTTCCGTGCAAGTTGTATGTAAGGCCACCTGTACCGACTGTTCTGCGTAGAGAACCCGAATCTAAGCTGACGCTGTGATTCGTTGATTCTTTCAAAAAGTTGACCGCACTATCAGTCATGTCCTTGACCGTGAACGACTTGTTCTGTAGCGCTTCTGGGTCGTTTTTCAGTACCCACTGTTTGAATGCATCCCGCAGACTTCTCATCTGGGAGACTCTTCTCTCAATTTCTGCCTTGGGGGTCGATGCGTCCACATTCAACAGAGAGCTGAGAGGCACAAGCTGATTTCCAGAGGCTGCTGCCTTTTCAAAAAGCGGGTTGGCCTTTCCTGGATTGTATTTGGGAGCGACACCAAGCTCTTGGAACCTGATGCGATTCCATTGGGACCCTCCATTGGGTTCGAATGTCGTGAGACGCTCAAGAGTATCCAGATCATTGAAAACAATGTATTTGGTTCTAACTTTGGAAGGCAGCGAGCTCTTGAGACCCCATTCTTGACGATGCAGGGTCGAAGGTCGTGTTTCAATAACCTGATGTGTGGGGGCGTATTTTGGAGCTGTGGAGGTCGGTGGGCTACCAGACCTGGGTACCTGGGCGATACGTGAGTTTCTCAGCAGATGAGACAGGTTGGAAGACATTGTTCAGGTCCCAAAATGACGGGATTGATAGCCTTTCGTCTTGGTTTTACGCTCTCTCAAGGCTCACTAGATGTTCAAAATTTTTAGATCAAGAAATGAATCGCTATACACGTAAAGGTCCAAGTGGTTTATGCTGGAGCGCGACGAGCATAGGCTATAAAAACTGACCGGGAATGGATTCAGTCCGTCGCTAGAAAGCGTGTAAAATAAGATTAGACTACAGTCCTCTGGTGGAGGAAGAATTGGTAGCGTTCAGAATGCAGTAGCGGAAAGAAAATGACAGTGCGAATATAGTCACGTGATTTTAATCGAAATGACATGGACAAGACGATCTCTACTTGCAATCAATGAGGGCCGGGTACTTGGACTACTAAAACTGTATGCAGCAGCATTGTTTACACTTATTATTTTGTTAGAGTTTTTTACATAGTGTCAGCTCCATGATCTAATAATAATTACTTCTCTGTTTAAATCAGAGCAAAGGAAAGTGGAACCAGATAGCCCATCTCACCCGTAATCTCGGAAACGGGGATTACAACACTCGGAAAACCTTTGTCAGTCATAGTCAACCAGTTCTTTTGGTCAAACGCGCTATTTGCTCGCACACCGATAAATGACCCTCAACCAAATGCTTTTTATTTCTGTCAGCACGCAAACGACACATTAGTATGAAGTGACCAACCCAAATTTAATATCATAACTACACATTTAAACCGCGACTTCGTCCCTCTTTTCGCTATGGCATACATCTTGCAATTGCAAGGGACTTAATCCAAGTAGCCATACTGCGCCCAAAAATCTAAGACACCAACCTAATCCCAAATTATTGTAAAAACCTTCAAAAAACACGGAAAAAAAACGGGCAAAAACGGACGCTATTTCCCAGTACCATTCAAACGCTGTCAACAACCTCGACACCGAACCGCTTATGATGTAGTTCATCCAAATCACTGACACATTTTTCATTTAATATTACCCGGCTTCAAATGCTTTTTAACACATGTCACCCCATACGTAACTTTTGAAAAAAAATTAAAAAAATTTTCCTTACACTTTTTGAGTATATAAAGAGATCAAGATTTGGATCTTAAAGCCTCTATCGCTCCTAACAAAAACGATATACTTCGAACAGGTCAAACTAATAAGTCATCTACGTATTTTGTAAAGATGTCTGATCTAGTTAACAAGATGGAAAATCTGAGCGTTAAAGAGTCCAATGGGTCCAACAGCTCATATGTCCCCCCACACATGCGTGGCAAGAGAGGTGGCAGCCGTGGAGGAGCTACTTTCGCCAACAGCGACAGAGACGGTGGTTCTTGCTCCTACTTCAGCGGCGGCGGCAGAGGCCGTGGTGGCAGCAGAAACGGATCGTCGTTCTTTGGCGGCAGAAACAACGGCGGTGGCTCCGGCTATGGCGGCGGCAGAGGCGGTGCTACTCGTGGTGTAGGTCGCTGGTCAAGCGGGAAGCACATTCCAGCCGCTGTCGATGAGGCCTTGGAACTACAGCTTTTTGGTACTGCTGAAGATACCAACTTCCAGTCCTCCGGTATCAACTTCGACCACTACGATGACATCCCAGTGGAGGCCTCCGGTAACGATGTTCCTGAGCCTATCTCGGAGTTTACTTCGCCTCCTCTAGACGCTTTGCTTTTGGAAAACATTGTCAAGGCGCGTTTCACGAAACCCACTCCCGTCCAGAAGTACTCGGTCCCTATCATCGCTGCCAAGCGTGATTTGATGGCCTGTGCCCAAACTGGTTCCGGTAAGACCGGTGGTTTCTTGTTCCCCGTTTTGTCCGAATCTTTCGCCAACGGTCCAGCTGAAATCCCCGAGCAAATGGCTAACTCATACATCAAGAAAGCGTTCCCTACCGCGGTCGTTTTGGCTCCTACCAGAGAACTGGCCACTCAAATTTACGACGAAGCCAAGAAGTTCACCTACAGATCCTGGGTTAGACCCTGTGTTGTTTACGGTGGTGCTGACATCGGCAGTCAAATCAAAGAATTGACTCGTGGTTGCGACTTGCTTGTCGCCACTCCAGGTCGTTTGTCCGATTTGCTAGAACGTGGCAGAATCTCGCTATGCAACATCAAGTATTTGGTTTTGGACGAAGCCGATAGAATGCTGGATATGGGTTTCGAACCTCAAATTAGACACATTGTCGATGGCTGTGACATGCCTTCGGTGGACAACAGACAAACTCTCATGTTTTCCGCTACTTTCCCAATGGATATTCAACATTTGGCCCGTGACTTCTTGAAGGACTACGTCTTTTTGTCCGTTGGTAGAGTCGGTTCCACTTCCGAAAACATTACCCAGCATGTTCTTTACGTTGAAGACATGGACAAAAAATCCGCTCTTTTGGATCTGTTAGCCGCCTCTGACGACGGTTTGACTCTGATTTTCGTCGAAACCAAGAGAATGGCTGACGCTCTAACCGACTTTTTGATTATGCAAAACTTGAGCGCTACTGCCATTCACGGTGACCGTTCTCAAATTGAACGTGAGCGTGCTTTGGCTGCTTTCAGATCTGGTAGAGCTTCTTTATTGGTAGCCACTGCCGTTGCCGCTAGAGGTTTGGATATTCCAAACGTCACACACGTTATCAACTACGACTTGCCAAATGATATCGATGACTACGTTCACAGAATTGGTAGAACTGGTCGTGCTGGTAACACCGGTGTTGCCACTGCCTTTTTCAACAGAGGTAACAAAAACGTTGTCAAGGAGATGATCGAATTGCTAACTGAAGCTAAGCAAGATGTTCCTGAATTTTTGGAACAGCTATCGAGAGAAAGCTACGGTTCCAGAGGTGGCAGAGGCGGTGGCTTCTCCAGCAACCGTAGCAACAGCACCAGAGATTACCGTCGTGTTGGTGGAGCCCCAAGTGGTGGATCCTCTTACGGCGGTAGAGGAGGTGGCTCTACAGGTGGCGCTAGAGGCGGCTCCTCGTGGGGCTCCTCTTGGGGCAGTTCTGGCAATGGCAACTCCTGGGGCAACACTGGTAGCAGTGGTAACTCCTCCGCCAGCAATTCCTGGTGGTAAACTAACCCCGGCAGCTTTAAGCCTTGAAAGGTGCGCTCAAGCTTAAGGCTATTTTTTTATCTCACAACACCTTCCTTTTTTTCATCCAAATGTTCCACATGTTTCAATGTTTTAACCTGACTATTTGGTGTTTTATCGGAGTGGTTTTATTCCGGTCTTTTGTTTTCCACTGAAAATTGTTTCTGTTGCATTTTCCATTTTACAGGGATATTATACAATTGTACATTATGACGTTTGTTTACAACGATAAACAAACCACGAGCCATAGGAGTTACAAGGGTTCAGTTCAAGCTGTGTCCTCCTTGTTTCTTCAAAAAGTATGTGGCCTCGAGGGATGGAATTTTCTGCATGGTCCATCTCAGCGCCTTCAATGTTGAGCATTGTTGTGCCCATCGATGGATTTAATACATGGTCCAAACTCTTTTTCATATCCTGTTTCAAACTCGCGTTTCGGTGCTCTTTCAATTCTACTGGTTATACTATTTGCAATTCTCGCTAATATTTGCATCGAAATTCTTGTTTGATTATGTCAGATCTGCTGGTCAGTCGAGATACTACTGAGTAGCTTTAATACTGATTTGATATTTCTTTTGTCATATGAAGGAAGAGACGGACAGGGAATTGTAGATGGTACAGTTGTATAATAGTTGACATTTAATTGATATAACATTAAATAGATCAAGGCGATACTTCATAAGTCCAATTATACTGGTAGAGTTAGCGGTCTAAAAATCGGTGACAGCGACATAGAGAGGGCTCAACATCGAAACTATTATTGGGTGCACGGTACAAAAAACATGGTACAAGAATAGCTTTAAAATTAATCCGTCAACAAGTCGGCCTGTGTGGCGCAGTGGTAGCGCAGCAGATTGCAAATCTGTTGGTCCTTAGTTCGAACCTGAGCGCAGGCTGATTTAATTTTTTTTGGAACTCTTTATACAACTTTTAATACTCGAAACGCCCTCTCTCATCTCGTTAGACTCGATACTCCAGAATCTTGCCGTGTGTATGGTCGGTCCCTAGTATCAGTCGAACACCAATTGAGTTTGCCAGGCCAGTTTGTAAAGCAATGCTCTGGAATCGAGGCGTTGTCAGTCGGTTTCGGCCTACGCCCAATGGGTACTGGAAAGCATGCCATTGACGGCCCGTGTTGGCCTCATAAACCACCACCTCGCCATGATCAGAATTGCAAAACACATAGGGTCCTTCCCACATTAGGTAGTGTGCAGTGCGACGACGAAAACGGTTAGCCATTAGGTCTGTGGCACCAAGTTGGCGAACTACACGGCACTGGTCTCCCCTGTTCAAAGCCCACATCTTGTACTTACCATCATTCCCCGTTGTGACAAGCTCGTGGCCGCCAGACGGATTCCAGCAAATGTCGTTGCAGCAACGAGCATGCGCTTTTGACATGGTGTCCGGCTCGGTGAGATCGCAAAGCGCACTGTTGCCCTTTCGCAAGTCCCAGATTCGCACGTTCCCGTCGTTGTCGCCAGTAGCCAGCAATTTTGCGTTCGAGTTTTCTTCACGAGAAAACTTGGCCGAATTAATACCATATCTCATATCTGTGTGCTTTGTGCCGAGACTGATTGTCGCACTCATCGATCTGAGGTCAATCAGACGAGGATGCGAGTCCTCGGTCGCGACAGCGATAAGGTCGCCGTTTGTATCCAGCTGTGAAACGCGATGTGCCATGTCGAGAGAGCTGGCCACTTGGAAGGTGTTGGTGTCCCAAATCTTCACTTTCCGATCGTTGCTGCCTGTGAAAAAGAGGCCGTTGTCCGAGCCATACCATTGAACTGTTGAGATGGAAAATGCATGATACATCTCATGTGGACTCGAGGGTACGCTACTTTCACTGGACTCTACAGAAGCAAAAAATTTGCTGGAGCCTCTGTAATTTCCAGACACATTTACGGGCCTTCTTGCTACGATATGTGTTCCAGAATTGCGAGTATGTGTCTCGGTAGTTGAGTCCTTTGACTCTCCACGCGCGAACTGAATTCGCTTGTCGACAACTTTCTCATTGTTATAAACCTCATCCAATGCCCACAATCCTACACTTCCATCTTCGCCACTAGCCAGCAGAAAGTGACCAGAAGGATCCAAGGCCACTGACGTCACACCGACAGTTATTGACGATTTTCGATAGCTGTACACCACCGCTTTGGCCTCTCTGAGCTTGTCAAGCTCGTTTTGGAGTACTACATCGTGTAACTGCTGGCTATCTATCCTACCTAAACGCCACCTCAGATGAGCTTTATTCATAAAGATGTGTTCAGCGATGCGATGAGCTAGCTCTTTCTACATATCAAGATGGGCTAAATCCAGTGTTAATGAAGCTTTATGGAAGCATCACCATACACGTGACGAGAGACCTTACTTGATATGTCAGATCAGAGCTTGACGAAGCTCCCAAGACGCGTCGTATTTCCTCTAGTTTCATGACAGTCGCTGACTGGATGGCATTGATCTAAGATAACTGCTTTATAAGATAGTATTAAATTTCCGAAATCCAAAATAATTTGACATCTCTGTGAGATATTGCAATGACTGCTGCTACAGACTTCAAAAAACGAACACACAGTCACCCGATACTCTTATCCTAATGGACATCAATAGCCTCGATTTGTTGTTTGACCAAATGCCATTGTTAATCTGAATGCCTTGTTGTAATTATTTACGTGTGTGTCGTTCCTGCCAACGCAGAAGATATGGTGCCAAGTTTGTGACATTGAGATGGCCAGATCAGTATTGTTTGAATGGATGCTGATTTTGGCTGGCTTGTGGCTTGAACGCATCTGCAGCAAAGATACCACATCTTTTGCGAAAGGTGCGAAAATTGTAAGGATAATTTAAATACCGTTGACGACAGAACAGTCCAATTAAAAAATTCCTAAGTGCTGAGCAGGGTTCCAATTCTTCGTACATTATCGTTCCAATGCTATTTGTTGAGGGACATAAGCGTGATTTTGTTTGCTCGCGCAATGCAACTCAGGCTGTGAATTGTTACTCAGATCTTTAATTCTTTAAAAATGCTTTGTTCATCCTAAATATTAAATTCGACGGTTTTAACAAATAAAAAACCAGGGTGAGCACAATTTTTTGAGCTTCAAAACTCTCTTCCACACCGTTTATAACGTCACATACTGGTGTCTTCGAATTGCCCCTATAACATTTGTCGAGATTATTCTGATGTCAGTTGGCCTGTTCATGTATGTATATTAATGAGTATATATATAGAATTAACAATTTAGAATAACAAAATTATACTCGAATCCAAACCTGAGATTCAAGTGCTCAAAAAGAAGCGTCGATTGATATTTGTTTATCAATAATGTCCAGCAGCTTAGACCAATTCATCATGGAAGATGTAGCCAGGAACTGTCCCCAACAGTTCATGGAATACCATAAATGTGTGTCGGAAAACCGTGAAGACCCTAGCCAGTGTGCTTTCAGACAAAGAGACCTATCAGTGTGCATTAAGCAGAAGGTACCGAGCGTTCAAAAAGTGATGAGTAACTGTGGATCACTCATGGCTAAATACGAGACATGTCTGAGGGAAAACATGGAATCAAGAACAATCAACGAAAATTGCATCCCACTACTGAACCAAATGCGCCAGTGCGCAGAGGCTCAAATTCAGGGTCCCAGCCCGATCAATCAGCTGTGAAAGGGCAAAGATAATAAGACATATTCGTTATTCTTGTAAATAGAGATGTAGAAATTTAACTTTGCTTGATGCAGAGACGTTGGCAGTCTCACAGCTCGACAGGGTCTAAATTAAACGTGGCAAGCCAGCGTGTGCGTGTGATTTCACGCTCTAATTTGAGACTCCAGACAAACGGGAGGCCGTGAGGACAACTGTATGATGTGCCGGCCAACAAAAAGCTCCTCAGGAAATGAACTTCTTAACTGTCTCGTAGAAGGTTTTGCCCTGAGTCTCATTTGTTCTGAGCTCCAACTCGGTGGGCAAACGGGAGCCATCAGCTCCGGCAATGGTGCCAGCACCCCATGAGGAGCCACCGTGGACCTCCTGGAGGTTGCCCAGGTCTGTGAAGACGTTTTTGTAGCCCAAGGGCACGAAAATCACACCGTGGTGAGCCAAAACGGACAGAGAGTTGACAACAGTGGTCTCGTTACCGCCCCCAGTACCTGTGGAGACGAAAACACCTGCGACCTTGCCGTGCAGGGCGCCCGTCATCCACAGTCCGCCGGTGGAGTCCCAGAACGCCTTCCACTGTGCTGGGAAGTTTCCGAAACGCGTGGGGATTCCAAACAGGAAAGCGTCATACTCGGTTAGCGTTTCCAGCGTGGCGATTGGGAAGTCTGGCTTGGGCTGACCGCCTAGTGCCTTGACAACGTCCTCAGGGAGCGTTTCTGGGACCTGATAGATATCGGCTTGGCCTCCTGCGGCCTCGACACCCTTCTTCTGCGCTTCTGCGAGCTTGGCAGTGTGACCGTACAGGGTGTAGATGATGATGGCGACCTTGGACATATTTTGACAGTCTAAAGTTGGGATTCAATCGGGGTTTCGGCTGGTTAAAGAGACTTTTGAGAAATACAGGAAAATTCCTAAAGCTTTAATTGCGTGAAATGGGATGTTTCGCGGTGCTGTAAAGTCTACGATACTGATTTTTGGCTTCTCGTAAGTGCACATGAAGTGTTCTTGACGTCCCTTTTTATATGCTGGGCCCGAGAACCCAGTTAGCACGTGGTTTTTCGATATTTATAAGGCATTGGTAAGGCTCTCCTAATGTGAGTAAGGCGAATTGAATGAATTCGGATTCGATAGGCTTGGGGAGCTCAATGGAGCAGTGACTAATATTCTACACGAATAACGGGTGTAATCAGTAATGTTTTATTCAAGTTGTGGGTCTTCTTATTTATGTTTTGTTTAAATTGCGAGATTCCTTGTATTTTAGTGACGCTGACACCTCTTTGGCTCGAAAGTTGGGTCTCGACAGGAAACGTAGATAGATGAGGTTTTAAAATAGTACAGGTTTCGAGGTTTCGAAAGCCGTGTGGTTTTCTTATTTCTTGTTGTTCTTGATTATAGTGATTATGACGGAATATTGATTGTTATAGACAATTATAATAACGTCTTTAGCTAAACGTTGAATTAAAGACGGGAAAGAATGCAGAGCATATTAGGTTTCACGCTCGGTACTTGACGTATAGTCGGATTGACTGTTAGAGGCGGTGTTTGCGCGTTGGAAGAGGTCTGTAAAATTATTTACGGTGGTCGCGGAGCCATAAATGGAGCAGAGAGGATACTTAGTGGGAGAGTCAAGATTATGGAGCGTATGTTTTGAAAAGGGCAACCTGTCTGCTTCCTAGCGGGGCAGTACTTAGCGAAACACAGGTTTATGCCGATGCCCTTGAGAAATTCGTTTAGAGCGCGAAAGGCAGCTAAAAGTCCATCAGCCAATTTAGTTGGCAGAATTTCGTTCTTCAACAAATTCACAAGAGTCGAAGTCTACACAGAGTCCTGGAACGTTCTTTTCCAAGCGATCACGGCTTCACATATGTGCCATTACCGAAACTGCACAAAACAAAAACTTTTTCCCTCGAGTACGATTTGATTGCTTTCACGTCCCTCGAAAGACTCCAAAATCACACCAAATTGATAGGCTCGTGTTCGGCTCGAGGTCTGGTGAAAGAAACGACTCCCTCTAGTCAAAGATGCCGTCCTCATCGCGTCTGCTCTCTTCCATCCTTGTCTCATCACGTGACTTCTCGCCAGCATGTGCCAATTTGCTTCTCCAGTCATACTGAAATACTTACTTCTTCTGCTCCGGCCTAACAAGAAGGCGATGAGGTCTGCTAGCGATCGAATACGAAGCGGTAGGGATGGAACTACCTGCCTTTTTAAGTCAAAAGCCTCCCCCAGGTTACGTGGCCGGTATAGGACGCGGTGCCACTGGCTTTACCACCCGTTCTGACATCGGTTCTGGCAAAGTTCCTGGAAGAGTAAGGGACGACAGAGAAATGCCTTTGGGAGCAGACGAGAATGAAAACGGTGATGCAGACGAAGAAGGCATAGGCCGAAATGCTAAAGTACGATTCGAGGACTCTAACGGACTATCTTTGGTATCCAACAATGTGGGACAAAATGACGAAGAAGCCGATCGCATCTACCTGGAAATCGATGCCCGACTTTCGAACAGCAAGACCCAAAAGAAAGCAGATATAGAAAACGTCAAAAAGCCAGACAGCAACCTTGAGGTGACTACAGGAATCACTGCTGTTTCTCAGGCTTTTGTGGATCTCAAACGCTCGCTGGCCACCGTTAGCGACGAGCAGTGGGAAAATCTACCCGAAGCCGGAGACTTCACAAGACGCAACAAGCGCCAGCGTATCGAGCTGCAAAATGAGCGTAAGACGTATGCCGCGCCCGACACGCTGATGGCCGAAAATATCGATTTGACGAAGCTCACCCAGGAGCGTGAGAAATTGTTAGGCCGCCAGCTTGACGAATCTTTGAACGGCCGAGACGGCAACGCACAAAACGCGCGCAATGAAACGGATCAGTACCTACGAGATCTGGATGACTCTATCAAGACTGCAGAACTTAATACTGACGTACAGGATGTGGGGAGAATGAGGACAATTCTGAATTCGTATCGAAAGTCCGATCCCAAGAGACCGCAGGGCTGGATCGCCTCAGCTCGACTGGAGGAGAAAGCTAAGAAGTACCCGCTCGCGAAAAGCTTAATCGAAGAAGGATGCAACGCGTGTCCTCGAGACGAAGACATTTGGCTTGAGAACATTAGACTTAATGCTACTGATCTGCACTATTGCAAAATTCTTGTAGCGCGAGCACTAAGTTTTAACGACGAAAGTATCAAACTGTGGTTGAAGGCTGTTGAACTGGAAAATGAGACTCTCAACAAGGTACGAGTTGTTCGCAAAGCTCTACAGAGTTTGCCAACGTCCCCAGAGCTGTGGAAGCTGGCTGTACAGTACGAAGCCGATAGAATAGAGGCAATCAAAATTTTGAAGAAAGCTACAGAGCTGATGCCGGACAACATCGAGCTATTAACAGCGCTAATCAACCTGCAAGACCACTTAGACGCAAGAAAAACACTCAATACAGCAAGGAAAAATAATCCAGACAAGCTTCAAGTTTGGATTTTGGCAATCGAACTGGAGGAACGACGTGGGAGCTCGTCTTTGGAAAAACTTGTGAAGCTTCTCGGAAAAGGATTGCAGGAGCTGGCAAAGCACGGAACAGAAATAACTGTTGAACAGTTATTTCAAGAGGCTTCTCAGATTGAGGCACAATTCACAAGTAGCTATGAATTGACGCTACGAGCCCTCGTGAAGGTTGCTGTGGACTTGCATTTTGGCTCGCAGACCTATAATAATGCGGTAACATTCATTGACAGCATCAGCTACAATGGTCTTGCTAAATCTTTTGCCTACAGATACGTTCTCGAGAAAGAACCTCGTAACTTTGTGCTATGGAGAAGATTCCTTGAATTATGTCGAGTTGAGAAGCACATCGGGGAGGTTTATGATGCCTTTGAAACAGCCCTGTTTAAAAACCAAACTACCATTCTTCGAGACCTTCCAGTGTTGGCACTCATGTACTCTAAGGAGATCTGGAAAGTCGACAAAAATACTCTTCGCGCTCTTGACATTATAGATCGAAGCCTCGAATGCAACCCAGATTGTGTCGACTTTTGGCTTGCGAAAATCAAACTATTAATCTTAGATTGGAAACACGACGACGCTGAAAGCCTGTTCAAAACGGCGATTGATTCACTAAATGCTCAGCCAGGCTTCGACAGAGTCTGTCACCGCTACATTGGATTTTTGCGCTTTCAAGACAGGAACCCAGAAGCACTTGAAATGCTGGAAACCAAGTTTCTGGCACAGCAGCCTGCTTGCGACAAGCTCTTCTTGCAATGGGGCCAAATATATCAGGACACCGACCAACCAAAAAAAGCCCGTGAGTGCTTTTTCGAGGGCACCAAAAAAATACCACAGAGCGCAAGACTGTGGATTGCGCTTGCTCGGGCTGACAAGGACTTACTGGGACTGCCTGTCAAGGCACGTTCTGACTTAGAAATGGCGCTTTTGAAGGTTCCTGCGGGGACACAGCAGGATCACTTGCTAGTGGCACGCATCCAGATGGAAAGAGAACTGTCCAACATTGATCAAGCCAGACTTTTAGTTTCACAGGGTCTTCGGGTCCATCCCGACAGCGCTTCGCTATGGGTCGAGAATCTCAAATTAATTGCCAAGAAATCGCAACGAAAGACTGCATACCAGGATGCCTTGGAACGCACCAAATCGCACCACCAAGTACTAATAGCAATAGGAACCGACCTTTTTGCGGATGCGCAATACGGCAAGGCTCTCAAGTGGTTTCAAAGGGCCACGACTGCGGCTCCGCTCTTCGGAGACGGCTGGATCTGGTATTCTCGCTGTTTGCAGCGAATGGGCCGGGGCATCAGCGAGATTTTGACACAAGTCGATGAGCAAGAACCCCGCTACGGTGCAGAGTGGATCAAAGCTGCTAAACAGCCGCATAGCTTGTGTCTGACCCCATCGCAGTTGCTCGTCAAGTCCATCTAGTACTGTCACGTGCCCATTTTCACAGAAATGTCCATTCAAATTTTCCAGAGGAATTTGAACATTGGATTGACAATGCAGGCGATGCCCTGCGTATCGGCATCTTCCGTTCCTCAGAGGTCTATAGTGACAGCGGAAATTCAATGAAGCCCTTCGAGAAGAACTTGACGTCTTTTTCCAATGACAAAAATATCGATCAGTCTTTGAGATCGACAACGCCGTCCCTGTATTCTAGCAGTGGGTCGATGAGTCGGGCCACTGCTCAGCACAGAGAGACGCTGTTTGGACAGCAGTTGATGGACGACGAGGAAGGTCAGGATATGCATCCTCCAGTTGCAGGCCTTGATGAAATGGCAGCGAATGCGGGTGCAGAAAATGCTATGCACACTGGCAATGGCCTTCATTCAACTGCACTGGAAAATTCAATTCATGGCCAAGACGCACATCCAGCTATTAGCAGTGGCGATAGTGGCAACGGGCTCAATGATCTCAATCCAGCTGGCAATATGGGAATCTCTGTGCCACCAATACAAGTAAATTTGGGAGGCCTGGAAATGGGACCCGTTTCCACAGAGCTCAGCTCGACACCGCAAACAAGTAGCACCAGTGGCAAGGTCGTAAAGCGGAAATACTCTCGTAATGGGTGTACCGAGTGCAAGCGGCGGCGCATGAAATGTGACGAGGGTAAGCCCACTTGCTGGCAATGTGCGCGACTTGGCCGAAAGTGCGTTTACGAGATTCGCACCAAAAACCGCAAGCGGAAACCAAAAGCCGAGGATGGCGCGAGACATGCCTCTGCAGCTAGTTTGCCTGGACCCAAAACCACAGACATTGCTGATGCATTTCTCACTTCGTCAAACACCCCAGAGCTGGCGAATAACTCGACTCCCGCGTCTTCGGTTGCCACCAATCTACCAAATTTGATCCCCACAAAAAGCGTGAACTCGTTTGATGCCAACTTGCTCATAAGAAATCTAAATGACATAGTGAACATGAAGCTGAATGACTCTTTCATCTACGACGATTTTAAGACAATGGACCTGACTGATCTCGAAATACCTGAACTAAATATAATCCCAGCAGAGCAGCCACGTCCAGCCGTTCCGATCTCCTTTTTAGTCGACAGTATCATGACATTCAATATGACGCTAGACTCGTTCAAGCTAGGAGGCACGAACGATAAATACCTAGAGGTTTTCTACTACGACTGTCTGAACTCCATAGCCCCATTTTTCGAAGGCCAAGGCAATCCATTGAGAGACATTCTACTTTCATTTGCCAAGGGAGAACCCTACTTGCTCTCTTCAATTTTGGCTGTAGGTGCTTCGATCTCGCACCGTAAATCAGACAACGTCGAGGATGAAAAAAGCTACTGCGCCTATTTATCTCATTGCTTGGGGCTCCTCACAGAGCAATTCAAAGACGAGAGTAATGTTTACAACAAGATCGAACCTATCATTTTAACGGTCCTCATGTTAACTTGGGACTGTATCTACACCATGAATAGTCAATGGAGATCGCACCTGAAAGGTGTGACTGAATTGTTCAAAAAGATTAATTCTGGAAACTCCTCAAAAGTCTTGAATGTCACCAAATGTTGGTTTAAGGTTATTGAGACATTTGCTAGTATCAGTACGGTTTTGGGTGGTGCTCTCATTGATGAAAGTGACCTTGATGTCATTTTCGACCCATACGACTTCCAATATATCGATTCCCTCAAGTTCCTGAACATTGTGACCCCTCTCAACGAGTTTAATCTTCTGCGAGGGCACAAGGAAGATTTCGATTTAGTGATTAAAGAGGTATTCAAGGCTCTAAATGCTATAAGGCACTCAGAAAAAAAGTACTTCTCGGAGCAAGAGGGCATTTTCGACAAAAACCTGGATTACCTGCTATGGTCGAATCCTAACACAGATGCTTTCAAAGAACAGCTATCTTACTTCAAAATTCAAAAGATTTTGGTGGAAATCGACCGACAGTCTGATTACGTTTTTATAGACAAGACAGGCGTAATACCGCCGGACAACCAGTCACATCCTGAGAACAGCAAAATCATTGACAATGCCATTGACCTTGTGACGCTGCGCAATGGTGAAAAAATAGCCATAAGTTGGTATGACATTTCACATCAGACCCAAGTATTGTCATTCCTTCTGATTGTACTCCTCAAGCTGCTGGGTGTCCCAAAGGAGTCCATTGCCATTCAACAAGTGGTACAGAAGATCACAAGTTTTTTCGGATTCTTGGATAGCGACAATCCCCCACGGAACCTGCGAACTTGTTATTGCAATTTTGCCATTTTGCTTGCAGGTCTGCACGCCATTGACGAAGAGACAAGAGACGTGATTCGAAAGTACTACAAGCTGAACGGCGGTCGTTTCCAGAGACTGACGGAGCACAATCTGAACAGATTGGAGAAAGTCTGGTACGGTACAGAGAAGGGATATAAATTGGAGGATCAGGACGTTCTAACTTGGTGAAGTAAAGAAGGTAGATAAACAAGAAAGTTGTAATATTTTAAATGTTTTGGGATGCGCTCTCTGTAGAGAACAGTTGACGTTTTGAGTGGGCTTAATTTACGGTCATGAGGCCCAAGAATGAGTCTACCACTTGGGCAGCCACGATGGAAGTAATTTCCCCATTTGAGTCAAACGCAGGAGACACCTCAACAACGTCAGCGCCAATCACATTCAGCCCTTCAAGACCGTCGAGAACGGTCAGAAGCTCTCTGGAGGTCAATCCACCTGGTTCGGGCGTACCCGTTCCGGGCGCAACAGCGATGTCCAGCACATCGATATCGACGCTGATGTATACAGGCAAGTCACCTACGCGAGTCTTGATTTTGTCCACAACTTCTTGGAAGCCCAAGATATCGAAATCGCGTGCAACAATTTTCTCGAATCCACAGTCGTAGTCGTGTTTCTCGTCAGACTTTACAAGGAATGGCGCGCGAATGCCAACGTGCATTGATTTTTCGTCGGCAATGTAGCCCCATTCGTGTGCGAAATGGAGAAATGTGCCATGATTAATACTCTGTGTCTTTGTGATTCCCCCACCAAGCACTTTTGGGTCCCAAGTGTCGATATGTGAGTCGAAATGAATGACAGCAACGGGGCCATGGTGCTCATATGCGGCTCTTAAAGCCATCAATGTGACGGTGTGATCACCACCTAAAGTGATGACTTTGGGCACCTTGAGGTCCTCTCTGATGGTAGTTCTGTTGTAAATAGCCCTTTGGCCCCTGTATAACTGGTTCAAGGCAATCCTATTGTCAAAGGGCGTCATGGGCACGTCACCACAGTCTACTATCTTATATCCTGCGTCGTAAGGATCCAAATGACGCAATTTTGACCCCGGAAAGCCTCTGACTGGCAGGATACCTCCTCCAAGCCTTCTGGAGCCCTGTCTCAGGCCATTTGGCCCAAATCTCGCGCCCGGACGGTACGAAACCGCGGTGTCGAAGGGTGCACCTACGATCGCAATGTCAAATTGCGAGGATTCTTTTTTGGCCTTGCGATGGTCGAAGCACCGCGCCATAGGTACATGTGCGAAAGTGACAATGCCCGAAAACAACTGCAAATCGGAGCTCAAATCGTCGTCTGGATACGTTACAGGATTTTCTTGGTAGAATCCGCACCGTGCACGGAACTCCTCACTCTCACTGGCGTCCAGCGTGAGGCTTGAAACCTCGCTCATTTTCATGCCATCGTGAGGGCTCAAAAGATCGCCATATAACTCACGGAGGAAGTCATCATTTCTGCCCATTTTTCCCGTTAAACCCAAAAAGGTTGCTTGGTCGTCGACCACACGGGCCAACGCTGCACTTGTCCAACTGGTAAAGGCAACGACTAGCGATATCACCTTCATTGTATTTACAATGACTTTGGATGGTAAAACAGTGGTTTAAAGACCATTTTCAAAGTAAAGACCGGGACAGTAGAAGACATTCCTTATAAGTAAACGACGGCAGCTCAGCCAGTCCCCAAAGATGCTTCTACAACCGCGCTTAGCTTTGGTTTAACCCGACGACAGTGACTCTTAAGCCATTAATTGATGACTCTGAAATTGTTCAGCCGATAAGATATGCCTAATCTGGAAATATCCAGAGAATACATATTTGGCTCGAGAAATGAGACGACGTCAAAGTATATAATTAAACAATGAGCAGATTAAAAGCTAACGGTTTTCCAGGAAGATATCTCACTCGTATGGGCCATATATCTACAATCTGGAGCGTGTAGAGTTTGAGGATTAGTTGTACCTTTCAAAGCATATATCTAGACGCGGAGAAGAAGACTTTAATCATCGAATTTGACCCAGTTTTGCCATGGCTATGAACAAAAAAGAGCCCGGGACCAACGAGGAAACAGTGAGCTATTACGGGGCAATTTCGAGGCATGAAAGTAGTAGTGAAGCAGAGGGTATACCCAGTGCCGACGTCTCCACCTGTTCTCGAACAGAGTTTCGGGAAATCAGTCGTACGGCAGCTCCGCTGGTCGTGACATATCTGCTCCAGGCGTCACTGTCGTTCATGACCGTGGTTTCTGTAGGACGGCTGAACGCCCTAGATCTAGGTGGAGTTTCGCTGGCAAATGTCACATTTACAGCCACAATGGCAATTTTTCAAGGCCTTGCGACCTGTCTCGACACACTGTGCCCGCAGGCATACGGCAGTAGGCAATACCAGCTGGTGGGTCTATATTTCCAGCGATGTTTGGCCATCAGCGTGCTGTTTGCCATCCCTATCGCACTGCTATGGTGGTTTTCGGCTCATGTGCTGCCTTTAGTCGTAGACGATTCGAGACTGGTGGTCATTGCAGCACGCTTCCTACGAGTTATGATAGTGAGTATTCCCGGCTTCGTGGTTTTTGAGTGCGGGAAGAAGTATCTGCAAGCTCAGAAAGACTTCGTCACAGGCCAGTATATACTGTTTGTGTGTGCTCCTCTGAACGCACTTGCCAACTACCTCTTTGTTTTCCGCTTTGGGATGGGCTACATTGGTGCCCCCATCGCTACGTCGCTGACTTTCACGCTGATGGGTGTCTCAATTATTGCCTGTATTTGGTACCACACCGGAAAAAACGGCGAACTGGAGTGTTGGAACTCGCTGTCCAATTGGAGACCGATCTTTACGCATTGGCGGACGATGATTTCCCTTGCTGTTCCTGGAATTGTCATGATAGAGGCTGAATTTTTGGCATTCGAGTCTTTGACGGTACTGGCGGCCAATTTTGGAACCGATGCCCTGGCTGCGCAATCCGTTGTTGCATCTATCCAAGGGCTGACATTTCAAATTCCATTTGCCACAGGCGTAGCAGGCTCCAATAGAATTGCATACTATGTTGGGGAAAAACAAACCAACAACTGCAAACTAGCTACCAGGTCGACCTTGATGCACATTGGGGGGATCTTAGCGGTCGCCAACTTTCTCTTTTTGGTAGGTGGTCGAAACTATTTACCGTCGTTTTTCAGCAAAGACGAAAACGTCGCACGTCTGGCGTCAGAAATATTGCCCATAATAGGTGTGAATCAGTTTGCTGATATTTTCAATGTTTTGGCGGCGGGTGTTCTTCGAGCACAGGGTCGCCAGCGAATCGGCGGAGTCTTGAACATTATCGCCTATTACGCAGTGGGTATACCACTGGCTCTGACTCTTGGATTTTGCACTGAAATGCGGTTGAAAGGATTTTGGACTGGACTCGGATGCGGCATAGTTGTCTTGGCCATCAGTGAAGTGTACTGTGTGTGGAACTCGGACTGGCCCCGGATTATACACGATTCTCACCTCTTACACAAGATATCCGAGAACGATGAAGAGTGAGGGCAATTCAAGCAGAAATGCAGGCCGTGCAATTGCAGTTCTTGTAAATGGTTACAAGAGACTACGCTGTTGAGGAAGGTAGTGTATTTGAAGATACATTGAACTGGCAGGTCCTGACCTTCGACATTTCAGCTGTTACGCGTCTCACATCTGTCATATTCCTTACGAACAAAGAAAAGACAGTGGCATCTGTGGGCAATTGAACAAAAACAATTGCGCAGAAACATGGGGCTGAGGTAGTCGCGTTTTCGATTTCGGCAATTTTTGGAGGCGAGATGGTCGTATTAAAAGTTTCAGAGCACTCAGTGTCCAGCGCTGTCAATCCAAGCCTTAGTCGTGACAAACATACCTCGAATGATTTTTGAGTGAACGAATTTCACCGTAAGCGAAACCAGAGTTTGGTGGCGGGCTCTAAATCCCGAGTATTGAGTGATGAAGAGCTTTAGCGATCAACCGAGCAGAAACTCGGGTTGACAAATGCAACAGCCAAAAAGTACTGGACAATATACAAAAAACCTCTACGTATAACTATTTAATCTGACTCGAGAGACCCATAATGCTTTATAATTTGTGCTTCAGCTTACCCTTTACGCGCAAGAACGGTCGGTCAAACGAACAACAAACAAAATTAAGAGCATTTATTACACGCCTACATCAATTTGGATTTGTAGATGTCTTGATCACTAAAATCAGATATACTCTTCACTTTGGTGTTCTCTAAATGACATTTTGTATATAAGTTGATGTATTCTTTCATTAAATAAACTATGTCAAGATCTGAGCAATCTCTTATATTTACTCTAAGCAACTTACACATCGCTTCACACTTCACGTCTAAGGATGGTGGAAAGCACGAAGATTACAGCTCAACCATACATTCACAATCATGGTGCGAGACTCAGTGAAGGTGTCACATATCTAAAGGCTTCGCAGACCCTTTTTTGGGTGGACATCTTTTTGGGCGAGATCCACTTTGTTACGAACATTGACGACCCCAAAGCATCCCATAATGTCATCAAAATTAATGCCAACAACTATATCGGAGCTTATCCGCATTCTTCAGAGCTTCCGGAGCGTGTGGGTGCTGTATTCCCCGTAGACTCACCTTCAGGTGTGAAAGAAGCGTTTTTTGCCGGTAAGTACGGAATAGGGCGTCTGTCGCTTGAATCGTGCAAGTGGAACTACGAGGTCCTATTCTCGTCCTGCCACAATGTGTCTGGAAAAGACTGGGACCGTCTTCGGTCAAACGATGGTAACGTCGCCCCTAACGGAGACATATATATCGGAGTCATGAACGACTTCCAGATCGGCGTCGACACGAAAAAGGAAGCCGAAGGCTGCTTATTCCGTGTCAATCTCAAGCAGAAACACATTGAGTTGGTCTTGGACAATTTATACATCCCAAACAGTATCAATTGGAACACTGCTAACGATACTATGTATCTGAACGACACGCTAAAGTTCAAGACTTGGCAAATGCCTTACGAAGACGGCGTTCCACGAGTGGCCGAGAAAACGGTTTTTGTTGACTTTGTCCCTGTCAATGAAAGCTTTGAACTTCCACAGCCCGACGGATCGGTCGTGGATCCTCGAGACGGGTTTTCTTACTGCTGCGTTTTCTCGACTCACAAGGTACAGATATTCAACCCTGAAGCCCAGTTGCATCGGGAACTGGTGTTCCCAGAAACACCCAATATGACCTGCTGTTGCATTGGGCCCGGCGGTGACATTTTTGTCACCACAGCCTCGCTCGACGTTGAACACGGTAAAAGCACCGGTCCCAGCGGTGCCTTATACCGGGTTTCTGGCGATTTCGTGACAGCAAAAGGCGATGTGCCATCCTCGAAGCGCAATCCAGAATATTAGAGACTCCGACGCACAATCTTCGATGATTGAATTATGAAGAGGCAACTGTGCGTTCATATGCCCATCGAGTGAGCCGCATCTTCAGTACAGGTGTTGATCGAGACGCTGTCATGTGCCACTTATGGCCAGCGACACTATGGTTTAAAATGATATAAACAGTCCGATATACATACTTACATTTGAACCGACATTTGTATGAACATGTAAGCAGAGACTGGGACAGCGAAATAGAACAGCTCTCTTGCGACCAGCGCAGCGCTAAGTCTTGGGCAATGTTCAAATTGATATCAATTTCGTAGCTTTGGCAGGCGAAAACCTAATTTTTAAAAGCAAATCTTTCGACGATAATAACCACACCACAATTTCATCGTCAAACGGAGCAAGCACTTTTAGTCCAGCCTTCTCAAACTCTAGCATAAAAACAAGACGGTACACTACGATCAAACGAGTACTCCTAACTTCCCTTTTAAAATGACGTCTTATGATGTCGCTTTATACGCATTTGGTGTTAAATTACATACATAAAGACCCCCGAGAGCGTTCTCCCCTATCCTCCACCTTTCGACTACAAACAGGACAGCTAGTCAAAAGGATTACGCTAAGTTTCCTCCTGTATTAAAACTCCTGTATCGCTACTTATCATATTTAATACCACGAGAGAACATGTTTGACAAATTGAAGCGGAAGGTCAAGAATTTGAAAGATTCCGGTGGTGACACGGAGAATTTACCAAACGTTGGGGCTTCTGGTGAGCTTTCTAAACGTGAAATCTATCGCAACAGATACAATTTTGGCGTCAATTTTGGGTCGTTGTTTGTGCAAGAAAGCTACATTTACCACTCTTTGTTCTCGGAAGGCGGCGGAAACGAGCACGATGCCATTGCTGCGCTTGTGGCCAAGTCTTCAACTGAAGACGTGGCTAAAAAGCTCCAAGAACACTACGCAAGTTATGTCACAGACCAAGACTGGCAATGGCTTCAAAATGATGCTGGTGTGACTGCGATCAGATTACCTATCGGGTACTGGCACGTTGACAATGGCCGTTTTGTCACAAGCGACATGAAATTCCAGGATCTCAAATCGGTCTACGAGGCTGCACAACCATGGGATGCAGTGCACAGGATCGTGCAGAAAGCTGCAGAACATAACATCGGCGTCCTGATCGATATCCATGGCGTTCCCGGCGGAGCTAACAGCGACGACCACTCTGGCGAAAGTAACGGCGGGCAAGTAAAGTTTTTTTCCACCCGTGAGTTCGTCTCTAGCGTGGTTGACGACATGGTGCCCTTCATTGTCCAAGACATATGCCAAACCAACGAAAACGTCATTGGCTTGCAGGTTATCAACGAGGCGGCCTTCAGTGATTCTGCAAAACACGAAAAGAAGTTCTATTCCAAAGTGATTGACGCCGTTCGAAGCGTCGACGATAATTTACCTGTGGTCATATCTGATGGCTGGTGGCCATCTCAATGGGCCGAATGGCTTGAAGGGAACAATCTCACCAATAGCGTGGTCATAGACTCCCATGTATACCGGTGCTTCTCCGATAGTGACAAGTCGAAAACAGCCGGTCAGATCACCGAAGAACTCCCCCAGTCTGTCAATCTTGCCAACGACAAGGCTGATTACGTTGTGGGCGAGTTTTCCTGCGTATTAGACGGCCAAACATGGGACAAAACCAAAGAATCGCGCGAGGAGTGTGTCCGGAAGTATGGTCAAACCCAAACGCAGGTTTTCCAGGACAAGGCCAGTTGGGGCTGGTTTTTCTGGACCTTTAAATTTCAAGAGGGCGATGGCGGCGAGTGGGGGTTCCAGCCCATGATCAGCAGTGGAGCTTTGCCCAGGCGTCCTCGCGAGGATCCAGTCATCGATGACAGCAAAATCCAGAACATTATTGATGGCCATATCGGTTATTGGAAGGACAAAGGCGGGGAGAAGTTCCAACACTGGCGTTTTGAGGAAGGCCTTCAGACGGCCCTTGCGGATATTCGCGCCTTTAATAGCTTTGATCATTCGCGGGTGGGTAGAACCCATTTTTTCAAGTCGTTAAGAAAGAGTCAGCATGTCGCCGACAAAGGCAACGGAGAGTATGTTTGGGAATGGGAGCAGGGCTATGATCAGGGACTAGCGGCTTTCAACAAGTATTTGTGAGTTTTTATAATGAATTCATGACGTCGTATCGAAAATGTGTTGCGTGCGTGCCGTCCTAATGCGACTATATTCTCACAAATCCAAAAATTATCAAAGCACTGGTCCTATAGTGTAGTGGTTATCACTTTCGGTTTTGATCCGGACAACCCCGGTTCGAATCCGGGTAGGACCTAATTTTTGTAGATTTGGAAATCTACAAGTGTCACTCTGGTACAGAGTGATAAAGTATGTGTCAACGAGAGACAAAGTGATCTAATAATAATCCACAATTACTCGTCGTATGACAGCGAACGGTTAACACACGGTGAAAGTTGCCTTGGGCAAGTTGGCATTTTCCGTTTGGAGAATTCGAGTAGCACCATTGGTGCTGTCCGTTGGTTTATGATTTAGCCATTACTGCAAGCTTAAAGTTTTCTTGTCTAAGCTAAAAAAAATTCCAAAATTACGTTGCAGTAAAACTACCAACTCTCAAGGCAAATAATTTGGGTGATCAAAATTATTTCCAGTAAATCAATCTAGTTCGCGTAATAATGTGCCAACCTAAGACCCAATTGCTTACTGTCATCGGTGTTTTTTTTTTTTCATACAGACTCATGTCAAGACGTGATGAAATTTTTTTGAAGTATGGTGAAAAATCGACATCATCATCTCATCGCAAGAATCTTGATCCAGGTTTTGTTATCCAGAAGGTTACTCAACTCGAAACGCTAAGACTCGGGTCCAGATTATTGCGGTTCAGAACTGTATCGACTTTAAAAGTGTTGAAAGATCCTCGCAGTAAAGAAATGTTCATTAAAAACGACCACGTCGGTGACAGAAGCCGTTTGGAAGACTGGCGTATTAAAGGCTACGATCCAATTACGCCTCCAGATTTGCTACAGCATGAGATGCCTATCTCTGCCAACGGCCACAAGATCATCGTTGATGCCAGAGAACAAGTTTGTGACATCTTGAACGGCAAAGATGACCGTTTGGTGATCGTCATCGGACCATGCTCGATCCACGACCCCAAGGCCGCCTACGAATACTGTGACCGTCTTGCTGCACTGTCCAAAAAACTGTCCAAGGACTTGCTAGTTATCATGAGAGCCTACTTGGAAAAGCCAAGAACCACCGTGGGCTGGAAAGGTCTTATTAACGACCCAGACATCGACAACTCTTTCCAAATAAACAAAGGTCTAAGAATCTCTAGAGAAATGTTTACGAATCTGGTGGAAAAACTGCCCATCGCCGGTGAAATGCTGGACACCATTTCACCCCAATTCTTGAGCGACTGTTTCTCGTTGGGTGCCATCGGTGCCAGAACTACCGAGTCTCAACTCCACCGTGAACTTGCATCCGGTCTTTCATTTCCTATCGGATTCAAAAACGGTACCGACGGTGGTCTTCAAGTTTCTGTTGACGCCATGAGAGCTGCGTCCCACGCACATTACTTTTTGAGCGTCACGAAGCCTGGTGTTACCGCCATTGTAGGTACCGAAGGTAACAAGGACACTTTCATCATTCTAAGAGGTGGTAAGCAGGGTACCAACTTCGACGCCGAGAGCGTTCAAAAGACTCAAGAAGAACTGGTTAAGGCCAAGGTCGCGGATGAAGCCGGAGTTCAAAGAAGAATAATGATCGACTGCTCCCACGGTAACAGCAGCAAGGACTACAGAAATCAACCCAAGGTTGCTCAGGCTATCTACGACCAAGTTTCCGCTGGTCAAAATGCTATCTGTGGTGTAATGATCGAATCGAACCTAGTAGAAGGTAGACAAGATGTTCCACCCGAGGGAGGTCGTGACAAGTTGAAATACGGCTGTTCCATCACAGACGCATGCATTGGCTGGGAATCGACCGAAGAAGTCTTGACTCTGCTCGCCAAGGCAGTCCAAAACAGAAGAGAGGCTGTCAAAAAATAAGCTTGTTTGTCATCCACCTTCCTCGAATCAAGGTGAATATATTTACTTGTACTAAGATATATGTGATACATGCAAACTCTCTATCTAATGAGAAAACGTTACATTGTTTACCAAATAAGTGGTTTCCCGTAGATGATCAGAATTCGGTAGCGAAAGCTCTTAGCTTCAGACTTAGCAAAAAAGCATGGAGAGAACCTAGCCCTTGACAGCTTTGCGTTCAATTTGCTGCATTTTACGTTTCAACTCTTGGTTTTCTTTCCTTAAGAGTTCCATTTCGATATGAACCTCTTTGGATCTGCCGTAGCCAAGCATTCTCGCCATGTCTTGGTTTTCCTTGGTCAGATTTTCGAGTCTCACCACCATCTTGTGAGCGAGCGCCTCTTCATCGTAGCGTCCGAGTTTGGTGACTGAGTTCGTGGGATTGAGAGCAATTGCAGTAACAAGACTTTCGAGCCTTAATTTTGTCTCCTCCAGTTCTTTATCTTTGGAAGCCAGGCTCTGCGATAATTTATGGAATATCGCTTCGAGACTTGAGGGTATTTCAACAAAAACGCCTGTCTGTGGGTCAGATGGAGCCCGGCTATCATGCTTTTGCTTCAACAAGAGGCCCTGATTGAAGACCTGCTTCAAGCTTTGAATTTCTGATTCCAATGATTCGATTTGGGTTTCCTTGAGCTGTAATTCCAATTGCAACGACTCGTAATTCTCGTGGTTATCAGTCGAACCATAAGTCGTATTGTAATCTGAATTTTTCACGTTCAGAGAGGTATCCATGATGCTATTTGTTGTGAGTGTTCCAGATGTTGTGTCGCGTCCCAGTTTCGCGTCACGTTGATCCATGCTCCAGTATAGGTCACCCCTACTTCCGGCCGACCCTTGAGTCAAAGGGTTCATCAGTCGGGCATTCATAATGTTGCTGGTTTGGGAGATATTTCCGTTAATATACCCACCAGCATTGTTTGCGCCTATAACTTGCTGTTCATGCTCAGAACTTCCAAAATAATTTGGCTGAGAGAAGCTTAGGCTAGCCAACGAAGCATCCAAACCGCGGGAACCATCAAAATTATGTATTGGCTTCCAATCCGTATTCATCTAAGAGCAATTGGCCTTTGAGTTAGTAAGATGGAGACCCACTTGATGCCTTTGTCTGGAAGTTCGCGACATACGTAACCAGAGAATCGATTCTGCTGCGATGACTGCTGGTTGTCCATCCTGAGGGTTCTGTTGAATATCAAAAGCTGAAAAAGGCTTGTGCAAGCTTGACAACCCGAGCTGATGTGGTAGTTAGAAGTCTGCAGTAGTCACTTCGATCTGGTTTCAGCTAATATGATATTTCGTGTATGGTGATACTTTTGGGTCGCCAAATGAGTAACGACAGTAACGGGCAGCTTCAGCATCTGTTGAAGAAGTAAATGTAACCGTTCTTCTTTAATTCCTGAATGTTCATGGGATCTTCGGCGACTACCATTTTTTCGTCATTGTAGAGAACCCATTTGGTTTGTTCACCCACTTGTTTTTTGATAAATGCGACATAATGCCCCGATTGCACGGAAGAGCCCTTGTGACAAATAACAGCTTTCAGAGAATAGTTTGCGAGAGACTCATCAGAAAATCCGTACATTTGATCTTCTTTTTTGACTGGAGTTTCTTTGACAATGAGACCATCGTCATCCAAATTGTTAAAAACCCATTCCACACTGGCGGTGACGTTGCCCTGGTTGAGAATGAGCGCTTTTCGACATAGCTGTGGATCAAGACCCATAGAAACCATGTCTTCCAGTTCTTGTGGATTGTACATTTCGGCTTCGTACGTGTTAGTGGGCAATACGGCTGGTTCATTGAGATCAGGGTCCTCGACGTGGGAGAACAGCCAGTTCATAGCATCCTCCATGCCGCTGTTGTTAGTGTAGAACAAAGCCTTCGTGGCTGCATTCTCCGTGAAGCCCATTTCTAAAAGGTCAGCCACGCATTGGACATTCGGTTTGAATTCGTTTGTCTCGTTTTCTGGCAGCAGTCGTTCTTTTTCACTATCAAACCCGTGAGATTTGAAGGCGCCCAATTGTAAGGTGGACGTATCAGCGGTCTCTATTCCAGGCAAAAGAACTTCCTGTGAGTTCTTCACCGGCATCCAGTTAACAAGTTTTATCCGTGTAGGACTAACAACCAGGGTTTTTGGGAATGATTGGAAGCCCGATGATTTTACAGCAGTCACCATTTCCTTACAGTAAGGGCATTTGAAACTGACATCTTCTCCCGCAAAATAGCTAGATATTCTTTCGGAAAGTTCCTGTGGCTCGTCGTTCTCAGAAAGCGGGACCTGCAGGTAGTCATATGACTGGCTGCTATACTTAACGGAGTGGCATTTAGTGCATTCTAGTCTATCCTGGACATTGAATCTGAACAAATCGTTCGGATTTGATGATGTTTCATTGAACACCCTTTTGTCCAATAGATTTGTGAAGTAAGAGAAAAACTCCAAAGCATCCTGTTGCCTTCCTGAGCTAAACTCTTCATGCCTTCCGCCGATGCATCTTTTGAAAGTAGTTGGTTTGACGCCTTGTGAGTATTTGGCTGGCTCTACTGTCATGGCATTTCGCAGCTTGAGAAGCTGGCATTTGAGGTTACTAGAAACGTAAACGACATCAGCAGGGAAATCACCCAACTCTTTTAGAGACCATGTAAAGACGCCCCCATTCACAAGTACTTGGAGAACAGAGTTCATATAACAGGAATTACCCAAATTTAGCAACCCGCAGCCGAACTCTGCCGAACTGGGCAGATGTTGTAAGTCGTGGCCCTGAGAATCGACCATTTGAAAGTCCCAATTCATATTTTGCTCGAGTTGTAGTTCCATTAGAGTCTTCTCTTGAGCCACCCTGTCTCCAATGTCGATGTTCCAATGGGCCAAGGCCTGAACCCACACCTTGCTGTCATCGAAGTGGACCTCATCGTCGCAGGCGTAACAGTAGACGTCTGCAGACGACTGGCTTAAAGACCCCAACTTGACCGCGAGTGGGTGGTCGGGATGCTGTTGAAAGTGTGCCAAGGCGTGAGAATGGCCCTCGATTCCTACTTGTTGTCGGCCACAGCCCAGATGGCCGCAATGCAGGCAGAGCCATAGGTTATTGCCCAGGTCGCAGTCCGCACAGTTTTTCCCAACATCTTGAGCTGCTCCTGCGCTGACTGTGAAGGATTTGACGTGTTCGCAGGCTTTAACCTCGAGTTGCCAAGAATTGGCCATCTGCTGAAAGTTGCTGGACCTAGCCTGCAATATGTTTTTCACTTTATTCGTTACCTTGGGGTCCAGTCCTTGCGTTTGGTTGTCTGCTATGGAGGACGTACCTTTTATTAGAGACCAATACGAGTCGTAAACCTCATCCTCCGACTTTTCATTTATTTCCAACTTCAGCTTCTTTTCAGTAGGTTCTCCGACGTCTGCTTTCTTGACCTTACTGAGCTTCAAATAGAAGTCATGACAGCCGTTTGACCCGGCTCCCGTCACCCTTCGATGTAGTGTGGTATGCTCCGGGCAGAAGCTCTGGAAGCAGTGAAGACAGACATTTAGGCAATGCGATGTGGTGAAGTCATCGTTATACATCGTCTCGTAACAGTAGCCACAATCATCCTTAAAAATCACAGAGGGAATCTGTAGATTTATAAAATCATCTATAACACTCATTGCCAGTTTGAGAATTGGACAAAGTATGCGGGGTTGGATGCGTCTGAGTTGAGGCGTTTTCTCAGATTAATTGCATAGAATCTTGAGATGCTGTTGTTACTCTTAAATTGAAGATACATCGCCTTACACGAGACTACATGTGCTTCATTGTGAGCCAAGGAATGCTAACTACGTAGCTTTGATATACACAGGAGTGGGGAAGGCACTGGATATCGAGGGCGTTGTGCATGCTAAGTTAGAGTTTTGTCTTTCCAGTGAAGCTCGCCAGCGTCGCCTGCAGTGCATTTTCTGCGACAAATTTGATTGCACAAATACTGAATGCCAGTTTTACCTCTGGAAGAAGGATTGTACTGCGAAAAGTACTTGACGACCTCAAGACGGGATACTGCCAGCGATCTTCCGGAATTGTCATTGCCCGTGATGTAATCTTTGACTTGTTGTTCGGTGGGCAGCATGAACTTTGAATGATATGGGTACTTCTTCCACGTGATCGCGTCAGCTGAAGTGAGCAGCGAAGCAGGGTTCGAGGCACGAGGAGAAACGAGGCGCGAGAGCTCTTCGATGGTTAGCCCTGATTTCGACCATGCGTATGGTGTCTTGTTCTTGTCCACCAGCTTGTGTTTCGTGGCCGCAGAGAATTCCGACACGGCGTCCTCGCACATACTGGATGCAGTGACGAGATCTTGTTTTAGAGACGACTCGATGTCAGAGTCCTTGTTTCGGCGAAACTGCTCGATAGTCACTTGCAGAGAAACTGCGCTTTTGGAATCCAGCTTTCGGAGGGTCATGCGGGAAAACTCTTTTTCCTCGGGCGCAGCCGAAGTGGAATTTACAATTTTGTCCAAAGCGTTTTTGATCGCCTTGATGTTTCCAGCAGTTTCTAAGTCGAAACAGGACTCGATGACGTCGAGCTGGGCGTTAGAGTACTTGAACTGATAGTCCTCCTCCAAACCGACGGAGAATTCCTCAATAGCGGCGCCGGTGATGTCCCACATGTCCTCTGAGTTGTTGTGGACTGGTAGTTCACCGAGTCTCGCCTGCAAATCCTCCAAGTTATTGCTAGGAACATAGTGGGAAGCGAACCCAGCCATGTAAACGTCAGCCCCCGATAATAGGTCCCCAGTCAGACACAAGTATAGAGCCAATTGACCCTCGGTGCCACCTATTGTAGCAATTTGAGGCAGCGAGAAAGTTGTTCCGACATCGGGGAAAAACCCGATGTCTGTTTCTGGCATACACCATTGAGTATTTTCCGTGGCCACACGGAACGGTACATGTGTAGCGAGACCAACACCACCACCCATGGTGATTCCGTCCATCAATACCACCACTGGACGATTGTAAGTCGCTAAAAGCATGTTTAGCGAGTATTCTTGCTGGAAAAACTCCAGCGACTTGGCCTGCTTTCCGCTGATATTTTGTAAAGCCACCGTTGCTACATCTCCACCTGCACAAAAGGATTTGGGCGAGCTGGCAGATTTGATTAACACCAGGTTGTTTACGTCGCTCTTACTGTATTCGAGAAGCGTAGGAATCATCTGGGAGCACATTTGCGTTGACAAAGCGTTCAGCTTCTCGGGTCTTGCCAAAGTCAACACGCGGGAGACCCCTTTAGTGCCGAACTTTACTTGTTCAGACATAAATCGTTTGACCGGCCGGCACTTGAGCGGTAATCTGAGCATGAGATTGAACTGGCTTAGAGCGCAAATGGGAGCGTTTGGGAAGTGTTGTGATGCACAACTCTAACTGCCTTAGCTTGACATGCTTGAAATTTGATGAATTAGAAAGACAGTTTAGTATATAGTGATAAACTCTGGGAATTGAGCTTAAACTTGAATTTATAGCCCTTGGCTAGTAGAGCTCTGCATGGGATACCAGCGATTGCAATTTTCGAACGACGGCTGGATACATTTTTCGCTGCTCAAACATTTTTTAGCTATATTCTTCGGGTACCACAGGTATTATTAGTATGAAATTGTTATGGGCGTGAAATCTGTGATTTTGGGAGGCCTTATTTATACGGAATAGCTCAGCAAAGGGATATTTGTGGAAAGAATTAATTAGAACAATTGTTATTGTTGTGCTCAGTATCTCTTTATGATGCGATCGAAACCGCTGTTGTGAGAGTGCATGTCATGACAGCCTCAAATCGATGACAGGGAATATCACATAAACATAAAAAATTCGGTTCTCCAGAAACTGAGAAATTTATATCGAAGATCTTGCAGTGAGGAATAAAATTTAAAGCTCGATGCTTTTCACAGTGTGGCCAGTCCAAAAGTGTTCGATTGCACTGTTATTTCAAGCACAATTCGAGTAGAGAAAGTCGTAGATATTGATCTTCGCGGGTGACGGAGTAGGAAAAAGTGATAAAAAAGCCAAGAGTGCACAACTCTGTTGAGTGCACTCACATAACGTCAAGATTCGCTTTGGTTAGTGATCGGATTTTTTTTACTATACCGTCCCTCCTAGAATCTCACATTCAAGTTCTTGAGCCTTCGCAGTCCAAGTTGTTTTCAACTTTGATAACGTGATTCAAGATGCCGAAGCATTTGTGCAGGCAACACTCAAAATGAATGCCCTTCAGATCAGATACTGAGTCACTCAGCAATCTATTCATGACATTGGTCGTTGTATAAATGTTTGACAAACCTTAACATGGCACAATGCCGGCAATGATGGAAAACACTTTCAAAAATGCAATCAACGATCAAAACGACCAAGGATCAAGAAGCATTGATACAATCATTCCCCTTTTTGATTTCATTCTTGCTCTTGTTCAGCGCTTAGCCTTATCAACTTCTAAACCGCGATCTCTAACCTCTGCAAAGCTCCTAGATATGGCGAACAGTTCAGTACCTTATTAATTTTATAAATTACGTACAAGCTCAGCACATTGGTTTTAAGAAATTCGAAGAAAATGGCCAAAAATACTCGCCATATTTTTATATACTTTAACCATCAAATCGCTATCAATGTAGCTCGCTACTGATCCGTGCCGTCTCGCTTAGACGTTTCTTCCGCCTCGAGAAAAGTGGCTCGTGCTGACGCCAGCTGAAAAAAAACCTGATAATTGGAATTATCGATTTCGATCTATCGGTTCGAGCAGACAGAACAACACATTTAGAACAATAGCTACAAGGATTCCAGAGGTCTCTGGCTCGGCAAAGACGTTGATTTGAAAGCTTGAAATTGAATCTACTATCTTGAAATATCGTGAAAACTCCAGCATCAGTGAAAGCCCAATATTCCTTGATCAAACTACTATAAGATGTCAGTCTCGCATAAGGGCCTATCACTCGGAGTCGACACGCTGGAAGCTCCAGCAGCATCCGAAAAGCTCGAGAAACTTCACAATTTCTATTGGGTCTCTCAAAAGGAACCTCACGCCGTCAGAAGACATGCGATTCTCAAGGCCCATCCAGAGGTGAAGAAGCTTATGGGCCACGAGCCTCGCACCAAGTACATCGTTACCGGTGTCGTGTTGCTACAGTGCTCCATGGCATTCGCCTTGCGTAACACCAGCCCGAAATCATGGAAATTTTGGCTGTGTGCTTACGTCGTGGGAGCAACAGCCACTCAGAACATCTTCCTCGCCATCCACGAGCTATCGCACAACCTGGCCTTCCGCAAGCCTTGGCACAACAGGCTGTTTTCTGTCTTCACAAATACCCCCATTGGAATTCCTTATGCCGCCTCTTTCGCCCCATACCATCAACTTCATCACAAGTTCCTCGGAGATGAGGTGTACGACACCGATATTCCCACCAAGTTTGAAGCACTGGTTCTATCAAATGTTCTCGGAAAGACTTTTTTCGCAACGTTCCAAATCTTCTTCTACGCATTCAGACCTATGTTTGTGACCTCGATCCCGATGTCTCCGCTTCACTTGATCAACGTCGCATACCAGTTAACATTCGATTATTTCTGGATCACAAACTTCGGCATAAATTCTTTCCTATACTTTCTCATTTCCGCCTTCTTGGCCGGATCATTGCATCCATGTTCAGGTCACTTCATCGCTGAACACTACCTCCTGAATATGGAGGAGGCCATCATTGGTGGTAAACTTGCATTTAAAAACACAACGGCTGAAACTGAACCTGTTCACTCAACGGAAAAATCCGAGATTACTCGCCAAGACGTTCAGTTTTACGAGCATTATGCCCTCGAGACATTTTCATATTACGGGATTCTCAACTTCTTCACCTGGAACGTGGGCCTTCATAACGAACATCACGATTTCCCATTTGTTCCATGGTCCAGATTATGGGAATTGAACCGCTTGTGCCCAGAGTTTTATCAGAGCTTGCCCAAGCACGATTCCTGGTGTAAGGTCCTTTGGGATTTCGTTTTGAAGGACGACGTAACCTTGTACAACAGAGTCAAGCGCGTCAATAAACATCTTACAAAAGCGGACTAACTTTCAGGCTCGGTCCAACATTTTCTTAGCAAGAGAAATGGCCGAGATCAATTCTTATGCATCGCGGCTCACATTTGCCGAACGACTCTCGCATGAAACTTTTCACACACAATACATACGCTTGGACGCATAGCTGGTTCGCCATCGAAACCAGTCAAATAAAAATATATCCCGATTAAACTTACTTCATATATGTCATTTCATTCCCGCGTTTTGCTTCCTAGTGTCTATCTGTATGAAAGTATACCCTATACTATGACAACCTCTGGGGGCTGCACATCATCGTGTGAGAAACTCACAGAAAAATGTATTTGATGAGCCCAAACAGGCCCAACGTGAACATAGCTAGGAAAAATGAGTGGAGGCAGAAAGCGTCGCCTGAAGTCATCAGATAGTAAGGCAAATGTATATAGTACATCCAATACAGATTTTCTCCGACATTCGACAGCTTCTCCCAGAGAGAGCCTGTACTCAGCTCTTCATCTGTAGGCCGATAAATAAACGTCCCATGACTCAGTTTCTGCGCCTTGATGGCACCCGTGGAGCTCATTTAGTGTTGAATGGCTTATTTTATGAACGTGCAGTCAAAGTTGGGTATGTTTTGATGATATCCGAGGTGATCAAGAACTTCGATCTTTTAGTATAAAGTGATGATTATAATGCATGTTATAGATGTGAGAAGAAAGTCCAAGTGTCATCAGCCTTTAAACTTGCCGAAGAACGACTTGCGTTTGCTGGCGTTGTTCTCAGTGCTGAGAGTGGTTTCACGTTTAAAATGGTCCAAGTCCAGGGACTTTCTACCATGAGCAAAGGATTTTTTCGAGTCGCTGGTGCTGCCACCGTTGTTGGATCTCCGCGACTGGTTAGATACGGTTTTGGTCTTCCGCAATTTTGTATCCACGGAAGGAGAGGCGGAGAAATTCAGTTCTTGAAATTTCAAATCCAAAGAACGCCGGCCAGAGGCAGGCTGGGACGGATTAGATGATTTTGTAGATTTTTCGCTCAATGTAGTGTTTTGAACAGGTGCCTTCCGACGCAATTCCACGGGGATGCTTTCAGTCGAGGCAAGACTTTGCTCCGATAAGTTGGCACTGTCTTTAGTGCCACCCTTGGTTGGGGTCGACAGGTCAACGCTATCGTAAGTCAAATCCAGTTTTTGGAACTCCTTTTTATTCGCTTCCGAAAAGTCCACTAGCAATTGTTCGTTCTCATGTGCGTGAGACGGCTTCTGTTGATTGACTTGAGGATGTTGTAAAACAACCTGGGGCTGCTGCGAATTCAAAGCAGGAGCCGGTCGCTGAGGTTGAAGTAGGGGTTGATGTTGTGCTTCAGGTTTCTCTCCCAAAGTCTGGTACGGGTAGTGAGACGTTACTGGTTTTTCCACTGTGTTATCTGCCATTGGAGTCGGAGTTCCACCATAATACGGGTGGTAGGAGCGCATCATTTCAACATCTGGACGCGAATGTTGAAATGCAGGTATTCCTCCCTGCTGCTCAGAATGGGAGCCTGAGGTTTGCGGCTGGCTTTGAGCCGGCACGCCGGGAATAGCCTGATGGATTTTAGACTCCAAATAACGCGAATCAACTTCTTTTTTTGAGCTGTCGTTATCAAAAACTGGATTCGTATCTCTATCCACACCGTAGTTCTCTGGCTGAATGTAAGGGAAAGGGTTCATTGATTTGTGCTGTTTGGTCGAAGCCGATGATTTAGCAGTTGCGTCTCGTGGAATCTTTGCGGGTGCGACAGGGGGCAAGACACTTTGCCCTTGTTGTTTGATATCATCAGAGGGTTTGACTAGGTCGATCTTACTTGAGGAATGCGAACCAGTGCCAAGACTGGTCGTTGTGTTGAAATTGTGTCTTCCACTTTCTCGCTTGCCTCCGTCGTGTAGATACGTATCCAGGTCTTCCACAGAAGGAAATTGCTGTTGTACCAGGCCAATGTCTTCTTCCCCTATGGGTTGACTCCGGTTAGGAGTTGCCAATGCCCCTACAGGACCACTTTTTGAAGCTTCCGACGTTTCCGACAAAGCGCTGCTTTTCCGCCCCATGTTCACCGCTTGTTTAGGGGCAATCTCAAAGCAGTTGATGAAAAGATCGTTCAGGGAATCGACGCGCTCCTTATTCTCATAGGACAGATACATTTGGTATTGTATTCTTTGCAATTTCGCCTGGTACTGAGCATATTTGTCGAAACTGTACGGTCCCTGCTGGTATTTATCTTCTATCGGATTTTGTATCTTCAGAATGGAGCACAGGATATCCATCACCTGGTAGATATTGGGCCTCAAATTAGGGTTTTCGGCAAGCATAATTATGATAAGGTTTATCAATTTGGAGGAGTAATTGTTGACTGGAAACTCGTACTTGGAATGCAAAATGGCAAATTGTCCCGTAAGCTCAAATGGCGTGGTGTAGAATAGCAACTTGTACAGAAAGATACCCAAGGCCCAGATGTCCGATTTCTCGTCTACGGGCAGCCACCTGTAAAGATCGATCATTTCCGGAGAGCGGTACTGTGGTGTGGTGTGGATGTAAATGTTGTTGGTCAAAAGCGCGATTTCCTGGTGCGTGTTAGCCACGGGTAAGCATGTAGAGGTAGACCCAAAGTCGCACAGCTTGAAATTGTTGTCGGCGTCCACCAAAACATTTTCGATCTTGATGTCGCGGTGTATCAGGGGCACCGGTAAGTAGTGCATTTGTGCAAGTGCACGGCTCACATCGAACATGATCTTGACAATCTCTCCCTCCGACAGCTTCGTGGCCAATCGTTGGTTCATGTAGTCCAGCAGCGAATTGTTCGGGCACAACTCCATCAGAAGCATCACCTCGAAACCGACACTACCGTCGCGGGACCGAGACGCATGTGAGTCGTAATACTGCACCACGTTCGCGCTGCCAGACAGCTGTTTCATCACGCTGACCTCGTTTCGCATCTCATTGAGCCCGTTTTCGTCCGTGACCAGCACACGCTTCAAACACGCCACTTCTCCCATAGCTAGAGCGATCGCAGGCTGTTTTTCCAGCTCGTTCGCATATTCCACAAACTTAACAATGTATATCTGTGCGAATCCGCCTTCTGCTAGGTATCCCACGATCTCCACTCGGTGATTCCCTACAATAACTTGCGAGCCAGTTTTCAGTTGTTCTAGCACGGGCACCGTTGCGCTCCGGCTGGTACTGGCACCTCCGGCTACCTCTTGCGACGAAGACTCTGATTTCGACATTGTGATTGACTCGAGTCACTCCGCCGATTGCCTGAATGCCCAGGAAGTTGGATCTCGGAAAGGGGTGATGGTTCTAACCATTATGATGATTTCAATTGTAGAAAGATTGAAAAATTACCCTGGTCACGTGGTCGCGACCACGCCTGCTTAACGATTCGAAGGCGATGACGGAGTGCTGACGGAGCGCTGACACCAGATCGAGCTCGCTTAATGGGTCAGATATTCAGGGTTTGGTTTCCTTTAAGGGGTCAAAACGTCACGTAAAAGTGTCTGCATTTCTGAGTAGACGTAGGGCACGTAAAGGGTTTCGGCCCCGGACCTGTTTTTGGACATGGCAGCCATCTTGTGCTCGATAAACTCGCCCAGCATGGACCTCAGTGAGACTTCATTGGAGGAAATAAACTCAGCAGCACACATATGGTAAAATTGCTTGAACTCAATTCCAAAGGCGTGGCTGCCCTTCTTGGTGCCAGATACCTTGGTATTGGAATTTTCCATGGCGCTGAGCTGGGTCTCGATAAGCAATTTGTACATGCGCTTGGAGTTGGCCGTCAAGGACTCTAGGACGTAGCGAGCACCTTCGGCTCCTGTGGTAGTGTGGCTCTTGCCCAGCTTCAAGACATCGCTGAAAGAGGACTCAACAGCGTAACTTTCATAGTTGGTGATATCGTGGAAGACAAAGTTGAAATTTTGGGCACGGACGTGATCCCACAGCAGCGGAGCATAGACATGATCGGTCGACGCGATAAGTGCAATTTGACGGACACGGGCAAGCGAGCTCAACATGCTCTGAAAAGCGTCTTTGCGAACCATAGGGCCGTCCAAATTGTGGACCATGACGATGAGCTTGATAGTCGGCGCGGCGTGGCGGTACACCTCGACCATCTTGTTGATCTGCAGCTCAACGTGGTTGCTCCAGTACTTGGTTTCAGACTTAGAAAGCTCCTCCTTCAGCATGATTTGCGAAATTGAGTGGAACGCGTCTCGATAATTACAGGTTGGGTTGTAGCCATTGATGACAACGCAAGGAACGCCTTCCACCGTATCGTCGTCCAGATCGCTGAGAGGTTCGCCACCAGGTTCGCCGCCAGAAACTTCCCCACCAGCCACATCAACTCCGTAGTTGAGCTCTTCAGATATCACTAGCCGTGGTGACAAATACTCGACTGCAAACTCCTCGAGGAATTTGCGCTTGGAGCCGACTCCGTAGAATAGCAGTGAAAAGCCCTGATCGAGCTCAAACCAATATTGCGGAAACATGACCCGCTGTATATGCTGCAAGGAGCGCTTTCCGTCGCGATGAAGCCACGAATTGAGCGTGTTTGACAGTAGCGAGAATTCCTCCCTGGTGATTTGGGGTGCCATGCCCATCGAGTTGGTAGATTTCTTGTTTGCGCGAATAGGCTTTTTCTGATCAATATAACCTTCGAACCCATCAAAGAAGTAAGTGAGGTGCTTTTCCTGCGGGGGTTGGTATTCACCTTCGTAAGGCAGTGGCGTAGGGGTAAAATTTCGGTCAAGAGTGATCTTGAAGGGTGACTTATTCAGAACCGGTTTGGCCGGCGATTTTGCCGGCGATGCAAAAACATGGGATTTAATAGGCGAGGAACTTGCTGTCACGAACCCAGGGTCTGGAAGGGTCTCACTCTTAAGTCTTCTGGGCGATGCAGACCTAGTTTTTGGTGCTTTGGTTTTCACCGTCTCACTGCGTCTAACAGGCGACCTTTGCGAAGAAACAGCACGCTTGAGGGATCTTGAGCCATCCAGGGCGTCAGAAAAATCGTCTTCGTCAGAAACTTCAGGTGACGAGCTCGGAGCGCTACCTGCGAAGTCCTTGTCTACGTTTGGAGACTTTTCTGCTTCTTCAGCAGCAGCTTCTTCGGCTTGTAAAGCTTGCAGTAAATCTCTAGGCTCCTCTAGTTTCAAGTCTTTGCTTTCAGCGATTTTCCGTCTGGCGGGCGAGGCAGGACCAGAACGACCACTACGCGCTATTCGGCGGTTCATGAATCGCCAAAAAGTGGGCACCAGCCGCGACCGTGTGCTCGAGTTTCCTTCAGAATTCGCTAAGTCCTCATGCCATACTATATCATCAGATTTGGGCATTGGAAAAGAGAGATCAAGCTTGCTGCTGTGAAGCTTTTGAAACAAACGTCTCTTCGAATTGATGTGTGTTTATGATTTGAAGATATTGAATCTTGATTTTTGATCCATATAAAACAAGCTATACAGCAGAAACAAAACAAACAGAGCTTCTCGGACAGAAACGAAAGGACAATAATCCAAATCCAGAGAATATCAATGTGATGTGGGAAAAAAAATGCGGGTGGTTCTCTGACATTTTTTTTGGAATTATTTGGCCCAGGGACCGCGTAGATTTGCCAACGATTTTACTCTTTTAATTATGGACTGAGCCCTGAGACTGCTTCTTAAACAATTGTATTTCAAATTTTTGGCTACGATATTAAAAATCCAAGACTCTTTCAGTTCTACTTGTCCACTGCTGGTGGAAGGTTTATCCTAAAAACTCTTCTCGGAATTTGAAGTGTGTACTGTTTCTAGTGCTTGTCAGGGCAACTGAGAAAAAACGGTGCTCGTAAGGGAACTAGACTATTCCATCATTTGATACTCAATCCTCACAATGCGCAAAGTATTAACTGGCTGTCGCCTGCCCTTAAGCTCTTGCACAAGTCTCGAATTTAGTTATCGTTTTTAACAGAACCGTCATTAATTGAAGTGTCACGAAATTCAACAGACGCTTTAAACAATACACGATGAAGATGGGAAGATGGACATGGAGAAACATAATTACTGCTTTTATTGACGTATATTCTGCGTCAAGTATGTCTACCTCTCACATAAAATGGTCAACAGCACCATAGTGCCATTTCGACGCTTACGCTATTATTCTGAACGGGAGAGAAGTATATACCACGCTTCCTCCCATCATGAAAAATAGCAAAGAGTTAATTGCCTTGCTTCGTATTTCAATGACCAATGCTGGCGCCCTCAAAACACACGATGCCCTATGAACGTTGACCATCACCGGTTCTCTGATTATTACTCCAGAATCACGTGATAATTTTCAAGCTAACTGAAAAATTGTGAGCAGGCAGAACGGACCTCATCGCATCCACGGCAGGTCGATATCTTGCCAAAGGCTCTGCCAAATTCAATATGCTCTCATTCTGTCCACACTGCCACAACATGCTGCTGGTCTCTCAGCCTGACGGCGGGGCGTACACTTTACAGTGCGGTGCCTGTCCTTATACTTTTCCCATTGAAGGAATCGAGGTATACGACAGAAAGACGCTGCCGAGAAAAGAAGTTGACGATGTTCTTGGTGGTGGTTGGGATAACGTTGACCAGACTGGTGTACAATGTCCAAACTACGACACTTGTGGTGGTGAAAGAGCATACTTTTTCCAACTGCAGATCAGATCTGCAGATGAGCCGATGACTACTTTCTACAAATGTGTGAATTGTGGCAACCGGTGGAGGGAAAATTGAGCGAGTGATAATAACAAGTGGGGGCTTATGCTTGAAATTGGATTTGACGCACACCTTCGCTTCCCACTTCTACGGTTAGTTTCGATTCGAGCACGAATCGGTGGAAAGTCGTGGATTCGTATCCCAGAATCCTAGTCATGGCAAAGAGACTTTATGGACTCGACATCTAGTAAAGACTATTTTGTTTGAAAGGACAAGATTTACTTGCAGAGACTTTTTGTTAAAATCTCGTTAGTGTGGATTGAGCCTTCTGACTTGTGGTTATCGAGGCCGCAAGTACAAGTTATGCAATCCGTTGAGTGCCTCTTTCACAGGCTCAATTAATGGCCTTACCGTATTAGTCAACACAGAGCTGCGCTTTCCCCTCACTTTCCTCTTACACTTTACTGATCTATCCTCGTTGAAATCTCGTCAATTGAGTGTGGGGGTCAAAAATTTGTCGACACTGCTCTTCCCCTCCGTTACGATCTCAATTGACTCCTCTAATACATTTACTCAGTCATCGTGGCACATCATTAGTTTTATAAATATTTAGACCTCTATAAAAGGCTGTCAGCTATTTTGGTTTTTTAGGTTTAAGTTCGTGAGAATCGTGTTACACCCAGTCCACTGGCGTTCTGAGTACCTTTAGAAGCTTGTCTTCACGAGAGTCCGGCTCTGGATGGTGATCGTAGAACCAGCACGCGGTTACTGGCAAACTCATTAGAATGGATTCGGTACGGGACCCTGGTGTTCTCAAACCAAATTGGGTACCTCTGTCAAGCACTAAGTTGAACTCCACATAACGACCACGGCGGATCAATTGCCATTGCTTTTCTTCCTCAGTAAAAGGCATGTCCTTTCTGCGCGCGATAATGGGTAGGTACGAAGGGAGAAAAGCATCAAAACAGTCCTCAACAATGGCCAGAATTTCCTGTGGATCGCGGTCGTCCATGTCGTCAAAGAAGATACCACCGATACCACGGGTCTCTTCTCTGTGCTTTATGTAGAAGTACTCGTCGCACCACTTTTTGTAGCGTGGGTACAGCATGGTGTCGTGTTTGTCAAGAGCCTTCTTGTGCTCTTCGTGGAAAAGACGTGCGTCTTCCTCGTAGAGATATGATGGAGTGAGATCTGCTCCACCGCCAAACCACCATGTCTGAGGGGTTCCGTCTGGATTCCAGGTCTCGAAATAGCGGTAGTTCAAATGCGTAGTAGGGGCGTGAGGGTTCGAAGGGTGGATGACCATGCTAAGTCCGCACGCAAAGAACTTAACACCCTCCGCGTTCGGAAGCCCACTTTCGGCGTCGACGGGCAACTCAAGGTTTTTGTGGTCGTGTTTCATGGCCGAAATCGCCTGTGGCGAAAGCTGTCCGTAGACCACAGACACGTTGACACCACCCTTCTCGAACGTGGTACCGTTCTGCAGCACCATTGAGGTTCCTCCACCACCATCGTTGCCACGAGTCCACGAGTCTGGTCTGAACTTCACAGTGTCGAGCGTCTCGAGACCCTTTGTGATCTCGCTTTGTTTGCGACGGATGAGTTCTTCCATCTGTTGCCTGATGGGCATACGTGTGGGGTCCTGGGGAGCTGGCATTTTCGCAAAAGAGACACTATTGGTGTCGTTCTTGGCAGTTGAAGAAGACATTAGCTAACAGGGGAGTCTGGATAGTTTCAAGGCTGCTTTATATACGTGTAGCTCAGATCTTGTCTCGTATACTGACAAGCTCTCTAGATCGTAGCTTGGCTGGTGATGACACTGTTTCGATGGTTTTGATTGTCTTATTTTTCAGATTACCATATACGAGCAAGTCGACAGTTGATAATTGAACGAGGTCGTAAACGACAGTGAAAGGTTCAAGGAAGCTGCTGATGTTGAATGAAATAGGTGTAAATGCAGCTGAACGGGGCGTAATTAGTGGTGGCAGTTGAGAGGTTGTATACTAGTGGACATGGGCTTATCCTTGGAGGAAAAATAAAAGTAGATTGGAAGAGCTTTAAAAAACGGTTAGATTGAAACGAGCAGGAAGAGCAGATATGAGTACGAATAAGTTATTGGTATGCTGATATTCAACCACTTGTGATCTTGCACGCGTCTCTGTGGTAATAATTGAGTTCAAGAAAGCAAAGCCACGTGACCCAATGATCTGCAACATCGAATCGACTCATCAGGGCGCGTCGAGAACTGGCGAAAGAGTGTTCACCGAGTACCAGATGACTGAACACTCCAATTGTTATCGAGCAACAGCAACTCTCGATCATCTATGCTCTTTTTTTGGGAATTTCGAGATGCCGATGACAGAGATGTATAAAGTGATAACAAGTGGCTCTCCCATTGCATGCTCACTGTGAAATCAAGACGGGCGGTTCCCTGTCCAACGTTGTATTGGGTATCAGGTCATTTTTAAGTTATAAAGTCTATATCAATTTGCCGGGTGTCTCAAATTCACCACACGCGCTTTCTTGTAGCGTGTGCCGAATTCGTCAACAGTGTCGCGCATGGAGAGAAGCATTTTTCACCTACGCTATCCAAGCCGGCTGCCAGCTTGGAATTCAGCCCCGAGTTTTATTCGCTATCAATTTAATGGCCACCGTGCGTTGGTCTGCTGTCATTTAGGACTCCCACAACGAGAGAGTACATATTGTCGTTTGATTGCTTCTGCTTTTTCTTAGACAGCTTCTCACCAACGACATCTAGAACGTCAGTGTTAATATATTCAAAGTAATGGTCTGTATCGTTGACCACATCTTCGATCAAGTCACCCTTGGTGTCCTGCAAAGACACAAAGTGCAAATAAGACTCAAATCCGCTCAAAATGTCCTGAGATTTCTTTGCAGCTTCGTACTGGTTCCAGAAGCCCTGGATGTACTTGCTGGCGTCTTGCAATAGGTATTCGATAGCTTTTTCAGTGTTTGAGAGATAGTAGTCGGGGAAGTCACTCGTCAAATTGGCGCAAATACCAACGGGTTTCGATGGTTGTGTCGCGTTCTTGTGCTTTGGGTAGTATGGAGAACGGCTTGGAGCAGCCTCACACAAACGAGTCCCGACGGCGAAGAACAGAATAAGGGCGACAAAGTGACGTAGAATTGAGGGGGTATACATGTTGTGGAGGATTTTGCGATGTCCACTGAGAACAATAAAGAATGATCCCAGCAGAACTGCAACTAGACACGCTTTTTATACGTTTTCAGTTTAAGCTATTCGTATTCTGATGTAGGCCAAGAAGTTGGCCCATCGCCTAGGGTGATATGATATGGAGATCTAGACTTAAAGAACACTTGCATGTCGAAATCTGGAAATAGATAGCAGCCTGCGCTGGAGCCTGTTTTCGGAAGCTCCTTGAAAGAAACTGCATAATTCACGACAGGCAATCCCTGACAGTGCATGTTGTTGAATTCTGCTCGAAACCTTGGGCTACGATGTCCGAAGTCTTCGGAGCTTCCTGTATATGGGATTTTTGACCTGTTGATAGGATTTTCAGATTTGCGACGTGCGTCCACGAAGGAAACTTGGAAAGCACGACCATCATCAACATGAAAAGCAGCGTGTGACAACACAGAAGAGGAACGAACGGGTGTGTGTATGCAGGAACTTACAAACAAAATCGAAGCTGATGTTTCGAAATATTTCCCATTACAGCTAAATGACCTTGATGTCCTAGTGAACTTGCTATCGCAAATGTCATTGATACTCACGAGGAGGATCGTCGGAATCTAGGTCTCGAGGGTGATTACTCACAGGTACCGAATGCAGTGACAAATGAGCACGAAGTGATTAAATTGTAAGCTGCGGCGTTTGCAAGGTGAATGCGCATTTACGATCGAGAATTTTATAATAATACGTGCATAAGAATTTGATTCTCGCAGAAAGCTTAGGCATGGGAGTGGGACTACGAGCATGGGATTTTGAAAGTCGGGGGTCCGTCAAGAAGATAAAAGTCGGCCACAATAGTGACAGCGAGAATGGGCGAGATCGCAAGAATGATAAAAGGTGTTTCCTTATTTCTTCGTTAGTGCGTCCCGCTACAAGAGATCCTCCAGATAAATATAACTTTATACGGCAAAGAAGTCTAGGGTGCTATATTCTCGAGAAGAAACGAGGTGAAGCCTAATTCCAAGAGGTCTGGAATCGATTGCAAGCGATCTGGAATCAATTACAGGCCTAAAAGTGTATGGTATTTACTTCTAGTACATGTCGAAGAATGTGCTTTGATGGAGCGGAAAACAACCAAGTCTAGAAATCATTATTCATACGGTTTATGTGAGCGCAAACCTTGACAAAGCATGCTGGATACTAACAGGATTTGACGAATGAAGACGGGAAGATTCGAGTTCGGGTGAGATGAGTTCGTCAATAGTGATGAGTACGAGCATCCGCGAGTACCACGAAGGCTCAACAATACGTTTTCTACCAGGATCCAAGACTCACTGTTGTGAGAGAGGTGTTGGTGAACTATTTGATTCACTAACGCAGGGGAAAAGACAGTGATCCACTCGAGGCTTTTCTGGAAACCCATTCTTGACGTGCATGTATTAGAGAGATTGTAACGCCTTCGAGTCAGGAAAAAAAAATCAGAACGTCCTCCTACTTAATTGACGCGGACCCACACCTTGTAACGCGTCAAGGAATCGCGTCGAGAATCGCCACCAAACATTGGTTTGGATAACGACGTACTTGTTCAGACATTCGGTGTTAGATGGCTCCTCAGAGTTTCTGCACCAGCTCTAGGATAGTTGCTTGCATTGATGGTTTACATGGGAAATTGCCCGGCCCCACATTGGCCACTGATATTCCACAACCTGTGTTTCAAGCCTCTGGATCTCCATTGAGCGGTCCTCAACTGTTTTTTCGAGTCTTGCTAACTCCTCAATGATGCAGTTTTCATTAGATATTTGAACTGGGTCTTCAGTTGGAGCTCCGTGGGGCTATGTTGACCTATTTCAGCATGCCATACCAAACACAGGGAGAATGAGAGAAGTGGGTTAAAATGGGCCAATCTCAAGATTGTGGTGGCGTACGTCGCTTGTAGTTGTCTTTTTTATCAATTTATCTGTGGCTTTAAGCACTAGCCCGGTGGACAGCTTGCCAGGAACAACCGGCTTTGACCGCTTTTCATGCCTTGTTAGAGTGTCGGGGGTTGTTTCAGTGCTGTAGTCAATCTTAGTCAACTTTCACGGGCTTGTAGCGCAGCTAGCGTGGCTATGAAAGATCACCGACGCGAATAAGATCGCTGATACTCTCAATTGTGGATTAGAATACAAACACTTACACTAACGCTCTACTTCGACTTCACCATTCAATCAGCAGTGCTTGTAGTCCCACGAATTTGTCTGCTGATTCACAATCGATCGCTCACACTCTCAAAATTTCAGTAGCACTCAGAAATTTCTACGTATTCACGATATAGAGCGTGGGCGATCAATTGTACAACCATGCTTATAGCCATTAAACGTTATTCGCTAGCGATCTCAATTGTGATCTGAGCTCTCTACTTATTCAAAATTGACCGCCGAAGCCCCGCCGAAGCCCTCAATTGTATAGTGTTTATAGTACTTTATTTGTTCAACAGTGCTTGTAGCCTCCCACTACGCTCTCAGTTGTTCAACTGTGCTTCGTGTTACTAAGCCATAGGGCTCTTCCTGCTACCGCCATTTTCTAACCCAAAACACTCCCTCACCACCCACCTTTTCGGCTCAAACCCTGCGCGTTATTAATTCCCAGCCAATAGTGGCGCGGCTAGCTCATTTGCTTGCTCGCCAAGGCTCTTTTGCTCGCCAAGGCTCTTATTCTCACTGTCCTGGGCTTAGACCAAGCTGCGTCCCTTGGCAAAAGACCCTGAGAAAAAAATCTTGGCTTGGCATTGGAAAGGAAAAAAAAATGTGTTTAGTCAGGGCGTGCGGGACAAATTGGGACGACAACTTTTTGCCGGATATGATTGAGAGAGAACATGAGCTAATACACAGAGATATGGATGGAGATAGGTGGGTATATATGTATATATATAAGGACGATTTTGCCAAGAATTTTGTGGAAACGGTTGGACACACGCACATACACATATACATACACACAGGGTTTACCATGGCCACTCTGTACGCTGTAGATCAACGTCCTTTGGCTGTACGCTCATTGGCACTGTTACCACCGCCATTGCCCGCACTCCATAAATGCATAGCGCTCGATAATGGCCCACAGGGCAAACAAGTACTGCTGCCCGCGCCAGAACTCAACTTAGCGCAGCTGACAGACGTTGAAAGCGACCTCAAGCGGCAGCTGGACCGGTGGGCGTTCGGTCACGTGGCTGGAGAAACCATAGCATCAACAGGAAAAACGTGTCACGTGTCGAAATACACACACGTGCCCAGGATGTCCCCTTTTTCTTGTTCCTCGTTGTCCCTAGTTTCCAGTCCTGGGCTTGGCCCTGGCGCCGCGCTCGGCTCCGTGTCGGGCTCCGTCTCCGGCTCCGCTCCCGGGTCTCGCTCCGTCTCCGTTACCGGCCTCGATTCCGGTCTCGATATTGGTTCCGTCCCGGTACCGGCATCGGCCTCCGGCCCAGACTTTAACTCGTCCACCACGTCCAAACTCACAGGCCAACGCACAAAGCCCTCTATCGAGCGCAGGCGGAAATACGTTTGCAAAACGTGCCAAAAGGGTTTCACCACCAGTGGCCATCTCGCTCGCCACAAACGCATTCACACGGGGGAAAAAAACCACGTCTGTCCACACGAGGGTTGTGGTCAGCGGTTCAGCAGGCACGACAACTGTGTCCAGCACTACAAGACGCATTTGCGAGGATAGACAGGTTTAAGTTAGGTTTAACGTTCATGAATATATAGATAAAGGATTTGGGTTGACGGTTGAGCTACAAGCACTATTGAACAATTGAGAGCGTCAGCTATCAATTGTGAATAAGTTAGAGAATTCGTAGTACGGTTGAACAATTGAGAGCGTAAGCGATCAATTGTGAATAAATAGGGAACTTCAAGTACGATAAACAATTGAGAGCGTCAGCTATCAATTGTGAAGGGTAAAGCACTACAAGCACTACAAGCACTACAAGCACTACAAGCACTACAAGCACTACAAGCACTACAAGCACTCTCAAGCAATTGAGAGCGACGCTCAAAATTGTATAATCGTAGAAAAATCTTGGTATCACGGAACAATTGAGAGCTTCAGCGAAGGGTGTTCCAAGCACTATTGATCAATTGATCACTGACGCTCCCAATCGTGAAAAAGTAGAGAGCTCGTAGTAATATTGAATGTTTGAGGGCATTAACTATCACTTTTTAGCAACTGAGAGAGGGCCACAAGCACTACTGAACAATTCAGAGCGACAGCGCTCGACTGAAATTAAGGACTCTTACTTATTTCTTAACAATTGAAAGAGTACTAAAAGACTACCGAACATCTGAGAGCGACAGCGATCGTTTGTGAATAGTCGAGATGGCCAGAATCACTTCTGAAGAACTGGGAGCATAAGCAAATTGTAAATAAAAAGCAGGCACCGATTTAAGAACGTCAGCGATCAATTGTGGATTAAGTAAGGATCCCTAGGTTTTAGATTGTCAGCCATCAATCGTGAGTAACTAGAGGTCTTGGTCTTACTAAAAATTGATCGCCAACGCTCTCAATCGTGAATAAATAGAGGACTCTCGGTCTCACTAAACACTGATTGCTGACACTCCCAATTGTGAAGAAAGAACGGGCTCATATTTATGCTGGCTCCGAGCAATTGATAGCGTCAACGATCGAATGTAAAAATTCGAGAAGCAATATCACCCTTGAGTGGTAGCAGTCAGAAGATACAACAATCAGCTGCTACAATACTGACAAAAATCCAGAGGTAGCACTGACGCTCGCATTTCTGAATAGCTACAGGGTACACAAAGAAGTTCACAACGGGACTCAGAAATTAGTGATGCAAGCTCACGCGCTAAAATCATCGTCAACCCGATGCGCTTTCGTCATTTAATGGGTGATTATCCTAAATCTGGACCCCGATTGCACAACCGTGCTCAGCTGTCAAAAAGTTTTACGTTAAGTCCGCCTTCAGGACCAACTTACAATGCTAACAGTTTACCAAAATGCTGTGTGAGAGACGTGGGTTCTAAACGTTCTTGAAGTATACATTATTGATCACTAGATTACCTGGGCTCAGTTGTACTACAAGTTTCTTGCTTATGAAAAAGGATCGCTACGGCGCTCAAGGACAACGTGTGACAGATCCCATCGTGTTCAGCAGCACTACGAGCTCTCATTAGATTTACACACGATCGCGACGAGTGGTGCTTATAGTCATTCTAGATTCCCTACATTTTTACAATTGGAAGCGTCAGCGATCGAGAAGGCTGGTGCACCCTTTCTGACAGTCTCAGCTGTTCTATAGTGCTTGCGCTCTCAGCCGTTCACCAGTGCTGGTAGTCCCTTTCGCGTATCTTCCCGCTTTCCCTCCTGTATCTTATCAAACTCCATTTTAGGTTCCAAAAAATCCCTTCGAGATAAGCTCGATGAGCCTAGTACCAAACTTTTCGTTACGCAAGCAGCTCAAAGCGAGTCCATTGTCAAATGCAATCACCTTAATTCATGATTCGCTGCTAAACTAGATCGCGAGTTTCCCGTAAAGATAAGCAAGCTTTCCAATAACCCTTCCGCTCACCATATGTATATATATATATATCTCCGCACTTGTTTGTAAAGTAACGACCGTTATACCAACTCACTGGTTCCTTTCCTCCCTAGGTTTATCTTTGCGTAATTCAAACCTCTTACTACTTCGCCTGCTAGATCTACCAGGCCAAGATGTCCACTATTACAGAGACTAAAATTCAGGTTCCAACTGAGGGCCAAAAACTTCAACCTGTCACCGACAAGGGCTACACTCTTGGAACGCAAGGTGTTCACAATCTAGCATTCGGCGGTCTGGAATATAAGGATGAAAGACCTAAATTCGCTAACTCACTCGAAGAACGCAAACATGTCTTGCAGCATATGGCTGGTACATTCCGGGTTTTTGGCAGAATGGGATTCACGGAGGGCCCTGCAGGCCATATCTCTGTTAGAGATCCTGTGGATCCAGAAACTTTTTGGATCAACCCATTAGGTATGCATTTCAGCCAAATATGCGTATCGGATCTGGTTCACGTCGATTCAGAGGGAAATATCTTGAGCGATGGCAACCAAGCTGCAATCAATGCTGCTGGCTTTAGAATTCACGCACAGCTACATAAGGCAAGACCAGACGTCAATGCCGCTTGTCATGCTCACACAATCTACGGCAAATCTTGGGCAGCATTCGGCAAAGAACTCGACATGATTAACCAGGACGCCTGCATCTTCTACAAGTGCCATGGCGTATACCAGGATTTTGGCGGCGTCGTTTTAGAATCTGAAGAAGGCGAACGCCTTGCTGAAGCTCTTGGAGACAAAAAAGCGCTTTTGTTGGTAAGTCATGGATTGCTGACCGTAGGAGAAACTGTAGACGAGGCCGCCTACTTGTTTGGTTTAATGGAAAGGAGTTGTCAAGTCCAATTACAGGTTGAAATGGCATCTAATGCGGGCCTTAGAAAGAGAATTATCGATGACGACGCCGCATATTACACATATTACAACACTTCTGATCCGGAAAGCTTATATAGCTCGTTCCAACCGGACTACAACTTGGAACTTAAGCTCACGAATGGCGAGTTTCTACAATGAGGGAAATTGTCATACGCGGACAAATATGGGATATGCTTAATAAATTGGGCTTTGGGACGCCCCGGTGCCATTCTAGCTTTATAATGAGAGTATCACAGCATTGAAGAACTTAAAGTCCAAAATTAAAGGTATCACTTAAAGTAAGCTTCGGTCATTATAGTTCATATTGCGGATAGTCGCTCAACGAAGCAAGAGTAAGAAGCTTGGTTAGGGCATGATATTTCGCTAAAAAGGCAGATTATAGATAGAGTATTGAGAATACAATTCTGAAGTTTTTATGGTTTTTTGTAGAGCCTACGTTATCAGCCATGACCTCGTCTCAAACACTAGCATTCTTATTTGTAAGAATTCTTCACGTATCACCAAGAGGCTTTACCGTGATGTTGATGGCAGAACCAGCTCGGTTGGGTGCGCTGGTGATCAATCACTTTTAACAATTTCTGTCATCATAAACTGTTTACACTGTCATCAATTTTACAGCATGTTCTATATGGTATATTGCCCAGCTATGAACTATATTCTTAAGATGGTGGGGCAAAGATGAGGAAGGTCAACTCAATAGTAGCTTATCTTTAGGCAGAATTTTGTTAAACCACGACATTCCTGATCCTTGTCCGTTATCTATCCTCTTTTCAATGACTAGCCTGCTACAACCATCATATAAGGTTCGCATTCAATGAAAAACACGCCTTTTAACTCCAATCTTGTTCTTGAGCGAATACTGATGCTATATTCTCAGCTTTCACTTTTATCTTCTTTCAACTTGTCTGCTGAGCCTATTGGTATTTCTTCGCTCGATGTTTTGGGTCTTCACAATCTCATGTACCAACAATAGTTCCTCAATCACATCCAAATGTTCGTTATACGCCAAATCCGCCATGTACTCTTGACTTAGTGGTCAGCTTTCTGCGCGGTTGGCAATTCCTTCAATGATTTAGCGATAGCCTCAACACCCTTAGCGAGGTCCTCTTTGGAGATTACTAGTGGTGGCGCCAATCTGATAATATGGTCGTGGGTTGGCTTGGCCAACATACCGTGGTTTTTCATCAACAAGCAAAGATCCCATGCAGTTCTACCATTAGACTTAGTTGGGTCAATCACAATCGCAGTCAACAGACCTTTTCCGCGTACTTCTGAAATAATGCCGTTGGAAGCGGCTTGTAGTTTTTCAAGCGCATTTTTTAGGTACTCACCGTGGGTTCTGGCTTTTTCGACCAAGTTTTCCTCCTTGACGACTTCCAAGGCTGCAATGGCGACGCGAGATGATAGTGGGTTGCCACCGTAAGTGGATCCGTGGGAGCCTGGCGCAAAGCTACTCATAATTTCCTTGGAGGAAAGGACGGCCGAAACTGGAAGCACACCACCAGAAATGGCTTTACCTAGAAGAACGACGTCGGGTTTAACATTTGGAGAGTGTTCGTAGCACAACATTTTACCGGTCCTGGCGATACCAGTCTGGATTTCGTCGCAGATCAGTAGCGCATTGTACTTGCGGCACAGCTCTTGAACTTTTGTTAAGTAGTCTGCAGGTGGGACGACAATTCCGGCTTCACCCTGGATAGGCTCCAACAATATGGCAGCGATGCGGTCGCCGGCATTTTTGAAAGCGCGTTCGACATCTTCGATTTCACCATATCTTAAAAACTCGCCGTTGGTGCCTGGAATCTTGGCGCTCAAGTTTTCGACAAAAGGCCCAAAATGCTTGCGGGAGTCCTCCTCATCGGTAGAAAGCGAAATGGCACCCAATGAACGGCCGTGAAAGTTGCCCTGTGCACCCAGTACGATGGCCTGGTTTTCCGGAATGCCCTTTTTGACGTAGCCCCACCTGCGGGCCAGCTTGAGGGCCGTCTCTACAGCTTCCACACCGGTGTTCATGGGTAGCACGGCCTCGTAGTTAAAGTACTCGGTCACATACTTAGCATACGCAGAGAACACAGAGTTGAAAAAAGCCCGAGACGAAAGTGTGAGCTTAGACGACTGGTCCACTAGTGCATTTATGATTTTAGGATGACAATGGCCCTGGTTGACCGCAGAATACGCAGATAGAAAGTCCAGGTACTGTTTCCCCTCTGGATCCCACACATGTGCGCCCTTGGCTCTTTCGAACACCACTGGCATAGGATGGTAGTTGTGGGCCGAATATTCCTGCTCGTATTTCATGGCCTCTGAGCTTGACAGCCTGGCATTGTCGCTGCTGTAGGTTCTGCATGCGCGAGTAATAGTTGCATTGCGTCCGGCATTTTTGGCGATTTGCGCCGTTCTTGCTCTTAGAAACATCGAAGTGACTTGTGAGCGTTGTCTTTTGATTCCTTTGCTAGATGCAAGAACTGTCTGGCGGTCCTCATCACATCTTGGTTTACATTTATAGGTTTTGACAGAGGACTAGAGTCTTCATATCTTGCAACAGTATTGTACCAAGATCAAAGCTCAAGAGCGGCTATCAGACTCCGAACTTAGCGGAACGCAACGCTGCGGCTCTTAGCAAGGGTTCACTTTCCTATAGAGGTCTTTTGGTTCGGTGTTGGTTACCTGAGTATGACAAAATTTGACGTCGTTTAAGTCGAGAGTAATGAACTGTCATCGTCTGAGCGCATTCTTAATAGGTGTACCAAATGTGCGGTAAGCTAGTCACGAGTTAGCGACGCGTAAGCCACCGTGCTATTGGCGAGAATAGCGAGGTACACAAAGATAGCGATCGTGAGGTGGTGTGAGAGTTTTAACCAGAGTTGTTTCTTCGAACAGGATTTTATGGACTGCTAAGTTGCAAGAGAAAGCTCACAATTTGGTCTCAAAGCCACAAGAGGCATGTAATTCTACTTTGCAAGATAGTCGCGCGACAGTACGAAGAGAATCAAGGTGTGTTGTGTAGAGAATTTGTATTGTAAAGAACGACTCCACATCTGTGGGAACAGTACTCCGTTCAAAGGCCATTATCTTAGCATGCCTGAAAAGCTGATGCTCCAGAACTCCCGTAGCATGAATTTGTGGTCGCGAAAGACATGAGTAAAGTGGTTTACTCATGGATGGTTTAGTTGGTTTATTTGAGGTTGAATGATGACCAAGATGTTTAATTAAATGTCATTAATTGTCACTGCCAGGAAAAGTGCCAGGAAAAATGCCAAGAAAGAAGCCATATGTGTTGCAATCTACAGAGGGTGCATACCTCGACGAAACAGAAGCTTGACACGAGTATTGTCCAGGAAAATTGTTGAACTTTAGCAAACTCTCTTTTAACAATACTTACGCGGTTCAGAGATCTCTTGTTGTGTGTTTGGGAATTCCACTGGACCGTAGCACAAGTGTATGACAGAATAGCACGCTCGAGACATTTGATTGTAGCCTTGAGGTATGATGAAGGTGCACGTTCTACAGTGAACACGCTTCTAAAATATAGAATTTTGTTCTTTAAGACTTTATGATTTGGTTCGCGTGCCATTTTGTTTCGGGCTGCTATTCGGCGTGGATCTACGTGTGAAAGTGGGCTCTATCTGTGGTATGTAGAAGAGCGAATTCCGTCTATTACAGTGTCCCAAAATCTACACCTGTCCAACTTTTGGACGCCAACACGGATATTGATGCTTGACACTGCCCAAGTTTTCACCAATTTGCGCGCCAAGGACCTACTAGACCACTATCGAAGGACAAACAAAAACTGTGAGCGAGGTCCACAGCCACAAGAACAAGAACCAAAGACCAAGACCTTTCTTTCTCTACGCTACAAACAAATGACTACTCTGAGGGCAGTACCCTCTTGTCCTCCGAAAGGCGAAACCACCGACTGACTTCTTCTGGTCCAGCCCGGAACTCTAACAACAACAACTCCGAAGCGAGCCTAAAGACCGCGCACACCGGTTTTCGAGTCACATGACCCCACAAGATCACTTTGTCACCCGCCGGCCCACTTGCGCTAAGACCATGCCAAATGTCAAAAAACCCACACTGTCCTCCACCTCAAACAATCACACTGCACCCCACAAGTACCACGGCCGTCAAGGTCAAAGTGTGCAATGTGACTAATAATTGGGTGTGTTTCAGAATCGATGAGGTGCGACCTTCCCTTTCCACCCGTTGGGACACTACGTCTGATGCTTTTTCCTCAACATGTGCCAAGTCTGTCTGTCCGTTCCCACAAGAGTGCTGGAAAATTCCCCAGGTTTCCCAACAGTCGCATAACCATAACCTCGTCGATGGAGTCATTCGTATACCGGGACTGCTAGCAGCAATAATATTCACAATTGTCATAAATTCATTTATGTTTGACCCCGGCGATCCCACAGTGACTCCATTTCGATACTCATGTTTTTGTCCGATAATGACCCGTCCATAATATCTAGTAGCCCTCTCTGTGACTGTAGAATAAAAATATCATCAACAACAACAACAACATCGACAACAAGGCGACAATGATCTGTGTCATCGTCGTATCTAGCTGGCCAAAGCTGCGAAAAATATTCATAACAATTCTCCCGTTTATTGACATATTCGTGTGTGGCTCGCTAGCGTGCTTTCCCAGTGTCAGACAGACAATTGCGTGGCTTTTTACCAGGTCGGTTACACATGCGTTCGTTGAGTGACTAAAAAATTTTAAGCGGTGTAAGGTGCAATTATTAGAGTCACCGATGAGCAAAGTGATCGCCCGATGACAAAAATATTGCAATTACACACCCATGGGGACATCAAAGACCTCTAGGTGTGGTTTTGTAATCTATGGATGATGACACCCGTAGCGTTGATGAGCAATCTTGAAATTTGGCGAGCGTAGTTGATATATAATAAGAGCCAATGTCAAGGTTATGGGATGGATCCTGAAATCTCAGTAATAGTAACAGGTATCAACCGACAAGCCAACAATAAAACAGTTGAGTTCTAGAATTCACTAGAAAAACCAAGAAACACCACACGCCAGGAGTTTCTACATATTTGAGCGAACACAGCATACAGAGGATAGTTTTATCCAACCATTGACACACAGCTACACACACACACACCAACACACTGCTATACACTAAAATGACCTACAGCCCGCAAGACTTCCAAGACGAGGTTTTCTCTTTCTCGCTCACAAACGACGCGCCCGCATTGCAACACAGCCCTTGCTCATACAGCTCTATCGCAGACCAGGTAGCGGACGACGACTTTCTGATAGAGTCGCCTGGGTTTGGCGCCATGGCCAGCGGGGACGACGAGCTGTTTGCGCTCGACACCGAATTGTCGATGCTCCCCAGATCCTACGCCGGTTTGCCCTCAGACGACAAGAAGTCCACACTACCGACGATGCTGCCGATTCCCGACGAATTTGCCAACGCGGCTCAAGACAACTACAGACTATGGCTTGCAGGCGTATAGCCAGCAAGCAAGAGGCTTCGACGGGTTTTTTACAAGTTGAGGCCGAGCTGCAGCAAAGGAAATGATGGGATAAAAATTGGATAACTGGCCTTCAAGCACCATAAATACATATAGCTAATTAGCATAGCATGGGTTCAATACAATAACGGAATAGCATACAATTTGGGATTTGACAGATTGAGTCACTTGAGCAAATGTTCGCGAGTGTTTCGCGGTTTACGTAATGCACCAAGGTGGTGGTTTTGGCGGTGGTTTAAATTTGGTGGATGACATGATGGTGATGATTACGATGATGAAAATGTTGATGTAATCAATTAAGCACGCAAAAAAAAACAAGTTTTTCCTGCTTTGCAAATCCACAGGTATTTTCCAAGTAAATCGGAAACTTGCCCTGGCTTGCGATGCGACAGATTGCCGAAGCCCGCGCGGTGTGCCGCGTAGTGGCCTTCTATGACTTGCTCTGGTTTGCGAACCACACACGCTGTCAATAAGCCTTGGCTAATTTTTGAAGTGGCCTGTTGTGGACCAAGAAAAAAAATCAAATTTGATGTGATCGGGATTAACCGGGATTAACCGGGATGAAGGCATGCGAGAAATGACTCAAATTGGGGCGCATGGTGCCGTCACTGTTGCTCTCATTACACTGGGTATAATCTGTCTGTGTGGTAGCGGGTCATAAAATGTGGGCCCATTCGCGTCACGTGACCGAGACATGCAGATGTCAGAAAGGTACGAAGTGATCTGGAGACCTCGTAGATAGGCTTTTAACTAGGACAAAAGCAGCGCGTTTCACAGCGTCTCTCTTTCCCAAGTCTACTTGTCCTTCGCCACTCAAACATCCACAAGCTTTCCCGTTGGCTTCGGAATTACATAATACGTATATAGTGACCCAAATATACAAAATCCAACCTTTCTCAAATATCATGTGACTTTTGTGCCAAGGAGAGGAGCTACCTCGTACAAAGTGCTCCAAAATTCAGCTTTTTATTTTTTTGAGGGGTACCTCCCCTTTTTTCCCCTTCTTCCCCTTCCCCCATGATTTCGAGTCCAGGGCAATTTGTGAGATGGGGCAACGATTTGGGTATAAAACGGCAACGGCTCGAGACAAGAACTTGGCCCTCTTGCCACTACTTCTGAAAATAAGTAGAATTTGTGTAGAGAAAAGAGCTAAAACAGGCGTCTCATAGCACCATTGCAGTTGTTTTCGTTGTGATACACAGCACACAGAAAATACTCACTTAGTCATACGTTTGTCACAACAGGGCGGCAGTGAATCGAAAATTCGATCACCACATCTTGCGGGAATTTTCGACAACAAAGGACTTGAGGATCGCGTTGGCTGGTGAAAATAACCCTTTTAAGGCTTTTGGTACTCACATCACACTCTACAGGGAGCTTTTTTGCCAAGTTTCGTGTAGCGTAGCGCCGATCTCGAGGACTGGTATCCTTCGTACGAAGTGCTCAACATAGATTATTTTTGGTGACAGTTTAACCCAGACAGAATACAACCACCGCTACAAGCATGTCCCAGGTGTACAAATCAGAGCTCCAGGAACAGTTCGTGGACGCAACTCTCGAAGAGCGTCGTCTGCATGAAAACAAGATCCGGCAGAAGTACTGGCTCAAATGGGGCCCGTATCTCAGCGAGCGTGCGTGGGCCACAGTCCGCGAAGATTATTCGCTGAGCGGCGATGCCTGGAGCGATTTCCCCTTCGAGCACGCCGCATCCAGGGTTTTCAGGTGGGGGGAAGATGGTATTTTCGGCATTTCTGACAACCACCAGCTTATTTGCGCTAACCTTGCGATGTGGAACGGCCACGACAAAATCCTCAAAGAGCGCATGTTCGGCGTGACAGGGCCTCAGGGAAACCACGGCGAGGACGTCAAGGAGCTCTACTACTACGTGGACAGCACGCCAACTCACTCGTACATGAAAGCTCTTTACAAATACCCATTTGCAAAGGCGTACCCCTATGAAGAGTTGGTAGCCAAAAACGGGGAGCGTGGGTATGAGGACCGCGAGTTTGAAGTGCACGAGATCGACGGGCTTTACACGAGCGAAGAGCACGGAGACATGCCTTATTTCGATGTGGTTTTCGAAATGGCCAAAGGCGACGACAATCCCAACGACCTGAATTTCAGAATAACCGCTTACAACAGAAGCGACAAACGGGCCGGGGAACTGTATCTAATACCACAAGTGTTTTTCCGGAACACTTGGGGGTGGTGTCGCAACACTGCTGATAAACCTGTACTTTCCAAAGGCGGTAGTAATTATGTTGATTTGCAGTGCAAGAAATACGGCCACAGAACTGCAGTCTTTGCCCCATCTCCCGGCGGTTTTGGTGACGAAGACGGCGAGACTCAGGATGTGGAACCGCAATTGTTGTTCACGGAAAACGAGTCAAATCTGGAGAAACTATTTGAAAGCGGTCCCAACCCAGCGCCTTTTGCCAAAGATGCTTTCCAGGAATACGTAGTGGAGAACAATGAAGACGCAGTGAACCCTGAGAATGTTGGAACCAAGAGTTGTGCAGTCTATCATTTCCCCGAAGTGCCACCCGGTGAATATGTCACGATCAGATACAAGTTGACCGATATAGAGCTCCCCAAATATAACGATGAGTTGATCATAGATGAAGAGGAGCTCGATGCTATTTTCGAACGCCGTGAACAAGAGGCGGACAATTTTTACTGGAAGATCACTCCGCTTCACATCAGCGATGAGCTAAGACGCATCCAAAGACAAGCGTTTGCTGGCCTATTGTGGTCTAAACAGTTTTACCACTTTATTCAAGATCAATGGTACAATGGTGATCCAAATGTCAAACCACGTCCTCCTCCCAATAGAGCCAACGGTAGAAACAAAGAGTGGAAGCACATGTACATCGATGATATCTTGTCTCTACCGGACAAATGGGAGTATCCATTCTTTGCTTCCTGGGATACGGCTTTTCACTGTATTCCATTAGCAATGGTCGATCCCGAGTTTGCCAAGCGACAGCTCGATCTTATGACTCGAGAATGGTACATGCATCCTAATGGTCAAATGCCTGCCTATGAATGGAATTTTGGTGATGTCAACCCTCCTGTCCACGCTTGGGCAGTGTACCGGGTTTTCAAAATCGAAAGAAATATGTATAAGCGCGAAGATCGCGTTTTTCTGGAAAGAGTGTTTCAAAAGCTACTCTTGAATTTTACGTGGTGGGTCAACAGGAAGGACTCCAATGGCCAGAACATTTTTGAAGGTGGTTTCTTGGGGCTTGACAACATCGGTGTTTTCAATAGGTCTGAGCCTTTACCGACCGGCGGTACGTTGGAACAAGCTGACTCGACAGGTTGGATGGCTTTTTTCAGTCTGCAAATGTTGAACATTGCCCTAGAATTGGCTAAAGAGAACCCGGTGTATGAAGATATTGCATCCAAATTTTTCGAACATTTCATATTGATCAGTGATGCCATGTCTTTTGATTATACAAAGAACACTGAAGGTGAGGAATTCCATGAAGAGGTGAAAGAGTCTCTTTGGAATGAAGAAGATCAATTTTACTATGACGCAATTTCCTGGGGTGGACCCTTCAGGCAACAGCTACCCATAAGATCTTTGGTTGGCTTGATCCCACTGTATGCCTGTATGACTTTGGAGCCACAAATTCTGTACAAGTTTCCCAGCTTCAAGAAACGGGTTGACTGGTTTATTAACAATAAGCCCGAAATATTTGGGAGAAACATTGCTTCTATGAAGAAAAGAGGTGTTGGCGAGAGATTGCTGTTATCCTTAGTCACCAAAGAAAGATTGGAAGCAATTTTGAGACGTATGTTGGATGAAAGCGAGTTTTTGTCTGATTTTGGAATCAGATCTTTGTCCAAGTATCATGAGGAACACCCATTTTCAATGGACGTGAATGGCAACCAATACACGGTCAAATATTTATCGGGCGAATCCGATTCGGGAATGTTCGGTGGTAACTCAAATTGGCGTGGTCCTATTTGGTTCCCGGTAAACTTTTTGTTGATTGAGTCGTTACAAAGATTCTTTTTGTACTACGGGTCTGATTTTAAAGTGGAATGTCCAGTTGGATCTGGAACTATGATGAACTTGGCTGAAATTGCGGAGGAATTGGAACACAGGTTAATTCATTTGTTCATGCCCGATGAAAATGGAGTGCGTGCTGTCTACGACGGTGACAGTGCAAATATGTTGTCCGGAGATAAATATTTCAAGGATTTGATTCCGTTCTTCGAATATTTTGACGGAGATACTGGCAGAGGTTTGGGAGCCTCTCACCAATGTGGCTGGACCGCGTTGGTGGCAAAGTGGATTCACGATGCTGGTGTTTCGTGTATCCGTCTGCCAAGAAGCTCCAGAAACTCAACCTCGGCAGCTGCGAGTGTAACGTCGCGTACTTCTTCACCTGTCCGTCCCGGCCTAGGCCGCATGGCGAGACGTAAGAGTGCTAAATCGCTCGTCAATCTAACAGGGACTCTGTTGGACTTGACTGAAGAGGAAAAACAAATGCACAGGTTGGGCAATGTCCGTAATCGTTCGAACTCACGTGCCGAGACCCCAGGGGAGTCTGAGAAGTTGCCTGCGCCTGTTGAGAAAGCGGATAGAGAACTTGATGAAAGTGGTTCCAAAGCTCCAACCACTCACAACTCGGAGGCTGCTGTAATTGAGGACTTGAAAAAGAAGTTGTCTTCCTTCGATGTAAAGGATAACGCAGAGGAGAGAGCTTGCGAAGGGGAACTTTTGAATACTCGTGACGACAATTGATATGGATGGTGTGTACTGTGCTCGAGCTTCTTTAGCATATATGAGATAGAATCGTATGGATAAATCAATTATATATTTCGAGACACGTTCAGAGAACAATACTCAGTGACAACGGTGACTTTGGATTGGGTGTCATGTCACCCTTGAGCATTCCCACTATACCCTTCAAGGACATATTGCTTACTTCCATTTCTGCTTTGATTCTTACATACGGTAGCGGGCTAAGTAGTGTAAAGAGCGCTCATGAGCAATAATACGTCCACACACTAGACAACTATCTCCTACACTTGAACTATCGAAACCTCTATGCTAGTACTGTGTTCTGGCGTTTATGTCCATAATCGTAGTGCTTGACCGTTTGCGTATCGAAGAGCATGACCAAACCATGTTACTTAAACTTAGCAAAAAGCACTAGCATGATCAACAAGATCAAGACGGCAATGATTGCATAACTGATGAACTTATTGGCGACCAGCCTTCTGCTCATAGTTTTCAGCGTCCGTATACTTTTGTCCACGTATGAGTCTGCTTGAAACAACGTTTGTCTCGCATTTTCAAGTGTTTCTCTCTGTGCTCGTAGATCCATCATAATTTGAGAACCCACACCCTCCGTGTCAACAGCCATCCTTGTTGCGTCTCGGAGCTTGTCCCCCGTACGAGAGAGTACCGCGTGGTTAGATAAGAGCTGCTGACGCTGTCCACTGTTTGCGTTTAAGTCATCACCACCCGAAACTCCTTCAAATAGACGGTCCCTATTGCGCGAGTCGAAGAGCTGCTGCAACGGCACTTTTACGTCATTTTGAACCTGTTTTTTGAAATCGCGGACCTTGGCTTTGAATGAACTCCTTTCCTGCAGTCCCAATGCTCCGTTATTGATTTCAATTTCAATCTGCTCGATCAAAACCAGTAGGTCATCATGTTGTTGCTCAACTTCCTTTAAAGTACCATTTCTCTGGCTGATGGGTTGAGAAGGTGCAACGGAAAGCAGCGTTTTTGCCTGTTGGAGTGTAGTTGTGAATTCTGCTTCATAGCTCGATAATAATGAACTCATCTTGAGCTAGTTGACCGCTTCAAAACAGAGTTTGGTAAGTTCGACATTACGAGCGGAGAAGTTAATGTAGCCCATTTAATTAAGATCACTACCATGACAATGGTCTTGATGAGTACTTTAGTACTCTTGATATAGAAGAAGAATCTGATAGAGTGGACTAGCGGTTGAAAGAGGACAATTGCCAAGCGTAATCATTGTAGGTGAAATGCTGGGCCGAAAGAAACGAATTTTGCTAGCTGTCTTTGAAGACTGACTATATACTAGTGTGAAGAAATATGATGTCACTATCGACGATTCACAAACGAGATCGTCAGGTTCTCTACTTGACCGAGACGCTTTATAGCAGAATCCTAATGCTTCATAGTCCCCTTTGAGACCTCAGATACAATGGTGATTTTGATATCCATATGAGAGAATCAGGATGTGCTTTTTCTGACGCCAGGTCACGTGACTCGGGATTTGGACAGACATGACAGCTACACCAACAGGCTAGCGACACTTTTGTATGCTGCGTCTCTCTATAGCTGTTTAAGAAACGGTTCACAGGACCTATTTCTTCATCATAAACACTGTCAAACATCTCTCACAACCAATAAAACGCATACTTTTTTTTTCTCTTTCTTCTGGGCGTTTGAGGGCACCAAAACCTGTAAGTGAAGGCCAAACGAGTCCAAATACTCACCACAACATGCTAAGCAAATGACAGCTCATCTCTGTCTCTTTCGGAAATAAGATAACTAACCACCTTCCTATATCCGCTCGTCAAATTGTAAATTATATCAGTCATGTGATACGAATATTGATATCGGTCGCTGGTGATATTAACTAAATATTCAAAAAATGTCGAGTAGTTTACTGCTCATCGCTCACCTTCAAACCACTCATACACCAGTATGGGGTTTTTAAGTATGTTCAGAGCGGCCGCGTTTCCCAAAATCGTCACCCGTGCATCGCTCACCGCGAGGTTGGCCGTTCTTCGCACGCCGGGACCTACATCAATGCCAATCAGATTCCACGGTCATGTGCATAAGCCCAAAGCGGGCGAAGAACTGCATGTCACTTTCATTCTAAAAGACGGTACACAGCAGAAGTACGAAGTCTGTGCAGGAGACTCTCTGTTGGACATCGCCCAGGCTCACAACTTGGACATGGAGGGCGCGTGTGGAGGTTCGTGCGCTTGCTCGACGTGTCACGTGATCGTCGATCCAGATTACTACGATGCCCTAGAGGAACCGGATGACGACGAAAACGACATGCTGGACTTGGCCTACGGTCTCACCGAGACCAGTAGGCTGGGCTGCCAGATCAAAATGAGCAAGGATATAGACGGGATTCGTGTGGCCCTGCCTGCGATGACTCGCAACGTAAGCAGCTCTGATTTTGAGTGAAACCCGTGATCGTGGACTTGGACTGACAGCGCTGCTGCAAAGTATCAATCTTGTAAATAAAAGTACTGCCAGCCTTTTCCGGTGGTACAGCTGGGTATCGGTCAGTACGCCATTAAAAAGCAAATGCGTGACTTTCACGTGACCGAAAATCCAATATCGACATCGCTATAGACTCGTACAAAGTGCCTGATATTATATTTAATGTTTACATTTCTTTATAAGAACAAGAAGATCTTACAACTACCTAGCTCATCATGGCAGATTTGTAGTTTCAAGAAGCGTTCAACAGCTTCCACACCAGTATCAAGACCGCTCCGTAAACTATAAGCCCTCTCCACAGAAATTGAAGTTTTCGCTGAACTAGTGTCGCGTTATTTTGTTTTGTTTTGTGGTGTTTCCTTGAGGACCAGACACTTCTGAAACACGCGTTACATCATGAGCCACACAAAGATTCCCGGGATCGCGTCGCATAAAAGACCACTGCAATGTATTGACGCTGGAAATACGCCTCTCAAGCGAGCCAACATTTTGGGAGATGTAACAAACACTTCAATTTTAGGCGAACAACTCAAAAGCAGTCACTTGAAATACGCAATGTCTTCCTCTGCAATAGCTGACCCAAATCTGCGGCTCATGAACCGCTACTACTATGGAGATCCAAATGTGATAGAGGAGGTCAAGAAACGGGAGCGGAAAATTGCGCGCGATATCCAGCATTTTCGCAAATCAATAGCTGAAATAGACACAGAGGCCAAGCATTTACGTGAACGAGACTTACCAGATTTAAGATACGAAATGTCCAAAAAAAACGCCGTGCTCAATGAACTGCGAAAGGACCTTATACAAGTTACAGCCGATCTTGACGAAAAGGCCAATGATTACGAAAGCTTGAAGGCTAACGGTCAACTCGAGCTCCAACACGCGCAGCTTAAGCACCAGGTCGCGTTGCAAGAAGTTCAAAATGAGCTGGACCATAAGATCAGCACGTTCAAAGCTGAGTGGGAAAACAAACTGCGAGAAATGGAGAACTACACACCCGACCCTGAGATTTTGGCCGAAATAGAAGGTTTGCGGCGCCAGAAACTCGAGCGAGAAAACCAAATACGACAATTGAATCTAGGTAATGAGCAGGCTTGCCAAAGGAAAAAAGAAGAACTGGCTGCTGAACTAGAGCAGCAGTTGGTGCGAAAGCAGGATACATTGAACGAATTACGGACAAAAAACGAGTCTGCTGAGCACGACAAAGCTGTTCTTGAAAATGAGGTAAAGTCAGTCACATCACAGTTTGCCCAATACGAAGATCGCTGCACTCAATTAATGCACCAGATTTCGGAGATTAACTCTCTTGTCACAGATTGTCTCGAAGATCGCTCTCAAAGTGTAAATGCGACAAAAAACGCAGAAGCGATATACCTGGAATCCAAAGCCGCCACGGAAAGTGTTCAAATAGAGGCGCTCGAGGTGGAAGCGCGATATAATCGGGAATATGACAACATGGAGAAGGAACAGAAAAGAAGAAGAGTCATGGAGAATAGTATTGATGAACTCAGAGGCAGAATACGATGCTTTGCGTTCGTTGGAGACGAGGGTTCAGAAGAATCAACCATAGATTATTCTTGCAAGACTGTGTCTGTGAAAAGATCCGAGCCCTGTTTGTTTAATCGGATAGTACCGCGAAAGCTAGTGTCCGAAAAAGAATTGATAAGTCAAGAGTGCGAGCCATTTTTTCGAATGTGCATGGACAAACAATTGAATTTCAATGTAATGTCTTCACCCACCGGAAAGCAATTGTTGCTTAGAGAGACACTTTTGGAATACCTCATTGAAAGTGGTAACAAAAAATTGATAACACAGTACGTCTCTCTTGGGGAAGGAGCAGAATCTCGCGACTTGTTTTTACAAGCAGACAAAAACGAGCATGCTGACATTCAGCTTACTATTAAAAAAGACACCATTGAAATGAACTCAACTATTCTCGAAATGCGGTCTACACAGGATATAAAGAACAATTTGGCCCGCCTAGAGGCAGAAGTCGGCTCAGAGAATATTGGAATTCTAAAGGCCGAGATTTGGGAAGAGCATACCAAGTGTTGTGATGCGTACTATCTGGAAATCAACAATCTCACGATAGTGGATACTCTACGCAATGTTCGTGACAATCATACCGTTGCAAAGTCACCCATAGCCATAATATTACAAACGCTTCTTTCAAGGACCAAGTCCCTGTTCCTGTTCAATCTTTTCGATGAGCATACAGCGGATCCAAGTACCATATTGGACTCTGTTAGGTACATAAGCCAATTTGAGGTGCCGCGAACTCATCTTGAAGGGGGTAAACTGTAAATAATTCGAAAAGTCTAAAGCATTATGCTTCATTTGTGCTCATCAAGCAGACCCAAAAAAGTGAGGGTGGAAAACATCGTGTTTGGGCTCTTATTAACCTTTCGTAAGAATCTGTTTTATCAACCACTTTAGTTCTTCTCCACTGCCTACATTTTTATCGTCCACAGGCGTGAAGTTCGGCTTTTCCTCTAGGAACTCCGGCAGATCATCGATACTACTTTTCATCTCAACAAGTTCGTCATCATTGATCAGACCGCACATGTTCAAATCTAACTGAGCACCGGTTGGAGCTACCAAATTCGGGTATATCGTAAGAGTTTCTGACAATTCCACATTGGATATTGATCTTAAATCATGCACAGGTTCGCCATCTTCCAATACACCATGCTCATCATTTCCTGTTACGCCTTGGTAAAATCCCTCGTCATTCAGATCGTAGTAATCAGAATGGTATTTTCGCCTGTATCTAACAGTGTCGATTGCTGATTCCACTATATTTTTGAGGTAGTTCTCAAGCGCTAGAGTCATGATCTCTACACAGCGGCCGTCAACGGCGCCCACCAGCCCATGCTCACGGGCTAGACTGATCATCCGGAGATACAAAGAGTCATTATCGGGTAAAGCATAGCTCTCTGTAGCCAGCGGTGCTGAAAACCCATTGACTATTTCTTGTGACCACTCTAGAGGTGTCTTTAAATTACTGGCTTTAACTCTTTTCAAAGTTTCGGGGTTTGTAACAATCGGTATCTTAGGAATGGCGCTTAGACGTGCTTGAAGCACCGAGCACAAGACGAACCCGCGTTTGCCCGCTTCCTTGGTGATGGCTTTTAGTCTACTCCGGTCTTCAGTAGGCAGTGACATAACTATCTTCTTGTAGGTATCAATTTGTGAGCTATGTTTGTTTGATCTCTTTTTGTTGGCGCCAGAGGGGCCATTGTTGAAGCCCCATGTGCCTTCGCTGGACTCTCCCAGCGGCATTCCCCTCAAAGAGTTGGCTAAAATTGCCAGCAAAAGCTGATTGTGCATTCTTATCAGATTTCCATGACTCAGTGCAGACTGTGTCGATTTCGAGCGACCCGGAAGCTCTTGCGGGAAACTGAATATCAGGTCAATTTCGTTGACCAGCTCTTTTCTGGAGAGTTTGCCGAGAACAAACAAACTAATAATCTGTGCGTATTTGTTCCAATTTTCCTTTCCCAAAACGTTGGTAAAAGCCTCTACCATGGACTCCACATTCAAACGCACTGTTTGGCCATTGTTATTAGTATTGGTGGTAGCTGCACCGGCATTATTATTGGATGATCCTGATATTTTTGTAGAGCTAGCGACAAGTGCAGCTCCAGATTCTTTCGAACCACTTTCGGGGCCCATTGCGGGGTTTGGAGATTGTACCATGGACATAATCGATGCTTTCGATCACTTTATATCTAGGAACTCAATTGAAACTATTTCTACTAAAACAGATGCACAATCTATACTTTAAGCTGTACAAAATTGTTTTAAAAGTGCCCGAGTCAGTGTAAAAAGTAAATCTGTCGTCGAAGGCCCACCTGAAGTTCGCTTCGCTCGCCTCTGTTCGACTTTTTAACATTTCTTCTAAACTTAGCTAGCTTTTTGAAAATTAGGCCCAATTTCGATGAGATGAGTACACAGGATAAACAAAAAAAGACAGATCTGAATACACAATGAGTATTCAGCATTGAGAGGACTCATTATTTACATTCTGGTTGAATATCTTGACTAGATCATGTAAAGCTACTCAAATTTCCAACTAAAAGGTATGTTAGTGTATCTTTCTGACTTTTATATGGCCAGGAAATTGACTCTATTTTACTGACGCTTCTTTAGTTTATCGTGTCTATCGGCCCATTCGCTTCGCACTTCTAGGATGATTGTGTGAGTGACCCTTTGAACTTCTTTCTTAGACGCATTTGTTGTTATGTAAAACTCTCCGTGTATAGCCGGGGCTCATGAACATGAATGTGAGACGGCAGATGTTCTGTTGGCTTCGCTGGCGAATCCGATATTCGCGATCGCAGTAGGTTCTCAAGCTCTAGAATCCTGGACTGATACCTCATCTTTTCGCGCTCGTGCCTTGCCTGCTCCTCCTGCTGCTTTAATTCAAGATGAAATATGGTCTCACTGAGTTTGCGGACCTGGTCTGCCCGCTCAATAGAAGCATCGACAACCTGGGATTCCAGATCCCGTACGCGTTGCTGGGCGTCCGTTTGCGATGCGGCCAAAGTTTTCAGCTTTTTGTATTTGCCGTAAAGCTTGTAGTAGTTGTCATATAGGTATTTTGACTGCTTTAACTCTGCAATCAGCTCTTGTCGCATAGCGACGTATTTTTCGCGATAGCTGGCCTCACGAGCCTGCTGGTCGTCATGACGTTGCTGAATACCCGTTTGAAGTTGTTTAAGTTTTTGACCATTGAGATCCAGATCCTCTAAAAGTTGTAGATAGTCACTCGTGAAATCCTTGGTTTGCGGAGGACTACCAGTCTTTTTGCTTGGCTCAAAAGTTTGTTTGAAAGGCGAAGGAAATTTGCCAGGGAGATCTGGAGGTGGTGATTGAGCCACTTTTCTACCGAAAAGTTTGGAAATCAACGGATCGCTAAGGTTAGGAACGCTGACCTTTAAGCTGTCCTTTTCGTCCGACGCATATGCCTTTGCTTTTGGATCGCGAGCTCGTGGTTTGTGTCTCCGCGCCGAGAAGGTATCCGTGCTGTCGTTGTGCAAACTAGGATCATCTGGTATGCGACTATTTCGATCCCAAGCTTCGCCATGCAAAGGCTGTTGTTGTTGCAGAGTTCTACGATAGCGACGCAGATCACTGAGTTCCTTAGATTCGAGTTCAGATTCTGAGCGTGTCTCATCGTCATCTTGGAGTAGATCGTACCGCCGCAGAAATGACCTGTTAGACGAAACAGACGTGGATCGGGTTCTACCTGACGGCTGGTAATCCATGCCGTCCCATTTTTTGGGTACATATTGATCTCTTCTTAGTTTATAGTTTGTGTCATCCTGAGATATCTCCTTGAAGCGTCTTGAAGGTGATATGCGTCGTCCAAAAAGCGCATCCATAGTCCATTTGTAGATGCCTCCGGTGATATCATCTCCATCGTAACTGTCTTCACGGCTTTTTCGATGTATCCATCCCATGATACCTTCTAACTGCACAAATTTGATCCAGAGCAGCCTTCTCACACAAGATGAAGGTTTGAGCTAATCAGATTGGTCCCACAACTTCGAGCTTATTGTGCTTGTCTTTGTATTTCTCAATGATGAGTGATGGACAATAGCGATGGCATCTTTTGATATATTGTATTTAAATCATCAACAAAGCTCTAAAACAACAAAGTTCTATATAAAACCTGCCAATGGTCGTCAAATGTTTGTTCAACACTGATGGATGGCTGATAATAGAAGAACAGGGAGTTTTGAGAGTCTACTTTGACCGGAAACTACGGGTTGCTGCCATAGTAGAAAGCGTCGATGAATTTCAGTGCTATAAATTGGCAGGTGACAGTAATGAGGGACCATCGATATTTGGGATTAAAGCTGGCAAAGTGGTTCGGATGTGGTACGATAAATATTTAGGCCGTTTGCAAGAAGAGTGTGTCCTGAGCGTGAGTTTTCAGATCTCGAAATTTCAAATTCTGCCGGCTGTGGGATGGATTCTAGCCACCGATAGTGTCGCAGGAATTTTGCACATTTTTGACACCATTGATGGTCGCTACAGAGGTCGAATTAAAATCGATCCGGATTGTGATGAAATTTGTGTGAGTGGCCCCAAGGAGTTTCGGGTTTTAGCTCGCAAATTCGATCAGAATTCGCTGCTGATCAAGACATTTCTGAATACGTATACCATTGGCGACAAATATCATACTTTTCTAGTGGCAAGTGTCCCAGTAGACCACCAATTCGACAATCGCTGGATTTGCAAGGGTGTGAGCCAACAAGACCCTTTCGCGCTCGTTAACTGCAAAGCTACAAGTCTACTGGAGTTTTTCCTTCCAACAGCTCAAACCGCATTCCAGAAATTAGCACTGACAGAATTGGTTTTGCCCGGCCAGAGCTGGTTCTCAGCCGCCTTCAACATGATTTTGGTGCTTCAAGCGCCTCAAGGTTTTTCTTTTCGCATGTGCGAATTGGATATTGTCACTAACCGGGAAATTCGTTCGGTGCCCTTGATAGAAGAGTCCGTTCGTGGACGCTACAAAATTGACCACCATTGCCACAACTCCATTGAGAAACTCAGCACAGTGACCGACACCTTCTCCCCATCAGAGCTGCGATTTTTGGGACGATTCTCCTACTCAGTCGCGATATTTGAAGTATTACGATCGCCAAACCTGCTGCTGGCATGGCAAGAAGGGTATCTATGGGAATGGTGGTTCCCCTCTGCCGTTTTTGCCATAGCTAGGGCTGCGACGGGCTCTGCCATCGTGGTCGAGTGCGGCGCCAGGGCCTCCAGAGATGCAACCGAAATTTTTCAAATCAAAATCGCACCGCGAGGATCCCTCCCGGAGTGCTCAGTCGTATCCAACTGACAGCGTGTACTACCCAAATGCCAACTACGGCTCAGGGTATCCATCGCCCTGTTAAGTGCGAAATGGCACAGTTCTTGGCACTTCCTCTGCTGCTGTCGTGAGTGTGGCGCCTCAGATCACGGCGCACAAGTCACCCACGAAAAATTATATTTTCATTTCTGTCGACCGTGGTATTAACTACTTTTGGACTCACCTAAAAGTGAAGTCTGCGAGCACAGATCAACACTCCTCTGCGCCGTTAAAATCGTGAATGTACGGTCCAGGAAATTGTGAAATAGACTAAATTTCGTGATCGCCTTTGATGGACTTTCTTCAAAGGTGAGGTGCTCATTTTTTTTCGTGGTCGCTTCGATTGATATATAAGGTTGAAGACTGTCAGTACTGAAAAGCTGGATCGTTGGTAAGAAGAGATCAAGAAGCAAGTCTAGCTCTTCAAAAATTCAGCCCAGGCGGTGCCCTACATTCGTTCTTTAAGCTGCGGTAGCTGTCGCCAGATCATCAATCCATCATTGCTTGCAGTAATTTTGGATACTTCTAACCATCACTCACCTGTCATTCACTAGATCTGCCAATGTCTGCCTGCAATAATATTACCCAAGGGCTTATTGTCACCGCCAAACAAACATACTATCCAATTGAGCTGTCTAATGCTGAGTTACTTGCTCACTACGAAACAATCCAAGACTACCATCAGGACATCTCCGCGAACGTGATATCGCAGTCATGCAAGTTCAAGCCCGATCCAAAACTCATCGACCAACAACCAGAGATGAATCCTCAACAGACCCGTCAGCAGGTTATGACGGTTTTATTCGAGCTCGCGGTCAAAACTCGAGTTACTAACGGCATATTTTTCCACTCGGCCCGACTTTACGACCGCTACTGCTCCAAAAGAGTGGTGCTCAAAGAACAGGCCAAACTGGTAATTGCTACGTGCCTCTGGCTCGCTGCCAAGACATGGGGCGGTTGCAATCACATCATAAACAATGTTTCCGTTCCCACCGGTGGAAGATTTTATGGGCCCAACCCAAGAGCCCGGATTCCTAGGCTTTCAGAACTCGTACATTACTGCGGCGGGTCCGAAGTTTTTGACGAGACCATGTTCTTGCAAATGGAAAGACACATTCTGGACACATTGAGCTGGGACATCTGCGAACCAATGGTAAGCGACTACGTACTGAATGTGGATGAAAATTGCTTGATCCAATACGAGCTTTACAAAAGACAGCTCGAGCACAACAAGGAATGGTTTCACAGAAACTCTCAATCTTCGGACAGCGATGCCACAGAGGCTGACGAGGAAGAGGACGAAGATCTGGCGGTAAAGATCCAGTTGATTAATGTAAAGAAATTTCTCATAGATTTGGCAACTTGGCAGAACGAGCTTTTGAAATATGAAATGTTCGAGCTGGCGCATGGTATTTTCTCCATCATCAATAAATTCACCGGCCAAGAGCAGGGCCCACTTCTGCTGGCACCACTGCCAACAGCAGCCAGCCAGGAGCGTTTACTAAAGATATTTATCTTGGGTGTGGTTAGAGCCCCCAAGTCACTGCTGAAATACTACCAAGACAGCCAGGGCATCATGGCGTTTGTGGAAGCCGTCAAAGAATACTACACACTGGAACAGAAAAATATGCAGCTCGCATCACGCAAGGACCTGTCCCGGACATCAACGCTACCCTACGACGTTCCTTCGATGCCATCTCCTCCTTACCAAGGTGCCAATTACACACCTTTGAGAAACACGTCAGTTCCATCTGACGTCAGCATATTTAGCACTGCAGAATCGCAGCCCTCGCCCGTGACGCCTGTCATGTACTCATTTGCTCACAAGCCTCAGCCTGGCAGCGCCTGCGGATCCACGCTCAGCGTAAACAGTATATCCAACAAACGTTCTAAGACTCACGACTACGATTGCATGGACGAAGACAAGGAAAACTACAATCAGACTTCAAGCTCAACGTTCGCAGTTCCACCTCGCGCTAAATTCGTTGGCAACAGTATTTTTGCATCTGGTGGCACATCCACCACAAACAGTAACCGCTCGTCGCTGGTGTCCTTGGCAGTCAGTAACGTTAATAATATGGTGTAACTACTTGACTAGGATTATGTATAGACGATTTAATGGGACAATCTAAGTTACATGGAAAGCTACAGAGTCGTACAATATTCATTCTAAAATACAGTTTCCGGGCACATTTACCGATCATGGCTTGGGCATCCTGGCTAGCGCCAGTTCTTCGTGGCTGAACCTTTCAAAATCGCTGACACGAAAAATCGATGTCACATTGAAACAAAGTGATCTTAGCTTGAATCAAAAAAAGGCTTGTAAAACCAAGTTTCATCAAATTCACCAACTTCAGAAGCCCATCTCAAGCCAACAGCCAGGTCTTGAACAATGCTTCAGACGATTCCTATCTTAACGCTTCTGAGCCTGATAACCAGTGTTGTGTGTGACGACCAACAAAGCTCGCTTTACGGGACGTGGTCGTCGAAATCAAATCAAGTATTCACAGGGCCCGATTTTTATGACCCAGTGGAAGAACTACTGAAAGAACCGTCACTACCAGGGATTTCGTTTTCATTCACAGAAGACCAGCATTTTGAGGAGGCTATTTACCAGGTGAAATCCAATCCCAAGGACCCCAAGTGTCCAGTTGCAGTTTTGATCTACCAGCATGGGACTTACGACCTACAGGATAACGGCACGTTGACTTTGAACCCTATCGAGGTAGACGGAAGACAGCTTCTAAGCGACCCATGCAACGACAACGGGACCTCTGTTTACTCCCGCTACAACCAGACAGAGGTGTACAAGTGGTTTTCCGTGAGCGTGAACGATTACCATGGTGTTTACGAGCTACAGCTGTACCAGTCCGACGGCTCTCCCATGCAGCCGCTATACTTGGCCTACAGACCTCCCATGATGCTCCCCACAGAAACGTTAAATCCCACAAAAACCTCGAGTGGAAGTAAATCCACGGGCTCGAACCAAAAGCGGTCACTGAGGAGCATGGTAAAGCGCAGTCTGGAAAACAGACACAAGACTAACGCTATTAAGCGCAACGACTCTTTTGTGAACAGCAAATTTTTCAAGTGGGTATCCGTGGGTCTCATTGGTGCGGGTTCTGTCACTTTTCTGGTCACCTAGTCGGTACACTTCCTGCAAATTTCGAAAGTTTGGGGCCGGGGACAGGACCATAGGTGCAAGCATGCGACCGCAGAAGGGTTTGATTCATTGCGAAATTATGTGTCGCCATAAATCTTGACACTTTTGCAGTCTCAACAAATTAAATATTGTAATAGAGTTAAACAAATTCAGAATAGGAAAAAAGGGGGAAATGACCATATTATGAACTTACAAGATTAGTGCAGGGCTAAGTTCGACGAGATGCTTTCGAAGCTTGCGAACCGCTCGACATTAGACTTATCATGGTGACGTTATTTGTTCAGTAGTTATTAAAAATTGTCACGTGAACTATCTTGAAAAACCTTTGATTACATAATACATAAGTTTTTCTGGATACTTTTTGAATAGATTAATTAATTAATCGCCATCCACGAAGAACAAATACCCACTTGACTTTATATATAGTATATATAAATCAAGAATCTATACTCAACTTATACACATCTGGGGACTCCTTCTTATGTCAACACCTCAAGCAATCACCCAGCTGTCACCCTAAGCGTTCATTCTTTGATGTCATCGCAAGTGGCCACTCCTGCCCAGCTAGAGAGCCTTATTCAAAAAGCCACCAGCGAGTCTATACCGCACGGAGCGGTGGATTTGACCGTCGCACTGGAGGTTTCGGATGTTATAAAATCGCGAAGAATCGCGCCCAGGGATGCTATGCGATGCATTAAAAAGCGGATCATGAACACCAAATCAAATCCAAACACGCAATTGGCGTCTTGGACGCTCACAGAAATGTGTCTAAAAAACTGTGGGACTGCATTTATTCGAGAAGTGTGTTCTCGCGAGTTTATGGATCCCCTGGAACGCACGATCTTGGATAACGATGGTAATGAAGAGCTTGAACTCATGTGCAAGGGCATCTTGCAGAATCTTTACACTGCCTTCAAAAACGACAGCCAACTTGGGTACGTTTCGAGGGTTTATCAACGGCTTTTGTCGCGAGGCATCGATTTCCCGCCAAGCACTGCAAGCGATTTGGAATTGGCACAGGCAATGTTTGACTCGAAGGCTCCCGCAGACTGGGTGGACTCGGACGTCTGCATGATCTGCTCAACGCGGTTCACCTTGCTTAATAGAAAACACCACTGTCGATCCTGTGGCGGAATTTTCTGCCAAGAACATTCCTCCAATAAAATTGCATTACCAGACTTGGGATTATATGAGCCCGTACGAGTTTGTGACGACTGTTACCGTGAATACGACCACAAACGACTATCGGACAAAAAACACCAGAAGAAGTCGAAACGCAGTTCCAAGAGGTCATCGCAAGATGTTCAAGAGCAGGAAGACGAGGAACTGAGAAGAGCAATAGAACTTTCCCTCCGAGAGTCCCACGCAAGTGAGACATTTGTTCCCGTGGTTCCAGCAGTACCGGCAGAACCGAAAAAAGCCACTACTGCGTTCACAGAGGAAGAACAAGATGAAGACCTCAAAGCCGCCATTGAGGCCAGTTTACGTGAGGCTGAAGAACAAAAAAAATGGCAAGAAGCGGCTTCTTCTAATCCGTACATTCCCCCCCAACCTTCATTTCAACAGGAAGTCCAGCGCCCTACTTACGAGCTATCAGCTTCAGAGGAGGACGACATATATTTGTTCGCTACTCTGGTAGAAAGAATGAAATCACAACCTGCTTCTGCTGTACTTGGAGACACGCAACTTCAACAGCTCTATCAAAAAGTCATGGGCAGTGCCCCCAAGCTCAATTACTGTCTGAATGACGCCTCTAAAAAATACAACACACTGGTGGACGTAAACAGCAAAATTTCAGATATCATGAACATCTACGATTCGCTTCTTGAAAAACAGTTGCAATCAATAAACCTTAACCAGCAGTACTCTCTACCCCAGCTTCCGTCAGATCCATACGCCTATTACAATGTTGCCCAGCAGGAAAGCCCGATGCGTTTTGCACCTACTCAACAAGCTGCTAGCGTGTCCAGACTAGCTTCAGACTTTACTTCCACGCCAAAAGAGCCACAATCTGATCGTATCCCAGATTCAATGCCGCTGGTTCAAAACGCCCCAGAAAAACAGGAGCAGCGTCCGAACTATGCGGATGATTTGCAAGGAGTAGCACTGGGCTCACCCCAATCTAATGAGAAGACTACAGCACAACAGAGGCCATACCCCGATGATATACAGGAATTGGCTAACGTGCCGTCAGAACCAATATACCAAGAGGATGTCAAGAGATCAAAACAGTCCAATAAAGTACCCTACCCCGCTGAAGAGGAGAGTGCTGAACAAAGTGGGAACAAAATTCCCGCTAATGGCGATAATAAAATCACCAATTTTGATTTTCCAACTGTTCCACTTCACCAACCGCCTGTGAAGGAAGACGAAACAGTACATTCGGAGGACACGCAGGACCGTGAAGAATTGCTCATAGAGTTATAAACCCAGTGACACAATAGCACTATTTCAAACACTCCAATCTGTTAGATGTTTCTATATAAAACTTACATCATTAAACGATTCGTCGCGCAGCATGTTGCCCATGTCCTGGAACCTCTACCCTTGAACCCGCAAGATGAACGTTGCAAGACATTATAACATGATTTCTTGCGTTTCCAAGCCGCAACCAATACATCTACGTTTAAGAATATGCAAACCCTCCTCGTTAACACCTCCATCAATCGCAGCAGAAAACTCATGAACATGCTCTTTACCATGCTTGCGATCGAGCAGTTTTTTAGTGTATTCTTGGGCCCTGGTTTTGATTCGCATCTCTTTCATTTTCTCCTTGTATTTTTTTTCACGTCGTTGAGCTTTTCCCTCTTCTCGCTTTTGCCATTCACCATCCAGTCCTTCTTCACCACCCCATTTTTGATATGCAAACGCTTCAACCTGGCATCGTACAAATAACTGCATGCGAGCAAATGTTCCGGAATGCGGGTTGGGCTTTTCAAACCGATGGAACAGTGCGGTGTCGTTGAGTTCTGGATCTGTCAGGAAGTAATCTTCCTTGCACTCGGTCTTTGTCAGCAGAGAGAACTTTTCTGGATGGCCTTTGACGCACGCTTTGCAAACCTGTAGCTTGAATACGTCATGCAAGAGGGGATCAAGCTCGGTATTGATCTCACACTCGGTGCATCGCGGAGCCAGCGACGGGTGTTCTGGCGGTTCTGTGTCTTCATATAATGCTCTTCGTTCGCGTTGCGCCTTTTTCCAGTCTTCAAAAGACTGGTTTTGGTTGCCGTTTTCGGTGTTGGGCTGATCATCCACGTTTATAAACCCACCGTGCGAGTTTTTCATTGTGGCCAAGTCGTATTCGATATAGTCCTGTTTGCGAACCGTCGGCCGTATCTTATCGAGGGGTCTTTTATGACTGGTGGCACGGTCCAGTTCCACCGAGGGATTTGCGCCCAGAGATGCATCTCTTAAGTTTTGCTGGTGATGAGTATAGAGTCGCATGGCCTTGGCTCGATTTTCGGCGATCGCACTATCTGGTAAGGGAGTTTGCTCCAGAGGGCGTTTCAGGCGTAGGCTATTGCGGCTTTCGATCTTTTTTGCTTGATCATCTCTGATGATTCCTCGACTCTTCAGTTTTTCCAATGCCCGTCGTCTGTTGGCTTCCTGCATCGCATCGACGATGTCAGTATTTATATCATTTCCCGGGTCTGTGAAACACGACTTTGACACATACGATTCGGGCCTTCTGCTCAGCATTCATGGCTGTTCTCAGGGCCGTTTGGACTTTTGACCGGAAAGAGTTTATACTGTTTGTAGAGGAAACTCTTGGGTTAGCGATGAGCTGGTTCCACTCTAGGCTAAATTTCAGCCTTAATAATGTGTGGCGTCGTGCATGGCGATATTGAATTTCAAACTGTTAACAGCGTCGTTCACCAGCCCTCCATAGTGTAGTCGTGCTCGATTCCCGGTGTAACACTGGCGATGAATTTCAAAAATACAATCAGGTACTGATCGACGCGCAAGCCGCTGTCAACTTCGCTTTGTAAATCTTCCCACTCGTCCTCCGCGACCTGGCTCGTCACGCTGGTTTCAGCCGCACCGGCCGCGCTCGCGCGACGCCGACGACTTCTTACTTCGCGAACTCGCTCCATCAGCACTCGCATCACATTTGCATGCTTGCAAGGATGGATCGAGACAGCGGTCACGTGAGCGGCCAGGAACGGCAGCGTTTCGATAGTGGCCGTTTTGGTACGGTAATCGGGTGCAATGTCCTGAAACATCTCTTGTGGGCTCAAGGGCGTACCCTCGCTGTTGAACCCCACCAGATACAGCTTTGGAACGCGGTACGTGGTCGAGTACGCGATGTACAGGTCGTAATGACGAGTGTCACTCGGCACGGCCGCCAGCACTAAGTCCTCGTCGTCCTGGTCCGCTGCGTCCAGTTCCATGTCCTCCAGCATGTCGTCGATGTCGGCACGGGGCTCTGTATCGGGCAACGCAGTTTTGGTCGGTCCTTCCACCACCCATTCGTCGTTGGGCTCGCTTTCTGGTCTTGCACCGGCAATCCGCGATGATTGGTCTCCTGTCACTGTGGTCAGTTGCTCAGCACGCGTCGCACACGGCACTTTGCGTGTTACCAAAAACTGTCTGTCTAGGGGCAAAAAATCGCGTCCGTGCACGGCGTTGCTGGCTCGGTTCCACTCCCATGTGGGAAACATATGGCACAAATAGTCCCCTGCTTCCACGAATTCTTCCGGAGTAATTTGGCCGGTGGTTTGGAAAGTGGAAGCGTGCGTTACGGGGGTTAAGTATTCCCTCCAGCTCATCAATTTGGACCTTATCATGGCTGTGTAAAGGTGTGTGTGTGTGTGTGTGTGTGTGTGTGTGTGTGTGTGTGTGTGTGTGTGTAGATGTAGTTGTGGTTGACAGTGTAGACGATGAGTTCAAATTTATATAGAGTATTTAAAAGCCTGGGGGAGCGAGTTACGTAAGCGGATTCAAAGGCACGTGATGATCATGTGATTATTACGTGTAGATAAATGATACAGTGTCACTGGGTACGAAGAATTGTATCTCTTGAGTTGAAGGTGTTAGCACACGAGTACGAGTACGAGTACAAGTAGACGGTGTCTAGGTATACTAATGCCATGGCGAGTGTGTCACTGTGGGTTGACTAAAATATCCTTTCGTTGTTCAAAACGGGTGTCATGACCTTCGGTATCGGACCCATAGCATACCTCTTTAGTTTAGGAGCGTATCAGGTATGTTGAAGGAATATGTCGATTTTTCACTCATACCGTGTACGACATTGATGACAAGACATTGTGGTATTAAGATAGCCGTGGTCAGGGAATTTGCATTGTGGTTGAGCGCGACCTCGTCATAGTGAGGGTGTTGATAAGTAATTGAACTTTCTTGCTTTATAGTTGTCTCGAGAAATAGTCCATGACACATATGACATCTGACGCTGTACCAGGCAAGGCTACTTAATTTACTGACGCAGAAAAATGTACATTGGGGCACGTGATCTACTCGAAACTGCTTGAGGCAACTCATACCCATTCCTGACAGCTGAAAAGCAGGATCTATCGCTGCTGCTGTATATAGCGCTGGACTGAGAAACAATCTGGCCAACACGACTTTTCTGCTTAACACGGTCAGTCCTGCGTAAGAATTCACAAATTCAGGCACTTTGTACGAGCTGATAAGTTCAAACCGAGAAGCATTGATGAGCTGTTTGAGCATTAAGTAGCAGAACCGAGTTCAGCGCCAGCTGGACCTGGTTGCATATTTGAACTATTCGAATAATTCATTGTCAACCGCATGTCACCTCTAAGTCTTAAAAATAGTTTAGATACTACGAAGTGGACGAGGGAAGATGATCATCTAATAGTTTCGTAAAACGATTGAACAGGTCAGACGATTTCGCGTGTTCGTGATGTCGACCCAAAGCTGTCGACGCTACGAGTACGAGTACACTTTTTCAGATTCGAGATGCCTACTAGCAGTGTTAGCGATCGATGATGTGAATTGGCGGAGTAATCGTACTCGTACTCGTACTTGTGCTCTTCCTCGTACCGTACTCTAATGCCACACCGAAGTTATGCAAAAACAGAAGGCCAAGACAGCTTAGACCAGGGCCTACGTTAGCGATCAACTGTGCATGTTAGAGGTTGGTGGAGGTTTTCCAGAGAAAGTACAAGCATGGTTTCTACAAATTAAGGCTCTCAACTATCAAATGGTGTTTTTAGTCGCCACAATAGGCTACCAATTGCTCGAACACACTAAGATTGCTCCGCAAGATAATCAGTCGTGAAATAAGAAAGAGATTCTGGCACAATCGCTGCGATACGAAAGTCGTAGCATAATCTTGTCCTGTCGTTTTGTTACCACGTGATCAGTCCGTCCCCAATAGCTGTCGCTCTTTAATCATTTACGCTCTTCGTCGTGAATACGCAAGACAAAACCTTATATGTGTGCCCTCAAGTGACCATTATGTGAAATGCGTCGATCTATTTGTGGGTTTAATGAACAATATGCGTTTAAATGCATAATAGCATCTCATGCCCGACAGTGAGCCCCTATGTGTCAGTGTCTTGCGTCAGTAAATTGAAGAAATTACATGATTCAACGTCACAGGACTTTTTATAAGACTGACTTTTCTTCTTGAAGGTACAAGTTGTTTCACCGATCTTGTTTCTTAATAGCTTAGAGCGATTCGAATTTGAGGGTTAAAACCGTCCCAACAGCCTTCCTGCTAATCGAAAAGCCCATCGCTGCATCCAACTTGACAATGCGAGACGACTGAGAAGCCGAGAAACTCGAGATATTCGCCGTATTTGACATCCAATGGTCAACAAAAAGCATGTGTCAAATCAATGGCTTCCTTTTTATAGACATCTCATTCAACAATTTCTAAGGTAGAGCTAGATATCTTAAAATTTCATTTAGGGCTCCTCATGTATTTAGATAAAAGAAAGCCAAATTCCTTGATAGTGGCTTCTCTTGATGTTCAAACAGCTCCACATCCGTGACAGTCATTTCAATAGCTGTCATACCGCAAAACATACTCTCCTATGACTTACTACTGTCGACAGAGAATGAATTTAGCTTATCGCGTTTCGCTTTATGATACAATGCTAAATTTTCGAGCGACCTAAAATCAGATCTACAAGATGGACATTGACGATGGATCGATGCGGTATTTAAATTGATTGTGACTTCTCAAACTGTGCCGGAGTAAGACCCTACTTCATAAGCTCACACTTTCTATATCAACGCGCCAGCGCTTACTCGCGGTAATACTCTTTACTAAATACAGTACTCGTGTTTGTACTCGTATAGCGTTTAGTATAATGCACTTACACATATATATATTAACAGATATAAATGCCAAAATCTGACGATAAACGTTCTCATCTCATCCCGTCGTTTTAGACTCCACAACTGATCTCACCCCACTTATCACCTCTTTAAACGCCCGGAGCCGATTAGCCTTTGAATCGTCGAACCTCCCCAGTGCTATTTCCCGACACAGATTTCCCTCCTGGCTTTCCCCTGCCATTGTGACACTCGTAAGATGACCACGAAGATTCGTAAAAGAATAAAGACAAGGGACTCTCCGACGCCCGAACCGGACCACCGAGGCTCGCAACTCAACGGCAAACAAACGTCGCCAAAACACACGCACCACAGCAAGAATTTGAAGTCCTCGAAAAAGTCCGCCAGCAAGAAAAAAACCTGGAAAGATTCGCGACGCATTGTGTTCTCCCTCGGTGCGATCCTGGGATTGGCCATTGCAGTATACGCAGGTGCAGTGGGTGGAAAGTCGAATGCAGCGATTTTCGAGAATTTCGTCAACTTCGAGTCGCTCCAGGACTACGTCGACGATTGGAAAGACGTGCTGCCCCAAAGTGTCACATCGCTGATCTCGGACTTCCAACAGCGCAGCGCGCATGCAACCTCTATGAAGGACCTCACCGAAAGTTTTGCAGTCGGAAAGCAGCTTCGCCGAGAACTAAATTTGCGGGACAAACACCCTGTAATCATGGTCCCTGGTGTCATTTCTACAGGAATAGAGAGCTGGGGGCTGTACGGTGACGATGAATGTTCGTCTGAGCCACATTTCCGCAAACGGCTGTGGGGGTCTTTCTACATGCTCAAGACCATGGTCCTCGATAAGGTGTGCTGGTTGAAGCACGTCATGCTGGACCCCGAAACGGGGCTGGATCCTTCTAACTTCACCCTGCGCGCAGCGCAAGGGTTTGAAGCGTCGGATTTCTTTGTAGCAGGATACTGGATTTGGAACAAAGTACTACAAAACCTGGGAGCAATTGGGTATGATCCCAATAAGATGGCCACGGCCGCGTACGATTGGCGTCTGGCGTACCTGGATCTGGAACGCCGTGACAGCTACTTTTCTAAGCTTAAGCAAAAAGTTGAGCTCGACTACAAGCTTACAGGCGAGAAAGCAGTGCTGGTGGGCCACTCTATGGGCTCTCAGATCATTTTCTATTTTTTGAAATGGGTTGAAGCAGAGGGCCCACTTTATGGAAATGGCGGTCCTGGCTGGGTTGAAAAATACATCGACTCGTTTGTCAATGTTGCAGGCACGCTTTTGGGAGCGCCCAAGGCTGTCCCTGCCTTGATCAGCGGGGAAATGAAAGATACCATCCAGCTCAATGCCCTGGCCATGTATGGTCTAGAGAAGTTTTTCAGCCGAAAGGAAAGACTTGACATGATTCAAACCTGGGGCGGTGTGCCCTCGATGTTGCCCAAGGGCGGCTCGCTCATATGGGGCGATCATGACCTTTCTGTGGAAGACTCGTCACGCAACTCGACTTTGTCTTATGGCAACTTCATCTCGTTCGAAGACAAAAACGAAAACTCATTCCACCAGAACGGGTTCACTATGACTGAAGCGATAGATTTGCTGATGGAAATCTCACCGCCCTGGCTACGTAAGCGTGTGGACGACCAGTACTCTTTTGGGTATGCCAAATCTGGACGCGAAATGCAGCAAAACGAACGTCACCACTCGCATTGGACCAATCCGCTCGAGGTGCCACTCCCAAATGCGCCGAATCTCAAGATCTACTGTATCTACGGTGTTGGGAATCCCACGGAGCGCGCTTATGTCTACAAGCAGGACAGAGAGAACCCGGATTTGAATTTTACCATCGATTACGAGCATCAAGAGCCCGTGTCTTTCGCGGACGGCGATGGCACCGTTCCTCTGGTGACACACGCCATGTGTCAAAAATGGGCACAGGGTCAGAGTCCTTACAACCCGGGGAACTCGACCGTGAAGGTCATTGAGATCAAGCATCAGCCTGACAGGTTTGATATCAGAGGTGGAGCGAAGAGCGCTGAGCACGTGGATATCCTGGGCAGTGCCGAGTTGAACGAATACGTTTTGAAGATTGCCGGGGGAGTCGGCGACACAATCGAGTCGCGTGAGATTTCCAACATGTCACAGTGGGTGAAAGAGATGCCTTTTCCTATGTAGACAGAGGCAAAATAATACAGACGCATCCAAGACAAATTCTGCTTGAACAAAATCTTGTTCAAGTGACAAAATCACACACGATCATCCTGCATCAAGCCTACGCTTTCAACTTTACAATCGCTGAACCTCGAAGAACAGCTCTCGAGACTACAATGTGTCGTGTCTAGCGCCAAGTTTATCAAGAAAAACAACAAAACAGAACAAAACCGTCAAATCTTAAGCTATAGAAATTCTAGAGGTCACATTGGACACAGCAGAAGCAGGCTAACTCATCGGAAAGGTCTACAGATCTTATGTCAGTCCAATTCTTGGCTCACAGTACGGGTAGATTCGAGTTCACGTCGTTTGTTGCATTATTGTCATCTTCCACGAAGATTTCCAGATTTGTCGCGTCGCCAAACTAACAAAAACAAACACGTCAAGTCACCGAGTTCGCGATCCCACTCTTAGACCAAGACAAAAAAGCGCTGTTCGTCTCTCTGTGAACTCTCTCAGCATTTGATTGGCAACCCATTTTATAGACCATAAAGCTTTACATGACTGCAGAGAACGAAAGACGGCCCTTGGGAACGGTATCCAAATCGCGGATGAACCAGCTGAATGGGCTCACGACGACCGACATGCCGACGAAAAGCAGTTCTCTCAAGCTGCCCTCGATCACGTCCATCATTTGCGAGGACTCGGAAAGGTGCAATGAACGTCAAACGCGCGACAGAAACGTGCAAGGCGTAGATTTGGACGAAGTTACGCGCAAGCTCAAAATTCGCATGCAGATGGCGTACTACAAGTTACAAACCAAGCAAACACGTCTAAGGTTCCGCCAGGTAGTACATGCGAAGGCCAAGCTTGGGCCTGCGCCGGAAGGTCTCGACGAAACCCTCAACGCCAACGAGAAAACGGCGTCGTTTCCGGTGACAGCAATGGCGCTGTCGCCTTCAGCACGGCACCCACATGGCATCGGCAAGCCCACTCGCCGACTAGTGATGTCGCAGGGCTCGCTTCGCACACCTGTCAAGCCATGTTTGTGGAACAGCAACAATTCTATGGCAGCAGCAGGCGGACGAACGCCGTTGCACACGTTTGATTCCAACCAGGCCACTCCGATGTCTGTGAAAGCCGCGAAATCCTTAATAGACCTATTCACCAGCAACCAGTGACCAGTGACCAGTGACCGCTAATGTGATCAGAATCGTACACTTGTCGATCACACACCGTCGTACCGTCCTGTGACAGTTGAGTAACCTACTGGTACTCGAGTGTACTCGCATTGTACTCGTCTCGTTTAGGCATACATCGGCTTGGAAAAGTGTGTGCGAACTATATAAACATCGTGGAAAGTTCGATGTCAAACATCTCGGGCCCGTTAAGCAAGAAATCCCAGCCGAAAATCAAGCCTGAAATCAAGCCTGAAATCAAGCCCGAAATATGAGATTTGCGTTTGTTTTGGCATTGATCGCCGCAGCATGGTACGCCATGGAAAAGGCGCTGTACACCTGGCTACCTTTGAACTATGTTTTCGAGCCGCAGACTTTGGAGACAATTGCCAACCGAGTGATCGCAACGCACAAATCCTTGGGCGAAGACTCAACCACGGAAGCGTTGCTGAAGGACGTGAGAGAGGAACTCGCAGAGTACTACGGTGACCAATACATCAACAAATACGTGAAGGAGGAATGGGTGTTCAACAACGCAGGCGGTGCGATGGGCCAGATGCTGATCTTGCACGCGTCCGTCTCGGAATACTTGATTTTGTTTGGCTCAGCGGTCGGCAACGAGGGCCACAGTGGTGTGCACTTTGCAGACGACTACTTCACAATCCTCAAGGGCACGCAGTTCGCATCGCTGCCTTGGAATCCAAGCCCAGAGGTGTATACCGCCGGGATGACCCACCACATGGCCAAAGGCACTGCTAAACAGTACGGTATGGCACAGGAGTCTTTCGCGCTCGAGTACGCGCGCGGCTGGATCCCCTGCATGTTGCCATTCGGATTCCTCGACACTTTCACCAGCACTTTGGATTTCTACACGCTATACCGGACCGTGTATCTCACAGGTCGCGACATGATCAAAAACCTGGTGATCAATCGGAAATTTTGAAAACAAAAAAAACCGCGTGCAACGACGAATGGCGACCTCCCAGTGCAACGAACTGCATCTAACGCAGTAGCATGAGCATGAATCGGTCATAGCTGGAGCACTGGGGATGATCGAGCTTCTTTTAGATATACGATCTATATATCACTTCCGACGGGACTCTAGCATATACCTAATTTGAAAAGTCAAGTTTTCATATATCCAGACAAAGTGCAATTCTTCGAGATCTGCAGAGACTTAGCACGCGCAGTTTGGCACGATAGGCCAGGATTCGCAGCCAGTGGTGTGGTAATCTCAACAGACCGAGTTTGAAGCTTTAAAATGAACCCTCATTTGGCCGAAATTGAACGGCTTTTAATACCAAACTCGCAACAGTCATCGTCACCCAGCGTCGAATTCATTCCACAACTATATTACGCCTTGCACCTGGTCAAAAAGGACCCCAACAGCAGTACCAATTCGCTGGGGTCTGCCACGTCGTCTATTCGCCACCGTTTGAAGCAGTGCAAGGCGCATCTGGCGCAGAACGACGAGTGCCGCGAGCTTTTGAGCAAGACGCCGGCGGAGTGGGAGGCGACGCTCGAGCAGCGTCAAAAGGACCTGGATGCTAAACGCGAGCTGTGTCGGCTACTGGGGCTTCAGATCCAGCAGCTTTGAGAGGAAAGCGGAGGGGGCAGGGGAGCGAAGGTTAAGCTTTAAAAGAAAAATGGTCCCAGCAACGTAAAGAAATATGTCAGTAATGCTTGATGCTCAATGTCTGACGGTCCAACCCCGGTACTTCTCGTTCAATGCTCACTGCTCAATGCTCAATCCACAAACACCCACACACCAAACGAGAACTGAATCTCGTCATGTGATACTCACGTGATATGATCTATTCAACTCTCTGGTCTATGATCACTTTTCACGAACAATAAAATTTTTTAGCCACTGCGATCAATTCCAATTTTCGTCAAAAAACTCAACTCACAAGTTTTAAACCTATAACTCACACTATCGAATTATCAAGTCTGTCCATTGAGACCGCAAACTAGTACATTTTCGGCCAAAACAAGTGCTTCCAATGTCTTCTACGGCCCCACTTCCCTTAGGAGACTTTTCCAAGATTCCCACGATCCCTGGCGTGTCCCCCATGACGGACTCACAGCAGAAAGAATCGTTCTGGTCGTCGAACCCTATTTTCAGCTACTTGAACAGCGTTTACAACAATGTTCACGCTCACAGACAGTCTCTAGCGTTGGTCAACCCGGGCACAATCGAAAACTTGAACAAAGAGGTGTCCAGAGACGTGCTGGTGGGCCAGTACTTTTTCACGGGTCTAAGAGCAGACCTCAACAAGGCGTTCTCCATGAACCCTGCGTTCCAGACGTCGCACACACTGTCGTTGGGATCCGCCAACTTGCCCAGCTATGCGTTTTCCGCACTTTTTGCTAACGACAACATGTTCATCCAAGGAAACGTCGATAACGAGCTCAGCGTGTCAGGTAGACTCAACTACGGCTGGGACAAAAACAACATCTCGAAAGTGACTCTGCAGTTCTCGCAGGGCCAGCCAAGCATGTGCCAGCTCGAACAGGACTACCAGGGCTCTGACTTCTCGCTGAACTTCAAGTCTTTGAACCCATCGTTTTCTTCCAAAGGCGTTTTCTCCGGCGTTGCTGTCGGTTCCATCCTACAGAGCATCACCCCCCAATTCTCCTTGGGTCTCGAGACCATCTTTAGCAGGGGTCAAGCGGGCATGCCGGCCGATGCTGCCGTCTCATACGTGACTCGTTACGTGTCTCCTAAGCAAGACTGGATCTTCTCGGGTCAATTGCAGGCCAACGGTGCCCTCGTCGCCTCTTTCTGGCGTAAGGTCGCCGAAAACGTTGAAGCAGGTCTTGAAACTAGTCTACAGGCGGGCATGGCCCCAATTGCCGACCCAGTTATCGGCACCCCTATTGGCATTCAACCTACCATTGAAGGTGCTACCACTTTGGGTTGCAAATATGAATACAGACAATCCGTTTTCCGTGGCTCTTTGGACTCCACCGGTAAGGTGAGCTGTTTCTTGGAAAGAAAGATTCTACCAACCCTTTCCGTGCTCTTCTGCGGTGAAATCGATCATTTCAAGCAAGAAAGTAAGCTTGGATGCGGCTTGCAGTTTGAAACTGCCGGCAGTGAAGAACTGCTAATGTTGCAGCAGGGTCTGGATCCAAACGGTAACCCTTTGCAAGCCCCAGTTCAGGTTTAAAATAAAGACAATCTAAGAGAAAGAAAAGAAACTTCTGAGGGAAAGAATAATGGCATTGATTTTTTCTCGCCACAATACTCTTTCGTGTAATGACTTTAGCATGAAAGAGCTTGTCATCGACTCTTGTTTATAGCTCCACTAATCCTATCATTATCATTTCTCGCTTTATGTAACATTGTACACTTGAAACGAGGCAAGCTCAGTTCTCACCTTGCGTAGAAGTCCTGAACCGCCGTTAAGTTCATTAAGGTAAATTGAAGCAATTCTGGGGACCAGCCCCATGCCGAATTATGTTATATACGTGAGAAGAAATCTGCTGAATCTTCCGAGCCCACGTCCATCCATGTCCCAACGCCTAGAGGCGAATTACCGTCATAAGAAGCTCTGAGACGCATCTGTACAGACGCTGATCGTACCATGGACAGCCTTGGTTCGAAACGAGAAGAGACAGTGGTGCTATGATACGAGCTGAGCCTTTTACTGCCAGATACCCGTTTCGTATCGTAAGACTCTGATACCATTATATTGCGAATTGCGTTTCTAAAGGCATCATTGACCGTTCTATCGTGAGATTCGTCATTATTTGTTGATTCCGTTTCTTCCAAAAAGCTGTCCGACTCGTTCAGCAAATACTCCAAATCGCTGTCTTCCTCAGTGTCAGAGTGATTGTCTTCTTTCAGCAATTTGTTCTGTGAGTGTCCCGTTTCTTCTTGATGCATTGCTGGATTCGGGTGAACTTTGTAAGAGCATATCGTACTGATCATGGATTCGAAATTAACCCTAACTTCGTCACGAACCTCGCTATGGCCAACTTCCGGTAAAAATTCTATTATCCAGTAGCGCTCTGGATTGAGCAGGAGAATTGAGATTTTGAATTGCGGAGACGGGAGCTTCGTGACTTGAAGCTTTGGCAAGATAGGATGAAGAATATTGTCCTTTCGCCCCAAACAAAGATAAGTCATTTTCTGGGAAGGTAGTTTAGAACTGTTGTAGGTGATTATCTGGTAGATCTCCAAGGGTCCGTCAGACATCAAGCACGTTTCCCGCCTGGTTTCAGCACTGGCTATGGAGTATTCGTGAGAGTCGTGACGTCGCAGAACTGTGGAATGCGACGTCAGAGCTGAAGACATTGAAGACTCCGAACTGCTTCTGTGGCCTTTGGTGACTGAGTTCACGACCCTAACATGATTATATTTGAAAAGAGTAACTCGTTGTGCAGAGAAACGTTGTGATCCCTTAACAGCAGATTTGTGGTTCTGAGATGGCCCATTTAACAGAGGTGAAACGTTAATGTCCGGAATTGAGTCCGCAGGAGTGCTATTGACGGTCTTTGGCGAGCTTTTTCGTGATTTATGGTTTCGTAACAAGAGTGTATTCTTAAAACTCTTGAAGGGTGATTGTTGCTTCTTTTCTGGCTGTTTTGCGGTGGGAGAGAGCCCGTGTCGCGCACTCTTCCCTCGGTCGACAATACCAGATTGAGGCTTGATTTTGACGTCAATCATGCCCACGGAAGCGCGAGAATGGCGGCTATGATTCAGCAGGGATGGTTGACCTTTTTATGTAGCTTTTAAAATTTCATTATCAAAAAAGCGTCAGTTTAGAAGAAAGTGATAAACAGATAGCTTATGCTGTAAAGATATAAGCACCTACAGACTTTGGGTCGATTCGGTCAACTCAGTTGACTATATTTCGCTACGTTTACCAGTTCCATCGTTCAATATCTTTATTCGTTAAGTATACAAATTTTTTCATAAAAGGCCAGGCAAATCCGTCAGTCTATATCATACATTTCGTTGCGAGGCTTGCGTGGGACACGAGCCTTTTATAAGCGGCGTATCTCCATATTGTTAGTTCCTGACCTCGACCTTCTTGCGACCCACCAAGCTGTCAGCAATGGCTCTGGTACTCTCCCAGTGAATAACCTTTGGCATACGCTTAACAATCTCGGTTTCGAAGTCGTAAAGCTGTCTGATAGAGGAGAATACAACATCGGAGCCCTTGATACCAAGCACAGTTGCGGTCGCAGAAACTGCTTTGTTATCTGGGTCAAACTCGTCGTCGTCGGCACGAGCACTGCAAATATCGTCTTGATGATCTTCAATGAAGCCGACAGCCTTGATAGCCAGTCTAGTACCTCTGGTTCTGTCGATTGGGGAAGGCAAGCCACCCTGCTGAACGTGACCTGGTTCAGCAGACTTGGCGTTGAAAGCACCCTTGGCTTCTGCAGTGATCACTTCTGCCAATACTTCGGGTGTGAAAACCTTGGATGCGTTCTTGGATTTCAAAATCAACTTACCGAATCTGCCTCTACCTTGAGCAGTTTCAAATGACTCGGCAAGAGTCTCGATATCCTGCGACAACTGCTCCAAAGAAATACCTTCTTCTGGAACGTAAGACACTTGGGCGCCCACTGCCAAAGACGCGTTGGTAGCGAGGAACCCAGAGTTACCACCTTGAACGTCAACAACGAAGGCTCTACCTCTGGTAGAGGCGGCGGATTGTTTGATGACGTCACAGTAGTCCATCAAAGCGTTCAAAGCAGTGTCGGTACCCAAGGAGTACTCGGTACCTGGAACATTGTTCGAAAGCGTGGATGGGATTAGCACCATTGGTATTCTGAAAGCAGGGTAGTTGTCTCTGGCTCTTTCAAGCTGGTGTAAAGAGACGAAGGCTTCGAAACCACCGACAATGATCAAACCGTCAAACTTGTACTTTTGGAAGTAGTATGCAACCATACCGATGTCGGCTTCCTCGGGAGTACATCTGTTGGTACCGATTTCGGACCCACCGCGGCTTTGCCAGCCGAGCATAGCTTTCCAGTCTAACGAGCGAACACTTTCGTGTCTAGCCAATCCGGACCAACCATTGTAAATCGCATATGGTCTGTGTCCTTGGGACATGCAGTAAGTAGCCATAGAGTAAACAGCCGAGTTGGTACCACCAGCTGGGGCACCGACGTTCACAATAGCGATCTTTAGTCTCTTGTCTTGTGGAAGCTTAGGTGGGTTGTGATCAGCGGAGTTGATGGCCATGAAATTATTCAAATGCTCCACGAATTCTGTGTCTCTCAAGCCCATTGCCTTCTTGAAATCCTTGGCTTGGATAGCATCGGCCACGGACTTGGTCAGTCTGACCGAGTCAACGAGTGATTTACGAGTGATTTTGTTTTCGTTGATGGCAATCAAGGGAGATGGAGTGTCTGGGTCAGACTCCAAAACGGCGTTAACAGCTTCGACACCTTGTAGAGTAGCCAAAATACGGTCGAAAGCAACGGCGGTACCACCTCTTTGAACGTGACCTAGAGTGGTGACTCTGGTGTCGAGCTTCAATCTTTCGCTCAAAACCTTGTGCACATCGTTTGGAGAAATCGGTGTTAAATCGTTGGCAATAGCACCCTCGGCGACAATAACAATAGTGGTTCTCTTGCCTCTGGATCTGTGCTTGGTGACTATGTCACACATCTGGTCTTGCCATTCGCGGGATGAGGCAGGCTTTTCTGGAATTAAAATGTAATCGGCTGTGGTGGCGATACCAGCCATCAAGGCTAGCCAACCACAGTTTCTACCCATAACTTCAACGACGAAAGCTCTCGAGTGCGAGTTAGCAGTGGCCTCAATGTAGTCAATGGCTCTGCAAATTCTGTCCAAGGAAGAGTAGGCACCAATGGTGGCGTCGGTGGTAGACATGTCATTGTCGATAGAGCCAACAGTACCACAAATGTTCAAATGCTTGTATCTTGTGTACAATTCTTGAGTAATTTTGCCAGTGTCTTTCAATTCTTGCAATAGCGATGGCCATTCTGATCTGAACAAATCGGCACCGGTCAAAGAACCGTCACCACCGCAAACGATAAGGGCGTCCACACCAGCTTCAATCAAATGCAGGGCACCCAACAATCTGCCGGCACGTTCTCTGAACTCCATGCAACGAGCAGTACCGATGTTGGTACCACCTTCACTAGACCAGCCACGGACATCTTCCCAGGAGAACTGTTTGATGTACTCAGGGCCACCACGCACCAAACCCTCGTAGCCTTCCATGACAACGTAAGCGCGGCATCCCTTAGCAATGGCGGTACGGACAATAGCACGTACGTTAGCGTTCATACCTGGAGCATCACCACCAGAGGTCATGACAGCAATAGCCTTTTGGTTTAGGGTAGGGTCTGAAGTGCTGACGGTTGCGTTGGCGGAGGAAGAGATCGACTTTTTGTCGGTCAAGTCGATATCGATTGTAGACTGAGCAGATGAGGGCACAGTGGAGGTGAACGAGCCCTTGGACGCTGGAGGAGCGGTGGGCATTGTGCTGACGGCGTTTTTGGTTTTAGTGACACCCACGACGTTGCCCACGGGGTCGACGGCGTAAACTTCCATGGGAAATAGATCGGTAGGGTATGCCTGAACGTTAGCAAATTTGTCGTCCAGGGCGGTCTTACAGCTGGCCACGTCTGCAGATTTGAAGACCAGGGATCCAGATACTAGCGATCTCCAGTCTGCGGTGTCGCGGTCGCAGGTCAAATCCTTGATTCTAGCGTCACATTTCGCCTGTTTTTCAGCGTCCTCGCAAAGCTCGATCTCTAGAGTCAAACTAGAGTTGCGCAATGTTGTAGAGTGCGCATTCTGGGTCTCAGGCTCTAACTGCAGGAACTGACTGTAAAATTCAATGGATGCTTCGTAGCTTTTTCGAGAGTAAGCGGTAACAGTACACTGCGATGTACCGTTGACCAAGGGTATATCGACAGTCATCTTCAAAAGTTTTTCGAACAGATTTTTGAGATCACTGATTTCGTAAACTTAATCCAGTCGGAATAGGATACTTGAACCTGATCTTTGATTCGTTTCAAACTGGCTTCTCTCCCTCCTCTCTTCAACCTATCCTTTATAAAAAGGCCAACTGCCACGACGAATGAGGTGATAAACGCATGCATGCTACGTATTCTCACTCGCTCAAATCTCTCTTTTTCTGACATTGCGCGTGCGTAGCTCTCGCAGGTGATTTTTTCCTTCCTCGCCTCTGCCGTCAGACGCTGGCTTCCACTACGTATTCAGCTTCCTGTTGTCAAGAAGCAAATCGAGTTGTGCAGGTTAGCATTGCTGCGAGGAGCATTTCAGACGAGGCAGGGCAACGCGAGGCCAGGCGGAAGTGGGTATTAGGCGGGAAAGAAAGGCGTTCGTTGGTGGTTTGGACAAAGACCCTGCCAAGTGACGATTTGGCCGGGACGGGACGTCTGATGTAGGATCACCTGAGACTTGAGAAGAGAGGAAAAAAGACCAGTAAAAGAGAGCTAACAAACGGGTTTGAAGGAAGAGAGCGCTCTGGTCAGCTGAAAGCCGTTTGCGGTGGCGGCGATGGCGATATTGGCGGCGTTGCTGGGATAGATGATGATTCCTGGCGCATGCAATGAATGGGATGCGATGCGATGCAACGTGATAGTTCCGTTTCCGACGATACTCTGGCACGTGATCTAATTTCGCTGACATAATCATAATTGTTTTGTCTGTGTTTTCGTGGAGAGTGATGTTTTGATTGTGTCATGTTCGACGTCGCCGGTTTCTGGTGGCGTTTAAACAAATGCTAATATCTGGTAGCACGAAACGCGAGTCCATAGCACCATCAGGCGTGTTGCGAGAAGTGTGATTGAGCATTTCTGAGACTAGATCTCATCTTTCTTGTGTCGTTATGTCTTTTGAAGCTTTTTTCTCTAGTGCAATCGAGAACGTTGGACGGAGTAAGCACTTCAGCGGCTAAGCGCGCGATAAAATCGCAGCTACTTATACCTTTCCCCCTGACAGCTTAAAGGAGTGGATTCGACTAGCCATGCCCACTGTAGCGTGCTCTTTGCCACTCCTTCTAGTTGGGATTTTATAAACAAGTAGTGCTGAGCGGCAAAAGTGAACCCCAAGAGATTGATGTATGAAATATATGAGGATTCTGTTTATAAAACCACATCACTCTGTACGAGATTAGAGTTACGACAAAGATATTTTCATCGATCAGGCATATTCTTCGCCAGTAAGAAAGTCGTTGCTAGTATGGTTAATCTTCCAAAATTGACATTGTTTGATTTAAGCCCTTCCGTTCGTCATCTATGGGTGTGTTTAGAGTGTAAATCGGACTTGGACGAATATTGCTCATTTTATACGAGCAGTTGACATCAACGCCAAGCATGCCAATTTGAACAACAAAACCGAGCGTGGAGGCACCCTCTATATTATTGATTTGATGTTACCATTTTCAAGACGTTGTATGAAATGGGTCTCGATTTCATTTTCTGTTCATCATGGTATCATCTTTCATATTGAATGCTCACACTCGTTCTCACTACATTAAATCCGCTCTATTTCATAAAAATAGCCGACAATTAGTTTCAACTACTACAACAGCCCTCTGCTCATTCACAAAAAGCAGCAGCACATTGTTCATCAACAGTGTGGCATGGAGAACAGTAATTCAAGATAAATCTATATCACTTAGTACTATTCTGTCACAGGAATATTGATTTACTGACACCTACTGAGTATGAAAGCTATGAAGAATAAACAAATCATGCCCTACAAGTCCCGCAACCAATCGTCTCAATATCACGAGTTGCCGTCATTCTCCTGGTCACAGTGGCGTAAAGTGAATCAGAAATTCTCCGTCATCGGAATTTTTTAAAATCACAAAATGTCATAAATATAAGTGTCTGGGCCTATTTAGCAGCATAGTCCAAAGGGCACAACTTCAATAGAGTATCCGTCTGGATCCTTGATGAAAGCCAGGTTCTTCATTTTGCCCTGATTGAACTTGACCCCCCATTGGATCTCGTCACCGTATTTGCTCTCGATCTCCTTGCACATGACCTCGGGGTCTTCACTGCTGATGCAAATGTGGCCGTAGCCTTGGGGCTTCTCGTTACCGTTGTGATACTTGAACTCAGGATCATTTTCGGTACCCCAGTTGTGTGTGAGTTCCAGCAAACCCTCTTGCGTCCATCTTGGAGAGTCTGTGTTATAGCTGAGGAAATACAAGGTGAATTTTGCGTTTTCGTGCTTCGATGTGTCGATGAGTTTCATTCCCAAAACGTTCTGGTAAAACTCTAGCGACTTCTGAGCGTTCTTGACGCGAATCATGGTGTGGTTGAACTTGTAGCCAACGTCAGGGCGCGACTTTCCCTCTGCCTCGGGCCTGTCATATGAAATCAGCTCTATCCAATATCCGTCTGGGTCCAAGGCGAATGCAATGCTCTTTTGGCGTCCATCTGTGAGTCTTTTTTGGAAAGACACGCCGTTGGCCTCAAGATCTTGGCACGTCTTTTCGATGTTTTTAACCGAAAAGCAGATGTGACCAAACCCACGGTGTGGTTCTTCGTTCCCGTTATTGACTTTGAAGTCTGGATCGTTTTCCGTACCGTAGTTGTGTGTAAGTTCTAGGATACCGTTTTCGCAAAAAACGTCGACGGCTCCATCCTTGTTGTGATTCAATTTGGACTTGGGGAAGCTTAGGAAATACAAGTTGAACTTCATATCAGGGAACTTTTTGTGTTCCAGCAGATCCATCCCAAACTTCGACTTATAGAACGCCACGCTGCGCTCTGGATCCTTCACACGAAGACATGTATGATTCAGCTTCAAAGAGGAGCAATTGATAGCACTTTCAACTTTCTTGTTATAGAATTGTGGTTTTGAGCTCATTGTGCGATGGTAAATCCACGGTCTGAACGTCTCAGTTAGAAGGTATAGTCGACTTAGACTCATAATGGGAATTTTTCGAGTTTATCTTGACTTTTATATCTCAATATATAGGTCAACCGCTTTGCTAAAATAACAAATAGCTGACGGATTAGCAAAACTAAGAACACAACAGCTCAAAACGCTCTGCCCAGATTCAGTTTCTCCTGTATTAAACAGCTTATATTTTTTGATAAAACTATTCAGTAATTACGCTTGCGTCGGTTTGTCTTTGTGCTTGGGTGATGCTGCCGACAGTCATTCTGGTCACCATTGATTAGAACGAAATGTGCCTTCCAACGCAGTATATGATACTCCTTCAATGTTCGTGCCGAGTGTATGAAGCTCTTGCATTGCTTGTTCCTGGGCCCACAAATTGACTCTTTGTTCAGAGATGACATTATTCAAGATGTAGTGTGCGCCAGAGTGACACGCCCTCATAGGACTTCAGGAACTGCCGATCCAATCTCTCGATTGTTCCAAGTAATTTGAGCACCACGAGAAGCAAAGACTAGAACATAGTGCAAGGACTTAAATCATCACCATACTCTAATTTGTAGAAAAATGCGTTTGCTGTAGTTTGAGCATTCCAACCCGAGCTGGGCAGATTGTAAATCGATGAGATTAAAATATCAATGAACTTTTTCGGACAGATGCATGATGAAGAATATGCAAGTAATAGTGATGAAAGACTTCGCCTTGAACGGGCCCTCCGAAATTACAAGCAAGCGTTCCTGTACAAAGCACTTGTCGCTCTTTGAATTTGAGTCTATCTTAGTGCCAATGCATCTAGCTACGCTGGCGGTTGACAGACTTGAAAAAATGAGGGACCATCTCATTGAGCCACTCTTCGCGTGGAATTGGCACGCAGTCTCTCATGAACTCCCTCGATGTCAAAACCAACCTTTGGTACAGTATAAACTTCGAAGGCTTCGCCATATCTTTTCGCAGAGCCTGGAACACTATGCTGGTGGGATGAACACTCACATCGACCCCACCCTGACGTGCTCCCATAGTGTGATAGCCGGAGGTTCCCAATTTTGCGATATTGCTAGGAAAACCTGCAATGAAGCTCTTGATAATTCGTGGTTCGAGATTTTCCAAATTTCCTAAAGTCTTAGAAGCTTGATCATTCACAGCTACCAAACCTAGATTATCACAGCATCGCCACAGTTGGTCGCGAATATTGCGCACCCTAACTAGAGTCTTGAACTGAACCTTGTGATCAAAGCACCAAGACTTTGAGTAGTTCATATCTTTCCAATTGTTATATGTCTCCAAGTAAAGCATATGGTCACTTGAAACCTTTCCTATTATACCGCTTTTGTTCTGATCCCGGTCGGCCTTTCCCTGTACAAAAACGGACGCCGTTTCGTGAAGCATTGCAACGATAGTGATAACCTCCTCCAAAGAACCTTTGCAACTATCGTGTGTGGCAGCAATGTGCAGCACTTTACCGAATTCAGGCTCACATGGAAGCTCGCACATCATCCTGCCCAATCTTGTTATGGCGCCTTTACTGTTCAGTGCTCCCAAGGTATACAGGTTTTCCAATGCCTTGCTTAGTGCAGGTATACTTGGTTTGTCCAGCAGGGGAAAATCAAGAAGGTCAGTGACGCCCAATGACATTAAAAGTAAAACCACTTGCGATAAATTGGTGCGCAATATTTCTGGCTTGGGCAGGAGTTCTAGTTCGTGATAGTACGACCACTTGGTAAAGATCCGGAAACATTTACCAGGCCCCACACGACCGGCACGACCTGCTCGCTGGTCTACAGAAGCTCGAGAGCACGGTACCGTTAACAATTGTGACATACCCGTCGATGGAATATAGGAATTCTCCTTCACAAACCCAGGGTCAATAACGAACTTGATTCCATCAATGGTCAGGGAAGTTTCGGCAATATTTGTAGCCAGCACAACCTTTCGACAGTCGGTCGGAGTTGGTTCAAAAATTCTAGATTGTTGTTCCTGAGGCAGATTGGCATAAATCGGAGCGATTATAAGTGGTTTGATCTTTGACCCCAAAACATGTGCTATCTCCTCGAGACTTTGCTGCGCTGCTTCAATCTCCTCTTGACCAGTTAGAAACACAAGGATGTCACCGGGGGCCGGTTGCGTGGTGTGAATTTGGAAAATTGTTGTGACTGCAGCATTCAGGTAATTGGCTTCTGGCTGTAGGGTGTAATGAATATCAACAGGGAAACGGCGACCTGGAACATTGAATATAGGAGCGTCGTAGAAGAAGTCTGCAAATTTGGCCGCGTTCATTGTCGCGGAGGAAATAATCAACTTCAAATCCTTCCTATGAGGCAAAATGTCTTTCAGTAGACCCAACAACACGTCAGTAGCTAGCGTTCGCTCGTGGGCTTCGTCGATGATAATGCATGCATATTTTTTTAACTCGGGATCGGTCATGAATTCTCGCAGGAGCATACCATCCGTCATGTATTTGAGTATCGTGGTATCAAGCGTAGTCTTGTCATCGAACCTGATGGAATATCCAACTTCCTTTCCCAAAATTACGTCCATTTCGTCTGCGACTCTGGCTGCAACCGATGTTGCTGCAACACGACGCGGCTGCGTACATGCGATTTGGAATTTACCGCCTTGTGTGAATCCCTCTTCCACCAAATATTGTGGAAGCTGTGTGGTCTTTCCCGACCCTGTTTCACCAACCACGATCAATACCTGGTGCTCTCTGATGGCGCTGAGAAGCGGATTCCGGAACTTGTAAACAGGCAAGCTTTTCCGCGTATCGTGAATAATTTGCAGCCTTGTCTGTTCCCGATCGAGTTCCTCAACTAATTTTTGATCAAGTTCGCTGTGTGTCTCCGGAAGTGCACTCTCGTCGTCGCCAGCGGTGAATTCAATCATGGCTTCTTCGTCAAATACAAAATCGTAGTCTTCGGACCCTTCAACTCGAATTTCATTAGAGTCGTTCGAAGCTTGCAAGGCATGTTTTAGCTGCTGCTCTTCCCAAACTTGCTGTCGGCTTTTCTCTTCTACTCCAAAGACTTCTTTCCGCCGCAGGAGCTGCTTTTTCCTTTCCGAATCGAGGCGTCCCTCCTCGTCAATGTAGTCACTTTGTAGCCTGAATCCACTTTCCTGACCGTGTGCTTCGCGGTCTTGAACAAGAGCAACCAGCTCCCGCTTTAGCTGTATTTCATCCTGTTCCGATTTACTCAGAGCATCCCATCCACGAGAAACGATGTCTTCTTCCTGGTAAGCCAACTCCTGCTTCAAAACCTCTAATTTGAGCTTTTCTCGATCCTTCAAATAGCGTTCTCTCGCTAAAAGACGCAGTTCTCCCACATCATCTACACCTTGTGAGCCATCCTGCTCTGCTATAACGCTTGGTTTGTCGATCGAGCTTTCCTCACCTTGAGCTTTCCAACTGTGCAATTTATCAACCTCCATGTTCCCGTTTTTATCCGCTGGAAGTTCGTCACCCACATTATTACGTCTCAGCCGTCGTTTTCCGATGCCAGATTTGGGATTCTCCATGTCCGACTGCCGCTATTGACGTCAAAACATGTTATTCAATTTCTGCTCTGCTAGCTCATCGCATAGAAATTGATAACTGTATAAAATTATCAAGATGTCAAAAGATGACTTAATTCACAGAGGATATAAGTCTCCGAAAGACAGTCCCGTGGCGCGTTTGGAGCCGTGAAAATCTTCTGTCCGTGATCTCCGTGAACTATTTTATGAGATGGTAGATCCTGGTCGAATTATTGCCAGTTCTGGGCACAAATATGAGGAACTTCATCGAGTGGCCGGCACTGAAGAGCAGAGCCCTCGTTACATTCCACCATGGACCACACCGTACATTATAGGTGTTGGAGGGACTTCAGGTTCGGGCAAAACAAGTGTAGCCGTGAAAATCACGGCGTCCATCAATACGCCGTGGACTGTTTTGATCTCACTAGACAATTTCTATAAGCCTCTAACGCCAGAACAACACGAGCTAGCGGTCAATAATCAATTTGACTTCGACACTCCAGATGCAGTGGACTTGGATCTCGCATATGAGTGCATCAAGAGCCTGAAAGAGGGCAAAAAAACATCGATTCCAATGTATAGTTTTACCAATCACAACCGAATTCCTGGAAAGACGATTTCGATCTACGGGTCGAGTGTGGTTGTAATCGAAGGAATCTATGCACTGTACGATCCACGTCTTCTGGAGCTGATGGATCTTAAAATTTACGTGGACGTCGATCTTGATGTGTGTCTAGCCAGGCGGCTCTCCAGAGACATCGTCTCGCGTGGTAGAGATCTGAAAGGGTGTATCCAGCAGTGGGAAACCTTCGTTAAACCTAACGCCGACAAGTATGTCCATCCTACGATGAAAAATGCAGACGCTATTATTCCCTCGATGAGCAATAATCTCGTTGCAACACAGACAGTAATCAACCACATCAAGTCCAAATTACAGCTCAAATCTCGCAGGCATCTCGAAGAGCTCAGCATTCTTGGTCACTTCCATGAATTGAAACCCTTATCTGAGATGTCTAACGTTCATCAGATAGAACATACAAGTCAAGTAGTTGCTTTGAAAACGATGCTTTTGGACAAGTACACTGCAAGAGACGATTTTGTCTTTTACTTTGACAGAATTGCCACTATACTTGTTTCTCGCGCTCTGGACGATATCTCCGCGGTCTCGCCAAAACGCGTTATAACGGCTACAGGGCATGAACTCGAACTACCTTCCGTAGATTTCGACAAAGTCACCTCTATTAGCATTGTTCGCTCAGGAGACTGTTTTATGAGGTCACTAAAGAAGACAGTTCCGAGTATGGCAATCGGGAAAGTACTTATACAGTCAGATTCACACACTGGTGAACCACAGCTTCACTGCGAATTCTTGCCACCACATATCGAGGATTACGAACAAGTTCTTTTAGTCGAGGCTCAAGTTATATCTGGAGCTGCAGTGATTATGGCAATCCAGGTTCTTCTCGATCACGGTGTTTCTCTGAGCAAGATTAAAGTGCTTGTGTATTTGGCCACAGAGGTTGGCATACGCCGAATTACCAACGCTTTTAATGACACCGTTCAGATCTACGCCGGCGAGGTTGTTGCATCTGATGCACTGGGATTTGACCATTGTAGATGGGCTAGGAAGCGTTTCGTTGATTCCCGGTACTTCGGGTGCGATTAAAGATTATTGCGGGAGGCAATGAAATCAATTAATAGATATTAAGTTTATAGAAAGACACAGCATTTAATCTGGCACACCTCTCCACTGCTTTCAGTAGCCTATTAGTTTCATGAGTCCATATCCCACGGTAGTTATGACCAGGTATGCCCATATACTTGCGGGGACACCTCTGGAGACAAAGTTCCCTACCGACAGATACCTATCCCCCAGCTCGTCTATCATAGAAATCGCGGTGACGTTTGGAAAACCTGAAGTTGGTAAACCCATAGCACCAGAGCACAATAGCGCAGCTACCATGACCAGTAGCCTAGAATGGTCACCTGATGGCAAGTTTTTACCAATCTCGCTCATTAGAGGAACGATGATCATCGCTGCAACGGTATGAGATACGAAAGTTGCCATTATCAAGATAACAATGCCAAAGATGAGGACAATGGCAAATACGGGTTTATCCTCGACGTATTCTTTGATAATAGAGGCGATAGATTCCAAAAGACCCGAAGAGGTCACAGCCTTACCAAGAGTCGTTCCACCCATTGCCAAAACAACAATTGTCCACATGAAACTGTTGAAGTCACTGGAGCTCAACATACCAGTACCAAACAGCAACAAGATGGGAATGATTGAAATTATTCCCATTTCTCCAAACACGCCAGTCAGTTGCTTAGCCATACACCATAGTATTATAGTTCCAATGGTGCACAGCGTCACAAACCACTGCTGAATAGTAAAGGGATCCCTGATGGGGTGCAATTGGAGCAGCTTCAAGTCTTTCTCCACAGGAAAACTCATGACAAGCATGGCCCAGATCCCAAAAATGCAAATACAGCATACTGGCAGCGATATAATGAACCACTGAGACCAAGTTGGCTGTGGGTCCATCATTCCAATAGAAATGATGTTCTGAGGTGAGGCGATGGGCGATGCCATACCACCGACATTAGATGCCAATGCAATTCCTAGAATTAAAGATTTAGCGAAAGTGCTATTTTTTGGCAATGTGCGGAGTAAAGGCTGGATAATAGAATAGCACAGTACCGGGGCAGCAACGTTAGAAACCCACATTGATACAAATAGAGCAACACACATGTTGGTAAGCAGAATGACTTTGGGATTAGTCCCTGCAGATGCCAGAACATGAGTAGAAACGACCTTAGCGACATTATACTTTGATAAGGCGGCAGCAAGGGTGAAGCCTCCCAGCAAAAGCATGATGACGCTAGACCACATAGTCGATAAAATGTATTGAGAAGCTTGTTGTGGTGCCATGACATGACCGCCTGCGTCTTTTAATACCGGAAGAGTCACTATCAACAATGGAACAAGTAGTGAAGTAACGAAAAGGGGAATGGTTTCGGTAGCCCATAGCATAGATGCATATACGAGGATAGCAAAGCAATTCTTTTGCAGAACGTCCTGAAATGGAGAAACCTTAAGCAGAAGCAGGAACACCAGCGTGATGGCGCTGAAGTTCAGTAGCCCGCTGGACTTAATTATGATTTTGAGATAGTGAGCAGGCGTCATGTGGAGAGCATCTGTCAACGTGGCGTTTGGTAGCTCTTCTGGAGAAGGGGAATTGCGAACTTCATCGTCGAGAAACTTGGTGTGAGGGGCTTTGCGACTCAAAGCTCGAGATGTCTTGACATTTTGGGCCTGACGTTCCAGGTTCATCATATCTTTCCAAACGGTATTTCTTTCCCAGACGACATGTTCCCGCAAATGCATGGAAAGCTCTCTTTCCGCTTCTTGGAAAGTCAGGACCTCATCTCCGTTGAAAGTGGTGCCCATCAAGCTGGCATACATGCCTATAGTATCGTTGATCTTGTCTTCAACAGTTGAGACAGTTTGCGGACGAAAGATTTGGGTCCTTGAGGGCAAACGAGACATATAATCCGCTTTGATGCTGGTTTCTAAACTCTTGTCGAATTTTTTGCAAATTTTGGAGAAACCAGTCTGGTTGAGCTCAATGAAGCTCTTAAGTTCCGAAAGTTGCGTAAACGCCACGACCAGTCGTTTTTTGAGGTTAATTGTGTCTTCCATCACTGGATCGAGTCTTGCCATGTAATGTGTGCTGCGAGAGATCATTGGACCCATATCACTGTTGGTGATACCCACTCTGCTACTATTCACATTATCTTCGTCATCCGAGTACGAAGTTGTGGGACGTATGTACGGTCCCGACGCTCCAGACGCATCGGAAACGTTGGAAACGCTGCTTCTTCTGCTGCCAAAGTCTTGGAGAGCCAGTTGCGCTTGGAACTCGCTGAGATCATCCCTCACCTCCTGGTAAGAGCCGAAAATGCGCGATTGTTGTTGCAGGAAAAACTTGTCGATTTTTTGAAGTTCTTTATCGAGCGCATTAACGAATTTTTCCGTGTACGAGTCGCGTAGAGGGATCTGCTCCGGATCTGTGAAGCTATTTTGATATAGTTTGTCCTTTTGCAAGTTGTAGATCAGCCGTTTTAGCTGGGAATAAGCCAAATATCTCGACGACCATTCAGGGACTGCATTGAACTGCAACGAGTGGGAAAATTTCATGTTGGACCGAGATCTTCAATGTAAACGACACTCGCGATCCTACGAAGTTGGTAAGCTTGAAATACGCCGGGGGACACGCCGAAAATCGTGGATCGGGGTTGTGCAAGAATCTGAACTTTTGATAACTTGTTAATATGTGAATTATATTTATATATATATCTGTCCATAATAAATATTATATACGTATGAGCACACACGAGCTGTCATAGTTCACGTGGCACATAGCTTATCGATGACTCCGGATTAACGCTGAACGCGGCGTGAAGCACACGGTTTTAAACTGATTCAGTCCGTACCTGTGGGAGCATTAACAATGTCTGAAATCAGAATAATCTCATTTAGTTACCTTTGGTTTTTTTTGGAGTGAAAATGCGATAATTCACTTTCTGGAAGCCGCGCAGCTCAAATAAGACGATTTATGAGACTGGGGCGCTCAAATTGAATGTGTATTTTTCAGAATGAAATCCTTTTGAGCCTTGGAGATCCCAACACTCGCTTTCAGGCGACGAAGTATTCAAATTCAATTTTTTTTTTGTTTTTTTCAATTTTTGCCGAGAGTCGACAATTTCTGTGCTTTCGAATTCCCATCAGAAACCATCATTCTCGATGTGCTCTGCAGTTGTGAGCTTGCCGGAATCCCTCTGTGAACCTTCAAAAAGGCTCGTATAACCGGCAATTTGTTACTCTATCTTATCATTTTGTACTTGCTTGTCACTTTTGATCACTATTTCCCGGTCTGTCAGAAATCCTGAGATTATATCACTCTATCCCCCACTGACACCATCTACCATGCCCCTATCAGAACGTCGATACCTATCACTGCCAAGTATACCCATCTTGCCTACTACTTGCGTCAACATACTCTCTAACCCAATATTTTGCGCACGTCGCGCATTAACCATTGCCGATATTTTCTCACTTTTGCTTATTGTTTTCGGGGCTTGAACAAATATCAGTTCTGTTCTGTTCTCGGTACCAAGAGGAGAAATCCAACCAAAGCACGTATTTTGTTTCAGCACCAAGTCCAGATCCATCTGGAACCTTTTTGTCCGCAAAAGTCTCATCATCTCCACCTTATCTAGCCTCTCTAACACCCCGTCACTCTTACACATTTCGCAAATCTACCTTTCTTGGCGTTTTACGAAACCGTTACCATCGTCACTGTACCTAAAAACCCAATATAGACCGACAATCAATGACGTCTCTCTTGGCAACTAGCTAAATTTACTGTCCTCCAAATTCCAAATCCCCCCATCTCCCTTGTTTTTCCTTGTTTCGTTTCACAGTTTCACAGTTCACACAGGTGACTACCGATCCCTATTATCTTACAAGAATGCAACACTACAACATCCACCCCGACTTGCTGCAGCAATTCCTCTAGTTAATAAAATCAAATTTTACCTTGCTGACCGGCGATCCGCTGGGTCGCTTGTTTGGTCTTTAAGGGTTTAGCTTTGATCTGGGGTGGCACGACCGGTCCGGTCGTGCCACCCCAGATCAAAGTATATAAGGACGGGAAGAAATCTGAAATTCATATCGAAGTTCTATAATCCGGAGTTGCATTTTCGTGGGTTTCACTGCCCTCTTTAGATTCTGTATTTTTTATTGTCAGAATCTGATCTGCTAACAGCGAAAACAAGAACTCACCAACTCGCACAGAACTCAGCTTCATGGGCCTGTGGGATTGTTTGGAACGTTTTCAAGAGTGTGTAGGGTAGTTCTAGGTAGCTCTAGGTATATTTGGTCATCGAGCTGATATTACAAGCAATTGTCAGTCATTCACTGGCATCATCATTATTACATTATTAGGGCTTCTGTCGTTGCAGGCATCGGACAAGCCGAAATAGCATTTAATACATACATTTGGCATTGAGAGATGTCTGGAAACGGATTATCGCCCGTGGATGCGCATTTGGTGGTGCGCTACGCGCCCTACGACGGTTATGAGGGTTCGGACCGTTCCACAAGAAGACGATCCTCTATTCAGGGAACTTCAATATGTGTGGCTGAACCCTGGAGTCTGGAGGACGAGGACAACGATTTTTCAGGACCGTCAGAGTCGCCAGGCTCCAGAAGGCTGTCTGCTTCGCTCCGAGTTTGTGACCTTTATCAGTGCGTCCACCAGCATACAGCTGACACCCTGCATCCGCAGCAGCACTCGGGATCGTTTGTAGCACGACCGGGCTTGCAAGCATTCCATGAAGCGTCTGATTCTTCAAACTACCAACATCAGAGGTATTATCCCCGCCGTTTCAGCGACGCAGGATTAGATTTGGGATTTGGGGCCCGTTTCACGCTTGGTCGGTCTGCATCATACACAGCTGATTCGGCAAACTCACACGCACCTCATTATGAGGAAATGGTTTGGAGAAAGCCGGGATCTCGTCAATCGAGCCTCTCTTCATCGTCCCAGGCTTCCTCTGGCATTGATCCCACTTCTTCAGCAAGTCATCGCGACCACAACTGTGATCATCAAGAAGACAACGAGGACCACGAAAATCAGTCATTTGACGCTTCGGACCCAAACTCCCACGAGCATAGTGGTCGGCCATCTCATCACGACTGCTGGGTAGATCTCAGTAATCCTTGTTGCAGACACCATCACCGGCGCAACTCAACGGCAATAAAGTTTCGCAAGGCACTTTATGAAGAAGAATGAGATCCAACGCCTACAAGCTTATCTTTTGGCATAATACTTGCCTCTATATACTGTTTTCCTAAAATTGATGTTTACTGAGTCAAAACTGGCACCGCATCTCCTATTGCTGCTGATTTGCTTTCAAGTTCCGTAAACTGCGCTTGGTCCGCATCATAACGTTCCTGAACGTAATGTGGGAAGGAGATATTAGCTCCACTGGCGAGGAAGGTTTGCTACTGGCCTCTAGCCACACGCCGTCTTGGTCGGGTATCTCGCTATTTTCGCTAACGCTTTCGTACAGAAGCCCATCACCTTGGTCTGAATCAGTGTCGCGCTCGTCTGCGTCGTGTTCGTCAATGTGGTTGTTATTCTCGATTTCGTCAAATTTACCCACTTGTGGTTGCGCCCTTTTAATGCTTCCCAGTTTCAGGTTCTTGAAGTTTCTTATCTTGCTTGGCTTGTTTGGAGGAGTTACGTTGCAACTAAACCAGGTACCATTTCTGGAACTCATGGAACCAATTTTTGAAAACTGAGTAGCGGGTGTTGTCGTTCCACTAATTTCGCCCTGGCTCGGTTCCTGCTGTTGTACTATTTCCTGTGGCATGATTTCCGTTTGTGCAGCACTTTTACCATAGCCCTCTTGCTCGTAGTACACTTTGACTCGCTCAAAAACCGTTGGTCCATTTTCTTGGTTAATAGGCTCCGCGCTTAATGTGTTATAATTCTCTAGTAGGTCGTTCAAAAGATTATCGGTGCCCTCATCGTGTTGAAGCATCTTACTCTGGAGACCCCCAGACAATGACTTTGACGACGACTCCGGGAAGGCGTCGGACTTCGTGCCTTTATCGCTGTGGTCTTCGATAACATCCACCTGCGTAGTTTCCGTAGAGTTTATGGTCGTGTTGGTGGTGTGTGGGATGATAGTTACACTCTCTGGTGAACCAGCAAAAGAGTTCTGAGCTCCAATCGGTGAATCATGCGCGATGGCGTCTCGATTAAACGGTGTGGAAATAGTGTCCTCCAACTTGTGAAAGTCAAGAAGGGCGGGCAAAGGAGTCGACGAAGCATTGTCACCGGTAGAAACAACCTCAGTACTTTCTTCTTCGTCAGATATAGGGATCTGTTCAGAAAGCTGTGAATCATTCTCTAATTGCTCAACCTCTGATGCACTGAGTTTACCTTCTACTCCAGAGACAATCGATGATTTAGAAGACTCATTTTTCTTGTCATTCTTAAATGTATCGGCTAAATTCTCCAGGGCTGTGCGCCCTGTAGAGCTTACATCGGCTTCGTTGACCTTTCCTGGCAAACTAGGATGGGAGGAGCTTAAGCTAGAAACTTCACGATCTTTGGCATCCGTTTTCCCCTCGTCAATCGTTGAAGGAACATTGGGGCACTGTTCTCCCCTTGGTGAGAGTTTAGATTTCGGTGTTGTTGGCGTGAAAACTTCTTTAGCACTAAACATTGGTGACGAGTGTTGAAGCGGTGACTCGCAAGCGCTCACTTTTCTCGAGTGAGTTGAGCTTGTTTTCATATGTGCCTTTGCGAAAGAAGTACTGAAACCCGACGATGGCCTTGAACTGAAACCGGAGCTTGGCTGATCAGCAAATCTTCCATTGGCGGAGCTTATTAGTGGAGAAGATGATGGTTCTCCTAATAAGATAGGAGGTGGGGGTCTCGGCTTGGCGATGGGATCACTGGTTGAAGCGGCGTGGGATTTTCGACCAACTGAACCTACCGAAGATTTTCCACTTGCGTTACTAGGTTCTCGTGGTTTGAAAGGTGCTGTGTAGCCTTCCTTGTCGGTTCTGTCGTCCATTGCAATGATGAGCCACTCGCAATCGCCTACTCTTTTGGTTAGTTTGATGACCAGAGTGTTATGCACCTTACCAAGAAACGTCTCGTATTTCCAAGAGGAGATAAAGCTCTCCGAAATGTCCACTTTGGAGACGCGTAGAGGTGGCAGGCGCTCGGAATCCTCATTGTTCACTTTGGGGAAACTATATCCCAGTGCCAAAGTGCCTTCACCGTGGTTATTATCGTCGAGAACCGAAAGAAAGTCATTAAATCCACTTTCTTTGCATGAATTAATCCAGGTGGCTACCGGGAGCTGATCGCCTGGGCCCAATGTAGAGTTTCCCGCATTTTTCTTTACCAAGGTCTTGAAAAACTCTGCATCGAATGAAGGATCGAATTTATCGAGATAGCGCTTCGAAGACCTGGAAAATAGAGTACTGACGACCTTATAAGGATTGTCCTCGTATTTATCCAAGAATGAGTTTTCTAATTTGGAAAAAGCGTGATGGGAAGAGTACATTCTCGTTTGAGCCTTTGCTGACACTCTTATCAGTTCATTGAAGCTATTGATTTCAGGGTCCCAGAGTTGAGGGATGGTTAAAGTCAATGCTCGCTGGGTCAAAGGCTTGTAGGGCTTGGGTGGGTATTCGTTGATGCGGAAGTTGTCTATTAGGTAAAAGTCTTTGATTTCCCCTTCTTCGGCCAAAGAGTTAAGAAACGATACGAACAACCGATAGAGCGCCTCCCCACGGGCGCGATATAGCTTTGCGAGAGTAATGCAGTCGTCGTCATGGTCTGACTTACGATTAATGTAGTTGAGAAGCTCGGGTGTTTTCACGAACACCACTTGAGCAGCTGTAAAGATCAGATCCATCTGAGCGACTTTGTCGACAACGAGATCCACTTTGGAGATGATCGCCAGTAGAAGATCGATGAACTCAAACGCACAGCGCGTGTAATCCGAGTCAGGGAGAATTTGAGGCATGAAATTGCGGAAACACATCTTGGAGAAATTCTGTTTGGACTCAACTGTGCAAAACTTGAGGTAAGACTCCCATGGGACGATTCCGCGTGGCAATCGCGACCATAAAATGCGCAACGACAGTATGAGCTTACTCTTGGAAGATGATATTTTGGTCTTGATTGCAGAGTCCAACGCGTCGCCTGCAAGCGAGCAACCTGCTCGAGGAAATAGTGACTCTAGAATTGCCTCGGTCTCCTTAATTTCGTGCGGTACGTAATGCGATAGGTTGGGTTTGAAGATTTCCATTGCGGCCTTGATACTGCTGGTGTCCTTTTCGATTTCTCCCGCATTGTGCTGAATTAGCGTTTCCTTGAAGTGTTTAATCAGAGCTGACAAGACCTCGCGAGCCGATACTGGGTTAATCCCGTCTGCGATCTGAAGGATGTGGAAGCTCGGATCCACACTGTCATCATTACTCTTGGACGATGCCTCGAATGACGTTGAGTCGTATATGTAATATTTCCCGTTGCTGCTTATTTTGCTGCCCTGTGAGAACGTGTGCTCTGCACCGGTGTGCTGAGCTCCTGTCTTTTGCCCCGAAAGCACGTATTCCTGCTTTGGCAGAGGTGGCAGTTTGGTGTCGATCTCACGAGTCGACGAGACTGCTCTTCTGCGTAAGAGTGAACGATTTGACTTCACGTTGGCGGGTTTGCGATCATAGTCCGACACGGACCGTTTCTGGGTCGAATTGGAACCGTCGAAACTGCCTGAAAGCTTTTTAGTGAACGCTCTAAACTTGATCATTGGTGACACTTGTGGGTTGTGTTGGCAAGTCTAAACAGCACCAAGCTCTAGCATCGAGAGAAGTTAAGACGTGTGCCATGAAACTGAGTTTTCATCTAGACTTCCACCATTTTGTTTATCTTTATATCTCAGATTTCGCGTTGTTCGAGAATGCGGAGGACGCGAATGCTGTAAAACATGCGACGGTTCACGTCGTGATCAGTCAAAAATACGCAAAACTGTTTCAACCAACGTGGTAACGCGAACCTGGAGCTGCGTCAAAGTGCCATTCCAGCATGCTCGTGTATGAGACTGACACGATGCATGCGCAAAAGAACCACTGAGCTGAGATTTGTAGGGTCGCTTCACCAACACATGTAAAGACAGGATGTAAATAGAGATACATAGGGAAAGAAAAGGGTATTAAGAGTTTCGAACTACTAACACATTTGTTGAGGGGGGAGAATCGGGGGCCACTGATGTTTATTACATGGCTATGTTGATTATTGTAGTGTAACTCTAACGTGTAGCTAGAATATATGGCTAAAGTGTTCAATTCTTGGTGAGTTTCATTCACTGTCGATAATTATTTGGTCGCGTCATACGAGGTGAAGTTGGCAAGCTATAAAAGAGAAGACAAGGCTGTTTCTGGTGAGGCTTTGAGAGTGCTAACTTCGATGCCATTGAGCACACACTGTCGTGCTTTGTGAATCGGCTAGCGACTACTTCACCCATCATTTTGATGTAGTTTTTTGGTATATGTATTTCGTATAACGCGATCCAAAGCTTGTTACTCGCAGTAGTTCGAGTATTCTAACTATAATACTACCAGTACACTATCATAGACGTCGATAGGAGCTGGGGACTCTGTTCTGCTCTGTCTCCGGCTTTTTTCCCGGTCAAACAAGGAAAAATCTTACATGTGGAATAACTAAGACATTATTGGTTGAAATTTTATCGTTGAGGTCGCTCGCCAATATATGTAATATCTTTGGCCACCACCGCGTCTTTTGTCACTTAGCTTGCTCCATACGCTTTGGCGTACTAGCAAAGTCACATATTCGGTATGTTGTCTGTGCCATTCGGTCGATCTTCTGTTCGTTTATCTAGTCGACTTTTATACAGCAATTTCGACCTCTATTTGGTTATCTACTCGAGTTATATCTATTTCGGTCAACTCATCTCATCTCATCTCCTCTCATCTCATCAAGACTGAAAGACTGAAAGACAACGCTACGAAAGCGCATCTAGGCGTTTTATAATGGTGAGTTATGCTGGTAAACTAGTTTTGGCACCTATGGTGCGCGCAGGTGAGCTTCCGACGCGGCTTTTGTCGCTGAAATTCGGTGCAGATCTGGTATGGTCGCCAGAGATCATTGATAAGAAGTTGATCCAGTGTAAACGGATAGAGAACAAACCTCTACGTACTGTGGACTTTGTAGCACCAGGCTCGAATTCAAATAAGTCATCGAGTGTGGTTTTTAGAACTTTTCCAGAGGCCGAATCTGGGAAACTCATTTTCCAAATGGGCTCCTCCGATCCGCAGCTCGCAGTTCAAGCAGCCCAGATGGTGATCAAAGACGTGGACGGGATAGATCTGAACGCAGGCTGTCCAAAGCATTTTTCTATTCATTCCGGTATGGGAGCAGCGCTTCTTCAGACCCCGGACACTCTTTGTTCCATATTGACATCGCTGGTAGACGAAGTTGGCAAGCCCAATCAGAAACCTATCAGCGTCAAGATTCGTCTTTTGGACGACGAAGCTCTAACTGTCGAGCTTGTCAAACGTCTGTGCTCGACCGGTATCACTAATCTGACTGTACATTGCAGAACGACACCTATGCGGAACAGACAGGCACCCATCAGAGATTATATTCCAGCTGTTTTCAAAGTTTGCCAGGAGCAGAACGTGAGCCTTATTATCAACGGTGCTCTCCAGGGTAGGACTCATTTCCTTCAGTTGCGTAAGGAAATGGGCCTCTCTGAGAAGATTGGTGGAATGATTGCCGACTGCGCAGAGGCTAACCCAACCATTTTCAGTCTTTCGCCGCTTCCTTGGCATGAGGCTGCAAAAGCCTACTTTTCAATTGCCTCGCAATTTGATCACAACGTGAACAATTCCAAATACATGTTGACGAGGATTGTACCGGGCAAATCCAAATTTTACCAATACTTTACCCGCTGTAAATCGATGGCGGAGGTTGACTACGTCATTAAACTTCTAGGTGACGCTGGCCAGCCTTTGGACGATCCGACTGAGTACCTAGCTAACTGTAGATCTCAAGAAAAACTACTCAAAAAAGAGGCGGCCGACAAAAAGTCCCAGCTACTTCAATCTAAGAAAATGAGTTCCGCGCCATCCACACAGGATTCGTTAGATCTCAAGAGGTCAATTGAATGCGACGAAACATCTGAGGCGAAGAAGGTTAAAAACTAGTGGCTCAACAACAAAGTCTTACCGTTTCTAGATCTCTCATTTCATTTCTTACTGTACATATCTTCAAAATGTTAATGATAATAATAATAATAGTAGTAGTAGTAGTAGTAGTAGTACTAGACCTTGTCTATCGAAAAGCTGTCGAGTCGGCACTATCAGGCGTACCCAAAGATCTCAAAGCTCCCAACAACAAGAGCCATTTCATTAAAAGGTGAAATTTGGAAAGATGTGCAACTGACTATTCATTTTAAAGTCTTTGTTCTTCAAAAGAGGATTGATGTGGTATAATTATCCTCTTATGAGAAACTCATTTCAAACTGCTCAAGATCTTCTCCTTGTCGTCCGCAGACAGAAGTTTTAGAACCTCGCTCAGCCCGTTGATGGTATTATCGTGGTCGCTTCTAATGTATTTGGCAAGGTTTTGAGCGAATGACTCCATCTTCAAAGTTTTTAGACGATCTTCCAACAAAGCGTAGTTTTCTTCAATCCAGGTGGCGACCATTCTGTCGTCTTCTCTTTCAACAGAAGCAGGGTACCACGAGTTAAGTCTGGCAATCTTCTCCAATCTTTGTGCGTTTGGAAGTTCGACATTCAGTCTCTTCATCAAATACTCTTCGTTTAGTCTTCTTCTCAATCTCCAGAAGAAGAAACGACGAGCCTGGGGCCAATCTAGTTCTTTGCTAATGACGCCCTTGGCAACCATACGACCAGTCCTGTCGTGCAAGTCAGCGAACTGAACGGAGATCTGGTGGTAAATAGGCATCAATAGTTTTTCACGAGTGGCAAGTTTAACGGAAAGCTCCTGGTGTTTCTCCGGAGTTATGTTCGAGTCTGCCAATTGGCTCTTCAAGCTCTTGTAGGTTGGGTCCAATCTGGCCATTGTAGCCAGTAGCTTCTCCCTGCGGTATTTGATTCCAACCATACCCTCAGGTTCAAGAACACCGGCTCTGGAATTAACATCAGCATACATCTCCATCTGATCCGCGTTAATGGTTGGATCAACCACCACCCAAGAACCACCTCTCAACTCACCTGTTGGAGGAATGTAGGTGAAAATTGGTTGTTTGTAGTCGACCAAGGCGTCAACAATGAAAGAACCGTATTTCAAAACCTCGTTGTACATGTCACGCTGACCACCAGAGAAACCTCTCCAGTTGGCCAAAATCATCAAAGGAAGCTGCTCACCGTAATTGAAGTCGTTAATGGCTTGAGCGGTTTTAAAAGCAGAGTTTGGATACCAAACTTGACCGGCCTCTTGAATCAAAGACTCGGTAGAGTTTGGATTGGCTGGGTCAGCAGGAATCATATTTTCCACAAGTCTGGTTTCCACACTAATGACACCTAGCGGAATACCACCAAGACGTGCTCTACCAACGACAACACCTTTAGCCCAGCCTGAGAGAGTCTCTTGGAATGAGCCCTTGTCGAAAAGACCGTATTCAAAACCTTCGTCGGTGTCGCGACCCTCAATCATCCATCTGACATCATAAGGCTGTTCGGTAGAAGGAATGAAATCAATTTCTCTATCCCATTTGTCATCGTTCTCAAGGATAGGTACAGGCATATCACGCTTAGCGGGTACGTAAGATAGCCACTCCATGATTTTTTCAACACCGGCCAAATCGTCCTGGGCGGTCAAATGAGACACACCGTTGTTGTACATGATTTGAGTACCACCTAGTTGCAAGTTCGAGGAGTAAACTTCACTGCCCAACAATTTGTTGATGGCTGGAGCACCAGTCAAAATAATTGGTTGGCCCTCGATCTGGATTGCTCTTTGACCCAATCTCACTAGATAAGCACCAATACCAACCGATCTACAAGTGACAAGGGTAATAGTGAAAATATCCTTATAAGCTCTGGAGGTAGCACCAGCGATGAGACCAGATCCCTTCAGACATTCAACACCCAATCCATCGTCGGCTCCGATAACAGCTTTAATCACATAGCGTTCTTCGCCACTTTCAACGACGCGCTCAGTGACAACAGAATTTTCCTTGCGCTGTTTCTTTAGCTCGGCAAGGCCATCAGAGGTCATGTACAGATATTCGAAACCCTTGGAGGGATTTTCAGCATCGTTCCAGGCAACCTTGAACAGAGGAACCAACTCCTCCGCAATACCAATTCTAGCACCGGAATTGGCAGATAGGTAAATTCTTGGGATACCACGCTTCCTGGCATATTCGGTGACCTTGTTGAAGAATGCATCTTCTTGAGGTCCGAAGGAACCAATCTTGTAAGTGATATCGTTTGCAACAATGACGAATTGACGGCCGCGAGAATATTCTGGAGTCTTCACAGTGACCTTGAACGCGACCATACCAATTGTGTTGGCACCAGCTTCGCGATCAATTTCCGTTAGCTCACCGTCCTCTTCTTCAATCAATTCATTCGCAATAAAGAAGTCGTCGGACAGTTTGGTTTTTGGAGAGATCTTTTTCCATTGCGAAACAGTGGCTTGGCGGAAAAGCTCGGGGAAGTCGTAAACATAGGTGGTGCCCATCAAGTGAGCCTTGTAACGTTTAGGTTGCAAGGATTCCTTTGCTGGATAAGGAGTGGCAATTGGTCTCAAGTGCATAGAGCCTGGTTTATCCAATGACTTAAACACCCATTCGCCCTGAGCGTTTTTGACCTCAGTGTAAAGTTCGGTCTTGACGACATAACCTGAGACATTGTTGATCAAAGCTCTCAAAGGAATAGGAGCACCAGTCTGAGGATCTTTGATGATAATGCGAATCTCGGCTGCAGCAATACGCAACCTCAACAACCTCTTACCAAATCTCTCCAAGAATCCACCGAAAGCAGCCTCGACATCTTCGAAAGAAACATCGAAAACAGCAGAAAAGTGAATGAAAATATGATTCAAGTCGGAGTTAGAAGTATCAATGACCTCCAAGTTGTCGAGAATGTTACTCATCAAGCGATTAGCCTCTGATGTTAGGTACTCTTGAATGGTAATGTCATCACTGATACGGCCGGTTCTGATAATTCCTCTAGTAAAGAATCTCTTATCGACAGCTGAGTTCTTGCCCGTAGCTTCGTAAACATGAATGTTTCTGTTCTCAGTGAAGATTTGCTTTATGTTGAAATTGGACATTCTTCCGAGTTCAAGTTGGAAAGCCAGCGCAGGTTCGATGTGACGAATGGTTTCGTCTTCCACGTAACCTGGTCCTCTAAAGGTGTAATACTTTGGATAAGTTCCATCGTTGTAACCAAAAACAAAGGTAATCCGACGGATCGAAGCATCCACCAAATGCTGCTTGTTTAGGTCAAGAATTTCTCTCAACCTAGACAAAACTTCTTCTTCTGATTCAAATCCATCTGTCGACGACACTGTTACATTTGCGATGTTGCTCAAAGTGGCACTACTACCCGATCTGTCAGGCGCAGGTCCATTCGAGGAATTTTGTTGGTGAGGTATCGACTGAAGACCCCTGGAGAGTCCGTCGTCGACATCGTCCAAATGCTTGGAGGCCACCAGAATACCAGTTCTCAATGGCTGGTTTTCACCTTCAGAGACATAGGTCAAATCCGAAACGGAAATTGCTCTATGCATCCCCATCTTACTCTTCACTTGAGGTACAGAAGTAAAGGCGGCAGAGGGCAATTGGAATCTCCACTCAACAACGGCATTGTTGGCATGATTGTAGTGCTTCAAGTCACCGATTGTGTAGGCTCTGTACGCGCGACGGATATAGACCTCTGCAGCAGCAGCAGCTACTGAGGCATCGCGATGGGTCAAGAATTGTGTAAGAACATCAAAGACAACATAATTGGAGTCAATCAAATCCTTCAAAATCTCCAAGTCTGGGTCATTGCGCTTAGAGTCAAAAGCACCGTAAGCCGTCTTGACCACTGAGCTTCTCAAAATGTGTTCAATTTGATCAGTTCTTTCCCTAACAGAAGGCAAAGCAGCTTGAATGAGAATTTCTCTCGCTTGCAACGCCACCTTCGCAGTCGCTTTAGATTCAAGCTCGACGATTTTCTTCAAAGGTTCTGCGATTAGAGAAGAAACTTCCGAAGACATTTTGCACAAAGGCTGGTAATGCTTCAAGATAGCCAAAATTAAGTTATTTTTGGCAGAAACACGGGAGTGAGACAATACTGTCACTAGAACGTTGTCCAAGTTTTCTGGGTTTTCATCGCGCAACTTCAAAATAACGTCTTCCTCACGAATGTTTGGACCGTTGAACAATTTCTCCACTTGATAGTAGTTTTGCAAAAACTTCACAAAAACGGAGTGCTCATGAGCTTCGAGACCATTGGCGTAACGTGTGGTAATGTCTAGTAGAGGTTCAATGACAGTGCCAAATAGAGGATCCTCGGATTCTTTCAAAGCATTCTCGAGCATTTTGCCCAATTGCGTTGATGGGAATTGAGCGTTTCTGGTTAAAGAGCGGTGAACCAGTTGCTCTAATTGTTCGTCAAGTTTAATTGGCAATCTGGAGTGTAGTGCAGAAGATTGCATTTTCCATTCCGAGTAAGGCAACTGTGGGTTTCTCAAAACTTCAATTAATTGCTGCAATGAGGCATTCATAATAACCTGATTGTCATAACCATTCAAAATGTTCTCCAAAGTTGACACCAAGGATCTGAACTTGTGGGCAGGCTTCGTGCCTTCCACAATTGGAGCACCCATATCCGGTAGCAAGCCTTCATAAGGTAGAGCATGCTTAACCTTTGTTGGGTCGTCTAGGGCAAGAATGGCAAGAATGTCACCAGCAGAGACAGTAGAACCAGGCTGTTTCAAAAGTTGAACAATACCACTCTCTTGAGAAATCAAAGGCATTTGCATTTTCATGACTTCCACTTCGGCGTAAGGTTGACCGGCTTGAATATGGTCACCATTTTCCACTAAAAACTTAACCAATTTACCTGGAGAGGGAGTGCGCAACTGAGTAGGATCGTTTTCGACTTCGAGCAAAGTAGTCATAGAGTCCACCGACAATCTGGTTGCAGAAACTTCCTCCTTCCAGTAAATGGTGTGCGACTTACCGCCTAATGCGATCAAAAGACCACCGTCGGACAATTTGCGAACACCAACTTCGCACTTCGAACCATTGATGAAAAGCGTGTAGCGATCGTCGGCTGATTTGGCCACTGTAAACTTATATCTCTTCCCATCATGAATGAAGTCAACAGGATACATGGTCTGGAGCAAGGACTTGTTTGGAACTTGACCCTTTTGAAGACTGGTAACATAGGCTTTGCGACCATTTTCAGAGGCAATGAAGACCTTGGTGGCAGCACCACAAATAACTGCCAAAGTAGAATCAGGCTTTTCAGCGGTCATTTTTTGGGAAATCAAATCATCCAACCATCCGGTAGTGATAGAGTTTCCTTCGAAATCTTCAGTTTCCAAAAGCTTGATGAGGTACTCAACGGTAGTTCTGAAATCACCTCTAATGGACAATTCTTTCAAAGCTACAACCATGTGCTTTCTTGAAGCTTGTCTGTTTTCTCCAAATGCGAAAATGTGACCGAATTGAGAGTCTGAGAAAGAGTGAATACCACCGCTGCTGGAAACAGAGAAGTAACCCCACACGTTGGACGAGGAACGGAAGTTCAATTCGTGCAAAGAACCACCTGAGGGCTTGAAACCTTCATTTGGATCTTCCGAAGTTATACGACATGCGGTACAGTGGCCCTTTGGAGTTGGTTTTCTTTGGGTTTGAAGAGAACCCTCTGAGCTAAAATCGAAATCGATTTCGGACGCGGTGTGAGGGTCGACACCGTATAGTAGTCTAATGTCTCTGATTCTGTGCATAGGGATACCCATGGCAATCTGTAATTGAGCCGCAGGCAAATTGACACCTGTGACCATTTCGGTGGTTGGATGCTCAACTTGCAGTCTGGGGTTCAGTTCTAAAAAGTAAAACTTATCATCATCGTGAGAGTACAGATATTCCACGGTACCTGCAGAAACGTAACCCACTAGTTTACCAAGTCTTACAGCAGATCTTTCCATTTCGGTGAAAGTATCTGGCTTAGCAATGGTGACAGGGGCTTCTTCTATAATTTTTTGATGACGTCTTTGAACTGAACAGTCACGACCAAATAGAGAAATGTTGGTACCGTACTGATCGGCTAGAAGTTGGACTTCCAAGTGACGGGCTTTACCGGCTAGTTTCATGATGAAGATTGGAGAACCGGGGATTTCATTAGCGGCTTGTTTGTAAAGAGGAATGAAATCCTGTTCCCTTTCCACTTTTCTGATACCTTTACCACCACCACCTTCGGAGGCTTTGACCATGACTGGGAAACCAATTTTTTTAGCCTTGGCAAGACCATCTTCTGGAGAGTCGCAGCAACCTTTTTGGTAAACGTCGTCTTGTACTGATACTAGACCGTTCGATTCGTCCAAGTAAACTTGGTCGACACCAGTACCAGACCATGGGATACAGGGCACCTTTGCGTGTTGAGCCACAATGGTGGAAGAGATCTTGTCACCGAGCGATCTCATGGCGTTTCCGGGAGGACCAATGAAAATGATTCTGCGAGGAGAGCTAGCCAATCTTTCGGGCAATAGTGGGTTTTCGGAGGCGTGACCCCAGCCGGCCCACACGGCGTCGACATTGGCTCTTTCTGCGATTTCGACAATCAGGTCGACGTTGGCGTAGTTGTTGTTGTTGGTGCCGCCAGGAACTTCGACGTACTGGTCAGCCATACGCAGATATTCGGCGTTGGCTTCCATATCTTCCGGGGTGGCCATTGCGACGAATTGGACGGCACGCTCGTTACCGAATGTTTCATACGCCCATTTGCGCACGGACCGAATCTCTTTGACGGCAGCGATACCGTTGTTGGCAATGAGGACTTTAGAGATAACGGTGTGACCACCATGGGATTTGACGAATTCTTTGAGGGGCGAATCTTCTGCTTTGGCGATGCTGTTGAGGCCCAGGAAATGGGGCGCTAGCACGCGATGGTGCGAGGTGTAGTCGGTGATTTCGTACTGCTCCTTTTGGGAGGCAGCCACTTCGGACAGACTTTCTTCGCTCATTTTGGAACGCGAGAAAGCTAGAATACGGGGGTTTGACAGCGAGAGACGAGCTGCAATTGGCCGGGAAAACGGGACAGTGACAGTGCGAGTGGCAGTGCGAGAGGCTACCGCTGTTGAAATTGAGCGATAGAAAGCGAAACTGGGCGGCGGAAAACGGAAAGTTTTCGAGACAACAGATACAAGTCTGCGGGTGCTATAATATAAGTTGTTGTTGTTGTAGCTGCGAAATGCAAAGTTAGTGATGCGTTTTGGCCGGGAATAGCGCGTTGGGAGTGAGAAAGCCAGCAATTTGCGGGTGTGTGTTGCGTGCTACTGGAGGAGCTTGAGTAGAGCGCAGCGACGACGACGACGACGACAACGACGGGCTGGGCGTCTAGGGCGTTTAGGGTTTTTTCACTGGGAGATTTTTTGGGTTTTTTGTTGGGGGCCCGTACAAAACACGCCAAATAAAACCAACAATTGGGAAAATTCGATCTACATCGCGTGATAGGCACGTGATACTCGCGTATCGTAAAACTTACACACCCACACACCCAAGGCGAGCAAAGCGTCCCGAGCCGCCGAGATCTCTCACACAGCAGACACAACCAAAAAAACGCCATTTGAAAGTGGTACCAGCCCGGTGGAGTTTAGTCCTTTAGTTCACCACCGTTGTGCTGTCTTCACAGTTACCTTTCTCCCTTTCCTCGCGCTATTTCTCGAAATTCTCGTAACATACCTTGTAACCTGCCTAGGACCTGCTATGGCTTCGTTACTGGATCTATTGTAGACGTTCTGTGTAACTGTGTGCGATTAAAAAGAGTATACCACTTCTCTTTTCGTGTGACTACGTTACGCAGAATCGATGTGTTCAATCGACCTAACTAGATGATAATCAGAAGCCGCCCACTTGCGCGCGACCTACTCCTTATTTATATACTCGTCCAAAGTAGGTGTGCCACAAACAAGGGCCAAGCGGTTGAAGCATAAACAAGACGTTAAGTTTACACGGGGGCTTCTGAGTATTCGCGCCCCTTGAACTACACAGGCCAATTGTTGGAAAACGCATTGGCGACAGGGCTCGAAAGCAGAGTCACGTGACTCCAAACAGATGTATCATGTGACTCTAGGCTGGAGGTTATTTCTCAGGCGACGGCGTATTCCAACATTGTAATTTGTTGGGAAAAATGGTAGGAGCCGGTAAAAGTGTGCGGAAGGTTCTGAGAAGTGACGGAGGAGGGAAGTAGTAGCTCATCATGGTGATGTCACCAGTGTTGGGCAGGGCGAGACTTGTAGATGTTGAACAATTGAGAGCGTAAGCGATCAATTGTGAATAAAGTAGAAAACTCGTAATACAATTGAACAACTGAGAGCGTGAGCGATCAGCTGTGAATAAAGAAAGTACTATAAGCACTATAAAATCGAGAGCGTTAGCGACGGGTTGTGAACAAGTACAGGACTCTTAGTATCACTCAACAAGTGAGCGCATCAGCAACCAATTGTAAATAATTAGAGGATTCTTGGTAAAACTGAACAATTGATAGCCCAAGCAGTTGCCGACACACTGCTAATGATGCTCTTGACAATCGATCGCCGAAACTGGGGTGGTGCGTGTCACTTTTTGACACCATGGCTATCGCTGTAATATTTTTTCGTACTCGCGCGGGCTAATATCTGGCACATACGCTATCACTGTCAGTTCTACATAAAAGAACTTGTAGTAAAACGCGTAGCCCATCGAGAGAACACTTGCAGTCCCGATCGACACCGGTCTCAATCGTTCGGGTCTTACATTTTCTATGGCGCAGAGATTACCTGATAGTTCAATTAAACTACGAGCTCTTCGCGAATTTACGATTGAATGCGACCAGCGTGCTTGTAGCGATTATGGTTGTTCATAGGCTTGTGGTGATCATGATATTGATCGTAGCAGATGCTTTAAATTGCTCAAACATGCCTGTAGCCATTCAGACGCTCTCAAAATTTAGTAGCGGCTTCGAGTGCCATTTTTCATCAAAATTGATCGCCAATATTCTCAATTGTTCAAAAAGGCTTCTGATCATTCTAACATTTCACAAATGATCGCTGACGCTCTCAATTGTTCAAAAATGCTTCTGGCCATTCTTACTATTCAGGCCAGCAGAATCAATAGCCAGAAGATATTTTTCTTAGCTCTTGAAAATGAAATATAGATAACAAGTAAACAACGCGCTCTACGGCCAGGAGAGCTCTTATCCGCCATCTCATACACCGCAACTGTTGTCGGCTTCACTGAGACACTTTTATAGGTCATGTGATCTAACGACAGATGATTTTTGGTGACACAGTATCAATGCCTTTAGAAAACTGGAATCTAAACGTTATAGAAAGTAATAGACGCGCCAGCGGCACCAGTGGGCCTTCCCGTTGACGCTCCCAGCTATTGCCTTCAATTTTGAAGCCCTCGAAATGCTCGTTCTGCCATTGCAAGCGCTTGACTGTCGTGCGTTTTCCCTCCCGTACTTGGTATTTACCATTAGCATTTGCTAGTGGTTCTTTTCAACACCATAACGGAAATATATATCCTTGAGAAATGCAGACCATGTGTTGTGGGGTTACCACCCCCAAGCAGTGACATCTTCTTTGTTTTTCCCAATACCAGTAATTTAAACTAAAACATGTATCTGCCATGGACTAGGATAACCGTAAAAGAACACCAAACTTTCTACATGAGCGACCAGAAAACTCCTCTGAAATTGAAATCGCATATTAAAATGACTTTCGGTCCTCCAACAAAAGCAAATTGCAAACTACAAACGACAATTGCAAGAAACTCTACAACACATCAATTAAATAATCATTTGCTTGCCATTTTCGAATACCATCTTCAACCCTCACTCAATTTTCTCAACCAAAGAATACGAATTATACCACAGTGTAAACATGTCTCCCTGGCTCGCACCTCTGCAACTCACAAATTTATCAACAAAAGCAAGCACAATTTGCACCCGGAAAAAGCTGTCAAAAACGGTTCGAACCCTAGCAGACTTTCTCAAGACAACAAAATACCACATAAAATCCATAAGCACACTCCCACCAGCTTACTGCTGTCATCCTGTAGGAATAGCGTTTCTAACATCTATAACACACACCACGTGACCCTCAATTTCTGAGCTCAAACGTTTCGTCTACAATGAGCTGGAAAATTTTCATAATGAAAAACTATACACTTTCAAACCTTTAGTACATGTTCAAGTGAATACGAAGACAAGCTATTGTTATAAGCTCCAAGATCCCCTCTAAACGCAGCAGTTGTCGCTAAGATGTCGTGGCTATTTGGTGGACGTAAGTCGGAAACGTCCAACGCGTCTTCTGCGGCCGAAGAGCCTTTTTTAAACGACTCGGAATCGCAAAAATCACTAGGATTCGACCCCAGCCAGGTAACGAATGTATCGAGTATTATTTCCACTCCCGGCGCTTTGGATGTGTCGAGACTGCATCCATTAGCCGGTCTAGAACGTGGTGTAGAGTATCTGGATCTGGAAGAAGAAAAGTTGTCGACCATGGAAGGGTCCAGAAGTTTGATCCCCTCCAGAGGCTGGACCGATGACCTTTGTTACGGGACGGGTGCCGTGTATCTAGTGGGTCTGGGACTGGGAGGCTCGTACGGGTTCTTCGAAGGTCTGAGAAACATCCCTCCAAATAGTCCGGGCAAATTGCAACTCAACACCGTGCTGAATCACATCACCAGAAGAGGACCTTTCATCGGCAACAACGCCGGTGTTTTAGCACTCACATACAACCTGATCAACTCTTCTATCGACGGGTTGAGAGGCAAACACGACGCTGCGAACTCCGTGGTTGCAGGTGCTCTAACTGGTGCCATTTTCAAATCGTCCAAGGGCCTCAAGCCCATGGGCTACGCGTCCGGTATGATGGCTGCAGCCGCTGCTGGCTGGTGCGGCCTCAAGTCTTTCGTGTTGTGATAAACAAGACCAAAAATTTCACCCGAACCCGAGAGATAGAGTCCCGTAAAAAGGCACTAATTTTTTAATGACATGGGCCGAAATGCACAATGCCCTTTGCTGTGTGAACGAGCCTAACGCTTCCGCTCGTAGCATCACAGTTTCTTTCCCACAATCACCAAAGCTTTCTCATTGCATTACGAATCTGAGCACGATCACGTTATTGTACATTACGCATTTTGGCTTCAGGAGCGAGTCAGGAGTAGATTTTCTTTTACTACCCATTGTACTTTCCATGTCTGACCTCTGATCTCTGTGATTATAACTGCACAACTTGTACATAAAGTAATTGAAGTTTGTTACACTAATGACACATAACGCTACTGTAGATAGTGCACGTAGGTTCCGCAACTGTGGTTGGGTAAATGGGCTTGACGAAAGGCATCAAAGTTGTGACTCTGGACCGTTTCTTGAGCTTTATCTCCCCCAATGGCAGAGTGGCATCGTCTTCGGCTACATGTCCATCCTTATTGTAACTTTCCAAATCTTTCACCAACTGGTCAATGTCGATCCCGGGATAAACGGCATTATCAAAAACATCGTCTTGCTTGTCCACGCCGGTGAAGAGAATTTTGTTAGGTGTTCCAGGTTTGAAAACTAGACTTCGCTTATGGAACACGGAATCTGTTGACAGTTCCAGAATTCCTTTCTTCACATCCAAAGGATGCACTCCACTATCCAAAAGTAGCGCGGCCATTCCAGCAACTATTGGTGAAGCCATAGAGGTACCCGAGTAGGCGACTGGACTGAAATGTGGCTTGTTAGCTACAGAATATACCTTTACTCCCGGAGCAAAGATATCAACGCAGTTGCCCCAGTTTGAAAACCTGGCAATGGTGTCGGTTCTGTCGTCAAATGCCCCCACAGTGAGTGACGATAGAGAAGATGCGGGGCTGCTCCAGCATGCGTTTGCATTTGAATTTCCGGCGGCCACCACTATCACCACACCTGCTTCGAGGGCTGCCTCAACGGCCTGGTTCAAAACGGAATTCCTGAACGACCCCAGACTCAAGTTTGCCACACATCCGCGTTTACTATCGCGGCAGTGGTTAACGGTAAATTCTAAAGCACTGATGACAGATGTCAGGTTACCTTGACCTTTCGCATTGAGAGCTTTCACCTCAATAAGACTCACATCTTTTGCTACACCAAATGTCTTGGAGCCGATGAGACCGGCAACGTGAGTACCATGACCATTGAAATCGCCTGGCCCTTCTCCGGTAAAGTCTGCTCCAAAAATAGCTCTTCCGTCAAATTCGTTGTGCTCTTTGTAGATGCCGGTGTCAATCACATAGGCGTTGACACAAGTTCCCAAAAAGTCCATGTCATAATAATAGCTAAAGTTGGAACTAGCGGTGGCAACATCGTTGGGGTTGTATGGCAAAGCAGATCTGCGCGAAATCCTGGCCAGGTGTCTAGGTGCGAATGTTTGGGCGCTGATATCACTAAATTCGATATCATCTTTGTCATTCTCACTGTCGTCATCGTCGTCATCCTCTTCGTCATTGTCGTCGTCCTCTTCGTCATCGTCGTCGTCGTCCTCTTCATCGCCGTCGCTTTTGTCTTTTTCTCCATCACCACCGCCTTCACTTTTGTCCTTCTCTGAGCTTTCATTGTCAAAGACGTTGAATTCCACATTGGGCACAATTTCTGCGACCAGTGGGTTGTTTCTTAGCTTCGCGATCGAACTCATGGGGAAGTCAACCGTAAAACCTTCGAATTTACCAAACGAAAAGGTCTTCAATATTTTGCCCTCTGAGAAAGCATCTAAGAGATCATCGCTAATATGATTTTCAACTAGTTTGGCCAAAGTCTTGGGCGCTTTTAAACGTATTAAAAATTCTTCAGCCTCAACGAGGGCGAGTGTAGCTGCTGCTGCTGCCACTGTAATTTGCGTAATTCTCATGTTCTAGATTTATGATGGTGATTGATCAGAATCAAGTCTCAAAGAATAAGACTTCGGGTGCAAGACATTGGCTTTTATAATGCGAGACATTGGCTAAACCGGGAGCACAAATTCATTGTGTCACTGTGACGCTGACACTTTCGAGTATTCTGACACTTTGAAGTGTGCCACGGGCGTCTGGGTGGTGAATAAGTAAGATGGCTATAAGCATGGTTGAACAATTGAGAGCGTCAGCGATCGATTGTGAGTAAGTACAGGGGCTACAAGCACCACTGAACAATTAAGAGCGTCAGTTATTAATTTTGAATAGTTGAGATGTTAAAGTACTGCTGAAGCATCGAAAGCGATGTCAATCGAATGTGCAAAAACGATAACATCGAGAGCGCTAGCGATCGGTTGTGAATTGAAATTTAAGCTTCAAATATCCACTCAGCGATTAGAACAATGTAGATCAATTGTAAAAAGTGTTGGAATTGGCGGGTTTGGTATAATTTTGATTGTAGGAACCGTTCAAAACGTGATCAAACGACTGATGGCGGACAAATGATGTGAAAGTACAACTAGCAGTGACAGATCAACGAGTGGGAAGCTTCAACTTGAGCGATGTCAGGCTACAGGCATTATTGGACAGTCGAGAGCGCCAAGAATAATCGATTGCAACTGCGTACGATGGCAACAGTCATAATTCAACAACCCAGGCCGTCAGCAATCAATTTTGAATAATTAAAGTACTCGTAGTAATTCACACCTAAACAGAAAAAGAGCGTCAGTTTCAGTCGGAAAATTGATCACTACCGCTCTCGATTGTGATCGAATGTTAGCGATCTTTGTGAATAAATGAATGCGTATAATGATTATAGAAATCAAGTAAAAGATGACAATGAGCGATCAAGAGCCTCTGCAGAACGCACAATCGCATTTCGAATAAATGAGAGCGTTAAGTTAGCAGTGACTCTTCGTACTGCTGATCAATTACCCTCTCGACGGTAGAGATGATTTAGACAGGGTTAATAAATAGAGAAGATGGCAGTAGATTAAGTAGAATGGCTCGTGAGTTTTCCAACAAGTGAGAGCAGGCAGTATTAGAAGTGACAAAGCTTTGAACTGATCGCTGGTGTGTGCCACCAAACCTCTACTAGTCACACTTGACCGCTGATGCTTTCAACTCTTAGAAGGACTGCGGGTTCTTCACCTATTCACAATCAATCGCTGGCACTTTCGATTGTTCAGCAAAGCTACAGTATCTCTATTTATTTGTAATTGATCGCTGAAGCTCTCAATTGTGCAAGACCACTGGCGTCTCAAGTTTCCAAGACTATTACGCGCTTTTTCATCAAACGGCAATGCTCTCAAATATTTAATGGACTAAATGTACTCTACTCATTCACGATTGCTTGCTGACACTTACGATTGTTTATTAATAGTCGGCCTTCACTAATTTGCAATTGATCGCTAACGCTCTCGACTGTAGTAAGAGTGCTGAATTTATAAACAGGAGTACTGCTGGGCCTCAACATTTTCACAGTTGAAAATGGCGCTTCCACTTGTTCTGAGATGCTTATAACCTCGTTCGCTAACACTTTGATTTGTACCTGTACTCGTACTAATCGGTGAGATTACTAGGATTTCGTTTATTCGCAATTGTTAGCTGAGGCTCTCAGTTCTTCACCAGTGTTACAAAATCACCACTTATTTACAATTGAGAGCGTGTGCGATCAATTGTTCAGTAGCGCTTGTAGCCCCCCAGAATATTTACAAATGATTTCTGGCGCTTTCAATTCTTTTGCAAAACCAAGGTTTTTTGCTACCAATTTTTAATCGATCGCTGGGGCTCTCAACTGTGCAGCGATGCCAAGATTTTTCCATCAACATATTATTGACGGTTGACGGTCCCAATTTTCCAGTTGTGTTACCAGTTTTCTGTTTATTTACGATCGATGGCTAACACTCTCAATGGCTCAACTGTGCGCGTAGCCATCGTACGTTTTCCAGTGTCAGCAAAAATGTCCTTAGAAATACAAGGAGCCCTATACTTATTCTTTACTGATCGCCGAAGCTTTCAATTGTACATAAGGGCATAAATTCAACTTAAGTACTCTGGGCTGCTCACATACGCTCTCAATTGTTCAATCACGCTTGTAGCCAGCCTGCGTATTCACGATCGATCGCAGACGTTCACGATTGATCGCAGACGTTCACGATTGATTACGAGTTCTCTACCATCCACAAGTGATCGCTGACGCTATCAATTTTTTGAAGTGCTAAGAGCGCTCTGCTCATTTACAATTGCTCGCTGATGGTCAATTTTTCATTATTACTACGATTGATCCGCAAATTCGCAATTGGCCGCTGACGCTCCCATTTTTTTCACTTGCATTACCATTTCTCTGCTTATTCACATTGCTTGCAGACGCTTTCAATCGTGTGGGAGTGATTTAGCCATCCCACCTGTTTGTTATAGATCGCTGACACTCAATTGCTCAATTGTGCTTGTAGCAGTCTCTCAAAAGCTAAAAACTGATAACTAATGCTCTCGACCATTCAATAATACTACAAGTTCTCTACTTAGTGCTTGTAACACCCTTCGCTGACGCACTCAATTGTATGGTTGAGCTTCTAGCGTCGTTTGTGCTCGTAGTCGAGGAAGTACTCGTACTCGTACAAGTCAAAATTACCATTAGGCCCTAGCTCTTTCGCAATTGATAACTCAAGCTTTCAGTTCTTAGATTGCGCTTGTAGCCGTCCAGACTATTCACAGATGATTGCTTGTGCTCTCAGTTGTTCAGTAGTACCATGACCTCTCTAAACAATCACAATTGTTAGCTGACGCTCTCAATTGTTTGGTTGGGCTTACCTCCATTCTACGTCGTCCACAATTGCTCGCTGACGGTCCCAATTGTTTAGTAGTGTTTGTAGCCTAGTTTGCCAACACTCTCAATTGTACTCGTGCTCGGATTAATCAAAATTATGACTAGGCTGACGCTCTCAATTGTTCGATTGTGCTTGTAGCCCGTGTTTGTATCCTTATCTTCATTCGCAACTGATCGCTCACGCTCTCAATTGTGTAATGCTTGTAGCTTCCTCTATATTCACAACTGATACACGCTCTCGATCGCGCGATAGTGCTGATAGCCATTGTACGTCTTCACAATTGCTCTCAATTGTTCAATTGTCCTGGTGGTCGTCGTACAATATTCAAAATTAATTGCTGACGCTCTCAATTGTGTAGTGCTTGTAGCCATCTCGACTATTCACAACTGATCTCCGACGCTCTCAATCATTCAGTTGTGCTTGTGGCGTTTCACTTTTTCACAATTGATCGCTGACGCTCTCAATTGTTTAGTAAAACCAAGAGAATCCTTTCACAATTTATCGCTGACGCTCTAGATTTTTCCATCGTGCTTGTAGTACCAAATTTATTCACAATAGATCGCTGTCGCTCTAGATTGTTCAATTGTGCTTGCAGTACCAAAGTTATTCACAATTGATCGCTTTAGCTCTCGATTGTTCAAGTGTGCTTGTAGTTATCAAGATTGTTCACAATTGATCGCTAACACTGTCAATTGCTTAATTGTGCTTGTAGCCCTCTCTCCTGTGCTGGTAGTACCAATTCGATTCATAATTGATCGCTACGCTCTCAATCGTTCAAGTGTGCTACGCGGTTCGTGATCGTACTCGTAATCAAACCGATATATATCGCGGGTAAAACGCTCTACGGCGTCTGTAAATAAATTTTAAGCCTCTAATCAATCACAGTTGAGAGAGCTGCTCGTATTTAATGTCACTTGGCACTTTTATTAGTGATATAAAGCTTATAGGCATTTGAACTCTTCACAATTGATCGCTGGTGGTCCAGTTGTTCAGTTGTCCTTATAATTTCCAAAGCTGTGCTTGTTAATTCCAAAGTAATTCAGAACCGATAGCTGACGCTCTGAATTGTTCTTTAATGCTTACAGTAACCTTCGCCATCGCTCTTATTTGTTAATTGTGCTTGTGGCACATCGCTGACGCTGTCAATTGTTCCGTTGTGTGACAGGGTTTTGTACTCGTACTCGTACTCGCAGAACGCTGGCGTTTCAATGCGTCTGTAAATAAATTATAAGCTTCTAAGCAATCACAGTCAAGGGCGCTGCACGTATTCAATGTAACTTGGCGCTTTTGATAGTCATAGGAAGCTTTTAGCCATTTGAGCTCTTTACAATTGATTGCTGGTGGTTCCGTGACATTTCCAAACTTAGTTGTGCTTGTAGTTCCAAATCATTCACAATTGATCAATGACGGCCTCAATTGTATAGTGCTTCTTGCCATAAAAGTTATTCACAATTTATCGCTGACGCTCCGAATCGCTCAATTGTGCTTGTAGTTCGAAATCATTCACAATTGATCAATGACGCCCTCAATTGTATAGTGCTTCTTGCTGACGCTCTGAATTGTTCCATAGTGCTTCTTGCCATAAAAGTTATTCACAATTTATCGCTGACGCTCCAAATCGCTCAATTGTGCTTGTAGTTCCAAATCATTCACAATTGATCAATGACGCCCTCAATTGTATAGTGCTTCTTGCTGACGCTCTAAATCGCTGACGCTCTAAATCGCTGACGCTCTAAATCGCTGAATTGTGCTTGTAGTACCAAATTTATTCACAATTGATCGCTGACGCTCTCAATTGTTCAATTGTGCTTGTAGTACCAGCTTCTTCCTGCCTCGAATTCCCCACTGGAAGCCCAACGCCCTAGCTTCCTCCGTTCAAAACGACCCATCTCTCGCGCCTAACTCCGACGGCCCATAAAAAAGCAATCAATTCTTTTTTTCCTTTTTTTTATGTCCGATCCATTCTCTCATCACCACACACGAATCATCGTCACCCAAGACCCATCAAATTACACCACACTACACTACACTACACTACATCACCCAGCCTAAACCTAACACCATTACAATGGATGAGAATCCCGCCCCACCCAACCTCGTTTTACACAGCGTTCATCTTTGTCAAAACTCATTGTTCAGTCTTTTTGCCTCAGAAAATGCGCATCTTGTAGTAGTCCTATGCTCTCCCATAGGGACTCCGATGAGTTTCGCTTCAAACCATGTAAATTGTGATTGTTTTCTCTACTTCTTAGCTTGTCTACTCTCCTGTTCCTCTATTCTTCTAATTCTCTACTTCCCTCTCCAGTTTCTCCCGTCGCCGGACCCGCGTGGACTTGAGAAAGATGTTTTTATGGCCGTTGTAGTGGGCCGATTGACAGAGATAACATGACGGCACAGGCGATGTTTCCGTCCGCGTCGCTGCAATGCGAGGCAAAACCCGGGGAAAGCAGAGTATATAAGAAAGCGGCGAAAGGTGAAGTAAAGACCCTCTGAATTTCCACCACTGAAAAGCTCGTCTCTACAAACACACCATGAAAATCCTTACAGAAGAAGAAATCGAAGCTCACCACTACCACACGCTCTCAGGCGGTCTGAAAGGTGCAGCGGCCGGAGTGCTGATCTCAGGTCTGATCTTCAAATTGGTTCCCGTGCGTTTCCCCAAATTCCAGCCTTCCCGCATGCCGTGGTCGCTCAAGACTGCGCTGTTCATCACTCCTCCCACTCTATTGACGTCCATTTGTGCAGAAGAGGCGTCCAGCGGGTTCGAACGCATGATGTATGGGTCCAATGCCACGACCAACGCCGCCGTCGAAGAACACCGTCGCTGGAAACAGCTGCCGTGGTCCGAAAAGCTGATCGAGAGTGTCTCCAGCAACAAATACAAGATCATCGTCGCAGCGTGGGCTGCGTCCATGTACGGGTCCTGGAAGTTTGTGGACCGCGACCCAATCATGACCAAGACTCAAAAGGCCGTCCAGGCCCGTATGTACGCGCAAACCGTGACCGTGGCCCTGCTGCTGGGATCCATCGGACTGTCAATGTACGAAGAAAAACAACATCCTGACGCACGCAAGCTGGAAGCATCGCGCAGATGGGAAAAAGCCCTGGAACGTGCCGAAGAAGAAGAGGCCCTGTCGCATCAGGCCGGCCACCGTTCCAACGAGGACCGTGTCAAGGCCAAGATCTTCAGGTAAAGCGTTCAAATCATTGCTCCTCACGCCAAGCATGTACATACATTATCTACAAGTTTTATCTAAAAAACATAAGTGAACAAGGAATAAAAAAAAGCCTTCTATTTACACGAGTGCGTTCGCCATACTCACCGCCGCTTGCGCATACCGGCCTCCAGGTCTCCCACGTCCAGACGGGTGTTTCTGATGTAGTAGTGCTTACTTCTCTGTCTGCGTTTGTCTGCACGTCTGATCAAATCGATTCTTTCGATCAGCGGCGAGAAAACCGGCACTCGCACTTCCACAAATGTTTTCGCATACTGGTTTCTTAGTAAAATTGACGCATCTTGCGTCAGCTCCTTCCGGTCCACGGACAACACATACCCCATCAAATTGTCGTAATTGCACTTTTGCGCGTTGTATGCCACTCGAACAACGTCTCCCGCACGCAGACGGTCCTTATTATGAGGCGAGATCAGGTCTCGTCTCCATTTCTGCGGGTCCAACGTCTCATTCATGTCTTTTTCGGAAAGTCGTTTCAGTAGGTTGCATTGACATGCTTCTTCCACAGCAGGGTATACCGGTATCGTCTTCCGGCTGGTACTGCTCAATTGATAATTTCTGACAATGCCTCGGACAAGTCCCGGAAGCCCAAACGCGGCTCTCAAAGACATGATATGTGTTGTTCTTGGGTCTGTCCTGTTGGTGTCGATGCGTTGAGTTTGAACAAATAGCCAATTTTTCATATATCTACAAAAATGTCACGCAACACGGCTACTGAGATTCAGATACCTCGACTTCACGACGCTGACACTGGCGATAGCACTCGCCAAAAGGGACCTTAGGTCTTGCTGGTAAATGGAGTGTTTGAGAAAAGCTAGAATATACCTAAATGTGTCTTTTGAACTTTTAAAAGCTCAGCCGGAAGCTTGATATAATTCGGGATATAATATCCATCTGGTTGCTGCTCTTGCTATGTAAGAGACCTCGGTAACGGTCGATATGGCGCTCCAAATTTGATGCTCATTCTTGAGTTGTGTGGTTCGATGACCTTGCGCCCGGCGTGCTTCAACTGGAAACACCTTTTTCTAAACAACGAGCTGTAAAAATTCCAAACCAAATAAACGGGCAAGGTAAGGAACGTGGCCAGGCATTCATAACCCCCTCGATGCCGACAGAACCGACGTCCGCCCTCTTTTTGTTATCCATCCATTTATTATTATGATCGGTTTACAGTGCTCTATCTAATGTACAAAATGCAAAAAAAAGCTCCTCTTTCAAAACCGATTTTTACGTTTTCTGCCTGTAAACTTGGAGTCCTTCGCCACCACACGGCCCCGCTTGCGCATGAGTTCTTTCTTGCGCTGGATGTAGTTCTTATTCGATTCGGTAGCTTTCTTCTCCCGACGGACTTTGATCATTTCTTCTGCATTCATGGTGACGCCCTGCAGGTTGACGCGTTCGTCTTCCACAGAGGAGCCAGAACTCAACACCAGGTAGTATTTTTTGTTTTTCTTGGATTCTGGGTTGTCGACAACCAGACCACCGCTGAAACCGGCCACTTTTGCAGCTCCCAGAATTTGCTGAATTTGATCGTCATTCTTAGGGTAGAATTGTGCCACGAATTTACCACCTTTCTTCAACGACGCAAACAGCGTGTTAAAAAAACGCATTAGGCGTCGTTTGGGGTCGTTGTAGGACGTGTCGGCATTACACAGCCATTGTATAGCACTGATGCTGATGGCCGCGTCAAAAGTACCGGCTCTGAACGGTAGGCCTTGACCCATGTCGTGCAGCATCAGATCACCGTCTAATTCTCGGGTTACACCCGTCGCCAACATCGATGGCGAAATGTCGACACCGCACCAAATATGGCCTTCCTCGGTCAAGATCTCCCCACTGAGCCCCGACCCACATCCTACGTCCAACACAAAGGATGTATCTGAGAGATTGAGAAGTTCTAGTGCTCGCAAAGACATCTTTGCTTGAATGTGCTGCACTCTGGTCGAAGAAGTGTATTTCTGCGACTCCGAGTCATTGTAAAAGACTTCTGGTGGTGCCAAATCTTCTGGACGAGACATTTGGCGGTGTTTGTAGCGAGATGAATGGCTTTTGTGGGTACTTTAGCTCTAGAGACTTCTAATCTATTTTCGAGCGATGAGGTAGCCAGTTCAGAAATTTTTCAAATTGCACTATAACGACAGTTAAGCCAAAAAATTCACCTGCGTATGAAGGGCGATTTAGCAGACGTCTCTGACTTCAAATGCGATTGGGGACTACAAAATAATTTCTATTTGAATTTTCGGTAATTGAACGCTTTTTTCCCGAACTTCTTAGCTTCGAATTGGACCTGATTCCCAGCAAATCGACTAAAAATGTGTTCTTAATCACATCTGTTGTCGTGCACTATATCGATAAACTAGACCATAGCAAGGGGAATCGAGAGACAAACATTATTCAATATACGTGAATGTATTCGTAGAATCTCTGTTTTGAACTCAGAATTTCTATCGAGCATAACGGTTGTACAGTCAGATAATAGCACGCCGGACCTTGGTAGTGTTTGCCTGCAAATGCTACAATACCTCGTGAAATCGCAAACAATGCTGGCACGACCATTACAACTGCGCTCCGCGGATCATCACCATGTCTCGCAAACGAAATTTTTACTCATTTCGAAAAAATGAGAGCTCAGCAACGAGTTTCCGGCTTCCGTATACGATTCTCACTAAGAAATGACAAAGTGCTATGCGATACGTGCACCGTTTATGTCTAGATTTCAAATTAAGACTAAATAGAATGAATGCGCCTTCGTACCGTGCAAGAAAGGAGGTCAAAATCGACACTAATTGGATCCTATTTGAGCCGTTGGAAAGCCAGAAAATCCGTCTGACACACCAGGTATCCGTCACTGCTGTTGCTAACGCAATTGATCTGTTGTCTTGCTATAATTCTGTCCATATAGAATTAGCTTGTGGTATTATTACTCATACTATAAAAACTTAGGGTCAATCCGTTACGCTATAGATTAAAGAAAAGACACTGCTCTATCAATTATACACATAAAAGAGCACCATAGAGCGTCTCGGATAGCTTGGAAGATCATGAAAAAGGGCAAGAATGGCTCACGTAGTCTTCGCAAGAAAGAAATGCGAAAAATAGAGGAAATGACACGCCAAAGCAATGGTAGACAACCACTTCCGGGAAGCGAGACAGGATTTGACGAATATGAGACGGAAAAGAACGGGAAAATATCTGCAGACCTGCCTCAAGTCACACCGTATGAGGCAAGCTTGAGCAACAAGGAAAAATACCGGTTTCACCGCGACACGGGCCAAATACGGTCGTTCTTCGGAGACGTGCGATTTGGCTACCGGAGTACCATCATGGACGACCTAGTGCAGTCCACGCTTACGGAAACATCGTTCAAAGGCGCAGGCTGGGGAAAAATCAAGGCGGAGGCCAACAAAAAGGATAGCCAGTCGAATGACGGCGAGGACGTCTCATCCGTGGTTTTCTTCAACTTTTCTGGATTCTACGTCCTGTTTTGGATGATAGTGGCCTTCATCGTTCTCCGGGTGGGAGTTGACTATTATGTCACACACGATGGAGACCTGTGGCAGTCGGAAATCCTCAAGTTCATGACCACTGATCTGATCTCGGTTGCCCTGATCGACCTTGTCATGTATCTGTGCATCTATTTCGTGCTTTTTGTACATTTGGCAGTCAAGCATGAATGGATCTCCTGGAAGCGCACCGGCAGGTACCTCACTTACAGTTACGAAATCGGGTTTCTGTTGACCTTCCTGTACGTAGCAGAAACGGTGATGCAGTTCCACTGGGTCGCTAAAATCTTCCTATTCCTGCATTCTCTGGTACTGCTCATGAAAATGCACTCGTTTGCGTCATACAACGGCTATTTGTGGGAAATTTTGAGGGAGCTAGAGTTCTCGAAAAGTGCGCTGGCAAAGACGAAGGACGCTGCTATCGAAGACAACTTCAAACGAGTCTTGGAGAAGAGCTGTGAGTTTTGTCAATTCGAATTGGATTTGCAATCCACAAAAGTCAAATTCCCGACCAACATCACCGTCAAGAGCTTTTTTGAATACTCTATGTTTCCCACGCTGGTTTATCAGGTCGAATACCCTAGAACCGAGAAAATTAGATGGTCGTATGTGTTCGAGAAGCTCTGTGCGATTTTTGGTGTGATACTGGTGATGATGATCATTGCTCAGTTTTTCATGTACCCCATAGCCTTACGCGCCATGGCGGTAAGAGACATCGGAATGCCCATTTTCTGGGAGCGGATCTTGGAATGGTTATACCTACTTTTGAAATTGGTGCCAAGCTTCATTATAATGTACCTCATGGTGTGGTACTTGATTTGGGATGCAATTTTGAATTGCATAGCGGAACTTACGCGGTTCGGCGATCGTTACTTCTATGGAGACTGGTGGAACTGCGTATCATGGGATGAATTTAGTCGCCAATGGAATGTTCCGGTTCACAAATTTCTCTTGAGACATGTGTATCACAGCTCCATTAGTTTTTTGCACTTGAACAAAATGCAAGCAACTTTAATGACATTTTTATTGAGCTCGGTTGTGCATGAACTGGCAATGTACGTATTGTTTCGCAAGCTGAGATTCTACCTGTTCTTTCTGCAAATGGCACAGATCCCATTAGTGCAACTGGGGAATTCCAAGTTTTTGAAATCCAAGAAGATTCTTGGTAATGCCATTTTCTGGCTCGGTATTTGCACTGGCCCTAGCCTGATGTGCACTTTGTATTTGACGTTTTAGAAGAATAAAAGAAGTTCTTTATCTGTATATACAGTTGTATTTGGTTTATGATACGCAATATAGCAGGTGCAGTCAGGAAGCCTTTATCGATATATCTCGTCAAAGGGACGTGTGTCGCCAAAACAGCTGTCCCAAACCTCATCGACAATTTTCTGCGCATGTTTTTCGTCCTTACAATTTGGATTTCCCATTACACTCAGCGTGGCCCTTCGACGAACGCATTCTTGGTGCCCTCTGCTGACTTTGAATCCCAGTCCACGCCTGGCAAACTCCTGCATGAAACGACACTCGCCACTGAGACTTGAGGCCCGGATTTCAGAGCATGCATGGTGTTTCAAAGCAAGCCAGTCCACTTTCCACCGGGTGTTATCGTAGTAATGCACCATTTCGTGCGCTAGCGTGTCTTCGAGATGCCACTTATCGCGAATTCTGTTCTGACATAGCAAAATCCCGAGCTCTGGGTGGAACCCGCCACTTCTCCACTCGGGGCACACATCGCAAATGATCTTGGACTCGTCAAATTTCAGTGATGGTTGGCCATTAGAAACTTGCCCACTACTATTCAGTCTGGCAATTTGTTGTGCCATGAATATAACTGTGGGCGAATATTGCAAAATCCAGTCTCGGTACTGATAGCATTCATTACACTGTTTACGCTGCAAAACAAATTCGTAATCATTCTCGTATTGCTTCTTTTCCGCAGCTGTTAGACCCATACCTGTTTTGTATTGGAAAGTTCGTCTCCACCACTCAAATCCGTGTACGGACGACTCATTGGCAGGTGGTTTAGGTTTTTCCAGGATCTCATTGGGCGGAATTGGCTTATTCATGGTGCCAGTGATACTTCAAGCGTCTTTCCAGCTTCAACCTAAGCGATTTTGGATCGTTGTCAGTGTTATAGAAAATTTTGAGATTCAGGTATACTACAATTACAACTCATCGCTTCTTGTCGAAAACCGTGAAATAAACAAAAGAAGCCAAAGGGAAGGCTATATAGTCGCGAAACAATGAATGTTTGGATAGCCGCGAGCGATGGTAATTTAGAGAAGGTCGAACTGTTTCTTTCGGCCGGATTTGGACCTGAATCTAAGGATCCTAATGGATACACACCTATACATGCAGCAGCAGCCTATGGCCACATCGAAATGCTGCGTAAGCTGTGCTCAGCACCTTATAATGGGAATATCAACGTTCGAGACAACGATGGCGACACTCCTTTACATCACTGCGAGGATCTGGCGACGGGCCGTGCTATTTTGGAGGAGCTGGGAGGAGACTGGAATTTGACCAACAGCGAGGGCAAAACCGCATTGGAAGTGCTGGAAGAAGACCAAGAGTTCCCAGAACTGATTTCCTACCTGCGTGAGAAAAGCGGTGTTGTCCAGGAGTCTACAGGTATCGATGACGAGCAGATGGCTCAATTTAAGGACAACCTACGCTACACGCTCGAGAATGAGCCAGCAAGCAATGACCCAGAGAGTTTAGCCCGTCGTCAAAAAATTGAACAGATTCTTAACGGCGGAAACGCAGAACAAGAACTGGAACAGTACATTCGCGAGTTGATACGGTCACAATGGTCGGAAACCGACTCCTCCAGCGAACCGGATTCCAAACGCAGGAGAGATTAAGCAAGAATGTGTAAGAACAAGGGGGATATTAGCGTACGCGGAGATAAACTGAAGAGACGAGTGTGTGTTATTCATAGCTGCTCGAACTAGATGGTCACGTGGCAATAAAATAATCCTTTGTTCTGCGATGTCGTGAACGCCTGTGTGTTTGGCAGATCATCCCAAGAACACTGTACAGCGTTTACATCATGGTGCTACTCGAATAGCATCACCTATCTTTTTCTTTGGTCTTTTTCTCGCAGAAACAGCTTGAATATCAGCCGTTTGCATGCCAGATGTTTTTCAAAAGCGCCAGGAACGCCGCCAAGTCAAGCGAAAGCTAAAAGATTATTTTCGAAGATAATGAAGTGCTTGTTATTGCAGGCAAATGGCCCAGCTTGACCTCTGCCACTGTCAAGTGGTTTAACTTCACTTTATAAACCGGGCGCAAATGCACGTGACCTAAAGCCGTATACACCAGCACGTGACAAATAGGCAGCTAATTTTAAATCACATCATACGTAACTACATAACTGTCAATCTTCAATCTCATAGAGATAATAAGTTGAAGATCAATCAGCTCTCACCATCTTTATATCCAACCAGCAAGAACCGTCGCGATGTCAATTCTGGGCCCTCTTGTCAAGGTGGCAGACGCCATCAATGCGCTCAACGCGAAATATACAGCGCTGACTTTCCAGGAGCAGAAAGCCTTGACTGTTATGGAAAGAGTGCGTTTCTACAACTGGACGTTCGAGTTCTGGGCTTTGGGCCTTTTGGCGCTAATTTACGTGTTCCACGTCATCGGGACAAAGCTCAACAAGAACCGCGCCGATAACATATTTGCGGCGTTGACCCAATGCTTTGATGAGTTAGCGTTCGCCAAGGTCGGGTTTTCGACCAGGACCAGCAAGAACCAGCCATTCGTGGCCGAGAAAAACAATACCTGGTTCACCAGTTTTGCTACCGGCCGTTCGTGCGTTGAGAGTATCACTGTGCGTGCCCGGTTGCTTGCGCGTTTCAACCCGCTTTCGATCGTAATGGAAAAAGCTTTGGGCATGTTTTTCCCAAGCTTGGTCGCGTCTGACATGGACGAGTTTGTCGATATCACCATCAAGGCCAACGGAGTGTACGTGGCAAGCACCACTGCGGACTTGCCTAAGTCGCCCAATGACGCAGCCGCCGTTTTGTCCAAGTTCAAGTTTATCGCTTCGATTGTCAACAAGTCCGACATGACCAAGGCCCGCGAAAATAACTACTACCTGTCGCTCACCCACACTTCCGAGAGCGAGAAACTGCCTCTTGAATACGTGTACATGTCTGAAAACAAACAATTGAACTCCGTCTTCGACCACTACGGGGGTGCCACTTTGAAACCTCTGTTGAGCGAAAGCGCCCGTTTCCTGTCGTTCTTGGCATTCACCGACTTGCCTGAAACAAAGCCAATTTCGGATAAATTGTGGGAGCGTTACCAACAACCAAGATGCGTCATTAGGACTAAGGTCGTGACTTCTGCTGCCGATACCGCTTGTCTAAACAAACTAGTTAAGGCTGCGGTGGCCATTGTCGATGCTGCCACTCAGGACTACGTTCAGAACCCTGTCAAAGCATTTGTCACCAACGACATGTTGAAAAGATCTGCTAATCTACGTTCGCAGGAACTGGCGAAGATCGTGAAGGTCATGAAGCAGGCTGAAAGAGAGCTGTTGCAGGAAAAGAAGCAGGAGCTTGAGAGAGAGAAAAGACGTGAATCTAGAAACAAATTAAGCGGTGAAGAACAGGATAAAGCCGAGCAGAAAATGCGCGAAAGGAGGGAAAGACGCCAGCGCAACAAGCAAAAGATGCGCATGTGAGTTTATTCAACTTATTTTTTTTGCTTTCTTTGCACGTCCCATGTCAGGACACACTGCTGTAATTACGATAAGTTACGAGACTTTATTTACAAGAAAAAACTTTAGTTTGCGAATGTCTGCGAGGAATGCCGCTTCGGTTGGGGAAGTCCACGAGCCCTTTATTTAGAACTGGCTCCAACGTCTTTCCAAATCAATGCCGCAGTTTATATCAACAAAATATCCAAACCTCTTTTCTGAGCCATGACTAGCTTCTAACATAATGCCGTTTCATTATAATTTTATAATTCCAAGCCTGGAATTTTGACGTCCTTCAAAGTAAGCCCACTATCGAACAATTTCGGCTGTTTGATTTCTTTGCTTTCTTTTTTAGTTGTCTGCTCCTCTGTAACTGTTTCACTGATGGTCCTCTCTTGTTTCTCTTTCCTGACGACATCTTTGGACCGAAGAGCTGCTAGTTCTACTGCTTGTGCCTGTAAAGATAGATCTATATCCTCATTGTTCAAAATATAGCGGGCCCCGTTTCTCCAGTGCAAATAGTTCCTCATCAAAGATGGACTTACCGATGTGACTTGGCCTTTGTAAAGTTGAAATTGTGGGAAATCCTTAAGGAGCTGGACCTTGACCTTGTTGGTACGTTTCGAAAGCGCAGAGTACGCTCTTCCACAAGTGGGTCTGAACATGACTGCTGGCCTGGGCCACTGGGTAAATCACTGCCTTTTTTACTCGTTGGAATTGTTAGTTTTACATAGACAAAACTTTTTTTATTACGATGGTTATTGGAAGGACATCATATAAAATAGACATAATTACAAGTTGAAGGGGTAGAGTAGAGCTAGAAAATGGAGTTAATAGTTTGAAGTATTGGGTCATACTGTAAATAGCCTGTCAAGCCTAAGGGTACTTCAAATCAGAGCCATTTGCGGGTTCTTGAGCTAGAGATTTAATTGTATCACCATGAACGACAATGACACTCAAGATATATCAAAGCACATTAGGCCTCTAGCTTGACCCCATTAGGTCAATGACCTAGGCATTTACTAATCACGTATGTGTTCCCAGTTCAATCAGCTTGTGAAAAAAATTGCATTTACATATAGTTTGAATGGTTTCTACGAAAAGACTAAGCGATTCAGTGCCGCGACATCGATCAATCAACGAATATTTTATTTCCTCCCACAGCTCACGATATTGCCAGTACTATGAAGGCTGCTGAAGTTCTCTTACAGATTGGAATCATATATGGTTGACGTTTACGTCTAGTATCATTTTTTTTTAAACAACGACGTATTAGTATGAAATGATATTTCAGGAACAGCACGAGAGAAAACTATCTGGCTTTCTTTGGTCGCTTCAAAAGCCCAGTGCCAATCTGGATCTCGAAACCCCGAATAGTTTCACCTTCCAGTCTTCCGTTCCCACCATTTACGATCGGAACCCGACGAGAACAAAATGTCGCAATTTTCTGCCAAAGATGCGAATTTAAGAAACGAAGCTAACGAGGGAAAGTTTCAATAGACTAAGAAACCCGCCACTCAAACCTGTCTGAGCTACTTACGAACCATTTGGGCTCGTTAGATCGCGACTTGCTCGAAATCGCGACATTTCAGGCTAAAGTGTCTCAACGTATCGAACGATTTGTATTTTAATTGACTTTAATGTTCAATACATGGACCTACCCATACACAGACCGTAAATCTTGTTCGTCAAAGAGCCAAAGAGCTGCTAGCAGAGTTCTCGATTGTGCTCCTCTCAAGATGTCCAAGACCCACAAACAAAGCAGAGCTTCTGCTGTCCACCAGCAAGCCGCCCCGATGCCAAATACTCAACCCACAGATGCGTATATTCCTCCTTTCCTGGCGGCCCAAGTTCCCGAACTAAAGTCTTACAAGCAACTCTTAGAAGCGGAGAAAAAGATTGATATCTATATCAGTCGCAAGAAAATCGATCTGTTCCAGTCTGTGTCGCAGTGGAACAATCTGAAGCAGGAAAACCAGGAAAAACAATACCTACGTATTTTCGTTTCAAACATCGCCGAAAACCAGGCATGGCAAAATCAAGAGCCTGGGGTGCAGCCCTCATGGACTCTTCGAGTCGAAGGAAGAATTTTGGACTCTCAAGATGTCGGTGCTCCAGATAGACCAAAGTTCAGCACTTTTCTGCAAGGTATAGCGGTGGACTTCAAAAAAGCTGAGAAAGACAATACAGCGAATAATGATCAGAATACAGCAGAAGGAACAACAGATTTAGCACAACCAAATCAAACCGATACCGTACCGTCCATCGTCGAGTGGCACTTCGATCCTGCCAACCCCGCTGATTTCGACGGTTTGGACGTTAAGCGTGACGGCTCCGAAAACGTCGAGTGCGTCATCGTCATTCAGCCACGAGGAACCACTGGCGAATGGATTCAGTTCTCGCCTCAACTGTCTTCTATTATAGGTACCTCCCGTGGCACTCTCCATGAGGCAGTTTACTCCTTATACAAATACATTCTCCTCAACGATCTGCTCAGTGACGAGGAGCCGGTCGCCGCCGCGTCCTCACAGCCACCCCAGGGCTCAAAAAGCAATTCTAACGGCGAAAAAACTGTAGTCAAGATCGATAAATACTTGGCAGCGCTCTTTCTTGAGGAACGCAAGACTATGAAGCTGGGAGAGATCCCAATTCTCGTCAACCGGCACGTATCGCCATTGCCACCTATTCGTATCAACTACACAATTCGCGTCGACAAGGCCTCCACCTACGGTGAGACCGTGCTAGATGTCGAAGTTCCTGCAAAGGTCACGGACGAGGTGGCTCGCGAGGGCATGTCGCTGCTATCGGAACTGAACCAGTTGAGCACTGCTTTGGAGCCCCAAATACAACGTTTAAACCAGGAGCTCAACCTCTTGCAGTTACAACTTAACTCGAGTGCCAATAAGTGTCAGTTTTTCGAAAAGCTTGCTAAAAACCCGGTACCCATGCTGGAAGAATACATCGAATCTTCTTCAAGGGCATTGAAGGTCCTGAGCGGCGACGACGGTTTTAACGAAGACACCGTAAGGCGGGCCAACTTCTACAAGGAGAACGAGGGAATGCTCTTCGAAAACCTCGGCGTGCTTTTGTCCAATGGACGTATTTGATTAGCCTTACTCGCCCGATAAGCCATTCGTCCAGTTAAAAAGAAAAAAGACTATGAACTCTCAGAGACAATATTTGACGTCCAAAAATGGTGCACGATCCTAACAAATAGCATACCAGCTCTGGTAGCCCGAACCCATTCCGGCTCTGACGCTAGGTGACGAGATTTCTATCTCGTTCACGTGCCAATCAGGACTTGTACTCGTACTCATGATGACTGAATTAATGACTGTCGTACTCATCAAAATTTTTCACTTAACTGACATCGTAGTCAGAATTGTTTGTTCGCTTTAAGCCCATCCATCCCAGCTCAGTTCACTAGCCTGCATTGACTGAATCGACTAGTCTGCTTAGTGCGATAGATATAAACACCCAAAATGTCCCATTCTTATAGATCCACCAGGTCTTCTGCTAAAGAAACACAGTCGTTCGAAAACACCATCATTCAAGGTTTAGCATCTGATGGAGGTCTCTTTATCCCCTCCGAAATTCCTCAAGTTGATGCCAAAACCCTCGAAAAATGGTCAAGTTTGAGCTTTCAAGATCTTGCCCTGGAAATCATGAAACTTTACATTTCAAGTGAGGAAATCCCAGAAGCGGACTTGAAAGAGTTGGTCCAGAGATCTTACTCTACCTTCCGCTCGAGCGAGGTTACACCATTGGCCAAGAATGTTAGCGGCAACGGAGAGCATTTGCATGTGCTTGAGCTGTATCACGGTCCAACATACGCCTTCAAAGACGTAGCATTGCAATTCGTGGGCAACCTATTTGAATACTTTTTGCAAAGAGCCAACAAGGATTTGCCACAGGAGAAGCGCAAGAAGATCACCGTTGTGGGTGCTACCTCTGGTGACACCGGTAGTGCTGCCATCTACGGTATGAGAGGCAAAAAAGACGTTTCGGTTTTCATCCTGTATCCAACCGGTAGAATCTCTCCTATTCAAGAGGAACAGATGACGACTGTGCCCGACAAAAACGTGCAAACTCTATCCGTGAAGGGTACTTTTGATAACTGTCAAGATATCGTCAAGGCCATTTTCGGTGACGTTGAGTTCAACAAAAAGCACAATGTTGGTGCTGTGAACTCCATCAACTGGGCTAGAATCTTGGCCCAGATGACTTACTACTTCTACGCCTACTTCCAGGCTATCAAAGGTGCTCAGAGCAAAGTCAAGTTCGTTGTACCCAGCGGCAACTTTGGTGACATCTTGGCCGGCTACTATGCCAAGAAGATGGGTCTACCAGTCGAAAGACTGGTCATCGCCACCAACTCTAACGATATTCTGGACAGATTCATGAAGACTGGTATCTACGAAAGATCTGACGATGTTGCCGCAACCCTATCACCAGCTATGGATATCCTTGTGTCCTCAAACTTCGAGAGACTACTGTGGTACCTAGCTCGTGATGTGCTAGCTGCCGGTGATGATCAAAAAGCCGGAGAAATCTTGAACCAGTGGTTCGTCCAACTAAAGACAGAAGGAAAGTTTGTCGTTGATCCTGCTGTCATCGAACGTGCCTTGACTGACTTCGACTCTGAAAGAGTGTCGGACCCTGAAACCAAGGAAACCATAAAGGAAATGTACAGGTCTTCTCAGAACCCTAAGAACTACATCTTGGATCCTCACACCGCCGTTGGTGTTTGCGCCACTAAAAGACAGATGGCGAAGGACAATGACAACAGTATCCAGTACATTTCGTTGTCCACTGCTCACCCTGCCAAGTTTGCCGATGCTGTGAATGATGCCCTATCGGAGTGTGAAGGCTATTCATTCGAAAAGGATGTCCTTCCTGAGGAGTTGAAGAAACTGTCTACTTTGGAAAAGAAGCTAAAATTCGTCGAGAAAGCTGACGTTGGGCTCGTTAAACAAACCATCGAGGAGGAATTGGTCAAAATGGGTCTATTTTGAAGGGTGAAATAGAGTCACTAGTCTCATATAAATGCGTGAACGAGTAATATCAAAATTTGAGTTTTATAAATTCAGTGTTTCGTAGGTGGAGCAATCTGGATCTTGCCACCCTTGCCAACATTTACTTCATAACCAGCTTGGCTTAGCGTTTCGTCATGAACTGCGCTTTTTGATTCAAGCTTGGCAACAATCTTTTGATTCTCCGGATTATCTTGAAGAAGTATTTTTATGCACATGATACTCCGCTCTTTGATGAACGGATCGTTATCGTCGATAACACAGTTACTCAGCACCGCTTCCAGACCCTGGAGTTCTCTCATTTTGTCTTGTACATCTTTATTGTTGTAAGCGAGGAAGCTCAGAGTTTCGATGATAAGTAGTTTGCATTCTGGGAAGTTTGTAGCTTTGATTGATCCGGTGGTGGAGTCAAAGCGAGAGGCAATGAGGGCACTGTCAGAGATTTGTACGCCGTTGCTAAATGTAACCTTTAGCGTTGATGCATTTTGGCCCGTGAGCTGCAAAATGTTCAGCCTCAGTAGCTTTTCTTGAAATAAATGCAATAGACGGACAAGTACTTCTACTCCTTTGTAAAAAACCATGAATTTACGAACGTGCTCGTATTGAGTCAACTTAGTCAAAATGTCGAGCACTATTAGTAGCCTATCGTGCAAGAATTTTGCACGGCTCTCGTTCTCATCATTGATATCGAAATATGCCTGCACATCTGCTGCAAGCGATTCCAAGAGTCTGAAACACCATGTCATGATACCTGTGAGCTGAAAATTGTTCCAGTTTTCAGAGCTGGTAGTTGCCAGATGTGATAAGTTCAAGAAATCCATGAATTTGTCCTGATCAGATTTCTCAACATCTGCCACATAAGGTGCGAAAGATTCGTGAGAGCATAATCTCATAAAGATAGACATAACCAGCCCTCCTAGTACTGAAAGCTCAGTGTTATCTCCATGTTTGTCATTTATCATCTTAGGAATGTTAGTATGATCTTGGCAAACTTTCGCCAGTAGGAAATCGTGAAGGACAGTTGTTGCCTCGTCTGTCTTAAGAAAATGATAAACAAAATCGTCGTGTGCTACCAAATTTCGAAGTAGCATTGTATAAGAAAGAATCACATCATCTGCTTTATTTTGAGCAATAGGATAACATAGAAATTGCGTTACATCTTGAATGCAAGACTTGTCAAAAACAACAGATTTTGACGTTACATTGCAGAAAAATTCGGTCAAGGTCTTGAAAAGCGACAGTTCCATTTCATCGTACTGATATCCTTCCTTAAAGCTGTTAAATGCCCTAAAAAACTGGTATTGAAGCATCAAATTTTGCGGGAGTTCCTGATTCGAGACGCACAAATTCCGAGCCAACAATACAACTCCTCTGAAGGTCCTCAAATGCCAAAATCGCAGCTCCATTTTCCCACCATAATTCGTCAAAAATTGCTCAAACCTAGAGCATCTACCGATTGCACTCCATAGCTCTTCATCTTTAGCCAAGGAATCACGATAATTCGCATCATGCGATGACTTCAAAACTATCGAGCTTAACAATGGAATGATGGCTTCAAAGAGCTCTTTTCCACCAGGATAACCGCAAAGTAAGGATGCGACATTGTTAAGTGTAACAATCTCACTGATTGACATTCTAAACTAGCATTCAGCAGTCGATTTTGATGGATTTGTGCTTAAGTTCAGTTGAACATTATCGCTTTTTCCAATTAACAGCGTTAAATGTCAATATATGAATAACGACAGATTCAGTGCTTAGTGACATAAAGCTCGCCGAGCTTCAGATGCCAGACTGTCTTCCTGTAGTTAGGATCTATTGTTTGGTCTATATATTTGTAAGCGTACTAGGCCTGCTCAAACAGGCTTTTTGGTGATGCAGATATTTTGTAATATTCTTCTTTGGTTATTCCCTTTTAAATAAGGTTTTCGTCGTCGTCGTCGTCTGAAGCGTCGTCTGAAGAGTCCTTGTCTTGATCGAGTGGCAGGGTATTACTCTTGGCGTCTGAAAAACCGACCCAGCCCTTTTCGTCGTCCGATGCGTCTTCCATCACCAAGTCGTTGTCAGAAGAATTGTTGTCTTCCTCAATCTGGAAGGCGTGGCCCATACCGGCATCTCCGTCTCCATCCAGTTCGTCTGCCTGAGTAGATCCGTCTGTAGACGATAAGAAAAGGTAAGCGTATTTGTTGTCTTTAGAAGCTGAGACCACATCCTTACCTATGCGACCAAGGAAGCGTTGAACAGCGCGCAGTGACGACCCAAATTCGTGCTTATGAGATGTGATGTAACGACCATGAGCCGAAAGAATTGCTTTCACCCATATTAGGTTGAACTCTAGATGCTGAGATTCCATCGAAAAATCTCCTATGAACTTGAGCATACGCGCCACGTAAACAATCGGCAGTCCACTACTCACCAAGTTTATTTCTTTGACTGGCACAGACTCGTAAACGCGCTTGATCAAGTACTCTTCGTTCAATCGGAAAGCCATCACCAAAGCTTGCAGATACTCTTTTTCTTTGAGTGCTTCTACTACGGCTTGAGGTGTGATGTCTATATCCAAATCGAAAGGGTCGAAGAGGAGGCCCTCGTCAACGGAATAAACCAGAATACCCTCTGTGGAACCTGCAGCGAAGGCGTTAGACGTAGGCGAGAATTTCAGACTTGTTACTCTCACTTCCGGTCTCACTCGTCTGGTCGACATATCTCCACCTCTGTTAGAACCTGGCAAAGTGCTGTCTATGCGATCTTCTAGATCAGAATTCTCGCCATCACGGTCAATCAGATCCAGAGAACCCGCATCAGTCATCCTTTTGCTGTTCAGAAACTGTTGCGTACCATTCAAAGACATGTTTCTGGAAACAACGAATCTTTTGAGAAGGACACCGTTGGGGATGTCATAGAGACAGATGGAATTGTTATTACCACCGGCGACCAGCGAAAGACCATCGAAACTGTAGTCAATGCTCGTGAAGTACTTGGATCTAGCCGAATTCTTGGATGTGAATCTATCTTCTAGGTGTCTACCAGAGAGAATGTCTTTTTTGCCATCGATGGAATTTACCTGCTTTCCCTCGTTTATGTCGAAAAAGAGAACGTTTCCGTCCAGGGTCGAAACAGCCACCTCGCTACCATCCGGTCTTACTGCGATGGACAAGACATCGGCGAATACTTCCAAAGGTTCGACTTGCTGCGATCTTCCAAAAATGGACCATATCCTGATCGTTTTATCCCAAGAAGACGAAGCCAAAACTCCATTCTCTTTGCTGAAAGAAAGACATGTCACTGGGCCATCATGACCGTCTAACGTGTCCACAAGTTGGCCTGTTTGAACCGACCATACGTGAATAGCGAAACTATCAATCGAACCTGCGCACACGACTTCGCCAGAGGGATCCGCGGCCAGACAGTTGAATTGGATTCTATCAGCGGCAGTGAAAGTCCTAAAGTTACGGTAACGGATGAGGTCCCATGCTCTCACTGTTCCATCAAGGGAAGCCGAGAAAAGAACTTGTCCTTTTTTGGCAAACGCCAGTCCTGTAACGGCTGCTGTATGTTCTTGGAAAGTCACTAAACAGAATCCAGAAGCCACGTCCCAAATTTTGACTTTACCATCGTCTGACGCTGTAACGAGGCGGGAACCGTCTGGAGAATACGCGACGGCATTGGTAGCGTCAAAATGGCCCTGTTGCTTAAGGATGTAGGACTCGGATTGCCACTCGTATACTAGCAGTTGTCCCAATTTACTTGAGCCAAAGGCCAGCCATTCACCAGTTTGATTCACTGAGACTGCGTTGATGGCATTTTGACCCATGGACAGCTGCTGAATCAAAGTGAAATCGGGCACTTCGTATAGTCTGAACTCCCCGTTGTTAAAACCAACCACTAGCATATTGGACTTGGCGTGAAAAGTAACACGTTTTACCTTGGCTTGAGCAGCGTAGAAGTAATTTTTCTTCACAATACGCCAGCTGTAAGAGGACAGATCGGGTTCCTCTCCCTCCTCGACTTCTTGCTTGGAGGTGTAACCCCATTGGAAAAGTGCGCCGTCTTTACTCACGGTGTAGATCTGTTCCTGATCTGCCGAGAAAAAGGCTCCTACGACGTAATCTCTGTGGCCGGCGAACGTTGTGGCCGCCAGGTTTTGTTCATCCGAGTCCAGCGACCAGATCCTTGCGGTCAAATCCTTGGACGTGGAAAGTATGAACCTGGAGTCTGGAGACCAGCTCAGCGATATTATTGATGCAAAATGACCGGCGTGAACTCTGTGACGCACAAACGGCGCAAACTGCCGATCTTCTGCTACGTCCGGGGTTTTCCACACTTGAATAAACCGTCCACAGGCCAACGCAAAAGTAGCACCGTCTGGAGAGAATTTCAAGTCACTGACGGGCTCCTTGAAGTTGAAATGGTGCAGCACCGTTTTGGCCCGAAAATTCACCAAAATCGCTCTGCCGTCCTCGTCCACTGACAGCAGCAGCGTTCCCTGTGGGTTCAATGCGATACAGCTCACATTCTTGCGATGCTCGTATTCGAAAGTAAAGGACCGATTGTTCACCAGATCGAACACCGATACTCTATTTCCTACAGGAGACAGAAGAATAGTGCCATCTTGCGAGAAAATTATGTTTCCCTGCCGGTAAACTGTACCTAGCAGATTCGAAAACTTGAAATCTGACCTCATAATTCCCACTTTGTGCTTCTCTTATGTGTGTTTTAGTAGAAAGTTTTGTAGCTCATCGCATCAACATCGAAGTTTATGGCTATTAATTTTCAAAATTTTTCAAGACCCATGTATAGCCATATTTTGGAAACTTTGACTAGAGGGAACTTCACTTGAAAGATGGACCATAGTATCCGTAGGACTCACTCCAGGTTGACATAGAATGACGGAAGAAGTGAACGGGAAGTTGTCGAGCCGTGTGCTCAATATGAAGTTCATGCGACAGGCGGATCAGGCGGAAGAAGCGCAAAAGGAAGAAGAACAGAAGAGACAATTAGTGGACTCTAGCGAGTGGAAGTTGGAGGGAAATGCTGCTTTGAAAGCTCGTCTGCGGCCCCAGTGGCAAAGTGTAGGTGCTACTGCGATTTTGGGACATTCGCACGCTTCTGGAGCTGTCGGGAGACGCAAAATGGGCGTACCTGAAAAGCCTTTGGCAGAAACGCAGCAGGAGGCAGATCTAGAGACGCTTTGGAAGTCCCAGAAACGCAGCAGAGAATCATACGAGTCAGGAGTTGGTGCCGAAGAACAGGAAGACGAGGAAAAGAAGTCAAAAGACCTGTCCAAAGTCGAAAAGAAGGAAAGTCATCGTATCGAGAAGACAACATCAGAACCACGCTCGAAGCGTGCCAAGTCTGAAACGGCAGCCAGGGGCTCCAAAAACACTGGAAAGACCAAAAAAAGAATTTGATGTGTAAAGGAAGCGGCAGGTTTGAGCATTAGAGCGTTTCTCTACCCACGTTCCGTCATGTATATTAGTCAATAGAGGGTTCGCTGAAGGCGGAGTTGTAGACGGCGTCAGTCGCATCCCATTATGAGTTGTGCGTACGTGCAATTTGATGCTGCGATATCATTTCTTCTTTTTCCCACCCTTGGAGGCGTCCACGAACGAACCCTTCAACACTGCATCGCGGGCAGTGGAATTGATGTGTTTGAATCGGTCAGGACCGATGTGCGTGCCTGTGAACCATCTGGCCACTGCGACGACCACGTCCCAGGCGTCCATCAGCGTCAACAAATGCAATAGTCTCCCGCCTGCCGCTGTTTCTCCGTCATCGTCACAGTCTTGATAGGTTACACTTCCCGGGCCGTGAATACGCCAAGCTGTCATGACATGCTGGCACCTACTGACCTTGGAATCCATGCGTAGATGATCCAGTTTCAGACGGGCATCGTCTTCACTTGACACTTGGGTGGTGAATGCTATAAAAGTAGAACCTCGATCTACCACGGGTTCGCTTTGAAACCAGGTTACGTCCAATTCTTGCAGCATTTTCTCGAGCTTCAGGTTTTCCAATTGGTTGACGAGAGAATCGTCAGAAGTCTCTCGCGTTTGAGGGTATAGATCTTCTTCACTCCATTGGGAGAACACTTCCGTTACATCTGTCAGGAAGTCAAAGATGCACACATCACCTATCCAAACACTTTTCATGATCTTTTCGAACTCTTCTCGCAGCAGTTTATTATCGCCAGCGCCGTCAACTTCTAACACCTGCGGTGCAGCCTCCGTGGGATAGCCACTGGGAAACGAGAGGTGGACTCTAACGGCTTCGTGCTCTGGAATTTTTAGCATGCATTGCGTGTCCGACAATCGCTCCAGAAACTCGGGATATATGGCATCTATTGCATCTAGTTCTTGTTGTAACTCCTCTTGAGACATTGAGCAGGCCGAATCGGGGTCAAACGTAATAGGTATTCAGCGAATTGGGCCTAAAATGGTAGATTTGATCCATATTTTTGTTTGATCTCGATTTTAGATGTGTGATAATTTAAAGGTTAGTTAGTTCAGGTATCTTAAAGTGAATGAAGTTAGAAGTACTGGATCGGTGAAGAGAGTGTTTATAAGATGCTGGGCCAGTATTTAAGGGTATACATATAATGGCAAGTGCGATAAAATGAGACCTTTTGGTTAATTTCCTTAATATCGAGAATTTTTGTTCGACTGGTGAGAGACGTAAGTTAATGAAGAAGATTTGATGGGTGAATCATCTAGATTTAAGTAGTGACTTTGCAAGTATATATGACTAGCGGACAACTGCCACGGTGATTAGCGTTTTTTTTCATGGGCTTGATAATAAATAGAAAGTCGAGAGAGAAGGGTTTTTACTGGGTGTTGAGTGGATGAGTACTTTCCTGTCTTCAACGCTAGCATTCGAACTCAATATTTTGAGTTTTATTGACTCTTTTTTGGCACTTAGAAATCAGATTGTAAGCTATGGGTATGTTTTTAAACTCTTCGAATAATGCTAGAAGCATAATTTCAAAAACGGGTTACGTGATTGGGGCCATAAGAAGTGAAGCATTGACAAATCGCTTTGACGCTAGATTAATCCAGCTTTTACCAAATTGATTTTCAATTTGCTGTCGTGTGAGGTATCAGAATTACGACGTTATGTCGTTGATGACAGGGCTAAGCTATAAAACAGTTAGAGAGGATTGTCGACGACGTTATAGTACAAAGTGATATTTAGAGGATGGTCAATTTGGCGAAATAGCAGGCTTATTGGAACTTAGAATACAGTGACGTTCCTGTAATTGGTAATATAGCTCTTTGACTATGCTTTGGAGTGTCGAAACGGTATGGCGATCGTTTCAATCAAGTAGCATGGCCATATGAATCATCACGTGACTCGACGACAGACTGCTACAGGATGAGATTTGGATTACGATGTTGGATGGCCCCCGGCATTTATGCCATGGTCAATGGCCAAGGTCGCGGATAGAAGTGTTGGTATTACTTTAGTATTAAACATTCATTGTACGGGGCTGTAGCTCAAAGGAAATCATGACTGGACAAAAAATGGGGTACTGGGAAATAAAGGGCAGCTGATCTTCGGGTCAACTAGCTCAATGACTTAGCAAACGCTCTTCATCTAGTAACTGGGCTATCCCATTTGTTCAAGGATTTTTTGTTACATGACAAACTGTATCAAGCATACTATATTTGGCTTTATCAAGATCAGGACACGATACCGAAACGCTGTAAGCTCTCCAAGAATCTCGGTGATATGTGCTTATGGCGAGAGCTACGAGACGTACGAGATAAAAAATCACGACAATCTATGATGGTGAAGCCTAGTTTAAATTTGGGAGGTAAAATTTGCGCTGACACTTGATAGGCACATTCTGTCATGTAAAAGCAGCGGTGTGTCATTTCGAGGAAAGACTATTCATTTTTAAATGATAGCGACAGCTGCCAATTCATTGATGTAAAAAGCCATCTCCTTAATGTTGCGGACGTTTTCTCTCGCTCAAGAATTCAAGATGTTTTTTTTTTCCTTAGTTCACAGTCGAATTGACCAACCAAGCCTATAGTCATCTTGGCAACGTTTAAATAGCAAAAACAATGGCCAGCAGCGGTTTAAGCGCATCATTGAGGAAATCAAGCATGAAAACAAGAAATACTTATGGCCATAAACCAGCTCTCCTCAGCTTCGCATCAGTTGCACAAAAATTCCAATTATTAAACTGTGCGTATGTCATACTTGCAGCCTCCTAGTATTTCTCAATTTTTAGACAGTTGATAGCCATTGCGATGATCACGCCTGGCTCTGACGAAGGATCTTGGCAAAATTCTGAAGAGTGATTGTTGGTTTGCCTAGTTCCCTCCAGGTTTGCTCGGCGTAGAAGGGGTCTTCGTGGTTTCCGAAATACTCAAAAAGGTGGGCAATGAATTTCATTTTTGGGCTAAAAACGCCAATCATCTTGATCACCCATAAAGGCGCGATACGAGTGGTCAATGTGGGATCGTAGTTTTTGATAAATTGGTCCATTGCTTCTTGAACGGAAATGGCTTCGGGTCCCTGAACGGCACAGTGCTCTGGCATTTTGGATGGATTCTGAAAAGCCTTGACCACGAGTTGCGCATAATCCGCGACACTGACCCAATAAACTTTCACGTCTGTATTCCCGATCCATTGGAGCCTGCCCTTGTCAATCATGTTTGGTAGCAATTCCATGAAATGGGTTGGTGCGAAAAAGGTATGCGGGATACCAGATTCTTTGATGATCTTATGACCCTCCATGCGAATGATATTTGGTACCATGTTTTGCTTGATTTTCTTGACCGCAGGAGGATACGCACCAAGAGCCCCGATCTTGGCGATATACTGGATGTTTAGATCCAGTGCAGCAGCTATCAAGTTTTTCACACCTTCCCGTTCCTCGTAGAAGGGAAGTGTCAAATCTGCTGTTTCGGTTGCTAAATTGAGATACACGGCATCCATACCAGTGAGGGCAGCCCGAAGACTTGGGATGTCTTGGAGATCTCCCTGGACAATTTCGATATTGGAGGGAAGCATTTTTCTGGCTTTTTCTAGCGACCGCACCATCGCACGGACTTTGAAATTCTTGGCAAGTTCGGCAGCGACAGGTGAGCCAAGACGGCCAGTTGCACCGATGACAACTATTTTCGATATAGACGTGGATATAGGGTTCATGTTGCTCTGAGAGTATTTTGAATATCGCGATACTCAACTTTTGATTCTTCCTTCCTTTACTGTTGATGTCAGTTGTTATATAGTCGTTGTAATTGAAGTTTCGAGTCTTAGCCGTTCTACATCCGTGGGGACACCTGTTGCAGAGAAAGCTTCTAGGACAACGCAGAGAGGGCCTTTAAGTCCAAAGCTCGAGTGAAGAGCAAGCTGTTTGTGACCGGAGATGGTCGGAGATGGTCGGAGATGGTCGGAGATGTTGGATTTTGTTCGAGAATCAAGAACAAGTGACAGACGACACACGACAGACGACACACGACACACTAGCACCCGAGCGTAGAACCAAGAGTAATCCAGATGTCGTCAGAGAACAGATCATGTTGTCTGCAATTTGACAACACAACCTTGTAGAGTAACATTAGAGCCTGGTTCTGGGGCTCAAAAACACGGACCACACCCTCTCGACTTCATCCACCGGCAAGAAAGGCGTACGAAACACCACTCACACAATGCGCTATCCGATGACGTACGTTACGCCGGGCTACGCGGCTTTTAAACCATTACAAACAAGACGAGAGAAGAGAAGAACAGAGGAAAAAAACAACAAAACAAAACAAAACAAAACCCAATTATCGCTCAAACAGTGAAAAGCTACAGAGCTCAGGTACTTGTAGTTGCTTCAAAATCAAAATCAAAATCACAAACTGGTTCCAAAACTCAAACACCACACACCTCTTCCCCCTGTCCCTTTTATACTCGTCTGGAATACCTGAAAACCTCCTGCAAAACTCCGGCCGCCGGCTGCTCCCTTCGCGTTCCGCGGAACCCGGAGCTTCCCCCTTGCACTGGCTGAGCTGACATATATCCGTTTTATCCGCTAGCTGACACACCCACAGCCCGATGACAGCAAAAGCGCCCTTAAGGTTCAGTCTTTTGCGCTTACGTAAAAGGATCTGCTTCTGCCGCGTATATATATATGTGTGTGAAAATATAGATAAGACAATTCGGGCTTCACGAGAAGCGGTTTCCTAAAGGGGCAATTCGAGAGAGAGAGAGAGAGAGAGAGAAAGAAGTTTCGGTTACCCGTCTTTACCAGATTATCCGTCTTAGACCCGCGGATATGACACGCACAATACCTCGTCGGCTGCTGCTGCTGTTTTTGGCGGCATCGGCACTGGCAATGGAGATGGAGATGGGGATGGAGATGGGGGAAGAGACAATGACGCCGACGGCCAGCAGAATTGATGCGGCACACAAGAATCGAACACCCTCCTCGTACGCAGCGACACTCACACCAACACCAACACCCACACCCCACGAGCCCAAGCACGTGCACGGCCTGCCGATCCTACAACAGCAATTGACACCCAACGAGCGTGCGTATTGGGAAGCGTACTCGACCACGACGTTCTTCAATTTGCCCCCCGAGTCGCCACGCTCGCAAAAACAAGTGGCCAAAATACACACGTGGCTCGTGGCGTTGGTCACGTGCGTGGGTTACCCGGTTGCGCTGATGTTGGGTCACGTGGCGTGGAAAAACGTGACGCGCACCGACGCACTCGTTAATAGTGATGATATGAACAATCACGACACCAGCACCAGCACCAGCACCAGCACTACTCCTCCTCCCCGCCATTTCCTCAAGTTCTGCCATGCCGCGCTCACCACCGCCAACGTCTCCTCGCTCATATTGGCCATTGTCTTATTGTCGGGGTTTTCCGACCCAGCTGTCCAGTACCCAAAAAATGCGTACCGCAGGACCTGCATCGTGGTCGCCGCTGTATCCATACTACACCTGTTGGCCACAGTTGTGCGTTATCTCGGGTTTGTGAAAAATGCCAGAAACAAAGCGTTGGCGTCGCCGCAGACCTCGCATGTCCCGCTGGAAAATTACGAAATGGTGGCCTCAAATGAGCGACACCATTCGCAGTCTTCGCACGATTCCGAGCTCACTGCAGCCACCTCCGCAAGCTCCCACACAGCCTCATCACACGGCAAACCGGCCGCTCGTCAGGGTTCCCCACTGGACACCGACTCGGGTTTCGACTACAGTCCACACACCGATCTAGAAATGCATCGCAGGTCACTGGCCGCGCTTTCTGCCAATCAGCTGCCCGTTGCCGCTCGCATTGCGTCTGTTGTGCTCAACTTCACATCCTGGCCCTTATTTATACTGCTGGCCATTCACTGCGTCATTGGTATTGCCGTGGGCAACTTATTTGGGCGCGGCTTGCGTGTATTCAACCTGCTAGCTCACTGGATCAAGGGCGGTGTTTTCGTAACACTCGGCATTGTATCGCTGGCTCGCTACTGCGGATGCGGCGTCAACAAGGGCTGGGCCTGGAACAAAACCACGGTTCAAATGCATCCTACCAGCGCGGTTCAAAATTGGAGACACATGGTTCTGCCCAACGGCTCCATGATCACCATGGAATTCATAGAGTCGTTTCTCATCTTTTTCTATGGTTCCACCAACGTGTTTCTCGAGCATCTGTCCAACGTCGATGGCCAATGGCATGCCAAGGATCTGCAACATGTATCGATAGCGTTCATGTTTATTGGATGCGGGCTCTGTGGTCTGATTGTCGAGTATAAGCTGTCAGACTGGAGGAAAAGTCAGTCTGTCGATGAAAGTTTAGGACCCTTGACCACAGGAACTCCTGGCTATACTCTAAATCCGTTCCCAGCGTTTACCATTTTCTGGACCGGGATTCTGATGTCTCAACATGCCCAGGCTTCCGTCACATCCACCAATATTCACGTGCAATGGGGCTACCTTCTGTCGTATGGGTCATTCTTCCGGATACTCACCTTTTTGCTGCTTGTATGGAAGCCTAACCAAGATAACAAGCCTTCTAGGCCATTCACGGAGCTGATTGCTTCGTTCTGCTTGTTATGCGGCGGCCTCATTTTCATGGAGTCGACGGACCAAGTCGTCGAGGCATTGGAATACCGTGGTCTCACCAGCATGTTTACATTTAATCTCAGCGTGGGCTTTGTCACGCTATTCATGGCCTGGGAAATGATTTTATTACTCTGGAAAGATTGTTTAGAAAAGAGGTGAAATATACAGGCATATGATACACCTAGCCAGCGCACGAAAAGGAAGACAAGCCCGAAAAACAAAAACCAGGCAAAACGGAATGCGAATGCGAATGCGAACCCGAACGCGAACACCAAGTCACGGCTCAGCGTTCCGATAATTCCCAACCACCCAATTATGAAAATTCAAGCTTGATTTACTAATTTATTCACATTGTTCGTGGTACCAAAAGAACCACGGCAAATGCATTGCTCGAGTTCCTAATTGACCGATTTTTGATCCACTATTTAATAACACATTTTAATTATTCCCTTCAACAACATTCATCAGTCTTATACTGCCTATCTTTTCGTAATGCACCATATTGGATGGTCTTTTGACATATATATATATTTATTATCGAGACGCTGACTAGGTTAGGTCTTGTTCTTGCGACAACTGATCTCTTTGCCGGGCTATATCCTGAACTTTCACTCCAGGTTTCATCAAGTGCTTAATGGTACTGTGGTCGGGAGCTCCTGTTCCGAGTTAACATAGGTTCGATTCTTCTCATTCACATCGATAAGTTGATTGAATGACGAATCGTTCCTTAAGAAATGTCAGTTTGGCCGAGTGGTTAAGGCGATAGACTCGAATCCAGGTTTCGAATGAAACATGAAGGCAATCTATTGGGCTCTGCCCGCGTCGGTTCAAATCCGACAGCTGACGTTAATTTTTAGTCTATTTCAACCACACCCGTTAGGACTTGTTCTTTTTGACATCTACACTCAGTACTCACGAGTACTTTCCAATATTTTTTGAATTGGCGTCACTCCGAACGAAACTCATTTTTTTTTGACAAAATCGTCAAATTGGATATCCCAAACAGAAAACACACCTACCACATTCATAAAATAAGCGCCCAGCATTGTACCAAACAGTGACAGAGTGTCCGCTTTTCTGACTTATATAGCGTTCATAACCACTAGCTTAGATAAATTTCTCTGCTTATTGTATATAACATGCCGAGAATCAAGACCAAGCGCACAAAAGCAGCGCCCGAGGGCTTCGACAAGATTCAACCGACTCTGGCCGATTTTGATCTGCGTTTGAAGGAAGTACACAGTGAACAGGGCTCCAAACTGGCCGCCAAGGCCAACGAGGGCACTTGGAAGATCCTACAGCTTACACACGAGCGGTCTCGCTATATATTTGACCTGTTCTACAAGCGCAAGGCGATCTCTAAAGAACTGTACGAGTGGCTGTTGCGCGAGAAGTACGCAGACAAAATGCTGATAGCCAAGTGGAAGAAGCGTGGGTACGAGAAACTGTGCTGTTTGCGGTGCATACAGAGCTCAGAATCGAGCTCTGAGGGCCACACCTGTATATGCAGAGTGCCTCGAAGCGTGCTGGAGAAAAACAGTAAAGATGGAGTGGTTACATTCACCAGATGCACCCACTGCGGCTGTAGTGGGTGTGCCAGCAGCGACTAGCGGGAGTGTCGGACGTACCAAACAATTCGACCCGTGAAATCGTTCGTGCCAAGCAAAACGAGACATTAACAACCAGAAGACTTATACCGAACTTTGACGATCTGAAAGACGTCTCATACATCCTCATTCATGGCATGCATCTCTTGAGTAGCAACTTACGACTCAAAAACCACATCACTATAGGACAAACTGACACTGTTGATCTATGAGAGGTTTCTGCACGCTACGAGCACCACACGCGTTCTCGGGTATTGCTCTCTCGTAACAGCATTTGCAAATCGCTATCGATACGGGTCGAGACACGTCAGCACTCTAAAACACGAAAAAAACGCGACTGGCACTCATACTGATAGATTGCCTTCACCATTGAAAGTTGACGCGTTTCGTCGAGCCAGAACGCGAAAAAAAAATATATCGTTGCCGCCTCCCAAAATACAAGTCTCCACGGCCTCCAGTGCGCACTTGCCAGTATATATATATATATATATACCGAGCGATGGGCAACAAGATCGGCGACTATTCAGATTTAAGCGGCTCTCAAGGGTCGCAATTTTACGATTTCACAGTGACCCTACTTACTACGTTAAATGGACAGCTGTATTGTTGATAACTGTGCGGAACGCAGATCGAGCTCCGATGACGCGCAAGCCACAACGCTGACACCTCCAAGCTCAACGGTCCGCAAACCAGGAACACCCGTGAAGCGTACTAAAAAGTTACATCCGCTATCACCGGCGCTTTCGTCGCCGATCAGGCCGCAGAAGGCTCGCAAACTCTCTCACAAGGGCGACACGCATCTTATCACCACCAGATCATCCAACTCACAGACTCTGGAAGAGCTAATCGAGACTTTCACGGATGAGAAACGATTGGCATTGCTCCAGGATTCCCAGAGGAAACCACCATTCTCATATGCCATGCTGATCGGGCTGGCCATTCTGCAATCAGAAGAAGTCAGACTGACGCTATCTCAAATATACCATTGGATCACCCACCATTTCCCCTTCTACAAGCTGTCAGACTACGGCTGGCAAAACAGCATTAGACACAATTTGTCGCTCAACGAAGCGTTTGTCAAGGGCGATAAGTCCTCGGACGGCAAAGGTCACTACTGGCAAGTGAAACCCGGCTGCGAAGGCAAGTTCTTTAAGAGCGGACTGTCTGACGAAGAAATCAGAAGCAAGCTTTCCAAATTGTGTTTCAACGTTATGGCAGCCACGGCTGAGCAACAAACTGCACATGCGGCAGACTCTCTGGCCCGCGAGTTGTTCACTCAGACAGACCCAGAAAGCGTCAACGAGAGGCACAGAATGAAGGGAAAAAAGCTAGAAGAGCCTTGCGAGCTGGAGATTTCAACAGACGAAGACAGTGACGCTGAGGATATGCATAATCCTTTGCTGGACGTTCCTTCATCGCCTTCTCCGTTCGCTTCCAAGCACGACTCAAGCGACCAAGACGCGTTCATCGACAATTGTGTTTCGGACTTTACGAACGCAACAGCGTTTTCGACTGCACGCGATACGAATCCAGGCTTCAACCTCAGCTTCTCACCCACCGAAGAAATCAAGAAGTATTCCTGCTCTTTCAATACCAGCTTCGACGGCTCTCCACATGCCAAGACTCCGAAAATGACCTCGTCGCCCTGTGGCAATTTCGGCTCTCCAGAGCCGCACCAGATGACATCGAGATCTACCACTGATTCGTTGGATCTCCTAAAGACCCCTCAAATCAAGCCCGTGAGCAGGATCGATACTCCACGCGACCCCAACTCTACACGCAAATGGCGCACACCATCAGCATTGGTGGACGATTTTACACGCTCCCCGCTTTTGATAAACATGTCTAGGACGCCAATGTTGCTTGGAGATCACAGCTCCACAGACGGCGTTATGGAGCGAGTACCACTAACCGGACAGTCTCATAAGTATTTCGAAAACATTCGATACACCTCTGGCCTGTTTGGTGTCGACGTGTGCTCGGTGTGGAAGAGGGCAGTTGAAAGCGGTTTGAACTCGGCGGCATCAACAGAGCCAGCGGGTCAGCATAACAGGCTTGACATGCCGTTTCAGGCGTTACACGAGTAGCGCACCGTAGGAACTTGAAATTTGGGATAGGAATGGCTCTTTAAGAGATATGTAACATTAAAAAGACATTTGGCATTTGATATTTAACGGCACTGGGGTGTAGAAGTGTTTATTGTAGGGCTGAATGGAAGGTAGAAAGCCTTCTATTTACGATGTTTGATTTAGTTTCGTTTTAAGAATACGTCTGATATATCTTGTTGATCTCAGGAAGCTCAGTTCTCTTCTTGACCATGTGTGCTTCTTTGACAGTGATTTAACGGTGGCTAAATTTCAAGATCTTATAGATGTTAATCGAGTTCTAAAAAGTTAACCTTTTAGAGCACCATTTTACAGAGCTTTTGCAGCTGATTAGCACTTGCGATCGCCAGCAATAGACCTGCTCTTAGAACTGTTTAAGGCTTGATGTCAAGGAAAGCGACGGTGGACGAGCAAATTGGCAGTGTCACTGACCCAAGGGATTATAGGAAGACGGTAATACCAGAACTGCAAGATATCGACACTTTGCTGCGATGTAACATCTGTAAGGGATTTCTGAAGACGCCAGTATTGACTCCCTGTGGTCACACTTTCTGCTCGCTGTGTATCCGGGAATACTTAAACCGAGAGCAGAAATGCCCGTTATGTCTGGCCGAGCTAAGAGAGTCAATGCTTAAAAGCGAGTTTCTAGTCAACGAAATTGCCGCCAGTTACACTAAACTTCGACCAAAACTGCTGGAATTTTTGAATGTCGAAAAAGGTCATCAAACTCAGCCAGTGGAAGATAGCTCATGCATGGAAATTGAACACCATTTAGCTTCTTCAGACCGTAGTATTTCGCGAATCAATGAAGAAAACGGCGACGGAGACGATGACGACATTCAGATCATTGAAACGAGGGAAAATAGGCCCTCCAAGCGTCCTGCAGATGCAATATTTGCGAGTGCGAAGAAATCGCGGAAAGAATCACCACAATCTGGCATCACTTCTCTTTTCAACAGGGCCAAAAGCCCCGCTCTTCATCAGCCAAAATTGGCAGACTGTCCAATTTGCGGCAAATCTTTCCCGGTTGAGGTACTCCAAAGAACTCATTTGGACGAGTGTTTGAGTAAAGAAGCGCTAGACAAGCCGGAGGATATCTCCAGCTCGCCAGTAACTGTAAAACCTGCATTAAACCCAGTTTCAAAGGAGCTTCCGACAATTGAGCAGCCTGACTTTGTCAGTACTACCCACTACAACCGATATCTCGAATCTACATCAAACGGCAGCGTTACCAGACTTGCCAAAATCAACTTCTCATCCACGAGTTTGCAGCAACTCAAACAGAAGCTTTCATCACTCAAGTTACCAACAGCAGGATCGCGACAGCAAATGATAAATCGTTATAATCACTACGAAATGCTATGGAACAGTAACTACATTGATTCCATCGATCCAGTGGATGAAAGCGAACTGCGAAGACGTCTTGCTAGCTGGGAATCCAATCATAATGCATCAGACATACCATCAAAGTCTGGCTTTATATCTAAATTCTTGATCAAAAACCCAATGAAAGATTTCAAAACAGACAGATTTGACAGAAAGGGCTGGGCGCAAGCTCATCAGCGGGCGTTTCGAAGACTGATTAGGGAAGCTAAAACAAGCCTGAAAAAATCCAAAAAAGCTACGAGTGAACATGCTGGCTCGCTGGAGCAGGAGGATTCAACACATTTAAATCAGAGCGTAAGCAGCGACCTCAGCGCAGTTCCCAGCAACCAACTCGTCGCAAGAAAGGACAACATCACAACGTGCAGCCAAGGTTCATCTGAGACGTAAATAGTTTTCTAAAATCATCTTTGGAAACGTAAGACAAATGTACAAAGTTTAGATTCACTTAAAGCTCATCATGTTCGATATCATTTTCTTTCGAAGTTTCGGAAGAAACGCCTGTTTCACTCATCAGCAATTCAGATGAAGGCTCTTCAACGGCGGAGTCTTGGAGCTTATTGTCAGTTTTAGCGGTAACTTCGGCCACAGGTTTTAATTCTTCAACCGTCGCGGGCTCGTCATAATCTGTAGAGGCAACGTCTGGAGTAGCTTCTTCTATGTCACCAACCTCTTCTGTTTGCCCGGAAACGTCTGGAGTGAATTTGTTTTCAAAGTCATCTGGAATACCGCTTGAAACATGTTCAACCGTATGAGCGCTTGAGGGACCTGCCCACGATGATGTGAGAGCGGAGCTTGCAGAAAATTCAGAAGACTGTAGGTCCCTTGTCGTCGAGATACCAACCAGTAGTTCAGCACTTTCAGTGGTCGAAGCAGTGGTTGATGCTAAAGTGGAAGACTCGTCTAGTTGAGACGCGATCGCTGCTGTTTTCGACGCAAGCAATCCCTTTTGATATTCCACGTCGCTTTGAGCGATATCCTTAGCGATTTTGGCATCCTCGGTAGGGCTTCTCTTGGACGTCAAGCTACCGGCCTTGTGAAGCTTTGGTTCTTCGCTTGACTTTTTTGTGAGCATTGTACCAACGGACATTGAAGGTTTCACCGATTGAGCGACGTCCGCGGATCTTGAGGTTGATGTTTGTGTTGATACATGATCGCTAGACTCTCTCTGAGTATCATCTACATCAGCAGCTGATTTTGAGAAGGCAGGGCTTTTGGAAGGTGTTGCAGACTCAATTGCCGAACCTTCAGATTTGCCAGTGGCTATGATTTCACGGTCTGAACCGGCTGGACTACTGAGTTTGGTCGTTTCCAAACGCCTTTCTAAAGAAGATTTTTGAGAGAGCAAAGCAGCTTCACTTTCGGTGTCAGGTTCCAAAGAATCCGCATCTAAGGGGACGTTGCTCGGAGTAGCACTACTTGCAGATGAAGTTTTTGAAACACAAGTGGTGGGGGATTCAGAGCTCTCAGTTTCAGAAATAACTTTAGTTTCCTTTAGCAATCCTGAGGCGGTAGGTTCGCTTTTATTGTTAAGACTTTCCGACGTTACTAGATCTTCAACCGTTGATTTAGATGTTGGCGAAGCGCTGTGTTCGAGGTTAAGGTCCGGAATACTCGAAAAAGTTCTACTGAAAGAGTGCGTGTTTACAGTACTCCCAGTGCTTGTACTGGTGTAGTCAACAGCTCCCATGCTAGCCGAAATTTCACCGGGAATGCCGGAAGAGATCGCAGAGCTCAAAGTCTCGCTATAAAGAGACTCGGGTACGTCCGCACCCGCATCAGATTCCGGTTCTGATGTGAAAGTTAGAGTTTCACTAGTTGTTGTCGAAAAAGTGGGTGTTGTCACCGAATGCTCTCGGGTAGGCACAGCTTTCGTTTTTGTTTCAACGCTCACAACATCGCCGATTAGTGTGGTTTGCCTGAACTCATCAATCATACTGAGAGGTTGATTTCTAGCACTCCATTTCTCCAAAGCAAATCGGTATGTCTTTTGGTGAAGGTCATGTTTGTAGATAACTTGCACGATTGCGGCAAGGGCAACCATTAGGACAAAGTTGACCAGAACCTTCACCAACTTTTCAACAAAAGAGGTCGAAGCGGCTAGATTGTCAGGAACCCGAATAGCATGTATGGTGTTTGCGGCTGAAACGCTCGCAAGCACTTTGCCATCAGGCGAAAACACAACTCTGGTGACAGCGAAAGAGTGCACCTGCTTAAAAAACTTAGAGACAGTTAGGCTCTTGAGCTTGACAATGAGCACAGAATTGTCGTTGCCAGCCAATGCCGCCAATTGGCCTTTCAGATCGACGTCCATGGAAGTGACACCTTTGATCTTGGTGGTCACAATTTTGGTCTTCAGCACAGAAGTGGTGCCAGACTTCAAGCTTACTTTACAAAGCACTATGCCGTTTCCCTTCTTAAGCGATGCGGCAATGACAACTGTGTCTTCGCCTATGAATCGTATTTTGGATAGTGCCCAGTTTTCGTTGAAGTCTGTTTTACGCACAATGAAACGGCCTGTGACGATGGAAATGACTTCTAAAGTGGACGAAGTTATGTAGCTGAGAACCTTACCATCGGGGCTAAACTGCAGGTCTTTAACGTCGTTTCCAGTCTCAATCTCGTATGTTTCAGACAAGAGAGCTGGATTCAAAATCCGGATCACGGTGGGCAGTTTTGACGATGCAATTGCAGCAACAGAACCATCCTGTGACATGTATGTTAGTTTTGTGTAGTCCTCAGGAGTGCGTGAACGGTCCATATCTACACTGGCTACGAATTTCAAATGGTCGTTTTCGAAAACGTACTTGCGGAGATGGTGATTATCTTGGCCCGCTTTGATCTTTGCTGACGATTCATTGCAGCCCATCAAAATGATATTGTTTGCCGCATCCAAAGTGGTGGGTGAATCGTCGTTGTTGTCGAGTGTTAGCTCCCGGAAACGCTTGATAACTTTGCGTTTCTCGAAGTTTACTTGCAAAGCTGTCAATTTATTTGGGATGCCATTGTTGCCCTCACCACCACCGCCAGTGACCAAAAGAACGGTGTCATTAAGAAACCGTGCTCCGTAGATCGGATATCCAAGGCTGTAGACCGACTCTTGAAACTTCATTGTCGTGAAATTTGCCGTTTTAGTTTTTGGATCGGGAAGACCAGGATTTAAAGGTTGGCTTGGATCAATTTTAATGTCTTACGCACCGCACACGATAGACAAGAAGAGTTACCGAGACGATAAAAGAACAGGAATTGTCCGTTATTTGACAGCTTGGTCATTTGAGACTACAATGATTCTCGAATCCAAGCGAAATCGTTTTTAACCCGGGGGTTTGAGCTATATAGATACGACATGGAGCACTCCAGGAATAAGACAAAAGACGTTGGGACAGCGTCATCGAAGTCCGCGAGAAAATGACAACTTTACGAAGCAAAAAGCGAATAAGACAAGAACTTCCTTATTGAAATTGATTTTGAAGAAATGCTCAAGTTCACAAGTTTTCCTATCTTGGCAGGTTCTACACCTAATGACAGATGACATTTTTCTAATGAACTTACAGTGACACCAGCTCCAGAAACGCGTCTTGTTAACATGAACAAACACAATTACATCCCTCAGCCAATGTGAATTTTGAATACTCAGTTTTGAACAAAACTACGAACAGCTTTCTCATATTCTAATTTTCATAAATTTCCAAATCCAACGGTAATCCACCCGACAACAACTAGCTCAAAATGACACATCTGGACACGCTTGGAGATGCTAAAAATCCGCAATTTTACGATTTATCCATCTGAAGCTTGTTACAAAGTTCTTGCCTTTCCCTGACTGCTCTTTAAGCATTGTTCGGCCGCTGACGCTATCTGTTGTTATCTCGTAGAATGACAGATTTGACAATTTTTTTCACTTCTTGAAGATGCGGCGGAAATGCTCGAATTTATCGTTCAAAACCGAGCCTTAAAAGCACCATTCTACGCTGTTTCCTATCCTTTTGATAGCATTGATCGAGCTGGCTTGACCATTTGGAGACATATTCAAACTTGCAGTTTTTCAACTAGCTAGCTACCTTCGCTATGACAAAAAAAGTGCTGTCGATCCAATCGCACGTAGTGCACGGCTACGTGGGCAACAAAGCAGCCACCTTTCCTTTGCAGTATCGTGGCTGGGACGTGGATGCTCTCAACACGGTACAATACTCAAATCACCCCGGGTATGGCCATTTTGACGGCTTTCGATCGCGGGCCCAGGATCTACGGGAAATCATAGAAAAAGGACTCCTGGAGGGTCTGCAACAAAAATATGACGCATTACTTACCGGGTATCTGCCAGATCCCGAAGCCCTACGCGAAATTGGCGACGTGCTCGCAACTCTGTGCGAGTCAGACTCCGAAATAAAGTGGATTTTGGACCCTGTTCTTGGCGACAACGGCAGGCTTTACGTGTCGCCAGACGCTGTGCCCGCTTACAAAGAGATCTTGCTGAGAGGTACCGTGTATCTGGCCACACCCAACCAGTTTGAAATGGAAACGTTGACTGGCGTTCAGATCACAGACCTGGCCACGCTCAAGCTCTCAATAACTCGATTTCACGAGCTGTACCCAAAAGTACCCAATGTGCTGGTCACAAGCGTTATGTCCAGCACACTCGATCAAGACACCATGATCTGCGCCTGCAGCGAACTCTCGAAGCCCGACTCTGCACGTTATTTCAGTGTCCCGAAGATCGATGTCCATTTCAGTGGCAGCGGAGACCTCTGCAGCGCCCTGCTGCTGGACATCTTTCTGCGGCAACCCAGCGAAGCTCTAGACCTGGCTCGCGCCGCTAACGAGGTTTTGTCGCTAGTCGACAACATTTTGAAGAGAACACTGCAGCTTCACCTCGACACACAACAAAAAGCATTGGGACAGGATCGTCCCCGTAAGATAAACGACTTGAGACTGATAGAATCCCGCGATCTTCTGGACGGTAGCGGAGAGCTCAAGTACACACCAATGGTGTTGTAGAGATAGATACACGGCTGGAGAGCGAGAGAGGGCCTTCCATCTCTCCAGTCACGTGCGAACATGTACTCGCGAAAGTACACATGAAGTCACATGACCACTTCTTAATATCCCTTTAATTGACTATTTCAATATATCACCAGAAAGTACAGCGTTATCTTCTGATCTCAGAGTCATTTCAGATTCAGGCTTCAACAACTTCAAAAGCGCATCTTATGGATGAGAAGCGAGGAATGACACGCCACAAGCGTGTTAAAAGTGTTGGTGGGCTTTGGGCGATCATAACAGTATTTTCAACTTCCCTGTACGTCTATTTCAGAGCTCAGCATTACTCAAAAACAAGTGTCCCAGAAATAACGACAAACCAGGAGCCTTCTCCAGGATCTTTTAAGCTTCAAAGTATATACAGACACGGAGTTGGCGAGAATGCATATATGCAAGTGTTGGATGTTAATGACGAGGTTTTGAAGGCTGCAAAAGTCAAGTTTTCGGAGTTTTCCATGAGTTCTTTGGAGGCTGATAACGAGCTGTGGAGCTCTAATTCCAACTATGCGACAGAAAACCCTCTAGATTACGAGTTTGGGCTTTCCTGCGAACCGCTGGTGCTCAAGCGGATGTTGTATAGAGATCCAGAGTTCGTGGAGTCGTATATGGACTACGCCCATGAAAATTCACACATGGCGTCCAAGGTGCATCTGGACTGGATAGACGAAACGGTTCTGGTGCCGAATGTGACAGACAAGAAAACTATCGTCAGCTTGGCTCTCATGTCGTCCAATGCGTATGTGAGACTTCCACACACCAAGGACTGGAGAAACCTGACAAGCCCGTGGAATCACACGGAAAACCCGGGCCATGGCTGGGACGACGACGGTCTGAGAGGCCATGTTTTCAGCAACAAACGACAAGACATTGTCGTTATAGCAGTGAAGGGCACTAGTGCCCAGGGCCTGGCGGGGTCTGGCGAAGATGAGACCACCGTAAATGATAAAATCAACGACAACTTACTATTTTCCTGCTGCTGCGCCAGAGTAAGCTATCTATGGACCACAGTGTGCGATTGCTATGTGAAGTCATACACATGCGACGAGGTCTGCCTGGAACGCGAGCTGAGAAGAAAGGATCGGTATTACAAAGCGGTCTTGAATATTTACAAAGAAGTGGCACGGCAATATCCATCGTCCACTATTTGGGTCACAGGGCACTCCTTGGGCGGTGCTTTGGGAAGCTTGCTCGGTCGCACATACGGTCTCCCAGTCGTGGCGTTTGAAGCTCCCGGCGAGCTTATGGCCTCGCGGCGCCTTCATCTGCCCATGCCACCGGGATATCCAAACTATCTAGAAGGTGTGTGGCATTTCGGTAACACGGGCGACCCAATTTTCATGGGTACCTGTAACGGGGCCAGTTCGTCCTGTTCCATCGGTGGTTATGCAATGGAAACGTCTTGTCACACTGGCAAGGAGTGTGTTTATGACGTGGTCAAGGAGAAAGGGTGGCGAGTCAGTCTTTTTAACCACAGGATTCATAAAGTTATCGATGAGATTCTGGAGACATATGATGCGCCCGCCAGGTGCACACCACCAGGCCCATGCCACGATTGTTTTAATTGGGAATATATAAAAAAGGAAACCTCATCAATTGCCCCGCCGACAATGACCATCACATCGTCAACTCCCACAACCATAACCTCAGAGCCCACCATTACCAGTAGCTGCATTGGCCGCAATTGGTATGGATGGTGCACAGAGTATGACTGAGCTTCCGGTTCAGGTTTGCGCTGGCCGCCATAATCATCAAATGAAACCTTTTGAAAGGATCGAAAGATACAAACGTTTCATTCCCACAGTTTTTATAGGTAATCGTCACTAACTTGAATTTGATATTCGGGAAAACTGTCTTGAAGACATGCCTCTATGGACTTATGATACTGCAGGATCACGCTTGGGATTTTTAGGTCGACTTCCTCCACCCAGAAGCTTTTGAGTTCTCCCTGTCTTACCTTGTGTAGTCTTAAGCTGAACTTCTTGACGTCGCTAAGCACTTGCTCCAATTGCTCTTCTTTCAGAAGTGAGTTTTCGACATAGTACAAGTTGCGAGCTACTATCAGGCACATCAGAGAAGCGTGGACGCACTGAAAGATTAGTTGATCTGAGAGGAAACGAAAGCTTTCGAAGTGGCCACTTATCATTGCCTCGATAGCTTTGTGGGTGTGTTTGAGTATCATGAACTGCACGTCAATCGGCATCGAGCTCACAATATCTGGTATGGAGAACTCGCGATTTAGGTTCTCGAGAAGAGGACTTTGATTGGATATAGCCGATGCCGGAATATTCCTTTGGTTACTTCTGAGGCCATTAACGCCACTAGTATTTGATCTATTCCCTCTGTATGACCTATGAAACCAAGTGTAGAGCACAATCGCATGACTGTAATCTAAAGCAAACTCTGCATATTGTTTGGACGGGTATATGGGTTGAGTAAGAAGATAACCCCATTCCTCATTCCAGATACGCAGCTCCTCATTAACCGCCTCGTAAGCGGCAGAGCTCGTATGGTCCTTAGATGAGCTTAGGGTACACTGCTGAACAAAATTGTACAGAATCAATTGCAATGATATCTCTGCCACCATTCTCCCATCAAAATTAGTGGATTTGGGGAAGTCTAATGTCCGTCGACACAAGTCAGCTCTAATTCCATCAATGATGCACATTCTACCTGAGAATACACAGTTTGCAATGTGGGCTAAGCACAAGTGATTCCAAAGCCGATATAACTGAAGCTTGCGAAACTGGGAGCCTGAGTCACCAGTTGCGGAATCTGAGGAGTCTAGGCTGCTTGAAATCACCGATTCACTGAACTCGGTTGATTCATTTTCACTGCCGTATTGCCCTTCACTAGTGCGCACGCTGAGAAACTGTTGTAGACCAATACCTGACATATACCAAGCGTCGACGGCCATTATGTCGCTGCTGAAGGAGTTTGCGTACAACGACAGAAGTACAATTGCTTGAATGAACTCGACTGTTTGTGGGACCATTTGTAGACTAGAGTCTACGTCGGTTTTAAGTTTGTAGAGTAAGCTTTTGTAAATACGAGTCTTCAGATCGTGATGCTGTGTCGTGTATCGGAGCGCGAGCACGCATATGGTGCTTAGCAACAAGCTAGCGTTCCGTGCCCTCAGGATTTCGACCAACTTGTGCGAGCTCGACGAATCTGGGAATGAGCACCACTTTCCGTACCCATCGCGGAAGGACTCCATCAACAGAACAACTTCGTCTTGAGTTAAGAGATCCATCTCTATGACATCAGCAACGAGTTCCTGCGGCATGAAAGCCCGTTCGTACAGTTTGCGGATTGACAGTGGTACGTTTTCGCGAGAAGCCATTTGTGTGATCATTGTGAAGGGACATGTCAAGTAGGGCGTCGAATAGCGATGTTCGACCTTGATTGTGGATTCGTTGAAATCAGGGGAGCCTGCCCCAGAATTTGCCAAGCCCAAGACTGAAGCTGCCAAGTGGTCCAGTCCATTTACCTGTGGCGGAAGGGTGGGTGCTGCGTCTTCGACTGCCAAATGCACGGTTTGAACTTCACGTTCAGAACTCTTCAAGTAGTTTTCCCGGGCATCTGTCGTGGAACGTTGGCTTTGCAGCAGTTCTAGGATCTTGGAGACATTCTTATTGACGTTTTGGAGCAGTTTTGAATGAACTGCAAAGTGCTCTGGCGAATATCCACTTTTCAAAAGTCTTTTGGTTACTTCGGCAGACTCGTAGCTCGTAATGGAAGAATTGTTATTGTTTTTGTCCTGAGAATCGGTGGCTTCGCTACCGGATTGATTTGTTTTATCGTCTTCTGCTTCCCATAAATCCTGGAATGAGCATCTCAACTTTAAAGTGTCGCATCGGAGACATTGGTGTTCGTTGGGTAAGGGCGATAAAATACATCTGGTTTTCATACGGCGGCAGTTCTCGCATGCTTTGAGCGCCCTATTGCCTCTCCGTTTAACTTTCCTTGGTTTATCAACCTTGGACGCAGGCTGGTCGGTCATATCCTCGAGTTTTTGAGAGCTGAGTTGACGGTGGTTTGTAGTTTGCTAAGATTAAGAACTAGAGATAAGATCTAAACCTGAGAGGAACAGAAGTAAAGAGACAGAGGACAAGTGATTGATCTTTTTACGCTCATTGGACAGCAGATTAGAGAGAGTATCGGAAATGGTCGAGATTGAAGTGCGTATTCAAATGAGTGAAATCGAAGTATTCTGAAATAGTGGATGTGCTTATTCTGCCAATTTCATGATAGCTGAAGGAAGTGGAAAGACCATGGGATGAGATTGTCAAGCGCAATGTGCCAGGTTGGTACAACGCTGAGAACAAATACAATCGTTTTCATTGCAAATTTGGTGGTCAGTAGGAATTTTTCGTCTCGGTGGTATCGGCTGGAGAGAAGTGCTCTTTTGATGGGTTCGCAGATTTGTTTTACAGAACTGCGAGTGCTGTATACACTGCTAAGACAGGAATTGGGTACAATTCCAGTTTTGAGGACTGGTTGCCAAACCAAGTGGGTAGGACATGAGATGGACAAGGCCATAAAAAAAGGTTCTTTATAAGCCAAGAATTGCCTGTTAGTGCTTTGTGAATGCCGATGTAAGATGACTGGCATTGCTGGCTGGTTGCGATGATTTCTGGAGACCGAGACTGTTTAGATCAACAGATCCCAGCATCCACATTATGTGACAGAATAGTATCAAGTGATTTCTCGGACTTTTACAAAGCACTCAATGTTACCACTTGAGTGATGGAATCAGTCATGGGCAAAGTCCTTTTTAAGCTGTTTTCGGGCGAAATGCTGCTGCAGAGCTTCTTTCGATGGCACACTCGTTTTTCTTTGGATTTCTTGCCTTCAACAACAAAAAAGTGCAAAAACCATTCGAATCGCTATTTAAAAGCATCTACATGGCTACAAAACCCATCCACACGGCTACCAAAACCATCTGCTACTTCATGTCGCCTTTTTTTATTCGCTGGACTTGTCTTTCCATGCTGCGAAACACTCTCGTGAGGGAAATTTGAGCTAAGCTTTGGATTTTAGTGAAGCTCGGCGCAAATAGGAAACTGAACTGGCAAAGCTCGCTCGCTCGTGTCACGGAAAGACGGCGTGCGAAACCCAATTTCGCTGTTGGTCTTAGATTATCACTCTGCACTATTCTGTTGTTAGGCACAAGCACCAATGCTCAGCGCCCAAAAAGCCCAACACTGATTTGCAGAGACTTTCCAATAAGTATACACGCGTGAAAAACACTTAAATTGTCTGCTCAAATGCCTTCCATTAATTAATACCTCGTATTCACTTGCGCCATGATATTTCCGAGCAGTTCTTCTCCCCACTGACTGAAGCAAAATTCACCAGAAGCACCCAAGTAAAGTTTCGAAAAGGTTCATAACAAATTCAAATATCCAAACACACTTGTAGCTCAGCATTTAATTTCGCTTCCTATATATAATTGTTCAACTGCCTTTCGCTAGGTTTTATTCACTGCCCAACACGAGAAATCATCATGAAATGCTGGAAAAAATTGCAAGAAATGCCAAATTCGCAACACTTGCCTAGACTCGGTCCCCGGTCTTAATATTATCTGCTTTAACATTTTTGTCTGCTCTTTTTATCGATTTCTTGTTGACAGGTTTACGTTCTCTTTTAAAGTAGATATAAAAGCCGAAAGGAAAAACTCCATAACTTGTTCAAAAGACCACCTAAGAGTAAACATCAACAAAGTGAAAGCCTCCCAGTTATGTTGTTCCAATATCTCTTGTGGGCTGTTTTCGCTGCAATCGGGCTGGTAAATGCTGCCTCCACGCCCAACGAGAAGACTTACGAGCCAAATCCGCCTGTTACACACCGTGTCTTCTTTACTATCGAATACACGGATAAAGACACCAATGAGGTGAATGATTTGGACCTCACAATTGAATTGTATGGTACTGTGGTGCCAAAAACTGTGGATAACTTTGCCAAGCTCTCCAAAGGAGTCACGGCTGTGATGAAGGGCAAGGACGAAGTGAACGATCGGTTCACTCTGGGATTTAAGGACACACTTTTCCATCGCATCGTGCCAGACTTCATCGTCCAAGGTGGTGACGTTTTGCCCACGGTGGGACCTTTCAACATCCACGGTGGGGCTTATTTCGCAGACGAAAACTTTGTGCTAAACCACGACAGACCCGGTAGACTGTCGATGGCCAACCTTGACAAACCTGACAGCAACGCGTCTCAATTTTTCATTGTCACCTCTATGGATCCTCCTACGCATTTGGACGGGAAGCACGTTGTTTTTGGCCAAGTTGTTGGTGGACTGGATGAGCTCATGAACAAAGTGCAATACGTGGAGGTCGATAACAATCACAGACCTGTGCACGACGTTAAGCTTAAGTACTCATTCATGGAGGAACTAAAAATTACTACGTCAGAAGAATTGCACAAGCAATGGTTGAACAAAGTTCAGAAGTATCAAAACGGAGACCTCTCACAAGGCGTCACCATGGCTGCTACCAAGGCCATTGGCCAAAAGGAGGAAGCTATCATGAAGGAAGAGATCTACCAACAATTGCACCATCCTGCCGTTAAAGTGGCTCTGGGAATGTCGGTTCTTCTCATCCTGTACCTAATTGTCAGAACCAGGAGCCGTAAAAGCTCCAAAATTGTGTCCATGAGACACGACTAAGCGCCAGGTGGCCAGTTCTTTTCCTATGTGCGACAAAAACTTTGTATCTATCTAGTCTATAGCTTGTTTGGCGAGGGATATTACATACAATTAGCTGCTTGCCGACTTTTGAATCAGTAAACCGATTCATGAACTTCAGGAGTCAAAAGCGTCTATCACTTGGAACAAAAGCTGTAACAAAATCTGCTTGGTGATGCTTTTCCCGATAAAAACCATTTTACAGCATTGTGTTTCCTCTGAATTGCGACCGGGCATAACGTCAAAAGTGTCTCGTACGCCTTGTATTATCTTGCAGGTGTCACCGACACGAAGTAGCCCCTTCGTCCTTAGAATTTCCCAATCGCCTTGAATTTCCGATCCAAACCCTTTCCAAAGTACTACGCGCAAGAATTTCTCGAGTAAGTCCTGAAATTCATCTTCACTGGCCAGCGGCTTGAACTCTAGGGTAACTGTGCTGATACGAGGGTCGTGAAGGGTACCCTGTGGAGAATTCTCAAATTTGACGGTGTCAAATGCGTGTAAATCTAACACTTTGTCCAGCGGAATTTCAGCGTAGCTGGCGTGGTGTATCGGGGCCATGGAGTTGATCTCACGAACTTTGTTTTCGACTTTTCGTACTGTCTCGCTATTATTCAGTCTATCCATCTTGTTCAGCACAATAGAATCAGCCATGGCAATTTGTAAATGCGAAATAGTCATGTTCTTCTCTAATGCGACACTTTCGCCGTGCCAATGTGTCGCAGGCGAAACATCATCTAAACATTTTAGCACATTTTCCGCATCCAAAACCGTGACGATCGAGTCCAAATAAACATTGCTGTATAGACCAGTGTCTTGCCAAAACATTTTTGCAATTGGTTGTGGGTCTGCGATACCAGAAGTTTCCAACAAGATATAATCTATTTTTCCAGGACAGCGCGATATCAAACTTTCGATTGCTTTGACACCCACGTCTTGCATGCTGCAGCATAGACATCCGTTGCCCAAATCAAGCCATTCCTCGTAAGCACTCCCTCCCTCACGAATTGTCATCGACTTTTCAATCTCACTGGAGTCACCGAACTCATTCAAAATAACAGCGATTTTTTTGTCGGACCCTTTCAAAGCGATTTTTTCTAGCAATGTCGACTTCCCAGAACCCAAATACCCCGTTATAATGGTAACTGGAATTTGTTTCGCACTTACGACATTACTTGTTTCCAACTGCATGTTAGCTTGTTCAAGTTTCTTGTCAGAAACAAGTCCGGTCCCACCATCGGAACTAACAGCGTTCAAAAGCTCTTTTAAATTTTGTTCATCTCCTCCAACTAACGCGGGTATTTCCCCGTCTTCGTCTTCCCGATAGCTATAATCCTTGCGAGCTGACATGTTCACTTTTTCGAATCGTCAAGATGTCATCGGAGCATGCAGAGAGAGGATGTCGTTATTATTCACTATACTAACAGGGTTCTCGTTCCAAATGATAATATGGAGCCATCGGTGTCAGGACTAAAGTATTTAAAGCAAAATTGTCGCCAAATAGCCAGCCTTTCCTTATTGTCAGATGATGATCCAATTTAATTTGACCCATTCAAACCATCTAAAATGGTACTGGTAATCTCCACCTCTTTTTTTCGTGAAATTGTTAGAGATTTCTCTTCTCAAAATAATGGGTTTTATTTGGCATGGATCAGTGTTACAAAGCTTTTGTAATTTTTGTGTGTAACTGAAGTGAAATATTATTGAATTATAACTTAGGTTGGCTGAAGTGTTTCTGTTTTCTGGTCAGACCTGGTTGAGAAAAAAAAAGCGATCAACATAAAACGTAAGATCATGGCAAACTAAATGTGTAATGCTTTTCCAGAAACCTAAGATTAGATACTTGGAATATTCCAGTAATTATTTCTCAGTTAAAAAGTTCACTCTATTGTCTGTGCAAGGTGGGATTAAAATATAAAGTGGTGTTCAAAACATCCAGCAAAATCATGGGTTTTTGAGGATTTTTGGCAAACAGAAGAAGCCCAAAAAAAAACGTCGTAGTTCACTTTCGATGCTTTGCTCAACTTCTTGCATATATGTGTTCATTCATGCTTCCCTTAAGCGTCAAAGACTGACGTTTTCCAAAAAAATGGTGTCACATTAGTACAAAGTGATGAAGTGGCTCAATTAATTAGAAGATTTCCACGTCAGTGTAAACTGCCCTCAAAAGGCACAACATCCTGCTCCACTCCACCATCCAAATTGAGCGTCTTGTTAATTTTATTTGCTCCGAATTGACTAGTGCACAAAATTGACAACATCCAAGGTCTCATCTGTAATTTTCGAGCTTCGATGTATCGGCAGGAAAAGTGTAGAACGTTGGATCTTCAAAACAAAACCCAGCAGCCCCGAATCAACTTAGCAAATAAATAACTAAAATTGAACAGGTACTTCTTGCTTCATGGTCCGTCACAACGGTCCCGCTTATCTCGACCACCATCAAGAGAGTCACGTGAACGACTTTACCAGCTCTTTGCTTGAAAATGGGTACATAACGATGGAAGTAAGACTCTCGGAAACCATTTGCCTAGTCCCAGCCAACATGGGTCAATCGAGCCTGGCCTGTAGCCTGCTCATTCTGCTGACAATTTTCGCACATCTTTATATCTCTCCATTCACTAAAGTTGAAGAGAGCTTTACGATCCAAGCCGTGCACGACATTTTGAATTATGGAGTATTAGATATCTCCGAGTATGACCATTTACAATACCCTGGTGTTGTTCCCAGAAGTTTTGTTGGTCCATTGATACTGTCAGCAATATCAGTGCTCCCTTTGAAAGTTCTGAGGATCTTCAATTCAAGTTTCTCACCATCTAATTTGGATACTCAGTTCTTGGTACGCTCAATCATCGGCCTAACAAACGGGCTAGGATTGATCTACCTCAAGAATCAGGCTCAAAAACTACTAGATCGTCGTGCGCAAGAGTCGCACTTCAAAAAACATGACGGGAACGAAGCTGATAAGCCAAAAAATAGCCATATTGGTCTCTTTTTTTGCATTTTCTGTGTTTCTCAGTTCCATCTCATGTACTACAGCTCACGTCCCCTGCCTAACTTTGTCATTGTACTGCCCTTGGTCAATTTTGCTCTTGGCCTCGTTTTAAATGGCAAGAAGCCTCACTTTGCCATTTCACTACTAGCGTTTTGCAGTATAGTTTTCCGTCTGGAGCTGATTGGGCTAACTGCAGGCCTTGCGTTGTCACTCCTGTCCACTAGGCGCATTTCCTTGTCGAAAACAGTCATGTTCGGGTCACTGGGTGCCATGCTGGGCGCGACGGTATCTCTCTATGTCGATTCCTATTTCTGGCAGAACTGGACCCTACCTGAATTAGACGCTTTCCTATTTAATGTTGTTGAGGGAGAGTCCGTCAAATGGGGGACGATGCCCTTCCACGCTTACCTCACGAACTCTTTGCCAATGATATTTATACCGCCAACAGTTCTTCTTCTCAATTTCGTGGGGTTCCGTGTTGCACCCAAAGAGCTCAAAATCATAGCACAAGCTGCGTACTTCCACATCTTCATATTAGCCTTTCAGCCTCACAAGGAATGGAGATTTATTGTTTACGCTGTCCCAGTTATCACTTTGGTGGCTAGCTGTGGTGCTTCGCACATCTTTACAGCTCAAAAAGGTAGCTTCGTACTCAAATTGATTATCGCGGCATCTCCCCTGCTGTCACTTGCAGTATCGGTTGCATTTGCGCTAGTATCATCCCTAAACTACCCCGGCGGCCATGCTCTGAGTCAGTTCAATCAATATGTTATATCAAACAACATCAAAGATGCCACTGTCCACATGGATGTCCCAGCATGTATGACCGGAATTACTTTATTTGGCGAACTTGACGAAGAGTTCAATATTAGCTATGACAAAACCGAAACTCTGTCCGCGCAAAGGATGGCATGGCCCTCGTTCGACTACCTCATCACGGCCATCGCAGATCCGCAGCATTTTGCTTCTCCTGGTGGAAATTCTTGGGAACTGATTTTCTCCACGAAAGCCTTTTCTGGGATCAACATCCCGTTCTTTCAGCAGCTTGTCAAAAACGAGATGGAGAACAAGTTCCAATTGGCACGCGAAATCTTGCATCAACGAAGTCTTTACCCACTCACTTCAGCAGTGGAAGGTAATATCACCAGTGATGTTTTGTTTACGTTCCGCAGAAAGAGCTCGAGTTCCGACAATTAATTAGTCGCTATTTACAAATTCAGATACACATACACCTGTGTGCGATTCTTTAAGTACACGATTTGACGCGCTCATCTCAAAAAACTGTCGACAAAACCTGTTTAACCTGTCTGACGACGTCGCCATCAATCACCACTTTTTTTGATTCCATCAGGACCTTGAACCGATTTTTGGGAATATGCTTTAGTTTGTCTTGCAGGTCATTTCTCAATTGAACAGGATCACCACGAATTCTACGGATTTCAGTGACTATTTTGCCACCTCTTTTCACATCTGAGTAAACCGGCAGATTTCCTGTTGCAGATCTGTCCACGAAATATGATTTTACACCAAATGCCTGAAATCCCACTAGTTCCTTTGGTTTAACGTCATTTAGTGAAGGAAAAATACTAAAACTGGGCTCTTCCAACACACTTGATAGGTCTTTTAGTTCCTGCTGCGTAAGATTATTCTCTAACTGATTGTCTTGGGCCGTTTTAACACCTTCTTTGTTCGCCTCAGTCTTTAGCGTCCCTACACGGCTAAAATTCCTGGAGAAAAGAGAGCTACTACTAAATGGGAGTGTGCGGTTCACACTTCTGAAACCTATCCTGCTCAACATGGTCATATTTGGAGGCCAGATGACGCTTGGAGAAGATGTGATGCTTACGCTCTGAATGTAACCTTGAGTTATAATGTAGGTCAAAATTTTTAGATCACGACGTAAAAAATGCTAAGCAATGGACAACACTGTCATCCAGCTTGAAACCCTGGCATATACCTCTGGAAGCCGCTCCAGCAAGCTCATAGCACCGGAGAAATGATACCAGAAATTTTCTTTGTACAGGTATTAATTTACAGTTCTATAAAAGTAGCACTTGAGCCTGCAAAAAATGCTAGCAAAAATAAGATTGTTTGAGTGTTGTTAATGGGTCCAGAGTCTGACCATTTTGTCTTTGCCCGCACTGCACACCCGCTTCCCGTCAACACTCCAGTCGACAGTGTATACTTCGTCGTTGTGGCCCGGAAGGTCGACCGAAAGTTTTTTAGTTCTGACATCCCATACTTTAAGAGTAGTGTCTTTGGAACACGAAACCAAAAGCCTGCAATCGGAGGACCAGGCTACTTGATAAACACTGGCCACATGGCCCCTGAAGGTGGTGACGAAATTACCGTTTCTACCGTCCCAGAGTTTGATCGAATTGTCAAACGAAGCAGAAACAATGTATCTGCCATCCGGAGAAAATGCAACGTGGTTCACTAGCTTTTGATGGCCCGTCATCCTCGTAATTGGTTTTGTTGACTTTAATGGGTCCCACAAGTACATGGTAAAATCGTCACTGGCAGTGACCATGATCTCTTCAAGCTGTCCTCCCTTCTTGGCGATTTTCTCGTAGTTCTGCAATGCTTTCTTTTGGGCTTCTTCGGCAGACGCCGGTTGTTGGCCTGTATGGTCAAAGGCACCCACTCGTAGAGCGTAGTCGGTAGAGAGCGATAGATGATTAATCCAATGCGCGTGGGACTTGAGAATGTTTATGCATTTGCCCGAGACATTCATATCCCAGGCTCTAATGGTCTTGTCGTGGGAACCGCTGTATAGTACATTGCGTCCGCCCCATTTGACACACGAAACAGAGTTCGTATGGCCGCTTAGAGTCATAAGACACACACGCCTTGTCGTGTCCCAGATCTTGATTGTGCCGTCTTTCGAAGCAGAGGCGAGCTTGGGCTTGTCACCTGGCCTCACAAGATGTACTGGCTCCCAAGCTAGCGACGTAATCCACTTGGAGTGTCCTTTCAAAGCATCTCCACAGCTCTCGCCCTTTTTCGCGTCCCATAGCCTGATGGTGTTATCCATAGATCCCGTGGCGATCAGTTCGCCGTCTGGCGACCATGCAACGCAAAGCACCCAGTTATGGTGGCCCTTTAGAGTGAACATTGGTGTACTTGTATTGCAATCCCAGATTCTGGCGGTGTTGTCACCAGATCCAGTCACCATACGTGCACTCGTGTTAGGTGCAAATGCAGAGCATAAAATCGTGGAGCCATGGCCCGCGATGGCTGACGAGCTTCTCGTGACGGGGCGAACCTTGAAAATAGCACGCGGGGTAAACACGATTGTAAGGAAATCTTCAGTAGTTTTATGCCCTGGTTTGAGTAATGAGCTGTATATGTTGTCCTTGATATCTACAGCTTGCTCTGGTTTGCCCTTGCCATCGCTGACGAGACAGCTAAATGTGTATGGAACGGGGTCTGCGGATTCGCCTTGCAGCTGGTTCAATAGCTGCTCGAGCTGTTGCTCGGTTGTGCCTCCAGGCACTCGCAAAGACCCTCCAACGTTCTCTCCGGTGTCGAAAGCTTGAAATTTGACCAAAACGTGCGGCAAATCGATCGGAACGACCTCGACTTCGCGAGGCTGCTGGGCCTGCTTCTTCTGCTTTTTAGAAGGTGGTGGTATTAGTGTAGCCATTGCTTGGTTATGCGATTACTGGCGAATGGTTGTACTCACCTCGCTAGCTCATCGCATGGTAAGCTCATCGCATCACTATTTCTAGTATGGACCCAAAATTTTTCAGTCACTAGAGACGGATTTCAAAATCTCAGAAATAAAGTGCTTATGTAATCAAATTCTCGATACGTGAAAAGGGATAAATATTAGCCGCCGAGCTGTCTTTTTTTCCATTTCTTTTTACTTCTATTTATATTATAGGATCTGCAAGCCATTGTTCTGAATTTGTTGACAGGACATTGGGTTCGGAAAGAGAGGTTTAAAAGCGTCTTTATCTTCTACTATGAACTATGCCATCGCTTGAACTATTGTATAGCTAGAAGAGTCCTTGACCGTGGCGGTTCGCTTGGGGTTAGAGGTCTGTAATTATCGGGTCTTGAAACGACCTTAAAACTCGGCCACAGTGCAGATACCAGTATTCTCGTTGGCTGAACATTGTCGAAGTTCGCGATGTGCTTGATTTCTAAACTATATAATGTGTGCCTGCACTAGTAAGGATGCCCTGGATATTTATGTATTTTAACGTGTCTCGCAATCGCAGTCTTGCACCAAAAACACGGGAGTTTCAAATTCCATTTCCACTTAATCGCTTGAGAAACTCATCATTGAGACTGGGTTGTACTGCGCGACCGCATCCGTGTCTCTCAGCTCCGAGTTCATTAAGTGTACTATCTCTTATGCTGTAACTTCGCTCGTTGTGGATTCTGAGCTGCTCAAGCCCCACACAAACAATTATCCTCCTGGTGGGCATAAACATGAAGATATTCTACGGTGGAAACAAAAAAGTCTTTCGATGCTGTGGCTTTGGCTCACTGGTGTTGTTCCTCTTTTATCAATTGCCCCACGTCATCACCTTGTACCGTGGTGTCACATATCTGTATACTCCATAACCTGTATTTCGTGATCATTCATTTAAAGCTGTGTCTTTGAAATACAGTCAATTTCGCGGACAGCACTTTTCAGGGCTATTTGGTAGGTACTGTACTTGATTTTTGTTAAGTGTGTTACCTGCAAAGTTCTTTGCCAAAAGCACGGACCTCATCGATTTTCGAAAAGATTGCTGTCAAAAGCAAACGTGTTAGATTGTTAGAAAGGCCTTTTACTCGAGCAATGCAAGCTGAATAAGTGCCTTCTCACTTATATTTATTTCTTGTATCTCTCGCGGGTCGGCCGTTTAGCTGTCTCCAGCACAATAAACAGTAAAGGAGTAAAACAGAATTCAAAAATTGTATGTAAACTTGAAGATGTGCAATATAATGACTTTTACAAGTTACTAAGCTATTAAGCCCAAAAAGTAGCCTCGCCCCTCGTAAACTCTATGCTCTGTGTACTTCTAGTATAATCGCTCCATGCTTTAAGATCACTTTGTACTATTCTGGCACATCTTCACCAACCGCTCCTAGCTTCGTGTACATGTTTCAAACCAGGATTCTATACACTCCTTTATTTCTTCCTTGGACTATTTGATCCTTATAGAAAGTTCCACAACAGCTTGTCCCCTTTGGATGCCAGCAACTAAGAATTTCCCCTCGTCAAGGACTCTTCTTACCAATTTGGAACAACTACGTATTGCAAAAGAAAATAACATTACTGATTTCTTTCTCACCGACCAGTTACCGAAATTCTATTGCTCACTTCACCATCATCAAATAATGGCCTTTGGGTCACTTATTTTATTCTTAAAGATTTATTCAATCGTGGAAGCCAGCCTGATATCGTCCTACAGTTCTCCATGTACAGTTCACTGGTAAATTATTTGCTTACAACATCGTACCTCCAGTTCGTTGGAGTCATCATACACTTTATAGACCTTTAAACCATTAAATCGTCAGTTATTATTACACAATTACAATATGTTTAAAAATGCCAGCGCTCGTGTTTAGCGCCTCTTGCAATTAAGAGTTTTCTAAATAGCTTCGGACTCGTCATTTTCAAATGCTAGCTTGCGGATCTCAAGTATCCAGGGGTCTCGCAAAAGATGCATAGCCGTTGGTCGCTTGTTGGGGTCTTGATCCAGACAGCTTACCACAAAGTTCCGACCGAGTTCGGTAACTTCATCTTTTGAGGGCATCTGAGGGACGTGTCCCGCGGCTACATGGTACATGATAGCCCATTCATTGTCTAAATTGAACCAAGGTCTCCGTCCCGTTGCCATTTCCAAGACGACACAACCCAACGACCAAATATCACCTGAGCCAAAGTTTTCCTTCTCAGATCCTGTAACCGATTCCGGGGACATGTACATTGGGGTACCCATCATGCTATTATTAGCCTCTTTGTTTTCAGCAACTGGGACGCCAACTTTGGTTCCATTAGCAGCAAGCGACCTAGCAGCTCCAAAATCAACGAATTTAATCACACCGTTGAAATCCAAGAGGATATTTTCTGGCTTAATGTCCCGATGGACCACGCCAGATTGATGCAAATATGCCAGACCTTCTAGCATTTGCAAGGTGTACACTTGAGTAACCATTTCGTCCTCGATTCGACCATGCTCTAGAAGCTGGGCCAAAGAGCCGCCCTCACAGTACTCCATGAATAAGTTGACTTTGTCCCTATGCACTTCGACACCGTAATATTGAACAACATTAGGGTGATTCAGCATCTCTAATACACTCATTTCCTCTTTTATGGCTGGGAACACTTGCTCCATAGAATTGCGATCCTGTATTTTAATTTCTTTGACCGCAAGGATTTGTCCAGTATCTAAATTCACAGCTGAGAACACTGTACCAAATGCTCCGCCTCCGATGAAATGCCGCTTCTGCCATCTGATAGATACGTTTGACAGTGAAGAAGCAAGAGATTGCAAATATTGATTATCTCGATCAGATTCATCCAACACTTTACCGATGTGGCGTGGATTGGCTTTTACTTGCCTTTCCATTTCGTCTATAGCTTCCACTCGGACTTTAGAATTCACAGCCAAAATCGAGTCATTGTCGTTGTCGCAGCCTCCAATGTTAGATCTTATCTGAACGTGACTCAAGAGACTTTCCGCCTCTGACGTTCTGGTTCCCATAATGTCAAAATGTGAGATTAACAATGTCATGCATCCAGAGATTTTTTCTTGCAGTATACCGAACTGGCTCTGATCCAGACTCAAAATATTCCATCCCGTTGTCATTTGCATAGCAAACTCCATAGCGGGTACACACCATCTGAACGTGCGCAGATCTTCTGGATCACAGTCATCGACCAAAAATGTGATCCATGCGATGCTGATCTTCACTAGCATCAATATTATCATCGACTTTTTTTCATAAGTTGCAACATTCACTCTGAGAAAGTTCCTAGCGAAATCTCTGCAAAAAATAAAAGCGTTGTTCAGCGTCTCATTGCCCCGATACTGAATCTGGACATAATCGGTCACTTTGTTCATATTTGCCAATACCGTGTAAGTAATCCGAAAGTAGGCTCTGTTGATTTTTTGGAGAGTGTACTCTAGATTGTTAATTGAACATCTTCTCTCGCTAAAAGAAACGCCGTCTGCAACGAAATGTTCAAATTTATCCGATTGATACTCCATCGCGTAGGTTGAACCTTGATTCATAAGAACCAATGTTTCAGTTGGTAGTTTAACATTCATGTCGTTACCGGTAAGCACAACACCATCTGACAAATTCAGCATTTCACCCTCCCACAGTATCGGCTCTCGAGGGCAATATGCAACGATGTAACCCAGAGTTTTCAGCTTCATTTCAAGTTCAAAAATTTCTTGTTCTTCAAGCTTGCTGTCCTCAGCAGGGTTAGTGTTGTTTTGATTTCCTGGCAAACGGCCCCTCACAAGAGAACTTTTTCCGTTACGCTCCGACTGCACATGGTAATAAATAACACCATTGGCTCCATACTCCTGAAAAAGAACTGCATTTTGATCCCAACCGCTCTCGATTGCGTTGTAGACGCTTAAACTATTGTTGATCTCGACGTTGGGAAGAAGATCGGATCCAATAACCGAGTTGTGGAGAATCTTGAGAATTTCCTCATCGGATGATCCAAGCAATTCTCTACTGCAAAAGAGGTAAACCCCATTTTTTTCGAGCTCCCCTCCTGTGTAGAGCAAAAAGTGACCACTTTCCTTCAAGTTTCTCAACAAGAGCTGATTATCGTTTACTTTGTAGTGAACTGAGTTTTGAAAGGCCTTAGTGAGCACATTTGAAAAACGGTTCATTTTTCGTTTCACCGAACCAATGTTTTCGATTACTTGAAGTATCCATTTTTCGGCATCGGCCGCCTTGTCGAAGCGAGGCGGGTGGTTTTGTTCTCGAAGAATATAAGAATGCAAACGGTTGAGCAGCCGCAGCGTTAAATTGGCAAACCCTTCTGCCACAACATTACCTGCTCCCGAAATGTAGCAGCCGACGTTTTTTAGCTGATCCCAATATTTCAAAAGCTCATCAGGTTCTCTGAATGTTTTGAAAGATTTTTTGGCGCTATCTATTAGCTTCAAATGCAATAGTTTGAACAAATACACGATGGCTTCATTGACGGCATAATCAAAATCGGCATCAATTTGTGTAGAAAACTCCCAGCCCGAGCAGTATACCACAACCGTGTGTTTGATCTGCACTGAAAGTCGGATGTAAGAGCAGAAATCGTCTATCATTTGGTCGATCATCATCATTGTGGGGTTATTCAGTTTCTTGGCATAATCAAGTCGAATTAGAATGATTTCTTTGACTAATTTGAAAGGGAACATCAATAGTATCTCTAACCTTTTGTGCAGCAGTGGCAGATTCATTTCTTTCACGGTGTCTGATAGCGTGAAGATACTTACCTTGGCCTTCAAAATCCAGGGAGCGTGTCGATAGAATAGTTTCTTCTGAAAAATGCTTTCGATATCGCGCTCCTTCAGAATTTGTTCCGCGAAAGGCCTGTCACTTTTGTAAACACCATCCACATCGAGAAAAGAAGGCGTGAACTTGACATCTAACGAATCATTACCAGTCCACCTTTTTAAAGCTTCGATTTCACATTCAAAGGCCTCTTTCAAAGTCAGAAAGGCGTTCATAGCGGCAATTCGATGTTGGAATTCTTCGCGTCCTGTCAAAGGTTTCTCGTAATTCATGTGCTGAGAGTTTTTCCAGTACGAGGTGACCTGGTGGTAGCTGTCCAATATTGGCTTTACCTTTTTTGCCGCATAATCGACATCAACATTATCTTCAAACTTCAAGCTCATGATCTCCTCGAAGAGTGAGTCCGTTGAGTTTCTGAGAAACTCCAGAGTCCTCCGCTCTTCCTCAATTGACCTGCAATTCATCCAAGCTTTTAACTCAAGCCAAAGCTCATCTGCATATTGAACACCCGTGTTCACACGATGGCCATGAAAAGGAATCTTACTTTTTTCACTTTTGACAATATCACCTTTTAGGACGTTAGCAAGAATGGCTTGCCATTCCAGCCTCTCTAGAACGTGCGAGTTTTGCAACAACTTGTTCATGTATGCATAGCTATTGCCTCCAATATTGCCTACTGCGGTTGGTATTGACGTTCTACCACTACTGGTACCCGCGGGCATCCGCTGCTGTGAGCCTAGTAGGCCCTTTACCTCGGGATTCTCCAAATCCACCTGTCTCAGCCACTCCATGCGAGCAAGTAGAAACTTGGAGCTCATAGTAAAAAGTTGGTCGTCAAACGCCAATGTGCTTCCCTTTTGGGTTGTTGTGTTGAAGTTTGTTCCGAAAGTCGACTCGTCAGCGTCAGTATCGTCCGCTTCTACCTCGGTATCTGTTTCATCGTCATCGTCATTAGAGGATGCAGCGATTCCACGGGTGTAGTAGTCGTCCAAGTTGCTGTTTTTCATACGGTTTAAATACAGCTCTTCATTCAGCACGTACTGTTTTTGCAAAGGTTTGAAAGAGCGGTGTGAGGATGCCGTGCTAGTAGCTTGCGATGAGCGCAAATTAGACTTTGAGGAGTTCAGTTCTTGATTCAGCGAAGAAGTGCTGCTCGCATGCGAGTTAGCAGCATCATTGCCATTTAGTTGGCTTTGTGGGGAGCTCACGGTCGACGCACTATGAGAGCTCAGAGACGCGAGATTTGGCGGCAGCACAAGCGTGGGAGTGAAATTGAAGTCCAAGCTCAGCGCTGATGGTACCCTGTTGTAGTTACCACTGCCGGTGCTGACGGAGCTGGAACGCGCTTTTTGGCGCCCCGGAGACGTTGCAGACACGCCCGTAGTTCCCTGTGCTCCCGCTGCATTTGTACGTCCACCAGACGCACCAGAGACCGAAGGATGTCTACTGGAACGTGCAGACGGTAGCCCCGATGGAGGTGAGACCATGCTCATGGCGTGCTTCAACCCGCTTGTGTTGAGCTTTAAAGTGTTCATTGGCGAGTGACTCTGCGTTCCTGAGGGACTTCTGAGTGATGTCGCCGTATTGTAACCAGGGCTTCTAGGCTGCTGGCCCTGCATGGTGCCTAGTTGTCGCGATGGAGAAAAGGAACGCGAGTTGCCATTAGCAGACAGAGACTGCTTCAATTTCGACCGGGTTTTCGACCTGCGCGAAGACAAGTTTTTATCCTCTAGCGTGTATCCCTGTTTGAAGCTGAAATAGTCCTTATCTGACATGTGTTCTGTCGTATTACTCTCGGCAAGAGAGTTTCTGACCTTTGAAGCTTTATATTTGTACTTGTTTCGCTATTTTGAACATAAAGAGTCATGTGATACAGCGTCAGGGTCTCGTCGCTGGTTTTTGGTCAACAAAGAGGTTTCTATGTGAGTGGGAAGCACCTTTATAATTGTTTTCATTACTATGTTAGTTGTGTTTGTTACGCTTTGATTGTTTTGAGGACGCTAATTTGAGGAGTTTAGCTGATGGTCTTATTTTTGCAGTAATCTTGAATTATTTGTGGTCAAAGGTTATGATGTTATGGTAGAGTTAACGGACTAGGGAAGCGAGTAGAGTAATGTTAGTAGCGGATATAGAGTTTTGGGTTATTTTTCCTATCACCAGTGTATCGCTAAGTTGTAAATAAGGCCTTTCGATAAAAGTGGAGAGATTAACTAAAATTGACAAGGACAATGCGCGTGGTGTCTGCTCGTTTCAAGATAAACTATATCTCGTTGTTAAAAAATTGAGATGCTTGTGATTACAGCTGAGTGTCTTCTTCTCAGCAATGTTTTCACTTGCGGCTAGACCTCTAATAGAAGTTGCAGATCGTTCTGGCAGTCAGAAGTTCCTCTAAGTCAGAGGTTTTGAAGAAGTAGAATTACGATTATGTGGTATCTGAGGTAATACTGGCACGCCTATTCGTGGCTTGGGAAATTGAAGTAAAACTTTTGAAGCGATTACTTGTAAACTCAATGTCAGTGGAATACTTAATTATAAATTAATTCATATCATACATACATGACATCTATTTGCATAAAAGTTTGACACCACATTGTAATGCGGACGAGGTGGGCCTATAGGGCTTCTAAAACTTTAGTTCTTATCAAAAGACCGTAAAAATACGAAATGATTGTTTCTTCGTGGGACTCTTGTAATTTACTACATATTTACATAAACATAATCAAGCGAATGCCTGCACCTAGAGCTACGATGGAGTCATCATTACTTTTGAAAGTTGCTATTTGAGCAGCTGAGAAACTTATTGATAAGCGGCGTCCTTACGATCGCGCTGTTATTATAATGTTTTAGCATGACACCTTCCATCTGGCGTTTAATATTGCATCTGACAGCTCATTTTATATCTTACCGCTGAAAAATTCAGCGATCGGAAACCATTCTGTGACGTGATCTATGAGGCTGAAGCTGACGATTTCAATAGATCTGGCTCGACTGAGACCAAAGATTGACCAATACTGACACGGTCACTACAAAAAAGGTAAACTTCTGAAACGTTCCCTGGTGTCAACTATTAGCTCGAACCACACAGCGTTGTCTTTCATGAGAAAGCAGATTTGAGAAGCCCTGAAGGAAATTTTTGGACCTAATTTAAGCCATTTTTTTTACTGCTGGTTCTGTGACTGATACTTTGATCAACCTGAACTGTCAATCAAACGAAGACATACTCAATTCAGCGACACAAGACCACAACAGGCGCCGATCACATATAGTATGGTGTAAATCCGAGCCAACAAAACTGGCCCCCAATTTCAGGGATCGCCCACAATTACAAAACAAATTACTCAACTACACTCTCAACTCATGACAAAAATTTGACTGCTTCATCCCAGATCACGCTTTGCCCATCCAAGCTCGTTATTCGCCTCGTTTCGAAGCTTCAATTGTTGCTAAATAAATCACCTGTCGTGAAGTGTCAAAATACGTTCTTTGCCAAGACCAGAATGAGAAAAAAGCCAACCAACTCTACCACCTCCAAAACCCAAATTCCTCACCTTTTCATATACCCGTTTTATTCCTTTACGCTTGCTAATGCCAGAAGGCAGCCCGGTGTTATGGCCTAAAAATCAAAGATTTAGCGAACCAAAACTAACAAAATGTCCCCAAAACCTCGCCTGATCTTTGATCCATATTTTACCGTCAGTTATACTATCCTTACCAACATTTTGCCCTTCTTTGGTGGGTTTCGCCCGGGTCGAGGATCTTTGACATGCGGTTTTCCATGAATTTCAATCCTTTGTTAAATGCCATTCCAGTGGCACAAGATTGACGAATAAAAAGATCCAAATACAGATTCAAATAGAGATCTGATGCCACTAAAATCTCGACCCATAAAGGCCTTTAAGATGGCCAACATTTCGAACTGAATATGATCTGACACTTTGTCACCTGATCTAATAATAGGCCCTGTTCATTGGATTCTAACAACCGTAGATTTAGGTTTCTTGAACAGTCACAATTTGAAGCCCAATATCCATTCATAGCCCACTTTTAACAGTTCATGGAACTTGATAGGTGTTTGGAACTGCTCTATGTGGGCCAGCTTTTACCCGAAGCGACTTTGAAAGCTCTATGTTTTAAACTCAAGGAAAAACTGGTCAAGGAATCCAATGTTGTCCATATATCCACACCAGTAACCGTTGTGGGAGACCTACATGGGCAGTTCCACGATCTTTTGGAGATCTTTCAGATAGGAGGTGCAGTGCCCAACACAAACTATCTTTTTCTAGGCGATTACGTGGATCGAGGCCTGTATAGCGTGGAGACAATTTCGCTGTTGATCGTGCTGAAACTGCGATATCCCAGTAGGGTTCATCTTTTGCGAGGAAACCATGAATCGCGCCAGATCACTCAAAGCTATGGCTTTTACTCGGAGTGCTTAAATAAATACGGTGGCGGAAGTGGGGTGTGGCAGTGTTTCACGGATCTTTTCGACTATTTGGTGCTGTGCTGCATCATCGACAATGAGCTCTTCTGTGTGCACGGTGGACTCTCGCCTAATGTGCAAACCATAGATCAAATCCGAATTATTGATAGATTTCGGGAAATACCGCATGACGGTGCGATGGCAGACTTGGTATGGTCGGACCCAGAGGATTCGTCAGCATCGGACTCCAACGACGGTCGTTCCACCGCTTCTACAACTCACTTCCAGGTCTCGCCGCGTGGAGCGGGCTTTACGTTTGGACGCAGCGTCGTGGAAAAGTTTCTGCAACTTAATGGGATGTCGCGAATCTACCGAGCCCATCAACTTTGCAACGAAGGCTACCAGGTTTACTTTGGCGGGCTTGTAACTACTGTGTGGTCTGCTCCCAACTACTGCTACCGGTGCGGCAACAAAGCTTCAATCCTTGAACTTTATGACAAAGATCATAGTTTCTTCAATGTCTTCGAAGAAGCTCCCGAAAACAAGCTGTTGAACAGCAATTCGGCTACGGCGACCGGAGGTTTCCTTCATGAATATTTTGACGATAGTGTGGGGACCGCGGACATATTCTCTGATGAGTATCAGGTAGCTTCGGCTTCGAAACGACATGTGGAATATTTCCTGTAAGGGTATAGTCTCTGCGCCAGCATCGAAACTTTACTATACCACATGTCAACATGTGCCGAGAGCTACTTCTTAGCCCCGTCTCTCGAGGTTTCGATTAAGCCCTGGGGCCTGCATTCTTCGCACTAGTAAATACCTTTTTGCATCAATTTTACTGCATCAAAGCACATCTGCAGTCAGACGGCAATATTCACTAAACCAGGAGCACATTTCTTACCAGTAAAAATCGGGGCCGCATGAAAAGCCAAATGTTTTGTGAAATATAGCTTCAGTGCTCAGCATTCGAATATTTGTATAACTAGCATTACGGAAAAAGGAACAGTATGACATAGGTCACATTAAGCAGGGAGAAAACTAGTGAAATCACCCACATTAAACGACCTGGCTCATAGAATTTTCGTACTATTTTGCGAACTGTGATTGAAGGAAAACTATCGCTGTTGCGCAAATCGTGAAATGCTTTGGAATGCGATCGTGTGCGTCAACAACAAACCAGTTCGTTTACACATTGAGAGCGGTAAACACCAGGTTCAAAAAAACTCTGCACGCTCTGCTCATGGTAACTGCTTTAACTCATACTATGCTAAAAATTCTGTGCCCTTGAATTGAACAAGTCGAGCAAGATACAGCGGGTCTGTAACTTTCCAAAGAGCTATTCATGCAATCAGATGTCTTCATTACGATGCGTTTTGCTATTGAGGTTGCAATTATCAACAAGTTCGCTCATGGATCGCTTTTCATCAGCAATCCCATCAAGCATTTACATCACTTCCGAATCACAGGTAGTACAATTCCAAATACGTCCCATCGTGAACCTCGTAATCCTCCAAACTGATGTGATCTTTCAAAACAGAACCACCTTTCTGGAGTTGGATTTTCGTCCAAGAAAGACCCAATTGGAGCGAAAGAACTTTTTTAAAATCACCTACGAGGTCTTCACTCATGCATTTAACACTAATCTTCTTTCCAAGACGATCGTTGACCTCTACTTCTATCATTGTCGGTCTGATTCGAGCTGTGGTGATTCTTGTTCAAAAGATTGATACATGCACACATGTGTGATGGGCAATTTAGTGCAGCATTTATGATCACGTGATGGGCTAAAATCTTACTGCTGCACCCGCGACAGCGTTCAAAATCACTATTCAAGCATTTCAATCAGCTGTTATGATTGGAGCTTTGAGCTTTGGTATTTGGGAGTCACCGGGCTGTTTTATTTGCGATTATGTTTCGGCAATTTTGTCCGTAACATTTATCGCGATCAATAAGACATACGTGAAAAAGGCCTTCAAGATTTGTGCTATTTACAATTTTGAATGCTCCGAAAGTTGTTGGTCTTTGATGTGAAGTTTTTGAAGTATCCACAATGGAGACACATTCTATAGCCATTTTTGTTTGCACTTGCTTTGCCTCTCTTTCCTAGGGTTTTCAGAGATGAGCATCTGAGCGATGTCAATTACCTGCTTGAGAGTCATAACAATTCTGGTTCTCTCACATCCATGGAGAAGCAGCACAACTGCTGTGCCGACAACTCAGCTTGATAATTCGTTTCTATACGTGAAATTACAAACGAACGTCTCGTAAGCTGACACCTTCCTGGTATTCTTCCTTGCAGTAAACTTTGGTGGTCTAAAAGAAGTCGCTCATGGTCTGAAAAGACTCGTTTCACAAAAGCTCTTATCGCTCAACTGAACAGCTAACTAAAAGTCTGTTACTACCCAGAGAGCGACGTTTTAGTATGAGGTGATAATACATTTCATCTGAGTCGCATTGACTAGCAGGTATATTTCAATGCCAGGGATATCAAAGTCAGATACACTCTCATACGCATTGTCGTTCGTTCTTTGATGTTCTTTGGGGTTCCTCCCTTTCAAAGAACAACTAGAGACCACGACACCAGTTCTAATCCGACTGGCAAATATATATGAGCAGCTCACTTTTTAAAGGTTGATTCAACCATGCTATTGCACCACAACGAGATGCCAACACGGCACTTAAAATAGCTTCTCAAGTTCATAATAATATTACTTCAAGACGACTACAATATTAAATCAAACCCGCAGTAATCCATCAGTGTATTTCAAAGACTCGTCTGAATTCATCATAGACCAAAGAGCACCGACTAAGTTCAATGAGCCTATCTGGAGCTCGATCGAAGCGGTGGGAAAGTCACTTCTTATCTCTTTTACAAAATGAGGTTTTCTTGGATACAATGTGTCAATAAAACACTGTAGTGAACTAATCTGAAAAATTTGGAGAATCAAGAGTCGTTTGCACATTAGCTTCTACTTTTGGCAAGCAAAGAAGCCGTTGAATTCGCTAGTTTGTGATGGTAGTCAATGTCCTGTTTATAGATTCTTATGACTCTTTTTCGTACAACTTGGTGAAGTTGATTCGGGCCCAAAGCGACCAAATTCATGTAACCATTATTCACAACAACACATTCGCTTCATTTGATGAATTGCGACAGTTTTTGACCTATTTCGACTGCATTGTGGTGGGTCCCGGACCGGGGAACCCAAAGAATGGCTACGAAGATGTGGGGTTACTTAATGAGATGTTCTGCAGTGAACTACAGGTTCCAGTGCTCGGAATCTGTTTGGGATTTCAGGTGATGTGCTTGTCTGCAGGTTGCACTATTAGTCAATTGAGCGAGATCAAGCATGGACAAGTATATGACATTAAGGTCATTAGTTCAGAAAGTAATGAGGAGGGGTCTTCGCGGAAATCTTTGTTTGAAAACTATCCAACAACATTCAAGTCGGTGCGCTACCATTCGCTAAAAGTGTCGGTCAATGCCGATTCTACCAGTGTCTATCCCCTGTGTGATACCACCGACGAGAATGGGAAAGTGCTGATGGGTGCTCAAATTGCCGCAACACCGTGGTATGGCGTTCAGTACCATCCAGAGTCTTGCTGCTCAGATTTGGGCGGCCTTTTGATCTCCAATTTCCTGACCATTGCTAAGAACTTCAACAAGTCACAACAGAGACTGAACTCAAGGTACCGCCTGGCAGAGGATGATCTTCAAAGGCAGAAGATAATTGCACTTTTGGACAAAACAATTGATAAAACCAGCGTCTATAAGAAACCAACGCTTACAGACTCAAAGATAACTATAAAAGAACACAAGATCGCTCCAAACGCGCGGTTGGCTCTAGAATTTTGCAATTCTTTGGCAGTGCCATTCTTCTTGATGTCCTCTTCGACTATTCAGGATAATAGAGGCGAGCATTCCATTATAGCGTTACCAAACGAACGGTCCACGGTTTTTACGCATTACGATCAGCTGCACAAAACTTTGGTTTATAAATGGCGCGATCGCAGAATTTCAAAAGACATGATTGCAGCAGCAACGTCAAATAACGAGGTCAACGTCGAAGGGCTTGATTGCATAAACGAAGATAAAGGTAATTTCTGGAAAACAATTGGAAGCTTCATGAAAGACCAATTGGTCTCGAATAGGCCCGATCTTCCATTTATTGGAGGGTTAGTTGGGGTTTTAGGCTACGAAATGGGGAGTTTTACGGTGAACAGAGATAAGGGTAAAATTGTGCCTGATGCTAAGTTAGTATTCATCGAGAATAGCATTATAGTTGATTTGAAGAAAGGGAAAGTCTCCTTCATTTCGCTAAACAATAACTTTCCTGCAGATATTGAGAAAAGGGTCCTCGATGTCATAGCAGTTGATGGCGTCAAATCGACTTCATCGGATCTGGCTCAGCTACCCCACGGTGTGGGGTTCGGCATAAAAATGCCAACGAAAGAGAAATATGCCGAGGCGTTCGAGAAGTCACAAAAATATCTTCACCAGGGAGATTCATACGAAGTATGCCTCACAACTCAGACTGAAGTGAGGCCAGAAAAACGCGTGGACCCGTGGAGAATTTTCCAAACACTTATTAGAAGAAACCCGGCGCCTTTTGCCAGTTTTTTTGAGTTCAGTGATCTAGAAGCAGGATGGTCCGACCTCTGCTTGCTGTCGACTTCTCCTGAGCGGTTCTTGAAATGGGATCGAGATTCTTGCGAGCTGCGTCCCATCAAAGGAACAGTGAAGAAAGACGAATCAAGCACTTTGGAGTCTGCGACGAAAATTCTCAAGACGCCAAAGGAGTTTGGAGAAAATTTAATGATTTTGGACCTGATCCGCAATGACTTGTACGAATTGTTGGACAAGGTAACCGTTGATGAGCTGATGTCCGTCGAGGAATACGAAACGCTTTACCAGCTGGTCAGTGTTGTGAAGGGACATAAGCTGCATGATTCACCGTACTCAGGGATCGATCTACTACGACACTCGCTGCCGGCAGGCTCGATGACTGGCGCGCCCAAGAAAAATACCGTCCAATTGCTGCAAGACGAAATCGAAACAGATCTCAATGCTCATCTCACCAGTTCAGGCGTACGCGGTGTATATTCTGGTGTCACTGGTTACTGGAGTTGCAACGACCGTGGCGACTGGTCCGTGAACATTCGGTGCATGTACTCGTACGACGATGCCGAATCGTGGCGTTTAGGTGCTGGTGGAGCCATCACGGTGTTGAGCACACTGGAAGGAGAATGGGAGGAAATGCACACCAAGCTTTCCAGTGCGCTGCAAATATTCCGCGACAGTTCGAACAACTGAAATTTTTGAGAATTGCCCTTCTTTTCAAGCCGTGCCGAAAGCTCTGCCCGTATTCGTACATCATTGATACCTTGCCCAGGATGTTCTCCTGCGCTCAAATTACCTTCAGGTCTCGCTAACAATAGATCAATGTTGGTCGAACGTCATTTCAAATTCCGAATTATATCTCCACGACTATCCAGAAAATAAATCCCCAAAGCTGTCAAGAATGAACCGCGCTGCTTGCTCATCCTACAAAAACAACTAGATATTCCTACCAGCCCCACAAGTATAAACTCAGCTTAGCCGTTTGTAGTCCATTCGCGCTGTCACCTCGATATCATTTTTTTCCAAACTGTCGTAGCCCGTTGACGATCTGGGAGAAAAAGCCAAACCGGATGATACTCAACTTTTCCCATTCTCCCTAACCTCATCACTTAAAAACACCAAAAGGAAGTCCTGAAAGACTTGGAAAGACCTCACCTTAAGCCATTATTGTGCAGTCCATACTTTCTACCAAGAAAACAGCCTTTTCGTTCTCTTTCCAGCCGTTTTTTCCGTGTTTTCTTGCGACATCTTTCCGTCAGGTAAAGAGACGTGACAGAGAGTGTTCACATCTCACCAGGGATTTGTTGTTAGCGTGAAGGACAACGCTTGCTTGTCATAATTGAAAAGCTGTGCATCTAGTGTTGTGGAGAAATGACGACTACAGTGCCCAAAGTTTTTGCTTTCCACGAGTTCACAGGGGTGGCAGAGGCCGTTGCAGACCATGTTGTGAACGCACAGAACTTGGCACTTTCCAAAGAGCCCTTTGCCATTCGAAATGGCGGTGGCGCAAGTGGCAGCGGAAGTACTCAAGCGGCCAATGGGTCGCTGGCAGTGCCACAATTGTCGGGGCACGTGTCGCGTCAGGCCAGCACCAGAAGCATATCGGGTCGAGAGCCCAGCACGCCTGCAAGCGGGTCGTCAAATCCTAATATTCGTTCTCCCAGTAGTAGCAAGCTGAAAAAAATCAAGGAGAAACGATTCAAAATTGCACTTTCCGGTGGGTCCCTCATCCAAGTTTTGCACGAGGGCCTTTTCAAGCGACAGGATGTGCAATGGGGCAAGTGGGATATCTATTTTGCAGACGAAAGACTGGTGCCCTTTGACTCGCCGGAGTCGAATTTTGGGCTCACGAAACGCAAAATCCTCGACCTTATCGACACCGCGACTTACGGCTCGCCCCGTGTCTTTCACATCAATGAAGCGCTGATCGAGGATCCTCAGGAATGTGCCGATGACTACGAAAAATTGCTGATAAAGGGCTTTGCTGGCAGAGACTCTGTGAAACTTCCGATGTTCGACCTTTTCCTGCTGGGGTGCGCACCCGATGGCCACATCGCGTCATTATTCCCCAATTTCCAAGAAAACCTCAGAGAAAATTTGGCATGGGTGGTCTCCGTCACCGATGCACCCAGCGGGCCCTCGAACAGAATATCGTTAACTATCCCAGTTATTTGCCACTCTCATCAGGTCACATTTGTGGTGGAGGGCGCTACAAAAGCCCCAGTTGTAAAAACGATCATGGAACGCCCGGAGAAAGGTTTGCCCAGTAGTATTGTTAATGAAGGAGCCGCAGGACGTGTTGCCTGGTTTGTTGATGACGACGCATTGACCGATGTTTTCGTAACGAAAAAGAAGTACAAATTTTTGGTCCACACTCAAGAACCCGAACGAGCTCACACCGAGAGCTAGTCATGCCCAATAAAAGTGGAAAAAAACATCTAGTCACGAAAGGCATCATTCAAAGCGCAATTGTCATTCAATTGAAAAGTCTCGGTGCGTGAAAGGCGCTATACCGGACTTTTCGGTCTGTTTGTCACTGCTGACCAGGGTCAGTAGAATCCTTTGGTTTACATGGACAGGTTAAATACCGGATTTCGCTGTCGTTGCTATCAAAATCAACCCTGCGTCCTTTAGTTCCTTCCATCTATTTTCTGTACACAAGCCATTGGGATATGTATATGAGATTAAAGAGTAATGTCACAAGAGCGATACCAACTCTACCAAAATTAGCACCCACAACTTCTAGCGTGAGAACTGGTTCATCTCTCTGAATTTGGATCACCAATTGGCACAGCGAACATACGCTGCCCAAGACATCGCACCCGACACTTTGAATGGGGAAACCCTTCATGCTTTTACGTTCGAAGTTGTGTCTGATCTGCGGTACATATTTTAGAACAGACATGCTGATCTTAAGCAAATATAGCTTGTTACAGAACGCCAGGGTATCCAAGTTCTGCCAGCCGTGCTGCGTTTGTTGCCACAGGAGCTGTATGGCAGAAAGCAGGCAAACAGCAACACTGGTGGTCAAAATTTTAGCGTATATCGGTTTCATTCGAGTGCTCCCGGTTTGGTTAAATTTCCACAGCGTGATCCCCATAAGTATTTGACTCAACACTACCAAGTTCATGGCGAAACCATGCAGACAGTACCAAAAGTCAAAAGATGTGACTTTTGGTCTTGGTAATTCTCCCACTGCTTTTGACTCAATCTGCCACTTATATAGCTGTAGCCATAAGGAAGTAAGCAGGTAGAAGTATCCAACTATATTCAGCATTACAAAATCTAGAGATGTAGCGGCAGCAGAGTTGCGTCGCCAATTATTATATATCGGTGGATAAGCCGAGATCGACCATGGGATAACGTAACCGTAGCCCAGTAGTTGCACAGCGTCCATGTTGTTTAGCTGGGGACTTTATTTATGAACCTTTCGCGTTTGTCTTCGAGACGTGTATTTAAAGATATTTAAGGTCTAACAATTTAAAGTTAGGACTATTACTGAAGAAAGAGCGTTTATGATAGATAAACTCACAATGGAGCATTCTTCAACACTAAAAGATACCGTTTCGTTTCTCGTAAAAGCTCATGCCAATTGAATGCAAGTTTGTAAAGTATATGTAATTGAGTCGATCTCAAATCGACTGTTCTATGTCTAGTTATATCAGATTTTGTATCAACCATCATTTTGGGTGGGTCGAGCTGTAAATTCTCCGTACGCCTGCATACAGATCATCGTTGTATCTTCAAAGGTACGCTAGTGGCTCAGATGGTGTATTATTTTCCAGCATGCGGTGATTGTTTGTTGCTCTCTCGAACAAGAATCTGCCGTCCTGAAGCGAATACTCATAATCTTCGTCCAAGCGCGACCTATTTGCGGCAGGTGATACTGGATGCGACGCTTGGGCAAGGTCGCTCTCGAGATTCGTAGGATCAGCAAGTATGCCGAATAACTCGTAGCAATACTCTCTACCAAGAACTTTGATGAGAACTTTGTTCTTGAGATTGAAGAAGTATCCAAGAGGCACAGCAATAATGAAGACGACAGGCAAGTACCTGTTAAGTATGTCAACTAGTGGGATCAGCTTCAAATCTTGGTAAAGCACTCTTTCAAAGCTGGATTCCTGGATCCCGCCGGTATGTGAGATCAAGGTAATAAAGTTGAAGCACAATGGCAGCAAAAGCCTGCTGGAGTATAGTGAGTAGTAAAGCGCATTTTGAGGACTGCTTTGGCCATTGGGTATCAGGTGTAGATTAGCAAACTTGAAGCAGCTCATCGCATACAAGGACGCCAAGGTATTGTAAACTAGAATGGAAATTTCAAGCAAAAAGTTGAACCATCTTCCGCCTCCAAAAAGATTTCCGTGTGCAAAGCGAGAGGGTGTCAACTCCAAAAGCATCACCAGAGCTGACAGCGTCAAACACATGAGCCCCAAAGCCCATTTCCCAATTTTCTGCATCCACGAGATCGGCTCGACTTGAGATTGTGCCAGGTTGTGAATAATGCGATCAGACTTAGTTTGGTAGTACAAGTAGTTGTAATACTCTGTTTTAAACGCGTTGAAACGCTGATTTAGTTTTTTCAGGCTAGGTGGTGACTGATCGCCACGATTCACAGCAGGCAATTGAATTTGGTGCTCATTGACTAAGGACTGCACCTCCAGTTTACATTCATTCAAAGCTTGACTGAGTGTCACATCGCCATTTCTCACCTCTGCCGTCGATAGTATCTTACTGGCATACTCGGTTAAGGCCAATTTAGCATCGTTGGACTCATCATTACTTTTACTCAACTCCACAAAAAGTTTATTTTCGTTGTCGTCATCCAGTAGAATGCTCTTAGGAAGAAGTATTAGACCCATTGCAAGCAGAACCAGAGTGTAGGAGAGTGAATATAGGTGGGATAGCGAAATGATCAAAGGTTTCAGGTCTGCCAGGCCACGTTTGGCGCCCAATTCCAAGTAGACGATACCAGCGAGCAATCCAACCGCACAAAGTGCATAGAACTTTACGTTGGTGAAAATGGCCTTTTTCACCCGGTTGAACACCGACCTTCTGTGGGAAACGTCCCCTTGCGTGGGGAAAAAATACTTCAAGTCGAGGTAAGAGATCAGCACGGGCAAAACAAACCAACAGATTGCAAACTCGAGCCAGTAGATTATGTACCATAAAATCGACACGTCAGGCATTTTGTCTGTCTTCAAATCCCTAACACTTAACAAATTGAAGGTCTTTGAGTTTGTGCTGACGGAATTCATATCATGTAGCGTTTGAGAAGCATTGGTGCCATCAGGCTCTTCAAAAGACGATGTTTTTGCCGCGTAAAAGACATCAAGTGGTAGGAGGTAGGTTATCGATAGCAGGATCCACATATTCAACAGTAAAATTGCCAAAGTAAATGGAACCGTATTCTTGTGCCGTTTGAACGACAGGTATCGGTTAATGAATACGAACGAGCATATAGCAGTGATACCAGTTGCAGCGACAATGACTGGCCAGAATAGCATGGTAAGGACAATACCCTTTAGTATCGAGTAGCGGTAGGAGAATGAAATGACGGTTCTCATGTTAAAATAACACTTGAAAGTGATATTTCGTTTTGAGTGATGTGATTGGAAAACAGTCGAGATTTTGAGGCTCTGGCTGCTGGGCCATTCTTTAATGCTGTGGATACGAAGCTGAATATTAATCTGGTACAATCGAGCTATAGGTTGGATCGTTAGTGAAAGTGTTCGAGTCGGAAGTGTAGCCTGAATTTTTTATATCATTTTGTACTAACAAGACGGGTCAACAGAGGGTGTTCTGCCCTAAATTAAAGAGCCTTTTTGGCCTTCAATTAGGCTCGTAAACTGGCATCATAAGTCTTTACCCTCTGCTATATGTCGGAAGGAGACGTGTTTCTTGGGTATTTCTCCAAATTGTCAAAGTCACATGCTATACCTGTAGTGCTCAATAAATCAAGTTTCGATACTTCCATCAATTAAGGCAATTTGGCCGAGTGGTTAAGGCGTAAGATTAGAAATCTTTTGGGCTCTGCCCGCGCAGGTTCGAATCCTGCAGTTGTCGGATTTTTTTGGAATAACTAACAAATTTTTTTTAACATCATGAAAATAGTGTCAGTTCTCAGAGAAACGCTCAAGCATGCTGGAATAACAAGACACACATGAAAATGGAGCCCTGAAGAGGACACCGATTCTTGTTACCCAATTGCGACACCAATCACAGAGATCAATGGGTAAATTTGATTGATGACGGAAATTCGAAAACCAGGTATCATGTCACTTTGTACTAATGTGGCATTCCAACTATTAGTAGTTGCTACAACTGGGTGTCAATAGTGAAGTCTCTGGAAAAGCCAGCAGTATTCAATCAAGCATATCGTGAGCGCCGAACTACTACTCAGCTCAGGGATCCGACCCTCCAAATCATCTGTTATTTTTGAGCATATTATATGATTTTAGAGCCGAGGTCTCGTGACGTTATATTAATCAAAGTATACATATAATTCCCTATAAAGCATCCCCAGAACTCAGTTCACCACAAGGTCACCAAAATAGGTTCAAATGAGCTCTGAATGGGCCCAAAAAACCAAGCTAACACGGCTGGTTATGAATGCGGTTGGATTGCTGATTTTTGACGAAAATTGCAACGTTATTGAAGCGTCAGGCGTCGGAAAAGACCGTTTAGCAGACATCGTAACAATCAGCCAAAATCCGGTCGGCAACGAAGGTTTTGGAGCGCTAGAAGGATCAAATTTGAAGGCCGCGGTGTACCAGCGGGATGGGAAGACTGTTGTCGTTTACACGGCTCTAAATAGCTGAAAATTTATGGTCCTCCTTGCACAAGCATGTAAACTATATAGTAAGTCAATGAAATTGAACAAAATCAGATAAATGGTGACCAAATACGCCAGCTACTCGGTTCAAATAAAACCTCCTCCACCCCCACCTTGATAATTTTGTCTGCCAAACGGATCGTCAAAACGAGCACCAGGAAATGGAGGCTTGGGACCTCCCGTCGACGATGGGTCTCCACGCAGTGGATCGGACCAAGAATCGTCAGGATTACTTTTGGATGGGTCAAATATCATGCCACCTTGGCCCCGTAGTCGACCTTGGGTGCTTGGAAACTGTGATGCTGGATCCTGCAAATTAGGGTACTTTTGCCCACCTGGGTACAGATCCCGGTCTCCGTAGCCCGACGCTAAGCCAGGAACTCCAAATTCGCCTGTGACTGGAATTCCAGAGCTTTGATTAACCTCGTACTCGTCGTCGAAACGGGGCATATCTGAGATACTGTTGCGGCGGTGTGCCGACCGATGCGATGCCGACAACGGAGGGTTGCCGAACTTGAGTTTTTCCAATCTCTGATGAACCGCTGCATACCCAGAAGAGCTCATATTGGACTGTTCGGACTCCCCAGTCTGATTTTTCCCCGAAGAAGTCCTGCTTCTAAGACGAAATTTTGCATCCAGGCTTGCGTCGACTTTGGGACTGTAGAACTCGCCAATCCGATATTTTTCAAGCGGGAATGGCACTTCTTCATTGTTGCTGATAAGATCCCGGTCATATATGAATATTTCCTGCCGGATCGGCTGTTCGTCGCTGCACACAGAGACCATGCACTTTTGGCTGCCACTCATGTCCATTAAGACCACCTCCAACACGTCGCAGCATTTGCACTGCAGTCTTTGACATGCAACTGCGCCATTGATACTCACTTTGAACTCGATGTTCTTGCGAGAAATCTCTTTGAATTTAACATTCGCATTATCTGCAAGTAACTTGCAATGGCCCAAATAGATGAGGAAAAAATGTGCAATAAGCTCTAGTTTGTTGTTGATATGATCGGTTTCAGAGTTTTGGCCCATTTTCACTTAAAGTAAAGTCAGTTGTGGTTCAGAATGTGTATACCATAGAGATCAAGTAGCTTTGTTGAACTTACGAATGTCATCGCGGTGATCTTATAATAACTTTTGACAGTTAGAACGTGATCAACTTGACTACTATAATAGTGACACATTTTCAGATTTTATTACACAGTGGGTTCAGACGATGATAGCCATCGCCAGATTTTGTTTTTTTAGGATTCATTTGAACATCAACTATAAGAATTCACTTGAGTTCGCTGATCTCACCGTCGCGTGCTACCAAACCCATGACGTTTAGGAACAAGTTCAAGTCCTGGTATAATTTGTCACGTTGATACATAGCGATCTGCTGTTCTTCAGCAGGCGTCGAAGAAAGCAACTGTTCTGCCCTACTGATAGTGCCAAAAATCTCTTCTCTGATTTCATCGATGATAACCCGTTGGTGGTTGAGTTTACCACTGAGGGCCAAGGAGGCCAAAAACTGCCAAATGTAGGATTGGTCGTAGAACTGATGCTTCTGGGACTGGCCAGCGGTCGCGGATGTGACTGTACCAGAGGAGGATGCAGTCACGACCTTCGCAGTGTATTCGTCGGGTGGGAAGACAACGGCAAGCTTAGTCTCCAGAGCCGTGAACAGCTTGTCGTAGATTTCATTCCACGAAGACGCCTCCATCGACGACAAAACGTTGCCCCTGCTAACATCCTGCTTGATGAGCGCAGCACGGGAGATCAACACGGTGATGAGGTTTAATCCGATTTTCGATGTGCTGATAAAGGAAACGTTGTTGTTTTTGACCAGAGCTAGAAGCAACCCTAAAACCTCTAAAAACTCGGCAGAACTCGATAGGAAAGACACGATGATCTTGAGAAACACCGACTGGAATAGCTCCAGTTTTTTGAGCTGCGAGTCCGAAGGGTTAGGGTTGGTTTTGTATGAGCTGGTGACAATGATGTTCAGATGTGATAGCTCGCTGAAGAAGCAGTACAGCAACTTGAGCTTCTGGTCCTTGTTCAAAAAGTTGAAAATGCGGGGCATGATCTTGACACCTTTGTCAAAAGACAGGATGGAAATGAACGGAGACACCTCGTAAGCATCGTCGGCGATGTGCAATGCTTCCCATAGCTCGGTGCTATCGGTTTCCTTGCCGCTTCTTAGTTGCGCCTCTAATTCCAGAACTTCGGCGTAGACAGTTTCGATCAACGACAAAACAAACTTTCTGCCACCTGAGCGGGAAAGAACCGCACGCTGGTCAACGGACCTAAATGCGTACGAAGACCGTCTTCTAGTTTTTGAGGACGAGGAAATGTCTACTCCATTCATACTTTGAACCACATCCTCGATTGCTGAAGAGCTGACGTCTTCGTCATCGCCTTTTTGCAAGGGAATCTGTAGCTGTCTTCTTGGGGCCTTGCTGTTTCTCGCAGACGAGATTTTTCCCAACACTCCCTCTTTAGCACTGTCCAAGTTTTCGCGGCTCTTCTGTGGTCTTTCTTTTGCCACAGTGACGGCCTTCTCGACCTGACTTTGCATTCTCTGTAGAGCAACATCGGCACGCTTGTAGCGGCCTCCAAGACGATGGCCCGAGTGCTCCAAATAGGCGCGAGCAATCAAGCCCTTATTGGACTCACCAACGATGCCACCACGCTGAATAATCTTGTAAACTTGAAAGTAAAAGTCCTCGTTGTAAGGATCATCCGTGACAATCTGCGACAATTGATACCGAGTGATGAAATCCTTGTCCCGGGGAGTCATAACACCACTGTGCCTTAAGATCTTGTCGACTTTGGCCTGACGAATCTGAAGTCTTTTCAGATCTTCTGGACTCAAAGGCTCTTGGGGTTTACGCATAGAGCCACGGCGAGCCCCTCTTGGCGTGCTTTCACGAGAGTCTTGTTCTGTAACAAACTGACCTCTAGAGCTAGAAACAGATTGAGGAGGTTTTGAGACTTGTGGAAAGAGTCCGGGAGCTGCCATGACGGGAGACTTGGTCGTAGGTAGCTGAGTTGAAGAAGTAGCAGATTGTTGACTCAATTCTGGCGACTGTGACGACCCAGGAGCCACGAAAGAAGCCTGTCCAGATTGCTGGCCGGCGGAAATAGGTTGCTGGTGCTGCACTGCATGAGAAGCTTGTGAAAAACGCTGAGGAGGTCCGGCCATGGGCATTGGGACCGGCATTGGCATTGGCATTCCTCGAGGAAGACCCTGGGGCATTCCCTGAGTCAAACCTTGTGGCATGCCTTGAGGTAGGCCTTGAGGTAAGCCCTGAGGCATGCCCTGTTGCATGTTCTGAGGCATGCCCTGATACCCAGCCTGTGGCATGAATGCCTGTGGAGGATAGCCGTAACCGACAGGAGGTGGTGGGGCTACCCCACCCACATAGCCGTGTTGTGGATGCTGTTGTTGCAATTGCTGCTGTCTCTCCAGCTCTTCCATAGAGAGTACCTGCACTTCAGGCTGTTGCTGGTACTGCTGTGGTGGCATGGCCCTAGGTTGGTTCGTCCACAGCGACTCCATTGGTGTGAAGTCCATCCCGTCGTCCATAATGTGTGCGGGACCAGTATGGTATCCGGACATGGGCATTTCGGAACCAGTGGAAGTCGCAGCAGACGCATATGAACGGTTGAGAGCCGGTTGGCTCACGCTGCTTTGACCCACAGCTTCCAGCTCGCCCTTGCCGTAGCCAAAATCAAAATCAGCGCCCAATTCCGTGGCATTGCCAAAAGTTTCATCGTTCAAATAATCATCTTCCTCTCCCTCATGCTCTCCGAAACCTTGGTAAGTGTCTTCGAAGTCCATTGCAGCTTCTGGACTCTTACTTTTACGATTATTAGCCTTCTTGCGAGAGTCTCGGTTAGAACCCTTGTTCTGCCCCGAAAGACTCGTATCGAACCCGAAAAAAGACATTTAGCGGTGCAGAATGGCTCAATTGAGAGTTACAGAGACCTATCGGCTAATTAAAATATAGCTTAGGCGGGTTTGATGCGTTTTGGTTAGTCTTTCAGTTATATACAATTATCGAAATAAACTCGTCAAATTCTCAATTTAGGAGATATTGGAAAATTTTAATCCAGATCGTTCCGTACGATATGGGCGTGAGATATTCGCAGATCGGCTTTGAAGATAATAGTGTTGGAATTCGTTAAGAGCTCAAGAATAGCAACCGAACAAATGGACGGACAAGTAGTAGTTAGAACTCTACAACACTGATGTGATCCCTGCTGTAATGATTGATACATGTGCTTTTTAACATTTATATCACTTCTTACGATGAGACGTTGTGGAACGTATTCATGGCCAGCTCGATAGCGGGTGCCATCCGTCGTGCGTCGTTCGTCGTTCGTCGTTCGTCGTCCAGCCTTTAGTAGACCAGCTTTCTGCCTGTAATGGTGCGCCGCGTTTGCTCTCCGTCGTCCGTTTCGTCTAGCTTGGCACGGTTCAAGACCTTGATGAAGGAGTCGACTCTATAACGCATACGCGAGTGCATGAACGCTTTAGAGCATTTGATGTGATAGTGGAAGTAATTGCGGAATAGCACCAGATGGCAAACCGTAGAGAACTGTAGCTCTGGTGTCTGGAAATGACGTGGGAATAGCACGAACGTGATAAATCGTCTGTTCTTGTCGGCCTTGCGTGCTGACATCAACGACGCCGCCTCTAGAGGTGGTTCGTGTGAGAAAAGCACCTGTGGAGCAGACTGGATGCTCCGGTTCCGCTTTCTGGCGTCCACAAATTCTTGTAAAAACACTTTCCCAAAGACTTTGTCCGTCTCATCCTGGAAAAAGGTTTCAAATATCACAGTGATACGGTCGTTGGAAGGTTTCACAAAAATGTTCTCGTCGTCACGGTATTGCAGCTGGCGCACGATTCCCGTATCGTTAGAGCCCGAAAATGAAGCTGGATCCTGTGTCTGTTGACTCAGCTTTGAGAACTCGTGAAACGCCAATTGGAAAGCGAAGCTCATAACATGGATCTTGAGCAGCGAGAGCTGCACGATTGCGTCTGGTTGCAGCTGTCCCAAGTCCACCGTCAGAGTATAGTCATATCCTTGTTCAGGCCCCACTGGAGCGATTCCTGGAAAAGCACTGTATTTGCTTTCTAGATGCTCTAAAAAGCCTTCTCCGCACTTCAAAACACTCTGCCACGCTTTGGTTTTGATACTCAACCATAATACTGCTTTGTTCTCTGGCGAGTTTGAGAGGTGCAGCGTCGTGTAATCGAAATCTGAGATGACTCTGTCCAAAGTCAATGGTGTGCCACTTTCGTTGGCGTTCCACGCCTCGGTCAACGTTTTTTGTACCAGCAAGTTTTCCGGTTTCAGATGAAGCATTTCTTAAAGCCGCTAATAGTCAATGATGTCTGAACAAGGGTCTACTGGGCCGATTCGTTGGACTGTTCGTTTTCTTCAAGATTGGGCCCCTATGCTATATATCCAATTCTATGAAATATTGCAGAATCCATCACAGTAGACGAACAGCGTTCTTCTCGACCTACCAGTAGAACGAATTGAAGTCTATGTACATATATATTTACAAGCTTAGACGGCTGGATCAGTTCGTTGACTTATGACTGTTGAGGTTTCTTCACCCCGTATTTGGACCGTGAAGTAATGCGGTTCACCACACCGCTCAGATCACCACCACCGCGAATCACACGGTACTTGACACCGGGCAGATCCTGGCAACGACCCCCACGCACATACACTATACTGTGCTCTTGAGCATTATGGCCCTCACCCGGAATATAGGCGGAAATGACCTTACCGTTTGTGAGTCTAACTCTGCACGCTTTTCTCTGAGCAGAATTAGGTTTCTTTGGCTTCAAAACCATGACTCTGAGAACCACACCTTTGCGAAGTGGGCATTGGTAAAGATCGGGAGACACGGTCGCCTTTTTGCGCTTTGGTGGCTCTACGCCTCTTTTGATCTGATTAAGAGTTGCCCATCTCGGCGTGCTGACGGCAAACGAACGGCTAATTGCGAGTATTGGCGATGCTGGGAAAGGGGGAACGGGAACTTTCGGTATTAGAGAAAGAAGTGGAGCTCTGGGAGCCACTACTCTGGCAGCGAAAAGGCGAGAAAACATGCTTATCGAGGCTCTCTAAACCAATTTAAGTGTTACATTAAAGTATATGGAGCGTCACGAATTGATTAAAACTTTTCGATGATATTTTCGTGTTACATGATGTGAGATGAATGAGATTTGGACCACCCGTAAACCAGAAGTGAGGGACGGTTAGCAATGGGATATTGTTGTAGGAGTTTTTGTTGTATCTATTTGGTTCTTGTTGGTTTCGGGTTATTAAACTCGTATCGTTTTTTGGTGAATTCTGTGGACCATAATCGTCGCTGTATTTTTCATTTGTATAAATATTCGGGAAAACCAGTTGGCTGAGTGACTTTGAGCGTATAACGTGTACAGAAATTAGCCATGCTTTTTCTAGAGTCTAAACTTAAATTGTGGTCACTTCCTGTTAATTAACAAAACTCATGACAGTGGTAAGTTTATAATTTGATTCGTTTTGCTCTTTGGATGAAGTTATTGGATGTAAGCGTCGTCTGTCAGAAGCACATGAGGTGAAATTTGACTGGCTACTCCTCGGTTATTCCAACCCCCGCATACTATAGTCTCATTCCTTTGTATCTTTTCGTCGTTTTTTCGCTGCTGCAGTTTGAGATAATATTTACGACTCGAGCTGTGACATTCCTATCGATATCACTGCATAGTCTTGAAAATTGTAGAATATCAAGTACATATCATTTGGAGCACTCATGCAAGCCCAGGAACTCCCACTGGCGACTTTATTTTGACTGGCATCTCCAGCTTGCAGCTTGCTAGAAAATCACTTCGTACTACTGTGTCGTTGATGGGCTAACGCGCCCTTACAAACCAAATGAACACACTTAAACGCATGAAGCCTACCATTTTATGTTGCTGGAATAGAAAAGCACCTTAACCAGTATCTGTCGGTGTAATCATAAATACAACAAGTTCTAATCAAAAATATCCTAAAAAGCACTTTCATATCTCGATGTCCACTTGAGACTGGGCCCAGCAACAGAACCAGCCTCTTCAAGCTCCATTCTTCATCATTCTTGGTTGTCTTACACCCATCACTAGCTTTTCCAAGCGGGAGGGATATATGTTAGTCCTAGATACGACGAAAAGCTATCTACACATAATTTCCTGACTACTCTAAAGTAAAACCTTGTCTAACACAATGAGCATCAGAAAAAAGCTCATCAAAAGAGCTTAAAAGCTAGTTGTTCACTTTGGCTTGGTTCGCTTCTTCAAATTCAAAATCTCTTCCTTTAATTCAAATCTTGTACTTTTTGTCTTGACTGACATCAAGGATTATTAGATATTATATAGTTACAGGAATTAAGGAACGCTAAAGCCTCTACGCGTAAGCTGCGAGAACTAGCCGTTCCAACTCGAAATGGGGAAAGCTCAACCATTCATACATTTGAAGCCTGCCAATTTAGTTCTAAAGGTATCCGATAAAGCCAATAGCCGCGGTTCGGCTTCTTTACTCAATGTCAAGGGTTCACCAAGGTCATCCCCATCGCGTACACCAATGCTTAAAGTGAATCTCAACAAATTTCCAGGTTTTATAGGTCACTGCTCGAGCAGAATCAATAGGAGAACAAACGAGGATACGTACTCGATCAACATGCTGAAATTACCGGCCTCGGGGCCTGAAAGAAACTGCATAAGGAATACTGATATACTGGACAAGAAAGCCTACTGGGACACACAGTTGCCCCTGAAGAAATCAGTTTTGAACTTATCAGTATTTGATGGTCATGGAAGCGATCGTGTGGCAAAACTGCTGGCTCAAGAGCTGCACAACGAAATCGCTGGCACCCTCCCTTCTAGAGATGCATTTTTCGATCTATTGGAGGAGTATAAGATCAAAGTAGGTGGCAAGTACTGGAGCAAGATCTATGACAAACGCAAAGTTTATTTCCATCGTTTCATTGCCAACTGTAACACAAAACAAGAACAGATACTTTTCGACACTGGCAATTCTGGATCACGAATGATCTTCGATTCCTGGGGCAATATTATAGACAAGACAAGTTTGCTTACGGAAAACGAAAGACTGAGACTATTCACTGCATTTCTCAACTTCGATCTAAAGTACTGCTGCGATTCAGATATAGCCCGTGGCTTAAAAAACCAGGACTACAAACCCATTGGCGGGTCCACAGCGTCCAGCGTCTTCATCACGTCGTACCACGAAGAGGACTCTTTCGACGAATCTTTCTTTGTCAGTCCAGAGGGTCTGCTAAAGCTGGTGGTGACGCAAGTTGGCGACACCAAGATAGTGCTATGCGACAAGAATGGAATCGCACACAGCTTGACAAAAATACACCATCCTACTTCTTTCCAAGAGTCGAAGAGGCTGGAAACAAGTTTTCAAACCGATTCATTCGGCAATACCAGATTTTTGGATAGTTTCGCAAATACGAGATCCTTTGGTGACTCTGTTGGAAAACAGGAAGGCTTATCGTGCGAGCCCGACATTTATTCGTACCTAATCGGGAGCACACGATCATTGCAGCGTTCCGAAATAAGCAAGCTTCAGTTTGGAGGTGATGAGTGTTTTGTCTGTCTGATCACCGATGGTGTCTCTGATCTTATCAGCGACCAGGAGCTTGTGGATCTGATTACTAGCACGGTCAACCTCCGAGGCTTGAAGGCGGCTTCTCCCCAGTTTGTGAGCGAGGAGGTTGTGAGGTTTATCGCTGCCATTGGTGGTCGACACGCAGACAATGCTACATGCCTGATTTTGCGACTACCGAACTGGGGGAACTGGCCTTCCATTGATCGCACTGGTGCTATCCGTGAGGAAAAGCTAATGGCAGGTTTTTCTGGAAGCGAAAGAGCCAATGTCTGATCGCTAGAGGTATTCAAGCCGATTATGACTGTCGTGACAAGAAAATCGAGGGTTAATTGGGAGTCATTCGAGAACCAGTTTCTTTCGTGATCGGACCTTATTCGAAAACCGAACTTCTTCACATCCCTAGGAGTGTCGCACCATTCCCTTTCAAGAACTCCGAGTCAAAAAACCATTGATCTATTGTGCTGATTACCGTGTGACCATTTTACTATTTACATGCTATTCATCCAGACCATCTATTTATTCTTGGTTTGAGTGTAGCTGAATCTCTTCCGCGTGGGCACAAATTCTCCCAATTTGCTTCCAACCATATCCTCAGACACCTCGAATGCCACGTACTCCTTTCCGTTATGGACCTGGAACTTTAGTCCAACAAACTGCGGCAGTATCGTTGCAGACCGAGCATTAGTTCTAATCGGAGCACCTTTAGACAATGCCTCCTTTACAGGCAGTGGTACAATATTTGGACCTTTCCAAACCGACCTAGATAGAAGATACAGACTTTGACGCATTTTGCCGAGTGTAGAGAGTCAGAAAAGTGTTATTCAAGGCCCTTTGACGTTGCCCTTTGAACATCTCGAAATATCATGGTTTGAATTTTTTGAAAATTTTCTAAACCCTACCCAGCTATAGTGTCAATGCTAAGCGATGAGCTAAGAGTAAACCACTGATAGAGACCCAAAGAAACCATGTTCGCGGCGAGATTTGATCCGTCGCAAGTGCAGACGACTTCCGAGCCAGTCAAAAACTTTAAACTCGCCTCGAAACCGGTAATACCGTTGAAAAGAGGCAAAGAACCGGACCATGAGAGTGGAAGTGAAAGTGAAGGTGAAGGTGGAAGCGGAAGTGAGGTCGAAGATGTCGAAAGAGACGAGGAGAAGCAAACAGCTCAAGTGGATTCGACACAGGCTCCTATGGACGTAGATTCCCAGGATGCTGATCCTCGAGGCGAAAATGATATCGATGCCTACAGCAGTCGAAACGCAAGTGTAGACTCACCTGGGAAGGCTCCACTCAGCGACAAACATTCTGGGCTTCTATCCCGTTTTCAAAAAACTCTGTCTATCCAGCAGAACTTGAAACCATCCGAATTGGTCAACTCCGAGGACGAGACCATGGAAAGCTCAGAACAGCATGACCTGGTACCCATACCTCAGCCAGCGGTCGTGAAAAGCACACAACTAACGGTAGAAGCAGCTAGTGCTGTGAGCAAATCTGCAGCGTGGCTTCATACGCAGAAAGTTCAATATAACAATTCGATGATCAAGCCTTTCGCTAGTTACAAAACAGAGCTCAGCGAGAAATTGTTGGCTAACATCACAGCTAAATTCTCACAGAACACTTTCCCCATTCAGACTATTCTGCTGGACACGGTACTGCCGAAATTGAGATTTGCACAATCCGTGAGCAAAAGGCACTACCCACGCCGGGTAGGAGACATCTTGGTCAATGCATCCACAGGTTCTGGTAAAACCCTCGCCTATTCGATTCCTGTTGTTCAATCTCTGTCGAAGCGTACTGTCAACAGGCTGCGATGCTTGATCGTCGTTCCTACCAAGATTTTGATCCATCAGGTGTTCGAAACCATGACGAAGCTTTCACAAGGCACAAGCTTGGTCACCGGTATCTCCAAGTTAGAAAACTCCCTGAGGGATGAGCACAAGAAGTTCCAGAATCAAGAACCTGACATTCTCATCATAACGCCGGGCCGTTTAGTTGACCATCTACAACTGAACTCTTTTGACTTGAAAAACCTGAAGTTTTTGATTCTGGATGAAGCAGACCGCTTGCTCAACCAGTCCTTTCAAAACTGGTGTTCCGTTATTATGAACATGTTGAAGGCCGATAAAAATGAGGCAGCTCCCGTAAGCGTCATTAAGATGGTTTTTAGTGCGACGCTGACCACTAACACTGAGAAATTGCATAACTTGGAGCTCAACAGACCTACCTTATTCATGATGGACTCAGTGAAGCTCTATCATTTGCCGAAGCATCTACAGGAATACAACGTTCAGATACCCACAGCCAAAAGCTTTGCAAAGCCATTATTCATGCTGCAACTTATCACTGCACATTCAGAGGCTAATTTACGTATCTTGATCTTTGTGAGAAGTAATGAGGCGTCTTTGAGACTAGCCACGCTTCTACAGCTTATGGTCTCTAAAAAGGCTTTGGGAAGCAAAAATGACTTCCAGGTCACGTCTATCAATTCCAACAACACTAAAAGTCTAAACAACAAGCTGATCAAACACTTTGCTGCCACTGAGCCGGGCAAAAAGGGACTCAAAGTCCTTGTCGCGACCGACTTGATGTCGAGAGGTATTGATATTGACAATGTCACGCACGTCATAAACTATGATTTGCCAGTATCTTCTCAACAGTATGTGCACCGCTGTGGTAGAACCGCAAGAGCTCAGGCTCATGGTGTAGCTTTCAACTTGCTTGTTGGAAAGGGAGAACAGAAGTTTTGGTCTGATCACATCGACAGCGACCTCAGTAGAGATGTTGACGGTTGTCATGTGAAATCGTACGACGAAGTCGATACTTTGAAGGATATTCTGGTCATCAGCGAAGAAGTCGAAGAAGAGTATCGCGAGTCTCTAGCGGAATTAAAGAGTGCTAGCGATAGTTAAACCGGTCTCGTCGAATAGAATCGAAAAGAGCGGGAGACGATACTGGATTTCGTATGGTTTCGAAACCAGGAAACGATTGTTCTTATGGCGGCGAACAGGTAAATTTGTGAAACCCCCGCGTCAAGGTAACGTCCTAATGTGTACTTGGCGTTGGACAGTCGTAAAACGAGTATCGAGCTCTTTCAGTTTCGAGGCCCCTCCGCATGTCGAAATGTGAATGTCGGCGAAGGGCGCTGTTTGTGGCTCCTGTGAATGTGTTGTGCAACGACCAAATATAAGAATGACAAGAGCCGAGATGGAAAAAGCATAAGAATAAAATCTTCGCTCATTTGCTGAAAATATTTCGCAGTTCAGGCCGATCATTAGGCTATCGTCACAATCTTGGCCAATGATCCAAAGATCCAGACATCTTGCATACAGTTCTCATCACGGCATCACCGAGTAATATTTCGAAGTCAATTGTCACCTCAATAAACGTGTGAATCAGTCTTCACAGTGTAGTTATCCGTCTCAACAACGCTGACACATCTCTGCTATATATTTCAAGACAAATAGACTTAACTTGTCTTGAGCTTAAACTGATGGGAACAATCGGGCTCGCATCTCTCAACGTAAAGATGCGATCTTAAGATCTTTGGAAATATAATGACAATGTATCACCTATTTGATGTAGTTTCCTCTGACATTGTTGTGGAAACGAAGCATTCGGATGGATAACAAGAGCACTAGCCTTCCAAGATTCGTAAAAGCGATTTCTGAGAATGCGCTCACAACAAGGTACAATGTTATTTCACCTCGGGCGTGAAGAGGTCGTTGGGCACTTATTACTGTTGATCAAAAGATCACTGGCGAATTGTCAGTTACCGGTCAAACACTTTTCATATAAACTGAAGCCATGAATTTGGAGTCACCGTTAACTCGTAGATCTGTTTTCAGTAGTTGGCACAGCGTCAAGTGCCATTTCTTGTTGCTCCACAGAAAGTCCTTGAGTCGCACGCTGGCATCGCAAGATGATTGGCAGGTGGAGATGTTCAGACAGGTTGAGATGCTTGCAAAGTACGTTACAGAGATGCTAAACTGCTGTATGAATGAATCGAAACGTCACTAACGGCTATGTCAGAGACATGAATGGCTTTAAAATGGAATCACGTCACAGATCATCGAACTTCGAGCTTAACCATCAAACAGAAAGCTTTCAGTCATGAAGAGTGACATCATCTGCGTCACTACCAACTCTACATTTCTTTCGGTACCTACGGGATTGTCAAGAAGGTAACAGCTAGCTCAAAGCTAGCTAAAACCTGAAACACAGGGGAAAACCAAGTACAAAGAAGTGAGGGCGAACCCGGAATTCCGAGCAAGAAAAGTAGGATCATCCACTCAGTCGAGATATTTCACCGCGATCGACGCGATCGAAACTATGATAAAAAGACATGCTTTTCCCAAAATTCTCCAAATTTAACGGGCATACTCAACGTTTTAGCAGCAACAAAGTAGGACGCTCCTCAAAACACCAGATTCTGCCGAACTCTATTTCAAAAATGACTACGACGCCTTACAGCTGTCGGTTGCTCCAGCCTTGACTGCTAAACTATGCCAAGACAGCATTGTCACTGATTTCAAGAATCGAGCGAGTTTCCCACATTTTGAGACCCTGGAAAGCTCAGGATATCAAAAACAATCGACACATCATTGTGGGTTGTTGTTATACCGGCAAGGATGTGCTCTAGCTCGAGTACTCATCCCAGCATGGGCTTTGGACCCTATCACATGATTTAGACGAACGCTCGGGACGTCTTCCTTCATCACCACTACACTGGACGAAAAGGCTATCTTGAACATCAACTTTGCAAGACGAGAGAGACACCGATTCGGTTGCCACAAGCTCGGAGTTGTATTTCCACAGATATTCTGAAACTAGATCAATGCCAAGCAAATATTTTCTAAATCCCCCCGACGACTTGCATTCGCTGACGGTCGACAGCAGTAAGCGTATATATCCAGACTTTGATCCCTGGAGACACACGCCGATTGAGGACAAGGTGTTTTTGAATTTCGTTTCAAAGGGCTACTACAATACCGCGAAAGTCAACTTTGAAAGTATCTCCTCGAGATCATCACTACAAGAATCACTGCCTGCAGTATCGGGGCTTTTAGCAGATCAGCTCTCTGAGGTCGTCAAAATAAGAGAGGAGCAGGTCAATAGAGTCTCAGCGAAACCTCGAGATCCCAGCTCTACAAATTCTGTAGTAATAGACCTCTGTGGACCTGGCTTCACCCTCCCAAAAAGGGTAACGCTCACAGATCACAAACGGGAGCTTTGGCTTCAGGAAGTTAGCTCCCCAAGCAAACCGCTGGCAGAAGCTGTGAAAACGATCCCTCATGGACTAAAAAGACGCCAGCTTTTGGAACAGTGCTCTCAAAAACAGATTCCCATCGCCCGTGCGATTTGGCTGATAAAATGCTGCTACACCCTAGAGTGGAAGATGTCCACCAGTAAACAAAGCCCCCAAAAGCACGATGAGATATCCGTAAAGCTTCTGCGAGAATGGTCAGAGGCAATGGCTCACATCCTGGAGCGATTGGTCTTTGAAATGATGCAGTACTACAACGAACCTTCAAAGCTGAAGAAATGGCGACAGCGAATAGCGTATTTTTTGAAACTACTTGGGAGCTGTTATTCGCTTGAGATTATTGAGCGCGACGCTTTCCATCATTGGCTTGTCGATTTTGTTGCCAAAGTCGAGAATTTCGAGTGTCTTCCAATGACCTTGTACATACTTTCTGTCTTCTGGAGCGGAATATTCAAGGAGAACAGAGAGTCACAGGATCCTCAACAACAGTTTCTTGTGAACAAAATGACGGAGACCTTGATCTACAAATACTACATGGTGTCAACCAGCAAATTTATGATTAATGACGAACAGTACCTCATCAACGATGTCAAAAAGAATAACAAGCTTTCGGAAGCGATTTTGAGTAACCTAAAGGCTCTCATAAAGGAGATTTTCCACAAGCAGTCCATGGAGGCTTTCATCTTTCCAAGTAGCAATTGGGAAATCTATAAAAACTGCCTTTACGAAATACTAAGCGTTGACAAAACAACCCACGCCACACAGCCTGATCTGAAAACGTCTAAAAAGCTCGAGCTGATAGTTTACCGGAACGACTCTCTGAAATTCAACACTATTCTTCATGCCGCTGAGGAAGGGAGCTGTGATCCAACCGATGAGCCCAGTGCCGATCTAGAAAGCATATTTAGGGCTAATAAGGTTTTAAAGCTAAAGCACATTGATTATGGCTTAACAAAAATGTTAGATGACAATAGTGCGGGCGACCATTGGATGATCGTTGCCGCTCAAAAAGTGACGCGAATAGATCAAGTCATGCAGATAATACTATGGGCAATCCATCCCTCTCGGTACTATCACTACGAAGCACCCCACCTTGTAGCCAAGTTATTTCTTCTCCAGATCAATTTCAAAAACACACTTTTAGAGTCCGGATTAGAGGAAAAGATTTGGTCTCTCATTTTTCTATTCGGGAGGATAAAAGAGGAAGATCTGAAAAGAGTGGTCAACCTGCCCCGGCTTCACCAATTGTTGAACGTTTTCATAGGATACGGGATAATCAAAGTCCCCACATACATCCGAAAACTCATTAGCTCAGGCGTTCTTTACTTGGCTCACTCCGAGGACAAGTTCTTTCACTGTCGATTACTGATAAATCTCAAGACGTCTCCTGTTATGAAAAGCCAGTATAACATGGTTTTGCGGAATGTCATCGACGCAAACCCCTTGTACTATGAGCGTTTCAATTACGATAAGCTTATGGAAATGTTAGAGAATTCGAAAGACTCACTTTTAGACGGGAACTTTGATTTTATCAAAGGATTGCCTTACAGCGTGAGACTTTTGACTTCAGAGTGGTACTTGAATAGAATTTGCTCTCCTAGAGATGGAGTTCTAGCACCCGTAACAAAAGAGGATGTCGTGGAAAAGCTCAACGTCTTTTGCATCAACCTTGACATGTACCATCAATTTTACAAGTGGATTGAGTTTATCGTTTATCATAAGCTGCTGAAAGACCTCGAGTCATTGGAATGCTTGGCCGATATCTTAATATATTACGACAAGCTGTTTTGCCTTTTGATCAATGACCATGTGTTGTTGACGAAGACAATACTCCATTTGTATTTCGACAAGTTGATATCGGAGAGCCCTGAAAGTCAAAGTCTAATTTTGCTCACCGATTTCTGGACATTTGTCATGACCAGGTTTCCACAAGCGTTGGAAATTGATCCCGATTTGCAAGCAAAACTTGTGGAGGCCAAGGAGTACGAGAAAACTAAAATCGAGAATGCTGCAAAAATAAGCACATGGGCAGATCAGAGTCACAAAGATCGTTCAATTGAACTTTCTGGGTATAACGGGGATACGTTCAATTTCCCTAGTGTTTTTCAACCCAACTTGAAAGCAGTGCTTGTTGCTGGTACAGGGAAAGAGCTTCAGTTGGCAAGAAAGAACATGAGAATACTTATGGCTGTTAATTCCAGCGAATACAACAAATTCATGTCGATATTTTTGAAGAGAAAGACTGCTACCAATGAAGAGCTGGCGAAATTAATATCGCTAAAAGTTTTGTCATGGACTTCCATAGCGAAGGTTCTCGGTAATAATTTTCTCATAGGCCTTCTCGAGACATCGTTTCACGAGCAAGGTGTGGGGTTTGAGTTACAGAAAAAGAGCTTCAAGAAGCACAATTTGAAAATACTATTGAAAACCTACTGCGAGGCCTTGCCTCAAAACTATGACAAGCTTCTAGAGGTTTTAGCGGAACATTGCTCGTCGAAGATGGTGCAAGAATACGCAATCAAAATATTTTCTTACATGGACGTAAAAGGAGGCAATCATATGCACCGGTTCGCCAACGACTTGCTGGATGTTGGTGTCAGCGATTCCGAAACCGAGCAGTTGGATGATGGCCGAAATCAAAACATCACAGATACTGACCTTAATAATGATTGCGACATAACAGAGGATGAGGAGGAAATTCTAGATTTCTTTCCGAGACTCGACTTCTCCAATCTTTGGATATTTCAAGCCATAACATGTCATTATCTACAAAACGAGAAAGATCAACATCACTGCGCAAGAGAAGATCTTGCAAGGTTTATTCTAGAGAGCATGAGAATGACTGACTTTGATTTTGCTTCTTCTCGGCTCTTTGACAAGGTCACAAACGCGAATACCCTCCAAAAAACGCTGGAAGTTCTTGAGATTGATTTTTTGAAGGATAGGTCAAATCAGGATTTGAATGATGGTTCTCAATATTCGGTTGTTGTCGAGACTATTATCAATATTTCCAGAAGGCTGAACAAAGCTTTCAGTGGAATCATACCGCTCAGTGAGGAAGCCTTCAATCTTTTACACACCTGCTGCAAAGAATTTGCTTCTAAAACCTCGGAGCAATTGAGCGAGCTAGAATTCCGGCTGGATGTGTTCCTCAAGATTTTTATTGTTCATCAAAAGTATATTGTGGAAGAGGGCTTACAAAACTCACAGCTGCTGCTGAAGGATAATGCGGTCTTCATCAAAATGTTGTGTATTCTTTTCCACAAAATCGACTTCAGCCTGAAACTGAAGCTTCTGTTGTATGACCTACTTTCATCTTTGAAGGCGTTTGCCGTCTACTCGCCACCCGGAAAGGATCGCCATCTTACTCATCGGCTGCCATTCCAAGTGCCACAAGAACTTTTAGATTTACCTCCCTTTCAAATCTCATCGTTTATGCCAGATGAGAACTCAAACCGCTCGGGAAACGAGTCAGAGCTCGGAATTGAGGAAAGCAAGACTACTAATACCAATAATGCACCTCAATATTTTATTTTCAATCGAAAGACCGAGACCTTCGACGCAAGGTTTGTGTTGAGACCATATCACTTGCTGGGAAATTTCCAAGAAGCAGGGCCGGACTTCAACAACACATGTCTAAATTTGTGTTTATTCAAAACCGTCCTAGATCGTCGGAATCCAACATGAACCGCCACAAGCTACCATTATGAAAAGTCCAACTCCGGCGTGTAATCACCCTATAAATGGGGGCAGGTAGCGTCGGATTATCGTCGGTAGTTTTTTCAGATGTAAGGTGGTTGGGTTAAGCCTTCAATTAAACTATTATGTGATCACAGTCTATCTATATCAATGGTAGTTTCAACAGATTTGAGAAATTTCCGCAAGCATTTGTCTACTGAAATGCGCAGGCTTAATTCATCGTCATTAGATCCACCAGACATGTGAATTTTCATCAGGACAATATACTGTTCAAAATTGATCTTAATGATTGTCAAATCCTCATATGCCAGTCGACAGTTAGCACGAAAATCTGCCAATTCTTCTATTGATTCTTTGAGCTTACTCTTCACAACGCTTGGGTCACACGGCATGCTTTTTTCCATTCCACCAAATGCCATTTTGGGTAAGGTTGAAGGTGATCTTGATACTTCATATGTTGGTGTTAGAATGTCTGCGCTATGGTCAATATTGTCCAACATCAAACCATTTAGCGAAGCCGTTGAAAAGCCCATTAGTAGAACAGTGGAAGTCCATTTGGCAATTTTCCAGCCATAGGTCATAATCAGAACAGATAACAAACCGGTAGCGAAGTAATCTGAAGAGCTGGTGATTTTGGATATCCCTGGTAATAGCACAAGATATAGAATGTAAGTGCAAGTAATGAGCGGATTCTTGATCTTAAACCTGGCATGAGTATTCGACTGGAATATTTTGAATAATGTAAGTAGAGAAAATACCAAGGTAGGTACCAAGACGCCATACCAAAGACGTGAGTCTGCGGAAGTTCGAGGAAGTAACTGATTGTGATGCGAATGTGGGATCTTTGGGGCAATTTCATCATGCTGATCGTGGTCTGTAGACTCGACGAAAATAGCGATTGTTTCTTCCAGTATATGAAAGAATAAATCGAGACCCATAAAACACAACGATATCGCAAGGGCAAAACTCAAGAGCAGATCCACACGGTTCAATCCAAATGGGAATTTCACTGTCCCAGTATTCCAAACCTGAAAGTGGGACAAGTTTTCAACTAAAACGACCGCGAGAGATCCTATGACATCGTAAAGCACTAGATGGGACAATGTAATAAAATTGCTCCAATTTTTGGATCGTCCTAGGTGGAATGTTGTGATGCATGTCAGCGATTGTAGTGCCACCAATGTGAGTTTGACATACCCGCTCGGCCATTGGATATTACTTCTGAGGTCCGCAAAATCGGGTATCGGAAGTGATTTGGCGATGCTTAGGGGAATTTTGACTTCAGGTTCCTGAAAGAAATTCATCGAAACGGAAGAATGCTTGTACCTATGGCCTTTACGAAAAGATGCTCTCGTAGCAGAGCCACCCGAATTTGGTGGTTGCAAAGTCGAAGATGAAAAGTTGAACGGTTTCTCAAGTACGATCGAAGAACGTCTTTTGGAGCTATCTGGGGACGGCGACCGATTCAGCCTCACTGGGGACTTGGATCGAGAAGAAAGGGGCGGCAGTTTGGGACCTGGCACATATTTGAGCGAATTGCGCTTGCCATTAGTTGCGTTATTGTCTTGTGAAGCGTTATTGTTACCACCAAAGCTGAACGATGGATTTGCTATCAAACTGTTACTGGAGTTGTTTCCACCGGCCGCTGAGTAAAATGAAAGGGGTCTTTGGGGAGTGTTTTTCTCCCCAGTTTCGAGCGTCCGTAGTGTATCCTTGTGCCCTTCTTTAGTCGATTCCTCCTCTATGATACAGTTCATTCTCTGAGGTGTTAAAGGAATGTCTGCGAAGGGCGAATCGCACCCAAATTCTTCCCGGAAAATTGCTGGAGTGGGTGAGCTCATAGCTAGTAAAGGCTGGGTTGTTATACTTATACTTCACCCGGTGAAGCAATGGTTCTAAAAGCTGTGACATTGAGTTAAAGGTGTGCGCACCACCAAGGTAAAATATGTGAAGAATGGTTAATTCGTTGATAGTGAAGCGAATATTTTGGAAGGTGTCAGTGACGGCACTTAGGTCAAAAAAAAAGAGATCAAATAACGGCCACAGACGACTCATTCACGTCTTCAGATAATAACATAACTATAGCCGTAATTTTAGCAATTTTCCCGGACGACTTTGGACAATTTTTGGGCGAAATGACTGGTAAAAACGGACGACGGTCTAGTGATAATAATTTGGAATTGAGTTCTCAGCTTGAAACGAAGTAGTCTGAAATGCACCTGTTTCTCCTTAAGTTGATTATGCGTGGGATGAAGAGTTTAGCTCAGTGTATGGTTCTGTACTGCTTTGGAAAATTCATTTCAGAGAGATGTGTCACTGCCGAAAATGCAGGAATGAAGCGGGCAAAGATCAGTTCGAGAGCCAGTAACGCCATGAATCTGAGACATTCAATTGATTGGCATAATTATAGTTTCGCAAGTGCTATTGATCTGCTGTTTGGAGAGTCTGAGTACTTTATGAATTTCGAGTATCTTATAAAATAGCAGCCCGACGCTGCTTAAGGAAGAAACTTAACCACAAAACTTCACATGTTGAAACAAGAAAGCTTTTTGGTAGCTTCAAATACCTTGTGTGACACCGTTAGTATGTTAAATCTCGAATAAGTCACCTAAACTGCTAGATTTAAAATGCTTAATTTCTCGCCTCACAGATCTCGCATCACTGCTATTGAAATTGCTGGTGGTAAAAATCGTTTCAGTGCTTTCAGCTGTAGTCTCACAATCTTTAAAACCGCGCTCCTTATACCAACTGCGGACTATTCTTTACAGATTTGGTATCTTTCTCAAAATGATATATAACAGATGATTAAAATGACCATAGGTTTATCGAGATCTCACTTTCAAAATCTAGAATCAAAACATACCATCGCAGTTGAGCCATGCTCGGACTTCGAAGAACTCCAATTGGGGTCCTGAGGGCCATCAAACTACCCATAAATTCTACCTCTCACAAACCGTCTTGGAATGCTATTTTTACTGCAAGATTAAACTCTACATCTGCTAAGGCGGAAAGCAAGGCGGTATTCACCGAAGAGCAGCTGAAAAATGCACGCGATGCGAGACTTAAGGCATTGGAACCATACCTATCGAAGTTGCCGGCCAAAATTATCCCTTACGCGGAGTTGATGCGTCTGGACAAACCCGTGGGGACGTGGCTACTGTATATCCCTTGCACTTGGTCTATCACCATGGCCGCTACGCAAACTCTGGCCCCTGTTTCCACGACATTATGGGCATTGTTCTTGTTTGGAGCGGGATCTTTAATCATGAGAGGAGCTGGATGCACGATCAATGATCTTCTGGACCGCAATCTCGACAATAAAGTGATCAGAACCGCGGAAAGACCCATTACATCTGGAAGAATCACGCCTGCGAAAGCAGTGGCATTTCTAGGTGCTCAAACTACTGTGGGTGTAGGGATTCTGTCTCAATTGCCCGCCGAGTGCTGGTGGTTGGGGCTTTCGTCCCTACCTTTAGTCTTCGCGTATCCATTGTTCAAGAGATTCACATACTATCCACAGATGGCTTTAAGCGCATGCTTTACATGGGGTGCACTTCTTGGATATCCCGCGATGGGAATCATAGACTGGTCTGTCATGCTTCCGCTGTATACTAGTAGTTTCCTGTGGTGTATGACCTACGACACCATTTACGCTCATCAAGACAAGAAATTCGACATCAACGTTGGCATCAAGTCAACGGCTTTAGCCTGGGGCGATCGCAGTCGCAAAATATGCACAGCAATGTCAGTAGCGCAAATCGGCATGCTGGGAGCAGCAGGTGCAGCCAGTGGACTACTCATGGGGCCCGGTTTCTTGGCAGGAACGGCGATCTTTGGCTACCGCTTGCTTTCCATGGTAAGAAACGTAAATCTCGACGATCCCGCAGATTGCTGGAAACATTTTACAAGCAACATCCGTTCCGGACTATTTCTCAGCGCTGCGTTGTTATTTGACTACTTCCTCAAAATCTTCGGGGTGTTGTAACGTTCTTATTAACACTCACAATACAATTATGATATATACAGCCAATTCGTAAAGCCACAGGGCTCATTATTTCTTGTCTTTCATCACTATGGACCTGGCATTGATGGACGGATTCCGTAACTTCGATCTAGACTGTTGTTCTATCAGTTTGGTCATATGGCTGGGATCGTGATCCGCCGCAGGTGTGACGTTCATGTTGACCATGTTACGCTCCAGGCTTTTCACTGATTCGCCTCCGAATAGCACATCAAAGATCCGACCATCTTCGCCCCAAAACTTGCCCGACCGGTTCACCACATAGAAGCGGTCCCACGTAGGTCTATCAGTGTTTGTGAGTAGAAAAGCAAATGACGCTTTGTCTTCTGTGCCTTGAGGGCCCACACCGGTGAAGACTCTGGTCTTCTTGTTGCGGACGATTGAGCTCACGGGCGCTGACGTTGAAGTGGGCTTTCCAGAGATCAAAGCACGACGAGTGATCTGGCAAACGCCTTTGGGCAGATACGTGACGCTAGTCGCTATTCTGGACGGCACATATATGGCCAACGCAGACAGAGTGAGTGGAATGATTGACAGCAAAATCGAGCCTGCGATTCGGACACTGAGCAGCAACGATGAGTGTTTCCACCATTTTTCGGGTGACGTTAAGCGCTCCTCCCGGTAGAGCTCCCAAGAGCTGGTAAGCGACCAGTCCGCGAAAGAGACTCCGTACACTGCAAACACGCCTGCAAGAGTCCAGGAACCCACTTTCATCAGTCGGGAAGGCTTGTACAAGTATATTTGTTCCGGCGATGTCTTGGCCAACAAAGCAGCTATTTTTGCCGACAAAGGCAGCTTGGAGGTCGCGAAAAAACGGCATCTGGCCGTTCTCACTGTGGGCAGTCCCAATCTAAGCATAGAAGGCTTGCGGGACTATTCCTCACCGTTGTTCTTGCACTGTCAAATCGAGCTAGTTAGTTCATAGGAAATTTTGTATATATCAATCAATCATATCATTTGGAAAAGTCAATCTAGAAAAGTGATGCTCGAGAGAGGAGGAGCGAAGCGATTCCTAGCTTTTCTGGCACTATACTATTCTTTAAAGTCCAAGATGGCCTGTTCGAGCCCTTTAACGTTGGCTCCAACGACTTTTCCCACAGTCTGGCTCTCTTTAGAGAGCAGGAAAGTGGGCATCGCACTGATCCCGCAGTAACCCGCAACGTCTGGCGTTGCGTCCACGTCCACACGGTAAAAATCTACGGTAGGATTTTGAACACTGAGTTTTTCGTAATGGGGTGCAATTGCCTTGCACGGTCCGCACCAGGTTGCGTAGAAGTCGATAACACTCAGTTTCTTGTCGGAAACGGCTTTTTGAAAGTCTTGGAGCGAGGTTAGCTGCGTTACGGTCGAATGAGATCTCAAAATGTGCACGCCGCTATGGTGCATCATTGAAGAGCGGAGAGGAGCAAGTCTGAACATGTTATGGTAGGATAATAGAGGTTTGAAATGGTTAGTTGCAAGGTTTTAAGATCTGCGATGCGATCGGTATTTAATCTGGAAATGATGGACACATTATAAGCTGTCGTATGAGATGATGACATTATTAATTTGATAAAACTACACTAATGAAGTTGGTAGAAGTTGAGTTCGAGATACTCAGTGTTCAAGAGCAGCGGAATGAACGAATTGCTTGATAAATGCTGGTGGTGAAAAGTTGCAATTGCTCCTTACGTTTTTTAATTTATTCCATAGTGGGTCACGTGATTCCATCTCGTCCCCAGCACGCGACTATCACAGTGTTATGACGCATTGTCTCAACAAGCTCAAGGTGTTGAGATGCTCCTGTTTATATTGTAGCGCCTTGAGCACCGCAACTTGATCATTTTGCAGTTCGAGCACCGTTTTTATTAAAATGCAGCGCCTTCACGTAAGAGGGAGCCAAACTACTGTCAAATGGACAAATTACAAGCTTCCAATAACCTGAATAAGATACACACGTTGACAAATAATGCTTTCGTCTGCTTACAATTAGTTTCGTTCCGTCGAATAAATAGTCGGTGACATAATAGTACAAAGTGATAAAACTTGGTTATAATAATTATTATACTTACAGCCCTCTAGGCTCCTCTACTCGATTCAAATGAGAACTCACCTTGCTGTGTAGCAGTAAACTCCATTACTTGGAGGCAACAACCATGTATATTTGCGAGAACTTTGTCGAATGGACTGAAAACTTGGATTTGGGCGTTTCGGCGAGTTGTAATATTGGTGATGACGCAAACGGCTACAGGAATTGAAAGATTTCTAAGTTCGAGAATTTCAATTTGAGACATGGAAATATCCGAAGTGGGAAGCTTCATGTGTACAGCAGCAGTGGCTTTTGTTTATTGCAAGTTTATCGAATGTGTGGCAAACTGACGTGCATCAAATTTCTGATAAAAGCCTGTTTCGATGGTTTACAGAGTAAACAACCTCGTGCGACAAACACATCTAGCTTACCACGATCTCTAATCGTCTCCGGCTTTCAGCTCCACAACCATTCCCGAAGTGATCCAGGAATGGAGAAACCAGTCGTTTGAGATCTTCCTAGAAGAGCGTACACCACGTGACTGTTCCCTTCTGGAAAACACCAGATCTCTGGCTTGAAAACAACCTCTCTCGCCATCCCTCTTGCCAAGTCTCTCTCGACAACTTTCTCCCCATCTCGTCGCCCGCGCTCCTTGTTGCCTCATTATTATTCGTTACAAAATGTCCTATTTACATGTCGTGAAAGACCCAACCGCTCTGGTGGACCAAATCGCGACTCGCGTCGCTTGCTAGTAGATACTCCTCCACATCGATGCCATAGTGGCTCCAATTCACACTGGGAGCCACCAAATCGCTGCTGCGCGCGCCGTTGCGGATGACGGGTGTCACGACAGACGAACGCTCCTTATGCTTTTCCAGTGCGAAGATCTCGCTCAGCAGCTGTCGACTCCCCATCAAGGTGTCCACAAACTCCTGGTAGTTGCGAGTCTTGTCGAGCTGTGCGTAGAGCAGCTGCAGCTGTTTTACAAGGTACTTTTTCCGCAGCTGCCGGTTTTGAAGATGTGCTTTCGTGTGCTTTAAAAGGGCGTAATCTGGGTTTTCTGCCAAATCTTCCTCTTGAAACTGCCTTACAAACCGAGCGGCGGACGTCTCAGCAGACTGTTCGCTCATGCAGATTGTCTTGATATGTGGCAGCGCACTTTTGGTTGCGTTGAGAGGTTAACGTGTGTGCTGGAGTGTGTTTGTTACTTTCGCAAGTGCTGGAGGTGTCTTTTCGTATTTTATCTTTCACCCTATTACGGTGAAAAAAATTACTTATTGACTTGGTATAAAGATACGCGTCGAAAAGGGCAAAATAGAGAGCAGGGAGAAGGGCGCGGAAGAGCGAGCGAGCTACGCCACATACCCACTGAAACATTGGGCGCTTCGCCTTCATTTTGGAGGTAAAAAACTACATCGTACATAGTGATTTGTGACTGTATCTTACCCAGTGCTCTGATTTTTTAGAGAGTTTGAAGAATTTTGTGGCGGTGCATGCGATGTGTGATATCATGTTGATTCTTTCATCTGTGTGGCGCGCTTTGATCGCGTCTGTCTGAGGTTTAAAGCGTTTGATCTAGACTTTTTGCTCGTGTGGGAAAAATGCCAGATCATGTAGTGTCATAATAGTACAGAGTGATCTAAAGAAATTGGCGTCTGTCGTCGGACTTTTTATGCTTCAAAAGCCAGAATGGGCGGTTGTGGTCAGTTCCAGTGAGGCTTCACTACAGCCAGCCCTTGGAAAATTCGAAAAAGGAGAAATGTTGTGGCTTGTCAAGAAGCGGTTTCAACCCAAATGACTACTAAAGCTGAAGTCGAAAGAAAAAGAATAAAAAATTGAATCAACATGTATGGTCAAGGCGAAACTACCTTTTCGATCTATTTTTACTGCCACGGTGCTCGTACTTTGAACGGGTTGGTTAATGACGAATACAAGTGTGTGCTCGGTTGGTTGTTTAATGCGGTTAGTGAGTGCAAGTGCGAAAATAAAACTTTGAAACGGGCTATAAGACATTTCAGCAGCCCATATTCAGCGTCGCATGTCAAACAAGCTATGAGACTCAAATAACTGACGTTGAGTCTGGAGAAAGCAGTTCTTAGATCACGTGACGAGCTTCGATGAGTTTGTTTAAAAATTTGCCACGTGATTTCAATTACAGAGACTCCCGTACAAAGTGCCACTGGATTCCAATTTATCCTGTCGTTTAGTTAAGATTCCCATGTCGATGAGTTTTCTACTCATCCAGTTTTGTAGAATAACAGGTCCCAATGGCTATTTACACCGTTTCCAAGACCGCTCCGGTCAACATTGCAGTATGTTGAACATTTATTTTGTCAATTGGGCGTTTCAAGCTCGAAAATCGAGCCAATACAGCGCTCAAAATTCAACCGTTTCAAACTTCGCTTGCTCATCGGACCAACTTCTTACCACGATCTGATACTAACCGTTGATTGCAATAGACCCTCAAATACTGGGGGAAAAGAGACAAAAATTTGAATTTGCCAACCAATTCTTCAATTTCGGTGACTTTGGCGCAAGATGACCTACGCACGTTGACGTCCGTTGCAACGAGCGAAACGTTCTCTCAAGACCAATTGTGGCTCAACGGCAAACTAGAGTCGCTTGAGAGCGAGAGAACTCAACAATGTTTGCAAGATCTGCGCAATTTGCGTTCAAAACTTGAGGCAGGCGACTCCAGCTTGCCTCCAATGTCCAAGTGGAATCTTCACATTGTATCTGAAAACAACTTCCCTACAGCAGCAGGACTGGCGTCTTCTGCTGCTGGATTCGCTGCCTTGGTTGCTGCTATCGCAAAACTCTACGAATTGCCCGAGTCGGCTTCAGAAATTTCCAAGATCGCCCGTAAAGGGTCCGGGTCTGCTTGCAGATCGCTTTTTGGCGGTTATGTGGCGTGGGAAATGGGATCTGAAGCTGATGGGTCCGACTCCAAGGCCGTTGAAGTTGCTTCTCAGAGCCACTGGCCCGACATGAAGGCTGCAATCCTCGTTGTGAGCGCTGCCAAGAAGGACACGCCGTCCACGAGCGGAATGCAACACACCGTGGCCACTTCCGACCTGTTCCAGGAGCGTATCCGCAACGTTGTGCCCAAGAGATTTGAGGAGATGAAACAGGCGATTCAAAGTCGGGACTTTGCGTCTTTTGCGGAACTCACCATGCGTGACTCCAACTCCTTCCATGCCACTTGCCTGGACTCATACCCTCCCATTTTTTACATGAACGATACCTCTCGCCAAATCGTCAAGCTTTGTCACCAGATCAATGCTTTCTATAAGGAGACGATCGTCGCTTACACCTTCGATGCTGGTCCCAATGCCGTCCTATACTACCTGGAACAGAACGAGACCAAATTGATGGCTTTCATTTACCAAGCGTTTCAGAGGAACTCTGGCTGGGACTCCAAATTCTCCGCAAAAGATCTAGCTGCATTTGAAGAGCATTTCACTTTCAACGTTGCCCCAGAAATGGCCTTTGACCTTGACCTGGACATGCATAAGAACGTTTCTCGAGTGATTTTTACCCAGGTGGGCCCAGCTCCCCAAGACACCGCAGAATGTTTGATCGACACAACTACTGGCAATCCCAAATAAGCTACTTGCAGTTATAATCAGGTAAGAATATACACAATTCTGAGAACCCTTCGTTAAAAATTCAATCGATGCCTACTACAAGCGGCCTAACCCAAATCAATCCAGAAAATTCACGGCCATCACTAATGCTGCACAAAGTTCAACCAAGAACTGAACACATTGCGTTTCTTCTTGACAAGTTGTCATATCTGTAAATATATATACATATTTATATGGAAAATGGCCAAGAAGTCATCGTGATGGTTATGAGTCTAATACAAAATAGTTGAGCATCAACGCTAACAAAGCATTGAAGAAGACCAACGATCATCATGTCGTCTGGCGGTGGTGATTCGTCTGAGCCTGTTCAGCTGAGCAGCGGCTCTTGCAAAGTTGAAAAGCGTGTCAAGAAACGAAGGAAGGTCATCAAACAATGCTTGTTCTGCAGGCAGAGAAAGCTAAAATGTGACAAGAAGAAACCAATCTGTGGCACCTGTGCTTCTAGGGGACTGAAGGATTGTGTCTATGTTGAGGATTTTGGACCTGAAGTGACGACTAAGGAGCTGCTGAAGACGACTCCCAATCTAGAGCTTATGAACCGTATTAGAGAGTTGGAAGAGGAATTGAAGACCTACAAAGCGGATTTCCAGCTGAGTCAGTGTCGCGGTGTCAACCCCTTGCCTCAACACGCATTGATTCTTTCTAAAGAAGATCGCAAGATGTATTTTGGATGCACTTCTCTGCGAGTTTTGATTATAAAGAGTAAACTAAGGTTTGAGACTTACTACAAGATGGTATGGGGTAAGGTGAAGGACGAACGACGTCGCTGGAAAGCGATTAATGGCTATTCTACGCTGAAGGAAGTGACGTCAATTGAAGACAAGCCTCAAAGTGGCAATTCGGTGCTCGAGGCGTTGTGCGCAGCTTTGCCATTCTACGAACAAATAGAGGAAGCACTGCACGAATTCTTGCGCGGTCCTATTCAACAGGGGTACGGAGTTGTTGACCCACTGATGGTACTCAAAAATTTTGAGCAAGGCTTTATTAAGGGTCCTAGGGACCCCATCTCTGGGATGCACCCTGTAGCACACTTGGTACCCACCGTCAAGAAAAACTACTTCAGAATTGGAATCATCACCGAAATTTTGAGCATAATTAACCGCAACCAACCCATCTCGCAGGCAGTTGATAACTTCAACAAATTCCTTCTTTCTTGCATGACGGCTAAGGTATGTTTCATTGAAAGAGCACAGTATCTATTTCTCAAAAGAGTATACATGATGATGAAAGGCTACATCCGTGGAGATCATAGCGGTACTTCCTCAATAACTCGACTTCTGAGCTTATCCGCCATACAGGTTGGACTTCAGGGAAATGTCAAAAAGGACTTTTCGATCCACACAGCGTCGCATGGTGAAGTCAAATATTTGGAAAACTTGTGGCTATGGACCGTATACGCAGACTTCGAAACCTCGATAGCAATTGGAATACCAGCTTACATTCCCGATCTATACTTGGACTACGCTTTGATTGAGAACGAAAACTATGGAAGCTACTCCTTTCTGCGAAGCTTAATAAGACCATTGCGATCGATACTGAGCGCCATACATGAAAGAGAAATGATTCCAGATATCATGGCAATCATAAATAAGATGAAGGCTCTCATAACAGCTAACTTCAGACACGCGCCATTCTACATTAAAAAAGAAAACCTAAGAACCGTTAATTTTGCTGAGCTTGATGTATACATTGGGCTCATATCGTCCCTCAATGTTTTCGCAAATTTACAGAGGACATATTTTAAGAATTACGAGCCACTTTTCGTCAACAGCACGCTGCAATTTTCTTACCAGACGTTGCAAATATCCATACTTGCCATGGAGGCTTATTTTGAGCTGGATAAAGAAGCTGCTAGTCAAGGAAAAACACTAATGGTTAAAGGAATTCCGCTTTACCTAAATCTCTCGCTATTTGTAATGCACAAACATGCAAGTCGGTGTATTGTAGAAACCTACGCTATGCTCTCATCCCTTCACAGAATTCCGGAGATGAGTGAGCTTAGAACGAAGTACGGACTTTCAAAAGAGTTCGATTTGCCGATGGACAGTTTGGAAGTTGTTTCTGATCATTACATTCCTTCGAAAGTAGCTCACGATTACTTGGTGGGCATTTTTGACAGCTGGGACTCACCGGAAAATTTTGACATGGTAAACTGTCTGAAGAGCAATTCATATAGCTTTGTTATTTTGCGTGCCATTGAACGCACTAGTCGTGACCTATTTCAACATTACTCAAATCAATCAACGCAAGGTTGTCTTGGCGCAAAACTAAGTGCCTCCGGACCTGGAAAAACTACTGAAGCGCAGAATACGCCATCGGATAATTTAAAGGTAAACACTGAGCTTACTGACGAAATTTTGAATGCCATGGCCGACGAGTTTTGGGACACTTTCGATCTGGACTTCAGTAGCTGGCTGAATACTGACATGACAGATCTTGACGCGGTATAAACAATCTATGTTAAAAAAGCAGAATATGGAAAATTTCGGTCTTCAGCATCGAAAAGAGCTTTGAGTCAAGTCTGACCGACCTGTAAAATATCTTTCGCTTGTAAATAAAACAGTATGTGGCCGATCTTGATCGCGAAGAGACTCGGACCGATGAGTCTATAAATCCTTCAATCTTTTATTGTTTATCTAAAATACAACTAAGTGCTTGCCGAACTATTCATTGACTTCTCTGATTTTGGGTTCTGAACTCGAACTTTTCTTGGTGTACTTCCAAATCCTTGCCTTACAATCACCGCTACCCGTAGCAAAAACGCCGTACTCTGGCCCCAATGGATGATCGTTAGCCACTGCAACGGAAATTACTGAATTTCTATGGCCCTGGAGCATAAGCAAAGGATTACCGGAAATCGTATCCCAGAATAGAACGCCGCGATCCTTTGATCCCGAGAGTATGAGTTCATCATTTTCCGTAGTAGCCACAGACAAAACAAAGTCCTTGTGGCCTGTATACGTCACTTCGCTCGCTGCATTACTTGCTTTAGTCTCATTAGCACTGCCATTGGCACTCCTCAAATTCCAAAGCTTGACCGATCTGTCTAGGGATCCGGAGACAACGCCATGGCCGTTTCGAGTGAAAACGACGCTATAAACAGAATCTTTGTGACCTGTTCCCAGCTCATTCTCGGAGTCTAGTCTCTCAACCAAGAAGCCTGTTTCTGAGTCCCAAATACGAACAGTTTTGTCTAAAGAGCCTGCAGCTATGAATTTCCCGTCGCCAGGTGATACCGCCACCGTTGTAACACCGTCTTCAATCGAAAGGGTCAAAGAACACTGACCGGAGCGCAAATCCCATATTCTGACCGTCCTGTCACCAGATCCTGACACAAGTTTGTCACCGGACGGGAAATAATCCAGAGAATAAATATCTTGTTCGTGTCCCTGTAAAGTCATAACAATTCTTCTAGTTGTTAGATCCCAAATACGAATTAGCTTGTCTTCTGCACCTGTAGCCAAAAACTTGCCGTCTGGTGAGAAACACACAGATCTTATGTAGAGATCTGATGAAGCCGAGGAAACGGCCACATTAGAGTCCGAGTTTTCTGACGAGCCGTTGGCTCCCACAGAGTTTGACGCAGCATCCTCTGAAAGCCTTGCCACAAGCTCACCAGTCGAAACCTTGTAAACCTGGGTTGTTTTATTGCAGCCAGTGGCCAAAAATTCACCGCTATTGCTGAATCTCACGCAGCAAACCACAGAGGAGTGATCTAGAGATACATGCAGGTCGACGTCTAGCTCACGGGGTAAAGCAGGATTGTACAAAATGTAGTAATCGTTGGTCTGCTTTTTCAAATGTTGTGGAACCAACTGGGAGTCCAAGTCAAGCAGGAAAGGTGGGATTGGCTTAGCATGAGAGCCACGCTGATGAGGGGGCACCAGGTAGTACTCTTGAGGCTTAGTTTCCGACAGTGAAGCAGCGGTGGGATTACTGGCAACTGGCGCCATTGGGGGTGCATTTTGGATCTGAGTGGAGCTCGCAACATTGGAGGCCGGAGCAGCGGGGTGCTGGAGGGGCGCCACGCCCAAAGCTGGGGCCTGCATCTGTGGAATGGATTGAGCAGGAGTGGCTGGCGTTCCAGGAGCAGACTTGATGGATGGTACCGACACGCTGTTGGCAACTGGGTTGACAGGTGCCTGACCTGCAGAAGCAAGCTTTTTCATCTGCGGAGCCTGATTCGAGGAGATAGACTGGGAACTTTCCAAAGTCGGTCTGGTGGCCCTGGGAGTTCCAGTGGGGTTAGATGCCAGAGTGGCGGCTGGTATCAAAGGAGTTTGTGATGCCTGCGAGTTTAGAATGGGTTTAGACGATGCAGGTACTGGAGTAGCTACTGCTGCCTGTTGTTGCTGTGCTTGCTGCTGCTGTTGTTGTTGTTGTTGCTGCTGCTGCTGCTGGGCCTGTTGGGCCTGTTGCTGCTGCTGTGCTTGCTGTGCTTGCTGTGCTTGCTGCGCTTGCTGTGCTTGCTGTGCCTGTTGTGCTTGTTGTGCTTGTTGTAGCTGCCGCTGTTGTTGTTGTTGCACCTGTTGAGCCTGCTGGGCCTGTTGAGCTTGCTGCACCTGTTGAGCCTGCTGAACTTGCTGAGCTTGCTGGGCCTGTTGCACCTGTGGCTGCGCCTGTTGCACCTGTTGTTGCTGGGCAGCAGCTGCGAGCGAAGCCACCTGACGGTCTCTCTGATCCAGCTCCAGCTTCAATCTTCCGATTTCCTCTTCGTAAGCGTCCTTCATTTTCCGATGCGTCAGCTCAAGTTCGTACACCGTGTTTCTGATCTGCTGCATCTCGGCCAGTTGCTGGTTTATCTTGAAATCATAGTCCTTTTGGTTTTGCAAACGGTACGTGTTTGCTTCATGCGAGATTTGTCCGAATTCATGGCGAATTGCTTCCAAAAGCTCGTTCAACTTGGTTTGTGAGACACTTGCAGCAGTCGCAGCCATCTTTAAAACAGGTGAGACGTGCTAGACGGGACTGGGTCGATTGTTTCGATCTGTTTGTTGTTGAAAACAAGTATGGAGTTGTTGATGTTATTAGTTCGCATTCAACTGATTTTTGGATAATTTGACAATTTGGTTTTCGTTGTTGGTGATGTCAGGATGGAACAAAGTGATATGGAGTTAAGCTCACAGATCGTAAAGGAAGGTCAAATTGAATCAGTAGCGATCAAGGCGTAAATATGGCCTTTGTTTTGTTGTTTATGCTGTGGGAAATGTTTCATGGCTATCAGCTTTGTTTGCGAGTTGTGTGGTTTTTTTTGCTTAGTTTTTAGTGGCATTTCTGATACACAAGGTAAAAGTGAGGTTGGTGTCAGTATTGTTGAACATTTGAGAATACCAGTGATCAATTGTGGAAGGAAAGAGCTTGTGTGGACAATGGAGCTATTGTTCTCAATCGTGAATAAACAGAGTTCTTGGCATTTGAGACCGTTGACAACCAATTGGGGATGAAAAAGAGTTTGTAGTGTTGATTGCACATTAGGAGAGAACGTTGGACAGCGGTGGACTACAAATTGCTATTGTTGGTGTGTTATGAATAAATTAAAAAGAGCCCATAGCTTAAGGTCTCAGTTACGAGCAAAAAGAGTACTCATAGGGCGGTGAAAGAGATTTCCACATATCGTGAATCTTTAAGAGGGTACACCAAATATCGTAAATGTTAAGATAATAATTCGCTACTTTATTAGTACAGCACGCGCTAAGCACAATGGATCACATCTTGCGACGATATACCGTCTTGTTCATCAAACACAATACATATAATTGATTCTAAGCTTTGTTCAAATCTGAAACTGGTTTGAGATTTTCCGTCAAATGGATAACGGAGTTCGATCTACGCTCTTTCCTCGTAGTTTTCCGGCTTTCATGGTCTGCTTAATCCAAGTCCAGTCGGCGCTTCGCCCGTCGGTATACAAACGTCTGTTCGAATTATTCTGACATCTGTCATTTCATTCACGTGATCCAGCGCCATGCCATTCCGATATTGATGCTGCTACTCAGAAACAAAAGGTTCCAAGTATTTTTGATATCGTAAGACTGGCTTCTTGAACTTCGGAAACCTTGCGATTTTTGTTCCAAGTTTTAAAATTTCCTTGCAGCTGGCAACTGCCACCGGTAATAAAATACTGGCGTCACAGCTACGGTAATGTAGGAATACTAAAAATTAATTCTCCTTGAGGATTACAACGATCAAACGCTTGGGTCCTCAACAGACTCTACCGCGAAAACGGTAGATTACCAAGTTAAACACCAGTCGCTTGGACTGTGATGACACATTGGTACATAGTGATCTGGCGCCCAAATAAAACAATGTGGTCAAAGTACAGACATCAAAGTACGAAAAACACTTTTCGCATGTTTTGGTGCTGTAATTCGAGTGCTGCAGTTTAATGGTAGGGCCAGTCAAACTTTTAAAGGATCCTTTTAGAGGTCTGTTGATGATTTTAAGACAATTCTTAATGTTTTATCACGTGACGCGCGACACTTAAGTACAAAGTGACCCTAATCAGTGCTTCTCTCGATGTTGTGACACATACCGGATGTAGTTTGGAAAACATCGCCGTGAAGAGTCCACACACTTCTCTGTTGTTGCAGCAGCCGGGTGCTGACAATCCAGAAGCACCTCATGGTCATTTTTTTCTCTCATCCTCTCTCTTTTTTTTATAAAAGCCCATAACGAACGCAATTACTACATTCCCAGCGCCATTCCCTCATATTGGCTGCTGGTGTTCACGTAAGCACTCTCTTGGAAAATCTCAGGCCTTTCGCCTAGCCATTTTAGCAGCTTTTCAGTTTCTTGCACAACCACGTCACAGCCAAATTCGTCCATCGAGGTCAGTGAAATCAGTTCGGGAAGACTTGTGAGCAGTCGCAGCAGGTGGATACCTCCGTAGACTGTAGATGCGGGTTCTTCCACGTGATCTGCGTACTGCAGCCGTTCGAACCGATACAGCAAGATCACGGCGATTGAGTGGTCGAAGTACAGCCGGAGCCCGCTGCAATACTCTTGCAGTTGCGACTGCACCACGGGCGAGACCTCGTTGGCGCTAGCTGTCTCGTAATACTCATCCAGCAGCTGCGCAGCAGTGGGTTTGCAGGGCAAAGAAACCAGTTTTTTGTCCTTGGTGATGCGTTCCCAATCGTCGACCAGGACGGCTTTCAGTTGCTGCGATATGTGGATCACGATGCGCGGTCCCGAGGGCTGTGTCGGGTTTCCTGTCTCGTCTGGAGCAGAACCCGGTACGTTTTTACGTTTGCGAGGCTCCACGGGTTTGCGAGGTTTAGATGGAGCCTTTTTCTTGGCCTGCCGGGCGTCTTTGGCCTGCTCGACGAGCTGTCGTTTGTATTCGAGGTTTTCGTCTGTGTACTCGCGAATCCTGTCGAGTCCGACCCATTCGTCCCAGGACGACTTCCAGCCACGGTAGTGGATATAAAAACACTCTTGGTCCTTGAGATTCGCGGGCACTTCGTCCTCATCGCCCTCTTCGTTGTTCTTGTCGTTGTCGTCGTTAACTGTCTGTTCCTCCGCATTCTCGGGATCGTGAACTTTCAGAATTTTGGCCGCATATAACAGCGGGCCGTGGAATGCCAGACATTTATCCTCAACAGCCAAAGGCATAGAATCTTGTGTGTGTTCGAGTGTATTCGCGTGAGTTTTGAAGTAGCTATCCTATATGTGTTGCAGGCGGTGAGCTTATAAGATTTAACCCAAGAAAGACGAAAAATAGCTCAAATTTGACAGTTTTGAACCCTGGAAAACCCACACCACAGTTTTGGGACTTCAGAACCTCAGTAAACAGGTTTTCAAGTCTTCAAGATAACTACTTAACGGTCAATTCCCCTGTTTTAAGTCTTAACCTACCTGTTTTCTTGAACTCTTAATTTCTTCTCCAGATTTTCCAATTAAAATGACACTTTTATCACCGTAAACGAGCTGGCATTTTATGAAAAATTATAGTACCAAACAATGACAAGTTCTACCAATCTAGTGAATTACATCATAATAACCTACACATCAACTTCGAACACGTCGCAACGATAGAGACGTCGTAAGGGCTCAAATGAGTGGACGAGCACAACACATCGTGGGTATCCACTATGCGGTGGGCCCTAAGATTGGAGAGGGCTCCTTTGGGGTGATTTTCGAGGGTGAAAATGTTTTGGGACAAGAATCTGGGCCTGTGGCCATCAAGTTTGAACCTCGCAGGGCGGAGGCACCGCAGCTCAGAGACGAGTTTCGGGCGTATAAGATCCTGGCAGGACTGCCGGGAATCCCACGGGCGCATTATTTCGGTCAGGAGGGCATGCACAACGTACTGGTGATCGACTTATTGGGTCCGTCGCTAGAAGACCTTTTTGAGTGGTGTGGCAGACGCTTTTCCGTAAAGACAACGTGTCTGTTGGCCAAGCAGATGATCCGACGCGTGCAGTCGATCCACGAGCGTGACTTGATCTACAGAGACATCAAGCCCGATAACTTTCTCGTGGCACAATACCAGCGAGAGCTGCCCAACGGGCAGGTCGTGAGAGGCTGTGCCACGTCGGCACACGGAGACTCAAATCTGGTGTACGTGGTGGATTTCGGCATGGCCAAACAGTACCGTGACCCCCGGACCAAGCAGCACATCCCGTACAAGGAGCGCAAGTCGCTCAGTGGCACGGCCCGCTACATGTCGATCAACACTCATTTCGGACGCGAGCAGTCGCGACGGGACGATCTGGAGTCGCTCGGACACGTTTTCTTCTATTTCATGCGTGGGTTTTTGCCCTGGCAAGGCCTCAAAGTCGCAAACACCAAGTTGAAGTACGAAAAAATCGGACTTACGAAACAAAAAGTACGGCCAGAAGAGTTGCTAGAACGCGATATCCCGCATCAGTTTGCTACCTATTTGAACTATTGTCGGTCGCTGCGGTTTGACCAAGAGCCGGACTACGAGTATTTAATCTCACTGATGACGGACGCTTTGCAGGAAAATGGCTACGAAGAAGACGAGCATTACGACTGGCTGGATCTCAACGATGGTCAGTCGTGGAAGATTGGCGTAAATCGAAGGGCCAATCTTCACGGCTACGGTAATCCAACTCCCAAAACCTCTCAGGCTGCGCGGAAATCTGCGGTGCCACGAGTACACCGTGATTCTTACTCTAAAGCGCAACGGCTGCGCAATCAAATGACCAGTCAAGCGGCTCTGCGAGATAAGAACGGCAATCTAGTGCAATCTTATGACTCCATGGGCCAGCGCAATGGAAATTTTTCAGATCGCCAACAAAACGAAACAGACTCGCTGGAAGAACAGAGCTGCTTCAAACGGTTGTGTTGCTGGTGTGACTGACCACTGGCTTAAATTAATTGAAAATTTGTACCTTTGGAACTATTGAGCCACGTTGATCGTGGCATGCATTCTGTACCAAATTGAGGGTAAGAGACCATAGGATCATCATCCCTCTTCTCCTAATTTCACCTTTTAATACGCAATTCCATTCATGATTTACAAGAGGATCTCCTCATGTATTATATTCTCATTATATATAGTTGAACCACTTAACTCGAATTCCTTAAGTGAGTATATGCTCGGGTTCAGAACTTTGTGCTTGTGCTCTTGAATTAAGAGTGGGCTAAGTGGCCCATTCTTCACCGGGGTATTGAACTCGTCACCTTCAATGGTGCCATCAGATGTGTTTTCCCATGTGGAAACAATAGAATCTTGGTTCATAGTGCTGTCTGACTCGACATTAGTATCTTCAGTGGTAGCCTGGATTCGAAGTGGGTTTCTCAAAGGCACCAGCGATTTCTTGACGTCTTTAACTGTATGCAGTCCTAATTCGCTTGAGTTTAAAGTTAACAATGACCCATCTTGATAGGTATCCAGTAACGTATATCCACACACGCCCGACTGGAGAGTCTGTGAGGATGCGGTATTAGGACCCGACACAACGTTACCGCATTGTCTTATTTGTGATACGTTTTCTTCGCAGATGCTCTGAAAACCCGTGGCCAGATGACACTCAGACACATTGGTCAAATCTTGCATGTCCCATGCCAGAGTATAGTTTTGATCGTCAGAGGTGAAAAGTCTTTGAGACTCGCGATGGTATTTGAGAGACTTTACAGAGCCCTTATGTCCTCTGACAATGCATTTGGTGCCCGAAGATCTTATATCCCAAACTTTTACGCAATCACCAACGGTATTGGCAACTGTGTAATCATTGAGCCAGCAGGACGCTGATGATACGTTGTGATCGTTGTTTTCGCTAGTGTCAGGACTGTAAAGTGTCCCATGGCCACCAGCACACCTTAAATCGAGCAATGAAAGACCACTAGCACCAAAGCAAGAGCCCACAAGTGACAAAAGATTAGGGTTTTCGGTGTTTGCTTGTACACCCTCCAAGCCTGTGAAGCTTTGCAAATACAATGGCAGTCTGTGTTGGTTGAAATCGTAGATGAATAAAGATTCATTGACTATGGATATGAACCCTTTATTATTCCACGAATCAACTTTTCTAATTGGCGAAGCTCTTCTGCTCTGAAGTAACGCATCTAAGCTCTCTGTTCTTGTGGACTTGAGAAATTTGGCATGATTGAATCTTTTGATGACTTTGGCACCGCCTTCGGTTTCTGACGTGGATATCAAGTTTAGAACTCCGTCTTGGTGGCCGGAGCAGAGTAGCCGGTTGTGGGTATCGGGCTGTTTGGAGTTGACAATGGTTCGCGGAACAAGGCAGGAAGTGGTGATGAGTGCGCCGGGCACTGAGATTGTTTGCAGCTCAGCTAGCTGAGCTGTTTCCTTGTCGTTAACATTGAGACTGAAGATTTGCAAGTTGTCGGTCGGTGCCATACTGGAAGTCAATATTACACTATCGGAGCTGGAGAGCGACGTGAGGAAGCTTGAGGCGTCGGCTTCATGGTGAGGTAAAGTCCAGAATTCGCTACGAAGCTGTTTCGTGGTGTAGTAATCGTTCATATCGCCGGAAACTTGTCGAAGAAGTGGTGAGTTTAGCCGTGTGGTATCGTTTTGCCAAGAACTGCGGCGGGTGTCTAGTTTGGGGGTATTAGGAGTATTTTCCTTTCTAGCTTTAACTGCCGACTGTCGAAAGATGTTAGGAGGACTGTAATAGGGCATTAATTGAACAGTGGGTTTAGGAAGAGGAGAACGGTGGCCAGTGGGCCCAATTGAACAGTTTTCACAGCATTATATATACAAGAATAATAGTCTGAAGGGGAGCGTCACGGCATGTTTGTATTTCGACAAGCACATTTCATGAATTGCGTTAGCTTCGCCATTGTTTGTACTGCTCTTAAACGGCGTACTTTGGGTCTCTGTTTGTTAAACAATCGAATGCTGGTGTTTGTTTACGTTTCGTAAAAAACATAAACATACCAGCTTACCCAGCCCTGTTTTGCACGAGTGTTAATGCTAGCTTTAGGCGAAGTTGCGGGCATTGACTATTTAAAGTTTGGTAAAGCTTCTGGAAAGCAGGTGCTTGTCATGAGAAAACTGAGTTTGGCGTTGTATGCTGCTGTCGGATGGGTATTTCATATTAGCTTTGTTATTGCCTTTGAAGTTCCTAAAAGTTTGGCAAAAATAAGTTCTTCGTATATAGTGCTATCAACACTTTTCTGACAATGGCTTGGGCTTGGAGCAGCTAGGAGCACTATTGAACGATTGAGAGGATCACCGATCGTGAGTTTGTATGGAGTCCATAGCACTATTGAAGAGTTGAGCGCTTCAGCGAACGATCGTTAAAAACTAGACAACTCGAAGTACTATAAACAACTGAGCGCATCAGCGATTAGTTGTGAATAAAAAGAGGGTTCTTAGGTAATAGAATGTCAGTGTGGATAGCGAAGCATGACTTTGAGTGCTTTTGAACAGCTGATAGTGTCAGCGATCGATTGTCAATAAAAGGATAATTTGTAAAATTCCCGAACAAGTGAGCGTCAGCGATCAATTATAAGCAACTCTGATGAACAATTGAACCCATCAATTCTGGACAATAGCAGAGTTCGGAGCTCACCTGGAATGATAAGAGCTTCAGCAATTATTCGGGACTACGTGGGATGGTTTAAAGAACTATTGAACAGTTGAGCCTTGCAGAATAGAGATTTTCGAAGGCAAACGTTTTCAACTGTGAATAAGCAAATATTACAGCTTAATTAATTCCTAACTCCAACGCACCCAGCTATATAGCAAAGGAGGGCATACGTGCAGTCTCAAAAAGGTTTCGATGATCATTTAAAATTGTCCGAACATGGACATGAACGAAGTCTATTATACCAAAACACCCATCATCTCTTACCGTTGACAATCTTGATTGTCCATCGATCCTGAGAGCCCTTGACTCTCTCAGAGTGCTACAAGCCACTTTACCGTCTCTAAGCACTCTCATGACTGACCACTACGGCACATCGCTCTGGTGAGCTTTGCCAAGCACTGACGCCAGTTTGAAGGCTATCCGAGTATATCTTACGTAAGCGAGTACACTGTCATCGCCGAGTACTTTTAAAAAAGTCCAAGTACTCGAGTCTCGATTGTTAAGTTTCAGAAATTCTGTTAGTTGAAGAAGTGCCCCAAGTCAACACAAAAATACCGCTAAAATAACGCTGATATGAGAGAGTTTCCTCTCTTTCTGTACTAGGAATTCGGGTTCACTTTTTCGTTCAGCACGTGAGAGTGTTTTATAATCACTTTGGACGACTATTAAAACAAGGAGGTTCTTCTTTTATCACCATGCACGAGCATGGTAACTACCAGAAGTTTCATAAACTCAACTCGCTAATCATGAACTAGCTTATAAAAACCAAATCAGCTCCGAGCAACAAAACAGGTTTTAACGGCACAAATCAGCGTTTGCTCGAATAAAAAGTGGCCACACGAGTCAGTAAAGCGAATTCAAGAAACTGAGGCTCCAAAAAAGCAGCTCAAAACTCGTTGTTTTGCCCATTTCGCGCGAATTATTGTAACTCGCGAACAGATCGCTAAGGGTGGTTCTTTACAGGTGTTTGGACGAGAACAAACCGAGAGCTGACGGAATTTCTGTTGAGGGGATATCGGAAAGCCAGTGAAGCTTTGTTGTATCTCGGATTTCGTTCGTGGAATTCGCCGTTTGGTAACGTATTGTGACGAAAACACACCCCTCTTCAAATGTCAAAAGTGACAGTTAAGCTAGTGGCGGCGGAATCGCTATACAAAAGAGACGTTTTCAGGTCGCCAGATCCGTTTGCGGTGCTGACGATTGACGGGCTTCAAACCAAGTCGACCGCTGCAGCTCGCAAAACGCTCAATCCGTACTGGAACGAAACATACACGTTTTCAGGTGTCAACGAAAATGGAATTCTGACAATCCAGGTATTCGACCAGAAAAAATTCAAAAAGAAGGACCAGGGTTTTCTAGGAGTGGTCAACGTGCGAATCGGCGATGTCCTGGGCCATTTGGACGAGGACTCCGTCAGCAGATCGTCTCGCAGAGAGGAAACCATTACCCGAGATCTCAAGCGCTCCAATGACGGCATGGCCGTTAGCGGGCGCCTGATTCTGGTGCTTTCAACAGCTTCCTCGATTGCTGCGACTTCCTCGTCCTCTGCAGTGCGTTCTTCCTCGACTGCAGGGCCCGCAGCCACTTCTTCCAGTCCCGTGAACGATCTGGCCGCTGCCACGGCTGCTACGCATATCACAAGCCCATCGTCTGCCAACACAGCGTCAACGCCAGCCCAAACCGTGGCCAACACTCTTCAAAGCGGAACCGTCGGTACGGCTTCCACAACAGCGCCACCCTCCAGTTCTGCTGCGTCCAGGCAGTATTCGTCTTTTGAGGACCAGTATGGCCGTTTGCCACCTGGTTGGGAAAGAAGAACCGATAACTTTGGCCGCACGTACTACGTCGACCACAACACGCGTACCACGACGTGGAAAAGACCCACGCTTGATCAAACGGAAAGCGAGCGTGGCGATCAGATAAACGCCAACACTGAACTGGAACGCAGACAGCATCGCGGGAGAACCCTTCCCGGGGCCAGCAACTCCGAGAGCGGCTCATCTATTGCGGTTCAAAGTAATAATGGCTCTACTACACCTATGGTCAATGGCGCTGCAGCAGCGGCTCTCGCTGCCACAGGGTCTACCACATCTGGATTGGGCGAGCTTCCCCCAGGTTGGGAGCAACGGTTCACTCCCGAGGGCCGCGCTTACTTTGTTGATCACAATACCAGAACGACTACATGGGTCGACCCTCGCAGGCAACAATACATCCGTACTTATGGTCCAGCCAATACTACAATTCAACAGCAACCTGTATCGCAGCTTGGACCCCTACCTTCGGGTTGGGAAATGAGACTGACCAACACTGCTCGTGTCTATTTTGTCGACCATAACACTAAGACCACCACTTGGGACGACCCACGCTTACCTTCGTCTTTAGATCAAAACGTTCCGCAATACAAGCGTGACTTCAGACGTAAAGTGATCTATTTCAGGTCGCAGCCTGCGCTCAGAATCCTACCGGGACAATGCCACATCAAAGTTCGCAGAAAGAACATCTTCGAGGATGCTTACCAAGAGATTATGAGACAGACACCTGAGGATTTGAAGAAGAGACTAATGATTAAGTTTGACGGAGAAGAAGGTTTGGATTATGGTGGAGTTTCAAGAGAATTTTTCTTTTTACTCTCTCACGAAATGTTCAACCCATTTTACTGCTTATTCGAATATTCTGCTCACGACAACTATACGATCCAGATAAACCCCAAGAGTGGAATAAACCCAGAGCATCTAAACTATTTCAAGTTTATTGGAAGAGTGGTGGGTCTAGGTGTCTTCCACAGAAGATTCTTGGATGCATTCTTCGTGGGTGCCTTGTACAAGATGATGCTTCACAAAAAGGTGGTCCTGCAGGACATGGAAGGTGTTGATGCAGAAGTGCACAACTCGCTCAAGTGGATACTGGACAACAGCATAGACGGTATTTTGGACTTAACTTTCAGTGCAGATGACGAAACTTTTGGTGAGTTGATGACCGTGGATTTGAAGGCCGACGGCAAAAACGTGGAAGTAACAGACGAGAACAAAAGAGAGTACGTGGAGTTGTTTACCCAGTGGAAGATTTACAACCGTGTTCAAGAGCAATTCAAGGCGTTCATGGACGGATTTAACGAGCTGATACCCGAGGATCTAGTCAACGTTTTCGACGAGCGCGAGCTGGAGCTATTGATTGGTGGTATTGCTGAGATCGACGTCGAGGACTGGAAGAAGAACACCGATTACCGTGGATACCAGGAATCTGATGAAACCATCAAATGGTTCTGGAAGGCCATCTCCGAATGGGATAACGAGCAAAAGGCGCGTTTGCTGCAATTCACCACAGGTACCTCCCGTATTCCTGTCAACGGTTTCAAAGATCTACAGGGTTCTGATGGGCCCAGAAGATTTACCATTGAAAAGGCCGGTGAAGTCCAGCAACTGCCAAAGTCCCATACCTGTTTCAATAGAGTGGACCTTCCTCCATACACTGACTATGAGTCTCTAAAGCAAAAGCTCACGTTGGCTGTTGAGGAAACTATAGGATTCGGCCAAGAGTAAGCCTCAAATCCCAATCCATTTATGCCCATTGTACGTTCCCACAACTTACAAGTATAGGCACTTTTTCAAGGCATTCAGAGATGCTGACGTAATCACGATTCTCGAGGTCACCTGAATTGTGCGTGATCCGTACAAAGGTATTTTTAGACAATATATATTGAATTTTATTCATGATACTTCAGACTTAGCGTCAGTTAACTAAAGATTCATTCTCATCGACAATGACACCTCCAAAGAGCTTTCCTTTCACCTAAATGATACTCAATGGATAATGTTCTGGAAATCCCTGGTTTTCATTATGATGCTGAGAAAAAACGGTATTTCAAAATAACTCGAAATGCGACTACAAAAGCAGATCAAACATACGGACGAGATGAGATAAACAAAAGAGCAAAGAAGCGGGACCATCAAGCGAAATCTCTCACCAGTACTCGTGCGAAAAAAGAGAAGCTCCGAGAATATCAATTTTCCATTTCGAATCCTATAAGCACTCTTTTTCCAAGCGAAAAACATGATTCTATTCTGCATCGGGCAGCAGGATATAATCTTTTCAGGCGTGATCAAGAACAACAAGATTTTGATACTATCCAAAGGGACAATGTATGGTCGGATTTAACCCCTGTTCTGGGGTCGCTAGCACAAACTGCAATTGGGCTCCATTGCCTGCCAAAAGTTAATGGGTTCCTCGTGGTAACTCATCGCATGAACGTACTGTTCGTAAGCGCTGAAACTGCTCCAGTTTACATCTATCAGCACTCCGAATTATCTGACTACGAATATGAATCCTTCAGAACACACGTGAACGTTAACCAGTTATGTATAACAATGAGAGCTAAAGGAACACGCTGTTTCTACGTGCTTAACATCGATATCGGCTCGCTTTCGGTTCCACAAGTTCTCGGGATATGTGTTTACCCCGAGGCGAGTGATGAAATTCTTGATGGCGTTTTTGTTAGTGGCAATTGCGGTGCGTGGGTGGCTTATGGTGGTAAGATCTTGGCTTCTGAAGATGTGGTGGACAAAAGCTCAGATAATAGATTTACAACTTCTAAAAGATGGCGAACAGTCGAAAAATCAAAAAGTGATGTTATGTGCCTAGAAATTGCTCGCTCACGTCTTTTTAATAGCATGACACCGCTTACAGGCTGGTATGGAACTCGCAGCGGTGCGCTTTATACACTGAGCCCATATCCAACCTATAAAATTCTTCGAAGTGCTAAAATAGGCACGTTTGAGGGAATGAGCATCGTAAGCGTAAAGAATTTGGATGAATCACATCTCCTGTTATCCGGACTTAAATGTGGATCACAACCTCTGGCTGTAGTTTCTAAGGAAACTCAATACGATCGCTCTTCATCTCGTCCAATACTTTTAGCGTTTAATTCCAGCATCAACAATCTATTGAGAGAAACAGAGATTCTGTGTACAAGTACCGACGGACGATTCGTATTGTATGGCCGTCGGTATCTGGAATCCATGGATGGCACGCTAGAGCTCTTCTCGACTAGAGCCGAAGACAATTTAGTTCATGACACCGATCAAAAATCAGGACTTAAAACTTACTATCCGATCAAGACTCTGCGTGAGTTGTTTCCGTCTGAAAGCCTGAAGTCATTCAAGAGACTTTTGCACGCTGAATTACACGAGGTCAAGAAAGGCGACAACTACTTCGGGGAGCTTTCTGATGTGGACAAGATTCGTATTGCTATATTCACGAATGACTCTGATGTCGCTGGCGTCAGCTTCAAGAGCTCTGTCGTAATTTGATAATGAGCGTTACCGTTTGGGCAATATATTTAACTGTATATCATAAAAATGCTAATGGGAACGAGTTTCCCCATTGATATTTATCGACCTGTAGCTTTCGCGAGAGATCCTGACGGTTACTGACTGAGGTCAGATCCTTCTAAATTCTAGCAGAAGAGTGATGTGACGAAAATAAGCGAGCGTTGATTTTTTTTTTTGTTCATGAGAAAGAGAAGAGAAGGGAAAACGAGCGTAAAGAGTTAGAGAACTTGTAGATGGGATTTTTTTTCGGTTATCGCCGTTTTTGAGTCAATTTTTTCTTTTTGTTCTTGTTTTAGTCCAGTATCTGTATGATAATGGCTCACTGTTTGTGTTTGTAGTTTCCTCAGTTTTTAGTACAACGCCAATGTATTTGACTGAAAAAGGCTGGGTATGCTGTAAAAATGCAGATTGGGATTATCGTAACTGATCCCCAGTCAAAGCAGATGCCTTCCAGAGCTCAGTAGTGAAAGCCACTGTAATTGACATTTTCATAGTTGTTGCTGCTCGCATACAAGTTTTTGGACGATTCAATAGTGGGGTTGTAAACGTGGGTATCGGTCTGAGCTTTAGGTATCTGCATCAAACGAGGATCGTTATATGCAAGGTCGTTTGCGGACATGGCAGTGGTGGGAACATTGAAATTTTCCATAGGACGCAACGCCTCCGGTTGCGTGTTGTAAATGATGCTAGGCGGTCTCTGCTGCATGGGATAAAAATACTGAGCATTGACATGGTTCTGGTTACCACTGGAGTACATTGATGAAGGATTGCCAAACGCATCGCTTCCTTGAGAGAAGGGCTGGGCAATATGCTGATGTGGTGGTTGAAACATAGGGTATCCAGATGAAAGGGACAAAGAGCTGCTGTTTCTGCGGTGTCGATAAGCATTTGCCGGTAAAGAGTAGTGACGAGCATGCTGTCTTCGATTATTACTGTGGTGCTGACCGTTAACGGCGACAGGGCCATTTTTGGGCGAAGTATTATCGTTGAAAACCAAGCCGGTCAGTTCGATAAAGGCCTTCACTTTGAGTTTAATCTTTTTGGCATAAGACGTGGTTTTGATGCTAGGCAACAATTCTTTGGTCAAAATCACCAAATTGCTCACTTTCACAGTGAATTCCTGGCTGAAGTTGAAAGTGCTGACAGATTTATGCACATAAGTGTTATCCGAGAATTGCAAAAGTTTGGTGTAGTTCTTGACATCCAAGAGAGTTTGTAGCGCATAGTTTCCAAAATTATCCCTAATCAAAACGTTCAAGTTAGCCGTAAAAATGTCAATAATTGCGAGCAAAATCCTCATAGCCACCATGACCACGTCGTCTGGGATCGTGTTGTTTTTGGCAGCATTAGGCAACATGGACACTTTCAAGATCATAAACAGCTTTTTGATGAATTTCTCGACAACGTTAGATGAGAATTTGAGACAAGAGAGCTGACACAACTCAATGGATAATTTATCGAAGATTTCGCCCAACAAGTAGAAATCCAGCTCTTTAACATCTAACAAAAACTGGATAATATAGTTGCCAAACTGGTCGTTAATCAAATGAGGGAGGAACTGAACAATCTTGACGGAAATTTTGAAGATCTGTTGCAAAGTGCAGACGCTCAACAACTTCTGCAAGACGCAACAGCCATGTTTGTGAGTGGAGACCTTGACGATATTGTTGTGGTCAACAATGGCGTCGATGATGAAGTCGAACTTCGTGGGCGGGAATTTGAAAATGCATTTCTGGACAACATGGTTACCATTCAAATCGTTGATCAGCACTACGACCTGATCGATGGAAGTGTAACGCTGGCCAAACCCTGAGATAATTTGGTCAACCTGTGCCTCGGTATCAAGCGAGTCTATAATTTTCTGCAGCGAACGGGTTCCGTATTGGTTGACCGAGATTTGGAACACATGTGGGAAGATCTTGTCGACCAATTGGGTTTTTTGGTCAGTGGTCAAACACTCGCACAGTTTCTGGATAAGATAGTTGCCGAAGGGATCCAGGATCAGGTCCAAGAAGAAGGGACTGATCTGGCCGTACATAAGATCGCGCACGGCGCAGCACTCGTGAGGCGTCTCGAGCTTTTTTTGCAAGAAACGGCAGCCGAACTGGTCGGTAGCGAGCTTGACATAGTCGAGCTCCTCGAGGGGAGTCCAATTGAGGTCTGCTGGGACGCTGCCAGAGGCTGACGACACGGTCGAGCCACTAACGGTGCGTGCTGGCGCTGCAAATTCGTTGATCTGGGGCAACGATTTGAGATTGGATCGGTGCGAGGGCATTGCAGGCGCTGCAGGCGACAGCGAAAGTGGCATCAGAGGCGAGTTGCCCTGAATAAACTGGTTGAAGCCTGAGAGATCGAGCGAGTGCGTGCGTTGGTGGTTTTGGCGATTGTTCATTTGTCCCAACGGTGGAGTGGTGGGCTCGACGAGCGACTGCACCGAATTGACAGACAGCTGCGATTTGTGCATGGCAAGCGGGTGTGTGGATCAGAAATTTTTTTTTCTCTCAGCAGTGGTGCTGTGTGCTGTGCTTGTGAAGGCCGGAGCACCGAGGTAATGGACAACTGGCAGTTCAACTTTCGCTCAAAGACGGTGTTGGCGAGATGAGCGAGACGCGCAGTGGGCGACAGACTCAGAGCGACTATAGATCAAAGACCAGGCGAAAAGACAGAACAAAGTCAGCTACGGAGTCGGGACGAGTCGAGTCTGGGTCGAAAAAGAGAGCTCTGGCTTTGGCGACACGAGGCAAAGGCAGTGTGAGGCAGGGCGATACTATCAAGTGTAGCGTACTGAATTCAGAACTTGCTTGAGTATCGGGAATGTGAGGAATGTGAAGTTGATGGATCGAAAATGTGTGTTTTAGCAGAGGTAGAGGAAAAGACGAGCGGTGCGAACTGCGAGGTTGGGATCCGCGAGTACGGAGAGTACGAGTACGAGTACGGGCGGTGTGGGCACGGAAGGTATGAGTACTGAGGCTGTGGGTAGGTGAAGCCATTGAAATGTTGAACATAGACAGCGTCTTTGCAGTAGTCTATTGGACCTGGGGTGGGAGTACCCTGATGCTGGATTTGAGGGAAAGAGAAAGTTTTCAAGTGGGTGGCAGCGCATGTAGATTGTTCTGAACGATGGTGGCAGAAAAAGGTGGTTGGAAGTGTTAGTATAGATCAATAAAGAGCTGGGGTCTTCACTTAGAAAAGTTTGAAGCGGTGATTTGCTAGATAGATGAGAATACCGTCGATCGAGCGTTTAGACGTAGATCACTTTGTACTAATTAGTCATTGGCAGTCTCAGCACATACCCAAACCAAGACCACTTGGCCATAGAATTGAAGTTATTGAAGCTGAGCACACTCACGCACACACAAACACTCAGGAATGAACGGCGTGCTGTTGTCAATTGACGCAATTGCGCCGCTATAAACCCACATCACTTTGTACTAATATGTCATCGATACCTCCACTACATGCCGAATCCAAAAACACCTGGCCCGACCACCATCACCACACGAACACCATAACTACGTGCCAAACGGCCAAGACTTGCAGCATTATTTTTAACTTGTCAACAATCAAAGAAAAGTGTTTTTTTCGTGACATACATCCTAGCACAAAGCACTCAATAGTCACCCAAATACACAACAAAAAAGATCAAGAATTGGCCAACGTTCTAGGGGTATTCTCCGCACCGCACACTGTTTTACCACCAAGACACCACGTGTAACGTCTCTTAATGTCACGTTTCTCATACGTTCTCACCAAAATCAAGCCTCTCTCTCTCTCTCTCTCGTCCTCCAGCTGTGCGAAAAAAAATGCTCATACGGCACAGAGGCGAAGCCCGCATCCGACCGAAACGGAAGCCTTTACAATAAGCCTTCCCTTAGACTAACTTGAGATAAAAAGATAAAAACCCTTTCAATCAGCATCTAGACTTCTGGGCTTGACGTTCCCGTTCTTTCGCGAATTTCTTTGGTTGGAAAAAAAGTCTCCAAAATACGCGAAAATATATATGGAAATCGCAATATACTGATCACCACAGCCTTCGCTGAAGGATATTCTGTATAATACTAGATCAAAAGCGATTGTGTGATAGTAGTATTTCTGGAGGTTATTGATTGACTCAAGCTTCGCTCTGTTCGCATATAGGGCACAGATCTATTTTTGAACTTTTGGATCGCCGCCGAAAAAGAAACAATTAAAGGAAGCAGTTATTCAGCCGAAAAAAGAAAAAACAGAACTCTTAGAAAAGAAAGTAGAAGAATAATAACTAGGGGATATCCTCGAGAAAACCGATTACGTAATTGTCACAAAACCGACAGTTTCCGGATTTGGTAATAAGACTGCCTTTTTAGGGGTGGGCATTCATGTAGGCACAGTGCATATGTGCCTACAAGTTTTTTTGTGTTTTGGGCTTTCTTTTTCTTTCCATGTGATCTGGGCGGCTAAATATATCACTATATACGGACAATCTGCTCTTGTCTTTTGTCACATGATAGTCACGCGATGTGTGATCTACTCTGTCTTGTCACGTGCTGTCCATTCTCTTTCTCTCTCTCTCTCGTCCCATGCTCCAGGCGTTCTCTTATAATAATATACAAAATAGCTTATACAGCTGGATTGATCCACCAAAGTTTCTCTCTCTCTCTTTTTCTCTATCACACCAAAAGCACCGCATTGACACATCCGTCTCTGTCTGGCTCGTTCGTGATCTGCGCGTACTTACCCCATACAACTTTACCACCCGCGGTGACCATACCCAGCTCGGAAACGTTAACTTCGATGACCGTACCTTTCGTCAAAACACCCAGTTGAGTGTACATTGGCGATTGTGGGTTCTTCTTCACACTCAGAATCGGCAGAAACACCGTGACGCCCAACTCAGGGTGCGTCACGTTCGCCTTCTTCTGTCTCAGCGCACTGGGTCTGATGATACGCTCGGTCTTTACAGGTCTTCTGGTAAACCCTTCTCCCACAAACGTGTGTTTGGTGATCATACGTTTCCAGCTCTTGCTCTTGGACTTACCGGTTTTCACCACCTTGAACATCTCCTCTTCACTGATACCACGCACCTTAGGCAAAGGCACCGAGAACTTGTCGGCCTTCTCAAGACGTTTCTGCTTGATAGACGACGAAATGGCCTTGGCCGTGTTGTTCTGCTCTCTGTCCAGCAAATACGTAGGCAGAGCTTCCCCAGAGTCCTCCATGGGCTTTGATGGGCCCTTGACCTTTGATTGTTCGTGGGCCTTGATTTTCTTACGCAGAGCCACTTTTTCGGCGTACCGTTTCTTGGCAAACTGTTTACCCTTCCATCCGGTCAGTTTCTGAGCTCTTTCGGAGACCTTGTGCGACTCTCTGGCCTCTCTCTTACGGATTCTTTCGTCGTGATCGAGTCTACGACCATGCTGCTTGATATGCTGCTCAATATACTCGTTTTGAGGCATTTTTTTTTCGTATAAAAGACCTGTACTATTCTCAGTGATGCTAATTTCAGAGATCCTCGCAGTGTTTAGAATCTGGATACGCTTGGGTACGGTTTTGAGAATGGTTTAGTGAACCATTGTAGTGTAAGTTAAGCTCATCGCATAAAATTTTCATAGATTTCTGTTCGAAAATTGTGTACTTTTGTACGAGCACGAAAATTTTAGGCTATGAGGTGAGATGCGATGAGATGCGATGAGATGTGATGAAATGAAATGCCATAGTACAAGAGCACACCGTTCACATCTTTGTCACCAGATTCGAGCTATAGTTTGCAATTACACCGCTGAATTCTGGTTCATTTAAATAACAGTGAAAATGAGCAACCTGAGCAGTGTTTTGCATCAAATAAACGAGTCCTTATTGTCGACTAGCGAGTCGCTGGAAAGCTTGAAGAAACAGTACGAGCAGCCGGCCTCTGAGAGCACAGGAGTACGGGGCCGAGTGATAAAAGACATTTTGAAGAAGAACGGTGAGGTGGACAAAGTTTCGCTGCTTTCGCTCAAAAATGGCAGTTTATTGGCGTATTTGAACAGCCTTGTTCAGGTGGTGGGTGAAAAGCTGAGTCGACAGGATATGACAGCTGCACAGGGACGAAACTCGAGTGTGGAACACCGTGTGGTTTTGGAGCGTGGTGTGCGTCCGCTTGAGAAACAACTGGCGTACCAGTTGGAAAAATTGACGCGTGCATACACTCGGATGGAAACCGAGTATGCAGCAGCTGAAAAGCGTGCGATGCAGAAACAGGAACAGAAGCTGCTGAACGGCGATGGAAACAGCAGCGAGGACGGTAGTGGCAGCAGTGAGGAGGATTCGGAGGACGAGTCTATGTCGTTCAGGCCGAACGCTGCCGCTTTGATGAACGACGCTAAGAAGACAGGCCGCAAGACCAAGAGCAGTGACCAGCCACAAAACGGCGACGACAATAACAATAACGATAACGACGACGAAGCGGAATCGTCTACTTACAAACCACCCAAGATCAGTGCCATGCTACCCCCTCGACAAAACCATTTCGAAGACAAATTCGACGCCCAACAACATAAGGACCGCAGCGGTAGATCCCGTATGCAAGCAATGGACGAGTACGTGCGCGAAATGTCCGAGCAACCCGAATGGGAAGCCTCCGTGGGTACCAACATTCTAAATCACGGTAAAGGCGGTATCAAATCTTCTCGCGACGCTGAAAAGGAACAGCGCGTGAAGAATTTCGAAGAAGAGAACTTCACCAGACTCAACCTCAAGGGCAACAAAATGGAGAGACGCAAGGCCAAGCAGCGTGAGAGAGCCTCTCGTGTCAACATGATTGGTGGTGAAGATTTCAGTATTTTCAATTCCAAGCGTAAGCTCGAAGGCAGTACTTCTCGCAAGGCTACAAAGAAGCCTCGTGGCGTCTGGGACAGGGCCAAAACAAGGCTATAGGTGGATTCAATCGGCCGGTATGCTCTCATTTAAGTAACGTAGCACGAAGGTAGCGTAATATATCAAATAGTTCAAGTATCGCTTACTAGACTTAAAGAACTAGAGCTTACGGCCAAAGAGATAGCATGGCATGAGTAATCTCTACACCAGACGCAGTGTTGCTGAAAAGGACTCGCAACCCTGTTTGGTGTGCTATTTGCCCACAACATGTGTTTTGTATAATGCGTCGATTCAGGACTGGTTTTACTGCTGTGAGATGCATATTAAAGATAATCCCGGGTTTGCCAAGCCGGTGTATTCAGCAGAGTACAACGATGCGATTGAAAGAATGACAATTGTCAAACAGAAGCTAGAAGTAGAACGGACCAAACGGGGCAGCTCGTGGGACTCGTGGGTGAACAAATTGATTTCCAAAGGACCCAAACAGGATAAGGAGGACTCGAACGCGAATTCCGACGTAAACGCAAAAGAAACTGCTGAAACGAAACCGGAAGACGCTGCCAAACCGACAGCAGAGTCGGAACCACAATTGTTGAAAAGTGAGTATCAAAAACTGGCAGACCAAGTCGCCCACGGCCAAAAAAACACACGTTCATTCTCACTGAGCCCTGTGATGTTCGAGAGTCGCTTAGACGCTAAAAAACGCAGCTACATGCTCAAAATGAAGTCTAAGCGTGAACAAGAGACGTACACGAACACCGATCCGGACGAACTACAGACGAAATTCAATTTTCCAAGCATACCTCAAAAATGACGTAAATTTGATGCTGAGAAAATCTCTGAATATCTAGATTGAGCAATCGAACCATCTCACTAATTGTGGGCTTCTCCAACCCATATTAGGATCGCTCACCGGGTCTTTTGATATTTATTCCAGCTCAAAGTGCGTGATTTTATCATTATATACGGGTCTGACACCCCTCCATTATTTAGGATATTGGAAAATGAGACTCCTCCGTCTCCATCGTCGTCTTGATCCCTCCACGTAAAAACAATCGAGAAAGTGACAATTGAAGCCGCCCAACAGAGGCTTAAGGGTTCTTGATACCACTTTTTATAGCCATCGAGATATTGCAAGTGTTTAAGCGCTTGCTGTTTGCATTTTGCTCTGTTTTTGAACGGGCATTTTTGGATAACGGAACGGTGACCACGACCAGTTTTGAGTTTTAGCGACACACGCAGCCATTGCAGCAGTATTTGGTAGAATGAGCGACCTTCCTGCTGATGGCCAAGAGGTGGACATACCGCCTGACATATTGCTCAAGCTGGATCTGACGCTTGGCCCTGGATCGCAAATATCGAAACATGCGCGGGAAGCGGGCGTCGACGGCTCGTCAACCGCATCGTCTACAGACTCGTTAACTATGCTGTTAGAGCGACAACGGCAGCGTCAGCTCAACCACCCATTGCATCAGAGCCACATTTCGGCCTCCGTGGGCTCTGCACGACCTAAGGTCAAGGAAACTACCAAGATTTCGCTAGAATACGATCCAATTTCCAAACGAAAGGTTTTAAACACATACGAAATTATCGGCGAACTAGGACATGGCCAACATGGCAAAGTGAAGCTGGCCAAGGACCTGGTCACCAAGCAGCTGGTGGCCATCAAAATTGTGGATCGGAACGGAAGTAAAAGCGACCGCTTCAGCTTTAAAAAAAAGAAAGGTGGAGACGACAACCAGATAAAACGGGAAGTGGCAATCATGAAAAAGTGCCACCATAAGCATGTGGTGAAATTGATAGAGGTGCTGGACGACTCCATGTCGCGCAAGATTTATTTGGTGTTGGAGTATTGTTCCTCAGGAGAAGTCAAGTGGTGTCCAGGCGACCAGCTGGAGACCGAAGCTCAAGGTCCTCCACTGCTCACATTCCAAAGAGCCCGAGAGATTTTCAGAGGCGTCATTTTGGGTTTAGAATATTTGCATTACCAGGGAATCATACACCGAGACATAAAGCCAGCTAATTTACTAATTTCTGAATCGGGCGTCGTCAAAATCTCTGATTTTGGCGTTTCATTTGCCGCCAGCAAAGATGGGGAAGGCGACGATACCCTGGACGAACTGGAACTTGCCAAAACCGCCGGAACACCTGCATTTTTTGCTCCAGAGATCTGTATGGGACACGATGCCTACGAAAGGTATTGCAAAAACGATATTGACTTGCAAAGGGGCTCCATGATATCAAACAAAATTGATATTTGGGCAGTCGGAGTGACTCTACATTGCCTTTTATTTGGTATGCTGCCATTCCGCTCAGACTACGAATTGAAATTATTTGATAAAATCATAAATGATCCACTGACATTACAGCCCTACGAAGAACTGCCCCACAAGAAAATCTCTGAAATTTCTTCCGAACACGAGTATGAAGCAGCAAAAGACCTGCTACTAAAGTTGCTCACTAAGAATCCTTTTGAAAGAATTAGCGTAAAGGACATCAAAAGGCATCCGTTCGTTTGTTGGGACTTCGAGAATGATATTGATAAAAACACCAATGTTGCACTTTCCAAAGCACGCGAGAAGCTAGATTTTCAAAGATCGCAAGACGAAGAATATCAGCAAATTTCAGTCTCTACTCATGAGTTGGATAATGCTGTCTGTGGAATCGGAAATAAGCTCAATCGCTCTGTATGGAATGCCTTGGATTCTGTCAAAAGAGACGGAGATGACTCTACTCAAACCCTAACCGAACTGAATAAAGATACTAATGACACTAACGACTATCATGACCAAACTAATGACGGTATCGATGACCTAAGTCGCTTCTCACAACTCAGCATAAAAACCAACGACAGCGCACAAGCTAGTAATGGAAATTTCATATTAAGCGAGGGTCCATTGGTCAGAGAACGCAGTAGCACGGGTGAGCTTAGCGCAAGAGAAATATTTCAGCAAGAATTGCAGAGGTTCGACAAGAAAAGGGACCCCAACTCCATTGTGTCATTGCCCGTCAATTCTTCTTTCGCTTCACTCGATAGCTTCTACATGGACACATATGCAGCGCATCAACCAACATCACAGGTGAGGTCCGCTGCAGGCACCCCAACGTCCTATGAGAAGACACCTACTATTTTCGCCCGTCCTCCACAAGCCCTTTTGAATTCAAAACACTCGCAGGATCGCAGGGCTTCATATGGCGTCAATCACAACGCGGTTCCCAGAAATTCCTACAACAGTACAAGGTACCGTAATCCACTCGCGATGAGTCCGAAATCGGATCGAGACCCTCGAAAAACGGCGCAGTCAGGACCACCCGTCGTTAGTAGGCTGATGCAAGGCAACGGTTACGAGGCCCCTCGGGTTAGACATCCGCCTTGGGGTGAATTGAATGCGACGAATTCTCATTATCAGCGTCAAGACGTTTCGAACGCCAAGCGCTCAACGGAAACATCATCGCAAGAACAAGGAGTCAGGACCGGTAAACATCAAGGAAACAAACAGCCAAGCAACGTCAATGGTCATCGAGGGAACTTTTTCTCAAGCTACGATGGAAGTGACGAAGATGACAGCCAATCGACCGCCACCAGCGGAGCCTCTTCTTCACAAAATGATTATCACTCTGACGAGTACCGTTCAGAGACTGAATCTTTACCATACGAGTTCGGGATTGACTCAGAACATGGAAGCACAATTTCACTCCGGGATTTACCAACAACCGGCGCTTTCTCAACGTTAGGACCTAGGGCTGTGGAAAACAAAAGTGGAATGGTGGACGACGTTGACGAGGACAACGAGCTTACTTTGAATCTCGGGACGGCAGGACATACTCGCCGACAAGGATCTGTATCCAGTAACGCCAGCTCTCAGAGATACCGGCGTTCTCGGAGACCTTCATATAGTCAACCTACCGTATCCAGTCCGCACGGCCAACTACCAAGTTTTCGAACTAAGATGTTTGAACCAGCTTCTATTCCTAATAACGGATCTTCAGCTAGTTCTTCTACGCTCACTGCAGGCAACAATGGTGGCCTTTGCGACACCGTTGTAAACATAAATCCAGAAAGCTTGGAAATCGCACCTGATGCGGAGGGCTTCATATTGGGAGGCGCAAGTGATGGAAGCGTCGATATACCAGCAGACGTTTTGAACATGATTCCCGAGTTAAACGTTGAGAGAGATGAAAGACCGATGCAAATCTCCAAGGAGAGGAGTGCTGCAGAATTCAGCAACTCTTCGTGGAAAACGTCTCATTCAAAAGGCTCGGGACAGAACTCGCTTATTTTCGTCAACAAAGCGCCCTTGCCCTCGACGCAAGAAGTCAGTGTTAGCCCCGTCGTTAACACGCCGCTGAGACGAGACCGCGCTCATGTTACTTCCAAGGACTTGCTTCAGAGTGTCTTGACCTCCGCGGGTTCAAGTAGAAGACCATCTGTATCTCCCATGGCGCATAGCGTCTTGAAGCGCGACCACTTAAACGACACCTATGTCAACCATTATGAGGGCAAGCGTGAGACGAAATATTCCTCCAAATCTCAGACAAGAAGAAAACCAGAGAAGAGCAGGGACTTGGAGGGACGCTATAGATCGAAATCAGTGAGTGTGGGGCTGTTAAACGACCGTAGACCATCGGAACAACTCAACTCCTAGTTCCAAAGGTACTTACATGCCATTTGAGATTAGTTATGTTCCGACTGAGACTGTGAGCTGCATATGATTAATCTTGCCTTTTACGTGGCATTTGAATGTGTGTAAATCCAAAAGATATTATTTACTCTAAACCATTTTGAGTATAAAAGAACTCCAGTACAGTAAGCGCTAGCCAGTTATGATGACACGCAAATCCTGCTTGCCCTGTGTCATCCAAACATAACAACATGTATGAAAAAATTTGATTCACTCTGTGCCAGTCACTTAGAATTAGGCGGGCTTCATCTTCTTGCGAAGTATCTTCAGCCTGTTTGCGATACTATCGATGTATTTCTTGATCATTAATATGTCTCCCTCGTCGAGAGCATCTGTAGTATGGAAGCTGAAATCACCAATGCTATCGTCAACAACGTCCTTATCCAGCACTGACTCCAGCATCCAAAGGGATGTGGCGTAGGCTATTTCGCAGTTGTTTAGGAATTCTCCCTGCATTTCGAATTTGGCCGCTGTTTTGGAAATTTCAAGCGCTCTATCATAGATTAGCTTTTCCAAAAAGACTGGTTCGCTATCTGCTTCGCTTACTTTGGTAAGTTCGACCCGTTTTCCGTTGAGCTTTGAAGCATCAATGGTAGAGTCATCCGCCAAGCACGAAGCAGTAGAGATCAACTTCAATCTGAGCAACTCTGCTCTCTCTAGACATTCGTTAAACTTGTCACGAAGCCACTGTACCAGAACATTGAGCCTCAACGAGCAGCTTTTCTCTTGAGACTGATACCACCAGTTCGAAGTTGCTTGCATCGCTTTTGCTAGAGTCGAAAGAGCTTTCATGTACAACAGCATGGCCTCGGTGCATAATTGCTGAACCTCCCCCAACAATAAATCATTTGATATCCCTTCGCCATTAGAGTTTTGGCTTGAATTTCGCTTTCTCCACGTCTCACCACTTGCTTCAGATCCGGAGGTTGATCTTTTGATTGACATTTTCCCAATTCCACTATCGCCATGCTCATCTTCTTCTTCTATGGCACAACTACCGCTGCTCAGTCTTTTGCTGAAAGACTCGCCGAGTGATGAGGGTGGAAGTGGGACAATTTGTGAGAACTTTACCTCCGCGAAAGAAAATATTACGAACGCTTTAGCAGCCAACGATTCAAGCAAAGCTATCATGTCTGAATCAGAGTGATTTTCGTGGTACCTTGAATAATTCATTTGATGATCCGCGGATAATATTATATTCTCCGTTAGGTCATGAAATGCTTGACGTGTGAGGAGTGGTTGTGTGCTCTGATTCGAAGGAGCCGAATGCCCATGGGATTGCTGTGTGCCAAAAAGACGAGTGGATGCGATCCCTAAGGCCTTTGTCAGCGCATTCGAGGGGCTTAGTGAAGATATTGACAAACGCCTTTCAACCAAAGAAGGTCTTCTCGCAGTATTACTACTACCAGAGGAGGTCTTTCTCATTGAGGTGGACTGAGGAATATGCGGGTGCTGTTGTATGTGTTTTGATGGCGCAGAATGCTTTTCATAGTCAACACCCTCACGGGTTCCTAAATTTGCAAATTCATCAGCCAATGCGTTTACCTCGACACTCTTCTTTTCCACCATGACATATTCTTTTTCAATAGAAGTTTCTGGGTGGTTGTGCGACTTTTCCATGATGCTTGAAATCGGGTCTTCATTTTTGCTCAGAGTAATATTTACGAGAGGCTTTGAATGAGAAGCTTCCGTGTGAGAGTAACTAAGTGAAGATGTTACTTCTTCGTCGAGTGGCGTCATCGCCTTTGGCCTTTCGGTGGGTTTGGTCAGGTACTCAGAAATAAACATGTTACTTCCAGCAACATCCTTTGACTTGTCCTCGAGGTCCGGAATCACTTCTTGTTCATACCTAGATAGGTCTTCATTGACAATTTCATGGCTGAAAAACTCACTGAATCCCATTCTTTGAGCAGGGTCGAATGTTAGAAGCCCGCAGATGAGTTCACACATTTCCGGCTCCAGTTTGCAGTATGAAGGGAAGGAGATGACATCGTTGGCCTTTTTGATTTTTTTGAATAACTCAAGATGGTTCGATGCCTTGAAAGGGGGCCTGCCGCAGCACATTTCGTAAAGAACTGTACCCACAGACCATAAATCAGCTTTAGCATTGTACTTCTGGTAATTCAGAATCTCGGGAGCCATGTAAAGGGGGGAGCCGCATAACGTTTCAGCGAGCGATGTATTGGGCAAAAATCTGGCAAACCCGAAATCAGCAATCTTCAAGATCGGCAGATTGTAGATGCCAACGAATCCCAATTTGTGGAACGTTTCAGGGTCATGGTAGTTTACCAGTGGCGTTGAAATCAACAGGTTTTGAGGCTTGATGTCTCTGTGAACAAGGTTTTTTGACCTAAGAAATGTGAGCGCGGACGACAGTTGTTGCAGATAGTTAACCACGAGGACCCGGTTTAGGCCATTGTGAGATTCGCTGGGCGGAGGGTACTTCTCGAACATTGTTCGCACCAAGGGGTGCTTTTCCATGAGAGCCTTACGCTTCTTGATGAGAAATGTGAGATCGCCCAATGCACAGTACTCCATGATGAGGAAAAAGTCTGCGCCGGTACGCTCGCAGTCCATGAGCCCCACGATGTGCGGGTGCTTAATTTTCTTTAGAATTGCGATCTCGATCTCCAGATTCTCCAAAAGCTTCTTGTTTTTTAGTTTCGAACGGGAAACGGCCTTTATCGCCACGAAATCCGTGCTATCCGCACCCTTAGACGCCAAACGGCCCTTGTAGACGGTGGCGAACGACCCCTTTCCGATTTCCTGTTCCACGACATAGTGGTCAGCAATCACGGTGGGTGCAGTACGATCTTCCTCGTACGTGCTGCTGCTTATGCTCATTCTTGTGTGATCGTTCCTATCGTTTTCTTCCAAAACCCAAAATTCAAAATTTTAGTGATCCGAGTTTCCTCACTTCAAAGAAACCACTATTATACTTATTCTGTTGCTCAAAATATAGCCTTCAAATCCTTCCAACTTAGTTTCAACAGTCGTTTGAGTCTCAAGAAGACCATACAGACGAGATGTCGTTCTAAGATCTCAACCCAATTCTGACACTTATAGTACCCGTAAGATCGCGCTTTTTGCGATCTCAAGAGGTCAGTGATTCACGTACACTGTCTTAAATGTTTAAACAAACGCCACACGCCTTTGATTTGTAGTGGATTTTATACTTTGTTGTGAGGATTAAAAGGTCAAGGGGGGTCTTTGGTGTTTGACTTTACTCAAATCAAAACCGATGAGCTGTTTCGTTCCGAATGAGGTGGGAGTGACAATCTTCGTGTATGGAGATCATTTTGTGAGTCAAGTCTGCTACGTGATAGTCAAAATATCACGTGATGTGTGTAGGAAATCGGGTGGTGAAGACATTAGAGTCCATGATGATGGACCGCTAGAGTCCATGATGGACCCTTTGAGCTGCGTGATTGCCCGTAGTCGCCCACTGGTGTCTTGTTTTGGCTTTTGGGTGATATGGTCCGAGTAAACGTGGTTAGTCGAGGGCACAAACTGTAACATGCCCAAATGCTCGATTTGAAGTAAACTTTTACCTTTGAGAAAGTAACCTTGAGTCTAAAGCACTTCAGGGTACTCCATGATCTTTAAAAGTGTAATCCTTGTAGCTGTGATGGCCCCTGTCAAATGCAGAAAATTCCAAAAGCGATCTATACGCCATAATAAAATCCGGTTGGACCCTTCTGTTGCTGTTGCTGTTGCTGTTGTTGCATCTGCATCTGCATCTGCATGATCTGTTGATATTGTGGATGCGACGGAGTAATCTCAACGGCACTGGTGTAGAGATCGGGCCGTTGATACAGCGAAAGTAAAGCATTTTTCTCAGCTTGGGACTGCATTTGCTGCTGCATCTGTTGTTGGTAGAGAGCCTGCTGCTGGAGTGCTTGCTGCTCATAGAGCGCTTGTTGCTGCATCTGTTGTCGGAGAAGAGCCTGCTGCTGCTGCGACGATTGCTGATCGTACAGCGCCTGTTCTTGAGCCTGGCCGACGTAAACAATCCCGGTAGCAGGGTCAAGAAACTGCTGCTGCTGGAGCCCGTCAAATACTGCAGGCCTCGTGCCAATCGGAGCGTTTCCCGTGCCGTCAAAAACGGCAGGCCGCGGTCCTACGTTGGAGGCTGGTCTTCTGGGAAGGGGCGGGTTGTTCGCTTGTGTCACGGCACTGGAACTGGCACTGGAATGCGCCGAAGGCCTGTTGCTGTGTGTTATGCGAGTAGAACTGCTTCTGGACGTCTCGGGTCTCGACCAAGAGCTTGACGTTCTGGTTTCGTCGTCGAAACTGCGATCCTGGCTGTCAGGACGAAACTTGCGCAGCACGTACTTGTCACGTATGAACTTTTCCACAGCGGTTTTGTCTTCATCCCCATCAAAGGGGAAAGGCTCGTTTTTCGGGTTCCAGGTGGTTCGGTTGCGTTTGTTGCCCCCACTGCTGGCAAGCTCGTCCAAATCCGAGCTCGACCACCGGTCCATTGTAAGTGACCTTACGTCCGAGTAGCAGTTATCACCACGCTGTCCCAGTAGTTTCCTATGCACTGACGCACATCTGCCACACAGAAACACACCCAGACTGATGGAGCACCATGATGGAAATGTTGTCCCACATTCACCACATTTGTTAGAATTCTGCGGCGAATTCAAAATTCTGATCAATTCTCTCTCAATGGCTTTAGAACCTTTGTAGGCCATTGTTGCGGCTTTTAACGAGCAATTCTCTAGTGTACGTTTCCGTAACGTATGTTGTCGCTGACTTGTTGTTGGCTCAGAGTGAAATGTTTGGCCAAGCCCTACAATATACTGATGAATTGAGTTCACCAGTCAGCTGACTTGATCTTCCAATGAACAATAAACAGACACCGCTCAGAAACGCAAAATTCGGGCTGTTTTATTTAGTTTCGGGACACATTAATGTCATTGAATCGAACACTGTCCACTTGATGGTATTTCATCCCATGTTCAGAGCTTTTTTTGTCGTATTCCTTTCCGATATCATATTTATAGTCTTTGACACATTTCGGGTGTTTTGGTGGGAGAAGCGCAACGACAAATTGAGTTGTACACTGTTTTTTCATGGGATTGAAAATTAGGCTTTGGACTAAGCCTGATATTAACATCACTAGCATTTAAACTTTTTCGGTTCCGAAGATGGACCTAAAATATCACTCGGTAACTGCTAGCAAGACGTGAATCAAAATGAACTAACAAAAACGGACGACCTTTTATGATTTTTCTCGTCGTGTCTCGCACTTTGTCAATTAAATACTCACAATACAGCTTCCTTCAGCTTCCTGCGGTTCTCTTACTGCTGAAACTGGTTTCTTGTTACTGAGATCTATTTTATGTATATAAACTAGTAGGCAGTTCAAATTAAACTTTATTTAATTGATACTTCACGGCTAGACAAATTTCCAAACTCATAGGATAAACGGTCTTAGTTATCGATCTGAGGACTTTAGTTAGCATGGTATGCAGTAGCTTTATTAGCCGCCATTAGGCCTTCCTTTTGTACTAAACTCAAACTCCGAAATTAGCCGCCAAAGGGGAAAGCAACGGTGTCGATGGCACAGAAGAAGGCCAATGTTTTACGGTTTTTCCAGGACGAACACTCGGTTTATAACATCAAAGAGCTAGAAAAACTCATTCCCAAGAAATGCAACGGCGTGTCGCCCATGTTGGTGAAAGGTTTGATCCAGGAAATGATCGACGAGGATGGGATCATATCGGTAGAAAAGTGTGGGAGCACGAACGTGTACTGGTGCTTCAAAAACCAAATAATCATGAAAACCCAGCAAGAAATGACATCGTTGAAAACACGGATTGAAACTGCCGAGAAAGAGGCGTTAGAGGCCAAGAGAACCCTGGAGCAAAATGAGAAATCTATCAGAAAGGAATTCTACGACTTGGACGGGGAAACCGTTTCTCGAGCAGAACAGCTGGAGAAATTGGAAGCTCTCAATGCACAAGCTAAATCGCTTAGAGCCACCTGCGACAACATGATGGAAACTACATGGGACCAGTCACAGATGAAATCGAGAATGAAGGCACTCGCGCCTCAGCTTCAAAAGCTGGAAATGGTGACTGACAACATAGAATTGGTGACGGGTTTTCTTTGCAGGCGTTTCATCGTAAATCCAAGCGATTTGAAGGCAGAACTGGGAATACCGGAGGAATTTTTGGAGTTTCCGGGCCTCCCCGACGTTGTTTGACCCCCCGCATACTACGAATAACATAATTTTGCATGAAATTGAAGCTAATCTATACAAAAGAGGAGGTTTTTAAAATTTGCCCATGAAGTGATGCTCAAGACACAACAGAGCCCCTCCTTGGTTGCTACTTATTTGGTACTTTTGAAATGTCTGTGATTAAAACTAGCTCTTCGAACTGAAATCGTAATCATTTTCTTCTTTTATCGTCATGACAAGTCCCCTTCTTGATGAGTCTTGATGTGTTGGTTGAGGTTGTCACTTCTGCTGAATTTTTTACCGCATATGTGACACCCAAAGGGCTTTTCGCCCATGTGTAATGACCGGACGTGTCTTTTCAAGTGTTCCTGTCGTTTGAATCGTCTATCGCAGAACTCGCATGCAAAATGCTTGGAGGAATCCAAAATCGGAGAAGGTTTTCGTCCGCGAGTCTTTGGAATGCCCAGACGTTTTTTCTTGATAAGGCCGGTGTCTATGCTGTATTCGTGTGGGCTTTGCGAGGTTTCTGAGCTATCACGGGTGGCAGCAGAACTGCCCAAGCTGTAATTGCTGTCTAGATTTCGGGTAGTGAGCAGCTTTGATGGGTTTACCACTGGCTCGCTCAATGACAGCGAGCCCCGAGCAGATATTGGAATCGTAGGCTTTCGACTCCAGAAATATTTTTTTTTCAGGAAAGGCTGTGGTTCGTTGTCTAGTAGTTCGGGATCGACCAAACTACCTGGCAATCTTCTTTCGCCTGCGAAGAAATTTATTTTGAAGTAGTCTTTGACTTTTTTCTTGTACAGGCCGTCTTCACCGGAAAGGCGCGCTGATTCCTGCGATTTGGTGTCCTGATTATTGCTGAGATTGTCTTCTTCTGTGGAAAAGTGATGCTGTGGGGCCGGGACCGACGTTAGTTTCGAATCAGGCAGATTCATAGCCATTTCGTTGCCATAGTCGCTAAAAACGGAGTCCTTACGGGTTTGACGCCGGGGCCAGAACTGGAACATTTCTGGGCCTTCGTCGTCGGTTATCATGATCTCTTCCTCGTCCTCGACGTCGTCCCTTTCGACACGGTCGGCAGCCAGGCCCTTTTCGAAAAACTCGTACTCGTAGTATACAGGCTTGGCGGTGTGGTACTCGGAAATTGACAACCTGCGATGTTCCTGCATCCTGAAAAGCGGTGCTGTTGATTTTTCCGGTCCAACGCTGCGTGTGTGCTGTTTGAGTTCGTCTCTCACTGAGTTCCCATTATTCAGCATTTCCTCCAGCGGGCTGGAGTCTGCGAACGCCTGGAACGTCAGAAGCTCCTGCTCAGGTCGGCAAGACGTCTGCAACGTATTTCCTGTTAGGTTGTTGGCGATCGAGCTCTCTGTGGCTGGTTTTTGAACCAGCTGGAAGTTGAATGTGCCATCTCCGTTGGACGGCGTGTTCAAATCACTTTTGCTGTTATTTCCCTGCAATCCCACCAAAGTGTCACTGGACATTGTGCGATGAGCCTGGTTAATAGACATTGCACGCGAAAGTGCTCGTCTCACACACCGAGAAAGCCTTAACTGAGCGAGATTCTACTGCTTCAATCGCCCAGGGCTGGGCTGAACGTTTATCTCGAGCGTCTCGTCTCAAGATAATTAGCGGGATTTTGATCGTCATGTGACAAAATAGGTTATATATATTGTATTAAGACGGTGTTACGTAAGCGAGTGACTGGCGTTAGTTCGGTTAGGTTGGTCTTCTGATTCAATGCTAGAAATATGATATGAGTAGTGTCGTGCTGTATGAGGAGCGTTCTGATGTATGTGTGCTGAACAGTCTGGCAAAAATTCGGTTTATAGTTGGGACATGTTTTGCGCGAGTTTTCGAAAAGAGACGTTTCTTCTGGTGTTAATTTTGCCTTTCAGTGACGTCCGTGACTTTAGCAGACCACAATTTTCTTCAAGTATCGCCAAATGCACTTCAGCAACTGAGAATCCCACATATGATCTCCAAAAGTGCATTTTCAAATTCTCGATAATACTCGTCGCCCGTGCCTATAGTGTCCATTTCACCTCTGTCGCGATTCAGCAGCAGAATGTAGCGCTGGACCTCTTGTCGTATCCACTCTATCTCTTGTTGTGGCTCCGTGGAAGCGCTTCTGATCAGTGGTGCGGCGGTTTTGCAGTCCGGTGCCGTCATTCTATACACGCTGTTGGTGTTGGAAAAATCGGGCGCCAGGGTCGGCTCCGCAGTAGTCTCCGACGTGGCAGGTACAGTCATTGGAGAGGGTTCAATCGGAATCTCGCGTGTATACGAGGTCTGCAGGTAGGCGTTGTTCATGGCCACGTTAGGATCCATCGCAACAGTTTGCGTGCCTGCAAAACCAATGTCTCCGAAAGGTGGGTAAATGGGCAGATTCTGTGGAGTCGCTGCGAGGGTCCGCATTGTGCTAGGGGCTATCTGGGCGCACGACGTGGTGTACGAAGTGTCCAGGGCATTGTTGTTGTAGATCAAATTCCCCGAGAACGAGAAACGGTCGTTGAAAAAATCCTCGCCATTTATGATACTCGTTATACTGAGAATCCGGTTCGCGTCTCTAGTGAAGTCCACATCGCCAGAGTTCGACGCTTGGGAATTTGCTGAAGATCCACCAGTTGTACTCATCAATCCCACACTAGGTTGAGGAACGATCGCGGGCCGAACGCTGTTGAGAGAAGGATTCCCGGTGTCGTACTTGCTGTGAAAAACCTTCGATGCGTCTATAGGCGTTCTGCTCATGTATTCGAGGTACTTTCCATGCTTGACAATTATCAATTTGAAAAGAAGCTTTATGAGTTGAAAACAGTTCTTGCAAACTGCAGTCTTGGAGTCAACTTTCATTTCCGCCAGAGGAATGGCTCTGGACAGAAGTATATATCTCAAGTCGGTTTGCAAGACCAAGACTTGGTCCATTTGTTGTGCACGGTTGAGGTCCAGCGCTAAAGTTTTGATGGCAAACGTGATTGCATTGATAGGCATATTCCCTACGAGAAGTTCCCAATTGTAACAAGAGAACGTATCGTCTGTGTGATACTTTAGAAATTCATCGAGGTAATGAAGTGAAGCGGGAATTAAGTTGTTCGTAAGATCCTCGTAATCATACACTAGACCAGTGTCGATCAACCCGTCGGGCCCCTCTCTCAATGTATGGTCTAGCGTCAAGTTACCACTATCATTCAAGATGGCCTGAATTGTAAGAAAGTTTTTACCGTAGCCGCTTTCAGCTATGGGGTCCGAAACAGTTCCGCTGTTCAAAGTTTTTTCTTGCTTCCACAATCGTCGCCTTTTCATCAGCATCGGCAGAGATGTTTTAATGATGTTCAAATGTAGCAAAAGACAAGCGCGATCGGCAAAAGTATTTAGCATGAACACTGCCCAGTCGATAAACTTAGCTTCATGAGCCGTTTGCTGGCCCACATGCTTGCCATGATTGCGCAAGGATAACGCGCTTCCCATGCAACAAACATGAAGATCGACGATTCTTTCCTTAAGACCTTGAAAGTTCCCCCTATTGGTCAAAGAGCACAGTTCATTGAGCAAAATGACGAACCTGTGTTTTGCATTTAAAAGGCATAGACTGGGATTTATTTCACCGTTTATTACCTCAGCGGGCCTTGCGGTATCGAAATCGTCTAATTTTATCAGCGGTGGTAAGTTGTTGTACAAGGAAGTCATTGTATCCAGTTGGAAAACTTGCCAAAAAAGGATGCGTCGGGATTGTATCACTTCCGGGTCCATTAATTGATGATAGGATGCGGGGTCGCGAGTCAGTAATATTCTTTGCGCCAGCCGTGATAGCTGGGCAATGGCGGTTATGCTAGGGTTTTCAATCACAGAGTTGATCAGGACCGAGCCTGTTATCATGTTGATGTTGAAAGTATTGGGGAAATCGTACAGTGTATAGAGGACATTTGCCGCCTCGAAAAAGATTGACATTTCTGCAAAAAGTGTATCACTGTTGTTGCAATGATGAAACTGAGATTTAGAAGCAGCGTACAGCACAGGAAACAGAATCAGCAGAAACTCCGTGTCTCCAGTGCCTCCTTGTTCACGGTCCATCCAAAAAAGTTCTAGGTCTCGCATGAAGGTGGGAATGTTTATCAGAGGGATTATGGGGTGTACTGTGGTGTGATAGGTTTCGAAGAGTTCAGAAGCTCTCTGTCGCGAAGGCAGGTACATGCGCAAGTCTTTCCCAAAAATAGGACACGGGCTTGTTTGACCCGAGGAATTTGACATGGGTGAAACAATGCTAGGGGTGCCTGTTGGCGTGCTTCTGAAATTCCGGTGTCCTGGTAGCTCGTTTGCGCGAATGCCGGGCTGGAAAGGCGTCAAGGGCTCCTCGAATGTCCCTCTTGCAGTTTCTGCGTCTTGTTTCCTACGAAGCGAGTCTTTTTTCTGTCTCCTTTTCAACTCAAGCAATTTCTGCTCGTCTTTCGCCATAGATTTAGCCTTTTCAATGGCCCTTAAGAGCTGTTCCTTCTTTTCTGCGGGGTCTTCGTTGTTTGGAGTCTCTGCCACCAGCACCGCGTCTGGGTTATCGGCCAAAGACTCCGTGGCAGTGCTACCACCCCTGGAGACACGATCATTCACAAAATAATGGCACTCGATGTTTTTCTTGAGGCATATCGAGCAACTCGGCGTCTCTCGTGTGCATTTGATTTTCCGCTTATGACAAGCAACGCAGCTCAGGATTTTCCTCTGTCTGCGGTGCTGAATCTTGTATATTTTGCCATCCTCTAGAACCAGGGCTGCCTGGTCCTTGATAGGTATGATCTGGGACGACATTTGAACGGTCTTGGACCCTGATCAGCGTAGCTGCTACGCGGACTTGATGTTTTAACGCTCGTCGGATGATACTGATTTAACCACTTCTTTAATATATGACGTTAGATAACATGATACGACATGTGTCGGCTGCTACTTGAGCGGTCTACAAATAGTATAAAGAACTCGTATAGCGAGTCAGTGGGAGATCCATGTATCGCGTTGAAATAAATGTGAGCAGGCGGGACTAGTCGTATTAGCACTGGCTAGGGCCCTGCGTTGATCAAACGGTTACGGACGTGATGCTTGAGCGAGATCATTTTCGCATGCATCCGTCATCAGTCTCCAGGGCACGTGGTACACGGCTGATGTACTTAGAGCAGCGATGTGGTTCTGGGAAGTCTTCTGAAAACGAGACAAGAATGATTTCTTTCTGGAGAGCTCTTATTCTTTTCTTGCTGTTCGTTGCTGGGAGCTGGGAAGCCACCAATGCCCACTGTGAGCTTCTATGAGGGGAAAAAATCTGTATACCGGAAGGAGCACAGCGGAGTAATTTCCGGGGGTTTTAACAATGTACCGTGAGTGCTCAACTAGTCACTCTAGCCTGCGGAACCTATTTTGGATTTCTGGCAATGATATGTTGTCAACGCTTATTTATGCCATTAGTGCCAGATTAAATATTTCGCTGATCATTTTGTAATATAGCGTCACCTTCGGCAGGTAATGGAAGGACTCTGTACAGGCTACGTCAAGGACGTATACACTGTTGTCTGTGTGAGTGATGCAGAAGATTTTACCGGAAGAAGCAAAATATTCTTGACACATTCAAACTGCAAGCACCTGTACAGTGTAACTCCTAGGGCCCCACTGGCTACCAAACGGTGATGCTACGAGGAGAGAACCAGACTGTCACGTGATCTCGAGACACGACTAAAAATTCCATATCGAAGCCGCCAACTTCCTCCCCAAACACACCCCAGTTAGACGAATGCTTCGAGCTATATGTTTCGCGCTACCAGATGCGATAAAGTCCCTATCTTCACCGAGTTCAGCTCATTCTGACACATATATCACCATATACGAAACAATCGAACCGACGATTTTGACACCTTTATAAAAATTCTAAGTTCCCCCACGACTTTACCTTTAATCAACACTTCAAAGATGTGTTTGAAGAAGAAAAACACGAAACTCTCAGCTGAGATAAACCAATGTGATTAGACTGAGCCTGTGGAGAAAAAAGCGCAAAAATTACTTCGTTTAGCGGCTACAAAGCGTCTCCCAGCCGCTTTCCTGCGGTGGCAAAAAACGATTACAATCAAGTGACTGAATGAAAGAGCCATGCCACCGGATAATTGAAATTGACCTTATCGAAACTCACACTTTACACCAACTCCAAGCTCGCAGCAGTTTTGCATTCTTCTCACCTTGTTTACACTCAGCTTCCGCCGATTAGCCGCCGAGGTCCTCCGGCTTTGGAATACAGGAAAAATGATCATGTGGATCTCGCGTGACGCAGATGCACATAATCCATATCGCCATACACGGAACACCGCCACAACCTGCTGGGGGACGCCACATTTGTCTCCCCCCGAACGCCGATGTCACCCACAGATATCCGAAAAATCGTCGGCAACACCGACTGCACAGATTCCCTTAAAGTTTGCCATTTTAACACCGCTTGCGAAATTAATTCGAACAGCAGCTAGGCTTGGCTCATCCACTCTTACTCGATAGAGGGCAAAACACCACAGTTGGCTCGAATTTAACTGCGTGCTAACAGTGGTTGTGGTGCGTTGGCGAGTCTCCTGGAAGAATTTTGAGAGTTTCAAAGGAACAAGTAGAATCTCAGCTATAAGAAGAACAAAGAAACCCGCTTTTCGTCAGCAAAAGTCTCCAGTTCATCCTGCCTATCAACACTCAACGAAGGGAAAAAGTCTCTTAAATTTTGACAATGCCGAACCACTCTTTGACCACCAAGCTGGTTTCTGTTGTCCAGCACAACGACCAACACGGCTCTAGTGTTCCCCCGATCTACCAGTCCACCACCTTCAAAATTGGGTCGCTCGAAGACGATGCGTCCCAGACGTACGACTACACTCGGTCCGGTAACCCAACACGAACCGTGGTGCAACACCAGCTTGCCAAGCTGTACGATGTCGACAGCTCGCAGGTGCTCGCCGTGAGCAGTGGTATGACAGCTCTCGACATGATTTTACGCGGTCTCGTCCTTAACAACGCTAGTTCAGTGCCCATGATCGTTGCAGGCGATGATCTTTACGGCGGTACTCAGCGTCTGCTGACGCATTTGGGTGCTCGCAACCATGCACGCGTCTTGCACGTCGATACCACCAACTACGATGCGTTTGTCAAGGCTTTCAATCAGCAGCCCCGCGTTGACTGCGTATTGCTGGAATCTCCCACAAACCCATTGCTTAAAGTGGCAGACTTGCCCAGGCTGGCGAAGTTCATCAAGCACGCAAATCCAGACTGTGTCGTCGCCGTTGACAATACCATGATGAGCGGTATGCTTTGCAACCCGCTTCACTTCAACTGCGATGTGGTCTACGAATCTGCTACCAAGTATCTCAACGGCCACCACGATATTATGGCCGGTGTGATTATTGCCAAGACCCCTAAAATTGCCGGAGATATCTATTTTGTGATCAACTCGACGGGATGCGGTCTCTCGCCGCTAGATTCGTGGCTACTGATACGAGGCCTCAAGACCCTTGGCATCAGAATATACCAGCAACAGCACAACGCCATGGTTTTGGCCCACTGGCTCGAAGCCTCTTGTGGGTTCCGTAAGAGAAACAAGCAAGATCTTACTCAGACCAGATACGTGGGACTCAAGTCTCACCCGCAATTCGAGCTGCATAAATCCTTCAATGCGGGGCCGGGTGCATTGTTGTCGTTTGAAACCGGCTCATTTGAACACTCCAGACGTCTAGTCTCGTCACGCAAACTCAAACTCTGGTCTGTCACGGTTTCCTTTGGCTGCGTCAACTCGCTCATTTCCATGCCGGGAAAGATGTCACATGCTGCGATTGATCCTGCCTTGCGTCAAGAACGTGAGTTCCCTGAGGATCTCATCAGACTGTGTTGTGGTATTGAAAGCGTTGCCGACTTACAGGCCGATTTGCTCGAAGCCATGGTCGAATCCGACATCATCGAGCTACGCGATGAAGGCAGAACTATCTACAACAAACTTAACGGCAATTTGGCATCTAACACAATCGGACAGGGCGAACTTCCGAACATCTATGAAGAATTCTTTGGCCAAAATGGCATCAAGCGCCATTGCATAGTCACAAGCCGTGCCAAATTGTGAACACTGCATTTTCACTTCATTTCCCACATCGACGCACCTTGTGACTGCTATTCTCTAAACATTGAATCCAAAGCCAGATGTCTAGAAGCTTATGACAGATGTAGACCTGAATATATCAGCTATGTAGTGCGTGGACCAGCTTGAAGTCGTCTGAAAAACAATTAATCTTAACCATAACCAAATGTCACATTTGAAGACATAATCATAAAATAATTTCAAGAGGACAAAATCACGGCTTTCGCGTTGTTCGTTATCTCACACGCGGACTGTACAAATGATAAGTTCAAGGCTTTGTGATAGATGCTCGTTGTGCGGAATCATCAGCACTCCGCAAGCGCGATAGCTATCTAGCAATTTCACCTATTCGAAAACTTTTCTTACACCGGTCAGAGGCACACAACTCGCTTCTTTCTTGCATGTTCGTGTGCCGCCTGTGTGACTTCATAATGTCACTTCATCAATTACTTGTGATAATTTGAAAGTTAGCTTTGCTTTAAATTATCTGGTACCAATTTCCAATAACATGACGGTCAAGCCTGGCATTCTGTTCATCGCCGAGCCCAATTGGGATTCTCCCATTTACAATACGATTGTAAAGGATAAATTCCAGGTGGAGCACTATGACTTGCATTCGAGCAATTCTGAAGACTTTTTGGACGCTTTGAAGACAACTTTCAACAGTTCAAGCAAACCTCTTTCTGCCATATATGGTGGGTTCATGGGATTCAATGCAGTTGGAGGATTGACTCGTGGACTACTCGAGGACGAGAGATTTCCAAGCGATACTCTAAAATGCGTGGTTCTGTGTTCTCGCGGAGTAAATGGTATCGATTTCGATGCTGTCAAGGAACATGGCATCGAAATTTACAATTATAGTGACGAGGACGAGGGGACTACAATTAATGGATTTAAGACAATTGCACAAGCGGGATTGGTTAGTGACGACGTGGCCAACTGTGCTTTGTGGCACGTATTGGAAGGATACCGGAAATTCTCGTTCCACCAGATGCATCTGCGCAAAACGGGCCATACATTTCGCTCCAGAAGCCGTGCCGCAGGCGAAGGACCCGAAAGTAAAGAGTTCATGTTTGGTCACACCTTAACATCGCTCGAAATCAAGTCGCCAAGAGGCCGGAAGGCTCTGATTCTCGGTTTGGGTGGGATTGGAAAGCAGATCGCTAGCAAGCTGCAAAATGGTCTGGGCATGGAGGTGCACTACGCCAAACGGTCGTGCGACCCTACCGTTTCGTGGCCTTTCCACAAACTCGATTCTTTGCTATACCCGCATCTATCTCAGTTTGATGCCATTGTTATCGCATTGCCGGGCACCCCAGAAACCAGACACTTGGTCAACCACGAGTTCTTGAGCTCTTGCAGCGAAGAATTGATTTTGGTAAACATTGGCAGAGGAACAATTATTGATCCTGAAGCAATTTCAGAGGCGAAATCAAACCATCGCATAAGACATTTAGGCCTTGACGTCTACTACCACGAGCCTGAAGTCGAAGATTGGCTGTTAGAAGACAACGAGACGGCTACAATTACTCCTCATATAGGCAGTGGCACCAAAAACAATTTTGACCAAAGTTGCGAGTACGCCCTAGGCAAGGCATTGAGCTGTTGTTTTCCATAGCCCTCCAACTACACTATCTAATTCGTTCCACAGGTGCCAAAACAAAAGATATCTACAAAAGTAGGTTTGACGTTTTTCTTAAAAAGTACAAATCTTTTGATAATACAGGTTTATCTTTAGTGCTTGTGAGCTTAGCCAAAGAGCGTCGATTCAATCAGATGAAGACTGGCCTTTAAGCTCGATCTCTTGCAAGTAAATGAACTAACATTTCTTGGCTTCGACGTCAGCGTCATATAATAACAAAGTGATCAAACCATAATTCTTATATTGAGTCACACAAATCAATAACTCATGTCATCTCATAGATAAAAAGATAGGAAGCTGACCATTCCCATCCAAACCCGTTTCCCCCAACTTTCTTGTTGTTGACAAGAACCAGGTCGTTTACTCACCATGACTATCAAGAAAAGATCTGAAAAGGCTGAAGTGCTGAGTATCGGCGAAGTCGAACGAGAAAAATCGGTGGAGCACAGCGTTTTCGCAAGAGTGTTCGCGAAGACAAGACAGGCGTCTCGGAAGTTGGACTCGCTAGGTGTTGAGACTCGTGGTATTCAAAGAATCCTTCCGTATGAAAGAGGTACGTCCAAGCAGTTTTTGAGTGTTGCGGGTCTTTGGTTGAGTGCCGCAGGCGGACTATCGTCAATGTCGTCTTTTTTCCTAGGGCCGCTACTGTTTGAACTGACATTTCGTCAGTCTCTCGTCAGCGGGCTTATTTCGATGGCTATCGGATGCGGTGTGGCGGCTTACTGCTCAATCATGGGACCTCAGTCTGGCTGTCGTCAGATGGTAACTGCGCGGTACTTATTTGGTTGGTACTTTGTGAAGTTTGTTGCCCTGGTGTCTATTATTGGTGTAATGGGATGGAGTATTGTGAACTGCGTGGTGGGAGGCGAGATGCTCGCGGCGGTGTCGGACGGCAAAATACCAATCTGGATCGGAATTGTGATCGTTACCGTGCTGTCGTTTCTCGTTGCCATTTTCGGCATTAAGCAGGTTCTGAGGGTAGAGACTTTCCTCTCCATTCCTGTGCTTACCTGCTTCCTACTGCTGTACATTTCATCCAGCGATAAATTCAACTTGGTAGATTCATTCAAGGCCGATAATGTTGATTCCCTGACTACTAAGGGACATTGGCTGTCGTTTTTCTCTCTATGCTACAGTATCACTTCAACATGGGGATCCATCACCGCTGACTATTACATTTTGTTCCCTGAGGACACCAAGTCCTACCAAGTTTTTTTGCTCACGTTCTTCGGAACTTTATTGCCTACAACTTTTGTCGGAGTTTTGGGATTGATTTTAGCCTCTTGCGCAGCAGCTTACGCTCCTTGGGCGGCAGAATACGATACATATGGAATGGGTGGACTTTTGCATGCCGGTTTCGCGCGTTGGAATGGATTTGGTAAATTCTGCGTTGTGGTGTTGATTCTCAGTTTGATCTCGAACAACATTATAAACACATATTCTGCCGCATTTTCGCTCCAGCTTTCTAGCATTCACATGGCGCGCGTTCCGCGCTGGATCTGGGCCATTGCCTGCACAATCTTTTATCTGGTATGCGCTTTGGCGGGCAGAAACCATTTTAGCGAAATTTTGGGCAATTTCCTGCCAATGGTCGGCTACTGGATCAGCATATATTTCATCATATTGCTGGAGGAGAACGTCATCTTCCGGGCCAACTTCCTAAACTTGTACACCAAGGAGTTCCCACCTTGCGATGATCATCATCCAGAGGCCAGTGCGTCCACACAGAAGACCGTGCGGGACTTGAAGACTCTCATGTCATCGTACACGAAGAAACACAATTATAACTGGGATATGTGGGACAACCGCGACGTTTTGACCCACGGCTACGCTGCTACGTTTGCGTTTTTAGTCGGTGTTGTGGGCGCCATTCTAGGAATGGCTCAGGCCCACTGGATCGGGCCTGTTGCGCGCAAATTCGGCGAGGAAGGTGGTGATTTGGGAATGTGGCTCAGCATGGGATTTTCAGGCGTTGTATACCCTGGATTGAGGTACCTCGAGCTACGCAAATACGGGCGTTAAACCCTAACTGGTCCCGTCCTAGTTGTCGCACAAGTTCGATAGAAACTGTTTAATATCATTACAAACGGCATGTACTAATATAATATGTATAATTAAAACGTGACTCATGTCCAACCAAATCGCCGGATTTAGCTACGCTTTCTAAAAGTCAGATTTAGCCCATTATTATGTCCGATATATCATATATTAAAAAAATTTGAATATTATCGAAGTCGAGCTCTTGACTTGACAACTGTCTGTGCACTTCGAATAGCGACTCAACCCGAGCTTATTGAAGTCGTGATAAGTATGTGAATCAATTTTTGAGGAGTGTTTTAGGTAACTTGAGGAAGAACGGTCGAAAACGGTAGAGAGAGCGCGCGTTTCTGGACGTAAAGTGGGTTTGGGACCAGAAAAGCAGAAAGAGGGATGAAATTAGAGCTGCGGGATTGTGGAGAAACGATTTGAGTTTAAAATGGCGTGTTAGCTTGTGTGGAAGAGATACGTGCGGTTTTTTGAGACCGTTGCATGCGGTTTTCTTTGGTTTGTCTTTTCTTGGCTTGTCCGTCGAAGAGATCGAATCGATCAGACTATTGAAACGATTAATGTACTGGTACCCTTTTTCTGGCTCGTCCATTTGCTCTCAGTCACAATCATTTGTTTCGAGTTCGTTGCCGCCTGTTTGACCCCCCTCCCCCCGATACATCATCTTTCGTTATACTAACCGATCTCCAGAGAAATGTTGTCCTTTCGCCAGACCATGAGATTCATGGCCCCCGCCACAAGAGCTTTCTCTTCCCAGAGGGTCATGCTACAGAAACAGGTTACCAAGACCGCCACCAAACTATCGGAGGTCGATGGCCACGCCACTTTGATCGGTCCTGGTGCCAAGGAGGGCGAGGTTCCTACCGAGCTAGAACAGGCCACCGGTTTGGCCAGACTGGAACTTTTGGGTAAACTCGAGGGTATTGAGATTTTCGACACCAAGCCTCTGGACTCCTCCAGAATCGGTACCATGGAGAACCCTATCATGGTCGACACCTACGACGACTACCGTTACGTTGGTTGCACCGGCTCCCCAGCCGGCTCCCACACCATTATGTGGCTAAAACCAACCGTGAACAACGTTGCCAGATGTTGGGAGTGCGGTTCTGTATACAAGGTGAACCCCGTGGGTGTCAAGACCGACGACGACGACCACCATTGAAGGGTCTGTCACGAGGATCACGAAGGTCACACGACCACCCATCCATCACATTTCCAGAACGCATCATGCACCACGCATGCCCTCCCGAGGTTCGAAATTTCAAGAAGTGGGCTCGCACTTCTAGGTTAGTTACCGCTTCCAAGCACCGCTGCAAAGCTGCCACAGCATGAATATTCAGTTTCCATTTAACTCAAAACATTTATTTAAGTCACAAATAAAAAGGTAATATGTATCGATAATAGCCGGGATAGGAGGTTCCCCGTCGCGAGAAGAGGTCGTCCGTCGCGCAATTCACTCTTCAAGAGCATAGATAAATAATTAGATGTTTTATTCTCTATGCCATTATGGGTCTTAGTCCACTTCGCTCTCGACTTTCACAAGTGACTGCTTTTCAGACACCCACACACCAATCTACCAATGACAGAACAGTATCAGAATGAAAACTACCCCCGTTTGAAAAATTATTGTGCGTGGGTCATGAAAAAAGAGTCACTTCAATTTATTTGTGCCACGCACGAGCACAGTCTCCAGGCAGGGCCCTGCCGAGCGAGAATGAGCTAGGCAGGTGGACAATCGCAAAATCGCCTTCCGTGGGCTGGACTGCTGGGCATTGAGCCAAAGTGCTAGGCAGAGTCTCCAGGCAGGCTTTCGCCCAGGTCCAGGCAGAGCTGTGATACCCCTAGTGCCAAAAGTTTTCTAAGCTGTTGGTAAATTGATATATCGAATCTCATCTGGAGTCTTGGTATTATACAACTCCTTTCAAGAGCCAGGAATAAACTAAACAAGTATGTGCCCATATACAGCAGATTAGCGGCCAGCAGGGATATAGATGGGGAATCAGCAGCAGCGGCGGTTTTGGTGGGGGGAAGCCCATGAGACTTGTCTTTTGACAGAAACATTTGTGGGGAAAGCCTGATTGATGAAAGATTGTGATACGAAAATAAGTCGATCGCGTGTGATAGACTAAAATAGTCTGATCTTTTGCTCAAGAACTCACATATCCCACTGCCCTGTGTCCCCTGTGTCGGTCGCAACGACTCAGAATACATTACTAACAGCAGCTCGTTTCAGAATGCCAAAGAAGAGAGCTTCCAACGGTAGAAACAAGAAGGGCAGAGGTCACGTCAAGCCAGTCAGATGTGTCAACTGTTCCAAGTGCGTTCCTAAGGACAAGGCCATCAAGAGAATGACCATCAGAAACATTGTCGAGGCCGCCGCTGTCAGAGACTTGTCCGAGGCTTCCGTGTACTCTGAGTACGCTTTGCCTAAGATCTACAACAAGTTGCACTACTGTGTCTCTTGCGCTATCCACGCCAGAATCGTCAGAGTCAGATCTAGAGAAAACAGAAGAATTAGAACACCTCCTCAAAGACCTAGATTCAACAGAGAGAACAGAGTTTCTCCAGCTGACGCTGCCAAGAAGGCTGCTTAAGTAAGGTTGTTATCGTTATAGCCTCTATTAGCTACAGAATTTGTATATTTCAAGACGACAAGTTAGTATCATCATCAAGTGAAGAGCTCGGAGCACTACTGAACAATTGAAAGCGCAAGCGATCAATTGTGAATGAATAGAATGGCTATAAACACTTTTGAACAATTGAAAGCGTAAGCGATCAATTGTGAATAAATGTGGCTTCAAACACTTCTGAACAATGCGAGAGCGAGTAATTGTTCAATGGCGCTCGTAGCCTTCTCGACTATTCACAATTGATCGCTGACGCTCTCAACTGTAAATAGAGCGATTTTAGTTTCCAAAATGTCAGCGGAACGCCATAGGGCATTCCTGAGCCTCCATCAAGCACAGACATGCCATGCGAGAACTGCCAAAACAGACGTTGTAGTATAATTACACGCTAAATCGGATCGGTCACGTGATTTGGATGACAGACTTGGTGGGAAACAGTCAGACTCGCACACTAAATGCATTCCTAGCGTTTGGAGGAGTAGTCGGGGATTGACTCAGAGCTAACAGATTCATCACAAACGACTGGTCACCTGAGAACACCTCAGCGGGCACCAAAGGAAACATGAACAACTGGTTGAACGTTCGACGACGGTGGCTGTCGAATGATAACTTCGTGGCGGTGTGACATACAAAAGGCTAGCTCCAACGTGGCACGACTCATGAATGGTGCCTCTACCATCAGGTTCATCGGCGTACGCACTGGGCGACAGAATAGTACAAAGTGACAAATACCAAACTCACAACTGTCATTCTCCTAAATCGAGCTCAAAGTAGTGTGTTATGTAGTTGTTATTAGAACACTCGTGACGGTAGATGCCCTACAGAGAGGGTTCAACCAAGCATCGTGGAACTCCAATTACCAATGCTTTACAAGCCAGAGAGACAGGCTTGACAATGACGACGACACGGACGTATATAATGATCCATGGTTTTATGAAAATGGGAAAATGGACAATTTCGGGCTCCTGGAAGCGAATTCGGGGCCCCAAGAAATGTCAAATACATGGCATTAGCACCGCATTGTAGTGGTCATATTTTAAAAATCCATTCATCCCCCTCCCCCTTCGAAAAAAAAAACTGAAAAAATCAAGAAATCAAAATACCGAAAAATCAATATTCAATATTTTAATAACCCCCGCCTGCTCTCCATAATAACTACAATTATTCTGCCCAATACCTAATTTACAATACTAAACCGTCCCTCAATTCACCCTCTATCGCCCTTTTTTTTTCCCTCTTTCACGGTCCTATTTATACGGGCCATCTCGAAAATTTTTTATATACTAAGGGCCGACCGACCCCCTTAAATTTTCTCTGGCCCTAACTTTACCTAATTTTGATCAGAAAAAGATTGATGTTGAAATACAATGTATTCAAACATATCTTCGCATTTGAACACACCAAAAACACATCAACCATCGCGTTGAAATCGGCAAGTTCGAGCTGTTTAAAAAGAGATTGTGCGGAGCTAAGCGATTGGAACGTCTTAGCTAGGATTCGGATCGCACACAGGAAAAAAAAGCGGCTGAAAAGGTTGAGAAACCAGGACGATAGGGATCTTTGACCTTTTTCAGTTTTAACGGTCAATTGCACAATTTTCGACGTGCAAAAGAGCTTTAGCAGTATTTTGGTGGTTACGAGGGCCTAGTCAGGTCAAACGGAGTGCGTACAGCTGCGGACGCGATCGCAGACCACACCACTACAGGCCAAACGAACCGCCGCAGCGCGCGCGGGAAGTGCAGAAAGAACCAGAAAAAAGGCGTGTAAGGCGTTGCCAGCGATGCCAGCAGCAGCAGCAGCAGCAGCAGCAAGCTCAGAGGCTGCAGAAGATAGTAGCTACGACTTCAAATTTAGCCAATGTTTCGGTGACAAAGCAGATATCGTCGTCACAGAGGCAGACATCATCACAGCGGTGGAATTCGACCACACGGGCGATTTCCTTGCCACGGGGGACCGTGGTGGCCGTGTGGTGCTGTTCGAGCGCAACAACAGCAAGCACTGCGAGTACAAGTTTCTCACGGAGTTTCAATCGCACGACGCGGAGTTCGACTACCTCAAATCGCTCGAAATAGAGGAGAAAATCAACCAAATCAAATGGTGTCGTCCCTCCAACCAGTCACATTTCCTGCTGTCGACCAATGACAAGACCATCAAGCTGTGGAAAGTGTACGAAAAGAATATAAAGCTCGTCAGTGACAACAACCTTAGCGAAGGGGCGTACGGAGCAGGGTCCGGCCCGGGATCGGCCGCCAAGAACCGGCATCTTAACCACCGTGGTAACGGTTCTGCCAGAGCCGTACTGTCGCTTTCGGCGCTCAAATTACCCAAACTTTCTCAGCATGACAAAATCATCGCTGCTGCGCCCAAGAAAATCTACAGCAACGCACACACATATCACATCAATTCCATATCGATAAATTCGGATCAGGAAACGTTTATCAGTGCAGACGACCTCAGAATAAACCTGTGGAATTTAGACATACCGGACCAATCCTTTAACATCGTCGACATCAAACCTGCCAACATGGAAGAGCTGACAGAAGTCATCACCAGCGCAGATTTTCATCCGCATCACTGCAATCTTTTCATGTATTCATCTTCAAAAGGTACCATAAAGTTGGCCGATATGCGACAGAATGCGCTCTGCGATTACCGTGCCAAGACATTCGAGGAATACTTGGACCCCATAAACCATAATTTTTTTACCGAGATCACCTCGTCGATATCAGACGTGAAATTCAGTCCCGACGGTCGATACATTGCATCTAGAGATTATCTAACGGTGAAGATCTGGGACGTGAACATGGACAATAAACCTGTCAAGACTATTAACATCCAGGATCAACTCAAGGACCGTTTAAGCGACACCTATGAAAACGATGCAATTTTCGACAAGTTCGAAGTGAATTTTAGCGGTAACAGTTCCAGTTTGATGACTGGTTCTTACAATAACACGTTTATGATTTACCCAGATGTGGTTGGCGCGAAAACCAGCAAAACACCGCCGATGCAAGAGATTGTCCTACAGGCAGACAAAACGGCATTCAAATCCAAGAAGTTAGGTTCGTTAGAGCAGCAAAGCGCGCGCAACAAACAATGGGGGGATGACATTGATTTCAAGAAATCCATATTGCATTTCTCGTGGCATCCAAGGGAAAACAGCGTAGCGATTGCGGCGACGAATAATCTATTCATATTTTCAGCATTATAATTTGGTGGGAGACGTACAAGTATATGATCTCAACTTTTGACGTGTGTGAGTGAGTCTGTATAAATTTTCAATTTAATAAATATCTTCACAGACGCGGCGAATGCTGTGCGTGTAACAATTGCAGCTTGAGTAGCACAGACTGTAAGCCCTCCGAACGGGCTCTAGGCCGCAATAGTCTAACGAGTTCGATAAAGATGACAGGTTTTACACATATGTATAAATAAAAAAGCCGCTTCGTCTTGCTCCACAAAACAAAGTGTAGTTCTTAGGAATATATAGGTGGGGCGGCACGGGGGTTACATGTTCTTAGCGGCCCAAAGAAGAGAGGGCATGAAAGTGGGAGTATGGTTAAGTGTGATCAAAAAGAGGAAATTCTAGCTTGGATCTCCTTCATTTTTTTTTCTGGATCTTTCATTTACTCGTCGGTGATGTGTCTGTTGACGATAGGATTCCAGAACAAAGTCTTGTCACCGTCACCCCAAAAAAATGGCTTGGTTCTGATGTTTTGGTAGTCGTAGTTCTTGGGCCATTCGGAGTCAGGAACGTGTTTCAAATGCGAACGGTGTTCAGCGTGTTCGGCTTCGACGAAGTAAGTGTTCACGGCAGCCAAAGCGATGGCAGGGGCAGCTACGAACATCGAAATTTTGAGCCACAAACCAGAGGTTTCCTTAGCGTGGTGATGAGTGTTTTGGGCGGCTTCTCTGAATACCTTGGCGGCGGCTTTGTCGCCAGGACCGTAAGCTGGTTTTAGAGCATGTGGTGGGAGAGACGACGCTCTTCTGATGGCCTGTCTTAGCATGGTTGTGAAGGATTTTTTGAGAGAGTTCGAAGCGTAAGGAACAAAAGTACGTTTAAACGCAAACAGAGCTCTATTCACTGGCTCTAAAACTATCGTTTTTGGTTGTTCGAACGGCAGAATAGTCAAAGATGGCCCTTTCTTGAGCTTTAAAATTTTTACCGTACAAAGTTATCGGTTTTATGGTAATTAAGCCAGAAAATGTCAGTTAATTATGTGAATATCGGGCCATCAAAAGATCGAGGACAAAAAGTCATTAAGGACGGGACCTCGAATTGGAAGATTTCGAGCGATCTGATTGGTTAAAAAGGCAAAAAGATGGAAGAAGCACCAAAAATTCGGGTGCATTGAGGCTATTCCGGGCCACTAGGTGGTGGGGTATACTCATGACATTTTGGGCGTCCAAAATTGGTGTTTTAAGCCTCTTTAACCCAAAAAAATGCGCAAGCCCGGAATCGAACCGGGGGCCCAACGATGGCAACGTTGGATTTTACCACTAAACCACTTGCGCGATTGGATGAAAAACGATGAGTTTTTGGAAAACATACCAGTAGTGGTAGAAGCAATGCCTGGGGAAGTTTAATGGCACTCTCTACATATTCACTCATTTTTTCGTATCATGATTTAGCGGGAAAGTGCGAATTAGGACGGTTTCAGAGGTGGCCAATTGGCTGCGGATATTCTCACGCATCGCGATTGATGACAAAGTTCATCGGGTTCTCACGATTGTGGGCTCGGGGAAGTACATTCTGAGAGACATTCAAATGAGGTAGAGGTGGCAGAATTTAGGACATTGTGGTGCCTAAATAAGTCCTTTTTCGTGCTTCTTTTTCGCAGGTGTGTGTGTATATATATTTTATTGTATATCACTTTGTAAGATTATGTCGTTTTCCTCAAATGTCACTAAATTACAGACTGACCAAGTGAACCAACCGCCAAGTTCCGTGCTCGTCACAATCGTCCAGAGAGTATGTAGTTCAATCCAAGCAGAGGCATAGAGTGCATCAGTCCTAATTTTAAGTTGCTATAAACACCAAAATCATAATTGAAACTCGAATCGAGAGGTAATTAAATTTCCCCAACCACTCCCATAGAGTGCATACCGCCAACGTCTATGGAAACAACCACTCATACCAAAAGAACCTGAGATAATCAGTAAAATTATCACATCACTCTCAACACCTCAAAAAGAGTTTAATCAATTCACATTCAATACAGCAAAACGCATTGAATTTTGAAACAGGGCGAAAGCACTCTCTAGTAGGAAAGCACTTCTCATCATACATCCTGTAGAATTCGCAAATTCACATGCCCACATAACTACCCATCACCGTCTTGCTTGCAAGAAATATCAGGCAAGATGACAAGCCTTCATGATTTCTTTTACCAAAAGGTTTCTGCGACAACAAGCGATAGCTACCATGTAGAAAATCCGGCTCCTCCCGTTGATTCAATTTTTGACATGAAACGTGGTTGCATCACATATGGAATATTCGATATTCCTACCGACATTTCTTAGCCTTATGGCGGTGATGGTTCACTTTTTCTGTCATTTGACGTAATGGCTGCCTTGATTTAAAAATTAACATGCGGTTCATCGCTTCGTTGAGAAAAAAGCTTAAAAAGTATATAAAGCCCCATCGTTGACTCGATAACCGACGCAACATTGGGCGTGGTTTGTAAGTCATTGGATTACAATCGATGCTTGGGACTTTCAGTCCGATACAAAAAGGTGGAGAAACCATGGATTGATCGAATACGAACTTTGAATGTGAAATACCCACTGGAAATTACAGCACTGCCGCCATTCAACTTGTGGATAGATAGCTATTTGTAGCTTGCTATTATCTCAAGCAAGAGTTGAATATCGAGGAACTGATTGGGACCTTTGTTTCTGGAGGTAAGTGTTATATTTCATTTTGACATCGATCTCACATATCCTATCTCCATTTAGTTGATTGCCAATAGTGAACCAGCCGGGTCTGGTATTGTGATCACGTCCGAAAACTTCCAACTTGCGTGCATGGGGCCCCACTAGTCTCTCGATCATTCCGTAGAGCTCGTCAGGCTTGCGACTGGTTTCTCTGCTTGCAGAGACAATCAAGTCAACGTCGGATTGACGGTTGAGCCACCTAGGAGAGCCTTTCACACCCACCAAAAGATGTTCTTTGGAATGGTTGAGCCAATGACCGGTTCTGCCGGTCACAATGGTACGGCCAAGCTGATTGGTCTTGATCCAGGAGATTTCGTTGCAGACGTGGTACCCCCATTTCTGCAGTGAGCTTTTGCCCACTTCGATGGCGCGACCCGTCACCCATAAAAACAGGATCCCTTCTTGCTGAAGAAGATCGAGTGGTAAGTCTGTCAACTCCGAATCGTTGCAAGTTCCGTATGGGAGATTCATGCGAATATTCCAAGCAGGATCGGCCACGACGACAGAAAACTTGCCTAGGATGTTGAAATCGAATTTACGGACATCACATTGGATCCACTGTGCTGGAAGTGTAGGTGCTGAGGCCACAGAACAGTTGAGGCCTTGTGTGTACAGACACATGTGTCTTTTTGAAGCGGAGGCTTCGTTTGTCTGCGCGACATTGATCGCGGTCGCCTGTGCTAGTGACTCAGGCAAATATTGCAAATAGTGGACGTAACGACACGAGTTGAGCTTGTGGCAGGTGTCGAGATAGGAGCAGTCGCCGAGCGACGCGTCTGTTTGCGGTTTCAGGTTAGAGATATAGTGTATCTTGGACTGGGCGCACTTGAGCAGACCAGGACAGTCCTGTTCTGCAGCGTGAACCTTGTTCATGTCCATTGCAACAACTTTGTTGCTGGAGATAGCTGCAATGCTGGACAGAACGCTACAGTGGTTCTTGTTACCACAGATCGGGATGAAACTTGCGTGACGCGTAAATTTCCGGGCCCTTTCGCGGCCCAAAAGGTAGGAGGCGGGCTTCAAGCTGAGAGCCTGATTCAGTCTGTCCAAAGTCTGTTGGTTTGGGGTGTCTGCAGCATGGGATTCAAGTATGCTGTGGAGACGACAGGACCATGATGAAGAATTGGCAGAGTTGCCTGGTTTCGACGAGTTTTGTTCAATTCGCGTGCTGTGACGTTGAAACGAACCGGGAACCACGCAGTTATGCATTATTTCGAGCGTTTCAACATCGACGTAGTCGATTGTCGCGTGCTGTCTGCTGAGGTCAGCTGAATTAGCGAAGCTTAAGCAGCCGGGACTAATAGCCTCGATATTCATCAAATCATTCCAAAACTCGTCCGCTTTCTGTCCAGCTTGTCCTGCTTGCCCAGTGCTCTCAGCACTCTCGTTATCCAAACTCATTGCATCGTTTCTCGTTGCAAACATGATCCCGATGTCTTCAACACGACCCGAAATGGGAGGGGCGAGTAGATCATTGTGGTTTTCGACAAGGTATTTTACGAGCTCACAATTGATCATTGTCCTATGCTTGATGAATGGAGTTCTCTCCTAGTGCTTGAACGTAAACTAGAGTTCTTTTGAACTCACAGTTACTAAACAATTTACTAACGTTCTATTTAAATGACTGGAATACAATCAACTCCGAACCATGAACAACCTCAAGAAACTATAAAGCTACTCAATGGTTCTACAGATGCTTGAACTCGACCAGGAAATTTGATATATGGACTGTTTCAAGCTTTTGAAATCGGTACTACAAGGGCTGATTTCTGTTTAATTTCATCAATTTCTGATGAATGTGTGGTATATAACAAGAAAGAAGGGTGTGTCAGGGAAAAATGAAGGTGAGGATATCGATGACAGGGCTCGAGTTTGATGTCATTAATGCATGGCAATCTGTGGGGTGAAGGGACGATTTTGGGTTTTTTCTTTGGAAAGTTCTGTGCCATGTCGATCGCTTGCTAGCGAAGCGACGGGTCATCTGATGCATTGTTATCGTCTTTTAGTTATTAATGTCACATTTGTAGGAGTGAATACAGCTTTTAACGATTAAGGCGTGGGGATACTCTACAAGTTAGCAGTTGCGACAGCGTTTTTATTTTTGGAGCCTTGTTTTATTGTAAGTTGTCGATGTTTCATTACTTGTTTAAAGTGAAAGTGAGGATGCAGGTCACCAAATTTGAGAAATGGTGAAATTTGTGAAGGTATTCGATCATTCCGCGGTGCAAGAAGCTCTTATACTACGAGTTCTGCACTTATTGATAATTCAACTTCTAGTCTTCTTTCATTCACAGCTGAGAGCGTAGTGTTGAAACCTTACTACTCAATCACAATTGATCGTCGAGACTTTCAATGGCTCAGCGATAAAAGTTTTTCCACACTTTCACAAAACCGGTCGCCTATGCTCTCAATTATTCAATGGAAGTGCAATTTCTCCACTTATTCACATTCCATCGTTCAATAATACCCAGAGTTCCCTTTTCATTCACAATCAATCGCTTAAGCCTCGATAGCCTAAAAGTGCTTTGATGTCTTCTGTGTTTATTTATAATTAATCACTGAACTATTCAGTGATGCTCGTCGACGTTTGCATTACTCACAATTGACCGCTGACGCTTTTGATTTATCAGAAATGCCCGAGGCCAAGTTATCTACTTATAATCAATCGATGATGGTCTGAAGTCTTCAAAAGTACCACCATCTCTCACTTATTCACAATTGATCGCTATCGCTCTCAATTGTTCAGCAGTGCTTCGAATTTCTCTTTTTCACGACTGCTCGCTGACGCTCCCAATTGTTCAGTATTACTGGGGGAACGCTTTCAATCTCTGACATTTTCAACTGGCTTACTGAGCTTGAGGACAGCATAATTTTTTATTATTGACCACTGACGCTCTCAAATTTATGGAAGTTGTAGCCTTAAGACTGAATTTGATTATCTTAATAGAGAAAAGTGTGGCCGTCTCCACTATTTCCAATCGATCGATAAAGTTTATGATTACTCAACTGTGCTCGGATCCAGCATAACTACTTATTATTGCCCGCTGACGCTCCCTATTGGGTAGTGATTGTTTCCATCTTAATTATCGCTGACAGTCTCGATGGCACAGTGAATTTTGCTATTTAAACTATTCAAAGTAAATCGCTAGCGCTCTCAATTGTTCAAGAGTGCTTGTGATCATCTTACGTATTCACTCTTGCTCGCTGATGCTCCCAATGTCATAGTCACCGTGACCGTTTGAATTATTTCCTATCGATCGCTGACGTTCTCGATTGCAAGCCGTCTTGAGTTTGGCCGTCAAATTTATTCACAATCGCTCGCTAACTCTCCCAATCGTTCAGTTGTGCTACGAGCTCTCTACGTAGTCACAATTGATCGCTGACGCTCTCGATTGTTCAACCATGTTTATGGCATCAAGTATATTTTCTATCTCATCTAAAAGCTAAAAAACCCAGTATAAAAGAAGATACTAAAAGCATGAATGAGACCACAGAGGAAAACCCCGGCTCTTCACACAAATGATTCATTCGATCGACAATTAACGTGAGGTGTCATTTAGCCGCCCAGGTCTCGAGAAATATCAATAGATATGAAGCTTACATAATAATCGATTATATGTAATAAGATCACATATAACGAATATCAAATTCCAAAACTTGAAATGTAGAATTACCAGCCTTTCTACTCATTCAATGTCCACATAAACTTACTAGATCGTACCTTTCAAAACGCAGGAAACGACACGAATACCGCGCGAGCCCGGTTGTGTCCCGCGACTGTGACTTATTGGTTTTTGAAAGGCGGATGTTTAGCGCTTTACGCTACGACTCGAAAACTGCAGGATTTTCGCCAGAGCTCGAGTTCAGTGCTCAGTACAACCCAAACGTTTCGTACCATTTCAACAGCGACGTTTCGCAGTTTCACTATGGTGTGAAGCACCCGATGAAGCCATTCAGGCTCATGCTCACAGACCACTTGGTGTCGTCATATGGGCTGCACAAGATCATGGATTTGTATGAGACGAGGTCTGCTACAAGTGAAGAACTAGCGGAGTTTCACTCAGAAGACTACCTAGAATTTTTAAAACGTGTCACACCTGAAAACCTGGCCAAGCTGCCGCGTGGGTCGCTTGAAAAATTCAACATCGGAGACGACTGTCCCATTTTCCAGGGACTATACAAGTACTCAGCCCTTTACGCCGGTGCTTCTTTGGACGCTACCAGAAAACTCATAAATGGCCAGTCCGAGATCGCCATCAACTGGTCAGGTGGGCTCCATCACGCGAAAAAAAGCAGTCCGTCTGGTTTCTGTTACGTCAACGACATCGTTCTTAGCATTCTCAATTTGCTCAGATTTCATCCCAGAGTCTTGTACATAGACATCGACTTGCACCATGGGGACGGGGTTCAAGAAGCATTTTACACCTCTGACAGGGTCTTCACAGTGTCTTTCCACAAATATAATGGTGAGTTTTTCCCGGGCACTGGTAAACTGGACGAAACTGGCTGTTCTCGCGGAAAGCACTTCTCGATGAATGTCCCGCTAGATGACGGAATCGACGACGATTCATACATCAATCTGTTCAAAAGCATCATGGACCCACTAATAACGTCCTTCAAGCCGACTGTAATAATACAACAGTGTGGAGCCGACTCCTTGGGTCACGATCGACTGGGTTGCTTCAATCTGAACGTCATGGCCCACGGAGAGTGTGTTAAATTTATCAAATCTTTTGGTCTTCCCATGCTAGTATTGGGCGGTGGCGGCTATACTCCACGTAACGTCTCCCGACTCTGGACTTACGAGACTGCATTGCTCAACGGTGTCACTGTTCCTGAAACAATTCCCGAAAATATCCCGTTTAGAGAGTGGTTTGGGCCTGACTATTCTCTGCATCCCGTTCTGGATAACCTTTACGAAAACAAAAACTCCAAAAGCTACCTAGAAAATATTCGCATTCGCTGTCTGGAGAATATTCGATTTCTACAAGGTGCCCCAAGCGTAAGAATGGACCAGGAACTGATACCGACTCAGGATATTAGTGGGTTAACGCAAGAAGAGGAGAATGCAATTCAAGAGCTCAACGAGGAGACAGATAAGCGTAGACTCGAAATAATGGAGAAAGAAAGTTTAAGGGTAGGAGAATTGGAGTGATCATTTCGCGGTTTTCGCGATACGTGTGTATCATCCGATACACCATAATAATGTAACAATATAACGACAAACATAACATCTTTGACAAATAAAATTGAAAAGTCTTAGCAATGTCGTTCGGAAGGCAAAGGCAAGTTGGCTCGGAGTTTAAGTGGGCCATGGTTTTAAAATTTGTTTCTTGAGGGCTACATTTTTAGCTTAAATAGGATATTTTGTAGTGGTAATCGTTATTACTCTGCACACAGGAAAAACATAGCTTTCAAAAAGTCAAAGACACAATATTCCAAGCGTCGCCAGGTGTGATAATATCGAGTTGCTGGAAACGCATTTTGGTCAACAGGCAATAAATAGCATATAGTTTATGTCCCTATCTCTCAGGTATATATGATTCTATCACTGCGAGTGATTGCAAGATCATTGTCTGCCCTGCTCGTAATTAATCTGATCTGTCTGCTCATCAGAAAGCCCTTCTTACCTTGGTTTTACCACTGGATGTTGGCGTGCCCTGTCGTAGACAAGAGATGCAATTTGTTCTGGCAAAAATGGCCATTTTTTGAGAAGCTAGTCTGGAAAATATTGGATCAAATCGAAACACATTATCAAGTTTAATAACTCTCTCTGTTTGGTATATCAATATTTAGTCTATAATATCACAGAGCTTATGCGTCCTTTATCAACTCTACTCCACCAATTGCCCAGATTTCAGCTTCATCTTCGTAGCAGTCAGAGAACACTGTCTCTGGATCACCACCGGCAGCAATTCTTTCCCTTTCAACACCGGCCAATCTTTTACCGACCCTCTTGGTATAGTCAGTAATGGATCTAAGTTGAACTAGGTCACCAGCTCTGTTCTGCACCGCAGGGCCAGAAAGCTGTAAAATCCAGGCCTCAAAGGCATTCATGTCCTGCTCCTCTACCAGCCTGAAGATCGCCAAATAGGCCTTTTCAGCCGCCAATTTGACGGGGATAATAACATCACGCAAGCACGTAAAAACCGAGGGACCCAGTAGATCGTAGAATGGTTTAATGCATTCTTCATACTTGAACCTCGCCACAGTCCGCACAACTACTAGCGACATCCTCCTCGAGTCTAGCGAGTTACTGGCAGGGCGTAACATGTCTTCACACAAAACCTCAATGAGGGTTCCAATGCTTTCCTCGGAAAGCTCGAATGGATTTTGAGATTCTAGTTTTCCGTATGGAGACCTCTTCTCTCCGATCAACAACAGAAGCTTACCAATGGCAGCCAATGCGTTGTCGGATATGTAAGGAACGGTGGACTTGGCAGCACCTATTAGATATTGGACATAATCCGGTATCAAGCCCGACTCGAATAGATGTGCTGGGGCATCTTTCAAAAACGAGTTCAACGTCAAAATGGCAAAACGCCCAGATTCGCCAGCAACGTCGACTTCCAACACCTTATCATTTAGTATAGAGTTCGCTTCGTCCGTAGTCATTATTCCAGATAAAGAGCCAATTAGCTTGGCGTAAGCTGTTGCTAGCTTATCGTTGACTGTCAAAATTTGTTCCTCCACAAGATTCACGATGACATGTTTGGAGCTTTCGTTCAGTTTGGAACCTGCTTTAGAAACAATTTCCAGTAAGGCGTTTAACAAAGCAGTCTTAACACCTTCATCGTCCGTTTGTCTGGCGCCCCCAACAAGCTCTACGACCAATGGATCCACTCTTGGTTGGTACTCGATCAAGGAACCAAGGGCTTTTGCAGCGCGCAACCGAAGTGTCTCGTTCGAGGTATCTGACAAGGATTTCACAAATGTCCTTTGCAATTGAGGAATGAAGGGCCTCAAAAATTGTGGAATTTTGGCAAACAACACGTTTAGAGCATATAGAATTGCAGCTTTGACGTCGCCCGGAAATCTTTCGCCAACGACACGAATCAACGGACCGGTGATCAGTGTAACAAACGCTCTCAAATTGGCCGCTGGAGTTCTCTTTACAATGTCGGCAATTGCCATCGCAGCTGTTTCACGATCCTCATTGGAGCCATACATCAAGCCATGTAGGAAAACTGGCAAAATACAACTTGGTCCCTTAGGCAGCTTAAATACTCCCAATTCCACGTCTTCCTTCCCAACAAGCATTAGAGCCTGTCTAGAAGGCTTAACCAGCTTACCCAACATAGACTTATCTTGTTTCTTGATCAAAACGGTTAGTGCATCAAAAATGCTCTGCAAAACCTGAGGGTCTTGATCGTCAAATGACATTATCATTTGAGACACAATCTCTGGAGTGTATATGTCAAAGTTGAGTGTGGTTTCTTCGAAGAAGGCTGGCAGACGCTCCAAAATCACGAGACGTTTCGCTTTGTTTTCGTCCTTGATCAAGCTCAAGATGTGTTGCATCAATGGATGCATACCGTCAGAATCAACAACGGAGCTCATAACGCTTTCCAATGCACCTTCTAAAGCGCTCTTAGTCTGCTCATCTTGAGTAGACCCTGCTAAAGTGTTGACTAAAGCGTTGATCATGGTCGACAGCCGCCTGTATAGAGCGACGCCAGCAACTTGAGCCAATAAGCCAAGAGCGCGAGCTCTGAAAGCGTCTATAGGTGGGCTTAACAGTGTTGGTATTAGAATTGGGAAAATGACCTCAGACTTGGTGGCCATAATTTCTTGCAACGCCAACAATGCGAATTCTGAGCTCTCGCTGGAAGTCAACATGCTGAGCAAGTGAGGCAAGACCTCGTCAACAGCAACTTTACCGAAAGCTTCTTGGAACGCATCAAATGACAATGCAGCCGACTCTCTAACAGTTGCATCGCCGTCAACTAGCGTGATGCGAATAATGTTAACAATCGTGGATTGATACTCTTCCAATGATTCAGGAGAGGACGATTGCAATAGCTCGCGCAAAGCAATACACACTCCTTGTTTGGATTCAGAGCCACGAGCCTCGGCAAGGGATCCTTCCAACACTGGTAGCAATTGAGACAAGGCATTGGTGCCAACACGTCTCACTAGATCCCCCAAAGTTTGGGCAGCAATGTGACGTAGACTAGCAGAGGATGAAGCCAAATGGACAACGACAATGCTCGTTAGAGTAGGAAGAATTTCCTTGACTGTACGTGGCGTGTTGGGCACAATTGCTTTCCAAACGTCCACAGTAGTAGCACGAACAACACCAGATGTATCGGACCGGCAGACAAACAAAGAAGAGAGAATTCTGTCGCGGCGGTCTTGTCCAAGCACCTCCAGAAGCTGCTTCGTGACCTCGTGATTGACATCACCTTCTTCGTCATCAAATTCATTCTTCGAGGAAATTCCTGTGACTTGGAATAATAAATCGCTTGTAAGCTGCACAGAAGACAGTCTGATTCTTTCATTCTCATCGAACATTCCTTTTTCAAGCTCTGGAAGCAATAAGTCAATGGCTTTCGTAGCATAATTTTTCACCACAAGCTTTCCTGCCTTCAAGGAAGTATCAGAGATGTTTTCATCTGGATCAGCCAATCCACTCAAAATAGGCTGAATAATTTGACTGACGTAAGGAGCAAACTGAGCACCGAAGCATACGGGCAAAAACAATAGAAGAGGCATGAAACCTTCCCTCACGTATGTTTTGGAGTTGGTAACACCTGCCATGACAGTCGGAAGCATTTCATCCAGTTTAGACAGGCCGAGCCCGCTGATAACCTCCGAAAGTGCTTGTGCCGATCCCAAACGGTCACCAGCCTTACTATCATCACTCAAGGTAGCCAATAGACGAGGTATCAAGTGAGGGAACTTTTCTTCACCCAACCGTTCTACTAAAGCACCTAGTGCCCTCGCAGCTGTAGCTCTGGTGCTTGGAACAGGATCAACCATTGCTGTCTCCACTTCGTCAACCAATTGTTGCAAGTATGGTACCAAATCATTGGCGTCTACGAGGATGGCCATGTTGCCAACGATTTTACATGCTTTTCTTTTCGTGTTGGCCGACCTCTCACGCATACCTCTGTGGATAACGTGAATAATCAAGGCTAGGGAGGGACCGTCAATGTAATGCACAAACTGTGTTTGTATGAGTGCATTCAATGCTTCTTCGGTGTGTTTTGTCGGATCTCCAATAGCCTTGATCAATACCGGAACAAGCTTTTGAATTTCAGGATTTCTAATGACTTCCCCAAAGCGGTTCAAGGACTGGTCAGCGGCTTTACGCACCTCTTTATGCGAGTCATTAAGAACAGCAACAATCTCAGGGACAATAGTCGAGAGAGATGCAGAGAGCTGGGTGGGATCAAGATAAGCCATGTTACCCAACAACTCGACCGATCCTCGTTTTGTTCTCCACGAAATATCCTCCAAGTTATTAACAGCCACAGGAATTAACTTCTTCACACCAAATCCAGTTGTGTTAGCCATGATAGTTTTAGTGGCATTTGCAGTAGCAATCCTAACTTCAGGAACAGAGTCACCAAGATTTTTCAAGATATTAGGCAGTACTTCGATAACATATGGTTCGAAAAACTTGCCCAATGCCTTGGAGAGACACTCGAATGCAAAAGCAACAGACTCACGCCTTTGAGGGTCTTTCTTATCCTCCGAGGCATCCATGAGATCATGAATTACATCAAATTCTGCAAGAGATTTGATACCTAGACCTTTTACGAGACCGGCAAGCCCCCAGGCGGCACCACGTTTGGAGTGAAGTCTTGCTTTAGAATCTTGTAGCTTCTTCATCATGTTGTTTAAGTAATGACCCGCCTGTGAGTCCAATAAGCCCACCAATGGCGAGATACATGCGGAAATGGCTTGCTGCACTTCCTCTGACGGAGTCTCAAGGGTGTTTAGCAACCGCTCAACAATAGTCGTAACCCTCTTGTCATCCGCAGACAAATGTCTTGCTAGTGTACCATAAAGGATAATAACATTTTCCTTGGTGGCAATATCTTGATTGACAACAAGAGCTTCTTCAAATACCGGAATTAAATCCTCAACGTTGCGAGATCCATGATGAGCAATCACCTCAATTCCCGCCTCTTTCATTTCCTGTCTGACCAAAACTTCACGATCCCCAAGGGCGCCGCTATTGACCAAAAATTTGACAAACTCCACGGGCCATTTACTTTCAAGAGGGAAAACCTCTGAACACTCCTTGAAAGCAATGGCAGCAGTACTTCTCTCTTCCCAGCAGTCTTTTTGTGCTTCGGAAGATACAACTACTAATCCATACTCATCAATGATAGGTTCTGGAACACGAGCCTTCAAGGAATAAAAGCTCATGAGCTTTTCAAGGTAAACCCCGAAAAAGTCCCTCGACTGCGAAGTTAACACATGCAGAGCTGTTGCATAAGATTTCGCAACAAAGAGACGCAAGCCACTATCAGCTTGACCAAAATAGTCCAACAAGCTTTTGAGCAGCTCTTCTCGGACCTCAAACTTGTTGAGTTGCCAAATGGAAGCGGCAGTTTCCCTGTTTGACTCACTAGCGTCTTGCATCAATATAAATATTTGAGGCGAGAAGTTCATGTGGGGTGTCAAATCGAATTCATCATCCACAGCCTCCAAGATAGTGGCTCTGACAAAATCGTTCGGAGACATCAGCCTGCCCAAAATTAGATCCAAATCTGTTTGGCTTGGAGACAGTGACAGATTTTGACACAAAGCTAAAAAGCATTCTTTAGCGGATCTTGCTTTTGATGAAACAGATATTAGAGAGAGCAAGACCTCTAAAATGTGTTGACGTGGAATGGCGGGGTCGCTGAAGGACTCGGCGTGACCTCCAATGATTTCCATTGCAAGCAAAAGCTGCTCTTCCTCTTTGTCCTCTTCAACAAATTCGCTTTTAACTAATGGCTTGTCTGCGTTCTTCAAAGAAATCTTCTTTCCCTCTTCTAGGACTTTGGAAAGCAAAGGTAGAAGTAAAGTCAGAGTTAAGGACTCAAACCGCTTCTTGTTCGCGACAAATTTGACTCTGAATAATACTCTAGATATCAATTCCAATAGAGGCTCCTGACACAAACTTTCCGGAATCCCACGAACTTCAAAAGCACGAAGAGTGGCAACAGCAATAAAGCTTCTCATATTACCTAGCCTCTCTGACGCAGTATCTGACAATTTCAAAAATGTCTCAATGCCTTCTTTGGGCAGCAGCTCTGAAAAATTAGGCGCTTGCAAAGCTGATAAAACGCAGGAAACGGCCACGGGAAACCAAACTTCGGATCCGTTCTGGACCAACGAAGCTTCCTTACTTAATTGTGAAATTAGTGCCAAAGACCGACGTACCTCTGCCACAGTGTTATTTGTAGCTTTTCTTATGTCACTTTCTTTTGACAACTGAGCATCGACTAAGTCCTTTTCTTCTTTAGTCAACTTTTTGGCGCCAGAGTTCTTCTTGGCTTGCTTTTTTCTAACGTCTTCCTCCCACTTGAGGGTCTCGTAGTCTTTTGAGTTTTTATTGTCCAATGCTTTGCTCTTCTTTTGTAGGACATCCACAACCAGCTCACCTTCGGCCCCTTTCCATATGGATATCTGAGACGCGTCTATCGCGCGGAGCCTGGTAGCATCCAAGGCAGTTTTGATGAGCGCGACGGTTAATGCAGCAATGGGCGAATGGTTTATGAATGCAGCATAAGTCACAGATTTAACAGCCGCTTCGTAAAGTGGAGATCTACTGTTTTCATCGCCAGTCAAAACCTTAAACTTGGTGATAACATCTTCCGCGTATTCTGCAATCAGATGTTCGGGGTTCAAATTGGCTTGTAGCACCAATCCTGCCCATCCACTTTTCAAGTTAAACTTAGGATACTGTGCAAGTACGAGCAATTCGATGAGAACCTTCTTCAAGGCAGCTCGATCCTCAACATCCTGGCTCAGTGCCATGAAAACTGGTGTTGCATAACGCAAAGTTATACCACAACGATCTGCCGAGGTTTCAACACCTATTTGTTCCTCCAGCGCTTTGATAACATTCAGCCCGATCATTAAAGGATTTCTCTGATATGCATTACGGAGTAGTTCCACACCAAGAGCCCTTTCTTCAAAAGTCAGCTGTGTCGACATTGCAGCTACCAGCCATGCATACCCAATAGATGGAGAATTCCGATTGACATCGATTAATAGAGACATGACTTCAGTTGCAAGTTCATTACCTTGCATGGAAGAAAGACGATCAACTCCAATAAAACAACTTAAAGTATTCCTTGCTGTGTATTTCGTTGGGGAGGAGAACACATCTCTCACGTACTCTAAGATTTCTTTTGAGAGGTCACGGAAGTCTTCTAAGGACTTTTCGTCGATAACATTGAGCAATGATGCAATCCATAATTTTCTCACCTGCTGCTTCTTGTCATTTAGACCTGTCTTTATGAGGGCAACAGCACTTTCAGGAGAAACGTCTAGTTTCGAAAAATGTGTGAAATAGGTCTGCAGCATGGGTGCCATCACAGCTTCGTTGGTCTCCTTTGCTAAGTAATTCGAAAGGCCTTTTACTATGTCGGATGAAATTTCAGAAGATATCGAAGGCGTCGCACCGAGTAAAGATGACACGGTCACTTTATAATCAGCATGCAAATTGGACTTTAGGTTTTTGAAAGATTCGGCAACGAAAATTTGCAGATTTTCTGAGGACGAAGACTTTGAAGTGCAATGCAGAAGACTTAACATGGATTCTAATGAAAGACATCTAACCACTTCCTTGTTACTTTTCAGGGAAGAGAAAGACTGGGTCATAAGTTTGGATTTCACAAATATTGAGGAAAGATCAACTTTCGTGGGATCAACGCTAAGGTAAAACTCGCTAGCAAGCTGATATCCTATTTCAGATGACCTCAGGATACACTTTTCTAAGTTGGGCACCATGTAAGTCTTGAAAAGCTCTGTAGTGAGAAATTCGTGAGCAAAAGGTGCAAAAAAAGTCTCAATACAAAATGGCGAGGGTGGCTCCTTGCACAATATTACGTCTTTGCCCACATACTCACAGAAGGCCTCGACGACGTTGTTCGTAATAGCGGCATAATGAGCAGGTTGTGACTGCAGGAGCTGACAAGCTGCTTTCGTGAGGGAACCCATTACAGCAACCACCCCGGTAGGTGGCAACTTGACTTGGCTGGCTTGGTGGAGTATGCCTTCGTAAACGATCTCCACTGAAAAGTCGCTCTCAGTTCCACTTTTCAAAGCTTGAGCGAAAGTCTTGGCCATTGACTGTAGCACGCCCTGACGTATTCTGCGCCGATGTTGGTTTTGCTTGAATTTGGAAGGCTTTGCATGTTCATGCACGCCAAGAGCCGCCTCAATACTTTGAGCGGTAAAGCACATCAACTGCAGCAATTCCACGGTCTCGGTCTCAAATTGCTTCTTTTGTAAAACACAGAACTTCAGTAACGAATTGATCCAGTCTAACAGATTCATGTAGTCAGCCATTGCACGAGTGGCTGGAACTTTGGCAACTAAACCGCGAATGAACTTGAGCAAACCGTTCAGGCGCTCTGGCATACGTTTGAAGAGACTTTCAAACACTGAGACCACCTTTTGGGTCGACTTCGCGTCGCGAATGTACATGTAGCTGTCCATAATGCCCAGCAGAATTTCTTTATCGGCATCTTGTTCCAATGCGATATCTTGGTTTCCCAGAATCGCAGTTATTTCTTCCAGCACCGAGAATCGTGCTGAAAGCGCTGAATCCTGAAACGTACGAGTCAAAAGAGGCCCAATGCCTTCCAAAGACCCGTTCAAAATACTCATGATGCTCGTTTCAAGCTTGCAACTGGCCTAATTAGCGGCTTTACGGTTCAATCCTTACTACTTGGCTTAAAGCTATAAAATGTAGACTTAACTTGCAGTATATATAACTTAGCGCTTTCACCTACAAATTTTTTTTTCCGTTATTGATGAGCTTGCTCAAGAGATCTGTATAAAAGGCTATTGAACTGATGGGTTGATCGAAGCGATCTGATCGGAGAAGCGATCAATGATTCACAGTCCTTATCAAGACGGAGTCGTTGAGATGAGGCTTCACTTATTCGTAAATTTTAAAATTTATTAAAGATCCTTCATAATTTCGGTTCGTCAAGAAAGGCACTGCGACTTTTTGATCGAATCTATGACATTGCTCAAGTGATCTTGTCAAACTGTAGACAATTGGTGTTTGGAATGTAGGTGTATTTCGGATAGTTTTCATGTTTGTGAACAACCACAAATTCGACTATTAATTTTGACATATGGCGCCTTGTACATTAGAAAACGTTGACGTTCGGCAGTTCACCTCGCAGACGATTGATTTTCAAATTAAAGGAGGAAGGCATGTTCGGGGCTTTTGAAGAAGTAGCACTCACGTCTTTCGTTTGCCGAAAAATGATTTACCGCCTTTTGAAGTTGAGTTCAGAGAAGATGACGTACTTTCCTTCTTGGGTTTTGGGGGAATAGGTGCAAAAGGACCCGTCATGAACAAAGCCGCACCGGTCAAACCACTGCCAGCCATGTGTGAGTTCTTCTTTTTCGCTCTTAGAGAATTCACCTTTTTAGAGCCCTTGGTGTCGATTGAAGACGAATCGCTCTTCTCGGAAAGACTGATCTCTGAAGATGCAAACTTGGAACTGCGCTCGGTCACCTCATTGGCCCGGATTCCAGCCAGATTCGGGGAGCTACTGTTGGGACTTTTCCGGTCAAGACAAGTTTTAGATTCAGAACGGGTCAGTTTATCCGTCAAAGGCACCGCTGCCACAGGTGCCGACGCAACTGGGGTGTGATCTTGTGACCGCGGTGGGACACTCTGAGGGTCCGTAGATGTTCTCTCTGTTGATGTGCACGAGTGTTTAGTTTCATTCGCACGTGAAGCTGATATCTGTTCCAGCCTTTGCTTTAACAGCTTTAGCTTCTTCGATAGTGTGATGACACTGACACATCTAACAATGAGACGCACATCGTGCACCAAAGTCGCAGTCTCGTGGATTAATTCAATCACATAGTCTACCGGGGGAAATGAGCTGGCTGATGCCATGTTCGCCAGTGTTAAATTATCCACAGTTTTCTTCTGGCTTCCTGGTCTGTTTACGTGATCCCCTTTCTTGAAGAAATCAATAAGATTCTTTAGGGAAGAGCCCGCGGAGTTGCTCTTTTTGACCAGCGGATCGACAGAAGCATCTGGCTCACGTTGACGGAGCTTCTTGTCTATTTTTGACGTGGAAGATAAGCCAAAGCCGGCATCTATATCATCGGAATCGGAGCTTGATGAGTAATTCCTGGGTTTCGAGTTCGTTTCAACCTTTTCGACCTTATTACCGCATTCAATCTCTCCATCTGCAGCGATCTCGCCCACATTTTCAAGAGGTCCACGGCAAAGTTCGGAGGGCTTCAAGTCCATGATCTTATAAGAGACCTCATAGTTCACATTTTGTGACATGTTGCTCAATTTCTGTTGCTCCATTCTATCAGCATTATTTTCCCTATCTGTTTCTTCACTTCTCTCTCTTGTAACATTGCTGTCACTGTTGTATCCGTTGAACTGTCTTGCAGCCGAGTCCCTCAAGGTGACCTCTTTGCTCAAGCTTGAACTTTTAGTTCCTCGACTTCCTTTGGGCGAATTTAATTTCATCCGCCCTGCCATCATGGTGGTTGGAGTACCACACGAACCCACTGAGTTATGACTTCCACGAGGTCCTCCAGCGAATATAATCGGCACATTCAAGGTATCAGACTCCTTATTTTCCTTGATCGCGCTAATACCTTCACCACTTTCAGAGCTACAATTAGAACCGTTCCTTGAGAATCTCTTCAAGAGCCGAGTATCGAAAAACCCGTCATCGACTGCGTGAAGAGACTCCTCGAATTCAAGCAATTCCTGACGAGCTACATTCAAATCTGAAAATTCTTGAGTCGTCTCTTCACTTTCACAATTTCCCTTGTCTTGGTTGGGATGTAGGATTGGCTTTAAAGATTCGATGATTGCCAGTAAACTTTCTTCTTTCCTTCCTAAAATTGAATAAAAAGCTTCTACCATTAGGTCATAAAGAAGCGGGATCTCGTAAATTTTAGCCATCACCAGTAAGTTCAGAGCAACAGGCGAGAGTAGCCATTTACCATTGACCTGACCCGTGTAGAAGAATTCGATAAAAGACCTGATGGTCGAAGTCGGCCAAGGCATGTACAGAGACCTTGGAAGTAACAATGGTTCTAATTCGTGCTCAATACTGAAATTAATACTCGCGCTGCTGTCAGCCATTGATAGATACGATGGTCGACTACCATCACTCTCTAAAGTGGACCTTGCGTTGCTGTTTTTAATTGTTTGCTTCAAATCCTTCGTTGGAGTGGCTCTGTGATTAGGACTTTTTAGGCTGGTCTCTAGTTCAACGTCAATCAGATTGTCTTCCAAAAGCTGCCTGTCGATGGATCTTTTGCGGGCCATGTTTGGGACTTGTTCATTCAAAGCAACGTTGTCCTGTGCCGCTGTTCCGTGAACACCTAAAAGGGGCTGCGAAACTGAAGAGGACAATTCAGGTCGAAGTACGTCGTGGTAAAAAGACGATCTTCTCGACGAAAATGGGCTATTTTTTAGGGAAGTGGTGGGATTCGCGCCATCGTGATGAAGTTGATGAGGAGTTGCAGGAACAGGCTCCGAGGGCATTGGTAGTAGCGGGGGGAGTTGAGAGCTTAAAGAATTGAGTGTCGACGTGCTCAACCCACTATCCTGTGAGGTTCTACGAGTGGCAGAATTTCCCATTCTGTCAGATGTCGAGCTCACAAATGAAATTGAGCTATTTTGAGATGCGATTGAAGCTTTGCGAGAGCCAAATGGGCTTTGAGAGATTGTAGACTTTTCAATAGGATTCTGAAATATCGGGTGAGAAGCGCGACGTAAGCCTCGGATTCCACCGTCAAACAAAAAGGATGCTGATGCCGAAGACTTTCTACGAGCCGCGTTTCCAGATTGTTTCTCTAGCTCTTCTAGCCGACTAGGGTCATCATTGAGGACTTGCAATAAAGGCAAGGGAACTGCGGACCTGCCACTATTCTCTTGAAACGGAAGACGAAAAACCATCCCACCGGAGGAGCTTGTGAGCTTGCTTGTGTCAAAACTGGAGCTTCCTGTTTTTGGAGTATCCGCGACATCATTAAACTCTTTAGACGAATGCTGGGACAAGAGACTAGTAGACGGATCTGACTTCGAATGATGCGACTCGGGCGCACCCTGTGAACTCAGATTAGTGGGTCTCTGACGTCCTTCTTTTTTATAGCTGTCAGTAACGTCGCCAGAACCTCTTCTATTAGCGAAGAAGAAGGGACTTGATTTTCTCGTTATTAAAGGAAAGAGCGGTTGTGTTGGTTGTGATTGTTCGTTCTTGAGAGAATTTAGGTCTAAAGGTTCCTGTGGGAAAGAGTCTCCTGCATCTTTTAAACTTGTGCTGTCAAATTGCTGGGTTGTCGGAGTGCTGCTAAAATGTGCCGAACCCGACGAGAATTTTGAAAATTCATTGTCTCTATTTTGATCTTCGAATGCTTTTGAAGCTTTGACATAACCATGAGCTAGAACCTCATCAAAATATCTACCCCATCTTCTTCTTAGTAAAAGGAGCGGAACCCGAACAGAGTCGCCGTCCTCTGTAACTATTTCAAAATCTGATAAATGCTGACCACAAAGCTCTAAAGAATCTTTGCCGAGAGCCATTGCATATGACGGAAAAACAGATGCTATGGTAGTGATTTCAAGTGGTGGCGCAGAGTATCGGGAGTACCCCTCAAATCCATCGTAGTCAAAAGACAGCTGGTCTAAATTTGCGCCGCTTCTCTCTCTACCTACTGCGAGATGGTGAGCTTTGTGAAACACATTTATCATTGGGAGGGCAACGCACAAGACGCTACTAAATCTCTGAACGCTTGGCAAATAATCTTCTTTCATCATGGTGCCCAGAAGAACGACTTTATGATGCGAATGCCAAACGAACAACTGCCACAGACGGTGCGAAGCTCCTATTGGGTCATCAGAAACAGTATTAATTTCTGTCCACTTTCCGGTTGGGATGTTGTATGTGAAACAATGGAAACTTGAAGGTTGTAAATCCGGATAAAACCCAGAAATGATGATATTCTGACCAAAATATCCACCAGATGGATGCTGCAAATGAAAAGGCGCTTTGTACTTCTGACTACCCCAGCTGCTATATCTTCTAAACGCCGGCAATCGTTTTCCATTTGGCCCTGGACTCAAAGGCTGAATTACCACGGGATTTACATCTTCATCGGTTTCGCTGGGAGCATAGCTGACAATTAGTGGCTTTTTTGTAGCTTGATCTCTTATTAGTAATGAGAAATTGGAGTTTTGAAGAAGGTGAGAATCCTGACCATCAATGTTGGTGGTTAAATCTTGAGGTTTCGGGCTTGATTCATCCAAAGACTCCCACCGGCCTTTGGTCAAGTTGTATATATCCACAACATTTATGGGCCGATCCAAATTGTTGCATCCACCCACAATGTACAGGAGAGTGTCGTCTTCATCTTCGGGGCCTGGCATTATATGCATATTATGATTAAATCGTCTTGCTATGGAGGGGTTGCAGCTGATTAGCCTCCAATTTTTAGTGCGAAAGTCCAAATCCCAGAGCTCATTAGACGCAATAAGCTCATAGCCCGATTGCGGTGAAACCACGAGACCTCCAAAGAGGTACATATGACCATCGTGGTAGCACATCGAGTGAAATACACGTTCTTTCATGGTGACAAGGGGCGCACCATCCTGGGCGCCCTTTGCTTCTTGCGACTGGTCAACTTCGGTCGGCATCAGATCCCATTTTCGAGATATCAGATCCATGTGAAACAATTCTCGGCTGATCCAGTCGCCGAGGTTTTGGAAGGTGCCTTTGTATTTGCTTTCGCGTGCAAAATAAAGGATAAGCTCTTGTTGTATAGAGACAGAGTTGATCTCTGTGAGATTCAGTGGGATTGTAAAGCCACCATACACAAACACGGACGATCTGGTCAGTACCGTACTGGCACCCGTCCTGCAATCTAGAGTCAGGGCCCGTTTTTCACATTCTGAGAGTAAGGACTCTTGACCTGGGTCAAGTTTGGGCAGCGTTGTTGCATGGTAAGATGCTGGCGACGGCAACAGTGGAGTCATCTCTGATGGCCAAAATAATGACCTCTTGATGGCTTATTAAACCCCAAGGGAACCTTGACCTGCTTAAGTTGCTAAGGAAGGTAGTTGATGTAGCCCTGTATACATACATTTCTAAATACAAATTTCAATATATGGCTAATTCAGTACTGTGCAATGTTTTCGAGTACGTCTGACGAATACATCCGTACTGAGTGACGATGAAGCGAATCCAAACGTCTACAGTGATACTAACTGTATAAGAACTCGACATGGGTACAGGATCCAGATGAGATGTGGACGCCCCTCACGTCGACTAGATTTTATGGGCAGCTTGGATTACAATGATGCTGTTTGTGACTTTTAGTTGTGACCTTGATGTGTGAAGAAACTTGACTTTTTTCGGGACGCTTACGCACAGTTTAATGTACAATCCGCGAGTTGAAAGAAGGAAAGGACTATCGATTCTCCATGCAAACGTGTTGAGCATTATAAGCGACAGAACAATATCAGGAATATTTTCTTTGTGATAATCCACTGGGCGACTTTCTGCCCGTTAACGCCATCGCTATGAAGCCATTTCCAAATCATTTAACGGGTTCGTTGAAATTTCATGCCTTTATGTGAATAAACTAGTGAGGATTTGAAGCACCTCTATCCGCTTCTCTGCATTTCGTGCAGGGGACAATTGCTGAGTCTGTCACAGGCTTGAAAGTCAATCGTAATTCGAGAACTCTTCAACCTTGAACTTATTCAACCTCGACCTTTCGACAGCAGTGCGGAAAGTTCGAACCCAAACAAGCTATTTGGCATTATAATCGTTACCTTTTGCTCTGAAACAAGCTGCTTTTAGCAGTTGACAAGATATTAAGGGACCACGGGCGGTGACTAGTGCTCGCCTGTTAAATTCATAGATATGAGCGACCACCGCCATAGGGACGGTGGCATAAAAGCGGCCCTTTTTCGCTGCCTTTGAAATAACATCCTTACTCATGAAGTCTATTGGCAGCATCACTTTAGACAATGGCTCTAACAATCCATACTTGGAGCCAGTATTCATGAATTTGTCAAGATGAGATGCCTGACTTATGCTTGAACTGAGTCTTCCTGACATACGCGAGGAGTTCAAAACGCAATACAACCAACCTGAAGAACTCGCCCACTTTGCGAAAGTCACAGTTAACATAAAGTGTAAAGTCAGATCTTTCATTCCTTCCACTGCGTCACGAGGATTTGGTTTGCGTTATCATCAGGTCAAAGCCTTCTTGAAAGTACCAAAAGGTGTAAAACAAATGATTTACGAATTGAACAGCAGGTTATGCAGGAAGACCTCTTAATGTTTTGCTATTCTCAAGTGGAGACGACATTCGTTCTTTTTATCTGCATTTTACGCCCATGTTCGGATTTTCAGTAGTGCCACAGGCTGACAAAATGAGCTCTCGTATTTATGGGAAGTTATGCTACGTACAATTAAATTATGGTTTTGACGTTTCTGAGAGCATCATGACTGAGTCAATTGATAGGATCTCAAAAGTTCATCACGTTAGCCAAAACATTTCAACGCGCCCCAAAATACGTTGAAAGAGGTATTTGGTGCAGTCATCAGAGCAGTGCTTGAATGAAACAAATGTTGGTAGCACTATTATGACTTAATGGCAATTCTAATTGACACTGAAAAAGCGCACTCAATCGAGGACTAAACCGTTTTCGTGCTCCTATTTCGTTCTTTCTTTCATTTGAAGACATGAACTGCTGACGTTGAAAGATGACAGAGAGCTCTCAAGAGTAGACTCACTTTGGCGCGTGAGGGTACAATGCAGGCAAGTACTATATGAAACCGGATGAATTGTTGCAATATATAGATAAAACGAATGGCTTTTATATATACGACTTGCGAAAGGTCTTCGAATTGTGATCCGTAATCGACCGCAATAATCATGTCCAGCGACGAGAGCCCTTACAGCGGAAAACACGTTAATCTGTCACCCCTTTACAAATAAATAGAGTACCGAGTTAAGCCATTTTACGAAGTCACTGAAAGCTTTGAGAATGCCTGATTTTTATTGATAATACCCAGGTTTGGACGAATTACAAGATTCGTGCACATAAGGATTGAGTTATTTCTATAATGAAGCACCTCACGGGAGTATTATTTACCCTATGGCGGTACCGCGTCAGCACGATGACGAAACTTAATGCGGCACGCCGCGCCGAGCTTCATTACCGTTTCGATTTGAGTATGGATACGAGGTTTTTGTTTTCAGGCAACCACGCAAGTCCAGTTCAAAACCAGCATTATTTGCACTAGTGGAAACCGATCTAAGAAGGACTCGGCTTTGGAAGCCTTGAAACAAGACTGGCAGGACCAAAAGGCACATCCAAAAAAAATCGCGAGTCGTGCAATAATCAAAACTCGGAATTTCAACGGCTCGTTGCCAATAAATGACATGATCAGAGGGAGTAGCAATGAGCTCATAATAGCATTGATAACTTGCGGAAAGAAACAGTAGCCACAAGTAGAGACTGCTGTTAAAAACGCGAGTTTGCCACTGTCTTTGGAGCTACCGAGTGTTAAGTGGACAGCCAAGATTGCGAGCGAGGCCCAGGAGAGAACGAAAATACGGGAAAACTGGTCGGAAGCACGCGAAAGGGCCACGCTAAATGCAATTGTGAATAGAAGCGGAGCCCAAAGGTCGGCACAGTGGTCTTTCTGGACCGCAGAGATGCCGTTATCATCTGGGAGCGTCCATTCCGGATCGTTATTACGTTCCCCTGCACTTCTCCATCGGAGTGGGAACTGAGGGTATACCACCTCCTTTAGCCTGGAATTGATCTGCAATAGGTCTCGTTTGAGTGTCTCAGTGATGGGTTCGTCGAGGGTACCACGTCCAGACGTCGGGAGGGAACTCATGTTCGCATCTGCAAAAGGGTTTGACGGTTGACCCGAGACGACAAAGTCCGGCTCTACAAGGTCAGACATGGAGCGGGTGTGTATCTAGTTTGGATCAGGATTACAGCACAGAACAGCTTGTCGTGAGAATTGAAGGCCAAAAAATTCGTCAAAAAGATGGATGTTTGCACATCAGAAGGAAGGCAACAAGTTTTATAATCCTACATAGACACTTAGGTCTACTCAGAGATTGTTCACGCATGTTCGTTCATCATTATGAGTGCGAAACATATTAATATTTCAGTGTGTTTGTTGCGGCGCTTCCAGGGAGATTCGAACACGAGTCTGCTCTGTCGGCAACGCTGCCACCCAACTGGGCGACATGGGGTCATAAAAGTGACTAGTTATTAGAAGCTGATGTTAGTGCTGAGAGCTTGTGACGAGCACCTGACTATATATACAGCGGGGTGAGCTTTCAAGCACATAGCTCAGGAAAACGGCATATCTTGTCGAACTGCACTTGCAATTCGATGCAATACATTCGCACCTCATTCCAACGATGCGCTTGCCTTCTGAAACATGTCAAAGCCAAAGACATTTCGTATCCAGCGATGATATCTAAACTCCAAAGTTATTCGCCCCCACACATCTTGGTAGTAGGGGTTGAAAAGCACCATCAGATCAACCACCCAACAGTCCAATACATGTAGTGAATTACTCTCTTCCAGCCCTCTCAGACTCATAACCTCTTAACCTAGCGGGGCGGGGGACAAATTGACACCTTTGCCATCACGTTGTACGAAATTGTTTTTCCTTCTACCTCCCCAGTCTTCCAAGCTCACATCACCAGAGTCTCTCTCGCAAGTCGACCAATTTTACAGCATCCTTGCTTCCAGCACATTACAATTATTCCTGCTCTTCTTCTTCCCCTTCCTTAAAGGCCCGCCCTTGCTCATCGCATTATCTCTATTTCTCGGCCCTCTTAGAGCCAAAAAGTCCTGAATTTTTCCTTACTGGGGGAAAACCCAGCTACTAAAAAAAAAATTATTATTCTAAATTTTCAACGCAGATAATCCCAAGTCAGTAAACTTTCCAACTGCCAGTCTGTTAAGCCGCAAAACACAAGCTAACACCATAGACCACACCCACGATGGAAACGCCGGCTGTGGACCTAGATAACATCATCGACCGCTTGCTGGAGGTAAGAGGCTCCAAACCCGGCCAGCAAGTGGATCTAGAGGAGCACGAAATAAGATTTCTGTGCTCGAAGGCACGGTCCATTTTCATCAAACAACCGATTCTCTTGGAGCTAGAGGCTCCCATCAAGGTATGTTCAAGACGCGAGGAAAACGACGACGAGACGGACGACAAGAGGCAGCTCAACGCAGATCCGACCCGAAACCACCAGAAAACAAGAAAAATCACGGTTTCAAGATTACTACAGAGGCGCACGCAAATTGAAAAACGACAAAAATGGTCTCTTTTTGAAGCCCGATTCGCGGGCTTCACAACTAGGGGTCCAAAGTCCTTGTTTCCTTTACTGACGAAGCCCTATCTTTTGATTTGTTGATGAGTCGAGCTTGTTTCGATTTTTCTTCTCTAAGGCCTAACAACCGAAATTGAGCTTCTTTTCCCTACTCCCCCCTTTCCAGTAGTATTTGAGCGATGGCGAACAGAGAATTAAAGGAGGGCTCCTGCGGCCACGGCCGCTCCTCTTCTGAAATGTGTTGTTTTCCCCCCCCCCCCTCTGTTCATTTTCGCCACCCGGATATGACAAACGTACTCGTGTACAGTGATCGAAGGTACACGTGATTGACATTGCTGTCATCAGCCTGTACGGAGGGCGTGGGAAGAATCCAGAGGGAACGAGCATCATCGTCATCATCATTATCATCATAACTACCAACGTTTATCTGGGCTCAGTCTTGCATCTGCTTTCGTGTCGCCTCTGCGTTTTTGTCGCTTCTTTTCCATTTTTTTTCTCTCTCTTCCAAGACCCCATTTACTAACTTCACATCCTACAGATATGTGGTGACATCCATGGGCAATACTACGATCTACTGCGTCTTTTCGAGTACGGCGGGTTCCCACCAGAAAGCAACTACCTTTTCCTGGGCGACTACGTCGACCGTGGAAAACAATCGCTGGAAACGATCTGTTTGTTGCTGGCATACAAAATCAAATATCCAGAGAACTTCTTCATTCTCAGAGGCAACCACGAGTGTGCCTCCATCAACCGTATCTACGGCTTCTACGACGAGTGCAAGCGTCGCTACAACATCAAGCTGTGGAAGACCTTCACCGACTGTTTCAACTGTCTACCCATCGCGGCCATAATCGACGAAAAAATCTTCTGCATGCACGGTGGGTTGTCGCCAGATCTCAATACCATGGAACAAATCAGACGCGTAATGCGCCCCACCGACATCCCCGACGTAGGCTTGCTGTGCGATCTGTTGTGGTCCGACCCCGATAAAGACATTGTTGGGTGGTCCGAAAACGATCGCGGGGTGTCATTTACGTTCGGACCGGACGTGGTGAGCCGTTTCCTACAAAAGCAAGATATGGAACTGATCTGCAGAGCCCATCAGGTGGTGGAAGACGGCTACGAGTTTTTCAGCAAACGTCAACTTGTAACCCTCTTCAGTGCGCCCAACTACTGCGGTGAGTTCGATAATGCCGGTGCAATGATGAGTGTGGACGAAAGTCTCCTGTGCTCCTTCCAGATTTTGAAACCGGCACAAAAGACTCTGCCTCGGCCCCAGGGTAAAAAGAAGAAATAAACGCGCGTTTTTTTAAATCGATAAAATGGAACCAGAGTAAGTCGCAGAAAATGTAGCCGGTGGGCGCAGCGCATATCCGTTTTAAACAGCAGAAAAACACCAAACACGAGCAAGATATGGAATAAGCAGCATTTCAATGGAAATCAGGGCTTCGTACAGTCACTCTTTTTTTCTTCACCCTCCTTTTTTCCCTCTTACCGTAATTCTTTGGGAAATGAATCATCTGGTTCGCGCAATGCTCTCTCTCTCTCTCTCTCCCTCACTACCTCTCTCCCTCACTACCTCTCTCCCTCCCCTCCTCCCTCTTTTCCTTCCTGCCTCCCATCCACTCCTTCAATGACTGACACTTCCGCGTTGTATGCCGTCTTTGCCATGCGAAGCGCGACTGCATTTTGAACATTGTTCTTCGTCCCCTTTAGCATGACATCTCGACTCACATCCAATCATCACGTCCTCCACGAATGCTTTGACATGTCAAGTTTCAAACTGACATCTTTGGACTTGAAGCGTAAATGCAGACATTAAAACAATCTGCATCTACCGGAATGTTAGCAGTAACGTTTCTGTCCAGACAAGTAGAGATTGTCGTGCAAACTGTGGAGCATTCAAAATGGTCCAGACTTCAACTGCTACTCCGTGAGCCGATATGGCACTACGCTCCGCAGTGCCTCGTCTGATGTGGCAAAAGTTCCTTCGGTCATGAACACGACATCATTGAATTGAGTGCGTGCTACATCCCAGAGTCGACTTAACGGTAGATCAATCACCACCATACCAAAGTCTCCCCCACCAAAATTAAGAAAAAAAACACTTGAAAATTAACAGAGGGAAGAATTATCACAAAGCGGCGGTTTATCAATTATGAATACAAACATTATTTTTTACCGAGTTTACGGCAAGACCAGGAGCCACGTAAGAAAGAGGTCGACAAATTCACTGAACTACTACTGTCAATTGAGGGGGCGGGGATATTGAAGTTGCCGACCGATTCGATAACTGCATATCTCTCGAGCCTGCAAAATCCATTTTATGTTTCGGCTTCTTTCCCATATTTAGCCAAGCCGCATTTTTTTCCCGTGTTTGTGCCCATCATCTTCTGCCTCCACACTACTCCCATTATTTTATAAACACCGTTTGTATTTGTGTATTTTAGCTTTGAGAAATTTCTTCACGACCATTCCACAAAAAAAGTACAGTCTCTGATCGAGATCTTTACCCAATTGGACAGGTCAGTTTTATGAATTGATATTATACATATTGAAAAGCTTTGGCTACGCTTCCAAGTTTTCACATATTTTATTCGCGGTCTGTTCTCTTTTCTAAAGTTGTTGTTTGACACGCGGTCTGAAAATATATAATTTTTAAAAAAGACAAAACATAGAACAACAATTCATATCCAAAATACCCAAACGCACAAGCTCCAAAAAGACTCTCCCTCAGAATGAAGTTACTCACACCTAGCTTGGTAACATTTTTGTGGCTCACAGTGTGTAGCGCACACACTGTTCTGCTTCCAGCTCACGGACAGCGCTGTTTTTATGAGACATTGAAAGCGAAGGATGAGCTGGCAGTCTCGTTTCAATTCGGCGACAGAGCGCCCGAATCTACGGAGCAAATGAAGGGTAACTTTGCAATCTACGGCTCTCAAAAGCATGAGGTCATCAAGGAGTTCAAAGACGTCTCGCATGGAGATGTCCGCGTTAGAATCCCTTACGATGGCAAATTCGAGTACTGTTTCTCCAACGAGCATTCCGGAATCACTACCAAGGACGTGACTTTTAACATCGAGGGCATTGTATATGTGGATTGGAACGATCCAAAAGCAGACTCGCTTGACGGTGCTGTGCAGCAACTGTCACGCTTGACCCGCGAACTGAGAAACGAACAAGACTACATCGTGATTAGAGAAAGAACGCACAGAAATACGGCCGAATCTACCAACGATCGTGTCAAGTGGTGGTCGGTTTTCCAATTATTCGTCGTCATTATCAACTCATTGTTTCAAATTTACTATTTGAGACGCTTTTTCGAGGTAACCTCGTTTGTATAACGTAACGTCTATATTATTTGTCAATGAAATGACGTGAAGAACATAGCGGGTTGTGTTTGCTAGTTAGTCGCAAACAAATGTCGGTTGAGAATCCAAGCCTTAAAATACAAGAACGTAAAAAGATGTTAAAAATAAATGCCACTTCCTAGAATCGAACCAGGGTTTCATCGGCCACAACGATGTGTACTAACCACTATACTAAAGTGGCTTGATTTGAAAGAAGTAGAAGTTATTTAGCGTTATGTGCAGCAGCTGACATCATTATTGCAATTTAAGCCACTTGAACCTATATATTGACATCAAGCTTCACGCCAGATCCGTAACGATCAGGTTTTTCAACGACTGGTTTTAAATGAACTTGCCCGACCCATGTCTCCTGGGTATTGTGCTGACGATATCCACGCATTCGGGGCCTCAAGTAGTATACCACTATCCGCCTGTAGACGCACTTTCCTCGCGAAAGAAAAAGAAGAAGCAAGAACTTGAACAAGAAATTGCCGTCCAGAGTAGCAATGAATCTGGACCTGGTCGTTGGGAAAGTGCTATGCAAAGAAAAAAATCTCTAAAGTCCCATCACGAGATTGAAAGTGAGGCTGATTTCTCCGTGCATTCCCTTAAAACAGAGGACCTGGACAATCCCGAGACAAGTGATAGCTCTGATAGTGATACCAGCACGGGACTAAGTGACAGTGATATATCGACTGATTATGCCGATTTGTCGTCAGGATCAAACTCGTCGGGGTCGGACGACGAGTTTCCAATCAACTCTGATGAAACAGGTGCTCTACGGCTCTCCTCTGATAACAACGCAAGTCTCCAATCACTCGGCAATTCGCTGAAAAGTAACACCAGAGACCTTCATACAAGTGCTAGTAGGGTTTTCCAGTACTTGAGTCCACAGGACTCCAAGCGCAACTCGATAGTTTCTAAGCACACCTTGAATCGAGATCAAGATGTTTCCTCGCCCATCATGGATCAGGAGTCGGATGGGGAGGCTCCAAATATGTATGAACTTGACGAGCAGCATTTTGGGACAGAGTTTCAAGCCATCAATAAAGTTCTACGATTTGACGCCGATTTTTTCGCAGAGGTGAGCTCACCACCCAAGGAAATGTGCAATACTAGATTTGAGCTGTCAATCGACGAGCTCGTCCTTGTTGGACTTCCAATTCATAGAGACCCGGAAGGTCAGTGGAGAAAATCAAAGAAAAAAAGGTATGGTAACCGTTCCAGGCACTCAAACTCAAGCTCAAGAGCCAGACATACTTCTCATTCGCTCTCCGGAACAACAGATGCGAATGGGAACTCAAATATTCCTCTCAATGATGGCCCTTTCTCTCCTATCTTCCAAGTGGACGCAAATGGGGATGATTATCGTGACCTCGCGGAAAGCGTTAATATGTTTCATTTGTGCTTCCTGCTGAATCCTCAATTGGTTGAGTATAACGAGAGGGTGGATGACATGTACCATTACGTTATCTCGAGACTATCCCTTATCCTGCGGTACGCACAGGCTAAAACAGCTTTTGTAACTAATGAGTGTCTTGAGATCTTAAAGACTAGAGACCATGTCCTGAAAAACTCACAGAGATATCAGTCGATCAAAGGCCAAGGTAACAAGGGTAAGTACCTCTACCAGAAGATTTTGAATAAATCGGCTTTGGCACGAATCATCACTAAATGTTTCGATGCGATTTCAAAAAACGAAGTAGCGAATCTGGAAATCGACGAAGACAAAATGGTATCGCTACAAATTCCTCTCAAGGACGAATTCTCTGTGCTTCCGGATGTTAAGGTTGACCCAGTTCTGAAAGGCTCATTTTTGACCTCCATTTTAAATCATAAATTTCTAGAGAAAGGTTCGAAAGCAGAATCGATAGAACAGATTTCCAATCTTGAACAGGATGACGACCTTTTGAATTATGCACTTCTACTTTTGAACGAGCCGGCTGCGATTATTCAGGAATTGCAGTATTCGTCGTTTCAGAATGATGTGGCGTCTGTCATCTTGACGTCTTTAGTGAAGAACTTGAAACCAACAGTGCCTCTTCGCAGCTATCAGTATATCGTAGATGAGGTCATGGGCGAATCCAATTCAATCGACGGTGATCAAAGAAATTCTATTCAAAGTGGTATGCTGAGATCCCTTGCTTTGCATCTGATGTACTGGCGCCATGCGAGGATCATATTACCCATATCATCCAAAAGTACGTACATTGTCTCGCCACTGGCTCCAGTGTCCGGATCTGAAAAGGATCATTCGAAGGAGAAAGAAGAGCATCTAGTGGAAAACAAGCCATTGATTTTCCAAAATCAGGATGTCTTCGCCAAGAGATTTCCTTCACTTCCACCTCTCGCTTCATTTTTGAGCTTGATATCCTCTTCAAAGCCTAGGCCATTTGGAGCATTCATACCGTCCAAAGATCACAAAAGCGTTTACCTAAACGCTTTGAGCTGGTTGATTAGACACGGATATCTGACCCAACTACTGACTTTTGTTTGGGTTCGCGTTGACTCGCGTATCAAGATAGCAGTCGATGAAGACTTAGAAAGGGATGGTGTGAAAAGATCAAAAACTTCCAGGCAGCTCAATACCGGCACTAACGACAATACTGCAGCTCCTGATCTCCAGGATGATTTACCAGATGAGCTGGATCTTTACTACTACGGTGGCGACGAAGACGTGTTCAACCGAGCTGACTACACAATAATTTTAAACCCTGAAAGAGCCACGGCAGTTGAGAAGAGATGGTTGTACAAATGCGTTGAAGATCAACCTTCTGAGGTACAGGCTCTTTTTCACAAACTGGTGAAATACTTCAACGGAAGCACGCCTCTCGAGCTAACCCTCATACGAGAAGGAATATCAAGACACGAAATTCGCAAGCTTATGCAAGCCCTGGGTAAGTACTTAGTTGAAATAAATCACTGGTAAGAAACAAACAGTGCACGAAGTCGCCGTTATAAACATCGTCAATGTTGGCGTCAGTTGTAAACGCTGTATTATCAAGCCAGTGGTAACTAATTTGACTATGGAAGGAAAGAATTAAATTATGAATCGTACAGGATCGAACAAAACAAGTGGGGATTCAAATAAGAGAGAGTAGATGACGGACCTTCTCATACAAAGTGAGGTGTGGCAGAAACAACCCACTTGAAAACAAAAAACCCCAAAAAAAAAAAAAAAGAATAGTAATGGAACAACAGTAGCGGAAACGAGCCAGAACTGTTTCAGTAATCTAAAGGTGTCTTACTGGCACCGTTATAATTATAATTGGGTTCCATTGGCATGTATTGTTGTTGAGAGATTGGCATTGGGATCATTGGTGTACCCATACTACCAGGAGATGGACCCATGTGGGGCATGACCATGTTGTGCATATCCGCAAATTCAACGCCATTACTAGCTGGAACAGGGTAGTACATGAAACATGGCTGGTTGGAATTTGCACCAGGGCGTGGGTTGTTTCCTGATGAGTTTAGAGGGGTAGTTTGGCCTGCTGGACCTGCTGGCCCCATTGCATACTCTACTGGGTAATAGTAGGGTGGATAATAGTAAGGATCGAAAGTTGGGTAATTTCCCCTTTTCTTGTATTCGTCGAGCTTCTTCTTGTAATTAATTCCGCCAGCAGAAGTTGTACAATGAGAAGTGCTGGCGTAAGTGGATGCGTCGTTGTCACCAACAGATTCGGAGCCCTCAGAAACCTCTGTATCTGTGGTAAAAGAGCGATTAGCCGTGTTTCCAGCTTCGTGTGAATTCAAAGTATCGCCCTTATCATTAATATTAGGATCATTAGAATCGATGTAGGATTTGGTGATTTCGATACTTTTGCGCCTCGGATGCGACTTCGATTTTTTGGGAGCGGCCACCATAAACATGGGGCCTTGTTGTTGAGGTGAAAAGACATGGAAGTCGTGAAGGGGAGTGGGATAGTTGGAATAGAATGGTCCCGAGCCGGTGCTAGATCTTCGCTTTCCAACGTTGATTGGCGGAGGTGCCAAGTTCAAGCGAGGAGGTTGATATGAAACATTATAGCCATTTTCAACAGGGCCGTTGTAGTTGGGATTACTATTGCCATTTAGTAAATGCACTTGCTTCTTGAAATTGACATGTATATCGCCTGGACGATTTTCATTTTTATTAGCAGCCCCATAGCCGTTGCTCCTGTGATTATTGGCGCTGCTATGTCTCCTGAATTTCTTGGATCCACCAATTTCCCGATATTGAACATGCATAGTTTTGTTGAGGAATATGGCATGATTTTCCATTTCCAGAGCGGCTGCTGCTGCTTCTTCCGTCGCAAATTTAATAAATGCAAACACATTGTTAGGCTTGACCAACAGGTTGACGTCCAAGATGGTTCCATGCCTAGAAAACCTCTCTAATAAGTTTTCTTCTGTTGCCAAGGGATCTAGTTGGCCGACAAAGATGGATTTCTGGTCGATATTAACGTCGGAGCCATGACTGCCAAATTCAGATTTGTTCACTTCAAACAAAGAGTCATTGTGAGATTGATCGCTCGAAGCTTCTGACTCCTCTGATATGGTAAGATCATTGCCAGACTGTAGCATGTTCAAATGTGGATCAGCTTCTATATTTTGAGCCCACTCGACAACCCAATTGAACTCCGATTTCAGAGTCGCAAAAGCACGGATGGCGTCATCACGAAATGCAAATTGAATAAACCAAGCATTGCTCTTATTAAAAGCAGCTTGAAAGTAGTTTTTCTTGTGCGGATACTGATCTCTGCAAGCAACCAATTGTTCTAGTTCACCAAACTTGCTCATCATCTGGTTGACCGTAGCAGCCGACACAAGTGTACCGGATGCCGGAGCTGGATATCTGCTTTTGTAACTGAGGAATAAAGTGCGGTTAACACGAGCGGGCTCGCAACGAATAGTTCTTCCGTTGAGGGTCGTACCCTGTGCCTTGTTTAAAGCTTTCTTGGCATCGGCATCGTTGGTGTACTGTACAAATGCATAAGGTCTGTTGGCAGGGTCTCTTAGAACTTTGACCATTGTGAGCTGGCCGAATTTCTTGAAGTTTTCAGTCACCGACAGACATAGTTCGTCGTCGGTAAGAGAGGCAGCGAGACTGGCGACAAAGACACAAGACGAAGGCCGTCCACGAAACTTTCCAGTAGGGGGCGCTAAACGCTTGGCGGCGGTGCCCACGTCGTTATCGGCTTTTACATCCACACCGGGTCTTGCGGCAGCCAGTGGTTTCTCGGTGTCGAATTTAGTGTCGTCTGCTTCGTGCTCGGAGTCCCGCTCGTCTTCGCGCTCTTCGTTACCGTCGTCGTCGTCGTCGTCGTCCTCCTCCTCCTCCTCCTCCTCCTCCTCTTCTTCCTCGTCCGATCCGGACACTTCGGTGGGGAGGAACTGGGCAATGCTGTCGCTGAAGCCTGGCGACAGCAGCTCGTCTTTTATGCTATTGGTGGGCGTATGGACCACCGATGGTTGGTCCAAATTGGCCGTTGATGGGTCTAACGCTGACATTGGTGGGTGCCTGTCTGTCCGTTCTCTTTTCTTTAGTCGTCTATAGTGATCACGGTCCTCTCCGAAAATTGATCCGGTTTTGTTTTTTTCCCTTTTTTCTTGGCAATCAGCTAACGCGTTATATTTTTTTTAATTTTGGCACTGATGTCGGCCAGTGGTATATCGCGATGCCTCTTTGAAACAAACAGTTGAAGCGGCAATATCAAAACTGTCGGTATTCTTTACAAGAGATCAAACAAACAATCAAGCAATCAATTAATCAGAACCAAAGTGATAAGGTAAGGAAGGCTTTTTGATCTTCAAGAAAAATTAAAAAAAAAAAAAAAAAAAAAATAAGAATATACCCCCGAAAAAAAAACCTCAGAAAGGACGAGCCGTTCGAGTTAGTCGGTGCCCCCTTTTGACAGGTACAGACAGATCTCTCTCTATCGTAAACCGTTGGAAAACGGGCTAAGCAACAGTGTTGGTGTGCAAGTTGGGAGAGCCAATTGATGCGATAAACTTGGAAGTCTTATTGTATATTCTACTCACATCTACAAACTGATCTCGACGGGGGGTCTGAAGTCAACGATACATATGTGCCCGTATTTATACCTTTCTGTGTAGCTACACGTCCTTGTCACAGTCCCTTTAGCGCCGTTTTGCCCCATCCCCAATTGTTGTCTCGATCCCAGTCCTCGGAGCTTTTCTGTGGCGCCCCTCAAAAAGACGGTGTGTTTGATGTCTTAGAATCTTCCGCGGAGCTCTGCCACAAGTTATCGTGTTCCTACCGCCTTTTGTAAGATACTCCGACATATCCTCGATCTATTAACCGGAGCACCGCCCAGAAACAACTGCAGGCGTAAATTAATTGCATCTAAATGCACAATTGTGCGTTGCGGCAATTTCTGGGTATCAACGCTAAAATCCGGAGATAAAGTGACATGTGTCATGCGGGCTCGAAACCCACTGTGCCAAGATATGCATATGTATACATGCCCGCATATCAAATTGTGCTTGGATTTCTGAGCAGAAGCCGCACCATGTATGCACTGATCGACCCCTCGTTCCTGTACGATCTCGAACCTGCATGAATGTCTTTATCGCCGAGGAAGAGCCGTTTCATGGTGATATATCACGAAAGAGAAGAGATGCCATACCAGAAAACACCTCCATACGTTTCAGACACGCGAATCGGTTTGACTAGCTTGTGGCATGTCTTCCAGGTTTTCGAGATACGAGAAGGAGCTGGCACTGACTGGTATTGAGGCTCGCCTAAGAGTAAGAGCCCCGCTCGCTTGCCTGGGGTGAACTCCGTTCTCAAACCACACTTGCCTCGAGACACCCGAGTCAGACGGGACGCACAGACTACTGCGTGCGCCTGGGCCCATTTGTGGCAGACATTGTTTCAAGCGTGTCAGGAAAGAATGCAAGGGGAAAAAAAACAACAAGAAAACAAAGAAAAGGGAGAATGGTGACAATGGGGACAGCAGATCGGGTTTGTACGTGGTGGTTTTTCAGAAATTGATTCGCGTTGTAAGAGCAGCAGAGATCATAACAACAACAACACCCTTCGCACACGTCGCACACCTGGCAAAGTTTGTAAAAGCACTTCTGCTTCTTTACTGGGTTCGCTCGCGCTTGTTTTGTATGTGTCATGTTGTACGAGTGGTCTCTTTCACACTCTTTCACACTCTTTCACACTCTTTCACACTTACACTACAGCTATGTTGTACAGAGAAGCCTCTGGCATCAGGACAAGTCTTACCAGTGTGTTCTAAATACACTCATATCATGCTCAACATACCAAAGCTTATGTCTCTTTCCTGTTTTCTGTCAAAACGTCTCTCTTGGCATATTTTGTAGCTCGTGCATAACCTGAAAAAAAATTAACGATTCGTCATACATAAAATAGACAGGATGGATACCCGTATTTTTGGTCTTTCTCCCATTTTATGTCGCTCTCACAAGGGCAGAATGGCCGGAATAGGCCCCAAAGGAGTGATTCCCAATGGGTTGATCCTGGGATGGCTTCTGGTATAGTGGAGCTTGATGTGTTCGAAGCTTGTCGTCTCCCGGAACGCATCGATATTCCAGTACAGGTTTCGTAGCCACAGATCGATCATTTTGAATCCGTCTCTGATTGTAGACAAATTGCACTTGAAATGTTGCACGTAAACCGGGTCGAACCGCACAATTGTCGGATACAGTCTGAGGTCCGCCTCTGTCAATTGCTCATTGAGCAAAAAAAGCTTAGAAACCGCTTCTTTCTCTCCGTACTTGCTAACCGCACTGTCGTAGTTCACTTGCAGCATGTGCTCGAGTTTTTGCAAGTGCTCGAAAACGTTGACAACCTCTTTCTCATACACCTGTTGCGATTCTGCGAAACCGGTCTTGTACACCCCGTTGTTGATACTGTTATAGACCCAGCTGTTAATTTCGTCGATCTTTGGCTCCAAGTCCTTGGGCAACAAATCAATGCGTCTCACTTGCTGGTCCGCAAACTCGTCGAAAACACCGCTATTGAAAATCCGGATGATCTCAGAGCTCTCGTTGTTCACAATGGTTTCGGTCTCCAAATCCCACAACACGGGTACTGTGAATCTGGCATTGTAGTCGGGGTTGGCCTTGTAGTATAGATCGCTGATCCGCTTGTAGTGATAGTTATGCTCGATGGTGCCGTCCACGCCAACTCTTGTGGAGTCGTTTGCAATGCCCGCGGTAGGTCCTGAATTGGGCGAGCAAGGAATGCCAGTATAGCCAAAAGGTCCGTTAGATTTACTGGATTCTCCGCTTCCAGCGTTTTCCTCGTAAGGCAAAAACCGCCAACCCTTGGTGTCCATGTTCCAATGCACCACAGACACGCCAATCACAGACGTGAGCCCTTTTAGCGCCCTGGTGATCAGAGTCCGGTGCGCCCAAGGGCACGCTAACGAAACGTAAAGCCAGTAACGGTTCTTGGCGGGTTTGAAAATGGCGTGTGAAGAAGAGATGGTGTCTCTGAAAGAAGAAACCTGTCTCTTGAACGAGCCATCCTCAGTGTTTGCCCATTTAGTGCTATCGGTCATATTGAAAAGATTTATTGGAGCTCAATCAGCGATATTCGATGCTCTAAAGCGTGAGTTAGAAAGCCAACATGTTGAGCAAAGCTCATCGTCTTTATATACTCAGTGAGAAGGAGAGCATCTATAAGCCGTTACTAAGAATTTACATACCCCTATCACATGTTCACATCACTGGTGACGGATTTGAGCTCTTGGAGGCACGTGTAAAAAGCGTGATCTTGTCGTTGTATGTCTGGATCACGTGACATCCATCCTCATCCATTTCTCGAACAATCGCCTAATCCACACTGTGATGGAAAAGAGATGTGCGTACCTACAGGAAGCTGGAACAATTGACATCAATCTCTCCCTGCAGAGTAGTGTAAATGATATGCAACCAACAAACTAGCAGAACCTCAGGCTTTTCTTGGTTTTCCAGATGTATCATCACTTTTAGCATATGCAGAAGTACAAATCGCCTTGATTGCCGTTTCCCGAAACTATTAGGCTTAGCACAGTCATAACTACTAACTATGCTACTACCACTTCTACTGTTAGGATTATCACTACTGCATCAAATGATGCAAAAACTGTACAAGACTCCAGAATAAAGTTTTGCCATCTTCAAACGTCAAAACAAACATTTCTGTTATTCCAGGACAATTGAAATTTCAATTTCACTCCGCTGTCCACACTTCCAGCGCCACGGCTTTTTAAGCAAAGGAAATTCTATCTAAAGTCGGAGGGTATTTTGAGATTGGTTTTTTAAGAAGAAGTGATGATTACCGGGAAGAATCGCTGAGGATGTCTTCCTGTTTTTATAGCATTCAAAAAAATTTCAGGGCCAAAGTTTAGGGCAAGCAAAAGGCACGTGCTTGCCAAGCTCACTAGTCCAGGACGTGGCAGATACTAGCTAAACCAACTAGCATTCACTAGAATTTAATGTAAAACTATGATTATTTTCAAACTATTATACCATTACTTGATTACGGTGCATTTGTAGCTCCCTTAAAACTCACAATTTTTTTTAATCTAGGGGTGTTCCATCTGTAAAGCTGTCGTCGAGGTTGTCCCAGTCGTCATCCACATCCATGTCGGTGTCACTGCTTTCATGGTTGGGTAAAACCTCGAGCTGGTCTAGTTCATCTCCGTGACCAGGTTTGAAAACAACTCTGACGACTTCCTTCTCCCTGATTTGTTTTTTCAAAATCCTGATAGCCATTCTGTTGAGAATTTCATTCTGGATCAACCTGTTCAAAGGTCTAGCACCCATATCTTGTGAGTAACCGTTCCTAGCCAAGAAATCTTTAGCTTCCTTTGACACATCGAGCTTGTAGTATTTGTCGTTTTCTTCGAATCTCTCTTCGATTTCCTTTAGTCTAATGTCCACAATTCTGTGAATGGCTTTTGGTGATAACTTGTTGAATACCACAATGCTGGAAATTCTGTTCAGGAACTCGGGCCTGAAATGTTGTCTAACAGCACCCATCACCAAAGATTTGGTGGAGTCCTCGACACGAGAGCCGGTTTGTGAGCTCAAAAAGGCGGCACCCAAGTTCGAGGTCATGATGATGATAGAGTTGGAGCAGTCAATTGTCTTTCCTTGTCCAGATGTCAATCTACCATCATCCAACATTTGCAACATGACAGTCAAAACGTCTGGGTGCGCTTTTTCAACCTCATCGAACAGCAACACCGAGTATGGCTTCCTTTGCAATTGGTTGGTCAAGAAACCACCCTCGTCGTAGCCAACATATCCGGCTGTGGTACCCAAAAGCTTGGATACTGAGTACTTCTCACTGAGTTCGGAACAGTCAACTCTTATCATGGCATCAGAGTCATTAAACAAGAAAGCAGCGATCCTCTTAGCCAGCTCTGTCTTACCGGATCCTGATAATCCTAAAAACAAAAAGGAAGCAGGCTGTCTGGGGTTCGATAGACCTGACCTTGACAGTCTTACTGCGTTAGAAACCGCCTTGATAGCCTCTGATTGACCGACGACTTCTGAAGCAAGATGCCTCTCCATGTGGATCAATTTTTCGTTTTCGGATTCGGTCAACTTGTTGACAGGGATACCGGTTAGCCTGGCCGCAGTTTCAGCAATGGTGTCACTGTCTACTACATTTTGAACCATGGCTCCAGATCCAGCACGTCTTTCCTCCTCAGCAACTTGGTTTTCTAGATTTTGGATTTGCTTTTTAATGTCAGGAATCGCGAAGTATCTCAAGTCTGCAGCGGTTGCCGTATCGTAACGACGTTCTGCATCCACTGCTTTGTTTTCCAGTTCTTCCAACTTCTTCTTGGCTCTGGTTAACTCCTCATGGCCCTTTTTCTCCTCGTCGTAACGCTGCCTCAAAGGAACCAAATCTTCCTGTAAAGATGCCTCCTTTTGTCTAGCTTGAGCCAGACGATCCTTCGTCGTTGGATCTGCCTCTTCGTCTCTTTCTAGAGCTTTGATTTCAACCTGAATTAGCTGCAATTCACGTTCTTTGGAATCTAACTCCTCAGGCTTGGAATCTCTAGCCACTGCGACACCAGCGCAAGAAATGTCGACCAGATCTAGCGCCGAGTCGGGCAACCTTCTGTATGGAAGGTATCTCTTGCCGAGTTGAGCGGCAGTAACTAGAGCACTGTCCAAAATTCTAACCCCGTGGTGAATTTCGTATTTTTGCTGCAGACCTCTTAAAATGGCCACTGTTTGTCTGACAGATGGTTCTTGAACGTCAATCTTCTGGAATCTTCTCTCAAAAGCGCCATCTTTTTCAACAATGGCACGGTACTCGTTATTAGTCGTAGCGCCAATAACTTTTAGTTGGCCTCTTGAAAGAGCTGGCTTGAGAATGTTAGCGGCATCATCCTTTCCGTTACCCATAAGCATGTGAATTTCGTCGATGAATAAAACAATGAGAGTCTTTGACTGTTCGATTTCCTTCAATACGCCTTTGAGTCTTTCCTCGTAGTCACCCTTGTATTTGGCGCCTGCAGTCAATGCAGCCAAGTCCAAACTGAAGAGTTTGGACCCAAACAAAATGCTGGGCACGTCGTCGTCGATAATTCTTTGGGCAACACCTTCAATGATGGCGGTCTTACCTATACCGGGCTCACCGATTAAACAGGGGTTCGATTTGATTCTACGCGCCAGGACACGAATGGTGCCTCTGATTTCCTCCTCCCTACCGATGACGGGATCTAGTTTCCCCTGACGAGCCTGCTCTGTCATGTCGATGGCATATTTCGAGAGATACTCAAGGGCGTCATTGGTGTCAGCACCACGCGAGTCGATTTTTTGATTTCCACGCAGTTCTAAGGCCTGCTGTTTGACGGACTCAATTTGAACTTGCGCTTCTTTGAAGATCTCTTGGATGCTGGAATTTTGGAATAGGGCAAACAAGAGGTGATCCTGTGCAATGAACGAGTCCTTCTGCTGTTTTTGGATTTTGGCAGCCTCTTGCAGAACCTGGCCCAAACTGTAGCTAGGCGATATTTGGGATGGTGCTGGCATTTGCTGCGGAATTCTGACCAGGTGCTTGTTCACACACCTGCGGAACGCATCGTAGTCGTACCGCGCCTTTTCGATCAGATTTTGTAAATAAGCGATCGATCCGTCTTCTGGCGTCTCCACGAACGCCGCCAGCAAATGCACTGGTTGTAGTTGTGCGTGCTGGTGATCTTGGGCCAGTTTTTGAGCTATTGTCAAGATGTTCAATGCTTTTTCTGTGAATTGAGTTTGGTCATCCATGTTCAGTTATGTTGTGAATAAATGGTGGTGTGATGAAGTGTATACAAATTAGTTTTGAGTGGATCTGAGTATTGAAAACCAAGAATAATATCCTTACAAACACATGAAAACACTCGCTTATATACAAACAGGCTAATGAGACTCCCTTTCTTTAAGCTGTTCAGTCCTGGCAATATCCGGATAACTCTGGCATGATCCTTAATTACCTCGAAATTTCTAGTGCTTGCTAGAAAATCAACACTTGTGGTCATTCGATACGTAAGTGTGTGCGATCCGTCCATGTACGACGACAGCGACGACACACAATTGAGTTTGCTTTAGAGAGTGAATGTTATCTTGTTCAGTCGTCAGTAGACACTTCAAGCGATAATTATTGAAATTATGAACATCGCAAATTTCCTGTGTACCTGAGCACAGGCTTGTCCTTCTCGTAAGGTGATCTAGTGTAATTTAATGCTATCGATATTGTTGTAAAGGCCTGGCAGCGCCGCGTTATTTCTAAACAAGAGGCAATAGCTTCAAGAAACGCATTTGCTTCTCAAACACAGGAGAATGTGCTTATCACGGTTGTTTATGCCGAGCGTTTTGAGAATTTATATTTCCTGGGCTGTGGTGACTGAGGGTGTATCTACAGTGTGCAGTTGGAAGCTTCGGAGTTTTAATTCGCGCATGGAGTCAGCCAGCTAAAAAAGGTTCTGAGGCTCTTCATCTCAACATGGGGTGTTCAAGACGGTGCATTAAGTAAATTTTATCCCAGTGGGGGCCTTACAGTACTCACCAAAAAATATAAAAAATTGAAAATCTAAATACACGATTTTGACTCCATAACATGAATTTATAGTGTTGCCACCTTTTTGCCTGTTCATTCAAGACCTTGTGAGGCTGCGTTTTACGGACAAGACTACCTACCCCAGCTGGATACATGTAAAACTCAACATACCTTACGCTTGAGCAAGGTCTTGGTTTTCTTAAAAGAATAAATAATTTCATAAATAGTAGATATCTGCAAATCTCTCAACTGCAGGTTTTAGACCATAAAGCTCTCTCCACACCCGCACGTTCCCTTTGAGTTCGGATTTTTAAATACGAACCTCGACGATAGCCTGTCGTCAATCCAGTCCATTTCACTCCCCACTATGCTAAATATCGCCTTTGAATCTATAATCACTTTCACGCCGTCTTGCTCCACAACCTCGTCAAATTTACCGGGCGATGATGTAAATTCCAAGTCGTACGTCAAGCCTGAGCAGCCTCGGTTTTTGACGCCTATTCTTATTAGTTTCGGTTCAGGCTGATTCAGCAGCAACTTCAGATGCAGTATGGCATTGGGAGTGAGAGATATAAGCGCTTTGCGTGGTCTCAGCTTTCTCTTAAATTTCTTGGTTTGTTCCGTACGAGGGGAATCGTCTTGAGATGCAATTTTCTCGGCAACCTCCTTGTTCTGTTGATCGGTCTGTTCCTGCTGTTTCAAAAGTGTCTCCTTGGAAGGCATCGAGTAAGTAGCCCATTTAGCCGGCCCGGCCTTGAGCTCAGTGGCTCCATTTCGGATTCTGTTGTCTCTGGGTTGCTTTGTAGCAACGCTTGGTCCAGAGTTGGTCTTGAATTTGAAACTCCATCTTTCTGGCCCAGCGTTATCTAGCGGCCTGTGTAAATGGTTAGTCTGCAGATACCGTCTCGTGCTCTTGTTTTTGTGTGCTTGAAACTCATTGCTTGGTGTCTGGCTTGGAGTGCACTCGAATCGAATATGACTGCAAGAAAGATATCTCGCTGCCATTAAGCTACGAAGACCACTCACGGTCCCGCGGGTACTTACTGCGCTCATAATCCTCTGGAATAAGAGAGCTCAGCAGACCGTCCGTGTTGAGTCTTGATATATATAACACCCAAACTTCCCTGAGAATGCCTGTTCTCTGGCGTACTGTACAAAGGCCCTGTTCAGTCATCTTTAATATTTCAGTTGTTCATAAAATGGCATCACTATATACGTGAACATCAAGAAACCCATTGTATTGGTCAAATCGAAGGAAACGACAGCGAATCCTAATATGATGTTTAAGTCAAAGCCATAAATGTCATTAGATCTTCAAATGCAGTGCTATGCTCTTTATGAATATCTACAAATTGAACGGCCTTGAGTATGTTTCAGATTATCAGAGAATTTGAAAGTGATTCGACTTAGTTCTTTATTATTGCGATAACTGAAGTCTTTACTGCTGGAAAGCAAAACTCGGAAGCCTGTTGGGAACCCCATGGTTTGCATTTAAGCCTTTTTATTTAAAAGAGCAATTAGCATTATTTACAAATGTGTCATTTCATTGTGCAGAAGCTATGATCATAATTTGAATGTCATTCATAAATCAAAGCAAGACGACGGCCACGACGCCACAAAAAATCACACCTTGTCCTCCTTAATTGACCTTTAAATACTTCGCTATGCTAACCGAGATTACTATTGACTGCCCAAAGATTACAGTTGAGCAGTTTCGCGCTTGAGCCATTTGTACGTTATGCTTTGAGGCTGAGTAAATGGAACAACGCTGTGCCAGATAAACTTGTGATACGCGTTGATTTGCGCTTTTTCCTCTGGGGTCAGCATCTTTTCGTTGATGAGTTTTCTACAGTAAGGTACCAACGTTATATTCTTGAACTTCAAATATTGCCGGTCTCCAAACTTGAGGTCTTCTGCTCTTTCAACCAACATGTCATTTTCTATGCGAATCCCATATTCCCCATCTTTGTAATACCCGGGCTCATTGGTTACAATGTTGCCGCTTTGCAATGCAAAACTTTGCAAGTGAGGTCTAAAGCCGATTCCAATAGGTCCCTCGTGGACGTTCAGAAAAGAGCCCACGCCATGACCCGTACCGTGTCTGTAGTCCAAACCACGTTGCCACAAGAATTGTCTTGCTATAACGTCAATGTTATAACCAGATGTACCTTCGGGAAAGACGAGGCGTTCAAGTGCCAAGTTGCCCTTAAGCACCAGTGTATAGTTTTCAATTTCCTCTTTTGAAGGCTTGGTGAAATGAAGAGTTCTGGTAATGTCTGTCGTACCCTCCATAAACTGAGACCCGCTGTCGCACAGATAAATGCGGTCTGGGTTGATCATGGCCGAATTTTCCTCCGGAGGTGAATAATGTATTATTGCCGCGTTAGCGCCCGTTGACGAAATTGTTTCAAATGAATTGCCCATAAAGTTTTTTTGAGTTTTCCTGATCTCCAAAAGCTTACAAGCGGCACGGTATTCATCAATCAGGGCTTCTTTTCTTACTAGTTGGTCCTCCAGCCATGCAAAGTACTGAGCCAAACAAACCGCCTCTTTGACCTGAGCGGCGTGTGCATTGGAGATTTCCACCTCATTCTTGACAGCTTTGAAAAGCTCCAAAGGTGATTGAATCTCTTTATAGTGGGTGTCACCAACGGTTCGCACGATCTCCCACGACGATCCAGAAGCAATCGCCACGGGCTCTTGCGATTTAGAATATGCGGAAGCCGTTGACGACAAACGAGCCCATATTTGAGCGTAGGGTTCGACGATGATTTTGTTGGTCTCGAAGTAGGCCTTGATTTTGTCGTCGTAGAGGTCATCGGTAAACAGAATTGTTTCACCACCTTTGAGAAGCAGGTACGAGTAGAAAACAGGATTGTATTGGATATCGGATCCTCTTAGATTGAGAAGCCAACAAATTTCGTCCAGTGTAGCCACACAGAATGTTTTACAGTTTGGTAATTTTTCATGCAAGTAGTCCAAAACGCGCTTTCGTTTGCTTTGGAAGGTCTCGTTGGTGAAGTTGGAGTCCATCATTATTAAATCGTTGGCGTCTCTGACGGGAACTGGTTCAAACTCGCCCCATATCTTATCCACCAAGTTTTCCTGGACGGGGATCAAAGTCACCTTAGCCTTTGTGTTCTCGGTCTTGTCGCATATCATCTTTTGAATTTTGACGACCTGGTCGTAGCTGATCAGCTTGGGGTCGATACCAATTTTGGCTTCTTTGCCCCCGAGGGCTTCCGACATGTCCATAGCTGAACGCACGCACCACTCAGGCCACGTCATCGAGTCCTCGCCCTGCCTGAGCAGCGTCCAGTTGAAATCGAGTTCCTGGGTTGCCTGGTTGAAATAGCGCCCATCGGTGCTGAGAATGGACTGACCTTCTGGAGCGTCCTCGTTGAAGTTGAGCAGGTCGCGCGTGATGCAGGCAACACCAGCCGATCCCGTGAAGCCCGAGATGAACGATCTTCTCTGGTCGGCAAGAGACACATACTCGCTCTGGTGCTCGTCTTCACTGGGCACGATGTAGCAGCAGAGGTCGTGCGCCACCATTTGCCGTCTGAGATGCAGCAGACGCTCCGATGTGTTGATGTTTTTGGACTGGCATATGGAGTCCGATGAATATACCGAGTTTCTGCTCGAGCCTGTAGGCGTTGAGCTTCTCAAAGACGGTCTTTTGCGTGCTCCTTCCAACTGTCTCAATAGCAACGACGATTTCCTGTTCTGCCGCGACATGAGACCCGGGGAACATGTGCAGTTAGCACACGGCCTGCCTGGTCTTCCCTGTCCGTGTGGTGTGGCAGGAGGAGCACTGTACGCAAATCCGTTCATCGACGAGAAAGAGGCCTTCATGTGTAAGGTCGATTGTTGGGTTGTCATTTTTGGCCTTGCTTTGACTTAGAGCAGTTTGAGAATCCACGTTTGCTTGATATATTTGAGCTGAGGTTAATGTATTTTGTTCCTTTAAATTGTGCCATCAGTTGAAGGGGAAACTTGTCACTTAACTTATAGTCAAGGCAAGGCAGTGGTGTGTTTTTTCAAGGTGCAATTCCTGCAAATTGGCCTCAAATATGACGTACACAGTGATTATTTTAAATATCCGCGCACGAGCAAGAAAGAACCAATCAGGTGACCGGACGAGAAGTAAGGTGTGCGATGGCAGTGTCACAGGCAGGTGCGACGCTATTCGTTTAGCGAGCAAGTTAGGATATCCAGGAGAGTTTTGTACGTATCCTTTGAGGAGTGTGTGTTTGAACAGCACAATTGAGATTTTGAGATTTCATTTGCAGTCTTCAAAAATGGTGATTTCCAGCAAGTCACAAATGTTATTTTGACACCACTGATAGTTGTGAGGACATTTTTGTTAGGCGACGCATATGCTCTGGAGTGAGGATTTTCATTTAAGAGACTTGTGAGAGACATTAGTGATGTTTACGTCGTAGTCGAGCCGGAACGTCTTGAAAAACCAAATACTATGAATTTTAATATCAGTATGAGCCAGCTTCTTCACTTGACATAAGCGACTTCTTCAAGTTCTTCGTTTGCACACGTATGTTACAATAACCTTCCCCTCGCTTAGTAGAAACCTCCTCGACCTGGCTGGTTCGAAAAAAACAATGGTGTGAATGTTTAATCGTTTTGAAATACTGCCATACATAGTACAGAGCTGTGAGCGTAGAAACAGAAGGCCAAACGGTGAGAACGACGAAATTGGTACGCTGTTTGTTGCCTGCGCGAGTGCTTGTCACTTCGTATCGCTCTGTCGCGACTCGAATCACGGTCTATTTACCTCTACTATGCGCCATTCAGGTTAACGAACATGGATTGTCCGATTTCTTGTCAAGATGGATGAATCTCTTGGCAAGATCTCTCTTCTGCATCTTGCCAAAAAAATAGCCTCGCGCATTACAAAGTATCAAACGCAAGTCTACTAGTCTATATTTGTTTGCATTAAAATTACGATTGAAATAATCCGAAGTGAAAGAGTAACCATGGCAGGCGCAGGCCCGGGGTATTGTGTTGTGACTACAGTGCGATTACGCAGGCCCGCTCATAGCACAAATGCGAATTTGGATTTCTGTCTTAGCTGCTTGCCGTATTTGAGGAGCAGCAGTGGCACAGGCACTAGACACAGCGCAAACAGACCCAGCAGCAGACCGGCCCAGTTGACGCCCATGTTGTTGAACATGAAGCTGGCGAAAAGTGGGAAGGCGGCACCGAACGAGGACCGCATGAAAGTGTTGCCTGCAATGGCGGAGGCGGCCAAAAACAGGTAGGAGTCGATGATGTAGTTGAAGCACGGCAGGAAGATACCGATAAGCCCGAACCCGATGAAGGAACCGGCCACGGTGGGGACCATGAAATGGACCTTGTCTGGGTAGTTACCGGACCAGCAGAACCATAGGATCCCGATGGGGAACACGATGCCTGCAATGAGCATGGTGCGGAGCCGGGCCTCAGGCAGAGGCTTGCCGCCGTTGGCACGCACTTTGGCCACGTAGAACCTCTCCTCGTACACGTTGTACAGGGCATTGACACCCATTCCTACGAGCAGCGCGATGTACGGCAGTTCTCCGTTTTTACGGAACCCGTATTTGCCCTCGAAAACGATCGGGTACGCCTCGAGCAGCAGGTACAGGATCCCGTACACGAAGGAGTGGTATACTGTGATGCAGAACAGGATGGGTTCGGTGAACAGCATGTAGATGGGGCGGGTGATGGTCTTCTGGGCGATCTCCTTGAGCGAGAGCTGTGCATCCTCGTGCGCGGCACGGATCCCCCAGTTTCCGGTCATTTCACGCATGCGACGGGCCTTGTTGACCAGGATCATGGGGTGGTGGGTCTCTTCGTAGGTGAACGCCAGAATCAGCGTGATCACTCCGGAGTAGATCCCGACCACGTACTCTACCCAGCGCCAAGTGGTGTACTGGGTGATGTACGAGCCGTACACGGGGGCCAAGATGGGGCCCATGAACACGCCCATCACGAAGATCGTCACGGCTTTACCACGCGTCTCGTTGTCGAACATGTCGAACATACACGCGGGAACAATGGCGAGCGGCGCGGCCCCGACAAACCCGGCAAAGAACCGTGTGATCAGAATCGACTGCAGGTCCTTCGAGACAGCGGTGGCAAACGAGAAACACACGAACCCAAACGACGACAGGATCAGCGGCTTTTGGCGGCCGTAAAGCTCCGAAAGCGGCGCGTAAACGACGGGGGAAGCCGCAAACCCGAACACGTACAGAGTGATCCCGAGGATCGCGACCACGGGCGCCACGTGATACTCCTGGCAGATCTGTTCCACGGCAGACGCGTAAATGGCGGAGCCCATGATGACGCCCAACGCGTTAAGTCCCAGCAGACCGCACAAAAAGACACGTTTACGCGTGGGCCAGTTGTAAGGATGGAGCGGGTCGTTGGGCCCGTCGAAGGCCACCTCGAACTGCTCACGGTCGGGCAGCCTGGGCGGGAACGGACGATCGCCCCCCATGGGCGGGCATTTGGAGTAGTCGATGCCGTCTTTCTCGTAGTCCTGTTGGGAGCCCGTGAGAATGCGGCTGACACGGCGATTAACGCGGGCCTCGGTCTCAGCGGTGGCGTTGGTGCCGGTGCGTACCAGGTCGAGATCCAAGTCCGGGTCGGCTCCGCTGCTTTCGAGGTCGCCAGGTTTGCCTTCGAACTCCAGCTCGCGCACGGGGTCGGCGTAGTCGCTGGAGTCGTGGTCTCGCGCGGCCGCGTCTGGGGAGGACGAGGTTGAGAGCGAAGAAGTCGCGGAGCGCATATGCTGTGTGTGTGTTTGTACTATGCGGTGTATGGGTGGTAGTATTAATTGACTCGGTTCAAGACAAGCTTGAAAGTGGGAATAGTAGCGTGTGTAAGTGTACCCAGGTGTGTGCCCTATGTGTGTGCCCTATGTGTGTGCCCTGTGTGTGTGTGCCCTGTGTACAGCAATGATCCACCTTAGACTGACTCAAAAGCCTCAAATGTGGACTACCTCGTAACTTCCCATCTGCTTTTATGCTTTTTGGCCTGTCCCATCATACAGGGTAGCGATTGTAGCGTAACGTGCGCACACCGCCATTGCTAAAGTAACACCGCAGTGCGGCGCTGTGCTGTGCAACTGAGAAAAAACCTGCTTAAAAGTAGTACATACACTTGTGGAAACATAGAAGGTGATTTCTAAGCGGACTCTGGGCAAAAACACGGACGGAGGCGGCGCAAATATTTGCGGACGGAACGGGTGAGTCGCGGGTGGGTACTGGGTTTGCTCAGAAGAGCAGGTAGAGGGGCAGCGGAAAAAATGGTGCGGTGCGGGCGGTCGACGGAAGCCGGATTTGTTTCGTCGAGGATGATACAAAAAGTACCGCAAGCACTATTCGATCGTGATTAATTAAAGGACTCTTGGTATAAAAGCGTCAGCGATCAATTGTCATTAAAGAGAGATCTACAAGTACTATTGAACAATTGAGAGCGTCAGCGATCGATTATGATTAAGTAGAGGACTCTTAGTATAGAAGCGTCAGCGATCGATTATGATCAAGTAGAGGACTCTTGATAAAAAAACGTCAGCGATCAATTGTGAATAAAGAGAGGACTCTTAGTATAGAAGCGTCAGCGATCGATTATGATTAAGTAGAGGACTCTTGATAAAAAAACGTCAGCGACTAATTGTGAATAAGTAAAGGAATTCATGCACTACAAGCACTACAAGCACTACAAGCACTACAAGCACTACAAGCACTACAAGCACTACTGAACAACTAGGGATACAAGCCAACGCTCTCAATTGTGGAGTGTAGAGCCCTATTAATATCACTTAACAATCGTGAGCATCAGCAATCAATTGTGACTAAAGGAAACTCGTAACACAATTGGAAAATTGAGAGCGTCGGCGTTGCAGGCTGGGAGATCTACTTAACATTTGAGGGTGATACCGATCAATTGTGAATAATTGGAGGCTCGTCGTGTAACCGAAAAATTCAGAGCGATAGCGTCAGCGAGCAGTTGTGAACAAGTTGAAATTTCAGTGTGTGAACAACTGAGGGTGATACGGACCAATTGTGAATAAGTAGAGGGCTCATAGTATAACCAGACAATCCAGAGCTTCTGCGATCTATTTAGACTACGTAGAGTATGTTGAATACTCGGACTCGTTGAGTACGTTGAATATCCGAGCTCTAGCGCTCCCACTTTTGAATACGTGGAGTTGAGAGCGGCTGCGATTTAGGACGGCTGTGAGCACAATTAAACATCTGGGAGTTTAGCTGTCGACTGTAAAGGCCTAGTAAAATCATCGACATGCGCGGGTACGAAAATTCGTAATAAACCACGCTGCACGCACTGTTGAACAATTGAGAGCGAAGAATAATCGGAGCACTAATGGTCAAGCACTTCAGCGATCAAATGTGAATTTTTCGAAAATCCCGATTATATAGTGCTTATGACCATTTTACTTATTCACAATTGGGAGCGTCAGTGAGCAATTGTTGTAGCCATTCTACATCATTCACAATGGAACGGTGACGGTCCCAATTGTTGAAGCCATTGTAAATTATTCACAATGGAACGGTGACGGTTTCAATTGTTGAAACCATTCTAAATAGTTCACAATGGAACGGTGACGGTCCCAATTGTTGAAGCCATTGTAAATTATTCACAATGGAACGGTGACGGTTTCAATTGTTGAAACCATTCTAAATAGTTCACAATGGAACGGTGAAGCTCTCAATTGTTGAAGCGACGCTCCCAATTGTTCAGTAGTGCTTGAAGCCCTTCTCGCTGACGCTCCCAATTGTTCAGTAGCGCTTGAAACCCTTTTAGTAGAAGACAACTCTGTCATCAATATTCACTTGTGTAGCGTACGCACCCGCACAACTTTCCTTCTCAGCCCGTCTCCATCCGATCCGTGCCATTCAATCTGACTCGTTCCCGCAAAACCCTGCGACGCGAGTCTTTTTTTTTTCTTGTTTTCTCTCGCCCCATTCTCTGCTCGATTCTCTACTCGAGCGACGCGTGCCGCCCGCCCGAGTTACCCCGTCGGAGTTTCCCATCCTTTTTTAACAAATTTTTCCGCCCTCGCATCACACAGGCATCTCCGCGACCAACCTGCAGCTCGGGAACAAAGCGTTGCAGCAGAGCGGAAAAACTCCCGGCTTTGTGCGTATATCAATGAGAATCGGAATCGGAACACCACTATCGCAGGGGACATTCCAAGAGCGAGAAAGAGAAAAAGAGAAAAAGAGAGCGTTCGTAGACGCATTACAATGACTGCAGTATCAGTGGTAGTAGTAGCAGCAGCACCACGTCTGGCGAAACACCGTGGTGTGACTCTGGGGCTCGGTCCCCCACACCTCAATTTTGCTTACATTTTGTAATAAATCCATGTTAAGATCCATTTTAAAATCCATTTTAAAATCCATTTAAATGAGCCTTGGTTTTCGGCGCAATTGCGGCCTTTCGTGCGGGCCGTGCCCTCGGTTTTCGGAAATAGTCACGCTAAACGGCTTGCCAGTCCTTTGTGTACTTTTCCTCGTCGTGTCGTCGCCATCGTAAAAAGTGGATTTTTGCCAGGTGTATATAAGACAGGACCCTACCCCTCCCCCTCCCACCACACCTCCTAAGCTCTTTTGTCTTACAGACAAGAGCTTTGCCTTAGATATTCAGGAGCTGCGATACTCAAAGGCGAATGCCAAGGCGAATGCCAAGGCTACTGCCAAAGCTACTGCCAAGGCTACTGCCAAGGCTACTGCCAAAGCCAGTGCCGGAACCATGATGACCGCGCCGCGAAAACCGCTTTCGAAAGCTGGGGCAGAAGACGGATCGTCGCTCTCCATGTTCACCTGCCGCAGCTGCCGGCTGCGCAAACGTCGGTGCTCCCGCGAAAAACCCGCGTGCGAGCGGTGCGTACGGCTCAATATCCCCTGCGTGTACGAATTGCCGCCGAAACACCAGCGCCGCGTGTCGAGTCACGTGGTCTCGCAGAAACCCATCGACACAGACACCACGATCGCCAACCACCCACTGCGGGCGCATTTCCACACGTCGCTGGAGCTGGCCTCGCACGTCGAGAAGGACCCGTTCTTGCTGGAGTACACAGTGGCCGCCGGCGTGTGCGGGTCGCGTTTGGCCCTGGAACACAACTGCACCGGCTCCGGCTCCGGCCACGCGTTGTCTGCCCTGACGTTGGCGTGCAGCGACCTCCTGCAGAGCCGGGCCGACTCAGCCGCAACCGAGACTGCCACTGCTCCCGCACCGCGGCCATTCTCGGCCACACCTCCCACAGACTTGGCCCAGGCGAGCTCAGACCTGGTCGATGCAATTCTCAACGCTCTACCGTCTTTGCCGGCAATCGAGGCCTACAAAGTGCAGTTTTACCAAAACGTCTACACTGCGCTGCCCGCGCTCAACATCCAAGCCTTTGAACGTGCGTTGGAACACCTCGTGCTCCCCAGCATCGACAACAATTCAATTGAGCTCAATGTTGACGTTGCAGACCCGGCCCGCAACCTCCCGCATCTCGCAATGCTACTCACGGCACTCCGAATGGGGTACATGTCTTTGCTGCTATACAACGAGCGCATAGAACCCAACGTCAACCAAAAGCAGCAGACCCAGGTGTGGCTCCGCCTAAATGAAGTGTCTCGAGACGTGCTGGTTCTCGTACGAGACTGTTTGCAACTTCTTGACATCTGCGAAAATCCTACTGAGGATATTCTTTGCTGTCTTTATTATCTTCGACAGGCTTTGGAGAATGAAGACGCCGATTACTGGTCAATAATCGGTTCTACAAATGCCGGCATGTTGGAAGCCACCGTTCATCTCGCGATTAAGATGAATCTTCATCATAATGTGATTGATGATCTCGACGATCACTCTGGTGCCAACGTTACTGTCCAAGAAAAGCTCCACCGTCGTAAGCTGTGGCTTTCCATTTGTTCGACAAGCTTGCACGAGCATACTCTAAGAGGCGGAAATCCGTTTGTCAAAGCGCATCAACTTCGTCAATTCTCGGACCACCACCGAGTGTTTGATGATTACCGTGCCATTTCGTTACGGAATCTTCCTTCCGATGATCAAATAGAACTAGACTATCACATCATGCTTTTGAAAAACCATCAGTTCATGGAGGTTTTTTGCGATATTGAAGAAAGCCTTCGCAGCAATGATGAATTGCTTGACGATAAGGCTAAAGAAAACGAGCGTTTGGAACTTTTCTTTAAAACTGGATTTCCGGACTTTGATCCCGCATACAATTGTGACACGGGACTACCACTGCACATTGTGTGCAACTCTGGTAATGTTCCAGTTAGCATTGGCCGCGTTAAACAGATCGCAGTCTTTCAAACTAGACTGGGACTTTTAACAAAGCAATTGTCCAATTCGTCTCTACTCATGTTTTTTTATGAAAAGGACTATAAGCATTCAGGTCAAGCGACTTCTTTGGCCAATTTCGAGCACTACCTTGTTGAGTCCATGAAAACCATGCTGCAGGTATTTGGCTATCTAGAGGATTACGCCTTCGGCCAGTTCTCTCAAGTGACACCTGCCGGTATGCGTTTCGTCTTGTCCAGTTCGATCTCTCCCATTTGTAATAGATCTATCATTGTGGCCCATGGACTTATGCTTAGACTTGTGTTTCTCCAAGATTCAACTACTTTGAACGGCGAAACAGAAAGGACAGCAATAGTGAAAGATATCTTAGCTGCATTACGAGCATTACTAGGGTCCATGAGTGAGTGCATGGCCACGCTGCCTCTGCCCCCAAAAGCAGTTGACTTCAATGCCTTTTTCACAAAGTTTTACGACATGGGCCATTTGTTTCTGGCAATTAAAGCATATGGTTCTGCGAACGATAATGAACATGCAAAGCATCAGAACCTGACGAAGATTTGTATGCCTGGCTATATGCATCAGTATAGCAAAGCTACCTTCCAATTGAGTACCGCCTCGCTGCAACAGCTCTCAAAGTTGTTAAATGCTGACATTCGTGTGAAAAAGAGGCGTGTAGCGCAATGGAGTAGCAATGCTTATGCATTGCTTCTGAATGCTCAACAATAATAGATATCAGTTTAAATTACCTGTGTATTATAATGTCAGATCAATATTCGGTCTGTACTACATCAATCACTATGCACTATTGGAAAACAAATTAAAACAACGGCGGCCTTTTTAGTAATTAAACGCTTGCCGAATCTCACTTTCGGAGAACATATCAAGCTCTAACGGCGGGATGTCTTCGATTGATGTGAGTGATGAGCGTAAGGTCAAGAAAAGGATCCTCAACAGCTCCATTGAGGACAAACGGCTTCATTGGTCTAGACTTCACCGTTTCAAGACAACCCATAGGCTGTATATATACCTTATGGGTTCTCTTGCCATTCTTCAGCTCATTGCGATAGCATTTTTCTCCAAAGGTTTCCTTCTCACTCGGAGTGTTCTGGAGAATGTGGCCACTGAGGCTCACGTCGAACCAAAATTCGACAAGTGCGTTATTTTGATTATAGATGCTCTGAGGTTTGATTTCACAATCCCCGTTGATCCTCACGAAGTCGGTTATAACCCAAATCATCATAACAACCTTGAAGTATTCAACACTCATCGTGATAGCGACTCGTCGCTTCTTCTCAAATTCATTGCCGATCCCCCCACCACAACTTTGCAACGACTAAAGGGACTCGCCACAGGGTCCCTACCCACATTTATAGACGCAGGTTCGAATTTCGACGGCTCAGTGATAGACGAGGACAACTTCATCAAACAAATGTTCCTCAGAAACAAGACGATTTATTTTGCCGGCGATGACACATGGGATGCGCTATTCAACCCATTTCTCTCGCCGCTCAGCAAGCCATTCGAGTCCTTAAACGTCTGGGACTTGGATACTGTTGACAACGGCGTGATGAACTATTTTGAGGAACACTTGTTCAATCAAAACTCGAGCTCGGGTGATTGGGATATTTTGATCGGCCATATGTTAGGCATTGACCATGTTGGCCACAAGTACGGTCCAAATCATTTCACAATGAAAGAGAAGCAAGTACAAGCCAATGAATTTATAGAGAAAATTCGCAACCAAATTGATGAAGACACTTTGCTTCTTGTTATGAGTGATCATGGTATGGATCACACAGGTAATCACGGAGGCGACTCAAAGTCAGAGCTGGAGGCGGCTCTTTGGTTGTACTCAAAAAAGCCAAACATGTGGAATCATCTGTCACCAAGTCATTACAATACAAGTTTTTTGGGTGAGAATTATCGAGATGTGAACCAGATAGATTTGGTCTCAACATTATCCTTACTCTTGGGGTTGCCGATTTCCTTCAATAATCTAGGCTGGCCCATTGAAGAGATCGCCACTACTGCAGAGGAAGCGAAGCTTTTTCATGAGATAACATTGAACCAAATAAAGAGGTACAAGGAAGTCAGTCAAGTGATTACAAACCTAGATAAAGAAGAACATTTACAAGAGCTCTGGGCCAAGGCACTTATCAATACATCTGCCGCTTCTGAGTACCAGAGGTACTTTCTGGAGTCGTGCAAAGACCTGTGGGCGAGATTTGACTATTGGAGTATTGGAACCGGTATGTTTCTACTCGCGTCGTCTTTAGTACTGCTGATCATCATCACTAAATTGATACCATCAATTGTGATCGGACAAATGGTCTCAGAATTTGTTCCCACCATCACAATCATGACGTTAGTGTCAAACGTATGTTTTAACGGAATTTTTCACGTTTTACACCAGCCGTTGTTTCTCGAGAACTGGTTTTGGTGCTCACTATTTGCGACTGGCGTGGGGATTATTGTTGGATGCTTCCTCACTATATTTGATCGCTATACCACTGCTTGGATTTGTCGCAAATTTGTCGAGGATTTATCAGACTATTGGTCTAGGATTGCAGCCCTGTTTATCACACTTCATGCCGTTCTTTTCACATCTAACTCCTTCACTATTTGGGAGGACAAGATTGTGAGCTTTCTCCTCGCTACCCTAGGCATGTTGACCCTTTATGAATTCGTTTTTCTGCCTAAAAGACGCTTAACCACAGCATTGCTAGCGGCAGCCATGGGTGAAAAAAAGACATCTCTACAAAAAAAGCAGCCTTTGGACACAGAATCGTCTCCTCTTGGCAAATTTGCTCGTCTCGTTGGAGGTTATCATTCGATCGTACTGATCGTATGCACCAGACTCTCCTCTATGATTACTATATGCAGGGAAGAGCAAGGCGAATTCTGCACACCCACTTTCACAACAGCAAACAACTACTCGTATTGGTGCTTATTGTTATGCCTGATTGTGATCGCCTTCTTGCCTTCTTGTTTTAAAGGGTATTATAATATCTGCTCATCGTACCAAGCAGCAGCTCCAATTTGGATCGGTCAATTTCTTCGCTGGGTGCTACTGACAAACTTCGCATACTGGACTATTTGCGCAATGGAAAATACCATCCCAGACTGGTCTTGGGACCTGAAGATTCTTAAACTCACGATATCCAGAATTGTTGCAGGCTTCTCTCTGATAGCGGCAAACGTAGGATGGATGATGGGACCATTATGCCTCAAACTAAACATCCATAACAACGATGTAAGGTCGCAACAAGCCACAATTTTGGGATATGCGAATGTATACGGATCGCAGTTCTTTCTTTTGGTGATCAACTTTTTCATGTGCATCATGTTGTTCAACAAGCCACTCGCCCAGATCTCTTTGTTCCTTATGTGCAACCAGCTTCTGTCGATTCTCGAAATCTTTGACCTCTTGAAACTAAAGGAGAATCTGATCGGTCCAGTTAGCATGGGGTTACTTGCGTACCAACAATTCTTCTCTACGGGTCATCAAGCTACAATACCGGCTGTACAGTGGGATGTCGGGTTTGTACTTACTGAGCGGATCACATTCCCATTTACGCACCTGGGCATTGTAATGAACACATTTGGGCCACATATCATAGTTGCCCTGTCGGTTGCGCTTCTAACATTGTGGAGACAACCACCCACAGTTTTGAAGCCTCAAACACTTTTAGCTAGAGTTGTTTCGAATTGTGGCATGCTGTTGATATACAACACGGTCTTATGTCTGAGCTCATTTGTGTGGGTGACACATTTTAGAAGGCATTTAATGGTATGGAAAATATTCTGTCCTCGATTTATGCTTGCCAGCTTAAGTTTAATCGTGCTACAAGTGATTATAACCTTGATTACCATAGCGTTCGCAAGTGGTAGGCTGATAAGACAGATCAACAATCTTTTTTGGACCTGACGTTAACGCGTCGCAGTGAAGAGTTTTACCGTGTCAAATCTGTGCCTTTTTTTTTGTAAATTCGGACTATAGATATATTACAGAGGCTCTTCGAATCAATGTCAAAAGAAAGCAGTATCCAGATCGCCAAACTCGTCCTCGAAGCCGTTATTAAAATTTTCTCCGTTTACGTCGCCAAAAATTGAGCCAAGCATTCCCTGTTGCGATGGATCTGTCGGTTGCTGCTGACTCTGATTGCTATTACCATTGTAGGCAAGAACGCCAGGGACTGGTTGACTTTGTTGTTGTTGCTGCTGCGCGAAAGGGTCCTCGAAGAGCTTCTGTTCTTCCTGTTTCTGTCGCAGTCTTTCCTGCTCTTCTGAGCGACGTCTGAGCTCTTCTTGTTCTTCAGCTGCTCGGAGTGCCTTCAATCTTAATGTTTCTTCCCGCTGCTGGGCCAAAATTTCTCCCCGTTTGGCCCAATAATCAGCGGGGGCCTGTGACGGGTCGCCGCGTAGCTGCGGGAACTTTTGATGATGAAACACGATTCGGTCATCTTGCAGATGCTTTCCAAACCTTGACATAAATGTGTTTTGTATTCTTTCGATTGCTCGCGTGTCGGTGCCTTCATTGGAAACAGCTTCGGACAAATCTTTCAAGGCCACATGCTCTGGAGGAAGCTCTTGACGATAGCTTTGCAGTCGCGTTTTGAGAGCATCAATATTCTCTTTTTCGAGCTCTATAGATTTCTTCATACCTTTCAAATCAAAATTCCGGTAGATCGGTGGGGGCAGAATTTTTGATATACGTATGTTTTGGGTGGTCAAAATGTCCATCATTTCGCTTGCCTTGATGAGGTTTTGGGTCAAATATGCTCGGTATGAAAGAATGTCACTTTCGTCATGAACCGGACCTCCTACATTTTCCGGCTTCAGACGTGCCGGGTCGTTTGAGCTGTGAGGATGTTGATTATTTTGGGCATTGCGCAGTGTCTTAATATTGCTGGACTTCCTCTTTTTGATTGCCATTTTGAAATCCAGCACTAAGCCAAATAGATTCTAGGAGTGATTGTGTGCCAAATCAGAATTACACAATGTGCTTTTGGAAGTTAAATGCTGCGGTCTATGCGATGTCGCTAAAATTTCGTCTTGATGGTTTACTTACGTATTATAAGCTCAGTAGATAGACCTGGAAAATGCTTATTAAATTATTGTCACGTGACTATAGCTTTGGCAACTCGCGTCTTCTCCATAGTCGAATGGATTTAAAAAATCAAAAATGAGGTCTTCATCGAGCGACTCCAGAAATACAGGTGAAGAATGTTACCAGCGGCGTCTTCTTAGTTTTGTCTGTTCACAGCGTCGCTTTCTTTATCGACCAAAAATAACGTAAAAAATGATACAATAATTACTAGCTTTTAAATCGCCAACGTAACGGTATGATTTGGGGTTGAAATCAGAATAGACTTAACATCCAGGTTTCATTGGTTCCTAAAATAATGCCAAGTAGTTTGGAGTTCAGATGGCTTAGAATTCGCTTTTTTTTGGAATTTTTTGGACCGACAATATTCGTCCATTAAGGAAAGTCCGTGACAATGATTTTGGAAAAATGGCCGAGCTCAACAAAATCTTAAGCAAACTCGAGATTCAAACACTACAATTATAGTGCCAACACACCCTGCGTTTGAATTCCGTTGAGATCACAATTTGAAGAAAAGGTGTCATCACGTCACGTGCACAAATTAAACTATGTGTTTTTGTTTACCTTTGGTGTAGATGGACTTACATGTATATAATATATACATACAAACATACATAAACATACATGAACCACAATCAACGAACACCAAAGTGTGTGAATAGAGCGAGATCAAACCAAAAAAGCCCATTAAGGCTTATTCTAGCATGTCAGCTATTAGAACCTTCTTTCCTCTGCGTACGACCGTTTTTTTCCGGCCCGAAAACACTGAGATCGCGTCGGATAATCTATGGAAACCGCTCAGCAGAGAGAATCAAAAACAGCTGGGCAGACTTGATGAGACGCGAAAATGCATCGGCCAGCTAGATTCCCATACAAGAATCATGTCGTATAAGACGTACGAGAACTGTGTCTCGTGCTACTGTTCGACAGACTCTGCAGACCACTCTGCAGTTTTTGTGAGCTATAAGATACTCCTCGAACAAGTGCTCACAAAGGCCCAAGGTGAGCAATTGGTGCAGCTTTCATCGACGCTTGGAATCGAGGTACTCGTTGTTCCTAGCAATTTGTACTCTAAGAGAGCTCTGAAAAAGAACAAACGGGTCTTGTACTTGATGGGCCCTGAAGACCAGGTCAATGCAGCAGAGACGCAAGTGCACGCATTATTATCCCTTTTCAAAAACAAGGTATTGAAATACGTGGCCATGGACAGTCCTGCGTTGTTTCCAGTCTGTGCTGGCATCGAGCTGAACAACCTGGAGTACTACCGTAAACTCTACAACACGAAGATCACCATGCCGCGCGTTTGGAACAAATCATGCGGTACAATCTTTCTCTCGGGTGACGTTCATTCTTCTGTGCTGGCAACAAAAGACCATATCGAGCAGCTAATCGAGGATGCAAAGGGAAGCATGTACTACTCGACTCTGCAGAACATGGCACCTTTGAAGCTGCTTTTCCTTTCCAAGTTCCGCCAGCACCAACTAAATGCAATCATGGAAAAATATCAATGTTTTATTCAGATCGAGAAGAACTATGTACAGTTCTCTGGCACTTGTCTTACGGCATTGGGTCTAGCTATTAAACACTTTACACTAGAGGCCTTAATGCCGATCTTTGAGACACATGTTTGCTTTCCTGACGCTAAGGAGCAACATAGTCTGGGTGAGCACCTCTACCAAATTGCATCAGGCAACAATGTGATAGTGATGCAATTGGGTAATTCAGCCGCAAGTTTCGTACTCGTTGGTCTACCTCAGGATTTATGTCAAGCCTCCGCATCCTTGGAAGAGCTTGAAATCCCTGGGCATGTACGAATTAAGTACTTTATCGAGCTGAGTTCAGAGTACAAGGACTTCATTTCTGGTAAGAAGAGCGGCAAAATTACGAGGATAATGGAAAATGCAAAATGTAGCATAAACTTGAGCTTTCAAGAAAACAACATTAACATGGGTATATCGCTCACATCGGAGTCTTCTCAAGGGTCCAAAATGGGAATCATGCTCCTGAATGATGAGCTGCCTGCCGAAGATTCTTTCTTCATCCCAGACGCATACCACCGACCTGTAATCGGTACCAGAGGTTCAGTGATTCAAACGATTATGAAAAGGTATAATGTGTTCATTCAATTTTCCAACACGTACCAACCGCATCATAACAACAATGGACTGATAAGACTAGACAATGTAATCATTCGATGCCCTTACAAAAATAGAAAAATGATTCCCTTGGCCAAAAGTGAATTGAAGCGTATCGTGGCAGAGTACAGCGAGTTGCAACCAAAAACATTCATCAAGATGTCACTTGGCCAGTATCGCTATTATTTCCAAGAGACTAAGAGACGCGAAAACGAACTGATTAATGATGTTGAGAAGAAAACAGGCACCTATATCATGTTTCCGGAACAAATGCCAGACCATAATCAGCATTTAGAGATTCGAGGAAACGATCAAAACTCAGTTGATGCTGCTAAAGAGTTGTTGACGCATTTGTCGTCGGAAAGGCAAATAACGCTGGATGGCCTCCCATTAGATAAGATCGATTTCAGCAACAGAGTTGTCATGTCACTAAGAAGAGCAATGAGTGTTGGAGCCACATTGGAAGGAAAGTTATTGACATTAAATTTCAGGGCGCTCGATGACGAGCAGATAGCAAAGGCGCTGAAGATTGTAAAAGCTTATATCTTCTCCAAAGGGGTCCATATCAAATCGGACCATGCTTTAGATTTCAGCACAATCATCGAACGCTCTACGGGCCATAGAAAGTCGCCGTATGCAGAGTTCGTGTGATACCGCTGCTTGAATCTTTTACAGACGAGTTTTCAGCGTCTCGTTCAACAGTATCAAACATTGATCAAATTCCTTAAACGGTGAGAACCTCAAGTACAGTGGTGAACTACTGGCCTTTGGCGACAGGTAAGAAAATGATATGCGGAGTATGGGATGATTTTGCCTCGGATTTTTAGCAATCAGCGCCGCTTTTTCAAACTCAACAGTGAGAATATTCTTTACAATGTTCTTCGCGATTCTGATATCCTTCGAGACTATCTCTTCAGATGGCACCCGTTTCTTCACATAGGAAACTGCCTTCAGACAGAATAAAAGACTATTTTCCACTTCTTCGAGGGTACTGTGAGTGACCTGCGGGAGTGTCACCGCGCTCATACTAATTTTCTTCGCATAATCCTCCGACTTGAATTTGTAGCGCAGATAGTGAACATAAGTTGTTCGAACTGTCTGGCGTTGTGAAATTAAAGGCTTCAACCTAATAAATCTACGATAAAATATTCTCAAGGCATCTTCATTAGGGTACTCGTTAATCATGTTCGGAGGTGGAATATACTTGGCATGTTTCAACAAAAGAGCTCTTTCAGAGGTGACAATCGCATTTTTTGTGGTTACAGTGAGACCACGGAGGGACATAGATGGTCAATATCACAACGGATTGAAACCAACCATTGTTACTCATGCCATCGAGTCCGGTCAAGTTAATATGACGACGATCATAAAAATTGAATCATCACGAATAACGAAAATTTGAAAAACATCAACAGATTTGGTGGAAATTCACTTTATTATGCCGATGAGCATCGGTTGTAGTGTTGTTGACTTACAGAACTGCGCTGCATCGCAAAAGGCTTGCATCCTCAAGCAAGCTTAAGACTCACATATTAGACTGATCGTTCAAAGGAGGATGGGAAAGCCAAAGAAGTCTAAGCCGTCGCTTTCGAACAGCTTTGACGAGAAAGTTTCGGATCTGATATACCGAATGCTTGATGAAAAGTCGTTGGAAAAGCAGCGGGCGAGCGAAGCCAGAAGAGCTAGTCGAGAAAACGGAAACATGGAAGATGCCGTTTCATCTGAGGAGGATGACTTTGCCGATGTGTTTTTGGCTCGAGACTTAGTATTTGGCGAAGTGATGGCCTTCATACAGTCTAAAGACTTGTCTATGCAGAGAGTGAAGAAGGTTCTTCTTGAGAAGACCGTTGAAAAAGTGCTCAAGCAAGCTGTGGCCGAAGAAGAGGGACAGTTCTCAGCGTATTTCACCAAGGAGTCTATATCGCCAGAGCTTGAAGATGACAAGCTAAGCAAGCAAAACCTGATGATAGCCCAGGACTCAAATGACATGAACAAAAGCGTTACGAGTCAGTGGAATGTGGCTAAGAATAAAGATGGAGAACGAGTGGATGACCAGAAGAAAAGTTCTAAAAAGAGATCCAAAGATGGCAGCGCGAAACCGAAGAGACAGAAAACTCAAGAGGACAGAAGCCCACCCAGCAGTGACCTATCATCGCTCGGGGGTATGGACGATGTGGTAGCGCAACTCATGGAACTTATAGGACTTCCTATTTTACATCCAGAGATATTCGCGTCCACTGGTGTGGAGCCACCACGCGGTGTTTTGTTGCATGGCCCTCCAGGATGCGGTAAGACTTCCATTGCAAACGCTCTTGCAGGTGAGCTGCAGGTTCCATTTATATCGATATCTGCTCCTTCTGTTGTGAGTGGTATGTCAGGTGAAAGTGAGAAGAAAATCAGAGACTTGTTCGAAGAGGCGAAAAGTTTGGCTCCATGTCTAGTCTTCTTTGATGAGATCGATGCTATTACACCTAAAAGGGATGGTGGAGCTCAAAGAGAGATGGAGAGAAGAATAGTTGCACAATTATTGACCTCCATGGACGAACTGTCATTTGAGAAGACAGGTGGTAAACCAGTGATCATAATCGGTGCGACTAATAGGCCCGATTCTCTGGATGCTGCTCTCAGACGTGCTGGTAGATTTGACAGAGAGATTTGCTTGAACGTTCCGAATGAGTTATCCAGATTACATATTCTCAAGAAGATGTCACAAAACCTAAAGATTGATGGTGACATTGATTTTTTGAAACTTGCCAAACTTACTCCTGGATTTGTTGGTGCTGACTTGAAAGCTTTGAGTACCGCAGCCGGTACATGTGCTATCAAGCGTATTTTTCAAAATTATGCTACTGAAACGCAAGGGTTTCCGAACTCAATGGAGGTCGACGGAGAGTTCTCTTCTGGCGATATTGCAATGGAGTTAAAAAACACTGCCAACATGATTGACCCTCTGCCCTTATCCACAGTTCAGAAATTCATTCAAAACTTCCCGGAGCCGCTTTCCCCAGAACAGCTGGAGTCGCTTTCTATAAGGTACGAAGATTTTCTGAAGGCGTTACCAACAATACAACCAACTGCTAAGAGAGAAGGATTTGCGACCGTTCCTGATGTGAGTTGGGCCAATATTGGTGCATTAAACAAAATAAGAGTTGAATTGAACATGGCTATTGTTCAACCTATCAAGCGCCCAGAACTGTATGAAAAGGTTGGTATAAGTGCCCCGGCCGGGGTGCTTCTATGGGGTCCACCTGGTTGTGGTAAAACATTACTCGCCAAAGCAGTGGCCAATGAATCGAGAGCCAACTTCATTTCGATCAAGGGGCCTGAGTTGCTAAACAAATACGTGGGTGAGTCTGAAAGAGCGATACGTCAAGTTTTTACGCGAGCCAGAGCTTCGGTTCCGTGTGTGATATTTTTTGATGAACTGGACGCTCTGGTGCCAAGAAGAGATGCCTCTTTGTCCGAATCATCTTCTAGAGTAGTCAACACTTTACTCACTGAGCTCGACGGACTCAACGACAGACGAGGTATATTCGTAATAGGTGCAACAAATCGACCAGATATGATCGATGCCGCAATGCTGCGGCCTGGTCGACTGGACAAAACGCTGTTTATCGAGCTTCCAAACTTCGAAGAGAAGCTAGACATTATAAAAACCTTGACCAGAACAAATGGTACTCCGCTAGCGAATGAAGTTGATCTAGAAGCTGTAATTAAAGCGGAAAGCTGCCGAAACTTTTCGGGTGCCGATTTAGCTGCTCTCGTGAGGGAAAGTTCGGTGTTGGCATTGAAGAGAAGCTTCTTTAAAACGGAAGAAGTTCACTCCGTTACTGAGAATAACTTAGAGCAGGAATTTGGCGAGCTCACTACGGGCTCAGCAGAGGTGGTTGTCAATATGAATGACTTTGTCAATGCTTTGAAAAAGGTGAAGCCATCTGTAAGCGATAAAGATAGGTTGAAATACGATAGGCTCAACAAAAAAATGGGATGGGTCGACGAAATTGACGAGCCCAACTAACTGTGTAAGAAATTACCATTGCATTACTTTAATACATATAGTAGTCACCTTTCAAGATGTCCTCTCCTTTGAATATTTCTCCGCACCTTCCAAACATATTCATACTTTTTAGGTTTCCGAAAAGACACAAATGGCATTTCAAGATTACCGCGTTCATTTTGCAAAGTTCCATCCTGGGGATAAAGCTCGCATACTGGTGCTTCCGTCTTGCATCTCTTTATAATGAATTTCGATTTGGAGACCTTCAATCTGTCCGCATCGCGGGAAAAGGGAAGATAAATGTTCAGGTAAGCGCCTTGAATATCTATCGAGTGAATAAGGCCCAAGCCAAAAAATTCTTCGTTGACATTCTCTTTTAAAATTGGGAAGCTGTTCTTTGTATCTACCACAAGCTTGTCGCTAGTTTTGTAAACCCCGACAACAGTGCCTTCCAGCACGTCTTTGATATTTGCGTCAGTCCAATTGTTCCCGATACTTTCAAGCTTAAACGCTTTGACCGGTGCTAAACTTCCAAATGAGACTCTAAGAGGCGCCTTTTTTATCAAAGGTGTAAAGTCATACTCGATAACTTTACTAGGACGACGGAGTCTGTGAAAATATGACAGAAGCCGAAATTGCCTTAAATGATGGGGCTGAATTTTCGCTTTCAGTGAGAAGGTTGTCGTAGTTCCATGGTAGCCGTCTAAAAAATCTATTTCAGGCTCGTAATTTTCTCGCAGAGGTGTAGAGAATGTGGGATCGATCTGTAGCTCACTTAACAAAGATTGGGTTTTCGCCTCAGATCCCAGAAGTAATATGTGTGTAGGTTTAAATCGGCGGATGACGCTATTCATAATTTGTATACCAAAACCCTTGACCCACCCTGGAACATTCAGCAGCGTTGTGCCCATGTGGGCATAACCGGTAAAAAGGTCGATTAATTCAGACACTTCCGCGAGGTACTGAGTAGGAAAAACGCTTGGATTGTTTGTACCCAAATAACGTTCCGAGATTGGGACAATTTTGGACTGTCCTAGAGGATTCCCCAGTTCGAGATCCTTTTGTATCCCGCTAAGTGAAATGCATTCTGGCCTTGAAAATTCGGTCTGGCCTGGGTCTATATCCAGGTAAAAGAGACTTTCGTCGTCTTCGTTATCGACATGGAGAAGTTTCTGCAACAACAGCCGCAGAAATGTAGACTTCCCTGAGTTTTTACCACCTAGCACCATGATTCGCATGTCGTGCGAATTTCTTTGATGAAAAAGTGAAAGTTCGGCCAGCTTGTTGGACCACGACCTAGAAATATTGAGCGTTGATACAGAGCTTGGATCTCTCATTGTTTCGTGACTTAAAACAACAAACGTGGAGCTTCTTGACGATTTGATGTGTTGAGACGAGAAGTATTCCCTAGAAACCCAAAGATTCCTAAAAACGTAGTCCAATTTTGCAATATCTAGTAATCCTGTGCAGCGGTTAGATATAAGTAGTATGCATTCAAAGTTTTGTTGATTCATTCTGGTTTTCGAAACTTCCGATGTGATGAATGTGCGCTCATTCCAACCTGCGTAGAAAGAGCTCGATATTGGCGACATGGATGAGCACGATGGATGCCATATAGAGATAGGACTTTGAGAAGCGTTATAATGGACGTCGTTAAACTTTATTCCTCCCTTCAAAATCTGAAGCTGAAAGCTTCCAGCGATCATGACATCTTGACCTTGTTTGAGTCCTAAAATGACTCTATCAGCGTCATCGTTCAGGGGAATGTAGTTAATGCCACTGTCAAGACGGAACAACTCCCACTTGTGCGCACTAGTACCTTCCTGATCTAAGCTATGAACTGGAACTTCATCGTCATCCTCGACGTCTTCGTCATATTCACTGGCAGGCCCTGTTGACGAGAGTGCCTCAGGATTCTGGCCACCTAACACTTCTGGCTCATTTGAAGAGGTATCCGAACTTATTGAGTCATCGTCTTCAATGTCGTCATGATATTGAGGTCCCAGGTCCGAGTTTTCAGCTACGATGTGGATGTGGTTAGTAAAGAATCCGGAGTCAAAAGTATTGTAATTCTACTTTTTCCATCACGCATCTTGTTTCAACAACATACAAAAGGGCATAACAGTCATGCAGAGCTCTGAGAGCGGGATAGTGGGTGTAAACGTTATGTTATTCTTGAGCTCATCGCATCGATTCATTATTTCAAGATCGTCAAAAAGTATAAGACAGTGACAGGTCGACGGAGATCACATCTTTAGGAAACATACTCGACGCGGTACCAATTGTTTCTCTACTTGAGACCACCTTAGTTGTTCATGTTATGTTATATCCCCTGTTTATTTACTACTGTACAAAATATGCATAAAAGTGGTTTACACGACCACGGCTGGGTACTTTGATAAAGGTTCCGCGGTTCTCAGTTTCGCAACATGCCTTCTTGAAGCGTTGTCCTGATCCTCAGTTACAAATTCACCCTCGCTAGCGTACTCGTCTTCTAGCATGACACAAATCAAATAATCCTTGATAGCGTTAACTTTTTGCAAGGTTTCAACAAAATCTTCTTGCTCGAAGGAATCCAGTCTTAAACCTGCAAATGAGTCGGCGACTTCATCATCATGAATGTCAACTGCTGAAAAAGTACCGCAATTCTTCTGATGCATACCAAAAACATCTCCAGGCCGAAGCTGAGGCAATGTGGCTGGGGTATCCATTCGGGAAGACACGAATGGTACGTTAATTTGATACGCACTTGGAAGTGTGCTGCCGTGAGAACTGCTGTGGGGAATGTTTGAATGGATTGGGGGAAGCTGAAGCACAGGTGGATATCTTTGAGGCATAGCAGCCGGCGTGAGCGGCGAAATTGGTGCTGCTGGTGGGACGGTGTTCAGTTGAGGCAAGCGGGGGAGTCTTCGATTCATGTCGTAGGAGAGCGAAGAGAAAAAGCCAGCAGCCTGTCTGAGTTGCTCTGGCGAAGAGTGTGGTGACAGGTCAGGCGGTTGCTGCAATGGGAGCGAGGTGTGCGTAATAGAAGGGCTAGGGTTCAGTCCTCTGTCGGGAATATGACCAGCCAACTGCGACACTGATGGAACAGCCAGGGTTTGGAGACGCTGGCCAAGCTGAGGGGTGTAGTAAGGCTTGTAGTGATGCATCTCTTCAGATAAAAACTTCTCGAATGCGGTTGATGAAAGCTTGGGTGTGGGCTCTGAGGACCCCACACCAGCCTTGACTACCTTGTTGGCGTTGGGTTTGGGCCCTCTTTTGCGCATTGCCACGGTTTCGTCGTCAAAGTGCACTTTCAAGTGTTTTTTGAGATCCTGGGGTCGTTTGAATTTCTTGCTACACGTAGAACAAGCAAAAGGCTTCAGTGGCACATGAACGCGCAAATGCGATGTGATGTGGTCTCGTTTCACCGTCTTTGCGTTACAGTTTCCCCAACGACAATTCAACTGCAGATTCTTATGCGATTTTCTTCCAACATGATCGTTGCACAGGTGGTGGTAAAGGAGCTCAGGTTGGGAAAACTTTTGCCCGCAGTTGTCCCACTGGCACACCAGATAATTGTGAGAGTCACTTTCGCAGCCCGAAACTTCAGAAGGGGATGATTCACTGTCGCTGCGGCTAGCTCTTGCCCAGTATTTGCGTTCGTCTTCGCTGGGAGGAGATGATAAAATTCCCAGGTCTTTGTCGTGGTTCAAAAGGTCTTTCAAAGGCGCCATTTTTTCAGCAAATACGAAGATTTCCTCAAGCTGTATTGAGTGAGATTTAAAGACTTGCTTTGAAAACTTATCTCTTGTTAGGTTTGGATTAGAATCCTGGAGAGTCGTTGGGTTTTGATCGAATAGAAATCGTTGTCAGGGTCCTTTTCTAATTTTCCCAAGCCACTTTGGACGTATATAGTGATTAAATAATCACGACTAGAGAGTCGAGTAGATAGTGAGTGAAGGAACGAGTGAATGACAGAGGAGGGTTGCAGTTTGAGCTGGGTGACAGCAAGTGCAACGGAAGGGCTAATTGGTTGACTTATTAACTTGTTTGCTGGCTGTTGGTGAATTGAAGTAACTTCAATAGGCAGTTCAAAAATATTGTTATAAATCATATGAGGCTTATGTTAATGTGTCATCTTCATGTGAAAGTTTTAACGAGAGCTTTGACAACAAGATGACATCTAGGTTTTACACTTGCCAGCGAAAAACACACCAAAAAATATGTAAAGAAAATTCAGTATATCAACAAACAACTCTGCGTCTCAAGAAACCACGGATTAATGCCACAGGATGTCAAAATATTACTTAATCAGCATCACATAAGTTCTTGGCTCTGCAAATGCATTTCAACACTAAAAACCACTTGTGTGGTGAGCCACCGGCGAGCTGGGCTGTTCATGCATAGGCTACTACCTCTATTTCTCCTAACACGTATCTTCAATAAACAATATACGAACTATATTACATTATAATTATTAGTTAAAAAGTTCCTTTTCAGTTGTTCATTACCCGTAAGACCTTTCTAGAATAGTCGACATCGTCAGCCAGCGACATTTTACTTCCACCATTCTCCCATTGCATCATAAACATCTGCCTAGGGTCAAGTCGTTGATCAACAACAACGGGTGCGTCTTCTTGCGCCGCCTTATTCTCTGACTCTGCCGCACTTGTTGCCTGCGAGGCCCTCTTTTCACTAACATCCATCGGTGTGGGCGCTGCTTGTATTCCCTTCTCATCAGCATATATGAATCCGTTGGGCGACGCCGATGAGGCAGGCCCCACACTAGTGTTGCTACCGACAGGGGCAACCACATCGTTGTATCGCTTCTCAAAATCCTCGTCACCCCGATTCCTGCGACGGTACCACATCACAAAGGCCAAGAGGGCAAGGCAAAATACAACCACGCCAACTGCAACGAAAGTACCCGCAATCTTTCCAGGCGATCCCCAAAATCCCTTCGCACTTGAACTATTTCTGCGTGTATCTGCACCATTTGAGTTTGGGGCGGCAGAAATTTGTCCCGTGGGAGTTGAGATCACAGTAGTGATCACTTCCGTAGTGTAAACGTTGCCGCTTGAGGTTTCATCAGCAGTTGGAAATGCCGTCACAGTCAAATACGAATATATCAAAGACGGTTGTAAGCTTGTTGAGCTTTTTGGGTTGGGTGAGGTGCTAGATGGAATTGCTGTTGAGCTTGAAGTGGAGGAAAACGAGCTCTGAGAAGATGACGGAGAATTTGACGAAGAAGACTCTGAAGAGCTTACGGACCTCGTGCTAGCGCTGCTTTCGCTGGAGCTCGTGCTGGATGAAGAGGCACTTGATGCAGATGAGAGAGCAGTACTGGAGCTTTGGCTGCTCGATGAAATAGCTGAACTCAAGGAGCTTGAACTGGAGCTGGAACTGGCGCTGAAACTAGAACTAAAGCTGTAACTGGGGCTGGAACTAGAACTAGAGCTGGAACTAGAGCTGGAGCTGGAGATGTAGCTGGAGATGTAGCTGGAGATGTAGCTGGAGCTGGAGCTTGAAGTGGAGCTTGAAAAGGAGCTTGAACTAGAACTCAAGCTCGAGCTAGAGCTGGAACTGGAGCTCAATGCTGAAGTCGAGCTGTAACTGGAACTAGACGCAGAACTGGTACTGGTACTCAGACTTGAGCTCAGACTCAAGCTGGCTGATCCCAGATATATATAACCATAGAGCCCTTCGTCCAGATTACCACAGCTCTCGTACCCGTAGCCAGGACACACGGAGTTACAATCTTCGACGGAAGTCTGTGAAGAAGGCCCAGTGTTCGAGCACCAGCAGTTGTGATCCTGTACAACAGCGTACGAGTAGCCACTGCACGCGTCAGAGCACCAGCCGTTGCTCTGGAACTTATACCATTTGGCAGGGGTCGATCCCGTGTTCTGCGACGAACAACTCGTCTGTTCTGCCCCCACCAGTGCTGCAAGCTGCACCCACAGAAGGACTGCTAAAATCCGTAAAATGGGTCCAATGCTGCTACAGATCATTCGGGTTTGTACCACCTTTCTGCTGCTCGTGAAATCCTTTTGTTCAGTTTCTGAACCTTTTGAGAGTGTCGAATCTCTCTAAATCCCGAGACAAAATTTCCTTTATAATAAAAATGGCAGTTTAGATTTCACGACTGTAAAGTCTTCGTGAGGTCTGGCGTAGACAACAACGCTGGGGTTGATGAAGAAAAAGTCAACAAAAACGACCTCCGAAACCGCATGTTTCTCACGTGAAGAAGAAATGATTAGCCAAAGGGACCCTTTCTCAGGCTTTAGATGTGGACGATATGAAAGCGAGTCGTGGTATGTCCTTTTTCAAAACTGAATGTATTAAGAATCTCTGTTCGTAAAGTGTCTCCTTCAGTTTGACAAAAAGTGTCGTAGCTTCAATTTGGCATTCTCTTGACTTGCTGCTAGGTAAAAAAGTCGCTGTCGAGAGCAGGTTGCAGCTGTTACTCAAATCTTGTCACCAAACGGTCTTTGGTAGTACGCAGAAGTCTTTGCGTTTGGTAGCTTCCAAATTTTTTTTGTCTCCTCAACTTTCAAGGTACCGGAATATAGCTCTTAATATCCTGTCGTGGTGACAATATAGGGCTGCGTCGTCAAACTTCTATTCTTAGTTTTGATGGACCCGTTGCGGGTGTCCAAAAGAATTGTGGATGACGTGTGTTTGTTGCCATGATTCATCCATGGGTTAATCTAGTTCATCGGATCTGCACGGAACCCTCGGACAGACTATGGAAGCGTGTGCTCGCTGCAGAGGAAATTCTTCTCTCTCTGCGCAGTTCCGCGCCCAAGATGTGCACCAAAGATCTTCCGTAGAGAGTGATGAGGATAATTGTCTAGCAACTGCAAGTCACGTGAGGGATGGGCGGCAAATAACTCCAGAACCGAGTACAAAGCTTAGCCAGTGAGACGTTCTAAATGCGCATGTATAGCTTGGGCAACAGTGGGTTTGAGTACATGTGCTTGTGTCCGGAGTAATCGGGTGGTTGCCAGTCGCATCTTTCAGCTTGTTTTTGACCCCATTTTCGTTGCACGTCGCGAAAGGGAGCTTTTTGTCCATGTCACTGGACTGGTTTCTGTGGGAAAGCCAACAATGAGCTTCGAATCTGACTGAAGGCTGAATACGCTGAGCTTGAATCTGATCCAAGCTCGTCTTCGCTTTTTGCCTCTTCTCTGTTTTGTATAAAACATAGCACAAGTTGCCGTGAATTAATACTCGCTACTGAAATATTATATATACTCGCTGACAGTGAAAAATCGATACATAAACAAACAAAGGTTACGGCATTTAGGCTAAGAAAAACTCTTAGAAATCATTTCAGCATTTATCAACGTTATATGCTCCAGTCTGCTGCGACTTGGAGATCTTATTTAGACACCACCTTGCACTTGGTCCAACAGACTTTGAAATGATACGAATGTGAACAGTTCCGGACTCCCGAATAAGATGATTCGGCTTAAATTTACTAGTGGCAAGTGTGATGCTGCTTTGACAGACGTTTGAGCTGCTTTTTGTCAGCCTAGAGAGCAAAGCTCCAATTGACACGTAAAATTAATGTGAAAAAACGTGAAATAAGCCAAAACCCTCACAAGACATACCTTTTCCTATCTTACAGCTCTCCACAACCGTTGCCACAGCTCTATGGCTTATTTCGCGGGACCAGTTGGCCTGTGTGTCGCTGTGTTCAGACATTCCACGTGACCTCGGTATTACCTCGATGCAGATTCAATATATAATAGTGATGCTCTCACTGGCAATCAGGCAGCTCAAACGTAAAGTCTGAGAAAACCAACAACGAACGTTCCCGGCCGAATAACCTATCTATGACTGACGGCAAGACCCTAGTACACTCGCATATCCACTGGCGCAATGAGAAGAGGAAAAGCTGGCATCGAGAATTGATATCCAAGGTGGTAAGCCTGCTACAAGCCGAAGATCACGATTCCCTGGCACTTGTAGCCAGAACGACCGGAATTCCTCCCCAGTTACGCAAAAACGTGTGGCCTATTTTGCTGAAGTACCACCCCATGGTCATTTCACCGAATATCATGTCAAACACACTGGTTTGGGACTCTCAAAAACAAAATTGGCGCTACCACCCGGAAACCAGAAGTACAGAGGAGATAGATCTTCTTATCATGCACGATCTGAGTAAGTACTTTCACAGACGAAGCCCGGGAGGTGGTAAGAACCACAGTGCCAGTGGTTCTAATTCCATTCCTTTTTCCAATGATCCCCCACAGCTTTCTTGTGAAGAGCAGCGAACTATCGAGTGTCTCAAATCCTGCATTTGCCAATTTCTAAAGAAGTGGTCCCAATTTTTCAAATATGAGAGTGGACTTACGTGGATCGCGCTGGCGCTAGCTGAATGGTACCCATTTGATGACAACAACAGTATTCTTCCCGGGAAGCGACACGGTCCTCCCGTCTATCTCTATGATGAGTACTTTTTACCACAATATATTCAAAATCAGCTTCCAGACAAAGTTGAGTTCACGTTCAGTGATTTATATGAAAGACTGGTACTAGTCATTTTGCACTCCCCCGACATACCGAAAGCAGAGAAGCTGGCTGGGAAGAACGGTAACGACACCTCTGTTCCGCAATACTATCCAGTTATTTCCGGAGGAGACTTAGCATTTCAATGTCAACTGTTCTTTAAGGTGTTTTCCATAATCTTACCGGAGCTTTATCAGCCCGTGACCGACGAGGAGTCCCTCAGGCCATCTAAGAAAACCAACTGGATGTACTGGTGGTTCAAGTGTTCCGGCGCGCGTGTGCTGCATAAGCAAGATCGAGGTCGAATTTGGGATACCTTTTTAGGCTGGCGACCACACCCAAGGTCGCTGAACTTCTACCTCAACTACAACAATAAGATTTTCGAACACCTGTATTCTACAACCACCACCTCCCGCTTGGACGCTGATTTTTTCAAAAAAATCTGTAAATACGGGCATGATGCATTTTGGTTTCCCGACCTCGAAGCTCTTCGCCTAGGCTCACCAGATCTTGAGTGCGATTTTCAAGTTCTCTCCGAATTGGTGCGGCGCAATAAGTATGGATCTCCTGATGAGGAGCTCGAGATATCCACCAACTCCAGTGTGGGAAGCCAGACTCGAAAACTTACAACGGGGGTAAATATACCATTTTCGCTGTTAGACCCACATGTGCAGCTGATTTTCATGTACATGGGAATTTTGCAGCAGCATGAGTTCAAACTGCTAGAATTCGAAGAGGCTGAAATATCCGAATTTTTCAATAACGTTCCATCCTTGTCCCGTGCTGATGACCATAACTATCGACACCTTTACGGAAACGATTTAGACTCGCGATCTGTCAGCTCTAGTGAAACAGAGCCAGAGGACCTGACAAAAAGACCTACCTCAAATTCGTCTACTACCCACATGTTAATCGAGGTCGGTGATGATGACAAAACTGCCAATTCGTTCGACGAAATCTACAATCTCGCTGGTGATATCTGGAGAAAATGGATTTGGAGGGAGCTGGAGGACAGTGCGAGTGGATAATCAATTTGTAGCAACTTCGCCAAAACAATAATATGCCTAGATCCCACATTAATCACAGGTTAGAATAAGAATAGTACAAGGAAGATCTGCCTCTGGTGATCATGAATTCCTTAAACTTATTTCTATGTTTAACTGTTGACTATCATCATTGTCTCACGACATTTACGTTTTCGAGATGCCGCTTGCCGGGTAACGTGATAGCTTAAATTTCAATCAAAATACAACATGTGAAGGGCGTCCGCTAGAGCTGTAACAGTGAACTTCGAACAAAGAGGAATAACATGTTCTGTGCCAGTATGTCCTGATTGTAGAACGTTTTGATATTACTTCTATGTTTGAGCTTTACTAACTATGTCAAAGTCAGCGGGAAGCCTTTGAAAAAGCCGGTCTTCTCTCCAAAGTCGAAATGTGTCTTTGAAAAATCTCTGATAGAAAGTTATGTCCTGCAAAATGGTCAGGATCCCATTAACAAGGAACCGTTAAGCGTGGATGAACTAGTGGAGATCGCACAGACCCCGGAACAATATGCAATGTCGAACTCAGTCAATTCTCCCACGTTAAAAGCAAATTATAGCATCCCAAACTTGCTGTCGTCTTTACAGGATGAGTGGGACGCTGTAATGCTGGAGAATTTTCAGCTCAGACAGCAGTTGGATGCCAGTAAAGTCGAGCTTTCAACGGCACTGTATAAGTTTGATGCGGCTATGAACGTTGCTACCCGAGCGACACTGGAAACCGAAAAATTGAAACAGGAGCTAAGCATTTTATCCCAGAATCTGGCGCCAGCTCAGACTGAAGAATCTGATGTTATGGAACAAGAGATATCGACCGTTGTTTCCTCGGAAACAATCCAGAAAATGATTCAAAAATCGCAGGATTTCGCTAAAGACAGCCGGAAAAATAAATTCCGTCCACTGCCGTGTTCCAAAGTATCAACTGAGGTTGAGGTGCTAGCTGAAGTAACTCCAAATACTGAGATGACATCGGCATATGTCGACGGCAATATAGCCAGAGGGAAGCTTGTGCTATTTTACAATCTCGAGGGGTCTTGCAAAATAGTATCTGCATTAAAATATGAGACTGGAACAATATATACGGTTCTTCCAGAGAGTGACTCTATTAGCTTTGCCGAACCTTTGAATGAAACGCAAGTACTTTTTGGGACTAAAATGGGTGCACATGGTATTTATGATCTGTCACAACAGCAAACGATCAATAGTCTACGATTTAATGAGGGGAGAGAGATTATCATGGCATCCTGGGTGAAAGAGGTTTCTGACCATGCTTACGTAGTGGTTGACTCAAGTGGTGCAATTGCGTTGGCGGATGTGGAACAAAACTGTGACTTGGACTTTCGCGCAAATGAATTTCCCACCTACTACGCTCATTTGCACAAAGATGGTCTCTTGCTACTTCAAGGTAACGATGAGAAGTTGATTGTCCAAACTCTATCCGATTTGCAAAAACCGGCTATTGAGTTTGACCATGACATCGAGTCGGAAGGACCAATTCGATCCGCCAGATTTGCATCAAACGGTTATTGGCTGGTTCTCGCCACACAAAAAATGATCAAAGTATTCGATTTGAGGAAAAAGCCCAACACGCTCGCGTTAGAGGCATTAGTCTTTGAAAATGAGGATCTAGTGTCGTGGGATCTCGATCCAAGCATGAAGTCATTGTTTGTGGTTGTTGAAAGTGGTGGTCTCAGTAGAGTTGAATTTTACAGTTTTGACAAATCAGCAAAGAGGTGGGTCCAAAAGCCAGAGTTCACCTATTCTTCCAAGAATGTTCAAGATTTGACGTATGTTTGGGACTCGCAGTCTGGTTTCATCAAGGCTTTAGCGGAAAACGAAATAATTAGCCTTAAATTGGACTAGCAACTTGATACGGTAACGTTATCAGAACTTCGAAAAAAGCTCGCCAGCGTTCTCAAACTCTCATGAATGTGTCGCGACTCCTTTTACGGTGAACTATCCGCGGCGCCCCTGCCCACTAATTTGACCGCTGTCGCGAAGGTGAAGGGTGTAGCGAAGTCAGCATGACATGAAAATCATTTTCAGGCCGAAAGGGCTGTTGTAGGCGTGGAATTGAACCACACGGTTAGCTGTGATTTATCGAGTCCAACACATTGCAAATGATTCTCACGCAACTCCATTGAAGAGAGTATTTTCTTTCGTGCTTCTCCTTTCAACGATCACCTCAGTGATAAACGTTTCGTTTTAAGAAAATTTGATCAGGTAGGATGGATCAGAGTAATGCCTTTTAAGACGCGAATGCCTAGCTGCAGCTTGCACTTGAGGTCTGTGCTTCAGCTCCAGAACATTCGCAATCACGGAGGATGAGCGAGATAGAGACTGTTTTCAAAAAGAGCCTCGAGTGATGCACTTGTCACTGCCTCAAAGCTATATACCTCTGTCGCTTTCAGAAATGATCTGAACTGTACAGGTAAATAAACAAACTGATTCGACATATCCCAGTGTGAGTTTGAAAATTTTGGGAAAGGAACTGATGTAGATCAGAAAGATCGTTTGCTGTTTTCTGCCGCCGTAACCAATTTGCCATGATTTTCGAGCTCTAAGAGCCTTAACACTGCCGCCAATAATGCTTGACATGTACTTAGACAATCATGTAGGGCAACGACAAACTGATAGAAATTGAAAGAATTGAAGCGTTGTACTTAGCAGAACACAATGATCTCTACAGAAGCACTTTAGAAGGATTCAATACTCTGAAGCGTTTTTCAAGTATCTGTATCAAATTTTCATTTCAATTACAACGGATGGCGAAGATGTTTTAGAGAGGCCGCGATGTTTTCAATGTTAGTCAGTCAAACACCACAAAATTACACTCACCGTCCAAAGAGAAAGCTGTTGATAAAATTTTTGATCGTAATAGACACCGCAAGTACAATTCTTGCCTCGATTATCGGCGAATTTTCATAAAAACACCTATAACTACTTCACATTCAAAGTGTACTTCCTATCTTGCTTATCAGCCACAGAGTGCCCTCGAAGTCGAGCAAACGCTTGTATTTATCACGTTGAATTATATATCAACCAGCCCTAAACATAGTAATTTGGGTAATAACGTCTGAGCCGTCATAATTCATGAGCTCAATTAATCAATCAAACCTTTCGAATTATCCCGTTTGAAACCATTAGCTCACAAAACATCTTTTATAGTCCGCGATGCCTAAGCTATGGTCACTTACGCTATATAGACTACTTGAAGAACATGTGAATGAATTTCAAAACGTAGAACAACATTATGAATATTCAAATTAACAAACTTGTTGTCAAGTTGTCAGATACAGCCCTCATCTCAACTCTCGAAACCTCATCACCAGTATCGTATCTTATCGTATACGTTTAGTCTTCCCTACAGACTCATGAAATATAATGGTCTTGGCGCTTTAAGCTCGTTTGAAACGAATCGCGGACATCTATTATTTAGAGGTCGATGAGTTCTCTTTGACAATCCCATCACAGTCCATCGAAGAACGAAGCGAAGCGTGAAAGAGAGCTAGCCGTCTACAACTGACAACCGTGGCATATAATTCTGATAAGGTTAAGGTCTATCCCGAAGGAAGGGTGCGAATTGCTTTGCTGGAAACGCCGGAATGTCGATTCTTAGAAATGTCAAAACCTGGGGACAAACTTCAACTGAGATAAAGGTTAAAGAGGCCACAAACGATAATGAACAACGCGGGGCTACTGGCTCCTTGATGAATGAACTCTCGGTGCTGACATATAGCCCAAAAACTCTACGGGAAATTACCCAGGTGGTACGTAGGCGACTCAGTGGGAACTACCGGAAAAGCTCACATAAAAACGCTGTCCACATGCTCAAGACACTGACACTAATCCTGTATTTGGTCAACAGCGGGTCAAATGACTTTGTGGCTTGGATACGATCCTATGCATACCTTGTGAATACGCTCAAGGAATTTACCATCGGCAATTCCGGAAGCGAAACAACCGCAGCCCAGATACGAAGTCTGGCGTCGTCTTTGTCGGAGTTGTTGCGAGACGATGAACTCCTACGTCGGCGAAGGAGTGAAGTGACGCTTTTCAGGTCTAGCATTTCGACCCCGGGACGAAAATCTACGGATAACAGCCATTTGAAGCCGCTGGCGGTGATTGCGGTCTCAGGAAGGTCCGCAGAACACACAAGAAGTTTGGATTTGAGCCGACGGCGCGTTGAAGCCGGCACAAAACGCGAAGGAGACCAGACTCAAAACCGAACCGTGGTTTTGGGACCCTTGCGGGAGGAGGAAAATTACGATTGGGATGGGTCTCTAACGACTAGTTTCCACGATGGCAAGCACAAGGATGATTTGACCAGTGTGTCGGAATACAAACGTCGGGGCGTGACGCGACGATTGTCGAACCGATTTCTGCTTTGAAAAAATCGACATTTGGGAAAAGCGTGGGAAATTCAAAAAAAAATGGCAGCAAACGCTGTTTAACAGTATAATTCCAGTTCTTATAGCCCAATAGCCCTAACACACACTCAAACTCACACTCACACTCACACTCACATAGGACCTCTGCCTGGAGTGACTTCTCATTCACATCTCCGTGTATAATGACTCACAGTGTTCAGATCACTCGATTTAATATAATATATATTTTCATCATGTCTCGTTCCATGCATTTACTCTCTCCTTGGGCGTCAAAGCGTAATAGCTGGAAAACAATACCACTTCAACACTACAAAGCTTGGCATTTTAAGATGTGGTCAAAGTAGATACGTTTCGAAAAGATTCATAAAAACTACACCATGTCTCGAGCCTATGTTTGTCTGCGACATGAGCCGCGTCGCTCTCGAGGTTAATTGGTTCAACTCGAAAAAATACAAAACCGTTCAGGATGATTTTATATCACTCTCTACGTATCGCTTGTAACTGCCCCAAATGCGAGATGTCCATTTTTCGGTTGCGCCTTCCACACTGGCCCAAAGGACTTCAAAACCACAAGACCCAAAAAACGTGACTACACTTTCTCTCAAGTTACCCTGACTATTCTCGCCTCATTGTTCTTATGTAATCGAGAAAGCCAAGACAGTCTTGAATAAACAGGGGTAAAGGGGGCGTGGGTGGGCCAGAACTGCTTAATAACGGACCACAGGAAGCAAATAATGACCGTGTCGGGGGTATAAATACCAAGGGGTTCCGAGATTTGGAAAATTGCCACTTTCATCTCTGTCCATCACACAGGTCCAAATCAGTTCAAACGCGTTAGAAAAGCGCATCGTCGAAGACAGGAGTGTTTAGTGAACTGAATTCGAGTGAAGTAAACGATTAGAGAGAGAAAAATGCAGATTTTTGTCAAGACTTTGACGGGGAAGACTATCACCCTGGAAGTGGAATCTTCCGACACTATCGACAATGTTAAGAGCAAGATCCAGGACAAGGAAGGTATTCCTCCGGACCAACAAAGATTGATTTTCGCTGGTAAACAATTGGAGGACGGCAGAACTCTCTCGGACTACAATATCCAAAAGGAGTCCACTCTCCACTTGGTTTTGAGATTGCGTGGTGGTATGCAGATCTTTGTGAAGACTTTGACAGGGAAGACCATTACTTTGGAAGTGGAATCTTCTGATACTATTGACAACGTTAAAAGTAAGATCCAGGACAAGGAAGGTATTCCTCCGGACCAACAAAGATTGATTTTCGCTGGTAAACAATTGGAGGACGGCAGAACTCTCTCGGACTACAATATCCAAAAGGAGTCCACTCTCCACTTAGTTTTGAGATTGCGTGGCGGGCTCAGATAACAGGTAGCGTTAAGCTGGAATGCCAGGGTAAGGTTTATAGTGAAATACATATTGCTAAGATTGTAATTTTTATCACACAATGCCAGCGTTATGAAGTGCAGTGATTACTTGTGGAGTTGGATCGGAGCGCAGTAGCTCTTGAAGATTGCTGACAACTACAAAATTGAAAGTAACTTTCTTTTGTAGGAGCACCTTTCCAAATTTCACGCATTGAATCTTCACATTTTCAATAGCTTCTTCTCTGAATGCTTCCTCAAAGGATTTTCTCCAAAGCTTTTTCAGAAAGTCTGTAATCTCATCGTTTTTAGCATCGCCCTCTCTAGTTGCAATCAGATATCCAATTTCTGAGACAGCAATTTGGCTTCTCCATGTATTGACAATGGTCTGAGATTCAAAAAGGCCAATTGTTGACGCAGCTATAAGTTCAAGAAGCACATTTGAGCGCTTAGCTGATATACAAGCCTCAAGCATAGTAGCACACCCCTTCAAAAGTGTGATTTTGTACTCTTCGCTTAATACATTGTCCCTTTGCGATTTTCGAGTGACGCTTGAAGTAAGTCTTTGTTTCTTGTGATTGACGTCACTGGAGCCAGCTTCAGAAGCCGCATCCAAACCATTATTGTCGATATCTGTAATTACCTTCTGCGCAACCTCTAGGATCTTGTCCAGAAGTTTTGTGCCTGGAAATTTCGTGACTAATGGCAATACCACTAAGAGGACTTTGCGGACATACTCGCTATTATCTCTTGTTAGTTCTGTTACCAGCCGTGTCTCCAGCGCTGCTGTTTGCTCTTCACTCCTTAACAATATTGACTCGAACTTTGCGGCCAACGACACTAATGACTCGATAACGACTTCTTTTCCTTGCCAGGAGCGACCATTTGATGCCTCGAGAAGTGCGGTACACAGCTGTTCGATAATCTTTACAGGGGCGTTTGGTGTTGCATATGTACAAACATCGCAGACGCTCTTGCCGCACATCAACCTAACATTAAAGTCTGGAGACCCAAGATTTGCGCTTGCCAGACTTACAATTTCAGCAAGGTGTAGTCGGACTGTTCCTGTGCCCGAAGATGTAGCCTCATCCCAGACCCTCGTGAACACTTCTGATACATTATCTTCACTATGTTTCGCGACAAAAATGAACGGTAGAAACGCAGATGCGACGCTTTCAAACATTACAGGTGAGTATTTGTGGATTGATTCAATAGCCAGTCCCACAATAATCTGATCAGTTTCGTTGTCGGCGCTCATAAATTTGTCTACCAGCTTACCTCCGTACTTGCTAACTCTCGCGGGTGTGCAAAGCTTGCACACGCGGCCAAGACTTGTAGCATAGGCTTCGCGAACAGTCCTATTTCTGTCGTTCAAGCCCAAGAAGCAGGCTTTAAGTAGTTTGGCTCCGAACGGTCTCAGATCGTTGGGATTCATACCAACCACCAATTCAATAGCCGTTGTGGCGCCTATTTTTGAAGGAAGACCAATACCTTTCTTAGACGCTAAAATAACACTTTCAACTGCGGCGGAGAGCAAATCACCTGTACATAGACCGAGAAGCCCTTCGACACAATTCATCATTGGAGAGCTTTGGATCGTAGTGGCTCTTTGCATGTCAACAGCCACAGCGCTGATGTTGTACTTGTCGGCATTCATGGTCAGGTAGTTAATTGCTTGAGGCTCGAGCGGTGACAGGAGCATTAAAAACTCGTAGATCAACGATGGGGCAAATTTCTCGAGCGCTTTTTTGGATTCTTTGACGAGATTGATTAGGGTTTCGAGCGCAAAGCTTTTCACCTCATCTGCGTCACTATTCAAACCCTTGGGTCCTAAGAACAGTGGTATGAGCATCGTTAATATTTCTTGCATATCGCTGCTTTGGCCACTATTATTTGCCGCAGAACGAACCAAAGATGATGAAAGTTTTTTGGCAAGTTTGAGTCCAGCGGATCGCACACTTTCTTTGATGTCGTCCATGACTCTAAATGTCATTGTCCATACTGTCTCTAGATTCTTATGGTACAGGGTTTCACCGCTCGAGCTTAGGAGATCCGTCAAGGCATACACGCTAGCTTCTCTTACCCTCCAGTCCTTTGCACCCATTCCTTTTAGCGTTTCGTGAAGTATAGGCTCATAAAACTGAGCAACTGTTTCAGCGGTATTTTTGATCAGGGTTTGCCAAATTCCGTTCATTGCGTCTGCGACGTTTCGATATGGGTCGAAGCGATATCTGTAAAGCAGGGGAACAAGCTTTTCAGCAAAAGTTCTATTTGACGTGAAGAGATCTGAAAGGGATGTTTTAGAAAACATTGACGTAAGCCCGAACGCCATACCCTTCCTTGACGACCACAGAGCTGAATTTCTTGCCAGAGGCATGAACTTGTAAACCATCGATGGGTCACCAGCTTCACTAGCTAAACTCAAAATGTCTTTGTATGTTGTCAGCGATCCCTCGTTGGTGTTCATTGTTCCAGGCTCAAAAAGTTGCGTTTCAGACGTGATTGTACCCGGAGTCACTCCGGTTGTAGCTTTCGGATCAATGAATGATTTCAGGAGGCCTTTTAGCATGTTGTCTTGTCCTTCTTTATCACACGAGTCAAAAATCAGCCCAAGGCCTCTACTAGCAGAATCTTGAATGATGTCATCGCTTTCTCCGAGAAAGCGTACAAAGCACAGGTGTATATCCTCCGCGTTTGTGCGCACAAGATTTGTGTCCCCGAGGTATTTCACAAAACAAAGTAACCAAATGCAGGCGGCCTTACGCAGGGAAGGCTTAGTGGCCTCGCAACATTTCAGCAATTTGGGTAAAATCGATGCTGAGAACCTACCATCAAACTGAGACGCTAAACCTGAGATGATATCATCATTCAGGAAGTTTTCATAAACAAGAACTTTCGACCTCCATCCTCCAGCGACGATCGATATCGCCTCACCCGTAAAAAACTGAAGATTGATCTCTTTTGAGACATGAGTTTCTTGCAAAGCGTCAAAGTACACCTCAGCAGTTGTTGAGTCTGTAGAATACATTGAAAGAAGCGCCCACAGGATCATGGAATCTCGACTTTTCAGCATATTTTTTTTGAAGAGAGTTGTAAGTTCCTTGAGAATTTGTGACTTCGATTCTATATCCAGCTGTTCCAGAAGGCCATATTTTAATAGCTGCGCCAAGCCCTTCATTGCAACAAGTTGCGTTTGAGGAAGGCCCGCTGCCATTGTGAGTTTTTCACCATAATTCATGAGCTGACTACGGTTAACAGACCTTCCGTTCAAAAAAGTGAGGGGAATAGAATGACTGGCCGAGTGTATTACTGCGAGAAAATCGGCCGATTCTATCGGTATCTCGATGCTGTTAAGCAGCTCAACAGTGTCGTTCTCTGTAGCTGTATTAGAGAAAATGATACCATAGAGCTTTGCGATACAACCAGCGTCATGTTCTGGCAGAAATTGGTGCTTACCAAGGGCACTGTGCAGATTCTTGAGAGAGCTCTGTAATTGCTGAATTACAGCACCTTGTGTACATTCCGCGAAGACCACAACCAGTGTGCTAAGTGAAATCTCATCGCTGTTTATTTGCGGTTCGTTGTATGCAAAATTCCCTTTAATCAATTCTTCAATCAATGTTGTTAGGAATTTTAGCATTAATTCCTCGCTAACTCCCAAAATCTCCTTCTTCACCATAGAACGAATATTGTCGTCGATCTTCAGAGAGTTATCAACTCTCTGTAGCCAGTGTTCGTCCTGAACAATTGAAGTTCCTTTCCTTTTGAGCGTAGCTTGACTGACAGCGTTTCTGAATATAAATCTCACTGCCTGGTCCAATGTTTGAGAAAAAGTATCAAGGTCGCGGTTGTCCAGATTTTCTAGGTTTACATTAAAAAGCCTGATCAACTCTTGCGTATCGGGAAACATGACCTCTTCAATTTCATCGTTCTCTATCTTATACTTGGGTCTTGTAAGCTGAGCATCATACGACTGCGTAACCCTATACCAGTATGGGTGCAAACCTTTCAAAGATTCTTCTTTAAGGTCAAAGCGGTTTTCTTTCCACGTTCCCATAACATTAAGGTATCTAGCTTCGGCATCTTCAAAAGGAAATGCAGAATTGATAAATTTGATCATCACAACTCTACAGAACATGAGCGCCTCTTTGTCATCTCCGGTGCCATGATACATGTCGTAATTGTCGTTGAGTGTTTTCGTGGCAATGTTTTTAAGCTTAACTTTCAGCTCAGCAGAAAGCGATTTCATCAAAGGAGTCAAAGAGTTTAGCGCATCTTGAATAGTCGCTCTAAAAATGCTCAGATCGCCTCTCATTGAGTCCAGAAGAAACCTGACAAAAGAAAGATCTTGCACATAATACTCATCCTGCTTCAATATAATGCCCAAGGTTTCATATTGTTTGCGTCTTTGCTCCAAGCTCAAAGCAAAATTGGGCACGGATGAATTAAGTTGGAAGCGGGGCCAGCCTTCGCTATGTAGATTATTGCGTATCAGAGACGCAATATTAGTTGAGAAATCGGAGAGATCATCTTGAGACGCCAAGGCGGCATGATTATACCTCGCGACATGCTGGATGAAATGCAACGCAGCAGATCGAAGTTTGAAGAATGATGAGTTTAATCCAATTGATAAGATGACACTGACAGTTTTAAAATCCTTTGTGGCTATCACACTGCTGGTCATTAAAGAAAGTAGCTTCTCTTGCAGAACTGGTATTACAGGCGGCCTTCCCAAATTACTGTCACCAATGTAAAGACCCACTACGCTATCGATGAATTTTACATCCTCATAGGGAATGTGTACCTTCTTGAGTAACCCAGTGGCCTGGTTCGAAAGGTCTGAGGTATCGGTCGATACCACGGTGAAAAACTTGACCAACATATCTTCCGGTAAAAACCCGCTTATGACGAGCCTGAAAATGGCCTCTTTGTACGCCAAGAGTTGCTCTTTATTAAAACTTACGCCTGCGTTGTAGGTGAAAAACTCAACCTCAGAAACGCTGAGACCTGGACAGCTGTAACCACGGGGTATGACATTAGCTTGTGGGTCCGCTTTCAATGGGCTCAGAAAGAAGAACGACGTAAACTTCTCTAGCAAAAACAGCTTATCGTCCATTAACCCCACATCCAGCTTTTCAAGAATTACCTGCTCCTCGGAAGAAGCCTTCAGGGGCGTTTTCCAGCTCAGAAGAAGTTTACAAAGCACATTGAACATGCGTGGTTTGAGGGACTCTGGAACAAGTGAAAAGCCCTCAATGACTTCTGGAACTAGTTCCTGTTTCTCCTTTTCGCTCATACGTTCCACACCTCGAGAGGCAAACAGAAGGCTGTACTGTCCAACGGCAGGCGAGTCGCACGACTTTGCCTTCGCTTGGGCAATCAGCTTTCCAGTGGGTAATTTGACGCTTTTTAGCGCCCCTATGCGACCCATCACATTTTTCACAACCTGAAATACCATCTGGCGCACAGATGCATGTTGTGATGCCAGTTTGAGAAGAACTGCAGGGAAGAAGATGTCTAAATTGCGTTCGAACGCCTCTTCCGATGAAGCAAGCACGAATCTCAAATCTGCCTTTTCTATCAACTTAACCTCCTCATTTTCGCTCAATGCCATCTCAAATTTCCAGAACTAACCAAGCAAAAGATGCTGTGTCTGATTCAAGAACTTGTTTCTTGTATGGTCTTACAGTGGCAACGATGTGTCGTTCTTATGTTGTATTTAACATCGGACCTCTTTCGTGTGACACGACTATGTCATATCTGTTTTCAATTTAAAAGGGAAGCAAAATTCGGACAACCCAACCCATCCCTAACACTCTCGACATCAAATCAATTCCTATAAGAGGCTCAAGATTCTAGCACACTTTCGAGATCAAGAGCTTGTTAGTGCAGAACTATAAGGCTTAGAAAAGGTCCTAAGATAGATACCCTTGGAGCTGGCTTTTAAATAGGCAATTGGGTGAAAATGCTGGAATCATTAGCGGCAGGATTACTGAACCGATTTCTGGGGGCTTACGTGGAAAACTTCGATAGCAAACAGCTCAATGTCGGTATTTGGAGTGGTGATGTGAAGCTGAAAAACTTGAAACTGAAGAAGGAGTCGCTAGACGCGTTGGATCTTCCAATCGATGTGCAATTTGGGTTTCTAGGAGATCTCACGTTACAGGTGCCATGGTCGAGCCTAAAGAACAAGCCGGTAAAAATTCTTATCGAAGACGTGTATTTACTGTGTGGGCCTCGTAACCAATCGATGGCTAGTGCTGCAGAAGACGAGGAGCGAGACCTGCGTCTCAAACTACAAAAATTGGACGAATATGAGGCGTTGAGCAGGGCGCAACCCCAAGATCAGGACAGTGCCGACGCCAATGAAAGCTTCACGCAATCTCTTGTCACCAAGATTGTCGACAACTTGCAAGTCTCGATAAAAAACATTCATGTCAGATACGAGGATATGGAAAACGTATTTGCAGAAATTCCATATTCCGTGGGCATAACACTGAGCGAGCTGTCCGTTGTTTCCACCGACGAAAATTGGCAGCCCAGCTTTATCTCGATCACAAGTGCCATTGCTCGCAAGCTCCTAACGTTGAACTCACTGGCGGTGTACTGGAACGCGGGAACCAAAAGTGTATACCACCCCGATCACGATGAGCTGTTTAGACGACTAAGAAACCTGATCAGCAATAGAAATACGCTTCCGAACCACCAGTTTTTATTGAGACCCGTGACAGGTGCTGGGCGGCTTGTGCTTAACAAATTGGGTGCTACAGACGATTCTCCACACATCGACATTGGCTTGATTTTCGATAAGTTTGGATTCGATATAAACAATTGCCAGTACGAAGACATTCTCAACACTCTATCGAAGCTACACTGGTATCAAAAAACGTTGAAGTTCAGAAAGAAAAGACCCGACTTCAGCGTGAGCGAAAATCCCAAAGCTTGGTTCAAGTACGCCGCAGAGGCTGTGCTGCAAGAAGTACATGAGAAGAATTATAAATGGAGCTGGGAATATATTAAATGGAGAAGGGACAGAAAAAGAGAATATCTCGATTTGTGGAAACAGAAACTTGCCGCTGACGCCAAGTCGCAACAGCTTTCTGTAGGTGATCAAGAGAAACTCAAGGACCTGCATAAAAGTCTCACTTTCAATGACATCAAGTCCTTTAGAGCGACAGCTCGGAAATCATACGCCACACAAAAATTAGAAAACCGGAACTCTATGACTGAAACAAATAAAGGAGCGTCAAACAGCACGACCGGTTGGTTTTCCTCTTGGTGGAGTGGGGCATCTACAAAAAATGGGAATGAAGATGAATTTGCTATGACTGCGGAGCAAAAGCAAGAGCTTTATGATGCCATTGAATTCGATGAAAATAAAGATGTTCCTGAGTCTTCGGACTTACCGCGAGATAGAATAATCACGAAGGTTTCTTGTTCGTTGCATCAGGGGTCATTTTCAATCATAAACAAAGATAAAGGGATGACGCTGGGAGAGGTGATTTTTGAAAACTCTGAAACCATCTTCTTTCAGCGTCCAGATTCGTTTTTTGCTTCGTTCAAACTGCATGAGCTCAAAGTCGAAGACGGGTCTCCGAATACTCTATACAAACATATTGTCAGTGTTAAGAACCTACAATTGGACGAAGATGGTCACTCTCCAAAGTTGGAAGAGCCATTTTTTCAAGTTGCTGTTGAAAATAATCCGCTAGACGAATCTGCTGACAACAAGGTAGATATCAAACTTCGAAGTATGACAGTCTTCTATCATGTTCACTTCATCAATGAGATTATCAGGCAATTTCGCCCACCACAGCAGCATTTGGATACAATTGGGGCCATCATGAATGCGGCCGAAGCGACAGTGGAGAGCTGGTCCGTTCAAAGCAGAATGGGACTGGAATCAATACTTGAGGATCATAAAACTGTCAATCTCAGTCTAGACCTACAGGCTCCTTTGCTTATCGTTCCACTCGATCCTCATAAGTGGGACTCGCCCTGTGCTGTCATTGATGCTGGCCATATATCTATTATGAGTGATCTTGTTCCTAGAGAAACTTTGAGAAAATATAAAAGCCTGAGCCCAGCCGAGTATGAGAGGCTAGATGCAAAGGATATCAAGAGGCTTATGTTCGATCGATTCAAGCTCCGTTTAACCGATACCCAATTTTTAGTCGGCCCAGATATACGAACGACAATATCTGATTTGAAAATGAGCGAAAGAGAGAGCCCGCTGATCATTTTGAACAATCTTGAGGTTGAATTAGATGTCGATGTATCGATCCTGCCTAAAGCCTTAAATTTACCAAAAATTAGGGTGTATGGGAAGCTGCCCATGCTCAAAATTTCTCTAAGCGATTTCCAGTACAAAATCATCATGCAGTTGATAGACAACTGCATGCCAGATTTTCATGATCCTCTTGCTAGCGAAGAGGAAATTGAGCTAGGGGCACCTTGGGCGGAAAGAGATCTCTCTCCCAACAAGGAGTTAAACATTCTCAGGCAATCTTTGCGGACATTGAACGAAATGTCCAGTGCAGAACTTCGCCAGCGCCTGCTTCATCTAAGTTTTGATGTTGACATTATTCAAATCTCAATGTTCAAATGCTTTGATGCCAAAACTCTCAAGTCGGACCCGCTAGTCAATTTGGTGGGAAATAATTTACACCTCACATTTTCCAAACGAGCGCAAGATATGGATCTCGGTCTAAATCTACAATCTTTCAAAATTGAGGACTGCATAAGTTCTAACATTCCTGACGCCTTCAAACACTTGGTGTCTTCCTCTAAGGAAAGTGCTCAGGGAACTCCTTTGTTCAAGTTAAAACTCAACAGAGCTCAAAGAATCGTAACATACAATGACACCTTGATTGAAGTCTTTGATCAGGATATTGACATTACCATGACTGAGTTGTCATTCGTTCTAACACCAAAATCAATTCTGACGCTGCTCAATTATACCCTGACCACCTTTACGGACCCCAGTGCACCTGAAATGCCCGTGGATGCGTTGAAGCATAATTCCCCTGATTTGGCAGACTCTCCTCAAAAGATCAATTTACGCATGAATATGGATAACGTTATTGTTGTGCTCAATGATGAATCTGAAAAGTTGGCCACTCTTGAGCTAAGCGCAGGCGAAGTTGAACTTTTTATGCTACCTGAAAAGATGAAGTTGAAGGCCAAGCTGGGTGCGATGCAGCTAACAAACGAGATCCATGAGGAATTCGAATATGCTTCTCCGATGAGGAAACTGATAAGTATGAGTGGGAAAGAATTAGCGGAACTATCATATGAAACATTTGACAATCATAAGGACGACGTTGAATTCTCCTGTGCAATTGGTTTTAAGACGGGTTCTATGGATGTCAATTTCGTTGACGGGCCCATAAACCGTATCATTAACTTTTTGGCTAAATTCCAGAAGATGAAAGTTTTATTCGATAAGGCACGAGAAGCAGCTTATGACCGGGCACCCAGTATCGATACAGTCAACAACACTAAACTTGAAATCTCAATAAAAGCACCTGTCATTACCTTCCCGAAACTCATCAACCCTAAAAAAGACACTTACGATAATATCACATTTTACTTAGGTGAGCTTTCGATTTCGAACTCTTTTCTGAGGAAAGATGGCGTTTCAATCAACCAAATCAAGGCTGGTATAAGATCAGGAAGCCTGGCCTCATTGTTTCATTTAGAAGGCGGAATATCGCAAAATTTGAATCTGGTTGATGGGCTAGACTTACGTTTTGACATTGATCACCACCAAGGGAACGAAGGAAACCGCTCCAAATTGATAGTAAAGGGTTTCTTCGAGCCGCTCCTTGCAAAGCTGACAGAGCTACAACTGCAGTATCTCTACGTACTTTCCCAAAACTTAGCTAATGCATTCATCATTGACCAGCATGATGAGGACTTGGATGAAATTCAAGACATCGCATTATTTGCAAATACTGTCGTACCAACTGGCAGCGGGTTGGAGAGTTCATCCGTAACAATCCCTGACAGGAGTGCATTTGATGAGGAAGCAGTTGCCCAAGAAACTGATATCAGTCTCGAGTTTTCGGCACCGGAGCTATCTTTGACGGTTTACAACAATACAAAGCAGGTGGCTGATATCAAAAACAAAGGTGTAACGAAGATAAGCCTCAACGAGATTGGATTGTCTCTGCACATCGCAAAAGAAACAAACATAAATGCCGAAACACACATTTCTTCTTTCACTGTTGAGGACATCCGGCAGACGAAATACAATCAGTACAATGAAATCATACCAGGAGTATCACACGAGAATTATCAATTTATGGCCTCTTTCAAGAGAGAAAAGCGTGAAACGTCAGAAACAGACAATGTTAGCGTTACAGTTGACAGCCCGAAGGTCGTTTTGGCATTGGATTACTTGTTTGCATTGAAAGCTTTTGTTGATGCATCTGTGAATGTTAAGTCGCCCGCTAAACTTCTCCCGGCGGCTCAAGGTCAGCTAGTTCCCTTGGCAATTGAAGACAAAAAGACAGTGACTAAAAGGCACTTATTTTACTCGATAAACGTCGTTGATAGCTCCATTATACTACTTTCCGACCCATCAGACTTGAATACTGAAGCTATTGTCTTCAAAGTCGGCCAACTACTTCTTACTGACCAAAATATCACAACGGCCAATGCGAATAATGTCGGGATGTTTTTATGCAGAATGCAGTCCTTCGATCAGAACCGCATTCGTCTCCTGGACGACTTTTCGGCATCTGCCGTTGTAGATCAGAGGGAATCGACTTCCGAAAAGTTTCTGACCAGTGTCCAATTATCCGTTGAGCCCCTCATTATGAGGCTTGCTCTGAGAGACATAAGGCTTGCCATGTCAATATTCAACAGAGCTGTGGCACTTGCCAAAGAGCATGGACTGACAGGGGATGCGAACACGAGAGAGGAGGAAGTCACGTATGGTAATTTTTCGAAAGAATTCAAAAAAACGCTGTCGAGGTATGCCCCGAGCTTGGTTTCCTCTGTCAGTAATCTCTCGAGGGGGGAAGGGACGGACAATACCCGAAATGTTACTGTGGTCAAAGACGAAAAGCTTGAAGCAGACTTTCAAGGTTTACGGCTTGTGTTGATCGGGGATGTTCATGAACTGCCAATAATTGACATGAGCGTCAAACCTTTCACAGTCACGGCAAAGGATTGGTCTAATGATATTGACTTGATATCTTCCATCGAAACTTACGCAAATATTTTCAACTACTCAAGGTCTAGTTGGGAACCCCTTTTGGAAACCGTACCTTTATCTTTCCACCTTTCTAAAGGAGTTGAAGGAGACGCGGCTTTCTATTTTGACATTATTTCAAGAAAATTGGCCGAAGTGTCACTTTCCTCCCGCACTATTGCCCTCTTGTCCCAGATCCCCAACTCGCTTTACCAAAAGGTGGACACTGAAGCTAGAGGGGCCACTAAACCTTACAAAATTTTCAATGACACTGGTATGACTCTAGCGGTTTGGATTCCATCGAAAGGATCTAAAGCTCAAGATAGTAAAACTGTTCTTGAAAATGGGGTGACGACACCTTGGGAGTTCGAGGACTGGAGAAACGTCAGAGAGAATCTAGATACCGACGACTCCATGAATATTCTAGGAGTGGAAATCGAAGGTCAGCTGTTTCAGACATCTCTGAAAATAGATGCAACTTCGGAAGGGGAGGACGTTTATACCTTGCACCCAGCCGTAAATGGTGTCCATGCGAGATTAGCTTGTGAGCTAAAGCTATGCGAGGATAATATTAAACTTGTCACCCTCAAGTCTACGCTTGTGCTGCAGAATGCTACTGCTGGTAGCCTTTTTTTCAAATTGGCTGAAAACGAGAATAATGTTAAAGAGGTTCTACCCGGCCAGTCCCGATCTATTCCTGCTCAAGATGCCTACAACGCCCGAGTTTATTTGAAGCCAGAGGGAGACTACAGTTGGTCAAGTGAGAGCATTTACTGGAAAAATCTTCTATCGAATCCTTCTTCTATTTCTTGTGGCTCAAACCACAGGGATACGCCGTTTTTTTACGAAGTCGATGCAAAATTCGACTCAAACGAGCCCTTGGCGAGAATATATCCCCACATGCACATGGTAGTCTCATCCCCTCTAGTACTAGAAAATTTGCTGCCTTATCCGATTGACTACAAATTGTTTTGGAAGTCAGAACGTGTGAGTAAATCAAGGGCGAAAAATGAAACGAAGGTGTGCTCGCTAGAAATTGGGGAGCGTGTCTTGATACACAGTGTTACTTTGAGCGATTATATTTTGCTTTCTTTGCGACCTCAAAATGAAGACGTTTGTATGTCTGAACAAGCCTTAATCAATGCTAAACCCGAGTCAGAATTGGAACCTGAGAGCATTGTCAGTCTACGTTACGAAAATGGGCAAAGATTGAATCTCAAACTTAACTATCAGAAAATCGATGGGTCTCGTGCTAAAGTTATAAGCGTCTACTCTCCATACCTCATTTACAATGGAACGGATCGCGACCTTCAGATAGAAGGAGATAGGCATAACAATGCGTATTCGAAAGTTTTGTTGAAGTCTGACGATTCGACTCGTTATACGAAACCCACGATGTTCTCTTTCGACAAAGATCGATCCAACAAAAACCGGGCGCGCATCAAGTTCAAAGACTCCGATTGGAGTGTTCAAACTTCATTGGACGCTATAGGGCGGTCGGTCGACTTAGCCTTGGAAATTCCCAATCGAAACCAAGAGAGCAACGTCGGAATCACCGTATCTGAGGGAAGCGGGAAATACGCCCTCAGTAAAATCGTTAAGATATTGCCCCGATACATCATTCGCAACAGCTTAAATGTCGACTTGGAAGTAAGCGAATATGGATCAACTTCTGTGATGAAAGCATGTTCGAACGTGTCTTTTCCTCTTTACAAAATGAGAAATATCATTGACAAGCACATGTGCATAAAATTCGTTGGTTCACAGTCGCAATGGTCTTCTCCGTTCATGATAAAAGATATTGGATCTAGCTACGTGAAAGTTCTCAAGAACGGATCTGGACACCAGTTGTTGAAGCTGGACATAGTTCTCGAAGACTCGACAATATTCATTAATATCGCAGATGCTCAAGGTCAATGGCCGTACTCGATAAGGAACTTCAGTGACCACGAATTTATCTTCTACCAGCGTGACCCGCACGCTTTTGATAATGAGGAAGACTATGACTTGTACGATGATCTAGGAGACATGCAGTATGAACCACTTTATTACAGAGTGCCACCGCGAAGTGCCATGCCTTACGCGTGGGACTACCCTGCAGCCCGACAGAGAAAGCTAATTTTGACTTGCAGACAGCGCAAACGCGAGATACAGCTTGCAGAAATAGGCAATTTGCGTCCCATGAGGCTATCTCCCCGAACGTCACGAGAATCGATTGATATTGTTGACTTAAACGTGGTTGCAGATGGTCCAACTCAGGCGCTAGTCATCACAAACTATAACCCGGAGTTCAGTCTTTATAAGCTAAGGTCAGGACAAGCGACCTCCACATCTTTGTCCTCTGACAAGGGTGACCGCTTTGAGGCTAAGGAAGAAGACAAAAACATTTTTACCAAGGTCATCGTATCGCTGGAAGGTGTGGGCATATCGCTCATAAATACCCGGCTGCAAGAACTGTGTTATATCACATTAAGCGGTCTAGAACTGAGGTACAATGAATCAGATTTATATCAAACCTTGAGTCTGAAGCTTAAGTGGATGCAAATTGACAATCAACTCTTTGGCGGTATATTCCCCAACATTCTCTATCCTACGGCGATTCAAAAGAATCTCAAGGAACTTAACAATCATCCTGTTCTGTCCGGGTCTATATCGAAAGTGAAAGATGACACACATGGTGTCCTGTATCTGAAGCATGCCACCCTTTTACTACAAGAGCTAACGATACAGCTGGATGAGGATTTTCTCTTTGCACTCATAGATTTTGCCAAATTTCCCGGAGCATCATGGATCATTGACGTCAAGGATGGGGTGGATACCGAGTATACTATGCTTCCTTATCCAAATGAGCTACAAGAGAACCACGACATTTATTTCGAGGTGTTCCATTTACAACCTACAATGCTTCATTTGTCTTTTGTTCGCACAGAACATCTGAATGTTGATACCGAGCGTGTTTCTCCTCAGAACACACTAATGTTTTTGGCGAATGTATTGACGATGGCGTTAGGGAACGTAAATGATGCACCCATCAAGTTGAATTCGCTTTTCATGGACAATGTTAAAGTTCCTTTGTCTATGCTGTTCAATGCTGTTCAAACTCACTACAGTCAACAGTTTTTCTACCAGATTCACAAAATTTTAGGATCAGCGGACGTTCTTGGTAACCCCGTTGGTCTCTTCAACAATATCAGCTCAGGCGTTTGGGACATATTTTATGAGCCCTACCAAGGCTATATGCTCAACGACAGACCTCAAGAACTTGGGATCAGTATTGCAAAGGGTGGATTGAGCTTTGTTAAGAAATCTGTCTTCGGGCTGTCCGATAGTTTCGCGCGATTCACGGGCTCTGTTGCCAAAGGACTTTCTGTTGCAACACAAGATACCGAGTTTCAAGAGCGCCGTAGACTGGAGCAAAGAAAAGCCAGAAATAGTAAAAGTATGAACGGAATAGGCTCTGGTGCAACCTCCTTTGTCAATGGTGTTAGTAGCGGCTTGAGAGGAATTGCGTTCGATCCATATAAAGGCGCCTCTAAAAATGGAATGCCAGGGTTCTTGAAGGGTTTGGGCAAAGGCTTCATAGGTCTTCCAACAAAAACAGCGATCGGAGTTTTAGACCTGGCTAGTAACGTCAGTGAGGGGATCAGAAACACCACTACTGTTATGGATGCATCGCTGACCAACCGTGTTCGTCTTCCTCTATACGTGGGATTCGACAAAACTATCAGGCCATATAGTTTGCGAGAGTCGCAAGGCCAGTTCTGGCTAAAAAGTGCCAACGGCGGCGAGTGTATTTCAGACAAATACCTGGCGCACGTTGTTCTTCCAGGTAAACAGTTGGCAGTCATTGTATCGTTGTCACACGTGGTTGAGGTTCGGTTGTCAAACTTGGAAATAATGTGGAAAGTGCGCTACAGAGATGTCCGGTCCATGACATTGGAAAGGGCTGGCTTGGTAATTACGCTCAAAAGTGCGTCTACCGAACTGTTTGTTCCAATTTCCGACCCTGAGGAAAAAAGATTCTTGTACAAGAACATCTCGATCGCGGTTAATGAGTACAACAAATATTGTCAGGCGGAACTTTGAATTGAGATTGCCTCATGTTGTTAACCGCTGGAACTGCAGTATGTTTTTTGTCTCTCGAAGTACTCAAAAGAATATCCACACATCTGTCGCCGAGCTTTGTGTTGATATCAGTGTGATTACGGAAACTCTAGTTCCTACAGTCTGCTGCGTATATATGATATTATTGTACTTTGCAAATGAGATGAGAGCGCTATATTCAGATATGAAGACGAACCATCGGAAGCTTGAAAGATTAGAAGCCAATCGGATATTGGGTGAAAACGGAACAAGTTTGAAACATTTGGATTGGTGGGGGTTAGTGGAGGGTGGAAATCATTTGGCAAAAGAACCTTCGTGTATATAATTCTGTGATCCCTCAACTAATTAAGAGGAGATGCATTCTATATTGCATCTTGCGATAAAGTTGGAGTTTTTCGGATTATTTCACACAAGAAAGCAACAACAGGCCCGCGAAACAAGTCTTGGTGCCTTTACTCAAAACTTCATTTAGTTTTGTCCTTCGTGGAACTCATTTCAGAGATGTTATGTTATCACTTTGTACTATAGCGTCGTCGGCAGAACGCCTTGCCGTCATGCGACATTGGCTATGTATATGAGATGTAGGTGTAGCTATCAGAGGAAGCGTTTAGTGCTGTCAAAATCAATATTTAATGAATCTAAGCTCCGTTTAGCGGTGGTATCTGTACGTATGGATTCAATTTAAGGGACGGTGTTACGAACCAGACACCAACTATTCCTTGGCGTTACTTACTATTCTCAAGTAGCCTTCAGAAATTCATGAGACACAATTTTTGGTAGTTCACAATTTGAGAGGGCTTCAACTACAACAAACGGAATCCTAATTGCTTGATCAGTCCGGGGCCTTGCCCCCATACGTCTAAACCCTTCCGCTGGCGCGAGCTCACGTGATATATTACATCGCTTTGTACTATTTTGTCATTTTGACTATTCTGAGCCGTATTACTGGCGACAGTGTACAATGAACAGAGAACAGCAAACCTAGTAGCTCGAAGTCGAGTTTGATCACACTGGACACATTTCACATGCGCCTTTCAGTCCTTGTAAGCTTTATTTTTTATCAAGATTTGAGCGAAATAATATTTAATCTCACCTACGGCAGAAAATACAAACAAAAGGGCTGGGAAACAGGTTCCGAGCGCTATTTTATTATCTCAAATCTCATGGTTGACAGGAATAGACACTAAACGAACTGTACCTCTCAGGACAAGCAGCTTAACACACATCAAAAACCCTACAAGGAATTCCTCTTCTTTCCGAAAAGATAGCAAGCACTCACGTCAACATCTTCAGAAATCAATACCTGATCCCTGGCAAAATCATTTTATTCAAAACAACACCATCACCATGATTGTCCAACGTCTCACCTTCTTCTTCCCTCATTTCATATCGTTTTTTCCCAAACTGACTCGGGACATCTGCCGTTCGGCTCCGATATTTTCTCGTATCCCATATTTTCCCTTCATAAGCTGTGTATATAAAAGCTCACTTAAAAAATCAAAATCTGGAGACAGATTTCAACTTCTTAATCCAACCCAACAAACGCACGCAAGGAAGACATCAACGGTGTATTTCATTGCTTTGAGGCAGGTTTAACCAGTATTATGATGTCTATGAGCGGATTATTGAGGAGTAACGTGACAAGAGCGGCCTTGAGACGTGGATTGGCAACGGAAGTTGGTCAGCAGGCTCCCAGATTGAAGACCTTCAAAATCTACCGTTGGAGCCCTGACAAGCCTGCTGAAAAGCCAAGATTGCAAGAGTTCCAGGTGGATTTGAACAAGTGTGGTCCCATGGTGCTAGATGCACTTTTGAAGATCAAGGACGAGCAGGACGGAACTTTGACGTTGAGAAGATCGTGCAGAGAAGGTATCTGTGGGTCGTGTGCCATGAACATCGGTGGCAGAAATACGTTGGCGTGTCTTTGCAAAATCGATCCAGACACGTCGAAGGAGTCGAAAATCTACCCCTTGCCACACATGTACGTCATCAAGGACCTCGTTCCGGATCTGACGCAATTCTACAAGCAGTACAAGTCCGTGCAGCCCTATCTGCAGCGAACCAGCGTTCCCGCTGACGGGAAGGAAAACCTGCAGAGCATTGCAGACCGCAAGAAGCTGGACGGACTCTACGAGTGCATCTTGTGCGCTTGCTGCTCCACATCTTGTCCTTCGTACTGGTGGAACCAGGAGCAATACTTGGGACCTGCTGTGCTAATGCAGGCATACCGTTGGTTGATCGACTCGAGGGACCAGGCGTCCAAAATGAGAAAGGAAATGTTGCAGAACTCGATGTCGCTGTACAGATGTCACACCATCATGAACTGTACCAGAACCTGTCCCAAGGGTTTGAACCCAGGTTTGGCCATCCAGGAGATCAAGAGGTCGATGGCCCTTGAGTGATTAACTCCCATGGTGTCTGCGAATCTTGGAAGAAATAAAAAAGTTGAGCAAGCAACAGTCTCTCACACCCGGTCCGGTCCGCTCACGCACTCACTCACTCACTCCCACACATATACATATTTATTTATACCACCACCGGAGATTTTGCTAGAATGGAATTTCAAACGCAAATCGACACTTATTTATAATCAGATTATTTATTCTTATTCAAACGCTGTTTTACGTTTTTCAAGAATTTGGACTTTCTTTCATTGTCATAAACATGAAATATAGCGTTATTCATTCATTTTAGAATCGTGATTGCGTTCGGCCCATTTGAGCAACATGATCACATCAGAAACATTCCAATACCAACTGCAACATGTACTTGTGCCCCTGCTACGACGTTGGTCGCGATGCTACAGGCTAAACATTGCGCCCAAGGATCGTGTCACTGCCTTTGTTAGCCAACCATTCAAGCCAAATCATTTTTTAGAAATTCAAATACAGTACTCGTCTATATATCAAGAACCACAGCTCACATTCAGAATATGGGAAATTTACACCGTGGATGATGTAGAATATCAGCGACCGTGCTTTCCAACTGATCTGTCCCATTGGCTGAACATGCAAGAATTCACTGTTCGTCTTGATTATTTACATCCGTCTGATCGCAACGTCTGGTACAGCGTTCATGGGTGTGACACTGCAGAGACTGTGGGCAGCCAATTGGATCATTACCTGCAACGCTGGGCGTCTGTTTACTTCACAATCTTCGACTTTGAGTTTTCCAGGGTGTTTGTATAATAATCTGTCATTTCAATAAAATGATATGCTTTTCATCCTAAAATTCGAAGTTCCCTCTACAAACCACGTTAAACCAGGTCTGAAGCTCGCTGAAGTTCATCCACCTGAATCAATGGCATCTTTTGTGACCGTCAGAGGACAGGCCATTTCGCTAGAGTCTCAAACTGAGTCGCTACTGGCCAACTATGCACAGTTTGCGCAGACAACTAGCTCAGACCCAACTGGCCAGGAAAAAAGTCTCGATAGCAGGCTCGAGAAAGTGCTTATTCAAAGACAAGACATCGTGGATGCCTTGCGCAAAATTTGCGATGAAACCCCCGGAATCTCTGCTTCTAAAATATTGCAGACGCAACGGCACCAAGAGGTATTGCAGGAGCACCGGCAGCACTTCCGTAATTTGCGGTCTTCTGTCCAACAAGAACGCAACCGGTTGAATCTGCTCTTCAGCGTCAAAAAGGACATCGCACAGCAATCCGAGGAAAGTCCTGATGCGTACATTCAGGACGAAACACGCCGCATAGACGAATCGCACAACGTGGTCGACAGCCTGCTTTCGCAAGCTTGGCAGACGAGAGATCAATTCTCGTCTCAAAGAGCCGTCTTGCAATCTGCAGGTGACAAGATGATGAACACTCTGCAGCGTGTTCCGGGCATCAACCAGGTGATTGCTAAGATCAACACGAGAAGGAAGAAAAATGCCGTAATTTTAGCCGGCCTAATTACACTTTGTATACTATTTCTATTTTTCACCTGGTAAAAGAAGCGCCTGGATGGACCGGCTTGCCATAACTGCCTTCAATATCCCATTTGTCTATCATTACATTTAATTCTTCTTAGCTTTCCTTTCGTTAGATTTTGTCTTTTTTTTCGCCAAAGATGGTCTACGGTATTTGTTGTCGCCCACTGGCTCGTCGTCGTCGTCGCCATCTTCATCTTCATCGTCTCCTCCCTCTTCGAATATGGTTGGAATACCCGAAACAGGGTTTCTTACACCATTGAAATTTCTCGACATACTTTTAAACTGCACTTGCTTCTGGATCTGCGGGTCAGAGTCTGTGAAAAAGCCAGTCTTAGGGTGTTCGTCGAATTCCGTATCAGGATTACTGTTTTGGTTACTCTCATTGTCGTAGTCCCAATCACTCTCATTGCTTTGATTATCGTCATTTTCCCTTTTGTAGAAACGAGGGCGAGAGGTCCACAATCTTCTTACCTTTCTTCTCACCAGGGACCAAGGCCAGTTCAAGAACGATTCATGGCCTTGATAGATGCATATATCATAAATGAACCCACCAAGTATAACCCCCACAAACGGCGCTACAATGGGTACCCAAAAATAGTGATGGTGGCCCTTCCAAAGGGTTTTGCTCTCGAAGCCCACAGTTGCTAAGGCAAGACGAGGACCCAGGTCTCTGGCAGGATTTAGCCCTGCACCAGTTTGAAGCGATGTAGCTCCAATCAAGCAATATATCAACACGAACAACATCAGTGGGAACAAATCGGATCTCAAACAGGTGTAAGGATCAGTCAGCGCAAACATGGAAATTTGCAAAACCGCGCTGCACACCAGCTCACTTACAAATTGGCGTGAAGAGGTGAGATATTCCAATGGATAAGTGCAGAACATACTCAAAACCGTCTCGTTACCATTCCAATCAGGGTAGACATACTGGATTACGGGCATGTAGTACATGAACACCACTAAAGCACCAATGTAAGCTCCTAGCATTTGACCTGCCCAATAAATGGGGACTTTACGCCAAGGAAACCCTCTGTAAACGCAATTACTCAAAGTCAGTGCAGGGTTCAAATGGCCACCCGAAAGAGCACTACCGCCTGCGGCGAAATACCCCATAACGACGGCACCACCCCAAATAAGGGCAATGTCGTCAAAAGTGCCGGTGACATCTACGGGCATGAGATACTGCAATAGCTCGATTTTGTTTTCGGCGGGCACATCGGTGGAGCCCGCCAGTTGCTTGAGGAAAGTGACCCTCTGTTGCTGCTGCCCGGCTCTCACCTGGCAGATCACAGTACAGCCAAAAAATATCATTACCATGGTACCCATAAACTCGGCAAGGAATTCCTTAAGATAGGTTTGTTTGAGGGTCGACCAAGTGTTGATCGGGTGGTAAGTGGAGGGCAGAACTGTGGGAGTCTGGGGGTTCTGGTATAGCGTTTTAGGCTTGATGTTGAGCGGTACGTCTGGATCACGAGGGTCATCCGTCGCGTCTGGCTGGTCTATTCCCTGAGCGCCGGAATTGTTGGTGTTGGACCTAAGCGAACGTAGGTTCATGTTCGACGTGGAAACGCCGCTTTGAGCTCTATTTCTATGGCCTGTAGAATGCGCAGCAGAGTTAGAGCGCATCATCTGTTGCGTATTGGGAGCCACTTGAGCGACCGGGTAGTTGTTGTCTTCCCCACTATTAGACTTGGTAGTCCCGCTTCTCTGTCTTGGAACGTACGACGCTGATGCCGAGATTCGGTGCTGTGGTGCAAAATCTCGCGACGGAATATACCGGTCATCGTTATTGTTGTTGTTGCTGTTGCTGTGGTTGCTGTGGGTGTGCTGAGACGATCCATTATCTCTGGAGGCCAGTGAACCATTTTCCCGCGACACTTGCGACCTATTATCGTTATTGTTATCGGAAAGGTAGTCGTTCATGTATTCCTGAGGTCTTTTGCGTCGTTCTTCCTGTATCTGCGACATGTCCTGTTTGCTCATCACAGCAAGATACGTTAAGCTAATAAATCGGCCTATATATACGTATCAATACTATCGAAAATTGCCAAAAAAACCCGCGAAATAGCACGCAAGCCAAAGGTCGACAAGAACGGTGTTAAGACTGACAAGAACTGGCAGAAATGAACAATGTTTAAGCTGGATTAATAGCAAGATGGGTTTTAAAAGACTGGTTGTTTTTTTTCACCTTGAGATCTTTGACAATGCTGTAATTTAATTTAAATCTTGTATTTATCCATTTTCGACCCGTTTCCTATAGGCACGTGATCAACGGTTGAAATGTGTCAAAATATTACGTAAGAATGTGGGGCGTGACGAGTACGAGTACATCAAAAGGTTTTTTGATTTGAAATTTTTTGTCACTTTATACTTTTCTGTCGCTATCGGGGAAGATCTTCATGCCTTTCATGCATGCATCTAGAATGCCAAGCCAGCAATGAAAGGCACGCCAAGACTAAGATGAGATCGGTTTGAGTTCGTCTTTTGAGGTGTAGCGGTAGCGTAGGAGCTAAGTGACGCTCGCGACGTTCAAGTTAAACAATCGTGGTTTTAGCAATCTTACAAACTAGATGTTATTTTGTTTAGTCATACGATCGCTATCACCCGAAATATCTTTCAGTTGTGGTGAAAACCATTGATCGCCAAGGCTTTTAGTTTTTCACCTGTTAGCTGCTCAGCCGTACTTGCAAACGGTGAATCTAAATGATCGCTAATTAGTAATATCGTACACTTCCTTTTTGATCCTCAGGATCTCGAAGCTCGAGTCTTGTAAACCGAATAAAGCCAAGAAAGACACGTTTGCGAAAGCATGGCAACTCAATCCACTGGCGCGATGACAAATGTAATAGGGCACAGATCCCACAATAAATGTATATAAGCATGTTAGATAATACCAGTCTTGGTAGACTCTCTACTCGAATTCTTCTCCTTCTAGAACCATGAATCTGTCCCGAGAATAGATCGATTCAAGACAATCTTAATTTTAACCACTCCCAAGTTTTCTAATATGTCTGCCAAAACTTATCTCATCACCGGCGCCAACCGAGGAATCGGTTTCGCTCTTGTCAAACAGTTGAGTGCCGAATCTAAAAACACGATTATTGCAACCGCACGGAAGCCCGAAGACGCTGCTGAGTTGAATGAATGGAGTGCCAAACACCCAAACGTCAAAATCCTGAAGCTGGACGTAATCTCCAGCGAAAGTGTCCAGGCTGCCGCAGAAGAGGCAGCAAAGATTTTGCCCGAGGGTTTGGACGTCTTGGTCTCGAACGCCGGTTTCCTGAAAAATATCGGACCCTTCTTGGACTGTCCAGACGAGCTCTACATTGAGCAATTCAATGTCAACACCGTTGGTCCAATCAGATTGGTGAGGGCTTTCAAATCTCTACTTGATAAAAAGGAGAGCAAAGAGGTGGCCATCGTCACTTCCGTCGTTGGGTCCCTCAACATCGACTTACCAATGCCATTTTCTGGCTACGGAGTCTCTAAAGCCGCTATCAACTACGCAATTAAAGGATTGAGCCAGGACCTATCTCCTGTAGGATACAGTTTTGTGGCCATCCATCCAGGCCTGGTAGGCAGCGACATGGGCGACTATTCTTTGACGGAAATGGGCAATCATGTCGCTGGTGAAATGAAAAAGGCTCTGCCATACCTCACTCCGGATGAGTCTGCGACTGCAATCAATCAAAACGTTTTGAAGAACTTGAAGGCTAAAAATGCAGGCAAATTCTTGAGCTACGACGGTTCCGAACTTCCATGGTAATTGATTTCTCCTGGTGAGATTGTTTGTCTTTTCACATGAACAGTAAGGTCTTTTTATATAAGATATAAGATGTGTTATAGATTTTAATAGTAATACGGGTTCGTGTTCGTATTTGAGTAGGATATTGGGCAGGAATCACATAATTAGGGCGTGGGTGCGTAACACTCAGTGTTGTGAGAGACTAATATCAATGGTAAATGTGTTCTTGTCGTCAAAGACCTCGTTTTTAATCGAGACCGTTATATCATTATAGCGACGTTGGTGAGCGTGAACTCCCAGATTCACGTCCCCAAGAGAAATAAACGCCATTGAGCCAAAGATTGTAGCGTGAGACCCGTGTGATGAACAGCAGACAAGCCTAATGCCAAAAGGTATCCTTTAAACCATTCACAACGCACATAATGTTTAGCTCTGGCGCTTATTGTAGAAGAAGATGATATTCTAATTCGAACAGAGACGGTCACGGCTGAACAGATGAAGACCTCTTCTAAGTATCCACCCAGTACTCGAGACACTCCACTAAACCACCATCAAACAGAGCTCAAATTCCACACTTTTTTCAAGCCTTGTTACCAATTCCGAGACTCAAAACACTGTCCTCACACGAAGACATAATCAAACCCCATATAATGATTATCACACTCGTTTTCTCATAGTATTATTCTGGGCGCGTTTTTTGTATCAGTTGGGCGGCTATTTTTTTTTGGAATATATTTCTGGCGATCTCAAAATTTACCTTTGCTGCTTTACACCACTCTTTAGAAAAGGCAAATACGTCAAGCAAGGTCCAGAAGTCACCTCCATCGCGGCTATAAGCCTAGATCTTGCCCAATTTGGTGGCTGATACAGTGCTTGTGAGTCATGAATTGCTTGTCGAACGTCTACAATGGCTGGCTCGTCGTTGGCTCTTCGTCTTCTTCCAAGATAACAAGACAAAACCGTACAAACTATGTGAACCTACTGCCACGAGTTACCTCGTGGGCCCTCGCCAATAGCGAGGCTGGGGTATTGTTTCGTCCAGCTTGGTCAGATTGCCAATAAGCTGTGTGCTCTTCTCTTCAAGCGTAACAAAACAGTGACCTCAATACCAAATGTCTAGTTTTGGGCCGCACACTATCATCCCCCCACCTTCGTCGCCCCACAAACAAGGTCAAGACTGCCAAGCCCGCACAGCTCGAGAAGGGCCTTCCTTCTTGCTGAGCAAGAACCCCTGCGGTCAAGCTATCGCAAAATTTTGCTTGCTTGGTGTGATGTCAACGTTGATGGATGTGTCAGAAGCGTTGGGTTTTGGTGTGACCCTCTGTTTTGGTCTTTATTTCCCTCCCTGTGTTCGAATTTCGAGTACCGCAGTCGGATTCGAGGCTTGTGATAAGAACTCGGGCTGCCGGAAAACCAGCGAAATGTTAACAAAAAAATGACCCACGAAACCGCATATATAAGGAACCACACGGTGGTCTCCACGAAACTCGGCGGGTTGAACTGAAGTTTGCTATGGAAGAAGTTATAAAGATGACTTTTTTCATTATCACATAAGTGAACGTCTACATTGTAACTGCGCTCATTAACAAGATTGCGTTCAAGACTAAATTGTGAACCCGCGTTGAAACGAGGTTTGAAAATAACATTGAAAGAACTACAGCGAAATCATCAATCGAGGTTCGAATTCGACTTGATACATTACAAAATAGGGTGTTGTTTGGTGCTTTAGACCTGTTCATAGCACTTCTCAGTTTTCCGGGTTTTCCAGGTTTTATACCCCGGATTCTTTAATTGGCGAAATATTGAAATTTGCCCTTTGATCAGAAAACCAAAAACCGAAAGAAGAAAAGAACCCCAAAAACTTTACTGGTTGGTAGTAGGCTTTTCGAAGGTTTTAGTGTCTTGTCTTTGTCGGCAACTCGTATTAAAAGTGTTTTGATTGCTCTGAAAAAGCACTAGACTCGACTCTAATCCAATGTCCACTGCAATCGACAACTCCGTACAGTCGGAGGATAAATCACCGGAAGACGTGCCCCTCGTGGCGTCTATCGACGTCGGAACTACGTCGTCGCGAGTCATTCTATTCAACCTTTTAGGCCAGGAGGTTTCCAAACACCAGATCGAGTACTCCACGTCTGCGTCCAAAGAACAATTTGCCTCTGTGGGCGCCCGTCGCTCGTCGGTGGGCACTGCAGGCTCCGGAAGCCCTCAAAGCACCGCAGGGAGCTCAAGCTCGCAACCAATTTTCTCTGCTGAGGGTATCGCAATCGAAGCCAATGAATTTTTAGAAATTGAAGACCTTACAGGTCCCTCCAATCCGACCCTCAGCTTTCCCCGGCCGGGCTGGGTCGAGTGCGATCCACTCGGGATTCTTGTCCATGTCGTCCAGTGCTTCGCTGCAAACCTCATCTCCATGAATAAGGTTAATGGCGACCGCGTCTCCGCCAATTTGCCCCCCTATCGCATTCAATGCATCGGTATTGCCAACATGCGTGAAACAACACTTGTGTGGTCTAAAAAGACGGGCATGCCCATCGTAGACTACGGAATTGTGTGGAACGACACTCGCAACACAAGCATTGTCACGGAAAAACGTAATAGTACCCCACAAGCGCTGCAGGACAGGCTCAGGGCCAAAACCGGACTTCCATTGTACTCGACATATTTTTCGTGCTCCAAGCTGCGCTGGTTGCTCGACAACGAACCTGCTGTCCGCGATGCGTACGACTCGGGCGACTTAATGTTCGGAACGGTCGATACGTGGCTCATATACCATCTGACTACGGAAAACGCGTTTGTCTCCGACGTCACCAATGCGTCTCGGACAGGTTTCATGAACCTCGACACTTTGGACTACGACGATGAACTACTGGATTACTGGGATATCTCCAAAGACAAAATCCATCTGCCCAACATTGTGTCGTCATCTGAGTACTACGGAGATTTCTGCGTTCCTGAGTGCGTCAAATCCAGCTTAACGTCTGTTGCTTGGACTCTGTTGGGCGATTTCGTCACCAGAGTGCCTGCGGTGCCCATTCAGGGCTGTCTCGGGGATCAGAGTGCATCTTTGGTTGGCCAGTTAGCATTCAAACCTGGCGCAGCCAAATGTACTTACGGCACTGGCTGTTTCCTACTCTACAATACGGGAAAGAAAAAGCTAATTTCATCGCACGGTGCCCTGACCACCTTTGGCTTCTGGTTTCCGCATTTGGAGAACGAGGAGCATGCGCAGCCTCATTTTGCACTAGAGGGCTCGGTGGCTGTCGCAGGAGCCGTGGTCCAATGGCTTCGTGACAACTTAAGACTTATTCCAAAGGCCGAGGACATTGGGCCCCTAGCGTCAAGAGTAAGTGACAGCGGAGGGGTTGTGTTTGTACCCGCGTTTTCAGGATTATTCGCGCCTTACTGGGACGCAAGTGCAAGAGCTACCATTATGGGTATGTCGCAGCATACCACGTCTTCTCACTTGGCCAGAGCAGCCGTGGAGGGAGTATGCTTTCAAGCTAGAGCTATTTTGAAAGCCATGAGCTCCGATGCCGCTGGTGAAGGTGCCAAGGACAGAGACTTTTTGGAAGAGGTAGTGGACGGGACCTACGAGAAGGCGCCTTTGTCAGTGCTTGCAGTTGACGGCGGAATGTCCAAATCCAAGGAGGTGATGCAGATTCAGGCCGACATCTTGGGGCCTTGCGTCAAAGTAAGAACGTCTGCGAGCTCGGAGTGCACTGCATTGGGAGCCGGTATAGCCGCTGCTTTAGCCTACAAAAATCGTGAGAATCGCAGACTATGGAAAGACCTGAAGGACGTCAAGAAATGGATTATGTACGGGGGCGAAGAGCCCATGGGCAAGGCCAGAGAGGCATTCGAGTCGTCGCAATCGAGAACTTTCAGATCCAAGTCGTTGGATAGCGACAGAAGACGGAAGTGGAAGCTTTGGGAAGCAGCGATTGAAAGGTGCAGGGGCTGGACGGACATAATGGAGGATGAGGTTGGAACAATCCCAAAAGGAACCGTTGCCGCCAAGAGCATGTGAACCCTTACCCTAAACCGAACTAATATTTAACAGTTTAATTTTCATATTCCCAATGTAATTAATGATTTCTAGTGATCTATGGTTATTCAAGTTCGTCTTTCGATGTGTCCAAGTGAAAAGAGCACATTTGGAGACAGACACATGAAACGGAACTCGTAGGGAAAGCATTAAGCGCCTGGCAAGCCAATGGGTACCCGGTTCATCAACTGAAAAGAGCGACGTGGCAATTACAACGCCATATAAACACTCTCAGCGCCATTTTGGTACAAAGTGATATGAAATGTAAGCATAGGAAAACATCGACCAACGTCACCACGAAAAGGAGTCCATTTTTTTGCAAAACGTGCGATCATTGTAAACTCCAAAAGCTCGTGAAACCTGTATTCATTTTCATATGCTAATTCATACAACATTTTCCGGTGCTTTCTCCGCTTGTATATCCATCTGGATGGTATTGCCGATGTCCAATAACTCTGATATGAGACTGCGACTTTGCTCAACACCCACACACCCACTCAAAATCAAAAAATTTGAAAAAATTCAGAAAATGTCCTCGTGACTCTGTCGTTGAATACGAGTATTGATCCACTCAAAAACTCGATGCCTGTAGACCCACGCAAGAACTCACTCGATATTTTTCATGCCCGGAATGCCGAGACTATAAATATGAAATGCTCTCCAAATAGCTCGTTGCTGTTTACGATCCTTCTTTCATACCTCATCGATCAGCACAATGGCTCCATCTAAGAAAGTCGCACCAGCTCCTTTGGCTTCCAAGTCCGGTAAGGCCGCTAAGGCTAAGAACCCTTTGACCAACTCTACTCCAAAGAGCTTCGGTATTGGCCAAGACATCCAGCCAAAGAGAAACTTGTCCAGATACGTGAAATGGCCAGAGTACGTTAGACTACAAAGACAAAAGAAGATCTTGTCTTTGAGACTAAAGGTTCCTCCAACCATTGCCCAGTTCCAACACACTTTGGACAGAAACTCCGCTGCTGAGATCTTCAAGCTCTTCAACAAGTACAGACCTGAATCCCAGGCCGAGAAAAAGGAGAGACTAACCAAGGAAGCCGCTGCTCACGCCGAGGGCAAGTCCAAACAGGAAGCTTCTCCAAAGCCTTACGCCGTCAAGTTCGGTTTGAACCACGTCGTCTCGCTAATCGAGAACAAGAAGGCCAAGCTTGTGTTGATCGCCAACGACGTCGACCCAATCGAGCTTGTCATCTTCTTGCCAGCTTTGTGCAAGAAGATGGGTGTCCCATACGCCATCGTCAAGGGTAAGGCCAGACTAGGAACTTTGGTTAACCAAAAGAAGTCTGCTGTCGCTGCCTTGACTGAGGTCAGAGAAGAGGACGAGGCTGCTCTAGCCAAGTTGATCTCTACCGTCAACGCCAACTACTTGGAGAAGTACGACGAGGTCAAGAAGCACTGGGGTGGTGGTCTAGTTGGTGCCAAGGCCCAGGTCAAGAGAGACCAGAAGGCCAAGGTTGCTACATCTGCTTAAGCTGGGTGGTTTAAGTGCTTGGTTTTAGCACCCCTACTTTTCCTCAAATAACACTTTTAAGAAAACTCGTCTTTTTCCCATCACGCATTTTCGAGGTTGAAGTTTTGTTGAAGCGTGCTGTGTGTCATTCACCGAGGGGCCATTATAGGAAGTTCCCAACGCTATAAAAAGTTGTTGATAGTGAAACTATGTCCATCTGGGCTATTTCATGTTGAAAGCTACTTTTACAAGCGTGCTTCTTTTGAAGTGACATCTAAACCTCATCGAAAGCCACACACACGTTACAGAAACTTTAATCAACTTAAACAAAATACAACAGGGTATTTATTTATCCGTCTTGAAGTAATTTTGAATCGAATTTTTGTACACTATTATGTAACTTGTGAATGGCGTCATCTGGGATGACACCGTTCCTAATGTTATTGTCACGTCTGAAAAGTAGAAGCCGAAGTGGCTGGTGGTTCGAATGCGTAACGAACCCAGTATCCGGCCGGCATCGTTATCCAAACGACTTCAGTTGGCATTTCTCGTGAATATTTGTCAAGACCGGCAAGATACCTCAAATCTCACGAATGTTCGTACTGGCGTCGCTTTAGAGCCAGGTTCCTCTCAGTGTTCAGTGTTCTCGAAAACGAGCGTGAAGAAAAATAATCTCAACATGCGCCAAGAAATATCACTTAGAGCTCTGTAGTCCTGCCGTTGTTAGCGCGACCTGGTAATCAAATCTAAAAAGGTAAGCCGTAATCGCATCTTTCACAAATCTACAACTGGTAATCTAAAATATCCTGAAGTTATATCAAAGCTACGTAAATAATAGACGACAGTTGACTGGCTTATCGAAGGCTGTTCGTCAACTACTCTTTTATATACTAGTTCGTCTGTCGTCGAGTTCTTATAAATATCAAGACATCAAAATGTGACTTTGAAAAAAATCTAAGATATCCATTCTCAGCAACACCCTTCAAGACCATATAACATACAATAAGGGCCATCAAATATGGCCAAAATCAGTGCCAAACAAGTGCTATGGTACATCCCAAATCAAATAGGCTATATGCGGGTTTTCACCGCGACCTTGTCGCTCTTTTTGATGTCCAAACATCCAATGTGGACGACATGGATTTACGGAATCTCTTGTCTGTTGGACGCTCTGGACGGCACAATGGCTCGAAAATACAACCAGACGAGTAGTTTCGGCGCTGTGCTGGACATGGTAACGGATAGGTCAACGACCAGCTCGCTAATTTGCTACCTGTGCGTTGCTTACCCTAAATACGCCCCGTTGTTCCAGCTCCTGGTTTCTCTAGACCTTTCGAGCCATTACATGCATATGTACGCCACTCTCACCTCCGGCGGTGCGTCTCACAAGAAGATCGAGAAGGAGCAGTGGCTCTTGCACCTGTACTACAGCCGTCGTTCGGCTCTGTTTACCATTTGCGCGTTCAACGAGCTATTCTATCTCGCGTTGTATTTATATGCATTTCCACAGCTATGGCACTTCAACTTGCCGTTGGTGGGCCAAACTCACGTCGCAGGGATCATTGCTGTGATATGTTTGCCGGGATATGTCTTCAAACAGGTGGCAAACGTAATCCAGATGAAGCGTGCTGCTCTGCTTCTGGCCGCCAAGGACGCCGAGAATGCCAACCAGAAGCAAACCTAGATGGTTTTGAACGATCACAGTGCTTCTAAAGCCTTCAATTTGGCCGGAAAAGGTTTCTGTTACAAGAACTGGTCAAGATATTTACAACAGATAATGAACATTATATAAAGAGGAGCCGAGCTTGCAGTCTGGCGTCGAAAACTTGTCCTACAAAGTCTTGAAAAAAGGTCCACACTGGGGGATTGAGTGTTAAGTTGACCATAAGGTTAAAAGTCCCAGCAGAGCTGATTTTTGTTTTTGCTTAGTCTTTCATCTCATAGTATAGTATAATGATAATGCTTACGGTCAATATGACTTATGTTTCTAGCTTATTTCGCAGGTATCGAAGCACTTGTTCAGACCGATAGACATATCTCATCATATCGATAACCTTTGAGTAAGGTAATTGAAAGTCCACTTTATTTTTACAAAGGCCATTGAAGTTGGAAGCCTCCATTTGGAAACTCACATTGAATATAAAGCAGCGCTGAGTCCAATTCTTCTCATGACGCCTCGTACGTCTGCCAAACGCCAAAGAATTCGAAGTGCATGCTTGCCATGTAGGCAGCGCAAGAGGAAGTGTGATGGTGGGTTCCCCTGTGGAATGTGTAGCACCTACGGTTACAAATGTCAATATGGCCCAGATAATGGACGAGCAGCAGTGTATGCGGAAAACCCAGCTGATCAGTGTGAACCGAATAGGTGCAGCAACGAGAGGAAAGAGGCCAGCCCAACAGGAATTGCCAAACGGGGGATTTTGGACCCAAAAAAGTCAAGGTATATGAGTCTTGATTCCGCAGTGGCCTTTCCTCGAGTTCTAGCACTGGCCCTTCACTCCACCAATCCACCGCATTTGCACTCGTTTGCTTGGAACTGTGGTGTAAGACTCGAGGAAAAAGCAGCAACACATACCAACTTGTCGGATTTTGTGACACAGGAAGAGTGTTCGCGGTTAGCTAATGTCTACTTCAAAGTTGTTCACCCTGTATTCGCCGTGGTGGATCGAAAACAAATCGAAGAAGGTATTCCTCATTACTGGACATCTAATACCGTATCTGCTTTTGGTGCTGTCATAGCAGGTATTATCGCTCTGGGATCTCTTTTCTCTGGCGACAGCAGTCATCCACGGGAGCTGGACGTGGTGCAATACGCGAAGGGCATTCTAGAAGACCCAAAATTCAGTCGATTACCATCCAACGAGCTCGTATCTGCCTGGGTTCTGAGAACTGTTTATTTGAGAGCGACGACTCGGCCGCATGTGGCGTGGCTCGCTAGTTGCATGACTATTCATCTCGCAGAAGCTACGGGACTTCACCACGAATGCGATCAGGTTGAATTAACTACAAATAGCCCTTACGAACCGGCAAAATCTGAATCGATTCGGCGACTGTTTTGGACCGCTTGGTGTATAAACACAATCCTGTCTTACGACTACGGGCGGTCCAGTGTGGTCCTAAATACAGAAATTACCTGCAAACCGGTGTCTTCAACTGCGGATAATTACACATCACAACTAGCAATACTGGCCCAGCTGGTACCCCGCGATAGCTCGGATGCCGATACTTCTGTCCAGGTCTCACATTTGCTAGAGACGATCAATGCCCTGCAAGAATTGCCAGAAGTTCACAGCTTTTTATCTTTAACAAAAGCAGACATTGCGCTGTCTTGTTACCGTCGTCTTCGCTTGTTGAACCATGTAATTGACAAGAAAGTTGTTCAGCAGATTATCGATGTGGGAGAAACAGCACTTTCAGCGGCTTTGACGCTTGTACAACAGAACCAATTTTGGTGGAATGCATTGAGTGCACCATTCCAATACGTGTGTGCGCTCATGGCAATGGACACGAGAGAAAGCCTGGCTTGCGTAGCGAAGGCCAAAAATCGCTTACACAAGATCACTTCGGCGCTTGGTACACATATTGGTAGAGAGGCCGAAACTACGGTGGATCTACTACTTCAGGACTCGATAAAGAAGAAACAGCATGAGGTATCGCTTCTTGGGAGCGCAACGCCGGATGGGCCAGTTGCAGATACCATAGACCTGCCGGATATCGACTGGAATGCAATGTTAGACCCCACCTATACCTATGACTATGTACATAGGGACTTTTCGGCGCTTTAAGGTGAGCGGCAAAACAATTTGATGAAGCCCAGCACTTTAAGCGCCATTTGAACGTAATCAGTCGTTTGTTTCGCCTCTTGCATATACACATTTCAACTGTCATTTTAATACTTGATGCATTACAACAGAAATTACTCACAGCAGTCCGAAACCATTCCAGCTACCCCATCGTAATGACAAACTTCCCTGCACTCCGTTTTCCTTCTTTGTAAATATCAACTGCTTCTTCCAAACTTACGGCTGACCAGAGCTCCTCGCGTGGAGGAGCTAATCTTCCATTTTCAAACTCCGCTGTCAAATCTGCCATTTCTTGAGCCATGCTCTGAACGCTATAGGAGAGGGAGTTGCAGCCGATGAGGGTCTTTTCTTGGCGATAGAAGTCCTTCATATTTACATCGAGGTTCGCTTCTCCATGTGCAGCGATTATTGCAATTCTTCCGCCATGCGTCAGTTTTTGAACGGCTGCTTGGGTCAATGTTGGAATTCCTACAGTGTCGATAACGACGTCAATTCCACGGCCCAGTGTCAAAGACTCAATGCCTGCGAGTGTGGTATCTTTTGTCGTGTTAATGTCTGCAACGTCATTACGGCCAGCTGTTAGCACTCGACACCCGATAGTTTTGGCCAATTGAACCGCAGCTGAACCGACAGACCCAAATGCTCCAATGATCAGCACAGTTTCGGAGCCTTTAGGACACGCTTTGCGCAAAGCCCATTTTGCCGTGGTGAAGGGAACCCCGATGCACGCTGCCTGTGCATACGACATGTTTCTGGGCTTTCTGGCCACTGCGTCCTCGGAAACTACGCAATATTCGGCATGGAAGCCGTCGCAAGTAAATGCGTGAGTGGACCCACTGGTACCGTAGACATCCTCACCTGCTCTGGGTCCCGAAACTATGATGCCAGCGTAGTCCCGACCAGGAACTCTGGGAAACGTGGTGTAAGGGAATCCACCGGTAGCATTGAGTATATCGCTTGGCTGAATAGCCGAAGCCCGAATTTTGACCAGCAAATTTCCGGGACCTGGTACGGGAGTATCGGTCTCGGTCAAAATTACACCAACGTCTGGTGCAAGTGCACCGATATCATGTCGAATTAGCTGGATGGCTTTCATCGGTTTTCTCGAGTTTCATCAGTTTTCAACGACGATGAACGAATATGAAGAACTGAAAGAACTTCGTGTTCAGCAAGAACTGCTTTATCGAGGATTTTTGGAAACTCAAACACATCAGGTGAACAACGGTTCTAGCTGCCTGAGTCCCACTATTGCATTATGTTCTCGTTTTCCGTAACGCTTTACTTCTAGTTCTTGACTAAGTCTTATGCATGCGGGTATTGCGGAATGTGTGACTGACAACTTTCATGGTGATCAAACTGATTGGCATTAGTTGATGGTGCTTTCAATAATGTTGTGGATAGTTCTGGATTGTTTAGAGTCCACCAAAGGACTTTGATGTGTTTGCTTAAAACTTTGATGTGGCTCACTAATGAGACTAAATCCTAGCGAGCGGAGGATGCGGATATAAAAGACACCGTAGTTTTCAATGACAGCGTTATTAAACAACGTCGTTGAAGCATTGTGGATTTGTGAAGCTGGAGGGGTGAATACTTAAAGAAGTGAAGATCCGAAGGTGAGAGGTTGCCGGTGCGAAATATAGTAAGTTAAAGAATTCGACTGTTATAACGCTGGTTAAAACGGTAAACTTGAGATCACAGACAAATAGGGCCAAAGCTAGTTGTAAGAGCTCGAAAAACGTCCTGTGAACCGGAGTTGGGTAAAGTCAAAAAGAAGTCTTGGCTGGTCTACAAATAAAAAAGCGATGAGCTTTCGTTCGCAGAATAAAGCAGAAGAACAAAGCGATGATGCTTTGTCTATGCATTTTGCAAACGGACAATCACACCAGGACTCAACCCATCATGCAATCGAGCTGGTGCAAAGTCATGTTGATAAACCGCAATCGTTGGTCGGGGAGGCCCTTTTCGTTACAGTTGTTTGCTGTGCACAGCTGATGACGCAGGCCGGCCTGGCGCTCTCCATAGCACCCGTTGACATTATTGGCAGAAGCTTCGGCACCACAAACGCTGGCGAACTCAGCTGGTTCTCAGCTGCGTACTCGCTGACAGTGGGCACTTTCATTCTTATCGCTGGCAGACTGGGCGATACCTACGGCCATAAAAAACTGTTCGTTGTCGGGTTCTTGTGGTACGCCTTGTGGTCGCTTCTGGCCGGGTTTAGCGTGTATTCGACGCGGATCTTCTTCGACTGTTGTCGAGCGTTCCAAGGTCTGGGACCCGCACTCCTGTTGCCCAATGCACTTGGTATCCTTGGTCGAACTTACGAGCCCGGAAAACGCAAAAACCTCGTCTTTAGCTTTTTTGGCGCGACCGCCCCGGGCGGGTTTGTACTAGGTGCCACCTTCTCCTCGATTTTCAGCCAGCTGCTGTGGTGGCCCTGGTCTTATTGGGTTATGGCCATTGCGTGTTTGGCGCTAGGTGTAGCCGGCATTTTCGTCATCCCACATACGCCTTCACCGAAGCACGAGCTACCTGTCATGGACCAATTGGACGTTTGGGGTGCCATCACAGGTATCTCGGGCCTCGTGCTTATCAATTTTGCCTGGAACCAGGGCCCGGTAGTGGGTTGGCCTACGCCATACACGTACGCACTTTTGATTGTGGGATTTGTGATTTTGACAGTGTTTGTGTTCATAGAGTTTCGTGCCACTTTGCCGCTGGTGCCCTTCTCGACGCTTTCGAAAGATGCTGCTTTTGTGCTTGCCTGTGTTGCGGCTGGCTGGTCCAGTTTTGGTATATGGTTGTACTACTTGTGGCGAATGATGGAGGTTTTGCGTTCTCAAAGCCCGCTACTATCAAGTGCTCAATTTGTACCAGCCGCTGCTAGCGGTTTGTGCGCGGCCATGACCACTGGCTATGTTTTGGGACACGTCAAACCCAGTTATGTCATGCTAATTGCCATGGTGGCTTTCACTGTGGGAGGCATACTTATAGCCACAGCGCCTGTGAACCAAACTTACTGGGCTCAAACTTTCGTCTCCATAATTGTTATGCCCTGGGGCATGGACATGTCGTTTCCAGCGGCTACAATCATGCTGAGCAACTGCATGCCGTTAGAACACCAAGGTCTTGCCGCATCGCTGGTGAGCACATTTGTCAACTATTCCATATCTTTGGGCTTGGGATTTGCCGGTACAATTGAAACACAGGTGAACGGAGGGGGCAAAGAAATTCTCAAAGGATACCGTGGTTCTTGGTATATGGGAATAGGGCTCAGTGGGTTGGGAATTGGTGTTGCTATGCTCTACGCTCTACACACTTCTAATGTAGGGAAGAAAGATAAAGAAGAGAAAGATGTTGAGGCGTGATGCCAGTGGGTGAGACAGTGGCGAGAAAGGCATAGAGATGGAATGAATTGACAAGTGCCTCGAACCGAGCGTACAAGAGTGTGCCATTTAGTGATAGAATGACGCTTTTGATACGTAATTAAGTGGAAAATCGGTAAGGGAGGAGAATTGACAGTGGAATGATGAGAGTACGGGGAAAGAACGATGACAGTACGTTTCTCGGTCACATTGTAAAGTGTCTAAAATGCTAGTTAGTGTGTCAATCGTGTAGCATCGCGACAAATAAGTATAAAGTGATGAAATCATGTCTAATCTTGGCAGCTATGGCAAGTGAGCAAGCAATTAGCCATTGCAGGTAGATATGTGATATTGTTCAAGTGATCAGCAATCCAGTGTCGAAGATTAGTTTGTGGGACACAAGACAGACCTCTGACGGAGGCACCTCGTTTTCACTGACGCCAAGAATTCGGACACCGCGGGGTCACATGATCTACTCACCGGGGCTGCCCGAAGCCACTCGAACCCGGTTCAGGTTCCATAAAAGGGCTCCTAAGACCTTTTGAAATACCCAATGGTCTTGAAATGGGCCGATTGGGGTCTCAAATGGACTTCTTAAATGACTTTGGCCAAGTGTCAGCGAGAGAAACGCGAGAGGCACGTGACCATATCCCAGACAACAAGGCTGCTGTCAGATAGAAGCCATCCTGCATCTCTCTCATGCTAAACCCGTCTGCTTTTCTATAGCCATCTTTAGCGTCAACTGTGCTTGGAACCATGTCAAAAAATTCTAGCGCTCCCAATTGCTCGAACGTGCCCAAACTCATCTCAGAAATCAAGACAAAGCTGGCGCTCTCAATCGATTGTGCTTATGTGCATTCTTCGTAGTAGTAGTAAAAGGTAGTGGTATGAGATCTCAATTTGATTTATAATCGCTGACGCTTTCAGAAGCTCAAGGACTTCTCTACTTATTCACGATTGAGAGTTTCTGCGATACAAAGATTCTCTGTTCTTTCGATGATCGTACCAGTTTTTCAATAATTATAGATGTGCTCTGCTTATTCACAATTGAGAACGTCAGCGATCAGTTGTATAGTGCTTCAAGTCCTCTACTTTTCGCTGATGCTCTTTGTACTATGATTTCAAGACTCTGGCGCTCTCACTTGTTCAGCGATACTAAGAGTTCTCTAATCATACTCACTTGCTCTCTGATGCTCTCAGTTTTTCAATAGTTATAGATGTGCTCTGCTTTTTCAAATTTGAGAGTGTCAGCGATAAGTTGTTCAGTAATGCTAACGCTCTCAATTATTTGTTGTACTTCGAATTCGGACTCGTGTGCTAACGCTCTCAATTTGTCAGTGATGCTTCAGGCCAATTCATTACGGACGTTGTGAACTGTCTAGTAAGTCTACGAGGACTTCCCTCTTAAATCGCTGACGCATTTGATTGTTCAAATGTGCTACTAGTTCTCCACTTCTCGAGTGATTGAAGTGTTTCACTTCTAACAATGAATCGCCACAGCTCTAATTCATTAAACTGTGCTTGTAGTTATCATTCGTATTCACAGTTACTCGCTGACGCTCTAAACTGTTAATGAGGGTACGAGTTTCGTAAGGAATAGTGCTTAAAGCCAATTCAGGTAATAATACGAGTTTTTCACTTGGGAATTCGAAGCACAATTAAACAACTGCCACACTCTCAATTGATTAACCATGCTCGTAGCCCTCTAGTTTTTCACAATCGATTGCCATCGATTATTCAATGGTGCTTGTGGCCAGATTGACCCTCACGTAATCATCTTCGCGCACTAGTAGTATTGATAGTATAAAGAAAGCTTTACTGTTGACAATAGGGTGCCAACGATCCATTCTTTGGTGGTACAGAGAAAATTCAAATGCTCAATGGTGCTGGTAGTCCTCTCTTTATTCACAATCGAGAGCGTGTGCGATACTAAGAGGTCTCTACTTATCTACAATTGATCGCTTACGCTCTGAAATGTTCAGTAATGCTTGGAGTTATCTACACGCTTCAAGTTCTCTCCATGTTTCGAACTTCATACACGCTTCGAGTTCTCTTTTTATTGACAATGAATCGTTATAGATTTCGATTGTTCAAATGTTACAAGAGAGCTCTATTGTCCACAATCGATCGCTGAAGTTCTCAATTGTTCAATAGTGCGAAGAGGGCTTTAATCATTCACAATGGCTCGTTTATACTTTCAACTGTTCAACCACGCTTGTAGCCCTGTCAAAAACCGAACATTCCCAGTATATTAAACAAAAGGGTTGTCAAACCGCGACCAAGTACCAAGTCTTTGTTCCTCACAGCACTCGAGAGCGTTAGCGTGAGATGTTAAAGGAGTGCTTGTACTGCGAGTACCAGTATCAATCCTACATATTTGCAGTTGGGAGCGTAGTGCTTGTACCCGTCTACTAAGCCATCTAACGTATTCACAATTGATGGCCGGCGCTCCCAATGGTAATATTAAGATTACTCGATATGACTGACGCTGTTGATAATCCGATTGTGCCTATAACCACCGTACGTACTCACATTTAATCACAGACGCTCTCAGTGTTCGGAAATATCAAGATTTCTTTGCATAATTACAGTCGATCGCTGTGCCTGAAGCCCTCTAGCTATTCACAATTGAGAGCGTCAGCGAGCAATTGTTCTCAAATACTACGAGTCATCTTGATACTACGAGTCATCTTGATTAATCACAGTGGCTCGCTATCGCTCGCTATCGCTTTCAAGTGTTCACCAGTGCTCCGAGTACTCTACTTGTAGCCATTCTCTATTATTCACAATCAATCGCGTGCGCTCTCAATTGTTTAATGCTGCTACGAGTCTTCTCTTAATTCACAAGCGATCGCCCACTCTCTTAATTGTTTAACGCTGCTACGAGTTCTCTACTTTTTCACAATTGATCGCTAACGCTCTCAATTGCTCAATGGTGCTTATAATACCCTGTTTATCCACAACTGATCGCTCACGCTCTCGATTGTTCGGTAGTGCTTGTAGTGCCTCTCGCTACAACTCTCAATTTTTAAGTAGTGCTACGGGATCTCTATTTATTTACAATCGATCGCTAACGCTCTCGATTTTTCAGTAGTTCTTGTAGTACGTCTCGCTAACGCTCTCAATTGTTCAGGAGTGCTTCGCGTTCGATCGCTGATGCTCTCGATTGTTCAATTGTGCTTGTAGTCCTCCCGGCCAAGCGCGCTCTGCACCGCTTCTCCGAGACAAACACACAAGGCCCAAATCGTTACAGCCGTGTTTAGTCAGAAATAAGGTTACTGCACACTCGCACCGGGTCATGCAATGTGTGTGAGGGTGAACGTTGGACTTGCGGGACGCGGGGAACACGTAAAAGTATATAAGGGCCAGGGTTGATGATACACTCTCCCACATCTCTCTCCCAAGTCTCTCGCCCACCACTTCAAGAATGACAAACTTCAAATTTAGAAACATCTTTGCCAAGACCGAGGAACGGCCCACGCCTCCAGAGGTGTACAACTGGCGTATCTACGGCACAGCAATCGTGGCGTCCACCGCCAGTGTTCTGATCGGCTACGACACTGGGTTCGTGGGTGCGTGTTTCACCAACACGCATTTCCTCGCCAACTTCGGACTCGTCCCCAACACCGGCAGCACCGACACCACGGTGTCGAACCTGATCTCGTGTTTCCACGCAGCTGCGTTTTTCGGAGCACTGCTGTCGTACCCTCTGTCGCACTACTACGGACGCAAAGTGGCCCTGATCGTCGCAGCAGGGCTGGCAACCGTCGGCGCGGCCGTCATGCTCGCTGGCGTCACCGGCAGTCTGGCCCCCATCTACGTGGGCCGTGTGTTTACGGGACTCACCGTCGGTGCGTCCACCAACCTCACCGTGGTGTATCTCAGCGAAGTGTCGCCCGCGCCCATTCGAGGCCAGATCATCGCAGCGTTCGAAATTGGCTGGCGTGTGGGCGACCTCGTTGGGTTCTGGATCAACTACGGCATCAACCAGCACGTCCCGCCCGGCAACAAACAATGGATCATCCCCGTGGGCGTGCAACTCATCCCCGCAGGCCTCTTTTTCGCAGGCTCCTTTGTCATGCTCGAGTCGCCCCGGTGGCTATTTCAGGTGAACCGCGACGAAGAGGCCATCCGAAACCTGTGTTTCCTGCGTAACTTGCCCGTCGAAAACGGCTACATGGTGTGGGAAATCAACTCCATTCGCGACTCTATTGAAACGCAAAACGCCCAGATCGGTCCCGGAATGCTCGACCCGGCCAAAGAGGTGTTTGTGCGCAACCGCAAGTACGCCCGCAGACTCGTCATCAGCGCCATGCTGTTGGTGATCCCCAACTTCATGGGCATCCAGTCCATCAATTACTACTCGCCCAAGATCTTCGCCAACATCGGTGTCAAGGGCACCAACGCAACCCTGTTTTCCTCCGGCATGTTTGGCGTGGTCAAATTCATTTGCACTTTCATCTACATCCTGTTCATCGTCGACAATTTTGGCCGTCGCAAGGCGTTTTTGTTGTCGGCTTCTGTATGCTCGCTGTGTTTTTGGTACTTGGGAGCGTATCTAAAGATCAACGACCCTACCAAGGCAGGAAACGTGGCTGGCCCAGGCGGCAAAGCGGCCATTGGCTTCATGTTTATCTGGACCGCCTCGTTCATTTTGGCATGGTCTGGTGGACCATTTGTTTGGAGTTCTGAAGTGTTTGAGCAAAACATCCGTACGTTTGTGCAAGCCATCAACGCTGCGATGTCGTGGGTGCCCATTTTCATCATGACGCGGTTGACCACGACCATGATAGACAAGATGCAGTACGGGATTTTCTTCTTCTTTGCTGCTGTTGCGGCGCTCGCAGTCCCCTTTGTGTTTTTCCTGGTACCGGAGACCAAAGGAATCGCATTGGAAGACATGGACGGCTTGTTCACCAAGGGCGTTCCTGCGTACCGCGCGCACAAGCGGGTCATGGAAAAAGCGGCCGAAACGGTCATCGAGGAGCAAACGTCGCAGCAATTATTCGACGACCGCCAGTCGTCGAAAAAGGCAGAGACCAAATATGTCGAGGACGCTGGCGCCAATCAACGCTCTGGCCGGGAAGAACTCCGCGTGTGAAATGCATCGTCATTGCAAGTTTTTTTTGCCCACTCTTTTTCTACACTCACTTGACTTGAGCCGCGACGGAAAACTCCTAATAAGACCATTGACGTTCTTACAAATGAAACCTAATTCTACCACAACCTTCTCGGTGCTACAAGAGTGTATAATAGTAATGTTCATATATGGTTGATTGTCTGTAGTGGTGTCAGCTTGTTAAACCAAACCAAGATCACTTTTCACTAATCTGTCATCTGTCATCTGTCATCTGTCATTTGATCACGTGATACGCACTCTCAAAACTCGACCCCCCCCGCGCATCCACGAGCCCTACGTTTAAACCAAACGTTCAAACTATACGTTCCAATGACCAGCTTCGGCCACTGCCACTCTCATTTGCACTGCTCCCCATCGCTTTGTACCAATCTGACATTTTGTTTTTCACTCCGCTAATTTATCAATCTACCGATTATATTATTCACTATCCCGTCTCGAATAAACCGTCACACCAATACATACTCAACCAAACAAACGCTTCCAACCTTATTCACAAACTAGTCCCTAACAGGCTTCAAAGCTTCTCAAAAGAAAACTGTCCCATCTGTCCAGCTTCCCCGCGTTGATGCATTTCGCCTCATCACACCACGCAACATCCTAATTTTTTTTCCATTCTCATTCCCGCTAGTCCAGATGACAGGCACGGCACGGCACGACAGCCCAGCCCAAAATCTAACCCTGGGATAGGATCCGTGGGACCTCCGCAATTGCAACAACAATTATAACCGTTCCGAAGGTATACTTGGTCATTGTCCAGGGTCGTTTTTGACCAGTTTCCGTCCGCGCCAGGTTTCTTTTACCAGCCAACAAAAAAAGCGGGTTTTGCACACCGGACAAAACAACCGAGCTTGACCAAGACCGGACCACACCATGGACTCCAGGTTCGTTTTCGCATTTATTCTTATTGCAGAAGAATGTGTTTCTGTCATCGCATTTAGGTTTGTGCATGACATCCAACAAGGACCCAACCGAGATTACACCATTGAAACGGAACTTGATCACTGCCTTGTGTTGTGGTAAATGGTGGCCATTTCTAGCAATTTCCAAACATATAAAAGAGCAAGCTAGGGTTCACTTAGTTGCAGATTTTATTCGTTTGGGTTTTTTCATATACCAGCGTTTTTCACAACTAATACCAGTTGTGCCAACGTAATTATTCATTCCTCCATTATAGTTTTATACCGAATTTCTGAAAATGTCCAGCACTGAGATTCCCAAGACCCAAAAGGCCATTGTGTTCTACACCAACGGCGGCAAGCTCGAGTACAAGGACATCGCCGTTCCTGAACCAAAGCCCAACGAGTTGCTCGTCAACATCAAGTACTCGGGCGTGTGTCACACCGACTTGCACGCCTGGAAAGGCGACTGGCCTCTACCAGTGAAACTCCCACTTGTGGGTGGCCACGAAGGTGCAGGCGTGGTGGTGGGCATGGGGAGTAACGTCAAGGGCTGGAAAATCGGCGATCTCGCCGGTGTCAAGTGGCTAAACGGCTCGTGCATGAGTTGCGAATCCTGCGAGCTTGGTAACGAGTCCAACTGTCCCGAAGCAGACCTCTCAGGCTACACCCATGATGGCTCGTTCCAACAGTACTGTACGGCTGACGCCGTGCAAGCAGCCAAGATCCCCAAGGGCACGGACTTGGCCGAGGTTTCTCCCATACTGTGTGCAGGCATCACCGTGTACAAGGCGTTGAAATCTGCGAACTTGAAGGCCGGCCAGTGGGTGGCCGTGTCGGGCGCTTGCGGTGGGCTGGGCTCGCTCGCAGTGCAGTTTGCTCGCGGAATGGGCTACCGCGTGCTCGGCATCGACGGCGGTGCCGATAAGGAGGAGTTGTTCACCAAACTGGGCGGTGAAGTGTTTGTCGATTTCCGCAAGTCCAAGAACATCGTCGAGGACGTGTTGCAAGCCACTGGTGGCGGTGCGCAGGGTGTGATCAACGTCTCGGTTTCGGAAGCTGCTATCGAGTCGTCCACTCAATACGTCAGGGCCAACGGTACAGTCGTGCTCGTGGGATTGCCAGGCGGTGCCAAGTGCAAGTCCGACGTGTTCACGCAAGTGGTCAAGTCCACGAAGATCGTGGGCTCTTACGTCGGAAACCGTGCCGACACTCGCGAGGCGCTCGATTTCTTTGCCCGTGGCTTGGTCAAATCGCCCATCAAGGTGGCTGGGCTCTCTGAGCTGCCCGAGATCTTCGAAAAGATGGAAAAGGGCGAAGTGCTCGGCAGATATGTCGTTGACACTGCCAAATAAGTTGGCCTGTTTTTTTATCTATGTAACTACCTTCTAGCTTGCCGACTAGAAACGAATGAATGAAAGTGTACGAAGAGAAGAAGACTGGAGACCTAGAGAAGTCGTTTTTTCGCCCCGTTTTTATACGTTCCACTTTCAAGACTACATTGAGGGTTACGGACGGGCAGCAGGGTCGTAAAAGAGAGGTCTTTGGTGTCTTGTTCTCCACGTTAGCCGTTGGGTCCATCATTATGGTGGTAGTTTCTGTCGTTATGTTGCCATTGTTGTGGTCGAACCCTTTGAGGGAAGCACGTGACCAGTAGTGTGAAAACAAGCCAAAATACCCGAGCCTACATGCAACGAAAGACGTTGGTTTTGGGCCGATTACAAGTGTGTTTTGTGATTCTACCAGCTCTTCTATAAGCGGGCGAATTTTTTTGACATGGTAGCGACGCTTCTACGCATTTTAGCATTTTCCGCCTTACTGAAGAGCTGGAAAGCCATGAAAAAAAAGCTAGTAGATCAAACCAGGTCCGAGCTACACTTTTGTATGCTTCGTTTCGATACCCGATGAGTGCTTCTCCTTTTGTTTCGAGTTTTCTGCTTCTCGCCGTCGTATCGCCAATATTCGTAAATTTCATATGCCATATAAGATTACGAGATCTTTTAAAGTTTTGATTCTTCTCGAGGACAGAAAGCTTGAAATTCAGCGAAAACACGGCTTTTCGCCTCGTCTAGAGATCGTGAGAAGTCGCCATGGACGCGAGCATAGCGCGGATAATGAACTTGAGTCCTCCCGGGGCGTTTTGGAGCCAGGTCGTGGAGTTAACGTCCAAGTACAACGTGGTGAGCTCGCCAAAAATTCTCGCAAATCTACACTCGGTGCTTTACGTGGCTTTGGGCTACCACTTCGTGTTTTTGGTAAGCAAATGGGTGCTGTTCCCGCCGCTAGTGCGGTGGCGACTTGCAAATAGCAAGGGCAACTCGCACCGCGGCCGACGCGAGCTGGTCAACCAATCGGCGTTGCACTTTGTGAGTCTGGTGCAGAGCTTCGTGATTCTATACGTGAGCTTGAAGTACTACGAAACACACGGTCGCAACACGACGCACGACACACCCCAGATTCGGGTTTTTCACCATGAGATGGAAACAGACGTTATCTGCGTGTTCGCGATCGGGTACTTCGTGTGGGATGCGATGATCTCGGTATTTTACTCGTCGGTGCCCTTTGTGCTGCACGGCGTTGTTTCGGCAGCGGTGTTCGCGATCGGCCTGAAGCCTTACATCCAGTTTTACGCACCTGCGTTTTTGATGTTCGAGCTGTCGAACCCTTTTTTGAACATCCGGTGGTTTGGCATTAAGTTCATGCCACAACTGTCAGAGATCAATCAGACCTTTACGGCGCATGTTCTAAACTACGTGCAGCTGATCAATAACGTGGTATTGATCGCTGTATTCTTTGGAGCGCGTATTATGTGGGGATGGTACCAGATTTTCCAGCTGTGTTACGATTTCTGGCAAGTGCGCCACGACCCGCGGTTTCTGGTCTCGGAAACGCTGATCATCGTGTCGGGCAATCTCGTGCTGGACGTGTTGAATTTGGTGTGGTTTTGGAAGATGCTGAGCGTTGCAAAACGTATTATCAGCAAACGTGGCCGAGTGCAAGACAAACCTGCGACCGATGCTCATTGATAGGGAGAAAGACCAGCAGTCATAAACTTAATGTATCTCGGGGAAATCGAAATGTAGTGTGATAAAATAGAGCAGTGAGATTCTTGTAAAATCTCGGGATAAAAACAGTTAGCCTGGTCTACAACAAGGTCATCATCCATCACCAATACTCATGAACAATTTTTTTAGAATAAAGATTATACAACAGCAACAAAGCCCAAATCAAAACCATCACCTAAATTGCTGACACCCGCAGAAAACCGCTACTGACGTTAGACAAAAGCATCTTCCTTCGAAAGAGAAAATCCGCTTTTTTTACGCTGAAAATATTCCCACCTTTTAGGCTCTTCCACACCGCACGCTCTCCGCGATAGAATTTCCGCGTGTACTACCTCGTTCAGTTACAAGACCCGCGCTCACCCCACGCTCTGCGGTATTGCTGGTGCCCATTAGAAAACTTTTTGTCGTATAAACTATATCTCTATGTTCTCTCGACTCATTCACCATCGGATGGTGCCCGCTGGCACCTTAGAAAACTCGCAGGGCGAACCCTGACACTTGTTTTCAATTTTTTTCGAATCCGAATAAACTCGCGATTTCCATCAATTCTCCACCAATTTTGATGCCCTCAAGTCTCATTCCAAGCTATCACAAAACATCACAAGTCCACACTCGATGACCTTCGGCCTCAATGTATGAGCATTTAACTCACCTCGTACATGATGATTTGGAGATCGCAATATCGCACCATCAAAATTGGCAATCGTGTATATAAAAGGGGCCCTGGACATATCGAATTTGATCCTCCAAGGACACTTTCGCCAAGGATTTGCTAATACGACAGCGAGCTACGGTTTGAATTATAGCTTCATTAGAGTTTCGAAACTATTAGTGGTGGCGGATTACAGGAAATCGCTGCGAAACGGGGGTTTTTTTTGATACCAAATTCAGCCTACATCTGGTTTTATAGATTCGCATGTTGCAATGAGCCAAGAGTATGAAGACAGCTTTGTTGAGTTTTCGAAAAGGACGTTTCTGGCGCCGGAAACGGACCAGGACGATGCCAGCAGTCTGTTCTCGACGGATTCGGGGTATTTGATGGATCTGGCGGACGCGTCTGACGACAGCGAGACGGTTTTGCCCAAATCGGATTTTCATTCGCCATACTACGTCAACGTTCCCACGCCAAGCCATTCTGCCATGGCTTCGGATATGTCGGATTCGGGCCAGGATCTCACAACAGGCTTTGTTCGAGAATATCCCACAGACATCTTGCTGGACAGATTCACGAAATGGCGCAAAATTCTCAAGGGCTTGGCCAACTACTTGCGTGAGATAGCATACGCCCAGGAACGGTTTGCACGCATCAACTACGGGCTGCGTAGCAACGTCAAATTCTCGTTTCTCACCGATCTGGAAGAGTCTACCAACAGGGTCGTCGATCCCTTCCAGCAGAGGGCCAAGAAGCCTGGCCAGCCGCAGCACAGTCCTGGAGGCCTCAGACACCAAGATGACGATTTGGGCCAACAGAACCCGAACGCGTCCTCGTCTGCGTCGACCACAGACTTTAAAGCAAGCATGCCCGTGGCGCCCGGTGACATGTCGTCTGCGTCGTCGGGCTTCATGAAATTTGGTTCTGGCTCCATCGAAGACATTCAGGTTGTGTTGAAAAAATATCACACTTCGATCGGAAACCAGCAAATCAAAATGTCCAAAGAATTGAGCACTGTGATCGTTCCCAAGCTCGACGATCTTCGCAAAGATTTACAATCAAAGATAAAAGAAATAAAAGAACTCCACAACGATTTCAAGACCAACATCGGAGAGCACATTGCGCTAACCGGTCAACTGTTGCAAAAATACATGGCTGCTGTGAAATACATGTCCAGCAACGGAAGCAGTCAAAGTCTTCTGAAACTTAAGGGTCAAAAATTGAAACCCAAGCACGATCCTTACTTGCTTAAGCTTCAACTAGACCTGCAGTTGAAGCGTCAATTGTTAGAGGAAAACTACCTCCAAGAGGCATACATCAACCTGCAGTCATCGGGTTTGGAACTCGAAAAAATTATATACGGTGAAATTCAGCACACTTTGCAACGTTACTCCGCTTTGATTAGTACATCGGCCCGCATTTCCATCAGCAACCTGTGCAATGAACTTCATCAGGGTTTGTTGAGTAAGCCACCTGCTGTGGAATGGGACCACTTTGTTGGTCACCATCCAAAATGCTTGATAAATTGGAGATCTACGGATCCTATACCGCAGCCTCGAAAACTATCAGATATTCGTTACCCAAGGATGAAATCAGCTATGGCCAAATGCATCAAAGCTGGTTATCTTTTGAAAAAGTCTCAGGTCTTGAAAAACTATAACAAAGGCTACTACGTTTTGACCAGCAATTATCTGCATGAATTCAAATCCAGCAATTTCTTCAAGCTTTCCCAAGAACCCTCAGAAAAGAAAGATCACGGTGAAGTGCATGCAGGTGGCAAGAAAAGGGCAATGGCTCCGGTTATGAGTCTCCATTTGAATAGTGCAAAAGTGGTTGAGGTCAGTGACAACAAATTCAGTGTCCGTGGAACTATATGCACAAGTAATTTTGACAAAAAGTCAACCGAAACTGGCAAAATGATCTCAAAGTCTACCTCTTCGATCCAAAAGTTTTTAAAAAGCGGGCCGAAACCTCCAGGGCACAAAAAAGATTCACATTTGAGTTCTAACTCCGGACCTTACGGTGAGGGAGCAGTAGAGAAGGATGAGAGCTTTGATGACGTTGCGACCTGGGTTTTCAAAGTTGTCAGTAACGGAAGCAGTCCAGATGAAACAAAAGAGCTGAAGAAGTGGATTACTGAAGTTAAAAACTTGAGTAATTACAACAACTCACTAGAGAGAGCAAAGTTCATTGAAGAAAAGATTTTGCGTGCGCATTCCCGCGCCAGTTCCGTCAATCTTTTAAAATCTAGTGGTGATGCAAAAGCCCCCGAGAAACACTTACATACAACAGGGTCGAACACCAAGAGCAAACCCCAATACATCCATCTCGGCGCCCAAGATTTTGCTTACACGTCAATGTCAAGAGCAAAGGTCAATACCCCGGCCATTGATGATAATGGTAATTTGATTCTAGCAGGACAAAATCGCCCTTCGTCAACCAAGAGCGTTTCCGAATACTCTTCACCAGTGATGTCGCCTAACAGAGCTGAACCTGCTAGTGGAAGCGATGGGGGAACTACTCAAGGAGCCGGGGAGTCCACATTGTCGCCCGTGAACCAGGGCTTCGCGATTACCAGCAAAGGCATGACAGCGATCAGTCCGACACCTGTGTACTCGCCACAAAATGCGAGAATGCCTAACGTCGTACCAGCTGGCGCAAATAGCGGAGCAAGCTCAGACGGGTCTGGAAAGCTACCTTTCAATTCCCCTGGTAGCCATGTATCTGTAAGCAGTGGTGGAGGTTACTTTGCTATTCCTGTAAGGCCAACGTCGCAAAGTTCTACTCCTGGATTAGATCCTATGGCAGAACACAAGGCCAACGCGGGTCAAAACAAAGCCGCTATTGTTCCTCGAGTTAGACTCAACGACCGTGAATTCTCGAACGAAAGGTTGGAGGGCGTCGGTGAAAAACCTAGCGACCGGTCAGCTTCAGCCGCAAAGGTGGCAGAGACAGGTCCAATAACAAGAGGTTCCCAGGTCCATCTACGCAAGAATGCTAGTGGTATGAATTTAGGCACTTCACTTGAAGAACCACCGCACAGTGTATATTCCAACGCCAAATTGGGCAATAGTTCCCAGAGTTTGGTGCATGGAGGTGCGCAAAATATTCGAAAACACAAAAAGAACGTGTCGTTTGGTTCTTTGAACAGTCTTCTTTTCTCGAAAAAGGGTGCTGATGTTAGTAACAACAACATGACGGACTACTTCATGTCCGGAAACCGAATTGAGGAGAACGGGGACCCAGATGCAATAAACGTGAATCAGTCCTTATACCGCAACCGAACTCGAAGCCCCTAAATCGAAGCCCCTTAATCGATGGGGATTGGTCATGGACAAGTTAACGTATTGTTGTGCCTCACTCACTCTCTGACCCCCTTCTCTCACTCTCATTCATTTGTTTTACATTTTGCATTAGAGCACGCTTGAACATAGTCTAAACACGTACTTTTTAAATAGTGCTCCTAGTTTCCAAGTCATCATTCATTACATTCATTCGATGTGCCCACCTAATTTGTGGAATTTCCTGTTACAGTAGATCAGCCCTCCCGTAATGGTACCCAGTGTGCTATTTTCAATGATGTCCTCCACTTTTCCAATCCAGATCTCATGGTCCCCTACCCTAAACACGTCCTTCTTTTGACACACAAACACCCGCTCGGAATTCGTCAAGATAGGAACTACCAGTTCATTCTGCTTCAAAGCATAAGTATCGTAGTGCACCGTTGGAGCCAGCTCTTTAAAAGGTTGAGTAGGAATGATTTCTCCACTGTCTTTGTGGGTCGTGGCACCTCTGCTAAACGTCCTGGCGAGCGACATGGACGTGGCATCGGGTTTCAAAAGATGCACTGCAAAATATTCATGTGAGTGCAAGGACTCTGAAGTGAAAGACGGGAGTTGTAAATTAAATTGCAGTAAGGGCTGGGGCTTCAATGACAGCGAGCTCACGGAGCTGAGCGTCACGCCCCGGAAATTCGAATGGGGTAGTGTTTTTTGACTTGCAGAAGTTAATATCATGGCCTGGCTGCCCATACGAGCCATTGAATCTTTGAATTTTTGTTGAATCATAGCGCTTCTCTCTAGCGTTGATTGAAATCGACAAATTGGGAACCTCATCAATGGCCTAAAGTTGTCAAAAGCCCAGCTCAATTTCCCTAGTTTACTGTGCACCCAACCAAGTAACACAGTGACTATCTACTTCAAGATGCAGATACGCCCATATATACTGTCGATGTGATCAAATCTTGTGTATAGTTCGAAATTTTTCAAAACAGGACTTATATTCAAATTTAAGTGATGAATTTCTTAAAGTTGGCATTAAGCTCATCGCACAGCTATAAAAGATCAACAAACCACCAGCAAGTGAGTGTTTTGGCACACTTAGTATGCTATTTGGAGAAATTTAGATGTATGTATATATGAGTATTTCATAGAAGTCGTATATTCAGGATGATCAAGTCTAAACCTAAGGCGCTGATACACACCATGGAAAAGCTTGTGAGCAGAAACACGCGTCGTGCGGCCCAAAAACCTACATGTGCAGTGTCCCCAGTAATTGTAAAATTCGAGAAATGGGCGGGCAAGCCCCGAAAGCTGTATTTTCGTCAAAAGAGTAAGTTGCAGTCTGTGTGTCTGCAATCGAACATGTTTGCGGAAATCTTGGCATCGCCTATGAGACTTGACAAATTAACACGTTTGCGCAGCCCTAGAGAATTGCTTACCCAGGTCAAGCTTGTGCGAAATGGAAGCGAAAACCAGGGACAAGATTTGGCCCTAAACTTGGCCGTGGCTCCCGTGAAAAGCGGACCGACCTCTTACGTGAGTAACAACGAAGCGATGCTTCTGAAAAGCCAGGATGCTTTCCTGAAATGTATCCCCACTTCTTCTTTGAACACCGCAATACGACACATCAATCCCAAAGATATCACTCAACCGGACTACTCGCTCGCCCGGGCGCTCAAGCTTAAGCTAATTGAGGAAGTACGACACGGACTTTCGACTTTGCAAGAAACCAGCGAATTGGCGGTAGCTCCGATGAAAAAATCAAATGGGAGCTATGTTCGAGTGATTAGCGACCCAAAAATGCATGCAAAATTGGAAATCGGCCCTGATGAAGTTTTAATTGCTAACCTTGCGAACATCAATGATAAAATTCTGCAGAATTTGTTTCAGAACAATTTCAAGGGCTTCACTATTAGTTTCTCTACACACAAGCGACTTTGCTTTACTCTATATAAGCTGCTGAGTTATACAGGGTAAGCTACTACTATTCACCATTTGAATCTTAGCGGTAGTCCATACACCACTGGCGCGGCTCCATTCAAATACCTTAAATGACACGATTTTCTTGCAATTGACACGGCTTGGGAGACCGTTGTGCTAGTATTGAACTGACCCATAATTCCCAATTCATGAAACATTGCGTTGCTGAACTTATCAATGTCTTTGTCCGTCACGTCCCATAAGTTACCCAAAACCATTGGAGAACCACCTAGCAAATACGAATAGATCACACCAGAAGGCTCTAACTTGCCTTTCGTTTCCATGTAAGCGGAAGAACAACCTAAAAGAAAAGTGGGTGCTACAGAGCTGAGTTGTTTAATCTTTTTGAGACGCACGTATTGCTCTCCTCCTCCGTGTCCCATGTAGATGAAAAGCTTAGAATTGCTTACCATGTCAATGAATTGACTCTCCTCAGGTTTTTCCGCTACGATGGCTCTTGATCGTGGAATCGTGGTATTCCACTGGGCAAAGACATCTTTAAAAGTTGCTTGAGTGCGACTCAAGTCTCCGTGGGGATCTAAAATAGTCGAAACTCTTTCATCAAGGCGAACGGTAGGTGAGGGGTGGTTTTGGCAGCTTTCAAAAATTTGTGTTAAAGATTGAATCGAGGGAATTCGGCTTATTGAATTACCTGCCAAAAAGCTCAAGCTTTCCCATGGTATTAAGTGACCTGCACTGCATACTACGAGAAAAGTGTGACATATCTTGGACCCAATTTCCGCATTTTGTTGATATTCGAGTATGAGCTCTTCCAGTTGTGTATGCAAGAATGCGCTGTCTATCTCGTCATAGGCATTTTGTTCGCCATGAAATAAAAGAAGATCGAAGACAAAGAAGATAAGATCCTCCATCAAATCCATGAAGCCATTCTCCATAGGGTCCAATTTCAAGAACAGTCCAAGGACCGCGTCATCAATTCTGAAAAAAGAATCTGGGCTCCCGAAGTGTTTTCTTGAAGGAAGCGTCCGCTGTAAAATCTCTTCAAATTTAGCTCTAAAGCTGTCGAGCTGTCTTTGCTCTATTAAAACTTGTTTAAAAAACGCCTTGAAACCTCCAAACCAGGAACGTTCTATTTTTTCCAACATTGTTTTCATTCTGTTATCAAGTTCGTATCGAAGCTGCCACCATTCTTTGCGTTCTTCCTTGGTTTTGATCTTAGACGTTATTTCAATGGTTGTTGATTTATTATTAGCCCTTATAATATCATTGAGCTCGCGGACTGCATCATTGAAATTGAATACTGTCTCGTCCACGTCCCTGGAGCTCTGTCGACCTAATGGCAGTCTGATACAAACAGGATCTGTTTTAAAGTCCATTTTAGACAGCAATAAATCACCTGTTATACCACACACATCTATTCCCACTACCTCAAAGGGTAAGTCTGACTTGAAGGAACCGTTTAAGGTCAACTGCTCAAAACGCTGAGTAATATCAGTGAGAAATGTTTCATTACTCGAAATTGGTTTAGGTGTAAAAGAGGCGTAGATTTCGTTACCTTGGTGAGAGAACAGTCGGTCGAATATTAAAGGTAGATACCGAGGAGTATCGCGCAGTGCCAGGTGATGGTATAAATCTGAGCTGATAAATCTGGAAGCATCCATACTACTCAAAAGAGAAAGCGATAACGAGTAGAAATCAGCTATCTCCATGAGCTCAAAGTTTTTTGTGCCTTCTAAGATAATGGACTCAAACAATCGTTTGACAGTTACGAGATCATTGAGGGTCCTCGCACGATCAAAATTATGTTTCAGTGGCTTGCTTCGTGGAGTTAAAGAAGATGGCCTCGGAGAGCTGGTAACGCCTAACGACATTATACGTTTTACCGGGGTGCCAAGCTCATTTTGCCTCGTGGGAACGACTCTGGATTGATTGGGCGGTGTCACACAGGATGGAACTGTGGCCACAGATTCTTTCATACTTCTAAAAAATGGATCTGTGTCCATTAGGTTTGAAATCCTCTTGTAAAGTAATTTTCCTTTGTTCATGTCATTGGCCCTGATTTGAGAAGCATCATTAGGCTTTTTTGAAAGTGTTTTCCCGACCTTCAGCGTCCATAGGTTATAAAGCTGACTTTCACTTGTCTCATTCTCGAAAATAGAATTCAAGGAACTCACCAAGTTTTCTTTATCATTTTTGTCAAACAGATGGATGAGAAAAGCCTCTAAATTTTCACCACTATCAAGTTGTTTAAACGTTTCACTAGCTTTTTTAAGTAGCGCATCCGCTAAATTATTTTGTTCTGTTAACCGGTAGTACTCAATTCCGACGTGAAGACAGTCAAAAATTACAATTGGTGACTTGATTGAATAAGCAATCTTAAGGTACTCTGTGACGTAAAATTCACAATCTTTGGCAATGCCCACCCGGGTATAGATTTCGATGATTTTGGTGAAGGATTTGCCTAGATTTGTAAGGATCTCCCACTTTGCCTCTTGGTCGACATGTGTGAGCTTTTTTAAAAGCGTCTGGCATAGTTTTAACGATCTCTTGGAATCAACGAGAGCATCCTGTATGTTACCATTTGTCAACTTTAAGGAAGAACTGGTGCACAAAATCTTGATATTAAGTAGGAGAAACTTCACGTACGTCTTGGTAGGCATTCCAGTTGAGTTAGCCGTGTCTAAAATTTCAGGTCTGTGTTTCGGAAGCTCATGTGTGAAAAGTGTATTAAACTCTTCGATTTTAAGATCCTTCTCTGCAAGAAGAAGCTGTATATCAGCAAATTCGATCACTTCGCTTGAATTCATTTTTGACAAATTCGTTGGAATTTCTAAAGATTGTAATTTTCGTAAGCTGCCTTCGGCTTGAGCATTGAGTCGAAGGCCGATCTGAGCTGTGACTAATTGCCTTTGGGTGTATGTTTCGTAGCTTTTATAGTACAAACTGCTTTGCGACTGCATTGAGTTTGCCAAGCTAATCATCTTGCTGTAAAATTTGTTGAACCGCAGAACACCGAAAAGCATGCGCGTCAAACTCAGTTCGAGGGTACTTAGTGATGCGTCAGTAAGTTCTGTTCTTTTGACCCACTTATCGATAAAGATGTCCGTAATCTTTGAGAGCTGGAGAGATGTTTCGCACTTGATCTCTAAGCCTAGAGCATATGCTGTTTCGATTAAAGGTCCATAGAGCTTGAGTGGATCAAGATCGTCAGTCACAACCTGTTTAATGTTGTTACTTTTCATGTAGTCACGCTGTGACTCGTAAAGCATGCGAGTGAGAGGACTCCAGTGGCACGTCGCGCCAAGATCTGGGAACTGTACCGGGCTCAATAAACACAGCATAAGCTCGGATACGCCATTTGTATTCTGCAGGAAAGTGCTCTGCAATCCCTTGAAGCATCTGGAAAACTGTCCAACAACGCGCGAAATCTGAGATAGCGTCTCGTATCTGAAGAGTGTGAAAACGTTAAAGAACTCACCGAGAAGTTGAACACGACTTTCTGAGGACGCGCTGGAAATGAATCTCTCGAGCTTCGAAAGATCCAGATCTCGGTGGTCCACAACCGTCTGGCCAAGCATATCAAGTCGCGCGGCTTCAAACAAAAACACATCAACATTGTGGACAACAAAAGCGTTGAAAGCAACATTTGCAATGTTGAGAAGTCTTTTGGATTCTGCGTTGTTGAGGCAAAATTCAGACATGCTTGCCATTAGTTCCTTTAAAACGTGTAAGCTAATAAGTGGAAGATGGGTATTGAGAAAAAGTGTAATTTCATCAATGAGTCTCCTTAGCTCTCTGGGACCTGAGCTGATTTCGTCGTTTGCGAAGTGCATAAAATTAAGCAACAAGGCAGCCGTTTTGGGCACGTCACAAGCTCTGTCGTTCATCCTGGCTTTGATCAGAGCAACCAATGTGCTTTGTTCACTTAACGACAGCAAAGCAGAATTCCTGCTCTCGGTTTTGTGCCATCGCATGGCACTTAGTGAATTCATGACATCAGAAACTACGCTTGAACAATTCGAATTCATCATGTCTGTGAAATCGTGCAGCATTAGTTTATCAGCTGTTGTAAAGAATCGTGAATAATCTGCATAGAAAATGCTCAAATAATCTTCAATTCTTGAAACTGATCGCTTGGCTGATGTTCGAACTTGATTCTGAAATTGTTGTAGGGTCATATTCTTGATAAAAATTGAGAAATCAAGGTCAAACTGTCTGACATACTGTAGAAATTTGAGACCGAATAGAGTTTTGTAGGCTGAAAAAAGAGAATAGAAAGTTAAAAGCAGTTTCACGATCGAATGGATCTTTATTTTTCCGGTCTGTAGAAGATATCGGGTATCTTTGGCAAAAACGCTGAGAATTGTTTCTTGATGCTCGTGGTATGACTTGCTTTTGATCAATATTTGAAATGCCAGTATTTTTAGTGCGAACAGATAATGATCATTGTAGCAGGTGAAGTCTGCCATGAGAATTTGATCCAGCGAACAGACTCGTGTAGGACTTGTCTCGTTGAATGCAATCAGCATTGCACGCGTAGCATTCTCGTAAGCTTCTAATTCCAGCAGCTTGATAATAGCACGCATGTTGAGTTTGGCGAGTTTCTTAATTTTTTGGAGTTGGTGCTTCCATAAGTAGGCCCGGTACAAACGGGTCAAACTTACGCTTAAAACTTCAAATTGACCCGCTGAAGGATTACTCAGAAATTCATCAACATTTCTGCGGTAATAGAATGCTTTAGATGCATATTCGGAGCCTAAAGGCCCCCAGAAATTGATATCTTCGTGATTCTTTCCGTTATTCTTTATTCCTTCAAAAACAGAACTATGAGACCCATTTTTGATATTCCAATTAGCTGCAGATTTGTTCAAATCTAAGTCGTTCAAAGCAGCATTTTCTTCAACCATTAGTGATGCTGTCGATCAATAACTTTCCCTTATTTACTGGTATTTTGTGTTGATGATGTATTATTATTATTTACGTATTTTTTAATTGTAAGTAGCCCATCGCTAGCACACGTATATAAACCTCAAAGCAGTCCGATTAAGGTGTAAATCCTATTGTCTTTAATGTCTGAAGCCGAAGTGGCTCGCGCAATTGGTCTTCTTAAAAGCCAACCCCCAGCTGAAGATATAAAAAGATGCCTGTTACTGCTTAGCGAGGAAAAGTCCTTGAGTCTGGAAAGCGCCGCCGTGATAGTAAAATACGTGGTACCTATATTTCCATCGTTACCAAGGGACATACAAAAGGAGTTGATTAAAGTGTTTGGATGCCACTTCACACTTGTAACACACACTATGAATCTGATAGACATGGTGCAGAAAAATCCGGAAGTTAGCATTTATAAGGCTTTCTTGATGCAAGCTTTGAGCGAGAATTCATCTGCCTTAAGCAATTACCTTGGTCGTTCACAGAGCCCTTCGGAAATTCAGATTTTGAAATCCGCCTTTTTTGGCAGCAAAATTCTGAGCCGTCTGGGCAGTGGTGTGGACATTGTGGCATACGTGGAGGTACTCCGAGGGCAAATTGAATATATTTTCGAATATCACCATAGTCTCAACCAGAAAATGTACGCAGAGTTTCTTGTCGCACTTCTAAGTCTTCACGAAGGACTTTGCTTGGATCTGGTTTTCCGAGATGTGGCGCTCAGGAACGCAGATCGCTTTCAGAAATTCTTGCAAGTTCTTCTTAGTGCTTCTGTTTTGTGTCGAAATCGACTTTTCAGAAGCTTGCTGAAATATCTGGATATTGTAATTAGCTCTGAAAGTGCACATTCGGCGTATAATCTACTAAGGTCGATTGGGCCGGTAGATATACAGTACGATCTTCTGATAGATCTCAAGAATCCACTTTTGAGTGTCATTTTGGTCCACACCATGAGCGAAAAACAGAAATTGAGTCATTACCGTTATCTAATGGGCTTTTTCCGAAGGGGCAACTCTACAGAGGATTTAGCGACATGCTTTCTACTAGCCATTATTTTCGAACATCTTCCAAGCGAGGTTCGACAAAGTATAAGCTCCGATAATATGTTTTTGGATGCCGTGACCGCAAGATTGAGCTCTCAGCATGCAGTGGTGAGAGAAAGAACGATGTTTCTTGCCAAACAGGTCACAAATGGAGGACTAGAGTACGAAAGCGATTTTGAGATCGTCATTCCTGACTTTACAGCTCCGGAAACTGATACTATAGCCTTTGATCTCTTACAAAAAACTCCAGATAGTGAAAACGATTCTTTGGAGCCGCTTGAAGGAAATGCAAATATCGCAAGGGTGCTCGACTTGACGCTATCTAAGAATCAAAGCGATGAAGAGGGCTTCACGATCGTTTTTCTCAAGGATCTAGTCCGGGAGTTTGAGCAAGAGGAGAAGAATAAGAGCGATCGCATTTACCTCTTGAAAGCCACGGTTAGACTAGTAAGACAAAAGAAAGACTTTATCCTCGAGATTGAATCTTACAGCTCTCAGCTTTTAACAATGATATGCGTCTTGAACAACAGTTTTGAAGAGCCGCAGTTCCAGGAGTGGAAAATAAACGCCTTGGTTAGCATCATAGTCGTTGTTCCTGAGAAGATTACGGAACTGATTCAGATTTTGTTTGGCCAGGAACTTTCTTTGCAGCAACGCATTACGATCCTTTCCGTTATGAGCCTTGCGGCTAGGGAACTACGGGGCATTGACGATGCTTTCATTGTCAAGCCTCAGACAGATTTTCCAACCGAGAGACTGCCGTGGGATTCACCTAACAAACCTATTTCCGGCGAAACGCCTAGAAGCATAGAAGCATCGAATAGTCACACTGTGTGGAGATCTCGTAAGCTTGACAAGGCCGCTAAGGGCAACACGGCCCCAGTAAACAGATTTCAGAGGGTCGCGCCCAAGTTTTTCTATCCTTTGGCGCACGGCTGGCTCAACGGGATTGACATGGGGGTCTACGACGAGATGTTTAAAAAACACTATCTATCTACGATGCAACTTATCCTATCGGCTGCTCAACCGCATTACGAGTTTAGCTCAATGTACGCCCTTATGTGTTCCGTTATCGAGGACGCGATAAAGAACGGCTTGCCCTTGGATGATCTCGATCTAGCCAAACTTTCTGAGCTTTCCAAAGGTGCGGCCGATCATTGAAGCGATACTGTGTGTGAGCCCGGAGTTACTGCTCAAAACACAGGCCAACAAGCTCCAACGACAAAAGCGTTCATAACCTGATCATTTTCCTCCTTTTAATCTTAACACTCCGTTCACAGAACAGTTTCCAATTAGCATCACCGAAAACTTCCGAAAATGTATTATTCCAATGAAAACAGCATGACCTTCGATTTGCCAAGAAGACTGTCATCAACATGAACTAACTTACTATTACGATGGTCACTCTAACAACGTCGAGACAATACTACATCTCAAAAACGTCCAAAAATCTACAATACACACTAAACACTGGAAAATCCGTATTTCTGTTCCTCAGCCTGCTTCCAGTATACAATGGTCAAAAACGTCTTACTCTCAGCGGTAGTTGGTCTGATATGTATATGGAAACTCCGTACTGCTTAATTTCCGTATTGTATGCCCTGCCATTTTTTTCGGCTTAAAAATACCGCTAGAACCGCCAATGAAGAGACTAGCAAGACAAAAGACACCAAGCGATGAACTTCACCCTCCAGGAGCATATATAAGTGTCATAAAGCATCTGTTTCAACACTATAAGCTGTATTGGGAGTCTTTCAAACCTTTTAAGGTGCATAATGCTTGGATTATTCCAATTGATCACCCCTCTAATATGGTATACAATCCTACTAGTTGCGGGTTTAATAACAGTGGGAAACATCAGTATTAATGGCTTGATAGCATTGAAAGGCTCTTTAGGAGGGCTGCGAAAGGTGGTGGTCGGTCTTCCTTGCTTGAACCGACTGTACTTCTCTCATTTTGTGTACGGAAACTATCAAGTTTCTGTAGGGAGGCTTCTTGTTAGCTTCCTGCAGGGCTATGACATAGAATTGAAAGATGTCGCTATAAATATTGGGTCTATTAACCATCAAACAGTGCCGTCACCACGGAAATGGGTAAGTAGCGATGTGTTGGTCAATTACAAAGTGCTGGCGCTTCTGCGATTTCTGGGGCCTCGAAAATTCGTTTTGAAGAACTTGACGCTTCATTGGCCTGAATGTGGCCTCAGTTGGCGATGTGCAGCCATTGAAATCGGCGTTAGCTGGGCTCCAGGAAATCTAGCGCCAGCTTTCGAAGTTGAGGTTACAGGCGTCGAGGACAGTCGTGGAACTCTCAGTCTTGCCACAATCCAGTATAATCTCAATCTATGTTTTGAACAAGCCGTGCAACAAAAAAACTCAAATCCCCGTTTGCGCCTTAAATGCCACGATCATAGCCTCATATTGAATGGACTCAGCATTCAGATTGACAGCACACCTTCTGAAGCCAACGAACTCACTGTCGTGCACAATCAAATGCCTTCGAAGAAAGCAACAGCATGGGTTGATAATCCCCTTATAATTTCCGTACTGTCGTCTCTAACTGGTTTGGATCTTCGACTGGAGAACGTATCGATCGGCGTAGGCGCTTCATTTGCTATCAATTCATGTGCCGTATTTTTGTCCCTGAATGCCATTGATGCTATGCACCATGGAATGCTGGATTCATTCGCCAATCTTGACGGAGCTCTCATTCATGAACTCGTCTTTACAATAAATTCCACAACCCTCCTTCTGAGCAATGAACCGCTCTTGAGACTACCTTCGGTGACTTTGACCTCAGTGTCTAATATCGCGTCCACTCTTATCAGTTTTAAAAGAACGCATCCGGCATTTGGATGCACTTTGGCGGCAGTGGATCCGTCCGTTACACTGACACAGAAACAACTAATCGAACTATGGGAGCTACTCACTCTGAGAAGGTCTCGGTCCGTGTCTCAACATTCTTCAAAAGATAACGGATGGCTCAATTTGTTTGGTCTTACAAAGTCCCCAGATTTCGTGAGTAAAGTTCTCATTTCCAACATATCATTCACACTGAAAGTGTCGTCGTCAAAGCATTTCGTGTTTCGTACTACTAATGTGCATGCTTTCGCTCAAAATCAAAATCGACTAAAGGCAACAGCAAAAGGTGTCGAATACAGTGCAAACGACCCCAAGCAAACGAGGGACTACATGGACAATTTCTTGAAAATCGATAAGTTTAGTTTGACGTATTTTTTGTTTGATGAGAGTGACTTCTCGAAAATATACGATCTTCCGGTCATCCTATTCAGCAAATGGGAGTTTTTCGGTGAGAACCTCTATTCAGAGAAAACGTATATCACCAGCACGCTGCGAAATCTCAGTTTTTTGCTGGAAGACGTTGAGGTCATTAGAACTGTTATTCATTATGTCAACGAATGGAGGGCAAGGTTGCAGTCTCAGAACTCACAAGTGTCGAAAGTGAGTAAGAAACCAAAGTATTCTTTACAGCTTCGCTTGAAGAACACTAGCGCATCTTTGCGAATCTCCCATTACCTTCCCCATTATCTGGATAAGCTAGGAGCACCGAGAAATCTCAGTGACTACACGCGAGGTCTGATCTTTAAACTTCGGGAGGCCTATCTAGATTTTTCCTCCGAAGGGCAGAAAATGCACATTACCAACGGGTCAATCCAAAAGTCGATGGAGGACGACGCTGAGCCTGCAGTGACTGATGAGTTGGCTTGCATGGAGAACATTGTTTTCGAAACTCGCGGTGAAAAATACCACTCTCTGGTTCCTGCTTGCAGCGTAAGCTTTGATGTCAATACAGTTTGGCTTTTTTTCTATTTGAGAACCATTATACAAGGCCTTTCCCAAACGAAGAATACGAAATCCTGGCGAAAGACGTTGTCGAGAGCATCGAAAATTAATGACTTCCTCCAGAATATAGACGTTGATGTTGTTTCGCTACTCATCAAAATCAAATTGCCACACTCTATCAAACTGTTCTTGGCCGTGAACAATGGAGTTTTTATCGGTGAGTATATGACTTTTCGGATGGGTTCTTTCAAAGCTTTCACAACTTCTGTCTATGAGTCGGACGATATATTTGTTCCAGTACTTGCCTTAGAAAGGACATCTGTAGAAGTGGACAAGTTGGCCTCCGAACAGCCTTTGGAAATAAGAACCGAGACAATATGGGTGACGTTCGAGTACCACTTAAGGCTTTACAAAATCCTGGACAATATATGTACCATGGTGAAATGCATCAAAACCATTAATCTGAACTTCAAGGACACTTCCAATATGATGGCGCGTGAGCCGCAAATGGAGGAACCCAGGAAAGTTTATCCTATAAACGTTCAAGCCAACGCATTTTTAATTAAGGTGGAAGAAGATCCCTTTGAACAAGAGGTTGGGCTCATTTTCAAGGTAGGGGTTACGGAGCAGCTTGAGCGCATAGAAAAGCTAAAACTTTTAGAAAAGGAACTCTCTTTAAGAATGACTTCCAACGGACCAACAAATTCAGATTCCAAATACCTCAAACTTTTTGAGCAGTTTTCTGTGTCTTGGATTAATCGAATCAAAAAAGCACGTTTAAAGTTTTTTGGAAGACCCTCTATGAACATGAGGAGCCTTTCTGCAGGTACTAGTTCTTTTGATATTTTAGAGGGCCTTAATAGCACAATTCTGAAGGTAGAAATTGAGAAAGTGTCGCTCAAGCTAAGACAGCCCTCGTTTCCATTGGATGAATGCCATGCATTTTTTTACAAATATGGTAAGAGGATGCCTGAAAATACGAGGTTCACCACATTAATACCGCTCGGAGTTGAGCTTTTAGGGTCTCGCTGTGAATTTACCTTGAGAGACTACCCATTGCCGATCGTATTTTTCCCTGAAATTGGCATTCGAGGTGACCTCATTCTAGCGGAGAGGATGCCGTCTCAGAAATCAAAAAGATATGTTCATGTGCCATTCGTGCCTGGTGCAATCGGCGAAGCCTATTCAGCGACAGACTCGATTTACGGTTCGAATATCATTCGTACGCTAAACCCACTTAAGGCGTACATGAACCTCAAGTGCCAAGTTAAGTCGGACAAACCTACGACTATAACCTGGGGTAAGTCCCTTCAACCTGGCTTTCAGGCTGTCATGATTTGGTTCGATTACCTGACCAAACCGCCAGTGGACCCATCTGAGAAACTTGGGTTTTGGGACAAATTTCGTCTTTTATTCCACGGTTGCTTAATTCTCGAGTGGCTTGAGGACAGTGAGTTTCATTTGAACTTAAAAGGATCTCACGACCCGTATCTGATAACCGACATGGGTGCGGGGCTTTCTTTCTGTTGGAGGGGTGCTGTTCGACTTTCACTGCACGAATCCTCGGACCCTACTGAATTTCTCAAAATAACGTCTCGTCAATTCTTGCTTGCAATTAGGGACTTCACGCACCCGCGGAGACTGGATAAAGTTTTGATGAAGCTCAGTGGAAACGTTACATGGACAATGGGAATATCATTTGAGTCTGGAAACTTAAAGGATCCTGGTAGTAGCGAAAGGTGCAGCGCGTTCAAACCACACTATGAAATTAACCTTTGCAACCCAGTATTTTTAGATCCGAACTCAAATCATGATTCCTACGATGGATTTAGAAGTGACTTTATTCACCTTTTCTTCCAGGTAATGAATGAAGGCAGTAAAGGAAGCTCCAACAAAGTGCATTTAGCGCCTCATTCTATGACCCATTTTTTTAGCTGGTGGAATCTTTTCAGCACCTACACGTCAGGTCCTATCCGGCAGGGTCCTTTATTTCCGAACCTTGTTCAGAATCCTAAGAAGTTTTCGAAAGCTCTGTTCACTGTCAAATACGCACTTCAGTTGTCTCCTCTAATGATATCGCATACATATCTTCATGCGGACTCGCAGCTTGGAAATGATCCCAACAATGAGACAGCGTTCACAAGCTTAAAGGGCTCTTTCGACAGTCTGACCTTGGACCTTCATCAGAAGAGAGTAAAGATGAATCACGCCGATGAAAAACTGGAGCATTCCCGAACGGTTTGGAAATTCAAGATGAATGCTGGCGAAATTGACTGTCGTAAAGCAGATATTCGACTAATCTATTCGAGGCTGATTTCGTCAAAAGAAGATCATGGACACCTGAGAGATGCACAGTATTTGCAGGGCGAAGACAGTGGAACCTTTGCATGCCCAAAAAATGATGACCCTGGTTCCAGCTGGTTTGATATGGAAGATTACAACGATGTCAATCAAGTTATCGGTAAAAGCTTTATACCGCGTGTTTTCGACGACTTACCCTTGCTGTACTCTCCACGCATATCTTATCTACGAGAGCTGAGCGAGGGCGAAGCCCTGACCTTTCCGTTTGGAGCTGAGAATGAGCATGAATGTAATTTGGGTCACAATTATCCAATGGTGACTCAAGAGCTTCTGGCAAGAGCAAGGGCTCATGAACTAGAGAAGCAGCTTGCGTTGATCGAAAAGCTGATCTCAGAACTGACTTTTAAATCGCAAACCGCCGTCTATCGCACAGAACTTGATAAACGACTGAGAACTTTGCATGCTCGGCTCCATGATTTTCGGCACAGACTTCATATCATTCATGTGGTGCTTGAAGACCTCATGCTATCGAAACTTCCGTCGGAGTCTTTGATATCTGACGAAATCGAGAGTAGCGCCTCAAGTCACTTAGAAGCCTCGGATGCCAATTCTCAAAGGGAACTTTTAAAAGTCAATACCCTATCGTCATTCCGCTCCATGAGAAAGGCAACCAGCGCTTTTGTTAAATCATCTTTTGACAACCGATTCATTCTGCATAACATTTTACTCAAGGTTAACAACAAGACGCGGGATGTGTTGCTGGATTACATCTTCAACGTTCTTAACAGAAAGAAATCGAGTTTTTTCCAGACGTACAAGTCGGTGGCTCTCTTGGATGAGCTCTTGAAGCTTAGACTTTGGAACATACCATCAGCACAGATCAGAAAGGGAGAAGATTTTCTGCAGGAGGACACCTTATCAAATGCCGAGTTGGCTCGGCGTTGTGAGGATATCATACGGCAAGTCGCAGAAGACGGTCTCGAGGCATCTGATACTTATCAGGTCAAGTTCGTTTTGCCACAGATTCAAGTTACTTCAGAGGAGGTCTCTCAGAAATGTATTTTGGTTACAGCCAGGGATATCGAAACATCAATTGTAGAAATTAATCAGGTTCAATGTTCTTTAAGCCACAATGCTCCGCTTGACGTCAACAGCCTGGTTGAAACAAGGTATGCAACGAAGCTGAATGAGGCACACTTCTTCATTTTGGACAGAGATGACTTGTCGGCAGAGAACGGTCTCGGATTCGAGTTGAATGGCTACGGCATGGACAGTGACTCGGCTTTTTGGCCGCCTTGGCTCCCAATGGAAATGTGCTACAACTGTGAATCACTCAAGGACTCTGTTTTTCTGCAGCGAAATGACATGATCATGTTGTTTACACAGCCCAATTCTTTGTTCTTTCAGAACCAAATGAACAAGGTGGGTAGACGTGAAGCAAAAGTCCGAATTGGTTTCCCCAAGCTTACTTTAGCTTCCAATTCTGACCAATATTCTTCCATATATGCCATTGCCGCAGAAATGCTGCACTTTGCATCTAGTTTCGACAAGAAAGCTGACAAGCTTTCGAAAGTTATGCTGGCCGAGGAAGTGAGGAACAACTTGGACAAGCTGGATGTATCGATAATTGTTGACCTTCAAAACTCTATCAAAAACCTAGACAGGACAAGAGCCTACCTGAGGATGCATGATCCTAAGGGATACCGTGATGTTGCACAAAGTATTGCAACAGAGTTAGATTCAGCTGTTTTGGAATTAAATCTTCTGATGAGTGCCATCAAGAAAAATCACGACAAAATGAGACTTTCCAACGAGTATAGTGACCATCAAGAATTATTATATTGGCAGATTGGAGCGGATGAAGTAACATGGAGATTACTGGATGACCAAGAAAACGATTTTGTCTTGTTTGAGCTGGGATCAACCAGTTTTGTTAGATCGCAGGCTTTGGACGGTACAAACAGCAATAGACTCACCATCAAGTCACTAGCATGTTTCAACCTGCAAAAGAATGCCATCTACAGGAACTTGCTTGGTCCTTACGAGGAGATCATCGAAAGTGCCAAACCGCTCATAGAAATATCTTGGCTTGTGGGACCGTCCGTGGGAGGGATTTCGGATTTAGTCAGGCTTGTCGTTCTTCTTGAGCCATTTGTATTCAAGATGGATCATTGTACGTCAGACATTCTGCTGCGATTTTTGTTCCCGGATAAAGGCAATGGTGATCTCTCAGTTTCTAGCCCGGCAGCCCCGCGCGACTCAATATCGAGCAGCTCTCGGGAAAACTCCACGATCATTAATCTCAACTGGAGGCTGAAGGGCATGTCCTCGAACTTGCCATCTATGTCGGTAAGAAATCCTGGTCGGTATGTATCCCCCACGCCTTCTGCTCTTTTTAGCCGGAACACGCAAGAATTGAATGAGATGGTGGACAGATCGTCCCGTTACTTCAATGTTGGGTCAGTGCTCATTCAAAAGGTGACGATGTCGATAAGCTATAGAGGTTCACGAAGCGTCATCACAAATGTTGATGGCCTAACTGTAAAGGTCCCTACCTTGCGATACACTAATCGGTTGTGGTCTCGCGAAGAATTTATTGCCACGCTCAAAAAGGACATTATAAAAATAGTGCTGCAGCACACTGGTAACATCATTGGCAACAAACTCACATTGCATAAAAGGGGGAAAGAAGTTGAGCGTCTGGGAACGTTGAGTAGAATCAGTTCATCTGCCTCGGGAAATTCGCACTCTGCCAGGTTCCCAGAATCAACAGTTACGCCTCGTCGACACACGACACCCCTCCAGCCCCATGGGCAAGCACTGATTCAACATGTTAACTCAGATGCGTCGTCGACTAGCGCCAGTGTGGACGGCTTCTTTCCTGTTACGCTTGATGGGTCGACAGCGAGGTGACCAGGTGGACGGCTAATTCCAAAATTTGCGGCAAATGTTCTCGTCTCTTCTTTCAGTGGTCCTATCGAATTGGGTGATAAGACGCTTTCAATCAACATCTGAATGATTACTGCCCTTTTCCAGGTACCTAGAGATGACTTTTTTATCGCTGCGATTTCCTGGAGCAGACCTAATAAAGCTCTAAAGGTCGAAAGAGCGTCAGTGACGTTCATATTGATATGGTTCATCAATATTCCATTTTTTGGCTATTCAACGAGGCCTTTTAAATCCTATCTGTCGGTTGAAACACATTTTCTCCATGTTCTCGTTTTGAAACGCTGAGGCCACTGTTATGCGAACTCGTTCTACAAAAAATGAGCATTTCACACTATTCTTTTAGAGCCTAATCAAACGCTGACATCGTTGCTGAGCTACTTGCTTTAAGATCAATGAGAAACCTTTCAAATTTGCGGCCTAAGCATGTCAATTGTCCTAGCTTTATCATAACACGAAATCGCTAGATCTCCTGTCGTTTTTAGAGCGAAATTGTCCATATACTTGATCATTGGTATAACACTTTCATCAATTATTATTTAGCATCTCTTATAAAAGTTCAATTCCTAAAAACTTCACATTCAATAAGGAAAAAAGTCGATAGAACAACGCACATTTTAAGCTTAGAACGTAGCTTTTCAGTTTGTGTTTTACTCAATTTCAACTTGACATAAGTGCGGTTCTTTAACACTTCTGCTCAGAGTGGCCTACACATCCCTAATACCATTTAATTCGAGAAATTTGCCATGTCCTTTTTTGACACTCTTCGTCAAAAAGCGGCTTCAGTCAAGTTTCTGGACAAGCTGACCGATTCTACCGAGCCAATTAATAGAGATGAGAAGTTTCGACTAGTCTATAAACTCCCCCAGGGAGAGTTAATCGTTGATGATACAAATGCCGACATATCCGTGATGCGTCCCAACACCGGGCGAATTAGGGCCAAAAGCGCTGGCGATGGCACCCGCGCCAGCAATACATCCTACGTTTACTCTGGCCGTCTGTATTTGACCCGGCACTATCTGGTCTTCAAAGACTCTTTCGACACCACGTCGTGCACATTTACCATCAACTTGAGCACTGTTCGGAAAGTGGAACGTGCTGCTTCGTCATCATACGCAACTTCATTGGCCATCACACTTCACTGTCAGACCAGAATTGCCATCCAATTCATTGGTCTCAGAAACAGAACGGATAGCTTTTGCCAAAAACTAAAAGAAGCCCTACGAGAGAACGTCCCCAACACCAAGAGACTGGCTCCGTTTCTAGACAGCTGCTATTCGGAGTATCTGATTGCAAAAAACGTGCTGAACAAACCTGACGTTCACCCACCACCTTCTGGCCTGGGACAGAAATATAGGTATCCCGGAGACGTTTCGAAAGAGAAGCCAAAGCTAAAACTATGGTTTGACTATTTTCAAGATCAAGGTAGGAATCTCACTATAGTGAAAACAGGTCTTTTTTATAAGTTGATCAGAGTTGGCATTCCAAACAGGTTAAGGGGCGAGATATGGGAACTTTGCGCCGGTTCAATGTATTCCAGGTTTGCCAATCCTGAAGAATATCAGACTCTTTTGAAGAACAACGCCGGGAAGGAATCGCGCGCTATCGAAGAGATTGAAAAGGATCTAAATAGGTCCTTGCCTGAATACGCAGCTTACCAAGACGAAGTCGGCATAAACCGGTTACGGAACGTTCTGACGGCATACTCTTGGAAAAATCCGGACGTCGGATACTGTCAGGCTATGAATATTCTAGTGGCTGGCTTATTGATATTTATGACCGAAGAGCAGGCTTTTTGGTGTTTAGTGAGTGTTTGCGACAATTACGTTCCTGGGTACTACTCAAAGACCATGTACGGTACTCTACTAGATCAGAAGGTCTTTGAGTCATTTGTCGAACAGAAGATGCCTGTTATGTGGGAACATATCAAGAAACATGACATTCAACTCTCGGTAGTTTCCTTACCTTGGTTTTTGTCTCTCTTTTTCACCTCCATGCCCCTACCATTTGCGTTTCGGATAATGGATATTTTTCTGCTAAACGGACCCAATGCGCTTTTCCAAGTTGCACTAGGAGTTCTCAAAGTAAATGGGGAAGATCTTTTAGAAGTGGACGATGATGGAATGTTCATCGCCATTTTGAAACACTACTTCCAGACTTTGGATCAAAGCGCCCATCCAGATTCTACAAACGCAAAATATAAGCAGATAACCAAGTTTCAGGAACTTTTGGTCGTTTCTTTCAAAGAGTTCAGCAACATAACCGTGCCGATGGTCGAGCAACAAAGGACACGTTTCAGCAAAGACATTCAACAGAACATTGAGTCCTTTGCGAAAAGGACACAGTTGCGAAATCTTCCACAAGTTCGTAATTTAACTCCGGATCAGCTATCGAACGTCTATGACTCATTTTATCTCTGCATCGAAAGCCATAAAATAAGCATGGGCACAGGATCATCAAACTTGGATTTTGAAGCATTTCTACAATTCCTGAGCTCATTTTGTGACTGGTGTAAGCCCGGGGATAGTGATCATTTACCAAGATTCCGTAAACAAAAACGAGACTTTTTAAAACGAGTTTTTGCCCGATGGGACCGCTCGTCAATTGGGGAGCTGTCATTGAGCGATGTTGTCTACGGATTGGATGGGTTATTATCTGCTGACATTATGTCAACGATCAACAACTTTTTTGCTTTCTTTTCGCAACCCGGTGTCGAAGAAGTCACTGGTGAGGGTATCTTACAGCTCTCTGAGGCTTTGTTGTTCTTGACAGACGCATGGAGAAGCGGGCGGTGTGTTGATCAATTAACAAAGCGGGCCATTGAAGATGACATTGCGGAATCACTTGTTGAAAAGAGCTCTGGTCACGGTGAAGCAATTAATGATTTCGAGCTTCCTTCTGGGGTTACCATAGATGAGGAAAAGTATAAGCAAGAACAGACAGAACGATACCTCCGGGCGGCTAGTAGCTTTCTGCAGCGCTCCTTCGAATATGCTCGTGCGTCGGAACCTGAAGAAGAGATTGACTTACTAGATCTATCGGATAACGAAGGCGAGAGCAGCGAGCACAAGAAAAAGAAGTGGGAAACTTTGAAAGCGAACGCAGCTTTGGACCCGGGCAAGCGCTCAGTCATGAATTTGGCAACTTTCCGCATGATAATACTAGCCGATGAAACTTATGAGATGTTTTTCGCGACAACGTTGAGAGCTTCCATTCACGTTGACGAAAAAGTTGCGAGCCTCGACGGTCGCGTTAGTGGCCTGAAAAATATGTTTGACGGGCTGCTGGCAGATGGGAAGCGAGTAGCGTCCCAGGTACGTCGCAGAGTTGACTCTGTTGCGACAAGAAACAGCGCGTCTTCGGGCTCCGTCATGGAAAGTTCAGAAAACCAAGAAGAAGTGGATGATTTTAGCACTGGCCACGCTTACGAACATGACGAACTGCTGAAGAACGACCTGATCTCTACGGACGATGGGGATATAAATCAAGATCACTTGGAGTCCCAACGCAAGAAGCTGGAAAGCTTCTCGTTCACAGATCCTCTGGACTCGAGAGAGGACAGCTTTGTTGAGTTCGAGGCGTGAAGGGCGTTACGTCATAAAAAGCAGCACACAATCGATCCAAAGGCGTTGGTTATTCTAAATGAAACACAGCGACAAACAATGATTGATAAAACATGAGAGACGCTATTTACACCTCACAGCGGGCAAGAATAATATTTCACGGGTCTACACGGCGAGCAACTGAAGGGGAAATGACCATACGTCATATTATCACTTTTCTCGAAATGAAAAGCTGCAACAGGGACACCAAACCAGAACATAACTAAGGACTTCGAGGGAAATAACTACGACACTTAAATGGCAATTCCTGGTGAATAACAACGGTACTGCAAGCGCTTGACAAGGGCACAATCTTGACTAAAATCATCTCTCCAGAAACTTGAACGGTAACTGTCACTTCGTTCGTGATGATTATGGTCTTTCAAGATGTCGAAATAAGAGCAAGGCATATTTTGCGTGGAATTGGTTAGTAAACTGACAGCTACAATTAGACGTTGCGGATCAAACACTGCCAAAAGGTCTACCAATGAACTCTTTCCTCACAAAGAGAGGAAAGCTGTTTTTTCTGAGCAATGTTATTCACACACAATTAAAACCAACACCTCTTCAAGCTTCTCTGTTCAGTCCGTTGTTTAATTTGAAGCCAAATGCGAAGACAGTGGTTAAATCGACCAGGTTCTTCTCTCAAACTTCCAAAATCAATTTCAGTTGGAAGGATCTCTTCAACGGTGCAGGGAATAGCCGTTATGCAAGGCTGAACCGTTTTCAACAATTTCAAAATGGTGGGAACAGATCCACTGGCAGTTCGTTCGGTAGTAATAATCTGCGAAATGTTACCATTGCAGGTGTTTTGTTCATGGGTGCGACCTTTATTGGAGCACCTTACCTATTTCAGCACATTCCCCCGTTCACGTATTTCAGGTCACATCCCACGCACTTGGTATACGGCTTGCTAGGTGTGAACTGCGGTATATTTGCTCTTTGGCACGTCCCTAGATACTGGCGCTTTTTGCAAAGGTACATGCTTCTTGAAAAGGACCACATTTATAGTAAGTGGTCGCTTGTAGGCAGTGCGTTTTCTCATCAGGAAGTCTGGCATTTAGGGATGAATATGCTGGCACTTTGGTCTTTTGGTACCAGCTTGGCTACAATGCTTGGACCGGCTAACTTCACATCGCTTTATCTCAATAGTGCCATATTTGGATCCCTATTTTCGCTGTGGTACCCTCACATCGCGCGAATCTCAATGATGGCGCCAAGTCTTGGCGCTAGTGGTGCTCTTTTCGGTGTTTTCGGATGCTTTTCATACTTGATTCCACAAGCAAAGATAATGTTGTTTGTGTTTCCTATACCGGGAGGCGCTTGGATAGCGTTTTTAGGCTCAATGGTTTGGAACGCTGCCGGGTGTGCTCTGAGATGGGGGTCATTCGACTACGCTGCACATTTGGGTGGATCCTTGGCCGGCATAATATATGCATACTTGATCACGGAACGGGTTAAGAAAGAGAAGCAGCGCAGGATGAGGAGGCTATCGGGATTTTAAGGCTCTACACTAAATACTTGCATTCTTTATATACGAAGGACTTTCCCGACTTGTGGACTGGGTGATACTGGGATAATTGATGAGATGCAAAGGCAGGCGTTCCTTAAATCACTGGTAAGCCTCGCTGTCTTCATATCTGCTACCCCAACGGGAACACCAAGGCTGGCTAGTTTTAAATTATCTGCAAGTCACTAAGCTCATTTCCTTTTCATGAAGGCCTTACGTAAAACATAGAAGCCGTCCTTGCTATTCTTGGCTAGTTCAACGCTATCCCATGATCCACTAATTTCCCCGAGACTTGCGTCTTTGACCTGATTTTGAGCAGCATGGATCAAATCGTCATATTCGAGTGGTTTTGGGTTTCGCGGCAGTAGTCTAGCGTTTTTCGGATCAGTCTTCTCATTGACGTCCAGCGTCACCAGTTTATCCAAAAACACTAATTGATGCCCCAGCTTTCTGCGTAGAGATTCCACATCCTTGGGAAGTAGGCCAGATAGTTTCAAAAGTCTTTCTACTGTTTCCACTGATGGTAATTCCTGCACGTTTGTATCCTGCTCCATGAAGTCACCAATTGACCACTGTGGGGTCGCAACGTATTTCTTGATCTCTGCTAGATCTCGAAATTGAGGACCAACAGTACTCCTTCTATAGCCTCTTTTTGATATCAACGTAAAGACCCTCGTCCGCATAATAACTAGAGCTCTACGTCAAATTGGTACTGGATATGAACAAGGACGTTCGCCGTCTGTTTCGGCATCAAGATTGAAGCTACAGTTGGCTAATCAACCTTACATTGAAGTTTGAATATTTCAGCGTCGTAGACGTGAAGAATGATATTATAGTGATCAATTGAAAGAATCATACTCGTTCCAGGAGGGAATCGGAATCGCGAATTCAAGTAATTGCAGTATTGTTGTTATCTTTCGTTACATTTTAACTTGAAGAGCCTTTGCTGTTGGAGCTCTCGAAAACTATTTTAGGTGCGAAAAAATCATTTTATTTGATGGTCAACTCTGGAGATTCCGGGGAAGAAAGCGGAACTTAGCCGTCATGATACTGGTCAAGCTATTGGATTGACCTTTTTCTATTTTAGTGTGTTTTTATAAGTGCTCCTGAACTTCAATTGGGTGGTATTAGGCATTGCAGACGTTGGTCAATAATGTACCGAGGGCTTCGAGAAACAGTAGGCTTTTTTTAGAGTACCATCTTTCTAGATGTTTTTAGCTTGAAAACTCGGCTCAAATCGCTCAAGTCTTGGTCTTCATTTTATCTCTTTGATATGTCGTTATATGAATGCTTTTCATCGAACCGACGTTGACGCGGAGTTTGCATTTAGAAAGCCGTCGCGGAAAAAAGCCCTAAGCTTGGTGCTACGTGGTGCAGTACATCAATCAATGGCGAGTTCCCAGTTGATACATCAAATCGCTCGAGCATTGGCGTCACCAGAACTAGAGACTATACTATGAGTTTTCAATTCATCATTATATACGAGTGTGTCGTTTTCTCATGTCATCGAAGATCAGTTTCCATTGCTTAGAAGAATACCAATCTGGTGTCCTACCAAAGACCTAACAAGCACGATAAGCCCAGGCTCTCATAGCTACTGGCCAGTTTTTTTTTAAAAACTGTATCCGATCCTCGATCGTCTTCGAAAATCCCATACATACTACAAAAAAAAGCACAATTGCGAGCACTTTTTGCAATTTGCAAGCGAAGTTGTTTTATTTGGTTAACAAGCTATGTGTCATTTATTTTCAGCCACCAGAAACCTCAGAACCACCGTTATTATTGCCGGCGCCAGGACTCAAACTTTGATAAAAAGATCAAAATAACAAAAACCATCGTAACGAACTCAAAGTGCCCAAATGACATAGCTAAATTCTCCCGCTCAAGAATCACTCTTTTAAATCGATTCAAAATCAATTCGCCCAGGTTTCTCTATCAACACGTTCATCTCCCACACATGTCAGATCCTATGACGTCGTTAGCGATCGACCGGGTTTACACCATGCTTCTTTTTTCAGTATGAAAAAAAATTTGATAGCGCCTTTGAAGATGCGATGAGATGAGATGAGCTTCAACTTTGAATCTTTATAAACAATCCAGTTCTCAACCACTAACAACTTTGGTAACTACATCTGGTTAGTTCAGTATTGTGAAGCATTTTTACAGCTTTCTGGTAGATTTTTAAGCAAGCTTTTACGGCTACTGGTTGTGATTTTATTAGCATTTTGAAAAGATGAGAATCAAGAAGAAGAACGTTAGCGGCAACGCCAGGAACTTTGTGACTCGTTCACAAGCAGTCCGTAAGCTGCAGATTTCTCTTGCAGACTTCAGAAGACTATGTATCTTCAAAGGAATTTACCCTCGGGAACCACGTAACAAGAAGAAAGCCAACAAGGGCTCGACGGCCCCCACGACTTTCTACTACTTCAAAGATATCCAGTATTTGATGCACGAACCTGTGTTGCAGCGTTTTCGTGACCATAAGACATTTGCCAAAAAACTCACCAAAGCACTTGGCAGAGGTGAAGTCTCTGCTGCCAAAAGACTCGAAACCCACAGCCCCGGCTATAAGCTCGACCACATCATCAAGGAACGTTACCCAAGTTTCGCCGATGCGCTCGGAGACATCGACGACGCTTTGAACATGCTGTTTTTGTTCGCCAATTTGCCCGCTTCTGACCAAGTGTCGGCTAGAGTCACTCAGGATGCCCAAACTATCTGTAACCAGTGGTTGGCATACGTGTCGCGCGAAAGAGCCATTCGTAAAGTGTTCGTCTCCATCAAGGGTGTCTACTACCAAGCTTCTGTGAAGGGAGAAGACGTCAGATGGCTCGTTCCTTACAAATTCCCCGAAAACGTTCCAAGCGACGTTGATTTCAGAATCATGCTTACATTCCTCGAGTTCTACTCCACACTGATGCATTTCGTGCTTTACAAGCTTTACACCGACTCGGACCTCGTCTACCCACCAAAATTGGATTTGGCCAAAAACAAGATTATCGGTGGCTTGAGCGCGTACGTTTTGGAGAGTAACGCCGAGGCATCAAACCTGACCGCACCACAACTAGCTGCCACGTCGTCTGAGGCGCAATCTTTGGATTCAAGTGCTCTATCTTCTGCTTTGAAAGCTGATAATGCTGGTGACGCGAACGAACAAAAAGAAGGCGAAGAAGAAGATGAAGCAGCAGGGGAAGAGGATGCCTTGGACACTTTCGAAGACAACAGTAAAAACAAGGGTGATACCTTGGAACAACCCAGTGAATATGATTCACCAGCAGCCACTTTATTCTCAGACTTCGTATTCTACATTTCTAGAGAAGTTCCAGTCGACATACTTGAGTTTTTGATCTTGTCGTGTGGCGGTTCAGTGATTTGCGAAGCCGCATTGGATCAACTGGACTCTGTCAAGGACATCGACTTGTCAAAGGTCACCCATCAAATCGTAGACAGACCCGTTTTGAAAAACAAGGTTGCTGGAAGAACATACCTCCAACCTCAGTGGGTTTTCGATTCCATTAACAAGAGTGAGCTTTTGTCTGTGAACAAATACCTGCCCGGTGAGTCTCTACCGCCTCATTTGTCTCCATGGGGAGATGCGGGCGGATACGATCCAGAAGCTGAACCTGTTGAGGAAGAAGGTGAAGATGAAGAAGAGGATGAAGAAGAAGAGATAGAAGAGGCTGAGACAGCTGACGCGATCGCTGAAGATGAAAGTGAAGAGGAGCTTGAAGATCAAAAGGAGCTTGAACTTGAAGCCAAGGGTATTTCTTATTCCGATTCGAAGGACAAACAGGACGAAAAGAAACCTAAGAAGTCAGCCAAGCGTAAAGTAACTGAAGAAGAAGAAGAGAAGGATTTGAGGACTATCATGATGAGCAACAAACAGCGCAAACTCTACAAGAAGATGAAATACTCGAATGAGAAAAAAGATGATCGAGTTGACAAGTTGAAGAAAAAGAAGAAAGCCATTGCCAAGGCAAAAGCGAAGTTGAACGACTCGGAAAAATAAGATGGTTTTTTTTCATAGCATTCTTAACCACGCTCACCCCCCCGTGTACATTTATAATCATTTATAAACCCAAGTAATTGAAATGAGGAAGTCAAGGTCTTAAAAAGGGCTACCTGAACTTTTCATATATCATTTAGATTCTCCAGCCGAGAGTCCATAGATTTTCGATCTGGGATCGTAAGGTCTATGTATCCGCTCAATTCTTTCTGGAGGTGAAGTAAAGCATTGGTGCCGTGATTTATACTCTTGATGTCAGTACTTTTCGCAACATTCACAAAGGCTTTTACAAGAAAGCCGCCTTTGGTTAGCTGTTGTGCTTCTCCGCCTTCAACTCGCCATATCTTCGACAGTTCCAAATAGACATTGTGCTTCATGTTAAATTTAACTCCCACTGTTAGAAGTTGGTAATCAAGGGTATATCCCAGCTCAGAGAGAAATGCTATTACCGACGGAGAGCTTCCACCCGTTGACAGTATGGTGCTTTCTATGATTGCTTGGGACGAAACCTTTCGATTCGACCCGGCAGCGGGAATGTCAGAGATACTCAGGATCCACGATTGTTCTGATGGTTTTTCCTCGTCTACCTCCATGTCATCCACGTCTATACTCCCATGAAGCATTTTTTGGAGGATCTGTAGATCGAATCCCTTCAAGTCATCGTCTGCAAACTTCTTAAGCATTCTGTAATCCCTTTTCTCGCTATCATTTTCCAGTGCATCTAGTGGTACACCTCTGCATAGTTTTAGTCTGTTCTGCTCGATCAGTTGGTTTTTGGAGTTCGTCTGTTCGATGTCGAAGCTAGAATTAGGCTTGAACATAGCTGTAAAGTTGCTGAACAAGACAGGAGGGTTTCCTGATAAGTTGCACAGCGTGGACGTGCACAGTTCGTATGAATCATCGTCAATTGCCGATGTCAGGCATAGTTGAAGAACCATCGTTGTGTTTTCGTGGACCTGTCAAATGTTTAGATTCTTAATGTTAAAGCATTTCAATAATTCTTATTTCTACCTAGCACTTTAATACCCTGTCAAAGTTAAAGCTAACAAACAAGAGCTTCAAGTGTCGACATCTAACTATCATGGCAGTTGATGTTCCACGGTATGTGAGATTCAAGGTTAAAAACGGCTTTTCGAAGCGGTCCTTTAGCGTTATTTTGGCGTGATTACCGAAATGCTACTAACAGAACCGTTTAACAGTGAGGTTATCCAAAAACTGATGTTTTTCACTGCAGCAATGGTTATAATTCCTGTGCTGTCCTTTTTTCTAGTACAACAAGTCACTAGTAATACTTTGGTGAGTGGCGGGTTGGCTGCCTTAGCTGCCAACTTGGTACTAATAGCATATGTGGTAATGGCTTTCAGCGAAGACTCCGGTTCCAGCGGTTCAGAGGACATGAACCCGGAGGAGAAAAAGAAAAATTGAGTACGCGGTGCGTTTAAAGAACTGGATTTCCAGTGGTGTTACTCACCAAGTCGTGTATCTCTTGAATGTATCTATGTCCGGATTATTACGTTATTTCTTTTAGAGAATTTTATATGAGCATGGTGTTTGCCATAGACTTTTGAGAGGGACCTTGTCCCAGACCAGCTAATCAGTTGGTCTTTTTGATTGGGTTCGCGGGCTTTTCAAAGGCCCCGTAACTGATGTCAAGACTGGTGATCCAGGAGATGGCCACAATCAAAATTGCCAATAGAATACCAGCCACAATCAAGCAGCTAATCAGTCCTTCTGTCCACAAAGTGCTCATTTCGTTGCTGTCGCCGGCTGGAGTGCTAGGCTCGGGTTGTTTTTCAGGGTCCGAGACATCGACTTCGGAGGTCTTGGCCGTGCTCCTGGTGTAACCTTCGCTAACAGAGGGCACTTGGATGACGATGTTGTCGATGTTTGCGAGGCTCTCCTCCAAAAACAGGTACGCGGTTTCCAAGTACTCGTCGAGACTCGTTAAATCGTACTCCGAGTCTGTGAATTCGAAGACGACCACATCGTTCTCACGGTCGATCTGGTTATAAAAAGAGGCCAAAGGAGACTTGGGAAGCTTGCCTATTTGGATAGGAGAAGAGTCCGCTTCGTCAACAAACGAATCGTGATTCCACACTTGGTTCACTAGTTCCTCGAAAAAGGTAGGCAAAAATCTAATTTCGGCCGGAGATTGCACAATTTGAGCCAACAAATCAAACTTCGTGAATCTAAAGCATATCAAAGGTTCTTCTGCATAGCTCAGAGTTGAAAGTTCGGCCCAACTCTCAACGCCATCTTGCTGCAAAGCGTCCTTGTAGCGCTGTGAGTTGACGGCCAAAAAGCTTGTTCCGGCGGCCGAAACTTGTAGGAAAAGCGCGACAGCCACTAAGATAGATTGGAAAATCATTGTTCCGGACGCTCTCGGTTGCCAGAAGTGGTGTTATTCCTGGTGTTCTTGAGCAACTAGTTGCACTTAGAACTGTATGATTTGTTCAGCTATCGTATCCCTTCATAATTAAGACCGTAAAGTCACCTGCCGTATAAAATTTTCAGGCGACTAAAGGTTTTCGTATTTCGAATAAGTAGGCGGGCAGATAATTGGGTAGAAGGCGCGAAATCAGAATTTACAAAGGTGATTAAGAAAAGAGCAAGGAGAAGAGAGTGGGAAAGAGCGTGGGTATTGAAATAGAAAAGTGTCTTTGAAAGCGTATTAGCTTAATTAGTTCATTGGGTCAGCTTTTGTTAGGTTTTGAGTTGTGATCTTCACTTTGTCACGCGCAAGAATTATCAGTCTTGAAGTGAGCACATCTGGGCATTCGCTATTGTATTATTTCCTGGTAGATGTTTTGGATTCTCGCATTCTTGGCATATTACTAGCATGCTCTCACTCTAATAGCGTCATCAAATCGAGCCATCTATAAATTGCAATCATTTTATCTTCTCTCAACAAGCATCCAAGGTACTCTGGCCGAGTGGTTTAAGGCGCCAGGTCGAGGTCCTGGTCTCTTCGGAGGCGTGAGTTCGAATCTCGCGGGTATCATTATTTTTTGGTTTTTTTCAGCCGTGGCACTTAAATCGCTGGCAACTTGAAATAAGAGTTGTATTCCATTTTTTGGATTACTGATACAACGGCTACAAACACGTTGCTGGAGGTCAGTAATACGCCCTCTTTAGCTCCTTTACCCAAGCCGTCTAAGTAGAAATAAGCTTCTTCTTAATCCTTTCAGATCATACTTCACGAATCGACATACATGTATTACCTCATCACACAGCACTCTCTCATCGAATTTGAAGATCGCATTTGAAGCTCAGATCGATACATTCAAACAGTGAATAGAGACCAATCCAGCGTTTCAAATGTCCCTCGAGGCTATTTTATTCGATAGATCTAACCCACAAAATGTCACGGTGAAAGTTTTGGACCAATTACTGCTTCCTTACACCACCAAGTATGTCCCCATCAACACCATCGACGATGGCTATCGTGTGATCAAGTTAATGCAGGTGCGAGGCGCACCAGCCATTGCCATCGTTGGAGCACTTTCGGTACTCACAGAAACGCAGCTGCTGGGAAACGACGGTTTCATGAAAACACAAGCGTTCTATGATGCGACTGATTTCGAGACTGTGCGCTCTAGACTGAGCCAAAGACTAGCGTTTTTGCTCGACAGTAGACCTACTGCAGTAAACTTGTCAAATGCTTTATCTGAAATCGAAAAAATCTTGAGCAAGGCTTCCAGCTTGGAGGTTTTCCGCACTCAGCTTTACGACTTCATTTGTCAGTTAATAGACGATGATCTGTCAAACAATGTGAAAATGGGGAACAACGGCGCTGAATTTTTGTTGAAACAGCTCGAAAAAGAGGGCTTTGAAGATGACTTTGCTGTTCTAACCATATGCAACACAGGCTCTTTGGCCACGTCCGGTTACGGTACCGCTCTTGGTGTGATTAGGTCGCTGTGGGAAGATTCCATGGCCAAAGTTTCCAGCGGTCAAGAGAAAGGCAAAAAACGCAAATTCAACAGTGGGGCTGCCAAAATGACTCATGTTTTTCCTCTAGAAACACGTCCTTACAACCAGGGCTCGAGGTTGACCGCTTATGAGCTTGTGCATGACCAGATTCCTGCCACACTGATTCCGGACAGCTCTATCACGTATCGCATAGCGACTAGTGACATTCCAATAAAAGCAGCATTTGTTGGTGCTGACAGAATTGTTCGCAACGGTGACACGGCAAACAAAATTGGTACGTATCAACTAGCTCTCATTTGCAAGCAGTTCGGTGTCAGGTTTTTTGTTACTGCTCCAAAAACTACTATCGATAACGTCACTGAGACAGGAGCAGGTATTGTTGTCGAAGAGCGCAAAGCGGACGAGTTTAAACACGTCTCTGGTACTGTCATTGATGACATCACTGGAATGCCACAATTGGACAGCGACGGCAAACCTATTGCCGGTAAAGTTGGGGTTGCTCCCGTTGGAGTGTCGGTTTGGAACCCAGCATTTGATGTGACGCCGCATGAGCTGATAGACGGGATCGTTACCGAATCTGGAGTTTTCACCAAGGACTCAGAGGGGAAGTTTAACCTTGCAGACCTTTTCTGAATAGTACGAAGCTCAGTGCCGTGTATATAATTTTTGCAGAGAAGCAAACAGCAGGAACGTTTTACATAACAGGAGAGCATACGAAATGGGGCCAGTATGATAATGAGGCTTTCTTCACGACAGATACTTGGAAGGATCAACGATGTGTTGGGGGACATCGACTCGTGGCATTGGAACGCAGACTGGTGTGCTACCGACCAATGCTTAAAGTGTAAATTGTTTTACAAAACATGTAAAGGCCCGGCAAAGACTCACCTTTCAAATACACTTGACATACAAAACACACATTCTGAGCAAGGATCAATTCATCCTACAAAGCCGTATCGATGGGCATCAGCCATGGATGCCAGGATATAGCTAAACCACGCCTTACGAATACATATCACAATGAACGAAACTGACACTCAAAAATTGTGACACCTTCTCTAACGACGTGTCTTTCTAACAACAACTTGTTTTATACAACGATCACTTCAAAAACCATGATACGTGTATCCACAACTCAAGTTGTGAATTAAGCCAGATGTGTGCACACTGATTAATAACCTGAATATCTCGATCGGCGGCTAATCACTTTGCTTAGACTCAAGGAGCCAAAATTGAACGCGTTGAGAGCTTATTTTGACGCCCAGCAACAACATCACCCACAGCAGATTAAACCAACATTCTCACTCCATAAGAACGTCTACCAGGAGCTCAACATACACCGACTTTAAGCCTGATGGGATGTACCAATCAAAACCAAAAAAAATAATAAGAACTCCTCATAGGGGGCTCGAACCCCTGACATTTCGGTTCCTTGCAAGCGGTGCTTAAAAGCCGAACGCTCTACCAACTGAGCTAACAAGGACGAGTTCTCCCTGGATTCAAACTCGAGTGGGAATTTGACTGCTGCTGCTAGGGCCGGCAACTGACACATCATGAGAGAAATTGCCAAATCTCCCAGAGAAAGGCTACAAATGGGCTACCGTCTTACTATGATGATTTCGCTGCGTCCCAACATCTGATTCTCCTCGCAATTTTCTAAGAAAAATTTCCGCTGAAATTGCAAATCGTTCTTTTGAGTCCAAAATTATTTTCCCGGCAATAGCGAAAAGGTCAACCCAATAGCTAAAAACCTACTTCTGCTCCACCCTGGCCGCTTTAGACGTTCTAAACGCTCGCGACGCTCTCGACATCGAAACGCGCTTTTAAATTCAAGCTCGTCAGCTGACCTCAGGGCTCTACCTACGACAGCTCATCGCGGCTTCCCAATCCAGTAATTGGTAAACATCAACAGATATTCGAGAGCCGTTAGCCCTAAATGGTCGTGGTCGAGCCCAAGCTGGAAAGACCTAAACACAAGCGAGTCCCACTCACACAGCAAAGCCAGATACGGAAACCAAAAAGAGTGGGCATCATCAAGTCAAAGAGATTTTTCTGCCAATTTGAATTGTCTTGTGGTAAATCCTAGAGATATCAGTCGCATATCCAGTCTATCGAATCGATTCCAGTGGCACAAAGATCCCCAAAAGATTGCGTTGGTAGAACACCCGATTCAGGCAAAACGGAAACATCGTGCAAACACAGAAACAAACAGCACAAGCTTTGCCTGTCCGACTCCTGTAGAGTTTTTTTCCCTGAATACTTATAAGGATTTCTTGAGATCTACGCATTTTGAGGAACTCAAGTTGTAAGTTCTCTCATACTCTCGTCTCGTCTCGTCTCGTCTCGACTCGCCAAGGCTCCGATTTTTGTGTTCGAGAAGCTTCTGTTCTTCTTCTTCTTCCTTTCCAAGTCCCTGCCAGCACCGACCTGCCTGCCAGCTCTTGAGCTTCCAGCGTCTAGCACCAACGACTAGGATTAAACTTTTTTGTTACCAACAATCTGGCCCCCCAGCACCGCACCAAAGTGTCGTTGCAAGACTAGCCCTCACGTCGTCGACAGCTTTCACGCCAAAAGTGGTCACACAGAGCAGCGCTCGCGTCACCCCCCTCTGTCATGTCGTTTGTGCCGAGTGAAAACCCTCTCGATGCTAGACCTCGAACTTTAAAGTCGACTCGTGCAGCTTTGAACAATGTAACAAATACTACAGTTGCACAAGAAGCCAAGACCGCCAATTCCAGTGCTCGCTCATTGGGTAAAGCGCTTCGCACCGCAAGATACAGGCTACAAAATGCCAAAGCCACTGGCTCTTTGATCCCACAGGCAAGGCGCGAAGATGCTGCCGAACAAGAGCTCTCGTCAACCACTTCAAAAAGTACAAGTCGGTCCATCGTCAATTCTATAAGCAGCGCGACTTCTGGCAATCAAACAGCATTGCGGGATTCTATGCCAACAGAGCTGGGCAAAGAAAATGTGGATCCTTACTCGACAAAGCTATCCAGCATCGAAGAAGAACACCATCTCTCGCAGCCACAATCGGTTTCGAGCTCCAATGACATGCTAAACTACGATACAAATCAAACAATTCTCAAAGACTCGGACTACAGCAATGTAATGCAAACGGAGATTCCAAGCAGCATGGACCAAGAACAAGGGCAGGAACAGCAGGATTCCGGTCAACTCGTTGAGACTCTCAGTGATATCAGCAAAAAGAGACCTATATCCACCGTGGTAGAGCAAGATGAGCCCAAAAAGTTTAAAGTGTGCGCCAAGGGAACAGAATATGAATGGGAAGACCTCGATTCTGAAGATGCAAACGATCCATTCATGGTGAGTGAATACGTCACTGATATCTTTGAATACCTTCACAAGCTAGAAATTATGACGCTTCCAAACCGCCATGACCTATACAAGCACAGCAACATCCGACAAAACAGAGATATTTTGGTAAACTGGATGGTGAAAATTCACAACAAATTTGGTTTACTACCAGAAACTCTCTATTTGTCTTTGAACATTATGGACAGGTTTCTCTGTAAAGAGCTCGTACAATTAGAGAAGCTACAGCTAGTGGGAACCGCATGTTTATTCATTGCCTCAAAATATGAAGAAGTGTATTCGCCTAGTGTCAAACATTTTGCATACGAAACTGATGGCGCGTGTGATGAGGACGAAATTAGAGAAGGAGAGAAATTCATCTTGAAAACACTAGAGTTCAATCTCAATTATCCAAATCCCATGAACTTTCTCAGAAGGATCTCAAAAGCAGATGATTACGATATACAATCACGAACGCTAGCAAAATACCTTCTGGAAATATCAATTGTAGACTTCAGATTCATCGGTATCCTACCATCTCTATGTGCCGCCACAGCTATGTTCCTCTCCAGAAAAATGCTGGGCAAAGGGAAGTGGGATGGCAATCTGATTCACTACAGTGGCGGTTACACAAGAGAAGAACTTGCGCCAGTGTGTAACATGGTTATGGACTATCTAGTCCAGCCTGTGGTTCATGATGAATTCTTCAAAAAATACGCATCAAGAAAGTTTATGAAAGCATCAGTTATTTCAAGACAATGGGCCAAGAAAGTTGTTGCTCACGGTTATGACATCATGACTTTACATGAAACCTCCGAGTGAATAAATTGGCAACAACCTTCATCGGTGCCATCAAATTGTCGGTTGAATACCCTTAATTTCGAAGTCAAAAGCGGTAAAAACAAAATAACACACAAACAACCAGGACGAAGCTGAGAAACTTGATCTCTGGATTCGTACCTCCATAAATTCAGTTCTAGGTAGTCAAGACCAAAAAAAAGAGTCTTGATACTTTTTCACAATCATAATTCTACTTTAGCATAACCGCGAATAATGTATCGAGTTTAATTCAAGAAAGCAGGGATTTCAAAGCAATCTACATAAGCAATAGAGAGTAATAAGAAAAGACGAAAAGATTAGGAAAAATGTTTCAGTTCTTGATGAATGCATTCTATTAATTATTTTTTATGCTAATGCTTCTACTTACCCATTAAAACAACCCATCGAAATTACTTGCAACGACTACGTCACACCAAACTTTTGCCGGCTCAAAGACGCTGTCTGTCGCTTTGCTTCTATATTTCAGCTCTAGAGCCTTTAATTGAGTGCTTGGTTTGGAAATCTCTTTTATTAAATTGCAGCATTCCTTTTGGAAAGCTACGTCATGAAAAACATCAATACCACCACTGTAGTGCCTGAAGGTCTCGCTCCACTTGGTGTCTTTATCTAGACATGCCCTGGCGCAGTACATGGCCATTGCGCTGATACGCGACGGCACGACATCCACGAATTCAGGGCAGCACATTGCGTACTCCATGAAGAATTTCGCAATGCTTCTAGTTTTATTATCGTACCCGTCAGCCTTGGATATTCTGCGCAAAAAGTTAAGCGGATTTGGCCATCCAATGTTGAACTTCAGCGTTGTGAGAACGTACATCTCTGCTTCTTTGATATCTTGACAAGTGCAAGCCCCGTCAGTGATATACGCGTACTGCGAAAGCTTAGGGAGGTTTATTTCTTCGAATTTCGCAGCGATGAGCAAGCTGCTCACCGCCAGAAGTTGTAGTTTAGCCATTGAGACTTTGCGTAGGGACATGAATCTGTCCATGACGTTAATGGACAAGTAGAGGGTTTCTGGAAGTAGCTGAAATTTCTGGTGAACTTCTATGAGCCAATCGATGAGAATAGCCCGCAAAGAGGGCCTGAGATGCTGTGGTGAGTCTGTGCTCTTTAGATAGTTGTAGGTCGCGGTTGTCTGGCCTTCTCGCTGATAGAGGTGGTCGAATATTTCGTCTGTATATTCCACCACCATGCATATGTCGTCTTTTTCGTCTAGGTCGAGATTTTTCCACGCTGCAAGATTACTGGCATCCACCACAGCGTCTGCTGAGTCCATCTCAGCGCCCTGTTTCTCGTCGTCGTGATCTCTGTGGTCCTCGCTTTCGTCGTCGCTCCTGTATATTTTCTGCTTTTTGCGTGCAGGTTCCTGGCTGGCCTGCGGCTGCAACTCTTGTGTCGAGACCGTCGGCAGCTTTGAGTCGTCCTGCGACAGCTGCGACTGCCAGTTTTGCACCTCTGCTAGCTCTCGACGGGGCACATCGCTGCAGGATGCTCCTGCGATACTTTTGGGTCTTCTGGACGGCCTGGTGCCGCCTGTGAGAGCGACTGCGTTTTCATCTGTCACAGCGTTACTATACGTGCGACTTCTGGCCAAGTTACTCATTCTTCGTATATCCCGTGTGTGTATGTGTGTGTGAGTTATCTGCAAAAGCTATTGGCTTCCCTTCGCTCTTCCTAGTCTCCTGTCCTTGGACTATCACTATCCACCGCGATCACTTCCTCTGAAAGCTCTCAACTTTAAATACCAACCCACTGCAATGGGAACTGCTCAACTTTTCGTCCTACTGAATACGCCTTTCTCACCAGCACGCGTAACTGCCGTCGCCCAAGCTTCACGCTTTCGATATTTTTCGCTCCACACGTTCCGCGTTCTAACTTGAACAGGTTAGCACGACCCAATCCTATCCCAATCCTTCACGTTAACTCTCAGTTTCGCGGTTTTCTTGCTTGGTATCCTATAGTACCTGGTTTACCATTTTATAATTCTTACGCGTTTTGGCGTCTTATTTACTAGATCTTCATGTACGAGGTGGTATAGACGCCATTTAAAGCTTCAAAATATTGAGAACTAGCCTTCCCATATAACGAAATACACCAAACTAACGCGTAAAGCGCCGAACAAGTATTCAACATGTTTCGCGTCGCAGCTTTCCACCGTTGAGAGTTTTTGCCGCCGACGGAACAAGCGGGTGTGAGATCGTTAAGCAGGGCTTGAGAGCCGTTGTGAGTTTTTTGAATGGTTGTGTTGGTAAGAGTCTTCGACTGCTGTCTGGATGAGGAAATGATGAAGATGGGTTGAACGCAGAGCTATTGGCACGTTGAATGGAGTTACAGAGGGAAAAGATTGAGAGTTGAAGTGTTTACGAATTAATATTCAAGAAGAATCGTCCAGTCTGCGAATTAGGATAAGCACCACATTCGCTTTATCACTACAACGGCTCAAAAGATGAAATTGTGACACGAACGACAAAGTTGCGTTCCTTTGATCACATATAGACACCTTTGTCCAGAATTGGGAAATTGCCACTTCATGCCAAGAAAAGTAGGCTTTTCACGGCAGGTCATCGAATCCGGTACAATTGAGCCAGACCAAGCAATAATTGGGGCCATTGAACGATTTCTGCGCGCTAAAGCCAATCGATCTGCAGCAAAAACTTCATCTCGTTATCCAAAATTATTCTACAATGCTCCAAATTGACTAAATCAATTGTAGATACTGTCACCAAAAACTTTACAAGTGAGGTCACCGAAATTTTCCTCAAGAGCTACTCGGTAAAGCTCTAAAGCACGTTAGCCACACAGCGGCGATCGTGGTGTGCATGATACAACCCGCTTTCATGGCTTTGATCCAAAACGTGAATTGAATGAATCGCAGCATCGATCTGTTTTAGCACAGAAAACACCATATCAGCCTTCCAGCTTAAAGGTTGAGGAAGCACTCAAATAATAGCCTTGGAAACTTGCGTCAGGAAGTTTGGTGATGATAACTTTTATTTCATAATTTGCCAGCAGACAAGAACTTGGTGACAGACGAGATTTCCTAGCAGATTGTGCAAAAGTACTAACTGACATGAAGCAAAGGGGTATGCTTTTTCTGGGAAATTCACATGAAGAGGAAACGATCAGAACTCATCGACAGTGCGGAAACAATACATACAAAACTCAGTGCTACTGAGAGACTCCGAAGAGTTTCAACATCTTCAAAATTACAAAAATAGGTTTCAGGAAAGGATACTCGTTCAAGCAGAAAGAGACTTTACGAAGTCATGATAGCACTACACATGGCGGGAAGTGGATCGCACATAAAGCATATAAAGACGGCATACAGCCCCATCGTCAAAGCGTGCATCCGTTGTCTGCACACAGAAATTCATCGACCATCGAATAACGAGTTTTTGTTGGCATTACCTATCGCTAGCGGTAAGTGGCCTTACAAATGAATCAATCTCAGGGTAGGGCTTTCGAGAACTCTGTGGGGAGCCAATGCGATCTTAGTGGTGACTTACAGATTTTCCAATGCCATGTGGTAAGGAAGCTACGAAATAATAAGCCATCAACTTATCGTTCTGCTGACCACTGTTTCTCGCATTTAGTCACTAGTGGGTCGATATCTAAGATTAGCGCTCAGAAAATGACATTGAAGCCTGGAATCAAATTCACAATGTCGTCAGGTAACTAACCGAAAACAGACAAACATCCAGAAACAGCCGTTCAAGCAAAATAGGCTCCATCACGCTCTTCATGATATATGCACACAGCACGAGTGAGTCAGAGTGCTGCCAAAGACCAGATTCTTCTGCAATTCTACATGCACTGCCAAACTAGGCAAATCTCGAACCCCCAGACTACGAACTGCTTATACTGGATGTGAACGAAGTTAAGCTTTTAAACCTATAAAACCCACATATCCCAACTATACTTGCTTTCTCCTATATCCTCCTCTCGGTGGCCAAGTTGGTTTAAGGCGCCAGACTGTAATTTAAACACTGTAATCTGGATATCGGGCGTTCGAATCGCCCCCGGGAGATTTTTTTACTTTTCCAATATTTCAATTCTATTCTGGCACCTACATCTCATTCGTGCCCCACAAACAAACTACTATCACTCAAACCTAACAAGACCATCATGGAACCTCAAAAAGATGCAACCCTACAGCAAGGTCGCTAGGTATCGCCGTTTTACTTTTGTAATGGGGGTTCAAGATAGTATTTATTCATGTCAACCACGTTCATGAGCGGCCCAGTGTGAAACCAATTCGTGATTTGTCGGTGGAAGCTGCAATGGTGAAAAACTTCGAAGTGGTGTTCTATACGCCAATATCGTGTTCTGATCGCAGCACTAAGCTGTGTCAACTGGAAAATGGGATCCTGGCTTTGCTGGTGTCCGATCCCGCAGATTCTTTCGCATCGTGTAGTCTTACAGTGGGATCCGGTTCTCATAATGATCCAGACGAGATTCCAGGACTTGCACATTTATGTGAGCACGTCATTTTAGCCTCAGGATCCAAGAAATATCCCATTGGAAATCATTACCATGAGCTCATCGCTCAAAATGGAGGATCCCACAATGCGTACACTACCGGCGAAAACACGACGTTCTACTTTGAACTACCAGCAACCACAGACCAGGGCGAGTTGGTGTTCGAGAAAACATTGGATGTCTTCGTGTCATCGTTCCAGAGTCCAATATTTACTGACCAGGTCATCAATAAGGAGATATATGCCATTGAAAGTGAACACAATGTGAATAAGGCATCCGTGAGCAAACAGATGTACCATGCAACCCGTCTTCTGGCCCAGAGAAACCATCCGTTTAGTCGTTTCTGCACTGGCAATTTTGAGACACTCACCAGTCTCCCCGCTCTTCACAAGCTGTCTGTGAAGAGCTCACTTGCAGCTTATTTCAAAAACTGCTATCGAGCCTCGAATATGACAATCTGTATCAGATGCTCCCAGTCTCTGAATTTCCTGACAAAAATTGCAGTGAAGTATTTCGGTGGCGCAATTGGTGGATCAGGACCTACTCAGCGGCCCACTCTACCGCGCTCACCTTCTTCCAGATTCCAAACTGCGAAAAACGACTCTCATTTGCCAAACTTCAAGCTTGCCAAGAGGGAGTGGGCTCCAAAGTATGGGGATAAAGAGATATTTACTTCGTCTACAAACCTGATAACGATCAACTCGACCAAATCACCCATCATGCGGTTGGTGTTTCCGGTCAGCCACAATTCAACGCGACTTTCCAGCAGCACTTTGGTGCACTTATCCCATGTTTGGTGTGAGGTTTTTGGGGAGGAAAGCGTTGGATCTTTGGCACATTGTCTCAAAGCTCAGAATCTTATCACTTCAATAACGTCATCCGTGTCTCATTTTGCCACTGGTGAGGATGGTTTGATCCTCGAGCTAAGCCTTACGCAGAGGGGATGGCAAAGTGTTGATACCATATTGAGGACTCTATTTGATAAATACATTCCTGAATTTATTCACGATCAAACAGAAGGCATTGCTCAGTATCTTAGCGACATCAATGCCATCGAGCTGCTCAAATTCTTATACCAGAGTACTGAAGTTTCTCCTATGGAACTATGTGCAGAATACAGCACTCGCATGCTTCTAGACATGGAAGCTCTCAATCCAGAATGCCTGTTGAAAGGCTCCCCATTGCTTGAGTGCAACAAGATTGAGTCACCTATTGGAGAATTCGCAGAATCTTCGAGAAGCAAAACGTGGTGGATAGGACAAGCTATTATATTTCAGAACTTCGTAAGTGACTTTGTCAACCGTCATAACTTGCGACTCATAATGTTTGGAGATCAGTCAAGTTCAACTTGGTTGAAATCGAAAAGCACGTTCCTCAATTCTGATGTGAATTACGAGTTTGATTACTATAAAGCAGCAATCGATATGTTTTCCATTGACGGCCCAGACGAAACCGTTGCGACGTATTCTTACAACATACCGCGATATGGACCCTTTCTGCCGTCCGCTGGTAAAAATTTAGGCTTGATAAAAAAAGCTTTGAAGGCGTCTTCATTTCGCGCCCAAGAAGCCGCTTTATCGCTATTAGCTAAAAGCGAACTCATGCAAAGCGCCCCTCGGTTGGTAAATAAAAATGCCAGGTGTGAGATGTGGGTGAAAGAGGAGGAATTTGACCTATCTTTCAGGTCCAAGACGATGGTAAGTTTCGAGGTTATCAGCAAGTCCGTTAGAGGCTCGCCTTCTAACACAATGCATCTCGAGATTTTAGGTCAACTTTTAGGAACTTCGCTGTCGTCCGATCTCTACCCTGCCGAAAAGATTGGCTACACGTACGAAATGTCTCCATCTAGCAAAGGCGACGTGAGAATGGGGTTTACCATTACAGGATTCCCCGAAGGAGTGAACGCTTTGATCAAATTGATCGTACTCCGTCTGAAATCGTTGGCAAGTGGAGATTGTATCACACCAGCCGCATTTCGCCAGGCTCGAGTGGCAGTCAGAACTAGCTATGAGAATGCTGCTTCAGAAAACTGTACTACGCTAGCTACTTTGGGACTGCTTATAATGTTGGAAGAATGCATGTGGTCGGTAGAGGACCGCCTTGAAGCGCTCGAGGAGATTGAAGCTCTTTCCTTTCGAGCCTTCTGCGGAAGCTTCTTCGAGGGCCTGATTTATCTTAATCTCTTTATTCAGGGCGACCTCGTTTTCTCTGACTCGGTGTATAACTTTCTGCTGTCTGGGCTGACGGGTGATTGTAAATTGGGACCTGAGTGTCTCGTTCAGGAGCCCACGACAAAAGTATTAGAACCTGGTACAAATGTTTTCATCAAACACCAAGGTTCGCCTGACGACCCAAATAATAGCATTGTCTATTTTATTCAAACGGGGGACCGCGACGACACACGCATATATACTCTAACGAGTCTCACGGAGTATATTCTTTCCGTTACCTTGGTTCCGGACTTGCGTATCAAAAAGCAAGTTGGGTATGCGATTTTCGGAGGGCTCAGGCTACTGTCAACGACGGTTGGGATCCATATTACATGCATGTCAGGGTCTCCCCCTGAACATCTAGAGTCGCAGATTGGCGAGTATCTTTCTTACATGGAACTACACCTGCTAGCGACGATGACGGAAAACAACTTTCAAGAGATTTACCTGAAGAAATTTAGGAGGATGTGTCAGTGCGGCTCAGGCGACAAATTACAAAAGACGGCTGGTCCGGCAGATGTTATGGGTCAAATCGAGGCAAACGTACAAAGTGGAAATCTGTCGGAGCAAGGCGCGTCTATGCGGCTCCATAAGCGCATCAAACATCAGATTTCTACTCGCAGGTACAATTTCGACGTTGAAGCTGAGCCCTTGGACGAAAATATGCTGAAAAGTCTCACTTTGAAGCAATATGTCAGGTTTTTCTGTGAAAAGATCTCGATATACTCGACCAAACGAAGCAAAATCTCTATTATGGTGGAGAGCGTAATGAGCACGGAGGAAGTCTCGAAAAAACGCCTGTACTTGCAAGTCGAAAGCTATTTGAAGCTCAAGGGACTGCGAATATCGCGGCAGGAACTAAGCAACATCGTGAATGCCTCGCAGGGCAGGCACCAGCGACTACTCAAGGAGCTTTTGAAATATTTTGTGGCCAAGGGCGAGACCCTGAAAGTGTGTAACCTCGCGCTCAGGGAAGTCTGCAAGACATTAGTTTCGGCGATGACCACCAACGGTGGTAGTGGTCGCTCTCAGACGTTGGTCCTTATGAACGAAAAAGTCACCAATGCGATTCCCATGGTGGAAATCACCGACGTTAACCAGTACCGTCGACATCGTTGACTTCCGGTCTTGCAAAAGATAACGTTTTGAAATTGGGTCCAAGCTCGAGTTTGCGAAGCCGTCTTTGACACCTTTTTCTGCTACCCACTGGGAAATTTGTTTGAGGAGCAAATTTGATTTCTCGAAAAGCCTTTTACTCCCAATCTATCAACACAACCCATTTCATTCCCAGCAGTATTCTCTTTCAAGCACTTTCAGCCACTTCCCACCGCTCTCAACTCTGTTCCTCGTTGCCAATTGCACATCTTATCGCTCTTTGATTTCCGATCACGTGCCAAAACATCACAATCTTCAAATTTCGAAAAGGTCCGGGGGATTTTTGTACAAGCGCGGTGTTGATGTTGACTCTTATAAAACTACAACCGCGTCTCTCGAGCGGCAGGTGTATAAGAGAAGAGCAGAATACGGGCTTCGAACATCTCATTCAATCATATTCTAATCGTAAATCAAAGGAATTAACGAAGTGACTCTAGAGTTTGTGTTCACTGGGTACTTTTATCTTCACATATTTTAGTTTCCCGAAATGCAATCAGAGAAGAGAAACCTGTTGTTCGAGCCGGTTACGGACCCAGAGTTGATCAAATATACGCATTTGCAAAATGGCAGGACATGGAGACCAGAATTCTTGTCTATGGAGGACTACACGAAGCGTGAACATCTTTTGGGAACATGCGAAATTTCAAGCACAAACAAGTGTCAGGAAATGCAAAAGAGGTTCCCAGAGGGCAGCGAGCTTTTGGGAATTAAATACTTTGTGCTGAAAGACCTGAACCTGCCACAAACGTCGAAAACGTCGCAAATCGTGTCCAGTTGCGAAACGCTAAACCGGGTGGGCTGGGCCGTGACACCCGGATCCAAGGGTGCCATTAAACCCGTTCTTTCAGCATGTATCGGGGGCGTATTTACCATCCCGGAGTTCAGAGCCAAGAGGTTTGGGGCAGAGTTGATCACTCGTCTCAACGAGTATTATGACGGCATTTCCAAAGCGCCGGGCGCGCCGGAGTTTGTGCAAAATATTGTGATATTTTTGTACAGCGAAGTGGGCGAGTATTACAGCAAATTCGGCTACGTTTCGCGCCCAATCCCTGTGCATACGGTGGAAAAACTGGACGCCGTCTTAGAGCTGTACTGTGGCGGGAACAGCGACAGCGACAGCGCAAGTGCGGAGGGTCGCAACATTGGTTTTGATTGTGACGAACACTTCATAGAGCTGGAGAAGCAGAGTTTTGTCAAGGACGTTCAAAACGCGCATTCTTCCCGCGAGAATGCATTTGTGTTCACATTGGAGCCCTCCAAGGATATCTTCAAATGGTTCCATCACAGATCTTTGTATCATAAAAAATTCCTAGATCCTGCAAGTCCCAGTCGGTTTGGCTACGCCCTTGCTGACGGAAGTCATATTGTATGGCATTTGAACTATTGGCCACACCAAAGATCTCTATACATTTTGAAGCTGTACCTCGAAGGAGATACGGTGGCGAAGAAGGAAGCCAGCCTGAAAAAACTACTAGCACAAGCCATCCAAGAGGCTCAAGAGCATGAGGTGAAGTATTTGCAGTTTTGGGACACTGAATTGGGGCAGCAAGACTGGAGTAAGCCCTTTATGAAGTTCCTGCAAAAAGTTGAAGAACCTTCCAATTTGTACCAAGAAAACTCCTCAAGAAGTGCAATCAGAGTTGCAAATGTTAAGGCAGAGGATATTGAATGGAGGAATAATGCCAAGTTCTGTTGGTTCTAGGAGGAAAGACCCGGCTCAAAAAAGGTTAGTATGCTGTTTAACTAAGTTCAGCATAGGGCTAGTACTATATATAAAAATAATTAATTGATATGGTATGCATTTTCAAAAATGAATGCGCAAGCCCGGAATCGAACCGGGGGCCCAACGATGGCAACGTTGGATTTTACCACTAAACCACTTGCGCTGATGTTGAGGGTTAAAGAAGATTTATGTCAACTAGTCTTGATATGATAAAGTTGAGATGTTAACCAAGGCGCGGGAAGTTTATATGTGTTTTAACTTTGTAGATTAGACTAAATCAATTCATTTCACCAGTATTCAGATCAGTGACAATAGGCGAGTTTTCTCACTAGCCGTTTTTCGCTTTTAGCCCGAGCTTTTCACTAGAGAGACGCGTGAATGATTTTTTTTTCTTACGCGTCAGTGATTTTTCACAATATAAATATATTGTTATGAAAATCAACGATACAACGCTGAAGAGTAAATTCTCTAGTAGCTAAACAAGTCTGCTTACTCTTCCCAATCACCACCAAATGAGCATTACAGAACAGCCCAGTGCCAAACAACAGAAGTTGAACTCTACCTTGAGAGTTCAGCTTCGTTCCAAAGATGCCACAGCCCCAACCAAAGGGTCCGTTTACGCGGCAGGCTACGATATCTACGCATCCAAGGCAACCGCCATTCCAAGCAGGGGCCAAGGAATGGTGTCCACAGACGTATCTTTCACAGTTCCAGTCGGTACTTATGGCAGAATCGCCCCTAGATCAGGGCTCGCCGTCAAACACGGTATAAGTACGGGCGCGGGCGTGGTCGACAGAGACTACACCGGCGAAGTCAAGGTCGTTCTATTCAACCACTCAGAAAAGGAGTTCAGCGTTCAAAAGGGTGACCGCGTCGCCCAGCTTATTCTAGAGCGAATTGTGGACGACGCCGAAATCGTGGTCGTGGACTCACTCGAAGAGAGCACCAGAGGCGCTGGCGGCTTTGGCAGTACCGGCAACTAGCTCTCAGATTCGTGATCTCAAGTACAATAAATAAAGAAAGCAATCAGGTAGCCGTAAGTGACGTTTACACCCAACCACCTCATCGCCCATATTTGGAAGAGTGTGTCATGTGACTAATTACCTTTCTCTTATGAACTTAATATAATATACATACATATATATATATATATATATATATTCACGTAGGAAGACTCTCATCGCCACTCCTATACCAGCACTTTTTGACCACACAGCGAACGTCAAAGACCGGATAATGAGTGATAAAGGTCTTCTCGAGCAGCTGAACCGCACAACGGAAACTCTGTCGCACTCGCTGACCAATTTGATTAGATATTCGTCGATTTCCAGGGAACGAGACGACGACGAACATGAGACCTACGATGTGCCCGAATCCATTGCCAAAACGTCCACGGCGGGCCTCATGATGGTCAATGCGCAAACTGCCCAGCTGGTGCGTGGAATCCAGGACCTCATGGTGATGACTCGGGGCATTCGTGAGAAATGGCTTTTGACCCAGATTCCAGACGAGAAAACGGACTCGCAGCAAGATCTGGATCTCGAAAAGTGCGCTCGATTGCTAGAACAATGGGAAAAGGAAGTTTTGGGCAAGAATTGAAAGGAAAGAGCCATCGAAGCGGGGCCAATTTTGGCACCCCACGACATGGGAACTCTACTTTTTTTTTGATCCACCCTGAAGAGTGAGCGGTAAAGTGAAAGGATGGGGAGAGAGTCTTTCTACACATACCTTACAGCTGGCTCAACGTGTGATTGAGGTTGTTATAAATTCGAGCGTACCCAAACCCAGGTCACGTTACCTGGTTACGTAAGATCTCGTGTGCTTGATTTTATCATCACCGTGAACGAATCGCAAATTAAGAAAACAGGAAACTCGTCACAGTGGTTTGTTTACCTACAAACCACAACGCGTCGACAAGATCTTTGGCACCAAAAGTTCAGTAAAGCATCGATTCAAAGCTGAACAGCGTGTGGGTGTGCTTTGATGGAGCGAGACAGGCCACGATCGCTGACACCACAGAGCCAACGAAGCTCGCAGCGAAAGCATGGGTTGAAGATGCAAACGCTGCCGCTTCCCGATGAGCTCAAGCCACGCGAAAGCGTGAGGACTACGCAGGAGGATGATCTGGCAAAAGACCTTGAGGAGTTCCAATCGGAACCTCCGCATTCGAGCTTTGAAAGAGACGAGGATTTCAAGTTTAAGCGACACAAACATCGGCAAAACGCAGGGACGGCCAGTCTGGGGGAGAGACTAGACAACATACAAGAGCTTCAAAACGCACGGTGGATGGATAATTTCAACTCGTCGGCCAATTTGGGCCGTCCTCCGCGCAATGCCCACCGGGAACAATCGTCGCAGGAATCGCTGCAACGGCATCGGCAGCAACAGCAACAACAGCAGTCGTCATTGATGCCAATGCAAGCACCGCCTTACATGCCATTTATGTACTACTATCCGTATGCGCCCCCCATGATGCAGCAAATGCCGACGTCTCCGGTGCGTCCTGCAGACCAAGATATGCCACAATTTGTCAATTCGTCGCAGGGCTACCCAAACACTTCTACTCAGCCGTTTCTGCCGCCTCTCCCGCCTCAAAACAGCCAATTGATGCCGCCACCACCCCTGTACCCAAACTACTCGGGCTACAATTACTATAACGACATGCAGAGCAGCTTGGCCCAGAAAAGCAAACAGAGAAGAGAGAAAAGAAGCTCTCTGATGGCCCAACGTGGCCGCAGATTGTCCCTGCTGTCAATACAGGACAACAGTCACATCATATCTCCGCACAAGGACGTGCCAGAACATGATTTCTACAGACACATCGCCAACACGTCTTTCGGCCAAGATCTACAAATACGGCAGCTTTTCAGCTGGTGTTTCATTCGATGTCTGCGAAAATGGGAACAGCGCGAACATCGGGGCAGCCCCCAGAAGCCGGATAGTCAGGGAGAGGCCTATGTAGATCCAAAGAGGATAGCTTTGGTGATCATCAAAGAGATTGTGGATGAACTACGAAAGGGCAAGATAGACGTCAACTGGGATGTTGAAGACTCAGCAGACAGCGCGTTGGATGATAATTCGCGCTACCAAGAGGAGGATACGGAGTTACGGGCGCTTTTCGACGACGACGAGGAAGATGAAGAAGGCGGTGGTCAAGTGGTAAGAAAAAGGCAGAAAAAAGGAGTTCGCAAGCAGTTGATCAAACTGCCTAACGAAAAAAATGTACAGAATGCAAAGAACTTGGAAGTTTTACAAAAACAAATCGATACACTAGACGGTGAAATCAAGAAATGGATTCATGAATTGGACGATCCAGGCAAAACAACTGAATGGGAACAATTTGGTGGAAAGCTTAATGAGCTCAGGCAAGACCTGCGACAAAGTCCTGCAGCAGATGATCCGGCGCAAGATCCGGTGCCAGAATTGGAGCGCAAACTTCGTTTGCGCATGGAGCGGCTCTATGCAACGTCTCATATTTTGCATTCAAATTCCAAGCTCTTGTCAAAAAGCTCTCAACGCAAATTAAGAGATCTGACGCATTTCATCAATCAAAACGTATTTACGTCTCAGACGGCTACCACTCCAGCGCAGCAGCCCAGAAAAGAGACCAAGAGCCTGTTAGTGGGACTAAGCAGACTACTAGCGCGACCGCAGACATGAAAAACTGCTGAAACGGCCGCGTGTACGATCTTTAAGGACTCCAAAGGGTAAAAAACAACAATAACAGCAACAACAACGACAACAACAACGACAACGACAACAAACGATGTTGAATCTTCTTAGAAAGGATCCGTGTAACATTTTCATAATACTGTAATTTCTGGTTTTGGTTACTTCCTCCCGATATTGCCAATCACTTTGCTAGGTATTTTTTGGCCAGCAATCGCACTCTTTTGTCGAAGACCGGGCTTGTGATGGGTTCATTGAGCTTGTAAAACGGGTTCATCAAAGTTTTGACGTACAGTTCGTGCACTTCTTGGTAAAAGCTTTTCACTGCAACGTCGTCGATTGGCACGGGCGTTCCGTTACTCGAGTTGCTGCTGTGAACCATGACGAACTTCATGTTTCCGTACGACAGATAACCTGTTATTGCAAGGCCATAGAAATGGTCTATTTTGCCCAAGTAGCAATTGCTATTACTGGACGAGTGTCTAGATCGCAGAAACCCGCCACTTGTTTCTGTTCCAGCCCCAGATTGAGGATGCGTTTGCCATTGTAGGTCCTCTAAAATGTCCAGCGAGGCATGGAGTATAAATGGATTGAGCTCTTTGAGTTCCGGAGGAAACTGGTTGAATTGAGGACTGGTGAATTCTGCTTCATATATGGGATTGTCTAGTGCGCCAATAATGGCAAAATAGCATGGCATTGGCGTATTCGAAGTTCCACAGTCGGTGTAAATTCTCAAGATATCTTTGAGATGAGTTTATGACAGTGATATTACCAACTACAATTCGTCGATCATTATTAAATTACTTTAAATTAATGAAATCGGTGAAATATCGAGTACATTACACTGTGTTGACGTTTAAACACAGATAATTCTGACCTTACAGTGACGGTATTTTGAAGGGTTATCGTTGTGGTGAATGGTCAATTGTGATTTTGTGGGTTTATAAGTGAAGCTTTGTATTTTGAGATTCGGCTTTATGATCGATTCTGGATCTAACTGACGGGATATGTTCAAGGTGTTCTCATAACCATAAGTTGACGGTAAAGTTTTGTATAACGTTTTTGCCGAACACATAACGTGAGGGATTCGCTTTTGCGCAGAAGTGGCGGGTATAGACGTTTTTTTTTGGACAATTGAAAGTAGCGCTACGTGTTATTCATTATATGCGGTTTTGAACAATTTATCACTCGAAATTCGGGGATTGAAGGTGTGTGGCGTCTCTTTTACATACTCTTTTGACTTTGTCTTGGTCGAAGATTCAATTGACTTGAAAAAGACTGGTTGAAAGATGCCATCCACGCTGGATCCAAAATAAGCCAGAAACATCAACGTTTAGAAAGATGCGCTTTGTATGGGAGAAAACGAGCTAAAGGGCTCACCACCCGTGACCCAGTGAATGTTTGTGAGCTCGTTGGTGGGTCGCTTACACTCTGAGCCGCTCAGGACCGGCAGTCTGGCGCTTCGCACTCGAACCCGTACTCGTACTCGCATTCGTACTCGCGAGTCTTGGCTCATTTGGCGAGCTGTAGTGATATTCTTAACAGATTAGCCTGAGTTGAGATAGAGTTCGTGAGCCTCTTTTACTTTAGAAGTGCACTTGAAAGGAGGTTATGGAGGGTCTTGACGATGTCTCTGACCACTATGATTCTAGTCATTTCAGTTCCGAGAGGCTTGTTGAGACAGCCAAGTTTCTGGCGGACGCAAAATCTAGCTTGTTAGAAGACCTAAATGTGGAAAATATAGCACTGTCAAAAGCAGGCAATGGCGCCGACAGTGAGCCTTACAACCCTTTGCAGAGTATTTCCAAGGGCAGCCGAGTGCGTGCAGACAGGGTTCGATCATACATACATTTTTTCTACCATTTGATGGAGGAGGAGGTGGAAAGTGGAAAGGACAATTTGAACGGCAACGGCAACGGCAACGGCAATGGTACGAGTTACAAGGGTGTTGAGGGTGTTTACAACCCGCTGCAGGTGATTCGGAACCGGAAAGCCAAGAAAAAGTTACACCACCAGCTGCGTAATGAAGTAACGTTCCTAAAACCTCCAATTCTAGCGATCCGCGACTTCTCTAGCGTACCAGATCGAGACTTCCCGTGGTTCGTAGACGTCAGTGAGAGATCAAGAGACCTTTCTTGGCGGATGTCCAACTGGGAGCATCTGCGAAGGGCAGATGGGAAACGGTGGTTTCCAAGAGATCACATTTGGCGCTCGCGATCAACGACTGCCACCTCTCGCTCTTCTCCAGGGCATTTTTACAAGAGCAACCGCAGCTCGGAAGCGCACAGCACACAGTTGGCGCCAACAGCAATATCCACAAGGCCCGGCTCAGGCTGGGAACTGCCCTCAATTTCCGTGGAAAGCGTCGACCCCATTGGGACCGGTCAAATCACACGTCCTTGGGAGAAAGCTTTGGGCAAGAACAAATTGCTGTCGCGTCCAGTTTTCCATAGCAAGTCCAACAGTCAGCAGCACATCCTTGAGGACCCTGGCCTATCAGCAAGAAAATATGCAAGCCACGAGCAGCTTTCGTACATCACGCCAACCGGAACTTCATTTCATCACCGCAATGCATCTGATGTCCAAATTCGATCCATAAAGCGACCAAGCAACACGGAAACTCCGAGCAGCTCGGGTGATTCGAATAGGGCATCCTATGAATTCCTGGAGCTTCAGGGCCCATTTAAACATGCAGTGCAAAAAAACACCATCTCCGAATTCCAGTGCAACGAGCTGAAATATCTGGTATGTACCTGGAACATCATGCAGCACCGACAAGAGACACTGAATATTTTACAAACTCGGAAGGCCAGGAGGGATGCGGCCATAAAGATCGAAAACCCAACCGAGTTTTGCCAGCCTGCAGAGATAGCCGTTGGTGAATATCGTAATGAGCTCGTGCAAGCGTTGAAAAAATGCGATATTTGGAAATCCAGGTTGCTGAACGACTACGCCATACGCGTGGAAAGTCTGATTTCCTCCAGTGACAGAGTTCTGAGTGACATCAATACTACGCTAACGCTGCGGCTCAAGCAGCTGCAAGAGAAAATGGACAGATTTGGTAACTTAAAACGCATGAACAAAGAGCCGATGCGGATATTTCTGTATCGAGTTCTGGAGGTGATAATTGTTTTACTGTTTTGGATGATCTGGTTCTGTTTTACGGTATTGAAAAGTGTGAAAATCGTGATATTGACATTATACAAGATTGCCAGTTGGGCAGCTTGGTGATATTGGCCCCATTTGCACTATTATACGTATTGGATCGATCGAGTAAAGAACGTGATGTAGGGTGCTAATTTATGACGTGGTGCTGGCCACCGCAGCGTCGTCTTCCAAGAAAATTCCTCTTTCTGCTGCCTCATCCAATATTCTCGACCGCCTTTTGGTCTCATTTTCATAGTATCGGTTTTGGAACTTAATTAGCTGCTTGTCAGCATAAAAAACTGCCCCCATGGAGATCCAAGAAATGTGATAGAATACTCTAACTTGGGTTCTGACATTCTTGTACACCGTGGAAAATCTCCGCAGCAAAAGTGCAGTGGTTATGCCGATAGCAGCTCCCCTAACAGCACCAATACCAGATGCTACTAAAAGCTATATCAAAAGTAGAGCATACTAGTTAATATACAGATCAAAAAGAGTCTCCGTCAAAAGATAAACGGTCTCCTTCGGACTTTCAACTTACTTCTTTGGTGAGCTCCTTAACGGTCTCCGGCTCGTAGTGAACGGGCTGAGTACCACCCATTTTACGATCTGCCTAAAATTTTAAAGCTTTAGCGTATATGCACAAAGATACTGAGCGCTGAGGTGAGATTCTAAACGATTTGAGGAACCATGTTGTTGAGCTATCGTTTATCCTAAAAGTATGGAAATCTATTTGACCGAGATGGATGTTGTTCGTACATAGTGATGTTTATAATAATAACTTAAAATTTTACTTAAATTATTATTATCATTATTTAATAAATTTATTAATTTAGAAATAATACTTAAATAATAATTTAAGTATGGTCAGTGTCACAGGCTGTTTAACATACCGAGTGAGAAAGCTATGTTTCGGCGGTGGGAGAATCATGTCGAGTAGTTTGAAGACGTTAATTTGGCGAGTTTATTTGGTTTTTGACTTGTTTTGAATGATGATGTTTTTTTTGCCTTGAGAGTTGAGCGACAGGAGAGCATCGCAAACATTTGGATGACGGTATCAACAACTTAAACATGAAATATACCAAACTTGGGAACCAAAAATGAAATTGTAGCGAAAACAGTATCGCGTATTTAGTTCAACTAACGTGTAGCTTATATGGGGATAAAACAGCAGTTTTTACAAGAGAATCTCAGAAATATATCACTTTGTACTATTATGACATCTGCTGGCTTATTGTGTCAAATAAATTAAGCAGGAATTTAAGGACGCACGAACAGCTCAAAAAGTCTCTGACCCACATAATCCAGTTGCATTTGTAACTAATCATTATCAGCGAAATCACAACGCGAGTAAATATTTGCTGAACATTTTCGTCATGTGCGCTGCCGATATATAAGCCAATATAGAAAGGCCTAATTGCCATATGAAACTGTGTGTGATAACCAGTGCGCGTAGTTACTTGAGACCGCCTTAAAATGCGTCTTCAACACCTAGTACATAGCCAAGTGCAAGAGTTTGAACCGTATTAGGTTAAGGTGTTAGGAACCACTATCACGTGATCCAAATAATGCTGTAGTTCGTACCGCCCGGGAAAGTTACCAGCTCTTCAGGGGATATTAAACCTCCGCTATGGACGTATAGATCAACCCCTCCCATTGCTGCTTTCAAACTTTGTTTGCCCTTCTATTCCCTACTTTGGCCCTTCGTCGCTTTCCCTTTCCGTAGTGTATATCTTCACCAGTGAAGAATTTCGTTATAATGATTATTTAAACCTTGCATACGTTTGACCGACCGAGTTAGACCAAATTGTTCCACAGGTTTGATGGATGCTGATCCTGCGAAAGACTGGACTGTGTTTGTGATGGTTCTAATGGCTCCTGAAAGGTCTGCAAGAGTTGAAGCGGTTTCTGTAGTCTGCCATGCGCGTTGTCGTTGTGTTTTTGCAAGACTTGTAGCCAGTCCCCGATGCCAGAGGTGGAAGTAGTGAAAGAGATGTCTTGGGTCACTTGGCGTACCACGGTACACCATATCTCTGCTATCTGTTCGTAACACACGTTTTTGTAGTAGTTGTTGCTGGCAGTCACGAAGCGAGGCACCTGACTCAGCAGTTCGGTTGCGGCGTCCAGAACTCGCAGAGAGTGCAATGCAGATTGGCTTTGTGGTGGGATGCTTTCCAGCACGCAATCCACCAGACAGTTGAGGAACTCCAAAATGTGCGGTTTGACACGCACAAAAGCGTAGTCACTGAGCCCTGCGCTTTCGTCGTTGAGTGAGAAGTCTCGCAGTTTCGAATAGGGCAAATTGCGGAAAATCTGTTCAAGTTTAGACCGCAAAACGGTCACGTATTGGTCCACTGTTCGCGAAGGCGGTTGGAGAGCCATTATTGTGCTTTGTATTTCGGGATGCAATTTGACAAGTTCTAAGAGCGTTGATTGCAGCACATTGCGGTCCATGAGTTCTACTGCACGCGCCAGTGGCAGCGGTTGGCCCTGAATGCCACATATCGCCGTCTTGCGCTTTGCCACGGCCCTCACAGGTCTGTGAGAGGCAACAGCAGCAGCAGCGGCGGCCGAGTTTGCTTGAATGGTTTCATCACTGACAAACCGCCGTTTGACCCGGGGTTTGGTTATTTTGCACGCAGAAGTGGCGTTGCACCCTGAAGTATCATTGCTAGGCTTGAATCCCCAGTTAAAACCCATAGAATGGCTCATATTATTGGTATTTTGACGCTGTTTCTGGTTTCTTGAGAGGTGGTTAGTTTTAAAGAAGGTCAAATTTTCCAAATTCTGAAGTATAGAGCAGCTTCGTGATGAGTGATAGGAAAAGACCGAGAGAGAGAGAGAGCGAGCCCCACGTAGAATAGCTATTGAGAGAACAGGAGAGCTGAGAGGAGGCGAAAGAGAAGGGGAGAACACCTGTTCATAGCAGTCCTATCCTATAAAATTTGAATTTTAGTTCTGAAACCTGGGTTAGCAGTTTTTTTTATTGGATTCAAATATTATTTAAAGTTTTGGTGATACTAGAAATGCCACTTGGAGAACGCGGTGGTGTAGTTAAACATGCAAAGAAAGCCCAATCACCGCATACTCGGGTCAAACATACACATAGCAAACCGCTCACATCGTGTGTATGTCTCAGATCACTTTTACCCAGCCTGACACGTCAAATCACTCTCACCCAAACTGACACAAGTTGTCGTTATTCAGCAGTGAAAAAAATTTGAGTCTAAGATGAGATGAGATGCGATGAGCTTACAAACTATAGATCCATTGTGAGTAAGATCGTCTTCAATTCGACTCTGATAAACATCTTTCGCACTCCTCAATCATGTCTGAATATCCCGAGGACAACCAGCAATTTATGGACGGTCAAAACCCGGAAGAAGAGTTCATTTCGAACCAAGAAGTGGACGAAGAAGTGCTGTTGGATGACAACGACAAAGACGGCGACATCCCTGTGGATGATGAAGACGACGAGCAAGATGGCGAAGTAAATGACGACGAGAACCTGGGAGATGACGACGAAACTTTGGAAATCGACATGTCCAACAACTCTATGGCATATTTCGACAAACATACAGATTCAGTGTTCACAGTTTTCACGCACCCCACGCTTCCACTGGTATGTAGTGGCGGTGGCGACAATTTGGCGTATTTGTGGACTTCGCACTCGCAGCCTCCCAAATTTGCAGGATCTATAACGCACACAGAGTCCGTCATTGGCGGTGGGTTCACTGCAGACGGCCAATTTCTAGTCACAGCTGACATGAACGGCCAAATATTGGTTCAAAAAGCTGCAAACGGCGGGGCCAAGTGGAAAGAATGCGCCAAGCTTCAGGAAGTGGAGGAAGTAGTGTGGATCAAGATCCATCCTACGGTCTCGGGCGTTTTTGCCTTTGGCTCCACGGACGGCTCTGTATGGTGCTACCAGATAGACTCTAAAACCGGAGAGCTCGAACAAATAATGAGTCAATTCGTGCACCAAGCCGACAGCACCATGGGAGAATTCATCAACGTCGAACAAGGCGACTCCAACCTGTCGCTTGTAACGTGTTCCATCGACGGCACGATCATCGGATGGTCGTGCTATACTGGCCAGCAGCTGTTTAAAGTTTCCAGAAGCGAAATAAAGGGTATCGAGGCCCCTTGGGTATCTCTATCGATAGCCCCCCTATCCATGACCAAGAATACGCCTGTCATTGCCTGCGGCGCCAACAACGGTGTTTTGGCTATCATCAACTGCAACAACGGTGCCGTTTTGCAACTAAGCACCGTTGTGGAGCTCAAAGAAGACCAAGAAGAAATGGACGCTTCGATAGAATCGATCGCTTGGTCGCCAAAGCTGTCGCTAATGGCCATCGGTCTTGTGTGCGGGGAGGTCCTACTGTACGATACATTGACCTGGAGAGTCAGGCATAAGTTTGTCCTACCAGATTCCGCTACAAAGCTGCAATTTGACGGGCCTACTGGTTACACCTTGATAGTGGCGTGCATTGACGGGAAAGTCTATTTATTCGACGCTAGAACTGGATCGGAACTCCACAAATGCGTGGGACACAACATGGGCGTGTTGGACTTTGCATTGATCGAAAACGGCAGAAAACTGATAACGGCGGGTGACGAAGGTGTGTCGCTGATATTCCAACTGCCTTAGCGCTGGTGTGTACTCAGAGAGATTAGATTTGTTGTATAGTTGGAGACAGGAATAAACCTTATCGCGTATTTAGCTCTCATTCATTCAATTAATTCATCCATCTACTTATTCATTTCTCTTTAACCAAATCTGTCAATTTCTGGTCGATAAGCTTCGCGAGCAATTTGGCCAGCGGCGAATGTTCGTTGTCGATTTGGTCCTGTAGTTGCAAAATAACCTGTTTCTCGATAACTTTGCCCGTTAGATCAACCTCGATATTCACTTCGTCAGCGACAGATTTCAAGGGCATTATGACTTTTTCTTGAGTGTGCTTGATCATAGCAATGTAAAAGGCACCGTTTGGATCGATTTTGGTGATTGTCAATGAGGTGCCGTCGATACATATGAAGCCCTTTTCCACAATGTACTTTTCAAACTCTTTGTCGTGCAACTTGAACCCGAAAACAATGGAATTTCCCTCGGCCTCACGACTCACAATCTTGGCAACCCCATCGACGTGCCCTTGGACGTAGTGGCCACCAAATCTAACGTCTTGTCCCACAGCTCTCTCCAGATTGACTTTTGAACCCGCCTGCCACGAAGCAACATTCGTTCTCTTAATAGTTTCTGGAGATATCCCGACCTTGAAGCTGTCCGTAGAGTATTCTGTAACCGTTAAACATATTCCGTTGATTGCAATGGAGTCGCCAATATGACAGTCGACCAAAATTGGTGCAGCATCCGTTATAGTTACAGACACACCACCGCCTCCACTATGAGAGGCGTCGTATTCCTTGTATTCATGAACAGTACCTATAAGCTCAACAATACCGGTGAACATGAGTGAGCTTTAAGCGTTGAAGCAGGCTTGAAGAGGTGTTTTCAGGAAATGTGTGTTAAAGTTCATTATGTTCAAGACAATAGAGATTAGTCAAATCGCTCGAATAAAATGAACATAGAAAGACAAAGGGCAAATGTGGCCGTTATCGCACGGCAAGGGAAATTTTAGAACGAAGTGAGTATTTAAACTGACAGTTTAGTGGCAGGATGTTCAAATAATGCCCATGCCAGATTTGCAAATTGGGCCAACAGCAGTATATCGTGAGCCCAGAGCTGTCACTGGTGTAGATTCGAATTCGTTGAGTTGCCCACTTACAATGCACTAAGACAATTAGAAGCGGAATTAAAGTGTATAATCTATATATATATATATATATATATATATATATGTGTGTGTGTATGGAGAACGCTCTTCTAATGAGACAATTTCTTGAGTGAGTCGAGTCTCTTGAGGTCCGTTTGGATTTCCCGGATAACACATTTGCGTCTGTCTTTCAAAGCGATCTTGCGATCGCCTTCCAAGTCGACCAGATCCACGCCATCAAGCTCGATTACCAGCTTCAGTAGCATCTCGTTGTAGTAGTTCAATTGATATTGCTGTTTCTCCGATTTGGGATCGAAATCCGCTACCAGTGCGTCCAAGCCTTGCTTATATTCTGCCAAATACCGCTTGTAGACGTTTTCGATCTGCTCTTCCAATGTAACGGGTTTTTCAGCCTTCTTGGCTGACAAGCCTGTGGATTTTTTTTTACCACCACGCTTGTTCTTCTTTTTGTTTTCTTTCTTGTCCGTAAACCTTCTGTTCAGCGGTCTCAGCACCAATAGGAATATCAAAGCCCCGAGAGCTGTTGTCGCGGCGTACACGCCCGTCATTTTGTCATTGTTCTGCAAAGTTTCTGTAGCGGATTCGATCAGACACTTGGCATGCTTTCCCAAATTATCTGCGCGACAAGAGTCCCACCATTTCGTAACCTTGTCCATGGCTCTTATGATGCTAGTTGAGAGACCGCTTTGACTTCTGTTTGGTTGTTGATCCATTCAAGACTAATGTCGATATAAGAACAACATACTGAATAACTGCTTAATTCACATGATCATATACGAAGAACAATAATGAAAGATTGTATTTGGCCTGATGGTATATTTTGACGTTGCTAATATTTTCACAGCATGTTCAAAATTCAGGCTTTCTTTAGAGACGGGCTTGAAGCTTGTCGGATTTCGCGTTCTGAAACTATTTCTTCACTGACACTTCCGACTGGAAAGCTCAACTGGTAGTATCTTGACCGTAATGAATCGCCTCTGTGCCTGTGCGTGTGCGAGTTATTGAAGATCTAACGGCTATACTTCAGACGGCTAATAGTGCTAGTAGTCCGTCTGCCATTTCCTCGTTTCAAAGTCAAAGAGTTTTAAGACAATAATTCAAAATAATTGTTAGCTGGTGTTGAGTTTGCAAAAGCACACTTATATTGAAAGGCCTCTCACACTAGGATGTGCCATTTGACCATACACTTTTTCACATCTAACTTCAATCTTTTGGTGAAGGTGTCAGTAAAACCTTATTTTCCTAACAACATTTCGTTACGTCTGAATCAAAATGGAACTTTCTGAGGAAGTCAAGAACGCAATGCCGCCCAACAGCAACAGTTAGACACACACACACACACACACACACACACACACACACACACACACACACACACACACACACACAAATCCAAGCTGCTCTGGTCAAGTTGTCGAAGACGCTCCGTCGATGAGCTGAGTTGACCGCTTCAACACGTGACCATAAATCTAGCAGTATTAGGAAACCCCGGAACTTTAACGTATAAGGGCTTTAAGTGAACTTTCAACTAGCTCTACAAGCGTGGAAACGAATCCAAAACCTCTGTTAAAGACGTTTTAAACCTCTGCATTATTGTTCTACATGTTTCGTACTGCCAGCGAAATTTCCAGCGATCTTCGCCGACTAAAAAGCAGTCTAATTGGTGATGATATGGCAAAATGGAAGTTCTTCAAGGATCCAGCAAATTTGATGACACAGATCACAGAATTTGCACTTGAATCGCATCAAGGTCAGTTCCACACTGATTCTGAAAGTTTGAGATGCGAAGCTTTAGATTTGATGCTAATAGTGCTGAATTTGGGACAACACGAAAGGCAAGCATTGGGCTCCACCTACAGCGATGCTGTGGAGCTGGTGATGTCAAAAATACAATTTCTAGAAGAAGAAACACCGTTAATTGCATTCCACAAAGCTCGGCTCTCAAATATGTGTTTGGAAAGCGTGAGCTCGCGTGCTCTGCTGAGACTTAATTTAGAGGAGGGTGTGCGTGCTACTTTGGTTCGATATGCGCAACAACGTGTCCATAACGCCTGTTCAGAGCTTCATGACGCACTTATCGTTGAGCTGCTCTCCTGTATCATGAAACAAGTCGACCTGGAAGCCGATGTGGACGTCTTCCTGGCGACCCATGCCCTTTTGCTGGCTTTTTCTCAGAAATACCAGCCACAGCTTCGATTTAGATACCTTACTGCTGAATCTAATCCTGACGCAAGTGTACGACAATACCATCTCTTTGATCTTGTGGATGTACAGCAAACTTTCCTAAAGTCTCCCCGTGCCTGTCCCGATCCTGTTGCAATCCAAAACACTACAGACATATCGATCTTCTATCTGTCGTTAAACGTGTATCTAAAGATGCGAAGCCTGCTGGATAGCTCGTTTGTGAAGAGCGCTGACTTGAGGGAAAACAAGAGCTTCGAACTTCTGACAACCAGTTTCTTAAAAAGCCAGAATATGGCCCTGCGATGCTCTGCCATCCAATTCATGGTAAGTTCCTACTTTGACGGATCAGATACTGATTACGAGTGGAAAGAGGGTATTAGGGGCTTGCTGCTGCCTCATTTATGCGAATGCCTCAACTACGACAACCTTCCGTGGTGGTTTGATCCTTTGGACATTCTAACTGGTCTTGTAAACTGGTGCAATGAGCATTATCCGCTGAACAATCCCGTTTCCACTTATTTTCTCGAAACGAACCTAATGAACTCAATTGTGCATATGCTTTCAAGATGCCTTGCTTTGAATAGTCGCGACTATGACACCTTGAAGATCACCGGGAAAGTCATCAAACTGTGCGCAGCGCTAACCGGTTTCAGTGAAATCACAAGAAGACGTCTTTTCACCATAAAGGCTCTTTTGCAGCACGCCGAGGCTGGATTGGACTCACATTTGCAGTTGCTAGACTGCTTCGTGGCCCAAGAAGACGCTCACTCTTTTTCTTTAGAAAATCGGGAGTTATTACCATTTTACGACACTGAATGTACGTTCGCGTGGATGTTACTTCTGAGATCCTTCTCGCGAAGCGTCACTGCTTTAAGAACATTTCTGAAACGAAACCGGCTTGCCGAGTTGCTTCTAAACTTAGTGAAGCGAACATGTCTGCTGACAGAAAACGAAAAGAACCATGGCAGCGCTCTGCTGGAGGGCGAGATCAAAATCATGAGTGCAGCTCTTGGTATCCTTTCTAATTTCGTGGTTGAGTTCTCGAACTTGCAATCGCACATTGTCGAGAACGGTATCATCGACATAGTTGGCAAGATACTGAAAAGCCCGCTGTTCAGCAACAGTATCAAGCCTGAAACCGAAGTTTCAGTAGAAGACCTGCGCTCTAGCAACGTCCAGGACGTGCAGAAAAATGCTTTGTGGGTGCTGCGGCATCTAATGTACAACTCGCACAACGAAGAGAAGCTTGAACTCATTTCCATAATACCCATGGAAACCATCTTACAGTTTGTGAACAACGGCAACTGGCTGGTCCAGGAGCAGTGTTTCCAACTTCTGAGAAATCTAACGTGCAATTCTCGTAAAATGGTCAACATCTTGCTGGAGAATTTCAGCGATGCTGCAACCCCTGCGGATTCGCATGCGACTTCCAGTACGGTGAGGCCCACTTATCTGTTTGAGTTTCTGGCACACAAGCTCAAGATGCTAGACGCAAGTGATGCAGTGCAAGCTAGAACGCTCGAAGGCGTGCTGTACATCATTGTGAACATCACCGCCATCAACGAAAACAAGCGCCAGATGGTGATTGAACAAGACGAAATTCTGCTTTTTATCAAACAAGTGCTCGACGACCCGGGCGCTGGCGCCCCAAACGTCGCTGACATCGAGGTTGCATGTCTGTGGATACTTACGAATCTCATTTGGGCGTCTACCGCGTCTAATTTCCTCGTAGGTGCCACGCAACCCCATCCGATTTTGGAGCAAACTGAGACGCATGCGTCTGATCCACTTTCTGCGTCGCGCCAAGCTTCTCGCAAGACAAGTGGCGCAATTAACGACGAGGACAGCGAAAACGAGCGAGACCCACACCACCAAGAACAAGAACAACGAGATAACCTCAACGACGAAGACAATGACAATGACAATGACAATGACAATGACAATGACAATGACAACGACAATGACAACGATAACGACAACGATGGCTACGATGATGACGATGACGACGGTATCTCCGAGTACGAAGACGACGAAACCTATTTTAGAAGACATGCAGTCGACATCTCTGTTGGCGAGTCCTTCGAGCTCTCCAGACCTAAGAACTTCGGCGCACCTGCCAAACTCAAGATTTTTGCAGCCCAGAGATGTGCTAAACTGGTCAAAATGGGGCTCTACGACGTCGTGAAGAAAAACGCTCTTGCCGGAGAAATGTCAGTTCGTGAACAGGCAAAACTACTGCTATTCCACATGGATCTACTGCGCAGAGGCATTTGATCCTCCTCCAGAACGAAAACCCACATTCGAACCTCGTCCGACGCCAACTTTTCCGTCTTTTGACCTGTAGCTCATCGCATGTGACTTTCACTAAGGCTTGTGGCTTTGGTCAAGTTCACAGTGGGAAACTAACAATATGTTAAAGATCAGATATTTGACAACAGCGAGCTCGTTCAGCATCGTTGTATATATAATGGGGGAATATTTGGAATTGTTGAGGAAAATTCAAGATTCAAGATTCATTTATCCAGAACAAAAGAATTTGATCGATTGCGACTAAAATCGAAGAAAACGTCGAAATTGAACAATCTCGAGTGTGGGCAATGGGCATTGAATTCTCGACCAATCCCTTCGGAATTCCGTCAGATTACAAGACTAAATCGGCGTACAGTACGCCAGTGACTACGATTTCGTCTGTTTTGGCTCAAAACCTGGACCGAATTTTCAGCTACAAATGCTTCTCAGAGCCGGATTTGCTGGACGAAGCATTGAAAAAATGGAGCCAGAAGACTTCTGGGGCCAAATGGCAGCTGGATGAATTGCAACTGAGATCTGGAGCAGGCCTGGCACCGCTTGGTTTCGCCAGGAGCGAAAGTGCACTTTTTGGCATAATCACACCGGGCTACGGACTGGCTTACTTTGCCAATAGCTTCCAGCGTGAAAAGGTCTCTGGAAGTCGTTTTCTACTAAACGTGGGGGCTCTCGAGTACAACGAAAGTGCGGGCCAGGTAGTAAGCGACTTTGTCACGCCGCTAAAAGCTGCAGCCGGTCTGGGATTCCCCGTAGTGTCCGCCGTCGCTGTCGACGAGGTCAAACAGACCGCCCTCCTGGCGCTAGCACTAGCCAAATTCGGTGCCCCGCTCGGGGCCGTCAACTTGTTTGACGGGCCAAACTACGCCAAATCCGTTTTGTACATTGACGAGCAGCAAGATGAGGACATCATCGCGCAAATGGCCAAGTCTCTTCCTGTGGGCTCCTCTTTCGACCAGATTCTAGATAAGTTCAATGATCTCGCGACCCGCAAGCTTCACAACTTTCAATACTACGGTGATGAAGCTGCAGAAACCGTTTTCGTTTCTTTCGGCAGCGTCGAGTCCGAGCTCTTCAGGGCGTGTTTGTCCGAAACTGGCAGCAAGGTCGGTCTTATCGCGATCAGAATCCCCTTGCCATTTGACACTGATAAATTCGCGGCTATGATCCCTAAGTCCGCTAAGAACATCGTAGTTGTGGGTCAATCTGTGGACGGGAAATCCCCAACTTACTTGAAATCCCAAGTTTCTGCTGCCCTTTTCTTTCACCAGTTGAGATCGGTTACAGTATCGGAGTATCTGTACCTGCCAACGTTTGTCTGGTCTCCGGAAGCGACAAGACAGGTCGTTTCCTCCTTTGTCCCAGATTTTGCTATTTCTGAGGTTCAAACCGGCGAAAAAGAGTTTGTTTATTGGGCTTCTGACTCTAGCGTCAACTTGGATGTGGCTGCAAGGATTGTCCATGCGCTTTCCATGGTTGACAATCATCAAGTCTCCTTGAGAACAAAGTTTGACAACAATGCAAACGGCGGCATTTTCCAGGCTCAAATCGTCTCCACCAGCCAAGCAAAATCTTTGACTGTGTCAAATGTTGACCACGCAACTGTTAGTGTGGTAGAAAACTTGTCGGTGCTGAACGCATTTGATGTCACCTGTACCTGTAAAGAAAATGGTACGATTCTAGTGCTTTGCGAGAAGAGCTTGAAAGATAAAGACATTTCCGACGCAAAGTTACTTGTCGATGAGCTCAAGATACCGGCTGCATTTTTGAAAAGCGTTGTGAGCAAAGGAATCCAGCTTGTGTTTATGGATCTCGAAAGTATTGGCGACAAGGAGGAAACCAAGGGAAGAACCGCTTCTTTTGTGACACAAGCTGCCTTCTGGAAATACGCCTACGGTCTACCAATTGCTGAAAGCGTGCGTCGCATTTGGAGCTCTGCTGGCCCGGACATCGAGCTCTTGGCTGCCGTCTTATCAGAAACTATCACTACAGCATTTGATGTTGGACTACGTGAAGTTTCATTCAAAGAACTGGAGAAATCTGCAAATGCTTTGACCATTGAAGATTCCGAGGAAGATGAGCACTTGTCTTCGCTAGTTGCGGAGACCTGTTTCAAGCCTAACCCAAGAAAGGAGAATGATGCACCTCAACCTTGTACTACTAGTGTAGCTGATTTTTCCAAGCACTTGAGCTTCAAAGAAGCTTTTGCTACGCAGTCGTCTTTGAGACCTGACCTTCCTTTGAAAAATTATGTTGTTAAAGTCAAAGAAAACAGACGCGTTACACCTGCCGATTACGACAGATACATTTTCCACATCGAGTTTGACATCACCGGTACCGGCTTGACGTATGGCATTGGTGAGGCCTTGGGAATCCACGCCAGAAACAATCCTGATCTTGTTCGCAAGTTCTTGACCAGCTACGGCTTGAATGAGCAGGACGTCATACAAGTCCCAAACAAGGATGATGCTCAAGTTTTGGAGAGTAGAACCGTGTTCCAAGCGTTTACCGAAAACTTGGATATTTTCGGGAAGCCGCCAAAAGGATTCTATCAATCTCTCATCAATTTTGCCTCGAACGATGACGAAAAGAAGAAACTGGAAAACTTGGTTTCGCCCTCTGGTGCCGTTGACTTGAAAAGGTATCAGGATGTTGAATACTATACTTACGCTGACATCTTCGAATTGTTTCCATCTGCGAGACCTTCTCTAGAAGAATTGGTGCAAATCATTGCTCCTTTGAAAAGAAGAGAGTACTCTATTGCTTCATCTCAGAGAGTGCACCCTAACGAGGTCCACCTACTGATTGTAGTTGTTGACTGGGTTGATAACAAAGGCCGCAAGCGTTTTGGACAAGCTTCCAAATACATCTCGGAGCTTTCTGTTGGCACCGAGCTTGTGGTCAGTGTCAAGCCATCAGTAATGAAATTGCCACCTGCTCCAGAGCAGCCGGTAATTATGAGTGGTCTGGGTACTGGTCTTGCTCCCTTCAAAGCCATCGTTGAAGAAAAGTTCTGGCAACAGCAGCAAGGTCACAAAATCGGCAAAGTGTTCCTCTTTTTGGGCTCGAGGCATAAAAGAGAAGAATATCTCTATGGTGAGTTATGGGAGGCTTACAAAGACGCTGGCATTATCACTCACATAGGTGCAGCCTTTTCAAGAGATCAGCCCCACAAAATATACATCCAAGATAGGATCCGCGAAAGCTTGGCCGAGTTGAAGGTTGCCATGACTGCCGAGAAGGGCTCCTTCTATTTGTGTGGCCCCACATGGCCGGTTCCTGACATTACACAGGCTCTGCAGGACATTATCAAAGCCGATGCTGAAGAAAGAGGTGAACAGGTTAATTTGGACGAAGTCATTGAGGAATTGAAAGAAACCTCTCGTTATATCTTGGAGGTTTACTGATTTGACTGGACCTTGTCGATCAAACGACCAACTACATACAACTTGAATTCATGCTCTTGGGCATTGATCGATTCTTGAGTCGTTATGTAGTCTCAGTTACATAGCGCTAACCACGGACGTCCCGTCTTGAAATCTTGTTCTAAAGACTCTGTTGGCGTTGTTAAACATACCCTCTTTTAGCGAGACGACGATAAATTGGGATCCTTTGAACTTCGTTCTGATGAGATGCCCAATGTTCTGAGTATGACTCAAGTCGAGAGCTGCGTCGACTTCATCCAATATGTACATCGGAGCAGGTTTGAACTGAAGTAATGCTAGAATGAGGGATAGGGCGATAAGAGACCTTTGGCCTCCTGACAGCTCAACCAAACTATCTTTCCATATGTTTCCAAGTCTAATTTTTACTTCGAGGCCCTCGGTCACATCTTTGCCTTCCATCGGTACAAGCTTAGCAAAGGAGTTCGGCAGTAGTTCTCCAAACACATGGCCAAAGTCGACAGTTACCTTTTCCCATGTTTTTATTAGAGTTTCGCGTTTGTATTCGTTAAGCTTGGTGATCGTTTCTTGAATTTTTGTCTTATCCTTTTCAATGGTTGTGATCATAGTCTTCAGAGCTGACTCTTTCTTCTCCACGTTTTCGATCATGCTCATAATGTTTGGATTAACTTTACGCTTCATTACGTCAAACTTCTCGGAGAGCTGTAGGGATCGCTGACGATATATCTGGATATTCACGCCTTGATTCTGACTGACTATACTGGAAATCAAACCCTCGTCGTTCAGCCATTCTTCTTCCTCTAAGAGCTTTTTGATACTTTCCTCAACAGACTTCGTGTTACTTTCTAATTTCCCCACCTCATTCACCAGCTTTTTGAGCTCAACGCTTTCGTTTTTCGATTGCTCATCTTTTGTCCTATGGAGTTCCGACAGAACCCGCATTTCCTCATCAATCTCGTACAGACGTTTCTTTTCGTCAAACACTTTACCTCTGGTTTGTTCAAGCTCTGTCGAAAGACCTTCAATTTGTGCTTTCAAGCTCGACTGTTTATCGTTCAGTTCCTTAGATATTTCGGTCGATTCTAATACTCCTGATTCAGCAGTAGATATGTCAGATCTTAATTGGTCAATTTCTAACTGAAGAGATTGGTTGAGATCTTCGCTCTTCTCAAAAGCAGCTTGGTGCTCATCGATTTCGCCTCTCAGGTTTTGGATCTCTCGTTTTAATTGGTCTAGTTTGGAGCCCTTGTCTTTACTAAACTCTTCCATATCTTTTTGAATATTTGAGAACTCTTTTTCCACTTGCTTAATTTCCGTAAGACCGTCATTCCTCATTCTTTGGCAATCGAGAATCTCAGCATTTATCTCTTTATTTCTAGATATTAACTGAACGGACGGATTGTTCTCAAAGTTCCGTTCAGCTAGCTGAAGCTTGTGAGAAGCCAAATTAAGATCGTGTTGGATACTCTTTGTAGTGTTGGAGATATCGGTATACTGCTTGATCTTTTTGCCAAGGTCCATAAGCTCCTTCTCCAGTGTCAGTGCTTTTTTAGAATAAGCATTGTATTTCTGGATGTCAATGAGGATTGAGCTGTTGGTATTGCGACTACCTCCCGAGAGAGTCCCCTCGGGATCATAAACATCGCCTTGGAGGGTTATGCTTCTTGCTCTCACTTGAGGATGGAAAGTAACCTTTTGAGCGCTTTCTGCGTCTTTACAGATCAAACTTGTTCCGAAAATAAATTCCATGGCCCTCGAAACCTCTTCTTCGTAGCCTATTAAATTAAGAGCCAAGTCCACTTTACCAGGTGCCAACTCTTTTGCAACGTTTAAAGCTTTCTGATGAAGTGTTCTTACCGAAATCTTGTTTAGAGGAATTATCGTAACCCTTTTTCGTAGTCTGCCATTTTCAAGTAGCTGCGAGGCCGTTCTTTCGTTGTCGACAACCACGTTAAAGAGCCTACCTCCAGCACATACTTGCAAAGCTATCGCACTTTCGAACTTCTCTTCATCCAAAGAAAACAGTTGCGCAGCGACCCCCTTCACAGAGGCCGGATTAAAACTGGGAGATGGCATGTTGTATGCAAACTCAATATTTGCGACCTTTCTCTTCAAGACGTCCATCTCATTCGAGATTTTGTACAATTCGTTTTTCAAGCTGATCTCCTCCTCTTTCAGAACTTTGAAGTGATTAGAATCGAAGCCCAACTGTTGTAATTTAGACTTTAGCTCTGAACACCTAGACTGACTCAATTCGAGCTCTTTTTTGGCTTCTTCGCCAGACTTTTTCGCTTTGATCAACTTAGGCTCGTTCTCGGTTAGCTCTTTATTTAGTATGTCGATCTTCATGTCATACCTCTGGACCTTGATTCGTGCGTCATTCAATCTTAGTTCAACGTCATTCAGTTGGGTTTGGTAACCGCTGTTAGTTGCTCCAGTAGATGAAATGCCGGTGGTCAATGTTGATAATAGCTCTTCTTTGGACTGTAATTGTGTTTTGAGGTTTGCGACAGTTTTATTGAGGGCACTATAATCAGCCTCGATGTTTCTGAAGGATGTACATCTGGAGTTTAAGAGACCTTGATATTTCGCGATATCGTTTCTGAGCGTTTCAGATTTGATAGACTCCTCCGCCAAATTGTCATTAGCGATATTCAAAGAGGTTTTAAGGCGTGATAAATCATTATTGAGCTGACTTTCGAGAGACTCAAGTTGGCTTAATGTACCATCTTTTTTCATTTCGTCCCTCTTTTGGGCTCGAATAACGTTTAAGTCTTCCTCGATACTGCTCATTTCAGTTTGCAATTTTTTGATGGAGGCTTGGAGTTGATCAATTCTGGTTTGGCCAGATGTGTGTAGCTCTTTGATATCTTTATGATTTTGAAGCAAGGATTGATAGGTAAATGCATGCACGATTTTGGAAGTATTCTCGAGATCTGATTGAATATCCTGAAATTCCAGAAAAGTACGTTTTTCACTTCTGAGTTTTTCAAGTTTGGGTTCGATCTCTTCGATTAACAGCGTTCGTATTTCTTGCAGCTTTGTTTCCTTCTTGGCCATAGTCCTCTCTGCCTTTTCTCTACGGTCCTCAAACATCTTAGTCCCAGCGGCTTCCTCGATAAGTGACAGTATTTCTGTCGGCTTCATGTTCAGAACTTTGGTGATTTTGCCCTGCATGATGAGGAAATTTGGATTATTGATGTTTAGCTGCACTGATTGAAACAGATGCAGGACAGTTTGTTGTTGGGCGCGGTGACCATTGATGAGATATTTGCTCGTGCCCCCTAGTACGATTTGCCGAGTCACCGAGATCTGAGGGTATGTTTCAAATCCAATCGGAGAGTTTTTCTTGTCGCTATTATCGAATACTATGGTTACACTGGCTTTAGTTACACCTGCTTGACCCCTCTTGTAAATAAGGTCTTGCAGATTTGAAGCTCTAACAGTCGCCATTGATGAAATACCCAGCACAAAACATATAGAATCGAGAATATTAGATTTACCTGAACCGTTGAGACCCGTTATAGCGTTAAATTGTGGATCCCAGTCTGAGATAACTGTTCTGGTCGCGTACGACTTGAAGCCATCGATGATAAGCTCTTCTACCTTCATTGTCAACCAAATTTCGTGCCGTTGTCAATTCCAAGGTCTTGAAAACCATTGAACGCCTCTATTCAACGAGAGAAGTAGCCAATCGATGTTGTCGAGCAGTGTTTGTTTCCTATAACAATTGATCTCAAAATTAATTAAAGATGGATATTTTGACGTAAATATCACATTTTCGTCAGAGAACTAAGGAAATAATCGAATATAAGAACTTGTATCGTCACGAACCAGGATATGTCTGTTTGAGACATGTTTGAAGAGCTGTACTGAGTAGTGGGCTTTAAATTGAGACGTTTCGCGTTTCGTAGTAGTATTCATAGTTGTTTTACGTGGAAAAGAAGTAATCGGGCAAGAGGAGGGATACTACAACAACAACAACTGTGCTTCAGATATGAGTAGAAAAAAAGGTAAATCACTGCCTGGTATTCGTCGCGCGTAAGAAGATTTTTTAGGTCCCTTTTGGACTGATGTTCTGTAACTTTAAGTCTGTCAAAAGACTCAATTTGAAAGCATTGAGATTTAATAATATTACGAGAGATAGAAAGGCCAAAACCCAACAAGCAAAGCCATTAAGATTCGAAACTTGTTTCGAAGGACTACCGTCAGCTGTAGATTAGTAAGGGTGTTCCTCGAGAACTACGTGTCACGACTGCTACCTGACGTAGCAGAGAAGTCATCATGCCGCTGCCATCTTGTTTATAAAAAACGCTTAGATATACATAGGATTTCGGTTACAAACCTGTGGTAACATACACTATTTGTACTAATACGAGATGACCATTTGTTAGATTATTTTCATTTTGAATTGTTTCTACTACATACTCTAATCTTGAGTCTTTTGAGAACCACGCAACAAACCAGTTCTTCTGGCGGCAATCAAACCAATCTTTTGACCTGGAACAGCACCTCTGGAGATGGTAGAAGCCTTACCAATATGTTGATGGTTACCACCACCGTGAGGGTGATCAACAGGGTTCATGGCAACACCACGAGTCTTTGGCCAAGAGTTTCTCTTGACTCTGTACTTGTGGTAAGCACGACCAGCCTTCAACAATGGCTTGTCAACTCTACCACCACCGGCGATGACACCGATGACACCTCTGGCACTGGAGTTGATGATCTTCTTGGCACCGGAAGGGAGTCTGACTCTGGTCTTCTTCTCGTCTGGGTTGTGGCCGATGATGATAACGTAGTTACCGGAGGCTCTGGCTAGAGCACCTCTGTCACCTGGCTTCTCCTCGACGTTGGAGACGATGGTACCTTCTGGCATGGAACCCAAAGGCAAAACGTTACCGACGTTCAAAGTGGCCTTGGCACCAGCGTAGATGAACTGACCGGTGTGGACACCTTCGTTGGCGATGAAGGTCTCTTCACGCAACTTGTACTTGTATGGGTCACGGAACACAACCTTGGCCAATGGGGCACCTCTACCGGCGTCGTGGACGATCTGCTTCACAACACCACGGATGTAACCATGACGTTCGGCAAAGTCCAAGGTTCTCAACTTGGCAGCACCTTGTCTCAATCTGGTGTGCGAGGTGAAGATAGAACCAGCACCTTTTCTTTGGTTACGAATAACTCTACCTGAGAAGTGGTGTTAGTATGAGAATTGGCTATAAGAATGTTTCGTGGAGCTTGGAAAGGCAAAACCGGGTGTTTCCGGTGTGCGGGAGCACAGTAGACACTCCTTGTCGAGCGCATCCTGTTGTAATTTGCCGATAGTCGATGTCATATTGATATTCCCAATTTTCAAGGTTTATTGCCCGTCTTTTTTGCTCCACTCTTCGAATTTAGCTATCTTCGCAGTCGTAACTGCTAGTTGTGCTATTCGTGATACACGTATCACATACCCATTGCTTGTGTTGATGTCTGGTTTCTCTAGTCCAATCGTGGAATATGTGGTAAATTCAATTGAATTTTCTATATTTCCATCGCCTGGACCTGGAGATGCAATTTCGTCAGAACGCTGGTAGCGTGGTAGCGGCTATGGGTCTCCAGACAGAGATCCAGCCTGGATCTCAGCCTACCCTCAGCCTAGTTTGGTGGGAGAGATAGGCGGAGCGTCGGTGAGAGCTCTGCCTAGGGAACTCTCTGGCCCACCAGGCTAGGCTCACAATCTAGGCTGAGGTTACCATACCGCTACACGGAGCGGTGATTCACCCACCGGACTCGTAAAAAAAGACCGACGCAAAAAACAGGCCCATTTTTATTTAATTATTTCACTCGATATATTTTTGAAATGGTGTACGGATGCTCGACAGTCACAAGGAAAGTCAATTCAAGACTACGAATTGATAAATTGATAATATCATTGATTGACAGAGCGCTGGTGATGAGATCTTAGTTTGGAGTTATGCGTAAGTGAGCTAATTCAAGTTTGAGCTGTGGCAGTGTTACTTTTGGTAGTAGAATATGTGATAGGATACAAGTCGTACGTAAATAATTGAGATGGTTTCTCCTGTTGTGAATTTTTGAAAGCGCTCACCGGCATACTGTTGTGTATATATTGTAGGAGAGAGGATAGAGGGAAGAGGGAAGAGTAAAGAAGCAGCATTGCTCAACTCGATGCGTAACTGAATCAAAACTAGTCAGTGGATGTGATTTGGGTTCAAGACCAGTGGCACGTGACACAGTTGTTGTTGTTGTTGCTGCTGACGTAACCCCGGAGTTGACACCTCGAGGCCCAACTACACAAATTCACATACTATAGCTGGACTATTGAAATGATAAGCGAAAGAGATCTGAAATTGCCCTCATGTAAGCACCCTATCTCTCTTGCAGTCCACACTTAGCTTGCAGGTGCAGCTTCTGTAGTTTCCAGCTCCTGGTTTTCCGCAATTGGCTGAGCGTCGTCTGCTATGGACTGCTTACGCATTTGAGCCTGTTCCAGCTCCATTTTTTTGGCGGCAGCCTTCTTGACCTCCTGCATTTTCGACAATCGAGCGGGCTTGAGAGTTATTTTCTTGCCCATCAATTTCTGTTTGGAAAGCTGGCTGATGGCGTTTTCCAGAGAGTTTGGAGCGCCCAGCGTGACTAACGCAGCAGTGAAGCGACGGTACAGATGGATACGATGCCGCGACACGCTGCTGCGGTAAACGTATATATCTTGCGGATCATAGTCGGCAAAAAACTCGCGCAACTCGACATCGGTGACGTTGGAGGGCAGATATGCACAATATAGGGTGTCATCCGAAACCGGCTCGGAATTCGTTTTAGGGGCTTCTGGCAAGGGTGCAGTAGCTTCGACGGTTGTGTCCACGGGTTCTTGTGCTTCTGCTGCCACAGGCTCCTGTGCCGTAGTATCGGCCATAACTGGGTCGGATCTGTTCACACCTAGCGAAACGGACGTGCTGTTCTGCTTCTTTGAAGGCCGGCGTTCCTTGCGTTTAGCAACGAAGGGCGCGTACATCTTCATTTTGAGGGCCCGGTCGTGTAGTTTCTGGCCGTTTAGATTCTTGACCGCGTTCTGAGCGTCCTCAGCAGTGGCAAAGTCTGCGTAGCCGATTCCTAGCGGCCTCACACTGCTATTTCTGAACCCACGGACGGTTTGGCTCGGTATCAGCACCGTGAGCACGTTGAACTCTTGCAAAAACTGTTTCAGATCCTCTTCATTGGTGTCGAAATCCAGGTTCGAGATGTAAATGCGTTTGACCCCCCCAGACGCGGTTGTTTCGGGGGAAACGTTGAGCTCTGCAGAGGCCCGTCTTGCCATGACTTCTGTTGTCATTTGTGATACTGGAATACTGCCTTTATTACACCTATATTGTTGAACAATTTTGTGGTGCGCGATGTGTCCTGTAACTAGGATGTGAAGGTCATCCTTTGATGGATTTCGGACGCTTTATATAGTGGGCCCGATGAGCGTCACAAAACTCACAAAAAGATCAGATTGTGTCACTGACGCCTTAGACGGTGCCGCAGCAGAGAACAATCGATCGGCACCAACCAGCGCGTTACCGTCTGTAGCTCTCCAGATTATAAGTTATCCTTAGGTCAACGTAAATTAGAACAATTCAAAAGAAGTGATATATAATTCTTTACAGACTGTAAATGAGAGTTTTTGTTGGTGGATTTGATTGTTAAAATGCCTATTCTCCCGAGCTGCAGATTTATTTCTTCTCCTCAGCACGCTTGGCAGCCAAAGCTTTTTGGGTACCGTGCAAGGCGTGCTTGTGGTTTCTTCTGAACTTGGCGTCAACACCCTTCAAAGATGGGTACTTGTAGGTCTTAGGCTTCTTGATACCATTTCTGTGAGCCTTTCTGCTTTGGTTGTGATTGGTGTGGTTCTTAGACTTGGACATTTCTGCGGAGAAGTTAGTACTGTGCAACAGCGGAAAAGAGGGACGAGAGTGGACTGGTGGGGGGAGAGTGTAAACACGATGAAAACACGGCTGCGAAACGTCATCAAAAGATATCATAGGATCAGCGTTTTCCACCGTATCTCCAGTGCCGTTTTAGAAAACGGGCCCAAATCTTAAACGCGTTTCTACCTCTTCAAGTTACAAATGGCGAGCCGCAATTGCCATAAATGTCCAAATCCCACTTTTTCGAAATTTGTTCCCACTGCTTTGAATAAACCCCCCAAGCCGTAGCTGGTCTCATCTCGCCCTGATCCTCTTGGATTCAAATCCCATCATAGGGTGCCCATATTGTACGTACCGTTCGATAGTTTAGTCTGATAGTTCTATCTTCCCAATAGCCAACAGCTGTTCAAGTTTGGTTATATCAAGCATATCGATGCCAGTTTCCAAAATTCCAAGAGCTACCTGCTGGACCGGGCGGTGAGCAGGGACTCGATGGCTAGGCGGAGCCTGTCTGGAGCGGTTGGCAGAGCTAGGCAGGAGGTGAGGAGAGCCAGGCAGAGCCGATGAGCCTAGGGAGACAACCCAGCGCCCAGCGCTAGGCTGGCATAGGAAGGACCAGACAGAGCTAGGCAGAGCTGGCCCGCGAGTGGGTCAAAGTCAATTGAGGCCATCATGGAGGGACCCACGCAAAAATATTTTTGGCTTTTTTCGATGTTGAAATTTCGGACAAAGCTAGATTTTTGTGAAATGTATGGGTGTTACATAGCAGTCACTGTCCAGATTTTTTCCAAAAACTCCGAACCATGACGCCAAAGTGTGGGAACAAGTACTCATACTATAGTTTTCCATATCAATCAGCTACAGGTTGTTGATGGAATGATGTTAATCTAGGATGTCGATAAATGGAGAATTGAAGTTTCAAAAGCTGGTGCAAATGTTTTTGTAGTGGGTACGCTGTTTATGCTGAAATTCAGCTGCAGACGTTACGACAAGAATCATAGTGTACTGATCCCTCCTGCAAGAATCCCTTTGACTTCGTTGCGGTCCGTTTTTATGATTATGTCAACAAGCCTTACGCCAATGTGTCTCGCCACTCCGTCAAAATGCTTACATAGTGTTTGTATTGAAATTAAGTAAGTTATAATAAATACGTGACACTGGGCATCCGTAAAAGAAGGTTCTCTTCTTCCACCTAGCTCAACACCACGGACATGCTTTACACGAGTACACTTGCACCACCGCTGTTGCCTCTAAGAATCTGATTTTTATACCCTTAGTCTATCGGAGGCTGCAATGGAACAACGTGAACCCTTTGGGTTCGTGAATTTTTAGTTTCATGGGAAAGTAAATAATAGGAATATCGAAAATCGGGACCGGATGCAAAACGCAAACGTGGAAGGAAAACCGGGACGGCTGAGCATCCCCGATCCTTTTTTGGATTTTTGGTGGTGGTTTATTGTTGTTTTGTTTTGTTTTGTTTCGTTTCGTTTTGTTTTGTTTTCACCTTGTTTCGGTTTACTTCAGTCTGTCGAACAATCTTGGGGCGACACAACCGTCGAGGTGGTGTTGCAAGTGGAAGAACTCCTCAATACAGTCCTCCTTGTATTCAAGGTCCGCGTAACCAGGCTCCTCTTGCGCTTTTTGCACTCTTTCCACACATTCCATGTAATGGTGTACTAGTGGCTTTGCGTCTTCTCTGTTCTTGCATTCCTCGGTCAAAGCATCCATTTGGTCGACTTGTTCTTCTTCTTCTTCGTCCTCGTCTTCGTCCTCTTCTTCATCCTCGTCCTCGTCCTCGTCTTCGTCTTCATCGCCGTCTTTTTCGGCTTCAGCGTCGTCCTCGTTCTTGGATTCTTCCTCATCGTCACCGCCGACTTCTGCTGCATCGTCGTGGTTCTTGCTGGGTTCTTCAGCAGACGCTTCGGCAGCTTCGGCCACGGTTGGGACAAAAGCTTCCTTCAATTCTCCTACCAACTCAATAATGCTGCTTATCATATTATATTATCAGTTTTCGACGATTTCCAAGACCTGTCCTCTCAGCTACCAGTTCAACTAAACCCGTCTTAATTGTAAACTTCAATTGAGATCGAATCACTAGGTGCGAGTTCAGAGACAAGTTGAAGTTATAAGATCATAGCTGGGTCAATCGGTTAATTTCGATTGATCAAACCCGATATACTTACTTAAATTTTTCAGCTGTAGATTTTATGAGCTTTCATTGGTTCGTCGATAGCGGGCGTCATAAAAGTATAAAGTGATATAATATGCTTCCTATAGAGACGTAACGACATGAAATACCCTGGCGCGGGTGAGTTAGCAAGGTCTAGGGAGAATGTGAGGTGGTTAAGACAATTTCTATTTTATTTTGGGGCTGTCTAGATCAAAGAGGGATTTGTATCGTTTTTTTCTGAACGCCAGAGGCTAAGAGGAAGATAGATCGGGTTTTGAAGACTAGCCAAGCTTCGGGAACAATGGAAAGTCATTTTTTAACGCCATCCCACTGTCCTTGAAAAATGAACATCAATGACACGTTTTGTATGCTTTTGCTGAACATTGTTTTAGTTCAAGTCTTAAACGTTGTTGTATGTTGGCGAGAGAGAACGTTGAATCACGTGACTAAATGTCGCGGACTTTGTCACAGGGTAGGTGAGAATCTGGGTTGAAATGCTCTGGTAGAGCAGGTCCCTTACTCATACCGCATTCTTGTTTTCAAAAGGAATTGTTGGTCCCACTGGCCATGATGTAAGAGCGTGCCCTTTTTAATATTTAATTTTGGTTCGCAGGCTGCTGGAAAAAGTTCTACTCACTTACAGCTAGACAAGCGTTGTTGGTGGTCTGCAATTTCTAGGTATCAATCGAGCGTGAATTTTGATGGTTCGCAAACGACTTTGCTTGCGACATGCAACATATATGCTGGTGACGAGCGAGGACAAAGTGACTGAAGGTCATGTGATCCTTTTTCAACGACACGATTTGATGCGTGTGTCGCCGTTCACGCAGGCAAGTCTCAGGTAATAACGACACATAGCTCTGCACCATCAGTTATACTAGTACGGGCGTTTGTTTGGGTATTTGTTTCCGGAGTTTTCAAAAGACCAAGCACCCGCCGAAAATTATTGGTACATCCCGGTCCCTACAGAATTTATTGTCAAGGCATCGGAATTTTAAGTTTCAATCAATTCTTGGCAGCACTTAAGGTCAGTGAGGGGCTCAGTAACAAAAGACCCAAATTTATCTGACTTCGCAAACGATGACCCATTTATGCTTGAACTAGTTTATTCACTACCATCACTTAAGTACTATTCATAAACAGTACATATACCTGTCGCCTACCACTGTAGCGTCATAATAGATTTTGACTGATACTTGAAAGACACACAGTCTAGTTCCTTCCCTTAATTTGTTGATAATGGGATTGGGAACCTACATATGAAAAAATGCTTGGACCGCAGTCAGCTTCATCAGCTTCTTTCTAGAATTCATCTAGGAGGATGGCATAGGTATCACGACGGCCCAATAAATATCCATTGAACGCTTTCTAATCTTTGAAATTTCAACGACAATGCAAATCTACCGTCATAAAATTCACCAAGAATGCTTTACGTTCAATGCACAAAGAAATGCATACCATGACTTTTTTTTAATTTCAAAGTAACCACCAAAGCATTACAGAGGGAGAGTTTTAAGAGTCAATAAAATTACAGAAGCTTCGGGAGTTGACGAATCAGACGATACACTTTGCTTCAAAATGTAAAGAAATCTATGTAGTGCTTAATGTGACGCTGTTCAGTGCTGGTCCAGGGTTTCAAACCAAATTTATGCGACATATGCATTACTCCCATCTGGCTCTTTGTCGAAACTCAATATTAGCTTGAATAAAGATTTCGTAAATATTACAATTTTACTACATACAAACATGTTATGTGCAAAGAAACTTATATCTCGTTTCACTCATTACTTTATTGATAGTTTATCCTCGTTCGAGTCGAGGTCCACGTATCCTCCTTCATCTCTTACTAATGACTGCAGCGGAACAGATCATGACCAGGATATTTCAATATATACCATCCGGGTTTTTCCTGCCAGCTTTCACTTGGGGGCATCAAAAGACATTGTATGGACTTCCCGTATCAGCTTAGCGTAGACGATTTTAAATTATGCAATTATTACAATTAATCAGAGGGTTGCAATCCTCTAGCAATGAGTTGACGAATATACACGCAAGCAAGTTCAACCGTTGTAGCCTTGGATGGAACCAGAGTTGAGCCTTTGAGCTCCGTGGGGATCAATGCGTGAAGCTCAGTGAGAGCATTGTTCAAACGGTTGCGACGCCCTTGCTCGGCGGCTTTATGGATGTCTTTCCTATGTTGTTCATTCCCTGAAGTGCCCAGCAACTCGTCAAGGTCTTGAGCGGGCATATCTTCGTTGTCTTTATCCTGAAGCGAGTTTTTACTATTTTTGCGAATTGGGTTTAACTCTGGCGTTGCTCGTATGTTAACATTCCCCGCACTAGTCTTGCGACTTATTGCGGGTGGTGGGAATGGGGGTGATGGGTTCTTAGCCTTAATAACGGGAGATTCAGAGGCCACGATGAAACTTTCATAACCATTGTTAATGATAGTGTTCCCAGTTGCAGACGGTTGAGTCCTGCCCGGCAGCTGTGAATTTCCAAACGATGTGGACGGCAGAATTACTTTTGGGTAATTTGCGATTGTGGCAGAACATGGGTCGTGGGTCTGTGGTTGCTGAGACTCATAGTTCTCAAACTCAAGGTCTAAGCTGCTTAAGGGCATTGTCGAGTTGCCCGAGTTTTGTGTTCGCGTTGAGGAGACACTTGAGGCTGGCCGGGAAATTGTGACGTTTTCTTTATGCTCTCGAGATGCACCTTGAGAGAAGCTGGCATCTGGCGCAGCCGCCGCCAGTGATGGCGGTGGAATAGAGCTATCTGGGAGAGCAAACATTTCGTCCCAATTGGCAGGTAGGGCGCTCTTGCGCCGATTGTAACCTGGAGCTCCAGATCGCCTGCGAGGGAGTTGAGGGCTACTTTTGACCACTTTGGAGCCTGCATTTCCGGCTGCGGATGATGAAGAAGAATGGCCGGCAGAGGTGGCCACGGTGATCGCCGTGAGAGCCGGAGTTGACATTGGAGTTTTCCTGCCACGGGACGAAGAGCTCGAAGAGACTCGTTTCAAAGCTGCCAGACTGTCCAGTGCGTCGATGGCAGGCGACGAAAGAGGTGAAAATTGAGGTTTTGAAGACGAAACCGAGGTCAAAGACCCGCAAGCCTGTGACCTCAAAAGGGGTGTATTGGCATTGGAAGTGGAACCCGAGATGTTGCGGTTATGGTATAGTTTTTGCTGCTGCTGTTGTTGTTGCAGTTGTTGGTACGGCTGTTGGGACTGTGACTGCGATTGCGGAAGACCGTTTTGCTGGTAATGGTGATGACGACCGGGCGCTGGAACCACCATTGGCGACACAACGGGCGAAAAAAGCACGCCTGGTTGAACCAGTCGAGTCTCTTGGAGCTCTGTTGCGTCTGAGGGTATATCTAGGGCAAAATGGAACGGTATGTGGTGCGAATGCGTGGTGTCATGGCCTGCTGAACCGTGCTCCGAAGTGTCCAGGCCAGTGTCACGTGACTCGAGCCCAACTTCAAAATCCAAATCCAGCATGTGTCGTTCCGAGCTTGTTCGGCCTGCGTTATGATCACTGATGTATTGGTCTACCTGGTCCAGGACGCTTTGGTTCTCTTGCAGTGGCTCATGATGCTGCTGCGATTCCCGGTTGTAATCATTCATCGTATCGGAGCTTCCCTTGGCCCTTTTTGTTCGCTTTTTTTTTACACAGATGCTGGAACCGTGTATTATAACACCCTGCCAAGCTTTTGGGATGAAATACTCTATGGAAAGCGCGTTCTTTTATCGTTATTGTCTTAAAAACAACGTCGAGTTCCTTACGAGTCACTCATAATAACTCATATATGAGATATTTAATATTGGCGCGACTGAAAATAATAGTTCGAATGCCATGTGACAACAATGGCAGAATTTATATATGTCATAATGTACGACCTTGAAACGCTCCGCACCCACACACCACATAGAAAATCAGGTCGTCTTCGATCATGGTCATACTCCCACGGCCATGAAATGGCGATTAATGAGTGTCGCTATCACAGTTTGAACTACGAGACGTCTCTTGTAAAGTTTACCTATCACAGGTATTTGTACATTTGATTTGCACCGTGATATGGATCAGGAAAAATGCATCTCGTCCGATGAATTTATCATTTAGCGGTATGAAATACACGTATTTTTATAGCATTATTGTGATTTTATGAATCTCGATGGGCGTAGACAGGAGATTTTTTTCGAGTTTGCTGCTATGCCAATATATGGCAAGGGGCTTTCAGCAAGTCGTTTCCGGTTGTGGCTAGCGATTGCATCTGAATACAAGATATTGGTGACTTGTGCCCCTGTCTGTTAGTGACTTCCCACCTTATTTGAGTCGCGAATGCTGTGTGAGAAACATGGTCTTCAATCGTTTGTCACTCTGTACTAGATTGTCACCTGCCACTTGATCACATGATAAGGTGACACTGATTGCCCGTTTGGCTAACGCTCGAGCCGGAAGACAATACTTATGGCAACACATTGGATGGTAGCGAACTTACAGTCAGTGACACGGGGGCCTTTTTTCATAAAAGTGGCTCGGTTATCATCAGAGTGTTAAACTCAGTGCGAGAAAATACAATACTAATGTGATTGTGAATGTTGGCCGATTGGTCGTGTAACCTCGACTTGGTAACCTACATTTTATGTATTTTACAACAGCATGAACTTTATGCTATTGTGATAGCCTCATTCGCGGGATACGTTGAAGCATAGCTCAGGGTTTCTAATTATGATAACAGTGCGGAGTCAAACGGGTTGTAATTTGTTTGATTACGCTAGATTGTCTTTTATTATGAGTTCTACAAATCATTACAAAACAAAAAGCTTCAAAAAATACCCTTTCCTAATTAAGCTGCTCCGAACGAGAGTTTCAGCAAGACCATTATTAGCGAGACGATTATCAGCGAGTTTTCAATGCGTTACCCACCAACCATTGAACACCCATCCTCCTCACAGGTGTGTACTCTTCTAAGTTGCCGACCGCACGCCTAATAGGAATAGGGTATTCGAAATGAAGGGCTGCGATATCTAACAAGAGTAAGTGCCATAATCTCGAATGTTGAGTAGAAAACAAAACTGAAAGCGAGCTGGACTCCCACAAAACATCACGCCGAGCTCAAAAACTCCTGTGGGAATGTAGATAGCCATATGTCACTGCGGTCTGCTCGCATTCGAGAAATCAACGTCACGTCATTTTACTCATTTTCGATCGATCTGTCACCTGTCTTCGTGTCACGTGCCGGGTGTATGATATCAAAACGAGCCACTAGCACCAGCGATCAAAATGTAAGCAGGTTCTTGTAGTACATTCCCCTAGCTTCTTTTGTGAGCTCACATTTGTTCGCATGTAGAACAAATGTGATCAACATACTTTTGTTTTCCATTATTTTTTATGTTTTGGTAGACCTCGGGCATTTTGAAAAAGATCATGATGCTTCTAACAGTGCCATGGGCAACCATATATGAGATATGATTTCTATATGACTGCTACAAACTAACTTTCTAGATTCTCTATCTCCTTCCTTTCGAGTTTCTCTTTCCGTCTCCATTTATGCGTCTGATTTCCTCCGGCGAAATGATCAGCCCGTTACGAGTGGAACGGCCAACAGAACTAACTTTGATTCCCTTTTGGCGCTTGGCTCTTCGTTGCGCGTCACTGGATGCGTTCTTAGTTCCAATCCGTCTTTCGATGTCCTTTCTATATGTGGAGTCAATCTTCCGGAACTCTCCCTTCTTGACCTTCGACAACACAATCCCGCCCTCTCGGGCCTCATGCTCATGCTTTTTGATCCTCTTTATGTGTTTATCAACCATTCCTCTTCTGACATTCATCGGTACTTTTTCCAGCTTGTGCGACTTCCCGTTCACGGACGACAAGTTCTTTAAACGCATTTCCAATGTGCGCGACCGGGCTTTGCCGAATACTTGGTCATCTCTGTACTCCACGTTGTTCATGGTTTCAAGCGTTAAATCTGCTCCACTGTGGGTGTTTTGGCCAAATGCGCTTAGCAAATGCGATTCCTTCAAAAACCTTTGCAGCTCCAGGTCGTTTTGCAGATTATCTTTTTCAACATCTGCTGCCTCATCGTCTCCTTCGGAACCTTCCTCCAGCTCTTCTTGAAGTCTGGATTCAGTAAGTGAATTTTTGGGTGCCTTACCTGACCTTACAAGCTTCTGCTCTTTTTTGCTGGGTGCAACGTAAGCATCACTGGTCCCGTCGAATTTGATGACCTTGGGTTGATGTTGAACTTGTCTCGATTGCCGTTTTTTTTTCTCTTGCGAATAACTCGACTGTTCCACCTCGTCATCATCGAAAAATCCTTGGAAACTTCTTTCTCCCTCACTTTCCGATCCAGTCTCCGCTTCAGACTTCTGTGACTCGTCGCTATCCGACATCTCATCCACTGTCTGGTTTTTCGTTTTGTCCTCAAAACCCATAGACTCTAACGAGCCAAACTGAGCTTCAAAGGCCTTTCTTTGAAGCTCTAACTGTCTAGCATATTCATCATCACCCATAACGCCTCTGAAGACAGGATAATCGCTGTTTAACAGCTCCTCCAGTTCCTCATCTCATCGCATCTCATCTCATCTCATCGCTTTAATTCGTATTTCATGGAAAATATCATGATACACGAAGGACAATTGGAAAATCCTAGTCGTCCTCTAACTCATCGCTCTCCAGCTTAACAGTTTCTCGAATTGATAGAAGATCGTTGATCTATCTTGCTCAACCATTGTTGACTTATACAATGACTCGATTTGTGGGGTGTATCGATTTGCACAACGGTCAAGTTAAACAAATTGTGGGTGGGACGCTTAACGAGCAACAAAATGACCTTTTGAAAACCAATTTTGTATGCCAACACAGCTCATCTTACTACTCTCAAATGTATGCCAAAAACCAAGTGAGTGGGTGCCATGTCATTAAATTAGGCCCCAACAATGATGAGGCGGCTCTGGAAGCTCTGAAAGCTTGTCCCAATTTTTTGCAAGTTGGCGGTGGCATCAATTTTGACAACTGTCTGCAGTGGCTGGAAACCGCTAACAAAGTTATCGTAACAAGCTGGCTTTTCGACTCCGAGGGCCAGTTTTTACTCACAAACCTCCAAAAAATTTCAAAACGCTGTGGCAAAGACAGATTGGTGATAGACCTGAGTTGCAGAAAGGTCGAGACGAGCGGCGAGCCTCAATGGGTTGTGGCGATGAACAAATGGCAAAAGCTCACAAACGTGGTTTTGAGTAAGGAGACTTTCACCTCGATGAGTGAGTATGCAGACGAGTTTTTGATCCACGCAGCAGACGTGGAGGGCCTTTGCCGTGGCGTGGATGAACTTTTGGTCGCCAAGCTCTACGAATGGACTGAACATCTACCGCATTTGAAAATAGTATATGCTGGCGGCGCTAAGAGTATAGAAGATTTGGCCCTCGTAGACAAATTGAGCCATGGGAAAGTTGATCTGACCTACGGTAGCGCCCTGGACATTTTCGGAGGAAATCTTGTGACTTTCGAAGACTGTTGCAAGTGGAACAAAAACAGCGACAAATAGATACTAGTTGTGATCGCGAATTAGTGGCACCAGGCACAAAGTCTCGCAGGTGAAGCGCCGAGTACGACGTGCACGCACACGCTCATGCCTCCGAGCTCGAGGTATGCCATCTTTAGTTATTTGTCGTAATGATACACAGCAAGAACAATATTTACATATGAGCCCGCATTTTTATTTATTTGTCGTCAGTGTTAATCTGGAGTTTTACCATGCATCGTCAAAGCCTGAACTAGGCTCTGCATAATTGTAAGGAGCAGCACCGCCTGCGTAAGCAAAACCCGATTCCTGCTCCATAGGCATCGCACCGCCGTCTTGCTCTGCAAGCCCTGCGGTTCCCCCGAAATTGACCTTGTCTTGATCCATTTTCTTCAATGAGAAGAGAATGTCTGCCACTTTATCTTGTAAGGTTTTCATGCCTCTTACGACGACTTGATCTGCTGTCAGTGAGCCCACCGATTCAACGTTCATGTAGAATGTAGATGGCTTGGCCTTATAGTCGAACACGTCATCTTCATTCGGAGGATCTTCGTATTCGCAGTTTTTAGATTGCGGCCATTCCGCAACGGCATCTACTTCGTGCCAGTAATCTGTGTGTCTTAATTTGTTCCATGGGTCGTACTCAAACTCGATGGCTGATGCCGGCGACCATTTGGCGTGTTCTTTGGCAATTCCCTTCTTCGCAATGCATTTCAACTTAAGCTCTTGGCCCTTCCGCAGTTTGCAAATAAGTACTCCGTTGGCTTCTTTGTCTTGTATGATTGGATGTCCAATATTACGTCCCATGAGATTGCTGACGATTACTAAATCCTTGGCGTACACATTGGTCGTGGATTCACTTTCTCCAAGAGCTTGCAAAGTCAAAACCACGGAGCATCTGTCGCAATGGTCTTCACAATAACAGTCTCTGCAGTAAATTAGATCATTGATATCAGCACTTTGCAGTGGAATAAGTCCCAGACGATGCGAAATAAACTCGTCTGCCAAAACCGTGGTGTTGGTTTCAATTTCCACCGAATCTATCGCCAATGTAGGAATCTCTGCGATCATCACTCTCCGCAGCGAATTTGCTAATGTCATATCCACATTTGACAGAATAAAGTCCACATTGTCCTTGGTAGCCTCTCTAATTTTGACCTGGGGTCCCTCTTCCGCCATATTAAAGTCGTGCTAATATTGTAGAGCTGCCGCTAGTTAGAATAAGCCAGCCAGTAGCGGTGGTAAAGATGAACTGGGAACTTTCGGTAGGGTTGAGTTTAGTCTCTTTTGACATCAAAGTTGACAAATTTTTCAAATTATGAGATTTTATCAAAAGTACTCATGAGTACTTGAGGATAACGTGTGAGAAACTAGAGAAGTGTCAGATAATGAGAGCATAACTGGTGTGACCTATTGATTGAGGACTAAAGTTGGTTAAATTGGTGATGCAAAACGATCAGTTGTCGGCCCGGTCATCGCAATTTGTAAGGACTAAAACGATTGCAACGAGAGTCACGTGAGCTAACGACAGAAAGAATGAAGGCCCATCTTTAAACTCAAGACCGGAATCAATAGCGTTAGATCACAGGTAGGTATCACTCAGTGATATGGGCCGTTCGTTTTGTTTCGGGGAAACAGAAATCCAAAGTGGAATACGGAGCGCAATCACAGCCTTCGAAAAAGTAGGCTCGGGAACTCGATACTACTTGTCTCTGCATAATTTTTAAGCCTATTGTACTCAACAGCTCAAAAGATTAATCTCAGCTCCTTCCAAACGCGTTTCAATTTTCGACTAGCTCCAATGATAGAATGGCTAGTGACAGCAACTGTTTTTAAAAAACAGTGACATTGCGGATACGAGTTACATCAGTTCAAGTTGATTGCTCACCGACAGAATGTTCCTGCTGAGTTACCTTGACTCCCTAGACTGAGCTTCTCGCTCCATTAAAATGCTGCTGTCTTGAACAGTTAATTTTTATTCTTCGTATCATTTTCTGCCCGACAAGTGATCAACTCTCACAATCAGCGGCGGATCACCTAAAGCAACTTCTGCACAAGCTACAGATCGCTAGCTACCCATCCCAATGCCTTAAGTTTGGTTCTTGTTTCGACGACAGGTGCCAAGGTTGTGTACTCATGGGCTGTACTCACAAACTGTACCCGTGAGCTGTACTCGTGTCGTTGATCTTCTCTAATATGAGCTATGCCATGATCATCTCGGCCCTTCAGACTCATAGATCATCAGATCTTACCGTCCCACATACACTACACTACCCAAATGACGAAACTTGGCCTTGCAGGTGAAGTGCAGAAGTTGGCTATACCTGATCTTAGGTTTCAACAGACCTTTCAAAATGCCCTTAAAAGAGAGGCTAAAAAGAACAAGAAAATAGGTACAGAGGGCAATGACGACGAGAATATCAGCACCGCTGTGATCTGCAAAGTGATTTTGCGAGACGTCTTATTTATGCCCTTTGTTCAGGGTATTCTTTGGACTTCGATTTTGATCGCAATGAAGCCATGGCTGCGATTTACGGTACAACAGGGCCAAATGTGCGGACAGAGACTATACAATTTTATATTGGGTAAGGATTTGGTTCCAAGCAGACGAGGTCTGTGAGAAAACTATTTGTGTCAGAGAGAATAGAATCTGGTGACCTGAAGCAAATTAAATTCGTAATAATATATATGTACAAGATCAGTAGTCGTTCTATTGTTTCGAGGAAATCAAAAATCATCGCATCATGTGAACTGCCTGGAACCACCGCGGACGAACTCCAGAATTTTCCAGCCCTCCGTTTCCTTGTCTTCGATGTTTTCAGGATCTCTGGTGAAAACCATGGCGTAAGAGCTCATTAGAATATTGGATTGAGTACCTGCGGCCACTTCACCGGTCTTGGCTTTCCGGTACAAGTGAATTTCCTGCGCTCTGCAACCCACAACCAAAACAGGTAGATCCTGTGGCGCCAAAAGTTTGGCACTTACTATGTCCACGCCTCTGACGTCTAGGATACGCCCATCTGCGAAGAGGCCTTGTTCCCTGAAAACTTTCTGCTGCGCGGCGTATACGTTGAAAGGTGCCTCGCTAAACCATTGCTTGAGAACCTTTTCATCTCCTTTAACGTACGCTTCGAGGACCTCAGGTATGACGTATTCTCTGAGATGGCTCATGAAGGTTTCACTGTTGAAATTGGCATCCATCAGTTTGAATTGACCCATGACGCGTGCAGACTCTGTTTCGGCAAACAGACCTGCGACTTTACCGCTGATGGTACGCAAAAGCACTATCAGAGGGTTTTCGCTGTCATCCCAAAGCTTGTTTTTTGCCTCCTGCATCTTTCTGCCCACAACAGTTTTTTCTTTGAAATCTTCGACTTTTTTGCCGAAAGATTCCTTGGCTTCGATTTCGGTAGCCACCAATGCAGTGCCTGCTTCGTCGTTGCTTCTGACGGCCTTGGGTCTTTTCCCCGATGCTATATCTTGTTCTAGTTTGAGTCTTCTTTGCTCTTTTGAAATGAACCCTCCGTAACGCGAGCTATTACCACTGTCCATGACCTCAGACACGTCTTTGTAAACCTGCGTTTTCCTTACGGGCTCGAAAGACTCGTCCAGTTTCGCTGCCGTTTTGTTGACCGCTGATCTTGTGCTTTTCCCTATCTCAGAGTCCCAAGCCTTGGATGCCACTTTTTCGACTGTGTCACCAGTCTTCTTGAACGCTTTCCCCACAATTGTGGAGCCCTTTTGAGCACCCAAATACGCCTCTCTGGCCTTCTTGTAGGCTTCAGACTCTCCTAATTTACCTGAAGCGTCCTGCAAAGCCTTAATGTTGTCCTGAAGCTCTTGAGATTTCTTCCACTCTTGCTTGAAAGTCTCGCGGAAAATCTGCAAAGGTGACCGGGGATTCCCCTGGCTCGCCCTCAATGTTTGGGAAAGATGACGACGAATAACCACGCTTGGTAGCGGTTTGCCTGCTCTCAACATCCTGAATGAGCGCTCTGTTGCGGGCGTGGTGCTGGTGACTTCTGGTAAAGTTAACTAGAAGTTCAATTTTAAAGATTTCAAAATTTTTCACTAATTAAATACTGACATCGAGAGCCAACGCGGAAAGAGACGATATTTCCACAGCGATGTCGAGCTAAAGCCGGTGCAAGAATTTCATCAGTATATGCGTCGTGAAGTTTTGTTAATATTTGTTTTTCCAGCATGAATTTTGGACCAGAATTGACTGAGTAAATTATAATTCTTAAATCGTTAGATGTTTGTAGCCTGTAGCTGATAGATACGTCCAAGAACCCAATTTATGAGAAAAGTCCATAACTCATCACATTGATATCGGACACTTGTCTATAAATTTGGAACCAGCATGTCAAAATGTCTGCTCGTTCTCATCAAATAATTCAGATCCCCCAAACTAAACAAATCTTACATTCCAAAAATATCTGAAAAACGACAAAAAGGCCGAAAATCGCTTCAGAGTTTACGAGATAAATACAAACTCTAATCGAAATCAACGCTATCCAGCTGCCAAGTCGCAACGACAGTTATTAACTGCTGGAAACTCCCATACTTAGTTTCAAGATCAAATATCACATATCACGAATAGTAATATTTTAGTCTAAGCTCATCTCGAAGAAATAACCGAGTACGCGAAGCTCCCCTCGTCAGAACGCTCCAGTGTAAGACATCAGGGACCTTTACTTTGCGGGCAAGAGCTTAGCGTCGGCATGGGAAAGGGATCCGCCAGATCTAGTGGCTGGATGCCCTCAAATACGCTGAGTGAGCCAAGAGGACAGAAACATAATAATGAACCCAAAAGATACACCTCCAAGCTCTGGAATGAGGCCAAGAGGGATACATTAGAGAACGAACTTGTTGTGGGGTTGAGTACGGGTGAATATTTTCCGGACGTGTCCGGTTCCGGCACTAGAGTTCCCTCTATTCCAAGTAAAAGATTGCGCGTCGATGACACTATCGGTGATGATTTCAAGAGGAATGACACTGGAATCGAATATTCTTACGTTCCTAAAACACATAGAGACCTGAATCCAGCCTTTGGCGATACGTGTACCAAAAACGCCGGTGAAACATACGGGAACAGCTCCAAAGATCGGAGATCTCAAGGTTTATTTCGTGCAATCCATCATTCTGGTGCAGAGACAGTGAAAAATCCAGCAGTATTGGTTTTCAAAAACAGTGAAGACATTACGATGTCCATCAAATGGAAGGGTGAGCGTATTGGAGGTACTGAGGTTGACTTTTTGAAGGATTGTCAGACCGTTTTTTTTAGTGTCCAGGGAAATCATCTAGGCGTGGTTTTGAAGTGCTCAAGAATTACAAGCTTACATTCTGACCAGACTAACATCTTCCTGTGGACTGAGAAAGGCCAAGAACTGGTCCCTCACATCAAAGAGGTGCTGGAAAGAAGCTTTGTGGATGTCATCGTGGTCGAAGGAGAAAAAGTAAGCGACCACGCCGTCATTAGCGCGATGAAGAGGAAAGCACTTGCTCATGGAAATGCGTCAGTTGAGTGTACACTCCAAGAAAGTTCTAACTACACGCGAGAGCACCATCCTTTTCAAGGGAAAGAACTGCGCTCATTGGCCAAACCTTTCACGAAGTCACGCAATAAGGGCACAAGCACAATTATAGGAGTTCCCAGCTCAGCAGATTTTCCAGATGGCCATACTACATCCCCGGGTCAATTTTACGGGAATAATTCGTCGCATGTGTCTTTGCTGAACCATACTTTATCGAATGTCAAACGTGTAACGAGGTCGAGCACTGCAACACCACCGACCACAGCCGATACCGAAGAAACAGATATTCAGTTCGAGACGCCGGAAATTTTCAAACCAGCTTTATTCTACAAGTTTGAGGATAAAACCACTCTTTCAATAACTAACCAAGACTTCAAATGCCTATACAATCATGACTGGATTAACGATTCAATTCTTGATTTTTTTGTCAAGTATTGGACCGAGAACTCTATACAGAGGGGGATAATAATACGCGATCAGATTCATGTTCTTTCATCCTTTTTTTACACTAAACTCATAAGCAATCCTGACAATTATTATGGAAATGTCAAAAAGTGGGTCAGGGATACAGATTTGTTCAAGAATGATTATGTGGTCATGCCAATAAATGAAAGTTTTCACTGGTTCGGATGTATAATCTGGAACCTTCCCGCTTTGTTCTCTTTTCTCATTATGGAGCGCGATTTCAAACTAAAGCATCAAAGCGACGGAATTAATAGTGATATTGAGAACAATGATGAACTATCAGTTACGTCACCTACAGTGTCAATAATGATTTATGATTCATTGCGGCAGACTCACTCCAGAGAGGTTGAACCAATCAAAGAGTTCCTTATCGCTTACGCCGCGGATAAATACCAATTGGAGGTCTTGAAACCTCAGATCAAAATGAAGACTTGCATGGTGCCACAACAACCGAATATGAGTGACTGCGGGGTGCATGTCATTTTAAATACCAAAACCTTTTTTGAAGATCCGAAGAGAACTATTGACCTGTGGCGCGAAGGCAAGTCCAGAAATAAAGCATCAGCGAAAGCTGTCAATGAGTATTTCGACAAAAAAGGCAGAAGCAACGCACGACCAGCCCTCCGAGAAGTTCTTTGGGAATTGCAAAGAAAGCAAATTGAGATCAACAAGTCAAATGGTTCTTCAGAGAATTCTGACCAGAGTCGGATCCAAGATGACGATGACGGACACAGTGACGTTGAAATCTTGGAGGACTACATTGAACCAGTAGTCAAAAAGAAGAGCGATAGTCACAACGAGGAAAGGCTTGGAACCGCATCCGATGATCATCCCGTACAAGCACGTGATTTCCACGAGCTTTACTGTGAAGACAAGAGTGAAGTTGAAAAACTGCCAGAGAAGAGCCACGTTCGCAACAATTTCTCTAAGACCAACGAGGTTTTGAAAGATTCCAGCAGGTCTGTGACCGGTTCACCCGTTGAATGTGCTCCTATATACGCGGCACAATCTCACCAAGGAGATATGAAAAGCTCGTCAGAGGCCGATTCCAATACAGCTCTAGAGAGTCCCAGCCGGACTGCGACGAGCTCTCCTTGTGAAAAGACGCCAATTACTCAATCGACGTCAGTCAGGGTCAATGTGGATAGTTCTTCGGCGCCTGAGTTGAATCTCGAGAAAATTATACGTCCTAAATCTCTTCTTACTGAGCTTTCACCCATCGAGTCGCCTTATTTCAAGAAAGAGAGAAGTGGTGCAAGGATCTATACATCTGTTAATTCACGTCTTCGAATGCCAAAAGACCTTGAAGCCATAAATGAATTTAGCCCTGAAACACTACGAGGCGCGTCAAGCGTGCATGAGGAACCTCGTTTAATTTCCAAGGAAGGGTCGATTGGTGAGCCGATTTCAAGCTCGTCGAATCAGAGCGATTGCGAGTTCGAGGAGATTCAAGACGCTGACGAAGCACCAATTGAACACAAAGCATCCGGGAAAAGGTTTATAGTCAGCCCGAGGAAGGGAACAACAGGCCTTTAGTAAGTCGAGATTTTTTCCTGCTACCCACGCTCGTGTTCGTCATTTCGAATACGGCACCGCCCAGCGACCTCAGTACACAAGATTCTATTGAACATACATTGGGATCATCAAATCATCACAAGAAATCTGCATTTTCACCACTTAGCATATAGCATACATAAGCCAAGCCTATATCTTGGAAATATTTATTGTCACATCGCATCTGTTTCGGTCGTTAAGTTTGCTGGAATGCTGTGAAGAACTTCACATTGTGCTTCGAGCATTCTACAGCTCCGTTTCATCTGAAAGATTAGTCAATGTTCGTCCCCTACCATAAACCTCTTCTTTCGTAATTGCGGCTGACTTTTGTAGGAAGGCGCAAATACCTCGAATCATGCCAGCCAGGTAGTATCCACCACATAGTAATGGAGAAACCGCGTAAAAAAGTACTTGAAACATGGTCCACGGTACCTCTGAGTGAGCGACCAGGCCTCTCGAGTTCATCAAGAAGTTGAAGACCATTAGAGGGGATTCAAACGAAGATTTGGCGCAGAGGTATTCTAGCATGCACATCAATAATTGAATAGGAAAGACCAGACCCGCGGTGAGCAGACACTCTGCGATCAAACTTTTCAGCTTGCCCTTCAGTTGCCTATTGGTATCGTCCTGCCTCTCATGAACCAAATACGAAAAGAATGCTATTTCGTCTGTCAAGAAGCTCAGCAAAAACAGTACGATGTAAATTGCCATTTCAGGGGATTTGAACTGTTCAAAATCAGGAATTGGCTCGGTCATCGTTGCTGCCAACAAAAAGCGGTGCTTGATTTCAACCGGACGGCCACCAGACATAAGCAATTTTACAACCATAAAGGTTGTGGAGTAATTGAAGTCCAAGACGAGAAGGTACTTTATCGCACCGACCACGCCAATCAAATACGACATGACATCCCTCCGCTGCCAGATCACTCTTTCTAGAAATGGTGCCTGAGGTCCAGCATTAGCGTTAGCGGCCGCTGCCTCACGCAACCGTTCATTTTCTGCGATCTCAACGTCTGGACGAGGCGCATTGTCGTCCTCATGAGGTCTTACAACATGTTCTTGCTGGACAAATTGGGTAACAAGTATTTCTTGATAAAACTCTAGTCCAATCAAGCAGACGAAGCATCCAATAATCATCGGGAATAGCCCGAAAGCAGTCAAATCTCTGTACCTGATGAAAAATTCTTTGACAGAGGGCACTTTCATGAAAGGCCCCATAGTAACGAGTAGAGTGACTCGCCCAACGAGATTGAAAATCAGAGCTAGTGAAATACACAGCAGCGAAGCAAATAACCAGATGAGAGCGATCAAAGTAGAGTACCGGGCGCGAAAATTCGGAGGAGTGTAAACTGTAGTGTAGGCATCAAACTCCGTACTTTGATCATCTAAATGGCCAAACTCACCAACGTTTTCTCTGTTTCTTTCTTTGATATATTCGATATCCAGCGGTTTTAAAAGCTTATTGTCTTTCGTGACGGGAACGAATAGCGTTTGAACATAATTGCGAGATATGATATCATTGGCAGGCACACGCATCAGCACCCCATCTGGTATGAAGAAGGCGTGCACATCCTTTTGCGTCTTGAAGAGCTCTTTTGCTAAGGACGGCGTTTTTGGGTCCAGATATAAATTGACATTCGACCACTTCGCCTTCCTGGATAAAAAGAGTCGGTAGAAAGCATTTCGATATACCACATAGCCTCTTTCTGTCGAAATATCCTTGTCCAAAATGAAGGAAGATAAACGCAGCTTTCCGCAACAAATATCGAAAACCCTCGTCCAATATTGTCTCACGTACAATTTGAATGTCTTGCTGAAATCCATCAAAAAGTTTGAGTTCAGTACCATAAGCACATTCAGGCACAGAACAAAATTTTCTTCATCAGCAAATGGTAAGATTTTGGAGTTCAAGATGTAAGGAAATAAAACTCTGGTATGAAACCCGAATCCAACTATGATGAAGACCGCATAAATACCCATTGATAAGACCATTCTTGAAAATTGAATTCTCATAGGATGTATCAGGCTGTCATGAAGAATTCTTATGTTTGGATCATCAGAAGATCTAATAAAGAACAAAACACCTGGTCTGATAATATAATTTCTTATCATTCCCACGTACTTGGCAAACCAGAACATGTAATATGTCCCTATGCTCCAGTATAACACCCATATCGTAGGCGCCCAGAGATCAAGACCACCTATGTAAAATAGGTTACTATGAGGCCTCAAGCAAGGACTGATAAGAGAATAGTCAATCATAGAGCCCGCAAGAACAGGAAATCCAACAAGCTCAATGGAAAACAACAAAAAGACCTTGAGGGAACATCTGATTGCGAAGAATAGCTGGAAAATGAAACGTCTTGTCGGATTTTTCATGCCGTTGTTGATTCCATAGCCTCGGCTTAAAAGGTTGGTACTAATTGAAATCAAACCCAAAAATGTGCAATAGGTTGTAAGAGCCGGTATGGATTGTGCGACGGTCGAAGCCCGGTTTTCATAGTCGAGGTAGTTATAATATAGTTGAGCAGAATTTGACTGGATCCAATACGCTGAAGATAGAACAATTTCTGCATGAGATGAATACTTTCTGCCCAACATGGATAATAAAAGAGGTAGCTTGGCCGTTTTGGCTACCAGTGCAATAGCACGATAGATGTATAAGCCCGATACAGCGTACGCAGTCAGAAGGAGATTTCCCACGATAGTTGGAACTGCGTAGGCCAAAAAGAGATAAAGTGCCAAAAATATGCTGGCTGCCATATAGTAGAATGGCAAGTTACTGAATCTTAGGTGCAGACCCAGCACGGCGGGTCCATCTTGCTGGTTCAGAGCTTCATCGATTCCTGCACCATCAGCAACACCATCCGCAGCAGCCCCGTCGTTTGGCAAGTCCATAAAAATGAAATCGTTAGCCTGTCCTTGTGGAGCATCGCCCTGTTGTTGAGCTTGCAACATGTCATCTAGTTCATTGACCGCACGGCGCTGTCTGAACAGGTTTATCGGCTCAGCCTGTTCCACGAGCTGCTCACGCTCGTCGTCATCAATCTCTTGATCACTTGCATTATTTGATGATTCAGAGCTTTGGGAGGATAAGGTGTCGCTAGGATTGTAATCTGCGTCCTCCTCGTCGTCCTCCTCATTATTCCCACCCGCCACAAATGTGCTGTTTGCTGTATGCTGGTTGATGGAGCCTGCTGTCAGGTCAATATTGATACTGTTCTCGTTGCTGTTACGATCGCTCCCATCACCGTTGCCAGTTGCATTATGGCCGTCGTTGCCTGGAACGTCTCTATTGTCATCGTCCCTCTCGCTATTAACATCAGGATCCGGTATAGGATTTGCCTCTGGTTGCGTTGCAACAGCTCTTTCTCGAGTTTTCATCAGCTGCACAATGTGGTGGATGGTGTTTTCGTCCATTCCTGGAAACTGTTGTTTGAGCTTTTCAGTCATGAGCTCTTCCTTGCTGAAACGAGGTCCTATTTTATGATAAACCATCTTGTTGAAGATGGCTTCTCGTACTACCATATCATACTGGAAGTATAATGCAATGTGTATTACCGCGACGAACACGATCTGTGTTACCGAAAAGCGGTAATTCTTGAGAATTTGGATCGCGATATCGAATTTCGAGGCTGTCTCTGACCGATCTGAGTCAAAACCAAAGACTATGCTTTTCCAGAAAGACCCGGGGATCGGCAGCTTGCCACCATACAGAATCGTCGCTATGAGCTTGCCCAAAATGTTCCAGGTCAAAGGAATGCCAACAACCAGCATCGACGCAGCCAATGCGATGCACAGTACGTACTGCAACTTCCGCAGCATTACGCCCAAAGTAGTGCGGATAATAAGCGCCAGAGGCACTTTATCTGGTGTATCTTCGTCGTATACAGTGGTGAGCTGGATCGGAAAGTGACAGATGTCACACTTGATTTCGGATCCCGGACGGGAAAGATCCACGTTCTTGGACGCCACCCACTCCATCAAACAGCTCTCATGAATGTATTTGATCGAGCCACGGCATTTACAAGGATGGAAAAGAGGTTGGTCCGCGCTGTGTTCTCCTCTGCAGATCCTACAGGTTGCACCCTCTGGTATGAGATCTTCAGCTACGGGAACATCCATGATTGACAGACGTGGTATGTAACTGAAATAAGAAATCCGACAGAGCGGTTATGGCTTGGCTAACGGGTCGTCTTTAATCGAGGTTGTTGTTTGACAAGTTTGTAGGATTTCACAAATTTTTTAGTCCAACAGCTTTTATATATATAATCCAGTATATTAACGATGTTGGTGAGTAAAAGAGATATAACAGGATAATGTGAAGCACTCAGCAGAGACAGATGGTTGAAAATACGTGCATTTTACGCAGAAATTCCTGAGCTATGTGGCAATTTTTTCAGCTGCTCTCTACGCGTCATGTAGGCTGTAGTAAATCGAGATAAGTTTAATTTCTTGATAAGAAAGCTTGGAGAGCCCAAAATAATGGCCTCAGCGAATTGGGTTATTGAAAGTGCAGCAAACGTTTTAGTATTTCATTAATAAAAAATATAAAAATAAAAGCCCTGTAGGGGGCTCGAACCCCTAACCTTATGATTAAGAGTCATACGCGCTACCGATTGCGCCAACAAGGCTCTTTCTTGGATGTGCGACCAAGAGATAAAAGGTTACATATTGAAACATGAAGGCGGTGTGATTAATATCGACAATTTGTTTGTACCGATCTCGTTAAAGCTGGAAAGATTTGTCTAGATAGCTATAAAGGATGTTTGAACCTACACCAACAGCTCCGGCGCAACCGATTCGCGCATTGCATTAGGCATTCAATTTCAAATTACTTAAATATCTGTATATGGTATGATTAGACGGCAGCCCACAACAATTAGTTTAACAGCAGAAGATTTAGCAGAACTGGAGGGAGAACTGGAAGAATCCAAATTACAGCGCGAGTTAAAGGCCCAGCAACGTAATCTTCTTCGTTCTTCAGCTGTTGTTGCCAATCACAGTAGTAGCGAGAGACCAGTAGTGCCAACAGGAGGAACACACGAGAGTCCGCTTGGAAAAATATCGCCGCGCGTTCCTGGTGGAGAAACCCAAAGACCGCCCTCAGAGAGCTTTAATGGCAGGGCAGAGGGCCCTAGTCTAGCAGGAAACAATCCGTTCTACACGGAGAGATAGAGGGTGGCTCGGGTGGGTCTGTACGGAAAAGAGAGCCAAATTTACATATGTAAGCGTCGATAGTACCTATGAGCAGAATGAATGCATAGCCTTTTTTGGAGTTTGGTTCTTTTTGACTTCGAAAATCAGCCAGCTGGCGTTGTCTCACCCATCTGCATCGTTCAGGCCTTGATTTTGGCCTGTTCTTCCCTCCAGCGTCTTACTTGAGCCCGTTTTGAATGTATATCCACAAACGTGGGCAGATTTGTGATTTCACCGTAAGGATTGCACCCAGCGAGGTTCTTGGCATTCGTAGCCTTATTCATGTTGATTTCTTGCAAAATGTCGTCCTGTGTCAACAGCTTAAGCTTACCTGATAAAGGCAAAAATTCTTGCTTGCCAAAGGACATAAATATCGACAATGTCAGCAAAACCATACCGCAAATTGCCTCTAATTGTATATCTTTCGGCAGTAACATAGCCTCAACGTCGAGATCGCTGCTCGTAGCTAACCGTTGTTTCATTATGATAAACTCATGGCTGGAAAACCCGGAATGCAAAATCTGCACAACAGCCACCAAAAACAACGCTTTTGAAACTAGTGTCATCAGACCAATCGAACCTTGTTTCTATTGAGACACTCCACTCGATAATGGTCTCTGGCGTGTCCAAGAAGGGCGTCGTCTCGATAAAGATCAACAACGAATATTTATTGGACCAATTCGTACCAGAGTACATAAGCTTTGCCAGAGCTGTATTTCAAGCCTAACACACTGGCATCAGCTTTGTTCATCATAGAAATTCGGAGCTCGCCTCCCTGGTCCCCACTTGTTCTGCAACATCTTCAATTGCGCTAGCTAAATTTTGAGGATCTTTTAGTCCCGCGACGCGATCCTCGTCCCGATCATCGAAGATCTGTCGTTCGTGATTAGCAGAAGCCAGCTGCCTCTTGGTTATCTGGGTCGTGTCAAAGGCAGTATCGTCAGCAATTGATGCAAAATTAGGACCCAGAACGTTTTTGTTCAAAGACATTCGGCGCTCTATTATAGCAGCATCTAGCAGACCCAAATTCAGCAGGCCTTTGAGTTTCACCGCGTATACAATAAGTTCTTGCTCAACATCTTCAACGTTGTCGTCAGAAATATCATTGAGATTGACATCTTCATCTTCGAAGCGGTCGAGTTGAACTCCAAGTTCTTTTGCCCGTAAGCTCTCCAGGTAAAGAAAAACGTCCAGAAAAAATTTTGCTAGTTGCGGATCGACCACCGCTGAATAATCATCTGCTATGGCTCGCTGCCACTCGTAGTCCTTACTTGGAATATTCAGCTCGAACATTTTGTAAGCAGTAAGACAATCAGCCAGCGCGTCACAAAGTTTGAATTTGATGTTTAGACAATTGCGAAGCTCGTCAAGTGAACATTGTGATAACTCAGCGAGACTAAAAGTAAGTTGCCGTAACACATTGATGACCGTTTGAAGTACGTTTGTGGATAGTGGTGTCGCATCTGTACTATTTTGCAAAATCTCGAACCAGCGCTGCAAATTCCATGTGATAGCCAAAGTCACAAACTTGAAGTCTATGGCCTTGATGGTCTCACTTCGCAGTAAATCTAAGCTACCAGGTACCTTGTTAACGACTTTTTCGAAATATAACCGCATCAAGTCAGGAGTGATATTAAGCGGAAGTATTTTACCCAGCATAACCAATTTGTTAATGTACGTCTCATGAACGGTTGTGAACAGACTGTTTACCTCTGACTCGGCAAAACTGTCGGCCTTTGTTTCTAAGAAGACCTGCAGTGATACGCGGATTTGTCCCACTTGGTTCTTCCATCCATCAGTCACCTGAGGGAGCCCCAAATTCTTATGAAACTGCATCACAGCTGCAAAAGAGGACCGATTGATGTCATTTTTTTCATTCATTAGTTGCATTCTGTCAAAAGTTTTGACAATTACATCGGTAACCTTCTGAAACTCCTTTTCCAAATGGGCGGCAATCCAATCTTCGAATGTAAAAAGTGTGTAGATGCTGAAAAGATGGTGCATAACGACGCTCGAATGAAGCGGCAATGTAGCAAAAAGCTCTGGGAGATGAACCATGGACGCCATCACTGTCTCGGGTTTTTTCGAGTTCTTTTTGTTACCTCCACCGTGACACAAACCGGCCAATACGATAACATACTGAGTAATGCTGTTTTCATCTCTCGGTAACAAAAGGACTTTCTCACCAGTTTCGGTGTCTTCAACATCGGAAAACCCCTCAAAGCTCCCGTCGAAAATCAATAGCTCACAAAGAGATGCGATTAAGCGCCCAAAGAAAGGCTCGAGAAACTCCGCAGCCTGGTACAACAAACGGGAACGATTTTCCACTGCGCAATCTTCTTGAAGTTCGCTCAAATAGCTTGAAAATGACTTGACCAACGTTCTCATGAAAAAGCCTGCTTCAATGATGTCCCGGGGCCGTAAAACATTTGATTTGTTGGGAAAAGAATGCGATTCGATGAGCAGCTCCAATTTGTCATTTTGCACATCTGCGAAAAACCTGGCCACGGAGCCCAACAGCTTGGCATTTTTAGCGACTGAAGAAGTGTCCACCTTTCGGTCATCAAATATGAGGCTTGAAATTTTTGCTACTTCATTGTCTTCCATGTAGCCGATGGCGTTGATCTGAGTCAGGACTTGTATCGCGGCAACGCGAACTTGAGTATCAACATCTTTCAAAGAGATTTCGAGTATTCTCTGCTTGAATCTGTCGAAAAATTGCCGCAAAGCAGTGCTTCCAACCTTGTGTTTCCTCCGTTTGTTGTCAAACTTGACAATTTCGAGTATCACCCTGGCCACTTGCAACCGAACTGTCGATGAAAGATCAGACAATAACCAACCAAAATATTTTAGAAAAGTAACTTTCATAAAGTACTCCGGATAGTTCTCAAGCCATATAGCAAGATGTGTTATCGAGTCCACCCGTATGGCCTGGTCCACGTCTTTGAAGCGATGAACGAATGAGAGTTTAATAATGTTGTCAATACTATTCTCCACCACGGACTTGGTTTCCTGAATTTCATGTATGGTTGCCTCTAGTTTTTCTGCTGTTTTAGGATTCGCTCTTTTTTTCTTATGTTCCATCCCAAGTTGCCGTCTGAGCTTCACCAAGTAGTTGTTCTCCAGATCAACGCTCAATGCTGTTAGGAAATCCTGAAATGAATACATGCATAAGGTTGCAACATGTCGCAGACACCGTATTTTGCTCACAGACAATGAGGACAACCAGGTCAAGAGGTCTAGAATCAGAGGTTGATCGACCGATTGGGTCTTATCGGGCTCGCTAGGGCTTTCATAGAGAAGGCCACGTTCGTGGGCTAAATCAAGTAGCTTATGAGTAAACTCCATAAAGTTTTCGTAGAGCGGCTTGTATCTGGCACGTCTCTTATAATTCTTGCTCATCAATAGGTATGACTCGTGCAGTTCCTGATCTTGAAATTGCAATTGGATTTCAGCCACAGTCTCGTTAGCGGTCTCATTTGACACAACGTCATGTTCCCGAACTTGCACTAGGGACCCACAACAATTGAGCAAAAAGTTAATGAACTCTTGCAGTGCTTTATCTCTACTTTCGGAGTACGACTCGAGCCATCTGTTCGCCAGTTCCTCGATCGAGAAATCTTCCGAATTTGCCATTATTTGAAACAGCTCCGTGAACTCAAAGCCCTGCTGTCTTTCAAGAAACGCTTTCCGACTTTTCTTGGAGGTTTTGGAGTGATCCACGTTCGAGACTCGGGCTTTTTTGGATCTAGATTGAGTTCCTGATTTATCTATTTTGTCGACTATTCCACGCTTGCGTTGATTAGATTTGGGCTCTTGGTACTCCTCATCATCTGTTCCCTCGGCGGCGCTATCGTCCAAATCATCTACCGAGCTGTTGCCATACCCGATATCTTCATCCATGTGAACCAGATCCATTGAATCGGTATTGTCTCCATCGTCATCAGTCCTGGACGACTTATCACGAATTCTCGTCGACCGACGAACGTTAGACATTGCTCAATTTTGCTAAATTCCAGTCGATCTTTGGACGTGGGATGAGCTTGTGAAGTTGTTGGCTTAACGCGTAACCTTCAAGAACAATTGACTATTTCGCGCGACTTTGAAACAGATCGCAACATACGGGTGTGTCGCAGCTTGGCTCAACTTAGATAAAATATCAACACTACAAGACGCTACAAGACGTCAGTAAAATAGCAGTCACCGGTTGTATTATTTGATGTCGGCGCGTTCTAAACTTCATGTCCGAGCCTCTATACGACTGTTTCAATAAATTTGTACTATTTCTTAAGTGTGGGAAAAAAAAGTAGCCAGAAACAGCGTAAAATGGAGAAGGACATCGGGCACATTTCTCTAGCAATATCCCCGGACTTTGCAGCAGGGCATAATTAACCAGGACGCCACGTACGTGTATGTCAGCCACTCCAGTACATTTTTACACGTTTGACCACGGAAACTAGCGACTGTAGTCGCTTTTGAGACGAAGGAGGCGATTCTTCCTGCAGTTCGCGCGAATCGTGGGAAGAACCAGGCGCCACGGGCTCGCCAGCAGAGCCACAACTGTCTTGGAAGGTCAAATCTAAGTTTTCCGTGCTGCTCAGCTCATCTTGGGAGGAAACATGGATATAGTCGTGCTCCACAGGTGAGGATTGCGTGGCTTGCAAGGCCGATCTCGGGCCAGGACTGGTCGCAAAAGGGGCGCACTCCGACTTGGAGGCTGCAAATTCCGCGTTGATACCGGCCAAGCCGTCGCTGCCGTCAGATGTCTGCGTCCTAGGCCGCTCTGGAGGGTTTTCAGGACCAGGCGCCGCGCTGGAAATCGTGATATTGTCGAGACACTCGTCAGTGTAGTCTTGCCACCGCAAAATGTTGTTGACGAGGCCTCTGCTGTCAATTTGAGTCTCGAAATAGGGCAGACAAACCCATTCTTTATCATTTATCACAAACTGCACTTTGAATGTCAGTAAAAGAACATGATCTCGGCGAATTGTAGAACTCTCAAACCCGGGGGTCGTGCCAAGTCCACGTTGAGTGTCCTCAGCGTCAGACCAACCTCAGTTCTTGTAAATTTTTACACATCAACAAAATTCAAATCATATGCACACGCACATGCACACAACCTGGCGTTCCTCACCATACCTTGAAGATTATGCTATCTGAATCTCCACCTGGGATCGTCACAACGTAGCTTTTCTCGCTATCGTTGAATTCTAGAATGTGATTCATGTGTTCCCAATTGTCAAAACTACCCGTAATCACTACCTTGTCGTTGGGCGAGTAGTGGCCCAAGGCATACTCTGGAATCCTTAAAGCGTGTGTTGACATCTGCAGATTTTATAAGAAGAGTGAACAGTAGAATCAAATACACGATTTACAGGATTTTGAGATTCTGTGATGAAACGACTAGGAAGTTTCAAAAGTGGATCTTATCGTTAGTTTCCACTTTTTCACCACACGCATCCTCTTGTAGCATGTTGATTTTAGAGATGCCCCCTCAGACCTTGTTAAGTTCGACGTCAGCAAGGAAAAAAATGACAACGAGATTTGGCGTTCAAGCAGTAACAACGAACAATGGCTTATAAGCGTTTAAGAAGGAATATTAGCACAGATGGAAGCGATTGCTTCTGAGGATGCACTGGGTGCGACAGTCTTTCGTTTTTCTCAGTGTAGTAGGATAAAAAAAAACCGAAATTGGTCCATGATTGATAGATCAACGGAATAAAATGTTCTTCTGAAATGGTGAATTACACACCCAATTTGATGCATTTTCGTATTCAAGACAAGGTTTGTATTTTGCCGGGTCTTTGGTTTGAAAGTTGCAATTTTCACCATATCTTGCCTGTCAGGCTTATTCCAGCATTTTCATTAAGGCCATGAGTGCAAAACCGCTTAGAACACTGGCCAATTGCAGTAAACTGGTCTTCATCTCATCCTTCTTGGTAGTTGCAGTGTTTCTGAGTATCTCAGGAACTACCCCAACGGTGGAAATGAATAGGAGCCCCCCAGCGGTGAGTGGAAGCATTATTTCGGATATTGGGATATTCCACGCAGTACGATCCAGTGCCGGCTTTTTTGTGTTGGTAACAGCCGCCATTTCGTTGGCTAGACAGCCACAGAACGTGCCGAGCAGTGCTCCGAAGACGCCAACTAAGTGCAGGCGGATAGCCTTGGCAAATGGCATACCGGAACTCAGTAGTATGGCAAAGTCTCCGAGTTCATGGGGTATTTCGTGAGCTAAAATGGCAACAGTGGTGACCATTCCGGTAGTGCGGGACTTGTAGAACGACGACGCCAATGCAAACCCGTCAGTTATGTTGTGAGCGAACGCAGACGCGACGGTGAGGTACGCAGAGGTCTGCAATGAAGCTGAAGTCTCAACAGGCTTTTCAGCAGGAGCTGGTTTCTGGCCGTTGTGCTTTGTCGTTTGCTGGTCAGAAGGAGCCTTAAGCTGCATTTCCTGGCCTGTGGAAACATGAGAATGTGAGTGTGAATGTCCGAAGGAATGGTGTGCGTCAGAGCCGTCTTTTTGGCCAAAATATGCTATTTTAAAGCACTTGTCAATGCACATGAAGACAAGGAATCCAAGGAAAACTAGAAATCCCAGGATAGTTATTCTGGTGTTTTCTGCATGCGCAGAACCCGAATGTTCCATATCTCCACGAAAGCCGGCAGTGACACTTTCAAACGCTGCTTTGGCTTTGGCGCCCTCACTCATCTGGTGCAGTTGGGCGTGAGAATAAGTAGGCACAGATGTAGTGAAAATTGAGGGAAGCATATGTAACAAGATATCTCCCGATAACGTCCCGAAAGCGAATGACATCATTAGTGAAAGTAGTATGCTCTTCTGAGCCTTCCTGAAAGCTGGAATGGCGGCAACAATGATACAGGGAGCTGCAGAGATGGAAAATGTAGCTAGCAGAGCGTTGTATCGTGCGCTGCAAGGAAAAATGTAGTGTAACATGAACTTGTTGACACTGGAATTGAAAAGCGTTTCTGAGCCATGAGAGTGTCCAGCGTGGGCGCTAGCGCCCGGAATTAGACAAAACAACAAACTTAAAAGCATGAATTTGGTCTAAAGCTTTCTACAGAGATTTGCCGCGGAATGGGAGCTCCTTGGCCTTACCATGAGCTCGCCAACTGTTCGGTTGGGTTTACATCGAATTTCTATTAGAATTTCATTATATATATATATATTTTGAAGGAATGATAGACTTAATTTTTCAAGCCTTGAATCATTCTTCTGCTCATTGACAACACCGATAAGCAAAGGACTATAGCTCTGATTGTTTATTTTTTATAAATCATGGTCTTCATTCAGCCGGGTGCAAGGTTTTAGAATTATTCAGCTACTCAGTTGACCCGCTTTTATTCAAAGTGTTAAAATTGATATTCTTGAATACGCAAGATACGATTGAATTTTAAGGCCAAAATGCCATATACTACTATTTATATATGAGAAAACTGATAGATACGATCCCGTAGTTGCCAAAAGACTGCATCCTTCTTCAGTGTGTGTATTTCAGACGATAAAATGGTTTATGTCACAAGTCTCTTAATAGTGCGACGCCAGAGTACAGAGTGATATATCATGGTGACAGTAAAAAATCCTATATTGACATGCCTCAAAATAAGAAGCCAACAGGCTCCATAAATCAGGAATTAAGCGTGTCCGAACGTTTTAATTGGCCTCTCTTCAGACACAAAGCTTAGCTCAAAGCCCAGGCGATTTGCTACTGGATGTGGTGAAATGGGTGTCCGTAAAACGTGAAAAATTCGTTTTCTCGCTTTTTGAGCGTACCAAGAAGAGAAACCAAAATATATAGCTTTTTACAGTTCTTCAAACACGCTCCATGACAGCTTTTATCAGTCTGCAACACTCCAGTAGGTGTGTATACAACACAACTTCCAAAAAAAAAAACAACTGTGCCAGCAATTTTGATTATCCCTCCAGGTTCAAGATTAATCCAGTGGCGAATCAAGGACATAAAGAATCAAGTAAGAGAAAGGGAGCACTAGTTGAGCCTCTTGCCACTCGCTAAACCATTCAGATCGCAAATATCCACTTGGCGTAATTTTAAGATCTAGGTCACATGGTACGCCAAATATCTTATTCGACAGAGTACAGATGAATCGCACAACCCATCATTTCAAAGGACAAGTTGAGAGTCCAATTGAAGCTCGAAGCTCCCTCACGCAGTCTAATGTATCTCTTAAAAGTATGAATCTCGATGTTCTTCTTTCTATTTTGAATGTGCGAAGGTTCAATGTATTAACATTCAATGTCTCCCGTGCAGCGAAGACTGCGACACCTTAACGCGATCTCAATACTTAGAGTGTCTTTGACAAACACTGGAGGTGGTGACCAAGACATGGTCCATACTGTATCTTCCTTATTTCTAGCAATTGAGGATCTTAAGGGGCGATGCTTGTACGTCAGCGAAGCGCAGAATGGCTCGCATGGCAGCGTTCAATTCGAGGAGATGCCGTCTTTGCCCTACACGATGACGAAGATCAGGCTGAAAGTTCTGGGTCAAGTACCGCAAGGTTTGCTTGAGATTAGTAGCGACTCGCCTGTCTGGACCGTCCTTGTAAGCTATACGCTGGACCTGAGCCGTCTCTGCCCCATCGCGAGCAATGACGGCAACGTGTGCCCAAAAAATGACAATGTCAACGTGCCTGTGTTTCATTTCCCAGACGGGCTCTTTGGCGCGCCTGGAGTATTTGAAAATGCTCCAAAGAACTCAATTGAGCTAATTCCTCATAGAAAGAGCTTTACCTTCAACGGTGCGCTCAAACTGAACAAGATACTGGAGTACTGGACTCAAATTCATGTGGAACTCGAAGATTTGTCTCGAGAAATTGATACAATCGTGGATGAAAATCCCAAACCGTTGCGCAAACAGGTGCTTCTGCATGCTAGTGAGGAGCTGGAGCTCGCGATCGAGCTGCGACGAGAAAAGATCAAAAGCCTAAAACGCACTAACAACTCAGATTCCTGCTATCACTGCAATCCTTCAACTGAGCAACGAATCAATGAGGACTATGGTGCGACTCTGTCCGAGTACACAAACGCTTTGCATCGGATGCAGCACTTGGAAGAGCGCAAAATAGGGCAGCTGCTTACCGCTATGAAAAAAACAGGGTTGTGTGATAGAAATGGCTTCGTCGTGCCCAATACAAAGGACCAATCCGCTTACGAGATTCAGCTGCAAAGAGTAAGCACATCTACGGCAATGGACAACACGGAACGCATATCAAAAAACTCGTTACTTGGTTACTACTTGTTGTTTGTATATATTCTCGCGGAGAGGGTATTTCGATTACCGCTTCCACATCAGCTATCGTTTTACGGTAGCACGTCTGTGATAGACAATACACTGCCCCTGTACCTAGCAGACTCCCCGACTCAGAAGCACGTATCCGACTTTAAAACGGCCCTTGAGCGCTTCAATCTCAATATCATGCAAGTGAATCAGTTTTTGGAACGCCATCGGTAACCAGTACTTGGCGATCGAACGGAAGTGAGGGAGAGCTGTTCAAGACTTTCCAGCTTGAAATTTTGTTTGCGGTAAAATCCAGCTCAAAGACCCTAATTCTACGTTCCGTTCCACCGTAACCGGCGTACCCACCCTCACCTGCAGCGCCGCCGAAACATAACCAAATTTTGTCCTCGTTAGCTGGCGAAATCGAGTCGTCGAGCAGACAAAAATCGTTGCAATGATCGTGTCCAGAAGAAGTTACTTTAACACCTAGTCGCCGCAAAGTCTTCAAGCCCTGGGAATTGTATTTAGGTGCTGTAATTCCTTCCTTAAAATTACCGACCATGGGATTTTGATAGTCGGGGGAGTTTTTGGATTGAAAGTTTAAATATTCCGGAAGTGGAATGTGAAAGAATGCCATTGAAAGAGACTTGTTCTGATTCGGGAAAAAGTTCTCGTATTGCTCAAAGTATTTCCACTGCTCCTCTTTGATCCAGTCATACCCTGGGTACGCCTTAGCATTCGGGGAATATTTATGTGCGTCGAGGAAATACAACGCAGAGATCGGATTATCATTTTGGTCATAGATGTGATGCGCATAATTTCCTACGCCAAAAGTATTATCATTGGTATCCTTGTCGCTGGTTTTGAACATGGAATAAGGCAATGATTGTGCTAATTGTGAAAGTTGCCATCTATCAAGACTTCCTTCGTCGTCATGATTTCCCCACACCATGGCATATGGAATTTTCCTTTCGATAACCGGGCCCACGACTTTGAGAAGTGCCGATGTAGAGTCCGGAAAGCACTCATCCCCCATAATCTGATCGCCTGTGAAAACCACCAAGTTTGGCTTCTCCGAGTCCAAGACCTGTTCTATGAAAGATGTCGTTTTAGGATCAGCGTGGCATTCGTCATGCTTTGGAAACTCATCGCGACAGCGACCTTCCCCAACACTGAAGTGAAGGTCGGCTAGCTGAACAATTTTGAACGTATTTTGACCATCTACTCGTAGTTTTGGCATGTCTTTGGGCTCCGCAACGGCGAAAGGCTTTTTCAAAGAGACAAAACTATTTGCGGTTCGGCCTAGCCGTAAGGGACTTTTTTTTGACAAGTGCCACTCTAGTCTGGGGTCGACGCAGTCGGTGCCAAATAGCACGTCGATATCACTAGCAAAGATCCCGTCTTGCATGCCTTTTTCGTCTAAGGAATAAAACCACACAATATTATCGTAAATGTCCGTGAGCCCTTTCGGCATATACGAATTGAAGTCCCCCAATGCGTGAATAGGCTGCGGTGAGCTGGAGAGATATTCGATGGCCTGCGATATCGAAATCGTCTCGTAGAATAGATAATGCGACGCACCCATCAGCTTGATTCTTGTTGTTCGCGTTAGGTCCTTTTGTATGACTCTAAGATTGGCAACTTCAATAACATCTTCACCTGAACTTCTCAAAGTCCATCTGTATCGCGACGGGCAAACCTCCCCGAAATTTCCTACGTAGAGGCATGTCATTAAACCGACAGAAACAATTAGCCTTTCATCTTGCGGGAGAATCTTCAGCACCTCAATGACTCTGGCGCTATTATAGCCAGCCAGGTCTTTTGAATCAATCATCGAGATCGTGCTAGAGACTAAAGACAAGGCCCCGTGGCTATAGTCCAAAAACATCATTAAGAGTAAAAGCGGACCCAGAAAGAGCGCCAAAATTACTGCCACCCGAAGATAACGTTTTGGCACCGTCATTGCAGCTTCACTAAAGACCATAAGAGGAAGACTTTGACAGTTCTTTCCGTCCACTTTCTGTCAAAAGCTTCAACAAAAAAGTCCGTAACAGATAATCTCAGAAAAGTTCAAGTCATACAGAGCTTATTTAGATCATGAGGTTCATCAGGAAATTACATTGGCTGAAAAATATTTAACTAGAGTCGTTTTGGGGCTATCACTAAATGCATGCGATTGTGCGCAGCTTACTTCTCTGTTTTCCCCGGAGGTTTACCTTTTGGATTCGCTGTAGGTCTGTGATCGCCTCCTATGATCAGAGGTGATGACTTTTCGCCCTGAGAGAGTTTTTTCGGCTGGAAAGCGTGAGGCTTAGTTATATGATCGATATTTACTTCAACTTTCTTTCCAGCACGGTTGAGATAGAACTTCTCGACCTTATTCGTGTCCTCGTCACTCATTGTCGTGTTTGGTTTTGACTACTGGGGTGGATAGAAGTTATATGTGGTTAACTAGGTGACCAGGTACCTTGATCATCGCGAGACACATTGATCACGTGACGATAGAGTGCTAAAATAATGGAATCAAGAGACTAACGGGTGAATAAGATGAGTGGCATACCGAGGAGACTGAAGTGTAATCGTGGAAAATCAGGGTGCCGAAGTCTATGTGCTATGGCTTTGTATTTATATCATTTAAAGTAAAATGCAATTTCAAGTCGAAACCAAGGTGTCACATTCGTGAATAATGATAGTAATATCTCATGTCAAGCGTGAAGAGTGTCAGACGCCTCTGGTGAGGACTAGACAACACGTTGCTGTTTCCCGAGACGTTTTATTTGTTTGTGCTTCTTTAGTGGGTTAGAGTTATTGTGCGCTTCACACGGTGGAGTTAGTTTGTCATCACTATATATTGTCTGACATGGAAGAGAGAATTCCGACAGAAAGAGAGAGCTGTCATCAGAGATAGCTCAGCGGCCTATTCACCAGAATGAGAATTTGGCCATTGCGTACAGCCAAGCCTGTAATCAAAAATGCTACCTGTCTAGCTACAACGCCAGTTTCCCCGTGTATCTCCGCCTTCTAATTTTTTATAACGATAACAATTCGATCAACACTTAATCGTCCGAGCGAGTCTCTTGAGCAATACACAGTGTCTGTGACTTGCTCACACCGATGTCACAGTGCACATAAGCTGAACGCGAGCAGTAAATTCATCACGTGATCATGATGTCGCTCTTGATGATCTATGGTTTTGATCCAACTGACCCGAAAATGCTACACACAAGTTGGACACGCTTGACAAGTCCCCTCCTCTCAGCTACCAGACCATAAGCTCTTCCTTTTTCATCTTCAATGAGTGAAAGTGAGCCTTTCGTTGTGCAGTTCCTTGATGAACTCAATTGCAGCCAGTATATCGACAATTTTAAGTCCTGGAACATCACTTCCCATACCGAGGTTTCACACCTGGACAAGGAAATTCTGATCGAAGTAGGAGTCGAAAAAATTGGTGACCGCATCCGTATTCTCAAACGCTCCCAAACGCTGCGTGGGGGGAAATCTCGCTCTTCAGAGGAAACTCGAGAACTTCTACAGAAATTCCAGGCTCTCAGCGTTGCACAACTCACTACTACAGAGGAACTGGTCACTGATAAACATTCGGCTATTTTCATCTTAAACGATGGATCCGCCAAAAAGGTAAACGTCAATGGCTGTTTCAATGCAGACTCCATCAAGAAAAAGCTGATTAAGAAGTTGCCCAGTGAGTTTATTGGGTTCACGCCCCAGGGCGATGAGACCCGCAATTCGCAGGACTACGATGTTTTCGTGGTGGATTACGCTAAAAATGTTTTGCACTTGCTCTACGATGTGGAATTGGTTACTATCTGCCATTCAACAGACCGCGTCGAGAAAAATAGGCTCATTTTTGTCTCTAAGGATCAAACACCTAACGATAGGGCCATCCTGACATCCAAAAAATTATATCTTAAGACTTTGAGCGTCATACACCAGTTGGGCTCCCTGTCTAACTATACAGGCGCACTTCCAAACCCTCGGGCTCGATTTCACCCTGCAAACGAGCTGGCCGTCGGTGAAGTTACCTCTGCGTCTCCAAATAACCTGAGAATCGAAAATAACAAGGGTAATATCAGACAGATCTTTAACCAGAGACCCCCAAGTGAGTTGATCTCGACAAACCTGGGTGAGTACTTCCCTCGGGCAGACTCCAAAAGTCTTCGCAAAACCCTCAAGAGCTCAGTTCGTCAATCTCTGAGATTGAGTTCAATCAATGGTGCTGCAGCTGTAGTAAATGGTAACAACGTAGGTAACATATGGGTCAACAACTCCAACGCGGTTGGCAGAGCTCTTTTACAGGGCCTAGACCATGCCTCAGCAAAGCGCTCGAATTCAACTTCAACCCAAACTGCCACCACTGCTATATCGACTCGTCAAGAGAACCTCGATGAGGACACGCTCAATTTCAGCTCTCCAGCTGCATCTTTGGAGGATGTAAGCGCTCGGAAACGAAGCGAAAGCTCTGTGGAGTCCAAATCAACACCAGCAAAGCGTCCTGGTCTCATTTCCCACAGTCCTGCCGGCGAACAAGGTTCGCTACGACAGAAAAATATAGATCGCATAGAACTGTTACATGTGGAATCAGACAACGATGAGGAAGATGAGGATATGGTCTCCTTGCCCACTAAAATTGCAACACCTAAAAATTGGCTAAAAGGTGCGAGGATCGGGGCCGGTAGCTTCGGTAGCGTTTACTTGGGTATGAATGCTCAGACCGGAGAACTCATGGCCGTAAAACAGGTCGAGCTTCAGCCAGCCGCAGTCACTGCCGGTGTAATGTCGGTGTCAGATGGGCTAAAGAAACAGTACAATCAAAACGCTAATACTACTGCCGCTAAAAATAGCTCTCAAGTCCACAGGAAGATGATAGACGCACTGCAACACGAAATGGGGCTGCTGAAAGAATTGCATCATGACAATATTGTTACCTATTATGGGTCTTCGCAAGAGGGAGGTAACTTGAATATTTTTCTGGAATATGTGCCTGGTGGTTCTGTCTCTTCCATGCTGAACAATTATGGTCCGTTTGAAGAGCCTCTCATCAAGAACTTCACTCGTCAAATTCTCATAGGGTTGGCCTATTTGCACAAGAAGGATATCATTCACCGAGATATCAAGGGTGCAAATATTCTCATTGATATCAAGGGATGTGTCAAAATCACAGACTTCGGCATTTCTAAGAAACTCTCGCCACTCAATCAGCAGCAAAATAAAAGAGCATCATTGCAGGGCTCTGTATACTGGATGGCCCCTGAAGTGGTCAAACAGGTGGTAACAACAGAGAAGGCTGATATTTGGTCGGTGGGATGTGTCGTCATCGAGATGTTTACGGGCAAGCACCCATTCCCTGATTTTTCACAGATGCAGGCGATCTTTAAAATCGGGACAAACACGTATCCAGAATCACCCTCCTGGGCCAGTGAGGAGGCCAAGAGTTTTCTGCGACAGACTTTCGAATTGGACTATCGCAAGAGACCCACTAGCATTGAGCTTCTACAGCATCCTTGGCAAGACACGTCAATTTAAAAAAAAATGGTATGATGCTGCGAAAGATCTCTTAAATCAAACAAACAGCGTCGCCCAACTTTCGAACTTTTTCATCAGTGACAGTGTACCTGTCTCTGCGTCCGGCACTTCTGCTGACATTTTGTCATGGTATTAAGTAAAAGTACAAAAAAAAAGGATGTAGCCAAACTACAAACATCTCTAAATTTTGAGAACATCATCAGACCTTCAATATGGGTGCTAACGGATAATAGTCGCATTTCTGGTGACCAGATTGAGAATCACCTTACGCTTAAGTCAAAGATCACGTGACCCGTTTTTTAGATTAGTCTGGTTTAATTGATTATTTACTTTCGTATACTTGACAGAATCTATGAGCTGAACACCTCAACGCCCTTTGGCTCACGAAGATCGATAGTAGCCAGCATACATATGTCATTTCGATCATGGCGTCACTTCCAATTTTTTGAGAGTATTCCAGTTCGAGACCCGAAGATAGGAAGCGAAAGACCCTTTTTTTCAGACCCCACACTAAGTGCTGTGTGTCCGCTCGAAAACGAGAGGCTCATTATCGCAGTGCAGTCGAGAGTGCTACGTGTGGTCAATCTGAAAACATTGGAAACTGAACTGGAGTTCGAGGCATATTCTGAGGGGTTTCAAGTGACATATTTGTATGCTGTAAAAGATACCTACGCGGTGAGCGTCGCGGAACAGGTTGGTAAGCCTTGCTCCTTGAAGCTGTGGAAATTAGATAAGCGGCCCCGAAACGAGTTTGATTCACACAGCGTCATTGAGGTGAAGAACGGGAAAAACACATTTCCGCTGTCTGCAATCGCGATATCGAAAGAATTGGACTGCTTAGCGGTCGGCTTTGTCAATGGACGGATAGTTTTAGTAAGAGGCGATATCGTGCATGATCGAGGCTCAAAACAGAGAATAATATACGAGGACCCTAATAAAGAGCCGATTACATCATTGATCTTTGACCGTGACAACCAGAATTGTTTTGTGTCAACAACCTCCGCTCTGCTTCTTTTCAGTACCACTGGAAGAAACAACGGCAGGCCCGATCTAACACTAAATCCCGAGTCGGGTGTGGATCTCAACTGTAGCTGTGCTAGCAGTGACGGTCGGGAGTTCATTTGCTGTTTCACAAACTCGATCGATTTCTACAAATCCACCGGTGAGAAGCAGTCTTTGGTCACGGATCTGTCCATGATCAAGCGAATATTTGCCATTGACAAGGATCATCTGCTGATTCTTTCAGGTGTTCAGGCGTCTAATAATACCGCCCTACATGCTCTAAAATCCGCCGCTCCAAGCAACAGAGCTGTGATTATCGACATACGAAACAAGCTCATTGTCATGAACAGCTTGGTGAGTGGGAATGTGCTTGAAATTTTCACAATGGAACTGGCAGGTGAACATTCAGCCATGCTGCTGACATCTGATGGTATAATGCACAAACTGAGCGAGAAATCAATATCAGAAAAGCTTCAGATTGTGGAACAAAAAGAGCTTTTTCAAATAGCGCTTGACATTGCACAGCAAAGCAAGCTCAGTGCGCTCAGAATTGAGGAAATAAGAAAAAACTACGCCGAGCATCTTTACAAAACAGGGTCGAAAGCAGCCGCAATCGATCAATATCTACAATGTCTGAACGTTACAGAAACGAGCGAAGTCATTGCCAAATTTGGAGTTGATAGCTCCTCGAGCTCTGAGGATGTATCAAACTTATCGTTCTATGTATTCTCAATGATACAGAAGGGCATGGGCACTTTCGACCATGTAACGCTATACATCATATCATTGATAAAGCTCAAAGATGAACAGGGTTTGGTGCACTTTTTAAATCACTTCAGCAGGAATGGGCGTTACTTGGAGCATGAAGAGCCAGAAGAAGACTGGATGGAAGATGACGAGTCCTATTATTACTCGGACACAAATCTCTTCGATTTGGAGTTGATATTAAGACTGTTGCTGGATTCTGGGTTTGCCTTACAAAGCTATAGGTTTGCTCGAAAGTTCTCAAAAAGTCCTGAAACTGTTGTTGATATTCTCATCGATGACCTTCATGATCCTCACTTAGCACTGAAATATACTAAAAGTTTACCTGTTGATGACACACTGCGGGTTCTGATCGCCTTTTCCAAAAAGCTGCTCGAGTTGTTACCGAATGATACGAACGCCTTGCTAATTGAACTCTTCACGGGAAAATACCAGCCGACAAAGTTCAAGGATTCGAGTGAAAAAGACACTTTGCACAATGAAAAGATGGATCACAGCGTTTTTTACAGTTATAACTCATTTCTGGACTTTATGATTGGTGCTTCGAACTCCAAGAATCCCGGAGTAGACTCGAGTGTCCCAACTTATCACCCGCCTCGACCTGCCCTCATTTTCACATCCTTCATCCATCAACCTTTTGAATTCGTCGTCTTCTTAGAGGCGTGTTTGGGAAGTTATAACGAGTTCAGTGGCTTTGACCATGACAAACAGGTTATTTTGACGACACTTTATGATGTTTATTTATCGCTGGCCAAAGACGACGTAAAAAGCCGCCAGACGGAATGGAAAGAGAAGGCACATGCCGTTTATCAAGAGAGCGTTAAGCTAGTAAAACGTAGCCAGTCGACTAATGGAATGATGCCTTCGGAGAAAGCCGCCAAAACCGTGGATAATTCTTTGATGATGCTTATCTCGCAAGTCAATGACATCGATCTATCCGAAGAGGAGGATGACTCCACTTCGATTAATCAAAAACACAAATTCGACAAAGCGGATTTGACCTATAAATTTGAGGCGTTGTCTTCAACAAGCGATGCCAAGACAGCTCTACAATTCATTGAACGATACGGAGAACAAGAGCCAAACCTGTACTCTATGGGACTAGCTTATTTCATCAGTTCTAAAAGCACAATGAAAGAAATAGGCGGAGAAACTGTTTTCAAGAACAAGGTTTTGCGCAAAGTTTTGGACCTTGATCTGATGCCATTACTTGATGTTTTGCAGATTTTGGGGTCGACCAATGTTGCCACCTTCGGGCTCATTCAAGAAACACTGATTGACCATATCAGATCAGAGAATCAAGAAATTAATAATAACAAGAAGCTCATCGAGTCTTACGAATTGGAGCTCACCGAAAAGAATGACAAGCTAAAATCGCTGACAGAGGAGAAAACCCCCCTACAGATTCAGCTCAAAGACCAGGATTGTAATACCTGTCATATGAAAATAATGCCACCAATTGTGTTTTTCAAGTGCAACCATGTCTACCACCAAAGCTGTTTAAATGAAGAAGACCCTTCAGGCTTGGACGGCAAGCATTTTCGATGCCCGCAGTGTATGGTTGATTACGAAACTACTGTCGGCATGAAACAATCACAACTGGATACCAGAAATAATGCCGAGCTATTGCGTATGACTCTAGATGATGAAAGAAATGTGAAAGACCGTTTCGAAGTTGTTACAGAGTTCATAGGACGTGGAGGTGCCGATTCGTCTTAAATGAGTATCCTAGTGTCAGGTCTCCTACAAGATGATACAATTCTGACACATTGGAATGCATGGCTTGTTCCAAGCAAGACGAGGCTGGTCAGTGGCATATTTAATGAAGCTAGGTCTTGCAATATATTCTCTACCAAAGCACCCCGAGAGCTCCACCAAAAAATGATCAAATCGACAAACTCTATTTTTCAATTAGACTATCCTGCGAAATCGACCCTCACACCTATCAGACAAAGCGGACATGGTTTCTTTGCTGAGAATGACAAGCCTAAAAAACTCCCGAAAGAGAGTTCAAGTTTTGAGACGGACTTAAATTCCTGTGCTAATCCGTATTCAAGATCTATGTGGGCGACTGAACACGATTTCAAGCTCAATGTACAGCAGCTAGAGCAGCTGAACTTCAAGACTAAAAAAGTGAGTGATTCGAGTATATCGGGTCTATCCGAAAATATCAGGCTTGATGCATCTCCAACAGAACCTCTGGACCTCGGCTCACGCGATTGCGATGAAACCAATCAAAAACAATCTCCGTTCAAAGGCAAGGATTTTTTGGACGCTTTGTTTGAGCTGCTTAGAAACGAAGAGGCCTATTTCAACGTTACTGACGCACTTAACATGGTCTATCGCTGGGAACTGCACAACAACAAGAAGTTTAGAGACAAGTTGGTTGTGAAAGACTCCAAAGAGGAAATCCTACTTTTTGGTAATGTAGACACCATAACACAGCTGAGCAAAATTCTAGTCAAGTCTGTGAAGAACTATGTCGTTGCATGCTGTCGATCAGGGACTTCTAGGGTCGATTGGGAAGGGTTTGATACCCATCTAAGTGTTCCACAAGAATTTGCAAACACTTTCAACCCCACGGCATTTTTTGACTCTCATTTAAACAAAATCAGGTCAACTTACGGCACATACTTCTCGAGCCACGAAAGACAAATTCAACTTCTCACGGAGCTGAAAACAAATTATCGCTCTTTGTTTTACAAATGGTGCGAGAACTGTTTGAAAAGAAGCGATTATCTTAGCATCGAAGATATACTAGAGTCTCCTATCAAACGTGCCAAAGAACTGGACGAAGATCTGCAGCGCCTGATATGCGGAGCCGAAGAATACCTTTCCCCAGAAACAATGAAAGAACTGAAATCATTCAAGGATCGCTACTCAAGCTTCCTTTCTGATTCGATAGCTTTGGTAAAATCGCAGACAAACAATACAACCAACATTTCGGCTGTGCCACAAGATAGACAAAGTGGAAATCATTTACATATTTCTGCCAGCGATGTGTCCTGCAGATCTAGTGATACCCATTTTTCACTGTCATCTAGTAGGTATTCTGACTATACCAATATCGATACCATCACGGATATTCATAAACGGAATAGCGTGCCTAAAAAAAAAAGTGTTCATTACGATAATCCGACGCTAGCGGACTGTATTGAAAGATTCAGGCGAGTGGAGAAGCATTTGGGAAAACTGGAGAAGGAACTTATAAAACTGGATCTAACAGCCATACTTGACCAAAACTTGCGGCAGGCAGAGCACTGGCGCAAAATATTTGAATTTGAACCAGCCAGCCAATTACTCACGCAACATGCAAATGTAGAAACCATCTACACAGCTTACATCAACAAGATTCATCAGCAGCGACAAGATGTGATGTTGCTTAAGCTGGTTGGTTTCCAAACACATGTTTTAGATCCGTTGCTGCAGATTAGAAAACTATGTGAGCGGGCCAGCATTCAAGTCGGGGACTTTAAGGCACTGAAAAAAGACTACATGGCCTCATTGATGTCCAAGGATAGTCTTGATATCAAAATGCAGCTGGTGGTCAAGCATTTCGAAGAGCTTCAAACCAGACTGTTAGCCGAACTGCCAATCTTTCTGCAATTGTTGTCCGAACTTGTCCATTCGTTGCTATTGGCTTATAATAAATGCATGCTGGATTACATGGAGTCTTTATGTGGAGGGAAACGGCTCTTGGGCCGAGAACTGAAGCTGCTGGCTTCCGGCGAACGAGAGCCTGGTGACAATTTCGATATTCTTCAAATGTTTTCGTCCTCTCGCTTCTGTGCAAAACAATTAATCCGCGAAAACTGGAGCTGCCACGGTAGAGCTGCTGAGAGCCGAGTGGTTCGAAAGCTGTTCGAACTGTAGGCCACACTCTCTGGACCCTGAACCGGGCGTCATTTTCTGTTAGACTTTGTCTTTTTGTCATTATATGACGCGCGAACTCAAGCGTATAGAGTGATCCAAGAACTAACTTTGAATAAAAATTTACAAGATAACCTGCGATGAGCTAACGATGAGCTATTGGTATATCGCAAGACGCAACTTTCAAAGCATCTTGAAAGCTCACCACTATAATCAAAATGTCGACCACTGCTGAGGAAAGAAAGTCGCTTCCTGTGACTGTTGAAAAAGCCATTCCTGTCACTTACGATCTAGGAAATTTGGCGGTTTTTGATTCGAACACACTGGACAGAAATGACCTAGACTCTTCGAACGCTAAACGCGAAACCCATATCAAAGATCTGACTCGTGACAATGTGCAATTGATGATTAACCAGATTTTGTCTCTTCCAATAAAAAGCACAACCGAAGCTGCTGGCGGAACTAGCGGCCAAAGCGCTAGCATGACGCTAGTACAGCTACCAGATCCTACTAGCGAACTTCCCAGAGAAAAACCTTTGCCCAAGCCTAAGGCTCCTACGAAATGGGAGCAATTTGCTGCTAAGAAGGGTATTAAGTCCAAGGAGAAAGCGGGTAAGATGATTTACGACGAAGCTGCAGGTGAATGGGTACCTAAGTGGGGTTACAAGGGTGCCAACAAAAAGCTCGATTCTCAATGGCTAGTAGAGGTTGACGACACCCCCAAGAAAGCTGGCGATGAACTAATTGACCCAAGAACCTTGAGCCGGGCGGACCGTAAAAAGCTCGTCAAGAAAAATGAGCTTCAGCACAAGAGAAACTTGAAGGGCGCCAACTAAGCGGCCAAAAGTCTTGAAAACTTTATAGTTACCAGGCATTTCTGTACATTAGCGTCTTAAACTGCATTCTCAATCAAACAGGACAAACCAAATTTATCGACCAAAGTAAGATTTTTTTGGTCTTGAAAGTATCAAGTTTAACATTATTTAGCCAGTTCTCCATATAATGTGTCTTTAAGTCAAAAACAAACATTTAATTCAGCAACAGAGTAGTTGACGAGATAGCTTGATGTCAGACCTGGACAGCTATGTTCCTATGATTGACGTATGAAAGAAACCTTATGGTAATTGACAAGTCATCGATTAAGTTAACAATGAAACTAACACCAATGCATTACAGGCGATTTTGAGCGTATCAAACCCAGATGAAGTCAGTGCCAAAAGGATACGAAAAGCCGTCCAAGAGCTGTTTTCGGTCAATTTAGAAGCTCAGCGTAAAGCTGTTAATGCCTTGATAGTTGACCGATTTAATCATATTCAAGAGGCTCGAACCAACATTTCGTCTGAGGATCTAGCTGGAAAAGACGCTGCCATAGCTAAAAGCTTGTCTAAGAAACTCAAATCCGGTAAAAAGAAGTCCCAAGATGGCTCTGCAGTCTCGAAACCCAAGAAAAAGCGCAAAACTAGTGAAAATGGGAATGCTTTAAGTCAGAACAAAATGATTTTGAGTCCGGAGTTGCAGGAATTGGTGAAAGAGCCAGAGATGGCCAGAACTCAAGTTGTCAAAAAGGTTTGGGAGTACATACGAGAGCATGACTTGCAAAATCCGTCCGATCGGAGAGAAATAATGTGTGACGACAAGATGAAGCCTATATTCGGCGCTAAGACCACGATGTTTGCCCTGAACAAAAGCCTGTCAAAGCATATATATAGTCGCAGCGAGGTACTTGAGCAGAAGAGCGCTAGCGAGGGTCCGAAAAAATCACCAGAACCCTCTAGAAACCCGTCATCATCAAGCGACAGCACTTGAGCAACGAATAGCCGATTCGATTCGTTTGCGATTTACTTCGAGCGCGATTATCAAAACTTACTGACAGCGAGTCAGCTTTTTTGTGGGTGTCTTGAACCTTTCTCCGAGTAAAGCTGTCTATTCCGGCAATTTCACCGACCTTGAGAAATCATCATCACCAATCGCACCGCTTCTTTCCCACGTCTTCGGCTAAAACAAATGTCTAAAATTTTGGCAAACGCTCAACGTCAGTGACTATCATAAACTGGCAGCTTCCTAACTCATTCATTGACAGGCCTTGGAAAATGTCTGTAAGGGTTGGTCAAACAGTGTCTGAGCATCTTACCGCAAGTACATCAATATTTCTACAAATGCAGTGGTGGCAATCAATATATAAGCACGAGTTAACAACAAGCAGAAGTGTGGTAATATGTAATACTAAATCTACGAAGTGCTTGCCTTTCTGTATTTAAGCTTCTACTGTAATCATTCTGAAATTCTCTAAAGATCAAACAATGTTGTGATCGACCGCTTTTTGAAAACATGACAAAGTTGGCCGCCACGAGTACCAATGACGACGAGAAATGTGTCCACGTCAAGCTCATTCAGTCTAAAGAGTAATGGTTCGAAAATTCAGTGTCAGAAGTTTATCAACAACCTTCCTTCTGTCAATACCGATGAGGTTCTCAGATACACGACTATAGTGGTATTACTAGAATATATCAATGAGCCCAGGTTCCGTAAAAGAGAAGTGACTAATGCTATTCCACTATCAAGAGAGCTACCGCCAAAGACGTCCCGAACTAAGGAAGCCTCGCGAGCGAAGCGGAGGTCTTGGCTGTTTTCAGATGACATCGGTAAGAAGGACGACATAAGCGAGGCAAAACAACTGCAGAGATTTATACCGGCTTTAGAGAACTATCTGAAGATGGTCACAATAAACAAGATTGAATTGAGGAAAGGATCGCTGCGTCGTAGTTTACTCAAGTTTTACAATGACAGATTTCTTGATCCAAAAGCTTCGAATCAGCTTTCAACTCTCACAAGGCTTGATGAGCTCATAATACTATTTACCAAAGCTGCTCAAACTGAGATTGCAAAAGTTCCATCCAGGAGGGACGACAAACATGAGCTTTACAGCCAGATCTGTGACTTCACTGACGTAATAAGTTCGATAGTTTTAGGAAATGAATCGTCCAATTCGCAACTGAAACTGCGATTGAAAGAGTACAAAGAGTCCTTCGGGAATTCGAAGGGTGCCGTTTCTAGCCTCTCACCCATCTCTCCCAATAGTGAACCTAGGACTAATTTAATAGAGAGCTCCATCAAGCCCTCATTCAAAATCTCCGATGTCAAGATTTCAGCCTATTTAATGGAGCTCTTTGACATCTCCGAAGTTGAATTTCAGCAAGAGCTCATAAAATGTGTCAACGTAATTGATATTGACGCAGTCGGACAGTCCATCAGAACGTTGAAAGAAAAAACAATGCAGCAAGGCAACTTGGGGCCAGAGCCTCTATTTTCCGATCTTGATGTGTTTAGAATTTATCAAGAGAAAGAGTTGCAGGAACTCGGGGCCATGACAGCAAGATTGGCCTCGGCGTACCAGCTGCACACAGAGGCAGGTGGCAAAGGATTTGGCGCCGAGAGCAACTATTTCCCCAAAAGTTCTGCTAACATATACGTTCAATTGCTGCGCATGATCTTGGACAAAGAAGCTGATATGCATACAATCTCGTTAAACCTTAGCAAGGAAGCTCTTTTTCTCATCAATAAATGCGCCTCCTACTGGCGGCTAACGTGGCCTTCGACGAAAGCCAGCCTGATACTTACAGCGGCCAATGCAGGACCTTTGGCAGGTAAGTGTCTGAATCCTGTTATGTTTGAGAAAATCACCGGATTGATATCGACAAGAGTTTTCGGCGGCGCTGATATTATTGAAGATCATCAGCTATGGAAGTCTATCGATCAAAATATTTGGTTAGACAACATGATTTGCAACCTCGAGCAAACTTTCAATATATTGTGTCTTTTGGTCTCCGAAATCCATCAAAAACCCAGGCCAAAATTTTCACAGACTTTGAAGGTCTACTACGAGATAATATCTTCCTGTGAGCTTTTGGGATATGATGTGACCAACTCCGAGCTTTATCGAAAGTATATGAGGCGCCTTCGCCGCTCTTTCTTTAAAGCAACCGAACACTTTTATGTCAGTTTAGTCAGAGGTTTACCAAGAGATAGACTGCTCGAGTTCTTTGACGTCAAAAACATCGCAGACAGCATTGTGTCAGAGATTCAGATGGTGCAAAAAATGTATCCAAAAGCTTTACTAGACGAGGTTAGTCTGCCAGTTGAAAGTGGAAGAACACTAACCGAGGCCTTTGGATTAGATTGCGCGCCTATACTATCTCAAATTGAGGTCTCGAATAACCAAAATGATTCTAAGCTTCCACTTCAAGATGCAGTGGAAACATACAAATCCTTGCGAGAATTGCAAGATGTTTATAATCAAGTTCAAGGCTCGAAGAGATTCCCTTGCAAACTGGAAAAGTACTTTCTCAAGTACGTGTCAAAGCTATGTGACGAAGCTTGTGAGAGTACAGTTGATGTTGTGCAGACGGCGATTGCCAAAGAAACTTGGGAGCCTATCAGCACTTCTCTGGGGTACAGCACATCTGTCATAGATGTTTTTAAAATGATTAATGAATCAATTGACCTGTTTGTGAAACTAGACTGGCAAAGTAGATACCAGATTTCCAAAATCTATACTTACCTGCTGAAAGCGGTAGCTGACGGCTTGAGCCTGTATTCCAGCGCCGTCACAGACATAATCGAGAGCGATATCAAGACGATTCAGGAAGAAACTCAGGTAAAAGAGAAAGATGAAGATCATCTAACGAATCTCAATCCCTTTGCTCACTCGACTAAAACTAAGATGAAAAATTCATGGGTCTACACGGAGATGAAGAATGCGCTCAAGTCCGCGGATGTAGTGGCTCCACAGCCCTTCGAGTTCAAACTACGAACGTGTACCTGTTTGAGCAATTTGAATCAAATGTTGCTGCTTATCAATGGTCTAGAGGATCGCATCGATCCAGAAGGAATTTCAAAAGTGATTCGCAATCATGAGCAGGTTGATGCAAAGTCGAAGATGATGACCGAGAAGCAGAATAGAAGCCTTAGACGTCTGTACACTATCAAAGTAATACGCGCAGAAAACCTGAGTAGCTCAGCCCAGGAATCCAACGTTTTGGCAGCCGTGAGTATTGTGGATACAAAATTGAGACGCGAAGTCGCCAGAACCCGAGAAGTTTTGAAGTCTGGACGCCCAGTGTGGAATGAAGAATTTGAACTTGATGCTGCTATGAATGAGACGCGTTTCTTGAACATTATTCTGTGGTATCACAAAACAAAGTTCGGTTCCCTTACTCCTAGTGTCCATGGCAGAGCTTCCCTAGGCTTAGAACCGAACAAATTCAGTGAAGATGGTCTTCCTCAACAGGTTTGTTTGAATCTTGATACTCGTGGGAGGATTCTAGTCGAAATAGCCGTGGAAACCGAAAAACTGGATGCACTATTTTCGATGGGCAAGGCCTTTAGATCAGTGACTCGGGCCCGCGACCGATCCATCGAGCTCGTGGTAAACAAATTCCAGGTATTTGTATATTTCGCATTCTCGATTTCGACACTGAAAACCGTTTGTGGACCTAATGGGATCAGTCAGGCAAGTGAGTCGGTCATTTATGACTCAATAGTGCCGCTTTTTGATTATCTCAATTCGAATCTCAATATCTTGGCCTCTCATCTACCGCGTGAACTTCTTCTCAAAATAATGCTAGAGGTATGGGAGGTTGTGTTGATCAGAGCCGATGAGCTTCTACTTCCTTTCTTATACGATGTACACGGACAACGGAACTCAGATTCCAAAACGAAGGTGAAGTCAATATGGGAGAATGCCGTGGATGCTGCCAAACATGGAATCAATTCTTCCATAAACTCGGAAAGGCCCCTCACTCAAATTGAAGTTCACACCGTTTTCGAATGGCTACGAGCTCTTTGCGTCGACTTTTTCCACAACAATGGAGAAGGTCCAGCCCTAAAGGATCTCAAGAACAAACACTACCAAGCCTTACTATTCATTCCGGTGTATTACGATAAATCCGTGGTTCAGCTTAAAGCAGAGGCGGAAACCCTTCATCAGGAGTATCGCAACTTACTATTCAGTACCAACGACAACAAAGACGCTCAAAATGACACTGCCCCAAAATTGTTGGGCAAGCGAACAAAAAGCATTGCGCGAAGAAAAACCGTTCTCGCCAACGCGTCACGCAAACGAAGAGTTCAGCTCGATAAAGAGATTGAAGCTGCTGAAAACAATCCTTTGGACAGTGTGACAGCAACTCAGGATATTCTATTGCGAATACTTATTGCAAAGGGAGAAACAGATTATGTTGCAAGAAGCCTCGAACTTCGCGAGAGTTTGAACAAGGCTCTTTTCACCGAGAATATAGTTAAAGCTGCTCGTTCTAGTCACCATTAGCAGAAGTCATAATTATTCCAAGAAGCGTCTCAGAGTTTTGTCTCTGAATTATCAAAGAGGATCTAATAAGTGATGGAACATGGTCACACTAGTACAACTTTTCAGGCGATTTATTCACTACCACCAATGCCTAGCGGTCAGTGTGGGATATCCTGGTCTTTATTTCGATACTGCTGACGCTCTCTGTCACCGAGGTGTCAGTAAATCTTATAATGATTATTGGCCAAATCAATTGTTCAAGAACTCATCACCATAGAGCGGGTATATAAACAGGGCTAACCCACCCAGGTTTCGTCCTTGGGATTTAGTGTTTAAACTCTTACAATCCTGAGTCAAAATTGGATACCTCAATTGTTCCGCAGCAGATTGCTGGGCATGGCAAGAGGAGGATTCTACGCTGTCCAGAATGGACGTTCGAATGGCGTTTTTAACACTTGGGAAGACTGTAAATCTCAAGTGAGTGGATATTCTGGTGCCGTTTACAAGAAGTTCGATACGCTGCCAGAAGCGGTGGCGTTTTCAAATCGGGGCAGCAATCGTTCAGATAGTGGAGTCGATAACAGCAGTAATCTGAGAGGCAATGGTTCACAAGAGACGGCGGAAGTCATCCGAAGCCCACCAAGAGATGAGAACCCAATACCTCGGGACTATGGATTGGGTGCTCATCATCGCCGTAATGCTCCAAATCATCTTTCTAGAAATACCGAAAGTCGAAGCAGTGGTGGTAGCAGAGGCAAAAGCAGCAGAGGTGGAATCAGCAAGGGTCATAACAGCAGACCCATTGCTCGAGGCTTAACTTTTTACGCGGTAAAGAGCTCAAACCCACAGGTTAAAGACGCAATTTTCGAAAACTGGTCCGAATGCAGGAGCTACGTTACGGCGATCGGTGGGCTATCCTTCAAGAAGTTTGGCAGCAGAAGTGAGGCCCTCGATTTCATTAACGGTGTCAGTTCAAAAGACTATGACTACATTGGAGTGGGTAAGGATGAATTCGCTAGACTTTACGCAAGAAAAGCTCATTCAAAGGGAAAGCTACAACGTTGCAATGTGTACTGCGACGGATCGGCTCTGGGTAATGGGAAGGAGTCTTCTCGTGCCGGTTATGGAGTATACTTTGAGAACCATCCTGATCAGAACATTTCGGAGCCTTTGACAGAAGGTCTACCGACTAACAATAGAGCAGAAATTCAGGCAGTTTTCTCTGCCCTAGACAAAATCTGGACAGATTTGTCCCAAAATGAATCTCGAGTTCTTTTTCAAATCAAAACGGACTCAGAATACGTTTCAAAACTACTGAATGACCGCTACATGGGCTATGACACTCAGAAAATACAAACGTTGTCAAACAGCGATTTGATTAAGCCCTTGATCAAAAAATATGCAAAAGTTAAAAAGTACTACGAGGTCAATAAGGAGAGTTTTGGCGACGTCCCGTTCAAAATTGAGTGGGTCAAGGGCCACGCTGGTGAGGCTGGGAACGAAATCGCAGATGAACTGGCCAGACAAGGAGCTAGCCGAGCATAAGCTGGTCGCAGCAACACTTTTATGTGTGTGTATGTTTTGACCATCTAGTGCGCGAAAGTGAAGCCATTATCAAAGATATCTCCCATTGTGTGAATTGTGAAGGCTAAAGCGCGCTTCTACAATTTTCCCAGCTTAATATCTGGAAAAAATTGGCAAATCGGCTTCCTCGTTCTTCCACAGCTTGCAGATCAAATCAACTAGTCCATTGTTGTTTGTTTCCAGCTCGTAAACTCCATACAACCCAAACGCCGTTCCAGAATAAAGTGTGAGCATCGCAAGTCGGTGCCAAATGCCAAACTTGCGCTTTGGGATATAGTCGATAATGCAGCTGGTGAAGCCCAATTGTGCGTGTATCAAGAGCGTGCAGCAAAGAGCAGTATCTATCATAGGGTACATCGCATTGCTGGCGATTGCCCCATACATGGGGATCATGGTTAGTGGGATCAACGCTACGGCCGTGATTCTTTCGTAGTCCCAGTGGTACGAGCCATGGAAAAAATCGATTTCTGGTTTTTTTAAATCGTCGTTCACCCCTCCTTCCACACCACCGGGAGGTGGAGGCGTTAGTTTCAGCTTCTCGAACTTAGGTTTGAGGGAAATGCTTCTGGATGCGCTTATTTGGACTGCTTTTGACCCGGCGAAAAAAGGCGATATACCCTTTCGTACCATCAAATTGAAGCTTTTTCTCAGCATAGTAGATTTAGATAAATTGTAGAGAGGTTATACCACCAAGGAAGATCAGAGATCGCTGGTTTTCGACTTTAAATGAGATTTCTTTAGCTACTAAAATTGTAGATAGATGTGTTAACGACAATTTTTGAAAAAACATCTAAGTAGATCATGTGATCATGTAATGTAAATGTCACATGATACATTACATAATCTGGATAATTTCAAAAGATTTCGTAAATGGTGACAAATATAAACTACAATGACATTTTACTGACATTTCGACCATTCATCAATGAGTTCTGGCAAATAACAAAACACGCCATACGTTGTTCGAGTTTTGGAATAGACCAGTAAAATCATATCACATTTGGTGTTATTTGCGCGGTGTGAATTAGTACCCGGTTTTTCCAAGCTTGTTCTTAGCGTCGTTTCCCACACGGAAGTGCACAGCGTCACAAAGATATATAGTGATCAGATACCACACCAGTCAATCGAGACCTGTGTCTGCGCCAAAGCCATGGCAATACGTAACACAATTCGAACCCATGTGGTGGGTTCTGATTGGAATTTTGAACAGGACGATGTTTTTGTGACGATTTGGCTAATTTTCCAAATTCTGTCGTTAGTCCTATGCTGGCTAATTTATCATGCTTGGAGCGCCAAAACGCTGGTTTTCGAGCTAGCTGTGGAGTCTAAAGCTGGAAAGCACGCTTCAAAACTTTTCCGTCGGTTTCTCATTGCTATCCCGTTTATGGGAGGCTCGTTAGCGCGTGTGTTCGACCGGATGACAATGTTCATCAAGTTTAAGGCTCTGCCGTTCATGATTCGAGTGAAGCGGGTTTTAGAAACGCTTTTCCAGTTGTGTTTCGTTGATGCAACGTTCCGTAATAAAAATGTAAGGCTCATCTTTACGGGGGGTACGTTGGAGATTACGGACCCTTTGAACCTTCCCACAACGTCCTTAATCATTGGCAATCATCGCTCAATCATGGACTATACCCTCATTAATTATCTGGTTCAAGGCGACAAGTGCCCAGGCGTGCTGCAGTATCTTCGCAACACGCTAAACTGGAATGTGGATTGTTTTCTGCCGAAACTGAAATTTTTAAGTTGGGGGCGACTAACCAATATGCCCTCCATCGGTCTCTTGTCAAATATTCTGCTCAAAGACGAGAATGCCGCTGTGGATAGTCAAGATCTGGAAGACTTTTTGAAGAAAGAAGGCAATCATGTACTTGCCTTGTTCCCCGAGGTGAACATAATAACTTCCGAGTTAAGACTGGTGCAGAGAAAACTAGCTAGAGACAATTATTTGCCTCTTTTCGATGGTATCTTGTACCCCAGATTCAAAAACCTCACTTCCACAGTCAATTGCTTTGCACGCCTTCAACATGTCGAGAGATCTCGCAAGACCCGCTACATAAAGAAAGCGGCAATTAAGACGAGCTCTATGGTATCAAAGGTAAAGCACCCGAGATCTCGAACCAGTGCCAGAGAAATTGCCCAAGTGAACCTTTTTTTGGGTGATGACCTTTTCGCAAATCCTTCTGCAACCGTTAAGGCGGAGCAGAAGACACTCAAAGCACCGATATCGATAAGCCCTTTCCTTTGGGATCTGACTATTGTATACTATCGAGCCACATATTCCTCTGGTGACCAACACGCCCATGTACACGAGCAGCACAATCTCAAAAAGTTGAAAGGCGAAGAATATCATTACCAGCTCGAGCAAATCACTCCTTCCTTTCTGCAGCTTTTAACCTGCAAATTCCGGGGCTCTCCCATACTGGTTAGAATTCATGTCAACAAACACCCAATATTCAACTTAATGAAATTGAGTGACCGAAAGCTAGAATCATGGCTAGAAAAAACCTGGTTGGAAAAGGACGCCTTGATGCAGAGTATGCAAAACACTGTGAAAATAAATTAATTTCATTTAGTTACTTAGGATGTAACTACCATTTCACTTACCACCTAATGGTCGCGAGCCTACCTAAATAGATGCTTGAGCCATTTGGTCTGTCAACTCGTCAACTTGGAGCTCCGTGAATGCCTTCTCGAGGGCATCGAAGTCAGCAACGGTCATGACCTCTTCGCTTTCTTCTTCGCTTTCCTCTTCCTCTTCATCCTCGCTATCCACCTCTTCCAGATCATCAAGCTCGTCCAGATTGCCGTCAAAAGATTCGTCCAATTCTGTCAATGCTTCAGAATCTTCTTCCAATCTGTTACCGTTCAGCTCCAGGAATTTCAAAGCTGGAAGATTTTCTGATTGGATCGCGGGAAGTAAGCCGGAAACCAAAGTGTCCTGAGTCAATTCATTGTATTGCAATTTCAGAGTGTGCAAGTTGGTAAACGTATGCTCGTTCAGAACCTGAATCACAGCGTTAGCACCGGGTCCCTTTAGTAAACAGTCGTTGACATTTAATTCGACAAGTGACTCGCGCCATACAGGCAGAGCATCGGCCAAGATTAGCGACGCGCTCGTGGTGAAAGTGTTGTCTTGCAAGTCCAAAACTTCCAAGTTTTTGTTGTTACTGAGACCATGCTTGAGTAGAACCGCAACACCTTGAGGTCTGATACCGTTTTGGTAAAGTCTGACGGTTTTTAACCCGGACCCGTGAGCCTTCAGTCCGAGAGCCAAGTGAGTAGCAGACCCATTTTCAAGTCTATTTCTGCCGCAGATAAAGGTCTCCAATAAGGGCTTTCCCTGCGATTGCTTCAATTTGGCTAGTTTGAAAAGTGCTTTGCCGATTCTTTCACCAGCAAATGGACCCATTCCGTTGTTGGACAGGATAAGATGCTGCAGTTGGGCTGCCTGCGAGATGTAAGATTCCAACGAGTCAATGGTTCTCAGACCGAAAGCGTTGTCAGACAAGTTTACGATGCTCAATTGAGGGCATTCCAGCCATGTGGGGACGAAAATGTTCAAAGATTCGACGACCTCATCGACCAAACGGGAAGTGTACAAATCTGCGAAATTGATTTCGAGCAAGTGATCTTTGATCTTTGGGCTTTTTTGTATGCTCTCAGCTAGCGCTCTAGAAGCTTCAATCCCGATAGTGTTACCAGAAAAGTCTAGTTTCGTGACCTTAGGCAATTTTGCCAAATCTTCGAGAATGGGTTTGATTTCCTCTGCAGATGTAAGCTTCAGAGCTTGGTTGGCGACTGAAAAAATCGTGTTTTTCTCGTGCAGAGCACTGAAGTCCAGGCTAGTCATTGTGCAAATCTGGAACAAATGGTAAAAGTGTCGTTGAAGGACGGGAAGTCGTGAATTTTTTGATGTTCAGATCTGAGTTAGATCAACGGCAGCTAAATATCCAATATTATGAAAAAAACAGATATAGCTTTATACGTACGTAAGAGTTCGTCAATTGTAGACATAACTAACCAGGTTCGCATGGCCAGGGCTTCAAGAAGTTGTCAACCAGAACTGACGACGACTGGAAAGCAGAACCAGCGGGAACCAGTCAAAGAAAAAACCTCGCGCACCAAAAAAAAAAAAAATAGACTAAAACATTAGTGTAGATGCTCGAATCGCCATGACTAACAATCGTTGCAATTCAATGGCAAATAAGCTGCCACGGGAAGTACAGCGGGCTTGTCGTTATCGTTAAAGTAATGCATTTGGAAAGGGACCAAAGTGGAGGTATTCTAGAGGCATAGATAATTTATGCCTTCTTTTTTGGGCCCATAGGCTCTCCTATACCCTTGCCTCTTAGTTTAACTCCTAGAGCACGCTCAAGCTTGGCGAGAATCTGCTGGTTGGGAATGGCGCGGCCGGCCTCGTAGTCGTTAATGACGGTGGGCTTCTCGTTGATCTTGGTGGCCAAGTCCTTTTGGGTCAAGGATTTGTCGCCACGAGCCTTGGAGATAACTTTCCCCACAGACGCATCTAGCTTCTTGGGCACCACAATGTCGGTTTCACGGTCCACCATTGTAAGTCTCTGACCCTCGTTGTTGCCCTTGGTGTTGGAAGAGCCGTACTTTTTGTCCACGGAAAGCACGTTACCGGATCTTCTGGCAGCGTTGATTTGAGCCTGTGTACGAGCCACCTGCTGTCTTGGCCCACCACCGCCAGTTCTTACTCTCTGGCCAATAACTGTTGTAGAATCCCAATCGGACATTTATTAAAAGGTGTGTTGTGTTGACTGGATTTGCTAGAAAAGTGTTGTGAAAGATGCCAAAAAACTGCAAAGCTTGATTTGTATCTGAAACTCTGTACTTATATGCACCAATAACGATGAGTTCTGTTAAGATAACGATAAACTCGGTGTTCTGTTGAAGTATACTTATATGTCAAGGTTATGACTGTTCGGTTTGCTTTCTTATATAGACCTTAGAGCCTTTTTTTCTTATTAAGTTCTATAAGGTTCGAAAGCTCTCTGTTAACGATTTACCCTGACAAAAAGCGCTTGAAATGAAGAGAAGACGGTTTGAGAAACGCAGTAAATGCATCAGTGTAGAGACGTAAGAATGTTGGAATGCTGTGGCTATTTGCAGCGTTATTTCGAACCCTTCAAGACGGATCTTTACAGTTTGTGAGTTAGATCACTTTTGACGAGCAAATATTTTAATTATCTTTTAGACTTGGACTTTGCGGCTGGTCCAGTTGTTACTACTTATCTTTCTTGTTTTTTGCACTGTTTCAATCTGTGCATTTGGCGATTTTTGTGCCATCAAAATTGTAGACGTTTTCTAGACTTACTTTATGATGTCCAAAAAAATCTCGGCTAATTATTCCGGACTCCTATACGCGACTGAAACTCTAATAAGCAATATTTATACAGCTCGGTGTTCCCAACACCTTGAAATGCAGATTTCAGGACTGCGACGTGGAGTGCCGTATCCAGATTTTCGATCTTTTTACGAGCGTTTTTATATCACTTCGTACTTTAATGTCATTAATATCAATGACAGTAAATCGGTATTTCGCGACACTTCTTAGAAAGAAAGCTTCAGGTCGTGGCATATAGTTACCGCTTTATCTAGATAGCTCTCAAACTTTGTACTTTAGGGTTCCATTGCAAATTCCATACCTCTCGGCATATAATGCGCTAGTGAGCGGACCCGGTACGTGCTTTTGGGTATTAAAGTTTGCTCAAATACGGCAAACCACAGCAAAAAATTATGCTAGATTTCAGCTTTCCGCTGTCTACTGAAAGACAACTATCAAACGCCTCTCAATGTCATCCAGGTCAAGCACACGCTCCCGCTGTTCTGAAAAGCAATCACTTTATACTATACTGTCGTTGGCCAAGGTTTACCAAAATTTAGGTGCTCGACATCAAAGACTAACCATTTCCAACGCAATCGAGCGTTACAACGAGCCTTCAAGACGCCAAATCTGATAAAATAAGGCCCATTAGGACTGTCTGATTATATTCCAAGCTTTTTTCCTGCCGGTTTCACTTCAATCCTTGTCGATACTTCTCAATTGAAGGCTTTCAAAGACTCGATCCTTCACTACTGCAAGCGAAAGCGAATGCTAAGAAAAATGATGCCAACATTCAAATTTTATGACATTGGTTTGAATCTCACCGATCCTATGTACCAGGGAATATACAATGGCAAAAAGTACCACGAATGTGATATCAAAAATGTCTTACACCGAGCAAAGCTTTCTAGGGTCCAGAATATGCTTCTGACGGGGTCCTCGATTCAAGAATCCCAGGATGCCATTCAACTCGCCCACCAATTTCACAATGAAGACGTAAACTTGTATTATACCATAGGAGTACATCCCTGTTGTGTAAACGAGTTTATTTTGAAAGATACGCAATCCACAATCGATAATCCGACGGATGATGTTGAGTTTAACGCGAAATTAGATGTATCTGATCTGAGTTTCACCAAATCAAAGCTTCGAGAACTCTATAAGCTGATATCTGAGAATTCTACGGACCCTCAGTTTAGGGCCATCGGTGAAATAGGGCTGGACTACGACCGTTTTTACTACTCATCCCAGAAGATGCAACTCCTTTTCTTCGAAGAGCAACTAAAATTAAGCTGTCTATTTCCGAACCTGCCATTATTTCTGCACATGAGGAATTGCTGCTCTGATTTTATCGAGATACTAAAGAAATTCGTCACCGGTTTTGTTGACAACACGGACCGATTTGACGTTAAAGACCTACTCAAAGACATCAAAAGTACTCAACAAGGCTTGCCCTCTTTGAAAGAAAGTGGCGGTGTGCACTACAAGTTCTCCCCTCAGCGTAAGTTTGTCACGCATTCTTTCACCGGCTCTGTGGAAGATCTGCAAGATATTATGGCATTGTCCGAAAATTCATACATTGGAATGAATGGATGTTCTTTTAAAACTCAGGAGAATATCAAATGCCTGAAGGCGGTTTCTCTGGATCGTCTTTTGCTGGAAACAGACGCTCCATGGTGCGACATTCGCAGAACGCATGAATCCTACAAGTATTTATTTGAAGACTCTGCCAGAGAAGCGGGCGCAGACGATCCGTGGTCTCTTGGGCTTTCACAAGCATATCCTGACATTCAAGATTGGTTCAAATCGGTCAAGCGCGATAAACTTCATAAAAAATCGATAGAGGAACGTGCACAAACCACTGTCAAGTCTCGAAACGAACCCTGTTTTATGGGACATGTCGCAACTGTAGTGGCGAATGTCAAAGAAATTCCGATCGAAGACGTAGCTAATAAAGTATGGGATGTGACGTGCAAAGTTTACGGTCAATAGTTGGTATTTACTTTTCTATTGCTTGTAAGATCGATTCATTAAACATTTCGAAATCATTATAGCCTATCTCGCATGTAGCGGGGGAACTAATGTACAGCTAGCCCTTGTAGTCTGAGGCAAATAGTGGGAACAGAAACATCTTGGGTATATTAAGAGCTCATCCAGGGTAAAAAGTGGCTCACTTGGCGACGATATTCGTCTCATACTGGGCAAGGGTTTTTGAATGTGTAATAATAATGGTTGTGATATTGAAAGAAAGAAGATTGGTGATATTTCACAATGCTTATGTCCCGGAGACAGATTGCCATTTTAAAATCGGCATGCCATTTCATAAGCGTAACAATAAAAGCACCCACATAACGGTTATATTCCAATAAAATGCGTGCGCGGGTTTTGTTAAACCAGAAAGTACGCCGAAAAGCAGAATTTTAACAAAGAGACAACACTGCTGCTGAAAAGCATTCTGTAGTGTTGTACAATTTCCGTTAACTCGAATGAGGCCTAACACCTGAAACTAAACGCTGATTGATACTTGATTCAATCCTTTATCTCCTCAAGTTTTTCCTTGTTTTCGTCGGATTCATTTTCTTCATCAATGGCTTGAGTAACTCCATTGCCGCCCCCGAGCGACGCCAACACTTCCGAAAGCGCGGATCCATGGATATACGAAACGTTGTTGCCTCCTTGCGATACCTGGATGCCGTTGGCCCCCAAAAGAGTCTCTAAAGAAAACATGTCCATCTGAGAGCGACCTGATGGGGCCTCGTTGCGTTCCATTTCCGTGTCTTCGTCGTCATTAGAGGAATAGCTGTTGCCGTGCTCTTCCACTTTTTTGGTGGAGACGGCAAAAACCTCTGCATCGTTCTTGGGGAAATCATAAAAGGAGAAAACGGCGCGTCTTCTTTCTTCGAAGGACACGTTTGCGACGTGGTTTTTGCTCCTGATGCGTGAGAACCACTCTTCTAGCGATTCCTCGTCTTTCAACAGGGCCACGATCACGATACTCATGTTGTCGCAGCCAATGCCGGTGCCCTCTGTAGTAGGAGAACAACACACGTCGACGATACGCGACGAGATCTGTTCCAGCGCCATGTCGCCCTTGTTGATACCGTAGTGCACCAGATCCACACACTCTTGCGAGGACAAACAGTCCCAGATACCGTCACAAGCCAGGATCACAAATTCGTCCTGCTCGTAGTCTATCGAATGTTCTACCACGTCCGGCACGCACGTGACGATCTGCGCGTGTGGTGGCAGGTTCGGGTTGGACTTGAACTCAAAATCGCCAATGGCACGACTGAGTGCCAGGTTACCGTTGACACGGTCCATCTCGACGAAACCGTCTGCGGCCACGATTCGAGATTTTTCACCCACGAGCGTGGGCTTATGGTCGTATGAGAGCGCTTTGGCGATCGCACTGCGCGACAGCACTGTTCGGCTGTCGCCTGCGTTGCCACAGAACAGCTGTTGCTGTTCCTTGGATACTAGCATCGCGGTGGCAGTGCAGCCGCTGTGGTCGTTTCTGAGCAGTGGATCGCGCAGAATATCGCGATCTGACGCGATAAACGCATCTACGAGAGCCTGGGCGTACCGGCCTTGTTGGAACGAGGGCTGGTCCTGCAGCACCTTAGCCGCCTTGACACCGCAGAACTGGGCCACGGAAGACCCCCCGTGGCCGTCGAACACCGCGTAGTATGCTACATGGCTGTGCTCACTGTGTGCAGACCCCACATTGGTCGCGCACACATGAGAGTCCTCCATTGACATCCGCCACCCCTGCATCGCGCACAGTCCAAACGCGGTCAGCACGTCTTTGCCAGCGTCTGTTTCCTTGTCGATGATCGGATTCGACAGGATTTGGCCCATGTTTGGTGTTGTGATGTGATGTGATGAGTCTTGTTTTTATTGTTGTTGTTGGATAACCAATATTTGCTTCGGGTTCCTTTTGGCTTGTTGAGCTGGTTTTGGCTTCAAAAACACTCGGTCTTTCGGTAAATAACTGGCCAATTCGCGTGTCTAACTTGCACTACGCTTGAATATAGTTTGACTAGGCTTGGCTAGTCTTTCCCACTGTGTTGTAGAGTGTTAAGTTTAAGAGCGACAGGGGTGGCGAAATTGCTAGGTTCTTAGTTAGACGTGGTGTTTTTATATATTATCTGAAAATTTTAAAGAGCGGTTGAGTTGGGAGAGAGTTAGACCGGAAAACCCGCCTCGTTGGTGGTGATGTGAGTTGTTTTCGAGTATTAGAGGCAATGAGACCATAGGTGAGCAAGATGGAGAGTGGTGGAAAAGCATAGAGAGTTGGATTATGGATTCAAACCCCACGATTTTGTTGTCTGAGGGTAAAAATCACAAACATCACTATATACGGGTGTGACGCTGGTGTCTGAATCTTTCAGAACCACGCCTGTATCTTATGTCGTTGTGGTGGTACTGGTTGTGGGTTGTGAGTATTTGCCGCTATTTGAGGTGAAGAGTGAAAACCTGGCTTTACGGCTATGGGTCAATTTTATTTTAGACCAATCTTTACGCTTGTTGGATATGCATCTTTTTAAAGCACTAAGGATATGAGAAAGGACTGGTGGATTAGTGGGAGAGGCTGTGGCTGGAAACCAGCAGGGAGGACGATTGCACTACGGTAATGGCAACTGTGTGGAGATGTTGTAGGTTGGATCGCTGAGATTTTTTCAGATTTACGTGGCAACCGAATTTTTTAATATGAAGCATGATTCTTCGAAGATTTGAGGTCAAAACGGTCGAGATGAGAGGGTGGCTAGGCGAATCATAACCAAAGGACAGCTCCATAAACTACGCTGGGCTGAGCACCAAATGTGAACGGGTTGCAAACTGAAATATGACGTTTCGTCGATTATCGTCACTTTAGTCACTTTATACGGGTGTGTCATCTTCACAACAGAGCCCAGATGAGTATGGTCAACGGACCCACATTGGACTGTCTCTTGCGCTGAATGGTACGACAACAAGGAGGAGCTTTATCGAAAAGGTTTATACAAGCTATTCTCTACGTATTTTATATTCTCGTACTGCAACTAGCGCGTCATTAGATTTTTTAAGTAAATAAACTTCTCACAGGTAGTGATCCACGCTATATAAATATCGTCAACAGTCGTCCACGAAACTGCACTCGAAAAAGTGGCGTGCAACTGTAGAGACGAGTTCTGAGCATCAGGTAGAGTCTGATAAAAAGAATCAGAGTGTAATTCTAGAAGCAGTTGTATTGCTGACCTAAAACGATGGCACTGACGATAGAGACACCCGAGAAGGCATAACAGAACAATTAAATTCTCGCGACGAGGAAAACCGCTTTTCATCCAATTCAAGCATATTTCTTGAAAAATATGAGCTTCACTGACACTCAGCCAGCGTATGTTCAGAGAAAACAGAATTCCCCACCGCAAACGCAGCATTAAATCTAAAGAATACTGTCGTTTACATAACTGTCAAAACTATAAATTTACACAGACACAAAGCCCTAAATATGATGTCGGGTAAGAGTTTTTGATCTATAGAAAAGACCACACAACAGTTGCAAGAGAATCTCATCTCAGTTTTTGCGAAAAATAGGCCTTCCACTCGTCGAGAACAATAAAGTATTTCGGCACCGGGCAATAAACCCTAAATCGTTTCTTGCAGTCAATGATATTGTATCACACCTTGTGAAAGCGATTTGAGATCTAGTTCCCATCCAGTAACTTGGAAGAGACGACGTTTATACAATTCTAAAAATGGCTAATTCAGTATCACATAAAATGAGACACCTACCGAAATGTCTGTTGAGAGATTTGCGTGCTCGTCAAATTACCACTCATGGCAGCCATCAACAATAACATATCAGGTTTAAGGTGTCGTGGGAAGTCCGAAATACGATAAAATGTCGGTTGTGAAAAGGATTCTTGGAGAGCGAATTCCGTCATCTGTCGTTCTATCACGTGATCCAAAGATTAATGCCGTCCTGGAAGACCACTGCTTCCGAACGCCAGTTTCGACATATTCAATGGCTCACCTTTAGTCTGAAGACAAGGTTTTCCTACTCTGCTTTGCTTCACAGCTTTTGTAATGCTACTGTAGAGAATTTATCTCTCATTTGGTGAAATTAAACATCCTGACTTGCAAAGCGAAATGCAGAAGTGACGCACTGCAAATATTCACCGTACCATATAATTGACTATTGAATCTAAACTCTGTTCAACATGGCGACATTGGGGACTTGGATGCTGTCATATACACGAGCAGAGTTAATCCACAATCACATGACTCAATGACAGATCATGTTCACTCGACGTTCGCATACGTACTAGGCATAAACATACATTATATCACATTGCTTAACCTGATTCTTTGAGTGATATGCTGCCTGAAAAGCCAAATTAGAGTCTTCTGGTGTCTCATGAGCCTTTCACATGTATCAAAGCAAATAAATTTTTGTTCACTGTGATTACTTTCTTTCCAAAACCTACCATAATGCCAATCTTTCCAAACCATTGAAAACACATTCACATCTCGACCTAACAAATTGGTTTGTGCTTTGGTCACATCAAGTTACCATACAAGTAATTATGAGTGCAAATGGTCACTACATGTATTGTTGTTTTAATCAACAGCAATAAAATAAATAACGTCAGAGAGCGACGTTCGAGAGAGTGTGCTGAATTAATGACATCTAATGGATAACTGCCTCAATTCAACAGACAAATCCAAGCGTTTGCTTAGATCCCAATTCAAACTCTTGATCACTATGAACGTAGTGCCATCTTTGACCCTCTATATTAGACAGCATCTCAGCTAAACTCATGTCGATCTCTCCATATCAGATCAATCGGTTAAAATCGTACTTTTAGCATGCCATGGACATTATATAAGAGTCCTACTGTGCGAATTGGGCTTAGGTTTCTGTCAAATACCAGAAAATCCGTTTCCGTCGTAGGGTCCGGCCCGTCAGGCTTTTATACGGTGTGCAGGCTGCTGGCTAAGTCAGAAGTACCATTGAATGTCACCCTGTGGGAGAAATTGCCCGTACCGTTCGGGCTTAGTAGATACGGTGTGGCTCCGGATCATCCTGAAGTTAAAAATTGCGAAGATACTTTTAGCCGATGTGCCCAGGAATTTGGAGCCAGCAGTGGCGCTCGACACACATTCAAGTTTATGGGCAACGTAAGCATCGGCAAAGACTTGAAACTGAGAGATCTCTTGGACACACAAGATGCTGTCATTCTCAGCTACGGCTGCAGTGGTGACCACAAGCTGGGTATTCCTGGCGAAGATTCCACTTCAGGTGTGTTCACCAGTCGCGAGTTTGTGAGTTGGTATAATGGACACCCCGAATTTGCTGGCGAAAACGATAAGCTAACCTCTTTCCCCTGGTCCAAAGTGCGTAATGTGGGTATTATTGGCAACGGGAACGTTGCACTTGATATTGCTCGAGTGCTACTGAGTAACAATATCCCGCAACTGTGGTCCTCTACAGATATAAATCCGGTAGCGCTTAAGGCGCTCAATCAGGCGCCCATTGAAACTGTGAAAATGATTGCACGTCGGGACTTTTCTCACAGCAAATTCACGAATAAGGAATTCAGAGAATTGTGGGAACTCGAGAGATACGGCATCCAGGGAATTATAAAATCAGAATTCTTCAAGCTGGAAGATTTGGACATGGAAAACGCCGATAGGGTCTTTAAACGCCGTGTTGAGATGATATCCGAGTATTCTTTGCCATTTAATCAACGCACCAAGAAAAATTACAAAAAGCATCACCCTCCTGAGAGTGGCCCCACCAAAACCTGGGAAATGGACTACTTGAAAACGCCTTTGGCTATTAACAGTAATTCTCAAGGTGACCTAGAGTCGTTGACACTGTGTCGCAACAGTTTGTCTCCAAGTAGTAGAGTCGAGCAGCATTCGAGCGAGACCTTAACGTATAACGTGGACGTCCTTATTACATCGCTTGGATATGGCAGTAGTCCACTGCATGAGTTTGGCCCACTCCAAATCGGATTCGTCAAAAATCGCGTGGCGAATGCCAATGGCCACGTTCTGGACACCAACGGCGGAATTGTCCCGGGATTATACGCCTCGGGTTGGATTCGTAAGGGAAGTAGTGGTGTGATTGCGTCAACAATGTCGGATGCCTTCGAAGTAGCTGATGCTGTTATGGCAGACCTCGAGTCAGGGTCGCCACCGAAAGCCAGGGAACTGAAAACGCAAGGACTCAATTATACTACATGGGAAGATTGGGAAATAATAGATAAAGAAGAGAAAAGAAGAGGCATGCAGCATAGCAAGCCAAGACAAAAGTTTTTGTCAGTATCTGAAATGTTGAGCTTTGTCAAAAAGTAGTCCAGTTACTTATCGAGTTAAAGTGTGCGCTCTTCGAAAGGGTGCAGTACGTCGAACGCTGGTGGGGACATTCTCTAGACTTACAATCCTCTTCTGCGTTTAGTAAAAGAGCAACAATCGGAAAACTGCATTGCCACTTTTGAGGCCGCGTCTTCAGCTTTGACCTCGAAGATTCATCTCAGCAGACACAAGCAAAATCAGAAAGTGTTAATTATGGTTTTGCGTACCATATCGTGAAGCGAACCATCGATGGGCCTAATTTCATTGTGACAGATTGCCGAGATCGTTTGTTGGCGCCATGGCGATGCAGTCGATGTGCTTGATGGTATGTGTTTTTTCGCTTGACGCAAGAGAATAAACACCGAAACGGAGACAGGCGACACGAATGAAGACTTTAACACACTGTAATGCTATTATTTCGCGACTTTTCGATAGAAGGTAACCATAACTGAATCGGGATTCGAAGCTACAGGGAATGGGTCCGAATCACTGTCCTCTGGGAGTAGCCTTAATCGCCACACACGTGATCCAGCGACTGATGATGGACGAGCTAAACCTGATAATATCCTCGAATGCGAGTAAACAAATAAGCCATGGGAACGATTCAAAGCGTTATTATAATAAGGCCTGCTTTCATTCGCATTTAATTGCTAAGGCTTTTGATTGCTGAATGCCTCGAGATTCTTATTGAAACAAAATTGAGCGCCAAATGGTCAAATGTCATTTTTAAGCACCCTTCAATGGCGCACAAATGTCGGATATGAGTCTTTAAGCCCACCCTAAGAAGGTGTTCACCCTCCTCCGAAGTAGAAAATACAAAATCGAAACTGATGAGAGTCGGGACTTTCAGCCTCCGAAACATTGGATGCACACAGTCGTCTTTCTAGTTCAAAACCCACAATCGATGCATGAGCTTTACGCATAAATGTTTTCCTTCTCAGTCAAACATGTGGTGGATGGCACTTGCAAGACTGCAATGAATCAGATCAAAATAATTCCTGGGGTTTCTGGTGAAAACTCCCGCACAATCCATACAACAACCACTCACGAACCGTCCTCTGGATTGCTTCAAACAATTCCAATCAAATAAACTCGAGGAGATCCTCTTGGCGTCCGTTTATAGTGCTATACAAAAAACATACATGCACACACACACCTGGACATGAGATGCTCAAATACCCTGAAGTATTTATCTAGTCCAAAAACACGTCGTTTCCTTGCTCCATGGCAAAACGTGTATGGCTCACAATATCCGTGGATTCCCATGGGTACGCATACCACTTGTCTGGCACGCTGCGCGCAGCAATGTAGCGTAGCTCGTCGTTGAGTATATATGCTGGCAAGTCTGCCTTCTTGGGTTTTTGCTTGTCGTGCAGAACAAAAATTCCAAATTTGGTCTTCATTTCTGGCTGCTGCTCGAGATCGATGCCCTTGGCACTGGCCTGGTCGGCAGCATCTTTTTCCAGCTCGCTAAGCGCATAGTGCAAAGTAGTACGGGTATCGTCCACCTCGTCTACGATCAGCACGTTTTTACCCACCAGGTCCAGCTTGCACTGTTCGTAATCGATCCACTGCGTTCTTTGCACAGTAACGCCCGGTTTCTCTTCTTCTGAGCCAACAGAATGTAGATCTTCGTAAAGCGACAAAATGATAGCGAAAATACGCACTGTGGGCACGTTAGGCTCTTTCAAAAATGTACGCAAGATTCTGGCGGGAATGAAGCCACCTCCACCAATTGCAATGATCAAGTCGGGTTTGAATTGCTTAATCTTCGCCGCGGCCTCTTGGCACAACTGATGTACGTTATTGTAGCTAATATACTGTTTATCCATAACTGAAACGAAGCGCACACAGCTAGACTACTTATAAAGGATAGAGACCCCAGTCTTTGGTGACTTTATCGCTGTTTTCTACAATTTTTCGATTTTTCCTCTAGGAAGTTAACGATGTCTTTTTATAATTAGTTTTTCAACCTAGTCCTACCTAGAGAAGCCTATCATCGACAGGAGAGCGGAACTTCCGCTGGGGAACACCGGCAAACGTCAGGAATAAGATGTGAACGCTGAGCTTTGATGCGATCATGCTTTATGTAGTTATACAGTTGGCGAGTGGGACTAGTAAAATGCAGAAGTTGGGAATGGCTTGGCTTAGTGGTAATAATGATTAATTTACTCGACCTCGATGTCACTGTAGCCGTCTTCAACGTCGGGCTTCAGGGCCGTGTCGTCCAGAAAATCTTGTTCTTCCGAGGCGAATTTCGAAGTTTGACCGTTTTGGCCGCTTTCACCATCTTCGCTGTGTAGCTCGCTTTCACTGTCATTTTCAATATCACTTCCGTAGTCCATTTCGCCGTCTTCTATCAAACCTGCGTCGTCGAGCTCTTCGTTGTATTCCACCTCTTCTTCTTCGTCGTCCAGTTGTGAGTTTTCTCCACCGTTGACGTAAGTTTCCTCGCTAGAAATGGCATTTCTAGCCCGGTGTGCGTCGAGCCTATTCAGCGAAAACTCGAGTCGCGTTTCCAAAGCCTGTAAACGGGGCAAAAGCTCGGCCCTTTTGCGAAGAGTCGAATGCAAAGACGCCAAACTCGCCGTCAGGTTCGGCATCCGGGCCAAGTACCCTCCGTGGATAATCAAACACCATTTCACCCACACGTTCAGTGGGCCCTGTCGATTGCTTTGTCTGGCGATACGCTCGGCTAGCCTTTCGAGCAAAAGCACCGCAAGCGGTGGCTGCAGACGGCCGATCGTGCCTTTGATGACCTTTTCGTCACGGTTATTCAGAACCGTCTCCAGTAGCGAGTGATCGTGAGACTGCAAAGCTTGCGAAAGCACCACTGTGAGCGTCCCCGTTGTGGCACGCTTCTTGGGCTTCTTAGATTCGGCGCGTTCGCCTCCCATGGTCGACTGTGCGATTTTGTCGGCGAGCGATTCCTCCAAATCAGCACCGCTACGTTCTAGCTCTAAAATGGCTTCCTTGACATGCTTGAAGTTGTCACCGGACGTGACGGTGGCATTGCCCTCCACATACGACTTGGGGGCCACCACGTCTTCCCCATGTAGCGACCTATGTGCATGTTTGGACCCCGCTGCGGGACGAGACTTGCTTATTATGTGCGATGGAGGCAATTGGCCCCACTGCATCTGATCGAAATATGGAATCGTGGCATTCTCGAGCCATGCGAATTTGACAATGTCGGCGTTTATGGACACGTTCACCACTGGAACGGCCTCTTGGCTTTCTGGTCTTTGCATTTTCACTCGGTGTGTGGATTGCTTGGATACTACACGCCGTCTCTTGTTGCTGGTGGTCACCAGAGGGTCGGGGAATATCTCTACGGTTCCATCTTCCAGGGCCACTGCAACCACCAGGTCTTTGAAATGCGAAACTTGCGTAACGTCTGCTTGAGAGACCAAAACAGCACTGGTCCCGCCTGTCGAGAGATCGTACAGGTTCAAAAATCTGTCGTTGGTCGCGCTGGTTAGGAAAGTGTTGGCGTTTACCATAGCCATATCGGTGACCGAGGTTATATGGCCAGGGAAAGACCTTACCACTTTTTGAGTCGAAACTTGCACCAGTGCTACGGAATGCGAGGCCAAAAGGATGTGATCTGCGTCGACGACGCACAGTTTCTGTAAGTTTTCGCAACCTTCGACTTTGAACTTTTGTTCCAGGGCAAAATCCGTCATTCTGAACCGATAAACGGTATCATCGCGATCGCAGCACCATGCAACGTCGCCTTGGCTTTTAAAATCCCGGATTGCATGCACACTGCCAGTAGACAATTTGGAGACGATTTGATTAGCTGCTGGAGCGTACAGCCAGACTTCACCGGAATTGAGACCGATGGCAACCATTCGCGAGTCACTGGCAGATAAACTGACCCATTCTAAACACGTTACTCGCAGATTGGCGTCCTCCAAATATAGAAAGTTCTCATTTGCCAGACCGTTCCCGTTGGCTTTTGACGCATTTGTGGGCTCTACCGAGACCCGCTGTTTATCCAAAGCTACAGTAATATATGCCAGAAATTGGCCGCTCGAATCGTATCGAGACAGCACTACGGGAGAGCTCGCCATTGATGGTTTCTGGTTGGTTTATTGTTTTATTCAAGAGAGCTCATCGCCTAGTTTTCTATATAGACCTGAGAGGCAGACGCCTGTAAAATTTTCCGCGAATGGAAAGACGAGTACGATCGCGAGTACTAATCACTAAACACGGAATATTACCTGTGAAATTGCTCGCATTGCGTTGTCCCCCAGACCTGGGGAAAACCGGTGTTTCGACTGAATAGAACGGTGTATAGGGATAGAAACTCAGTTCCAACGTAACATACTAAGTCAGGTTCCTCACTCCCAGTAACTTTAGTTAGAATATAATTCAACCAGGTGTCACGTGACTATCGACTCAATATAAACTTGGCCTGCGTCTGTCAGCTAAACAACTCCAGATACAAAAGCTTATAGACACTCGCATCAGGAGCACTCATTACCAATCATCCATTCCTGACAGCTCCCAATACCAGTACCATTATATTTCAAAACGCACATGGTTAAATATCCATCACCTTGTACGACCCAACCACTCAGTTGGCCATCGCGGATAGATATCATCAAAAGAAGGCAGCGATCAACCAAAGGACAAGTTTAGTGGTCTTAGTTGTTACACAAGATTAACAGTTCATCATAATATTCGAGCTACAGGTACAATTTCTAGGTTGAGTCGAATGCCATTATTTTGATTTAGGTTCGAGACAGTTTTTGGGAAATAGAGCCTGACCTTACGCAACGAAAAGAGCATTTTAAAGTTCGATACCAAATGTGATTACTAGCGCTTTTTTGACCAAAAAACGTCTCACGTTGGACCCTCAGAGTTATTTAGTTTACTGACGTCAGAGAATCGAGCGTGCAATTAAGTCACGTGATTTGTTCTCACTGGCACGACCAGAGTGCAGACGAGTACGAGTACGAGTACAACCGCGAGTAGACATGATAACGTTCATACTTACAAGGTAGCGGTCCACCGCAGTGCCATTTTATTTAAGAAGGCTGATTCGCAATGAAATGAGGAAAGCGCGGAAAACCCCGCATTCATTCAGAGTACGACAACTTTTGAAAGAGCGTGGAAGGCTCGACCAACCGGCTCCAACGTGTCACATTATTTTCGATAATTAACTGTAAAGAGCTTGCGTCAAATACCCAAATGACAATTAAATGAAGCTTAGGTTACATTTCTGACATTGAATCATTAGAGTTCTTTAATTTACTGACGCCAGACGATTGTTCTTTGTGGGTCACGTGATCATCCCTAGTGTACTCGTCGCAAGAAGCTTCAACCGGAGGCTAGTCGTATCCAGTCATGGTCGGTCGCCAGTAAAAACCTGTACTGCACATAGCATATGTCTGGCATTTTTAGTGGCCTGGAATCCTACATTTAACAGTCTATAATGTCTACGACTGCTGTCTTTGAACAACATTTTCTATTGAAAAGACTAGCAAACGTTCCAAACAGTTGGAAAGAGCCCACATTCTGGCAGCACGCGTCGATAATTGACTTTCTGGAATCGTGCATGGCACTGCAGTAAAACTGAATATAACTCACTCTACGCGACATGTAAGTACAAAGTGATATTCCCCCAGTCGATATCAAAGAATAATCGCATCGCGTCGATATGAATATAACGAGTTAAAACCGTCTCTCCACCATCGTCGTCTCTCCACCATCATAATTCCAGCCTCGCCACTCGCCTGGTGCACTCCACCCAAAACCTCGAAGTCTAGCAAAACAATCAAACCGCAGTGGCCCCATCCCTCTGTACGTATCTGCAGGTCCAGTTTACTGAATTCTGGCACATCAAGCCCAAATTATTGACGCCCGGCTACGCTCACACTCACAAACTCACACTGAGCTCATGTCTTGCCTCTTCTCCCGCTGTCACTTGCGTCACGTGCCACCTTCTTCTCACCATTTCTATCACTTTTTTCTCCTACACGCGCGCTGCACGAAAAAAATCCTTATATAAATATACCGGTATTGAACGTTTCCTGGTACACACAGCGATTCCAAATCATCGCCTTTCTTACATGGATAGATTTTAGGAGTTTTAGAGCTCCAATGAGATGAAACCACAGCCCGTGTTTGAAAGCCAATAATCAATCAATCAGTTCAGAGCGTTTAAAATACTACCACGCGCAAGAGCCAAAACGAAAAAAACCGAAAAATCACACATTTAGCACACCTTTAGCACATCATTCGGCCTCGTTTTATTCATCTCAACAACGTTAATTAAACCAGCAACTCAAATCATTCTTTCTCTCTTTCACGATGGGTGAACAGGAAGATATATCACTGCCAAAAGCGACCGTGCAGAAAATTATCTCAGAAGTGCTGGAAAGCGACCTGACGTTCAGTAAAGAGGCCAGGGAAATTATAATCGAGTCCGGAATCGAGTTCATCATGATCCTGTCGTCAATGGCGTCGGAAATGGCCGACAAAGAAGCCAAGAAGACGATTGCGCCGGACCACGTGATCAAGGCGTTGGAAGAGCTGGAGTACCATGAGTTCATCCCGTACCTAGAGCAGATCCTGGTTGAACATCGAGAAACACAACGAATCAAGGAGCGTCGCGATGCCAAATTCAAGAAATCCGGGCTCTCCGAAGAAGAACTGCTTCGACAGCAGGAAGAGCTTTTCCGGCAATCGCGGACCCGTTTCCAGCAAGTGTCAACGAGTGGTGGCCCAGACGGCGAGCTGGGCGTATCGGAAGACGCAGCCAGCGAGCGGTCGCTTTCAAACTCGGTGAAAGCCGAGGAATAGGCTTGCGGGAACGAGTTTTGTTGTTAATGTGATTGTTGTCTTTTTTTTCTTTGAAGTTGCCAGAAACCTCGCTCCAATGTATCCATAATTATAATGTCTGTACAATGCTAGCTCGTTAATCAACGGCCAAGGCTTCAAACTGTTGGTGTGTTTAAGAGTCGCTTGCCTGGAAGACTACTCAAAAATCGGAAAAAAATATTAAAAAAACTCCGGGGTTCTGTTCTTCACAATCGACCCATAAATTGTAATTCTTGTCTTGCATTTTGAGTTAAATACCGCCCGGCTGTCTCTTTTTGCCCTGCTCAGAGAGAGTTCAGTTTTGCTCTACAAACTCTAAAATTGTCTTCAAGGTGTCCATCTTGTCCTCCGAAAGCGAGCCCATGATTTGCTGGTACAGTCCAGGGTTGGAACTCTGCATCTGGGAGAAGAGCGTATGCACTTGCTGGAAACAGTTGATGTCGTCCAGACACGATTCTTTGAAATCGTCTTCCATTTCGTCGAAAAACTCAGTGCCATCATCGTTGAAAGCGCTCTCTCCGAGTTCGCCGCTCGACAGAGCGTCTCTTTTTCTGATCGCCTCTGGAAGCAAAGCTGTGAGGGTTATGAGCTTGTCTGAAAGCTGTGGCACGAATCCACTTATGCAGCTGGGCAGCTCTGGAAGTCCGAAAAGGGAGATGATCGCCATCAATTGCAGCTTAATGGTAAGAACGCTGCTGAATTTGCAAGAAAACCACTTGCGAAGCATCTCTAGCGTAACGCCCTTCTCCTCACATGTTTGCAAAGTTTCCAATGGTCTAACAAATACACCAGCCAAAAAGACCTTCACATAAACGAAATCCTCCACTTCCAAATCATCATTCTGTTCGTTGGATAATTTGAGAACTTTGTCAAATAGCGGGATATCTTTCATCGATAGCACGTAGAACAACAATATGTCCAATGAGCTCTCAACGTCGAAGTCCACGCCGCTATCCATTGCATGAGATAGGACTTCAAGAAATGCGGGTACGTAGGTCTGGTCAGTAGGAAAGCCGTACGTGACAATGGTTTCAAAGAACACCTGGAAACTTTCAAAGTATTCCAGGGCATACGTTTGACAGGAGTCGAGAACGTCATGCAACATTTCCCAGACTTCTGGCGAAAATCTGTTGAACATGGCTTTCGAGGATAGTGCAAGTGAGTCCATCAGGTCCACGGCCTCGCTCAGAAAGGTAATTTGAGCGTTCACTATGATGAACTTCACCACCGGCAAAAATTTGTCTATCAGCGAAACTTTATTCATGGACATTACCATTGTCGTCATGGTTTGCAGCACCGCACTGGCTTGAATTTCCTGATCCTGGTCCGCAGTGGAGTAAGTGCCACTAGAATTCTCCACGATGGATTGTCCAAGGGTGACAAATTGTTCTGCCAGACTAGCCGCTAAATCTTCGGCAAATGGCGACAACTCGTCAGCAAATCTTTCCACAAAGGACTCCATTACTTCTGACAGGATATCAATTTCAAAATCTTTCGACAGTTTCAACAGCTTTTCCATTATGCCTGGAACCTGAGAAGAGATATGTGAATGAATTTTGGGGTTTGAAACAATAAGGGTCTTTAGTGCATCAGCAGCCTCGACTTGTATAGGCAACTGATCCGAGTTCATGAAATTAATGTAGACTGCCTCGTATATTTGGGAAAGAACGTTCAAATCAGAAAACTGTTGCTGATGAATGGCAATTGTTCCCAGGGCTCTTGCTATCAGAAATGGGAATTTCTGCTGCCTTAGTAAAGGAGTAATGAAATGTTCGAAAATGCTTTCAAGTTCGTCTTTGACTGGTGAATTCTTTTCCGCAAGGAAACTACACAAAGAGCTTAGCAGCCTCAAAGCACCCTCTTCTTGATAAGCACTGGCCAAATCGCCTCTTGAAGCAAAATTGTTGAAGACTTTGTTGATCAAGGGCAATATTTTACTGACTTCTGCAAACCTTCTGTGACCAACGACAAATATGAAGTCTGTAGAGGCCACGTCTGCGGTGGTGCCCTCTTTGTTGACGTCAAAGTAACGCCTGGTATATTCTTCAGGATCTTCCTCAAAAAGAGCAACACTTTCCTCGTTGGCTGATAGACAGGGGAAAATCACATAAGTGATGATGGATTGCAAATGGGGGTTGATCATTGACCACAGCGAGTCTGTGGCCATGCACTTTTCCAGAAATTCGATCATGTAATAAAGCGAAGCGTCGCTGAGCCACAACGAGCCCGACCCCCACTCTTCTATAATCTTGAAATACTGTGTGAGGATAGTGGGCACCACTTGGTCAAACACGTAGTTTACGTAATCCTGGGTGATGCTCTTCGTGGATCTACTGTACTTGATCAAAAATCTGGACAGGTTACCGAAAGCCCACTTGTTACACTTGACTCTCTTGTCGAGGGACCTGTCAGCCGCATCCAGGTTCAGCACTTCCTGTGGAAGGGGCTTGGAGCACAAGAAAAGATGCAGTTGGATCCACGACTGCAGCTTTTCGGGATTTGCGAAGTAGCGTGGGAAATTGTTGAGACATGCGTACTTGAAGCACTTGAGCACCAAGTACAAAAGCTCGTTTGACTTGTAGTCGGTTTCGTTCACGAGCTGCGCGGCAATGGCCTCCATGCATGGAAACACGGCTTCGATCACGTCGTCGATGTATTGTCTGTTTTCTGGCATGTCCCACCGGTGCTTTATGCAGACCTCGAATAGAAGCAGCAGTCCAGGATACACAAACTCGGGCTTGTTGCTTGACAGTAGTTCTTGGATTGCCCCGCTCAAATCCCATTTGTCGCTGTGGTCGAGCACCCCACGCACCGACTCTGTCAGGTAAGGTCTGATTTGCATATTTTCCGCATGTGAGATCACGCTTTGGACCAGGGCCTCCTTTATCGCGTTCTGCTCCTCCACAACAATCGCGTCGTCGCGCTTGCTGGTCCAGCACCGCTGGATTTTGTTTTTCATATAGATCGCGCATGAAATGCGCACGTTCAGCGGCACAGTGGCATCCGTAGCCGCATTCAAGAGGAAAGACGTGAACCCTGGCTCTTTTTGCATATGGTATAGCTCTTGTTCTGCTTGTTTGATGACTATAGCGTCTGCGGCCATTGTGCGGCCAAAAGCCTCCAAAACAGCATTTTGATCAAGCATTTTTGCTCTTCGAGGCCCTGAGACTCGCAAACTAAAGCTTTAGTTAACTGAAGCGCTCCTTTATACCTGAAGTTGACCGTTTGAACCTTTAAGTTTTCACTAGTTTAGTTAAACTTTTGTCTTTAAAGGCGGTCCAAAAATTTTCCAACTGATCCGGAAAATGAGGTCATGTGACTGGTGAATAATATATTGAAATATAAACATCACATCATCTCTAGAAAGAAAATCGATGAGATAGATTGAATTAAATTCAAAAAGGTACAATTAGCGTTGTATTTAGAGGGTCTTGAAGGTTGTGATTTTTTAATTCTGTATGAGCGCTCAAAATTGAATTTGAGCCCTTTTTCTGTGTAGAATTTGAGTATTCCAGGTCGAAAAATGGATCCCAGAACAGTGCACATAGTAGGCTACCTGGTTGGCCTTTTTTTCGCACTGGAACCTTCGTACATCCATCCAGATGAGCATTTCCAGAGTCTGGAGATTCTGGCACATCTTTTTTACGGCTCAGCAGCCACGGTGCCGTGGGAATTTGCGGCCAGGAACGCAGCCCGAAGTTTCGGGCCGCTGTATGTCGCGTACGGGCCGTTATTCTACCTGTACAGACGACTGGGCAGCCCAGCACCGGGTCTAGCGTTGTTGTACCTTGTGCGATTGCAGAACTACATTGTTTACACGTGTGTTTACATGCTGGCGTTGCAGTTTCTGCTGAGATCGAAACTGGACCGAGCCAAGGCAACCTTCTACATTTCAACCTCATACGTCACCTGGACGTACCAGACCCACTCGTTCTCCAATTCGCTCGAAACATGCGCTCTGCTGATCGTATTATCCCTCTTCCAGGTACTAATCCTGGATGCTCGAGCTCCTCGCCACAACCACTACCGGACATCGGCAATCTTGGGTTTCGTTATTGCGTTTGGATTTTTTAATCGAATTACGTTCCTCGGGTTCATTGCGCTGCCAGCCATCCCCACATTGCGAAAATTCTACCTCGGACATCTGAAATCACTCTTGATCTGTGCAACGACTTTTTGCCTTTCATGTTGCGCATTCATTTACGCCGATACCGTGCTGTATGAAACGCCGCATTGGTGTATTGCCCCGCTCAACAATTTGGAATACAACCTTCAGAGCTCCAATTTGGCCTTACACGGAGTGCACCCGCGGTACACCCATATCCTCATCAATATTCCTCAGATGCTAGGGCCATTAGTGACGTATTTCATTTCCAGAAAACAGAAAATCAACCTGACGATGCTGTCGTGCATCTCAGGTCTGCTGTTTCTATCGGCATTCCAGCATCAAGAACTCCGTTTTTTGATCCCACTAATGCCACTACTATGCGCCTCCATTAATTTATCCAATCTCAGCTCATCAGTGCGGAACAGGTATATTACCAGGACTTGGCTGGTATTTAATGTTGTATTTGGCGTCATCATGGGTTCCTTGCACCAAAGGGGCGTTTTAACTGCTATTGAGGAGAGCACTAAAAACAATGCACCAATCGACGTTCATGTTTGGTGGAAAACATACTCGCCTCCAACGTGGCTTTATTCGAACCATAACCTCGTTGTGTCCACTACAAACATTCATGATGGAGAAGAAAATTTAGACGACGTGAATTTTCAAATTATAAGAAATCATGTTGTTGATCTAAAAGGCTGCGACTATGAGCTATTTGAAGTCGCCATGCACAATTTCTTAGAGCTCAATGCCAGTGTTCGCGTGTTTATCCCCAAATCCACCGATACTCTATTCACTAATTTCAGATCTAGGAATCCAACTGTCAGAATTGACAAAGTGTGGGAAACGCGCTTGAACCTGGATTTAGACCACTTGGACTTTACGGACTTGTCTACCTTAATTCCCGGATTTTTAATTTACGAGGTGGCTGCGACGTGAAGACAGAAACAAGTGCTATATTCGTGATGCGTGGAATGATGTAATGTACATAATGTAAACGAAATGTCTGCCTGTCCTTTTTTCGTCCGTCTATTTGTAAAATTCAAACTTATCAACGTCACTACTCGACTTGACCTGAGCGGCATAGGCTTCCTCTAAGTCGCTTTGAAGAATGACGTATCTGTTTTTTCTAACGGCGCGGAGACCAGCTTCTTGCATGATCGCAGCAATTAGTGCACCCGACAGAGGATCGTTCCTTATAATCAAAGAGTCCAAATCGACCTCTGGTGCCAAAGCCATTTTGGCGGCAACGGTGCCGAAAATCAAACGACGCTCACGTCTGTCTCTTAACGATGGAAACTCTATCTTTCTGTCCAGTCTACCAGGTCTTAGCAAAGCTGGATCCAGAGTATCCGCTCTGTTGGTGGCCATGATGACTTTAACGTTGACACTTTGATCGAAACCATCCATTTGTGTGAGGAGCTCAATCAATATACGTTGAACCTCGCGATCAGAGCCAGTTTGGGCGTCAAAACGCTTTGTGGCGATGGAGTCGACTTCGTCGATGAAAATAATCGAGGGCGCGTTTTCTCTTGCCAATCTGAACACGTCACGAACCATTCTTGGACCTTCACCCAGATATTTGTGCACAAACTCGGACCCGTTTACCCTAATGAAAGCGGCGTGTGTACTGTTGGCAACGGCCTTGACCAGCATTGTCTTACCTGTACCTGGAGGACCGTAGAGCAGAACGCCTCTGGGAGGGTCGATACCGATTTGGCGATATAAATCGGCCTGAACCAGGGGCAATTCCACGGCTTCTCTGATTTCTTGTTTCTGCATGTCCAACCCACCGACATCAGCGTAACTGACGTCTGGTTTTTCGTTTGCCCCCATAATCGATATGCTAGAGTCTGAGTCTGGGGGCAGAATGTCCACCAACGCGTTGGAGTGGCGATGCAACGCAACCGACGTAGATGGTTTGAGCAGCTCACGATCGAGGGTCGACAGAATCTTCACCACGTAGCTCATGCCGGTTGTGCTCGACACAATCCCTGTGTTTTCGTCTATTGGCTCCAAAAATTGACCTATCACCAGTGGCACCGATTGGATACGTTTTACCTCTTCCTGTGCTCTCAAAAGTTCCCTCTTTAGATGGCGCTGTTCGTCTTTAATGTAATCTTCTTGCAAATTCAAAAGCTCCAGCTCTTTTTCGAGTCTTTTCAGCTTCAAATACGGGTCTGTGCTGCCATTGCTAATGTTATTGTTGTTGCTGAGTTGCGCTATGAGAGACCCATAAGATCCACTGGCAAATTGATCATTAACAGCCCTGTCGTTTGGTGTGGTGATTGGAGCGTTAAGTATTCCAAGTTCCTCCATATTAAATCTGATGTTTCGCAAATGCTCAATGGTGTCTCAAAAGGATGAGAAAGAGACTCCTTTTGATACTATTTGGTCAAACTGAGTTTAAAGGTTTAACCTAGTTTTGCCACCGAAAGCTTTAATTTCTGAACGTTAGCCCAAATTGCTAGAATGTGTCACCATTCACGGCGTCAGCGGACATCACAGTAATAGTGAAACGGAAAAACCGGTACAGCTGAACAGAAGAGCCAGTGTGTAAATCTCAGCTTTTGTTAGTGTGACCGTGTTATTGAGACCTTTTCCAGGTAGCTTTTTCAGTTTGTTTGCGAGATTTTGTGCCCATGATGACAGGCTTTTAAAATAGACGTTCAGGTAATAAGAGAGCTTGGACCAGTATGTTGCATTTGCTGCTGGAGGAGCAGACCGAATGGAGGAAGTAGAGAGCTGTGCATCTTCGGAGTTTTGGGAACTCTCTGATAGAATTAAGTCACCTTTCTTGGAATTTTTGTCCATACTCGTGGAAATGTGATCTGACATTTGCGACAGCTGCGTGCTTTGGAGGATGGCCTGTTTTTCAAGCGCCTGTGTTACCTTGTCCTCGAAGCTTCCCACTAGTCTGCGACGTTTCCACGGCTCTAGGAGGAGCTGGAACACGAGAAACAGAAAAATGTTCATCCCCATCAGAATGAAGGTCCCCCATGTCGATGTTCGCCGGATTTTGTCGGACCAAATCTGCTCTTCGTGGTACCGCGTTAGAATGGCTCGATATAAATTGTCGGAGAGCTCCTCTTCATTGGCCTCCAATTGCTCCAAATGGTTCTTGGCGTCGGTTTCGCGTTCCAGGTTCAAACTGTCGTCTTTGTACAATAGAGTAAAACGTTCCAGGTCCTGCGGCGACCACGAGTTTTTGCGCTGCAGAAGCTCGTTCACTTCGCCTTGCGATTGTGCTCGAACCTCGATCGCAGCGTTGTACAGCGCCTTCGATTTTTTTACCTCATCTTTCAAATTTCCCAGTTGTTTCTCCATGAAATCGATGCTTTTCCGCAGTTTTTGGATGCTGGAGTATCCTGTAACGTCGTTCAGCGCCCTGGTCGCCGTGAATATGGTTTCTTGGAGAGAATCAAAGTAAAATTCTAGTTTTTTGGCCCATCTGGTTCTGGAGCGTTCACGTTCGGAAGGGAGCCCTTCAATTCTGCCTTTGGTCTCCACGTCGGTATCGAAGCCCAGCCGTTTGTCTGTTCCGGCCTGCTCTGCGGCTGCCAGTTTCTGGTTTGCTTCCTGAATGGCCAGTTTAGCCTTATCAGCATTCTTCTTAAAACTACTAGAGAACTCTTTGAGTTTAGCGGCCGACTCCACCCATTTAGCTTGTACCGGAGAAAGGTACGGATCTATCATCTTTTTATAGGAGTTCACATTACTGTTGGTTGATCTCAGGTTCTCATTCGTATTATGCCAAGTGCTATAGGGGCGACTTCTGAATATGACAACCGGTTTAAGTCCACATTTCAACAGTGAACTGCGGTGCAGCAGCATTTGTTTCCAGCAGTCTTTGTCTTTATCTTGTTCAACAACACCTAGCAGAAGTTAAACCTGAGGTTTTAGCTCATCTTAACTGATTTAAAAAAGAGACAGTTCAACCAGTAGTCATTCAAGTTGACTTACGACAACCAAGACATGGCAGGATTCTCGATTAGCTTGAAGAGCCATAAATCTGGTAAGACAGATAAGAAGAAGAAGAGAGCCAATGTGTTCAACGAAACTGACCTTGACGTATCCAAGAAAACGAAGATACGTGTAACTCACATCGATGAATATAAAGAACCTAAAAAACAAGAGCGTGTTATCAAGCTCGCAAGCATATCCAAGCCTTCTAATAATTCTGATTTCATTCCACCAGTCGATGACAATGAGTTAAAGTTCGGATTGAATACCAGAGAAAGCCTGCATAGTAATAAATCCAACGTACGACTGTTAGGGAAGGATCCTACAATTATAGAACAGCAACCAGAGGTTACAGAACAAGAAGATTATGAAGACGTGCCCATCGAAGAGTTTGGAAACGCTCTGCTGCGAGGTATGGGCTGGGATGGGAAGAACGATAACCAGAAGAATCCAGCTCCTTCTAAATCAGCCGGTGTAGCAAACCCAGCCACGAAACCTCGTCCGTCACTACTGGGGCTAGGAGCAAAGTCTAGCCAGAGCACTCTCAAGGACGACAGAGTCGCTCTTCCTACTTTTTTGCCAGTCACCAAAATTGACAGAAAAACTGGTAAACGGCTATGATTCTACTAGTAACCATTACAGCATGGAAATCAAAACAAAGTTGCCTTTCTTTGCAGAAAGCGCCGTCATTACATTCATTATATCTGGAGTGTCTATTCATGGAGCATTTACATTTCAAACCATAGCACCCAATCCCAAAATCATTAATTGCGAAGCCACTGTAGTGCCCCAAACTTTAGCCCAGTCGCTCTTCTTTTTGTGTTCCCACTCCTCAACCATCCTCATCAAATCAACGTGTATTTCCATGCAAAGAGTGTCGTAAATTCCTGTTTCCTTGAACAAAAACAATTCCTTGAAACCGTCAATGTTTTTCACGATTCTTGATCTCACAACAATCTCATTATTATTATGGTTTGGCTGGTCGTGGTATTTTATGATCTCTTGACTTGGTCGATCTGCGTCCTCAAACGATGGCCACTTAATGTTCGATGGAATTACCGTCGTGTCGGGGTACGACTTGTTTTTCTTGATTGAGACATTTGGGATGTTGTTCCACGCCGGGTTTGAGTTTTGAATGTTCATAAATGAGTGGAACAACCCTCGTTGAGTGTTCACAAAGGCGATGAGCGGTCTTAATTCATCCAAAGTTGCAATAAAGTCACCATTGGCCAATTTCGGTTCCTCCGATGGGTAGCGAGCCGTCAAGTCTTTGAACTTGAATTTGAGGTCCATTACGACGTACTTATTTTCGTCGTCGAAACCGCTGTCCTTTTCACCAGGTATGTCGGGCAGCATGAAATCTGCGATGATTTCGACTTGCCCATCTTCTATCCAGTTGAAGGCCTTGCTTTTGTCAAGACCCAGGTCCTTGACCGATATTTCGTCTAGCCTCAATCTGGTTATGCGCTTCCAAGGGGACATATCGTGCTCGAAATCCTGAAGGTACGCCAGCTTATGTTGGCGCTTGTGAATAGTGAACAAGGCATGGTTGACAGCACCTGTCACAACATTGGCATTGAAGAAGTCTACCAATGCCCACTCGAATCTTACTTGTGGCAAGTCCATGTTGTATATCGATAGACGGTAATTTTGATCTAAAGTTTGATCCTGAACATTTATGCGCGAGTCACGAATCTTCAGCCGCCCCAAGTGGTACTTTGGGTTGGAAAACCAAGATATTAGTTTCTCCGGCTCCCGGGTATCGTCTACTGACACATCTCCTTTCATTCCATACAGAGACAAGTCATTTATGAGACCCTGACCGCGAAACCACTTGGTGAACGAGAGCGTGATGTCAATTTGATTGAAGGTCAAATCAAAGCTCAGCTTAGCAATGGGTTTGGTAGAGTCAGTAGAGACGTGACTCTCGACGTCATCATCAGTTGTTCTTAGCTCGACTTGCTTGAAGCTGAGACATCCTCGTTTCCATTCGGGGACTAGAGCATCTTGAAAACGCACGTCCACGCCGTCTATGTAATTATTGAGTAAACGTCCCACCATTTGACCTACCATCTCTTTTGCAAACACAGTGTTGAAAGTGAACAAAACCAGGGACACAAATGTTGTCGTGCCCAGCACGATCCACACTATCTGAGATATGACAAGCCACGAGAAAAGCGTGCTAATCTCGTCAGTGCTGAAGGGTCGATTTTCCCGGATCAAAACCCATTTGGTTTTGATTTTGAAGCGTTCATAAAAGTTGGTAGCCTCTGAAAGCAGTTTCTGCTTACTGAGACGCTGTTGATTTTTTTGCAGGAGGATGTTTTGCGTGTGTAAAAAATCTGTGTTCTTTGCGAGTTCATCGAGCTGTTTCTGTGGGCTTCGCAAAGTTCGCAAGCTGCTGAATTGTGCAAGCGTTGGTCTCGCAGTCGATTTCGACAAATCGATGAGCTTTTGTGGATAAAAAAGGGGGCGACTCCGAACTAACGTCGATGGTCTAAGCCAGTGTTGTAGTCCACATTTGAACATAGGCGTTGAGTGACTAGACTAGACAAAAGGCGCTTGAATCCCACTCTTTTGCTCTGTCGTTCACAAATTTAGTTTTCAAGAAGTGAAGGATACTTTTTCATGTCAGACAAGGTGAAAAATAATTGTCTAAAGGAATATATCTGGTAGCCTGGGGCTAGCATTGAGGAGAGTATAGTGAGAAAGATTGCACGGCTGGGTTAGCAGGAGGCTTATGGTGTCGTATTCGAAATAAACGTTAGAATCTGATTCTTTGCTTCGATATTCTACCATGGAATGACAAACAGCTCAATTCTTAGAATCTTGGCAAGGAATCCGCGCGCTGTTGCTGACATTTTTTCGTTTGATCATAAACCCTCTCACGATTTACCGCATGATGGATTGTTTCTGCTTCTGATGATCATTCCTGTGTTCATCTTGTTGCCTTCCAGTTTAAGAAGAAAGAGCGACATCTACCTGTTTCTCTACTCATTCCTCTAAGTGATCCTCTCGTAGGTCTGAGAGAATAAGGTTCCACGTGATCTGAAAATTTTCAAGTAGAGAGATGAGATGAGATGCGATGAGCTTCAAAAAGATCGAACTTCACCACGAAGTCACTAACAAAACCAGCTAAAACATCAGAATGGTAGCGCCCACGGCTGTCAAGAAAAGTGTCACTGGATCAGACGCGTCTCAACTAGAGTCTGGCGCAAGCTCGCGTATTTTCGGTGGAAACTCGTTCCACAAGGCCGCCGACGACGATGACGACGATGAGGTGTTGGTAGACGACCAAAACATGGACGCAGAGGAACCTCGGCCAGAAGAAAACAGCAACGAGAGCACGAAAAAGCCGCAAGAAGTGGTCTTGGATGAACGTGGAAAGCCCAGATTCCCCTCGGCCGCTCAAGCGGGCGAGACCAAGGTCAAACTGGAATCTCGGAAAGTTACCGTCCCCCCACACCGGATGACCCCGCTAAGGAACAACTGGACCAAGATATATCCGCCCCTGGTCGACCATCTGAAGCTCCAGGTCCGTATGAACCTCAAGACCAAGACCGTCGAGCTCAGAACACATCCTAAACACACTACCGACCCTGGTGCCCTGCAAAAAGGTGCTGATTTCATCAAAGCCTTCACCCTCGGTTTTGATCTTGACGATTCCATCGCACTACTGAGGCTGGATGATCTCTATATCGAGACCTTCGAGATTAAAGACGTAAAGACCCTCAATGGCGACCATTTGTCTCGTGCCATCGGCAGAATTGCAGGTAAAGACGGTAAGACCAAATTCGCCATTGAAAACGCTACCCGTACGCGTATTGTGCTCGCAGACTCCAAGATCCACATCTTGGGAGGGTTCACTCATATCCGCATGGCCCGTGAATCAGTCGTAAGTTTGATTCTCGGTTCTCCTCCAGGAAAGGTTTACGGAAATTTGCGTACTGTCGCCTCGAGACTAAAAGAGCGGTACTAAGCACACTGAGGCTGGCATACCGCAACCCTATGTACACTAGTCAAACGGATATAACATCAAATCTGGAGAAGAATGGATCTAGTCTCTTCGAACGAGTGCCAGACATGGCTTTCGATGTCAACAATACGTTAATCTTGAACCTTGACGTCTTACGCATAACGACGCGTCGTGTTGAGCCCAGGAATCCTACAATTTTATGTGCGTAGCAGGTCGTCATGACTTCATCGACCTCGAAGAGAACTGTGCGATTAGCATCTTTGTTAAACGGTTCTCAGAGCCATAAGAGATCAACTGCTGAGCGTACAGAGCATGCTCAGCGTGAAGTTGCCGATGATGACTTCTTAGACAGTATAGAAAACTCCACAGTGATAGAATCGGATGGTCACTGGACAAATGAACGCTCGTCGCCTTTAAAAGTGGCTCCCGGAGCTAATACCTCGATTATCCAAAGTGACGACAGAACCAGTGATTGCGAGATAGTCGAAGAACTAAAGCCTCCAAAAGTTTCTCTGAGACACCTTCTGACGGGCAAACGCAAATCTGACAGGGGTAAGAAGTCAACAATTAGTGGATCAATTGACGATGTACAGATGACAAAGGCTAACGATTCAGAGAAGAATCGGGAAGCACACGAACGCATTGTATCCGCACTGGAAAGTGCCAAGAAAACAGCCGTTAGGGATCTTTTTGGCGGTTTCCAGAAGAGAACGCGCGATTCAGGAGAAAATGGGTCCAACGTGGCGAATTCAGATCAAATTCCTTTGAAAAGGGCACATATGATCTCGAAACTGGCAGAAGTAGATCCTCCATTCCCTCAGTTCCAAAACGTTACAGACATAGACGAGAAATTGAAGCACAGGCAGTTATCGCTTCCAAAAAAATCGCACAGCTGTCATTATAACGTCGAGAATCACTTAAATCATCAATATGGCTCGCTCATTAACTTGACTAGGGAAACCCAACATAAGAAAATTACAAAGTCATATACCAACAGGACTTCAAACTGCTCACTCTGGAGTAATGAATTCGAGCCACAATCCCTTGGAAACGTTATTCTAGAGGATGAGCTCAAATCGCAGGTAGATGCATGGCTTCGAGCGGCTTTCGGAAAGCTGCGACGGAAAACGAGCCGAACAAAACTGTTAAAGAAAAAACCAGATGTTGACGGTATGGACATGTTTGTGGTCGACGATGACGTTGATGACACCGCAGATCAAGTGGAAGAATTTGTCCCTCTTTCGATTATATTTGGCGACGCAGTGGGTAAAAGTACTATGCTGAAGACAATAATGAATGAGGTTTCAGGTCAGATATTCGAGATCAATAGCTCTGGAAACAGAAGTAAGAAGGATTTTATTGACAGTGTCTTGGAGTTCTCCACTTCTCACTACGTTAAAGACAAAGGCTCGAAGGGTATTATTTTATTTGATGACGTGGACGTACTCTTTCGAGAGCGCGACAAGTTATTTTGGGTAACGGTGGAAAGACTTTTATTGACTTCACGGAGACCGGTGATTCTTGTATGTCGCGATGTCAATTTCGTTCCGTTCAATCTTATTCAAATAGCTGATGAGGAAAACTCACTGTTTCATGCCAAGAAAATCAATGAGCATCAAGCCGTAGAGCAATTGAAGGCATTTCTGATCTCAAAGGGAGTTGACGCATGTTCTGGCCATTTAGACTCAATTTTGAAAGAATGCGATGGCGACATAAGAAAATGTTTACATGCTCTTCAATGGCAAGCGGTAGCTGATCAAGACAACGCTGACTTTGAAGAGAGCAACAGCAGCCATCCTGGCCCGGCGAAAGACATCAAAGAGATTACTTTCAAAGCTGATCTTCTTTCAAGCGCAGACATGATACACAATGGTATTAAATGGAAATCCAACATTGGTGAAGATAAAGATCGTACCTTGAACTATCCTATTCATTCAAAAGACTTCACAGCACTGACTGATGAAGAAAGACTAGCATTCGACTACATGGTCGACTACAGACAGCATTTGCATGATCAATTACGACATCCGTTATTGCCGTTTGAGACAAACGTTGGTGGCTATTTGTGTAGCAGCGTTTACAACCCTCACGCAGACAACGAGGTTGACACCAACCAGTTTGTGGATAAGACTACACAGGAAATAGTCTCTTATTTGGGAAGCCGGGTACCAGACAAATTCTCACTAAACAGTGAGCAATTCGCACCGGCACGTATGACTAGGAACTCAAGAAAAGTTAAAGAGATCCTTGACCGATTTTCTAGCTACCCAGTGGAGAACAGTTCACCCGCCGACGACGGATATATGGGCTTGACTGCGACGATGACCAGGCGCCAAATAAGTCAAGAAATTATCCCATATATCCTTGAAGTAGCCAAACACGATAAGATGCTTAAGACTAAAAACAGAAGGATTTTCGAGGCGGCAATGCATGACGCACAACCAGGGTCCCGCAAGGAGGTTGTGAAAATACTCCTGCAGAATCACGCATTTCACCCCATTTGGTTCAACGGTGAACCTGATTGCGTGCTTGATGCGTGGAAAAGTCCCATGAGCTCAGTTGAACAAAACGACGAATAGTGTCTGTAGGCCTACATAATAGCCGGCCGCGAGCTGAGCCTTCCGCCTTTGAAGTTTGTTAATGCACGATGCTTCATGTCAATAGCCTGTAAAGCTCGCCATGCCTCTTCCACGTGCTTTGGCTTCAAAGGATTGACCACATTATCGGGACCATCAAACAGGCGCTTTTTACGTTCTCTGGTGACTTCCACAACCACATCAAGTTGTGCTTTCTGCGACTTGTCCCGCTTTGTTTGCAGAAGTTCATCTCGCTTTTTAAATTTGAGCGCTGTTTCCGTCAAAGCACACACTATTTCAAAGGTAAGAAAACCTAAGATATCGATAACATCGTCATGAGGCTTGCCTTCCGTGAGCTGTGTAATTCCTGACCAATCTTTGAAACGTTTACCTTTCCTAAAGGTAAAACTGGCCTGCCGACAATCGGACCAGTGCACATATTCTTCTTTGGTCATATCTCTGGTTCGATCATCGGCCATTTTGAGCCGTTTGAGAGTTGCCACGTTGGCCTCTCGTTCGTCTTCGTCCAAGTCGTCTGCATCTTCGTTCATCTCCAAAGGTTGCTCGTTAAACATGAATTGCAGCTCCCAGGGTAGCTTAATCTGTGATTTTTTAACTCGCATCATGTTTCCACCGTCCTTGTCACCCTTTTTGTCGTCATCTTCAACAGCTCCGTCGGCTCCGTCTGCCCCGCCTCCAGCGTTACCGCCAGCGGCAGCGTTAGCGTCTTGATCTTTAGCATTTTTACGCAAATCTTTCCATGAGAGATAAGTTCGCAGTCTATTGACCTTAGCTCTATCGTGACGAATCAAAAAGATGACGTCTTCGGGCATGATACTTTTGCTTCCTCGCGCATGCGCCGTCTTGGTCGATTGAAGCAGGATCTCAATTACCTGACCACGAACTATATCTTCAATGAGACATGTAGTTTCCACTGGGGGGTCACTATTTTCGCCAGAAACGAACATCATTTGTTGGATCTCTATCCGGTACTTGTACTTATCCATTCTGTCTGTCTCTTATAATGCAACTGATTCTGGCAATAATTGAATTCGAAGTTCATAAAAGTTCAATAACCTTACAAGAACCTATAGGTAAAATGTCAATAATTTTGAAATTACCACGTAAGAGTTATGTGTGTATCTAGAGTGTCTAGAGAGTCGGCTAGTTGTGTAATGCTTTGGTTTCTAATGGTTCACATTTTAAGTTTAAATTGTAAGATATGGAATGTTGAATATTGAAAATTCAAGTCAATCGACCGTCAAAATTGAGAGTAATCAAGCACTTGAGAGGTGCGACCTTAGCTGAATTAAATCTAGTTGATGAAAGAAGGCGTTGTAGAAAACCCAGATTCAATTTTGGTTGAGAAGCCGGCCTTCTATTCTCACGTTTTGGATCTGAATGGGTTTCTTTCACCGGACCATGACAACTCGGCCTTGCTGATTCTAAACCAAAAAATAAATATCGGGGAAGTGTTTTCAAAGCTTTGGGGTAATTATAATGTACACATCTGCGCAGATGGTGGTGCCAATCGACTTTATGAGTATTTCGCGGACGATGCGAAGCGTGCGAAATTTGTGCCAGATTATATTGTTGGGGACCTGGACTCGGTCCGGCACGAAGTGCTGACTTTTTATCTAGAAAACGGAGTCTCCGTCATTGGCCAATCAAGTCAGTATTCGACTGATTTCACGAAAAGCTTGCGACTTATATCGTTGCACTTTTACCACTCCGAATTTTTAAAAATGCTAAAGACTGGGAATTTCGATCAAAACTACGGTATTGACGATTGCGACGGGCTCGAACAATTGTACAAAGCCGAGCGCTCAAGCTGGGTCACACGCGACATCGACTTGCTTGTTCTGAATGCCATTGATGGCAGATTCGACCAAACAGTGCATTCGATAACTCAGCTGTATACAACTTCAAGAACGGACGTATACTACCGATTATGCTACCTCACATCTACTGACCTCATTATGCTAATACCCACGGGCGGCGCACTGATCACATACGACAAAGCGTTTAAAACCCACTGCATTAGAAATTGCGGTCTGTTACCTTTGGGAGGACCCACGGTGATCAACTCAACCCGGGGCTTGAAATGGGATGTTACAGACTGGCACACGAGTATAATGGAAGGTAAAGTTAGCAGCAGCAACCGCTTTGTTGGCGAGGATTGCTGCTTTTTTGATGTCAAGGATCCGCTTGTTTTGAGTATTGAATTAACACTTGATAGACTGTCCGACTTTATATGAACTAGATCTCAAGACATAAAAGATACAAATAAGTATAATATAGACATTTGAGGTTAAGCACTGGTCTCTGATAGGGACAATACTGTATAAGTCGGGTTGGCAGGATAGTGAATTACCTAGTATCCGCCATGTACTGCTGTTAAACCTTCTAATCATAATCAAGCGCCAGTGGTTTAGTGGTAAAATCCAAGTTTCCCATACTTGGGCCCCGGGTTCGATTCCCGGCTGGCGCAGATTTTATTTTTGATTATTTATACATACCAGTAACAATTAAAAGATATAGATCTTAAGCTGTTCTCTCAAATCTCAACTACTCGGATTCAGAAGGTAGAACGAGGTCTTCTGTTCCGGCTTTATTTTTCTTTTTGACGTACGAATATGAATTCATTAGACACTGATTGAACTATCGAGCTACTATTTGCTTACAATTGAGCAAATTGCTTTACCAAAGCTTCACCCAAACGACCTGGAGATTCTACAACAGTGACACCAGCTTCTCTCAAAGCGGCCTTCTTGGACTCAGCGTCGGTACCTGAGCCCTCAACGATAGCACCGGAGTGACCCATTCTAACACCCTTCATTTGGCCAGCGACGGTACCAGCGATGAAAGAGGCAACAGGCATTGGGGTGGAACGCTTCATGTTGTATTCCTTCAAGAACTCGGCAGCCTCGATCTCGGCTTTGCCACCAATTTCACCCAACATCACGATACCTTCAGTGGCAGGATCGTTCATGAAGTACTTTAGCGCGTCAATGAAGTCGGTACCTGGGAAAGCGTCACCACCGATACCAATGACTAGAGATTGACCTAGACCGGTGATGGTGGTTTGTTGCACGGCTTCGTAGGTCAAGGTACCAGACTTGGACACAATACCGATCTTACCTGGGGTGAAGATCTTGGATGGCTGAATACCGATGCGGACGCGGCCCTCTGGGGACATGATACCGGGGCAGTTGGGGCCCACAAGACGAGTCTTGGATTGGGATTTTAGCATTTCCGCAATGTATAGCATGTCGTGTTGTGGAATACCTTCGGTAATGCAAACCGCCAGAGGAATCTCAGCTTCCACGGCCTCTTGGATGGCCTTTGCAGCGATCGGAGGAGGAACGAATATTCCCGACGCAGTAGCGCCAGTTTGCTTCACAGCCTCTGCGACAGAGGCGAAGACGGGCTGGCCCAAGTGAGTTTGGCCGGCCTTTTTGGGGTTTGTCCCGCCAACGATGTTAGTTCCATATTCTTGGGACAATTTGGCGTGAAACGTGGCTTGCCTGCCTGTGAAACCTTGAATGATGACCTTGGTGTCCTTGCTTAGGCGAAGGTTGTTGATGGTCTGGTCGTAAGGTGTGGCCTCTCTGGAGAAGAACCTGCATCCGAGTCTACTGCCCGCCTTTTTGTTGAATACAGCTCTGAGCATTTTGGTTACACTTGATGAAATTTGATGGCGGAAAAGGGAAACAGCTAAAATTTGGTGAGCTTAAAAGCACTCTAGACAGTAGAAACAAGTCGATTGAGTATCTAAAAGCTGATCTGGCCGCTTTTGCAGTGTTTCGATTCAATCTACGAAAATTGTCGAGACAAAGCTCTTCCTGATAGGTTGGTTAGTGGTTTTTCAAGACAGCAGAAAAGTTTATATTTGTCATAGTGTACGTCTGTGACACCAGGCTGACCAGTGACAATGGTTTGAGCCATTTTACGTATTAGATGGACATTAGGAGAAAAGTATGGTGTGTTTGGTACATGTAGCTGTGAGCAGCTACGAATGTTTTTGAAAAGCATGCTATTTTGCCCTTGTTTTAACAATTTTGACTTTCGGGTCAATTTTTGGACCATTGTAGAAGATGAAGTCTCTCATATACATATGAACACACAACAAGAAGCATCAAACTGCTGCTCAGTGATAAAATTCTACAGTCTGACTTACCGGCATGCGTGAGTTGACTCAAGGAAGATTGGATGGAACTAAGCTCCTCTTATCACTTTTTTCCATTCCGTCTCTCTCGCTGCCATATGAAAATAGACTCTTGATAAAGATGACAGTGACAGACAAATGGGACTCAGAAAATGGGTAAATTTTGACAGTGTAAGTTCCCAAATACATAAGATGGGTGTCGCTTTGCGTGTTTTTTGTACATTTGTAGAGCTGCTGCCCAAACAAAGCGTTTCGTTGTGATTCAAGTGCTTTTTTAACGTAAGAACAATGTTACGAAACTATTTTAACGTTTCTGACCGAGGAGTGACATTTATCACTTTTCAAAGACCGCTGCTCCTTGATCATGAAATGAAACGAGTGTCGCCCAAGAAGAGCTTAAGCTATCATGGATTATTATTTTATCACCGTCCCATTCTGCAACAAGACCCCATTCATAATTTACCTAATGAACTCCATTCATTTCACAGCTCGCAATTAAAAACAACTAATATTTTCCTGCTCACACAAAACCTCCAAAATTCGTTTCAACAATCAACAAAAAGCCTGCTTTCAGATTTTGACAAATCGAAGCTCTATATGTCTCGTTTGACCCACTGGCTTCCTCTCAAATATTCACGTCTTAAACCTGTTTTGACGATTCTCAGCTTAAACTTAAAGGCCAGCTTCGTTTTTCGTGATTTCTGATCTCAGCTACTCAAAAGTGGCGAAGGTAGACCCGCTTTAAACGGTTTATAGCGGAAACCAAACTCAGAACCGCCCATGGTAAAGAAGAAGAGAAACAGCGTGCCGTGTGAACCTTCAAAGCGGCCGTCAATAGGAAATGGCGTTGAAAACCACGGTTCAAACGGTCCTGAATTGGCCGATTTGGGTGCACAATGGGATGTGCAAGAGAAACTAATGTTGGCGCTCTTCACCACACGGCCTGGGCTTGAAATCCTAGAGTTGTACTACGAGCTTTCGTGTGGACATGTCAATTTACATCAGTATAAAAAATGGCAAAGTGCCAAACATCGGGCGGCTTCGGACGATGAGCAATACAAAAGCATGGTCAAAAAATGGACAGAGTCGTACACCTACATCTGTCTTTTGATGGATTTCCTATTGCAAAACGAACAACAAGCGTTGGATTACACCTCGTATTGTAGGGCTGCGTCCAAAATGTCGCTGCGTTTTCTGCTGGACGCAAATACAGAGCTTCTGATAGTAGATGACGATTACAACCTCATGCTAGACTTTCTGCTGCATTGCAGATCAAAAATAGAACAAACACTTAATCAGGCGAGCCTGCCGTCCCTTCTTTTCAAATTTGCCCGAACCACAAAGCGACTTTATCAACTCAGCGGGAGATTTACGTGGTATACGTTGAAAGCTCAAGAATTCAAGAAAGCTCCAGATATTGTCTGCAAGTACTTAGCCGTTCTGACAGACAAGCTGACTGCACAGCATGATCTAATACCCCAACTACAGCCGTTTTTTGACGCCATGAATTCTAATAAAATTGCACATTTCTCGAAGACGGAAACTAATGGACTGGACGTTCTCGACAACGACTCCAGCAGCGAAACAGAAGAATGGTCATCTAAGAAAGGTAGCAGTCTTCAGGACCGTGTCTACTCCTTCGACCTCAACGAAGACGGGACATTAGAGGCTCCAAATGTTTTTAGTCGAACGCGCAGAAGACACCAGATTCTGTACTACGTCCTGCGACTGCACGAGCAAAACTCGTCTCCACTTTTGAAAACGCAATTTTACACTCTTTGTGCCTTAGTTGATCCTGTCACTCAGCCAATACCGAGCGATTCTCACATTGTCTCGATTGACCTATTGTCAGACCTCTTTCTGGGCCTTCTCAGCACTGAAATCGAGACCTTGTCTCTGAACTGGCGTTTCCACATTTGTTTCAATCTCCACAAGATTGTACACGCTTCCCTATCGCGTCTCAATTGCAATGATTTCCAAAGACTCAATTCCGTCAACAACAGTGATGAGTCGGTAGATTGGAGAAGTAACCTCCATAAGTGGCTGCCGCAGGGCTTGAACACGCAGGATCTTGAGCTCGTTTACATGGTCGACATCTTGGCAATCTACCTTCTCCACAAGCTGTATCGCGATCTTCCAATTCAAATGAATCCCTTTTTGGGCCCCATGATATCACTTTGGAAAAACCTCACGTTTGTGGTTCTCCTTGGACTGGAAATCGATCGCTTTGAGGAAGAGCAAGAGACTTTCAGTACCCCAGTTATAGTTCGGGCCACCATTCGGGGGGCTTCAGCATTGAGAAGTGTCGTGGCAACAATTTTGAATGGGCATGTGGAATATAAACGCCACGATTTTAAACACGAGCCCATCAACATATTCATGTCCCCACATGGCCGAAAGCTTTGCAACGGTGCTTTATACACAGATGTACGATCGCACGCCGCTGCCATGTTAGCACTAGGGATTGAACTTGAGGACGTTACAAATCTTTTGAGTGACCTCCAGCCAGGTGATAGGTTCGACGAGGACGTCAAATACATGTTTGACTATGAATACGACAATTACAATGAGGTGGATACTGAAGAGCTCGATGAAGAGGAGCTTGAAGACGCTGAGTCTCGTGAAAGGATAAAAGAAATGAGGGCATACTATAAAAGGTGCCATTGTCAGTTTGACGATGATGAGCTCTTGCCAGATGACGCAGAATATTCCGAGTCTAATGCATCAAAGGCGAAGACATATCACGAAGCAGCTCCGGAAACTAGAGTAAAAGCCACCGCTACTAACAAACCGGTAGCACATAGATCAAAAAGAGACGGAGTTGATTTCGACTTCAAGGGACGTGATTGGAGGGACATTCCGCGTGGCCTAAACTTCTACTTCAACGAAAGGTACGAATTCATGCAGACCCTGAGCACTGATGTAGCAGCCTCCTTGATGAAGGCCGCGGGGGAAAGAAAACTAACGTTTGAAGAAGGTGAAAAGCTTCTGCGGTTAACGGCAAGTTGTGTTGCCCGAGAACAAGAACATACTGTTCTTCAGTCAGCCGCTGCAAGTCAAGAGGATCGAGTACTAAACAGTCATTACACGCTGGTCGGAGATGGTGACTTGACAACAGATTATATTTATGAACACTGGTGTGAAGATTCTCTTTTCGAGCGGACTTTGCAGCATAACGAGATTCTCGTTTGGCGACAGATGGATGAAATGCTTATGTGCAGCGGCTACCGCCGAGTGCTGGTTTGGTTCATTACTCATTTGGAGGTCAACAGATCTATGATCGAGTACATATACACCCTGATAATGGGTGAAAGAGGCGAGATAGTGGCCAGCGAGGACGACCACACCAAGAACCAAAATGAAGCGGTTTATGATAAAGTGCCATTCTCACGACAGGGCCCCTTGCAACTCTCAGAAATTGAGGTCAAAATGCTCTTGCAGGAGATCTTTACGAATTTTGCCATCTTCTTCTCCAAATATGCCCGAGAAAGTGGCGAATACTCTGACGGCGAGCAGATTAAAGAAGACGGCGATCACGGCATACCTCCAAGAATATTGGGTTTCATGAAACTGGTTTGTCTCATGGTTAAGCGCTTAATGGCCGAAAACAAGTTCGATTTAGAAGACCCCGATTACATTTTCGAGCTACAAACGTTGCTGATGAGCTGGATTTGCATTTTACCAGACGCCCGCGAGTTGTTCTTTGAGCTCAAGTCGCAGGCCGAGGAGCGAACGCGACTAAAAGAAGAAAAAGCGTCCGAACGTTCACTGTCACGGCCTTCTAATAGTACCACAGAAGCCATCGACCTCATATCACCAGAAGACAGCATTGCCTCTGACACTGAACTGGACACAGCGATGTCTGTTTACAACCAGAAACTACTGGCACTTCTTCCGCCCGTTGCAGACAAGCAAAACAGCGCCGTCACAGCTCTCCGCACTTTCATTAGCAAGCATTCGCTTACGATGAAGACTGCTGTTTTTGGTCGCCGTGTGATTTCTCAAGATGACGAGATTCTAGGGATGTACATGTCAGATAGAGAGATGGACAATCGACAATTTTTAGCGGAGTTTGGCATCGACTTTAACGATTTTGTTGATGGAGTCTACAACAACAAATTTACTACGAATGAAAGCCATAGCGAACGTTAGTCCGTGATTCGTCCGCCTATCAATAATCTTCGCGAATGTCGTCAATCGGAAAATAGGAGATAGCGGAGAAGAGCAAGCCTAGCTCTGGTCAAAAGATTTAAGCTTGCTTCATCAAAAAGCATGTGCAGACGTATATAAGTATAGGCTCGTTGATGTTTTTTTGCGTTGAAGGCTATTGACGTTCAGCTTTAGATTCATTAGTATATATATAATTATCAAGCATTTATATCGATAACTCAACCTTAACTTAAAGGTCTCGATCCTCAAGGTCGTCGAGCTATATTGATCCAACACTTAACAGAAATGAAGCTTACTCCGGCAACAACTAAAACGCTCAAGAACGGTGTCAAAATCCCAATCTTAGGCCTTGGTGTGTATAAAGCCCCTAAAGAAGAAACTGAGAGCATAGTCTACACGGCACTGAAGCAAGGGTACAGACACATCGACTCAGCACAATTTTACGGTAATGAAAGAGAAGTTGGACTGGCCATTGCCAAGTACCTCAAGGATGAACCTGGAAGCTCAAGAAACGATGTTTTCTATACGACAAAGTTAGCACCAACTAATGCTACCTATGAACAAGCCAAGAGTGCAATTTTGGAATCTTTGGAGAAAGTAAAAGAGATTGGATACATAGATCTATGCCTCATCCATTCACCTGCGCTCGAGAAAACGCAGCGATTGGACATGTGGAAAGCTCTTCAAGAGTTTTATGAAGAGGGCAGAATCAAGGCCATCGGGGTGTCGAACTACAGTGTGTTGCTGTTAAAAGAGCTTCTTGGATGGGAAGGACTGAAAGTTGAACCAAGCGTCAACCAGTTCGAGCTAAATCCCTGGCTTTTGCGCCTCGATCTTTGTGAGTTTTGCAACGAAAAGGGAATCGTTATCGAAGCATTTTCGCCATTGACAAGAGGCAAGCGTCTAGATGATCCCGAACTGCTACGTCTCATTGAAAAGTCGTACCCTGGCAAGACGACTGCCCAGATTTTGATCAGATGGTCGCTGCAAATGGGATTCATCCCTCTTCCCAAGTCAAGCAACGAGCAGAGACTATTGGCGAATTTGCAATCTTTAGATTTCGAGATCAGCGATGAAGATATGAAGCAATTGACCCATGAGAACGACTATTATGTTTCCAACCCCGCTTTTGACCCAATCAAAAAGTACTTCGACAAGTGGTAGCTAGTTCTTATACGATAGACTTGTTCATACCTTTGATTCATAGTTTTGAAGACATTTTTTCATGGCAATTGTTTTAGGTTTGATTCCTAGGACGTAGTACTGGACTTCGGTTTGTATCGATTTGTTGAGCCCGTGGATGTCGATGCAGTCCTCGAGCTCGAGCAATAATGTTTCAATTGCAAATGGTTTCTCTGGTAGATCCCCATGTAGCGGCATGTCCTTCAATTTGTTGGTATGTCGCAGCCCTAGTTCTATAGATCTCGATTTGCTATCTAGCAACTTTTCAAACACATCGACTCTTTGGTTATGATCCAGTTTCTTGTAGTAGAATAAGATCTTGGAAATGAATGCTTCCTGAGCTTTCTTGTCAAGACTGTTCTTGATTTTAAACTGCCTGAACAGCGTTTTCTGCTCTGCACGTATGTCCTTGGCCAGAGTTTCAGGCTTTATTGTGGCTTTAGAAACAATATGTGACAAGTAATGATACTTTGTGGGTTCTAGCCTGTCAGAGTCCGGCTCTGATTCCGAATCTAGTTCACTCTCATTGACGTAGTCATCGGTTGACTTGCTGTTGTTGCACTGTCGGGTGCACCATTCTTCGAAGTATTGCTCTCTGACAGAGTCCTTGCCGACTTTGTAGAATCTGGGGTCGTCCTGAAGCTTTTTGGATTGCATGTTCCAGGTCGAAAAGGGATCGAGTGAATAGAGTGGAAACATAGACGTGAATATCTCCTTGTTTTCCAAGTCTGAACTTGAGCCGCTGGAGAAGTTTTCTTTATGCAGTTCATTCTCAGTCTGTGCTTCACTCTCACTGTGCACCTCGTCCAGACTTTGCACCTCGTTGTCGCTCTCTTCCTCTGAGGTACTGTAACCAGCGACTATGTGGTCCTCTGCACTCGACTCTGAATTCGAGCTGGGAAAATCACTTTCTTGGCCCTTTTCCTCAGCAGCTTTTTCTGGCGGGTTCGTTAATGTCTCTAGATGCTTCAGAACTTCTTCGTGGACTTGGGTGTCAAATTCTCCCTTTTTCTTACCAGAACGGACCAGCCGTTTCAGTTTTTGCTCGTCCGATTGTGATAATATGTTCAAACTTTCTTCATCGCCTATTTCTTCCTGTAATGTTCCACTATCCCCAAGCTTAAAACGTCTTGAGCCGTCTTGGCATATGCTGAGCTTCGAATTATTTGCTAGATCAAGACTGCAAGCAACTTTTGTTTGTTGCAGTTTTCTCTTTTTACCGTCCAATTCCTGCTCGGCAAAATCCGATGGGCGTTCTCTTGTGGACTGTTTACTTTCGATATTATAGTAATATTTCGATCCATCTGGAGTTTTGTATTCCCTCCACAGCCGAGCCATCTCTATATCAATGAGACTGAAAAACCAGCTATTTGGGTGCTTGATAATCGTGATGGACAGTTAGAACCTCTTTGTTGACAAATTTAATCCAGTCTGGTCCAAAGTTCCCAATTCTTACTCTCGATTTTGACGGTGGTCAGAATCTGAATTATCACCAGATCCGGGTAAAACTCGAGGTGGCGAAAATATATATCATGGAGCGTATTCTTATTATCCTACACTATTCCCTTTGAAGTGAAATAAGATCGTAACGTCAAGACTTTTAACCGCACTCCTGTACTTGCATACTGGTTGATTTGACTCATAGCGTTTTTGACTTAGCCACTGTTTTTTAGTTGAGTAAAAACAGGTACTTTTAGCCTCATTCGAAGTCTTACCGTACGCACACATTAGCTGGTGAGCACTGAAGATAGTAATTAGGATATCTTCAACGCTCAATTGACTACTTTTAATACAATCAGCAACTGAAAGATGGGTTCCAGACGATACGATTCGAGAACAACGATTTTCTCGCCCGAGGGCAGACTATATCAGGTAGAATACGCCTTGGAGTCAATATCGCATGCCGGTACTGCCATCGGAGTCATGGCTAAAGACGGAATTGCATTAGCAGCTGAAAGAAAGGTAACGAGTAAACTGCTGGAGCAAAGCACCTCCACAGAAAAGCTCTACAAATTGAACGACAACATCACCGTGGCAGTAGCAGGGTTGACAGCTGATGCTGAAATCTTGATCAACACGGCCAGAGTACATGCACAAAACTACCTAAAAACTTACAACGAGGAAATCCCGGTGGAGATCCTGGTGAGGCGTTTGAGCGACGTGAAGCAAGGTTACACTCAGCACGGTGGTCTAAGACCCTTCGGTGCATCCTTCATATACGCAGGGTACGACGATAGATACGGCTACCAGCTGTACACGTCCAATCCATCGGGAAACTACTCGGGCTGGAAAGCCATCAGTGTGGGTGCTAACACGTCTGCTGCCCAAACCCTGCTGCAGATGGACTACAAAGATGACATCACCATGGAGGCGGCAATGGAGCTGGCCTTGAAGACGCTGTCAAAGACCACTGACTCCAGCACATTGACTGCAGAGAGAGTAGAATTTGCTACAATAACCCGCACGGACGCTGGCAAGATTGTTCAGAAGATCTTCAGACCCCAAGAAATTGAGACACTTCTAAACAAGACCGGCGCTACGAAAAAGGAAGAGGAAGATTGAAGATGCAATAAAACTACAACGCAGTCTACAGATCCCTCCCGTATCGAGTGGCACTCACTCTACTGTCTACCACACTGGCGTCTCTCCTCCGTTTCTAGTGATACAGACACCCAATTTTCACACATGTAAACTAAATAGTCTCCCCCCATACACATCGCTTGTCGGCTAAAGCCTGTTGAGTTCACGTTGAAGAAAAGACCGTAGCTACTCGTCCAGGAGCTAGTAGCTGGTTGGCAACTCAATTTCACGTATGAAGTATGTTTCTGCGTTTATAGATGCCACTTTTCTCTCACGAAACAGACACTAACGACAACCTAAACTGATAGGTCCTTTATCACATCCGGTGACATTCCAATTGGATATGTGACTCCCAAATTTCCGTCGCTGTTTTGGCCCATAAACAACAAAAAATACACCCTGTCCTACCTGTACTATATCACCGATATTTGGAAATACACCGTCTATTGGACTTTGATCCTGTTTATGGCGTTTTACGTCGCAGCAGGACTATGGGCAAGCTTTTCGCATAGAAAAACCGCTGGAGGTCTTTGGATCATGATAGTCTACATCCTTGCCGGTGGATTTCAAGCGCTTGCTGCGGGAACGGTGTCTGGACTAATGTATGTGCTGCAACTGAATCTTTACAGAATATTAAAAACCCAGATTTAATCTACAAGTACTAACCACCAATTGAAACCGCATTTTACAGGCTTGCAGTTACTTATAAAGCCGGACTGTTCGCAATGTCTACATGGATTCCATTGTGCTTCTCTGTGGTGCTAATCCTGTTCCACATCAGCACTACCTACTCCATGGCGGGTGTTATTATATAAACGCCCAGGACCCAAGACCTGATGACGTCAGCCAAACTTCATCCGGTCACGTGCTGAATGATGAGATCCTGTTGGAGATTGAATTCCGGAGTAGGCTGAATGAACTGAACAAACTAAACGATTCCTCAACACATCAAGGTTCGGTGAAAACTGGTCTTAGTCAACGCTTCAGTGATTTTTTACAAGATCAGTTCGATTGTGATAAACGCTTATTAACGATAGAGCTGTTACTTGAGCTTTTTCAGACCTTTTTAGAGCTTCAATTCCCACAACAATAAACTCCTTCAGTGTTCCTCGAAAATGTCAGCTTCGTCGATAAACCGTTCTTTGACCACCGTCAAGACTGAGCTGGAGTTTCTACTAGAGTCTGACGTGATCTCGCAGGAGACTTTTCAAAACATCGTGAGTGCATTGCCCGAACGTTACAACCCCGAACCACGCCGGAATGCTCCTGCCATGCCGCAAAATGAGTTTGTGGAGGCCATCTACGCTTTCCAAGCGCAACAAGATGGCGATCTGGAGCTAAGTGTCGGCGACAAAATCGAAGTGCTAGAAAAACCTTCTCCAGAATGGTACAAGGGCAAGTGCAACGGGCGTATCGGTATGTTCCCTTCCAATTACGTCAAACCTGCATTTTCGGGCTCAAGCACCACAGAAGCTGAGCGCACCACCTTGCCTCCTCCACCTCAGTACCAGTCGCAACAGATAATTCAGCCACAGCAGACTAATACCAGCATGCAATCTGGCTACTCGCAGCCCCAGTTCCCTCCACCATCCACCAACTACTACCAAAACCCACCTCAACAACATTATCAGAATCCACAGCAGCAAGCCTACTACCAGAGCCCTGCACCTCAGCTGGCACCTGCGCAAGAGGCACAGCAACACCATGCTGGTGGCCAAGCTTTTAAAAAATTTGGTAGCAAACTAGGAAACGCTGCCATCTTTGGTGCTGGTGCCACCATTGGTTCAGATATCGTTAACAGCATTTTCTAGGGATTTGGGCAACTAAACATGATTATGCTTCGAATATTCTCAATACATTAGTAAGTTAGTATATACTCATAACAGGAGCTCAAATTAAGTCAGGAATCTACCATATACGTGATATATCCTGTTCATCACATTCAAACGAGCCGCATGGCCCAAGTTTGTATCCACAAGCTCTCCAACGTCTCTGATCCACTCGCTTCTCCGATTTTTTGGAATCAGACGGTCACCGCATTGGCGAGCAGAAACCACCTCCAGAGCCAGCAAACCGGTATTTAAATCTTTGTCCGTGACGTTGACATCGTGGTGGTTGTAGTTTAAAAGTCTTTCGATATTGTTCAAGCTGGAAGAAAGCTTGTACTTGAGCTGCGCCGCGTTCGACCAAAGACGCCCCAATCTAGTTAGTCTGTAGGCACAAGTCCAGAGGACGTACAATATCAGTACAGCTGGGGACATGGCAACGACCCCAAACACTAGCTGCTGAGATTGTAGCAGCTGATCGATCCCACTCAACGCCAAGGAGCCATCTACCTTCGTTTTCTGCAATTGGATCAAAAGGGAACGAACCAATTTCCCGGTCATGATGTTCTTGATAGGGTGGTGTAGCTGATGCTCGTAGATCTGCATGAACTCTGTCAAATTACCAGTTTCAACCTGGGCAGCTAGGTTGGTAGTGTCCACGGGCTGATCTGAGTTCTCCGCCACTAGTTGGACAACCATCCTGGTCAATGAACTGAATTCGGAGTCCAAGGAGCCCTTAGAGGCAATCGCAAGAGTTGAATTCTTCTCATCATGACGAACCGTGCTCCAAACTTGTTGAAGTGGTACCCATATCCAATTTTGGACCAAACCGGCGCAGAAATCCACAATATTTTCCTGGCAGAATTGTACAATCTTATAGCGAGACTGCCATATGGCAATAGCGGACCCAGGTCCGTATGTCAACACAGCAAAAATCGAGGGCCAGTAGCGAGTCCAACACCCAGGCTTTTCGACGTATTTCATGGGACTTGGGACTGTCATTTTGGAAACTAGGTCCAGAAGAACTTTTTCGGCTCCATTTGGAGAGCTTTCGCGTGCGTTATGGTCAAAAAAAGAAGCCAAAAGTCTGGTCCGCTCTTCGAAATCGTGGGTATTGGGAAATTGACCCAACAAGCTGCCGAGTTTCCTAGTGGTGCCATCAAAAAGCTCCTCCGCAGCGACGCGATTTGCGTCCACTTCTTGGCGAACGGCGGCCAAGGGAAGGGCGAAAATTGAACGTGCCACCTTCTTGGCATCGTTAGGAAGCCCCACCAGCTGGAAGTTCTGGATCATGACCATACGGTCTGCCTTTCGCAGGAGGTAGTCGTACCATCCATGGCCCAGCGCTTTTAGGTCACGTGCCAGATGAGCTCTGCTGATATATTTCTTATCGTTCTGTACGGATCTGCGCAGGATCCGAACAAGTCTATTGGGCAAAACCTGTAAAGCGTAGAGCAAGGACCATCGCGTCGCGTCGTGGACGTCTCCGTAATATATCGCTGTATCTGAAACGAGCGGCAGCTCTTTTAGCGATTTTTGGACCACGCTGTAGTACAAGCACACGGACACGTACTGATCGATGGCTGAGCGTACTGAATTTTCAACATCGCCCGAAACCGCGACGAAATCGCGGAGCACATCTTCCTCCTGTTGTTGTAGCTTGTGAAGCACGTTTTCCAATACTGGAAAGCTCACACGATGCTGCCGTTTGCCTTGGGTCAACCCAGCTTTCAATAGTGTCACCTCATTTTGTACGAGCCACAGCTGATCTTGAAGTTTCTTTAAGTAGGCCCTGTTTGATGGCTGAGACTGGCGTTGGTGCGTTAAGGAAGATTGCCGAAGAGCAATCTCTAGCGTTTTATCGATTTCCTCGAACGCTCCCAGAACGTATTGATCTATGATCATATTATGTTGAGATGTAGATGTTCACTTCCTTAGTTCTTGGTGCTAAGGGCCCAGTATTCATTCTATCATTAAAAATGGTGTTTCTCAAGCAAATAAAGGCCTAAAAATGGTCACGTGATGTATCAACGGACAAGCTTTGTATTGCACTGACGCGGGACGTGTTGATGGAACGACTGGTTGTTGGGTATGATGAGACTTTGGGAGCTCACCTAGATATGTTGAAGAATCTCTTATTGGTGTTTGAACATATTTCAAAGTTTGATTTTGGTGTTAGAAAACTCGAACTCGAAATAATGGCTTTCTGCAGGTTTCGGGACTTTGTCGTGGCTCAGAGGAGGAGTAATTCAAGCACTTGTCAATATTGGAGAAGCTGGCTCCCGCGAAAGATGAGATTTCAGAATTTTAACCCTTCGGGAAATTTCAGATGCCAAAAATGCACATCAGCGATAGCGTCCAAGAAGCAGGGGATAATAATCTCAATTACGTTCCTGAAATAAACTGTGACATTATGCAATTTCTAGTATGTTGATCATCGCGACGACGAATTTGTCGCTTTCACTTCGTGAAACGCACACTCGCGTGCCTATAAAAAGTCTTGGCGAAGTTAACGCTGACGTAAGCAGACCAAGCCTTCTAATGGGTGCCAAGCCTGGCGCTGGAAGAACAGAATAACATATAATACTGGGGAAAAAGTGCTCGAAGGGCAAACTTCAATCAGTTTACCGCGAGCACTCGCATTAATTACTAGCTAGTCAATTATTTCTTTAATTTCAGATCATAGAGTTGGATGTGAGTGGCCCAGGACAACGTTTCGCGGTCATGACCTGCAGCTTCGAGAATTAAGTCATTATTCGAAAACCTGCAGGAATGTGCAAGTCAGTAGAATAGCAATTAGGATTTGTGGGATGTTTGGTTTTATGGGGCTGGCTGCGTTGATTTGGGCTGAAACTGTGACATTCCTGGATGCACCATGGTGGTAACCGGGGTAGCCAGCGTAGCCTGGGTATCCGCCGTAGCCAGCGTATCCACCATAACCAGCGTATCCAGTATTTCCAGCGTGAGCGGCGATATTGCTTCCGCTTCTTGCGCCGCTTCCGCTGTTTCCACGAGTGCCACTGCTTCCACTGCTTCCAGAGCTACCGCTACTGCTGCCACTACTTTCACTGCTACCACCGCTTTTTCCACCGCTGCTGCCGCTGCTGCCACTACTTCCACTGCTTCCACTGCTTCCACTGGAGTGTCCACTGCTACCACTGGAGTGTCCACTGCTTCCACTGGAGTGTCCACTGCTACCACTGGAGTGTCCACTGCTTCCACTGGAGTGTCCTCCACTGCCTCTCCTATTGGTGATACCCTCCAAAACGCATTCTGGAGACAATGCAATTACAACGGAGCCGTCTGGTCTCGTAACGTTGCAAACCAAACTGGCATTGGAGTGCAGCGTGGCCACCGCTAAAGAGCCATTATACCGTGCTCCATGCAACTGAGCGATACTGCTTGGTGCTATCAAAGTTCCATTCGAAAGCTCATCGGAAAATCTTGACATAGACAAATTATTGAACAATGTGTGATCGAGTAGATCTGGTTTGCGATGCTAACTAGACTTGCCTACCGACAAAAATCTATCACTTGGCTGCTAATATATCTTATATCGCAGCTGTGCCTTGCTTCTTTGCAGTATTTTGAACTATCTCATTGCAGCTCATTGACGTAGGCTAAGTTATGTTTTTCCTGCAAGGCACAGGGCTGATAAAGTAGGTCTTGGAGGCTCATAAGATAGTAGCCGGCGATTCCGGACTCGAACAAGCGCATGAGCTGAGTAGCTTAGAACTGTAGAAGTGTCTAGTTCGGTGAAGTTGCGATTCGAATAAGGCGCAGTAGGTTGTCTTGGTTGGACTTCAATGATTTTTTGATCATCGCCGTGACTTCTGGGCGCATGCAATGGCTTGAGTCTTCAGCAGAACCTCGGAGTTTCTAGCAATCTAGATGCTCTAGATGCTGGGCGGTATATAATCGGGAGACGAAGGAGCTGAACGCTGGTCTGAGGTCTTATGATGGTGGCTTTAAGGTTGCACCCGATGGGCCAAGGCTTGGACAAGTTGTATGAAGGGTAAATTTTGGCGAGGCTAGTATGCTTTGCTTTGGAGTTCTTACTTGAAATCCTCGTTGTAGTGTGCGTGACACCCTTTGAATTTGGAATAGGAAAACAGGCGAAGTAAGAGACTTGGCTGCTAGGGAATGAGACAAAGTGAAATTTGGGGATTTGCATGGTGTGCGTGAGGTAGTGGAATGAAGTGATACTTGGTGACTTCCAAGGTCTGCGGGGATGGAGGTGTGTCAGCTTTGAGATTCAAAATCAGAGAATTATTACAATTCGCGGCTTGGGATGGTGTGGGGCGTTCTTTTCAGTGCCCTGCTATTACCATTGTTCGTGGTGGGGACGTTACATTCTGCATTTGGTTCGTAGCCGTCACGATCGGCTAGATCAGGCATGGATACACCGAGTGATATTTGCTCAACTGTTTATGGGCGGTTGTGCATTTTTTTGTTAATTCACCGCTAGACTCTACTAATCAAATGCTTGAAAATTCAAGGTCGAGTCTTTCGTGAGAACACGCTAGGTGCCGATTTGAATATCTATGTTTGAGAACGCTTTAATCGTACAAACACCTTCTCGAGCCTTCGTACTATTAGTGAGACCTTTCGTGTGGACGTGAAAACTATGAAAGCGAGCCATCAATTCGCTCTTGTCTTGCAACCTCAAGAAGATGGCATAAGCTTGCTCTAAAATATGGTGTAAGGAAGTGTAATAACCTTCTGACGCCCACCCTGCGACGTGAGCGGCCAAGACTCGCTCAGAATCTGCGAAATCAGGGAACTTCTTTGTTCGAAGGGTAAACAGAGGGCCCACCTTACTCCATATATTTTGACTGTCACACCTTTCAAACTTTCTAATACTGGTACAAACGGCGAATCGGGAAATAGCTGGGTATTTACTTCAAATGAAAGGACAGCATATCATCGATTTATGCCCATAGAGAAAATGTAAGGAGCCCCGAGCCCCGAGTCGCTAGAATCTCACATTTACGTTAGACTCGACTTTCTGTCGCTCTTCTTCGTCTCTAAACCAGGGCTTACACTACCCACGCGAAACTCCGAAAAATCTGATTACGTAAGCGTTCTTGCCATAAAGACCTATACTAAACGATTGTCAGATAGCGATCCATACTGGTTGTACACTAATCAATCCTCATATGTCTTGTCGCATATAGTAGCGTATGCATCAGGCGTCTTTTTTTAACTCGATCCGGAATTTTTCCTCTGACAGAACCGTGGTGTTCCATCGTTGTCCTCTGGCATACCCTTTGGTGTGTCTTCGAGAATTGAATTACAAGCATCCCACCACTTGTAAGTTGAAATCCTATAGGTTGTACTCACGGATTCCGTGGACTTCGTGAGAATGTGACCAAAGTCATCTGCACAGCAAGCAAGGGCGCCATACCACCTACCTGTGAATTTTGCAAGTTCCTAACCAAACCCTCGTCATGGAAAAGCATTCCTGACGTACGGCATTCGTCGCGTTAGCTTTAACATATATAGTGCCGGCAGAGTCGATCCTAAAAATCTGGAAGCTAGTCTCTGCCTTCCCCACTGTTTAATCAGAGCGCTTTTCAGCTAGGAGTGATGGTTCTCCTGTTGTGCAGTTGTTCATTCAATCAAGGCGCTGGAGTTATAAGTCAAAATTGACAGTAACAAAAATATCGTGTCAAGACTTGAATGCGACAGAGATCTTATAGTTATTTTGATCACTTTGAACCAAAAATTCGCTTCTCTCGATTCGTTCACTTCGGAACCTACCTGACACTTTATTTCGAGGTGAACTAAACTGACCGTATATCACAATGAGATTGTTTGTAACCTTCAATCACGCCTTGGTCTGTCATCAGGTTGCGCGTCTTCTCATGATTGGCTTTTGCAGACTCGCTGTATGTGGAAGATCCGACAGTTTGCGTTCGGAAGCCGTGCGCGCCGAAGTGAATTACCATGCGTTTGTCCACAGAGGGACAACTCAAAAAGTTGTTGGTGTCGCTCGCAGTGCATAAAGTCCACCCACTGCCTTAACAGAGAAACGCCCGCATTTGCAGCTTATGATTTCTACCATGAGCAGTTCAGTCTTCAGCAACGTAAGCATAGAGAAAGTGGTGTGGAAAGTACATAGTTTGGCGTCCAGTGGTTGCTTTATAGTCAGAGAAGCAAATAATTTGCGTGCATTCCCTCCGTACAATTAATAACTTTGTCGAATGAATGTGATGCAGCTAATCCGAAATAAGCCCATCAAATGAAACCGTTTCATCGATTGACACGACATTAAAGATACCCGTACGACTGTTCGTTATCAGCAGGCCTGCCGGCTGGCTTCCAGATAACGGATGTATCTCTTAAACACAGATCAAGTTGGGGGCAGAGATGTTTGTCACATGAATCAGCGTTTCGTTCTTAAACCAAAGCTTCTATAGTAATCGGCGAGCTCAAATGAACATTTACTTGGCAAAAATGCGCAGAACTGTGACCTTGCTATCAGAAGTTTGTTGGATTATTACCACAGCCAGCAAGTGCACTGGGTCAAGTTCCAATTTAAGTAATTGAAGTTTTCTCTGCTGATACGTTGTCTCTATCCGGGTCTATTTTTTGTGATGAAACGCTGTTGATTGTCAATATTATGTCTTTCCGCGTTCAAGGGTGGTTGCTGTAGTCCCAAACCTTGACAATATAGTCTATACTTTGGATATCGTTTCGAGAAAACACCACAGTTTTTCCACCCTCTTCATCCAGCCGATCATATGCACACTAGAAGTAGCTAGCACATCCCATTTCTGTGCATTTCTGAGACCCGCTTTTAAAGTCTTTCATCTTCTGATAGATTGACCGATGAGATCGCGGCGGTATCACTGCGCCATCAATCCGTACTGGCGACTTGTAGTGTTACTTCAAGTTTTCTGCAGCTTCGAAAGTTTGTCTGAGCGCTATCACTTTTGAAAAATCAAAGTCCCAGGAAGGAACCTAACAAAGACGCGCTCCTCCATTTAGCCATAGCAATCGATAGTTCTCGTCAAAATGAGCAGGTTGTGCAGAGCAAGTGTAATTAAACCTCCCTCTGGCATCTCGCGCCAGTATTCCCAAAGCACCCGCTGGATTTCTGTTGAACTAGTAATTGTCATTGGCTGATATCGATTGACCCAGCCAAAAAAGCTCTTTGTCTCCGTAAAAGGGCTCACTAGTTTCTTTCCATAATTGCATTGTCGTGGAGATCAGTAGCCCCGACATGTGTCCCTTTCTTCTCAGCACGACCAGTCCACTTTCCATAACATGCTTGAAACCTGATTTCCAGAAATCGTTCTGATCAATCAAGTCCTGGGAACGTGAGAAATCGAAAATGACGGACTCGATTTCCATCGGTATTAGTTTCTTATAAAATTCCAAGTCGCTCGATTTTACGAACTCCTCTATTAGACGGTCTCTGAAAAAGAGTGCACCAGTCTCTGCGTATTCGGATGCACTGAAAAAAGTTTTAGGTTCCACAAATGGAACTACATCTGTATCCATTAGGATCAATTCCTCGAACGAATTGAAGAGAGTGGCTATCCACTTGTTAGAGAATCGTTTAAACTTGTCCGAAAACTCGGCTTTCAGCGCTTTCGATGCATCCACAAACCAAACCTCTTGGGAATAGCTTACCGGAAGACTGTTATCATCTAACTCGATGACGAAATCATCTCTCCCGGCGCTGACAATTCCTTGCATCGACTTATCAGATAAATCTCCTGGTGTACCAATTGAATCGGCAACTCATTACCAACCGCTCTGAGCACTCTAAGCAGTCGTTTTACATCGCTGGCACCGCCTTCCCCCACACTAACAACAATTCCTCTTCCTTCCATAATTTGTGTGATTTGCCTCCAAAAGGACCCATGCGGAGAGATTGGTACACCATGTGAAGTACTCTGAGATATACCCTTTATCAAATTTGGAAAGCCTTGGACCGAAAGACCATCCCATCGTTTGAAAGACGGAAGCTCACCTGTAAATGCTGGAAAAAGTTTCTTTTCAATCTCTTTGATCTTGAGTGCGTCGCAGGGCGCCGAGTTATGAACAAAACAATGACCAAAAACTCGCAAATGACAAATAGTCAATTAGATGGTTTCGAGAAGAACATGATGTTCTTGAATATCCCAAACCTCTGATTTCCCAGTCACTATCTACCAAGTTAAGCATGCGGAAATACTCTACACAGATTTCGTCGGTAAATAGGAGGTTTCCAAGGGGTTTATTCAATGCCGGGCAAAGAATATCTCCCATTACTATTTGCGACGGTGGACGAGAGCGCCACACACCGCTTGAAAAGACCAATATTAGGATGATTGAAATGAACAAATAAACTATTCTAAACCGTCTGCCACATCGTACATTATTTGAGCGGCAAAACATGTTCTCGTTGGATTGAAGACTTCCAGAAAAACCCCCACTATAATAAATTTCTCCTGACATGTAGGCTATAAATTCTACAAACCGAATTTCGTCAGACAGATTTTATTCATTTACGCTTAAATTCGGAGTGAAGAAGAAGTAAGGACATTCAAAGAGCATTAGGTCTTTTATACAAAGCTACATGGGTCTCTCTCGTTGCTCACCTTTTTAGTCGATCAATGATGCTCAGGGTGTTATAAAAAAATTTCCCACACGTCGTTCGGAGATTTTTGAACTCTTAATTAATAGACCTCCCTCGATGAAGCATGTCCTGGCCTATCTTGTGCGCATAACGAAGTTTCCATTGACATGAAATAGCTTCATGAGTTCAGGTGTTCATGTTGCCAGGCTCAGAATGCAAATCTTTCTTCATTCCACTGTTACAGAAATTCAAGAAAGATGCTTGCTTAGTTTCGCACATGTTATCAAAAGATGAAGTCTACAGCTTTTCTGATAGAATGCGCAGGATTCCAAGAGATGTTTCTCAGTATCTCGGCGTCTTAGCTTCATGGACGTCTTTTGCTTAGAATTGTTTTTTCTCGAGGAATCCAAGAGCCCTTATCACCGGCCTACCTGTAATGTGTGTCCACGGATACCTCCAAATTCTTGAGTCTGCTATCTCTCACACGCTGCCCGCGTATGATTTTACCGGAAAAGATTCGTTTTGTTCGACGCAGCCTACCACGTTTCTTGTGAGCGCGAGGAAACAGAATGATTCCTGTGGACTTGCCGTCGAACCCTGTCACTGGGTCAATGAAACTACTTCAAATAAGCTCTTGTGAGATTTGTTGCCAGCGAGGCTGTTGGGAAATTCTTGATTAAACGACATAAAGCACGGATAATTCGGAGGAGTGCCATCAGCTAACGATCAACGATTAGAGCCCTTAGAAGTTACGAAACGTGGGCGGAAGAGATTGCACTGTCTATGACTCGGTCTACATCTTGAACGGGAGCATTCATGATACATCGCGAATCGTAAATCAAGTCCGAATCTACCTGCAGAGTTTGCCAAATTTCCATGCAATACGTTGCCATTAGTCATTGTGACGCGCAGATGAAAGACCTTACAAGTTAAAGGCTCGTGAGCTTGTGTAGGGGAATTTGAACTGAATTCGAGAAACAGGAGGGTATAAAGTTTACGAGAAAACTGTTATCTTCTGTTAGTGTGTTGTGTTAGCCAAGGTATTATGCTTATACGAACCACGACAGTCTCGTCAAGAACATCTATAAATATTAAGTGCTGAAACGTCCCATTGCACTTTTTGTATCAATCACTGATCAAAAACCGTCCCCAAAAATAAACTACCAATCAGACATGAAGTTTTCTCACTGCATCCTCGCTACTATCCTTGCAACTTTTGTTTCAGCAAAGACTAATGGTGTGTGTGATTGTTGATGAAAGTGTGGTTTGGCAAACGGAGAGTACGGCTGACGCTGATGCGGTCAATCTCGCAAAAAGATGCACCAGTTGTGTTGGAAACGGCGGGGTGCTGGTCAAAAAAACGGTAGACCCTTCGTCTGCCAATGTGCACAAGGCGCCGAGTTCAACTACAGCTGTTGACCAAATGACTCGAGAAGGTCCTAAGCTCAATCACCATTGTCTAAACACTGATATACGCATCGCAATCTAAGTAGGAAATATATTGATATATTGATATATTGATATATTATGAACAATCTTAGCCGGTTTGATAAATTAATTAATGCCAGTTAAGCTGTAACCGGAGTGCCGATTTCAGGAAGTCTATCCCTACACGTGACGGCCGTGCTTCGAGAGGTTGTTGACACAATGTGCTTGTGAATGCCAGGGTTCAACGACACTTTGATGAGTACACACTTCAATTAATTGAACAGACTTCTCTAACAACGACTGTGCGTGCTTGACTTGTTGGAAACAAATACAATTGAGATTAGAAAAATGTATACATGACACGGCGGTGGTGCAAGTGTGCTTACTGTTGATGGCATCTTGGGCTAGTGGTACTCTTGGCGAATATGGCCATGAATAAGAGTCGTTTCGGAGTTTTTGAAACTCATCCCACGCCATTGTTTCCTTTCTTTTCTTTTCGACCGACTGCTTCGTTTGTCGAATAATGACTAAATTATAAATTACTGTAGTTGACGTTCTATACCAGTGTGTAGCAGCGTCGTCCCACTCCAAACTGCAAGCACTCTGTGGGGTATATTATGCTCTTGTATGTTGTGTGTGTGTGTGTGTGTGTGTGTGTGTGTGTGTGTGTGTGTGTGTGTGCAGAGTGGTGGGAAGTGGCCCTTGCTCACGCTCGCTACCGCTCACGCTCTCTCCACTCTCACTTTCGCCATCCCTACTCCATGCCGCTGAACGCATAGTTCTTCTTGGACAGCTTGGCACGCAGGTCCTTGCCGTAGTAGTAAAATCCAAACGGAATCAAGATCATCGCCGTCGAGATAAACGCCAACAGCCAACTGGCCCATTGCAGACCCAGTTTGTGGTACATTTGGTCCGTGAACAGCGGGAACGCGGCCCCGCCGGCCGAACGCAAGAAAACCTTGGTTGCCAACGCGCCCGACGCGTACATCGCGTAGCAGTCGATGATGTAATTGTTGAGCGAGTAGTAGATCAGCACCATCCCGTATCCGAACGCCAGCCCAGACGACGCGGGACCCACCCAGATGATGTGCTTGTACGAGGTGGCGCCCAGAATCCACAGCGCGATCGCGGCAAAGGGCGCGCCGATCATCGCGCCTAGCAACCGGTCCTCCGGAGTCGGGTTCCGGTGCTTAGTAATCTTGAGATACTGGTTTTCACAGAAAGTGGTGGTAGCCAGGGCCACAGACGCGCCTATCAGAATCGGGATGAACATTAGCCCGATGATATTGTCTTTGTAGCCGTACAATTCGCCGAAAATGACCGGGTACGCGAAAAAAAACGCGTAAAGCAGCGAGTAGATCAGACACACGTAAAAACACATCAGATCCAAAACCGGCTCCGTAGCGGCCAAGTACAACGGACGCAACAGACACGCACTCACCATTTCGCGAACACTGAGGCCCTGGGCCTCCTGTTCGGTCATGATCTTGGGGTTCCCCGTTTCGCGACGCAGGCGCGCGGCACGCCACTTCAAAATCACAGGCGCGTACGTCTCGGGAATAAGCGCCACGATCAGCCACATAACTCCGGCAAACGCCATGTTGACCCAGAAGATCAGATCCATGCGTTCGGTCGAGACCGAGATAAACCCGTTGACCAGCGGGCCGAACACTGGCCCGCAGTAGGGCGCGTACGCGAAAAATGCAATAGCGCGGCCACGTGTCTCGGGCGGAAACATGTCCGCGATAGAGCCGCCCACCAGGCACAGGCCGGACGACGCCCACACACCACACAGAAAACGGCACGCCAGCAAACACCCGATATTGGGCGCGAGCGCACAGGGGATGTTGAAGATGACATACAGGCCCAGGGACGTGAAGTAGGCGACACGGCGGCCGTACAGGTCTGAGACGGGGGACCAGATCAACGGACCCAGCGAGAACCCGATCACCATGAGCGAACAGGTCAGAATCGACACCTCGAGCGAGACGTGGTATTTGTCGCTGACGGTGCCCAGACCGCCTGTGATGCACGCCGACCCGTACGCGACGGAGATCACCAGCACAGACATCACAATGGTGTAGGACCAACGCAGCCATAGCGGCCAGTTGTGTGGGTTTTCCGGGTCGTTGGTCACAAACGTGACAAACTCGATATCTGGGTCGTACTCGGGCATGGACGTGGGCAACGCCGCGTCGAGTCCGTCGGGTCCGTCGGCATCGGCATCGGCATCGCCGCCAGAGGGCTTGCGTTCGTCGGAGCCGGAGCCGGACTCGGCTGAGTCCGTTGCCGCCGCCGCGGCGGCGGCAAACGACTGTCGTCTGGTACGGCTGCGCGTAGCCGCCAACGTCCCGGACTGGGTGCGTCCCAGCGACTGCAGCGTTGCCACGGGGACCAGACCCGTGGCGGTTTCCATGGTGTATTCCTCGGGGAAAATCGCTTTGCCCGTGCCCACGGTCGTAGGCGCGTTCACGTCTGGGATCGGCGCCACGGGCGACACGCCCAGTTCCTGCAGGGAGCGCACGGTTTCCGTGGGGACCAGACGCAGGCGCGCAGCTGACGAGGTTTCGGATCCGGTCTCGGAGCCGGCGCGGCCGCGCGGAGCGCCCGCCCTCGCGGCCGAGGTCGTCGTCGTCGTGGACGGCACGTACGTGTGGGGCACTTGGCCCATCGAATCTCGCGAGTTGTAGGAGTTGATGGATTCTTGTTCAGAGTCGTCCATGAGGGTGGAAAGTCTTGTGTGTGTGTGAGTTAAAAGCACGTTTTGCAGCCTTCTTGTTCCGTAGCCTTCTTGTTCTTCAACCTCCCCTTTCCTCTCATCTGGGATCAGCCGCCGCTGCCTTGCTATACTTATATTAGGGCCCATCGCAGTTGCCCAATGAACAGCAATGAACAGCCCGGGAAAAAGCCGCAATTTCTGGGAGGGTAAGCGAAAACGCGCGGAAACGACGCGGTGTCTGGGTGCAGGTGCTGAAATTGCGCGCATACACCCAGACACCGGGGGCAGGGGCGGGCAGGGATGAGAGCCACCACGGGTGCAATGTGTGTGGTATGCTGCCCGACGCCCTCTATTGTTGTTGGGTGATAAAACTTGTCCTGTGATACTACTACAGTAATAAAAGTCGTTCTCTAATAGTGCTTGGGGCTCCTACTACGCTCGGTCCTCGTCAGGGTCCCGGCTGTTTACGGGAAGGGAAGCTGCGATATTTATTTTTTGGTCGCGTTCCTGTTTCGGGACGTGGCACACTAAATGCGCGTTTTTTGGAAGACCTCAGAAATGGGCGCACAAAAAAATGAAGTCGGGTCCATGTCATAGTGTACGGAGACGTTGTTGTTGGGTAAAAGACTCGAGTCCCCGACCATCGTAACCACTGTGACCAGAGCACATCAGAGCAGAGCAGGCCTCAGAAGTTTGAGAAACCTCATCTTGCGCTAGACTTGTCGAGAATATTGTGTTGGGTTGCACTAGGCTGTGCTGGGCTGTGCTGGGCTCGTTGGGTTGAGATACGCAATTTTCAGGTAGAGAAAGGACCCTTTTTGCGACCCTACGTAGATCTCTTTGGGTGGCCGGGTGCCTGCGCTTCGAGATGGGTTTGTAAGACGAGCTTATTAGGATTCAGGGCCTAGAAACGTGTGTAGAAGCGAGGAAAATCCTTGCGAGGCGTGGAAAACTCCGGATTACGTAGAGTGCTCGAAGAACTCGTAATACAGTTGAACAACTGAGAGCGTAATGGGAGCCACAAGCACTCTTGAACAATTGAGAGCGTCAGCGATCAATCGGAACAAGTAGAGATTTTGGACTAGAGAGCTCGAAGCAGTTTTAGGCAATTGAGAGCGTAAAGCGATAGGTAGAGATCCGGGTGCCGGGTGCACAATTGAACAATTGTGTTTCACCGATCGGCTGTGAGGAGGTAACGAACTCGTAGAACCACTCAACAATTGAGAGCGTAACCGATTGATTGTGAAAAAGTAGAAGCGCTATATGCACTACGCGTCAGCGATCTATCGTGAATATTCACAGGCTTCAAATCTACTGAACAATCGAGAGTGTTGGCGATCGTTTTATTGAGCACGAGTACGTGTATCAAAACAAGCGTTAGTAATTAATTATGAACTACGGATACTGGCTACAAGCACTATCAACAATTGAGGGCGTACGCGATCGTAAGTAGGCCATGAGCTATTGGGAGCGTCACCGCTCAATTGCGAATAACTCTGATAGCTAAATAACAGTTGAACTATCGATCGCTGACGCTCTCGCTTGTGAATAAGCTAGAGAAGTAGCACTACTGAGCAACCAAGTGCGTCAGTGGTCAATTACGCATAATCAATCTCAAGCACAATCCACCAATTGATCTGGCGCCCTCAACAGTAAACGCGCTTAACGGTGAAAAAGCTATCACTAAAGAGTCGAGAGCGTCAGCAAGCGATTGTGAAAAAGTTAAGAGCTTTTAGTGCTTTTGAGCAATAAGAGCACAAGCTATCAGTTGTGATAGAAAGAGGGTCCGTCGTTTTACGGGCGCCAGCGATCAGTTGTGAATAAGCGGAGAATTCTTAGTAGTAAACAGTTGAGAGCATTCGCGATTGATTGTGAACAAATAGATAGCACGTTATACTGTTAAATCAGTATAGGTTTCGAAATATCGTCGAATAAATGAGAGTGACAGCTATCAATCGTGAGTAATAAGAGAACTAGCTTATAGTATCATGAACAGTTGAGAGCGCCAGCAATCTATTGAGAATGAAAAGAGAGCTCGAATGAATAAAGGACTTGAATTTATTAACGAACAATTAAGCGTCAGCAATCCATTGTGAATAGCTATGATAGCTTTTAGGACAATTTGACAATCGAGAGCATCAGCGATCAGTGGTGAAAAATTACGATAGCTTTGAGCGCAACTGGACAATTGCGAGCGGCAACTCGGTACTTTTAGTATTTTAAGACAACTGACGGTTTCAGAGAAAGGTACTGCCATCCTAGGACCAAACTCCTAGGGGTCTTGGTATTCGGCAAAATCTCACCCCGGACTCGCCAGAATTTCTGTCTCGGCGTCAAATACCACTTGTGCTCCCTATATCCCTCAATTCGCTTTAAAACTAGTACAGCCCCATCAGAAAAATCCCATAACCATCACACCCGAAGTACGACAGCCAGTGCAACCTCTACCAGCGCTATCGCCATCCCGTCCGCCAGGGTCTTCGACCGACCATTTCAAGGACGGCTATCAGCGGTGAACCCTGTCGATTGAAAACTAGCTCCTTTGCCCATTTACACAACTACAAAGGTATGACAGGACAATCCTCTCGCATCCAAAAATGGTTTTGAACACGAATTGATATCTGGCTCGTCAGACATCAGCATGGTTCTGCTATCAGTTGACCGGGCGTTCACGACTTGACTACTCATGCAGTCGCCTTCCTGCCTTTAGGATTCACAAAAACTCGAAAATATCTGCTATTCTCGTAATCGTCGACCCACACCACACAGCTTACAGAGGAGATAATGGTGACCAATTTGAGAAATAGAGGCTTACAAACTTTGATGCTGACTCGTCTTACTGCATTGGACGCCAAAATATTAATTTGCGGCAGACGTTTGAACCTTGCCGCAAGTATTGTTGGTAACTCTGCTGTGACAAAATGCTTTCCAGGATGCTAGATGACTTAATGTCATAAATGATGACGGAGGAATTTTTACCTATGTGACAACTTGGTCTTTCGCAGGCTACCGCATCGGACTATATCAAAGGATTTATTTATGAGTGGGGACACGGAATATCAAGTTTCCGGTGCTCACGTCTCATTAGCGGTAATAAATGATCCGTGGATTCAAGATTCACAGTATGGATCGGGCCGTTACAGTCTCGCTACGCCGAGTTCCACATGGTGGTTCCTGAAAGCATTTTCTAGAAAAAGGAAGACCCAAAAGGCCACTAGAATTCGATGTACACCACTCCTGTGGTATTTGCTCTTTTTTTGAAGTGCACTGAGCTTCGGAATGCGTTAACGTGTACATTGCGCGACGTTTGATTGAGCTTCGGCAATTAAAGCATGTCACAAACAGGCAAACGAATTGGCCTCGATACGGATAGAATCACGATAGGGCACTTTTCGAAGGCTATGCAAAGCCCAAAAGTATGGTGCTATAATTCGGACATACTCGGCTGTCTCCATTGCCGTCTGGTCTACCTGGGCTAGCCGTCAAAGGTTTCCAAATTCTGACGTCTGGTCATTGCTGCGAGGCAATTACCCAAGACTGTTTTGTATGAACATCAAGGTTTATGGAAAGATTGACACCTGTGAGGGATGAATAAGCGTATGGCGCTGCATTTTACTAAGTTTCCGCAATCAAACCTTGATCGCTTCCTAACAGTCTCTGGAAACAATCACTTCGTGTTGGCCGACAATATCTGATCCAGTATACCACGTTCAACGAGGAGCTACTCAGACGCAGATCTTACCTTACTTGACGCTATCACTTTGTGCTATTCTTTCAAGTCTCACGATTATGGGCCCGTTAAGCACAAATTAAAGTCTCACAACAAGAACTCATCCAAAGTCCTGTCGAAAGTCCTCTATAAACGCTAAATCTTGGGCTATCAAGCGTTTGGCGAGCCCAACTCGAAGTATTCACTGCTCGTCCATTCCGATTTTTCCGTACAAAGGTACCTGGTCATCTTAATTTCTTTAACGCGCCTTTTCTCTTCATTTCGTGTTTCTTGTCTCTCACAACCGCCAGCCAGATTTCCAATCCCATGGATCCGGAACTGCAGATCAAGGCCCTGGTCGATACCTTGGCTCCAAGAACTGCACACCAATACAAGCTCTACCACACGAAGTACCTCCAATGGTGTCGAGATAATCGCCTAGTCCGTTCGCCTGTGGCAGATCATCCTTACAAAGATGTCATCGTTACCGCGACCCTCGTGCATTGGTTTATACTCTCGAAATTTGTATGTGCCAAAGACTCGCAGCTGACGGTATCTGTGCTGCGTAAAATGATCAGTGCCTTCAAGTTTCTACATCGTGTGTGCAAGGCATACGAACCGGAGTATCCGTACGATCTGGATTATGAATACCTCGAAGGAGTGGCTCGTTTACATGTTAGTGCCTGTGCTGAGAAATCTCCAATATCGCCTCTCGACATTGTGTCATCCAACATGTGGAGTCCACACGGGAAACGCTTCTCAGAGAAGTATTTCAAGGGCGGCATTGAGAAGCTGAGGTTTTTGGCTGATTTCCACATCCAGCAATACTGGCACCTCAATTTCGCTGATCGATCTCGGCTTACGCTAGGGGACCTTCTGGCTCCACAAGAATCTCAAATACTTTTGGTAGATCGAGTTTCAGAAGACTCGCCCTCAACAATACAAAGACTTGCCCTTCTCCGGCAAAACACGCCTTGGAAATGTCCACTCACTACTTTAGCGGCGTACTTTTTTTTGCGCTTTTATGGAGTTTCGAAGTATTACCGAGGAGATGGGTTTCCGGACCTTTTGGAAAGTGACAACTGGCGTTTCCTCCCAATCATTCGAGGAAAGTTTATTGATAAATATCCACGCGAGGAAACAATGGCCAATTACTACGCAGATGTTTTCAGGACATGCCATCTATCTTACAAAAGACGGGAGTATTTTTACAACAAAACGGCCGATAATTGCCAGTACCCTCGAGTACGACGCAGCGAATTCGAAGATTTGCAAGACTTGGGGAACGGCAAGCAAAATACCTTTTTCCCTGAGAATATTGGAATTGATTTCTTGAGGCACATGAATGGAGTTCCCGTTTACGAGCCTGCTGGTCCAGTCGATGATCACTCGATATCTGCTATACCGCAATCATTGCTAGTTCAAGTTTTCCCAGAGGTGGAATCATACAAAAGAGCTGCTGGCAAACTGAGCGACGATAGCAAACGGTTTCTGAAGGTACTAGAACTGCTGCGAGATTGTCTCGTTGCAGCTTTACCCCTCATTAACCACTTTTACCCAGAGCACGACCTTTTGAGAGACTCTGTCTTTCAAAGTACAGAATTTCAAAGCTTTTGTCGACAAAAGATCGAAGAATTGCGTGCTAAGGATGAGCTACAACAATATGAACCTGAGTCATTCGACCTAAACAACACTGTTCAAGCTTCTAATCCGGTAGAGATACAAACAATAGCATCCAAGCCCTCTGCGGAGCTCACGCAGCAAGAAGCAGAATCTGAGAGTCTTCACACTTTCCTTCGTGACCAGACTTTCCGTATGGTTCAGTACCAAACTGCAACAAATTTCCATTTACTTTTGCAATCCTTAAGTCGCGTCTTTGAAAAGCTGGAGACCAAAAAGAGTACCCGAGAGTACATCCTATATCAATTGGGATCACTGGAACAATCCTTGCAAGAGCGCATCACGCAGAGCTCGCCCGATGATGTCAAACAAGAAGCTGACTCGAGTGCTGATACTTTGGCGCCGTCCAAGCCCCCAGATGCCTCCCAACAACCTGCGCTGTACGATAGCGACGCGGAGGATGATGAAGACTACAAGGAGGACGGTTTTGAAGGAGACCCTAACAATGATGACGGCAATACAAACCTGCAAAGTGAGCTTCAAACTTTAGTGTCACAGGTTATGGATGTAAAGTTCAAAGACGCAATAGAAAAGCAAACTTACGAGATTGAGTCGCGAGTTCAACAGCTCGTAGCCGCTCAGGTCAAAGAGGAAGTTCGCAAGCAATTGGCGCATTTGATGAATCGGGACTCGCCTTCGCTTACCCCACAGCCAACAGCGACGACGATACTTGCCCCAAAACGGGCCCGAGATGATGAAGAAGAACAGTTGGAGCAATCACGGGAGGCGCAATTTGCTCTATCGTCAAGCCTTGACAGCATAGAAGACGTTGTGCTGGAGTGGTTTACGCCTAATCCAGAAATGGGGAACGAATGTGTGCATACAATGAACCGTAAATTTGGCAAGACTTGGAGGACAGCATCCACAGAAACTTCAGATCTCTACAGACAACGCAAGCTGATTGTTGAATTCTACATATGTCTGGTAAACCAGCGAAAGATGGACAGATACAAGGCTGTCGCTGTCTGTGAGAACTTGAGAGGCAGCGAAACGCTCGAAGCTTTCGGCAATAAGCTCAGGCAGTGGAAAAAGCTTCACAACAATAATTTCGACGGCCTGGGGTAGACACCTCAGGCTCTCAAATCTCACAACTTCGGTATTGTTCGAGTAATCATGGGTAAATAACAAAGGCACGTGATCTTTGATTACAGTACTCGGTAGCTCAGTGAGGGAAATACAAAGAAGTAATCCAATGCTCATCTCTTGGGAAAGATGCACCGACAAGCGAGCTAAGCAGTACATGGTTAACTATTACACAGCTCGAAACCTTCGAAGGATATGATACCGTTTATTGTCCTTTTCTTTTTGCTACGAAGCGCTTTTGCAGTGTTCGTCCCTTGGCTCGATAATGACCCTTTTACCGTGAATGACGTGCAAACCTACAAAATGGGGTTTGGTCTTCCACCAGTGCTACCTCCTGACGCCATCACCGATGAAACGAGAAGTTTACCGTACGAAGGATACATACCCGACTATGTCATAGACAGCAGTCCTTTGGTTCATCTCTACAGCGAGGAGCTGTATTATCCAGCTGACATCTCTGATTTTATCAAGCACTTTAATATTCGGACCAACAATAACTCGATCTTGAAAGAAGCCCCGTTAGGACTTCACGATTTAGCGTCCATGATACCAGCTTCAGCGGAAAAAAACGATTCTGTCTTGAGCGAGGATACGTTTTTAACCGCGCTGGATGACTTTGATAAAGACCCGCGCTGGCTGTTAGGCCACAAACCAGATTACGGCTCTGGCCATATCAAAGACGCACCTGCAGTGCTAATCGTGGTAGACAAAGGCAATGGCTGGGTAGACGCGTATTGGTTTTACTTCTATTCTTTCAACTTGGGCGCATTTATTATGGGCTACGGACCCTGGGGCAATCATGTTGGCGATTGGGAGCACTCTCTGGTGCGTTTCTACGAGGGAAAACCGCAGTACCTTTGGATGAGCGCTCATGGGGGTGGAGGCTGCTACCAATATGACGCCATCGAAAAGAAAACGCATGTGCGCTACGGCGACACAGAGCCCACGTCAAAAATATTAGAAAGGCCACTCATTTTCAGCGCCCGGGGCACTCACGCCAATTATGCCTCTGTCGGCCAGCACGCTCACGACGTGCCGTTTTTTTTTAGTGCCCTGAGCGACTTTACCGATCGTGGTCCGCTTTGGGATCCTTCGCTTAACTATTTGGCTTACACTTATAACGGCACGGTCGCTACACCTGCGACAGACCGTGAAAGAGCGCTGGGCAGCGAATGGCTTGATTACTTAGGGCATTGGGGCGATAAACAACTAGCCAGAAAGGACCCACGGCAGAAATGGTGTCCTGTGCAATGGCGTTACATCGATGGACCCAGGGGGCCCTTGAGCAAAAACCTAGATCGAACCGGTCTTTGCCAGCGAAGCAAATGGTGGAATTTCTGGGGTGGGTGTCCTGCGAGAAGGAGTATCAAGCGGGGACAAGGACTGGATGCTGAACACAACGACCTTGTTGGCGACAATTGTGGAATTTTACTTTACAGAATCCGGCCCAAATGGTTAAGGTCTCTGGTAAGACTGGTTATGTGGCGCGGAGTGACCTGTTTTATGATGGATTACTTTACAGGGTAAGAACTCGACTTTAGGTTCGGGGTTTTTGATGACGGATTAGCAATTTGAGCTTTTAGTGAATACCAAGGCACAAAAAGCTGTAGATAAAGTAGACTGACAACCTCAGGATACGATGGAGCAGCAAGATCACAAGACGGCGCTGTTTTAGTCGCATTGTTCTCGTCTCAGCGGCCCTGCTTCCTCAAAGGCTCGGCTTCATCACAAGACGTGCTAAGTTCGCTCTCTAGTGGGCCACTTCGCGTGGCGAGTGGCACTGTTATTATTGACTCCTACGAGGTTAGCCGCCCAGGTGCTGGGGATGGCAAGAAGTCGTGGAATATTCTAGAAGGTTCTAAGATTTTTCGAGAGGTTTACTAGATGACGTAATCAATGACAGAATATTCGAGATGTCCGCGGACTATGCCAGAACAATGACAAATGGCTGGAGAAGAGTCTCATAGACAGGGAAGATCCAAGGTTCACGCAGGTATAAAATGAGGAGTATTCTGTTTCCCAATCGAAGTTATAGTCGTCCATGTTCAACAACCAGCTTAATATCGAATTTACCCAAGCAATCAACCGTTGAATTATAACAAAGAATAATGTTCTCTTTTACTGAATCCCCTTGCATTTATGATCGCCGGCCAGCACTAGATGCGTTCGCGCCATTTGGAATGGTCCCCGGATCTAAAAGAAGAAGAGTGAACCACCAACCATTACATGCTACGAATCTCCGTCCTGTTCAAAGTTCACTGAAATGTGACGTTGTGGAGAAAGACGATGAATATGTGCTATCTGTTTACAAACGCCTCGACGAAGACGTGCTAGGAAACGCAATTTACCGTCATTTGCAGAAGTTAAGGGAAGAACGCGCCCCATCGTACCATGTTGTACGCGATTTCTTCGGTAACGAATACTATGTGGAAGACCGTTGTGATGAGGATGTGTTCATGAGAGAGGCTATGGCTACTCTGGACCTCCCATCCATCCAACACCAGGTGGCCAAACAGTGTTTCAAAGATTACGAGATCACTTTAAGACACAGGGGTGACGAGCTTGTGGTGGTGAGTCGCAGAGACAATTTTTACAAGGAATTTGCGCTGGGCGTAGAGTTCGAGGACGTGTGCGTCAACGGTTTTGAAATGGTGAGTGACACTATTGCTGCTCTCAGAGTGGGCATCAAGAAGCCTGCTCTTAGAACTGTGCTGCCCATAAATTTGAGAATCGTGGGGGGCAATGCCGAGAGAAACACACCTGTGATCGCTGCTGGAGAAGCCGATCTTTCAGGATGTTTCGAGAAACAAGAACAGGTGATTCAGAGAGCTCAGGAGCTAGCTCGCAGAAAGCAGAAAATTCATGAAGCCAAGGAGCTTGCTCGCAGAGAGCAGGCGATGCAAGAAGCCCAGGAGCTCGTACGCAGAGAGAAAGCAATTCAAGAGGCTCTGAGCAAACATCAAGCTAAACAAAAAGCCGAAGAAGAAGCAACGCGTCTGAAAGCTGAAGAAGAAGCGGCCAAAGAAGAAGCTTCAAATCGGACTGCTCAGCGCAATAGAAAGAAGGTCATTGCCGAAAAGAAGGCATTTTTGCTAGAACAAAAGCGGAAGCGCCGTGAGGAGCAAGAGGACAAGAACGCCTGTGTTGCAGCCTCCAGAACCCAAACTCCGTCGCCCCAGTCTTCACCCGTTGTGATCAACATCAACATCGACACCCACGCACGCAACCGCGATCCTGACCACGCTCAGTCTCATTCTCCGGTATTGGAGGACATTGACGACGAGGAAGTTCAGCGGTACCATCGGTCCCTATACGACAGTCCAAGAGGCTCATCAATAATCGACAACGTCTAAGTAAAAAGATAAATAATACACTAATGATTGATGTTACGAAAACTTGAAATATCCCTTCTCTTATCAACACGCATATGGACCATTTGTCATACACAGGTTAACCGATATACTTCTTCATCACGGCTAAGTTCACCCTTCCTATAATCCCCTCAACAACTCTTCTTCTTCCATCAGATATGGGCGTGTGGCGTAGTTGGTAGCGCGCTCCCTTAGCATGGGAGAGGTCATCGGTTCGACTCCGGTCTCGTCCAAAATTCCCCGAGACTTTATTAGTTTTATTTTCCAAACCTAATCCAATTTTTTGTCCACTTTACTTTGCGCAATAGCTCTAGACTTCTTTTCAACAGTTGCTGTAGCAGTCGGATTCGCATTCAACGAACGTTCTAAGCCATGCAGAAGTCGGATTTTCTGACTTGTCTCGCAAGGCAGCGCCTGTAAGGAAAGATGACTTTAGTAATCGTAAACTAGAACTGTACAAAGTTATAGTCAAGTTTGTTTAGCTTAAAACAGGGTGGATGATAAACACTTTGCTCACCCATGAGCAATTGCGACCGCACTAAATCCAAAACGTCAGTAGAACGTCAGTATCAGCAACGTGTGCGGAGCGAGCGCGGAAATGTCCGCAGATGGTGGTTCTCCCGGGTCAGAAAATTATTAGGGCAAAAGCAGTAAGAGACTCGAATCCAGAAAGTACTTAAAGCGTGCGTTGTGGAGGACCACATGTTAAGGAAATGGTAGTCGTGGAAGACCAGGTCAAATTGGATCCCACACACACACACAGATACTCCGGTTTTTTCGGACAAAGTGTGAGCCAGTGCTAAAGGAGAAGCACAACGCAGACGACACCGGCCAGTGAGGAATCAAACCCGCTAGGACACCAAGCTGCTAGTAAGTGTGGTTTGTCTGTCTCTCTGTGTCATTGCAAAGACCTTAGAATATACACGTGTATATCACGTGCTCGGACTGCAGGGTTTTTTTAAATCAATTTCATCAACACTGCTTAGCGAGCAAGCTTATAATCATAATCATAAGCCTAGGTCTTAATCAGTTTCTCACTCGATCGAAAAGACAGAGAACTCTCGACCATCAGCACTCATTAGAGTTTTTGGAGCCTATCAACGCCGCCTCGAGTCGCGCGTTCTTTTTTTGGCCTTCTCATCTTGTGGCTCACACTAGACACCACCACATCAGCTTTTCGAATCACGCTACTGCTCCTCCCCAGCATTATAATATGCCCACGATAGAATCCAAGTCTACCAGCCGTGACGCCACTTCCACGTTCCAGGACTCGCTGTACCATCATGCCAGAGCCTTGAGCCATGTCTCGGTGCACTACGGCTCCCACAACAATGAAGTGCAGCAGCTTTTAGAAGCGTTGGCACTCGTCGCGCGCAACGGCCGCAAACTCGTGTTTCTCGGTACTGGCAAGTCGTTCAAAGTCGTGCACAAGTCCGTTGCAATGCTCACGTCGCTCGGAATCGACGCCCGCGCTCTGCACCCGAGCGAAGCGCTCCATGGCGACATGGGCACCGTGCGTCCTGGCGACGCGCTTGTGCTGTGTTCCAGCAGTGGCGAGACCCAGGAACTGGTGGTGTTTTTGAAGCACGCCCAGATGGTGCTGGAACCGTCGTTGACAATGCTGGTTACCTCCAGCACGCGGTCCTCGCTGCACGGACTCGTGGACAAAGTCTTGTACGTCCCACAGCCGCAGAAATTCCACGAGACAACATTGCAGCACGGGCTGCCCTCTCCGACAATCTCGACCACGCTAATGCTGTCGGTGTTGGACTGTTTCTGTTTGGCGCTTTCAGAGCTATATTTCGACGGCGATCGCGACCTAAGGCTCCATTTCTTCAGAAAGATGCACCCCGGTGGGGGCATCGGCAAACGGCTGTCTGTAGATTCGGTGCCCGTCCCAAAAAGCAGCACCAGCAGCACCAGCAGCACCAGCAGCACCAGCGATGAGTGTCACATATCACGTGACATCTCAGAGGGTCTATTCTTGCAGTACATTGTGGAATTCGACTACTGCGTGATCAACGGGGTGCGCTACAGCTCGCATTTGCTGCAGGACCGGTACCGGGCCTGGAAGCATTTGTCGCGCGGGCACACTGAGCCCAAGACCGCATTGAACGGGAACTGGAATTTGGAATGGGTGCTGGCACCGCAGGCTACGGTTCAGACCAGTGTTTAGAGAGCAGGGTGTGCTCGACGACGTACTTGGATCGATTTTTAGAAATTTTATGTAAATAGTTAACGCATCTTTTGGTATACGGGTTTTTTCTAAAAGTAAGAGATGGTGGTCTAAACATGTAATGGCGATGAGAAAATGGAAACCATCAGGCTCACAGTTGACTTGGAGAGTAAATAAATAGAGAATTGGGTGAAAAATGTTACTGGGAGAAGGAAAATAGGAAACCAGAGAGCAGGTGATAATAAGATGCGAAGGTTGTTTGCCACTTATCGAAAGGGAAATCTACTCCATATGCTCTGGCAGAAATGAGTTTGGAAAACTCATATCACTATACACGTTGGTGTCATTCATTTGAGTATAAACCGGACAGAAAACCCTCCTTATAAAGTGAGACACGAACCTGAGACGTGTACGAGTGCCCAGGAATACCGCTTCACTTACAACATACATGTGTGTACTCTGCCTGTGCCTCTGCCTTTGCACTCTCCGCCTGCCCCTGCCCTCTTAACACCCTGTTCTCACTCCTTAACCATCAAATAGGTACTCTGGCCGAGTGGTTTAAGGCGCCAGGTCGAGGTCCTGGTCTCTTCGGAGGCGTGAGTTCGAATCTCGCGGGTATCATTATTTTTTGACATTTTTCTAATTTTTATTTTTTTTCATTTAATTTTCTTTTCGCGTCGCGTCGCGGATCGTCGCATGACTGACCTACGTCGTCTCTTCACGGTCTATTTTAATCCCAATTTACTCTCTTCTCACTCGCGTTGTCCTAGTACACAGGATGAGCCTACATTCTCTGAGCAGCGACAAAATCCATATTAATGGGGCCCGCCCGAAAAAATCGCTTCTATGGACAGGAGAACCTAGTTAGAGTCCACTTCTTTTCTCAGCTCTGTTGTACGTTACGTCACCAGCGAGCTGAAGAGCCTTGCACCCTGAAAGCAAGCGAGAAAAAAAGGCCAGCGGTTACAGAAGGAAGAAATACACCAGTTTAACAACAGTTTAACGGTCTGGTAAATCGATTACGAATACGAAATTTGAGACTATTCACAGCTTCTGTCGTCGAGAAATTCGGTTTGCAATTCCCACTCATCTCGCAAAAAAAGCCCTTTCGTTTTAGCTTATTTAAGCGTAGTAAGCTCTGTACTCGTCGCCTGTACTCGTTTTTGAATCACGTGTCACCAACATATTTGTAGTCACTAACCACGAAAGAGAAACTTTTTTCCCTTGCCGACATATTTGTCACCTCCAACGAAGGGCTTTGCCCGGTTGAAATCATTAAATTTCTAAATTCCTGTTCTTCCCAAGCAAAACTGCGAAACTCTGTCCAACCCAACCTGAGCCAAACCGAACCCAAAACCAGCTTTGAAAACTCGCACCTACGCACTCCCGACTCACACGCTCGCTAAAACATACACTCACACCCTCACCACCGACTTCTGCGTTCTGCCGTGTTTTTTGATCCACGATACGCGCACATACACATACACACACAGACATACATTCACGTAACATTAGCGGTTGTTGTGCCAAAGAGAAAACCACGCACACAGATAAAAAAGCGGCCCGTTTGATCCTAGTACCGAACGTCCCTTGCACTACCGCGGAAACAACGTCTAGCTAGCTCTTTTTCGCTCGTCGCGGCCCCACACAAGCCAAAAAAAATGTCGGTGCGCAACCTCACGGAGAATCAGCTCTCAGGCAGCTCACGCTCCAACTCCAGCGATATCCTCGCACAACGGCCGTCGTCGTCCCCCCCCGTCCAGCCAGCCCACAACCCGTTCTCTGACGACGCCGAGGAGGACACATATGGCTCGTACAGCGGCAGCGAATCCTCGCTGATCCACCACAATAACAACAACAACAACGGCAACGGTAACAACGTCCCAGGCGTCTCGAAACCTGTGGTAGCAGCAGCGGCTGCTGCTGCAGGAGCTGACGGCCGTGACGCAGCCGACTACAGGGGCTATTACTCCAGAGGAGCTGCTGGCTCGCGCCAGCAGCCTTCCAGATCTGCCGCTGGCGTCCCGGGTATAACCAGTAGTCGTGCTAACGCTGCTCCTGCAGCGTTGCCCTCCAGTACGAGCCTGAGCTCACATTTGGGCATCTCGAACAACGACATCACCGCTCCACCCGGTTTCGACCGCTACCCTGTCGTGGGTGGTTCTCGCGTGTCATCCATGGCCCCAGTCCCCGAAGCTGCTGGTCATCATCCACACCCAACGGGTCCAAGCGACCACACTTCATCCGCATCTGTCACGTCTTCCGACCCTTTTATAAGCGATCAGGACTTTTCGCCTTTTGGTGGCTATCCAGCGTCGTCTTTCCCACTTCTTCTCGAGGAAAAAGAAGACGACGATTATCTGCACAATCCCGATCCCGAAGAAGAAGCAAGGCTCGATAAAAACCGGTTCGTGATTGATTTCAAACACATGGATAAACGTTCTGCCGGTGGCTACATCAGTTTTCTACTACTATTTCTGGGTGCCATTGCCGTGTTTATCATTTTGCCAGTTCTAACATTCACCGGTGCCACGACCCATGGCTCTCCACAAACCATTAGCTTCCTCTCGCTTTACGAGTACCCACAGCTGTCGGCAATCCGCCAGTCACTTGTGGACCCTGACACTCCAGATGACGCTAAGTATTTCACCGCAAAAGACGGTTCTCAGTGGCCTTTGGTTTTCTCAGACGAGTTTAATGCAGAAGGCAGGACTTTCTACGATGGCGACGATCAATTCTGGACTGCAGTTGATATTCACTACGATGCTACTCACGATTTGGAATGGTACTCTCCAGATGCGGTCCAAACTGCAAACGGTACTCTCCAGCTCACTTTGGACGCCTACAAGAATCATGGCCTATACTACAGATCTGGTATGGTTCAAAGTTGGAACAAAATGTGCTTTACGCAAGGTTACATCGAAGCCTCCGCCAATTTGCCCAACTACGGTCGTGTCATGGGATTGTGGCCCGGTATGTGGACTATGGGTAACCTAGCAAGACCTGGTTACTTGGCGTCTACCGAGGGGCTATGGCCTTACTCGTATTCCTCGTGCGATGCGGGTATCACTCCAAACCAAAGTTCCCCCGATGGGATTTCCATGTTACCTGGTCAAAGACTCTCGGTTTGCACATGCGATAAAGAAGACCACCCCAATCAAGGTACCGGCAGAGGCGCTCCTGAAATTGATATCATCGAAGCCGAAACCGACACTACAATCGGTGTAGGTCTGGCTTCTCAGTCTCTTCAAATCGCCCCATTCGATATTTGGTACATTCCAGATTATGATTTCGTGGAGATTTACAATACTTCCGTCACTGTGATGAACACTTACTGTGGAGGTCCTTTCCAGCAAGCCGTGTCTGCGGTGTCTACTTTGAATACGACGTGGTACGAATTTGGCCCCGACGCTGGTTATTATCAATCCTATGGTTTCGAGCTGATAAATGACGAGGAAAACGGGTATCTCAGGTGGTTTGTTGGCGACAAACCAACTTACACAATCTACTCTAAGGCGTTGCATCCAAATGGTAATATTGACTGGAGGTTGCTAAGTAAAGAACCCATGTCCGTTATTTTGAACTTGGGTCTCTCTACCAATTGGGCTTACATCGATTTCAACTCCATTTTCTTTCCGGTAACGATGAGTATTGACTACGTTCGCATATACCAACCTAGCGATGCCATCAATATCAACTGTGACCCTGATGACTATCCCACATATGATTACATTCAAGATCATTTGAATGCTTACACAAATCCTAACTTGACCACTTGGGAAGCAGCTGGATACACATTCCCAAAGAATATTCTGACGGGAAATTGTAAGAGTTCAAAGTTTTCGCTCTCTGAGTAATAGAGAAGGCGAACGAAACCATTTATTTGCATAACAAGGGAGGGCAGAAATTCATAAAAATGAAGAAAAAGGGACACGAAGCAAGATGGAAACTATTATCGTTGTTTTCGACTTCAAATCACAAAGGAAGAGTAGTGAGGCACTGGTTGGTTGCCGCTATTCAAAGGATGTGGCGTCAATGGATTTTGTCCAAGATATACGACGCGTTTTTATTATGACATCCGTAGAGTTATGTGATTGACATCAACTCAAATTATATTTTCGTAACATATCATACCATGTATGGGTATAGACATCTGTACTAATAGGCATTATAAAATTGTCAGTTAAATTGAAATCCTGGATGCGAAGCTTATAAAGCACACCGAGCAACAGATCTTGGAGGTGATTACATTGGCACTTTTGTAGTACTTCCCATAACGTTCTATTCAAGAAGCAAGCATTTTCGCGAGCGAGTGCAGAATTGAACAGTGATCAATTACTGTAGAAACAGGAGGCACTTAGACGGGGAAGTTTCGCTGTTGCACTTTATGAAGGGCGAGTTAAACAATGGAAAAAAATGACTCCGATACGGGGAGTCGAACCCCGGTCTCCACGGTGAAAGCGTGATGTGATAGCCGTTACACTATATCGGATTTTATGAAAGACTAGGTTGCGGCTAGACATCCCATTGAAGTTTGACAACCGCGTGTCTTCTGTATGTGAGCATCTCAACTTTGATGGCGATTGACCGCTGTGTAAGTCTCGAGCTTGATCTAAGCCAGAGATTCTGTCATTTATTTATCATTGACGATTTATTTAATCTATATTAATAAATCAGTCATTTCTGCCCGTCGCTAGGATGAAGCTGAAGTGGACCAGAAAAGACTACGAAATAAAATAATAATCAATATGTGGACCCTGCATAACGAAATCTGGGCATAATTAAGGAAAAACGCTGGTTCGAAACGTTTTTCAAAATTCTTTTTGAAATACAGATAACAGAAAGTGTCATTAATTTTAAAAGGATCCACTCACTGGGCATCTTATCCGATTTTAAAGGAAAAAATGATGTCTTGGTAATCCTGTATCACCACGGATTAGGTTGCCCCTAAAATTTGCTCATATCTCTTCAAGCTATTATCACAACCTGTTATAAGTTGCCATGCAAAATGTTCAATACAAACAACTAAAGAGAAGTCCAGATATCAATACGATAGTCGTCCAATGTTTCAGGAATGTAATTGGGTCGCCATTGTGGTGCGTAAGCTCATTAAGTGGATGAAGAAAATAACGGCTTACTTTCTTCATGATCTTGTCTCTTCTATATAAAGCAACCGTTTCACCTACCTGTACAACAAAAGCGCAAGTGGTTTAGTGGTAAAATCCAACGTTGCCATCGTTGGGCCCCCGGTTCGATTCCGGGCTTGCGCAATTTTTTCACTCATCATCACCGAGATGAAAAATATCAACTTTTTGATGTACTCGAAGCAGCGGCAGGCTGGCAAGAGAGGTTCGACCAAACTCAAATACTTGTTTTTGTCCATCTCATCGATCTAACGCGTACTCAACACTTGAAGCGGTGCATAAACCTCATTACCAAAAATGTCTTCATCACCAGGGAGTCAGACGAATTTCCCCAGCTCTACATTCGACGACAACGATAACGATGCTCGCGATTTGCCAGACAGCCATGACGGACTAAATATTCCCTCGTCTGTACCACCAGCACATCGGTCTTCACCGCCACCGTCATCGATGGGAGGACTGTATGGGGACGATACGGGTCCCAGTGGTCAGTCTGGTGCTACCCCATTGTTTCCAAGCTCCTCAATGGGCACTGCCAATCGGAATTCGCAGCCAAATCAAATGTACAGTAGTGAGAGCTTTGCAAGAGAGCGAAATGATAATGAGGGCGATTTTGAAGACGACGATTTGCCTCTGGACGGTGTGAGGAGGCGAAATTTGAATACTATAAGGAAAGTCGACGATGTTACAGGTGAAAAAGTACGCGAAGCGTTTGAACATTTCTTGGAAGACTTCACTTTTGAGTCCTCCGAAGACGATGACCAGAACCAGGGTCCAGTCAGGGCATATCGGTCTCAAATTCAGTTTATGAAGATCTACGATCTCAGTACCATCTATATCGACTACCAGCATCTCTCCACTCGAGAAAATGGAGTTTTGGCCGCGGCCATTGCAGAACAGTATTACCGTTTCATGCCCTTCCTTCAAAAGGGCCTGAAAAGGGTCATCCGTAAATACGCCCCAGACCTTCTGTTGACGTCCGATTCGGTGGTAGGGTCTCAAAACACTGAAAATCTAAACACACAAACTTCTGCAGGCTTCGACTCTTTGCCCCAAGATAGCCAGTCTACAGGTGCAACAGGCAACAGAACCGGAAACTCTAGCTCCGGACTTGCCACGGGTGGATCCACTACCAGCTCGCCAGAACAGGCCGAGCGCGTGTTTCAAATTAGCTTTTTCAACTTACCAACAGTACATCGGATCCGTGACGTGAGAGCCGAGAAAATCGGCTCTTTGATGACGATCTCTGGAACAGTAACTAGAACGTCAGAAGTTCGCCCTGAGCTTTTCAAGGCTAGTTTCACCTGTGAGATGTGTCGTGCAGTGGTTGACAATGTCGAACAGGTTTTCAAATATACCGAGCCTACTTATTGTCCAAATCCTTCTTGCGAGAATCAGGCGTTTTGGACTCTCACAATCGGGAGGTCGAAGTTTCTAGATTGGCAGAAAGTTAGAATTCAAGAGAATGCTAACGAAATTCCCACAGGCTCTATGCCGCGGACAATAGATGTGGTACTGCGAGGAGACTGTGTTGAGAGAGCCAAGCCAGGTGATAGATGCAAATTTACTGGTACCGAAATTGTGGTCCCTGACATCACTCAATTGGGGCTGCCTGGCGTTAAACCCAGCGGGTCCGCGGATAACAGAGGCATGGCAAGAAGCTCGGAGGGCCTTAACACAGGTGTCAGTGGATTGAAAACCTTAGGTGTTCGCGATTTGACATATAAAATCAGTTTTTTAGCCTGCCATGTCATATCCACAGGACAGAACAGCGGCCCAGGATCAAACAACCACGAAGAAAATTCAGACTTGCTCAACATGCAGAGTATTAATGTCGATAATGATGGAGAAAGAGACCAGGAAGTATTTTTGAACAGTTTGAATTCCCAGGAGATCAATGAACTTAAGGAAATGGTTAAAGACGAGCAAATCTACGATAAACTGGTGCGATCAATTGCACCTGCGGTGTTCGGTCATACAACCGTTAAGAAGGGTATCCTGTTGCAAATGCTGGGCGGGGTTCATAAGACCACCGTGGAAGGAATCAATTTAAGAGGTGACATCAACATTTGCATTGTGGGAGATCCATCGACATCCAAGTCTCAATTTTTGAAGTACGTGTGTGGATTTGCTCCAAGAGCTGTGTATACATCTGGTAAAGCCTCGTCTGCAGCGGGTCTGACCGCGGCAGTGGTGAAGGACGAAGAAGCCGGAGACTTCACCATCGAGGCAGGTGCTCTTATGCTGGCAGACAATGGTATCTGCGCCATTGACGAGTTTGATAAAATGGACATTTCCGATCAGGTTGCTATTCATGAAGCTATGGAGCAACAGACTATATCGATCGCTAAAGCGGGTATCCATGCCACGTTAAATGCGCGGACGTCAATTTTGGCCGCAGCGAACCCGGTGGGAGGGCGTTACAACCGGAAGTTAACACTGAGGGGAAATCTTAACATGACGGCACCTATTATGTCGCGGTTCGACCTTTTTTTCGTGGTGCTGGACGACTGCAACGAGAAGATCGACACTGAACTTGCCGCGCACATCGTGGACCTCCACATGAAGCGAGACGACGCCATCGATCCTCCGTTCACCCCAGATCAGCTGAGACGGTACATCAAGTACGCCAGGACTTTCAAGCCAATCCTAAATCAGGAAGCCCGCGCGTACCTGGTGAACAAATACAAAGAATTGCGGAAGGACGATGCGCAGGGCTTCAGCAAGTCGAGCTACAGGATCACTGTGAGACAGCTGGAGAGTATGATCAGACTGTCGGAGGCTATTGCTAGGGCCAACTGTGTGGACGAGATCACGCCCAACTTCGTGGCCGAGGCCTTCGAGTTGTTGCGACAAAGTATCATCCGCGTGGACGTGGAGGATGTCGATGTCACTGGAGAGTCCGACGACGAAAACGAAGTCGCTGCTCAGAGGGACTCTTATGAGAGTCCCGAGAGTCGTCCTGAAGGCCCCTCCGAAAACCGTGACGAAAACCGTCCTGAAAACCGTCCTGGCGCGCGCGATACCGCGTCCAGAGACAAAGTCACTATTTCCTACGACAAATACGCGGCCATGATCAATCTGATAGTCCAGAAAGTCGCCCAAGAGGACCGCGACGGCGGTGCAGAGCTCACCGCCGCCGATATCGTTGATTGGTACCTACTCCAGCGTGAAGCAGAACTCAACAGCGAGGCAGAATACTGGCAAGAGCGCAAGCTGGCCTTCAAGGTCGTCAAGAGACTCGTAAAGGACAAGATTCTCATGCAAGTGCATGGAAACATGCAAGCGTTGGCTGAGCACGAGTCGGCTCATCCTACATCCGAAAAGATTGTCTACGTTATCCATCCAAACTGTGCTGTTCTCGACAACATTGTGGGTTCGTCTAACGAACAACAGCGGTAAAGACCGGGGCCGTCACCACTGTCGCTCGGCTCGAGGTCTTGGCGTTCCAACTGCGAACTAGCTAGTCGTCACCTGGGCTGTACTCGACTGAACGGACTCGTACTCATGATCTACAACCGGTTAACCGGTTCACCCCGGTGATGTTCCCGAACAAGGGGCAAAACTACTTACAGGTAAGGGACATAGGCCTCCGCAAGAGGTTGCGAGCTCGATGCCGTCGGCAACTCCCTAAGAGTATAAAAGGCAGACCCTTTTTCCCAAAAGACCTTCGAGATCCTTCCCTGTTTCTGTTTCAAGGTCTACCAAGATCACCAAGAAAACCGACTTCAAGGTTGGTGATTGTGGAATCGCAAGTGCTGTCATTGTTGTGAGTGTTGTAGCACGGTCAAGTTGATTAGAATTGGTTTTTTCAGCTTTCTAAGGTGAATTCGTTATGTTCAACGCAAGAAGACCTAGCCTGAGTAAAACTCTCTCGAGCGACCTCATCAGTGAGGATCCAAACGCTCCACACGTTCCACGGTTAACAAGAAGGCTGACAGGGTTTTTGCCACAGGAAATCAAGGCGATCGAGACCAAAATTCCGGTACAATCTCGAGAATTGTGGAATAAGCACAAGGTTCGGAAGTTTGGCACCGCAGAGGAGTTCGAGGAAAAGTTCATCTCGCATGTGGAATGGACGTTGGCCCGCTCTCTTTACAACTGCGATGACCTTGCTGCTTACCAGGCAACGTCGCAGTCGGTACGCGACAATTTGGTCATTGATTGGAACAAAACGCAGCAACGACAAACCGCGAGAGACGGCAAAAAAGTGTACTACTTGTCGCTGGAGTTTTTGATGGGAAGAGCGCTCGACAACGCCCTCATCAACATGCGCACGGATACGTCGTCGCAGGACGTGGGGCCAACAGACGAGACTTTGACCAAGGGCAACACGGCTCGCGAAATGATCCGGAACGCCATGAAGGATCTGGGCTTCAAGCTCGAAGACGTCTTGGAGCAGGAGCCCGACGCAGCCCTCGGAAACGGCGGATTGGGCCGTTTAGCAGCCTGTTTCGTCGATTCTTTGGCAACTGGCAATTATCCAGCCTGGGGTTACGGTCTGCGCTACCAGTACGGTATATTTGCGCAGAAAATCATCGACGGGTACCAGGTTGAGACTCCAGACTACTGGCTCAACTTCAGTAACCCGTGGGAGATCGAGCGCTCTGAGATTCAAGTGCCCATCAACTTTTACGGCTACGTCCATCGTCCCGAAAGCGAGAAGACCACCACGTCGCCTTCTGACTGGATCGGAGGGGAGAGAGTACTCGCAATGGCTCACGACATGCCTATCCCAGGTTTCAAGACCCCCACTGTCAATAATTTGAGACTTTGGAGCGCCAAGCCCACAACAGAGTTTGACTTTTCCAAGTTCAACAATGGTGACTACAAGAACTCGGTCGAGCAACAACAACGTGCCGAGTCTATCACTGCTGTCTTGTACCCCAACGACAATTTTGACCAAGGAAAAGAGCTGCGTTTGAAACAACAGTACTTTTGGTGCGCTGCGTCCCTGCACGACATCGTAAGAAGATTCAAGAAGAATAAAAGACCGTGGTCGGAGTTTCCAGACGCAATTGCCATTCAATTGAACGACACCCATCCCACACTGGCCATCGTTGAGCTACAAAGGGTTTTGGTGGACTTGGAGAAGCTCGACTGGCACAAGGCTTGGGATATTGTGACCAAGACCTTTGCGTATACAAACCACACTGTCATGCAAGAGGCCTTGGAGAAATGGCCTGTTGGTCTCTTGGGCCACCTGTTGCCAAGACACTTGGAAATCATCTACGATATCAATTGGTTCTTCCTGCAATCTGTGGAAAAGAAGTTTCCTCACGATATGGATCTCTTGTCGCGTGTTTCTGTGATTGAAGAGGGTTCACAAGAAAGATACGTTCGCATGGCTTTCCTGGCTATTATTGGTTCCCACAAAGTCAACGGTGTTGCTGAACTACACTCTGACTTGATCAAAAGTACTATCTTCCAAGACTTCGTCAAGGTATATGGTGCCAATAAATTCACGAACGTCACGAACGGTATTACTCCCAGAAGATGGTTGAAACAAGCCAATCCGAAACTGGCAGAGTTGATCAGCGAAACCATCAATGATCCAAACGACGATTATTTGCTTGATATGTCCAAGCTGACCGAGCTCGCAAAGTACGCTGAAGACGAAGCTTTTCAGAAGAAGTGGAATGACGTCAAGCAATTCAATAAGTCGAGACTGGCAGACTTGATCAAACGCTTGAACAACGGTGTCGACATCATTGACAGGGACCATATCAGAAACACTCTTTTCGACATCCAAGTGAAGCGCATTCACGAGTACAAACGGCAGCAACTGAACATATTTGGAGTGATTAACCGTTATCTGTGTATGAAGGAGATGTTACAATCTGGCTCTTCAATTGATGAAGTTGCAGAAAGGTACCCTCGCAAGGTGTCGATTTTCGGAGGTAAAAGTGCTCCCGGTTACTACATGGCCAAGTTGATTATCAAACTGGTGAACTCAGTCGCCGAGGTGGTAAACAACGACGCCGAGATCTGCGACTTGCTCAAGGTGTTTTTCATTCCTGATTACAACGTTTCCAAGGCCGAGATTATCACGCCTGCAAGTGATTTGAGTGAACACATCTCCACTGCCGGCACTGAGGCTTCCGGTACATCCAATATGAAATTTGTCATGAACGGAGGTCTTATTATTGGTACAGTCGATGGTGCGAATGTAGAAATTACTCGCGAGATTGGCGAGGACAACATCTTCTTGTTCGGAAATCTGAGCGAAAACGTCGAAGAGCTACGTTACAATCACCAATTCCAGAACACAAGTCTTCCCGAAGCGCTGGTCAAGGTGTTGAATGCCGTGGAAAGTGGTGCTTTTTCACCTCAAAATGCTTCGGAATTCAGACCTTTGATAGACAGCATCAAACATCAAGGCGATTACTACCTGGTGAGCGATGATTTCGACTCTTACGTTGCTACACAGGATTTAGTGGACCAAGTCTACCACAAGGACAAGAAAGAATGGCTCAAGAAAAGCATTTTGAGCGTGGCCAACGTCGGCTTTTTCAGCAGTGACAGATGCATTGAGGAATACGCAGAGACGATTTGGAATGCTGAACCAGTCAAGCCAGAGTAGTGGAGAGACAGTTTGACAGCAATTAGACAATACCAATGGATGTTTAAACATAAAATAAGACAGATATAGTATAGCACACAACCACAGACAACAAGACTCTGATTCTCGTCAAAGCACGGCGTCCCCGTGCCGTTAGACCTGATCGATGACTTGAAATGTGTCATCTAAGAATGGCAAAACTTTCTCACCACGAGTGTTGCTGCATTTTCTTGCAGGAAGCGTGAGCACCCCCTCTAATTGATGACGAGTACCGGTGCCTCTTGTTGCTTCAAGGCATCAAAGTTCAACTAACATCATGAAACTGTGAGGAGAAAAGAGGTCGATGGATAGGACGTGAGGAGAATTATGCAAGTTGCTCGCAACCAGAATGAAGAGTGAAGTTCGAGCCCAATGCCCATAAGCGGACTGTTGTTGCGGCTTCGGGCTAAAGAAGAATAAATTCCAAAAGGCGGTGATGGTAGGCCTCGGACGCTAGGTAGGTCATGCCAAGAGTAAAAGTGTAGAAGTGCCAAGGGCAATGGGCCGCATAGCTTCGAAAGCGTTGGATCTAGAAAAACGTATTTAAAGGACAGGGGAACGCCAAGAGGTGTTGTAAGTAAGCTTGGTATTGAGTTCAAGAAGCAGGTGTCTTACCAAGTTTGGTCAAATCGTTGCTCAAATGCTCACGAACAATGCGACAACATGTTCGGACTCGTTTATAGAAAGGGAAATCAAGGACAGCTACAATGTTCCTGGGCCCAAACCTCAGCACCATCTTTCGCGCTCAGAAGTGAAGGAGTACTTCAAGACTCGTTTCACCACGCTGTTCCCCACGAAAACAGTTCTTAAAGAAAATTACAAAAAGTATCCTTCGAACCCGTTTCCAGCATTGGCATGCATGAATTGCCAGCATGTGCAGTTCTTCATTGTGGGGCTTCTGGCCTGGACCTGGGACGCCCTGGACTTCTTTGCAGTGTCCTTAAACATGGCCGAAATCGCTGAAGACCTTGACAAGCCCATAAAAGATATCACACATGCCATAACGCTGGTCCTCCTGCTCAGGGTCGTCGGGGCCGTGATCTTTGGATACATAGGCGACAGGTTCGGCAGAAAAGTGCCATATTGCATCTCAATGGCGCTCATAGTAGTGATACAGATTGCAACCGGCTTTGTGAAGACGTTCCCGGCGTTTCTTGGCTGTCGAGCAGTCTTTGGTATAGTCATGGGGTCCATCTTTGGTGTCGCTAGCGCCACGTCCCTGGAAAATGCGCCAGACGAGGCCAAGTCCATTTTGTCTGGTATTTTCCAAGAGGGCTACGCTCTTGGATATCTCTTGGGAGTGGTATTCAAGCGGGCCATCGTGGACAATTCGTCTCATGGCTGGAGGTCCTTTTTCTGGTTCAGTGCTGGCCCACCAGTGCTGTTCATCGTTTGGAGGATGTTACTGCCGGAATCAAAAGCATTCACCGACCGTAAAGTTCTGGCAACCGCTACCGAGCTCACTGATGATCAGAAAGTCAGTATCTCTAAGCCATCCGACAGATTTTGGTCCAATGCCAGGGCTGCAGTTGCTCAACATTGGATAACATTGCTGTACCTTGTTCTTTTGATGGCGATGTTCAACTTTTCGTCACACGGATCCCAGGACCTGTTTCCAACCATGCTCTCTAAGCAATACAACTATTCTGAAGACGCCTCTACTGTAACCAATTCTGTCGCCAACATTGGCGCACTGGTTGGTGGAATCGTCGTTGCGCATGCTTCGACTTTCATAGGACGCAGATGCGCCATTTTCCTGTGCTGCTTAGGCGGAGGCGCCCTGCTCTATCCATGGGGATTTGTATCAAACCCTCGAGGGCTCAATCCAGCTGTCTTCTTTCTGCAGTTCTTTGTCCAAGGCGCCTGGGGTGTAGTGCCAATTCATTTGACCGAGCTATCACCAGTCGAGTTCCGGGCCTTTGTGACAGGCGTAGCGTATCAACTGGGTAATATGATCAGTAGTGCATCGTCAACAATCGAAGCTACCATAGGAGAACGTTTCCCCATCGATGGAAAGGAAGGCGTTTATGATTACGGCAAAGTTATGTGCATCTTCATGGGATGTGTATTTGCTGGTTTACTTGTCACAACAGTGTTGGGGCCAGAAAATAAAGGCGGGGAAGTTGTTGTTGATGGGCGAATTCTAGATGCTCGTGGTTCTCTCGAGAGACATAACGACGACATTGAGGATTTGGATCGTCGCCAATCATTGGATTCGAGATCAGCGTTCAAACCCAACTTCGAATACGTAGCCAGGGTGAATGCAACAAGCAACCACGCCAGTGTATAATAAGCATAGCTCGCAAAACAGTAATGGTTTGTCTCACACTTACATTATCTCAACACGTATCTACATGTACTCCTAACACCACTATGTTTACTTCCAACATGAACTTTTAGCTACTTACTTATCCCAAAGGCGGTGTGACTGGTCATACGGTCCCATTCACGCACCATTAAAGCTGGAACTCTTGCTTGAGAGCGACACCAACCTTCTTGATACCTTCTTGTAGTTTGTCCAAAGGAACAGCGGCAAAAGTACCTCTGAAAAAAATACGAGTTGGGTCTAGCTCCTTTTTGTTTTCAGCCGGCTGCGGTGGTTGCGTGTCACCATCAGCCTTGAACCATGCACCTGGAACAATCAAAACTCCGCTCTCAATCATCTTCTCGTAGATAGCTTGTTCTACAAGCTCTGGTTTGGATAGGTACTTGCTAGCAAACTCTGGATGCTTAGAGGTGTCGATGCTAATAGTGAAGAACATCCCGGCAATAGGAGGGTTGACGTGGAAAATTGGGGTTTCTGGAAGGTACTTGTGAAGAGCGTCAATGGCAACATCACGCTTTTCGTTGTACTCAACACGCAGACCGATCAACCAGTCCAAGTATCCGTCTTGGCCCCAACGGTTCAAAGTACCACCGACAATAGACTGACTGAAACCAGATGGGTTTTGAATGGTCATTTCATGCAAACGAACGTAGGTGCTCACAATCTGCTTGGAAGCGACGATCCATCCCAGTCTAGTACCAGGTCCCAAGACCTTGGAGAAGGAGTCCGCTCTAATGACACGACCCTCGGTGTCCAAGGAGATGAAAGACTTGGTTAGCGAGGCGATGAAGTCTGCGTGAGAGTCGAAAGTAGTAGTCTTTCTCTTCGACACGTCTTGTTCGTACTTGTCCATCTGCAAGAAGTAGTATGGCTCGTCTTCCAGGATTAGGAAGTCATGTTTTTGAGCAATGCGGTAAATTTCGGCCTTGCGGTCGTCGCTCAAGGACGAACCGGTTGGGTTTTGGCCGGTAGGAATAGTGTACAACAGTTTAGGCTTCTTAGCCTCTGGGTTCCAGTTGTCCAAAATATATTCCAATCTTTCTGGGATGATCCCATTGTCGTCTAGCGGCACAGGAAAGACGTTGATGCCTTGAGCCTCTGCGGCGTAGATGGAGGATGAGAAAGTGTGCTGTTCAGTCAAGATGGTGTCTCCCTTTTCACAGAAGATTCTGAGAGTGGATTCCCAAGCCCCAGTGTTACCGGTTGTGGCCATGACGTCCCAGTCCGAGTATTTCATGTCGTGGACGAGTCCAGTGTGTTCTCTCACGAAGGACAGGACTTCAGGCTGGCCTTGACTGTGACCGTACTGCAAAGCACGCGACAGAGGAACGTCGATAGTGTCGCCGGCCTTGGTGGTCTCGTCTCTGCGAACGTGGACGAGGCAGGTGTCTTCAGCGTCACCAGAAGGTGGATGGCCAATGCCGTTTTTGAAAGGAGGCAATGGCGACTCGACTTTCAAATTGTCCCATGGGAAGTACTTACTCAAGGGCAAACCACCGCCCAAAAAGGTGATGTTTGGGTCTTGGAAAAGATGGATACATGTCTTGAGAGGCGACGACTTACGTGCCTTTGCTTCAGCAGAGAAGAAGCGAGAAAAGTCCTGGGCTTCACCAACGGTCATAATGAATAGAAATTAATATTAGTTTCCAACTGGAAGATGACTTTTGTAGATTTTTAACGAACAATCAATTCACTGATATCTTGGCAAGGGCGCTTCCGGCAATTCACTCCTTTAGCCTGATGCCACGACCTTTTTATGTCTTTCCCTTTAGTCTGCAAGCCGCGGAAAGTCTAATCATTATGATTGAGTCAGCCAGGTGAAATTTTTCAAAATTTTCTTTTATCTGTCCAGCTCCAACACTGCTCGATGCTGCTCTCCGGATGTCGATACGACACGACCCCGACTTATCTTTTCAACGACAAAGTAGTGCCGTTTAAACACGATTAAAAGTGTTAAGAAAGAAACGTGGTGAAAACACGTTATCACTGTGACAAATACTGACAGATTGGTCAGATGAATTGGACGTGATTAGAAGAAGTATTCCTTTGCGTTTTCTGGTCGACCAGCCGGGTGTTTGGTTCGTGGATGACCTCTGGCGAGAAGCGGAAATGATGGCAGAAATAGCCGGATGTGGATGAACACGATGCCAATGACGAGGACAATGGAGTTTCCGGAGCTTTTGGAGATTGAGAATGGGAAACAGTGCTGGAATGATAAGGAGGCTTTAGACGGGTGTGTGAGGAGCGTAGTGGACACGGCATTAGCATGTAGACAATCACAATCACATTTTAAGGCTTTACGGTTGGGTTTGTGAGTTGTGATTGAAGACAGGGCACGCATGACAACAGCGAAACAAAGAATCTATGGAACAACCAGGGTGATGGACATCGCGAGTTTGGCTGTTTTATCAGTAATTGGAGTTTTCCCTTGTTGTGTGCTTGCTGAGAGCGAGCACTTGCCATATGAGGCGACGTCGCGTTTTAAGGTGGTATTCAATCGCTCTCTTCTGGAAATTAGCTCTCAGATTCATTCAGCGAATGTCTCATCTGTCGCTTTCTCTCGTTGTCGTTAACATAGCGGCTACAGGGGGTATCGCTGGCGCACCTGGAATTAAGGCCCGTTATTGAAGCCCCAAAGCGCAGACGTTTGGAAAGTCGATCCGAGGTTTATTCTGAACGTGCCAGCTCTTTTTTTCGGGCTCAATGGCATCCAGGAGAACGTGTGTTTTTTCACAAAAGTGTATTGATCAGGAACGAATGTTTAGCCGCTCACCATGGACTTTTCAACTATTGATATTTTCGTGAACGATGACGTGATGTCGTGGAAATTGGCACGGATTGCGAATTAGTAGAATCTCTAAGGGCATTGATAGCGTTGTTCAGAGTGGTTTTTGTCGTAATGTTAACTTGCAACTAGCACAATTGGTACACCTAGGTGAAGTTACCTCGAAGCTCGTTAAAAGTTCTTAGAAAATGCTATCACTATATACTAAACTGACACACCCGACAAACTTCAAAATTGACTCCATCTTTCAGTCACCAGTGATCGCCTCAAACCCATCAACGTTAATTCTGATGTCTTTACTATGTGACGACTCTCAGTCGGCGGAGATGAACGGCAGTTCTCACTATTATGAGTCACTTTTTCCCAGACTTTCACGCCTCGCTATTCCTTCTCAAAAGATCAATTCCACTCGGATTTTACTTCTCATTCCTTGAACGGAAACCATTTTGAACATGCCGAGACCCTGAATTTGGTCTTGGGTTCAACTGAGCTAGTCCTCGGGTTCAGCCTGGTTCTCGTAGTGCACTCTCACCTCGAACGTGTAGGGTGATTGAGCTATCACACTGACACTGATACTGAACATGGAAGCTACAACTAAGCAAGATGAGCGACCAATACTTCAAATGCTGTAGTGTTGATATCTGCAATAATTGAACACAACTACCGTAAAATCCACTCATTTGCGTCGTCAAACCTTCCACAGCAAATTTCAGAATAAGGCTCGCGCGTCCCGAAAATGTTCGGATATTAAAAAGCTAAAGCGTCAGGGAACCGTCTGCTTTCGAAAGAATCGGCACCTTGCAAAGGGAACTCTGCTCAAAAATACAGCAATCACTAAAACCTCAAACGCGCCCATACCACGCTCATTATTCTGACCCTTCTCTCCAGACCTCACGAGTGTCGCCAAGATATCAATTGAGCATCGTCAAACGATATTTAGATCATAGCGGCCCATTAGAACCATCTTGACACGGACTTCAACGACAAAAGACATTAGAAAACCTATGACGAACATCGGACACTGGGTCACGTGCAAGTCTCTTGCGACAGCGTTTGATTTTACGAACACATATGCCAAAACGGTGCAGATTGCTAGATAAACGCCACTTACCAGTCATATTATCATATCAATACGCATATTTGCCCGATCTTGAACCAGTCCACTCTCATCTTTTATAACTAGGGCTTTCTAAGTTCATCATCACCATTGACGAGATGGTAAATGGTCAAATATATCATAACAACATTTGTTCTAGCTCTCTGATGACTTAGAACATCAACTTACCCAGTATCGTGCGCAACAGCTCTTTTCGATCGCTATGTTACTCTTGAGCCAAATGCACTGGGTGGCACTCGCTATGCTGGCTCGGTTCTCCGAAGCCCTCTACACCGCCCAAGATTATGCGGTATCACCAGACCTTTTGCCGGGACTTTCCTCTGTCCAAGACCCCAACTTGATCCCACAAATGTACGCTGGTCACATCCCACTGGGACCAGAGGATGACGAGAATGTTGGGAACTATTTTTTCTGGAAGTTTCACGACAATTCGGGTCGTGCAAGTGAAAAGGCCAATAATACCTTAATATTCTGGTTGAACGGTGGCCCTGGATGTTCTTCCATGGATGGTGCGCTAATGGAAAGTGGTGCTTTACGAATCGACTCAGATGGAAAAGCCTACTTGAATGAAGGTGGCTGGCACACTCGGGGTGATGTTGTTTTTGTCGATCAGCCAGCGGGAACTGGATTTTCAACCGTAGGCGCCAATAAAAAGTACGATAGCGATTTACTGGATGTCTCACAGCACTTCTTGAATTTCCTTCATAATTACTTTCATGTTTTTCCTGATGACTTGGCCAAAAACGTCATTCTTGCTGGTGAGAGTTACGCAGGCCAATATATTCCCTACTTCGCACAGGCTATACTGAACAACAATTCCGAGGAGGAAAGTACTAAAATAAATCTTAAGGCACTTCTTATCGGAAATGGATGGATGGACCCAAATCGCCAATCTCTCTCCTACATTCCATTTGCTTTTCAAAAGGGCCTTATTCAAAAAGGAGATTCTAGACTTTCGAAACTCTTAAACCAACAAGAGCTGTGCCAAAACAAGTTGAACTCAGACCATGATGACCGTTTTTCATTTTCTGAATGCGATGACATACTAGGTGTTCTCCTTGATGTTACCAGGGTAATGAAAGATTCTGAAGGCAAGAACGTCGATACCAATCAACAATGTACCAACATGTACGATCTACGCTTGAAGGACTCATACCCTTCCTGTGGTATGAATTGGCCAGCTGACTTGCCCAACGTGGCCAAATTTTTTGGAACCACGGGAGTAATAGAAGCACTACATTTGGATTCGGAAAAGGTCCCAAATTGGCACGAATGCGATGACAAGGTTTCCGGACACTTGACAAATCCAACATCAAGAGCTTCTGCACATATTCTTCCCTCAATTTTGGAGTCTGGATTGGAGGTAGTTCTCTTTAACGGCGACCAAGACATCATTTGCAACAACCTCGGCGTCGAAACGCTGATCAGCGAGCTTTCGTGGAACGGCGAAAAGGGCTTCACGGTTAACATGCAGTACTATGATTGGATGTACAAGGAGGAACAGAGCGACAACATCACGTCAGCTGGATTTGTAAAATATGAAAGAAATTTGACTTTCATCAGCGTTTACAATGCCTCTCATATGGTACCCTTCGACAACAGCCTTGTCAGCAGAGGCATTGTTGACATCTATTTGAACGATGTCGAACTTGTTCAGGAAGATGGAGGAGATACTTTGATCAGCGAAAGCTTTAGCGCAGACGATTCCACGCCTCAGTTGGATTGCGAAGGTGTTGATAAAGATTCCGAGGAATGCCGTGCCCTAGCGACCGAAGCCAGCAATACTGACGTGGATGAAGGAGAAGGTGATGAAAATCAAGGAAACAAAGAGACTGATACAGAAGACGAAGACGACGAAGACGACGAAGACGACGACGACGACGACGACGACAAAGAAGACGATGAGGGAGATGAAGAAAATGATTCCGAAGACGAAGTCAACTCGGAACCTTCCAAGGACTCCCATAGGATCAAGGTCGCTATTGTGTCTATGTCAATTTCCGCAGCCATTATAGCGGGGTTGTATTTCATGTTCCGGGATCGATTCCGCCCCAAGCTTCGTGCCATACTGGTGGACTCGAAAACTAAATCAACGCAACGGAAGAAAAATGTGTCCTGGGCCTCTGACTTGGAGCAAGATGCAGGCGACTTAAAGGACCCTCCTTTAGCCTCCAAGCAAAAGGATGGGTATTCTAACGTTCCTACAGAAGAACCCAGAGGTTCTTTTGAGCTCGACGATCTTTGAACAGTAAGACTGCGGTCGTGGTGTCCAAGGGGTTTCTGGAACAAGTGCTGTCATGGTTTGGGAAAATGCGAATGCTGGTATTCGAGTAACATGTTTTTTGCGGGAAAGCTAGCTCACTAGAAGAACTTGAGAGCATAATGAAAAACATATTCGTCAAAATTTTGCTTGATATTACAAGTTGCTGACATCTATTCGCTGTCAAAATAGAAACCAAACTTTTCTCTGCAGAAGGCGCGAAGTAGGTTCCTAGCCTTAAAGAAGTACCCTTTATCTATAGCCAGTGTGCTCATGAGCCAGCGCATCAAATGTGTACAATGCAAGTAATACAAGCATGAGAGTTGTGGATGATTACCAGTATTTACTGTCGAAATGTTCGTAAGAGTACCATGTTAAGTGGCCTTGACAGCCCCAAGAAAATAGTCTTTTTTGACGCATTATACATTGAAGGTCTACAGTCAGGTCATCAGAGCCTGAAATAAGAACTGTATACCAAATGTCAAATGGCATCTAACAAAACTGCCCTACATATACCAGAAGTCTTCATTTTGTAGCGTTCAGATCCGATGAATGATCGAAATAAAGACGTTGTGAACTTAATTTCCATCGTTTGAAAACCATGAGTGAGTTCTATCAATTTTGGCAGTCTGCGAATTAATTCAAACACTAAGGACTAGAACTGTTGAGCTGGGCTGACCTCGCCTGCTCATTACTATCCTTGGCGCTGGTCGTGTGTCCAACCGCTAATATTTGAACATGACAGAGAGTGATTATGAAAAGCCACTTTAGTATAGTGGTTAGTACACATCGTTGTGGCCGATGAAACCCTGGTTCGATTCTAGGAAGTGGCATATTTTTGCAGTTCCCGGGATTGTAGAACATCTTTCTTCTTGTCTAAATTCTAAAGCGACAGCTTAGCCGGTTAGTCTAGTTGCTCAAGGTCTATGTGACTATTTCGGTAACCCAAAGTAATAAGCTATACAGTGTTATGCAAAAAAGTGATGCCCCGGAATTCTTATCCAGTGTTTTTTTGTGGGTTTCCGCAGACTAGCTGCGTGAAGTAGCGCGCTGGAGCTTCACAGCTTGGGGATCTTCAAGCTCTTGGAAATCATGCCGCAACCTTGCAAGAAAAAGACGAGCACTGCGGGATGAAATTCATACCATTCACTTTGAGCAAAAATTCCCAGTGGTATATTGTCCAAGATGAAACCTTGGTTGACTAGATAAGCCATTGTTCCGACCAAAAACAGTGAAGTTGGAATAGGCAAGCCTTCGAAGTACTTGGACTTGCCCGTCACGTCCTTGGGCAATTGGGCCACGGTAACATTGAATCTGGCGAGCCTGGTGAGGCCACATAGCACGAAAAAGGACAAAACTAAAACGTCGATAGTGGATTGGAAGCCAATTGCAAAAGCGATGGACGCAGGCGCAACACCAAACGACACTAAGTCTGCAAGCGAGTCTAGTTCCTGTCCCATCAACGACGACCGATTTCTGAGACGGGCCACCTTACCATCGAAAACGTCGAAAAACATGCCTAGCAAAATAAAAAAGTGTGCCCTTTGCACGTAGTGGGGCTTTTTGGTGAGCGTGAAGCGCAGGCAACTGATAATGGAGTAAAACCCACTAAATCCGTTCATCATGGTGATCAAATCTGCTAAATGCAAGTTACGGATCATGCTGAAATGGTACTCGTCACTCGTAAATTTCTTTATGTCACTTTCGTTAGGAGGTTCCAACGGCGGATCTTCTAGCGAGAAAATGCTGCTGGCTCTTCTGCTCGGGGTTCTGCTAGCTGCAAAGGAGTCTTCCTCTGCATCTGAGCTTACACTCACGTCGTTCTTCTTGCTTAAGGTCTTTGGATCAGACATAGGTGATGCAAGATTCTGTGATGAGTTGGATGCGAACGTAGAATATGAAATTTGAAGAAGCTGAAAAGGTCAAAAGTGAGTATATTCCTTTGAGTTTCCCGATCTTTGGTAAGTAGAGAAACGGCTCAAGATTTAAGATGGCTCGTTCGAGGTTCCTGCTTCTTATATGTAGACTACTGACTGATATCGATAAATGCCTGGAACAAGTCCCTTTTGCTTCCAAGGAATTTTCCAGTGGCTTGTAAGTACACGTGAAAATGGTAGTTTGACTAGATAACTGAGTGGAGAGGTGGGTGGAGGGGTGAGTGGGTGTCATACGAATTTGATTGAGAAAACTTACCAGTTGCGTGGCTCGTAGAAGCTATGGATAGTGGTATTGGGTGGCTACAATTGCTTCAGATATTTAGATCCAGTTGTCTTACTCATGGGTAATATTAAATGTATTTGGCAATGAATTAACATTGAGGGTTGATTTCGATCTGGAGTGAGCTTTGTAAAGAGACTCATCAGAGACATTAGGCCTTGGGCACACAGTTTTGACTTGGTTTGTGAAATATTGTTACAAATAGGCCCATTTCACACCTTCAACTCACATCTGGAAGCACGACTTCCATCAAAATTCTATAGAAGGGTGTTCATATCAGTGTATTCGACTTGGTATTCGAAATTTGAATGTTGATGGACAATCTAGAAAAGTACATAACTGAAATACAAAAATCATCAATACCCTGCTGTGTGGTTTTAAAAAGCTCTCTGTTGACTTGCTGGCTCTCTTTGACGTCAGTATGTCAATTTTAATTTTGTCTGTTTCTTAATTGTGTGACGCCCGATGTTCAAGAAGGCGCTGCCATCAACAAGGAAATCTTCAACACTGGAAAAGACATCAGTGTTAAGTTATCTAGTCTCCTTAAATCTGTAAAAGACAGAATCCAGTACGGGCGCGAGTTGTTCGTGTTATGTCACTGGAATGTCTTCAGGGTGAAAGAAAACAGTTGCCGACATCTCGGTTATGACGAGTTCCCTTCCCAAAGTGACAAAAATGTATATAATGATAAAAACGAAGCTGAAGCGCCCATAAGCTACCGTCAAAATAGTCGGCACTGACCACTTCCGTAACTTCATTGACTTAATATGAACTTCCGATATTGAGATTTCAATAGTGCTCTGGTAAAGAAAACGTCAACTTCAGCGCTTGCTGCATTTTTAATCCAATATACATCCGAACAAACCGTTAATCTCGAAAGCCTTCATAGAGAAATTCATCATTCGCTACTTAGTGCGACCATTAACCTAAAACCTATTGGAGCCAAAGTACCATCCATTTGCTCACTTTTCAAAAACCTATTTTCCCAGCTTCCCCAAATCCTCAGTTTCCTGGAAACCACGTCTGAGCATCGTGGTGAGGTGAGCGTGATATTCGGGTTTTCCGGGCCCATCGGCCTCTGGAGGATTGTTTTTGATGACTTCATTGTAGTAGTTGTTGTAAATGTCCCCGTCATAGTAGCCAATGGGTGCGTTTAGCATGGCATCGGGAAGCTTGAACGCGTCCGTTAGAGGAATACACTCTTTACGGATTTCTGGCAGCAAACCCATGAGTTTTGGCTGAACTATAGTTGAAATCTGATCTGGGGTGAAAACCTTAAACTGCTGAAACTCTCCCGAGTGTTTGTCAATGAAGTATAACGAGAACAACTGATATAGGCTCCACAGCATTTTTTGTGAGTTTTCATCCGTGACATGCGAATCCGAAGGGTCTTTCAACTTCAAATAGTATGCTCTCAACATCGAGTGGAATGCATGGAAACGAGATATCATAACCAGATGCTTCGAGATGGAATCAGTGCTCTTGGTCTCCTTCACCAATTTGACGCAAAAATGTAGCATTTTGATCAACATGATGCCCCAAACGTCAGTGTAGTCCTCTAGTGTTTCGAGCTTTGCGGAATGCGAGCCTTTCAATACACCCATGACTAGCTCGGGCGACAAGTATCTGAAGGACTCGGACGTTTGTGTGTTTCCCTTCGCTAAATCTGCGTATTTCTTCATAATACTTCTGGCTGAAGTCAAAGACAGAATGTTGTTGTCACCCTCCCATGTGCACTGCACAACCCAGTCATTGTAACCTTTCCCAAAACCATTGTAAGCAGAGTAGCCGTGCCCTCCACAAGCTTGCCGAAGTTCATCGATTAGGCTGGCAACTAGCCACGTACCCGTGGCTTTCAGGCTTGCACTGTCAATGAACAAATCTTTCAATTTCATGCTCACAGGCTTTAGCTCGCGTTTGTTGCCAGACGAAGACACTTTGTAGAGCTGCTCGAGAGTGGTATGGTAAGTATCCATGAGTTTGAAAGCTGCAGGCGAAATCAAATACACAATGGCCAAATGAGGTAGGACACGGTATTGATGCAGTGGGTAATTAATGAGTTGCGTTTCGGACGCATCGTCGCTTTTGTCGTTGTTCGGAGCAAACTGCTGTCTACCAACGGCGTAGCGAATAGCAATTGTGGCGAATTTGGAGCCGAACCTAAAAGAATCCATCACCATATTAACCCGTCCATTTAACAAGGCGCTGTACCCTGATATCTGATCCAAAGTGGGTTCTGTCAGCACCCGAACATCGTTGCCACTATTGACGACTTTCGTGAACCTGCTCAACATATACTCGCGTGGGATCACAACGTTCTGGAATTGAATCCAGCCGTTGTCAATGCCGTCGCGGCCCATCTTAGTGCCAATGTCGCCTATGAACACCCCAGCCAAGAGCTGGAACGTGTCCGGGTCTCTGAGGGGAACCACATACGTTTTTACCCCGTAGTCCTTGTCGTTAACGATAAGTCTGGCATAAACGGTAGCATGAGTAGCGGAGTGAGCAGCGCCTCCGATCCACCATTTTGTGGCAGGCAAGTCGGGCGTGTTTATGACAAAAGAGTCTGTCTTTGGATTGTACTCTGCACGTGTTTGCAACTGCGCTACATTCGAGCCATGTCCGAGTTCTGTCATGGCGAAACAGCCGTAAATGCCTTTCAAGAACAATGCGCCTTTCTCCTGGAGCCAGTACCTGATCTGCTGATCTGTTCCGTTTCCGCGAATACAGTTTCCAAAAAGCCCCAAATGCACGCCGATTCTGGTCCCCAGTTGGGGGTCTTGATTGGAGATGATCGAGAGCCGTTTGTCGAAGATACCCAAGTCTTTTGCGGTCAAAATTGGATACTCGTTGTCGGTTTGCAGGCCCTTGACCACGTCGTGGTTCCGATATTTTTTGAACGCCATTTGAATGTCCTGTTCCATATACAGCGCCATTTTGGCGATCTTTAACGCGGTAGCCTTGCGATGCTGGGCTTTGTCCATGTCGTAGTAGTCACTTCCCGTTTTGAGAACGGGGTCCATGGTAACCTGTGTAATCAGATCGTGCGTCAGTTGCGCATTTTCCGGACTTGACTCCACAAATAGATTGAGCTGGTCGATATTCAACTTGGAATTACGCCGTTCAGACTGCACAAATTGTTCCGGTCTGAACGTGGCGCCTGTGAACTCGTTGGCTGTAATTCTAGTCATTCTGTTTCAGTTGAATAGACGTTTACAGTTCAGGAAATAAACCCCAGTGACACGCTTTTACTTAAATTGTGTGAACGATATTTCTTAGCTTTTCCTTTGAGGCTTGAGAAACGTTTAGTTACTGTGATATGAGACAACTCAAAAAGCAGGAAAAGATGATTGTAAAAGGTCCTCGAAGTCTGAAAGCTGCCCTGTTTATATACGTTTCCACTTCCCCAACTTTCTGTCATTTAATTCTTGTGACGCCGATTTTGAGCAGCTGACCGGATTTAGAGCGGGGGAACCCAGAAACATTAAAAGTAGCCCCGTCGAGGTTCGAATGGAGGGAGCGACGGGATATTGCGAAACACACGATGTGAAGACTGCGAATGTGGTGGGTGACGGTAGTGTATGAGTATTAATTGGTTCGACGAGTGTGAGATGTACTGTTCCCCCATTTGGAATTTATTGTAGGGAGGATCTGGAAGAAGCTGCGAGTCCAAGTTCTATGTCGCCATTAGTTTTGGGAGCAGATGAGTTTTAACTTTAAGTTTTGTAGTAGCACATGGAGTTTGGGGTCCGTATTGCTGGTATACTCTCTTTCGAATAATGGAAAGTGCGTGTCGTGCTCTGTCTTTTGAATTTGTCATTAGCAAGTGTCACTAATACTCGTAATACTACTGCTGCTATCACTACGAATATCGCTGATACTATTAGTACTACTTATAATACTATTACTACTACCACTACTACCACATCTACTACCATCTAGAGCAGTAGTACTTGCAACGAGGACAAGAGAGAAAACGGTCTCTAGAATCAACAAATATTCCGATCTCCACGTCCAACTGTCAAAATCGTCATTCTGCGAGTTGTCGGTTTTCCAACTTATCATTTTATACCCATCTGTCGTCGTCTCAGGGAAACCGTATTTTACATAAAGTGTGCCATTCATGCTATCACAGCAAGTGCAAGCCCCATCATAATACATGTATAGGTGAGAATTCGAGTACGCATGACGTCTGGGAAATGAAGCGAGCTGGGAACTTATAAGTCAGCTGAAAAAAATGCACAGTGCGCACCCTCGCTACAATCCAAGTCTACCACAAGTCATACTAAGCTCATTTGAAAAAGCACATATCGCTGAGCACCGTAACTGAAGTCCCCCTCCTCCTCGCTTCCCCATCAAGACGTATTTCAATCCATCTTTTCATGTTCTACGGCCCATTTGAAACAAACATGTCACTTCGTACTAGTATGTCATCTCACATCCAAATTGCCAATGTCACCAGTGCCCTCCGCCAACAGTAAGTCGATCACAGCAACGTTCCGTCCACAGTTGAAAAACGTAACCCGATACCACCACATTGCACCCCTTTACACTAAAAAGTGCTGCTCACACCACTCACATATTACAAAAATTTTAAAACATAACATTTCCAGTGTTGATAGCTCTCCAAAAAGAGGAAGTCACGATTAAGCAATAAAGGCTACAACTCCCAATTCAAATTTGAATGCTAGAGGAACCGTCATAAGTTATTACAAGACCGTATAAATCTATTCAAGCTGGTACACCAATTTTCACCAATCAACCGCCAATTCTGCACCAAAATTAAAACAAAAAACACTAGCATGCTTACACCGCCTTTGAAACCATGCCTAACCTTCTAATACCACAACATCGATCAAATTTACTCGTCTTTTAAACAGCTATTCTGACACACCTTTCGCTCAACACGTGACCAATTACGGTCCAGATTCTAAAGTCTAAAAATTGATTTCCCCTATATTCTTGACAATTTTCGAAAATTTGGAAACTAACTCGACCAAGTGTTCCCAACTAACACCAAGACCTTCAAGACTAAAACAAGCATAGTTGAGCGTCTTGTCACTATACTCGACTCTCAATTTTGCCCACAATAATGAGTGATCTACCAATTGACTTCACGGAGCTGGTAGACTTGACGTCGATTGGGATTTCCCCCCAATCCCTCGACTTCAGATCGACCACGTTCGAAAGTGACCGGTTTGTCACGGTCAGAGAGACCAACAACGGCACGAACTCAGTGGCAATCGTGGACCTACAAAATGGGAATCAGGTCAACCGCAAGAATATGGGCGGTGACTCTGCTATCATGCACCCTACGCAGAATGTTATTTCCGTGAGAGCGCAGGGCACGGTGGTGCAGATCTTCAACCTCGATACCAAGACCAAGTTAAAGTCGTTCACGCTGGAGGAGCCCGTGCTGTTCTGGAAGTGGCTCAACAACGACACCCTGGGGTTCGTCAGCGCAAACTCGTTGTATATCTCGAATGTGTTCGATGGAGACACCACCAGACAGCCCACAAGACTTACCCAAAGACACGCAAATTTGAGTAACGCGCAAATCATCAACTTCATCGCAAACGCACGACTCGACTGGTTTGCTGTGGTTGGTATCATTCAAGAAGAAGGCCGCATTGCGGGCAAAATCCAACTTTTCTCCAAGGCCCGCGGCATTTCGCAAGCTATCGAGGGCCATGTCGCCATTTTTTCCAAGATTTTGCTCGAGGGCAACTCCAGTCCAGTCCAAGTCTTTGTGACCGGTAACAAGACCGCCTCCGGCACGGGTGAACTGCGGATCATTGAAATCGACCACAACGCTGCCAATCCCGTAGCTTATCAAAAGAAAAACGTCGACATCTTCTTCCCACCAGACGCCGTTAACGACTTCCCTATTTCTGTCCAAGTTTCCGAGAAATATGGCGTGGTTTACGTCTTGACTAAGCACGGTTTCATTCACCTGTATGAACTGGAAACAGGTGCAAATCTGTTTGTCAACAGAATCACTGTCGAACCGGTGTTCACCGCTACGACGTATGACGAAAAGAATGGTATCGCATGTATCAATCGCAAGGGTCAAGTGCTGGCGGTCGAGATATCAAAGGAGCAGATTGTTCCTTATGTACTTGAGAAACTTTCAAATGTGTCACTGGCATTGACAATGGCCTCTAGAGGTGGCTTGCCCGGCGCTGATGATCTGTTTACCAAACAATTCGACTCTTTGTTAGCTTCTGGTGATTATCAGAATGCGGCTAAGGTCGCGGCCTCTTCACAACAGCTGCGTACTCAGACGACCATCAACAGACTCAAAAACATCCAAGCTGCTCCTGGTGCCATCTCTCCAATTTTGCTTTACTTCTCCACTCTATTGGACAAGGGAAAGTTGAACAAGTACGAGACCATAGAATTGGCCAAGCCTGTTTTGCAACAAGACCGGAAACAACTTTTTGAGAAATGGCTGAAAGAAGACAAGCTCGAATGTTCCGAAGAGCTCGGTGACGTCGTCAAGCCGTTCGATACAACACTGGCCCTCGCATGTTACCTGAGAGCCGAAGTACATTCCAAGGTAATTACGTGCTTGGCCGAGCTTCAACAGTATGACAAGATCTTGCCCTACGCTCAAAAAGTGGGCCACCAGCCCAACTATGTGATCTTGATCTCCAACTTATTGCGGTCGTCGCCTGACAAGGCCGCAGAGTTTGCCACGAGCCTTCTACAGTCGCAGGAAACTGCGTCAGAGCTGGATGTCGAAAAGATTGCTGACATCTTTTTCAATCGGAACTTTGTTCAACAGGGTACCTCTTTCCTCTTGGACGCGCTGAAGGGCGACACTCCAGATCAGGGTCATTTACAGACTCGTGTCTTAGAAGTAAATTTGCTTCATGCTCCACAAGTTGCAGATGCTATTTTGGGCAATTCGATTTTCAGTCATTACGATAAACCCACCATTGCGTCCCTTGCAGAGAAGGCAGGCCTTTATCAAAGAGCTCTCGAGAACAGTACTGATATTAAAGATATCAAGCGTTGTATCGTTCATTGCAGCTCCATACCCGCAGACTGGCTTGTCAATTTTTTCGGAAAGATCAACGTGGAACAAAGTCTGTCTTGTCTAAAAGCTCTCTTAGATGATAATTTGCAAGGAAATCTACCTATTGTCATTCAAGTCGCGACAAAGTATTCAGACTTGTTGGGCTCTGAAGTTCTTATTAAACTGTTCGAGGATTATAGAGCTACAGAGGGCTTGTACTACTACCTAGCTTCTTTGGTGAATTTGACCGAAGATAAAGACGTTGTGTTCAAGTTTATTCAGGCTGCAGCAAAAATGGGTCAATACAAAGAAGTCGAGAGGGTTGTCAGAAGCAACAACGTTTACGATCCTGAGCGGGTGAAAAATCTGTTGAAAGATTTGAGACTTCCTGACCAAATGCCGCTGGTCATTGTCGCCGATCGCTTTGGCTTCATTCATGATCTGGTGCTATACCTTTACAAGGCTCAAGATTTTAAGTTTATTGAGGTGTACGTTCAGCAGGTAAACCCCTCCAAAACACCACAAGTTGTTGCAGCCTTGCTGGATGTTGATTGTGATGAAAAAGCCATTCAAAACCTGTTGATGTCCGTTCTGGGCCAAGTTCCTATTGGCGAGCTCACCAAGGAAGTCGAGAAAAGAAACCGACTCAAGATCTTACTACCATTTTTGGAGGAGACATTGCGTCAAGGAGCTCAGGACCAAGCTGTTTACAATACACTGGCTAAAATCTACATCGACTCGAACAACTCACCCGAAACCTTTTTGAGAGAAAACAATGAATACGACACGCTGGATGTCGGCCATTACTGTGAGAAGAGAGACCCATTCCTTGCTTACATTGCTTACGAGAAAGGTTCCAATGATGAAGATCTCATCAGAATTACAAACGAGAATAGCATGTACAAGTACCAGGCGAGATATCTATTAAAAAGGTCCGATCTTCACTTGTGGAATACGGTGTTGAGCAATGAAAACATGCATAGGCGTCAACTAATAGACGCTGTTGTGGGAGCAGGCATTGGCGAATTGACCGATCCTGAGCTGGTTTCCATGACTGTGCAAGCTTTCATGAGCAACAACTTGAAAGGTGAATTGATTAGCTTGCTGGAGAAAATTATCTTAGAGCCTTCACCATTTAACGACAATCCAGCTCTTCAAGGCTTATTAATGCTATCAGCTATAAGGTATGACCAATCAAAGGTAGCCGATTACATCGAGAAGCTTGAGGGGTACGACGTTGATGAGATCGCTCCTATGTGCGTGGAGAACGGTTTGAACGAGGAGGCTTTCCAAATATACAACAAAAACGAGAAGTATAGCAAAGCTCTCCAAGTGCTGGTCGAGGATATCATGTCCTTGGATCGCGCTGAAGCCTATGTTGAGAAGATGAACCAGCCTGAACTATGGCCTCAGCTTGGTGCTGCTCAACTAGTGGGGCTAAGAATTCCCGAGGCCATTGACTCGTATATCAAGGCCAATGATCCATCCAATTATGAGAACGTTATTGATGTCGCTGAACAAGCTGAGAAGTACAAAGAGCTGATCCCGTATCTATTGATGGCTCGTTCGTCTTTGAAGGAGGTCAAAATAGACAACGCTTTGATTCTTGCGTATGCTGAATTGAACAGGTTGCATGAAATTGAAAACTTGCTGAACACATCTACTGTTGCGGACTTGGACTCTGTTGGTGTTGAACTTTCTGAAAGAAAGAACTTCAAAGCAGCCAAACTATGCTTTTCTGCCGTTTCCAACTACTCGAAATTGGCCACCACCCTTGTTTATCTAGAGGAATACCAGGCTGCAGTCGATACAGCAAGAAAGGCCTCTAATGTCAGAGTATGGAAAGAAGTCAGTGACGCCTGTGTGGACAACACAGAATTCAGACTTGCTCAAATTTGTGGTCTTAATCTCATTGTCCATGCTGAGGAGTTAGACGAGTTGGTGGAGAAATACGAGTCTCATGGCTATTTTGAAGAACTCATCTCACTCTTCGAAGCTGGTCTTGGTCTAGAAAGAGCTCACATGGGAATGTTTACGGAATTGGCTGTCTTGTACACCAAGTACGATTTCCGCAAGACCTATGAACATCTCAAGCTTTTCTGGTCCAGAATTAATATTCCTAAAGTGATCAGAGCAGTTGAGGGAGCACATTTGTGGAGAGAACTAATCTTTCTATATGCTCATTATGACGAATGGGACAATGCAGCCCTCACCATGATTGAAAAATCGGCCAATGACTTTGATCACTCATACTTCAAAGAGATTATTGTCAAGGTATCAAACCTCGAAATTTACTACAAGGCCATCAATTTCTATGTCAAAGAGCACCCCTCTTTACTCATTGATCTGATGACCGTTCTAACATCGAGATTGGATATCCCAAGAACTATTCGTATTTTCACCAAGTCAGATAACTTACCGCTCATCAAACCGTTTTTGGTCAATGTTCTGCCAACAAACAACTCGGTTGTTAACCAGGCCTACCACGACCTCATGATCGAAGAAGAGGACTACAAGGCTCTCCAGGATGCTGTTGACTCGTATGAGAAGTTTGACCAGCTGGAACTGGCTGGTCGTCTGGAAAAGCACGATCTTATTTTCTTCAAAAAGATTGCTGCCCAGCTTTACCGCAGGAACAAGAAGTGGGCCAAAAGTTTGGCCATTTACAAAGAAGAAAAGCTTTGGTCTGATGCCATTCAGACCGCGGCGATTTCTCAGAGCACCGAAGTTGCTGAGGAGCTACTTGGCTATTTTGTTGAAACTGACAACAGGGAAGCCTTTGTTGCACTGCTATACACCGCATACCACTTGATAAGATACGATGTTGTTTTGGAATTGGCCTGGTTGAACTCTTTGGGCGATCTCATCAAACCGTATGAAATCTCTGTTAAGAAGGAGCAATTCGTTACTGCTCAAAAGTTGCTAGAAAAGTCTGAGAAAGGTGAAAAAACTAGTGACGGAGACAACAAAGACGAACCTCTACTTCTCACAAATGGCTCTATGAATTACCAGGCTACCGGCCAGGTTTTTGGAAATTTCATGTAATCTGAGGGGGGGCAGACATGAAATACAAGTCAAGCAAATTTACCTTAGCTCTGTATCTTAGAATTTTAAACGAACAAATATAAAACCCATGAAGTTTTACTTACAGCTTAGATTGTAATATAGCTTATCTTACACATTCGAAATTGACTACTTACTCATTTTGTCTGTTTTCGCGATCGGCTCTGGCCGCTTTTTTTTCAAGCTCATCCCAGTCTTCGCCTTCCTCCTCACTTTCATCAGCACTAGCGTCACTCGCGTCGTCGCTCATTGCCTCAGAATAGTCGTCCTCCTCGGATTCTGCACTTTCATCGGAAGGATCGTCGTCAGAAGCTTCGTATTCGCTGATCTCCTCCTCGCTGTCCTCTGACATTTCATCGTCAGAGCCGGCTACCAAGAAAGACCAACCACCTTCTAGGAAAAATTGGTGTGGGTCTTCTTGCATGGACTTCATGATACTCGACCATTTCAAATTGATCGTCGATACAGCGTACGGAATATCAACATCAGTCAACCATGATTTGAGTAACTCAATTTCTTCTATGGCAACAGTATTGATGTGCGTAACGGGTTTACTGAAGTCTTTGTAAACAAAGACCATATCTATGTTCTTCAAACCAAATTGTACTCTTTCAAAAACACAGATCTCAACCTCACTGAGATTGATAACCAAAAACGGAGGCTCTACCAATTGCACAAGACAATCTCTCGTGGGCATGCAGAATACAGCAGATCTGCTAGGCACACCCTGGAAACCCAACTCTCTGAAGGTTGTGTCTAAATCTACTATGCCGTCTGAAGCATCGGCAATGGCTTCGGCAAAATACCTAAACTCTTTGTCCAAAGCTGCTCTCTTTCTTCTTTCTTCTTGTTCTTGTTCCAGCTCATCCTCATCGCCATATCTTCTGAATTTCATGTTAGAACGTCTACTATTTCCTGTTTCATCAACAGCCATGTCGGAGGCTTCTCTGTAGAATTGGACGTCCTGAATCTTTTTCTTACCCATGAGAATTGGGTTTTTAAGGTGAACATGAATAATGACAATCAACTCACCTTTACAAGGTTGGAAAATCAGATTCTTCATGTTGGAAAACAGTATATCAATTCGGCTGTCAGTACGCAGTGGAGATTGATATCTAATACCATTTTCATGAATGAACACAGTCCCAGGCACTCTTTTGGCATCAGGGCTAGGTCTGACAAAAATTTGGTCAAGTCTTTTTGTTCTTCCAGACTTGTTTTCCACTAACCTCGCCTGCTCGACAACGTCCGCCAAAAGTTTCCGTTCTTGATCTCTTTTAGTCGCTTCCTTTTTCAAGTCGGCAATCTGTTTGAAAACTTCGCTCATACGGTCTCCATCCTTGGATCTCAAGCTAATGGAACGAACAAAATGATTGTCAGGAGTATCCTCGTATGGAAGTTCCTCAGTTCTCTTAGAGATACCTCCAATACCAGGGGAGTGGAAGTTTAATCTGAGATATGTGTATTCGCCTTCTTCATTCTTAGAACCATTCTTGTAGCAGTTAATATGGAATGGGACTGGACGACCATAAATAGGCAATATAATCGTTTGGTTTTTCCAGTCGACATGCACCCTGAGATCCCGGACGTTGTTGGGTATTTGGGTGTCCCTGATGTAAGATTCAAATTTTTTGAATTGCAGTTGTGGTTGATCGCCCGTCTCGTTGGCGTCTGCAGCACTATACCTTAAAAGACCGTTCTTCTGAAGTTTTTCATGCAACTTCTTCTGATTGTCCTTCCGGATCTGCTCTTTTTGGCTGTCCTCTTGCACCCGTCCTTCGCCTCGCAATTTGGATCTCAAAATTTTAGAGTTTCCATCTCTTTTAATGGGAATTGGTGGAGAGCCAAGATCATTTTCCTTCTTTACTTTGGACGGTTTCTCCTCTTCCTCGTTATTGAAGTAAAATGAAACCTGGGCTTTGAGTTTAGTGTAGCCAGTCAGCACCACAGGTATACCATCGCTTAATAAAACTGTGTCTGCTATTTGAACGGCATAACTGTTGCCCGTCTCCGAGTCTTTCAAATTGTTAAAACCCAAAGAGATGTTGAAGCAATCGCCGCTGGAAATCTTTCTTTGGTCATTTTTGGCGTTTAGAACAAACTGGGAGTCCCTGAATTCCAAACCGATTAGGGAACCAACGTTTTTAGTCAAAGCCGAAACCAGATGAGGTTTATGAGCCTTCACGTAATCGACGGAAGCCTGATAAACCTGCTGAGGAGTTTGTTCCACTTTGAGGAAAGTATTTATGATTTCGTTCTGCAGCACGCATAAAAACTCGTAATTTGACACCATTTCCTCTGTGGGATCGATCAAAAAGGTTCTAGTCACGTTGGAGCAGTAATTTTTGTAGCGAATACCACAAGACGCTAAAATACACCCATTTCCGTTAAGTTGATCGTTGCTGGAACGAGCAGAAACTTTTAGATCAAATTTCTTTCCTGACTGAATGATTGGAGAGTAAGCCCAGTCCAAAAGGTTAATGTCAAATTTTTCGCCTTGAGGGCATAGCGGTGCCATTTCACTCGATAGCTTCTTCAGAAACTTACCATCGTCAATTTTGGCCTCGATTTTGTCCGATAGTTTGGCGTTAGTGATTTTAAGCTCTTCATCTACCGCGGTGACCATTTCGTCGGAAAGCAGATGCATGAACTGATCACTGCCTTTGCTGGAAACTTTAATGAAACCGACTTCCTGCTGATCTTTCTTCTCCCAGACGCGTGAGAGGCCAGGGACAATGTCGACGGTCTCGAGTTCACCTTTTGACAACGCGTCATCCCAGATTGGTTTCCATTGTGCAATGAATTTTCCCTGGTATTCGTCGTTCACGGGCGTGCCGACACTTTTTCCACTACTTTTGAGTAGCTCAATAACGTCTTTGAATAACTGATTGTTATGATCGTCGTCTTTTGCCTTTCTTTGCCACAATTCCAGCTTGAAATCCGACGAATCTTTAAAGAGTTCGACTGCTCCCGTCAAATGCTTGGCTTTGCCAGCACCAGTCAATACAACTATCTTGCCAGGAACAACGGCAATGAGCGTAGCAGGAAACTCGTAACCAAGAAGCCAATTGTGGAAAATGGTACTTTTTTTGTATGGATCTTCCTCGTCACTAGATCCGACCACGAACAGTAGAGACGATGGCGTCCCTTCAAAGGTCGGAAAACTAGCATGCAATTTAGCTAGCCTTTCTTGTAAAGCCTTCAAATTGATATCAACGTCTGACATCGCAAGCTGCTAGGATGCACTCTTGGCTCGATCTGTTTGTTCATTGAAGAGCTCGTCAGCTTGCTGACCAGCTTATTTGTCGATATTTAAATTGTCCTACGTCACTAAATACGGCAAGTAGTCCAGCGTCACTATAAAACCCACCATATAGGCCTTTTTTATCCTGGATAACGCTACCATTGACTCTTGATTTATCGTTTGGCTATGGCTAGTGCTTCAATGATGCTAGAAAAACTCTATAAAATTCAACAATCGGCCCTGCCCATATTATTTTATCTATATTCTCAGCTATATGATATGTCTGAAATTGACGTCGGTGGTCAGCCTTCGACGTCTGGCGTTGAAAGGCTTGTCTTGCCATCAGGTTTGCCCGAATGATGCGTTTTTAAACTTGCTACTGTAAGGGGGAGTACAGCATCTGAGTCGCGTATTTGCGTTTGTATCTAACAATACTGGCGACACACAGGGTGTTATGTTTAATGCTGCTAGTAGCCAGATGGTTTAAAACCACATGGTTGGGAATGGGCAAAGCGCCCGAGTTGTTTTCGCTGCCGGTATCGCCTTGTTCCGAAGAGCTGGAGTAGTTGTTGAGAATCACATTTTCGAGGTGAGGAGGAAGCTGTGGCGGTGTCAACCATGCCATGCTCTGTTGATTGCTCTGTTGTTGGTCGAGCGTGAGATAGTATTGTTCCATCACGGACGAGTCCGTGAAAACGGCAGGAATATCCGTGATGTAGTTGTAAAGGGGCATTGCCTCGTTAGCGCCGTGAAACCTGCTGTACCCATCGCCCATGTCGTCTGGTTCTCCCTCGATCTGCAGTGCCAGCTTTGAGCGAGCACTGAGGGGCTCCGGAGCCACTTGCTCGCGGGCTTGTTTTTGGTCCAGTGTCTCCAAGGGCTGCAGTTGTGGTGTGACTTGTCGTTGTTGTTGTTGTTGTTGTTGTTGTTGTTGTTGTTGTTGTTGTTGTTGTTGTTGTTGTTGTTGTTGTTGTTGTTGTTGTTGTTGTTGTTGTTGTTGTTGTTGTTGCTGTTGTTGTGTTAGCTGCACGGGCGAATGTCGAGTTTCACCACCATCGCGTCGATCCTCGTGATGCTGTTGCTGGGGCTGCAGTTCGTCGTGGGACTCGTAAGGTGTCACAATCTCGAGATAGTTCACGAAATTGCCCATTTGGTCGGTCGCTGTGGGCATGTAGTCGCTGAATCGCAGCTCATTGTCAACAATGAAGCGGAATCTGTGGGTTCCTGGGGGAAGCTGTAGTTTAATGTGGAAGAGACCCGGTTGCTCCGATACTGGTCCCAGCCCTATCATTTTTCGCCAACCGGTGAAGGATCCCGTTACGTAGACTTTGGAGCCCCCTTGCTGCCAGGTTATTTCTACGGGTACCATAATTTTGGAGGTCTCTACTGAAGACGACTCCCCTTCGCTTCTTGAGCCGGATTCCTGCTGTTGTTGTTGCTGTTGTTGTTGCTGTTGTTGTTGCTGTTGTTGTTGCTGTTGCTGTTGTTGTTGCTGTTGATTTTGGTAGTCTTGTCGTTGTCTTTGTACTTGTTGCTGCTGCTGCTGTTCTTGTACGAGCATGTTGTTATCAAGTTGTTGTTCCTGCTGGGGCTGTTGTTGTTGCTGTTTTTGACGGTCATACACCGAAGCGGAGGACGAAGATTCTGAAAACGGCTCTTCTGGCCCGTCCAAGTCAGATTGGTGCCCGACGTTTTCCTCGTGTCTGGGAGTTTCGTCTTCGTCGTCGAAAATCAACGTCGATCTCCGACGCAACAATGGCGCCTGCGAGCCACTGTGGTCTCCGATATCCAATTTCGAAAAGCTCTGAACAATGGCTCTTTGAGACACTTTTTTGTCCTGTTCATCTGCGGAGCTCACGTCTACCATTGAAACATCCTTGATACTGTCTGACATGCTGCCCCTGCTGTGCGTGTTCCCCATGCGCGGTTAATAATTACTCGGGATTTTAAGCTTCTGCGACAAACCTGGTGATAAACAAAAGAAGGCTAAGAGACAGAGTTTGGGTATAGGAGAATTGGTTTCGGGAGATGTTTCTGATGCGAGATTTCTTGTGGGCTCAACTTTATATATATATATATATTTATTTACTGTGATAGAGACAGCGCGGCGAGAGGAAAGATCGTTTTGGACGGATAGGATAAAGGTAAAATTTGTATCACATTGAACGATAATCGACACCTATACTTACGTAATCAAGAAAGAGCTTGGTCACGATGTACGTATACATCACATGATGTCCATAAACTCGATTACATAATACAAAATATAAGTCACATGATAAAAGAAATAAGGCACGTGTCTGGCACGTGACATACTAAGCGATCAAGAGGTCACATGATCTCAAATCTGAAAAAATATTGACAGTTTCCCAATATGAACAGTACGAACGACACGACACGACACGCCCACCGTCGTAGCTTCAAGGCTAACAACAGCCCAATGCCACACACACACACACACACACACACACGCGAGCGCTCTTCAGCCTCTAATTTCAACAATCTTGCCTCGAAATACTCACGCCCAAAATACCCACTCTTCATTGCCCTTGTTGTCTCTACTATGTCTTACCCATATACTGTCACTAAGACCAACAACGACGACAACAACAACAACAACAACAACAACAACAACAACAACAATAACAACAGCCTTGACGAAAGTGTAAGCTCTTGAGCTATCACCTAAAAATCTATTCTATCTATAAAAACACCCAATATTGACCTGGTATCTAATAATAATAACAATATCGTATCGTAACTTCGTTAAAGCAGCCAGCAAGCGCATCCTAGCGCTCTTGAAAGGACTGTATGTTGTCCAGCATGCAGCGTAGAGGTGGCAAACGCACCTCTGTGGTCTGACTGGTATCGCTGTCGTCGTCATCTGTCAGTTGGAATTTGACGCGCTGAGCATTTCGGCCTCTCACCTGCGGCCGAGCCAGAGGCAGAGTTCGAGACCTGTCGAGAACTGTTGGTGCACACGCACTAGCCACAGGAGCTGGAAGTGCGGAGTTCTGAGGCGACGCAGTGGGCACGGAGGGCAGTATGATGGATGCGGTGACAGGCGGTTTCAGCGAGTGTCTCAAATCTGGGGAGGATGCCAAGGACGTGGGCGTGTCCAAGCTGTCATGAGAGAACACGGAGCTGACGGACGACGCAGTGGACGACAGAAACGAGTGACAAGCTGGGAAAGCGGCTTGTTGCAGTAAATGTGTGGACCCGGGGGTCGCGATGTTGGGCGTCATGATGGGGGATATCACAGGCGAAACGGCTGGCGACACGACGGGGGAGACTATGCTGGGAATGGACGGGTAGGAGGCCATGGACCGGGCAACGGTGGCCGTTGGGGCGTGGATAGGGGGGAGCTGGTGGATGACGACCGGGTGGTGTTCTGCAAGCGAAGCCGAGTCTGACCGGTTGCGACCTTTGCGTCGGGAGGTGCTGACGTGGGTTCTAAGATGTCGTTTGAGCTCGTCGCTTCTGCTGAACCGCTTGACGCAGCCGGGAAAGTTGCAATGGTGTGGTTTTTCGCCTGTGTGGGTACGGATATGGCGCCGTTTGTGTTCCATACGATGGAAGCCTTTGCCGCAGGTTTCGCATTTGAAAGGTCTTGGGTCTGTGTCTGACATAGGGGGTGTGTGTGTACTAACTTCTCTCTACTTCTCTCTACTTCTCTCTACTTCTCTCTTTCTCTTTCTCTTTCTCTTTCTCTGCTGTGCTTCCCAGACTTGGGTCTTCTTATCTGGGAGAGCTTCTCAAAGCTTCTCCAGATTTTTAAATATTGCAGACCCACGTAGCCGTACGTGTGGGTTTTTATACTACTGTCTATGTTTTGTTCTCCTGTTCTCCTTCGAGTCCAATCTCATTCTGCACTCATATCTCGCTTCTCGTTCTAGGACTCTTTTTCCCAATGCTGATCAAGGCGTTTTGAAATTCCATAAACAGTCGCTATGCTACGCTTACCGAAACTACGCTACACTACGCTACACTACGCTACATTGAACTCGACCCACATTGCCTGTCGGAGATATTGCCGAGCTTCTGGTCTGCGTTAGTGTGGTGTGCGCGACATCCACCAAGAAGAGACCTGGGAAGGGGGAGGCGGGGCACTGCCCGTGGAGTGAGCTATCTATCTGCACCATGCGTGGGTCGTCGAGCTTGCTGAGATCGTTGTCAGAGAGCGCAGAAAACAACAAACCCGAAACCCGAGACCTGAGACGACTAGCAAACAGATAACGATAACTGTAACGGTACCCAACAAACCCTCCAGAAGTTGGGTTGGACCACTATCACTACTACTACTACTACTACTACTACTACTACTACTCTAATTGGGTATTCTGTCGTTACGTTTACAACTGCGGTTCTCGAGGTCTTGTTTGATGCCTGGTCCAAGAGCATTGTTTTTCCGTAGCTGCGCGGGCCGTGCAGCCCGGAAAAACTACTTTATGCTGGGTTTATCCGGACCGGGGGAGGTAGCTCAGATCGGGGTGCAGCCGCGGAGGGAAAAGCGGGAAAAAAGGAGAAAAATCGCATCACGAAAAAGAAAGACTTAAAAAAACCCACGGAAAAATTTATAATTGGCTGTGCGCGCTGTGCTTTCCACACACGACCGGAGAAACGTTTTTCCGGATCGTCCCGGCAGGCAGAGGGGGAGATACAGAGGGAGAAGTACTGGTGTGTGGTAGATGCTCCATTTTTGTCTTGGTATTAGCACTGTAGTTAGCACTGTAGCTAGTACTCTTGTGGTGTTCTGTGGGTGCTGTTTTTTGGGGATTTACAAGACGGAATTAGTAGCTGCCCAAGTGCGGGCTGCATTCGTGTTTGCACGAGTCCGGGGACTCGCGAGTTTTCGCATGTAGTTTTGTACGAGAGAATACGTGTTCACACCCCGTTCGATTGACAAATTGGTCAAAAGCTGAGTTCACCGCGAAGGGACCATTCGAAGTACTATTAGGTTCTTTTCTTCACGTGCAGAACGCGCTCGTAGTTGATTTCCTAGAGTCGTCGTCGTCGTCGTCGTCGTCGTTGTTTCGAGTTCTTGTAAATATGATCACTATTCACGGAGTACTCGCGAGTACCACACACACACTCTCTCTCAGACATACACACATGTTCTTGACACGCAAGCTGCCATCAAGTGTGTGTCGACCCTCTACACAAACCAGTCTTGCCCCACATAAACGCGCTGCTTTCTCTAGTTCTGCAAAAGGTACCCATCAGACGACATTTTTCCCTCTCTGTTGAGTGTTTAGGCGATCTTTATGTTTTCTCGTAAGCCTATGATTAATGACACTTTCATAATCTCCGCCAGGGTATAGCGCTGACCCCATCTCTCGATTTAACAGTAGAGCTTGTCTTTTCAATCACGTAGTCTAAGAACTGTTCCATTACCCATCCAAGTCCCGGTGTGTACCTTTTTGGCATGTAAATCACTATATGTTGTACTGTCCAGACGATATCTACTTGACGTGCACTACCCTCGATCCCTCTCACAATTGGGAAAGATCTAATGTATTTAACTCTTCAATTCTCCTTTCCACGGCGATACGCTCAGCCGCCAATTAGTAGCATATTGTTCCCCAAGTCTCGAAGTACCAAGTGTGGTGCGCGAACAGCTACTGTTCCCAAGTTGTTCGATCACTACAACACTCTTCGAAAAATCCACAACTCTTTGGTGTCCCTGAAATCTGCAAATCGCACTCTCTACCCACTAAGGCCGCCTTCACACCACACACACACACACATCACCTTTATAAGCATTTTCTAAACCTGAGTTTACGGCTAAATTACATATTTTACAACAGCAGCGCATCACGCTCACCTTCTCTTGAACCCCGGAGGCGGCTGGAAAGGACGTGCTGGTGGCTGCGAGCCTTTTTGGAACCCCATTGCGGGTCTGGACATGGCACCCGGCCCAGGTGCAGCATTCTTCACAATCGGCTTCACTACACCTTTCCCTTTGCGTTTCTGCTTTTTCAACTGTGCACTTCTGCGTTCCTGTGCCAGAGCTCTTTCCCGTTTGCTCATCGTTGGCGCGCTTTCCACCACCGTTGTGAGCACCTGTTCACCGCGAAGCACCACCAAGCCCAATGTACGTGTGTCCACTTTCGGTTGTGCACTGGAGTCTTTGTTCTTCGCCTTCAAATGTGCCATCTGCGTCGTTGGAATCCTAAGTTCCACGCAATCGGCCAGCACCAAGTTCATGTGCGCATCGAACGCCATGAGTTCTCCCACGAACGCTTTGCCATCATTTGTTAACGCCCTAATCCGATAGTGTAAAAGGTCAGAAAGTTTACTTTTATGGCCAACCTTGACACTCATCGCTGTGATTCTAAAACTTTGATCCTTGTCAAGTTGTCTACATTTATATATGAATATTTGCCTATATAGTTTATGCTTAATATTGGCTAACTTCTATAAAATATCTACTGTAATCAACTTTGACCAACTTTAACTAAAATCATCAAACTTCGAATAAACCCAGTAGGCTGGGACTCAATCTAGCACACAAGCATTCAAAACAATGGTAGGATCTAAAAAGCACGAATTGAAAGAAGCTGGCGACAAAAAACGCGTCAAAAGACGGAGAAATTACGACGACCACGATAAAGAAGTTAGTGCAGAGGACTCGAAAGCGAAGACTAACAAGAAGAAAGACGGCACCAGCAACAACGATAGCGACGACAGCGAAAGCGAAGACGATGAAAAACTGGACTTGATGTTGAACAAAGAAGATGAGGACGAGGATGATTTGGCAGAAATCGACAGCAGTAACATCATCACTGGGGGACGTCGCACCAGAGGGAAGGTAATTGACTATAAGAAAACGGCCGAAGCACTTGACAAGGAATCAGGCAGAAGCGTGCTATCTGGAGACTCTGAGAGTGAAATGGCGGCCAAGGAACAGACAGGAGAGGAAGAAGACGCGGAAGACGCCGACTTCCCAGAGCCCGAAAAACAGTGAGTCAAGAATAGCACATCGTCGCTGAGGGTCAGATGAGGGACAATAGCCGCGGGAGCGTACTTCTCTCTTACTGGGCCAACGAGGGTACCCAAGTAAACGAGTACACCTCGCGTAGAGGCAAGGGCTGGTCAAGTAAGCACACTATACATATTAAAGTAGACAGAAAGAATGAAAGAAAAGAAACAAAGGTTATCTGAGTCTAAGGAAAACAGGCTTGCCCTTTCCACGGCCGTGCTAACAGCAGTTGTTTGAGCTTTTGCTCTTCTTGGCTGGCGCGGGCGTCAAGCTGATAGTGGGACCCTTAGGAGCGTTCCCCGCGTTGGCACCGTACTCGTTCAAATCTACCTGGTGTTTGCTGACCATTTGGTATATGGCCGTGATGAGCTCCCGGAATGCCTGGTCGACGTTCGCGCTGTTCAAAGCACTGGTCTCGGTGAATAGCAGCTGGTTCTCTTGCGCAAAGTTCTTGGCTTCGTCTGTGGGTACCGCGCGCAGATGGGCCAAATCCGACTTGTTCCCAATCAAACCGACTGCCACGTTCTCATCCGCGTTTTCACGCAGCTCTGTGAGCCAGTGGTTACAATTTTCGTAACTGCTGGACTTGCTGATGTCGTAAACGATAAGGGCGCCCACGGCGCCCCTGTAGTACGCCGACGTGATGGCTCTGTACCGTTCCTGGCCCGCGGTGTCCCAGATCTGCGCCTTTATTTTCTTGCCCTCTACCTCGATAGTCCGCGTTGCGAACTCTACGCCGATGGTCGACTTAGATTCCATGTTAAACTCGTTTGTTGTGAATCGCGACAGCAAGTTCGATTTTCCGACTCCAGAGTCCCCGATTAGGACGACTTCACGCTCCTGTTAGTAAAAATAACTCTCCCACAGCTTGCCACAGGCGTCTACAAGAAAGTGGAAGTGTCAGCGTCTCGTGGCCAGCTTGTCTCACTTCTCGCTCCCCTGTGTGCTCCGTCGTCGCTCGACGCGGCCTTTGTGGCCCAACCAACTCACATACTCTTGAAAAGGTAGTCATAATCGTACCCGTAGTCCTCGTTGTTCATTATTCCAGTACTTATACACCCCAGATGTGTGGATTGGGCAGTCTCTCCGTGCTTTGGCTGTGATTTTGGATCAAAACATCAAATGCGAGTAACTGTAGGTTGTTATTCTTACGTATTTATCCAATATAAACTAGACAGCTCCACTGGATCCATAGGTCACGTGGAATGTTGAAAGGTGTCAGCGAGGTTTGTTGACTCAAAGCATGGGTCAAGGCGAGCTTAAGAGGCGTGATAATATAGTTGAGTGGTTTAGAATGAGCTGTGTGTAGAGTCTGTGTTAAAACGGACTGTTTTTGCATATTTCTTTGGTATATGATATATAAATGTCTTGGTAAATATGTGTTGATATTTTTTAGGCAAATGTGGGAAATTTGGAGTGTTCAGTATCTTTTCGAAACGTTGCAATGATGTGGTGTTTTCTCCACTTGTGGTTGACGTGTTGCCGATGAAGTTATGCTGTGTCACTAGCCGGCGTCGTAATGTTGTTGCAGAGCTAGCGTATTGCTTCGGGCGCAACACGAGATACTCACAGGTGATTCAAACAAACATAGCTTCTTGAAGCTTGATGAAGAAATACCGGCGATGCTTAAATATGGTTGTATAATGCGTAATGTAAAGAATGGCGACGGATTAGTACAAAGTGATATAGTTTATGCTTTGTGTTTTGCAGTTGAATACCGTTGAAACCCCGTGCCATCGTAGCATAACCATGGATGTTTCTGAGTTAAGCTAAACCACTAATGGTAGCAATGACAGCTACAGTCTCTTGGCCTTGATCGTGGGTACCAGATATTATATCACGTGGCCAGGTGACAGATGACGGGCTGATACAAAGTCATACAATCAGATCAGGTCGAAGGCATGGCGCTGCGCGCTTTTACCACCCACGATGGCACCTTGAGCTGAGCTGCTGATTTACAGTGCGTTCCATAGTATGTGAATAACTTGACTTAAAAAAGAATACATTAGGCCTGAATAAACCACAGAAGGAAAAAGATTTCGCATATATTTCTTCCCGACCCACTTTGTTCTTACGGAGCCTCTTTTCCAACGTCATGGTGCACAAACTGGCACTGAGATTTCAAATCATTTACCTTTCAAGCCACTAGCTCAATATTCGTAATGACACCCCGCAGAACATTGTATGCCTGAAAACATCACTTTTTCTACGATTGCAGAGAGTGCATTGATTCTGCCAGTACTTTTACCAACAAGACACTGTAAACCGACCACATTCAAAGTTAGTTGGATTGTTAACAGCTCATAAGATATATGACAGTCGTAGACGCAGTGCTTCTTCAACGAGTTCTTACTCAAAACAAGTTTTATAAATAATCGTTTGCGTGCTACCAATGCAAACAAACCAATGACAATTGTTGTTCTCGTGAACAAAATCGCCTAATAAAAGAAAAATCGCCTTCCGACAAGTAAATGCCTTCCTCGAATACCTTCCTCTTCTCCATAGAACAGCTCTCAGTCTCACACACAAGGTAGAAATCTCAGTGAATTGGCAAAATGAGCGTGGGTCCTGCAACTGCACCAAACCAATGAAATGGTGACTTTATTGGTACCGTTGGAAAGCTGAAACTCGCAGAATTCCAAAATGATCAGTTTCACGCCCTCTCCACACCTTGCATCTTGGATTTTACCTCTCGATAAGGATTCCTCACTTTTCAATATTTTAAAATTATATTAGACGCTACTTACCTTTTCGGAAAAATCTAAACTTTCAATATTTGATCTTTTTGGCATCTCATCAGCCAGGAAATATCCATATTCTCAAAGTGCTTTCGCAGACATGTGGAGCGCATTTCGGTACGTGGAGTTCTGTTTATAGACGCCGAAAGCTGTCTACAGTTCATACATTTCTTTGTACGCTTCACAATAATCGCCTTAAGAAGCTGTGAAATAGCTTCTTGTGACTGCTTGTTGACGACTTCCTCAGTTAAAGTAATGTCGTTCACCTTTCCCACCACACCCACTAAACAAACGACATCACAAGCTGAGGCACGTCCTTCGTCTTGCTTAAAACAAAATCGCGAAAATCAGTCGCAACAGGAATTGGACGGGCATAGAAATAATGTTTCCCAGGTCAGGTTTTCGTTGCCTGTAGAGCCGGATGTCGACACCGAGACTCAATCCAATTTGGGCCGTGATAGCAGCCCCACGCATCATCCAACTTCTCCCACAAAAGTGGTATATCCCAGAAGCTCGGAGGATTACCCATCAAGCCATTTTGTCGACTTTAAGCACAAGATAATGGTGGACGTACCGGAGCACATTTGGCAATCTCATTATGACAGAAGGAATACCGAAAGCAGTTCTTCGAGCCTTACCAAAAGGCACTCGCGCGCTCAATCTCTGCAGTCTGTCATAGCAGACACTTTGCAAACTTATCACACCAAACCTTCCAACAACCAATTAGGTTTGTTGACAAACAGCCCGCTGCCAAATCTTCAAGCTGCCGAACTGTACCTCAGATCAGACTCGCCTCTCAACAAATACCAGGTTGCAGTACCTCTAGAAGCTTCACTGCCACCCTATCTGTCACCAGAAAACAAGTCGAAGCGAAGAAACAGCTTTGTTTACGACGGAGAGGGCTATAGCATGTATTTGTCGGACAGCAGCGACGTAGAATCTCTGGGATTACAAGCTTCGGATTCAGAAATTCTCAAGGCAGATCAATCGTCAAGCCAGTGCAGTGATTTGTCCATACCTTCGGCAACTCACGACTTTTCCTTTGATGGCAAGGAAGACGTGGACAAGATTTTAGGCATCGATGCCGATGCTAATGTGAATCTCAAGAAACAAGCCAGAAACCTACTAAATAGGAGCCCAGGACAAAAAGGCAAAAGTCTACCGCAGATCCCTAAGCCACCGATTTTCAAGATCTCCCAGAAGACTGATGCATACAACGACTCCCGCCAAATAGTTACTCGACCCAGAGGAGCAACAGCCGACGACTCACCGAGCGAAGCGCTGAAAATACTGACAAGTCCATCCAAGACAATAATCATTCCTACTTTCGAACAGGCTTCTTCTAAACCTACTACAACTTCAGTGGCTCGATTTTTTTCTGAGATGGACGACACTTCTGCTGCTCAAAACATTCAGCTGCCTGAGACCTCATCCAAAGATGAGATCAATGCTAACTTTCAGTTCCCATCGCCATTCAAGGCTGACAGCGACGAAGGGAAGCTCTCTGAGGTATCTTATTCTCACGGTGGTACTGATACCCCAGAGGTCGAAGACGAAAATTCATTTGAACGACGCAGGAAGCTCCTTAGACAGCAATCGAACGGTAGCAATTTCCGGCGTCATACTCACAACAGAACCCGTAGCATCCACGGTTCACAAGACCTTTTTATCGAAAGTCACACCCCACCAAAAACGGGCCCAAAAGAGATGAACAAGGTGGCCATACCTGAACGGTCACCACGAAGGGGCTTTTCTCGCAATTCAAAACCTTTTGATGGAAATCATAATGAGATTAAAGTGGACGCTATATCCACGCCCACTAAAAATACTGAGCATGAAAGCCTGCCAGAGGCGAGCATTGCCCATCCAATCAGACCACGAATACAAAGCATACCACACCACCCCCTCGATCTTCCTTCCTTGAAGAACAATAATCCCAACTTCGCTGATCGTACCGAAGGTGTAGCAACCAGAGATCAGATAAACTCAAAATTTGACGTTTCGCATCCAATCATGCCCCAAGAAGACTCGAATCTGCAAAAAACAAAGTCTGGCGAATCCCCTGTGACACATTTCTTTGCATGCATAACAAATAACAATAGATCTGACATTTCTGCTTCGTCTTCGAGTTGCGCGGAATCCAATGCAGTCGAGGAAGAGGTTGACTCTGGAAAGAGCTTTGAAATATTAGAAGAAAGGAAAGTAGAGAAAGTTACACCACTTTCTACGTATCATTCCTTCAAAGCCCCATTGAACCCTCCGGAGACTGTTAAAACAGAGAGTTTGCTGGACACCAAAAACATGGAAAATGATAGACATTTTTCTACACGACAATTGTCAAATAATGTAAGTCATTCATCATCGGAGTCTAAGGACAGTATACCATCACGCTCTTCAGTGGCGACTGCATACTCTCAAGCTAATGAAAACTATTTGTCACAGCCCTTTAAGCATATACAGAGAAAAACAGAAAGTCCTTTCGTTACAAGAAGGGACTCAAAAGTCGGGTTTTCTCCTAAGATTTCAGAGCGAGCAGATATAGGCCGTCTTCAACCTAAAACCTTACGAGAATATATTGGGGGTGAACTGGTAGACGTCGTGTTGCTGGATGATCCTGAAGATACGGCTACCGCCCCAGAGAAAGGAAGGCCCAGATCTTTTCATGAAGACGCCCTGGAACATTTTCACGAGATTTTGGATCTATGCGACAAAACGGCAGACAGAGCAAAAGGCGTTATATTAGATTTGGTTGAAACTCCTGAGATTCCAAGGGCTAGCGGCTCCAATTACTCACGATCACCTCCATCTTACAACCCTCGCCAAACCCCAGTTCTCAACTCGCCATATTCAGGTAAGACCAGTAATTCTTATATTGGTAGCAGCCGGGAATCACCATCATCGAAGTACGTCTCAAACCTCGATCGACTGAGGGCACTCGCAAGGAATCGTTAAGCTTTACGCCCTCAATGGCGATAATCTTGCCGAGCCTTCGCCACTTTTCTACATTCTGTATTGCTAGCTGTCTGGAACTGCTAGCAGAAAGAAATTCGATGTCTGGGCAGAAGGCGTAAATGACCAATAATAATTAAATAGCGACTTCGACTTCTTTGAAGCGACTGATTACTGAACTATACCGTTCTATGAAACACCAAATTGTATTAACCCTCAATGATTTGCTGGCACTTTAGACCCTAGGTGAGCTGTCAACCGACGCATTATTTTCTTGTATTGGGCTGAGTGAGTTACTTTGATTAAAATACGGCGTCGGCCGACTCAAAGAATTCGACGGGGTAATCGGCGACGCGGCAAAGTCTGTTGGGGGACTCTGCTGCCAGTCTTCACGCGGAGAAGGAAGCGTGCTGCCATTGTCTTGATAATCTCGGTTGTAGCCCAAGGGATTATTTTCCAGCTCATTAACAGGACTGTGAAAAAACGTAACTACTTTATCTTTCAGTTCAAGTTTGTAGTTTGCAGGTAAGCTTTCCATAACGACACTTAATGGCTTGCTGGAAAAACTGTGGGTTTTCTTGAAGGAATTGGCATTCTTGTTGGAGCCGGGGGACTTCAGCACTCTTGCGAAATAATCATCATCATCCGAAAAATCGTAATCCTCTGGTAGTCTGTTAACTTCATCCAAGTAGTGTTCGTCCGGTTGATTCTTTTGATTATACTTGTCTTCTTCAGACTCATCAATGAAATAAAGGTTACTCGTGGTACCAGGCACTTCATAGTCCAAATTTGACATTAAATCATGGTATTTCAAAACCTGAGATCTTGCGGGAGGAGGTAGCGATAGATTGAAAGTATCAGATGTCAATTTTTCAGAGCTATACGTGAATGGAGATCGCAGCTCCGATGCATGTGTTTTTGAGTTTTGAATAGAAGGAGAGTCGGCAAACAGCTCCCGTTGTGAAGCTATCAACTCTTGGCTATCACTGTTGTTGGAGACGTCAGATTTGGGTCTTGAAATCGTCTCAGGATCTTCAGAAGAGGGACTCTCGGTACTGAAACTGTTCGCCTTTAGAGGTTCATCATTATCACTAATGTCGAAAATATCTCCGTAGCTGTTTATGTTGCTTTGGTGGACGCCGGCAATCTCTCCATAGTCTTCGCCCTCAAAATTATCTGAGTCCCTATCTCGAGATCCGATTCTCTCGGTGTCCAAATTTTGATCTTCGTTTTCACCACACCCGGTCTCTTGCCCGGAATCATCCTCCTCATCAGATATATTGAATAAGTCGTTATAATTGTTTACCCCGCGGCCAGCCGCTGGTATGTCATCAGATTCGTTTGAATCTATGGTCTCTAACTCTGATTTTAAAGCGGAGCCTTTGTGAAAATTATGCCCTGGCTCTTCCTGTTTTAAGCTACCAGAAAACCTCACCTCTTCCTCCGCGTCGTCTACTTCTTCGTCAAAATAGTTCATGTCTTCGTCAAAATCATCGTCCTTGTAGAGATCATCGACATAAAGATTCGCTTGAGGTGCTGGCTTCGAGTAATACTTGACTGAAGCCGTTCTGCCATTGACACCTGCCGCTTCAAATGAAAATCGCGACGATCCATCCGATGATCCATCATCAAAAGAATCCTCATCACCACTGTCCGCATCCGAAGTATAGTCTTTGCCTGGCGATTCTTGGTGACTTACCTCGCCGTTATGAGAACTCGTGGAAATTTCATCACCTTCCTCAAATGACCTGTCATTGGTAAGTATACTCTGTTCTTTGGTGTCAGATATTACAGAGAAAACCTCATCGTCTAATTTCTGAGCATAGTTTACGCCGAGACCTAGTAGTTTTTCAGAGTTCGAAAAATCCTTTTCCGTTGAGCTATCACCAAGAGGTGACGCAATGTACTCTGAAAGATAGTCTTGATCATTTGTGGGGGACGAATTGAAAGTGTTGGTAAATGAGCTTAGATCGAGAGTCGAATTTCGCTCCATGCACAAAAAGTCCTCATGCGAATGTATACGAGCCTGTCGGTTTTTAGACTTATTATTGTCAGGCCTAAAGCTCGAATACGGATGCTTTTCATGTATTTCATTTAAACTGCTAAGCTTTTCTCTGGGTAGGTCTACGCTCCCGCGGTGACTTCCCTCCAAAGTGCTGGATGTGACGGAGCTAAAAGATCCCGTCTGAAATCGCACGCTGCTGCGAAGCCCGGGCTCGTTGACATCTGAAGATGCATCCGATGATGTTAAGTTTCTATTCAAAAGAATCACTGACTGGGACCGTTCTTTAGACTTGGGGCCCCACTCATGCATTCTGGTACCTTTGATTGCAGGAGTGACTGCATATTCGGGCTGTTTGGGAAATTGCCAGTTTTGTGTGTTTTCTGGAGACGACAAATTACGAAATGTTTGCAAAAAAGGCGACGTAGGTGCTGTGGTTGACTCCCCCATTTTTGCGTGGCTAGAGCCGGGCTTTTTGAAGATGCGTGTGGAGAATATTTTATTTTTGTTTGTGAGCTTCTGAATCGAGTCAGAACTGGTGGATTGAGACGGCAGGTTTTCTAGATGAGGCTGAGAATTTCTACCTAGCGGTGGCAAAACATCGCTGTACTCGTTGCTTGACCTCGATCGATCTCTATCGCTGTAATTCCTCGACGGACTGCTGTCCACAGAGCTTGATTTGCGATGGGATTTGATGAACGTTCGCATCTCGAAAACAAGCGTAAAATTGAGTTTTCGACTGCGAGAAAAAGGTCTTGAGGTCGCCGTTAAGCTTCATGCGACCCAATCAATCAACAGCTCGAATGAAGATCGTCTACTGCGGCTATTTCGTGTTTGGATTGTCAAATATATTTGTTCGATGGTTTATTTTGGTGAATCTATCTATATCTTGAGTGACGTCGTGCTTGGATATAAGAGGCCCTAGCATCATGAGTACTTTTTTTTAAATTACAGAAAGTACTCACAGATGAGAAATATGATCACATGACCACGGCGGTTAAGTTGAGTTGACTGACAAGTGCTGAGCTGTGTTCAGAACGTCAACTTCTCTAGTGTTCTGGTTAATCGAGCAGCTCCATTCACAGATGTGTCATGATCGATGGACATCTTGGCCCGGTTTTGCTGAAGACCTTCCAGCAACATGCAAGCCTTGCATATCGTGTTACTAGAAAGATAACCGCACCTCTCGCATCGATTGCCGTCGACAAAACCCTGAGGTGGCAGCGAGACGGAGCCATCGCTGCGGATTTCTATGTGGTTGACGGGCGGCGCTCGCTTGGCCTTTTTGGGTCGCAATCGCAGGCTCTCACCGCTGTAGATAATGTCTATGATACAGCTGGGTCGCAGAGCTTCGAGGTTCTTCATGAGCTCACGGGCAGTGCCGCGAAACGCTTCTGGCGCGTAAGTGCACTCCGTGGAGAAATAGTCTAGTTTTTTGTAGTGCGCGTAAAGCACAATTTCCTTTTGGTAGGCGTATTTGAAGGGCTTAGATCGCTTGATAGGCGACCCACTGCTTTGTGTCATGATGGCAGTCGACTTTTCCAGACGCGCTACATCGCCCCGCAAGATGTTCATCAACACTGTTTCTGCCATGTCGTCGGCGTTGTGACCCGTCACAACGTGCTTGATGCCCAGCTTAGCGGCTCCTCGATCCAACGCTTGACGGCGGAAAACACCGCAGTACGTGCAACTGTTTCGAACACCAGCACACGCGACGATTTCATCCATAGTCCAGTCGTACAGCTCGCGATAAGAAACGATCGCCAATGGCAGATTGTACTGCTCCTTGTTTCGTTTCACCGTCGCCAAGGAGTCGTCTCGATAGCCCACGATTCCTTCATCTATACTCAGCAGCACAATTTCAATACCGTAACCGTGTCTCTCATTGAGCAGCTTCAATAAATATGCCAACACTGTCGAGTCCTTCCCACCAGAAGCACCTACAGCGACTTTTTCGCCGTTTTCAAACAGTTTGTTACACACGATCGTGTTGTGGATCTCGGTTTCAAAAACATGGAAGAAGCATAGCTTGCAAACTTTCTGCAGGTTTTTCGGTCTCTTGATTAGAGCTTTTCTAGCGTGGCAAAGTTCGCATAACTGTGACACTTTGACGTTTTTAGGTTTCCTAGGATCAGAAGGCGGCGTGAAAGACATCGTATGTGATATTAAGCGACTTGGTATAAGCCTGTGCTCTTTTACTCTCCGGACAGTTTGTTGATCTGATCGAGTAGATGCGATGAGATGAGTTCATTCATTATTCTCAATTTAACTTTTCAAAAGTCACCATACACGGAGAGAGCTTACAATTATAGCTGTCGCTACAGCTTAATGGTTCTCACAGGCAGCTCTGCTAGTGCTGCATCGATTCGTATCATTTCTAGAGTTGTGAAATATTGTTTATGTTGAGTGACGAGTTTTCGCCCGGTTTTTCGCCACCAAACTCACAAAGAAAATGTTTTTTAAGGACAATCAAAGGAAAACAACAGTAACGCTTTGTTGTCTTTGGCACACGCCTTAGTAGTTCACATTCAGCTCTGGTCTTTCTTTTTCAAATTGTCAACCTTTCATGATACATAGTTCACACTTTTCGGTAAGCTTTCTCCGTGTGCGCTCAGTTGTCATTAAACCTTTTTGCACCTCTGTTCGCCATGCGTAATTTATTAGCAGTAGACTCGACCTCACCCGACATCAGATCCAACAGCTCGTTCTGTTGCGTCAACTCTTGATTCATGCTGAGCGAGAGCTGTTTTTGATTTAAAATTATTTTTCGAAGCTGTTCCAACTCCAAATCCTGCTGCTGTGTGGTGTCCTTATGCAATTGAAGCAGATCTTGATCATTCAGCCCCAAAGTCTGGCTCGTTTCGCCGATTTTTCGCCCCAGCAGCGGCCGATCGTGGTGTGTCTCTTCTTCATTTGGGCCCACAAGGCTGGTGGTGGCATCAAAGGCGTTCGAGTTGGTCTTGACTAGTTTTTCGTTCAAATCCGTTTTCAGCCCGCTGAGCAAGTTATGCCGTCTTTTGATCTCCGATGCACCCACCAGTTGTTCCCGCGCGATATTTTTCAAAGAAACTTCCAAGTTCTGAATGCGCAACCGCAACTGGATGCCAATTTTGGTGGCCGCGGAGTGATCTCGAGCCGCCTCCGCTAGTAAGATTTTGCAATTCCTTAGCTCTTCCAACCACCTCTGGGGGTCTTTCAAATCTGCGGAGTTGCTGGTATCCGATCCTTCCAGGTCTCTGAACGCGCTGTTTCTTCCTCGGGGTTTTAAATCTTCCCAGCTGCTCGGCAGTTGCAGAAAATGACACACATAGGGGGACCGTTTCCACCGAGAATCAAATGAGTCGTTGAGTAAGTCGTTCAAAAATCTAGTCAGTTCTTTCTTTCGCAATTCGATCACATCTGGATCACACGACCCTGAGGGCTTCAGCCAACCGCCAAGAATCCTAGGCGGCAGTTCATATGGCAATTCTGACCCCATTTCACTCTCCAGGTCCTGCCTCAGCTTAATAAACTCGGAAAACCGACGAAAAGCATGGTATGGCCGCTTCTCACCGTCCGGTCTGTTCAGAATCAGGTCGATCCGGTATAGGGCATAACTTCGTTTAACTATCTGAACAGTGTTTATCTCAACACCCACACGCAGTTCGGACATCTTCAACCTTAACACTTGCTTTCGCAGACGCTTTTATATCAATAATGGCGACTCTGGTGGTTGATTTTTGCTTTGGTTTCTGGGTAGGATTATAGGTTATAGAAATTGATAAATAATCGTTAATGTTCACGTAATATTGTATTGTTAACATTAAATACATTCAAAAGTGAACGCACATAAGACCCAAGTATCGACCTCATGGTATGTATCTTATGGACAATTTGACATTGTGGGCTTTCAGACTCAAAACTCGTGAAAATGCGAGCATTTCAGACCTCGAATATACCTTTTAGTTGACGAATTTTGATCCACTAACGATGCAATTAGTCTAAACTTTATATCTCGACCACCAATTGCGGCAAAGCGCACGAATCTGACATTTTTGGCATTGCTTTGTCCTCTCCTTACACAGCAACTGTCTCCGGAGATGGGAGTCTAAAATTGTGGCAAAATAGGTTAATGGATGGCGATAAACCGAAGGAGCATGTTCTTTCCAAGTTTGTCCATAAGACAGGGCTTCACCATGTGGATACGTTCCATTCGGTTGAACAAGGCGGTTTGGAAGTGTTTCTAGTCGCGTGTGTTTCGTTTTCGGGTCAGCTTTTCTTGTACAGCGTGGATCCAAAGACAGGAACGTTTGAGGAACTTGACCTTCTGTCGAAAAATGAAAAACAAAGATCATATTGGTGTGTGAAGCTTTTCAAAAGTGCTGATCGTGCCGTGTCTCACAAGATGGTTGCTACCGACGTCAAAGGTAGCACTTTGGTGTGGACTCTGAAACTCCTTAAGCCAGATGAGCAAGACGAAATTCAAGACCCAGAGGCCATCAGAGAAAGGGACATACACCTCGAGGCTTTGGGAGAAATCCCAGCAACCGAAGCAAAATTTGCTACAAGTGTAGACATTTCTGTGAAAGGTATTGTGGCCACAGGGTTCCAAGACGGTAGCGTTGTGGTATCTCAACTAGAGACCTTAAGAGCCATCTACAATTTTGAAGGTTTTGGCATCAAAGGCACAGAAGAAAGTAGCGGTACTGTTCGAGACGTCAAGTTCTCCCCCTTAGGGGGTTTGCTGGCAGTTGCCAATGACTCTGGCTCTTACGGGTGTGTGACGCTCTACGAAACTCAGTATGGTGAGCGGGTAGGGAATCTTACAGTCCCTACACACAGCAGTCAAAACAGTATGGCCAGCTTTACACACGACGGCTGGGTCTTCGGCGTCAGCTTTAACAGTACCGGTGAGTTTTTGGCTACTTGCGGTTATGACGGTAAGGTTCGCGTTTGGGACGTCAAACAGAGAGAGCGCCTCAGTACCCTCAATATAAGCGCAGGAGATATTGAAGAAGAGGAAGATATCGTGTCACAGGACGAAAATGGTGACTCTTTGAAAACGCCGCCAGTAATGGGTGTAACATTCATCAACAAAGGTGTTAGAGGCGGGATCGGAGGTGATACCAATGAAGGGTTAGCATGTGTATGTTTGGACCGAAGTGTGCGCTGGTTCAGGGAAGCAGGAGGTGTGTAAATCCAATGATTAATATCAATTTGTAAGTACATATAGTTATCAGTTGATAAAATTCAAAGAAGAATAGATATGCGGGAGAAAATGAGAACATGCTCATTCAAGAGATCCCATTCCCCGCATAAAAAGAATAAAAGTTTTGTAGCTGCAACAACAGTAGGCAGATCATGATTAAAACAAAGAACGAAGTGGGAAAGGCTAGAATAGATAGGTTTCCTCGTTTCGCGTTAAAATTGGGACAATCGTGACATTTCAACGGTGACAACCACAGACGTAAAAATTTGGAGCATTTCAAAAGACTAGTGGGCTGTGAATTGATTTTTTTTTGTTGTTTTTGGTTGGGTTTCTTGTTTTTTATCCTGTTGATATAGTTCCCGACAATAAGAATGTTATTCAGTGAGAATAACAGAAGAGCGATTTGCTTGGTTGTACAAACTGAGATTGGGTAAAAAAATCCTCAGGTTGGCCGCCCCACACAGGAGCTAGTGATGGAGCTTGCAAGGGCGCACTGTAATAATTGTAGCCATTTCCACCATTGTATACATTTTTCGACAGAGGGCTTTCACCAGAAATTGGTGATGCGAACGAAGGCTGATAAAAGTAGCTACTGGTGCCACTTCTTTCATCGGTATGCGATGGAGATGAGTAGACCGTAGGTGGCGCTTGCACTGGCGTTTGAAATCCAGAACAGCCTTGGTAGCTGGGAGAGTATCCCGCGCTTTGACTGACTGATGAGGAAAGAGGTGGGATGCTGTAAGGGTTGAAAGCTGCAGGAGCTCTCTTTTCCTCACAAAATTGTTGAAAGGATAGTGTGTATTCATCAAAAAGAATAAAATTATCATCAAACAACTTCCACTCGAAAGTAGCTAACCACTCTCTTTCAAATTTGTTCACCGTCGTCAGATCCATGCCAGTGGCATGCGACCACGATTTGTTAGTGAAGGTTTTATCATCGTTGAATTTGTTGGCTAGAACAAATGCTATCATCAAGTTTTGATAGATGACATTAACAGAGTCACCACCGAGTGCTTCGATCCCGTTTGGAAATTTAGAGATGTATTTGCACAAAAAGTCCAAAGCCATGAAGACGGTCACAGAGGGCAATCTTGTAGCGTTTAGAACAGAGCTGACACCTTTCTTAAAAATATTGGAAACACTGGAAGACTCGGCGTTCAGCACGTCGTCATTATCGAAGACCAAGTAGGCGTTCTTCACAACAAAGTCGGACATCATATCCAAGTCGTAGTCCAAAACCTCACGTACACCACCATTCACTTGATCCTGGTGAGGCTGTTGTTGAGGTTGAGGCTGCGCTTGAGGCATCACGGCTTGGTAAGGTTGCGGCAGCTGGGGCAACATAAGAGCTGGTGGGGCAACAGCAGGTGCCATGTAACCCATGCCCGGGGGAGGTAGAACCATTTGGTAGCTTGCAGAGTGCTGGTGTGTGTATAACTGTTGTGGTCGAGACTGGTAATACCCTTGCAAAGGCTGAGGCATTTGGTAGTAACCATAGTTTCCGAGGCCAGAAGCTCCCATCGACTGTGAGTGGTTATGGTGGGGTTGGCGCTGTGGCGCAACAGGAGCGGGAGCAGGAGCTGCGTAGCTTGGGTAGTACATGTAGGATGTCATTTGGCAAACTGTACTCCCTAGAGACGTACGAAAAGTACGGGAAATAAAAAAAAGGTGGGGAAAACGAAAACGACAAGAGCCGATCGACGCGAAGGCGATAGGATCGGTGTTCTTTAAGTTTTGCTGAGGTAGGGGGGGGGGGGGGGAGTTAAACTCCTTCCTCAAACTCGAAGCAAAGAAAAACCTATCTGGAGATTCGAGGAAGACAAATTAACCTAATAACTACCTTCACTCTATACCGCGAATTTTAATAATAATTAAGAATCCTCGGTAGCTCCTCGAACAGTTGGTGTTGTTTTTCCTTGATACTTAGGTAAAGTAGCAAGCGTGCTCGTTTCTCAAAGCTGGAAATGCAAAGCAATTGCTAGCGTTGGGAAACAAATAATAAAAAAGCGAGACAAGCGCTAAGCAGACAGAACCTAGTGGGATAGGAGATCTCAGAAAAGAAAACTCTTGAAATAACAGCTCCAGAAAACGTTTGGTCTTTTATAAATCACACAGACCTTTAAATGGCTTAAAGGGAAATTTTTTGGGATATTCTCCTAACGTGGCGTACCGAACAAGCAGACTTGTCGTGGTGGTAACAGTGTTCAAATCAGCGAATAGTAAAATGCTGAAAGACCGCGTCAGAAAAACCAAAAATCACGATCCGTATTGTAATAATATTCCGCTATCAAATTACGGAACACAACAACCTCGGGGCAGCACTTAAGCAGACAGATGCGTGAATTCAAGCCAGGTCTTTAATTCTTTGCAAATAATCACACACAGTCACACACAAATCGAGTATGCTATGTTATGTGTACAAAGAATATGGTCAAAAGACAGAACCTCTGGACCGAAACTGAAACAGAGAGAGATCCAAAAAGAGTTGATATATTAGAGAGAAAACCAGTATCGAAAAATGAACTGATGATCTTCTTAATATAGTCAAGTTGATGTGGGTTTAGATGGAGTTTTTTAAGAAGTGATCAAGAGGTGATTGAATGGATTTCAACAATGACAAATTTGATTTTATATTAGTACGGGAAATTTTTTACGAAGGCATATGAGGATTTTCTTTTAGTGGAGGAAAATTAAGCACCCAGCCGAGTTTTATTATCGTTTTGAGCGAGGGAAGGGAATAGTGGGAGCGGCGATGGATATTGAGAAGTGTGGTGGGAATTTCGATCGTGGAATGGGGAATGTGGGAGTTCTGGCTTTGTCTTGATACTATTTGAATGGTGTAATTTCAATGGTGTCGTTTTATACGGTCATTTGAGAACGAGAGCAGACACGCAGACAGTGGGGGATACAGAGAGTTGGGTGCATGTATGCGAGATGTATAGAAAATGCTTCTCATCTGCTCAACCAATGTCCCCACCTGTCACGCCTGTTTCATCTTTCTTTTGGCATCTTCTTTTAGAGATCACTTTGTACTTATGTGACACACCTCATTCGGGAAATGCTCTTTGGCTGGCATCGTAGAAAGACGTATTGGGTTAACCTATCGACCATGAGTCTGTGTCGTAGAGTCTGTACAAGATTCACTTACTCATTTATGTCTCTTTTCCGGACCGCTTGCTGGACTAGCTCTGACGTAGTCTCACGACACATTAGTACAAAGTGATCAAAGAGGGTCTGGAAATAAATGCAATAATATGTGTTAACCGAGTATACATGAGCGCTCTATGCAATACGATCACTGCTCATCTATGCTAACCTGCAGCAGAGCTTTATTTATTTAGCCTTACTTTCCTCTGATCAATGCAGTGGCGGTCAGTGACATTTTACGGTTGCTCGGGGTGTCTCGCGCCTCGGAAACAGCAGCTGTACCGGTTTGAGATGCCATGCCAGCGTCCCGCAAGTCCTGCATGCTCACGTCTTCTTCAAATGTAGGCCACACCGTTGTGCTCGAAGCTTGATTTTGATTTTGATCTTGATTCTGATTTGGATTTTCGTCATCGAGCATCATCGAGATTGAGTCGTTCCCAGGAACTAGCTCTGACCACCGAACTTTTTTGGCTGTCTTTCCGCCTTGCGAATGACGCGACCTCTGGACTGGCGACGGAGTACCGCTATTGGACTTGGAAATCTTGGATGTCGTATATCTTCGGTGAGCTTGCGTCGTGGACAATTTTCGTACATTCCAGTCGCGGGACCAATGTGAAGCAACCTCGGTATTGGTAGATGCCGAAGACGTCACGTTGCTGTGAACACTCGCTGCAAACGCTTCGAATTCCTCATCAATGTGAATGAGGCTTCGCATTTGCTGGTGCAATTCTTCCAATAATGCTAAAGAATCAATATGGCCATCCAAATTGTTGTCCGTGATACTTCGCAACAGTGTTTGCGATACGAATTTTACTCTGTCAACCAGCACGCTATTTTCCATGAACCTTTCCATGATCACTGATGAAAAGACCAAGATTTCATTACGAACAGACTCTGCTACGGAGCTCAAAAGCGAATCATACCAAATTAAATCGGTCTCCTCATGCCAATTTTCCATTTCTTGCAATTTAAGCAGGTCTACCTCTCTTGTATGCTCTAGAGACAAATCCAGCTCGTCCGGTGTGTCAAAACTCTGCTCCAAGTCCTTCACCTTGTCGGTGAGTTGCTCGCAAAGCGCAGAACAATCAATTTGCAACTGACTACCGACATCAACAAAATTCAACAAAGTGGCGAGCTCAACTCCAACCATTTGTAAAAATCGTCTTTTGCACAATATCAGGGATTTGATCATTTTGAGATGTTGAAATTTTTCAGAGTTTCTGTAATTGCCCCGAAGAGCTTGAATGCTATCCCACACGGCCATATGTATCCTTTCGCGTGAGATCTTATGCTTGCTGATTTGTAAATCGATTATTTTGCGTTCCCTTGACCGCAATTCCTCGATCTCTTGTCTTTGTTCGGTAATCATTTTGAGGTACGATCCCACATGGCGATCCAGGGAGTGTCTGTTTCGTATGAGCTTGGTCTTGATTTCCTTTGCGCGAGTTGCGTATTTGAGCGTGTTGAGCGACTCGTCGTAATGATTGCTCCCGGGAGAGATGCACACTATCATGACTGTTTTGCAGTTCCCACCAAGGGAAAACTTGAGAAGTCTTGTCAGTTTGGAGTCTCTATAGGGGACGTGGCAGCTGGACCCTCTTTTACCGTTTACACATAGGGCATTTATGCAGTTTCCAAGCGCCAAAAGAGACCGGTTTATGTTGGCACCCTCGTGTAACCTTTCACCTCTATTTTTGGTCGCGGATGCCCTTTCGCTGCCCGCCAGATCTATCAGGGACAGTGTTGCAAATTTTTGGTCCTCCTTTAGCTCTGCAGTGCGGTTTCTCTGGGTAATGTGGATCTGGAGAACCGCGTGAGACCGAGACGAAGTTTCGTTGGCGTCGGTGGCAGACGTTGTTCTGTTGCTGTTTCCTCTGACAACCAGGTCCATCACATCCTCGACCGTTTTAAGCGGATGATGGGAAAGATTGGCCACGCTGATATGGCGATGCGAGTCCTCACGCAGCACGAGCTTCTTGCTGGAGGTTTCGGGCTCTAACAGGTCGCGAATGCTCTCGTTGTAGATCTCCAGATACGAGGCAGTCAGTTCGAATCGCTTGGTATCGCGCATTTGGTCGATTTTGCCAAACAGTTCTTGCATGGTCAGAAAGATGATGCCTGGGTTTTGCGCCGGTCCAGACACGGTGTAGGTCTTGCCACAGCCTGTGGCGCCGTAGGCGAAAACGGTCCCGTGGAACCCGTCCAGAACTGCATCTAGTAGCGGACGTGTGGTTGCCTCATACACTTCGAGCTGGCTTGCGTCCATCCTGAAAACGCGGTCGAAAACGAACTTGTGTTCTCCGCTGCGTCTGCTGCCTGCAGGCGCTGCGATTGCGTTCAACACGGTGTCGCTAATTTTACGCAGTGGGTTATGCTCAGCAGGGTCGAAAATGAGCATTTTGTCGTCCACACAGTCTACAATCTGGCGCAAGCCTTGTGGCTTGAAACGGCCATTGCCCGTTCCTGACGTTCCTGACGTCTCAGTGGACCCTGCCGAGCCTGTGGAACCTGCTGTTTTTGTCGGTGTCGAGTTCTCTGCCCCTGGAAGCACCAGACTCGCGTCTCCGAGCTGCAATTTGCCAAACGCCCCGCTCTGGTCGATGATCAGATGTGCCTGTTCCTGCGCTGTAAACGGCCGCACACGCACGGCAACGACGATCGACGACTGTCTCGTCTGTGGTACGTCGTAGTCCATCACACCACTCTCAATGCTTGCATCTAGTGTCTCAAACAACAGCTTGGTGACAGACTGATGTGGTCCAAGCTGGATCAAGTTTGTTCAAGTTAATTCAATTTTGTAGTAATTTTGGTTTGTTTACCTTTTTTGATTTCGTGCGAGATGATACTCTAGAGTATGAAACCAGAGGGCTAAAAAACCTCTTTGGGATCAGTAAGTATGTCGATGACCTATGACTTAAAAGAGCTTGCAAGTTCTGATCAGAAAACATAAAATCGCCAGAAAAGGGCTAAAAAGTGGTGAAAAGAGGCTTTTGAAGGGCAGAGGCGTAGCCTGGAAACAGTTTTCAACAATAGCGCTGAAAAATAGAGCTTTTTGGCGAAAAAACGGGCCAAAAAACTCGAAAAACTGGTGGTTTTTGGGTCATAAAGCACAGCGACGGTTTTGACATGTCGTTTCGGTTCAATAAGGCCACGTTCGAGGACAACTCGTTCAATGAGCAAATTCGGGAGAAACTGACGCACGCGCTGAACGCCGACTCGAAAAGTAGCACCACTGGAACACAGTCCAATAGCGCAAACTCGTCGAACTCGGCAGCCACAGATGAGGTCAAACAGGAGACAAAGGCGCCGAAAAAGCTGGATATTCTGAAAAGCGGGATCTACGTGCGCAAGGTCAACTTCCCGTCGATCCCGCAGCTGGAGATTCTGGACCTGGACGTGTCGGCACAATCCAAATCGCTGCTCAAGGGTATCTGCAAAATTTCGTGCAAAAACGCAATGCTGGAAATCACCACGGAGATCGAAGCAAACTTGCTGCTGCTGTACACGAACAACGGGCCGGCGTTCACGACGCCACGGCTGATCTCCAACGACTCGTTCACGGTGCCCATCACCATGACATTCAGCCAGATCGAACTGGAGGCAATCACTAACATCTTTGTGAAAAACACCAGCGTCGGAATTTCGTTCAACGACGTCAATCTGGACTTTGACTTCGACTGCTCCATCAAGCTGCTGCAGTCTAGCATCGAAAAACGGCTCAAAGGCTCCATGGAGACCGTTTTCAAAGACGTGCTCCCCAGCGTGATCTTTAGCATGAGTCAGCGGTGGTTTACGCACGGTGAGCCCAACGCCAGTCCAATGGATGAAAACGCCTCCAAACAGATTTCTAGTCATTCCAACGCGCCAAGAACCATCCTGGAAGACGCCGATCTCGAAGACTTGTCGCCAGCCACCATGCTGCGACTTTCCACCCTGGTCTCGTCACGGCAATCCCTGTCACTAAATCCAACAGCCATGAATACGCTAAGTGCCATTCCTGGATGTCTGGAGAGACAAAACTTGCATCGCTTCAATTCTAGAGTACCTGCACTCAGCAATTTTTACCCCACATACTACGACAACGGGGTGCCAGACTTAAAAATGCTTGGCAGATCTACTAGCCACAACACTGTACTTGGCGGTGGCTACACACAACAGCACAATGCTCTTCCGCAACGCGTTCTCGACGAAAGAAGCTACGATCTCAAAACCATAGCATCGGTCCAATCTCGGATTTACGAAAGAGGCAGCGGAGACAACACAGTTTTAAGAAGACGCAAGATCAAGATGGGCCGGAGCAAGAAACAACAAACGCCAGCGCCTCCTTCGCAGCCAGATTCGGCCCTCGATGAGCCAAAACACAGAGACATCGCAACCGCGGAATCCGTGTCTTTGGAGCCAATAGCTGTGCCAACTCCCGAATTATTACACTCGCCTCGACTCATATCTGCGATGCCATCTGTCGAGCCATTAGTGGAGAAAAGACCGGTTCTTGGAGAAATTCCACCACTGCAGTGGCCAGGACAGGCAGCTCGTTCTACTACTTCGGCAAGACCACCGGCCTCTAAGTTGAACCTGTTGGAAGAAGCTCATAGTTTGAGTCGCAAACGCGAGCTACAAAAACTAAGGTCGAGTCTTTATTCGCCTATGAGAAACAACAAGTTTTACGTCACCAGAGAAATGGAGCGACCCATTTTAGAGCATAAACGTCTGAGCTTCGTCGGGCTGGCTCACGGACTCAAATGGGGGAGCGAGGAAGTTCCTCCTCCACCTTACGGGTTTTGAAAACTGCGGACTGGGATTATACGGCCGCTGGAGGCCTACTTGGACATACATTATTTCATGAAGTAACGATTTTATAATTAAAATTCAAACATTATATCGATAACTGAGATTAAAGGGCAGCAGAGCGACGTCTGCAACTCGGGCCACGTCTGTGCCTGAGTCTGGTCACGATCAGATGCGAGCGATTCCAGCGTTTATCTTTGGTGTCCCGGTGAGTTCTCGTAATTTTGCGCTTACACTACCAATTTTGACCACTCCTCAAGAGTGAAACACTTGCACCCAAAGGCGTGGATTTGTGCTACCTCTTCTTTCAAAGCGTTGTTCACCAAACGGCATCTTTGAAGTTTGTTTTTGCCCTGGAAAGTGTCACTGACCACTATTACATCAAAAGACTGGCCACACCCGTTAGATGTGTCAGTAATGATGACATTTTTGATGTCTGAAATGGCCTGCGAAAGCTTGTCTTGTATAATTTGCTGGCTGAGCATTTCACCGGTAGTGGTGGTTGTTGAGCTTCTGTCAGTGAATCTTCTTGGAAGAGCTGTCTTGTAGCTGATTCTTGAAGACAGTGAGGTTGATTTCCACATTCTGGATCACGTGCCTTGTCGACGACAGCGAGCTGAACTTAGAAGATGTTTCTCGGTCCACTGATGTATACCGCCAGCTGTCGAGGCTAACCGAATAGCGATCTTGGATTTTTGGTGCTTACTTTGAGAAATTCAGAGCTCAAGGGCCATGAAGATCGCCCTTTGTTGTATCAGAAATGTGATTCATTCGCACTTGTGAGGTAGCATCGTTGACTCTCTGCAGAGAATATTAAGGTGTTATACTTTGCATCAAAGCTGTTTTTGATAGATGCAATACTCTCTTTAGAGCTTACTTGACTGTTCTCTTGTGTATAAGTTCGCGTTGAATAATACTGTCATTTATTATGTACATATGATCTACCAATTATATTAACAGAGCGAACTAGCGACACTAAAAAAACATGGAAATGGCAGAAAACAACCGGAAAGTTGAAGAAAGAGGTTTGTAGTTGTATCGAGACAAGCAGTTTGGGAATTCTTGTTACGAAATTTTCCCTTTAGTTTTTTTGGCTTTAAAACAGTAAAATGTAATGCCATTTGTATACTCTGCTGATAATTATCTGAAGATAATGGATTTGAAAGGCCCTGACAATCGCGATATATTTCGTGGGTGTTTGTGTGTAGGTATTATCGCAATTATCGAATCTTGAAATACTGTGAATGAGCATACCGTACTTATGTCATGAATGAACTTGGTAGCAGTGGTAGATGTGTTGTGGTACCTTCAGATGTACATCGTCTGCGACACTTCCAGAAAAAGCAATCAGTGGTAGAAGCTCAACTCAATTGGTCAACCCAAGAGACAAGAGACACTACTACCTTTATTATTTTTCGGTGAATGAACTCAAGTTAAATCGAGCACATCTTTTAAGTGACAGTTTAGCGTTTCTGATCAAAGAAAAAAGACAGGATACTCCATCACACTCCATTACACTCCATTACACTCCATTATTCCAATTCTTAATCTTTGATACTGTGCCGCTATCAATTCCAGTAATGAGACACCAACAGATGAATATTTCCTAGGAGCTATCACAGTCGAAAGCCAAACCGTAAAAGTACAAATTACTTAGCAAATGGGGAGCAGGCAGACTTATTTGACCATCGTAGTTCTGCCAAGATCTTAGTGACCATTTTGACTCCCGGGTCCAAACGTTTGAACTAAAGAGGAGAGCCTCATCACATGACTGGTCTCGACAGTATCTCATAATTCAATACTGAGATCATGGAGACTATAAGATCATCGCTTTCACCAAACTCACGTCAAAAGTTCTTCTGGGAAGCTAGAAAGTAGTATATTTATCTTTCAAAGAAGAAACTTACTGCTTCATCCGCACTTTAGCAAAAATCAGTATGAGTAGAGCTATTTCAAGGTCGCAATTGAATGTTTTGATCAAAGAAATCACCAAGCTGTACCCATCGAGCTACGCAGACTCGGGCTGGGACAATACTGGATTGCTAATCGATTGTTCGGTCGCGCAAAGTAGTGTTCAAAGACCCAAAGTTTTGCTTACCATTGACCTGACTGCTGCAGTCGCGCAGGAAGCCGTGAACCACGGATGCAACCTGATTTTGGCTTACCATCCATTCATCTTCCCTAGCTGGAAAAAAATCAGTCCGTGGTCGAATCCGCAGCACCAATCTGCTATTAAACTGATCCAACACGGAATCAGTGTCTACTGTCCCCACACAGCGGTCGACGCTGCCAAAAGCGGCGTCAACGCGTGGCTGGCGAGCTCTTTGGTCCACGATATGTCCCTGATTGAGTCAAGCGTCAGCATCGAGAAAGTCACGCCAGTGCAGGGCGAGCAGGACTTTGAGGTTGGTTACGGCCGTGTGGTCCAGTTGAAGAACCAAATTCCGCTGAAAACCGTTATTGAGTCTTTAAAAGGCTCGTTGGGCATTCAAACGGTCCAGTGTGCTGTCAAGGAAGGCCTTGACGCGTTCCAAGTGCAGAGCGTGGCCCTGTGTGCGGGAAGCGGCTCTGGGGTGTTCAAGAATCTAAAAGAAGACGTGGACCTGTATCTCACGGGTGAGATGTCGCACCACGAGATTTTAAGACTACGGGAAATGGGCAAAGCTGTCATAGTCTGCAACCATTCCAATACCGAGCGTGGCTTCCTCAAATCAGTGATGCTAGAACAACTCGAAAAAGCAGGCATCGGCTGTGTGGTCAGTGCTGAGGATTGTGACCCGCTGATATATGTGTAGTAAACCCATCCTTAGTACGCCAAGACACTCGAAAGGGCCAGAAATGCCCTGCGTACCGGTCCAGCTCGTTGAAGGTCTCTTGTGCCGTGCAAGAGTACCTGGTACTTAGACCTTCATTTGGCCCATCTCTCTTAGGAGAGTTCTACTCATATCGATACAAACTGGCAATCCCGTCAAAAGATGGACCCATATGCTCAGAAGCGAGACAATCGTAAGAAGTTTCAGGACAAGGAGAAACTAAAACGTAGGCATGCGACTCCGAGCGATCGAAAATATCGTGCTTTGAATAAGACGACGGAGCCAGAACTAGAAGTGCCAGAGCTGCAAGCTAATCATTACCGATACCATGAAGACCTCTCAATGACTTACCAGCAAGACGAGGACTTCGATGCGAAAGAGACCAACCGAAAACTGAAGCAGGTGCTCCAAACCCGCAAAAACAACACCTCGATCGACGACTCGCATTCAAGACCCGGTCACGTGACTCGAAGAGATCTGGATTCGATGTCGGTTTCTGATCTAAACCAATTGCTAGGCCAAAGGAAAGACTCGAACTCGGTGCAAATCGCTGACACGGAGGAGATCGTAAGCGAAAAGCCTGATCGTTTGGAACCAAAACGTGAAATTGCTGGTAAACGGAAAGAACCCAACCAATCACGTTCGACGATCCCTGTTGATCTAGAGACAGACCAAGACCTGTTGGACGAGCTGATATAGCGGGCGTGTGCTAATCATCACAGAAGAACATTCCATAAACATAAGAGCTCTCAATCTTTATGAGCTCTCAAATATCGAGATTTATGTTAGGCACTCTGCTCGTATATTGTGACTAATGTTCATAATTATCTTAATCGTTTGGGATGCTTATCATAAAACTAAATACCTACGTTTTCAATACAACAATCATCAACAATTAGTATCCGGCAACAATACGCCTCGAAAACCATTTGGTATCACATCTAGGACTGTTAAGTTGACTTCTGGTCCGTATTACGATTCAACTACGAGCTGTATTCGAAAAATAGGTCTTGTTGGCTTTTTGCAGCTCTCAAAAACACCCATTATTCGTGTTTTTATTCCATCTTCTTTATCCGTGCTCACAAACAGACAACTGCTAGATTTAAAAGGCTGAAAATGTCTACTGATACAATGTATATGAACAGCTCAAGGCGGCTGCCCGCTGCTGGAAGGAACAAAACCAGCCAGCTTCAGAAACCTGAAAAAAAGACGACCAGAAATCACCGCAAAAACAAGACCCGTCAAGAGGGCAATCCATCAGACGACACTGTGCCGTTGCCACAACCTCAGGCACTTCCTAACGGCGAGAAACCAAACTTTGGTGGTTTCAACAAGAAAGACCGGAAAACAAACTCAAATCGGCCGGAAAACTCGACCACGAATTTTAATGGCACTGGTCCAGCCAGGACATCAGCGAGGGTATCGCAAAACTCTGGGAGCGGCTCGGATGTCACATCCACTCCGGCTGGCCGTAAAACAGCAGAGCTACTGGCCAAAAACTTGAGAGACGTCGTCCTCGTCGAAAACGAGAAAGGTGGCATCACCAGCGTCCCATGTCTGGATAATCGCACTCAGCGCCAGATGACACCTCAATCGCTGCCTAGCGCGTCGCCAAATCAATCACCTTCACCACTGTCTGCGAAAGAGTACGCCCCAGTGGCTCTATCTCCGCTGCCCAATCAACCTGGACTATATCAACAGCAACTCCAACAGCAGCAACTCCAACAACTGCGTCAGAATCAACACTTTCAATACTATCAAAACCAGCACTTACAACAACCGCTTTTGAATCAGCACCTACATGCGCAGCAGAATCGTTTTGCCCCAATAATTCCGCTAGGAATGCAACAGCCAGGACCAAACTACGCGCTTTCCTCTGGCGCAACACCTTACTATAACGCGATGCATGTTCCTTTTATGAACTCGAATACCCCGCAAACTCCTGGATTTTACGGAGTTCCACCCCCAGCGCCTCCACCAATGAATCTCATGCCAGGACATTTCCCACAAGCCCAACCGGTGTGCAGCCCTGGTCTTGCTCCACTAGGCAACGTTTCTATAATGTCTTCGGGTTCCACCGGGAGTGAGATTTCAGGTCCTGTGACCTCGCTGTCTGAGGAGCCCAGAGTCTCGAGCTCGAGCTCGGCTTCTATTCCAAACGCCAGCGATAATCTAAACCAAAACTCTGACAAAAAACCATCCAAAAAGTCTCGAGCTGGCGCAAAACTTGCTCGTGGTGGCTATGCTGGTGCTTCCTTCGCCACTAGTGTTCCGGCGGTAACGAATCTGCCAAAACCAAGTTTTACATGAGAGTCTGGTATTTTTCATGTCGACTTTGATCCTTTCATTTTAGGAGCATCGAGGGTTGAGTATCTTATTTTTTTCACTCTACATTATGCACTGGATTGTACCGAGGTCTTCCAAGTTCTCTTCTCCATTAAGATTGGTTACTCGGGAATTGATGACAGGAAGGGCCGCGAAATCTATATTTTAGGTTTCCAGTTTCTCATCGCATTTTCCCTACTTTCCCGATCATTCCAGACAGAAGCCAACACAAGTACAATGCTTAACAGGTTTAGCGCATCGCACTTCCACCTCGGCAAAACTTGGAAGCACTGAAACAATACAAGTATAGTATATCAATCCCGCTTCTTGGGTTCAAATGAAATATTAAATACACAAAGAACAATGTACGTTAATGTTCTTCTCCAATTTATAAAACAACGTTCTTGGCCAACTTGTTCTTGTAGTCCAAGATAGAGCCATTCCATCTAGTGGCAGTTTTGTCTTCAACAACAAAAATGTCCTGCGCAATCTTGTCCAACAATCTGAAATCGTGCGACACCACTACTACACCACCATTGAAGTCGTTGATAGCCTCTGCCAAAGAGTCGATAGTTGCAATATCCAAACCGTTAGTAGGTTCGTCCAGCAGCAAGACATTTGGAGCTTGTAGAGCTAGCATGGCGAAAACGACACGAGAACGTTGACCTTCGGACAATGTACCCATTTGCGATGTTTGGGCCTCACCGGTTAAACCGTAACGACCCAATTGGCCTCTCCAGTATTGGAAATCCTGAGAGATGCTAGAATATTTGTCACGAACAAATTCCAAAGGAGTTTTACTCAAATCCAATTGATCTTGAGAATGCTGAGAGTAGACACCTAGTTTAACGTGCGTGTGACGGGAGACACGACCAGATTGAGCGGACAATTCACCGGTCATGATTTTTAGAAGAGTGGATTTACCCACACCGTTAGGTCCGACAAGGGCCACTCTGGAGTCCATATCAACACCAAAGTTCAAATGTTCGTAAAGGTTGTTCTCGGCTTTACCGTCGTAAGCAAAAGATATGTCGTCGAAAGCCAAAACTGGAGGGGGCAATCTTTCCACTTCTGGGAAACGGAACGAGAAAACCTTGTCTGGAACGACAGGTTCGATCAGACCATCGGCCTCCATCTTGTCTAGAATCTTTTGTCTGGACTTGGCCTGTCTGACCAAATTGGCGTAAGTACCGGCAGAAGCAATGAATTTCTTAATGTGTGCAATTTCTTCTTGTTGTTTGGCATATTGCTTCATTTGGTTGGTCTCTTGTTCGCTACGGGTCTTGACGTAAGAGTCGAAGTTACCACCGTATGCGATCAATCTTTGCATACGCATGTCAATCATGTTAGAGCAGACACCGTTCAAGAAATCCTGAGAGTGGGAGACAAGAACCAAAGTCCTGTCGAATCTCTTCAAATACTCTTCCAACCACACACAGGCTTCTAGATCCAAATGGGCCGTTGGGTCATCCAGCAGCAGAAGGGTTGGCTTGACGAACAAAGCTTTGGCAAGGGCAACACGCATTTTCCATCCACCAGACATGTCTTTGGTCTTCTTGTTGATAGTCTTGGAGTTGAAACCCAGACCGATCAAGATGACGGCGGCTCTGCTTTCGAAAGTGGAAGGGTCCAAAGAGTCCATACGTTCGTAGATACCTTCTAGAACGTCAGACTCAGGGCCGTCCTCGAGAATGGTCTTTTCAACCAAATCTTCTAGACGTTTAAGTTCGTGTTGAGCTTCGTTGACAACGTACTCCAAAGCAGAGAACTCCGATGGCTCGGCAGGCTCGTCCAGCAGGTATACGTCGATGTGTTCGGGAATTGGATACTCACGGGTGGCGAGTGACTTTAAAAAAGTGGACTTACCACAGCCGTTTTCACCCAAAAGGCCGTAACGACGGCCGTAGTTGAGTTCGACTTGCGAGTCCTGGATCAAAACTTTACCATGGAAAAGCAGCGACACCGAGGAGAGCTTCACATCACGCGACGTCTCCAGCGAGTCTAGCACACCGGTGACCACACGGTCCGAGATACCGTCTTTGTCGAGCTGTAGTTTCATTTGCGCGACTTCGCGCGCGGTTGCCTCTGCTGAGTCCTCGACGTCGTCCTTTTTCTTCGAGGCACGCACGGTTTTACCCTCGGCGGCTCTCTTGGCGTCTCTCTCGGCCTTCTTGGCCTCTCTTTTGGCCTTGGATGCGGAAGCTGGGGGCATTGTGTGTGTTTTGATGTGTAGTGGGTATTAGCGCCGTTATAACTCGGTCAATTCGAACGCTATGGAAGTACGGGAAAAGGGACAGGTGGTGTTTTTCAACGGTCTAGTCGATGATTATCAAAGAGGTCCCAATACTTTAACGGTTTTGGACGAAACACTAGTTTTTATACAAGAGCTTTAGTGAACAAAGTAAGATCAAGACACGATGGATGCTTGAAAAGAGTGCATTCTATTTTATGGCTACTTTTATTCAATTTGCTATACCAAAAGGAAGAAGACGAAGAGGAAGAAAAAATTTGAGATTCCGTTCAGGGTGATAGAAATCTTCAGAAAAAAAAGAAAGAGAGAAGAAAGAGGAAAAGATAGATTTATGATCGCTTTGTACGTGTGTGATGACGTAATTGAGGTGTGTGGGTGTTTTCCAAAAATTTCGTATGGTGTGAGAGACGGTTTGAGGTCACATGATATCCCATTTTCAGGTTTTGATCTCCGCGCACGTGCATTTGCGCGACAGCGAAAGGTCAAAGTGATGTCATCGAAGACCTTTCTACTACTACTACTACTACTACTACTACTACTACTACTACTACTACTACTACTACTACTACTACTTGGAACTCTTTAGTTCCAGCTCGACAATAGTAGGGCGTTGAGGCAGGTTCCCAATGTCCACTTGAACCACGCTTCATTTTTATCTTATTTCAATATTTTTGGGACTTCTCTGCATATGACCATTAAGCATTGATTAAAGCAGAATCGGTAATCGAGTGCATTCTAAGATCTCCTCCAAGGTCTCCACCCCGCCTATATCTCATCACACTCACATCTAACATCGGCTATGTTATCGGACCCTTTTTTTACTATCGCTCGACACTTTCAAGAGCATGTGAGCTTGGGCGTTCTTATAGATGCCACAGCACGGTAAGATGCCATATCAAGACACTCGGACTAGCAACTGCGTAATCAAAACTATCGAAAACATCACTGCTCTGATCCTCATTAAGCCTTTCGAAGCCACCGCTCATGTTGGGACACATTTCAGGCGGATAATTTATCCGTGATTTCTTTCGGCTCACCATTAGTATATTAGAAGCCCACATCTGTCTCGCGCATTCGCCTAGCCTCTTGGACGCAATTGATCCCAGTTCTTTATCGAAAACAATGTCCTTCAATCACATTCCTATCATTGACCTCGCAAATGCGTTCGAGCCCGACAAAAGACCGGAGTTTCTCAAAAGTCTGTAGGTTGCTCTCGTGAACGTCGGATTTCTCCTCCTGATTATTTACGTCTAGTGAAGTCGCTTATACATGACTCATTTATGCTAACGATGACTTGAATTGTTTCTATCATGTAAAAGATCCACAGCTGTTAAATATCAAGTAAGAAGAAACTGGTAGGCCTGTCTCCATGCTTGATCACCCTGGTAGATTTCCCCGCGATATTCAAACCCACTTTTGGTTAGCACCCGCTGCATAACCTTATTGTCTTTGTGGGTATCGGTTCTGATGTCTTTGTAGCCCAGTTCGGCGCATATTTTGACGAGACCTGACATCATGATACTGGATATACCTTTTCCCCGGAATTCAGGAGATATAGCTGTGCGATGTATAGAGGCATAATCTTCTTCCCCGGCGCTTTCAGCCCACTTTCCGTCTATAGCAGTGTAGACGGGATCAATACCCACGAGAATCGCGCCCATGGCAGCTAAGGCGCCATCTTCATGTACCAAAACATAACTTCTCCCGGCTTTGATGTCGGTCTTGATAACTTTTCTATTCGGGTAGCCATTTTGCCATTGGTCGATGTTCTGAGTTTTCAAAAGTTCTCTTGCTGATTCCAATATCGACCAGATTTGGTCAAAGTCTTCTAAAGTTGCCTTTCTAAAAGAGTACATACGGCCGTGAGTCTACGCGATTCCTGGATCGCCAGAGTGCTTGCCAGTCTTGAAAGCGTTCGGTTTACGAATCACTGAGAGAATAAAAAAAAGTTCAGCTTCTTATCAGTCGAGAAAGGTAGATAATAGTCATTGTAGTCAGTAATGGAGGGTATGACTAGTGTTGTCAGACTGTGAAAGAGCACTATTGACTTTTCAACCATCATAACGCATGGAAAGTGTTAGATAGCTTCAAATGGTTCTAGTTTGAGACGATCATAATTTCGAGGCACACGGTAAGCTCAACCTGGATGGATCGTCGCCACAACTGACGATTGGTGAATCTTTATATATCGTTTATATGAAAGAGACAGGCATGGCGTATGAGAACGTTACCAGAAACGGCCTCTGACAGTCGTCCTTGTTTTTTACTCTTCAGCGAGAAGCGAGTCTTTACAAGGTATCAGGAGGAAACAATAGCTTTCGACCCCACATATTCATGCCTAGGACACATGTTTTTGAATAAAGCAAGGTGTATACGATGAAGACAAGAGACAAGAAAATCAGCAGTAACCGAAACTCGAGACCCAAAACCTGTCTATTGCTCCCGTCGTAATTCTCAACCCACAACTAGCTTTACGAACCTTACACGTCAGTCAAAACAAAAAAAACAAGAAGTCTTGCTGTATCAATTTTACGACGGTTCAATGTGCGGTTGGTATTCGAACAAGGTATTGTAGACTTCTTAGGTTGGACGCAAATACTGAACGTCTACGTGTTCGAATTAGTCGATGATCATACGTTTTGCGTATGAAGCTCCCATTGATGATACAGGAAATTTATGGGATCGCAACTTGGCACTGGAAAATCGCACTCGGACTCGAATGCTGCAAATTCTCGATCGATTCGCCAAAGCGGAAATCTTGGATCGGGATCTACCTCGCATACACCACAGCAAGCTGATCTCTGAACTTTTTTCAATGTCGATGATGCCAAGGATTCTCTTGAAATGCTCAGATCTACAGCAACAGAAGAGCAGGATGCCATCGAGAGACTTTCAAGGACGTTTGTAGGAAGAATAATAGGCAATTGCTCACAATGAAGCGGGATTTGTGCCTGTGAGTCCACTTCCAGCGTGTTATTCTGAAATTGCTGTTGGTGGCTACAGTTGGGATGTTGCAGGCAAGGACAGTTCTCTGCGCTGCAATTTGATGTGACAGTGGGCGGTCTGGATGTTTAAGTTGCACATCGTAAGACCAGGGTGGTAATTTGCTGCCAACAAACATGAGATGAGCCTGTCATCTGTGACCTGCCGGATGCGGGCTTCTGTCTACGTGGCCACACATTAAGTGCTCAAATGAATTTCTGGTCTCGTAAACTTTCGTGAAGTCTTGTAGGACTTTTTGGACTGGACTCGAGAAGCTAGACGTGGGCTTTATCTTTCCCTTTGGATCTTGTCATAATTGTGTGTCGTCAGGCAACAGACTGTGCTGAAATAAATATACATGCACGAAGACCTGGTAACAAACAACCTCAGTAAATCCGAGTAAAACTAACCACTGCAAAAAATCAAAGACGCCTACGATACCTTGAATATTTACTAGAAGCTGGAGCCACTTGGACAGTTTACGTATGCACTCCTGTGTTTACTAATTACAAGCGTACCGGCTTTCTTCCTCGAGAGACGTCCCATGAACCGTTCCGACATAGATACATTGCCCGCTACCGATTAATGTGGAGTTTCTCCAGGTTTTGCAATGATCTGAGGACGGCTTTTAGGCCACCCTGTTCGCTGGAATGTAGAACAGTGCACGTACAAAACGAAACGCTGAGCTCTTTCCTAAGTGGGTCGAAAAGGTTTGTAGCACAGTCCAATTGTAAATCCTTACGCCATGGCATGGCCATTCGTCATGGAAAAAAGAGAACTACTCTTGTGGTAACTGGTACGAGTTGCGAACAGTTTACCGTACGCCGTTCTTCCATCGCAGCGCACATTTTCGCAAGAAAACCAGGTAAATCAGGAAATCAGTAATTGCTCACTCAAAGGCTGGGAGCGTGAGTTCTGGTCGTAATGGTCTCTGAGTAACCCGGTGACCTGCCGTCTTTCTCGCAAGTCCGATTTTTAGTCTAATTACGATGCGGGCCGGTACGCGTGTGGAATTTGTCGTGCACAGTAAAAGCAAGCTCTCATGGCGATAAGACAACAAAAACCCACAATTTACACTGCATGCAGGCTTTGTAGACATCACGAAGTCCTCACCGTTCTACATTTCGCATTATTGCGCAGAAAGACAAAATGACGCCAGTAATATTCACTTGACGATGCTATGGACACCGCTGCGACGAACGAGCTTCGAATACCTCGGACATGAGTGCTTCTGCATGTATCTTATTGATTAAACCCGGGCCGGTGAACGGTTCAGACGTTTGCCTGATAAAAACGACTGTGATGTTCATGCAACCGAATCATTATCAAGTTTGCTTGCAGAGAGCAGAGCAGAAACCAGCGCTGGTAGAGACATTTGTGGAATTTTGCACAGTGTCTATGACCCGCAAATTGTCCAGAAACCTTTTTCCCAGGAACGATACCTCTCTCTTTATGCAGGCAATTACTACGGCCGATGCACCAGTGGAGGAAACACAATGTACCATGTGATTGAGACGCTGCACCTTACGGGAGGATCAGACCATTCTGTTCATTCCTGAGAACCATTGAAGGCCGCTTTTTTGGCCATTTTACCGACGAAGCACCGACCGAGCGCGCGTGCCAGGCGTCCTCTTCACTTCAGGCAAGAAATACGGATTTTACCCTCGGATTTACAGCATTTTCGACAAAGCATAACTACTTACGTGGCCGTTCCTCCGCGAGTCTTGGGCATGTTTCTACAAGAGACTGAACAAGGTATATTGTTGTAGCCTCAGGCACTATGGGCGACATGGTCACACGACAACTGGTGAACCGTTCGAACCTGTACTGAACCGTTCCAAATGGAAAAAAATCCAAAAAGACTAACGCCGCCTTAGATGAGAGATCCACCAATACGCATACACAGATTTACTGCCACGACAGCAGTATGCGGGCCAAGATATTCATCTATCTCTCTCTTTGTCGATCTACGAGAAATCGGTGTTGAACGAGAGAAGACAACGTTCCGTGCCAAGCGATTTTAAGATCTCTCATCGCGCGCACCCAGCGTGGTAGTGAACCGAAAATCGAACCGTGCGTGCTAACGGCGCCGCACATCATTTCAATACCTGCTTGAACCATTGCTGTCGTCAAAGTAATGTCCGTTTCTACACAAGTGCCTTTAAATCCGAGTTTTGGTGAAATCAAAGGGAATCTCCTGTTGTACACAGTGGTAGTAGACGAACAAACCGGCCAAGCCGTCGAACAAACCGAACAAACCGAACAAACCGAACAAACCGAGCAAAACGCACTCTTTCGCTGTTCACATGAGAGCATTTTCATGTACATCATTTTGAATGAGAAAATCACCAAATAAAGGCAAAATATGGTGAAGGGACCCTAGTGGCATGCACCTCGACCACTGCACACCGAACCGTCTTGCTTTGAACGATGATAGCATGCCAATTCGGCTTACAATTGACGAATTGTGTCTCTGACGCTGAAGTATATCATTTCTGACGAGGTGGCCTAATTTTTTGAATTATTCGCATACACATCATTAATCTGGAAATTGGAACCTTTTACTGACATCCCATCGCATCGCATCGCAGGCCTCTCCACAGTCTTTCTAAGCCCTCCAGCTTATTATGGCCACCTCCGCAGATACCTTGTTCCAGCAGAGGTCGGTGCTAGATGTCCGGGATTTTAACTTGCACCTATCGCACGAGATCGCTAAGGCCAGGGTCAACTTCGACAATGAGCTTGGCAAACGGTACACTGATGTCCTGGACGTGACGGAGGAAGTAGAGAAGCTGTTACGACAATCGCGCCAGGCAGATGCCAGTCTGATGGAGCTGTGTTTCAACGACGCCATATGTAAGTTGGAATCCATCCCAGAACCGGTGCACGAGTCGCAGGAATCAATTCGGCCCATTGGCCACAATTCGGCCTTAGTTTTGGATCCCACACTTGCCAATGACGCCCACTCTACTTTGGCCGTCTCAGAGTGGACTCTGGCGGTGCTGGCGTTCGCTGAAGAGCCAGCGTCTCCCAAATTGCTCGACGTGCTCGTTTCCAAATTTCATGTTCTCAAACAAATCAATGTGCCGGACCGGTTCGCCACAGTTATCTGCGGCAAATGCGAGCTTCTGGAAAGCGCAATTCTGCAGCACAAGTTGTCACTCACAGCGGTCCATTGGGTCAAATTACATGAGCTTTTCCATGCCTTCCAAAATTCGCCTCCGTTTCAATTCAAACAAACAAGCAAATACGATGATCTGGCCTTCGATTTTCTACTCACGAACGAGGAACATCTGCAACAAAACCGAACGGACGTCGACGTCCAGAAATTTCTTAAGACGCCCGTGTATAAGTCCAAATCTGTGGAGCGAGTACAGAGAAGTATTGAGGACCAATTTCAAGAGTATCACAGTGGGGGCAGTACTGATCACCAGCACGGATTGACGCTTTACGGTAACGAATTTGAGCACTCCTCGCAGTTGTTTGTGCACGAGATCGATCTGTACTGCAACGGCATTATCTTGGGAAATGACCAGAAACTAAACTCGTTGGTAGAGTCTATCATCCAGCTCATTGCGAAACTCAAGAGCTGTGGTGTGGATCCAACTGTCATTACAGGTATCAAGACCCGTTTGGTTAACTGCTTGCAGGAGAGAATACAGCAGCTTGAGGACGAGAGATGTGAGCCAGAGGCCGTCATACTTGAAAACGTTCTCCTGGATAAGACCACAGAAAAATCTAGTGAGGACCAAGGTAGCACCAAAGATGTGGACGGTGTGGTTGGGTCCACAAAAAGCGACACTAGGCTAATACAGAGTGACGAGGACGCAACGGGTGCTGTCAATGCCACCGATATAACATCAACTGAGACGAACGCGAGAGACCAGACATCGAACGAGACAGAAAATGCTGGGAAGATGCATGCTGGCGCAAATAGCTCAACGGATGCCCCCGAAACTTCGTCAGCTGGCTCATCTAACCCGCAGTTAGCTTCAGAGCAAGTGCTCGATGTTACAGAAACACCTTCAAAGCCTACGGAAGACTCAGAAACTCGAGATGCATATTTCAATGCGAATGTGAAAGTACCTGGTGAAGAAAATAAGCTTTCAGACAAAAGCGAACCTTCTCTGGAAACCAAACTAACACCGGGAGATGAAGAAACGACGATTGCTAGAAACTCGGATAAAAAAGAGGAATTGGCTCCAAATGTCGCGGAACCTTCTCTCAAAATAAATGACATCACGCTCAATTTATCAACCAACACTGAAGAAAGTGTCTTGGATAGCCAAGAAGCTTCTCGGGCTTCAAGCAAGTCACTAAAGCCTGATAAAACTACTGAAGATTCAAGAGCTATCTCTACAACAGACAAAAACTCGATTTTAATAACCGACTCGGACGCCCTAGTGGACATGGCAATGAAGATCATGAATATTAAAAACCTCAGACGCTACCTCGAGTGCCACATCCATCAGATTCAAGCACTCTAACTGGATAACACCATGATCATGTGCCTGGATGTGTGTCTCGATGTCTTGAGCTTAGGTCCTCTGTCACCGATTACGGCGGACTGTAATATAGTGCACACGTTGAAGTTGACTCATTGGAAGCTATAAAAGGACGATTAGAATCCAAACTTTAGAGCTCCCGTTACAGTCTTATATCGCATGTTCAGCTCCATTTTGAGATTTGGTGCTCTCTCTAATTCACGAACAGCACAGATGACATTTTCCAAATCAACCCAAAACCATGCTCAGTACAGAGAACAGGTTGAAGCACAACTGAGGGAAAATTGGGACCGTCTGGAGTCTTTGACACACGAAGGATCTCAGGTTACTTTCGAAGTGGACCCAAGACAAACGCCCAAACAGGATCCGGATCTGAAGATATTTTTTTTCGATATCGACAACTGTCTCTACAAAAGATCCACCAAAATTCACGATTTAATGCAAGTGTCTATTCATGATTATTTTGTTAGCGAGCTCAAACTCGATGACAACGCAGCTCGCACACTGCATCATAGCTACTACAGAGAGTACGGGCTTGCAATTCGCGGGCTCGTGAAGCACCACGATATACATGCTCTCGAATACAATAAAATGGTAGACGACGCTCTACCACTTCACGACATATTAAAACCTGATCCCGCTCTGAGGGCAATGCTGAAAAGACTCAGAAGCTCCAAAACGGTCGACAAAATGTGGCTTTTCACCAACGCCTATAAGAACCACGGATTACGGTGCGTAAGGCTTCTTGGAATAGCAGATTTGTTTGACGGGATCACTTACTGCGACTACTCGCAACGGTACAATCTAATTTGCAAACCAGACCCACGGGCGTTTGAACGAGCAAAGGTGCAGAGCGGTCTGGGTAATTATGGCAACGCCTGGTTCGTGGACGACAGCGGCAGCAACATTCAGACCGGTATCTCCTTGGGGTTCAAAAAATGCATACATCTGATAGAAGAAGAAGTGGACGAGATGCTGGGCAAAAATCCTCCTGGTTCTTTGATCATCAAGACTATTGAGGATTTGCCCGAGGCTGCTCCGGAACTATTTCCATAATCTGCTTTGTGCAGAGTATTTTTACATTGTAAGCAAATTCACATAACTTCGTAGTAATACGAGCTCAGGTTGCTCAGCATCCACACCCAAACTCTGTATTCGTTTTTTCACCAGCAACGATTGGTCACTACCAGGCGCGGGAAACGCGTCAGTACCGTATAAGAACAATACGCAATAAAGCATTTTAAGGTAGTTCTTCGAGCCCAAATGCGCGTTAAAGATCTCAATGGTTGTTTGTGGGCCGTTTTCAGGAAATAGCTCATCGAGTAAAACACTATGAAACTCTGGAATTTGTTGTGATATGCGTAGGTGGAGCATGTATTCTTCCCGATCTACAAGTTCCAAATACACTTGCAGAAAGTACTTTTCGCAAAGCTGGTCATAGATACGAGAGCACCAAGTAACGGTGCACTCTGCCGAATTGTAGACGTTTCGGTCCAGAATGAAGCGAATGAAGGTTCTAGTAAATCCACTACTGTTCACATACTTCTCAAGTTCGTAGCACATCCACTCCACAGACTCCAAATGGTTCAGAGTATCGTACATATGGGTGTTTATGCCTTCCGTATTCTCTGGCATGAATTTAACGGCCCCGAAGGATCGCAGTAGGGCTCTTAGCGACCTCTTCGAGGGTTTCATTTCAGAGTTCAAAAACATTTCCCACGCATCGGGTCGTACAACTCGAGTATCCTCAATAAGGAAGTGCCAATCCCGAAATCGCTGGCTGTCGCTGTTTTCATGGGCTACCATTTCGAGATATGCATCCGGCACTTCGTGCTTGAATATAGATAAGAGTAGGTGGTAATTCTCTTCAATAACATCTCTGGGCTTCGGCAGTTCCGTTTCAGCTGCATCGAGCGTCTTGGTGAGCTGTTCAAATCTATCTAACCTTTCCACTATGTTATCATCGAAATGGGTCCCAGTTTCAAACTCTACAAAATGCGACTCGCGAGCTATATCTATGTCCGCTTTTGGACCACTTATGCCTGAGAATATCCCCAAGTCCTGCAAGGGATCTTCCAATTCTGATTCGCTGCTCAATGATTCGGAAAGGCTCAAATTATCATTCAAATGATGCTTCTGATCAGTCAAGACATCGGATTCTTGCGAGTCGCATACAAGCTCAGTATCACGGGGACCAGCGCCAATACTAGAGGCAGCTGAGAAATAGTCCGAAGCGTCGACAGAGCTGTCGTGTCTGTCGAACGGAGATTCATCTCTCATCTTACTGTTTATCGGCATTTAAAGATAAGATCGACAAAACCGTCAACTCTATTTTATTATACTCCAATTACACCAGTAAGACAAGAAAGCGGGAAGCGATTGAAATCACTGGAAGATAACGTTCTCACATAAGCTACAAATCTATATAGTTTAGCTCTCTTTAGTTTGTTTGGAAAGCACCGCGAGAGGAGGCAATGGAAATCTAGTTGGATTGGATTGGTAATTCTTCTTCAGATCTCATTCACTACTCATGACCAAAACTGAAGTAACAGATCTATCTAAGCCTTTGGAGCTTGTTGTTGTTTCTTCTGCTTAGCAACAACATAAATCAAACCAGCCAAAAATCCCAAAAAGATTGAGAAGATGGACAAAAAGTTCTTTGGAGCATCGAAAAAGATCAAGCCAGACAAAGCGATAGGCAACTTATTCAAAGCGCCCACCATGGAGTAGGTCGTGGAAGAAGTGACTCTAACACACCAGCCAGAACAGTAGGAAATACCCACAGAGGCTAGACCGGAGATGATCAAAGCAGTCATGAACTCGCTGGTGAATGTGGTTGACACATTGGCCGCAGACCAATCCTCTAGAATGAAGGAAGCAACCAAAAGCACTGGCAAGGCTAAGATGTTGTTGTAGAACATAGTGTCGTAGTCCTTGAAGTTGGTCAACTTAATTCTCTTGCGCATAACCAAGACAAAAAGCGCAGAAGCAACACAGTTGCTGAACATCCACAAATATCCGGCCATAGGGTCCTGGGCAGAAGCAGTGGCATCCTTGGACGACAAAGCTTGCTGGTCACCCATGGTTGCGACCACGGACGACAACACCATCACCATGAAAGCCGACAATTCCATGGCGGTGACCTTACCACCGAAAAACAACACTTCACCGTATGCGATCAAAATGATGGTGAGATTCTTGAAAATAGTGTAGATTGGGACGGCGAGGTGCTGTAGGGCCTTGGACGAGGTGTAAATCATGGCTACGAGCAACAACGAGATGGGGAACCAGTTCTTGACGTCCGTTTTGTTGAGCGGTCTGAACTTGGCGTAGCCGAGCAGCTTCAACACCGACAGACACGCGATGCACACGAGGGCCTGCACGAACAGCATCACGAAGTTCATGTTGAAGTCCTTGCCGTTAACAACATACTTGTTGGTGACCGTCATCAAAATGGACGACCCACAGTATGCCAAAATAGACACAGGGCCAGAGTTGACTAGGTGCGACAGCCCGCCGTTAGACTCTGTTCTCAGCTCAGACATGACGATGGAAAGATCGGCAAGTTTTGTTTTTCAAGCAGTGGCGATAAAACTTGGCGGTTTTTTCGTATTATAACCTGCTAACCGGGTTCAATAATACTGTTACAGCTCTAAAATCGAGAGTATCACGGCCCTTGAGTGTGGAATCTTGAAGTGTGAAGTGTCGAGTAGCTGGGTAAAACACGCTGTCAGATGTTTAGATATGGAAATATGGGAAAAACGCGACTTGGCAAGTGTTTGTAGGGTAACTCTGAGATTTCGCGGCGACAGCGTTGAAAGGAAGCGAGTTTCGAGCATAAAAGAGACAGGGCGAGTTGAAGCTGGTAGTTGGTGTAACGGTCAGTCCAGATGATAGTTGATCGTCGTTTATGGCGTCTTTCGGAGGGTTTTTTGACGATTTTTGGATGAGAAAAATTGACGGAAGGAAATAATTCGAGGTCTATTTTATTCGCACGGAGAGCACGATTTTGAAGGGAGCAGTGGATGGTCTGGGTATGCCGCTGGTTATTGAGCTGAAATTCTTGGCAAGCTTGGTTGGTTTTCGATGGGGGAGTGGTCCATTTTTCGCTCACGGAAGATTGTCATGAGAGTTGTTGTTTGAATTGAAACAAACGTTAGGTTTCTGTGTGAGTGAAAGCGTACTTTGGGTACGGCCGGGGTGCCAAAAGGTGCAGAGGACTCGTAGAGGGAAAAACGACGGCACTGTTTGGCTTTTGAACTAGGGACTGCGTGACACGTGATCCTTTATTACTGCTTGCACGCTCGCAGCGCGACCAAGTATGGGATGCTGAGAGCCGGGACTCAGCACGAATGCCTAGCGTGAGGCCCTGGTCTCGATCTTATAGTTCCACGTATCTGCAGCTATTTTTATTGCAGTAAAAGCTGTGACATTCACGGTTTGTCAGATCTGCTTTCCACACTCGATTGCTCGAGATTCGAGTTCTAGAGGGCAATTAATGTGAGAAAAGGTCTCAAAGTTGTCGAAAACCGGGATCATTTTGCATTGGTTAAGTTTGGTGTCATAAATTGCGGCAAATGACTCTTCTGATCAATTTTGGCATTGACCTATCCCACTATTTTATCCATATGAGACCAGATTGATAGATGAATTGATAATTCTGATCATGACACGACGCTTAAACCGGGACTCGGAAGCCTTATAAGATCAAAAGCTTTGTTTTCTGTCATTTCGCAAATGAACAAGGTACAATTCTGTAATTTATAAAAGTCCTTAGGAAATTACAATCAAATAGGCTAATACGCTCAAAACAACATTTTTGGCCACGGTAGCGCTCTTTTCGCCTAGTTTTCTATATAGCTATGTTAAATCAGAATCATTGTATATAAGTGAACGTCATGCTACGAACTTGCCGGTTTTCGAGGGATTCCCTCATCGGCGGCTGTCGTTATTGTTTTCGCCACTTGGGGATCTCGTCTTCGAGAGAGAGACTTTGAAGGCTACAACGACTGGAGTTGTTTAAAGCGCATTGGTCAATCTCACTAAGGAACATTCAGTTTTGTGGGGATTGTATGTGTCAGCGCGATCCACTTTCTCCCGTGGCAAACTAGCATACTTCGGTTTGCACAAATCCCGGTCCACCACCTCCAGATGCCCCTATAAGTGGGCAATCATGCCATTCCAGGCCGTTTTTGTAGCGCTACTCCATGCTCCACAAAGAACAATGCAAATCATGCGGAAAGTCTATAAAAGAACAAGAACAGGTAGATCTATGAGGTTCAGAAAATTATGTCCATTTTAAACAAGCTCAGGAAGAAATACCTCATTTCGAGGCCACCTTTATTACGAAATCCCCCCATCACCCGATTCCTTCCCGTGGGGCCAGCTTACAAGCAGACGGCATTGCAATTCTTGCAAAGTTTTCAATTCGGGAACTCTGCTCCGGAGGCCCAATATCTGAGTCTCCAGCCAATTGTTTCCAGTTTCCCATACATCCCAGGAACGATGATTTCAAAGTCTACGAGGCTCCCAACCCCAAATTGATGTTCTGTTTTCTCAAAAGAGTGCCTTGTGAAATATTGACTCTACAGAGAATCTTTCACATCTCAGGTGTCTGGTCGCAAACTTGAAAGTTACACTCTGACACACTCTAACACACTCCACTGCAAGCACCACAACCCGGTCCACCATGGACGTGACAACTAAGACTTTTATTCTCACGACTAAACTTCTCCTAAGAATTCAGCAACTTCAAGACCAAAAGGTTTCATTTAGTTCAAAAGTCTCCTAATGGCTCGACATATCGTGCAATTGATCCAAAGCCAACTACTCCGAGCTCTAGCGGCTAAACAATGACTCTTCCACATTTCTGATATTTCACTGTGCGTTCCAAATGACATCAACATTCATCACCGTCTTAATATTCAGACGTAACTGTTCTAAGGAAAAGTTTTTATAAAGATATGGGAGAACGCTATCAAAAATGACAGACGGACGCCCCAACATGTTCGATATACTTGATGAGAATGAACCGAGCGGTGGGGTACGGTTCGACACGATGTTGGAGATTTTGCCCGAAGAAATTGACATCAATTTCGCCGAAGATATTGCAAATATGAATAACAAACTGGAAACCCCGAATTCAGAGCTGGGCTCGAAGGCAAGGGCCGATCAGACGCTAGCAGCGTCAGCAGGAGACGCAGGATCTCTTTTCCCGCAAACTACGCAGCCGATGGCCATGGAAAACCAGCAAAACGGAGAAATCGCTCAGCTGTGGGACTTCAACGTGGACGAGTTCATGATGACACCGAGCCAGTCCAGCGACTCGGCCACGATCAGTGCGCCCAATAGTTATAATTCCGAATTCCACGCCCATCTGGACGCTCACGGCGGTGCCGGGAACATCGACACTGACGGGCTCAGCTCTTCTGCATTTGGTACGCACATGGGCGGTCACAGCCAGGGAAACAACAACTGGAGCCACCTTCTTGGCAACTCGCTTCACTCCGAGATCAATACCCAGCAGCTGTTTGCTTCTTCCATGTCGTATCGCGCAGAAGACCCAGCCGCGAACTCGTTTTTTCGACCCACGCTGCCGACTAGGCGGTCGTCATCACAGATCACCAAAAACCTAGGTGAGGATGGAAGCATCTCACTTACATCCCACAACACATCAAACTCGATACGCAAAAACTCATTGGCAAAACCCTTGTCATCCACCTCTTTGGCCTCGTACCGCCAGCAGTCTGGGTCGGAGGTACTCAGGAAGCCCCAAGTGGAGTGTTTCAATTGCAAGACTACAAAGACACCGCTTTGGCGGCGAGATGCAGAGGGAAATACCATGTGTAATGCATGTGGTCTATTTCAGAAGCTTCATGGGACAATGCGTCCGCTGTCGCTGAAAAGCGATGTAATAAGAAAGCGGAATACCAAGAAACGAGGTAAAAAACCTGCCGCTACCGATATGAAAGAAGGGAATGATTTAACTCAGCAAGCGGACCTTAATAAGTCAAGGTCTTCGACCTTGCCGCCTCTTTCACTGGACGTTCCAGCATCTGTTCACGACTCGTCGCAAGCGTCCAGCTTTCCTTCGTCTGGAGTTAAATCGCGTGTAAATCCATCGCTTGCCTACAACACGAACGGGAACACATCAATGTCTAACCAACAACTGAGCTCTAAATCTTTGATGAGCCATAATAGTCGAATGCAGGGCGGAAATTCTGTGGGCGTTTCAAAAAAGTCAAGGCGGTCAAGCAGTTCCAGTTCCGCATCAAACTCCAGCAACCGATCATCGTCTTCAAGGACGATGGTGTCTATCTTACCGAAACCATCGCCAGGGGCAGCCCAACGCAATCAATTTCAATATATGGGTGGATTTCCTGGCAGTGCTGGCAATAGCGCTGCTTCCTCACCTCGGGTTTCCATATCCCCTCGGCCATCTTCTGCTCAAAGTCCACTGCCGAACTTTAACGGTCAAGTTATACCGACCTCTGGAGGAGGCTCTGGTATAACAGTTCGTCGGAAGCCTTCCCGTCCAAGCTCATCGTCATTTATGGCCACATCGCTGCAACAGCATCAATTCCAGCAACAGCAGCAACAACAGCAACCGCAGCAACCGCAGCAACCGCAGCAACCGCATCCATCATCGGCATTCGCGCTCCCCACCGTTGGCAGCTCCTCTTCAACGATTTCCGCATCTTCTCTCTCCTGGAACACAGGCAACGGCATTACGTCCTCTCCCAAGCCATCAAAATCGCCTCGTTCGCCTTTCGACCTCTTCTCTTCGCAGGAGCCTCAGTCTAGGCCTGCGTCGCGAAAATCTCACACTTCGCTGCTATCGCAGCAACTACAACAAGCTAGTCTTCCGCCCCAACACCCACAGTCACCATTCCAATTACAGACTCCTTCTGCTAGTCACAACAGCAGTTTCTCGATTTCTACAACTCCTCAACCCACTTCTATCAAGCGTTCTTCTGCCACTGCCTCCCCGCGAAACAGCTACATGGACTCTATACAGCAACAACGTGGCCTGCATGTCGAAGCAAGCCTTCGCAAGACCACCTCTTTACGATCAGATTCTTACGGCGCCTCCGCTACTACTAATCAAAGTAACAACACTCCCAAGCAAAAGGAAAGTGCTCTGAACGACCTGGACTGGCTAAAATTTGGACTTTAAATTGACATTCACACGGCGCATCTACAAACAAACGGTTAATTAATTCACAACTTGATTTTTTAGACATGAACTGTGTCATCGAGACTTCGATGACATTGTTTAGTGTAATTCTGCATTTATCTATATTATCTTGTTTTAATACAGATATTGTTTCTGAACTCAACTTCGACTTTCAGAAGCACCAATCGAGGCATGGGACATGGGAGTTCCTGCTTTCTGGGAGCTGATAAAAACTGATGGAAGCGTTCACAGGGTTCCTTTCAGGAAGTTCATCGTAGATTTCAAGGCCAGTAATGGAAGATCACCACGATTAGCTATTGATGCTTTCGGCTGGCTTTTTGAGTGTGGGTATTACGCCAGTACAACTGACAAAGAGTCTCCAGGAAAGGCCTACAGAGGAGAGGCATTGGCGATCATAGCACTCTTCAAACGCTTAAATACCCTCTTGTCGCTAGATGTGACCTTTATATTGGTCTTCGATGGGCCTTTAAAACCTGAGTTCAAGAAGAGAGCGAAACTGAAAAAAGCACTTGATTTTGAGACTGACGATGAGGAGTCCACAGAGCCTTTGGAATCTGCACAACAAACTGTCCTATCTTACCAAGAGTGCCTCTCGGTTGATAATAATTCAAGCTTCTCAAATGATTTGAATGCGGTTAAACAACTTCTGAGAGCTATGAACATATCATGGATCGATGCGAGTGGGGAAGGTGAAGCAGAATGTGCTAGACTCCAAGAATGTAATTCGGTTGACTATGTGGTCTCGAATGACTCCGATGTGTTTATATTCGGAGCCACCAAAGTGCTTCGCAATCTGTCCAAGTTTTGGGAGGATTTACCGGCTTCTTACGCCGGTAGCTTGAAGAAAAAGGATCACAAGGAGACTTTCATAACTATTCTTGACATGTCTGAATTCCAGAATTGGAATCGAGATCAAATAATCCTGTTTTATGCATTCTTGGGCGCTGATTATAGTCAGGGAGTAAGAGGGCTCGGTCCCAAAAAGTCTGCTACGTTAGCGCTACTCCAGAATCCTAACTTTGCGTCACAGTTTACAAACATATTTGCGGATCCGACCTTGAACGTCAGCAGCAGACGTCAGCAATATTTGGCCTTTCAAGACCATGTTTTCAAATACAGCCAGGCTAACAGTACCGAGTTGTTTGGGAGAAACTACTTCAAATCGTCTGCCATAAAGAAATTCCAAGGCTGGCCTTCGGAAGACGCTCTCATGCATTATTTTCACCCAATTATGTCACCAGTTATCGACGCTTCGAAGCTTACGGGAGAGTTTATCAACATAAGTGGTAACCTGAGTGTCAATGAGCGCAATTTCCAAGATATGTTCGTGCTTCTGAATGGGCTCAATATGAAGAGCATCCCAAATACGAGGAACTGGTTTCACGAGACTACCCATAAAGCTCTTACCTTAAAGATGCTTTTGCAGGGCGCACAGTCGCACGAGCTTGTGCAAACAATGAAAATAACAGATGAGTGGGTTGCAGAATGCTGTCAAGGGCAGTTTCGACTCGAATGCTGGCGCGTGCGGTACAACACCTTTCTGCCAGGCGTCGAGGAGCCCCTGCCAGAGGACCAAGACGATATGGAAAGCACGAAAGGATTAGCAACTGCCAGCCGAAGGGGCAGTCCTACAAAAAAACAATTGGACCGCGCAGCATACAAGTACATGACTTCCGTGCCCAAAAGCCTTGTTCCGGCAAGTCACCCATTAGTACTGGAATTCTACTCCGAGAACAGTAAAGAGCGGGATAAAAGCTCTCCACGAAAACGCACTCAAAGAAGGCATACCGCTCAAAAGAACAATCTTGACGATTTTCTAAAAAATCACACATCCCCCAGGAAATTGCAGCAGGAGCCTTCGAAATCCATGGAAATGCCACCAACAAAACGTAAGTTATTTGTTGACGACGAATTGGATTTCACTGATTCCGACAATGCTGAGTGGGTCGACACCAGCTCGTTGATTTTGATGTCAGAGCATGCGTGCGAGGAGGCCGGTCCGCTCGCCTCACCAAAGCGAAATTTGCTGCTCGATTACGATCATTGCGACAGATCTTCAAACGACAAAGAAATTAAAGAGTCGCCGTTGAAGAAACAGAATACTTCTGGGTCCACAAAACACTTGACAAAGAACCCAATGATTTCGAAACAGCACATCGATCTCACCATTGATAGTGACGCTTGAGAGAAGTGCTCATCATCCAAAACACCTCTCAAATTGCAAGTTATACAACTCAGGTCGATAATTTCGCTTTAAATCCCCATTTTTGGTCAAATCAAATTCGAAAACTTCACTGATACTACCAAAAATACAATTAGGACCGTCTCGATCAGACAAAATTGCATACCGGCCTCCAAAGCAGGATCTTAGGCCTGTCTACCAGCATCCTAGCCCGGTGGATCAGCTTTACTGAAGTGTAGATATATAATCATGTACTACGAACAGCGCTCACTAATCGACAAATGACATATATATTGAATAAGGCCTGGCATTTTGAGCTTAACTAACACTCTCTGATCATCAACTAGGCTCAACTAGTTACGCTTCCATCACCCATTCGATTCGACAATGTCTACGGCAGTATCGAAAAGTATAAAGTTCTCCCCGCAAAGCGAAAAGCTTCTGACTCTTGGCGCTGGCTGTTTCTGGGGAACTGAGCACATCTACAGAAAGCACTTTGGCAGTAAGCTCGCGGATTGTAAAGTTGGATATGCCAATGGATTAGAGCACAAAAAGGACTCTACAGACTCGGTTTCATACAAGAAGGTCTGTGGCGGAGATACGCAGTTTGCTGAGGTTTTACAGATTGCATTTGACCCAAAAGTGGTTACTCTTACGGAGCTGGTGAACTTCTTCTTCAGAATTCACGATCCCACCACGATGAACTCCCAGGGCCCAGACACTGGGACACAGTACCGTAGCGCCATTCTTACCCACTCCCAGGAAGACTTGGAGGAATGTCGCGCGCTGAAGGAAAGCTGGCAACCCAAGTGGCACAACAAGATCATCACAGAAGTTGCCATGTGCACGAACTTTTACGATGCCGAGGAATACCACCAGTTGTACTTGGATAACAACCCACAGGGATACAGCTGTCCTACTCACTACGTGAGAGACTTGTAGGTAAATGAAAAGAAGTCTCTTTCGCGAGAGCTGGAGGTAATCAGGGATTGCCTTCAGCGTTTTTCTTCAACATCTCTAGATTTTTCGAAACTTTCCGATCTTCACCGTAATTCAAAGCACTCACTGCCACTGCTGCGAAGAGCACTCCGCTGAAAATGCCTCTGAGAATTATTTCAGCTCCAGACATCTGCATTTGCGCTGCTTTGGAGCTCGGCTCAGCACGAGGACCCCAATCTCCAAACGAAACGAAATACGCTGCTCTTTGTTCATGTTGTGCCATACCGGACCAGTCGGCCTCCATTTTCCAATCTAAATATTCTATAATCTCATCTTTGGTTTCTTTATTCATCTTCAGCCATGTAGAAGTGTTGAGCTCTTCGAATTTGGGTGGTTCATACACTGTTGTACTGGAAAATCTGTTGATGCGTCTGATCAACGGCAAGTAAAATCCTCTGCTTCTAATAGAAGCTAGCATCGCTGCTGGGGAACCGGTGAGTATTCAATTCGCGGTTTTCTTGAGATAGCTTTAATGGTGTCAATGCTCACTTTATATAAATTGTATAACATTTTGATATCACTACAAGAAACCTTTCCGACTTTACTTAAAAACTAGCCTTGAAAGACGAGGATGTTACCATATGAAGAGATCCACGTAAGTTTTAGTAGCTTTGTTCAAGTTACGACTGTTGTACTAACAATTCCGGCAAGAAACTGTATCGAAAGTCGCCCAAATTTGATGAGTTTATACCGTTAGAATCGCAGCCTATATACGCTACCGTTGCCTTGCTAGCTGCGCTGGCTTTCATCGGCTTGGCAATGACTCTGCCTGCGAAGGCTAGTGGTGCGTCTTTTGCCCTGCAATCTGTGAAATACACGGCCCTCAGCTTGATAGGAAGTCTGTTTATGGGTATTGCCATCGTGTTCTTAACAAATTCGTTTGGCGTTTACGCTTGATGGGCGGGCACCCTCTAAATACTTGGTGAATATGTGCTACATGCGCAAAAAACCGCCTCTTAGGTGTTTGGCTGAAACGATGCTAGTGAGAGAGACTTGGGTTCGCAGGTGATATACATACACCATATGTATACAACAAATATGCAATCTCTCGAAGTAACGACAAGAGAAAAAAGAGCTCTGTTTGAATATCTCTCGTAGCGTAGTGCACCGTGTTAGACACTCGGCGCGTTACAAACTGAGTAGGTCCTCGTCGATGTTTATCAGTTTATGAACGCGAAGCTCGGAATCATTATGGACAAGCGAGCTGCCCTCCCCGTACTCCATTAAGGCATTGATCATCGCTCTAGTGTAGCTTACCATGTTTTCCAGAGAGCTTTCACTCTTCTTTTTGAGAAAAACAAGGACCCTCGAGTTAATCAGCTGAAATAATCGATCTTGCAAATACGCAGGTGTCAAGAACACCGCAAGATCTTCACTGCATTCTTCCAACGGATTGTCGTAAGCCAATAAAGAGGAGATGTCATTGAGGTGGTTTTGAAATGCTTCTTTGTATCCTGCTGGAACGTCAGGACTGTACACAAATCTCGCCGTGAGTTCTTGCCCAAGGGCTAGAATATCATCGATAGTGTGCTTTTTGAAGTTCACAAATGCCAGTAGATATTCAGCCACCTTTAGCTCGAAAAATACGTCGATACTACTCTCGAGCAGCCCAGGATAATGCGACTCAATAAAGTGCACACACTCTGCCATCTCGCCTTCATTAATGAGTCTTCTAATGTCCTGCCGCACCTTCAAATTAGTCTCTTCCTTGACGATTTGCCTTTCGTTGTGCCTGATTACCATCCTTGCGCGTTCCTCTTCGTTATTCGGAATGCAGTCTTTGTTAAGGTCGATTAAAAATCCTTTGGCAACGTCGATCAGACCTTCATGTATCAGATAGTCGTTAATCATCGTGTTCATAGTGCATGGGATAGAGTCATCATCGATGTTCAAATTATTCAAATTCTCCACATCCGGTCTGAAAAGTTGATCACCACTGATCCTATCATCATTTTGCAGCAAGAATCCATCTTTGTGTCTGACAATCCCTTCGTTGACCGGATTAGCATCAGATTCGTTATCCAAGACATCCCGTTGATCATCGTAAGGCGAAAAGTCATCGCGACCATCGTGCCCATCAATGCTCTTATAAATGTGCTGATAAGCTTTGGCCTTCAGCCTGCGCTGGTATCCCAGTATATCAAAGACAAACTCTTCATAAAGACCAAAGTTTGTTCTTATTACCGATCCTGCGGTCAAAGATACAAATGGCAGCACATCGATATCATGTATGTCTGTGAAGGCTGTTCCTAAATGAACGCCATTTTTGGTGAAAAAAATCGTTCCATCAACGTAGTTCACACCACAACCTATCACATCTAATTGGCCAAAACCGTTGGAATACGTTTTTGAAAGTGCCCCATCGGTAATATTTCCATCTTGTCCTCCATACAGGAAACATCCCTTATATAAATTGTCCCCACGGCTGGTAGAGCTGCTAGATGATGTTGTATCCAGAGTGGCTCGGACTATGCTTGCTGCTTGTCTGTTGATGGAGTTCGGGTCGCTCACCTGTAAATCTGTCCGAGATGATGATTTGGAACTCGATTGTATTTTTGAGATATCTCGGAATCCTATTTTTATTCTGGATGTGGACGGTGAGCTGCCAGGACGAGTAGGGAGTATCCTGATCTCATAATAGAAAACTGCCAAGCTTTTTGAAAGGGTAGCACTGTTAGCCATTGTACTGACGTATTCTTGTCTAGCATTGAAACCTGACAGATTTTCTGGGAAGCCGGAACCCACGATAGAGCTTGTTCTTCTGTCATGGGCGGACAGAGCCTGAAACTCTGGGTTCGATTTCAACTGGGTGCAACCGTCAGATGACACCAAAATGCTATTGTTCGACGGAGTTTCCCAGACATGCGGCAAAGGATAACCCAAGTGCTTGTAAATTTCTTGTGAGACTGTGTTTCTTTTGAAGTTTATCGATTCTGAATTTGCTGCGGAATCCGAATTGGCTTTGGGCTCCGATGGCTTGCTTTGTACCTCTTGCGAAGAGTCCACCAAGCCTCTGCCTTCAATTGGATCGGCTTCGTTGAGCAAAAATTCGATATCGTGATTGGTACTGCCATCATCAGCACTACGCTGGCTATAGGCGGGAGGACGAGTTACATGCGCTTCGTGGTCATCGTCTTCGTCTACATTTCCGTCGTTGTCCTCGCCGTCTTCATCCTCATCGCCGTCTTCATCGTTGGAGTCGTCTTCGCTCTCGTTGGAGTCATCTTCGTCGTTGTCTTCAGCTACATCGTCATCATTAAACTCGCCGTCGTCGTCGTCATCCTCGTAGTCAATGCCGTTCATCGAGTGCCGTCCCTCGTGGCGCGAAATGAACACAGGGTTCGTCAGGTCATGAACATCTGAATCCACTTGCATTTCGTCGGGATCGCTGGCGCTCTTTGCACCAAACTGAGGGTCTCCGTCAATCTCTGGGTAGAAATACTGGTACACATGGACCAAGTACTCGTCAGAGGCTGCGTCATAAGGAATTGTCCCTAAAACTCCTAGGCTCATCAATTTCTCCCAGATTTCTTTCCTTGTTTCGTAACTGAGCTCTGGTCGTAGCCGTCGAAGTCTGGGGTCTCTAAAGTTCGGCATACCCTCGCCTTTACTCTTCAACTTTCTGAACAGCTTCCTGTTTCTGTAGTAGATCTTCCATAGTTGATGCCCTATGGGCTGCTCCAGCAGATAGCTCGGAAACAGAGCCCTAACGTACGCTTTATCCACCTCATCCATACAATAAAACATGGCAGCTCAATTGTCAATGTTTAGGATAGTCTTGAGACGTCTTGGTCTTCATGGTGACTTGTCAAGGGAGATTTTGAACTCACTCAGAGCTCACTTACTTTAATTTATTAACATGGTCACTTTGCACTATACTGTCATCCTTCAATCCCAACTCGACATTCGAACTGTCTCCGGCCATTGTAGAGCTGTATATCTAGCTCGAACTCACTTTAGGCAAGCCTTTCAACTTTTCAAATACCAATGCCATTGAGGCTTTGGATAATTCATCTTTGGTTGATTTTGCTGTCGAGATGTTTCTTGTCGTGAGATTGCTTCGTTAATATCATTCTATGAGTGTACCATATGTATAACATCACGTTTAAGATTAACTAGGCATGCCCATCTTCAGTTCTTCTACCCGATGCTCTCTACTGTCTTATAGGATTATTTCAAGAGAGTTTTGTTCAGTAGCCGAAATTGGCTCAGTGCTGAAAAAAGCTACAAAGCGGTAAGAGTTACAATGCATGATTGTATTTCATGCATGTTGTAAAGTCTCATGAAAAGTACTAGTTTTGTAAAAGTAACAGCCTAAGGCCGAAGTTTTCTCATAAATTGCGTGTGTATTCATAAACGGGTAGAAACTCGATTGCTGAACATAAGATTCTGGGCCTACTAGAATTAAAGCTATATTCCACTCTTGAACTGAATGTGATTGTAAACTTCCTTGATCAGGTCACTCGTGCTGCTTGGTATTATCAGCTGCAAACACTAATTGTTTTCTTTGAATTCGAAGTGATCGTTGTGCGCGAACTTTCCGATTCTAAATGAGATATGTATATATATATATATTTACAAATATCAATAGTAGCTATTAAATGCTAACGCCTTTATAGCTTCTTGGATGGTACGAGTATACCCATCAGGGCGTAAAAGACATCCCAACAGCAGAGTTAATCGTTGAAGAGTGTTTTATAGTATATCCGTTACACTAATAATATTTACATACCCAATTTATCAGTTGCAATCAATACAGTTGAGTGTTTGACTAAAAAGGGACACACTGTGTACCCGCGCATGCGCTTAGTATCTGTAGTGGTCGGCTTTGAAAGGACCTTCGCTGGCAATGCCCAAGTATTCCGATTGAACGGAAGTTAGCTTGGTCAAACGAACGCCCAACTTGTCCAAGTGGAACTTGGCAACAGCTTCGTCCAAAATCTTTGGCAAGACGTGAACACCGATTTCGAAAGGACCAGTCTTTTCGAACTCGACAAACTTCTGTCTGAATTGCAAATCGTGGGCCTTGAACAAGGCGATCTGAGCCAAGACCTGGTTAGAGAAAGAACAGGACATGACGAAAGAGGAGTGGCCGGTGGCACAGCCCAAGTTCACCAATCTACCGTCGGCCAACAAGATCACGTGTCTACCGGTGGACAGTAGGTAACGGTCCACCTGTGGTTTGATGTTAACGCATTCCTTGGCGTTCTTCTTCAACCAAGCGACGTCAATTTCGATGTCGAAGTGACCAATGTTGCAAACAATGGCGTCTTCTGGCATGGCCAAAAAGTGCTCGGAGGTGATGATGTCTCTGCAACCAGTGGTGGTGACAAAGATTTGACCCTGGGAGGCGGCCTCCTCCATAGGCAAGACCTGGTAGCCTTGCATGGCGGCTTGCAAAGCGTTGATAGGGTCGATTTCAGTGACAATGACACGGGCACCCATGCCTCTTAGAGAATCGGCACAACCCTTACCAACGTCACCGAAACCAGCGACGACAGCGGTCTTACCAGCGACCATGACGTCGGTGGCTCTCTTGATACCGTCGACCAAAGACTCTCTGCAGCCGTACAAGTTGTCGAACTTAGACTTGGTGACGGAGTCGTTGACGTTGATGGCTGGGACCTTCAACTTGGCCTCCTTGACCATCTTGTACAAGTGGTGGACACCGGTGGTGGTTTCCTCAGACAAACCGAAGCAGTCCTTCAACATCTCTGGGTGCTTTTCGTGGACCAACGAGGTTAGATCACCACCGTCGTCCAAGATGAGGTTCAACTTCTGGTTGTCCTTGAAGGCGAACAATTGCTGTTCGATACACCACAAGTACTCCTCCTCGGTCTCACCCTTCCAGGCGAACACAGGCACACCAGCAGCAGCGATGGCAGCGGCAGCGTGGTCCTGGGTGGAGTAGATGTTGCACGAAGACCAGGTGACCTCAGCACCCAAAGCGACCAAAGTTTCGATCAAAACGGCGGTTTGGATGGTCATGTGTAGACAACCGGCAATACGGGCACCCTTCAAAGGTTGAGCGGCACCGTAAGCTTCTCTGATGGCCATCAAACCTGGCATTTCGTGTTCAGCCAACTCGATTTCCTTTCTACCGAAGGCAGCGAGCGAGATGTCGGCAACTTTGCAGTTCTGAGCTGGAGCAGACATTATAGTGATTTTTATGTTTTGGTGAGCTTGGATTTGAGTCTTTGCAACTTACGAAAGACGCTATTCTCGACCAAAAAAGATGCTCTCTTTGAGATATTGGTTTTCAAATCATCATCTCGATGCCAGCTTTTATAGTCTCCGCTTTGAAAAATTTTCACCATGTGATTTCGATTCGTAAACCGTCAAGCCAAAAAGACGTCACTGAGCTGAAGGCGAAGAGGCATAGCATAGCGTTGGATTTCACGTAGATGGAACTTTGAGTGGATTCAGTAGGTTAGTGGATTTCAAAGCTGTCAGGGTGCACAGCCCAGTGCGGACGTGTCAGTTTTAAATAAACCAAAAACAAAAAAAATAAATGTTTGTCATGGAATCGAACTGGCAGTTGATTCTGTTACTGAATCACTGTGTTTCCTTGATATTCTTGTCCTTGGTAGTTGTATTTTTAACATTGGGGTTCGGAAAACGAAATTCAATGTCTTTTTAGAGAGCTTCTTCTGGTTTGTTTTTTGAGACGTCATTGAGTTCATTCTTCCACTCAAAAATTGGTTCCTCCCACTCAATCGCGGAAACTTTGATTTAAATCAGATCTGGTGGTGCCCGTGGCAGGACACATCGATTTCTTCCCCTGACGTGTATTTCCTGACGTTATATTATTTCAACTCAATTGATGCCGTAAGGAATAAACTCTCACACAAGTCAAGTCGTACAAAAAAATTGAATTGTCGAACTCATCGAATTGTGGGGCCAAGTTTCGGTGCTCGCTTGCCAGTCATGTAGTTGTTATACAGAATTGTTACATTGATGCTGTTTTATACAATGGTTAACAGTATTTAATTAAGTTACTGTCCAGACGCGACAGAATACCCGTTTAACGCGACCTACTGGATTATACTGGGGACTTTCGCTCGGGACTCTTCCCATCATGGCTCCCACTCTCTCCCTCTTCCTAGAAAACTGTTATTATTAAATTACATCTGTTAACTTAATTCTGAGACGAGTATCTTTCCTCGTCTCTGCTTTGCTCGCGTGCCATTTGCTGACGCTGCTCAAATTCCTCTTGATCAAGCTTGGCACGTTGCAATTGTTCGTGTTGTAGCAGCTGAGCCTCTGACTGATCCTTCTCGTCCGACTCGTCGGAAACTCCTTCAAGCGACTCGTACATGTCTTGAAATTTCTCTTCCTCGAGCTGCTCTTGTCTCAACCGTTCTTCCTGCTCTTGTCTTTCCCGCTCCTCCTGTTCCTTCTTCTCCTTCTCGACCTGCTCTACATGTTCTTTTCTTTCGAGCTCCTCGCGAGCTTGAAACGCTAGGTTCGCTTTCGAACGCAGTATAAATAGATACTCGCCCGCCTCGCGCTGGAGTGCTTTCAAAGTGAACTGAATTTCCTTTAAAAACTTCTCCACGTCCAAAAGGTTGGCAGGATGCTTCATCAAAACGTCCCTTGTAGCTATTACCTGCTTTTTAAGCTTCAAAAACTGTTTCCAGTTGTCGTGTTGTCTTTGGCCCAAGTCTTCCGAGTCCATGGCAGCAACGACATCGACATACGCCATGCGCTTCGACCATTCGCTGACCATAACGTCTCCCCACTCTTCATACACTTCTAGGTGCTCTTGCCGAAGTTGGTCTACTTCAGCATTCACTTCTTCAATAAAGGATTCCAACAAAGCACGTACCTCTTCTAGGGCCACATCCACATGAGTGTGTGCCTGTGAAAAGAACTCGCGCATCAATGGTCGAGTCACATACTTGCGTAACTGTGTTCCCTCGCGGTTGAAGTATATCTGTTCGCCGGTTTCCGGGTGGTGCTCCATAGTACAATTAACATCCAAGATGGCCTTGTTGATGATGCGGTAGTGTTGTTGGGTGCTGTTGGAAATATCTTGCAATAAGGCGGTAATGCGAGGACGGAACACATCCAGTTTGTCCCTTTTTAGAGCCTCGATTTCGACATCGAATTGCCCTTCCGTATTCAAGGCTTTCTGCTTTACGGTATTCGACCAAGCTTGAAACTCGTCCTGAACAAGGTCCCGCAGAGGCACTTCCAGAGCTGCATCAGCGCCAGAATCGGAAGTAGGTGCCGCTAGCTGATTATCGGAAAGAGTGACTGTTTCCACAATAGTAGACGTCAGATATAATGTCTCTTCTTCTTCGTCTTCGTCTTCGTCGTACTCCTCTTCGTCATCCTTTCCCACTTGTTCCTCGCCATTTTCGGCGTCATAGTACAGCGATTCCTCAGCAGCTTGACTACCTTCGTCGCTCTTGTGCATGTACTTGGTGACTTCTCTTTGCATGTAGGCCCTACCTTCACTAGCCAAGTCCGCCATTTGAGAAATGAGGCCTTTTGCATACTTTGTAGCGTTCGAGATATGAGGGTTCAAATCATTGCCGATTCGGTGGGCCAGGGCCTTAGCCTTTGAGCACGCGCTGGACATATGATCTAACGTGCTGAGTGTGTGCTTGGCAACGTTTCCATCCGACTGCAGCCAAAGCTGGCATTTATAGCGTACATGTTTGACGTGAGGTAGCACGTAGACATTGTAGTATAAGTGACTTTTGATGCAAGCGACATGAGTCCATCTGCGGATGCAAGGTAGTACATGCTTTTTCCCCGAACTCGTGAGTCTTTGAGAAAAGCTTTCAACATGATACTTCAAATCCTGCTCTTTTGCCTGCCATTGAAGTGCCAGAGGTCTGGCCAACTCTTTGCGATGAGGCTCCACATGGGCGTCCCACCATGGACAAGCAACCTGTTCGAACCATACTGTTTGGCCCAAAACGGGTGTCGAGCATAAATCTATATTTTGAGACCCAATAAATAGCGCTGTGAAGTGAAGGGCTACTAACAAAGTACACAGGAGGCGCAGCTTTCGCCAGATACGTACGGAAACCATCTTCTGTTGGTCCCGACAACAACCGAGCGCAATCAGCACAAGCTGGGTCTTGAAATGTGGCTAAGGTGAACTTCGCGAGAATATACACTGTCCTATTCAAGTAAGCTCTTGAAGTCTTCACAAACCACTGGTTAGCTTCACTTGAAGGTGAATGATGAGCTGATGATGAGTTCAAGAGTTTAGTGTCCTTTATTTATTTTTCCTAGTACGGTTTTTTTACCTGGCGATGAGAGAACCAGGTAGATGATTTGAGTAGATGGCGGGGTGCCAGATATGTAGTGGCAGTGGTAGTGGAATAGAGAAGGCAAGATATTTTATGAGAGTTTATATCAGTGTTTCGTCAGGATCTACGGAAAGAGGGTTTTTCGAGTGGCTCGTTTGGTATACCCTGAGGGCGAACGGCATTTGTATACCCTTCGCTTGGATAGAAAGCAGGTGAAAACGGTTTCTCTTTGAGTCGCTGTTAAACACGACCAAAATTAATGATATTGTAAAGAGGAAGCACATTTGAAAAGAAGACAAGAAAACGTAATTTTTTAAGACTTCTTCCACCACGCCATCATAAGCACGGCGCATCAAAGAGGCTCCATATCGACCTGAGTGTGAATAGGAAGGCTTTTTGAATTGCCAAAACTTGGTCATTTCTGAATACCAAGGTCACGTGCTAGACATCAACGACAGACGAGCTCAGATTGATCTTCAGTATTCATCTGCGAGGAGTAGAGCGAGTCTTAGAGTAACTACGTGCTAAGATGAGCAATTCACCATTGTATACACAATCTTTTCTCTTCACATACGGACGTTAAAAGTGTTACAGCTTCCCGTCTTTCTGACTCCCGTGTTAAAGTAAAGTGAAATTTTCGCACTACAAAACAAGCTTCTCATCCAAGGTCCCATCGAAGCGAATGTCGTAGAGATCTGGACTTAAATTTCGGTATTGTTTAAAATTTCATATAAGGCAGGGCCTCGTAGAATGAATTACTTAATAATTGAAGGTACCGAAACCCGTTTCGTGTCGCTGGAAAAATATCTGGTGACAAGCAATAACTATTTAAGCAAGATTCGGTGAGCTCAAATCAATAAATCAATCCTGTTTGGCAGGAATGTTGAAGCGAGTGTGTACCTGGATCGTTAAAAGGCTTCGTAAAAAACGACTTTTATTAGCATTTTTTTTAGATGGACAAATATAGGTAAATTGATAGAACTCAAGATATATATACCTTCGTTTCGATGTCTTGTGAGGCATTATTGAATCATCAGTAAGGGCATCTTGCGATCTCATAGGCGTGTGAATTGAAAACAGGGCGATTTCGCAGGATTGAAAGAGTTTCGGATCGCCCGTCTAGCTGCGTCACCCACAACGCGGGACCATTTTTTTTTCGGTTCGAGCTTAAGCATCACCAGCGTTCATTTCAAAATTTACACAAGTCAGGGCAATGTCGTTTTGGCCATTTGGGCAGAACGAGCACTCCAATATCCACCGGATACTTGATGATTACTTCCAGATTTTACATGCGCTTGAAAAGCGCGACGAACTGCGCACAGAAGCACGATTAGTAGGGGATTTGTCCACGCACGATGAGGTCGCCACAGGAGACGACGGGAATGGCATACTGCAGCACTCAGAAGACGAAGGGAGCACTGTGGGGTCTTACAACTCCACATCCCGTCTTTCGAACCGCACACCCAGTCTGGCTCAGCTTAGCAGTGCTTATATTGATAGCATTCTCGCAGAATCAGAGCTGTTAAATGAGCTCACACGCCAGAACAACACGTTGCTAGACTTTGTCTGCTTCGGATACTTCTTCACCTCCGACAATGTCAAAGTCCAGAATATTGAATACCTGATCGACCAGCTCATGACGTGCGTGGAGCACATTGAAGAGGGTCGTTTGAGCCCTTGTAATGGGGATGATGCGCGTGAGGCAAGTTTAGACGTAGGGGATGTTAATGAAATTGATAACGACAGAAATAATGCTAATGACCAAGAGGGTGACGACGAAGATACTATATCCGCGTCGAAACCGCGGCCCTCGCCACTCAGTAGAGCAACCATCATTTCTGAGATCTTTGCGCTTGATATCTGGCTCATTTCCGAGTCATTGGTCAAGAACACAGGGTATCTCAACAAGATCTGGGCTATCATGTACCAGCATAGCTTCTCAGCCGAGAACTCTGCTCTAGTACCCATATTTCTCAAAATCAATCAAAATCTACTGAACACACGCCAGGACCAGTACCTCAACTTTATTCGCTCAAAAACAACGTTAGTGGAAGACTTCATGCAACATGTCGAGGTATCGGTGTTAATAGATTTCTTCCTCAAGATCATTTCAACTGACAAGCAAGAATCACCCTCTGGCATTATAGAAATGGTTCGCGAACAACAGTTGATCAACCGTTTGTTGAGCTACCTTGACAACGAAACTTATCCCTCTGACGTCCAGGCTTGCGCTGGTGATCTCCTCAAAGCCATCATAACCATATCCGCCAATGCACCTTTAGATGACATGTCAATCGGACCCAATTCGTTAACAAGACAGTTGGCCTCAGAAGAGTGTATGCTTTTTCTTCTGGACACTATCGTCAATAAAAGGGGAAATGCTTTGATAAATGCAGTCTCCATCGTGATAGAACTGATACGAAAAAACAACTCCGATTACGATCAGGTGAACCTCCTGTCAACAACATTGGAAGCCAATCCTCCGTCAATGCGGGATCCCATTTACCTCGGAACCATGCTGAGACTGTTTACCGAGAAATTGCCGTCCATATACCAGATTTTAATTGACATTGAGACAAACACTAAAGGCGACAAGGAACTCGAAAATCAACTCGGAGAAAAATTCAAGCCCTTGGGGTTCGAGAGATTCAAAGTGGTGGAGCTGATCGCAGAGCTTCTCCACTGTTCTAACATGGGCCTTTTGAACTCGAAGAAGGCTGAACGTATAGTGAAAGAAAGAGACGAGGCAAGAACGTCCATGGCCATGCAGTTACAGGATGCTTTGGTGGATCTCGATCTACAAGATAACGAAAACAAGAATGATCCCGTCGAAACTAATGAAACCCCTTTCGATGAGGACATTGATGAATCATTTGACATACCTTACGTCAATCCCAATCAAAATGCGAAGCTGAGAGAGAATCCTACGATTGGCGATCTTTTCAAAATCGAGCTCTATGATAATCAAATTCTTCCGAAAATCATTCAACTCTTTTTGCAGTATCCCTGGAACAATTTTTGGCATAACGTTGTGTTCGATATCGTCCAGCAAATATTCAACGGCAGAATGGATTTTTCTTACAATTCATTTTTGGTCTACTCTCTCTTCAACAACTATGCGGCCAAGGATTTTATGGTAAAGACACCCGAACGAGTAATTTGCGATTTTCAGATCACCCGTGATCTCATTCTCGAAGGTTACAAAAAGTCTTACGCTTTTTATGAGAAGCACAATACAGCTCTTGGGTTTATGGGCCATTTGGTCCTCATTGCTGAAGAAATCGTCAAATTTTCAAAAGTTTACAAAGTTGAGCTTATTTCACCTGATATTCAGGCGGTTTTACAGGCGGAGAATTGGGTTTTTTACTCAGAGGATGTTTTGAATGATACAAGGATTATGTACTCCAAGATCCTAGGAGGTAATGATTATATGGAAGAAAACGGCGAAGAAGTGGATGCTATAAATGAGAATGATGACACAAGTTTAAATGCTGACAGCCAGCTGGGAGGAAATTTGATAAACGTAAATGACTTGAATCGAGATTCGAACGTTGCTCTTTCCAACTTTGCTACCCAAAGCGATCTACATCTGAAATTGAGAGAAAAGCTGATAGAAAAAGCTCAGGATGAAGTTGATCGTCGGAACCATGAGAAAGGTGTCATACTTTTAGGTATGACACCCGAAGCCGAGATCCCGAAATCTTTAGAGAAAGCAGATCCGCTCAATATTGAGACTGGTGCTGAGAGGGCCCGTCACAAATGAAGGCGAAAATCCGATCGCTCAGTTTATCATTCTTTTATGACTTGACGCATGAAACGTAAATTTATTAGACGTGTAACGAATATCTTATAATTACTACTTTACCAAACTATAGTGTTGGTTTAAATCATCACGTTCGCGTTACAAGTTCTTTTTCCTGGAATGCAAGACCTTGCCGTTAGGCAGTTCCATCGTATTGCCCTTTGCGTTAGGGGATACACGGTCTGATTTTTGCCTCTGATTGGAAGCCTTGGGCTTGGAAACGCTGCTAGTATCTGGAACCATGGTGGAAGCGAACAAGCGACCAAAGGACTTGTTCCAAAACCACAGAGGAAGTGTGACTAGCATGCAATCACGAAGCCCAGGCGATTTGATATCCGACGTGGAAATGTGAGCCTCTACACCATCTGGTTGCACCACATACACATCACCCATGCGAACAATGATTTCTTTCCCTTCGTCGTCAGCGCTTTGCTTGAAAAGCAGTCTCTTTTCGCCAAGACCACTGGTGTTATCCTGGGATCTGACATCTCTCAAGAACCGCTCGATTCGGGTTCTATTCCCGTCATTTTGCAGTCTCAAAATGACAAAATGGATGATTCCGCACGCTACGTATAGAAACGTGGCTATAAACCAAGTCTTTGGCTGGACTTTGCTGAAGTAAAATCCACCCTTACCGTGGTCGTAAGCTGGAAATCCGTTTTTCAGGTAGTAATCGTAAGTTTTACGATAAGAATCATTTTCAAGTATTTTGGTCGCCAAAGTCAGTCTTTCATAGAGCTTCCGATATTTCTTATTCTTGTCTGGATGATATGTCTTGGAAAGTTTTCTGAGATTTTTACGGATTTCTTGTGACGTAGATTCCCTCAACTTGGGCAGTTTCAGGAGCTTGTAGAAGTCTAGGTCTTTGTTTTTATACGCTTTCACTATTTCATTCTGTAGCTGGAACATCTCAACTTCTTCTGGAGTGAAAGCGTACGCCAGGGCCGCAATGCCTACCAAGAAACATAACAAAAGTCTTAACCGAGATCCGAACATTGAATCTAGTTGATCAGGTTTCTAGTTCCTCAAATTGGGTGAAAGTTGGCCTCAAAATTCTCTGTTTCTTGACCTTTTATAAAATTTCATTTAAGATAGAGTTATGAATGAAGTACACGTACCAGCTCACTTATTTCCGATATAGTGAATTCAAGAGTAAAATCATTCAAAAAACATAGCGTAGTAATGGCTAGTCCGACTGGAAACGCGGGCCAAGAAAATAAAAGAGCTAGTGATGAAAAACGTAGCGTGAAGGCCCGCTTTTATCAGTATTTCAGGCTCACCAGCACGTTTTTATATGTTGCATTGGTTGCGCGATGGGCTATACTTTACCCGCTAGTTGGATCGAAATTCTTGCCCGGGGGCATCCACGAATTCCTATGCTACCTGTTGATATACGCAGCAACTTCAGAGATGTTTTGGACTACTGTGTTCCACGGATTCCTCAAATCGATGTTCTCTCGAATCGTGCTGAAAAATGTTAATCTTCTGTACTTCGTGGGGAACTTACATTTCCACGACGACTACGAGCACGCTCCAGTCCTGAAAAGTGCTGCTTATTCGAGCTTCATAGTCACCGTGGGACTAAGCCAAACCTATTGTCATTGGTGCAAATTGTTCCGCTCACCAAAGCACAGCCGAAAAACGGTTTTGCAGAAAATCGACACATATGTGACTTTACCCATAATGTATTTGAGCGAGGGCTACTTGCTGTTGCTGAACTTGCAAACACCAAGTTTTCACACATATCCGTGGCTCCAAACCGTTAACAAAGCTGTGCTGGTCGCATTTATCCCAATCTGCCTGCATGCGCTCAGAAAACAGGTTGCCTCGCAGTAAGTGGTTCGTCTTGCCCAAAATTTCATAGGCGTCCAGTGCTCTCGGCACGTTTGCCTCACAACAGCTGACTGATCTCGCTCGCCATTTCACGCGCAAAACTTTCACGTTCCTCTGATGATTCCATTTCTTGGAACTTGACTCGTGCTTCATGCAATTTCTCCATCACGTCCTCTAGCGCCATCTTCGGAGCGGAGGTGGTGCTGCTACTTGACGACGTCTCCTCTCGCGTGTGTGTTCTGTGCAAAAGTTCTGGGTGCCACTCAAAAGTGTCTATCAACTCTTTGATCCTGTCAATCCCACCTAGTTCTCCGTACTCATTTTTCTGGCTCGTCTGTGCTGAATCCACCGTGGTGATCTCAACACCATTAGCCAAAAGATCCTGTTCCAGAGATGCTTGTCTTTGCTCGTTGACACCAATTTCAGTTGCCAAGACGGCCACAAAACCCCAATCCATCGCGCCACTCTGGCCCAGTTGCGAAATAGCTGCGATATCACCATCATCTCTGCATGGCCCAATAAAGATGCACCCGGCCAAAACTTGTCGGAGTTCTTCAAACTCTGGGCTACAAAATTCGTCTACCCATCGTTTTAGCTCATCGAAATAGTCAACGTAAATATCAATCGATACAGAATAATATTTGGTCGACCACTTGATATCTCGGTGTATTTGAGTATCATTTGAAGTCTTTAAATCGAAGATCTTTGCCAAAAATTCGTCCTTCCTAGGAACTTCGTTATGGAAAGCTACCAGTATTTTAGTGCGACGCGGACACGCTAATTCAGCTGCACCGTTCTCACTAGACATCTCGCTGTGGCGTTAGCAACAGAAGGATCCTATAACAACGTCGAGATGTAATAGTTGGCTGCAGAATGCGAAACTTTCAAAATATTGGGCTACCGTGGAGGGAGGACTGTAATGTGAAGACCAGTAGGCTGGCTGGCAGCTTTTTACAAATAAGGAAACTCACAATTGATGGTACCGAGCTATAAATGCCAGGCGAGTTTGCCAATACGTTGTTTGTTGAAATGGTCTCAAGAACTCATCACGGAAATACCGTACTCATTATTACGATGTCAGTTGAAGATTCTGAAGAAAATCTAAAATCCAAGACTTTAAGCGCTTCGAGCGACCAAAATGAATCTTCTGAGGTTTCTTCAGTTCATGAGAGCCATTTGCTCTCGCCAACTGCATACGAGCTTGTCAATTGGAAGTCCATTGACAGTGGTAGGGTTTCACCGCTTGACTCTAAAGGACGTGCCCGAATGGCAGTTGAAGGGAAAGATGTTGATCAAGGTAAAGATGTGCCAAAAAGCTCTACACAGAAGTCTGAACCCTGCGTTGGGGGCGTCGACTACGTAATAGAGCCCGCATCACGAAGCAATGATAATCCTTTCATTAAAGCCACATCCTCGACCGCTAGAAGCAAGCCTCCAACACCCGAAACTCCAAAAGAGCAGAGGCTTCTCGTCTCGAAAATTTACGATAAACTGCGAGCAGACTTCTTGTATTTATTGAGTCCGACGGGAGACGTCTGGGGCGAACTGTCCGTTATTATCTACGTGGTTCAGCTCATCGTCGCGACCCTGGCCGTGGTTATAAAAGAACTTCTACTCAAAGAAAACCTAGCCAGAAAAAGTGCTGTCTTCGCTACGGAATTGATACCCGAGAATCTCATCGACTACGCTTTCTTTACTCAATATATACCTTCCCAAAACCGCTAGATAGGAATCAAATTCTCTGGAGCGAAAATATCGAGAAGGTCCGCAAGCGCTTTTACAAACTCAAAGACATAATCAAGAGAATATACCGAGATCATTGAGATTATCCGTCTATGCTCAAATATCCTTTTTCTACATGGTTCACCAGTGTGGAATTTATAGTTTATTTAAGTTGTCCTTTTACATTATAATTTAAACATCAAACTATATCCATCACCACTTCAGAGAGCTGGCTCCATGACTGAATCTATCCCCCAATGGGCTACCAACCTTTGCGACCCCGACTATGCTAAGAAGATCCAAGTAAAGTCCTCGAATTCTTTGGCATCACCGCCTGGGTTCAAGGCAGTGGGAACCTCTGCCAAGATGACCAAGAATAAAGAGTCCAAACCGGTTCAAAAACAAGATTTATCGGCTCTGGTTGTCCAAAAAGCCTGGCAGATAGCAATGCAGCCTGCAAAGACAATTCCAATGAATATGATTGTGTCCTACATGTCGGGCACCTCTTTGCAGATCATTTCGATCATGACAGCCGTTATGTTCGTTTCCAACCCTATCAAAAGCATCGTGAACATACGGCGAACATTCAAATCAGTCTCAATGAATCCTGAAGTAAAGTCCCAGGTCCTGATGGCGATGGTAATGTACGTTGTCTTCCAAGTGGCGCTCATGGCAATCGGCGTTCACAAACTCAATTCCATGGGCTTGATCCCGAACACCAAAAGCGACTGGCTCTTCTTAGAGCAGCCTACCGCGTATAAGGAAAAGTCGTTCGCATTCTAAGATTCAAGAAGCCAGAAGCAGTCCGTGTATAATTCTAAAGTACAGGTATACAATTATTTTTTAGTAGGAGAACCCTTGTGATTGTCTTCTGAGTTCTTTGCAATCTTCACTTCGAAAACTTGCTGCACGTTGTACTTTTTGAGCTCATCACGATAATCGCTGTCTACCACCGACATACCGATGTTGTTTTTGAAGCACTCAACTAACACAAGTTTATCGTATTTTTTTAGATCTACAGTGTGCGCCACCTCGCTATCTTTACCGACCTCCCTGACAATTGCGTTAATAATGTCCATCTTCTCTATCGTGTTGAAGTTCCTGCGTGTGACTTCGACCGCGAACTTGAGAGGTCTGATCCCCTCCTCGTGAAAGTGAGGTTTGAGAACCTGCTGTGCCAATTTCGTAAGTTCTGGAAGAGACGCGTTGCACGAAAACGTCACAGGGGTTAACTTCTGGATGTATCTGGTTCTTTTGTGTTTCACGTTTGGGTCAGCAAACTCCTTCATGATTTTGTGAACAAACGTTTCGGGAACCACAGGCTTGCGAGTTTTACAGAACACCACACACTCACAGTTGAGATCAACAAACCTCAGAATTTCCTTGTTTTTTGGATCGCTTTTCTGAGCCTTGAGAGTTTCCAGTTCTTTGTTGATCTGTTCTTCCACCGACAGCTCTTTGTCAAGCTCAGTGTCCTCATTGTTATTTAAAGCATCATCGCCATAGTATTCCTCCAGCTTTTCCTGAAACAGATTCGCAAGTTCTTGTGCTGCTTGCTTCTCACGTTTTCGAGAGCATGTTGCGTAGACACCAGACACACACGGCTCAAGGATTCCTGTTGAAAACCGATACTAATGGAATGATTTTATGGGTTAATATAGTTGACCAAAATTGATGGCGCAGACCTCTGCAAAACCGCATTATTCATACTTTCTTCTTGGTGCCTGAATTGCTCTCTTCAGCAGCTCTTTTGCTCATAGACACTTATCTCTGGTTACTCAAACTCTTGACACTAAATTCTTTAAATCATCATAATCAATACCCAAATGGATATTGATAGCTCTTATTTTTCAATAGCGCTATAGCCGCTACGAAAACCAAATATATGGGAAATGTATATAAGCGACAGAGAGAAGAGTTGGTTTACACCAGTTTGATTACAACCTCTTAAGGCTTACATGCTGTTGTCTTATGCCAGTACAATTTATGTAGAAAGATACTCAAGATACTCGTATTTGTTTGGCATCGGTTTAGGCCCGATTGAAAAATTTAGCCAACCGCTTGTGGGACCCGAGAGAGTCTGCAAAACTCTGATCAACCGAGGACGAATTCGCGCTGTCGATTCCTGCCGATGCCGGTGAAACCATTTTATCATGAAGCATTTGAGCCACTTCGGGTTTAATGCGAGGAAATTTCCTCATGCGTATGCTTGGGTCATTGTACTCAGTGATATCCGGAGACTTTAGAAACTCAATATGCTGTTTGAGGTCCGAAAATGTAGAGTACAGAGATCTTCTTGTATTGTCCATCAAATTCGAAGCTCTGGCATTCTCGGAGGAGTGAACTGCACCTAAATCGGGACTTGTGGGCGTGGATGGGCGGTCTCCGTCGCTAGGAAATAATTTGGAAATGATACCCTCCAAGAAATTCATGTTCAACTCGAAGTTGAGTACACTTTGTGGAGTCAGTATGGGTGGGCTGAAATTTAGAAGAACATCTAGAAAACGACCAGTTAACACGTCGAACTCACGAAAGATCAAAAGAGTCTTGACACTATCAGGAAGATTCACCAGCGTAGATGTGAACATCATCTCCAAAAACTGTGCGATGTCTTTAACCGAAAAACTTGGTTCTCGTTCAACCGCTGTTGCAGACCACTCAAATTCGACAAATTCCATCAGGTCGGAAATTTTGGAGTCTATCAGTTCAATGAGTTTCTGTTCTGTGAGATTTCTTGACTGTGTGAGAATTTTTACTGATTGCAGGGTCAGTTCGACGTCTGGGTTCAAAGTTGTGTTTTCTCTTCCCAAAATATGACTGAATTCTTTGGCAGCAATGATGAAGTAGTCCAAGTTTATCAAAATTTGCGCGATCTCTTCTCTTGAGGTAGTGTCAAGCTTCGCATGGATTTTAGCGTTGATAATCTCGCTGAAAATACTATCTAAAGTCTGGACGATAATTTGATTGAGCTCGCTGAGATTGGAGCGATAAAACTCGCTCAAAAACGTTACCAGCTTATTGTGAGTTTTCTTCACCAGGGTACATGACATTGGGTACAATGGCGAAAATGGCAGTGTAGCCAAAAATTGTTCGCTAAACTCTTCATCCTCAATGCGCGGCCTCTCTGGCTCATCGTCTTTCAGCCAACAGATTCTCAATACCTTCTCATAGAGCCCCTTATCATTGATTGTTAGAGGCATGAAGTCATCATCCTTAAGAAGAGTTGAAAACTCTATGTCAAATACCTGGAAAAGGAGCGCCGCGTACTTCCTGAAAAGGAGAATATACACCTTGTTTATCAGTTCGACTCCGACATTCAAATTCTCCAAAATTGCGATGTAGATCCCTAGAAAGTCTTTGAGCTCGATCACTTCTTCTTCTGTGTTGACGCGTTTTGTAAGGTAGTATTCCAGAAATGGGGAAAAGCGGGCGATGAAAATCTCCCAGAAGTTTTCGCTTGTACTCATACTTTTGTAGGATAGAAGGTAATCTGTCGATTTGTTAAGATGTTTGTCGTATATGACAAAGCCTAGTATCTTGAGCATATAGTTTTTCAGCTCTGTTGAAGAAAACTCGTCACCAAACAGGGCTGCAGTCTTTAACACTTGATCGGAATGCGTGGTGGTGCTGCCATGACTTTTCAAGTCCAGAGGATAAGCGACTTTCGATATTCTGAAATCGTACTCTGTCTTAAACTCGCTGCAGAGGTAGTTAGTCTCTTTAAGATTTTGAAAAATCAAAATGCAATCGTAAAACTCATCCAGAGGAAATATCGTGGCAAGATTAAGAGTTTCCTCTTTCTTAGTATCACGAAGGGATATTTCAACGGGCGAGTTGAACTTGAAAGAGCTTAGCTTCAATTCATTTTTGGAGTTTTTCCAATCAGGAAGCAGAGTCTCGTTGTAAAAATCAAAGAATTTGGTGCTGACGGATAGCAGCTTTCTTTCTAAGTTCGAATTGAATGAGCTTTTTATTAGGTTCAGACTTTCATCTTTGATCTTGGATTTCAATACCGGTATCGATGCATATATTGTTTTCAAAAAGTCAAAGTTGTAGTTTTTGAAGTCCTGAACGTAAATTCGTTCAAGACCGCCTAGACTCTGAAGCGCTTTGTAGTAGCTGCCGTCCTTTATCAGATCTTGGCACTTGTTAGAGAGCTCCAAAATCTGAAGAATCTTGGAGATCAGAATGATGCATTCTGAGATCTTTGTGGAGGTTTTCTTATTGTTAATGTAGCTTTGTTTCCTGGATATTACGTCATTGGTGGTTTGTGCTAATTGACCTTGTAGATCTTCCGTTTCACGTAGAAGTGATTCTTCAATGATCTCCTTTATGTTACTTATTTGTCCCACAGAAACCGTCAAGTTGTCACTGAGCTGAGAGTCTTGAAGTATCTGAGTCTCTAAATTTTCAAAGTGGTCTTCCACTGAATTGTACAGTTCGTCCACGACCACCGGGAGAGAATCATTCTCGATTGCCGACCGTAACAACGGGGTCCATCTGTTCATAGTATGCTCATCTAAATCAAGTTCTTCCTCGTAGTCTTGCACCACGGAAGCGCCTTTCTTGCGATCTTCATCATCGAAGGTCGATTTCAAAAATGAGAGATCTGTCGAGAGCAGAATTTTCTGGAGCTCCTCAGATATCTGGCTTTGAGCATTGGATTCCATTTAAGGACAAAACAACCGCTTTGGCAGGTTCAGGTTTTCTACTTTACAAGTGTTACCAACGATGAATAGCTCCAGCGACCCTACTCACGTTAAAGACTGTAAAGTGAAGACAGTTTCGTATGCAACGAGCTACAATGGACTGCCGGTGTACCCGTCAAAATACGCGATAGAAGACATCAACGAGGGTGGTCTAGTGATTTGAATAAATGGTGTTTGAATTTGGTAACTATTAACTCAGAAGATTCAAAATATTTAAATAAGAGTCTACTTTCTAGTCTTCTTAAACCGAAATCAACTTTGGTATTTTTTACTTTGTTTGCAGCGCCATGGGTGGACAGCTGAAGAAAAGAGGTGTAAGTTATAAGCACTAGGTGCACTTCGAGCCACTCGACTAGGATTGGCTCTAATTTTTTATGGCCTTTTGTTTTCCATGAAGAATTGCATTTCATTTTTGGCGACGAAATTGAATTATTACTGTCATCAATGGCATTCTCGAAATGAGATGATGTGAATGCAAGTGCTGGAGCAATCGAAAAGCGGCAAACGAATCCTTGCTTGCAGAAGACTATACATTGTGAAAATTTATTAGAATTGATCAATCATCATGCGAAATCGAGAACTCGGGGTTAAAAAAGCTGTTGCTCACAATATTTTTGTCAGGTAATAATGAATGGCACGGTGTAAAATAATTGTAAATTGTAGGTATCAAAGGAGATCCATCTTTCAATTTCCTACGGCCATCTTAACGTGCCATCGTTAGAGAAATAGCCTTGATTCTGTTGGATATTTTATGCTGTCTTAGCAGGTCTAATAAAGGTAAGGCCTATATAATACAAATGTATTTTCGTAGCGTGAAAAATCAGAAATCTGCCCGGAATCCAGAAACAGAAGCAGCTATTCTTTGGATCTTATAATGAATCTTATATTAGCATCGATGAAACTCTCTAGCTTTGAATATTATACAGACGGTCGAAACGACGCTCGAGGAAAAACGGCGATGTTACGATAATAAATAAAAAAAATCGCGATACCCTGCTGTCCCAATCGATCAACTGCTGCTTCTAAGACGTAGGAAAGACCACTTCTGTTGGCTTACAACGAGCGGCAAGTTCAGGTCGTTTGAATCGACAATCCCTTTAATTTTCAGATCGCACCAGCTTTTAGAACTCGCGTCATTAAAAATAGCTCGTGTTATTAGATCTATTTTGTCTCTGACTCAGCATAGTAGTGCAGATAGGCTGCCATGGTCTTCATACCCTGGAAGTAGTTACTCAAGTCAAGTTTTTCATTGATAGAGTGGGCGCCGTCGTCTCCTCTGCCCATAGGAAGAAGCATGACGTTGGTCTTGAGCTGAGTTTCAAAGGTTAGGGTGATTGGAATAGATCCACCTTCGCGAGTGAAGTCGGGCTCAACACCGTAGACAGCCTTGGTGGCTTTGGCCGCGGCCGTGAACGAGGCGTTGAAGGGATCAGAAACCCAGTAGTTACCGTCGTGGATGAGCTCGGTTCTGCATTTGTTAGGCGATCCTAGGGACTGGAAAACCTTGTTACAGTGGTCGATCACAAGTTTATCCAGCTTGGCCGACTCCATGTCTGGCACAGTCCGAATAGAGAATTTTCCGACAACTTTAGCAGGAATGACAGTCTTGGCACCCTGCGACGAGAATGCACCTTCGAGACCGTGGATCGAAAGCGAGGGGAATCTCCATCTGTGCATGAGAACGTCTGGCTTGTTGTTGTACAGACAAGTCTCGGAGCCGGAGGCCGCGTTCATTTCGTCGAGAGTGAAGTCGATCTTCTCGTACAGACCCTGTTCCTTTTCGGTGACGGGGGCCACCATCTCGTTGACGCCGTCGATCAAAATACGGCCCTGAGAGTCCACGAGCGAGCCAAACACTTTGACCAGGTCGATCATGGGCTCTGCGATCACACCGCCAAAGATGCCGGAGTGCAAGTCTGCGCCAGGGCCTTCAACGATGATCTGGTAGTAGTTGCAGCCTCTGAGGCCGTAGGTCAAAACAGGCTTCTTGGTTCCCAACCAGTAGTTGTCGGAGATGCACACGGTGTCGACGCCCTTGAAGTACTTGTCGGCCTCGTCTGCGATCAGCTTGTCCAACCCAATGGACCCGGACTCTTCCATGCCCTCGAAACACGTGATCAGGTTGACGGGCAGTTCCAAACCCAGCTCGCGGTGCGCATCCACCACGTTTAGCCAGCCCTGAACGGGCCCAGTGTCGTCACTGACACCTCTGGCGCGCATCAGCTGTTTTTCCTCGTCGACCACCAGTTTGAAGGGCTCTGAGAGCCACCCATCCTCCAACGCCGCAGGCTGGACGTCATAATGGCCGTATAGAAGCACCGTTTTTTTGGCAGGGTCGCTGCCGTAACGAGCCAACACGACTGGAGGAAGCTTTAGTTCTGGGTTCTCGACTGGTGGAGGCTGCAGACCCAGCTCTTTCATCTTAATGTCCTGGAAACCTAGTCTTTCGAGCTCCGCACGGTAGAATTCTGCCTTTTTCACCACCATGGGTCTCAAGCTTTCATCTCCGGAAACGGCTGGGATGGCTACTGCCTCAGCCAATCGCTCGATGAAGCGGGGCTTTAGCTCTTCGATCTTGTCAAATAGTTTTCCAAATTGAGTCTCTGTCATTGTTGCGTGCTGTTGTAGTAGTAATTGACCAGCGTAAAGGTTACGTTTGGATGTGTGTATGCGAAGACAATGCGTGAATAAGTTTGACAATCTCAAATTCTTCAATGTACCTAATGGGCTCTTGATGAACATTCACGAGCTAAGCAAAGTCGTGCCTTTTGAGTGTGCGGAGTCAGTTCACGAAAATCTGCGTCGGTGGTTAGCTAGGCTAGAGACTCGGGCACACACCAGTTAGGTTCTGTTTATCTGAAACAGCACTGGATGTCCGTTAAGGTAGCTGGAGTAGCTAGCTGAACGACGTAAAACTAGAAAGGCGTCGGTTCTTCGCTGATAAGAATGGCCCAGCAGGTGCTAAGGTGTGGCGATGTGGCGAGTAGGAAACATTGGATACTGGAAACAAACTGGAAACAGATGGGAAACACCGCTGTAACGCCGCGCGGCCGGCGGTGTGTGGGAAAATCAAGTTGAGTTACGTTGTACTGGAAACAACGGTAACTGGAAACAGATGGGAAACAAGTTGGAAGCAGGCCGAGAGACTCCGTTGATGTTTCTGGCATCGTTTTCTTAATCTGGAAACAGCGGTAACTGGAAACAGACTGGAAACAGATGAGAAGCATCCCGAAAGACACCGTAGACGTTTCTGGCATATTTCTTCACTCTGGAAACAATGGCTTCTGGAAACAGATGGGAAATAGATGGGAAACCTAATTTTAATTTTGAGACTAGGTAAAGAAAGTAAAATAGCGGCCTCACGATCTAGCATACCTGCACACCGTACCGGAACGCCTGCCAGCTCCCGTAAGATCATGCCAGAAGTATGTCATCCATCCCCACTTATACTCTTGCGCGCTGTTACTAACCAAGTCGGCTCTCTCAGCCATTGCTCACGTCGATAGTAGCTGGAAGCACAGCAGCTGTTTTCCAAACCACGATATCATACCCCTTCGAGTTTCTCAAAACTGGTCTCCAACTACACCGGTCGCAAGCTGGGGCTGCGCCTTTTGAGATGATGCTCCAGTTAAAGACCTATTTCGCAGGCTGTGCCGCACTGAACATCGGTACGCTGCTGAAAACCGCGACGCGGTTTACCACCTACGAGAGCGCATGCGAGCTTCTACGAGACAAGGAAAGCAGTTCCAAGACTATCAGCGGACCACGTTTGCTTGCAGCAGGCGTTATAACAGGGTTTATGGAATCGCTGCTGGTGATACCGTTCGAGAACATCAAGACCACAACGATCGAAAACGCACTGGCGTCGCCTGTAACGAAGCCTACAGAGCCCGCAACCGACGCGAGGCCGACGTTTCACAATCTCAAACAGACTGCCCTGCATCCACGCCAGAAATGGTTTCTTCATTACGAATCGCACCCATCCGCACACTTCTTTTCCACAATCCAGGAAATCTACCGCACCAGGGGCGTTCGGGGGTTTCTGCAGGGCTCTATGCCTACAATAATTCGCCAAACATCTAACTCTGCCGTCAGATTCACAACTTACACAACACTAAAACAGCTCGTATCGCCAAACAAACCTCTCACCGAATACTATGCGTTCGCCCTTGGACTGGTCTCTTCGTGCGCAGTAGTCGCCGTCACCCAACCAATCGACGTCGTCAAAACTCGTATGCAATCCAAGTACGCATGGCGCTTGTATAAAAATTCTCTGAACTGCGCATATAGGACGTTTGTCGAGGAGGGCATCACCAAGCTATGGAAAGGCTGGGCGCCTAGGTTGATGAAAGTTGGCTTGTCGGGTGGAGTGTCCTTTGGCGTTTTTCAGTACGTTGAAAACCTCATGAACTCCATGGACAAGCAAGCCAGCATGGGGCATGACTGAAAGAGCCCATTGTTGTTCCTCTTCGAAGAGTTCGTAAGCCGTTAATAAGTCACTCGGGAGAAGTAATGCATGCTAGTAATTATTGTACAATTAGGAAATCAACTCTATAAAATCTAGTAAAGGTTGGTTGCGTTTTGTACAACACAGCCTGGCGCGCCGGCAGGTTTCTCAACCAAGGTACCTATCTCATAGACCTTCTCGTTAGCTTGTGATAGCAGTTCCTTAACTCTGGAAACGTTTTGTTTCTCTACAATCAAAACCATTCCAATACCCATGTTGAGAGTTTTCAAGATGTCATCCACAGGAACGTTACCGGCCGTACCGAACCACTTGAAGACTTCAGGTATTTCCCAGTTGTTCATATCAACCTGGGCTTGTAAGTTGCCTGGCAGAGCACGAGGAATGTTTTCGATCAAGCCACCACCAGTGATGTGAGCTAGACCCAGCAACAGGTTCTCCTTTATAGAAGGAAGAAGTTGTTTGACGTAAATTCTGGTTGGAACCAGTGTGGCCTCACCAACAGTCTTTGACGAATCCCAAGGACATTCGTCGCTCCATTGCAACCCCACGGTTTCGATAATCTTTCTTACCAAAGAAAACCCATTGGAATGCAGACCGTCGGAACCAAGACCCAGCAAGACGTTACCTGCAGCCATGCTTTCAATTTTAGGCAAAATTTCACGTTTGTTTACGGCACCCACAGCGGTACCGTTAGTATCATAGTGGCCGACAGGGTACATGCCTGGCATTTCGGATGTCTCACCGCCTACCAAAGCGCAGCCAGCTGCGATACAGCCATCAGCAACACCGGAGACGAAGTCTGAGGCAACCTTAATGTCCAAGGCACCAGTGGCGAAATAGTCGAGGAAAATCAATGGTTCAGCGCCTTGCACGACCAAGTCATTGACGTTCATGGCCACCAGGTCAATTCCGACAGTGTCATGAATGTCGGTCTCTTGAGCAATCATTAGCTTAGTACCAACACCATCGGTTGCCGCTACCAGTAGAGTTTCATCAGTATTGTAACCCGCAGCTTTCAAGTCGAAAAGACCACCAAAACCACCGATATCGGAATCAGTACCTGCTCTCTTTGTAGATCTGACCTTTTCCTTGATCTTTTGAACCAAGAGGTTACCGTTGTCAACTGACACACCAGCCTCGGCATAAGTGATGGATTGAACCCCCTTTTCTACTTGCTCAGCTAGCTTAAAGGCACGATGAGCAATGTCCTTTCTAAAGTACCTGTTTTTGAATTGGATACATTCGACACCCTGGTAGGCCTTTGCAACGGCCTCTTTTAGGGTCGATGCGACAGCAGAGGCTGCAATAACTCTACCACCAGCCGTCACAACTGTTCCATTTTCTTCTTTGGTACCCGCGTGGAAAATGTAGGCATCTTGAGGTAGCGTACTTCTGTCGATTGCAATTGAGTCGCCCTTGGCATAGGCCTCAGGATAGCCGCCAGCAGCAAGGACAACGGTAGTAGAGAAGCAGTTTTCCTTTACTTTGATGTTCACGGAGTCTAGTCTGTGCTCAGCAGCGGCCACGAAGACCTCAGCCAAGTCGGTTTCCTCCGACAACAAGGGCAAGACAGTTTGGGTTTCAGGATCGCCAAATCTGACATTGTACTCTAGCACCTTGGGTCCGGTTTTGGTCAAAATAAAGCCGGTAAAAAGCACACCAACGAATGGACGACCATCCTTTCTCATACCATCGATGGTGGGCCTGATAGCCTCTTCCTCCATTTGCTTCAAAAGAGCAGGGGTAGCAGCAGGCGCTGGGGCGTAAGCGCCCATGCCACCTGTGTTCAAGCCGGTGTCATTTTCACCAACTCTCTTGTGGTCCTGAGCAGGTGGAAGGCTGAAAAAGGAGTAGCCATCGGAAATGGTTAAGATGGAGATTTCGTCACCTTCCAAAAACTCTTCAATGACGACGGAATCACCGGCAGCGCCGAACTGTCTTTCGACCATCATTGCCTTGAGCGCGTCTTGAGCTTCCTCCAAGGTTGTGGGGATCAACACACCCTTACCCGCAGCAATACCGTCGGCCTTTAGAACGACTCTGTAGTCGATTTTACCCAAATGAGCCTTGGCAGCTTCGTAGTCACTGAAGTTGGCGTAACGCGCGGTAGGAATTTGGTGCTTGGCCATGAAGTCCTTGGAAAAAGTCTTAGAGCCTTCGAAAAGAGCAGCCTTAGCGGATGGCCCAAAGACGGAGATACCCACTTTGGCGAAAACATCGGAAATTCCGTCTACTAGCGGCTGCTCAGGGCCTGGCACCACCAAGCCAACCTTATGTTCGACAGCGAACTTCTGCAAAGCGTCGAAGTGTTCTGGCACGGGACTCAAATTACCCACATTCACGACATTCCCACCGATCTTGGCAGTACCACCGTTACCTGGGGCCACATATATTTGACCCACAGATGGCGACTGCGCCAATTTCCACACCAGGGCGTGCTCTCTGCCGCCGTTACCCAATACCAAAATATTCAAACTCATCGATGATGATGTTGAAGAAAAGCAGTTTCCTGGTAGAAACCGATTTTAATAAATCCCAGTGCTGCGCAAATTCAAGAAATTCTTGATTAAGCTTTGCTCACTCGATATATATACACCGAGTTCAATCTCAATTCGCGCACTTGCACAAATTTTATTCTAAAAAGAGCACTCAACCTGCAGTTAATAAGTATTTTGATTGATGAGTTCCAATTATCGACCATCGTCAAATATTATTCAAATTATAATGAAAACGAGTCAATAACTGAAGGTGTGGATCGCAGTGCACGAACGTGGTTAGTTGTAGTGAACATACGCTGGGATCATCGAAGACAATTGAGATCGGGCGTGGCGAGGAAGAGACGGAGTGGCACATTGGAACAATCGAGACCGTTTACTGCTTTTTGCAACTGTAGTTTTGTCAAGTTGTCAAGCAGAAATTCGTACTTTATACTTGTTTCCGTAACCCTATGGTTTCTTACAGTTTGTATTGTAACAAATTCAGTTGCATGCCCTGAAGCTTAAGCGTATGTTATTCTCACAGTCGTTATTTGAGCAAGTTCCATAGGTTACTGTGAAGCTAGAACCTGTGTCTTTCTCACAGTCTGTATTGGTGCAAACTCCCTAGTTTGTCGTGCAGCTAGAATGTTTTTGTTCTTCTTACAGTCTGTGCTGGAGCAAACTCCCTAGCTTGTCGTGAATCTTTCACTTTTCGTTCTTCCCACAGTATTCAATTCACCAGACAATACATTGATCTGGACAGTGGGGTTTCATCTCGGTTTATATCAGTGAGATGGCCAACCCCAGCTAATCAATGCATTTCGAATTTCTTGATCACTCTCTTATCTCGTGTCGGTGCGAAACTGCCACGAAACTACAACGAAACTGCCACGAATTCATTGCACAAAATCAAATGCCCTTCCCTTGTATCACTCCTGCGTAAACTAAAGACAGACCTGCTAGCTGACGCATTTGCACATTTCTCTTGGACTTGGACCAACAAAGCTTGGTGCTCCTCTGCTGGTGCTCTTCTGCTGTGCCTTTCGCCACAAATCATTCTGTCTAGTTTGCGCGGCTAAATCAATTTTAGTGCTATTACCGCCATTTGGAGACCCCTCGTCAGCTTCCACGCAATCAAACATATATTTTATTCGTCTATAAAGTCAAGTGCCATCAACAAACACCGGAACCATATTCATTCTGTCTCTCATACTCTTCGTTTGAAGTTGTTCAATGTTGTGTATTGTCTTAAACTATGTGTTTTTCAGCACTGGTAGGAGAGACTAAATTTCATCACTACAACAGATCAATAGTGCTCTGGCCTCATCGCATCCAATAAAATCCAATTTTTGCCAAGTTAGCTGGGTTGGCAGACCACTAGACTGCTCACAAAATGTTACTGAGCAGCTGTACTCAACGACTGCGAAATAGTAGTGCTATAATAGGTTTTTTAAGAAGAAACATTCATTTGAATGCCGATCTTGACAACACTTTGAAAAAACTGCCTAGCTCTGGCGTTGTCGTGATCGGAGGCGGTCACGCTGGGTGCGAAGCAGCTGCCGGATCAGCGCGATCTGGTGCTCCCACTGTCTTGATTACGCCGTTTTTGAATAAAATCGGAACCTGTTCTTGCAACCCATCCATGGGAGGTGTTGGCAAGGGCACATTATTGAGAGAAGTAGATGCTTTAGACGGACTAGCTTCAAAAGTGACTGATCTAGCTGGAGTTCAATTTAAGATGCTAAACAAAAGTCGGGGCGCCGCTGTTTGGGGTCCAAGAGCGCAAATCGACAGAGAACTATATCTAAAGTATATGCAAGAAGCATTGAAAAAATGCCCGAATTTGAAGCTGCACGAAGGCAAAGTGAAAGATCTGATACTCGATACATCAGATTCGCACGCAAACGGCGGCTCGATCGTAGGAGTAATCCTTGAAGACGGCCAAATTCTTCGCACTTCCAAAGTGGTCATCACCACTGGCACCTTTCTCAGCGCGGAAATTCACATAGGTTTGAAAAGCTTTGCTGCGGGCAGAATGGGAGAAGACCCCACATATGGCATCAGTAATACCTTGCGCGAAGCTGGCTTTCAATTGGGTAGGTTAAAGACTGGAACTCCCGCTCGACTGGATGGGAGAACAATCGATTTCACGCATCTCGAAAAGCAATACGGTGACGATCCGCCCCACCCGATGAGTTTTATGAATGACAGTGTGGCAATCAAAGAGCAACTTTTGTGTTTCGGTACTAATACCACCCCACAAGTTCATGAGTATTTGAAATCGAATCTTCACCAAGCCCTACATATTCGGGAGACTATTAAAGGTCCCCGTTACTGTCCGTCTATCGAAGCTAAGATCACCAGGTTTTCAGATAAAGACTCCCACAAAATTTGGCTTGAACCAGAGGGGTTGACTTCTCATGTCATTTATCCCAACGGTATTTCCAACTCAATGCCAGAGGACGTTCAGGTGAAGTTTATGCGTATGATTCCTGGCCTTGAAAATGTCGAAATTTTGCAACCCGCTTATGGTGTTGAATACGACTATATCGATCCAAGAGCTCTCAAGTCGACCTTGGAAACAAAATTGCTCAAGGGCTTATATCTTGCGGGTCAAATCAATGGTACCACTGGTTATGAGGAAGCATGCGCACAAGGAATTATCGCAGGTATCAATGCGGGCTTAGCAGAACAGGAAAATGATCCTTTGGTTTTATCCAGATCAGATGCATACATTGGCGTCCTTGTCGACGACTTGATAACGAAGGGAGTCACAGAGCCTTATAGAATGTTCACTTCCCGTTCAGAGTTTCGCGTTAGCGTGAGGGCGGACAATGCTGACTTCCGGCTCACAGAGCTTGGACGCAAGTCTGGTGTTGTGGGTGACGAGAGGTGGGAGGTTTATCAGTCTCACAAACAGTTGTTCACAGATATCGTTGATAAATTGTCCAGTTTTGAACTCAGCGCCAGAAAATGGGAGAACGCTCTTGGGGTTCCAGTCGCCGACAGCGCCAAAAATAAAAGTGCATGGGAGATGTTTAGATTCAATTCTGTTGATTACACGAAATTGGCCCTCAGCGTTTCTGGCCTAGCTACTGACATTTCTCAAATCCCAAAGCATGTTTTACTTAAAGTAAACGTTGAGGGAAAATACGCTCCTTACATCAAAAAGCAAGATCAATACATCAGAGCATTCCAAGCGGACGAGGGTATGCTACTTCCCCAGGGGTTCGACTACTCAAAAATGCCTTCGCTTAGCACAGAATGCAAAAGCATTCTAAACTTGGTCCAGCCGTCCACTATAGGACAGGCCCGAAGAATACAGGGGATAACACCTGCCTCACTTTTCGAGCTATACAAGCTGGCCAGATTCAAGCAGCATGATGTGCAGAGCCTATTGATCAAAAACCAGCTTTGACAGCTCGTCTCAGCCTGAATTTCGGCCACGATTGATTAAAACATTCTAATTCATGTAAATAGTACAATCTCAACCGCAGCGAGATCTTCCAAACATAAAAACTTACAACAAAACTCGTAAAACTCATCTTTGCTGCTGTTTTCTGGCAGGAGACCTCGATCCTGAAGAATAGATACCACAGTTTGAAAGCCAGTGGGAAAGTCCCGATCCGAGGCCGCCTTTTTGATCGCAGCGCATGTTTCTTGGGAGAAAAACCGGGCTAGCTGAGTGGATAGGTCACGCGTGGATGGGGTGGATGTGGGAAGAAGACAAAGCTTCAAAATGTCAGAGATGTTCTTGGGACCCAGCTCGTCTTCTTGAGAAGCCGAAGAGGCTGGCCTTTGAGTCTTAATTGGGCTCTGTGCAATCGTGTTCGGATTTGTAGGTGCTACCGACTTAGGTTCGGGATGCTCAGAATCCTTCTCGCTAGGCGGCACTTCAGAGTGCTCTGAGGCAATTGGAAAATCGTCAGTTTCGAGATCAAGAGAAGGAGACGCAGAGTTTTGCAACGGGGAGAGCGACTGCTCTGAGGCGATTGGGAAATCATCTGTTTTGAGATTTAGACTAGGGGACGCAGATTTTTGCTCCAATGGAGTGTCCTCTCGGATCTGCAGTCCTACGTTTGCAAAATACGGGTCGCGTTTTCGACGCTGGGACACGTTAGACTCGAAATCAATCGTCTGCGACAAGGGACGTTTCTGAGGAGAGCTGGTCGTAACGTTACTGTCATTCACAGACTTGACAGACTCGACAGACTCAGAAAAGCGCCGTTTTGGACGATGCTCATGCAGAAGGTCACTCAATTCACGAAGCTGACTTCGCAGAGACGACTGGAAGCGTGCGGACATGGCTAGCAATGTGAAATTGAAAAGTATATCACGCTCGTGTTTTAATTGGGAAAGCTATCAAAGACCGTTTTCGCGAGACCAAGAACAAAAAAAAGAACGCTAAACCGGAGACAACTTCACTTTCTTCTGACCCTTTTGTATTTTAGACGCTCTCAAAATAACTGTACAATTCGTTATATTTCTCTATTCTCAGCTTCAATTGGTAAAATCGAGAGCATTTCATAGTTCTAAAACACCATGAACAGCACAAAACACAATAAAACACCTAAAGTACTGTATTCATAGCATTAAAAACACACTCCCGTCTTCAAAATATCGTCCTTTTACGATATATCAGTTTAGTTAATTCTGCTTAGCATTGTTAACTTTATCAATTATCGAGAGTTTAGGGCTCGTACAAGAGCACATCAATTATCAACAAAAAATCCAAGTGTCGTCCAATGAGAAGAGCGCTGGGCCAATCGCTCCAGAACAGGTTGAAATAGCCGCTCTAGCCTCACCAGACGGCATTATTCGTGATAAATAGCGGTGATTTAGAGTGTTTGAACAGTTGGATACGTGGTCTGGATGAACTCGCCAAAAAGTTACGACCAATTGGGAAACTACGCTGGCATCGCAGCCAAAGACCGTGACAAGAACCATGTCTTTGATGGACGTGACGACGAGAACAGGGTGAACAAGGAATCTTTTGAGCCTTCTCTTGCTGAAGATCAAGATCCATCCAACATTTACCTTTATGACCGACCGCAAATCCGTGCTGAGCAGCAATCCACGGAATTGGACCCACAGGAACATGCTCACGAACAGACTCACCACGCCCAAATCGAGGAACCAGCGTCGTTGGAAGAATTAAACACCGAAACCGGCTCACACGACCAGCTTGCAATTAACGTACAGGACGCAGAGTTTGCAGGTGTGTCGATCAAGCCACAACACGAAACCGAACAATCACAGTCACAAGCACAACCGCCTGCCACGATTGGGGAGCATGCTAGTATAGCCACAAATCATATAACGGACATTGAAAATCCAGTCGCAGGAACGACAGTGGGCTCGCCATTTAACCCCAAAAGCGCCGAACAGCCGTTTTACGTCAACGCCAAGCAATATTACCGGATTTTAAAGAGAAGGTACGCGAGAGCCAAACTCGAAGAAAATCTCAAAATTTCGCGGGAACGAAGACCATATCTACACGAGTCACGGCACAAGCACGCGATGCGCCGGCCCAGGGGCCAAGGTGGCCGTTTTCTGACCGCTGCAGAGATCGCTGAGCTCAAGCAAACAGAAGAACCTTCGCCTGTACTGAATATTCAACAGCAAGACCCAGCTGCCAATGCCGCGAGAAAAGAATCTGTTGATGGTCCTCCCCTGCCGAGCCCGCCCAACGAGGCCGACAAAATAATAGCGAAGGGCAAAGGAGTTTCTAATGAGTCCGTACAACATTGATGTAGTAGGACTACAAAATGCATTAAAATTTATATATTCTTATGAGGTGTTTGTAACTTCAGACTTTAACTGAGGCCCAAGCTATGCAATGCCATTTTGGCGTCGTCTGAAAGCTGGGGGGCCAGACTTGACAGGCTGTTGCCAGTCCTTTGATTGAACGCCAAAAGCGTGTCCCTCACGTAAAATTTAACCCCGGTAGTCAGATCAACCTCCGGAACTGGATCAAAGCTTTTCTCGCCAATTGAGATCAACTTGCTGAAACTGGAACCAAAAGTTGAAATCTCCTCCAGATTATCAAGGTCCACGAAATCACTGTTCATGTTGACAATGCTTTCGGATGCTGCGGTCCCGACCAGAACCTCCAGAGAAGGTGCAAAAAGACCCGGGTACTTTTTGGAAAAATCCGTGCCGCTTGTTATGATATCAAGGACTCCGACAATCGCCACTTTGCGGTCCAACAAGTTTCCCATCGTAGGCAGTGTGCTGATGACGAAGGCGTTCCAGATTTGTTCAAACAAGCCGTTCTGGACCTCGTCTACAAAATTAATAACAAAATCCGAACCACGCTTGTGAGCAACGATGCTCAAGAAAACCACAAATTTCTTCACGTACTTTTCCGTTCTTGAATTTTGTAGACGCTGGAGAAGAAGGACCGCAATTTGTTTTGTGTAGGGCTGTACCTTCTCCAAGGGCATGTATGTCACAACATATTCCAGAAGTTCAAGTCCGTTAACATCATATGTTTTAGATGCAATCAATCTTTGAAAAACACCCAGCACTGGAACAAGATCTGGGTATGCGCTAGGATCCACGCGAATGATGTCCTTAAGAAGCCTAGTTACAGCTGGAATATTACCCTTCATTTCCCAAACAGATGGCGATAGAATTGGTTGAGCCAGTTGTGCGATCGATTCTGGGAGACGTCCACCTTTTGGTAGCTGCTCTATGCAATAGGCGATGAGCTGAATGGTGTAAGGAATAAACTCTTGGATGTTTTCCGACAATATATTCATGAAACTTGGCATCATCACTTCCAAAAATTCATTCAATGATGGCTCATTGTATTTGAGCACAACGCCCAGAGACTCAAAGCAATAATGCGAAAACCTGGGGTTTGAGGGATTCTTGGAAATAAACGACACAATCTCAAGAAGCTGATTGACGGTATTTGGAGCGAAAGAGGCGGAAAGCTCCTCTAACGTCAATAAAACTCGATAAATCGCCTTCATCAAAAATTCATTTTCGGCCAACTTCTCTGGGGACTGGCCTTGTTTGAATATCAGACGGAAAAGATTGGTTAACAAAACTTGCGAGCTTCCTGCCAAATCGGATTTTTTGAAAAGAACAACAGAAGAAGTGTTAGACTCTCTTATCGCAAGTATGCGTTCGATGGTGATGGAAGCATAAGTGTAAACGACAAATTCATCCGATTGCAGAAGTCCAGCCAAAATCGGGAGAATTTCAATTAATTGCTCCTTGCTGAGTTGGTTTCGGAAAGTGTAGATGTACTTGATAGCGTCCACCTTCAAAATTGGATGAGCAGTTGTTCCCACGAGGTCAGGAGATATCTGTTCACTAAAGAATTCGACCACATCTAGCAAAATGCTCGTCGATGAAACGCCCGGGTTGCTTATACTGCCATTAATGGCTAACGTGGAGAAAAGGTATATTGACAAGTCTTTAAACTTCCAGTTGGCGATCGGATCCTCCTGATACTTTAGGAAAAACGCCCTGATTTGTTTCAATACGATAGACACGACAAGATGCTCGTTCTTTTCCTTCAGTTCCTTCAAAAAATCGGTACAGCCCTTTCTTCTAGTCTCCGAATCGGATCCCTCAAGATCGCGTCTCACATACTCTATTGGATCGTCTTCGAAAAGCTCTTCATCAGCCTCCCGTAAAGTGACATTAGGTAGAATGATTTGTTGCGTGATGCTCTCTAAAGCAGCCTCGTTGTTGAACATCTCAAAGTACTTTGGAATTTTGGTGACAGCAGTCATGAAATGAAGGGCCTTCGAGATGAAAACGTCATTTTTAGCTTGCGGCAATAGAGCTGTGAGTAGATTCCACGTCGTTTTTATAAAATCATTTGCCATTGGCTCAAACACATCGTCATACCTTGTGATGTAAAGTTGTACCAGCTCCTCTATACTGGACTTCGTTTTTGTCACGACACTGGGCTGGTCTTCCTCATCTGGATCCTCCAATAACTGGTTATCATATGCCAAGTATTTATGCATGATTGTCATCCCCAAATGAACGTTGTCTTCAAAAAACTCGGGTATATCCTGACAGTTCAGATCGTAGTACAGCTTGACCAGAACAAGTAGAACGTCAAATAGCAACGCCAGTTTTGCTGCGTCTGAGCTATTGAGAGCGATCTGCTCGTCTACGGACTGAAGAAGTGCCAAGAAGGGAGAAGCAAACTTGTCTAGGACAAACTTGATTTCTAAAAACAATTCGTCAGATCTGAAAAGAGGACGCCATCTTTTGAAAATAGAATGTGCCACGGTCAAAACACCGCGATTGGTGACCATATCGGTCATCGACAGTTTCCCGATCAGATCGTCGAGTAAGTCAGGCCACTTATGAGGGAAATCTGAATCTGCAATCACAGAAATAGCCTCTCCGATCTGAACCTGCAAATTTCCAGGCAGAACAATCATCAGAGGAACTATTTCTCTTTTTACGGCCTCAACATCCGTTTGTGATATCAAATACGTGCCGTTCTCGTCTACCCACTTACGTTTGATAAAATTTTTGAAGAAAAGTGCTCCAGCTAGCCTCGTCGATACAGGAAGGTTTGCAGATGCAATGACATGCATCAGCGTCAAGGGGAACCCTTCCTGCGATTCTTGAGCCTTCAAGCTGGCTTCAGCCGCTTTAGAGCTCGACGCCACGACGGATTGCGCAAGGTAATGCGCAATTGACTCTAAATCTGACATTTAGAACTAGTTTCTCGACCCTTTACTCGATGGTTTTATACTGCTTGTTCAGACCTATATAAGTTGAGTGAGTAGAGATCGTCTGTAATTAAAATTTTGACTACGTGGATCAAAAATAGGTAACTACGTACGGGTTTGGACTAGCTCATCACAGTCCATACAGTGTGTCACACAGCATCGTGGTGTCGAATAGATGATTGAGACGCTCGTGTCACCTTAACTTGCATTCGGAAAGTAATCCATCTGGAGAGAAATAATCCAAAAGTAGAGAACCCGCAGCTGGTGTGCGAAAATATTGGGTGTAGACTCTTACTCCACGCAAATGAGTGTCTTTACCGTTCTCATGGTTCACCGGAATTTCTATGCGTAGATACTGACATTTCAAAAGCCTGTCCTGGGGTCTGTTATCCTCAAACGTGAGGGCAATCCAGCCGTTGACGTTTCGGACTTCTAGGGTCTTGTAGTGCGTGGCATCCGAGCAACTGTGACCTGCGTAGACTTTTATGACTTGTGGTGTGTACGACTCGTCTATAGCAAGCGACAGGAAAAGGGCCAGTTGAACAATTTCGACGCGTTTACTAAAACTTGCTTCGACATAGTGCGGCTGCGACCCGTCACTTTGCCAAAAATTATGCGGGTTGTCGTCCAAAGCATACGAGATCGGGTTCCCGTCCTTTTGGGATGATGCCTTCCAAAAGGCGAGATTTGTAATGTTGATAAGATTCTGAGCCTCGAGCCTCTGCAAGCCAGAACCGAATTTGGCAAGATACGCCTCTGTTGTGTAATCTTCATCGTAATCAACCGAATCGTCAGTAATGCCCATATATCTCACTCCTTGGTCATTGAAGTTACTGTTAGCCTCGTCTAGAAGCAATCGAGGAGGTAATTTCGAGAACTGTGAAGCAAAGCGAAGATCTAACGACGGCAAGAATCTTTCTAGCTGCTCTTCAAACGGTGTCATATCATTCTTTTCGAGCATGCAAAAATGTACGCCTAAGGAATAGTAGTGCTAGTCAATCAGTAAGCCTAAGTTGATCTTGAAAGATGCACGCGAAATGATACCAAGAGTTGTTTGTTAAAGGTTCAGGCTTGGTTGATGGTTAAGATGAGACACATAAATATTGTAGCACAATTGACGAAGAACCTGGGGACGACAGAAGCGTCAAGTTCAACATCTATGACAGTGAGGGCTTGCCCCATAGTTAATCCTACTATATCAAAGTATCCAAGACTATATCTTCTACTCGGTAAGCGCTTCGGATACACATCTCATTACTTTGAAAGCTCAATTCATGAACAGGTATTTCAATTGCAGCTGTCGAATACCACGAGAGAAGAGCTTACTGCCTTGTTAAAACGTCTATTCGATTCAAGGTATTCTGCCAATTGTATCGTGGTGAAGATCCATTTTGAATGAAATAGACTTGACTTCTGTTCTGCATACAAATCGTGACTCAGGGTATGGAGACTATCGGTTCTCGAGTTTGGCAAAAGGTGTGATAATCACGGATCTACGCTACACATGTTGACAGCTTAGTAACATCTATTACGATGAGAAAAAGGTTCGTGCAAATTAGCAGGCTACATCAATTTTCAAGGAAAAGTCCACCACGTTTGTTCCCTGATGCACGCTACTGGTGCTGTAGATGTCTATGTCATTGCAGAGGTACTCGTGAATGTTGCTGAGCTTTAAGCCCCCACTGCATTCCAGCAGGAACTGTTTTTTCCCTTCCCATCTTTGCTTCAGATTTAGGGCGGCGGTCTGTAGGCCATCTCCAGAGAAGTTGTCTAGCATAATAACATCCGCGCCAGCTAATATGGCTTCATCGGCTTCTGCTTCGGATTGACACTCGACCTCTATCTTCACGGCAAAACCACACACAGAACGTGCGTCCTCCACTGCACGCGTGATGGAACCAGTGGACCAAATGTGATTGTCCTTGAGCATAACCATCGAAGAAAGGTCATATCTGTGAGTGTCACAACCGCCTACAAGCATGGAGTATTTTTCTAATCTGCGAAGTCCGGGGGTGGTTTTACGAGTCCCTGCGATTATTCCCTTGTAATTCGCTTCCCTTGCAGCACCCACTAGCTTTCTAGAGGCACTAGCAATACCGGAACTTCTGCTGAGCAGATTTAAGGCCGTTCTCTCTGCTACTAGGATGTTACGGGCTTCACCACGAACTTCTGCCACACGAACTTTTTCACCTTTTTTGGGAGAAATAAAGGCCCCTTCGCTGAAAACCCAGTCAACTTCTAGCTTGCACTGATCGAATACCTCTTGAGCGAATGGTACACCGCTAAGCACACCTTCTTCTTTCATCCAGAGAGACGCAGATTTGGCGGCTGATCCAACGACGAAACCCCCAAAATCAAAACTTGGAATATCCTCTTGAAGCCAATTTGTTACATCTTGTTTCCATGCCCCATTGGCAGGCAAAAGGTGTTGAAAACTAGGCATTGTGTCTGTATTCGATGTGATTCTTGAGCGATTCAGAGGTACAGGAATCGAATCTTTTATTATGGATAGAAAAGTTAGGCCCCATCTCGCTCCGTACGTAAGGTCTACCAGAGTGTCTAACAATAAACAGCTAGTAGTGAGCTCATCTCAAGCACGCCTCAGCCAAGAGTCTAGTCCTATTTCAACTATCACTGATTGAAATCAATGAAAGAACAATGGTGGCAATATCAATCACTCATATAAACTATGCATTTATAATGTGGCAAGTTTATAAATATTAACAATGTTAGGCATCAAGGCCTTTAAAGTAATTGATTGTTCGCTAATGTGCGAGATGTCACATCGGGTTAGAAACGTGGTATTACCACCAGATATTCGCTTGGATATTTCTTGTTATTGCACACCGACCATACCCGAAATCTTTGCAATTGTTACTTGCAAAAACTGGAGCTAAAATCGTTATTCGCACTATTACAGCAATTACCATGTGGCATGGCCAAATACTGAGTACAAGTGAATGCGCTAGTAACACAATCGATTTGATACTGTTCACTATTATTGGGAAATAATTGCGTCTGCTAAAAAAAGTGGATGCTCGTAGCCCATTCAGGACCACCATAAGTGGAAACTTCTGCTGTTCAATATGGCTGGTCTCAGGTTGGAGACAATGCAAAACGAGAAATAAGTCGCCGATAGCTGAGCAGAACGAAGGTACGTGCAATCATCAATTCACAAGACTTAGAAGAGCGATCGGCGTCCATTGGGCTCGACAGATGGCTGCTGCAAAGTCCTGGTCCCAATTTATTACGTATTACACTTCGTTCATATCAGATTTTCTGATAATACCTTTTTTTCGTGGTCAGAAAGTCTCTCGTAAATTGCATGGAAGCTGTTCAAGTTTTTTGAGGCAGCATCGCGGAAAAACGATATCAAAAGTTCTCTCGCAGATGGCCCTTTTTCCTTGCTTGTGCCCTGCTCCACGCCGTCGTAGCTGTCGCCAAGATCACTCGCGCTGTCATCGCCGGACTCCCAGTAGTCGCTATCTGGTTCGCTATCGTCATCTAAATGTCCTTGTAATCTCTCGAACTCCAAAACGCTGTCCACATCCTCCCAATCACCTTCGCCTTCTCCTTTTCCTTGGTCATCATACTTCTCGACGTCGTAAAGCACGTATTTGTCCACATTACTTTGCTTGGATTGAAACTCAAGCTCAGAGACAAAAAGTTTGGCTACCTTCTCGTAGAAAGAAATCATTTTGTATTCCTGTGGCATATTCTTGGCCATTGATCGAGTAACAATCAAATCACCCTCATACGGAATAACTTCGCCTCTGACTTGAATTCTGGAAACTCTTTCGTCTTCTTGGAAAAAGAGCTTGGACAAGGCCTTGATGTTTTCAGTGATCCTCTTGTTACCACGAACAACCTCGAAAGCATCGAGCCACTTTGGCAGCACTGCATTTAACGCGTCTCCAGCCTCTTCATCTACGCTGAAAGATGACAGGAAGCTTATAACTTCTTCGGGACTCTTGGCCATTAGGTAGCAAAACAGTGACAGCAAATTCTCCGAAGTGGAAATGTTTTCAGCGGTAACAAACTTTCTGGTTGCAGCTTCCATGATTCTGGGAAAAAGCTCATGCAGTTGTCCTGGAAACTTTTGTACCGCAACTAGCACTAATGGCCCCACATTCATGGCTCCAGAGTCTGAAGTTTCGTCAGATAGTAACTTTTCCAGGGTTGAAATGATTAGAGGTAATAGAGGCTCGATTTCTTCCGCTGACGAGTTATGAATCAAGAAAACCAAACAATCTGAAGAAAGCTGTGTAATTGCGTCGTCATATGAATTGACCAAAATATCGATCAACGGTTTCAAAACAAAGTCACTAATAGCAGCGGGTATTGGACCATCTATTGGCTTTCTCTTCATGAAAACTTTTAAAAGCTCCAGGGAAAGACAAGCGCTTGGAGAATAATCGCTCTTCTCGCATATCAAACGATTTAGAGAGCCCACAATTAGTGGCATGCAAGTTTCAGAGTAAGCGGTATAAACAGGAGTTGTTACTCGCTTCATTATGGTCGACAAGCATTCTTCTGCCTCCAATACCACCTCGATATTTGAGGGATTCTTTGAAGAGATGTTCAAAAGAAGTTTGAGAACATTGTGGTAAAAAAGGCCGCCCTTGTTGTCTTCCAACTTCAGTGAAGCAGCGGCTGTCAGAGCCTGCAGTATGACACTTATCGTGTCTTCTTCACTATCGACACTAACTTCTTCAATTATGCGGCAAACTGCGTCTCGAAGATGAAATGATAGCTCTCCCAATACATCATGTAAGTCAGAAATTTGTGCATATTCACAGAAGCATTTAAGAAATGCGACCTCTAAAATATCATCATTTGATTTCAACGCTAGTTTCATGGAAATGTCCACAAAAGACTTGACCATGTCATTCCAGTTCTCTTGTGCAGTTTTGGTGACCTTCAACATCCTCGGTACAACAATGAGCATCCGGCCAAGCAAAACCGCATTTTGGTCGTCGTGTGGAGCAGTAATGCTGTCGTTTAGAAAGGTCATAAATTCAATAAAGCGCGGTGCCTGTACTGCGATGCTGAACTCCACATCCTCATAAAGCCATTTAAATAAAAACAAAATGGCTTCACCTAGTTTCCAGTCGTCTCTTATTAAAGTAGGGAAAATCGTCAATAAGGCATCTGTGATGAGCTCACAAAGCTGTGCTGGGGAATCTTGCAAAAAATCTTCGCTTGCATTCCGCATCCTGTATGGACCGCTCAAACCCTCTTCGATGGTTATAAAGCTGTTGAAGTCTGCTTCCCATTTCTCGATGTCGTCATCGATCAGGGCACTACAAAAGATCAGAGCCTCGATGACACGATGAAGCTGACTTTCATCTAGTGCCAGATTGTTGATGTTGCCAAGTGCCTGCAACAATTCGCATCCCAATTCATCCACCGCGGTAAACTCTTTTGATTCATAAGTGAATTTGTGAGTCTGGCGAATTTGCGAAACTCGAGCCAGGCCCTCGATCACCATAGTCTTGATTTCGTGGTTGAGTTCCGAAGTGACGACGCTCTTTGAGAACGATGTGGTGATTTTATTGACACATTCAAACATGACACGAAGTAGTTCGAGAACATCGAGATTGGAAATGTCAAACGAGGAGTATGACCTTATGCCCTCGATCAAGATCCGCAGCGTTTCGCGTAGGTGAGCGGTCACAGAGTCTCTGAGTGCCTTGGTAGCATTGGCGCTCGGAAGCTGCAACTGTCCCAAGCACACGCAGTACAAATTTCCTGCTGCGATTTTGGCCGTCAGAGCGAATTTTTCACTCTTGAGCATCTCAGTGACTAGTTGAATTGTTTGCCAGCCGACACCGCCTTGGAAGAACATTTCCTCCGACACGATGTCGTCGAAAATCTCGTTCAAAAGCCGTAGCGCGCTCAGTGATTGTTTGGTGACGATTGCATCGAATACCGCAGCCAAAAGCTCTGGCCAGGAATCAGGGAAATCTACCGCAGCAATCTGGACGATGCAGTAGGAACTGCCTGCAACAATGCGTGAGTTTTGTAGATCGTCGAGGCCTAATTTCAAAAGCGCGTCACGAATGAAAGGTTTATTTTCCTCGCCAATTCCAGGTGGACCGATATACGATTCAAAACCAGCACTCCAATGCATTGTTACCAGTTTTCTTAGTGTTAGCAAGGAGTAAAGCCTATGCTCGACTGCTCTCTCGTCTTGCAACGCAAATTCTATCAATAACGTACATCCAAGACCCGGATTTTCAGCTATTTTTTCCAGGATAAACTGCTCGCTTCGTTCTCGAACCGCGTTGTCGGGCGATTGCCCGCCCACTATGGCGCTTTCAAGCTCTCTTGGTTCCATCGAAGCCATTTGTTTTCTCTCCCATGTTCTCACTTTACGACAAATAAACTTGTCTTTATATAATTATCCTCTATTTGAAACATTCTAAATACTTCGGTAGAAGGACTTGAAGGCTTTGGGAACTTTGTATCATCTCTTGGGGGCGTTTGAAGCAGTAATCGGACATTTCAACTAGTATATTATGGCAGATATGACAGAAGGAGCGTCGTTCCAGGAACAGTTGCTAGACGCATCGAGACGTAACAATGTTGATCTTTTAGATACGGTTTTCCGCGAACTAGGATCAGATGAAAAGCGGATCGCAGAGCTCATCAACAGTTCGTGTGACCCCATGGGCAACACCAGTCTGCATCTATGCTGTCAGTACGGATCCTGGGACGTTTTGGATCAGATCTTGGACCAAGAGGGAGGTATCGAAATTGATCCTCGCAACAAAGTAGATGGCGATACACCTTTGCATTCAGCCGTTCGTTACGCTTTAACAGAACCAGAGCATGGGACTTTCATTGCCCAGAATCTAGTTCAAGTGGGTGCTGACTCCAGAATTCTTAACAAATCTGGCCAAAAACCACTCGATCTCGTACATGGCCAAGAGCTCGAGAACTTGATTGATTTGCTTCAAGGCGCAGAGCTAGCAGCAGACAATCAACATTTGGTTAACGAGGAGGACGCGGAACTGATAGATGACGGCCCAGAAGACTAATTACAAATGAGGGGCGATTCTTGGAAGTCAACGGTTCGTTCCTAGGGCTTTTATTATGTAAAGACCTTCCTGCTCGCCATATAAAATACACCAGCACACTATTTGAGCATCATACACAATCGTCGCATTTTGTAGGTACCCATCCGTCCTTGGACAAACTCAGACGAGTTTTCAATTTGAGCGCATTCCTGCCAACTTGGCGGCTTTTAAAGTCGAGGTAAGTGGAGTCTTCTTCTGAAAGACGTATTTTTTTGAAAAGACTCCACTGGCTGGCACGACTTACTATGGTCTCGCAGTTCTTTCTTAACGGTTTTGGATTCTTCACGAAGGACCCGTTCTTGACTCCGTTTACAATACATTGTTGCACGAGAGGAGTTCCGGGTGCTACGTTGAGTAGTATAGCTCCCGTAAGAGCCGGTTGTTGCGCTTCATCTAGCTTGTCGTCAGGAAACTTATCAGGACACGATATGATTCTCAAATGCCTGACACCTTCTATATTCTCCATTCTCGTAGTGAAAGCACGCAGAAGACCATTATCTAACGCCTGCGAGACTTGGGGTACGACCATGTACTTCAAAAATACAGGTTTTTCGAACAGATCCCAATTTAAAGAATTGAAGAGAGACATGACCTGGCGACAAGATAGTTTGTCTGTGCACGACTTGGAAAATGTTATATTTGAATCCTTTCTGCCTGGCTTTGTCCTGACGAAACCCTTCTTCTTGTAATTAGCCCGGCCTCTCAGAACTGTCTTTATATCAGGATCCGCGTACTGACATAACTCGCTACCGGTCCAGACTGCTGTATCATCTTCTTCTAGTAACTCCATACTTGCGTCACCACAGGGGGCCCGCGAAACATACAGTGCAAATGATAAATCGTCCTTGACACAGAAGCCATTAGTAGTTTTCTGCACCATATCCATTTCAGTAATGTCGTCAGAAAGTTTTAGCATCAGGGCTTGTCGCAGAAGAACAGCATTGAACCCGCGAACTGCTAATATTTCTGCATGACAATCGTGTAAAATCCTACCGCGGCTTCTACTGAGCTCTCTATCTGGGGTAGCTTTCACACCTGTAGCAAGCGATACTAACCTAATGTTGTCGTTCTTTTCACCAATTGCGACAATACAAGCCAGAACAGTCCATTCTTGCACGCCGTTTGAACGCACGACTGGTTTACCACTAGCTTGGAGCTTGCTATAGTGCTCGAGTGCCAAAGTCGAGATTCGTTCGGCCAATTGATGGCTCGATAGCATCAGAATGGTCTGAAGCGGATAAATTAAGACGAACTTTTCACTACCATACATCATCGTCATAATTAAACAAAGTAGAGGTAATATCACAAACGGGTTCAAACGCATTATAAAGTTATATATATGGCCGAGTTTAGAATAATGATGCTAGAATATCCTTTTCGAATATGATACCATTAATCTGTGTGACCCTTACAATCAAATGTCTAAGTTGAGCTTAAAATCAATCCCATTGACAATTTCCTCAAGTCCTCCTAGGCTTCTGAATTTCGCTATTGGCAAAGTGAGTTGTTTTTTAGTTTCAGCAATCTTTTGAAGATGGTCCTGGCGCGCAATCTCCTTCGCCTTTTCATTCTCTTCTCTCTGCAATTCTTGATAATAAATTTTGGTCCTGGTCTTGAGTCTACTGAACGGATCGGTCTTGGCATCAAACGGAGTGTCCTCTTTCTTGACAGCCTCAGCACCTTTACCACTATCCATATTGGCTCTTCTATTCTTTGAGGTAAGAGCGCCGAGTTTCTTGGAACCAGCTTGATCATTTTCATGATGCTTTTCGTAAGAGGACAACCGTTTTTCCAGATTTCTCAGTTGAGACGAGTATTTCGCTATGTCTTTTTCAACACCAGCTTCTTTCGCATGTTGAAGTTTGTCTTTCAAAATCGTCTTTTCCAAGACGGCATTGGTACCTGATAGCTTTTTATTGAAAACCATTCTATTGCGCACAAGCTCATCTGTTAGTTTAGGAGTAATCGGCTGTGATACAAAATTGTTGATTTCGTTCGATTTGTTGTTGAGCATGTAAAGGGACGGCCTGCTCATCTCTTGCTTGTCCAGAGAGCTTGAGTATCTTTCAAACTCCGGCTGAGTGATGGCACCATCGCTGAAGAAGTTCATCTGGAAGACTTTACGGTCCTTACCCTGTGTTACACCAAGGTACTGGTTCGTGAAGAACTTGCCCATGTTGTAGGGCTTTTGTAGAAACACTCTTTCGATTTTTACCATACGATAAAGCGTTTGTCCGCTGCGCTTGTCGACACCCACATTGACCCTTCCGTAACAGCCCTTGATGGCATCGTTGAAGTCTGGATAGAAGCAAAACTTCGCCACGAAAGAACGTCCAATCTTGACCCTGTTAAAATCTGCAAGCTCCGGCTCGCGGTCGAGATCTTCTTCTTCTGCCCACTTTACATCATCGTCGTCCAAAGAAGATTTTCCTCGTCCGTAGCCAGGTTTGTAGTCATCTTCGCTGTCGCCCTCGTCTTCTTCGTCCTGGTAGCCGTAGTCGTCCTCCTCCTCTTCTTCGAGTTCCCTGTCGTCTTCCTCGTCATCACTGTAGTCATAAGTTCCTCTTTTCTTTGCACGCTGTTTCTTGAGCTTGGAGAGACCAGATTCTTTGGCATCACTGTGACCTGTGGTTCGAGTTGACCTTGCCGAAGAACGCGTTTTCGATTCTTCTTGCTGCTGCTGTCGCTGCTGCTGTTGTTGCCTAATGCTTCTGGCACGCTCCTTCAGGACACGACGTTCCTGGTATTTTTGCATGATCTGGGATCTATCGAAAAGCAAAGATTCACGCTCCATTTCCGGCAGCGATTCTAAACGATTTCTGTCGGCATCATTTTTGTATTTACCTTCAAGCGGAAAAGGGTTAGGTTCCTCTTCCTCTTCCTCTTCCTCTTCTTCGTCCTCGTCTTCGAAGTCGTAGGCGCTTCCCTTGGGATTGTAGTCGTCTTGATCGTCTTCATCCTGGTCTTGCTCTTCCTCTTCGTCAACAATTCGTCTCTTGGTTGTGCTATTGTTATCGAACTTGGACCGTTTTTTGGCCGTTCCAACGGTGACTTTTTCCTCTTCTTCTTCTCCGCTACTCGCACCGCCAGCTAAGGCCAGCAAATCCTCATCAATATCAGACATTCCTGGATAATTATGCTCTTCTTGCGTGTGCCTTAAAAGTCAAAATTGACTGGTACAGCTATCGCTAGTAAGCCCACTTTTGATGTAAACAAATCTTCAGCTTTTTACTTCAAATCTTGAGTATTTATACACTCAAAAACAGTGAGCTAGAGCGCTTTTGGTTCTTAAAAGGAATACGAGGTTTAGAAGATACCAACTTCCATCGTTCATGTCAACTAATTAATAAATTATCTTAATTCAAAATTTATCACTTTTAGGCTACTAGCTAAAACAAGAACATAGACAACAAGTGCTCCGCTTGATTCACTGTAGCTATCACGCTTACTGCACCCTTTCTTTGAGCAAGTGAAGCATACATTTCTGCTTTGGTGAAGTCCACCTCGAAGGTCCCTGTTTTGCGCCATGAACGATGTTTCAACGACTTCAAACGGGCCTGGCAGGAGAACGTCTATGTCAAGACGGTCACCGTCGATTTTGGTTACGGATGCACGGTCCTCCGCTAAGAGAATAAGTGCACCATTTGCGGGGCATGCGGCCGGAATAAGAGGCGGTAAGCCCTCTAGACCGGGAGCCAATGGTTTGGAAACACTTCGAAGCGGTCCCACTGGCCCAAGAACGACTTCTGTTCGCCGTGGAAGTGCCCATATGAGCTCTAGCGATTTGCTTCCGGTTCGACGCTCAGGCAGCAAAACGAAGCTGCGACAACAGGGTAAGTACAGTGACATTTCCATCGACAACATCTTATCAGATCTATCGGATGTTCCGTCTGGCCGCAGGGAAGAGCGACTGTCTTCATCCTCTCACGATTTCAGCATTTCGTCAGGTGGAAGGTTTGCACGCTCAATGCAGCATTCAAAAATGATCAATCCATTGCCTCCAAGAACTTCCAAAACGTCCAAAAAGTTGGTTCTCATTCCCGAAGGAGAGGAAAAAAAGACTAGTTCGCAGCATTTGGACAGAAAATGGTCTTCTCGTACTTCTAGGTCATACTCCGACATATCATCAAATGTGCGAGACGACCTTTCACGCATAACTGCCTATAACGTTGCCGAAGGCTTCAATACACAACTTGCGTCTGCATTCCTGAAATCTACGCATGACGTTTCACCCAGGTTATATGATGAGTGTCTTTACGTTCCCTATTGCTTGCCCCTTCTTCCAGGAAAGGACGGATTTAGACTCAAATCGAACGTATCGAAAAAAACTGTTGGTGGTAAAACCCTTATAGACCGGTTAATCGATAAGAGCGAACAACGAGATCATCATTATGAATATTATTCCGGAGTTGAAACGGTCGCAGATATGAACAATAATTTCGAGCTGAGCGAGCCTTCAGCCATCGAGAATGACAGGTATGACGTGGTTCCAACTCCTGATCACCTACCAAATCCCACAAATAGTAACGCGGCCTTGTTTGACCCCGGTGAACCTCAGTTTTTCGCTGAAGAAAACATCAAACCTGAAATGGATGGAAATTCAACAGGCGAAACTTCCAAACCTGTGAGACCGTCATCCGAGGAGGTAAAGTCTCTGGATACTTATGACGCTAGTAAGCAGCAACATGCGGAAATGTTTATCTTTAGTTACGGAGTTGTTGTCTTCTGGAACTTTACTGAAATACAGGAAAAGAACGTTTTAGGAGACATTGCATTTGCAGATTTCGACGATTTGGTAATCAGACCCTTAGATGAACAAGACATTGAGATGGAGCAGTTTCATTTTGAGTATGACATGGACGTTGATAGGCCGCGCATCTTCAATGATATTGTGACGTTACGGTCCGGCGATCACATCACGAAGTTAACTCTATCACATTCAATTGCTCAGTCTACAAAACTTTCAAGATTTGAGTCTAGAATATCTCCTATCCTAGGAACGGTGTCGAAACTCCCGAAAAGGCTTGCGCTATATGGCTCCTTGGGTCTCAAACGTGAGCAGCTTTTGAAGAAGTCTGGCAAACTGTTCAAGCTTCGAGTGGACGTCAATCTCTCCTCGAGCGTTTTGGATACTCCAGAATTTTTTTGGTCGTTCGAACCGAGCTTACATCCGTTATACTTGGCAATGCGGGAATACCTAGAAATCGATCAAAGGGCACAGGTGCTCAACGATCGGTGCAAGGTCTTTTTGGAGTTTTTTGATATTTGCGTTGATTCTGTGGCTGAAAGAAACATGGCCAGAATTACGTGGTGGTTTATCGCTCTTATTTGTGTCAGTGTTCTAGTTTCCATCGGTGAAATTATTGTTAGATCATTTATTGTTCGCCGCCTCAAACGTCACTATTAACCCTGTCAATCTACGTTGTATCAGAATCTTTGCAAGAAAACAGAACTCACATTATCATAGCTGGCTATTTAATTAAGTTATTTCTTAGCACCGTATTTGTTCACGGACTTACCGTCAGGAATTCCGAAAAACACATAAGGTTTGTCGCCGGAGGCTGGAGAATCCAATCTGTAGTAACCCTTTCTCTCAAATTGAACAATGTCACCCTTTTTCATGTCCTTGACGTTCAAGTCCGCAATGGCTGCAGCATGAAATTCAGTTTGAGGGGTCAAGAAGTCAGCAAAGTCTTCTCCCTCTTCCAACTTGTCCTTCGTAATCAAGTGGTCAAAGTCAACCAAGTCAACCTCCACCTTGTCCTTGGTGTCAGCCAACCAGGTCAACTTTAGCTTTGTCTTCTTGAAATCACCTTCCAAGTGCAGCTTAGCATTCAAAGAACCATCTGCATTTTTACCGGTAACAATAACGTTACCCCAGTCCATCAAAGTCAGCTCTTCGCCATCTTGAATCATGTCAGCGTCTTCTTGATCGATGAGAACCTCAGAATAGTAGATGACCTTCTTCTCGCCCACCGCTGGGTTCTTTTTGTGCTTAGGTCTCATTTGCACATCAGGAATTTCAGAAGCACCCTCGATGTGCATTTTAACTGGGTTGATAATAGCGGTATGTCTAGGAGCGACTGGATCGATAACCTTCTTGTTAAACGCCCAAATCAAATTCCATTCCAAGTTAATCACGTTTCTAGAAGGACCTTGCGACAAAACAAAGTTTCTCAAACCTTCAACGGTCATACCTCTTCTTCTAACACCTCTCACGGTAGGAAATCTAGGATCATCCCAGTTTGCGACCAAGTTCTTGTCAACCATCCATTGAAGCTTTCTCTTGGACAACAAAGTTCTCACAAAATTGACACGGGCAAAGTCCCAAATGTGAACCTTTCTCAATTTCAAAGCGTTGAGCATCCAGTCGTATTGGGCATTTCTGTCTCTGTACTCGATGGTACGCAAGGCATGAGTAACTCCTTCCAATGCGTCGACGATTGGCACACAGAAATCGTAAGTTGGGTAAGCCTTCCAGGTGGTACCGGTTCTGTGGTGAGGAGTCAAGTTGCATCTGTAAATGACTGGGTCGCGCAAAGTTTTGTTTAGGGCTTCGTAATCAATCTTGGCACGGACACAGTTCTTCAAACCTTCTTCTGTACCGTTTTTCATGTCCTCTGTGAAGATCTTCAAATTTTCTTCGACAGAACGTTCTCTTCTGGCGGATGCTATGCCGTCCATACGCTCTTCTCTCATTCTCTCAGTTGGTGTGTCATCACAGTAGGCCTTGCCTTCTATGATGAGCTGAACGCAGAGGTCGAACATCTCTTGGAAGTAGTCGGAGGAGTAAGTGACTCTGTCACCCTTGATGCCCAAAAGTTCCAAATCCTCCAAAATCGAGTCCTGGAATTCAATTTTCTCCTTCGAAGGGTTGGTATCATCGAATCTGATAATGAGCTTACCCTTGTACTCCTGAGCGAAGTACTGGTTTAGAATGGCGGCCTTGGCATGTCCAATGTGCAAGTATCCAGATGGTTCAGGTGGGAAACGCGTGACAACCTCGCCGATTTTGGCATCAGGCAAGTCGATTTCGAAATTCGCTTTGTGAGTTTCCTTCTTCTTACCGCTAGAAGCCAATTTCTTGAGCTCCTGCACGGACTTGGTCAAAAATTCGTGAGCGGTACCGAATTCAGGAACTTGCTCAAGAAGTGTGTACCAACGAGAGACGTTAATGTAGACCTTGTTCTTAATGATAGAGCCCACCATACCGTTCGATCTGAGAGAGCCCCAGCACGCAATATCAGATGGCGAGTATGACTGAGCGCCAGAAATGAAAGTTCTGAGGTTCAAGTAAGCATCGAGCTTTTCCAACGAGACTGAAAGCTTGGCGAAGTTCTTGACAGTGAGTTCTTCAGCAGCAAACTTGGTCCATTCCGAAGTATTTTCGGAGCTTTGGCCAAAAGCATTAGGGTAGCGGTCCACAATACGCTTCAGCACAGACTCAGAGTTGTCCTCGAAAGCAGCGGCAGGCGACTTTTTGTCCTCAGTGAACTCAATTTCAACACTCGAGGGATCTGCAGCATTTACCAGACGGGCAGCAATGAGCTCCGAGTAGGCTACCACAGGGGCCTTACTTGCAATAACGAGCTTTGTCATACTAGTCAATGGCTCAGTATCAACTATATGGAATGTTTTATGGCTAATTATAGGTAAATCTGTAGAGCATCTGTATATCCATTCTAGTGACCTTGGAAAATTTTATTAGTATCAATCTCTTCATACGCTTCAATTACTTCCGAAACTATAAAAACCCTGGCATCGTTCAAAAGGTGAGCTGTTAGTCGCTCAATCGAGACATCAAGCACTTGTTGCGGTTCTGTAGTTTCGAAACTAGTATTTGGAGCGCTGTTTGGCTCATCTTTGAAAGAGGCTTTAACCACAACTAGATTGTAAAGGCAGATTGACCTCTCGACTTCAAACAAGACATTTAAACCAACAAGATGGGTCTCTCGAGCAATTTATTCGTGCAGAAACGAAGTTCTACAAATAGTTTACGCCAGCCTAAGGAAATTGGATACTATAGCAAAACCATGGAGAACGAGTTTCTTATTTACGATAATTCCAAGATGAGCTTCTACTATTTTCCCGACAGTGAGCTGAACAAAAACCTTGATCTGAGCTCGGGCATTAAAAAATTCAAGGAATGTAGTAAGGCCGAGGACTTTGATCAATGCACATTGAGTGGTTTACTCCAAACAGTCAAGACTTATGAGCAACGTAAGGACAAAAAAGTGTCCGCCGACATCGTCACGTTCAGAGGTGTGATGCGAAAGCTGATATCGTGTGCATTCGACAGCCCGCAATACAACCGTGTGGAGCTGCGAGTTGTTTCGTTCAACGGTCAGCTTTTCATTAAAGAGGTTTCGGAGCCTCATTCCCTTCCGAACAACACAGATTCCATGGAACACCGCTCATACTACAGCGGATACAAATTCGAAAATCTGACAACGTTGTCTAAGCCGTTGGCAGAAGTTCCCAGAAGCACTTTGGAGAAAAGACCCAAAAAAATTTGCAACAATGGGGATCAATACTTGACAGTCGTACGGTCAGGTGTGGGCTCTTGCAAGCTGGTACTGGGGGCCGAAGTGGACTGCGTTTTTGATTTCAGCGAAAACGGCTCCGACAACCTCAAGCACTATGCTGAACTCAAATGTACCAAGGGCGTTTCTTCATTTGCTGAGGCTCGTCGCTTTGAAAGGAAAATATTCAAAACATGGCTTCAATGTTTCTTAGTCGGCATTCCTCGCATAATTTATGGCTTCCGCGATGACAACTTTATATTGAAATCAGTTGAAGAATATCTCACTCACGAGATTCCTGTTCACCTGAAAAATCACAACCCGCAACTAACCAACGCATGCATGGACGCGGTAAGGTGGTACGGGGCTTTGACTGAGTGGCTGCTGGAAACGATTCCTCGTGAAGAGTCCGCGGACCATTTGAAAGCTTACAGACTACATTTCGAAAACAATCATTTGAAGCTTACGGAAATCGAGCCAGATCACGCAGAATATGCAGATGTAGTAGAAGGGCAGAGCGTTTTGAGTTCAGAATTCAAGGACTGGAGAAGAGAATTGGCTAACAAGGGCGCCAAAAATTGATTTTTAATGTATTTGCAAAGAAAACGTTGGTAGAAGGTTACAAATTAATTACAGATCATCATAAAGAATACTATCAAACTGGCTGTAACGGTCCTCGAAAAATCCTCTAAACTTTTTCTCCTGACCAAGCTTGGTGATTTGAGTAAAATCCTCTTTTGATAATTCGAAGTCAAAAATGTCCAAGGATTCCTTGATGCGATCCACATTTCCCGACGTAGTAACCGCTACTATGCCATTTTGAATAACCCAGCGGAGTAGAATCTGCATTTCGGACTTGTGATACTTCGCGGCGATTGTTGACAAAACAGTGTCTAGCGGTCCTGGTCTTCCTTTGGTGATCGGTGCGAGCGGCGAGTAACCCTCGACCACGATGTTGTTGTCTCGGCAATACTTCAAGATACCTGGCGACTGCTGCTGCATGTACGCATTAAATTCGATCTGGTTGACCACGGGCTGATACTTCCCGATTTTTTTGATGTACTCGAGGCTTTCGACGTCGAAGTTGGACACACCAATGTTGCGAGCCAATTTGCGCTCGAGAATCACCTCCATTTGTCTCCATGCTTCTTTCAAGTCAATTCCAGCATTTTCAGGCGTAATGTTAGGCACATGTATCAAGTAGAGATCCACATAGTCAAGTTCCATGAGTTTGAGCGACAATTCTAGCGACCCCAGTGGCCCAGTGCCTTTTCTCCACGCCCAGGACCAGGGAGTGTATTTGTCCGTCAAAAAGATTTTGTCTCGGGCTACACCAGACTTGCGAATGCCAGCACCGACTTCTTGGTGCGTTTTGTATGCTTCTGCAGCATCAATATGGGTGAATCCAGCATCGATGGCATTGGTGATTTGCTCTGCCAGCTCATCAATGTACTGGTCTTTTGTCTCGCCCGTAGCTTTAGCGATTCTCCACTTCGTCCCAGATCCGAACCCAATCACGGGCAGCTTATCTCCCGAGCCAGATAGCTCAACAACAGGAATATCGACAGTCATTTTGTTGGTGGACAGAATGTGTTCACTTTATTTAAGAAGTACAAATCTTAGCGCAAGTAAGCGAAAGTTTGGTTGCAATTGGTAGAGCTGTTCCATTTATACGCGAACTCGAATGTGTGTGTACGTATGAGTAATGTTCTCAATCGAACATGCGAGTACCCCGAAAATTACTTATCACATGTCTTGATACGGCATCATTTATCAATAACTAATTATTTAGACGCGGTGATTCCGCAGTGTTTAGTCCACTTCTGCCAATGCTGGTAGTGATCGGTTCGTAGCTGACTCTGTAGGTTTTGAAAGCCATGTTGGAAACAATGATGATTCCGCATGTGCTGATTAGAAGGATGCTTAGCGATTTCACACTTATGGGCTTGAGAAATCCGTTTATTATCTCGGCCAGCGTTTCAGCCCATACTACGGCTGAGCGTTGAGGGTCCGTGGCCTCGGGCACCTCTTGATTCATGCATCGAGACCAGTACAGACACTGCGATTCCAGCCATGGCGCTCTTTGATCAGGCTGACATCGATTTTTAACGTATTTATTTCTGCATTCCACAACTGTCCTTACTGCTGCTGCTGCTTGGACCTGTAGCTTCTTGTCTACATCTCGGTTTATCAGCTGCACAAACCTGACGCACAAGTAGAGAACACCGGATACTACTACAGCATTAAATATCAGTTGAAGGTACTCTGAGAGCACTCTTGGATCGGTCCAGTATCGCGACGGCGTTGGCTGAGGTGAAGCTACATCGCCAATCTGATCAGACCTTGAGGCTATATTCGACATGGGTGTGACAGCGAGACATACATACGCGCTTGACGACAGGGCTATTTTTCACGGTGAAGTGTAGTAAGCTCAGCGAAGTTGGTAATTAAATATTAGATTTTAGTACAGAGTGAGCAGAAATGGAAAAGAGCGAAAGATGCGAAGCTTGAAAAGGTCGTCTTGACAAGCTTTTCATCGTTGTGAAAAGCTGAAGTGGCAGCGCAATTGGCACTGTCATTTGCCGTGATTGGACATCAATCAAAATTCACCGCGATTAAGCCCGTCATTTCGAAAACGAAAAACGACACAAATTCGAGGTCTTTTGAACCCCATGAAACTCTCAAAAGACAAGCGGAATGTATAACCATGCCAAGGAGTCTTTGTCGTCGTCTTAACCTTCGATCGCGACGTTCGGACATCCTCACGTGCTCAAGTGCCAGCTTTTATTTAACATGTTGTGATTATATCTTTATATATCATGCCTCACGAATGTGAGGCAGTTTAGCAGACAAAACGATTGGTAGATTTCGGCTAAGCTGGAAAACTTCCATTCCAGCAGGCTACTGGACCTATAACGCGACGGTCACCTCTCTAAAAACGCCAAGCTGAATTTCTTTAAGACTTTTTCCAAGTCACTTGCTAATTACCTTTTAAAGCCGGCCTCTTCTTCCATCAAACGATCGCCCACTTCATCGCCCCCAAGTATCCCAGCTGCTGCCATCCCATTACCCAAAACCGAACCAATGCGTCAAACTGCTGTGAGTCTTGCTAAGAGCTATACGCCAATGATCAAATTTGTAGGTGGCAAACACCCCCTCGTACAACACCCTAATTCGGCTACCCCACATCCCTGCACAATTGACGGTATGCTCCCCGGATCAAAAGAATGTGTACCGGTCGCTGAGTATCTCGGTAAGCTGAAACTTTTCGAAGTTGTGCCTTACAAAACCAAGAAGTCGCCCCAGAAATCTGCTGGCACCACCAAGGGTTCTGCCTACACATTCACTTCTAGACCTCTCAAAGAAAATGAGGTCGACTCCATTTTCGATCTACCTCCCAGATTTCAACTTCGTCCGTTCGCGGAGTCCGAGATAGAATCCATCAACGCTGGCGGCGCTCTATGAAGTATACATGTAATTTACCAATCCCAAACAAATGAGCTTTCTATTATAGTACAAACGTGTATCCCTGTAGAGCCATTGAAAAGCTCACATCACCCAGCTCCTGAGCTGCTGCCAACTGTCTTATCTCTTGCAGAATAACGAGGCGAGGGTCCCGCATGCCTGGGGACATCTTCACATGCATAATGATCACCTGTAGGCCATCCAGTGGTCTACCATAAGCCCGGCTTAGCTGTTTCAGTTCGTGGACGAGGTAATTGGGCGACAGATGACCGTAAAGGTGCTCATCCTTGGTAGCATTGGAGCAAGAACACTCGACTAAAATGCACTTCAATTTTTCCAAGGGCACGGTTGTGCTGAAGTGTTTCCAAACATTGGCTAGCAGCCGCTTGTGCGAAATGAGATCCGACTCCAGATCTCCGCAAATTGCAACTGCCTGCTCGGTAACTCTATTTTGTATTAGATATACGGTGCTAGTGCACCGCACCTGACTTTCCACGGTGAGGCCGTGACTGACACGCAAAGGTGTTATGGCCCAGTTGGTTATGCATTTGACTGGATGTGACTGACATTCCTCCAGAGTGTGTAATTCGAAACTCATTTTTTTCTGAGCAAACAGGTTGGGCCACAGAATGTCGTTGAAAACATGCTTTCTCAGGGCCTCCGTGGTGGGCCGAAGCCCCCAGAGCGTCTTCTCGGCAGAGCTGCATGCAGGGGAGTTTATAACCAAAGCGGCTATGTGATCCAAATGTGGGTGTGTGATGTAGTACTCCTTGATATTGTTGAAAACTCGGAGCGCTCCACTGATTATTGATTCATCCGAGTCCAGGAGACTGTCGTTACACAAACCACGCACTATTCGTACCTTGGAATCCACGAATCTGTGCAACGGCTCCTCGAGCCTTTCGTAAAAGCTCTCGATCGCATCGTCCCAGCAGTTCTGTTTCAACGAAGATCTTTTTTGATGAGATGCGATCATAGTAGCTATCTGTCGCAACCCAGACCCTGCATCAATACATATATACTTTTTGTGTAAACAATTACCTGGCTCTGAGAGAAGAATGCTCTGGTTTCCACCATCAAGAGGGCCGCCTGATGCCCCCAAAATGCTGATCTCAAAGCTCGCCATGCTTTTGTAAGAAGACTTCGTGTAGTCCAACCAATTTGCAGACATTATTTATGTAAAGGCTACTTAAATCTTGTATTAAGTAAAGCTAGCACTCATTTCGTACGCGACTTGTAAGTAAATGTCAAAAGCTTCGAAACCGTCATCTGTCATCGGCCGCACGTCAGCGTTGATGAATGAATGCATTTGGCTAAGTGATGTTTGTTTTTGAGTCTCGGCCACTGTATAGTAATTGCAAGACTTCTTAGTATCACATTGGAGATACAGATGAAAAGCAACCCTGTCTTAAACGGATACCATTAAAGGCATCACTCAAGATCTAGACATAGCTTCAAAGTGCTGGAGTTATCGTGGAAGCAGAATGATTTGGCTTTTTGCTTATAAAGACAAAAGTTTCAAATACAGTGGAAGTCTGAGTACCGCTGCTTTAACGCGGTTTTTTTCCTGTCTATTTGAGTTTTGGAACGAAGTGAGACGGATACTGAATTCGGGCTTGTCGTAACAAAACGCAAGAGGGCATCTTTGTTCTGTACACTTGTATCTTCTCACTTCTTATTAAGACAACATGGAACAATTAAATGATTCGTATTCACACTTTATGAGATAATGCAAAAAGACGATAGCTACAAACAAGTAGATACATTTGAATCGGTACACGATTGAAGCGTTTTACTGTGCTTTGTAATTCGAGTCCTCTCTGCCATATCATTCGAGCGCGATTCCCCTTTATTCTTTCGAAATAAACTGACAACTCAAATCGCACTTTCCCCTTCAAGCGAATTGTGACTCTCTCAAGTGCAACGGTTTCACTGTATACCAATTGCGCTCAATCAAATTGCACAAATTCGTGCAAGCGAGTCTCAACCTTGCCTATCTAGACATCAATTATTTCTTGACTTTCGTTTTCTAATCCCGCAATGACGAATTTTATTTAACTACACTTTCTGGGTACCGTAGCCTCTGATATCCTTTGCAAACCCCCAGACCATGTCCTCGACTTTATTGTTCTTATCGAAAATTAGTCCCTTCTCTTTGTCGATGATCGCTAGCGAATATTTGCGAGAAGAGCGCGCGTCACGGTAGAACAGCACTTTCATGGCCTCAATTATGGATTTCTTAGCGGTCTCCAAATCTGTGCCTTCAACGTCGCTCTCCACGTCAACCACTTTTCTCAGCAGAGGTAATGCCAGGTGCGCTCCGAACCCGGTAGCGAGTGAGGGTGCTGTGTATGTCACACCCAACAAATTGACATATTTTAAAAACGGTTTTTCATCCTCTACACCGGCAACAATCAGCGCGTTCCAAAGTGGATTCATCTTAGATCTTCTGCTGTACATCACGTTCGCAAGATATTCAAAAACATAACTGGGCTTCAAAGCCTCTTCTTCGTCCGCATACTGGTTGTCGTAGTTGTTTTCCGTCTGCATCTCTTCCAGTAGATATTCCAATTGCTGCATGTCTGATATGTCGCCCGAGATTCCCACCACAGTGCTTTGACCCACTGGAATCAATCTTTCGATGTCGCTAAAGCGCAGCAACGAGCCGTACGAACCCAAGTTATCAGCAGCAATTACCACACCGCCGTTGTATTTCATGGAAATTACCGATGTACCGGTCACAATTGGCTGTTGTGTGTGCATACTTGGGTATGGAGACGCATTGGCAATCTTCATGTTGTATTCACCATAAACATCGGCGGAAGGTCTTCCCCAATCAAAAGGGTCGTGATTCATGGTAGTGTATTATATCTCAGCTGTAATGTCTCGACACAGGGAACGTAGTGCTAGTGCTAGATGTATGCCTTTGGGTACTGTGAAGATTCAAGACGTATCTTGAGTATACTGTTCATAAGGGTGGCAAAGAGAACTTTGATATTCTTTAGATCATTCTTTACGTAGAAAGAGTTGGTGTGCTCGCTACTACTACTTTATAGAGTTTATACAGGTGAAGGTCAATACGTCTAACAAGGTCAGTCTGGAACAATCTTGACGCTATTTAAACCACAGAATAATCCTCGGATCTTAGACTAGTGACGGTGTCGAATGGTAGGTGCTCGTCACTTTCCGCTGTAGAACTTGTTACTTTACTAACGCTCACGCCTGTGAATGAATTTTGGGCTCCATGGTTGCTAAAAACCACGGAGACCGGGAACAGAGAGTCTTCGTAGTCAGCTTCAAGTGTGAGTGAAACAGCAGCAGTGGTTCCAGCTTCAATTGTGTCGATTTTGACTATAATTCCGTTTTCGTCGTCAATGCTCTCAATGACAGCGCCTAGGTCGTTGAATTCATCATTTATGCGAACATTCTCAGTGAAAATGGGAAGTGCGAAACGAACGTCGTTGAGACTCTCTTGGTAGGTCTCTGCCATTTCTAGTTCGAAGGTGACATCAAACAAGCCTTTGTCAGAAGCAGACGGGGAAACCCACGAACAAATCTGCAATGGTGCCAAAGCCGAGTCGTCTGCAATTCCGACCTTGCGCCACCTTAGTACTGCTAGACTCTGATCATTGGATGGGAATGCTTTCGTTGAATCGCGCAATCCTATAATTCCAGATGTCAAGAATAAATTCTTGTCTATATTAGGATGTGTCTTGAACTGGAATGACTTATCTTTGGCATCGATTTTTGGATGCAAGCTGATTTTGGCATGCGCCAATTCTGAATTGTTAATGCGCAGCTCCAAACTACCCTTCAGTTCCGAGCTCTCCACGTTACCCTCGCGTGAAATTTGTGCACTGACAACTTCTTTTACTGAAACCAGAATACCATTATTCTCAGGTTTCTCAGGCTCTTCTACCTGCAACGCGAAGGAGGCGGTAGGGGTTGTGCTCTGTCTGGCTGATTGTTGCAAGTGAGCGGCACTTGTCCCTAGGCTGCTCTTCCTGCCACCACCGAGTTTCAGTCCCCTTCCTCCCGATGCGCTCTCAACGGGTAAGCTGGTGGGTACTTCAGTTGCTGGAGTCTTCTGTTGTGTCTGATAGTACGATTGCTGGGCCGCAGCGGAGGCTTGGCTGTAATAACTACTGTATGCGTTCGAAAGGTTTGGATCGTTTGAAGACTGGAAGCGCATGCCTTCCATGCCGCTTGTGGAAGGTATACCCATTTTGCGTTCCTGCTCCCGTCTGGAGATCTCCTTGGCTCTGCGTTTCCTCTCCTCCGCAGCTTCAAATTCCTTGTTACGCTCAATGATTTCTTGGATCTTCTCCTCGTGGGATTCCATAGACAGGTACGTGTTGATTTGCGACATCGAGAGGTTTTCTTTGTAGCCCATAGTAATGACTTCATCGAAAGAGCCCAGAATTTCGAATGCATTCTCAAAGATTTCGTGTTCATCAAAGCTGCTCAAATACGAATTCATGCTTTGTGCGAAAAGCTTTAAGGTATCCAGATCCTGTATGATGTTTGACTGCCGATTCGTAATCAGAATAATGTAGTAATCGTCAAACGGCTTATACACATAACGAACATGCTCATCTTCGACAAATGTATGTTGTGAAGAAGAGCTAACTACCAGTCCTTGAAAGTTCGAGAGAAGCTCAGTCACACGATCTTTACTTATATCTCTGAATTGCCTGGAAAGCAATGGCTTTCCCTGTCGAGTGATTATGGAAACGGCGATCACTACCATGGTTTTTAGCGCTTGGTGAACCCGATCAATTGTTATGCTAACTTCGAAACGAACACCTACTTGTCCCTATTTACTATGAAAAACTGAACACATCGTTATTTTATCGTCTTCGGTGATGTGAGTGGAACGCCAATGCTTGGCTGAGCTCGAACTTATAGAAGGATGTAGATGGCGTACCGAGCCTGCACGCTGGCATGAGCTTTGCAATTCAAGAAGTAGATCATAGGAGTAATTTTTCATTGGCGGTTTTCTTTTTTTAAAGACGATGAAACTGAAAATTATGTGTCAACATCTGTCTTATGGCAGTATTTGAAGACAGAATATTCATAATGCAGATAATGTATTGAGAGCATCTTAGGGCTTGCCAGTATAATCTGGACTGTTTATTTGAGTTGACTTCAGGTTTATGACCTCAGTTTTTTCTTAATGCAGCAGAATGGTACATATTCACAGCTCACTGGGCCAATTCGGAATACATGGTAAAGAACTAATCACGCATTTTTTTGTAAGACCTCGAGCAAATGTAGCTTGTTCTAGATATGACCAACAGAATTCCACTTACCTCGCAAAATTGTCAACTGTTTGGAATGTCACAACTTCCTTTCAAATCATTAATTCCATTCGTCGATGACGGGAAATGGTCCCTGATCTCCTGTTTTACTACGTACTGTTACAACCTTTGGGTCCATTTGTGACGCTTTCAAGTCGCCTCGACATCGGTCGATTTGAATTTCTCCTCAAGAGCGTCGCGACCGTCAGACACTGAATCTCTTTTCCGTTTTAGCGCACTTGAGGGCTCGGGTTCCACAGAGGTGGCGCTGTCCTCTTGCATAGGTGTATTGGCAACGGGCACTGAATTCTCCTGTTCGTCTTCCTCTTTCTGTACACCATCTTTTTCATCGTCTGAAGACATTATGATATACTCAGTCTTTTTGTTTTCGGGTTGATCTGCGTCGTCTAGTAACACCGGATGACTCTGATCGTTGCTGAAAACCTGAATGTTTGCAAAAGTAGCGTCACCACTCAGCATCTCTACCAATGAGTTGTAACGCGAGACAAAGCGAGGCTTTGTGCTTACATTTATCGTTAGGGAAGTGGGCACGTCAGCTTCACATTTTTTTATAGAGTTGTCCTTCAAAATCTTGAAGATGGATACCACGTCATTGATAGTAATGTCTTTGTTGTACATGTTATCCTCTTCCATGACCAGGTCAAGATCGGGAAACTCCATTTGTAATTCCCGCGACAACAAATCCAATCCGCGTTGTATGTTCTGAAGAAAGAGTCGAATGCGACCAAATACAACATGGCACCCGCGGTGGAGATCAGCCGAGTCTTTACATATCACTTTGCTTGCTTCCCATTCTCCAGCGTTGTCGCCATCATATTCCCCTAGAAGCAAAAATGTCTCGTCCCTGTAATTGACTCTTATCTGAGGTGATTTAGCACTGAGGAGTTGCTTTGCCGCTTCGTTCACCTCACTCTCAGAGACAATATCAATAATAGAGTCTTCGTCATCGTCACGATCTTCATTCTTATCATCATTATCAAGGTTTTTGGATTTTTTTAAGACATCTCTTTCTTCATTGTTGTCGTCATCCACTGTTACACCAGACTCTGCTTGTGCAGAAACTTGTACATCTTGATCAGGCACTTGAACATCTTGGGCAAAGTTTTCTTTACTCTCGGAGGTGCCTATTTGGTTCGTAGACCCGGTCCGAGGCTCATCGGACGCTTCGGCTATTTTGTCAGGGTTTTCCTCCAAGTTCCGTGCTTCTGTAGTTAGCGTGCGCTCATTCGAAGGTGCGCTTTCTGCCAAAGAATTCGTGACTGTGTCATTTTCCTGAATCGGCCTATCGATAGGAGTTTCAGTCATCTTACAAGCACTTGTTCGCGGTAATTGTTTGTTCTTACAGGTTTACCTTATTTTATTCAATCAACAATAATAAAGATTGTCGTCGTGATTTAGTTTATTGCACTAAGATGATTAAAAGTGCTTTAAGATCATGAAAGAAGACAAACAATCAAGTACGTAGAATAAAATGCTTCATAGTGATGATTTAAGAGACTTCAAAGTATCGAGTCGTTCGCTATAAGACGTCGGCAACGTTTCTACTTAGTATCTATATTATTTGTAGTTTTGAGCTCTCGTGGTTGTAAGAGTTTACTGTTCTGAGGGTACAGCTTCGCAGGAATGAGATCAAGACCTCTTTGTGTGGCCGAAGCGGTGAGCTAACATCTGAACAGCATTAAACGAACTCATTTTGTTAAAGAAGGTGAGTTTTGAGAGTGGAGGTGTCTCAACTTTTGGTTTTAAGCGCCGAAATACAGCTTTCAGCGATGACGGGGCAGAAACCGCCCAGGCCAGGTCGTTGCACAGCGCAAAAAATGAACATGGGAGCAGTGCATCAATGAAGTAAGTACCGGCCTGACAAATTGTGACAGAGCTTCAAATCAGCAGTCAACATTGTCACTCGAAAAGGAACAGTGCACCAGAAATGCTCGATTTGCAGAGTAAAAAGCTACATTTCTGTTTTTCCCCATTGCACGCAGTTGTATTATACTTCCTCAGTGTGTGATGAGATTCACACTTTTTGTGAATAGAGGTACGGCGCTGGAAGCGAGGTTTACGAAATCCAAAAGTATGCCTAGTGAAGCGAGCATCATTGCCTAGAAGATGAAGGTTATTCCTTAACGCCAGAGACCGACGATTCAAAATACTGCTGGGTAACGCTCTTATGTTGGTTAATTCGAATAGCCTGTTAATTTCAGATTTCATTTTCTAAGTCAATCAAGATAATTCAGCATCTCTCCAGCTCAATCAATGTCTCACCACAGCTATCAGGACTATGGCGAACGTAAATTCACTTCAGTATTCTTTCCTGAGCGAGGATCTACTATGACTTTTAGGAAATGTATTAGGCCTGAAGCCTTTATGCGAAACTAGTACTTTGACAAGACGTTTTATTTTAGTATTAGTTCAAGTTTTGAGAGAGACTTCAAGCAGGAACTCGGCTTCGATCGTGCTGGAATTTTGTTGAAAAACAGGTCATTTGTCAAAACGGATTTCCTTAACGCAAATTGAGGTCGCTGTGCCGTACATGGACACTAGCACCTAATATCAATATACTAGGTCACCTAGTTGTGGTCAAGATCGTTCTCGGTCCAGTTGAGTTCGAAGATCGAACCTCTACAGTAGCAGAAATTGTGGAAATGGAGGTTACAACGAGTCATCCATACGCTGGAATATAGACTCCACTAGTACCGTTTTCAGTCTGGAGTATTGCAACTTGCAAACGGACTGGGATGCATAGAAAGCGCGGTTCACAGTATCTCACCAGAAAACCCATGGTCCTGGTGTAAAAAATAGGTAAAATGCTTAGCGGGAATACCGAGTACCCAAAACCTGTCGTCCTCCGAAAGTAAAGTGCGTTCTTTTTTCGAATAGTGGGCGAAAAGGGTGCTAATTCCCCTGACAATAATGAGATGTTCATGCTTCTCACAGATCAAAGGAGAATCTTTTTCGGAGCTGGCTTCTGGGCCAAATGAACGCAAGGTCACTTTGACATTGGTCCAATGAAATTATCAGCATGAAAAAACGGTTACCGCTTCAAAAGCTATAAAAACCAGAGACCGATATTGAGGAATCTTCGACTCTTGTATCATTATATCTTCATGATCAAATTTCTGTCAACAAGTGGTCGGATCGATCCGTCTAGCTCGAAACCTTCGAATCATGAAAATTTGACAAATCTGTGGTTCTCATTGTCAAAATACTAGCGGCATACCTTGTCGAGCATTACAGCTTCTAGTGGTTGAGGAAGTCTAGTCATTGGCTGGGGACCCATGCAAACCATGCATTCATCTTTCTCGTTTCTCTGATGGCACTTTTCAATGCCAACGTGATACCAAAAATTTTCGAAATTTGGTATCTATCTCTACCTTTACATTTTACATGATGACAAGACTCGAAGGGCGAAGCATCACTACCCGATTCTTACCATCAGCTAATGTCCGCGATCTCAGACAGCGACAGCGAAACGGAGGTTGTGTCGCGAAACCTTTGCGGAGTTGTAGATATTGGTTCGAATGGTATTCGTTTTAGTATTTCGTCAAAGGCTTCGCACCATGCGAGAATAATGCCCTGCGTGTTCAAGGACCGAATTAACATCTCACTTTTTGAAGTGCAATACGCTGCCAATTCTTTGGAAAAAGGGCCCATCCCTGAAGACACAATCAAAGAGGTGAGCGCCGCAATGAAGAGGTTTAAACTGATATGCGATGATTTCGGGGTACCGGAAACAGGCGTTCGGGTAGTTGCCACCGAGGCAACCAGAGAGGCTATCAACTCTAATCAATTCATCAATGCGGTGTTTGAATCCACTGAATGGGACGTCGAACTTCTAAACAAAGAGGAAGAAGGGAAAATTGGCGCCTATGGAGTCATATCTTCATTCAATTCGGTCTCGGGGCTTTACATGGATTTAGGCGGTGGGAGCACTCAGATTTCATGGATTAGGTGCGTCGACGGGGAAATCAAAATGTCTGAGACTCCTGTTTCACTCCCATACGGTGCTGGTGCTTTGTCAAGAAGAATGAAACATGAAGATAAAAGAGATTTGTTTCTTGAAATCAAGAAGGCCTACGCAGACGCAGTATCTAAGATACGGATGCCGCAAGAAATGATGGAAGAGGCCGAATCTAAAGGGGGCTTTGACCTGTTTACATGTGGTGGAGGTTTGAGAGGTATGGGCCACTTGTTGCTGTCAAAGATTAAAGAATATCCTATCCAAACAATCATCAACGGATTCTCTTGCTCTTTTGAGGAATTTTCAAGTATGGCAGACTACTTGTTCCTAAAGGGATGTGTTCCAAAGTCCAAGAAAATCTTCAAGGTATCCGAGAGAAGAGCATTACAGCTACCCGCTGTGGGTCTGCTGATGAGCGCTGCGTTCGAGTCCCTCCCATCTGTTAAAACAGTCCATTTCAGCGAAGGTGGTGTAAGGGAAGGTACCCTGTACTCGATTCTACCACGTGAGATCAGAGCTCAAGACCCGTTGCACGTTGCAACAAGACCATACGCGCCACTGCTGGCTCCCAAATATCTTGAGCTATTGAGAGCCGCCATACCAGAAAAGGACGTGCCCAAAATTGTCTATGCAAGAATTGCACCCGCCTTGTGCAACTTGGCGTTCGTGCACGCGTCATATCCGAAAGAACTACAGCCCACGGCCGCTTTGCACGTGGCAACTACAGGTATAATTGCCGGATGTCACGGTCTCTCTCATCGAGCAAGAGCGTTGATAGGAATTGCTCTTTGCAATAGATGGGGAGGCGATATTCCAGAACAAGAAATGGAGCACAAGAAGTTGCTGGAAGACGTGGTTCTACGAGACGGGAACAAGGTAGAAAGAGAAAGAATTGTATGGTGGACGCAATATATTGGAACAATCATGTTTGTGATATGCGGTGTTCATCCGGGAGGAAATATTCGTGATGGGTTGTTCAACTTCAATATTGAGCAGAAAGAAAACGTGGATAAGGATCTACAAAGTCTGAGTCTTGATGAAAGGATAGCGTCGGGAACGTCCAAGCGCAGAGAATTCGAGGTCATTGTCCGCATTAGCAAAGACGATCTCAAGACAAGTGCTTCCGTTAGAGCCAGGATTATTACTCTACAGAAGAAAATCAGGAAACTCTCGCGCGGTAGCTCCGAAAAGGTCAAGATTGGCGTACAGTTCTACGAGGATACATGAGAACTGCGGGAGGCGACACCAACTAATGGCCAACGTCGACAACGTGCGCTACAATGCGTAGAGGTATATCTAAATATTTACTGCCTTTAAGAAGCCTCCACCTTCTCACGTGCAAGGTGATCTAAAACTATAGAAGTCGTTTTGCCACTTCATGAAGTTAGACAAAGATACACATCGAACTACAGCTCAAGACACTTCTTTGAGTAAACTTAGCTTTTGATTGTGTGACTTTTCTAATATAATGGCCTTACTTGTGGATCTTGTCAAGGGATTGAATACTGCGTTTGCCAGTGGCGATAATAAAAGCTGCCAAAAGCTTCTGACGCCCATAAAGATTGAACTCATTAAATCCAATCTGCTGGTACCAGATTTGGCCAGAGCCCAATTTAATGAGGGATATTTGAACGATCTAGAAACTGCAAGAAAAATATTGGAGATTGGTGCTCTTTGCAGCGTTAGAAATCGGGATTTTGAATCATTTCAGAACTTCTTCTCGCAACTAAGGGTTTACTATTTCAGTAGCATTGAAAGACTGGAGAATTCCGAAAACAAATCCAAATTGATTAGTCTCTATCTGCTCATTTTACTGTCACAGGGCGACGTGACTAGATTTCACTCTGAACTGGAGTTCTTGGGCAAGAGACTGGGCAATATTGAGGAAGACGTGTTTTTGTCATACCCTATAAAGGTTGAAAAATGGTTGATGGAAGGCTCATACCAGAGAGCTTGGGACTTGTTGAAAAACGAGTCTAAAGTCGACGAGTTCAACATCTTCACACAAACTTTGATGGACGCCATCAGAGAGGAAATAGGTCGCAACACAGAACTGGCATACAAACGACTACCTCTCTTCAATGTTAAGGCCCTTTTGTTTTTCAACAGTGAAAAAGATACGGAACAATTTGCCTTGAGCAGAGGCTGGAAGGTCGTCTCTGGCAGCGTAATTTTCGATGAGGAGGAGACTTTGGAAGATCAGCATCGAACCACAATAGTGGAGAAGACTCTGGATTATGCGATTAATCTAGAAAGCATTGTGTAGAGTTAACAGAAATAGAAGATTGGTATACGTGATTAAGAAGCGAAGTAATATTCTATCCGAAGCCTTTTTTCAGAGGATCCGGTTTACAAAACTACACACATTCATAGTTCGAAATTACCAGTTCATCAGTATTTATCAGGTATATAAGATTGACTTTAGATCGGATAAACAAGTGTATAGTAGAATCATTGAAAGCGGTCTATGGCTAAGCGGAAAAGACATGAGAATTCATTAATCGTTAGAAAAGAGGAGCTGAAGTGTTGGCGGATCGTAAGCATGTCAGTGTGAGCAACTAAGTAAAGAATAGGTCACAGGGCAATGTGTGTGATTTTAAAAATAAAATCGATCCTCCTTAGTTGAGAACACCAACAGCCTTGCCAGCAGCTAGTCTCTTTTCTGTCAACGCGGCAATGATGGCGGCACCAGCACCGGAACCATCTTCGGCGGCGACAATGACGATTGGATATTCGCTGATGTTCTTCTTTTCTTCCCAGTCAAAGATGTCTCTCAAACCGGAGGCAGCTCTCTCGTTGAAACCTGGGTACATGTTGAAGACGGAACCATCGGCAGCAATGTGAGCAGTCTTGTAGCCTCTCTTCTTGCAAACAGCAGCAATACCGCAGACAGACATTCTGGAGGCTCTGGTACCGATCAGCTCACAGAGACGTCTGATCAACTTGCGTTCGGCGGAGGTGGTCTCGATGCCGAGCTCGTTCTTGAAGATGTCGAAGGTGTCCTCCAAGTTCTCGAATGGGTCTTCTTCAACTCTGGCTGGGTAAGAGGTGTCCATGATGTAAGGCTTCTCGAGCTTGGTCAAGTCCTGGCCGGCGAAGATCAAACCCTGCTGGGTTAGGTCCAGCAAACCGAGACGCAGCAACTCACCGAGGTAGTAACCGGAGGTCATCTTTTCGAAACTTTGTTGGCCTGGTCTTGGGGACTGCTTGTCGATCAAGATGTCGTACTTGGTTCTTGGGAGGGTGACGAGCTCGTTGTCGAAGGAGCCGTATTCACAGTTGATGGCCATTGGGGTTTCGGCGTCGAAATCGTCGCTGAGTCTGCCCTCGAGCTTCTCGACGCCACCGCAGACGTCGAAGTAGGCACCGTTGACACCGGTACCGAAGATACAGCCCATTCTGGTGTCAGGGTCGGTGTACATGGAAGCGACTAGAGTACCGGTGGTGTCGTTGATGAGAGCCACGACGTCGATAGGGATGTTGCGCTTCTTCAATTGCTCTTGCAACATAGGAACCACGTCCTTGCCCTCGACACCGTCGATGTCGAAACCCTTGGTCCATCTCTGCAAGAAACCTTCGTTGATACGGTCCTGGGAGGCTGGGTAGGAGAAAGTGAAACCTAGAGGTAGGGTGTGAGGCACACCCTGGGGGAATTCCTCGTCCAAGAAGGTCTTCAAGCTGTCTGCGATGAACGAGAACAGGGCGTCGGCAGACCCGGTACGCATGTGCGAGGGCAGCTTGTACTTGGACTGCGTGGTGTCGAAATCACGGTTTCCTCCGAGCTTGACCAAGACGACACGCAGGTTGGTTCCACCCAAATCGATGGCCAGGTAGTCACCCTTTTCTTTACCGGTTGGGAAGTCCATGACCCAGCCTGGAATCATGGGGATGTTTCCGCCCTTTTTGGACAGACCCTTGTTCAATTCTTCGACGAAATGCTCCGTGACTTCCTTCAACTTGTCGGCCTTGACAGTGAACATGTCTTCGAATTTTTCGATCTGTTCTAGCAGGTTGGCCGAAACATCGGCCATGGAGCCCTTTCTAGCAGGAGGCTTCTTTGGACCCAAACGAACCATTATGATGTAGTGATGAAACGGGGGAAGAAAACTGGAATTTAGTAGTGGAGGGGGAGGGGGGATTTAGACGGGTAGTACCTTAACTAACGGAAAAAAAGCTAGGTAATACGAGATGCTAAGCACAACTATTTGAGAAAGGAAACACTAAAGCCCCAAGAATTCTACAACTCAAACTACGTTCCCCCGCCTATCCTTTTATATACGTGGTGTGAGCAAGCTATCTTGATCGAGTACACCAGAATGAGGTGATTGACCAGACCCAGAGACACTGTCGTTGGGCTGGTGTACGTACAGTGAGTGGGCGGGCGACGAAAAATTTGGCGTAGGGAAGAGTTGAAAAAAAATTTATTGCAGTTGCCAGCTTCCTGTAGAGATCGTAAACGCGAGGCAAGGCAAAGTAAGAACAAGAAGGTGAAGTGGAGTGAATTATTATTATGGTAAACATCGGGTTGGGGCTGGGGTACCGGAAGAAGAGTTCATTTTGGATGTTGTGTGTGTGTGTGTGTGTGTGTGGGAAGATAGCAGCTTAAACGTTTGTTAGGTACACGACACGTAGTGGACAGTGCATATCGCGTGGTGTTGGTGTAGTGGTAGTATCCTCGTACACAACGACACTGTCCCGGGTCCCGGAAAAAAAATTCCACGAGTTTCTCCGCCGGGCGCATTCTAGTTCCGGTTTTGGCTGAGTTTTTCCGAACCAAGAGGTTTTGCCGGCAATCCGTGAGAGCAAAGAAAATCAGCCGACGTTTCAAGCCACGTGGAACAAGGGTCAGGTTACGTCATCGCCGGTTCCGGCGATGGGGTGACAATACAAGTGGTGGCGGGGGAACGAGTCACAATTGTGGGAAAATGGCGCGGGGGAGGCAGAAATTAAACCTGGGGAAGCTGGGCTGGGGGCAGTGTGGGGGAGAACGTTGTGGGGAGAACGTTGTGGGGAGAACGTTGTGGGGAGATAGAAATGGCTCTGTTGAGAAATCGTGGTGTGCTGTGATGTGTGGTGCCGTGCCGTGACGGTATGGGGGTGGACAAAGGTGACTGTGAGCGTCTGCTGTCGTAGAGGACTCGGAATATCATTGAACGGTTGCGACTTTTTGTTGACCCCATGGTGTGAGTGGTTTAGTTGGTGTTGGTGACTGCTGCCCGAGGAACAGCCCTCGAATGATTGAGCTACAGAAATACGTGTCTGAAAATAGGTGTATGACGGCTTTAAGCTTATAAACAAGTCCCAGAACATTGTACGATCGAACCCACAAAACACAAGTCCGGTCTCTTCCAGTCTCATTTCTTCGACTTGTCCAGGTTGACTGACATTCCTTTGGCACCAGGCTCGATATCGTCTCGTAAAGTCAGCGCAGGAATGTTGTAGTCACCGTCGTTCTGTTTGCGGTATGCGATAGGGTCTGTCGATCCAAGAGTACGCATACGCTCACGGAGATCTTCAGTTGCAATCTTGATTTGTTCCTCACTCAAGCGGTGGGTGTTGTACAACGCAAATGGGGGAAGAACGCTGAAACCAGGATAGAAAAGCATACCGTGGTTTATGGGGTAAAGAACATCGTCAATAGGACCATTTATTGCGCGGTCCCCGTAGTGTTCCTTCCAGCCGCCGATCGTTATCACAAGCATTGCGCGCTTACCAGCGAATATTCCGTCACCATAACGAACCCCCCACTTTTCATCATCGTGCTCTCCGACGCCGTACGCGAATCCGCAGGAAAAGACACGTTCGACCCACCCTTTGAGTATCGCAGGCATTGAGAACCACCATAGCGGGAAGTGCAACAACAAAGTGTCCGCCCACAAGAGTTTTTCTTGCTCGACCTTAACGTCATCGGTTAATTTACCTTCGGCGTAAGCCGTATGCGAAGAGAAAACCACGGATAGTTTATCATCTTTCGAAACCTGCTCAAAATCATCGCGATCGACCGATGACTTCCAATTTTGAGCGTAAAGATCAGTGATTTTTACTTCGTGGCCTTGAGCCTTCAATTCCTTTACTGCTACATCTTTCAAGTGGCCAGTAAGCGATTGAGGCTCGGGATGAGCAAATACGATAAGCACTTTCATGTGGTTTGTGTCGATAGGTTTTCAAGGTTATGTCTTCGTATCAGAGACAGATAAACCTTGTCTCATCTTTCATTCAAGACTTTTAATATACGCCAACAAGATTCTGAAAGCCATTGAACCTGACTAATGTAGGAAGTAATCGCTTTGCCGGATAGTAAGAATGAATGCAGAATTTCTTGTAAATTTTCTCTGGAAAAATAGCTCATCAACGTAATTACAGCTCCGGCGTTTTGACGCTGGAATGAAAATGCACAGAGACCACCTGCTTACAAAGACATATTCATAATGCCATGCATCAAATATGAGAATACGAGCTACATGTCTAATTCACGAACTAGTAAATATTCCTACCGGGTGATGCTCAATGACAAGTTGTCATGTCATCAAACCGTCCAAGCCAAAATAATGTAGATAGTATACGAGAGACAGCGTGGTTAGTAAGCAAAATTGGTATGCGTAAAACTTCAACCAATGTCACATCTCTACATAATTGACCACTGACAGCGATTTGTATTCTTCCACTCATTTAGGTATTGTCCGTCGTTGATCGTATTTTCACTTGATACTATCAAGAAAGATAAAGTATGCTTATCTGTGTTTATACTGATACCCTTTAAGATGCGAAAGATAGTTTTGCAAAGTAAAGCCTGAAGGCAGTATTACAATCCTGTTCACAAATTCCCAGGAGTTCTATCTTAAGAAAGTTGTTTGTCAGTGAATTTGAAAGTACCAAGTGTTGTGCTAGTGATCTCTACTTTATTATTTCTTCTAAATAGTACTACATATCGATCAGACTAGGAGCCTCACCGGTCTTGCAGAAGTTGGTCCAGTCTCTCACCAGAGCATCCACTATCATACTATTGAACTTATCGACGTCCACGGAAGTGATCATCGTAGCTTTTCCTGTTCTAACACCCTTCTTAGCACGTAGATTGGATGGGTACATTCTCAAACTACCGTAGAAGGGAGAAGAGAATGTAGTGTCCACCGAGACGTAGGCTTCGTAGGACCCAGTAACGATTTCGGGGCTTGTTGCAATGGCAGAGGCCACCTCGTCCCAGTAGGGGAGGTTGAAAGATGGCACAGTACCGTTACCGACTGTTTCCTGTACGTATCCCAGAGCCGCAGTGTTTTTGATGGCAGTAAGACCACCGGACTGGGCAATCAGCTCGTTGAAAAGGTCTTGGGTGGGGAAAACTTGAGAACTGATGTTGCCAACAATGACCAGTTCCTTCCATGGCGCGGTCAATGCCGTCTGAGCCGCTTCGGGGTCGATCATCAGGTTGAAATCACTGTACAGGTCGTTGATGAGATCGCCACCAGTGACCTGTGCGATTTGGGCGTCGACAAACCCACCCATGATAACGAGTTTTACCTTTTCTGCCATGCCGGGCCACTGTGCTAGTGCTAGTGCCAAGTTAGTCATGGTTCCTGCGGCTACGATTGTTACGTTCTCCTCTGAGTTCTTGACTGTGTCCATGATCCATTGTGGTGCGCCTACGGTTTTGTTGTACTCGAACGAGGCGTTGGCGGGCACTGGGCTCTCGTAGTCCGTGCCCCATGCACCTTGCCACACGATTTCACCATATAGGTCTTGCCACAAGTGGTAGGTGTTATTGTCAAAAACCAATGGTTGTTCAGCACCTCTGTAAACTGGTATACAAGAGGTTAGATTACCGGTAGACAAAGCCATGGCAGCTTCGTAGGTGGCAGCTTCAGTATCATAGTCTCCCAAGTTTGTTGTGATCCCCAAAACCTGTTTTCCTGCTGCAAGAGGGAGCAAGACTTGCAAGGCCGTTGGTGTATCGTTATCGACAATGAACACTTCTGCGATGGCGCTAGAGGCCAAGCCAGCAATAGCAGCAGCAGTTGATAGAACGTATTTCATTTTGGCTGTGGTTATCCACGATATGAATGAATCAGCTCAGAATTCGGTAACAATCTTCGTCTGGTCTTTATACTTTCGAAATGGATTCTCTGGGACCCTTTGCTCTATCGTTTAGCCAAGTGCCGTTCGAGGAAAAGATTTCTTATCAATATAGCGTCGGCAGCCACAATCGATAAGGTAAACTCTCGAGAGATGGACCCTTGCATAGCGAGAGCATAATCAAGGGCATCGACATCATATAGAGCACTTTGCCGTAGGTTTTGCAAAATACCATAGATATGTGAATGAAGAGGTAAACAGTCAAATGTGTCACTTTTTCTCGTGCTGTAATTTCGTGGAACTGTCGAAAATTGGACTCAAGGTTTTGTTGACGATAATGCGATGAAGGACTTAAATGGTGTTGTAATCCCTTCTTGATGCGGTTTGTTCCAAGCTTTAATGTCCTGAGAGACTGTCCAGCCCTATTTGACTCCAGCATCCGAGTATGCCCTGAGCATGGAGGCTGTCAGGATGCCTCGGGCACTCAGTTGAACTAAGGATTTGGGCTGCTCGCAAGAGGAGAACAGAAGGCTGTAAGCCTCGTCTCACGGTACAATGATTACTTGGTAATAGGCTCTGAAAATTTAGCTACAACCCTCTAGACATGGCCTTAAATACTATTTTTCGAACGTTGTGTTTTGTTGTTCTATGGTTAATATCAAATAATGAGTGCTCAACGAATTCGGAGAGCGATAGTAGAATACTTGCGAGGAAACATTTTGTATGAGTAAGGGCTTTGAATAAAGGGTACAGGCAGGCTTTCTAGAGCATGTACAATGCAAGGGTACTGCATGTCTAAGCAACGATGCAAACTCAAATGAACCTGTTGGTCTCGAAAAAAGTGTTTGAAAGCGAACAGTGAGAGGAAAGCGTCCAGACAACAGATGGGGGTTGACTTCGAGGGTCTATTAGTTGCGGTTAAATAGTGGAACAGTCATGAATATTGGAAAGGGAAAGATCAATTTCGGATACCTAAATTTGTGAACACCACTTCACTCTCGACAAGCAAAAAGCTTGGATGTGATTAACTGCACCGATGTCATAGTATCCTCTGCGAGAGCATAGCCCGTAGGATAGTAATCAGATTTTGATTTCAATTGAGTGGCCTACATAGCATGAATTAAGCTTTAAACACTGTGATTAGTGCTAAATAAATGAGGTGTCAGTGGCGAGGAGGGTGATAAAAGAAAAAGAACGTTAAGAGTGGAGACTGGTAAAGGTTATAAATTTCAGTGTCGGTATAAAGTCACTGCTCTGTGTGACGACTGGTGCCAACGGCTTCACTGCGTTCATCTGAGCGGTAAGGACTGTTCTTCAAGTTCCTCGCAGCTATCACCAAACACGTGATCTATGACCAGCAGTGCGTGAAACTGGCGCTAAAGTAAAGAAAAAGGCCTGGCAATATCGAATCAAGTCTTCCCCGGATCCATCGGAAATATGCCGTCAAACCTATTTGCTTTAAAACCAAATTGTTCCCGAGGCGATGCTTTTGAGAGCTTTATTAACGAATTATTGATTTCGGCCAACAGGCCAATGTTGTGGTAAGAAAAAGATTATTCAAAAGCCAAATCTACACACACAGAACAGGATGACGCAACAGGTTTCCAAACCGACTTCGCAATGTCTCGAGAATGTACCCGATTTTTGAAAACCTTCAAGCTCAACTACCCTATCGTTCAAGCTCCAATGGCTGGCGTATCAACGCCCGAGATGGCATCTGCGGTTGCTGCAAGCGGTGGTTTAGGGTCTTTAACCTTATCTCACGTAGACCTCCAAGATACATCTGCGGTATCTGCAATTCGTAAAGCTGTCAAAAGTTTTCTGTCTACAGCGGGTGCAGACCCTCAAAAGGCCAACTTAAACTTCTTCTGTCACCCAATATACCCTATTCCTACCGTCAGACAGAAAGAAAACTGGAATAACCTATACTGCGAAGTTTTGGAAACCAAAGATTTGAAGTCGCCACTAAAGTTCGACAACGGCAATGTGAGTTTTAAATCAATCGAAACCCAAGAAAATTCGGACATTTTCCTGTCCCTATTGACCTTTTTCGAGACGGAGTTCACGCCGGGCGTGGTCAGCTTCCACTTCGGATGCCCATCCTCGAGTTCCATTCAGAAATTGAAAAAGACTCGGGATCGCCATCTTTGTAACAGCAACTAGTGAGTTTGAGGGAGAAGAGCTCCTCAAGTTGGGCGTCGACGGTATCATCTGTCAGGGTTATGAGGCGGGAGGACATAGAGGCTGCTTTCCCGGCAATGAAGTCCACTTAGACGAGGGTCTTTCTACGCTTTGTTTGTTCAAGCGGTTACAAGAAGCCAAGAATAAATTGGGGAGCGAGGCGTTTCTTATTCCAGCTGGTGGGATCATGGACTCCCGGGCCATTCAATTCTACCTAGATCAAGGTGCTTCGGCCTGTCAGTTAGGAACCGCCTTTCTCGCCGCTGCGGAGTCCAAGTCCAGCAAGTTTTACAGGGACCTCATAAAATCCCACCATAAGATATCCACCACGCTGACACCATTTCCTTCGGGGCTTCCTGCAAGAACTTTACAAACACCATTTATTGAAAGACTCGCTAGCCTTAGTCAAGGTAAAGACCTGCCTCCTTACGGCTACAGGTACAGTGAGTTCAAGCTACTGCGATCAAAGTTCCCATCATTGGTCAACTTTCACTTATGCGGTCAGGGCGTCAACCAAATCCAAACGGGGAGGGACAAGTGTTTGAGCACGGCGGAAATTTTTAGCAGATTGACGCAAGATCCTGTAGTTCCCGCAGACTAGATGTTCTTGAATGAGATGTAAAACTTAACCGTATTGGAGGAGCAAAAATGATGAGAGTAAGTGCGCCATGAAATAATGCGAGCACTACGTGTTGGCCCCCTTCGTCTTACTGGAGCAACCGTTGCATACCTTTTGAAAATTCCAAACTGTGACCGCCTTCACTATCGTGTCGTAGGATCGCTTTGAGAACATTCGATCCAATTAACCTCGCGTGTTTGTCGTGCAGCAAAGGCAGTACTCGAAGAGACATCGTCGGCCAACCCAACATCAACATCTCAGCTCATGTTCGAAATAAATGTGTTTGGCCGTGCTCAAGTTCGTCACAAAGTGTAACGAAAGTAAGGATTCTCACAATCTCTGAGATCTGCGAACTCCATGGTCTTTGAACTAAATTGAGGAGGATTTTCCAAAACGAGCTTGTCTCTGTGCTTGTTTTCAGTGCGTTCAAGACATAAAGATCAGCAATGATGACAATGCACGCGCCACCACAAGCAACAAGCGCTATTTTAGCTTCCCGTTAGTTATCGAAAAAACAGTCTATTTTTCGGTATAACCAAGGGTGTTAGCGGAGATATTGGCAAGAACACAAATAAAAGCTAACGGCGATAAGTAGTTGAGTGTAACTCCAGCAAGCTTTGCATTTTCGCAGTCATTTGCTAACGCCAACATTCACACTCCAATGAAAGTCATAATCAGTGCGATTATCGTCCAAATCAATCGGCTTTCTAAAAAACTTCATTACTTCTTAGAGCAATAATAAAACGCAACACCAAGTAAAGGCTAGCCACCTCATTCAACAGCTTCTAATCCAGCTGAGACTAGCAATGTATTCTTTCTTGTATACCCAAAATCACTCTTGAAAAGTATAAGTTGGAAGTTCGACAGAGCCCCGTTGGGAATGTTAGCCGCTATGTAGTAAAGAGAGGGAAGCCATGTTTTGGAATCTATTAAAGCTTCCCGAATTTGATGTTTCTTGATGTGATGATGACTAAACCCTGTTGATTGCCCCAAATTGTTTGAGTCAAAAGACAGTTCTCGTGCTTGGTTAGGAAACGATTTTAGTGGAGAATCTGGTTAGTGAAGCATCATCAAGATTCCGATTAAATTAGTGATGCATTTGGTGGAAAGAAAAATGCTCCTTTGTGTTGATCGTCCATGATAGTCTTTCAAGCTTGGGTATCTTGATATCTAAGAAGAAATTTGGCTTCGGAAGAGTGTAAGTGAATCAAATCAAGAACTGAAAGAACGGCGATGCTCAGCTCTTCAAATAATCTTTGGATTGCGCTCTCAAGATCAGACTCACCATAAAGTCGATATGATTAGATGCTCTTGACTGTTACCGTTATTGCTTGTTTGAGCTTATAATCAAGCTTACACGTCAGCGCCTAGACAGACCACTCTCGATAGATTGAGTCGATTCCAATGTTGAGTTACCAAAGCCCTATCCGAACGTATAGGCAAACAAGGTCGGACACTTTGGCCATTTAGAAATTGAAAAGAGCTTCATTGATTCTCGCCCGCAGTTTGTGTTTTCTCCTCCGCAGTAGTTGATTTTTATAGTATTTTCGAAAAAGTTGTTCTCGTCCGCACCAGCAGATGAGCTGAAAACTGATAGTCAGCTTTAAGTCATAATTGGAACAACATCAGCGAAAGATACATAGATTATACGCCATGGAGAAATCATATAAAAAAGCCGTTGCGCAGTGCTGTATGTTTCGATACGTGTTGATTATGCAGCCATCACATCACTGACTCGAAGTATGTCGTACGACTTCAAATCTACCGGTGTCTCTTCTCGCAAAGAGCCCTTTTTTAAGAAAAAGAGGACCATTATCAGCGTAATCCTTGCATTGTGCTTTGGAGCAGCTGTTAGTATGTCGCATTTGGCCGAAAACAATTATGTACGCCGCGAAACAAACTACTGTGGAAAAATCGATGCAATTACACCGGCATTCGACAACTCTGTAAGAGCTATTTTTGAAGACCCTCAGTTCAAGGAACAATCTATCAAAAAACTCAGTGGCGCTCTTCAGATACCAACAGAGGTTTATGACGATAATCCAAGCCCACATGACGACCTGGAGTACTATGAGGAATTCTTCAAACTCCATGATTATCTTTCTGAGACTTTTCCTCTGACCTACCGGCACCTAAAAGTTGAAAAGGTTAACCTAGTTAACCTTGTATACACATGGGAAGGCAAAAATTCGTTGTTGAAACCTATGCTTTACAGCGCATCAGGACGTAGTCCCAGTCGAGAGAGAAACCATTTCAAAATGGAAGTTCCCGCCCTTTTCAGGCCATTACGATAAAGAGACCGACACTGTTTGGGGAAGAGGAGCGCTTGACTGTAAGACAATGCTGATTGCAGAATTGGAGGCAGTCGAACAACTATTGAAAGACGGCTTTGTTCCCGAGAGAACAGTCATTATTGCATTCGGATTCGATGAAGAAACAGCAGGTCTTCAAGGAGCTCGCACTCTGGCTCCATTCTTTGAAGAACGCTACGGTAAAAATGGAATCTACTCCATAGTCGATGAAGGCGCGATGGTTCAAGAAATTGACGAAAACGTCTTCATTGCTGCACCAATAGTACAAGAGAAGGGATACGTCGATGTCCAATTTACAGTGAGTGGTGTTGGAGGACATTCTTCGATTCCTCCAAAGCACACAACAATTGGAGTAGCATCAGATATTGTTCTAACACTAGAGAACAACCCCTTCTTGTTTGACATGGGTCTAGATAGCGCGTTCTATGGATACTTGACCTGTGTGGCTGAGCATGATAGCAAGTTCCCTTCAGAGTTCAGAGATGCTGTCTTAGATGCTCCCTACGACGACAAACAAAGAAAGAAGATGATCGAGTTTACATCTCAGGTTCCCTCAATGAGAGAGCTGATGAGAACTTCTCAAGCAGTAGATGTATTCCATGGGGGTATCAAAGCCAACGCCCTTCCAGAAATGACTAAGTTTCTGGTTAATCACAGAATAGATTTAAAATCCTCTGTGGATGAGACATTCGAAAGAGATGCTAAAATAGCCAAGCAAATTGCCGAGAAATATGGATATGGGTTTTTCGCTGGCGACAGGGAAGAAATAGCTCCGACAGAATTAGGCTACATCAAAATTGAAGCCCTCAAAGGTTTGAACCCATCACCTTATTCACCAACAGAGGGCTCTCCTGTTTGGGATATTTTTACCGGTACCATTCAAAATGTTTACGAAAATGGTGTTTTCAAGCACACTCCAGAAAATGAACTTTATATCACTACGAACACAATATCTGCAAACAGCGACACAAAGTATTACTGGAATCTAACAGAAAACATTTACAGATTCTTTGGTAATATCCAGCCCCCTCAAATGTGGGGAGTTGTCCATTCGGTGGATGAACACATTCCAGTGTCTGCCCATCTCACAACAGTGGCTTTCATCTACGAATATATTGTTAACGTTAATGAAAAAGCGGCGACAGATTCTTTTCCTTGAAGTTGATTCGTGAAGCCGACTACGTCACTGCACAATAATTTCCTATGATGTTTTGGCTTTTTGGGAGTCTTGGCTGGGAATATTAGTAAATGATATCCACCGAATCAAGATATATAAGTATGCTTCCAAGGAATGAAAATACATCATGGCCGGTAAGTTTCTTTTCTTCACTTTTGGAGGCTGAGAGTGGAATAGCATTGTTGCACGATTGCAAAAGCTTCTGTGCTGGTTCGAAATCTGCTATTTTTGGTACGCTAAGTTCACGTAAGCACCACACTGGTTGCTCTTGAGTCATATCTGTGTTAGAATCTACTTTTCTAGCTCTCCATTGTACGCCTTATTCAAAAGCTCCAAACCCTTTGTGAGCTCGAGGATTGAGTTCCCGTATCCAACCCGAAGTGTGCCTGGAATGCCAAAACACCTCGACCGGTGCAAACAGTACTTTGTAGTGTGTCGCCAAGCTGCGAGCAAATGCTTCTGTGTCTTCAATCCCAGAGACTCGTATCAAACACACAGATCCTCCCTCCGGCTCATGCACAAAGGAGAATTTTCCGTTTGACGACTTGACAAAATCTTTGAGAGTAGCAAGATTTTCGGTGCACAGAGTATAATTGCGCTTCAAAACAGCGTCACGATTTCTGAGAATATAATGCGCAATTTCATCGTCCACCATTGACACAGAAATAGTGTTGTAGTCCCTCCTTGATGCGGCTTGTTCCAAGAATTTGGTATCCCGCGAAACTATCCAGCCCAATCTAACTCCAGCAGCCGAGTATGCCTTGGACATGGAGCCTGTCACGATGCCTCGGGCACTCAGCTGAACAAAGGATTTGGGCTGCCCGCAGGAGTGGAACAGAGGGCTATAAACTTCGTCGCACAGCACAGTGATGTTTCTGTCATCAGCAACAGTCGCGATTTTTTCCAAAAGATCAGTAGGAATCACGCTGCCGAGTGGATTATTTGGGTTGTTTAGCACAATGAGTTTCGTGTTCGGTTTGATCATTGCTGTCAACTCCGCGATATGTGGTAGGTAGCCATCTACTTCCTTCAAACACAAAATGTCGACGTCTGCGCCAAACATGCGTGGAACACTGCTGAGCTGCTGATAAGTGGGGGCAACACAGATGACATGATCGCCAGGTCCTGCGAGTGCATAGCTGACTAAAAAGTTTGCGGCGATGGCCCCGTTTGTGATCAAGACGTTTTCTTTGGTCAGTTGCACATTTTGGCTCGAATGAATTTTGGCAATGAGTGAACGCAGTTCGGGAGATCCACAAATCGAGCCGTAAGTAAGCCGTTTGTCATAGTTGAGCTCGAATTTCTCATCGCATAATTTATGTAGCTCGTTGAGAGTCAAAGAGTGGCAGCACGTTTCTGCAACATTAAAATCGACGTTTTCCTCATATTCGTCCATAAACCGTTCAATTGCAAAGTGCTCTTGCGAAGGCATTTTGAGTATCTTTCCTGGTCTCAAGGGCCAGGTTCTCAGTGATTCACGGAATTCACAAACAAATGTTATGGCTTTTATAGAATAGCAGGGTGTCCGACGATGAGGTGACTATAGACCGCTACCATGAAGCACTCTTGAGTCTCTTCCACTTAGGGTAAGCAGCAAGCGATCATTGTTCTTCGTCAGCAACTACTCTAAATGATTTAACAATTCAGCTGGTATCGTATTACCCAAAAAATTTCAAAAACAATTAGATCTCATTGCTCATCATATATAATGCTGCGGACTGACGCTGAAGTGGGTAAACACGGAAATCACACAGGGATTGCGATCATGGTACCAAAATGTCTCTTTAAATGTCCCAACTTAAGCTTCGTTGGTAATCAAGCAGAGCCCCAAAAAGGAATCTACGAAGATGGTTTAGCCACTTGTGCAACGCAACTATCATAATCATCAACGGTAAATGACGTCCGGTAACAGAAATCCAGATCACAAGAAGATGATTTACTACAATCAGGAACAAATGGCTAGAATCTCATAGCGAAGTTTTCGTATAACTGATTGTATTCCACAGGTTCGTTAATCTTTTTTTGGCCACATTGCGCCAATAATCGGCGTTCAAGGGAGCCGTCTCAGGCCAAGTAATGTTGTAACCATCCCGAGATGAGTATTCGAATTCCCACAAGGGCTCTTTGCCGTTGTTTGTGAAGGTCTCGTTGAGCTTAGTGTAGCAGTTGTAAGCGTTCATAACTGAGAACGTTTTGTTGTCGATGGTGTTATACCTCCACGAAGGATTGTTGTAGATCCATGGCGTGACTGCCTGTGAGATCCATGCCGAAGCAACAACATTTTCCACGGTCTTGGCATCAGCTCCCGGAGCCGAACACAAAATCTGGAATTTGGTCGTTGTGGATGTGGCCGAAAAAGATATTGGCGATGGTGTAAGGAGAAAACCGCTCAACAACCTCTACAAACATCTTAGCAGGAAGAGGAAGGGCTTCTTGCAAGTACGGAATATGCGCAATTATCCATACTCTTTGGTCTTTGGCATTGCTTTCTACCAGCTCCTCAACCAAGAACTGCATCTGGCCAAAAGTGTCGGGCTGTGAAGCGTTCCAATATGCGTAATGGTTTTTTTTGTACCACACGTTAGAGTTAAGAGAAATGATCTTCAACCCCTTGAGCGTTTCAACAGAATACACAGTGTAGTGCTTCCTCGCATATTGAGACTCTTTAGGACCAAGCCAGCCATAATCTTCCCAAAGATCAGTCATGAGCTCTGCGTTGTACGAGAAATAGTTGAGGAATCCATGGTTTTCTTGAGCCAGCTCTCTATAAGGATATGAATCGTGATTTCCCATAACGGAATATACGGGAACGTTACCCAATCTATTCTTGATATCTCTGAACACTACTTTTCTGATTCGATGGTCAGGTTTAAACTCGTCAAAGTCAGTTCGTCATGATCTACCAGATCCCCTGTGGAGATGGCAAAATCAATTT